TGGCGAAGACAAAGCTTTCCCAATATTATAGCAAGACAGATGGCGTTCCTGGAGACCTCTTTGCTATTGGAACAATGCTTGCACCGCAGAATAAGCTCCAGTTTTTTCTAGGAAAAGATTGGGGCGATGAGTGGCGTGATCGATATCGCCAAAGCTTTGTGGATTACTTTGAGTCTTATAAGCAACGTCTGTTACAGAACCAGACATTACTAGAGTCTCATATATCCACAACACAGACCTCGGAGTTTGATCTTGAACGGATGCTTAGAGAGTCTGAATCTCAGCAAACAAGCTTAACTGAGCGGGATGAGCTTTCAAGATATCTTGAATCTGGTCAGTATTATCTTGGTTTATTGTGTGTTTTATTAATAAATATTAGGTACTATCACTGGAGTAACCATTCGAGCGTTCTGGAAAGACCATCAACATGAATTTCCTGCTCTCGCAAGCCTTGCACGGGATATTCTTACAATTCCTGCTACAGGTGCAGGGGTTGAGCGTCTCTTTAACTCTGCTCGGGACATCTGTCATTACCGTCGAGGCTCTCTAAGATCTGAAACTATCCAGGAGCTCATGATGTATAGGTTCGCAACAAAATTTGAGCTTGAAGATGACAACCTTACTCTTAAGAAGGAGTATCTTACAAGTGGGGAGATTGAGACAGAGAGAGAAGAGAAAAGTCCTCAGTCACTACAGGATATTGATCCTATCAGTGATAATGAAGAGGAGGATATAGAGGTCATACAAGAGCCAGATACTACCCAGGGCCCTTCTCATGAAGCTTTATCTGACGATGAAGCTACAAATCCTCTCCCAGAGACTCAACAACGGATTTCAGGTAGAAGTCGGAAGCGGAGACGGGATGATGATCAGTTTATTGAGTATTAGCTATAGAATCAAATTGACCTTGTTTTAACCTCTTTAATACTGAGAAATCTCTTGAATCTTGACTGGTAGTTGTATATGAAATACTCAAAATTACAGCTCGAATATGCATAAAATATACAAGTCACGGGGTCCCACCTGTTTGTATTGTTTGACTACCCGCGGGTACCCAGAAAATACCCATGGGTATTAACCAGCTTCCCACTACCCGCACGCGGGTAGGCAACCTACCCATTACCCGCCAAGAAATGGGTAATGGGTACCCCGTTTGGGTAGACCCGCGGGTCGTGGCGAGGTCTACGGCTGACAGTCTTTATAATAATGCTTTAGATTTCGAAAAGCATAACCATCAAGAGGCTGTATTAAATACGTTATATATAATTCAAATATAACTGGTATAATGTTCGATTTCTTGTATATAACCAGAAATTCAAACGTGAGATGTGTTTTATGATTATCAAAAAGAAGAACTCTCTTCTCTTTTAGAGATTGTAACCGATTTTGAGTATATTTAATAAAATGTTCAAGCTATTTAACTGCTAAACAGTCAGTATTCCAGCCATTTTTTGATATAGCAAAATAGTAATTATCAGGAATAGTATCTTAGTCTTTAAACCAATTTTCCATAAAATTCTGTTCTTTTATAATAAAAAAAGGTGGTAAAACATGGCCATCGGCAGAAACACACTCAATAGAGGTCAAATTTTCTCCTTTTTCAGTAGTAGGAAGTCGAGATGTTCGATATAGAGTTGAAGTAACAACTTTTTCTAGTCGACCTTGACCGATCTAAAACCCCGTTTCGTCGAAGTTATAGATATTCCGTGCAGGAATATCTTTAATAATTGAACGCCAACTAGTAAACCAACGTTCAATTTCTCCATAAACTTCGACATCAATTCGATTTTTATCGAACGGAGTTTGGGTGATATATTTAAGATCGGAAGGTAGCCGGGAAATAAATCGATCTCCCCACATCTTGCTAAGTTGGCGTTGTGCTATCTTGCTCGCTGCTTCCACAATATCATTTTTTGTGGGCGGAGATAGCAGGGAATCAAGCTTCCGGATCCATTCTATCAAGGCACAAGTTTGCTCCGAATTTAATGCAGAGTGTATTAGTTGACGCTTCCATAAATTTACACCAGCAAGATAGTGTCTCCGAAGGCGTGAATACGACACGTCAAATTGGCGCGAAATTGCAGAAAGATTCGGATTTTGAATAGAGGAGGCAAATTCAAAGGCCTCAATAAGACGATCTCCTTCATTTGGAGCCCTTCCGGAGGGGGAAGGTGGTATTCCATAATGAATAAGTTGGTGGAGTGAAAAATTTTTCACCAGGGTGTGGTTTTCAGTAGGGTGTGGCGGACCCAAACGCGCCCGCGTTTGGGTCCGCAACGGGACTGCTACTAGCCAATCTTCGGGTGGAAAACCACCATGTATTTCCACATGAAATACCAATATTACTTCAGATAGAGCGGCAAATTTCCGATACTATAAGCCAATAACTGATGTGTCGAAGAGTGTTGTTGTTATAACGGGGCGGAATGCTCCCAAGGATCATTTCGACAGTGGTCAATTCTCTCCGGAGTGCGATAGGCAGCGGACGCAGCTCTTGAAGCAATCTCCCAAAGGATCCTCTATTAATTTCAGGATTTCACGTGCGCCAACATATGCTCTGGAAATTTAGAACGATAATATTGTCCCTCGGCATGGGAGATTTAACATTACCCCAGGGCGAGGATTATCAGCTTGCTCTGATATATAACCGGTGTTCTCATCTGACTAGTCAAGAGCTTTGTGTGGTTCGCACTCAAGATGGATTAAATTTCGTGACAAGGGCCCTGCATGTGCCGACTGTGAAAAAAAAATGCCATATGAACGTAAATTCCTGGCCGAATACAACCCGCCAAATCCACCCGTGGCGTATGATGGGAAATGAGTCTTCAAAATAATAAATGGGGAGCTCGACTATTGCCTACATAAATTCAGAGTTGGCAGAATCTTTCATCAATTGGCCGGATGGTGTAGTGGAATCACGTATCGTTCACACCGATAAGGTCCCGAGATCGAAACTCGGTCTGGTCATTTTTTTTCCCCACAACACATATCTCCGTATCGCCATTTTGGTTTGTTTCTAGATTTGCCTGTTGCTTTTTTTTCAGCTCTTTTCTTTTCTTTTAATACAGTCCCCTCATGCGAGATAGTACAAGGTAAGCTTGGAAATGAAATTTGTTGTCTGCATTATCACGAAATCCTTATACTCCCCAGACGCACGGCAAACCGCAAACTTACTAAATAGACCAATCATTCGCTTAAACACTAGTACTGGTGATGGCATCGACTTGTCGCAGATATGACCATAGATAATTTAACTAAATTAATGGCATTGGTACTCTCTATTTTGGAACAGAAGGGCTCCGATCCATAAGCAGCTCAACGTATAGCAATGCATCGGAGAATGCATATCTGATTCTAAGTGGACCCCGCCCGGGAGATCAGTCATTATTTGACTTGCATCAGGTAGGTTTACTAGCTGTAGTTAGTGGTCATGGTAACGGTTAGCTAGCATTTGGAGGTAACAGGTCTCTGTATACCCAGCACAACTCCGACGTCTCAGCAAATTAATCGAGACTCGGAGAAATGCTACATGATGCATTTCATCGCACCACGAGGACTGGAGCCACGTCAGCAGATCTCCTTCCTGATAAGGGCTCGACATTCAAGTACTGGGCTGAGGTGAATCGGAATACCACGCAAGGAGCGCCCTGTAAATATGAAGGCCCTGATTTGTGGATGAATATCATGATCTCAAGCAGCCTCCTCGAAGGACCCAACCTCCCCAAGCCGACCCACAGTATGAAAATTGGGCGACAAGCTGACCACTCAACTACATGAATAAAACCAAAACTTGGCCACCGACTGTCCAAATCAACGCATGGTCCTTTTCCGCCGCATTGTCGGGTATCCTAGGTTTCGAAGAAAGTAGAGGCATGCATAATGCGGTTATCCAGGCCTGCAGCGGGAAAGGAGCGGAAGAAACCATAGCCAATGAAATACATCACAAACCCACCTCCATCGGGGATCATATCGGGACTTTTGGACTGCAGCTTGCAGATTCATTGCAATGGCCGTGTTGGCCTCCCCCCGCCCAACCCAACTCACCGCCACTTCCCTGTAAAGGCCTTCTCCTACTGAGCCGCCGTTGCCAGAGAAAAGCAGGGAGACAACCATTGGATGCTATGGTAGGCCTTGGCAAATGCGGGGAATAAGTTTCCCGGCCCTCTCAGTTTCACCCTGTCAACTCAGGAACAGACTGGAGTTCGAGTGATGGCAAGCAGTGAAATTCGTTGATCTGCCTTCCACAAGCTGAAGACAGGTATTATTCAGTACATCGTAAATAGCAAAGATCATCCCAGTCATGAATCTCCAAGAGGGATACAGGAAAAACGAGAACATGTATACGACACAGCCATCCCAAGAACAGAAGCGAGACAACGAAAAGGAAAACAATACTTAACTAGAAACATGACATGAAGGATAAATTTCAAATCATGAGGACATCAAAATACCCTCCGCGAATAACCGTAGCAAAAGCAGCAAACATAAACGGAAAAGGCAAAAAGAAAAAAAAGTAAAATCAGATACCCAAACACATCATTAGGAGGGATGCTCGTTCTGTGCCGAATTGTAGCTGTTTCTTAGATGGAATCCCAAATGGCCCAGGAAACATCATTTGTAGCTTGAGGTAGCTTGATCTTGTCCATGATATCAAGTACGTAACAGACTGGGGTGATAGAGCAGTCGGTAGTAGCAGCCGTATGTAATCCTTGAGGAGACTTGGGGGCCCAAGTCCGTGTTAAACGTCAACCAAAGAGCGAAAAGACATCCTGAGCCAGCAGGGGATTGATTCTGGCGGTGCAATAAGTGGCCCGGTCCGGGGCAAACCATTGGCGGATAAAGAGCAGTAGTCCTGGGATTTTGGGTCCTGGAGTGATAAAAGAAAAAAAGGAGAAAGCCTGATCCGAGGGGATGAGATCCATGGGGTTTCCTTTTTCAATTCAATCCGTGGGCTTTGAATGGATTCTGAACGTGGGATAGATGGCCATTGTTCCAGGATACTAAGTGTTTGCGAACCTAACGACGCGGCGGCGACGGTCCTGAATCAACTTCTCCGTGTCCATATAAAGACTGTCGAAAAACTGCATCGCGCTGGAATCCTTGAGGATCTTTGCAACCTGCGTCCCCGCGGAGATGAGTTGGAGTACATTACGATCATCCTTGACGGGCCGTGAGCTATGCTTGGCAGCATGGCGCATCTCCAAGGAGTTCTCAAGAACAGTGATGAGTTGCTTAATCTGGCCATTGTGGAGCGTGTGTCGAGGAATCCGGCGGCGGGTAGCGAGTCTCTTCAAGAGATGCACCCATTCATTCCATTCGCGGTCCGATGGAACTTGGACGGGCCTCTTGTCCTGTTCCAGAGGGATCGGGAACTGGTATCGGGCGAAGAAGTCAAACGCCGACTGCGAGAGACGGTCGTTGACTTGGTGAAGGATTCTGTCTTGCTCTGAGGCATCTAAATTAGTGGGGAGTTGGGCAGCTCCTCCTCCCGGAGTGGGAGGTTGCGAGATACAGGCGGATCCAGGATCTGATGGGGTCCATCGAATTCATCCCCACGAGCGGGCGCGCGCCTTTGGGAGGGGTAATGCGGGCTTCCACGGGTTATATCAGCAGGGCGCCGGCTGTTCCTCTCCACGATGAACTCCGGGCTTTCCGAGGCACTTAAGGGTCCAACATCGGGTCGCAGTGGCTCACGAGCAGGAAGATTCCAGTCAGGGTACATAGGGACCGAGGGCATGGGCTGCCCAATAGGAGGATAGGATAATCGTCCGATTGGCTGGTTCATCATGTGGCCGTAACTGTCCAGAGGGCTCTGGGTTCCATGGTATTGTGTATGGCGTGGCTCGAAATCTACTGAGCTCAGAACCAATTGACGGTTGTCTCCCATCCCGTATGGTCGTGGGGCCGATGGTGCCCTTTTAACTTGACTTAGCACTAGTCATGATGGATCCCAATCTCCATGGCAGGGAGCCCAAGAAACGAAAAAGACTGGGGTTGTGGCAACCAAATACCTTTGACGGTGGATGATGGGAGAAGTCCCCGGGGGAGCGTATACATTATGGGTCATCGCGCTGTTGAAAAGGTATGAGTAAAATTCCACGAAAGAAAAGAAGGGGGAGGAAGGGAGGGGGGGAGGCAGATGGGGGGGAAACGGGGCGATGTGTTTGTGCTGACCTCGAACGAGATAAGAAATCTAGTTTACTGGTAACTCCTCGAGATGGGAGATCTGCCGGCGTAGATATCGACTGGTAGCTTGGTGCAGCCGGGAAGGGGGACTGGAGGGCTGGAACCATGAGGCAGAACAGAAAGAAATGATCAAGAGGGGGAAAGAAAATAGGAATTGAATCAGATTATATTAAGGGGGATCAGGGCCGAATTGGGCTCTGTAGGGTTTTTGAGATAAGGAAGTGGCGAGCGAGTCTAGGGACATGAAGGAGATGAGGAATCACAGACGGTCACATCCAGATAATATATGGGCTTAAACGCATTTTGGGTCAAATTTACTAGTAGGCGTGCCTGACGCCTACGACTGGACCGTGCTGGTACAATCCCACAAGTGGATAGAGAGCCGCGCTAGAAGCTTCAAGGCCGAGGTGGAGTAAGCAATTTAGTAGATGATGCACCGATGGGGGGGTGGCTATCACTACTTGGGTTCATTGTATACCGGTGACAGGGAACACCCCAGTTGCCCCTGGTCCCGCTGCAGAGAGTCTCCCAGTCAGAGTATACCGATCGATCGCAGCCAAGTTTGGCGCCATGACTGATTTGACCAAGCGGAGACGCATGGGGCGGCTCTAGGGTTGATTTGAGGGGTGAAGGAGTGTACCCACAGATTGGGGAGGGGGACGGTTTTGCAATGCATTCCGATCTTCACAGGTTCGGGGATTGTTCGACGACCCCACGACCAGCCAACACCAGTGGACTGCTGAAACTGGGGCACAAAGCTTTGGGCAGCAGTTGGGTATGGAGGCGTGGAAAGGGAGTCAGGCTCTTGTCTCCTATTAGCCCACAATGGCCTAAAGTGGAAGCGCGAGCGATCTTCAACATTTGCACCAGGGAAAGGAATGGGAATGAAAGCCTAACGGTGGATGCGGAGCGTGTATCCACACCCCCCCCCCGTGACGTGCATCGAGAGGACCTGGGACTGCTTCGACTTTGCCTGTCTCCTACTCACGGATGGGCCCGAGGTGTAGTCGATTGGGCACAGCTAATTGTGGCCCAATTAGCGCTTGGACCAGTAGATTCATTGTTATGCGCGGATTGTAATCGATGAGCGCCCGCGGGCTATTTGGGCCAACCAAGCAGGTATATTCCCATTTTCGGGGGGGCTTTTTGGAGCCCAACAGCCCAATGTCTTACATGGCTTCCGGGGGTGCTTAAGGAGGCGTTCCCGTAATAACCTTTAACTCCCGAAAACCCTTGATTAAACTCTATAGGACAATTAGATCACTCCGTGTGGCAAAAAAACAAAAAAAAGGAATTGGCACTGGGGCTAGTTAGACGCCGCTGAGGTCGATGGCACCTATAACCACCGGGTTATTGCAGGACATGACAACCAGACCGTTATGCCCTCCCGCTATCAATGAATCTGAGCCTTCGTCATAGGCTGCAGATCTCCACAAGCCCGTTCATAGTACTTGGGCTGGCAGCTTCGTGCCAATGCGATGGGCGTATTCCTAACGTCATAGAGTAAGTAACATGATCGGCATGAGATGTAGTCGGAGCCGAATTCTGATCTCGACTTACCTCGCAGCTTAACCGGATAGCCTCCTCCATGCCTATGCGGGCCTCGTACCCCAGAATTTCTTTGGCTTTGCGGCCGCTAGCATAGCGGACTGCACACGCATCGCGGACACTTCCTCGGCATAAGGTGGTGGTCGTGCCGGTCAACCAACTAGTCCATTCGCAGATCCATCCGGCGTAGTAAGCCACCGATTCAGGAATATGTACCTCGAAGGGAGGGGTGTGCCCAAAATGTGCCCAGATCGTCCGGCAGAAGTCACGGAAAGTGATCGGCTCATTATTTTGGATGAAGAAGGCCTCCCCGGCCGCAGTTCGGGACCCGACGAGGTTCTCGACGGCGAGAACGTGGGCATCTGCGATATTGCTCACATGCGTGACATCCCATAGGTTCTGACCATCCCCAAGGATCCACGGGGTTTCAAATTTGGCAATGCATGCATGTATGGCTGGTACCAGTTGATAGTCACCCGGCCCACATAGTACAGAGGGGCGAAGGGCACATGTAGCCAGCTTATCGCTTGATGCCTTGAGAACTAAAGCCTCGGCCGTGGCCTATTATTGGTCAATATTCGTCCAAAATGCCTCTCGAACCAAGCTCGATACTGCCCAAGGGTAGCAAAGAACCGAAAAACACTTAGAGTAACTGACCTTGGATTCCCCATAGATGAGCGAGTTCGTTGACGATGTCGGCCAACTTTCATCAATATTGCGATAGGGCAATCGCATATCATCAATGACCACACAGCAACTGCTTGTATAGATGAATACTCCAGCACCGAATTGGACAGCGGCATCCAACATGTTCTGCGTTCCTACAACATTGATCTTCCATACTTCCTGTTCTAATTCGCGGCCAAAACGATGCGCCAGATCCGGAACAATACCAGCGGTGTGGATGATCACATCGGGCCGAATGGCTTCGAGTGCCTCATTGACTTCTGCTGCCCATGTCACGTCTACTTGAAGGTACTCGATGTTATCTGGCAAGTCATGCTGGGGCCGCGGGGGTCTTCGGTCGATGACGGTGATGGCGCACGTCGGATGTTTCTCCAACAGCGCCCGAACAATAGCAGCACCCACAAACCCAGTACCTCCGGTGACAAGTACTTTTCTTGATGCCCAGTCGTCGCTCATGGTGGCAAGTATGGGGGGAAAAGGGTTGGTGGGCACCAGCAAGGGACGTAGCGGGGGAATTTCCCGCACCCTAATAGACTCGTCACACCTAGACGGGGGGATCACCGACGTGACACAAGACGCGCAGATGCTTGAACACCGAACACCTTGCATAAATCAACGAAAGGGACCAATTACTTGAGCCAGAAAGAGCAAGAAGCAGATGAAATACAAAGGAAAATTGATTCCTATCTATACATGCGGCGAAGTATGAACCACTCCACATCCCAGCGCAAGGCACAGGGAATGCGATACACGCCAAAACCTAATATACAGATCCTCGCTAGAGGTGATTATTCCCGTCGCCAAAACAAATTGAGCCTTAGGCAAGACTCCCGCTGCGACAATCCGACGAAAACTCCAAAGTAAATGCAAGAAGGGCCATGCTACCTGAGTATCAGTTCGTGACCACAGAAACAGCGCCATCCAATCGGCATAGATAGTTTAAGCGCCAACGCGGCACAGCACCAATCCACCCATCTTCTTCTCCACGCACTCGCGTGCCTCTAAGATGCCGCGATCCGTCGAAATATAAAGACTCTCTCCTGGAGAACGCAGACCGGCCACATGCTGTGCTTCGTCTCCACGGACAATCCGGCGCAAGCTCTCGACATCGAGAGTGATTCGTCGGGTTGGCTTGCTGACCATGGTGATCTTTCCGAGAACGGACTCGTTGCGCCAGTACTTCAGGCCGAGCCAGAGCCGTCTTGACGCAACATTTTCTCGAGTGATAGGTTCCACGTTTTCAGCTGTAGGATAACCGAGGATGGGATGCGCAGGGGGTGGAGTTGGGCCAGCGCGGACGACGGAGGAGATGTAACCGGAGTTTTGTAGGGCCTGGCAGAGTCTCAGGTGCAGGTTGGAGTTGGGAAATAGAGGTGAGTCCCAGGCGAGCCTTTGTGGCGTTGTTAAGGTGCGAACATACAGCCGCAAGGTTGACGAGAGACATTTTGGCTGAAGGGAAGGTGTGGACGGTGTTTGGATGGTGTCAACGGGAGGTTGCGCGAGCAGGCGAAGGGTCCCCGAATGGTATTCAGGCGAGGAAGTAAAGTATCTGGAAGGGAGACGCAGAGATGAGCTCAATGCAATAAGAACGACCACGTTAGCCCAAATTGAATGAGCTGGGAAGCAATTGGACCTCGTACGGAGCCTTCGTGCCGGAAGATCGAATGGAAATTTTCGGAGAAACCGTGCCTCCGGGATGGGGGTAATTTACATGTACCCGTGTACTGCGCAGGTAACCAGTACCTGCCCCACCGTTAGAAATAGGTGTGCCAGCTCGGTATCCAATACTTTATCTCATCACATCACACTCTAAGCGCCCAGAGAGCACTAGGGCGCCTAGGCGTAGAACCCCCCTCCAGTGCTATAAGAGCTGCAGATCGTGAGTTGGCCATGTCTTCCCCGCTTTCTTGTGCTTTCGACTTTCCTTCGTCTTTGCAATTTCGTACATTAATATGCCTCCGCGACCAGGCGAGGATACCGTATTGACGGTGTGAGTGAGACTGACATTTCCCCGCAGACAAGCTTTCGCATGCACCACACGAGGCAGCAATGAATTAAGAATACTTTCTGACGCAATGAACCAGCTTCGCAGATATTCATTATTACTTTACGGCGCCAACCCCTAAGCCTCGATATCATCGATTTGATAAAAGCTCCTATGTATACATCCACCATGACGCGGCTCAGAAGAAGTCCCGGTTTGAAATAGCCAATCACCCCGGGACGGCGGAGCAGGATGCATTTACTGGAGCCTTGGATAATGTGCATATTCAACATTCAGACCAATTTCCTACTCGTTTCACCCTAACGGTGGACGGCTTGACCGGATCACCTCAACCTGAAGCATCACAATATGAATGGCGGCTACCCAGCGACGACGGACAGGATTTAATTCGCATCCACACGATAGACATGTATCTCTGGACAGTGGACGATGCAAATCACTTCCTGGACACGGCTACCCAGTTCCTGTCCGCTTCTCAGGTGGAAACTGATGGAGAGCCGGTTGTTCAACAACCGGAGGCACCTATGAGCTCTGTGGTGCAGCAACTCGAGAACATTGCGATCTCAGACCCGGCATATCAGAATGGTCAGACTCGAAACTCTCGATCCGAGTCGACAACAGTACCAGCTGCGGTATCACCTCCGCAGCCGCCTGCCCAATCCCTCAGTTTCCCGCCTCCTCCAAGTGCACCGGCAGCCGAGCCTCAGCAATCGCCCCAGCAGTCACAATCGGCATACCAAACGCCAGCCGAGGAAAAGAAAGAATCGCCAGCTTTCACTCCGTTGCCATACAACCCTGCTGCTCCTCCTGCGCCGGAACCCATCTCTCATCGCGAGAAGACACCCCCACCGGAAGACGGCGCCGAAGGCACCGGCCTGATGGCCGCCGCTGCCGCAGACCAGGGAACGCCATACACCCCACCACATCAAGTAGGCGGCGCCGTGGGAATAGGAGCACTTTCTCCCCCGCCAACCGGCCCAACCGGTTATGCTTCACCACCGCCCAGCGCGGGCCTGGCACACGCCAGCACGTTCCCATTATCCTCCCAGCCTCTCTCAAGCCCTGGCGTTGCATCGTTCCAACAATCCTTCATGACTGGCCAGCAACCGCCCCAGTCTCAATACCAGCAGCACTATGACTCGCACAGATCTAGCTCCATGTCGTTTGCGCCGCCTCCGCCCCAGCCTCAGTCCCCGCCCCAAGCGCCTGCGCACCATCAGGACCCTAATGCTCATTTATTCAGTGGGGCTGTATATGGAAACCCGTTGTCACCGCCGCCAGTGGGCTTTTCAAATTACTCGTACGATCAGCCGCAGCAGGTTGCGCCGGGTACGTCGGAGTATGATGTGCATACGCAGGTTTATCGGCCTACGGAGGCCGAGGTGGGTTCCCACGGACACAAGCAAGCGATCAAATCAATGAAAGCTCCAGGGCAGAGGTCGCAGACGTTTCAGCATGGTGCGTCGCGGATCGACAGCGGAGTGAATCGGTGGTTGAAGAAGCTGGAGAAGAAGATTGGTTGAATGAATGATTGCCCGTGGCAGTACGAATGCTCATGTCTTATGATATTTTATCGTACTATATATTGTATTTCGAAACAGGATATGAATTGCATTCCCCTCCATTGGACTCCAAGCATAGGTTAAATTATACAGATAGATTTATGGGCGAAGTAAAAGTTGTGAAACCGGGGAAGGGGATGCATTCACTTCTTGCATACAAAGCGCAAAGCAAAGAACCTCTTCAAAGATAAATAACATGAATACTAAATGTGCTCAACCGAAGAATGCAATCAATCGCTCAATAAAACAGTATGCTGGGTCAGCTAGAAAAGAATACACCATCGCACCATGGATCCAAGACTCTGGGTCTCCAGAACAGAGAAGCCAGATGCCATCGCAAGTGCGGCAGAAAACAGCAAGCCCCACAAGGGCTGATGAAGATAAGGTCAAGCAAAAGGGACCAAGAGGCAATCTGAGCTCTGCGCTCGTTGAGAATCGAGAATGGTAAGGGTATAAACAGAGAAAATAAGACAATGATCCAGAATATAAGACTTGGTGAACGCAGCCTGCGGAACGAGCATGTTTCTCACAGAGTCAGGCTCTGGAAGTCAATATCGTCGGTGACAGCCTTTGCCTCTGGCGGAGGGCTGCTGAGCTTGGCCAGCCCCGGTAGGAGGCTCTTCGTTAGGCTGGGCGGAGGGCGCTGAGACATTGACGTCCTTCGAAGCCTTTGTGGGCGCATCGGAAGTGTCAATAAGAGCGTCGCTGGATTCAGCATCCACGGGCTCAGTAGCAGCAGGTTTAGGGGTTTCTTCTTGATCAGCAAGAGCGCCGATGTCAAGGAGTGGGGTAGAGTAGCCTTCAGTAGAAGTCTCAGGTTGGTCCTCAAAGGTTGCATCATCAGTCTTAGCCTCAACAGGAGTCTCGACTGGGATTTCCTGCGACTCTTTTGCTTCAGGCTCGGTAGGAACTGGTGCATCTGTAGCACTCTCCGAGGTTGCTGATTGTTCTGGCGCCTGGTGAGGCTCTTCAGAAGCAGGCTTTTCAGGCTTTGCGGGGGTTTGTTCACCGGTCTCTGCTGTTGATGGCTCAGTTACCTCTGGAATTGGCTCTGGGACTGAATTTTCAACGTGCTGAACAGCAGGCTCGAGAGGTTCGGGAGCTGTCTCAACTGAAGGGCTCTCCTTAGCTTTTGCCTTCTCCTCACTTTTCTCCTCAGAAGTTGGCTTCGCAGAACTTTCCAGAGATCCTCCCAAATCAGATTTTTGAGTTTGAGTGACCTCGGGCTCTTCAGGAATTGAAGGAGTAGGCTCTTCGATATTCTCTTTCTCACTCTCCGGCTGTTTCACTGGCGCTTTGGCTTCCTGTGGTTCCTTCTGAGCTACAGGCCCCTTCTTAGGAGCTTGCTTGCTCTCAGCTTGGGCGCGCAGAGGGGCAGCCTTTGCCTTATGCTGAGTAGTAGTGCGTTCTGGTGCTTTCCCTGAGAGATTGACGAGGCGCCTTCGACGGAGTTGTGCCCTTTGGTGGGACCTTAGCCTCGGGTCTATCGTGAGTTTTGCTGGCTGAGCTTGCAGTGGGGCGCATCATTCGCGCCAGGAACCCTTCGTTCACAGGCTTGGTGCCACCACCTCCATCACTGACCCGAGAGCTGGGTCGTTCGGCTGGTTGACTTGCAAGCGAAGGTCGAGATGACTGTTTACGGATACTCGCAGTAGTACCTGCAGCTGGGCGCGTTTGAGTGGGGGCGGTGCTTTTGAGGGAGGAAGGCTTTCTTGTGAGGGTGGAACCAGAAGTACTGGTCCGACCGGAAGAGGGGGCGCTAGTTCCCAATCTCGCGGCTGAAGATTGAGTAGGGGCAGTCATGGAAGATGGCAGTCGTACAGGCTTGGTAGGAGACTTTGGGCGCGTCTTCGAGCTCGGCGGTGATGACTTGGTAGCCTCCTGGACGGGTGTTGAACCCCGCGTGGTTCGGGCAGTGGGTTTAGCTGCCGGATTCAGAGAAGCGCGGCTAGACTTGGAGGCAAGGTTATTCGACCGTTCTTTAGCAGCTTCGCGGCTTGATTTCGACCCGGTAGTAGAGGCCGGGGTTTGCTTAGAAGCCGTAGAAGCCGCGGTCGATGGGGGTTTGCTTGGAGGATTGTTCTTCGCAGAATGGATATTTGATGGACGCTTGGTTACAGTCTTGGGAGCGAGTTTCTCCGCACTTTCTCCTCCACTCGCAGCCACAGGTGCAGTCTCATTAGCCTTGGTACCTTCTTTCTTGGTTTCTTGGACCTTTGCTGGTGGGGTGGGATTCTCGGTAAGAGTGGGTTTCGCTTCAGTATCACTCAGCTGGTCTGGCTTCACAGGCGGAGTAGCCAGTGTGTCTGCCTTGTTCAGGGCATCGAGAACACCGGGCTGGCCTCCATGCCCACCACCAGGTGTAGGCGAAGCCACGTTTGCGCGGCGAGATTCCACTCCGTGCTCATTGATCTGCGGACCGAACATGCCAGATTCGTCACTTGGTCCACTAGTCTTCCGCAGTGGTGAGCCCTGTGTAGATGATTGAATGGCTCCTTCCACAGTCACGAAGCTGGCGCGGACGCGAGAAAGCTGGCGAGTCGATCCAGGAGTATCAGGTCCGGAGCTGGAGCCTACAGGGGATCTTCCGCGAGAAGGAGGGGAAGTAATGGGACTCTGACTGTTTTCGAACTTCGCCAGCAAGCTGCGAACGCCCGGATGGGCAGTGTTATTGTTGTTGTCAGACATGGTTTCGGAGGGTCAGGGGTGTAGGCGCAAATAGAGGGGGTGGAAACTGCAGAAACGCGTCTGCTTAGCGCACAGGGGGCGCGTGGGAGGCCGACAGAGCGACAGGAGGAAGGGATGTGTCTTCCGGACGCAATGCAATGAGAATGAACACGGTGTTTTCTCAGAAGAAAGCTCAATGGGAAGGGAGTGGTGAACACTGGGGTCGATCAAGGAAACCCGGTGACGCTAGTGACGATTAGCGCATCCAATGGGGTGAAACGCATGAGCCTTGCCCCTCTCCTTTCAGGGGACGTTTGATCCATGGTAAACTATTGTATTTTATCCTGAGACGTCTTCTGGCGCTTTTCTAGCCTGTAATCAATCCATCTGTCGGAGTAACCGGAGTCTCGTCCCACCTCCTGAGAGCTTCCCTTACTCATTTCCTCGACCTCGAAGTGGCCTGTGGGGGTCTACGGAAACCTCGGCTGCGAAACTCCTCGCGAAGACTAACAATAATTGTCTATCTGGATTCAAATCTTGGATTAACTACGGAGCGCAGTCGCTGACAAACTCCAAGGTGTTCAGGTTAGGCTTCGAAGGGTCAATGTTTACCATGTTTACTCCTTGCCGGAAAGGTGGCGTAACGCCTCAGGCAGAACTGCCAAATCGCCCGTTCCAAGGTTGCGGTAGCTGCAATTCCGTGGTCGGCCGATTGCATCTGTACCAAAGAATGTTTCTGTTTCTCCCAATTGATACACTTTGTCAATAGGCTCCAATATAACTACGGTGTAAAGGATTCCCAACTGTGTGGCGGAAGAACACGGGGCCAGCTGCTAGAAAGCCAGTAGTCAGCAGTGGGGCAAAGTATTTCACAGGTAAATTGCGATGGGTCTGATGGGGGAATCTTCCACCTGCAGCAATGCAAGGCCTCTTCTCGAGCAGTTCCCCCATCAAAATCGGAAGACGTAGGGGAAAGACGCCAAAGATTCTCTCCTTACACATCGCTGGCAAAGGCTCCGCCCAGCTTTACTAGTTCAACCCATCGGGCATCCTTCCGGATCTTGATCTTCCCTGATCTCATCAGTTGCGTATGTAGCACGTTCAAAGGTCTGATGATCACATCATTAGCGAAGGAAACCAGGACCTTGATTAGCCATATATCGGGGCTTGTATTTTATCTGTTGGTCTATTCATGATAGAAAATTTGTTGACTCGTCAATACTACGTTGCTCATTTCAGGGATAAGAGAAACATACTTCCAGAATGGGTTGCCCATAGCATTGGGCTACCCCAAACGGTAGAGACGCAGAGACCTCCGGAATAGAAGAAAGCTGGGAAGGAATCCGATAACGCCAGACATCCTCCAGATATCCCTCAGAGGTACGCCAACTCACCGTGTACATTCAGGTACTCTGAAACAGGGTCTTCCAGACAGCCAAAGCTCTAGGGAAGTACGCAGGCCACTTTGGACTGTCGGCCGTTGCAGGCAATGGTAGCCTATCTCTATCGAGGAAAAAGGCAGAAGGCTATTATTCTCCATAGAAACATCGGCAGCGAATCACAAAAAAAAGGCTCGACTTTCTTAACTCTGGGACCGACATGGTCGCAATAATACCATGGCTGTCGGCTGAGGTGACGGGGTTACAGCAACTGACAACAGATCCTAGTAAAGAAACATCCAGTACCATACTTTCCCCGGGGGAGAAGTGGATACGATTAGGCCTCACTAGGGTGAATGAAAGACCTTTTTCCTGAAGCAACCAAATGCCCACCCTGATGATATAGAAGTCTCCTTGTGCGCGTCGTAATAGAGTACTTTGTTTATTTTCATGCAGTTCAAAGGCCCAGACGCGACAGGCAACAAAGCATGCCTCATTGCTACAATTCCTACACCAGATCTTCTCCAAGCGATCGGACAAGCCGACACAGTTGATGAAAAAAGGTGTTCGCGTCGAGAGGGGATAGTGTGAGCCCAATGACACTGTGCGACCAGCATGCGCAAGCACAGAGGCCAGTCGCGGTTTCCAAAAATAAGAATAATCAATAAGGTGTTCAAGAGAACACTTTCAGAGATTAAACTGAAAAGAACAGATACTACACTTGATCTAAGCCAATTGGCAAAGAGAGCTGAAAAAAAAAAGAGGAAGAAGAACAAGAATTGCGGCGGGAATTCCACTGCTTATAAGCTGGAGGGAGCTTGCCCGGCGCCGATCTTCCGCTAGCGTATAAAGTGGATCTTCGTTAAGCGAGCCAATGATAAGCAAGGCCCACGCGTTTGTACTTTGGATTGCTACAGTGCCCTGAGAAACCAAGAACAATCAAGTTGTCAAATTTACATAATAACTGAGTCATGCCAGGTCTGCCACCAATTCAAATTCTATATCCTCTATGCTTGACTCGCCCGTCAGCTGGATTGTCCATGCTGCTGCCGTTGTTCCGGGCAGGGAAGGGACCGGATTGATCATTCTGCTTCCTGGATCAATCGAGACCACATCCAGGCCTATATTGAGAAAAACATACAGTCAGCCCTATAGAAGGGGACCGAAGAAAGCTATACTATGGTGCAAATCGAAGAGCTTGTGCTTAGAACAAATACGGTCAAGCCATACAGCTTACCGTAGCTGCCCTCTCGTCGCCCGACAGCTGTGAACTAAAAAGACAAGATAGCCTCATCGATAAGCGCCATAAAGAAACCTGAAACCCTGGTCTGTCTAGTTGACCAAAGGATAATACACAGTGCATGATTTGGAACCAAGTCGCGGCAGTTATAGACGGTATCCGAGCTATCAACTCCACTGCAGTTTATTCGGTCGAAGCCTTCAGTCTTCTGGGTTTATCACTCCCCACAACACACCCACAACACACCACTATACAGAAGAATGCCCAGAGAAGCCCGCGAGCGCTCGAGAGAGCTGGTGGAATATGATTATCCGACAGTCCGAAGTGCAGATTCCGTTCTCCGTTTCACAACGGCTTTGATTACCGCGTCGAGGTAATCGCATACACTCGTAATGGTACACATCCGTTACATGGACGGCCATATTTTGATTTGGAAAGTATCTGGGAGGAGGATACTTATAACCAGTTCGAAATCGGTCTGTGGAGCATGAAATGAGGACTGTGGCTTAGGAACCCCATGTGAATCATGTGGCAGCGGTTAGTCAATGAGACAGGAAATAACTAACTAGAAAGGACTTGTGGCTGTCTAATCTACTTTTACAGGTCACGGGTGGAATTGGGCGAGAAAACCTGATTAAGTTCCGTCGGAGTCACTTCATCTTTCAAACCCTCGAGATACTGGACTGGAGCTCATCAGGGGCCTCAAGTTTATTGCTGGAAAGCCTTGCCGTTGTAAGAGGTGTCCGGCTAACTATCGCCCACGGCGAGGTTCCAGTGATTCATCTTGAGATTAAGAAGTTCCGGCAAAGGTCGATTCCCTCAGGGATGACATTATGAGCCCAATAAATATGCTATGAAAACGATCTATGATTGTTCTCTCCTGTTCGTCCATTTCATAGGTCTTTTCAATCCTGGGGACATCGTGACTTCGACCACATGCGGTTTATCGTGTATACTTCAGCTGGGTCGCTCTTTCAAATCGAAACTTAGTGGTTTGCTACTCAAGGTTCAGCAAATGACAAGGCAGAAAAGGAGGCAAGACTCTTCGTAAAATAAAGCAAGAACCAGGTTAAAACCAAGCATGGCGGAGATTGTAGCAGCAGCTGGCGACCTCGCGGGCAAGTGTCCCAATTGGGTGGCGCGCCAGCTGATCACTGATCAACTCAAGGTGACCAATCATTTGGGTTTATTCGGTTGCATTGCGGTGACATGTCTGCCCAGGTTAGCTTTGCGCCCGGAGCTAGGCTGTATACAAGAGTTATCGTGCTCGAGAGTCCTGACCTCGGGACATCTTCTCATGGCGTGTTTTGCTCCGAACCGGAGTATTTCCGGATTAACGATCATCCATCCCCGTTAACAAAATCGAAAAAGCTCCGATGACGGCGAATCTTGATGTGAGGAAGCAATTCTAACAAACCACAATGGCTGCTGCTGCTCGTACTCTCCGCATTGGTATGGTTGACAGAAAAGGAAGAGAGAATTTCTGTTTGTAATGAGTCTGACCATACCTTGTAGGACTTATTCCCGGTGACGGCATCGGCCGAGAGGTCATTCCGGTATGTCCTTCTCGCAGAGCTTCTTGCGACGTTTTCCCCAGTGACAAGTGCACCAATTGATTGAAAACAGGCTGGTCGACGGATTCTTGAATCTCTCCCCTCATCTCTGAACCTCAACTTCAGCTTTGTAGACCTGGAGGCTGGTTACGACACTTTCAAAGCTACTGGAACCGCCCTGCCCGACAAGACCGTCGACATCCTCAAGAAGGAGTGTGATGGAGCTCTCTTCGGCGCTGTCAGGTATGGATAACTACCCATAAAGCCTTGAACTTCTTCTTAGATGTGACAAGTCACTAACTCAAATATCTTCCTCTCAGCTCCCCAAGCACCAAGGTCGCTGGCTACTCCTCCCCCATTGTTGCCCTTCGCAAGAAGCTCGATCTGTATGCCAACGTCCGTCCCGTCAAGACCACCGCCGGCAGTAGCAACGGCAACCCAATTGACCTGGTGATCGTCCGTGAGAACACCGAAGACCTGTATGTCAAGGAGGAGCAGACCAAGGAGACCCCGGAGGGCAAGGTCGCCGAGGCCATCAAGCGCATTTCCGAGCGCGCCTCGTCGCGCATCTCCACCATCGCCGGAGAGATTGCCCTGCGTCGCCAGAACATCCGCACCGCAGCCCCCGGAACCTCAAACCGCACCAGCCCCATGGTGACCATCACCCACAAGTCGAACGTCCTCTCTCAGACCGACGGTCTCTTCCGTGAGACCGCTCGCAAGGCCCTTGCCGCACAGAAGTTCTCTTCCGTCCACGTGGAGGAGCAGATCGTCGACTCCATGGTCTACAAGCTGTTCCGCCAGCCTGAGTACTATGATGTCATTGTCGCTCCTAACCTGTACGGTGACATTCTGTCGGACGGTGCCGCCGCGCTCGTCGGCAGCCTGGGTCTCGTTCCCAGCGCCAACGTCGGCGATGGCTTCGCTATCGGTGAGCCCTGCCACGGCTCTGCCCCCGATATCGAGGGCAAGGGCATCGCCAACCCCATTGCTACCCTGCGCAGTGTTGCTCTCATGCTCGAGTTCCTCGGCGAGGAGAACGCTGCCGCCAAGATCTACGCCGCCGTCGACGGCAACCTGGACGATGCTAAGTTCCTCTCCCCCGACATGGGTGGCGAGGCCACTACCGAGGAGGTTCTGAACGATGTGCTGAAGCGCCTGTAGAAGATAGCTTGTATATAAAACTTGCCCTTTGTGTGATGGGATTATTCCCATGGAAAAATTATCTATGCTACAATCTGAGTCGATATATGATGTTATTATACCCTCTAAAATCACCACGCATCTACCGGGATCACGTTTTGTTTGCCGCCATCAATCAAGACATCTCTCATGGTCTCTACGCTCTTAGTCCTGATTTCCTCGAAACTCTCCGGCGCATAGAAAGCCGTGTGGCAAGTCAAAACCAAGCGTCCCGTCAGCCAACTCTCATTCTTGCGGTACGCCTGGATCAGTGGGTGCACGTTATCCTTTGGAAGCGGCTCGTCGGGTAACACGTCCAAACCAGCGCCGGACAGAATACCCTCTTTCAAGGCCCTCTCCACAGCATCTAGCTTCATGACCTCCCCACGGCCCGTGTTCACCAGGACCGAGCCCCGAGGCATCAAGCTCAGCAGATCCCAACCAATCATATCCCGCGTTTCCCCTGTACAGGCACAATGTATGCTGAGCGTGGTACTCCGGCGGAAAAGCTCCTTGATATCCTTCACGCGCTCGACGTTGATAGTTTTGTCGAAGCCACTGGGGACGTACGGATCGTAGAAGATTACTTTCCACCCGAAAGCCTTCGCACGAAGCGCAGCGGCTGTCCCGATACGACCGAGCCCGAGAATGCCAAAGGTCGCATTGTTAAGGCGGGCAATCAGCGGCGATTCCGCGACGGCGTATGGCGCTAAGTAGGGCTCGCGCTGTTGGTCGTGGTGAAGGAGCACGCCGCGACGAAGTGCCAGCGCAAGAGCTAGCGCGTGGTCGGCGATTTCAGATGTGCCGTAATCTGCAGAGGTGAAAAGTAGTGAGTATGGTGGTCGGGAATAAAAGGCAGCATGAAGACGGACCAGGAACATTGCAGACTGTCACGCCACGCTTGTCCAGAGCGACTCGGTCCAGGCGGTCGTAGCCAACACCCATCCGGACAATCCTGCTCAATTTGTTAATTGCAGTTGGGAGAAGCGGCGCTAAATCAGGCCTACACTTTAAGTCTTGGGAACAACGCCAGATCTTCTGCAGTAAAGGGGAGTTTCAGGACCATGATTCCGTCGATCTTCTCCCTTAGGTCTGCGGGGATATCACTCCATGGCTTTGCATCTGGTACGCCCGTGGGGAAGAGATCCAGCTGTTTATAGTTGACCTCGTAAGACTCTGGAAGATTGGCACGCAGAATAGCATTTTCAACAGTCTCGTCCTAGACTGTTGTTAACTAGAAATAGCGGCAAATGCACGGAGGGAACCCACAGGATAGAGTCCATCCGCCTGTACGACTGTAAACACCTTCTTTTCGGGCATGATGCTACGGCGTGGATCGCGGGGTTGAGAGGAATAGGGAATACAGAAAAGGGATTTGCGAAAGAACCAGGAATTCTTCTGATGACAGCGAGCCTGACCCCCACGCCTTGCGGAGCATCTTTCGCCTTCATTTACCCCAAGGCACTAGCAGTCCGGATATTCAGCCTGTTGATTCGACCCCACAACCCCCAACTTGGTTCCCCTCCCCGGACTTCCTCCGAATCTCCAGGGTGGGGGGCCGAGCCTAACGATCGAGACTTATCTGCATCAGGTTGACTAGTCCTTTTCCTATTGTTCTAACTTATGCATGCGCTATATTTCATACATCACAAAGAGCAACTCTCTAGTACAGACGAAACAGGGTAAACATCCGATGGCAATTGGAGAACGCGTATCACGCACGCGCTTTCCACTCTTCCTCGGCAAACCCATATGGATTCTTTCCCCTTTGCGCTTCGGGCGGTATGCTCTCATTGAAAGGCATGACAACCAAGACGACGACAAAGTATACTTCATTTGTTTTTCGGTTTTTGAGCACATATCGAAGCTCGTGGTTCCCATAATCAATCAGGCCGTGTACCGGAAGCCGGAACCCCGGCAGGTTCAAGGATAGATCTACAGGGAAAAAATGTCAGTCAAATCAGGTCTGCTAGTTGAAGACGGCCTTTCAAGCCTGCTTTCATGAATCGGGGATCTTACCGCTGAGGTTAATGTAGCCGGTGCTAAAGTCAGCCATATAATATCTTCCTGCCTCAAAGTCGAAAGCTTCCCGATGCTGTTGGCTTTGGAAATGCTTCTTTCGCTCGCTAGAAGTCGCCGGCATTTTGCTTTCGTCTCGAACGCGTTGCGCCGCCGGGTCCGAGGCGCCTTCTTCGATCACAGTATCAGGAGCGGGAATGCTGTCGTCCTTGCTCCCAATGCGGAACTGGGACCAGGTAGCCAAGCCTGGACTGTAGAGATATGGCTTCTCGGCATAAGCATCTCCGTCAATGCTGGGGTCGATCACAGTCTTGACAATATTCATCGCGATGCTGAAGCCCATTGGTAGGCGGCTTTTGATCGAGTGGTCAAAGTCATTTCCAAAAACGAGGTCGTTACCGTTAACCTTGGTGTTGAGTTTGAACGCTAATGATATAGACAACGTGTCGCTCTTGTGGAGCTCGTGATCGAAGTACGGATGCGATTCCGGACAAGATTTGGGTAAGCCTGGTTTTATTATTAGAGGGTCCGTTTATGCCACGCGTGGGCATCCTTACCATTGTAGTCCTTGATGTGGACGGCAACCTGCACTGCGCCTTTCTCGCTCGAGAGCGACGTGGTTTCGCCGTTCACCTCGACGATCTGATGTGTTGTCTTGTCATAGTCGGGCCCAGCCGCTACAACCAGGCGATAAGGAGGATTCTGGGGTTGCGACATGGTCTGTGCAGAGAAATAGATACTCCTAGTATAGTATCAACTAAGCTAGGGTGCAAGCTTTCAGGATCTGGAGATGCTGCAAACGAAGTGCAAGTCCAGGTGTGCAAACTGTCAATGGTGACCGCACCTCGAGATGCGCGAAGCGTGATAAATGATTCGATATCGAAGTGCCGGAGGTTGACAAAAGCACAAGCGAATATAACCACGCAGCGGCTGATATTATTGAGATATGCTGACTTCTCTCTCTCCGAAACCTTGTTTTGGTTTCGAAAGGGCCCAACGCACCGTCATTATGAGCAATCAAAATCAAATAAGAGGCCCCCCGTCTTCCCCCGTCGCCTTCTGAGATGGTATCCACTACATTGCTTTTAGAGTTAAGATTAAGCAGGGTCCATGGAAGACCTGAAAGAACAATCTGCTAGTCGCCTGGAGGATTCGGCTCCGCCTCTCCAGCCTGAGCTTCTCGTGCCGCTATCATTCCAGCATGGGGGCCATGACATCACCTCCAGCGGGCCGGGGCTGCCAAGGCTAACTTTGGCTTTTGCAACTGCGTGCTTGGGCGGGTCGGTTATTGCGGGCCTTGGGGCCAATGTGGTTGAGAGGAAACAGCGGAAACGCTGGTTGGTTCAGATGCCCACCGAATCAGCACGCAGCGGCACATGAAGCCAAGAAGGGAACCGCGCCAAGCACTGCGCCTCAGGATGGGGAAGTATGGAGTCGTCTCTCGTATTCCATGAATACTAAGAGATCCCCTACCCCTGGGATCCAATTTACATTCAGACAAAATCCGATTGCCTATCGTCCCAGTCTAACCAAGGCTCGACCTCAACCAAGAAAAAAAAACAAAAAAACAAAAAAACCACAATGGCCTCTGCTACCTACGAAACCGCTCCTGCAAACAATCTGCCAGGAGAGCCCGTCAAGACCACTGGAAGTGACCACCAGCATGTCACACTCGCAATGAACTTTGCTTGGCGCAAGTTCAAGTCCAGCATTTCGGATACCCGTAGCCCAGACAAGCCTCTCTACATCATCAGCTATAAGATCTTCCCGAAACTCAAGTTCATTTTCCGCAAAGCAAGCCGCGATGATGGCTCCGACGGCAACACTGAAGATGACGGCAAGTCCGACGACGATGTCGTCGGCACCGGTATGGTGAACAATATCAGCATCGACTCCAGCTACACCTGCCATGGACGCAAGGATCAGCTCGTGGCACAGCGCCGGTTCCACACTTCGTACACTCATCGCTCTGCAGCCCTTGCCGAGAATGGCAAGCCAAAAGTCGTCACCTGGTCCGGGGACTGTGGTCTCACCAAGTGGGACTTCGTTTGTGTCGATGAGAACCAGGTTCCCCTGGCTAAATTCACCGCCAACCTGTGGGGTCTGAAGAAGATCGGCAAGGTCGAGTTGATGGGCCCCCGAGCTAATGACCCTGCCTTCCGAGACGAGATGGTCATCACCGGTATCGTGGTCGGCTACACTATGGTCTGGAGAGCGAACAACATCTTCCAGCTATTTGGAGCTTTGTTTGGCAAGCCTGGTCATGATAAGGAGTACCCTGAATAGGCGCGCCCAGCCCATAAAGATTCGGACAATTTTTCTACCACCGACACCGTTGCCCCGAAAGGAACGCCGTATATCTGAGCACTAATATTCCTTTCAAGGCTCCAAGTTTGCGGTGTTGTGACTTTTCTTTGCTGTGATATTTCAGATACCATATAAGCGCCCTGTTGAATAGAGATTGTCAATTTATTTCTTGCGTCTCCGAATATATTTTGTACTTTCGATTTTCGAGTTGATCCTCGCATATCGTGTTCTTGTCTGCTTCAAAAGGTACGCGTGAATGTATTCAAAGTACAATAGGGAACAAAAGTCTTTGTGCATAACCCGTCAAATACATATATCCATGGTTACGTATCCTACACTGCCAATTCTGATTGGATCATAGTAGTTATCGCCCTTAACCTACTAACCGTCGACTCATACAAAGCAATTTGATGGGTTAATGTTGTAGCCACAAGTTCTTGCTCAAAATCGAGTACTTTGTATATATGACTGTTGATTATTCGAAAAGAATGATATATACTAATCGCAGATAAATAGCTCATGCAAAGCAGCGTATGCTCGCCCACTGATCCAAGAGCACCGGTCAAAAAAAAAAACAGAACGAGGAAAGGTGAATAAGAAAAAAAGGCCAGCAAGAACTCAAGTACTAAAAGAAATCATCAATCAGTTTATCTTAAATACATGATAAGCAAAATAAGCAAATAAAGCCATTCATAATATCTTGTTGCCAAATCAAACATTTAGGCAGTAGGATGGCTTAGCACGTCACGCTCTAGCACCCGGTGGCATCAGACGAACTCCAAGTATAGTCAGGCAGAATACACTCTTCTTGCTCGCCAGCATCGTAAGAGTTTGTCGGTATCATCTGCACAGTCTGTTGATGAATAAACCGTGAAGATACAGCTCCCAACGTCATTCAACTCGAAACTCCGGCGCAAAGTGGTGAGCTCAGCGCAGCCCACATCACCGTTACCATTGGGGGGTAGCTGTTGGGTAACTCTTACACATACCGTCCGCAAAGATCTCAAGCTCCCAGGCACGACTCAGATTGCTCAGTGTCAACAGATAGACACTGAGGGTCAGACTTGCGTGGCCAAACTTTGAGGACATCATTTTGATAGTGAATTGTATTGCCACGTTCTTTGGTATATCGATTCAAGGCACGTTTAAGTACCTCTAGATCAACTTGTTGATGAATCTCATAGAATATATCTTGTCCAAATTTCTTGTCGAAGATGAGATAGCGGACTGGGTGTAATGCGTTTTTAGCGAGGTCTGAGCTGTATTCGCTTAATACTATATCGCGGCTGGTACGATTGAGGTTCCTTGATGTCATTGTTTCGACGATATAGCTTGCGAAAGGCTAAGGTATTTATAGCTTGCACACGGTCGCTGGCCTGATTGTGCTGATATAGAAGAATAATTCAAAGCACAGTATGCATCTCAGTGCGGTATTTACTTCGAGGAGTGCCTGCGAGCCTTAGTCCTAAATCGGTGAGGGATTTTAGCCCCTGACCCAGATAAGCCCCTAAGAACCTGGAGCGTAGGGCTAGTATCCGGTTAGGATCCTGGGGAGGTTTTCCCAGTTTTGTCCCGAAGCTCTATTTTGATAGGAACATTTCCCACAGTTTTAATCAGAATTTGAGGGTATCGCGATTAAATTCAGCCTCGTCTAGCAGAACTCCCAGATCAATCCTCTATAACGCGAATCGGGTGGATCTCTATGTTATCCTAATATCTCATGTGCAGGGTATGAGTGTATTTTACTCTCCTTCTTTGCCCTGATTTCGAAGGATTTATGAGAGATCAAATCAACGTTACATACTTTTATTATGTTATAAATGCACGCAACCTTCAAATCAATGGGACAGGATAAGAGGGGCCAAAATTTACTACCAATAATGTGACTCAATGAAGCCGTGCGCATGCGGGGTATATTTCAAAAGATCCGTGTTGTACCAGGGTTTGCATATCCTATCTATCCGCAGTCCCTGATTTTAGGAGTTTATCCTTGTCAAATCGCTGTAGGATGCGTATTCTCAGCCATTTTCCTGTTTTAAGAGAAGACCAAACTTGAGTAAGGATTTGCGCAGCCCGCGCCTACTTCGAATCTCGGTAAAACTGTGCCCTTTAGAAAATGACCTGGTAAAATATGGCTCCACACGGCTACGAAAGCCCTATGACGCCTCATCGAACTCTAATACAGCCTGGGCCATCTTTACCCGGATGGACACTCTGCTGTAGCTTCTGGGTTGAATGGTGTGCTCAAACTGATACATATATCTAAATATAGAATTGAACGAACGGCTGCCTTCAACTAGTGGTCCGTGTGTTTCCTAATACTTAGCAACCTGATAATCGCGGGTGAAACCATGTGACAAGGCACGTGCGTTCACCTCGTCAAGCTTCTGTCATATCGCCTCTGGCAGCATCCTCATGCTAGATAACAATGAGAAAGAGATGGCAGACTGGCAGGGGCGCCTTGTAGGCTATTTATCGCTACCAGTAGGAGCACACGCACGAGAGCGGGTATTTTCACCCTTCTCTCACCCATATCACCCACACTCACCTAAAGGCAAATCGCGAGACTGTTTTAGGACTCAGGGCTCTCAAAGAATTGGCTACGTTCTTTATATGGCTTAAGTACGGCTGAGCGGACGGGAAGACCTGTTCTCCACACCCTATGGTCGTATGTACCGGTAATTGATATATTATATATTAGCTACTTATATGCTCTTAACTGTCTTCTGGCGAGGAGTGAGAAGCGTAAGTGTGTAAGTAGGCAGGGTGACCAATCTGACTGTAGTCAATAGACTGCTTACTACTAGTCATCGCAGCATGCTCTACACAATGTCTGCATTGATAGCACAGGTGAACAAACTCATACAATGTGGGCAACGCTGTATCCGAAGAGGCCCCATTATCAGACCGACAATGTGGAAAAAACTCGGAAAATTCCTGGCGTATCTCCCTCAAATGCTGCCTAATAGTCAAGCATCGGGATAACTCATTGGCTAGAGCAGTATGGACGTAAATGGTAGCAGAGAAATTATCACAGAGGGAAAGAAATTCTAGTCAGGCAACAGAGCAATACTGCAGTCCGGAGGAATTAATTGATCGTATTATGGTAGTGAATACGAGGTATGAGGAAAAGCTATGTCTAGCAATCTTCTGGCCTTGGCTTGAGCGCAAAGAAGGTTGCTAGAGACCTTTTAGCCTGGAAGGCCGGCCTGCGCATGGGTTTCTTTCTCTCGCTTATCAAGTGTCTTTTACCTTCTGCTACGCCTCTCCCATAACTTCTCTCCTCTGGGTTTGTTTACTCTTTCTTCTTCTTTCCCATCCACGTCGAACGACCACCGAAGTCATGGATAATCAATATCCTGCCAACCGGCCTCCCGTCGGCCAGATTCCTGTCAATCAGACTCCTGTCAGTCAGACTCCTGTCAATCAGACTCCTGTCAGTCAGACTCCTGTCAATCAGACGCCTGTCAATCAGACGCCTGTCAACCAGAACCCCGTCAACCAGAACCCCGTCAACCAGAATCCCGTCAACCAGGGTCCTGTCCACCGGAATCCTGTTAGTACGCGTCTTTATAACGAGCATCCCCACATGCGTCTTTCCATGTACCAGCATCTGGCAACGTCGAGATCGTATTAACCAGCTTCTATCCCAAGACCCCTAACATTGATTTCTTTCTTGCCGGTGCTGCCAGGTCTGCCAACCGGAACCAGGCTGCGCGACGGAATCGTCTATCCGCGATTCAGGGTCCCCCGGTTCATCCGCCTCAAGGCCGGCGTATAGAAATCCTCCATAATTCTATTGTCTCTCATCCTACTGTCCAGCACCCCGCCCTTAGGCCACTTTACAACTTTGTAAGTATCCTCGACATGGGGACTTTCATCATCACTAACTTTTTATGACTCTAGCCCTGTGATGGCTGCGGACAGACCGGCCATATTGTCATCGGGTGCCGTGACATGGCTCGTTTCGCCCTCAGCAACCGCACCCTCTCTGGCCACCTTGAAAACCCGCGGAGCTGGGTTGCATGGATGGAGTTGCAAAATCTGAACCAACAAACTGCGAGCTCTCGATTGCACTACGCGAACGGCAATGTGACCCGTCGTCTTCATGTTCTTAACCGGTTCTCTGGCGTCCACCGCTTCAACCCTGCACTGGCGACTGATGGACCTGGAGTCGACGACGCTGCGGCCACCGACTCTAACGCCACTACTCGCTTCATCAATTTGAATGCTTCAAGCTTTGCCAACACGGGCTCTGCTAGCGGGACCTCTTCTACCAGTGCGAGCTCTAATAACGCGGCGTCGACCAACACGGCCTCTACCATCGCAGGCTCCACCACCGCAGGCTCCACCACCGCAGGCTCTTCTACCAATGCCGGTTCCAATGATACGGCCTCTGATCAGACGACCTCTGCCAGCGCGGGCTCTACCAACAGCGGCTCTGATATCTAGCTTCTCAGTCAGCCATTGAAGACCATGGTGACTATGCGTCGATGCGCTCAGTTTTGTTTTCTATCTACATTGCTCAGACGACTTTTCAGTGTCTCGCCTTTGGATTTTCCAGCAACCGATCTAATCGAGAGGTTGATGATGTACTCGTATTGAATTCGCATGTTTCCCTCGACTATGCAGCTGCGCATCCTTTTATTTGTATTACTACGTCGTTTAGGAGACTTTTCAAGCGAATCTTCCATGGATTTCTGTGAACAATCGAACGCAGAGATTGACAATTTACTCGTTCAAAGTTTGATGTGCCCGCAACTTGATCCTGTGCTAGCTCCACTTAGTATTAGTAAGGACCATGCTGCGCTAATCTCATTGTAAACTATCACGGTGCCATTCTCTTGTTACACAGATATTGTAGGCGATTGGCGTTACGTCTCAGGTATTTGACAGCGTTGAAATATTTCACATTCGAATTCCCCAAATAGCCCCCAGTAGGTTGTATGCAAGTGAAGAACAAAGAGCGATGATAGGTAAATGAAAGTATATCAACAAAAGAAATCGAACGAAGGAAGCATGCCTACTACTCCATCTTAAAGAGCAGGCAAATCAGGCTCAGAGTTGAGTCCTTGGTAAAGATCCGACATTGCTTCCGATTCTAGAAGGTCCTCAGTGAGTATTCCTACACCACTGTCCATGCGCCGGCGGTCTTTACCACGGCCACACTCCACATCAACAAACCGCGTCATGCTAACAGGCGTAATAGGATCACTGCCGTTGACGGTCGTTCCATCGGACATGAGATCTTCTGATTTCAGCTCCCAGTTTGCTGCTCGGACTTTCGCTTTCCGGCGCTCGGAACTGACAGTCTCTTTCATAAGAGCAAAGGAGCGGGCTTGCTCGGCGGCCCACTTGTCCATAAGCTCATCACGAGCATCCATCTCCATTCGGAGTTGGACTTTCAAGCTCGCGTTCAGTCGTTGAAGACGCTGGGCTTCAGACCTGGCGGTGTCGAGCGAAGTGGTAAGATCCGAGATGCGAACATTCAGTATACCAATGTCTTGCTCCTGTTGCTGTGCGCGCTGGTCTGCCCTGTCTTGCACGGCTCGGAGAGCTTCTGTGTGTTCTTTCTCGAGAGCCTCGACTTGGGCTGTGAGATCACAGGCCCGAATTTGGTTTTGTTCGACTGTTTCTTCGAGCCGACGGATACGAACCTCGGATTCTGATGCGGATATTTCGATCGCAGATCTTTCTTTTCGCTCGCTGGCAATTTGCTTTCTGAGTATTGTGATCTGCTGCATATACTTTTCTTTTGCTGCAGCATTCTCGCTCTCCAACTTGCTAACAAGTTCTTCAAGACTTTTCATGTCGTCATGGTACTTATCCAGAGCAGTATTTAATCGGTCGATTCCGACTGTCTTTTCTTGGTCCTCATTCTCCATATCTTGCATTCGCATTCTAGTGTGCAGCATGTCACTTGCAGATGATGCGATGGATTCCTCGAGACTGCTGATCTTATCAGTAGCAGCTTCGTACCGATGTAGCAAGTTATCGAATTGCCCGCGAAGGGCCTTCTCACGGCCTAAGGATCCGAAGTGATACTTGCGCTCGGCTCTGAGTTCTCTTGCCAGGGACTTCACTCGCTTCACCAGCGCACTAAGGGTGGCTTTTCCGTCTTCGAGGCCTACATCAGCAGTCTCTCCGGGAATAGCACGCTCCAGTTCAAGTCTTGCTGCACGGAAGTGTTCCCTCATTTCTGATAGTACATCATCTGCTCTGGCCCCTGAGAAGCCCAGGCTTGAACATTGCTCGCTAATGCCCTCGAGGGTCTCTGTAGCATCTGAGGCTCGTGCAAGGGCAGTTGTTAGCGTTGAAATGACATTCTCCAGGAAGTCTGGTGGCGGGGTTGTTTGGCGAAGCATATCGCCAATCTCGGAGTTCTCAAAGACAGACATTTGCGAGCGACACACGTTAAACAGCTCGTGTTTTTCGCTTCTGGCTGCTTGCAAATCGTGCGCCAAATTATGAACATCATAGTGCTCTGCTTCATCTGGTCTCTCAGTCTGCGTTGAGACATCATTGCTCATTTGCTCCAGTAGGCTCAGACCCTCTGGAACAGGCGAATGACGAAGGTTCGCATGTCTGAATATAGGGGAGTCCGATGTGATCAGAGCGCTCTCATTCAGCATGAACGTGTCTCCATCAGTCTGAAGAAGAGTTGGATCATCCAGATTGCCACTCGAGGCAACCGAGGCTCCGTCGTGGATCAATGTAGTTTGCTCTTCCATTTGCTGAGCATTGCCTTGAAATGATCTCCAAAATGAGTCATATGGGGGTGGTTGGTCTGACTGTCCGGAGCGGCGCTTCACGGATCTCAACTCCTCCTGCAGGGCGTCTCGCTCCTGGAGTAGAGTTGCCAGGGTCTTCTCAAATGAAGCATGCTCTCGCTTCTCGCGTTGGATATGGTTGATCTCGTCACTGAGACCGATGCGGCGGATCCTCCGCTTAGTACGCATGTCGAGAATTTGACGAAGAGGTGTAAACTGCACCACTCGCTCAGAAGATTCATCTTCAAATGGTTCGATTGCATCGAAATCCCGCCGGGGTCCCGGAATCGGAGCTGACTGACGTCTTGACTTACGACTAGGAGTGCCGGGTCTCTTAAGTCTGTCGCTGAAACAGGTGCGTTTCATGGCAGGAGTCAACCCCGTGCATCCGAGGCCGGTCTCATGCAGTTGTGGGCCGGGGTCGGAGAATCTGACTCGTTTCCTAGATCGTTTGGGCGTGGCAGCGGGCTGTGTAGCCGCACTGTCCAGTGCTGCTGTACTCTGTCTGGTCCGGTGAGAGACAGGCGATGTGTTTCGCGAATTGGAGATGGAGCTGTTGCACCGTTTCCTTCCAGCCTGTCTCGTCTCCATCGCGAGTGGACTCGAGCTGAGGCTCGAGGGTGTTCTGTATAGATTGATCGAAGATATACTGCTGTAATAGCGGGCTTGGAGCAGAAAGCTAGTCTGCGCGAACAGGAATAACCGCGTCGTGGCGAATAACAAAATAAAACCTCCCTGCAGATGGTACAACGATTGGTTATAAAGCCACAGATTCTATATATCACAACATAAACAAACAGTGGGGCTCTGCAGGCAGCAAAGACCCCCCCTGCGCGTGCCACTGAATTTCCTAATCCGGACGTAAACAAGCTTCTGGTTCGGGTATGGTGTAGGCCTCAGGCAGGGATTACTACACGGCAAATAAAGTTTCCGAGACTCGCGACCTGGTTATCGCCTTATCTTCTCCATATCTTATCGGCCCCACTGCTTTGCTTTCTGTACATGGGGAGCGGCATTAGAGCCCGTCTTCAGAGTGTGCTTGACTGTCACCCTTGGCGGTTCTGTCCCTTACCCTCACTGTCTTCAGAAATCGCTCCAGAGATGGCTTTCTCTTGTGCCCACACCCTGTGATGTCATCTGCACCACCCCAAGGCCCTGGCTCCGGCCACCTGCAGCCTGACCCTCCTTTGGAACCCACTTTGGACAAAACAAATAAGATGGCTGAGGTGACTCTGGATGGCGAGGTAAGTGTCGACTACCTGAACCTAGAAATATGTGCGATATTCTGACTGGAAGATTGGTTTTCCCTGGCGACAGCAGAGCGGCCGCGATGTGCTTAAACCTCATGGAACGACCGATGACACCCATGACCGGCCCCGCACTCATTCCCTGGACAGCCCTCCGCTACTCCTGAAAATGCCGACAGAGATTATGTTAGAGGTGCTCTCTTATCTGTCTCCGAACGATCTTGCGCGAGCTTCTCAAACTTGCCGATGTCTCGCTCACTATGCCTACGACGACCGCCTGTGGGCCGACCTTGTCAATGATAACCTTCCGGTCCCGATCAAAGACCCGGGCCTTTTTCCCTCCTTCCGTCGCTTGTACAGTGCCCACTCGCCATTCTGGTTTATCCCAAAATACAAGATTTGGTTCGCAGACAATGAACATACAGGAAATTTGATATTGGCTCGCTACGATAACAGACGAGGTGTCATTGAAGCATACCGTATCATCGCAGATCGCGGCCGGCCAATGCTTCGCCTTTGGGCGCATAACCCAGAAGTCATGATCCAAACCTTTGATCCTCAGGTCCTGCTATGGCTTGACGACCCGGTCCTCTTTCTCAAAGATCACGACCCGAAGTCGCAAGTGTGCACTAGCGAAGCTTGGGCGGAAGAACGCCCAATGCCGATGCATTCAGATTCCAATCTTGTTCACAGCACACTCAACCTCTGCCGTCAAGTTCCAGCTGGAGTTTCCCATCCCGACGAACTATGGCCGCCTGTCACTATCCCCACACAGAGCCGCGTAGCCCGGCGTCGGCGTCACCAACAATCCTTCCCCGGCCCCTCGTCCAAGATTGTAGATTTCGCTTTCGCTATTCGACGCTGGCCAATGGCTGCATTCGTGTCGGTGGCACTCCACGATGAAATCTTTGTAACATACGCGACCCTTGATCCAGGGCTGTACACGGCGACGGAAGACAAGCCTTATCAGGGTATCTGGGTTGGGGACTACAATGCCCATGGGTGTGAATTCATTCTCTTCATTCAACAAGGCACTAGTCTGACGGCGATTAAACTCACGGGCGATCCAAACGTCCCCCGCGGAGAGCTCACTTTCAAAGCAGACGAAATTGGTCCTGATTCAACCATTCGCATCGCGCGAGAGGAACCATTTGAGGGGGCTCGTGTTGTTCCCTGTCTGGGCCATGTTGCCGGCCTTGGCTTCCATGACGGTAAGTTTGCCTTGAGTCTCTATGTGCATCTTATATCTGACTACTGGGTATCTTGCTTGTCGGTTCAGATACATTCATCAGCTCCCAGCTCTTCCTTATCTCCAAAGATGAAGTGGCGCACTATTGGCAAGATCTGGGACATATCTCGTATTTCCGGCGTGTCGATATCGACGGCGTTCTTCGGACATAGACTCTTGAGTGGTTGGAGATTTTTCCCACGTGTCCGGCCCGCACGCATCCTCTCCTAGTTCCGGATCTACAATGGCGGTTAATCGTATTTATATCTCAGTATGGTACTAGTCGTACCTCATCTCTGCCGTAATTTCGTGAGAATATTACGAGGCCACAATGATGATCAATAACATGCCAGGAATTTTGGGTACTCGGTCTTTCTTCTCCTTTGAACTTCTGAAGCCCAATCTCTTATGTACCCCACCGGGTGCTAATGGTTAACGGAAGGTGATATGAAAGATTTAAATTCTACAGCGTTATATGAGCACAAGTATTTCTGCTGTGCAGGAAGTGGGTTTCGTACGGAGCTGAAATAATACGTGAACGTCAATAGGTATCCCAGCATAAAAAAAAGGTCCAAACGCCGTGACTTGAGTATCCAACAGGAGAGGCATCGAGATGAGAGAAGAGTCCTTGCGAACCGAGCTGTAGGAACGAAGGAACACGCTGAGCCAAGCCAGACAGTTCTATACAAATGGCTCAACGTTCCTTCAACCCCCGAGTCCCGAGCCGTGTGCTATCAACACCCATGTTTCCGGGGATAAATCGTTGAGCAGAGTGCAGGTATCGTAAGGTGTTTCGTAACAATGCTCGCAGAGAGAATTGGTTGTTTAGCGTCGGCGCTCAAACCAGGGTGAAGCCCCCATGACCGCGACAGATTGGTCCATTACCCAGTCGCCTACCCCGAGGTAGTTGTCAATCCAGCGCTTTATATCTTTGTTATCGGAGAGGGCTTCGGAGTTTAGACTGGGGCTATGATGGCCACCGCGTACAACGCCCGAGCGGGGTACGCGGAGGTCAAATAAGTTAGCAAGAGGTTCGCAGGCGGGGAGCTTGTCATCACGGTTCTTTTCTCAAAAGCACCGGAGGTGAGTGTGGGGTTTGAGGGAGGGCGGTATTTACGTGAGACCAGTTGAGCGCTTGACGCCCGCCAGGAAGGCAGAAACTACGAGAGTGCATATTAGCCAGCTGGATTTCAAGGAAAGCTTCAGAAAGATCTGCTCAGACGTTTACTCACAGAGAACCGCGTCAAAAGCGTAGTGGGTGAGACGGCCGAGCTGTTCGGAGAAACAACGGTGAGGTAAGTCTTGTGCCAGATAAAAGTATATTGGCTGGTAAAGTGAGTTCGTACCATGATTGCGAGTATTGAGGTGGCGGGATGTACTTGAGAAGGCTTCTGGCAGGGTCAAAAGGGTTTAAGAAGGTATCTATGGCCTGCGGACACAGCTGGACATGAATGAGTCTTTGGTAGCATCTGAACCACCGGACTGGATCATGAGGCACTATCACATGACAGCCAGCCTCCGGCATTCTTACCTCAGCCAGATTAAGCTCCAGCCTCAGTGGCTGAGGCGTATTGAGGCTGGTGGCTTATCGATAAGCAGATCCCACCGAAATGCCGTTTCTGTGCAAGTTCGAACTGTCGAATTAAGTGTTAGAATTTGTCACGTTCTGATAAAGAAAGACTCCAATATACGCAGGCAACACTGGCACGATGCGGAGCGCCACCCGCAATGCCCAGAAAGCCAGAAACAGAAAGGCCGGTCGCTGCTCGTCGTTCATGCTCGATTTTCCGCCGTTGCCGACGAGGGGCCAAATTTGCGGTGGGAACAGGCCAAGAGACTTGAAACGTCAAAAGCAAATATAAACGATTGCTACGTAAAGGTGTAGATCCAGAATAGACTGGCCCAGCTTGCTCACCGGCCTGCTAGTATACTTTTCAATATTTTTCTGGGTCTAAAGGTACGCGGGTACTACAGTAGAAAACGTTCCCCAAAAAGGCGGAGATAGCATTGGCCAACATTTTTCCCACCCGCCCCTCACTCGCTTTCTTCTCTCCCTCCCCCCTCCAACTTCGCTCCTTGCAAACTTGCTATCCCCTTTCTGCTCTCCAAATTCAATTAGTTTGTTCAGCAGTCAAAATGGCAGCCAGCTCTTCCCTCGACCACCTTTCCAACCGCATGAAGCTGGAATGGACTTCCAAGCTGAACACCGAGATGGTTCCGGCGAAGAACTTCCGTCGTACCTCCATCATCGGTACTATTGGTACGTCTTGGGGGAAAAACACGACTCTGTAATCTTGAATGAAAGACACGCGTGTGATGCTTTTTTCTTTTTTGCTCGAATCCCACTGCTAACGCACAATGGCTTCATAGGTCCCAAGACCAACTCCGTGGAGAAGATCAACCTTCTCCGTACTGGTACGATAAGCTGTCCATAGTCAATAACCAAATGAGAACTGACTGATATGGGTATAGCGGGTCTGAACGTTGTCCGCATGAACTTTTCCCACGGTTCATATGAGGTGAGATTTTCTTTCTTGCTTTGAGAGTCTTGGTTTACCCCCACCGACCCCCTCGGGCACAGCGCCAAGTAGCCATTCACTAATCTTGACATTAGTACCACCAATCCGTGATCGACCACGCTCGTGAGGCCGCCCGTGTGCAGGTCGGCCGCCCTCTCGCCATTGCCCTGGACACCAAGGGCCCTGAGATCCGTACCGGTAACACGGTCGGTGATGCCGATATCCCCATCAAGGCTGGCACCGAGCTCAACATCACCACCGATGATGCCTATGCCACCGCCAGTGACGACAAGAACATGTAGGATATCCCCCCCAAGCGGGCGTGTATGCTGGAAGACTGGTTCAACTTTGCCCGATACAACCAGTGACTGACGATTGGCCGATCCCCAGGTATCTTGACTATAAGAACATCACCAAGGTGATTTCTGCTGGTAAACTCATTTATGTCGATGATGGTATTCTTTCATTCGAGGTGCTTGAGGTTGTTGATGACAAGACCCTTCGCGTGAAGTGTCTTAACAACGGCAACATCTCCTCCCGTAAGGGTGTGAACCTGCCAGGAACCGACGTAGACCTTCCTGCTCTGTCCGAGAAGGACATCAACGATCTCAAGTTCGGCGTGAAGAACCGCGTTGACATGATCTTTGCTTCTTTCATTCGTCGTGGCAGCGACATCCAGGCCATTCGGGAGGTCCTAGGTGAGGAGGGCAGTGAAATCCAGATCATTGCCAAGATCGAGAACCAACAGGGTGTCAACAACTTCGACGAGATCCTTGAGGAGACTGACGGTGTCATGGTTGCCCGTGGTGACCTTGGTATCGAGATTCCCGCCCCTAAGGTGTTCCTCGCTCAGAAGATGATGATTGCCAAGTGCAACATCAAGGGCAAGCCTGTCATCTGTGCCACCCAGATGCTGGAGTCCATGACCTACAATCCCCGCCCCACTCGTGCTGAGGTATCCGATGTTGCCAACGCTGTCCTTGATGGTGCCGACTGTGTCATGCTGTCTGGTGAGACCGCCAAGGGCAACTACCCTTGTGAGGCCGTGAAGATGATGCACGAGACCTGTCTCTTGGCTGAGGTCGCCATCCCCCACTTCAGTGTCTTCGATGAGCTGCGTAACTTGGCTCCTCGCCCCACTGAGACTCCTGAGTCCATCGCCATGGCCGCTGTCAGTGCCTCTCTGGAGCTCAACGCCGGCGCCATCATTGTCTTGACCACCAGGTATGATGAGAACTCCTGAAAATTCCTCGTTCTGCGCGGGAACTAACAAACTCCCAGTGGTCGCACTGCTCGTCTGCTGTCCAAGTACCGTCCCGTGTGCCCCATTCTCATGGTCACCCGTAACGAAGTCGCATCCCGAGTAAGAGCCTTCATCACCCCTAAGCCTTTCGCAAAAGTGCCCTGCTAACAAGGCATTCTCCAGTATTCTCATCTGTACCGTGGTGTGTGGCCCTTCTTCTTCCCCGAGAAGAAGCCCGACTTCAACGTGAAGATCTGGCAGGAGGACGTCGACCGCCGCCTCAAGTGGGGTATCAACCACGGTCTCAAGCTGGGCGTCATCAACAAGGGTGACCCCATCGTCTGTGTCCAGGGCTGGCGCGGCGGTATGGGCCACACCAACACCGTCCGTGTGGTCCCCGCCGAGGAGAGCCTCGGTCTGTCCATGCAGTGAAATTGACGCCACCGTAGCCTGTAATCTGGATCAGATCTTATGCTCGAATCTTCTTATGTTTTAACGTCGGTGCGATGGTGGGATAAATACCTTGCTTTTATTTCTGTTTTCCTCATTTCATGATTTCCTTTGCTCGCTCGAAAGCCGACCTCGTCCCGTGCGGTCCGGACCATTGCTTGTGTATTGAAGATGTTGATGCATTTCCATGTATATGAGACGAATGTTATGCCTTCAGGTCAAATGCGATACCAGTTAGCTGAGGCATTTTCTGTTTCTTGATTCCTGTTCCGAGCTGAATGAACCAAAGTCCTCGCTGCAATTTGAGTTCCTAGTTAGTTCCGCTCGTGCCGGCTCCGCGCTGTAGATTGGTTAATGTAGCGCTGCTATTGCACGTAGTTATGCGACTGCCTCTGAACATCCTGCAGTATGAGGAAGTATTCAAGGTACTGGGCAGAAAAAGAAAGAAGAAGTTTGCAGCGAAAGATAATCGGGACGCATGACGGGATTGCGGGGGCCCACGAAAATCGCGCCGAGGCTTTCTTCATGTGCTATTAACCTTAAAACGTCTTGACCATGCGTGCTCCCCACGGAGTTCCCACCGACCAGCAATGAGCATAGAATGACAAGATGAGAACATCTAGAAGCCAAAATTCACTTGAAATGAAGAAGAAAGATTATGTGGAGGCGACTAAACAACACGAGGCACGCGATCCAGTTCCGAGATTCGCCGAGGGACTCGGGTTAACGGATTCCCAAAAAGGTACCGCAATGCCTGAGGAAGGGGTTTCCCGTGCGCTTCTCGATCAGTTTGGGACGAATTGAATTTGGGACCCTAAGGACTGCGGAAGATCGATTGCTCCTAGTGGTTGTCTGAATCTAGCTTGTGAATTTCTATGCTGGTTCCCCTGATGTACATGTTTCTACCCACAGCCCATCCAATTAGCACATTGCAGTGTTGAATATTCGACATTTGTGATATGTGCACTGGGATGCCGGACCCATCTGGGTGTTATGCATTGACATGACTGTCGTTATTCATCAATCGTTATGCAAAAGCAAGAAGAAACAAACCAAACTAAACCAAAGGAAATTTCAGTCCAGTGTGTTGTGACCAAGACAACCGTCGCAGCCAAAGGCTGCTCCTATTCCCATCTATCAATGTCCATTTCAGTGACGTTGGATGAGTTGTGCTCGGGGTACCGTGGCAATGACATGGTTCCCTGGAATTGGTTCCAGCAACTAGACTCGTTAGTATGATATGACACAATGCGATGAGGCTGTTCACATACCTCGGAGCTTGGAGAACGTATCTTGCCATTGCTTCTCGGAACCGATACTTATCTCCCTGGGACTGGTGACAGTAGGGCGATTACGGCCACCGCCAGCAAAGCCCCGATCTTTGATCCACGACTCAAGTTTCTTGTCCCAGGTATAGGTGCGAATGCAGTCGATGATACCAACGACCAGCTCGCTCCGCTGATCATCGATCGCAATCATAAGCGAGTAGTCCATAACATTCTGACGACCAAGGAACAGGGTATCGTTCCACACACTCTGGCTGAGCAGTTTCTTCGAGTGTTCACGCGAGAACAGTGGTGTCTCGTAGATGAAATCGACCATGTTCTCGTCCAACAGGACCTCGTCGCGTTCACCGGTGCTTTCTACCTTGCGGTTTCGCATGGAGCCCTTCAGGTCGAAGATCCGGTTCGGGACACGGTCATAGAACAGGTTCTCCATGAGAAGCAAGAACCAATTGAATTCGGTCCCAGTGACGGGGTTCTTGATCGTGACTTGGTAGAAGCCGAACATCTTGGCAATTGCGGACGGCAGTTCGTGGAACAGAGCCTCGGACATGATCTGGAAATAGGCGGGCGCAAACTTCAAGAAAGCCTGCGTCTCAATGGTAGAGAGCGATTTCAGAATGAATCGGTCATCTAGCGTCTTCAAGAACAAGGATCGAGTTTTCCCGCCCTTGGAGTCCCATTTTGCGCAGCGCGACAGCGACTCCACGATCCGGTCGGCCACGCCGCACTTGACGCGAAGTGCATGGAATTGCTCGGTATAGAACACCTTGCACCACATCTTGGCCTGGCCTTCTGTGTAGTGGTATAGGACATGGGTACTCTTGGATTGCAAGAGAGCTTGCTCAACACGAACCTCATTCGCCGCTTCGGTGTCCGTGCCAGAAGTCGAAGGCCCATCTTCGGTCTGGTACTTTTGTTGGCTGATGGCCAGTTGCTCCTTGTAATTAGGATGATCCAAAGTGAATGCCACCAGAGAGCTGGGCTCATCCTCTCGCACAACAATATCAGAATCGGCAAAGACATGATCCATAACACTGAGAGGGTAGTCGAGAGTAGACCAACCACTAGCGGATCGCTCTGACCAGAAATTGGTGAGCATTTTCAATAGCGTCGTACGCTCATGCTTTCCGAGGTCCTTGAAAGATTCCTCTTCGGCCAGTTTGGATTCTTCTTGTGAATCCACAGGATGGAGGTCCTCTGCTGTAGGCCTGTCCTCGTCACTAGCCGCATCATCTTGGTCATCTCCTAGCATGAGTTGTGAGTCGGGGCGAGGTATTTCCTCGGGCTCGAAGGATCCCTGGGAATGTTCGACAGAACCAGATTTCGGGGTAATCTCTTCGGGGTTTGTTTTGCCCATGTAATCATCACTTTTGCGACTTGATTCATCCGCTGGGAGTCGTGGGGCTAAGACAAGTGGCTCTTCTCCGTCAACCCGTGGCTCTCGTTCCCCGACAGCTTCTCTGACATTTCGATACACTTCCACAATGGGCTTAGATGAAGCAAGGGGGAATGCGCGTGACTGTGTACTCCGAGCAGCTCGTCGCTGGCGCTCCCGCTGGCGTTCCTTCTCGAATTCACGACTCAATTGCTCGAAATGCCTGGTCAGACTTGGCACGGACTTGTTGGCCCTTGTGGGCTTCGGAGGTTTGGGAGTAGAGCGCGGGATGAAGGAATGCCCGGAGGGAAATCGACCATTCTTTAGAGCAGTCAGACGCTCTTTGAGCTTTTTATCTGATGATTTGCTGGGTTCGGCCTGGGGAACCGCCGCCGGCTCAATGGAGGTTGAGGCGTATTTCAACATTCCAAAAGGCGAGCTTCTGCCGGATCTGTCTCCCGGCTGCTGTGGTGGTTGAGACTGGGCACGCACAAGGGGAGGTGAGCGCCCCTGAGCGGATTTCCTGAACGCTCCCTCAGCGAGTCGTGGAATGCCTGAAGGTCGGTTTGGCGGGGTACTTGGCGTTCTGACATTTCCGTCCGAGGGTTGAAGCTGGTCATTTTGGAAAGCCCCCGGGCCCTTGGATTGTGAAGGGTCCTTCTGATAGTTGTCATGATGAACTTCATTGAGAGATTGGTCAGGAATATCGCTGTGACGAGGAACCTTCTTTACTTGCGACGACTGATCGACAGGAACCGCCAAGTCCAAAAATCGAAATTCCTCGTTGGAAACAGCTTCATCCTGAGGAGAAGCCCTTTTACCATTGATGGCCTCCGCAACCGGGGAAGATTCATCAACCGGCATTGGCAGCGGAGGCATATCAGCATCAACCGGGGGAGTACCTCGGTATTTCTTGCCAGCATCCTCTTCCACGACAGAAACTAGGACGTCCTGAGCCTTTTCTGGAGACAAGGTCATGCGACGAAGCATTCTGGGCTTTTCATCTTCCCGAACGTTCTCGTCACTTGCTTCGGGTGGTGTATGCAAAGGATCCTCTGGGTTAACAGAGGCATCTTTGTCAAGGAAAATCTTCTTGATCTGCAGCCCTGCCAGTCGTTTGATATCCTTTTCAGACGGCAGAAACTTCTTTTCAAATTCAGCGAAGATTGTATCCCATTCAACCACCCGCTCTTGAACGGAGCGCAACGCTTCATTGAGAGGAATGATTTCCCAATACCGAGAGCCAGTGTATTTGTCTTGCAATTTCTGGATCAAAGCGAGATGGTCTTCTTTGGCCTTTCTCGTCAGACCCTCAATTTCTTTCTCACATTCGCTTAACAGCTCAGGAAGGACGTTCTTGACATTGATGCTCTCTAGACGCGCGAGGACTGACATCATGAACTTGTTGAGACGGTTCTCGGTGCGCATATAAACGTCATTCTTCATTCTGAGGTCATTGTCCACCTTCCAGGTGACACGGGGCCGAGGAACAACGATGTCCAAAATATGAATCTTATCATACTGGATGCGAAGCGCCATGTCCTGGAAGCCAAAGTAGCGTAGATAGTCTCGCTGGAGGTCATGAGGACAGACCTCGGCCCGAGCATGCAGATTCCTACCCCAGAAACATATCTCTAGATACTTGCCAAAGGAGTATTTCCATGTAGCCTCAGACATTGGAGTCACCTGGGTTTCATTTCCGCAAATTTTGCAGCAGCTCCACATCAGGATAGTGTTTTGCATCCCTCGCACTTTGGGCGGATGAGGCTGCACAAGCACACTTACCTGGGCGTCACCATGGACATATTGACGATGATGCTCGAGCATGAGCTTCTCACAGCCGTTAGCAGTACAAACTGTGTTTGCAGTATGACAAAGGTCTTCAACATATTGTCCAACTGTACAGTCAGGCTCAAGCATCACATCATCCCCGTGCTCGTTGTAGAACTCAATGGCGAAGGTGTCTGGGCCAGAACAGGGGATTGACGTAGTAGTACAAACAAGACTATATAGCACGACAATATTTTGATGGGCATAGGGATCAAACATATTGGAGTTTCCAGAAACGTAAGCCTCCCACTGTCGTTTCTGGGTCTGGTAGTGGTAAAGAACTCTGTCATATTCAGCATCGTGAGCCGCTCGAAGAACTTCCTTGACTTTCGGAGGAGCATCGTGAGGCGATTCATGTACCATCTCGGGGGTGATGAGAATGAACTTTTGTGGCTTGGCCTTCTCTTCAAGACTTTGCTCAGAATATCCGTCTTGATCACGTAGACTCTTGAGGTAGTCCAATCGCCTTTCAAGTTCTCTGACACGCATGAGCAAATAAGGAGGCTCGTATTTGACGAAAGGAGAGGCGGACAGAAGCTTGGTTTTGTGATCTTGTATCAGGTTGTTGTAGTATGTTGGATGAGGGACATTGTCAGGGATCTCTATGGAATCCGCGGTGGTCGGTACTTTGTTTGAAACATCCCCAGAGCTTTTGTTGCCTGCGGTGGTTTGGGACGTCCCTACTTCCGTAGACGCGAGACTCTCCGCAGTAGCGAGAATATGGGGCTTGCTCGCAATATCACTTGAGGCTTGCTCATCATCGATACATGACGTTGGTAGTTTTGCGAATTCATCTCGCATGAGGCAAGTTTCAAGCCGTAAATTATAGACCACATAAATCATAAATTCTGTGATCTCTTTGACTTTAGCGAGTATCTTTTCATTTGCACCACGCAAGACGATAGTGCATCCCAGAGATTTCGGGCAACCAGAGATGTACATGTATGTTTTTTTCCGATTAGCGTAGACAAATGTTTTCACATCGAAGCTGCCACATTCACTGTGCAGTGTAGTAGTGAGTAGCTTGTCCATGGATGTCACGATCCTAGTCTGCGTGCACCTTGAGACGGCTTCAAGTACAGAGGGTTTGACATTGTATGCGGTGGCAATGCCGGCTCGACCAAGCAGTTCGAGAGCCAAACCGGAGATATTGTTTTCAACAAGGAGCAGTGTGGGTTGGAGCGCAGCAATTCGGCTGACAAGGTTTTCGAGGAATTCACGTTCCTGTCGAATGACAGGCTCGAGGCTCATGAATTGCTGCTGGTGACGTGCATATTCTAGAGGGAATGTGAGGATCAAGATGTTCGGATGGGAGATGCTTCTTTGCATGCTTTTAAGCGCCAAGTTCTTCGTGAAAACAAGCCCAGATACGTAGGAAGTGTCTCCAGGCCTGCCACCAGGGATCTTTTTGAGTTTAACGTAATGACGAATATCCATATCATCTCCACGGAGAACATCAGGATTAACTTCATCTGCTGCTTTCAACAGAATTGGCATCAAAGAAGTCTCCCAGCTGTCCTCATTTGGCACAGCAGCTTCCGTCAAAAGTTGCCTGAGCAATCTCCGCACATGTTGCAAGCTAGCCTTGTTCAATTCGACCGGTGGTGCTTCTCTGCCCCTCATCGACGAACTTCTCGTCTGCTTCGCATGGCCGCTCTGGTGATTCGCAATTGGAGCACTTTCTGGGATGTCAGGAGAAAATACCAAATCCTTTGAAACCCTGGGAGACGGACGATGTACACTGCTGGCGACACTCAGGTTCCGACGACGTGAAGAACGAGGTAAATTCACAGCCCTTGAGCTGCTGACGCTCGCTTCGTCTGGGTCTCGATAAGACGGGTTCACGCTGGGAGTGCTTCGGTCCCCAAACGCAGAACGACCCTTTTTCATTGCAGCAAAAAGACTGCCAAACAGAGCACGGTCATTTTCGCCTCCGCTCTTAGACAGGTTATTATCGGAGAAAGTAGACATGAGGCTAGGTTGTTCATCACCACTTGAAGCATCATCTGAAAGGTATTGGGCCAAGTCAGGGTCAATGATATTGTCTTTGTGGAAAGCTGGAAGCCGAGAGCCAGAGTTATACTCATCTGCATGACGACGCTGAAATGGCGCCCGGTCGTCATGCCTAGGCTTAAAGCTTCGGATGTACTGTTGATGCGAAGGATGACGCCTATGGCCGGTTGTATGAGGCCTGCCTCCCATTGATGACTTCAGGGACCGGGAAGACGTTGGCCTTGCTAGGGAGCGATCGGGTTTGATTTCAAGGACTGCCGACTTATTATGCCCCTCTCCTGGCCGGCGCGTGGCTGGAATGGCCATCTGTGGGGTCTTGAGGACATGCTCGATAGACTGAGATACAACTGAAGATGAATCATCGTCGTCCACAAAAGCCCGGGAGCCACTCCCCCAACTAAGCTCAGAAATTCGAGGGTTCACAATATTAGGGCTTTGTTCGCTATCAGAGAACTCGGAAGAGTCATCGTCGTGACCATTAATCATCACCTCACAAGGCTTGCAAACACGGATAGACCCGGGTTGACCAAAGCGGATACCGGGAATCAAGAGCGTGCATTTTGAGTCAAAAATCTGCCCACATGTACGACAATGATGTTTCCTTCGAAAAGTTGTGAAAGGCTCCCCACAGTGAAAGCAATCTTTCGCATTCTCGTCACGCATCCAAAAATCCTTGCTAAGTAGCCTGCTCCGGAGCTGGGAAAGCATTCCATCGCCGACGGCTTGTGGGCGGGTCTCCTTTTGTGTCTGCTTGGGAATTTGTGCAACAGCGGTGTTCAAAGACGGCAACGAAGCTATCGTGGTCGTACTCTCTGCTGTGGATGCTCGAGACATCCCGTATCCATGCGATCTATTATTTGGCACTGGGGGTTTTGAGCCTTCTCTTGATCTGGAATGTACCGGGTTGTTTGAGAGCTCGGTATTGCTGACCGCTTCCCCCGTCACTGAAGGTATGCTATTTGATCTGGATACAGAGGCCCGAGGGGAAGACCGAGAGAGCCCCTTCGGTATTGCCGAGATTGCTGGTTCATCATAGCCAAATGACAGGCGAGAGTTCGATCTGCTTTCATTCTGTTGGGGTGTTGACTCTTGCGTCTGGTCAGGGTGTTTAGAACTTCTGACAAGAGCAGGCTGAGAATGGTCAACGAGTCCGGGCTGTTCTGCCGAGGCATTTTTATTGCTCTGGTCATCTGAAGCATTGTTGTTTAAAGCGAAAGACCCGGTACGCTCTAATGAATTTTGCTCTTCATTGAAGCTCTCATGAGGTTTGATGGACAGGACAGGTGAGTGAGTCAAATGTTGACCCAGGACGGATGAGCTCTGACTGAACGAGGGCTCCGTAGGGCCATCCCTACTACTGAGGCTGGCAGAGTCCGCATTTTTGTGACTCTGTGACGTATTATTGAGAGAGCTGCTTCGGGATTGCCGAGTCTGTCCGACCGAATGGACTTGGGTGATGGCAGGATCCGCTGTGCTTGATGGGGCAGTAGACTTTGTCAGGGGTGTAATGTTGTTTTTTATTCCTGGAGACGGAGAGATAGAGGTCTTAGAAGACACACTAGCGCTCTTCGATGATACCTTAGAGCCTTTCGTGGGGTTGGCGTTGGCGTTGGAAACTGCTTCTGGGGCATTTGCTTGGAAGTTTGCCATAACGGGCGAATGCAGCCTTGAGCCTTGTGATGAGTTGGTATGGGACGGGGGGTATTCCGCCATACTGGACGCTAGGTCGGATGCTGATTTGCTCATGGACCGCTCAGAGCTCGGGCTCTTGATTGCAGGCGTCTCTGCAGCACTTCGGTCCGCTGATCTTGTCCCGCCACTCACGATGTCTCTCATTCCACCAACAGACTCTCTGATACGAGAATAAAGCCCGGTGAGCCTCCCGTGTTGATCTTCCAATAATGGTTTGTCTTCTGTGGCCGGAACTGGTGCAGGCAGAGGGGCAAGGTCGTTGAAAAGGGTCAGCGAATCGGACTTGTAGGCAGCGGTGTGCATTTTGTCAAGAAGGGCAGCGTTCATATTGTCTCTTTCAGGCTGGTTCGTGGCTGTCGAAGCCTTTGGCCCACGGTGCCCCAAGGGAGTAGCTCTCGGGGACACAGGTAGGCTTGGTTCATCCTGTGGCGTCTGCTCCATGAGTGCTTGTTTGTTCGGGTTGTCTCTTGGATTCGCTGATCGCCCCGCACAGGACATGAGTGCTGCTAAGAACGAGTCATATGGGGCTTTCACCGAGTCTGGGTAAGAGCATCCCACTGTGCCATCTTTTCTTCTGATAGGGCGTAAATGTCAAAGCCGAGGTATTGATGGATCGGAGAAAAAGTAAGAAGCGACAGAATGATCATCGCCCTTGCTCTCCGCAATCTACTGAATGTTAGTTAACTATCGGCCTAATGACGTGGTGTGGCTGAGTCATCCTGCGCGTCGCGTCCACGCTTATCGTGCGTTATCGCCGTAGCTCATTTTCACTCCTGGACTTCAATGTTCGTCTGAACAGACTTGCTTTGTTAGATAATGCTCACTTCGTGATCTCTTGACTAGAGCAGGAGGCCATGTCTGCCGGCAGTTTGTGCCAAGCTGCCATTACACCATGAGTTCTACGTCTGTTACACCCTGGATCATTTCTTTCTTAAAGGAATCTTTGACGACGTACCTGGATCAGATTGAGCTAGGCGGCGATACCAAGGACGATGGGGATTGTGTGAGTTTCCAGAGCAATGGTTTGGAGCCATGGAGTTACATCCTTTCGGTAAGCCTTGAAGAACAGACTTGCCATCTAATTCTGACATGTTGCTATTCAGTGGGGGGTTAGCGGTACAGGCCATTTCAAAGCTGTGTTGATGGATCCGGAGTGCCAAATAAACGCCGACATCTTCGATGACCCCCAAGTGCAGGCACCGAACAACATAATACCAAAGCACTTTCGTATCAAGCTTCTCGATTTCAAACTTGTTCTAAAAAACCCATCCTCTCACCCTGAACTTTACTTGCACGCCACTCGCTTTCGAATCGACTGGGAGCATGGCGCGCAACGTCTTGTCGCTCCGGCAGGGTTGCGGAAAAACAAAACTTCCAAAGCCTTGTTAGATAAGGTCAGCGGGAGGTTGAAGGCCGCTTCAACGGCTACGAAACCAAAGAGCCCGATCAAATTGATTACAGCATCAGCATCATTTCCTCAGAATGATCCGCTAGATGTACAAGCAGCTTCTTTTTCGCAAATTTCTACACAGCATCTACAATCTCAGGCTCTGCCAAATGATGATCAAAAGCAAGAACGCCCAGGTGGCTCGATAAATCGCCTCTCAACGAATGACTTACTCCAGCGCTTGTATCATGAACCAAAACCAATCATGACCTCCACTGATTCCAAAACAGTGGAATCATCTCAGCCGAGTCACACTTCCAGGCAAGCCAGCGGGCCCCAAGGTCTATTTGATATAGGAGCAGAGCGAACATTTTTCGATCAAACAACCCCTCAGAAGGATGATAGGAGCCGAGAGAGTTCTTTTGCATCCCAACCAGGTCAACCAGCTATATCGCCCCTAAGACCCTGTGCCGATGATTCGACTTCAAAAAGCCTTATTACATCAAGAAGCCCTACCGCCACCGATGAATTCCCACAGGAAAATAATGCTGCATCTGGTTCCCACACTACGACCGATGCGGTGACGCCTAAGCCCGCCTCGCCGAATTTGAAAAAGAGGCGACGCGCTAGTGACGATGATCCATCAGTCAAAAATTCTGATGAGGGTGACAGCACGGTATCAATGATGCAGTCTCCCTCCAAGAAACAACGCCTTGGTGAGCATGCGGAGGGTGCATTTACCCCTCCGCCTGTGCCTCGTGATGAGGCCCCAGAAATAATAACTAGGGCGGTAGAATTAGAAAGTATTAGGGTTCCAGCTCAACTGGAAGTCGACAATGAGGACCTTTCCCCAAGGCCCGACCCGTGGGAAGGACTGGTCCGAATCGAAGATGTTCAGGTATTCATTCCTAAAGACCAGCGGGCTCTATTCGAGAGCCCCAATGAAGCCTGGATTCCCCCAAAGCCAGGTCAACCTATGCCTCACGCACATGTACCGCCTTCGCTTCTGCGGACGTGGAACAATTTTGCCGTCCAAAAAAAACGCGATGCCGAGACCAGAGAGGTTGCCGCGGAGCAGCATCTCCCACAAACTCAAGAGACCTACGAATTCATGGACTCAGACCAAGAGTCACGACTTTCTTGGTCACTGTCACCCGAGCGCACAAACTCCCCATCGGGTCTGCCCCCCCAGTAGCCCTGTGAAGAATGTCTCAGCAAGATATAATCGAGAGTTAAAGTCAGGTGAAAAGCCTACGGTGGGTGAACCTTTGACTGGTATTTTCGAGGGGAATGCTGCCGCTGCTGTCAATCACGAGTCACAGCAGAATCATAGTGAAGCCATGTCACAAAATATCGCCCGGCAACCTACGCCAGAGAAGAAACAAGTAGGACGTCCCGTGATTAATAATGAAACATCGATTGAGGCTTGGCCTTCTTTACCTGTTGACACGAGTCGACGAGAAGCAGATGAACAGCAGTCTTCTCCAGGACAAGGCAGCCAATCACGACACCTAGAAGCAACTCACAAGTCATCAACACCATCGAGTCCACCGGTATCAATTATTGATCCACCGAACATCGAATCGGATAATGAATCGATGATGGAATCATCGGTTCCGCTGGCTCTTGGTGAAGTTCTACCCGATCCAACTCAGTCTAGTCAAACAGGAAAAGATTTCAGAAGCTCAGGAACTTCTCTCTCTGGCTCAAAAGAACGTGTCCAAGTGAGCGAGACACCAGCTTTGTCAAAGGGCCTTATCAAAGGAGCTGAACCTACTTCGTCCAACTCGTATCCCTCTCCTCATGCCCATAAGATCTCTTCGTCACAGTCCCGAATTCTGAATACATTACCGTCCCATGCAAGCTACGAGGGGGCTCAATCTTCGAATGAGGCACCTAACTTTACTCAAAGTGAAGGCAGCGAAGCGATTCGAGTGGACTCTTCGTGGACCCAACCACAAGCCAGCATGAATTCGACCTCTCAGTCACAAGATGCGTCCACCAACTCACAATCCGATGTTGTCCTTGACTCTTCTGGGCCAGCCCAACCGCACCAGATCTTCTCGGCCTCGCATACAGGCTCTCATGGCCATCCACCACCATCAGTAGATGAGCTAGGATCACATGATCATTCCCAGTCACAACCCATGGACACCACTCAAACGTCACCCCTGCCAAATGAGGAGGTCAAAGCTTTGGTAGGGGGAAACCCCTGCCCCTATCCGGTGCAAGAAGCCGATATCATCAAAGAGGAGCCGAGAACAGCTCTATCTATCAAAGACTTACTTGCCGAGTCCCCTCAATCACCAGGCTATTCTAGGCGGCTGTTCATCAGCCAACCTGTCTCTGACATAACCGTACCTGGGAACGTACTTCATGCTGACGGGGACAAAGTTTCCGATGTTTCGTCCGAGCCTGCGAAATCACAAGCCCCTGCCAGTGAAGTGAACGAACCCGAAACCGAACCCGATGATCATCTGCCGGTGATTGGCACTCGTCAAAAAGCCCTCTTTCCTAAGATGGAATCACCCCTGAGCCGCTCACACTGTGTTCACTCCAGAAGCACTACTGGCGTTGGTGCAGAAACTGACACAAATGAGGAAGAGATCGACGAGACAGATATGGAAGACATAGATGAGTTCGATGATACCCGTCATGAGACAGCCAGCGTCGAGCTGGGCGATGAGTCTTTTGTCTCGAATGCTGGTCAACTCGCTGCAGAGTCTGCCTCATCTGAGTCGGAAGTTGAGGATGAGTGTGAAAGCGAGGACGAGAACTGGTTTGTATCACTCCGTCACCTACGCCAGCAGCGCCCGGCTTGGTCTGATGATCCCAACACTCCGTTTAAGCGCTGGGCGGAAGCCGAGCTGAATTCTTTGCGCGACCGCACTCGACGAGGAGGCGCTAAGGTGCTACTTGATGAGAAGGGCGTGGTTCGCCGATTAACGAACAGGTGATGGACTGGTCATCTATTTTGATCATTTTCGAATGTTCCCGATGCGCTGTCATCATGTACATTACCTGATTACTATTGATATCCCAAATTCTACACATATTATGAACCATAATCACCATGTTCACCAAAGTCGTCATATTAGTCTAAACCACTAGTAGTATAAACTCACGCTGGTTCCTGCGAGATCAGACCCAAAGCTGATAGCAATCTTTTGCGCAAGCTTGCTTTTCCCAGAACTCCAGCAGCCTTCGCGCAACTGCTTCTGGCTGCTCCTCTGGTAGCAAATGTCCACAGTCTGCAATCGCATAGCCCTCGACATTAGCCGCAAACCGCTGAGCCATAGCAGCCATGCCCAGTCCAATGGAGCTTGCTCCACCCAGCCCTAAAACAGGCACTTGGAGAGCAGCTTTGTTAAGTTCTTTGTTCTGCTCTGCGCTCTTCGCGTAGGACCGATAGTACTCGAAGCCTTGGCTCATTACCCCGGGTTTTGAATATGCCTCGACATACGTCGCCATTTTTTCTGGCGACAAACCATCTGGGCTCGCCGTCTTCCTATTGAAGAACCAATTCAGCAGCTCTCGTTCTCGACCACGCGTCAGGAGTTCAGGAAGATCCGGAAGGGCGTTGAAAGAGAATTGCCACAGGCGAATGTTCGCCTCGTGGGACAGAGGATACTGGAGTGGTGCCATGAACCCAGGTATTCCCCCATCCATGATACAAAGTGACTTGATTCTCTTGGGGTACTGGACAGCCCAGGGATAGGATATCCAGGCACCCACATCGTGGCCAACAAGATGATATGACTGCTTCTCGTCTTGTAGGGCGTCGTGGATTGAATCGGCCATTATCTTGCTAACGGCTTTAGTGTCATATCCCAATTCAGACGGAGACGACTCTCCCAGTCCTGGAGGATCCAGCGCGTAAAATCGATATTGCTTTGAAAGGGGCTCGAACATGTCGCTGAACGCTTCGGCTGTCTGTGGCCAGCCTGCTAGGAGGACGACAGGCGGCCCTTGACCACCGACTATGGCGCGGATGCCATGAAGTAGGCGCTTGGTCTGCCAAGTAACTCCCATCACTTCTCTCCGAGCATGAGAACTGAGGGGAACTCGTCGTGCAGCTTCAGGTGGGTACAGTTGATTAAGGATAGAGTATACTTTTCTGATACGAAAAAGATAATAGTTACAAGCTGGTGGTAGAAAGATGCTGCAATTTATACTCGCTATGCGCCGTAGAATGACTCACCAGGCGTATTCATTTTTCTAACGGCTGTTTCGATTCCCATAATTGCCAATTTCGCGCGCGGGCCTACTAGTCGCACCTCTTCAGGCATGAAATGAAGCCTTGAATCCCCACTTGGCCCCCACTTGCGGATGATTCAGCCCCGCTCAGCTCCAGATTGCCCCAAGGAGCCTTCCGAGACTTTCCCTTTTGAGAATTCTATGCTGATGGCGACTAACTTCCTTGCGAGCACTCACTTCTACAACTTCCCACTACTATGTTCGTGACATTCAAGTCCTCTAAGGAAGGTCGTAGTCGTGATGCCAGGAGTGAAGCGATGCCTGGAACAGGCACGAAACGGAAGCGGACGACTGTTCTAAGAGCCTGCAATTGGTGCCGCCAAAATCGCGTTAGATGTGATAACGGCCGGCCGTGTGAGAACTGCCGATTGCGAAAGCAGCATTGCCCGAGAGAACCAACGGGGGATCCTAAGGAAATCGAATATTTGCGGTCGCGGATCGCGGAACTAGAAGAGCGGCTTCGAGCAACACCTGAGAGTCTGGGAGGATCTCATTCCGTCCTATCGGACCAATTCACTCCCGGCTGGAGTTGGCCAGATGCATGGCTCAGTGATCCACGAAGCCCGGGAAATCCGCCTCTCTACTTCGGGCCCACGTCTTTTGTATATTTCGCAAGTCGCGTGTGTCGCAACCTAGAGAGTGTGTTCCATAAAGCTGCCTTGGGGGCGAGCTTGAAAACATTCACATTCAATGAAACATCGGGCGTCTTGTCGGACGATAATGGTGAACTACTAAGCAACCCTTTGACCAGAAGACAAGAAGAGTTTCTTCTTGGTTTATTTTGGCAGTCCTACCATTTTGTCTTCCCTGTGGTCGACGAAGCGGACTTTTGCAATCACTATGATTCGCTTTGGAGGGGTGAAGACTATCACAGCTCTGAGTCTCTCGCCCCCGAGACGACCCGAGACTCATCGGCGTTGGCGGATATTGCTTTGGCTCTTTGCATACAGCATACAGCATCTATGATGTCCGACAACGATCCAACGCAGGATGTCTACTCCAACAGAGACGGAGACTGGTTATATCATCGTTGCCAGCGGGCACTTGAGGATCCTAAGACCCGTCCATCGTTATACACCCTCCAGACTATCATCTACTCAATTGTCTATCTGATAAACTCCTCGTGTCTTGATATTGCTCGTCGCTCATTAGCAAATGCGGTACAAACCGCTTACAGTCTAGGGCTCCACCACAACTATCCAAGCGGTTCTGACTTGCAACTGAAGAATACCCAAAAGCAGGTTTGGTGGGCAATTTACTCCCTAGACTGTTTACTCTCGTTCAAGATGGGCCAGCCATGCATCATAAACATGGCCGACGCCACTATCGAACCGCCTGATCTCCCAGGCCCAGTGCCTTCGGAAGCGACTATAAACGGACCTGGGGAATTTAGTAGATTATGGTATTTCTCTCAGTATCTCAAGCTACTGTCAAACATCCGCTCCGTATCCTCCGACATCTTACAAAACTGCGCAAACCTTATGAGCCAAAGCGGAATCAGCTCCTCCGTCCACCAAGAGCCCGCCATTCGCCAACGCTGCTCTGCGTACCTCAAAGAATCGATCAAGCCACTCCACAGATGGGCCCGGGAGGTCCCATCATTTCTCCGACTCAAACGCCAGGGCGATGGCGAGTCCTTCTCCACAACGAACGTCCCCCTAGACTTCGACCACTACATCCCAATATGGGTCCAGCGACAGCGTGCTCTTCTCGAACTAGCCTACCACAACGCGATGCACTCGATATTCCGACTATTCATGAAGATACCCCACGACATCCCCTCGATCTCCCCCCGGAATTGGAGCTACATTCCCCACCACAGCCGACCGAAATGATGTCCATGCCCTCGACCACGCCGTGGCCAGCATTCGCATAATTGACCAGATCCTCTCCGAGGCCAACGTGTTGAACTCCTGGCACGATGCGTATCATTATGCCTGGGACGCAGCCCTGACAGTCTTCGCTTACACCCTCGTGCACCCCCTGTGCCCCTATACGTTCGCGGCGCGGTGCGCAATCGACACAGCGAAGAGTATCTTCGACAGATTCTTCCAGCATGGCTTCCCCACTGCGGCGGCGGCTTCGAGGATCACGGCTGAGGTGAAAGAAGTGGTATACTCGCATGCTCGATCCTTCAAAGCCGGGCCCAGGCCTTCCGGTCCACTATCTATTGCCACTAGGCTCGAAAGCCCGGAATTCAACATGGACTTTTTCAAAACAGGTTTAGACGAGAGGGTTTTCGCACCAGTCCTGGAATTTGAAACGGGGAGACCCGTAGAAGTGGATCTGTTTGCAGGATCTAGCGCGTTACAGATAGAAGGGCTCGGTCTGGATCCCGGTATGGCTCCATTAGACGATTTAGATTTTGTCTGAGCTCTACGTTCTAGGAAATCAAAACTTGGATGCTATTAGCGTGTGGTATTCAATTTTTGAGTAACAGGTCATTCCTCGATAAAACGAGTATCCCAGCCATATACAGGTTAGCATGCAGCTGCAAGCATTAGGTCATCAGGAACGAGGAGGAAATGGTCGTAAACAGATAAAAAGAAAAGGGCCAAAACATGCCAAGCCCACGTGAGGAATGTCATAACGCCATGGTATCACCATCTAACCCGTTTCAGATTGTGTACAGGTATCACATAAAAGGTTCTTTGGAATAAAAGATATCACTCATGAGTGGCGGAAGGGCTCGTAAGCCTCTCCTTGGTGGTGGGCTGGCGCCATAGGGTATGACTCGCCTGGAGGAGGGGGAGGGTAGGAGGTGTGGTAGCCATAGGGCTGGTTACCGTATGGCTGCTGCCCGCCAATGGGTTCGTAGGTGTAAGGGGCTTTCTCGGCGATCAGGCCGCGATCCTTGTTCTTGTGGTTGTAGGGCGAGCGGCCGGAGCAGCAGCACACACTGAAGGTCCAGAAGACGAGGGCACCAAGAGAGAACGCGACAGCGAACCAGGTGGCGATGTAGGCATTCTTGCCGAGAGACAGGGAAATACCGTACGCGTCAAGTGTCTTGCCAAGGCTTCCGCGGAAAACGCTGAAGATCACGGTAGCGGTGATGGAGGCGGCAGCGGTGAAGAGGAAACCAACGAAGGCGACGATGGTGGTAACGCAGCTGCCCCAGCGACTGCAGATGGCGAAGAACCCGACCACGATTTCGACAATGGTGACAATGAAGGCGATCAGGTAGGCGATGTACATCCACTTGGAGACGTTCTTGTAGATGTTGATGATCTTGTCGTAGTCGTCGGGCAGTTCGTCCTTGATGGTGGTGCTGTTCAGGCCCCAGATGGTGAGGGGGTTGAAGTAGAACTCAGCCTTCGGCTTGGAGCACGAAGTGACGGTGTACTTGTTGTCCGTGATGTCGCCCTCGCAGTAGCCCAAGAGCCCGATGTCATAGAAATCCTTCAGGGTGCTGTCGTCCTGGAGTTTCTTAATCAAGTCGGAGACTTGACTCGCACTGACGCTGGTGATACCGTGCTCATTGAGGATATTCTCGACCTCCGAGGCTGTCTTGGTATTGGAATTGCTAATATTTTGGAGGTCAACCTGGAGGATGGAAGACAGGTTAGCGAATCGTATACGAAAGGGGTTCCACGGTCGCGTCTTACTCGGAGGAAGTATAAGTCATTCAGAGTGCTCGAGGAGGCCTTAGTGCATCCGAGGCCGACGAAAATGATGGAGATCAAGGCGGCGATTGTCAGCACGCCAGGCGTGAAGATGCACGCAATACGACTGGCTTTCCCCATGGTAGGTGTAGGGTGAGGTTTGACTGCAACTTGATGTGAAGGTGAAGGGATGGATGAAAGAAGCGAAAAATTATGGGGGCGAATGTCAAGATTTTAACCGGCGATGATCAGCCCTTGTACGAGCGTGCCTCGTAATATGGCAGGGGGAGCAGCAACGACGACAACACCAGCCTCGCAACGAGAGGCGCAGTGTGAGAGACCGCCCAATCAACGCGCTGTTTCAACTCAGTAAAAGTGGGTCTCTGGCCCACGCCACGTTGGGTTTCTATTCGTGTCGTCTGCGCTAAACCATTTCTGGAAAGTGAGGTTCCCGACCCTGAGAAGGACCAAATTGGCAGGCAACACTTTTTCTAATTCATCTCTTAGCACCAAGCTGACGACCTCAATGTGTACAATTTACTTCTTTGAGGGCCCTGTGCAACGTGCTGGCTCTCCGGCCCACATGGTAGGATGGCGCGCCCTCAACATGAAGTCATAACGAGATTGAAAATGAAGGGATGACAAACGAAGTCTACCCCCGCCGAATCCACCCACGTAACCCACATACCATAATTTTCCCGTACCCAACCACGCTTAAGCCTGCGATCGCCTTGGGCTTCACCCGATGCAGGATAGTCCCTTGGCTAGCTTCGTCATCTCCCAGCCCTGTGGAGAACGGTATCTGATCGATTGAAAACCTTTCTTGCCCTGGTCGGCAGACCTAGGGGGAAAGGGACTTACTAGGACAGCCCTATAAAGCACCGGAGCACGCGCCACCCTTGAGCAAAATCGGATTAGGCATCTTTGTTCTCTCTACTTGGCGTCCTCGCATGCCTCATGTGCGCGGAAGAGGCTGTACGTTCTCCACTTTGCAGTTTATTTGTTTCTATATTTATGATTTAGGATAAGGTTCTGTCTAGACACACGCTGACAAACACTACTCCGTAAAGCCATCAAGTTTAGTTATAGTCTAAAAAACAAGCACGGTATAAATAATTTCTGGGGGAAAGGGAACGGTTGCCCCAAGGGAACGGTTGCCCCAACCGTGACTTACAAGATAGTCCCACTGGCAGTGTTCGAGGGTGCGATTGAAAACGTGAAGATGAAGTCAGGTTAGCGTGGTTCTTCGCCTCTGCGTGCCTCAAATCAATTTCTCTCGATGAACTGCTGTGGTCGCATAACTACCGTCAACTAGTCAACTACTTTTTTAGTTATTACGTTGTGCTTTCGTCAGCCTGTAGTCTTGATTGGCCACCAAGCGCAAGGGGGCGACAGGGAGAAAACCGTTTTCTCCCTCCGCTATCCGTTGCAGAGCCTTCAAACAACGGTATGCCCTGCAAATAGCAACTTCTATCGAAATGAAATTTGGAGCTCCTGGCAATCAAGTCGTCCCCCCCCCCCCTTCTCGCTGTTTCTAAATGTACCATTAGGTTATAGGCAGCCGAAGGCCGTTCCTCCGTGGCTGTTTAACTACGCCCTTGCGCATGGCTGGACAGTAGGATCGCCAGACTATAGAGCCTTACCGGAAAGCACCGGCCTCGCGACAGCTGATGATCTGGTCTCATCCTACGAACGGGTTGCAAACTCTCTAAACAGCCTTTATCCGGATTGTAATGGAGACATGAGCCAGATTATCCCCGGTGGCGCCAGTGCCGAGGGTTGGTGCGCCTTGGTCACAGCGCTGCACTTTTCATACACGTTACCGTAGCAAACAAGCTCGATCCCACGCCCAAAGGCTATTCTTCTATTTTACCCCATGATAAACCTCGGTGGTAAATGGGTGAAGGATGTCTTTCTTCCCGGGGCTACATCGGACCCGGTGATAGCGCAATAGTTGCTCCAGGAGGAGATCTCGCGAAGGATTGCTTGGGGTGATATCACGGGAAGATTTCCCACCTCTGAGGAGGAGTTTCGGATGATGGAACGCTCCCTTTGCTATACGCTATACTCGAAAGTGGTGTCTTTGTGGATTTTTTGACGGTATTCGGGTTTAACAAGAGAGTTTTAAGGGTCGGGTTAGAGACGGCAGTGGACGATGAGCATGAGAAGATGCTCCGTCCGCTCCAACTGGGGATCATTCAAATCCGCATTTCCATCAAAGGTTATTGTGCATGGGACCGCTGATAATGAAGTTTCTTTCGAGGAAAGGGAGAAACTAACTGCCAAGTTGCAAGCAAGCAATGCGCTAGTTTATTATTATCCAGTGACTGGCGCCAATCGTATTTTTCGACTTAGAGTTACAGGAATATACACAAGAGGGCGAGGAGCCTGAGCCAAGCTTTTTTTTTTTTGCACAGGCTCTTCAGTGTCTGCAGGAATATGTTGCCAGTTAATATTGCTCAGAGGAGATTCATATGTTCAAGTTCCGAGATTGCCACTAATAGCACGTCCCTGGACGAGACCCTGCCTTGCCGCACATCAAATTGCATCGTGTACCCTAGTATATAGCAGTACTAGACCAGCAACTTGGAAAGCGGGCTGGAGAATATCCCTATGTCGATTCTCCCTGCGACCTTTTCTTTCTCGATCCATGATATGGAGCGGTCTTGAGAATGGAAATGCTGCTGTAATACCACGTGAAATTCTGCCTCCTTGGATGAACTCAGTAGTTCGCACGGCGATACATCACGATCCAAGAGAAGCCCGCAAATAATCCAAATCAGCAACGTTGTCCTTCATAGTAATACTGAAATAAGAGATGTCTGAATGAGGCTTCCGCTATTTTTAGCGATGCTTGAAAGGGCAACGGAGGCTAAATCAGCCCCCAACACGTGGCGGCAAATTGCGCCCCGGAGAGATGGCGCCAAGCATGAACCGCTGTACACGGAACGGAAGGCGGAGTTTTCTATTCTGGACCTTTGCAGAGTGCACTGCAATTCCTAGGCATTGCTCTAACGCCCCCAATATTCAATAAAACCCTGTGGGGAAAACATCGACCTCTTACAATGCTTTTACTATGGGCCTTCTGATTGATCGACAGGGGCTCTAGTTCGATGCCGCTGCGGCTTCTGAACAAGATGGGCTCCTCCTGGACGCTTTTTGCAAGCAATATCAATGGATTTACAGCCAAGCTTGAATATGATATCGATTGTCATCTTCGGATGTTAACATATAACCAGTGGATTCGGCAGCCTTGGGGCAATCATGCAGTGAGTGGAGCATGAGGCCTCCAACAAGCAAGACGCAGCGTATGATGTTAGGGAGAAACACTTTCCTCCTAGCACACTGTGCTTCGGACCATAGATCACGGCGTGCTTGGCTGGATCGCCAGGACTAAAACCCGGCACCCCCGGAAGGATTTCGCCCCGCCATCCGTTTCATGACCCTTGGGGCATAAGCAAGATCCATTATGTTACCTGATCGGCAGCATAATTCCTATTTACCGTATGGCGCACAAGAATCAATGCAACACTGCCCCTGTGAATCAAGGACACAGAGAGATAGCAAATGAACCACATACTGATTAAGCTTCTTTAGTGCGGCCGATGAGATTCTTTGTCGGACATACAAGTACCTTGAACATGGCCCCAATGTTTCGAGGCCGGTCCTATCCTGCAAGCACTTTCCTTGATCTCTCACTGATCGATATCGTTATACCATAATGAAGTTCGATTCGATCAAGTGTGCCATCGTGGTGGCCGCCCTGGAGGGCGCCGTCTCTGCCGCCCCCTCACCCAAAGGTCGTTTCTCTGTCAAGACCTTCAAAGGCCCCAAGCTCGGGCTGGTCTCCCGAGTCACAGGCTCTGGTCCTTCAGCGGCAAGCACCAACTTCATGAACATGACATTTGGAGACCAGACCTTTCCCATGGAGATCGATACCGGCTCGTCCGCTCTTTGGCTCTTCAACACCGGCACCCCTTCCAACGAACAAGGCGGCCACCCTCTCTACAACCCTAATGCCTCTTCTACCTTCCAACTGCAAGATGGGTACTCCTTCGACATCGAGTATGCCGACGGCACCGGCATGACCGGTCCCGTGGGCACCGAGGACGTCACCATGGCTGGTATCACCATTCAGGGCCAGTATATCGGTATTCCCAACGATGTTCGCACCAACTCCAACCCCATCCAGGGTGGTTGTCTGGGCATGGCGCCAAACCCATTTACTATGACGCCCACATCCCAGAACACCTGGCACCAGAACGCTGAGCCCTTGCTCGATCAGCCGGTGTGGACTGTGGACTTCTACAGCACCCAGGATGGTTCTATGGACTTCGGTTACATTGACGACTCCAAATACCAGGGTGATATCGCTTATGCCCCTTGTGATTTCTCTAATGGAGCTTGGTCTTTCAACATCACTGGCTGGAACGTGCCGAACGACTCAGTCCAGACTGGTAGCGGCAGTGTCCAGAGCATTGCGGATACCGGTACCCCCAGCTCCAGCTTACCTCAGGGCGTTCTTGACTACTACTACGGCAAGGTTGACGGGTCTTCACGGTATGACCTTTCTTGATTGGGATTCATTGATTGAAAGGGCGTTATGCTGACCGTCGTATTCTTGATAGTGACTCCTCTGACGATACCGCTTACGTTGTCCCTTGCGATGCCGACCTGCCTGATCTCATCCTCACGATTGAAGGTGGCACTGTGACCATTCCCGGTTCCCAAATGAATGCCGGTACTGTCGATGGAGGCTGCCGCGGCGCTTTCTACATCACTACCGGCGGAGGTAACCTTGGATCGGCCATGTTCAACTCCAACTTTGTTGTTTACAGTCAGACCAATGCCCAGATCGGGTTTGCTCTCAAGGCTTAAGTAGGTTGGGAAGACATGGGGCAGTCAAATCGAGTCCTTAATTGTATATATGCTATATGATGCGAGGGCCATTCATGTTGAGTTGTATGTTCATTCAACCAATTTTGTAGACTGAAGATTCACACAAACAGCCGGCTGGCCAATCGGGAATTTCAAGACAAATGTGCAGCTCTCACTCTGGGCAATCCAAAATCTCATTTACTCATAAAACTGCAGGGCACCCAAGTAGACAGGTCCAGCCTGGTGGATATTCTTCTTAAAGCAGTGATCCTTTGTACCAGGTTCGACCAAATATGCAGTCTGTTGGGTCTTTATAGTGATAGATCAAGTTTGGTAGACCATCTAAATCCTCTCATGCCACATGTCCAATTTTGGCCCTCTATCTCCATTATGATGTACTTAAGAAAGCAAAGTTTCGAAAACCTTGGCTGCCGCAAGGACCTTCTCTTCCTGAAGTCTTTGGGAGATAATCTGCAGCCCGACTGGATGGCCATGCATCTTCTCAGGGTCATACAAGTTCCAGTTCCATTCATCTGTTGGATTCCGGGGCTTGTATAAGGGATCCGGGATATCGATGTCTTTTGACACTGTGGTGACAGGGAATGCGAGGGCAGGATAGTCCAAGAAGTTCCATACTTTGGTATAGCCGACCCAGCTGGTTATATATGTTAGTTTTGGCAGTTTTGGCAGTAGTGAACCGGTTGTTTTCAGTCCACCTACCGGACAGAATTATGCGGAACCGCAGGGTGAGGCGCCACTGGAGCGAGCAGTATATCTACCTTGCGCCCCGAGGTCGATCCTCGAGTCTTATTCCAGTGATCAAGGTACATCTTCTGCAAACTTACCTTCTGGCGGTTCAGCTGCCAGTATTGGTAGACGGATATGGGCTCTCCTCGGTCGACAAGTGCCTTTACTTGAGGTACGAATGGCTCGTTGCAAACAGCAATGTCACGGCGAATATCCTCGCCTCCATCAGCTGTATAGTATTTATCCTGGAAGAATGTCAGATCTTATGTCGTGGTGGTATCTATAGAAGCAAATTGACCTGGACTTTAATAATGTCTGCATGGCCGATTGGATCCCAAGTGACAATCTCGTGACCAGCAGACTTAAGTTTCCCTACGAGGTCATCAAGTGCCCGTTGAAAGGGAGGGTGGATTTTCACCACACCATCGTCTGAAATGACACCAATAGTCAGTGGGCGGGTCAAAAAATCGTCATATATATGCGACCTCCACGGCAAGTCAATGCATCGTGGATCCAGGTCCGAAGGTTGAGAATTAATCACAGCCTTGGTGACTTCAGTAAGCGAGTGCAAGGATCGTGCCATAGGCCCGATGACAGATGGAACGTGCTCCTGCCCTTCAGTAGACACAGAAACATTATAGTATGGGAGCCGACCACTCTGGACACTGTTAGTGACGATTTAAGAGTGCCCACCGCGGAACTTACACTCGGCTTGAGTCCATACAAGCCCATAATACTGCTGGGTTGGCGGATCGATGCGCCGATATCCGTTCCGAATCCGACCATAGAGCCTTTGCATGCGAGCAAGGCGGATTCACCTCCAGAAGAACCGCCTGGGGTGAAGGACGGGTCATTTGGATTGACAGTAAGACCCCAGAGGGGGTTAATTGTTTCCGCTATCTGTATTCAATTTAGCCCATCCTGAAGACGGAATCATTTTTTTTTTTTTAAGAAGATGACCGGGAAGATGCCACACACCATAATACTTTGGGGAACATTTGTTTTGGCGATAACAATGGCACCCAGCCTAGTTAAGAGAGTGACTAGGGCCGCATCCTCGGTGGAAGGAGAGTAAGCCCTGCCCACATAGCCGAGAGTCGAGTCGAATCCTTTGATATCAAACTGATCTTTGAGCGAAACTGGAATTCCATGTAATGGGCCTATGAGTTTGCCTTCTCGACGGAAATATTCATCTAGAACTCTGGACCGCTGGATAGCTTGCTCAAACAGGATTTCCGTCAGGCAATTTGTCTATGCACGGTAAGAACTTTTTGCTGGTAATAAGTTGATATAGTCCTTCATACCTTTTGATGAGACTGAATCGCCCTGTAAATTCTATGTAAGAAATCTGCGTTCGCAATAAGGCTTGGTAGAATTACCGATTGATGTAAGCCAAGGTCACACTTTCGGCGGTCAGATTGCCCGAGGCGAGCGCCTCAAACAATTCCTTGTGTTCCAGAGAACAAATTTCAATATCAATGCCATCACTGAATGACTTTGCTCCCCGCTGTCTCTGCAAGAAGGCCTCGATTGCTTGGGTCTGATCTCGGCGTTTCCGGGCGACAATATCTTCCCAGTCCCCTTTGGAGGGGCTCTTATCGGTCGAACCCATACGGTCGAGACCCAGGGATGCCTTGAAGGACAATGACTCACGTTCCAAGCGAGTTATAGAGATGGCAATGAAGTCAAATTGTTGTGACAGTTACTGTGCGGGGAAGCGTCGTCTCGGCCTTTTCTCCGCCGGGGGGATCTCCCCGCAAGCTTGGGGTCGACCATCGGCCGAAACTCGCCGAGGGCAAGATAACCAGATGAAGAGTAGTGGAAATTGACGTTTGAAAAATAACTGAACTTCGATAATTACAACTCATTTCCGGTCGCCCCTGTGGTAGATGAAAGAAATTTGATCTGCATTGTCGCGCCTATTGAACGGGGGTCCTGAAGATACCATACTTACTAGTGGCATGAAAGGTCTTCACAAGTGGCCGGGGACGTTGTCGCCAATGCTAATGCAAATAATGCAGATCTCAGAAAACTAAGCCTGAATGTAGTCCGTGGAGTTATCTATAATTGAAGAGATCAAACGTACTGGTAGACCGAACTCTTTCCCGAAGATGGTATCATTGGCCTAGAAGCAATGACCTTGCTCCAGTCCCGTATGGAATTGTTACACCAGCAGGTCATCTCTTCCAATCCAGTTTGGAATTGGGCTCAACAACAATCTCACAATTCTTCTGCGATTCGTGGAACCGATCCATTCTTATCCATACGGGAGTCTTTCGTTATAACCGATGACCTAGCAATCACACTCAGTTCCCCTGTTGATTCATGCTTGATCAAGGCTCAATGTGCTTATGAGCCCGGAACCTGAAAGAAGGGGGAGTATTCTTGGTTGACAAGTATATATTACTTTGGGTCTGAACTGGCTTCATATCAACATATTTCGCAATGCAGCCAATTAGCATTTTCCCATTACGTGTATCAGTTCGCTCGTGTTGATTTCATATCCTGTCAGCTATGAAGTAGGATCAATACTGACATAGGGCAGCGTTGCCATTCTCATAGAAGCTAAGCTACCTATTAGTAGGCAAATTAGGCTTAGATATGGAGTATTTGACAGTGACCCCTGGGGCTTAGTTATCTAAGAAGGCCCCGAGACTTGACATAAGCTACGTGCCTGGCACCTGGCACCTGGGCACCTACCGAGGTACCTAGACACCAAACGGTACCTCGGCAGAATGCTAGACTTATTCGTTCATGACCAGTAGGATCACACCCATGAATTCTCCAGTCTTTGAGAACCGGGGGTCATCCAATTGGGGGGTGTAAACTCGACTCCGATCAAGTTTTTGAGCGTGTATTTGGAAAGTAAACCAGGGGGAATAACGGGAGCGGGGCCAGAAGCAGAGGAGGAAATGCAGGGTTGCCAGGGGAAAAAAAGAGTTTGTCGGGTCGAGATAACAATTAGGCAGAAACGTACGAAAGAGCTGGCATTTCAGGGCCAAGAATCTGCTTATTTTGAAGCTTGGAAGTGGTTTGGTTTAATAGCGCCACCAAACCTAAAACTATCGGCTAAAGACTACTGTGTACATGGGAATTCGAGTTGCAACCCTTTAAGGCCGCCTTTCAAGCTGCAGCTGGGTACGCAGGAAAGTGGAAATCTCCGATGCAGGCCGGCGCTCGTTTCCTGTACTCGTGTAGTCTAGCGTCCCAAGCGCAAGTTTGGAACCGGATCTGCTTCTCCCCCCCACCGATCTGCCTAATAAGCAGTGTCCTGGCATTCCTCCCCCAGATCGGGGATCGATGACTCGCTCAGGCACCTCACACGCGCACATCCAAGGGAAGCGTAGAAAAAAAAAAATTTCACACTCGGACATCTGGTATACTCAATGCAACGCTGGTAATCCATGACATGATTGAGTTAAGCGCAGGAACGAGGCACGGGGGAGAAAGCCGATGACATCAAGCCGGACTGATGACGTCGGCGATCGAGCAGAAAGCAACATTTTGCAGGATCTGCGGCACCTGTCGCCCGCCGTAGTTCGCGCACTATTGGATCGTCATTGGATCTTCCCCCTTTCGGGACCCAATTGAGTTGGCTGGGTTGCGCTGGAGAAGCTAGTGTGCTTCCCAGGCGCAGCAGCTCGATCCGCTGCTGCCCGGGCCATAAACCCTGCGATCCCTAGGAGCTGTTGCGTGCCTTTTTCTCACCTTTTTGCTCTCCCTGCTCTCTCCAGCCCCATCAAGCCACAGTCATCACCGAAACGGGTAAAGTTCCCGGAATTGACGACGTCATATTAGGACAGTAAGCCATGACCTCGATCTTTCTCCTTTTATCTTCTCCTGACCTTCTGTCACAGTATTCATTCCTGATCAAAAGCAAAAAAAAATTCTTCTCTCAGGGGATCGTAGCTCAATAAGTGAACTGCAGTTCCCGTTGCTATCCAAAAGGTGAGAATCGGCAGAACCCTCCGCTCCCCCTCATCGGACTAGATCCCTCCCTCACCCAGCCGGTTCTTCTTGGGGCAAAAAAAGTGCTAATACTCGGTCGTTTGAAGCGATTTCTTAGATTCTATCCCTATCTTATTCCTGCACTTCGACTGCCACCTCCACCTCCACCATGCACCGCACTTACTCCATGCGCGCGACTCGCGCCCCGACCGCCTCGCAGGTTGAGAATCCTCCACCCCCATTGTCCACCACCAAGTCCAACCGATGGCTAGGGAAGGGCGGCCTCGGTAAGTTGATTCCAAATAGAAGAATGCGTGGCGTGGTGGTCGTTCCCCCCGTTGAGCGGTTCCCAAAGTGGGGTTCCCGAAACGTGCGGCTCTCGGTCGCATAGTCCCCGTTGTGGTGGAAAACCGCCGTCGACATGGAACAAAGGAGCTTCACGCAATGATATCGATTGAACAGTCAACTGATGTATATCATGGATAGGTCATGCCTTCCGTAAGAACGCCGCGGGTGCCTTCGGCCCTGATCTTTCTCGCAAGCTGTCGCAGCTGGTCAAGATGGAGAAGAACGTTATGCGCAGTATGGAGCTTGTAGCCCGCGAGCGCATGGAAGTCGCTGTATGTTGGCCCTCCCTCCTGCGTCCCTGCTGTCGTTGCAAAGCTAATTTCGCTTCACATATAGCAACAACTCTCAATCTGGGGTGAAGCCGGCGACGAGGATGTGTCGGATGTGACGGATAAGCTCGGTGTTCTGATCTACGAGATCGGTGAGCTGGAGGATATGTTCGTCGACCGCTACGACCAGTACCGTGTCACCATCAAGAGCATCCGAAACATTGAGGCCTCTGTACAGCCTAGCCGAGACCGTATGTAGCTTCACACCGAAACCCACCAGGGTTCTGCCGATCGAGAAAGTTCCCGCTGACATTTGAACCCGCAGGCAAGCAAAAGATCACTGATGAGATTGCCAAGCTGAAGTACAAGGACCCCAACTCTCCTCGAATTGTCGTTTTGGAGCAGGAGCTGGTCCGCGCCGAGGCCGAGTCCCTTGTCGCTGAGGCCCAGCTGTCCAACATCACGCGTGAGAAGGTCAAGGCCGCCTTCCAGTACCAATTCGACGCTCTGCGCGAGCACTGCGAAAAGGTCGCCATCATCGCCGGATACGGCAAGCACCTTTTGGACCTGATTGACGACACCCCAGTGACTCCCGGCGAGACCCGCCAGGCATACGACGGTTACGATGCCAGCAAGGCCATCATCCAAGACTGCGAAGATGCTCTCAGCAACTGGGTGACCTCCAAGTCCGTTGTGAAATCTAGTCTCTCTCAGCGCTCCCGTGCTCTTTCCCAACGTCGCCAGGAGAGCATCAAATCTGGCGGCATCGACCTCTCCCAGCAGGACCAGCCTCTGGCTGGTGACCGCGACTCCTGGTTGCCCGCCGATCAGCACCCCAGCTATGAAGATGGCGAAGATGTACTCAGCACCGTCGACGGCGAGACCCGCGGCCGTGAGGAGGAGCGTGAGCCCATTGCTGCTTAAATCTGAACATGCATCCGATACACTGCGTGTCCCCTCCCTCACGAATGAATACGACAGCTCCATTTTCCCGGGCCGTACCGGCCCTTCGCTCTCGTTCTCGTGCATGGGCAAGTCTCTGGACCGGAGTATCAGGACGATTGTCAAGACACGGGCTTTGGCTCACCGAGTAATCCTCACCAAAGCTCTGGCTTCATCCAATCACGGTTTCTTCAGACCCATGCGTTATTGTTCCTGTTTTTTCCCTCCCCTCTTGTCATCGATTTTCCGATTTTGGTCACGCTCCGACGCCCCGTACCTATGTCGTGATATGCACTCCGCGCTCGTGTTCGTCCTGCCTTGATTCGCTCCTGGTCTGTCTGTGAGGTCCATCAAAGACCCTACATCCTTCAGATCTACGGATTCGAAGGGGGGATTGTGACGAGTATTCGGCTGAGAGGATCACACATTTGCTTCCCTTCTTGTGCTTTTTTGACTCTTTCCTCTTAATGTAATACCATATTGTGCCGGGCCTTTTAAGTGTTTCGTTGGTGGCTTCGACCCGGAGGACTCGTTTTCCAAAGGGCCGAAGCTTAGTAATTCACTAGGTGTTAATGAAATCGTGCTGCTACTTTGGACATTACTTTGAGGACATAAAGCCGGTATATGCTATCTAATCGATGTAGAACTTGAACTCCGTAGAGCTATACGGCTGCAACTTGAAGAACTTCATTTGGATGTACCCTTTGGAAGCAATCACCCGTCGTGTATAGACCTGCACAAGGGGTCTTGTTGCGGCTTAACCTCGTGTACAGGCTCAGTGACCGGCATTGACGTTCAGGATTTTCGTTGGTCATTGCCAACCCTTACGGTACCACTCTCACAGTATCATAAGCCAGCAAAGTCTGTATCAAGACTGCAGACCGAATAGAGGACCTGTACCGGCAGCGTTCCGAATGACGCGCCTTCTATCAGCAAAAATGCATACGGACTCAAGCCAAGCCCATGAATACTAACTACTCGCCTCTTACTCCCAACCACGCAGCACACTACCTCAATTATCTCTAATAGCAACCAAAGTGCCCTCATTCTCACGGCCTGTATTCGCCACTGCCGATTAGGACAGAATGGATCGAAGAGCGGTCTTCCCTTCAGCTCCCACGTCGGCCGAAACAACACAGCCTTCCACGTTTCTGAACCGCGAGAGCTAGGCGACGAGATCAAGCAGCCGCGTGACAGGGTTCTCAGGCTCGTTTAGCCGGCAGCCAGCTAGTAATGGCTGAGAGTAACAGTAGCATTGGGTTATCCGTCGCCAGCAAAGGATGTATGCCAGCGCGACGAGCATGTGAGGAATGCCCACGGCGAGCTATGATCTGCATGATGCGATTGTGTCGAGAGGTGCAATGCCGAAGCTAGGGGGGTTCCGGAGTTCGTTGATCGAGCATGAATGTCCAGCGCCAAGTATGATCCGGCAGTCTGGCAGGCCGGTCCCTGAAGAGCAGAGGTGCGTGGTATGGGAGGCGAGTGGGCGTTCTTGTACGGCGCATCTGCAGGCATCGATAATGGTGGGAAAAGGGTGTTTTTCTCATGAGAGGGAAAGGGCCAAGGGACGATGGGTGCTGGGCGATAGCGAATGGACGGTGAAGCCTGTATGTAGAGGATCAGAAACTCCTCATAATGGTCATCTGGTGACAGCTGAGGTCAAGTTATTTCGCTAAACAGACTTCTAGGCCAAAATAAAGGAAGCTCGGGGGGCTCGTGGTGTCTCTCCACTAGGATAGCCCAATTTGTAGCATAGAGCACGCCATGTCACTGAAGACTACATCTTCCTCGACCAACACGGGTGGCCGGCGCAAGAGGCTCCGGATGACGACTGTGGCATGGGCTTGGGAATCGAGCGTATGTATAATACTACTAATACATGATCGAAGCCTTGGGTTAGGGGTAGTTTAGACCCGAGTAGCCTTGACAGGTGGAGAGTTGCGAAGGAGAAAAAGCAAACCCAAACGGGAATTTCTGCTAGGATCTGGAGAAAAAGTCCGAAAAGTTCATCCTGGTGACACCATCCCCTAATTGGGTGGCAGTGCCTGGAGGCTACTCAGGGATCGTCTATGCTCTTCGGACTCAGCATAACGAAGTTTTGGATTCTAAATGGAGACTCGACAGGTATCATTGAACTCGGGCTTTTCCAAGGGCTTCAAGGTCTCCACACGTAATAGTAGGTGATGGCCCTGACACCGCGGATTATGGCAGTAGGAGGAGATAGCACGCCATTCGAACTCACCAGCAATGGCATCATCGGTGGAGCTCAGCTGTGAAGTTAGGCTGGAGTCTACCGTTGCATCAAATACCGAGGGGAGAGGGCACACAGACTATTAGAAAAAAAACAAAAATGGAGGGACGCTTGCATTTGGGTCCGAGGAACGAGTCGGCCTTGGTGCTTTAGTATACGACCAATAACAAGAACGTAAACCTGGAGCAGAAACCAGTAAACCATGACATCCCCCATAGCAAAAGACACCTGAACCACCTGGTGCAGCTGGCGACACACGAACGCCCGCATCTCATCTGCGAATCTAGACCCCTAACCCTGTGGCCCGGTAAAGCCACAAATCCTTCCACGGACGACAATCAGATAGAAAGAGAAATCCAAAGCGAATTGTAAACAACAGATAGCAAGTGAATGGTCTGTGAGCAACGACATATAGAGAGGAGCCGCGGAAGGGAGCCCCTGGAGGGACGGACAGAATATAAGAACACTGAAGCAGAGACCATTCTTAGAATCGCAGAAACCCACATTCGGGAAATCGAACCCAAACAGTGGGGAACGATAAAGGAGAAGGGTCGTAACATCATTAGAAGCGAAGCCATATCGAGACGTCGATAATCCCCAATTGGTATAAATAATAGGAGAGTATACCAGAACGAGACGACAGATGGCACTACATCGATCAAACCGAGTCCAGGGCGGACCAAAACAAAGACACACCAACACCGACAAGAGTCTCCCAGCGGGTACCCTAAAGTGAACAAGGGAGATGGTACAGACAACGCAGGTCAACCTAGACGAGCTTGAAAAAGGAAAAAGGGGGCGACGACGAGATTTGGATCTTGGCGTTTACTCATCAGTGCCCACGCCCTTCTTTTTGGGCTGAATATGTTTTTGACCGGAGCGACCGCCAGAACCTTTTGGCTCGATATTGTCGGAGGGCGGCGGTGGCATACGGGTGGTGCTAGCCTCATGCTTCTCTGTCAACAAGTTCTTCAACCAACGGTTCTCCATCTCCAGTTGAGCGACGCGGGCCTCCAGGGAGGCATTCTTCTCTGTCGTCTCGCGAACGGTGCGTTCAAGGACCTGCTCGCGCTGCTTCTTCTTCATACGGAAGCGAGCACTCGCAGCCGTGTTGCGGCGGCGGCGGTCTTCTTCCGCTGCCGCGCGGACGCCCTCCTCCTGGCCAAGGGCCGCGGCAATGCGGTCCCCTGGGATGGAGGTGCTGTATCGGGTGTTTCCCAGCTGACCGTTTGGCGGGGAGATAGAAGAAGAAACATCTGAAGGTGTCAGCTGTCCCGGTGCGTGACCGAGGTCATCGGGCGCAAATGGGACAGGAGGGTAGATAGATTGAGCCGAGTACGGCATGATGTGGTCGGGAAGAGAATAGTTGATGGACTTGTCGCCTGTTGGACCTAGAGACTGAAGTAAGCAACTGTCGTTGCAATTGATGATCGTATCTATCTTCATTCGCAGAGGTGGAGGCGGATGTGGATGTGGATGTGGAGGTGGAGGTGGAGGTGAGGAGCTGGCATAAGCATCAAGGGGGGGATAGAAGATGAGGCACATAACCCTTCAAAGGGAAACGTAGAAGACATGCACATCATCCTTTCTTCATCCAAAAGGCCTCTTCATAAGAAAGGGGAGGGATAATGTGCAAGTCAAGGCCCGGCAGAAAGTGGTTTTCGCCTCATATCCATGCGGGATGGCGTGCTCGCTATTGAAGATGGGCACTTCCGGGGGATGATCTCACCCCATTCAAGCTTGAATGGTCAATCACCTCAGAATCTGCATGCTGCTCATTGGCACGAGCTTTAGGCCCAAAAATAGGCAAAATGATGCCAGATCCGGGGTAAATGAGATGTGTTAGGGGTGGAAGAGGATTGCGGGTACGAAGCCACAATATCGGACACCCCAAGTCCCCCCCCCCAGAGTCTGAGGGAGGAGGGGGGTGGGTGCGCCCGACCAGGATCACAGGGACCACGGAAGTCAATACGAGCAAACTGACTGGGATTTCGATACTTCAAAAGATTGGACGAAATGATAATTCCGATTCAAGGAATAGGGAAAATGCTCATCCAGCACGTCCATCCCCAGGGTCCAAGATTGAGCGCCCAGCCTTCAGGAAACACGAACCATAGCCCTGGATGATGGCGCAAGAGATGCAACATCTGGCGAACAAGAAAGTTAAGAGAAATTTTAACACATACCATGATAAGGATACCCTCGAAGATCGAGGGAGCTGCGGTCATCGTCTATACTATCGTAGGAGCTCACTGAGAGGCCCCCCATGCCCTCAGTCTGGTCGTACTCCATGTTGACGTTGCTGACGTTGTTGGTGAATGGGACCAGCCCGGTGTCAGCGTCGAATGAATAGTGTCGACCCTTGGATGACGGATCGGTGCGCGACAGCAAGAAGTTGAAGTTTTCCAGCTTATCAAAGGCGGGTCCAGAAGCAAGAGGTCGGGATTGCTCCTCGGGCATGATGATTGTGAAAGGGAGGAGCAAAGGTAGATGTAGAAATAGAAGAAGAGGAGCCAGGATCCAGTTCCAAACTGGGAACCCGTACGGATGCCCTCGATGGCGTTTGAGCCCTCTTGCGTATTTTAGGGCCTCTTTGGTTGGACCAAATGGAGCAGGGAGGGGCGTTAATTGCACGCGGGTGGATGGGCTTTTCCACGGTCCACCCCCAGATCAGATGCAGGAGGGGAAAGGCAGAGGGATGACCTCGGAACCAACCAATTCCAACGGGCAATGTCCCCTTCTGCCAAAATGCAGGAAAAAGCAAATTGTCAGAAAAAAAGCCAAAATGGTAACCACCAGAGGGCTGGCCCGTCACGAGAAGGTTGAAGGAACTACACGGTGGCCAGAATCAACCTACGCAAAGACCAACTACTACCACAGTGCCGGTCGCATACGGCGCCACTTTGTTCGCCCACGAATCACGACCACAGCCAAACGGGAATAATTGAAAAGGTTTAAGGGGGGCCAAGAGAGGGGGGAAGGCTAAGGGGGGGGTGGAAAAGGTACCCAAAGCTTGGAGATGAATCCTTGAAAGATCAACTAGTCGATGATCTGATAGAATGGAGAAATGTCGTGATCGCGGATTCTGGTTCGCCCGCGGCTCGTTCACCGCTCGGGGGCGAATCCATGTAATCCTCGTAACAAACAGCCTTCTCTCCATTGAATGGATGTCGAGGATCGATGGGTATGTATAAAGGCCGGTCTCTAGATTTCAAGGGAATGAAAGTGAGTATCAGGTCTGGTATGAGGTACAGATCGAGGTTTGAGATCTGATATCCACATCGTACGCCGTACCATATTCGACCAGCTCCAGAGCTCCGTGCAGTTGTACCAGGCAACTCGGCCCAAGGAAAGGGCAACGCCTGGGATTTCAGGGCATAACCCCTTTCGTTTCAGCCCTGACTGGCTCCCCATGCCCTCCCCAGACTTATGCGATCCATCTTTCGAGTCTAACCGGGCCAGCCGGTACAGAACAGCGATCTTCCATCTGCGTGGCTTCTCGCTGGGCCTATCCTCGCGCACTTAGATTCCGGGGTCCACTTCCAACCGAAGGATGACGCGGTCTCCATTCTCCTGTTACAGATAGTCCGTGCAAGCCCGTTGCTTAACCAAAGCCTAGTAGCTTATTATCTCCATCCTCGCTGGGGTAAGTAACTATCTCCATTAGACCGCCATTACATAAAAGTCATCAGGCCCGTGAGACTGCCAAGAATTGGAGCTCGTGTTTGCACTCGATACGGCTTTTCCGTGTCTATTCCGGTACGTCATGGACAGCCGCAGAGAGCGGCCTGACGATAGCCACACGGTTGGATATACGTACCATAGCACGCGTTACGGCTACGCTCTACTGTAGTAGAAATATACCAAGCAGATTTTTCGGCGACTTTCGCGATCAGAGCCCATAAAAATCCCTATGACATGCCGATGTCGTGATCTTCCCTACTCTTAGAAACATGCGGCTGGCAACTGCTTATGGGCCATTGTCACCGGATTGCTTCCGTCGACGATCGGCGATGATCGTGACCGCGCCTTCCACATTAGTTCCACGCTGGCGCGCTCCAACCCGTTCCTGTCCCAAGATGGTATCCTCGGCCACGGTGCGGTAGACCTCTGCGAACCCATCGTAGACACTCCTTCCCACTCCGCCCCAGCAACCCTCGCGATCAAATGCCTCGCCTATGTAGCGCATTTCATCAACCCAGCGGTAAGCCTTGGGACTCATCCCGATCACGCCAGCACTAGTTAGAGCCGCGATATGCGGCGAGTATTGTTGCAGGTGGTCTAGTAGCTCCGGCAGGAGCTCCTCTTGCTGGGCCGTGGAGAAGGATAATATAGAAAGCGCCGTCAGTCCTTTCGTCAACGCCGCGAAAGAGAGCTTCAACGTCGAAGCTGCTCCAATTCGGGCCGAGACTACCTTCATGTTCAAGACGTCGGCGAGGCCGGCAAACGTGGGGGGGGAGGTCCACTGCGCCCGAGAGCACCACGCTCGGTCGTCTCCAGGTCCCGTCGGGATTCGGAGACGGCGGTCCACCTATAATGCCACCGTCCAAAACTCTGCACTTGCATGGGTCTTCTCCGGGCATGCTGGGATCAAGGAATAGTGCTCCTATTTCCTCCGCTAATCGGGAAGATGTAGCGTTGAGCTCAAAAAGGTAGAGTGGACTTCGAGTTGGCTGGCCATTTACGTCCTCTAGTGTAGCACGCCTAGAAGCCGTCTCCGACCGCATACAAGCCTTGGCGATGCGTTCCGCCGTCGCGAGTGCATTGACTGGTGGCACAATGGAGAGGATATAGTCGGCCTGGACCGCGAGTTCATCGTCGGTCGGCAATGCGGTGATATTGGCAGCTTCGATCCGTGCCAGAGTATGTTCACTGAAGGTTGATTAATTCGTGGACTACAAGTGGGCAGTGCCATACTAGTATATGGTCGACATCTATGATCAAATAAGGGGGGCGGATCATACCTCCTACCTTCCCCCACCGTAACCACGCGATAACCGTGGGTCTTGAGCAGCTTGGCTATGCCCAACCCCATATCTCCAATGGAGACTATGCCCACCGTGACTTCGCGCATGATGCCAAACTGGAGTAGTGAGAATGAGCAGAGCGATTTCGTGCCGTTGACTTCAGCAGTCTGCGAACCCCTCCAGGCGGCGGAGGTCTTCCATTTATCATCTTGTCTTCCATTTGTCATCTTGTCTTCCATTTGTCATCTTGGACCCTGCCTCCAGGTCTCAGGGCTAATTGGCGGATATGGAGACATACTAGGCAGATAGTTAAATAAGCTTAAATAGGTGGTATTTAACTAATCATTTAGGGATCGGGTTCATAATAGTCTTTGGGACCGATTTTCACTCTTGCCCCTATTGGGTGCAATCCACACGTTAAGTTGATCTTGGGCCGCCCAGTGGTGCTTGCACGATGTACCGATGCACGTGGTAGATGGAGAGGACAGGACCCTGGTGACGTGGAGATAAGAGTTCATTGAGTCTCAATCGCATACACCGGGAGTGATTATCGTGTGGCTGTTATAGGTGGAACGAATTGTCAAATAAGACTCTTCGGGTATTGGATTCTTCAGAGTCTGCAGAACACTTAGCGTGAAAGGATCGAAAAGTGACATCCGCTCAACCCCGAGCAGGGGGGGGAAAGATACCTCGAAGTACATGTTACTGCCTACAGTAGCGCATGTGTTAGAAGTCCCTCAAAGTACCTCGGGCAGCAGAAGGTGGTGAATCGAAGTTGGCGGAGCCAAGACGTTCCGAACGCCGAACAGCCTCCCCAACTCGATCACTTGCAGTCACAGAGATTTCACGAGCTCCGTGATCTCTGCAAAACTCCAATTTCCAATTTCCCCCGCTTTTTATACGAAGGCCACTGACGTCCGATCATCCCCGCTAAACGGATCACCATCCGTGTGAGTGAAAAAAAAAAAGAGTCTTGGCATCACTTACCAATCCCACGGGGGGGCAAATGCACCCGATGCGTTCACCCTTTGGCATAACCCCCCATGCCATGAATGCCTCCACTGCCACAATGCCTGTGGATGGGCCAGGTAGTCTCGGTAGATCTGAGCGTCCTCGTCCGCAACGCCAGGTGGTTGTTCGTGTTCGGCGAGTTCCGTGGTAACCGCTAACCTATTCTTAGGCCTGTGACCGGTGTGCTCGGAGAAGAGCCAGATGTGAGGTTCAAGGCCCCGGTCCTGGCTGTATCCAGTGCACACGAAGCAAGCTCAAATGTGCGTTTACTGGATTGCAGTCGGGACAGCCTGAGGGTTTTCGGAGGTATCTTCCCCTACATCTTCCAAGAGACCTCCATGTCTCAAATATGTTTCTAAGTCTCCAAGTACTCGCCCTGACCGCCATATAATGCCATAGGGATAGTGCGCAATATGCAAAGTATTTAGAAGATCGCTGCAGAAGGCTCGAGTCACTGCTGAAAGCCACCGGCATCCTGCAGGAGAGTGACATCACCGACACACTGTCCGACAGCGAGGATGCCGATGTAAAAGATGAGTCCTTAGATGGGGCCCAGCGTCCGCGCTCACCGGGCCACTCATCAAATTACTCATGCAATTCTCAAGCATCAGGCCAGGTCGATGGCGCCCGATTCGAGGGAGACATCGAGGCGGCTCCCATTTTCAAGTCACATGACAGTGATGAAACTCGATATTTTGGTTGGTCATCTCTTGACCATCTAACACCTGGCGTGTATTACTAGTACATGTACTAAACTGTGTCATAGGGCGAAGTTGCTCACTTTCAATCTTCTCACGAACCGGAATCCAGTGGATCAAGGAGAAAACGGGGGAAACCGCTTTTCTGAATATCATGTCTCCTAACTCAACGGAGGATGATCCTTGGAACTTGTGGCGGCCGGACGTCTTTCACGACCTCTTTGCATCCCAAGTCTATAAGCCTCTTCCTTCTCGGGCAGAGGTGTTTTCTCTTATCAAGGACTATTTCCGGACAGCTAATCGTCTCTTCCCCTTGTACCACGAAGCCTCATTTATGAAAATGGTAGAGTGGCAATATACTCAGCAAACGTGCGACGACGCTGCTCGCTGGGCCAGTATCAACATGGTGATTTGTCTGGCCTACGAATACCGCTTTTCAAACAATATGAAACCAGAAAAGGACCGTGAAAAGGCTCGGCTGTATTTTAAAAACGCCATTTCAGTCTTTACAGAGCTTTCGTTGCGACGAACAGACCTTCTCAGTGTTCAAGCTATGCTGAGTATGGCCTTTTTCCTCCGTGGGAATTCGGGTAGTCAATATTCGCTGCCGTTTGTGACCGCGGCAATGCGAACATGTCAACGGATGGGGCTCCATCGTGATATTCCACGGCCCGACCTCACTCCAGCCCAGCAAGAGCAGAGGCGACGCGTTTTCTGGGTGGCATTTTTAGTTGATCAGAGGTAACCCTTTTCTTTACACATGTTCATCTCCGGGTCTAATGGCTAGTCATATTTAGTTCATGTTTGCGGGCCGGGAGCGCGCCCTGTCAACATCCCGACGATTTCAATGTTCCCCTCCCATCAGAGCTCGAAGGCGACGACGATCCTGAAGTCTGCAGCAACTTATCATTCTTCCGCCAGCTGTGCCGAATGTGTGTCATCAAGAGTCACATCTATTGTCGGCTTTACTCAGCAAAGGCGCTGCGGAGGGACCCAAAAGAAATATATCAAATTGTTCAAGAACTTCACGCCGACCTCATAGAATGGGAAAAGGACTATCCACTCGAGGAACCGCCTCGGCTTCAACAGAGCGAAACAGATTTTCTGTTCGGATTTGCATCCCTTGGTCTGCATTTCATCTATTATAATGCGTTGATTATGATTCACCGAATACCGCTCCTACTCAATTATTATGTACCAGACCGCGACGACAAGCCAGAGATAAAGGCTCTTCGTGCAGCTCAGACGGCAGAGTCAGCTCGTATATGCGTTGGCGCAGCTCGAAGCACGCTGAAGCTTATTAATAACATGCCTTGGGGAGATATGGCCTGGATTCGGTAATGTTGAGCCCACCGAAGGCTAGAAGTGACTGTCTAACCATTTATAGGTCTCTATTATACTATGTTTTCTTGGCCGCCGCAACCTTGTTCTCCAACATCATTCGGGATACTCACAACCCCGGTAACCGAGAAGACATTCGCGCCATCAGCATGGTCTCGAATTTTTTCTCATCCCTTGCACCTGGCGACGGAACAGGAAATTGTGCAGTCTTCATGACTCGAGTTTGCAATTCACTAGAACGTATTGCAAGGATGGCAGTCGAACGAGATGAAAAGGGAGCCCGCAGCCCTGATATTAAGGACAAGGAACATCTCTCCAGTGCAAAGAAGCAAGCCTCGCGATCAGCACGCAGTAGAGATCGTCGCAAACCTCCTCCCCGCCAATCTTCCCTGCCCTCCTACCGTGATGGTGCTCCTCATTCACATAGCTCCAAGGACAATTCACACACTGGAATGCGCTCAATTACCCTCCCATCCTCCCATTTCACCGACAACGGCATTCCAGAAAACCTCGCTGATCTCCCACCCATCAATTCCAGTGGATATGTCGTTCCTCTGGGCCTTATGGAAAACGACAATCTCAGCCCATCCCTCGCCCCCCAGCCCACCGCCACAACTGTATCCGCAATCCCAGCCGACTACCCAGCCGGCTTAGGTCTATCGCTCGAAGCCACAGCACCGCAGGATTTCCAATCCCCGCCAACAATGTCTCCCTGGGAACAACTGCAGCACACAAACCCAGCCACCAGCGCCTCCCACTCGCCCTTCTCGCAAGATAGCGGCAATGGCCAGCCCAACGGCCCCATGTTCCCGGAATCATGGCAAGTCCCCCTAACTGCGCACTGGCAATTCGGCGACAACCCCTGGGCCGCTCTGCTCCCAACAGTAGCTGCATCCGGCTACGGCGAGGAGATCCAGATGCCTTCCCTATCAGCAGAATCGTTCTTCCAGCCTTCCGCTGCACCCGTGGACCCTGTCGTCCTCGGACCAGAGCAGTTGGCTTCCGGCTCCAATGATATAATGTATAATCCCATGCCACCGAATCAGGGACAGGCGCCGAATCAGGGGGGACAGTTTGATCCTCCATATATGCCGAATGGGTATCTAGGTCTTGGGCTGTTTTGATATACGGTGCTTTGCATGATATCCCCGTTCACAAAGCTTAAAAATTCGTGGAGCTGATCGGAAGCATTTAATTAATAACTCATCGGTTGTTGGTATTAAAGTAGTATCGTGGCTATATATTCTATAATGGCTTTCTAATGGTGTTCAGCTGTAAACGCGTTCTACCATAGGATATAGCCTTCACACTGTAGAAGGACATGATGATATGCCGTATATGAAGAAAGATTGAAAAAAAGTAAAATCACGAGTGGTTGCTATCATGGGAATAAAACGCTCAAGGCCTAGTTACTGAGTATACAAACAAAGAGTAGAAATAAACCGCACCCACCAGAAACGCCATTGCTCCTCCAACCTTCACCAATAATATCTCCGATCCCAGGAGACTCGTTACCAGAACGAAGGGCTAGAACACCGCTTCAGAAAGGTTCTGAACGGCTCTGCACCACATGCCACTGCCAAGGGCTTCGCCACCTTCATGAGTAATATCTTTGCCCAGAATACGCTGGATTTCTTTCTCCGTAAGACCGGACTTGTTGCCAGTACCGAAGCCATAGACTTTCGTGGCCAGAACGTCGATATCGAAGTCCATGGAGCCGATATTCTGGCTTGCATCGCTCTGAGACTTGACGCTGGTCTTGACGTTGAAGTCGACATCAATTCGCTTCGCAATACTGCTCTTGGCAGCGGATCCTTTGTGGCCAGGGATAGATGAAGCAGCATTATGTCCGAGTATGGTGCAGCGAGCTCTCAGGGCAAGGGGGGTGTCCTGGGAGTCCAACAATGTCAAGCGGGTGACACCACAAAACTCGAGCATTCGGGCCTCGTTCTCCAGGGCGAGAGTGCTATCCCAGGCTTTGGAGACAAAGCGAAGGAGCGTTTTGGGTGCAAGTGTGAAATGCTTGATCGTAGCCAAATGCCGCTGCAAGGATTGAAGGACAAGAGATGCGATGGGAGATATGTTTCTGCCATTGACGAAAGCCAACTCTAGAGGAACGTTCTCCTCATCGGCATCGTCGCTGGCGATGCCGGCGAAAGCTCCAGGGTGGAACTTGATCTGGAGCTGGCCTCGGTATAACATAGTCAACAGTGGATCACTGGAAGATCCTGTAGTCGAGGCTGACGTGATAGCCCAACCAGTTTGGCGCTCAATGAGTCGGACAGACGCTTCATTAGAGTTAGGAAGACCGAACACGTTGGTTTTATTGATAGTAGGAATGCTTACCCTTTAACTCGCTGATATCCCGAGCACTCCAGCCACGGCATTCTTCCTTCATCCGTTCAGCTTCCTGGATCTGAGCGAGGTACTCATCGCGCATTTCTGTGCCGGATTCTATGGCGACCGTCTTTCCCTCCAATTCCTCCTGTAGTTGCCGTAGCTCTCGCTTCTTCACCTCAATCTCTTCGTCGATGTTGGAAAGCATCTTGCGTGTTTCTCGCAATTCATCCTGGTCACAGCTCTCCATTTCTTCAACTAAAATTTGAAGATCGTTTGCTTCCTTCTCTAGCAAAGCATGCTTCTCCATAAGTGGAGGGACAGTACTGCTGAGTAGTGCCTCCCGTGCTGACAGAAGTTCGTCGTCAGCAGTCATATCGTCTACGTGACGACTAAGACCCTCTTTAAGGCCTTCCAATAACTTCATTCGCCACTCATACCAGGTGGCTTTACTGAGCAACCGCGCATGTGTCTTGACGTTTCGGAACTGATTGTCCATGATCACTCGAATATCAGGAGGAGCATTGACATACTCTTGGAAAAGGGGAGGGTTATCAGCGTATGTTTCCGCTTCGATGGACCGGATTACCTGACGACCCTCGGAGATATAAGACTTAAGTTCACGACAAGAGTGCTGATACAACTCAAGCATAGGGACGGTGCAGAATCCAGCCGCAACGCAGTCATCGAAAGTAGCTTTGCCCGATTTAAGTAATTTATCTCCAGATGATCGGGTCAGTCTCTTAGTCGCACTGCTTGGCGCAGTGGTGTGTCGTCGTTTTGTAGTTGTCAGCTCCATGAAATGAATGTTTGTCATGTTCAGGAACTCTTGAAGTTGAATAGGCTCGACCTCGGGTGCATCCTGGATGGAGTTGTTTTCTTCTTCCTCCTCCTGCTCGGGTTGCTGGGGGTCTGAAGCCAGATGCAACGCATCAATTCCTTCCTTTAGAGGAGTAGTCGCAGTCTCTGAAGCACTTCGCGGGGGTTGTGTGGGGTGGTGCTCCCTTTGAGAGGAGAAGAGCTACGAGCCCGGCGAGCAGGAGATCGGGTTGGTCGGCGGGTTGTTGCATGGCTGGTAGTTGGCCCAGGGAGTCTCACCCCCTTGACTGGACTGACATCATGACCACGAAGTCGCTTGGGAGAGTTCTCTGCCTCCTCTTCGTCCAAATCGAGTTCGGCGGGGCGTTTCCCGAGAATTCCTCGAGCAGCGCCGACATGGAGACTCTTTCGGCTGCCGATCTTGTTCTTCTTTGGACTGAGGCTTGATATCTTATCCCTCAGACTGGAAGGGCCCTCTCCATCTGGCTGGATATGGCCATCCTCTCTGAGTTCTTCTTCTGCGCGGGCCCGCTCTTCGTCGGCCTGCATTTTCAATGGATCTTCAAAGCGCACACCAGCCCGCGATGGCTCTTTCGGAACAAAATGCGGGGTGTTTTCACCGAGAGATGGTCGTTGGTCAAGCAAGGCGGCAACTTTGGGAGAACCGATCCCTTCTTTGTCGATTCCGAGACCAGAGGAACGTCGGCCCTCGCGCGGCTGGAGAACTATGCGGGGTGTTGATTGGCCTGTAGCCGCATTCTGTTCGAAGATGCTCTGACGGAGCGACTTGCGTCTCTCAGCAGATTTCTGGATTTCAGATCGAAATAGCTGCTTTGGTGAAGCACTGCGGTACGACACATTGGCTGAAGGAGGTGTTTTGCTTGGGATTGTCGGTTTCAACTGAGGCGTTGATTGCTTGGAAGGAGTGGATGGTTTCTTTGAAGGCGAGCGTTTCCGCGTAGCAGATTGAGGTGTTCCGGGCATGCTCGAGGCACTCATGACAGAGCTACGTCGTGAAGATCTTCGAACGTTCGCCAAGCTAGGGCTGCCGTTCTCAGATGCCACAGCAGCAACATGAAAGCTTAAAGGAGACTTTGCAGGGGATTTCACAGGGGATGGCTGAACACTCTCTTGGAACGGCGAACTGTTCAGTTGGCCTGAGTCTACCTCAAGTTCCATAAGTCGTTTGGCTTGGCCCTTGTCCTGGCCTTTGAACCCAGATGGAAGAATGCCTCCAACTGCACCGGTAATCTCCATATCCATGGCCCCATCAGATCCATTGTCCTCTTCGACATCTATACCATCCGATTTCGAGGGCGGAGACGCTGGCTCTGCTGCCTGCGTAATCGATGGAGGAGCTTTGTTTAGAAGGCCGCCAACAGCTGCTGTGAACTCCATGGTCATTCCTTCATCTTCATCTTCATTGTCTTCAAAGTCAGGCTGAGCGGAATTCATCTGCGAAATGCCTCCAACCGTGGTGGTCATTTCCATAGTTTGATCGTCGTAAATGGTCTCTTGGCCCGATGATTTGCGACGAATAGTGCTTTGTCGACGCCCTGAGGGGTTACCAAGAATACGTCCAATCGCATTCGTGACATCCATACTGAGTTCCTCATCTTCATCAATGCCATCCGATTCGGGATCATTTGGGACCGAGGCCTTCGCGGATGGATCCACGTTCTCCTGGTCGACTCGGGAACTGAGATCCTCCCATTCTCGATTTTGGCCCTTTTTGATCCAAGGCTGGAACGCACCAGTGATCTCATCACCGGCGATCTCCATAGACATCTCTCCATATTCTTCGTCCAAAGCCTGAGTCCCGGCTTCTCTTGCGGCCTGTCGCAAGGCTTCGTTAAGCTTGGCACTGGCACTAGTACTCGAAGTTGCTTCAGATTGCATGCTAGAAACAGTGTGGCTGGTCATATCATCCATGCTCATCGCGGTACTTTCAGCGTCAAAGTCATCGTCAGATCCAGATGACTGGTCGCCATCGTCTTCTCCCACGACGCTTTCCACTCCAGTCTCCTCGCTCCCAACTGAGCTTCCACTGAATGGACTGGAAGATACAGTTTCAAACCCTCCTTGATTTTCAATTGACGTGCCACTGCCTCGCATTTGCTCAAGGTCTTGCTGGCGTACAGGTGAGAACCCAAAATCCGACTCGGCATCCCCTGGAGATGAAGGGATGTCCTTCTCCCGGGGAGGGTGCTGGTTGCGGTAGGTCTTGAGAATTTGCGACAGAAGATGCGCGTCTTGTTGAATTAGCTGCAGAGGACGATGTTTGGTCCTCCGGTATCTCAACAACGTTCCATGTATGTAACGTGGCTTCGGGGGCGAAGGACACCCGCCGATTGGCTAAATAAAGCGTTAGCTGGTTAGCGGGAGATATGGAATGTGTATACATACCCATAGATTTTCGTCTGGCTTCTCGCTTCTCCAGAATATTCTGCCGTTCACGATCACGACGCTCCTGTTCATCTCGTTCTTTAGTCGCCGCCATCTCGTCACGAACAGCGGATGCCGCATTGAAGGTATCGAAAGGGTTTGATGTTTCGTTCTCTGGATTGGAAGGCTGCGGGGGCGTAGCAAAGTCTATCAGAAGGCCCTCTCCGCCTGCCTCGTTGCTTTTTGCATTTGTCTGGCTGGGCACGTCACGAGCTGGGGTGCGTCGGCGCGTTTCTTCGAAAGATGGAATATTGCGCACGGGAGAAACTGGTACGGTAGGCTTGAGAATTGACTTCAGAGGGAATGATGCGGTTGACTGCGGTACATCGTTCAGCATAATTCTTATCAGAACAAACGCGCGGGGAAGAGGCCCTTACTTTTCGTCGATTCCCATTCGAGCTTTGTAGAGCATCAAGACCACCGGGACCTAAACTCTTGCTTCGAGACTTCTTGTCTCTCGTTGTGGGCTTTGTTCCATTCTCGAGCAGTGGTGTGGCGCCTATGTCTGCTGTCGCATTCTCTTTGTCAAGACCGGACGTCATCTTCGATCGCGGGACATGAGCAATAGAGCGGCGAGAGCGCGGCCGTGTGGCCGCAGGGTCAGCGCGAGTGGACATGATGGCAGTAGGCACAGAGCTATTCCCGACACATCTTCTGTGAGGAAACGATCGGAATAGAGCTTGTCTGCCGGTCGCATTCCCTCGATGAACCAAATCGCAGTTACCGAACTAAACACGGCCCAGGCGCGTCGCATGCACGTGACTGTAAACAATGGCTGAAGAAATTGGTGCCTGAACACCAAGGCCTGAAGATAGAAGTAGCGGCTGACATAATAGCCCTAACCCGCTATTGGGCTAGTCCCAGTTAGGACTAGTCACCACACAACCGCTCTCCCGCAGTAGAGCCCTTTCTTCGCCTTTAGCGAATCTTCTCGTTCTCGATTGTCCGACCCGCCAAATTCTTCGACACCCGCTTCCTCCGTCGACGACAACACACCGCAACCATGGCGACCGAGCTGACCGTCCAGTCTGAGCGCGCTTTCCAGAAGCAGCCTCACATCTTCCTCAACACCAAGAGCTCGGCCAAGAGCAAGAAGAGTGGCCAGGGCCGCCGCTGGTACAAGGATGTTGGTCTGGGTTTCCGTACCCCCAAGACCGCCATTGAGGGCAGCTACATCGGTACGAACGACCCGCGACTCGAAATTCCCGCCGGTGCAGATCTGTGGAATGAGAGGGACTGGGATTGAAATTTGGAGATGGAAACTAGAGATCTTGAGCCAAGCCATATTGAACAGGAATATTCGTGCAGATGCGATGAAATGGATGCAACGAAAGTGCACTCGCTCAATTACGCTCTCTGGCTCTCTACTGTTGCAAAACAGCGTTTTCCTGATCTTTCGATCTTCAAGACCAGCCCCGGCCAAATTTTACAGATCGTCAATCCGGGCGCAATTTGTGGAACGTTTTGTGCTAACAATATGCCATAGACAAGAAGTGCCCCTTCACCGGTAACGTTTCCATCCGTGGCCGTATCCTGACCGGCCGTGTCGTCTCCACCAAGATGCACCGTACCATCGTCATCCGCCGCGAGTACCTGGTAAGTTTCTCGCCGCGCCTGGTTGAATAAGCCGTTGCTATAAGTATCTGGGCTCACATAAATTTCCAAATAGCACTACGTCCCCAAGTACAACCGTTACGAGAAGCGCCACAAGAACCTCTCCGCTCACGTCTCGCCCGCTTTCCGTGTTGAGGAGGGTGACTGGGTTACCGTCGGCCAGTGCCGTCCTATCTCCAAGACTGTACGTTTTACCCGAATATTTGATCTCGCAATGTCGAATCGAAGTAGCGGTGCGCGCTTTCACGCGTCGCAAAACGCAATTTATATCCGACTTCGACGGAAAGGAGGTCTTATTTGTTAAGCTGGTTTCTAACATGATTATTTTTCCACAACAGGTCCGCTTCAACGTCCTGCGTGTCCTTCCTCGTACCGGCAAGGCCGTCAAGGCTTTCTCCAAGTTCTAAGCGTTATCAGAAACTGGGTGCTCGGAATGGACAAATGGCGAAGGAAGCGGTTTGAATTGGATATCAAAGGATTTCTTAAATAGGGGTCGGGATAGTTTACGAGTTTCCATGTCCCAGATACCTTGCTGAAGAATGTGTATCCACACAAAAAGCAAAAAATATTTCATCGATCCTCCTGCTATGGAAATCCGTATCATAGGCTATGGGCGGATGTGCTCAAAATACTGCATTTTTTCTAATTTTGCGTCTTCGGAATCATTTGTCCTTTTGGAGTCGTATTGGTAACAAAAAGAGCTATCAATTCCCATTCACATTATCGCATTAAGTATTCTTGAACCATCTTTCCGTTGCGGTCATTGTTAAACATTAGTTAGCAGCCCCTCCCATGCATTACATTTCTGACCATACCATCCTTCTCCCCCTGTTGTTGATGCATCACTTCATTCCTCAGTCTGATTCTCTCGAGTGCCTCCAGCGACTCGGAAGAAAGAAGGCTCTCCCATTCACTGGGTAACACATCAAGTTCATCGTTACTCGAGTCGTGGACCGAGTATCCTTCGCTGGGTGTATCGCGTCGTCGATTGGAACCCTCCCGTGAGGCCATTTCATCATCAACTTCTCCTCCTCCTCCATCTTCTTCCTCGCTGCTTTCAGAACTGGTCAAATCAGTCCTTGACGGGCAGTAAGAGGGAGATTTATGACTCTGCTGTGTGGATGATTCCGGCATAATATGATCAACAACTTCCCCATCAGAAGAGCTGATATCAACCTGATTGAATGGCACAAAGTCATATGTACGGTTTATTTCGTGCTTCTCGGAGTGTTTCCAACGCCATTTTGCCCACTGCTCGATGATCAGAGACTTCACTTCGTCTCTGATCTCACGAGGCATATCGAGAAGCATCATGAGTCTGTCAACGGTGGTACTGTGGTTCTTGGCAACCTGTCCCTCGGCAAGCTTGCTATACAGGCGTTCATCACAGCGCTTTGTACCGCGGATAGTGTCGAGTTGGAGAAAGTCACTGATATCGTCATGCCCCCTCGCGATCTTTTCGAGACGAGCCAACTGAATCGTGCACGCAATAGCTTGTTTCGGCACACAACCCCATACCAGATATTCGCCCCGGCCAGACCAACGTGCTGTCCTGGTACCCGTAATATCAACAAGGTCATGCGCCTCGAAAACCAAGGTGTCGAGTTTAGAAGTATCAATAATTGAAAATTTGGCGGCTTTCCCCTTTCGAAGACACCGATGGATAGGCACGAGCAAGTGCCGAGAAAACGAGATGAAGGGGGTCGCCTTCTTCACTTTCGAAACGTGGGTCTTGAAATGCTCTAAAAAACTTTCTTCAGAGATAGCTGTATGGCTGAATGGCTCAAGCTGCATGAACATCCCGGCGCGCAGTTCGTTCTTTAAGTTTGTCCCTTGGGACTTAGCGTTTGACCACCTAAAAAGAACCCTTGGTAGTATCTTTCTAGGCAAGGAAGCAACCGGGGCCAAGGGTTCAACATGGGTTTCCAAGCCATCGCGGGTAGCTATCTCGATATCAGCAGCATGTCCATGGTCTTCTTCATCAACGATGGGTAAAGAGGCTAGGCTTGTAGATAAGCAAGGATCCTGTGGTGATCCAAAGCCATCTTCTTCAACGATCATCTCGTCGTTGGACTCAATCGACTGTAGAATCACTTGATCGGCGGGTCTGGGAGCCCCTCCTGGGTTATTTTCATCAACAAGCATAGAGTCGTCTGTGGGAACAAGCTGATCGGTGGTATCAGTGGTGTCCTCTTGCCAGTCATGTAAATGACCCTCGATAGAGCACCAGAGACACACTTTTTGATGACCTGTAACAAGAGATTCGGATCGGTATTTGACAGGTAGATGTAAGGCCGAAGTAGACGGAGATGCCATATCATGGCTCGAAGTAGGTGACTGGGTGCCCGAGGAGCTGCCGTGGGGTTCCAAAGGCATGATCTCGAAAAGGCCTGGAAGGCCACTCTGTCGAAATGTTAGTAAATCTCCACAGAACGTCGGGCGAATTCGATCTTACAACCCAAAGCACAGATTCTAGGAATTCTTCCGCGAATTTGGGAGTGCCTACTTGATCCGTGGCTGGGGGATAGGACATATTATCACGTTTCCTTTCGGTAGCTTCAATAGCCAGTCGTTGTGCTGATTTGCGGATGACCTCAATGTGGGCTGCCCATATCCCGTCTTTTTCAAAGTCCTCTTCAATGCAGACGTGCCACCACACCCCGTGAATACTCGCTCTCATCCATGACCATTGGGTGCACATGGCGGCCTTTGTTAGATTGTGCTCCAGATGGTCACCGAATATTTCTGAGAGAAGAGTGACCATATCGTCCTTAGTAAGGTCGAAGAAACGATGAAGACAGCATAGTATTTGCCGCATAGGCGTATTCCAACTAACACAAGTTGAAGTAGGCATTGTGAGACGTTTCGAGAGGTTTTCAGCGAGCCGCTCTTTCGGAGGTGATCGAGGTGGAAGGAGGCCCCCCGGAGGAGGAAGAAGATCAAGTCCGCGGGGTAACAAGTGATACAAAGAGTTGAGCAAGAAATAAGAACAGGCACTCTGCGTTCGATTTGTCGAAGAAGGCGATTGAGAGGAGAAAGGTGGACTGGATGAGGTAGATGCGAAGGTGAATAATCTTCTTAAGTCTCAAGGGGGAGAGTCTCCAGATTGACTTGGGTCATCAAAGTTATGGGGGGGAGGCGAGTATCAATGCATAAAGGGCCCTGGGGCTTCAGAAAAGAGTAGGAGCCAGGAAAGGGAAAAAGCAAGTAAAGAAACGAGAAGTTCAGGTCTCCAGGTATGCGAATCTTGGAGAGTTTCGATGCATGGCAGCGGCAACAGACCAGAGACTAAGCTCAGGCCCCGAAATGACTCCCTTGGTCGACTCGACTTGGAGGGACTATCATACTGAAGCGGACCTGGATATATTATCATGTATTTTAGTATTTTAGCAACAGGCAATAGGGAGTATCTAGTACATCAAGTCATATCTAAGAAGCGAATTAAGTAACCAAATTGTACAAGAATCATAGCCGAATATACTTTTCCGAGTCAAGCAACTTTTATGGCGCATCCACGGATGAGGACACTTCAATTGTCCTTGTCACTCCAATCCCACCTTGGAAGACGTTTTGATTGTGATTGCCGAATCCCTCACGCTCTCCGTTGATAGACGTCTCAATGCGTGGGTCGCCCTGGGCGTGCGACACGAGGACATCCTCATCGGACTCTTTAATCCGCACGCTCGTGCGCTTCATTTGATGTCGGTTGACAGACTTGGTGTTACCGGTTTGCATGGTACTCAATTTGTAGTCGGTATCCTTGCCACTGGAGTATTCGTGGGCGACGTACTTCAGCAAGGCTGAGACAGCGGGAAGGCAGGTACAGATCACACCAATGGCAATCTCCGCGTTTCTAAGAGGGTAAAAGATTCGTGTTAGCAGGGCGTCACAGTAGTGATTACTATATCAGACTTACCCAAGCATGTTAATTCTCATGAAGGCCATTGTGGTGTCCGCTGACTGCGATGTCAAGACGATAAGAACCAAACGGATGACACTGGCTAATACAGCCATACCACCCGCGCCCATGAGAGCAACGACACGCAGCTTTTTCTTCTTGGCCATTTGGAGAGACATGGTCAATGGCAGGGGGACAATGAGAATGATCAAATCGCTGACTGAACTGATCACAGCATCGGCTGTGATGATAGCATTCTCGTTGAGGCAAGAACCCTTGACGTCCGAATCCCAGAAACTATTGATGGGAAGACAAATCCGGACCTTGACAATTACCGAAGGGATGTAATAGGCGAGCATCACACCCATGAATATGTAAATAAAGATCACAGCCTTACGGAAAGGACTGAAGACCCGAGCCATGATCCATAGGAGGCAGACCTTTGTTAAATATGCTGTGGGGCCATACATGACTAGAGTCACGTAGACGGTCTAGGATATCTCATTGTTAGCAGGTCTATGCAGAAGAATTCTAGTAATAGACTCTGCCTTTACCTTTTTAAAGGCTGTGAGGTTCTCTTTTGGGACATCATGCAGGTGTAGACCCCCGCCATATTTTCCCACTATAGCCCGTTAGCCGGATTCATTATAGAACACGGATGTTGCAGATAAAGGAGGGGCTTACTCAAAAGCGCAATGACAGAGTAGGCTGTCCCAAGAATCTATTAATGGTTAGACTTTTTCTTCTCATTGGTGCATTCGAGTCATGGGGAACCATACATAGGCGGCCGTGCAAAGCCCTATTCCCCATTGTTAGACAAAAGCCACCCAAACACGGCGAAGAGTATGGAAGCATACTTACAATCCTCCCTGTGGAATCCGCGGAGAATAAAGAGTCGGGTGTACAGTCGTAAGAAGTAACAAATTGTCATGCCCGCAATACATAGTCCCTGGCACCAATAGTCCGCGGTTTGGACAGAGGTGTTGACATGCTTTCCGACAGCTGCATTAACAGCACGTCCAAACAACGCCATAGATTCCACAGGCGCCATTGTGAGGACTTGGATAGGCCTCAGTAGTACATAGATCCAAATCACAGGACAGTCAGGTCACAGGGACACGGGGATGGATCTTTCTTAAGACCACCCACTCCGCTTTCCCCTTAATGAGTTCGAGGGAGGGGGGGGAGGGGGGCCAGGCTAATGATCATCAGCGAACCACTTTGCAATTAACGAACCCGGATGCAGGTGGCAATTTTAGTTTGCCGAGGGCTTCCTTCCGAATTCTACTCTTGATTGTGTGTAGGCCCTTGGCCCACCAACACAGTATCTGCCATAGATGATCTTCTGTGTTAATTTCTCCAAGCCCTGAGCTAGAGGCGCCGGCACGAACGTTCCAAACTCTATGCACAGGACCGGAAGGTTCAAACGCGCTCAGGTCCTCGTGGATGATTCGGCCCCCCGTCCGGCTAGTTCGAGAATCTAGACTATTCCTTCTACTGGACGGCATAGCACATAGCACGAGGCCGTTCGGAATTGGACTGAAACTACAGGTAGCCTTTCTCTGTTCTCATTTTGATTTGAAAAGAGTTTGGGAACACGAGGCGGGCAGTTTCAGATTCATCAATCAAGATATGATGGTCCACCATAAAGCCAGTTGTTGGAACAGTAACAGCTGTCATGTATTTTCTAGGACGCTCGCAACGGGTCGGCCCTGCATAAGCTGTCGACCCACGGGACGGAAAGAAGGCGAGATGGCGGATCACTTCCGATGGGCCGCGAAGAATCATGGCCAGTCAATCGAAGATTGACAGCCCTGGAGTGGGCTTCTATGCGTCAAGCCATCCCGTTGTGGCAGAGAGCGTGTTGACGGAAGGTTGAAAACTGGGGCACAGGATTGATACCAGCGGGTTCCGTAATTACCAGGGCTCGTGGCCTCTGAGGCAATTCCAGAGGGGCGTTGGCGGGAAAAGTGGGCCCCAGACGCGGGAAGGCTGGCCAGGTGGGTCACACCAAGAGTATCGCCTAGCCGGACCCTGAATAGGTATTGGATCCCCCCCCCCACTCTGGGTTTTGGGGTAACCAAGCAAATCATAGAGGGCCCAGAACACACCATGAGGAGAACGGGCATTGTTCATGTCTGCAGGCCAGCCCATGTGCGTACTACGTAGTACCGGGATCCCGGCAAGCCTGGCATGGATCCCGCCAAATTGGTATACGCGATAGTCCAAAGGACGTCTTGGTTACCCACCGGGTTAAGCGCACAGACAGACCCTCTTACTGGGTCTGGTTTTCGCTCTTGTCCGTGGAGGGCAACTGGTACGCAAAGTCCCCTGGGACGGAGGGATTAACACATGCGTTATAGGAGACTGACACGAGAAGTCAAAAATGCATGCTCCAGGATCTTCATGCTCTGGATCTGCGCGTGATTTCTGCGACTCGAGTTACATCTTGTTGAGTGGAGTGGAGTATGTCATTCAAGTAAATTGACTTTGAGCCAGGTCCCAGCAGTCGTCAATCAGACTCCATAGACGTTTAAGTAGGAGCTTTAGCCTTGAACTCAATTGTCTTCGAGTCAATCATGCACCCTCCCTCTCCTGGCAGGAATTTCCCGAGGAAGGATCCGCCGGGAAAAAGGAACCAGGCAAAACCCCACCAGGCAATCCTATCATGAGAATACGAGAACGAATAGGTAGTAGGAAGCTGGAAGCCTCCGATTCTCCGATACTAATTAATTGGTACTTCCGAGCTTTCATTCGAAGGATCCTTTCTCCACAACTGTAACTAGTAATCATTTCTCCCACTTCCGACAACCGCCTACTAGTATCATATGTATTGTAACCGCTGGAGAACATACCTAGAAAAGCTCTTAATCTTGGTTGTCTCCAATAGACCTCCGGTGTAGGAATACACGAGAGCAATGTGCTATTAGTATCTATGGCGTAACGGAGCCAATAGGCGAGATTCCGAGACAGTTAATATATTGGTTTTGGTCGCCATCCGCACGGATATCCGATCCTTCGCGTTCACTATCCGGACTATTTTGATCTACTACCGGGAGTAGCTCCAGTGCTTACATGGAAAAGCAAACCTGGTTTAGAAGATCGCCATCACGTTTGGAGGAGATGATACTCCACCCGGCATGTTCAATGGGACAGACGCCACAAAGAAGCTCCACCGGTGCAGCTCCTGACAGGATCGCGCTAGGGCCTCGAGGTCAAACAGTTCCCCTGCGGAGTGGGTTAGCCGACTATTGACTCCAAGTGCCCTTGCTTTCGAACGGCTGGATGTTCTCCCATAGGACCCAAGGAGTGGGTGCATGGTTTGTTTCAACCTACCGATTGGCATGCCCCATCCCGCGAGCACATACTCGTGGAGAAAGATGTCAGGCGACTGAGGGGGATATACCTAAAAGTGCGTCAAAAAAGATACTTCATAGATCTGCACATCCGTTGCCGTAAATGGGAGCCTCAAAAAAGGTCAATATGGAGCTTACCTCCCAGCTAATCGCATCGCTCGCAATAGCTGCGAATCCAGAGTCCCACAGCCAGCGGAGGACATCCTCGGTAGCCTCCACTCCCGCATGTTCTGGAGCCGGGTTGTCTGAATATGCTTGTTTCTGAGCATCGGTCATCACGGTATCCCACTCTTTGGTAACCCCCACACGGACAAAGAGGATATCGCCCTTCTGAAACGTGATGTTGGTTTCCTTGGCGATCTCCAGGATGTCCGTGAGGCGCACCTGGTGGGTTGAAAACGTGGTGTACTTGATGCCCTTCTTCTCGGCCCACGATGCATAGTCGATCAAGACTCCACGACCTGCGGCCGGTAAGTATAACTCCTGTGATGGCAGTGTCTATGAAAGAAAAGGGGAGACTCTCACCAGCAATGCCCTCTTGTGCCCAATGCTGCATGCCAATCCGGTCATTCTGGCGATCATTGATCTCCTGGGAGGTCACACCCCCATAGAACAGTCTCTCCGTCTGACCCGGGACTGTTTGGGAGAAATGCCGAAGCCCATCCCATTGGCTGCTCTGTTCTGTGCTTGCTTATCAATACCAAGCCGCATCTCCCTGCATCTAAGCCTCTCGCGTCCCGCGTCTCGACTTACGTGGGTTCATGGAATAGATGTCATCGAAGGCTATACCCCCCCAGCAAGGGCACAATCTTATGGTCACATGGCTGACGATTGAGATTTGGATAGTCCAGCTTCGTCAGCTCCCATCCCATAGTCACTCGACGGCCAGTTCTGATCTCGCCTGCTGCTGCGGCCGCGACCCGCTCAGGGGTGAGGATTGCTAATTTTCCCAGACCCTCTTCGCGACTGCCAGGTTCTCCAATCCAAACTTGTTTCGGATTGGGGAGTTCGTCAAAGGGGTATCAAAGGTGGGCTTGGCCATAATGATAGTGTAAGTCTAGTGTAATCTTCTGGTTTGGAATTGAGCTTTATGGAATCTCGGAGGTACTACGCCATCCAAGCGCCCGGAAAGAAGAGCTTAATATGTCCCCTCTTCGGGTGTCGGGCAAGGGCTTCCTTGCCGCGGAGCTTCTGGGAGATTCAGGGAAAAGCGTGCTAATTGGCGGCGAATGCCAATCTCGGAGGAACGCTTGATAGCGCGTCAACGGAGTTTTCGCATTATGGAGCATCAAGTGTCCAACTCCACTCGCAACATCCGCCCAGGCCGTTGCGGTGACTATCAGGAGCACTAGACCCTGAAGGCGTTCCAAGCAAAGTTGGTAGTGACACCAGTCAGGATCCCCCCAGAGTCTCCACTGCGGTACATCCGATGCTCACAATGGAAGGATTGGCGTTTATTGACCCCACATGCTGGCAAAAGCGTCCTTACCGACTACTTGCCCAGTCCACTGGCGCTGCACACTAATGCACCACAAGCCTTCGAGCGAGCTCTACCCTTCCGAGTGGGGATCTCCGGCATGCGTGTACCACTCTGATTATGCCCTACAACCTCTAATTACCCTGTGGAACCTCCCCACTTTGTCGTATCAAGGGAAGCCATTGAAAAAAGTTTGGACGTCCCTACCCATGATTCCGCCCCCTCATTCTAGTTTGATTGAGCCATTGGATTGCCTTTTGGTTTCAAATGCTGGCATTTTTTGTCCCCGTGGTTTAACCCCTCACATTCCTGTTGCCTGTACAGAGGAGAGTCAGTGAAGATGACAGACTCAATCAGCAACTACAATAGATTGGTCACAATCTTTGTGGCCATTGGTTCATTGGTATGGCAAAGTCCCCTCATATACCACATGCGGGCGCTAATTCGTCCCTTCCCTCCCGGTGCAGACCTATGGCTACAGCTCCTCAATCATCTCGAGTACAATCGGTCAGCCAGGCTGGTTCGCCTACTTCAACCTCCCTGTGGAGGGAGAGCCTGGCTATGAAAGCATCACTACGCCCGCGGAATCCACTGCCAACGGCCTATTCAGTGCCGGTGGTGCTGTCGGATGTCTGTTCCTGATGTGGTCCTGCGACTTCTTCGGCCGTCGCGCCAACATCCAAATCGGCGCGTTCCTTGCCATGTTCGGTGGTGCTCTCCAGGAGGGGCCAATTCTCTTGCTATGTTCCAAGCTGGAAGATTTGTCTGCGGTCTTGGAATTGGTCTCTTGGTTACTGTTTGCCCCATGTATCTGTCCGAAATGTCAAAGGCCTCGCGTCGCGGCTGGCTCGTCGGCCACCATGCTATTTTCCTTGTGTTCGGCTATATGCTGTCGTCTTGGGTAGGCTACGCCTGCTACTATGCTGAGACTACCATCCCTTCCTTCGGATGGAGATTCCCGCTGTGCCTCCAGAGCTTGCCGCCGTTAATTCTGCTGGCCGGATCGCCGTGGCTGCCCCGTTCCCTCGTTGGTTGATCCAAAAGGGTAAGCTCGATGAGGCTCAGGATGTTCTTCTCAAGCTCCGTGCTCCGGATGAGCTGGCTGCCCGCGAAGAGTTTCTACAGACCAAGGAGCAGATCGAGCTCGAGGCTCAAAAGCTCGCTGAGTATGGCAACATCGTCAAGGCCATCATCAAAAAGCCATCGTACCGCAAGCGTATGATCATTGGTTTCCTGACCCAATGGGGTGCTGAATTCGGTGGTCCTTTGATCATTGTGAGTTTGGGTTCCGTTGCTTGGGCGAGAAAGGTTTACTAATTCAGTAATAGAACAACTACCAAGTTCTCCTCTACACGAATCTGGGCGAGACAGGTGGCATGCCATTGCTTCTTAGTGCAGTTTGGTTGACCACAGCTGGTGTGATCTACAACCCTCTGGGTGCTTGGCTGCATGACAAGGTCAACTCCCGCCGTAAGATGTTCATGACTGGATTCGCGGGTATCATTGTCACTACTTCCGTTCTGGCTGCTATGACTGCCTTGTACGCTGGCACTACCAACAAGGCTGGAAATGCCGTTGGTATCTTGTTCATGTACCTGTACTTGGCCATGCAAGGGTAGGTTCTCCCTATATAACCCTTTGCAAAGGGGCTGGGACTAACTTTCATCAGAACATTCTGTGACACCACCATGTACCTCTACGTTTCTGAAATTTTCCCCACCGAGATCCGTCCCATCGGTATGGGTTTCTCTCTATTCGGCCAGTTTGCTGGTAAGCCCAAGACCCCTTTTCCGGCTGCCTATCCAAACAAGCTAACCTCGGCGAAGCCACGCTTATCCTTCTCGAGACCGCGCCCATGGGTTTCAACAATGTTGGCTGGAAGTACTACCTCGTCATTATCTGCTGGTCTGCTTTCTTTATTCCCGGTAAGTCTCTACAGCTCTATTCTGGACATCTTTCATACTAACTGCCGCTGTAGTCATCTACTTCTTCTGGCCGGAGACTGCCCGCCTCACCCTGGAGGAGATTGCTAAGAACTTCGGTGATGAAGTTGCCGTCAACCTCACTGACGCAACAGAGGAAGAGAAGGCTCAGCTAGACAAGCGCATTATCGAAAACGGAGCTGGTAAAGAGCTTCAGGCCTAATTTCGTGAAACTGGCGAATCGTGGTTTTTTCAATCCTCCCACAGCTTGATCATTGCAGTGCCGCCTTGCTTCTCAAATATATACCCAGGGTGGTGGTTTCGGAACCTAGAAGTCCTATTGGACGCTCACCGTGAATAATACAGTCATTAATTTTCCTTTTTGTTCCACTGACCAAGTCGATCGTTTGTAACAGGGATTTTACTTTCTACTGTGATTCTTGCCAGAATATCTGCCAAATTAAAGCTTTGACTAAATTTATAAAAAAAAAATCATAAACTTCCTTAGAATGGTAACCTTGAAGGGAGCGATATGTTCTAAAAGTCATGGATACATGTTTATGGCGATCGTAATATCAGGCCTAAGGTGCCAAGCCACGTTCGAATTGGGATCTAAGCCAATCAGTGGCAGATTTTCGGGGTCGATTAGTTACGTCTTGACCGTGACGACTCGGTGGTTAAGCGCTCTTCCGTCGCAGATTTTTCTGAGGTGCCCATCCACATCGGTTCTCCCGTGGGGTTAATTCTAAGTCATGTCCCTCTTCGGTAGGAAAAATGCGGGTGGAGGTCTGCCCGGCGTTCGGGTACGTCTTTCTTGCCATTGCAACCAGTCTTAGGGTAGAGGACCCCGATCCAACACTAGTGAATCGGTTGAATATCCATGACCACCTCCCTGTACGCTCTACTGACCCATAATTGGCCGCGCTAGACTGTGGTCTCAGTGCCCAGTCGTTCGAGCTAGCCTTTTTCTGTTGCATATTGGCCGGAACGGTGAACGATGGGCCCTATTATAACATTGGCTAGTCCGTAACTAAAATATCGCAGGCGCTCTTTCTGTACAACTTGGAGGTAGGTGATGTCAAATACTCCCAATCTGTGAGATAACACATTTCAGGTATGGGGATATCGACCTAATTGTTGGGCTTCTCGATCTTTCATCCATGATGCTCAGGTACGTCGAAACCTCCAAATCTGGTGCGCTCAACCCTGGATGTGGGTTGCTGCCAGTGTTGACTATGATGGATTCAATATTTGAGGCATTGGGCATAGACTTAGTATCAGGAAATTTCGAACAAATGTTGCAGGCTGCCAGGTATAATGAGGGTAGGACTTTAGTTCCCACTATAGAGCTAGCTTCCGTCCTAGAGCCTTGTGTACACTCAAGGAAAGAGGAGTGGCTGACACGAGAACAGTCCTCCCAGAAAAGGTCATGTACGGACCTGCTTGGGTATCTGATTCGGTATGAAGTGGCTTAAGGCGCGTAGGTGAGGTAGGTGAGCAGTTATGACCATGGATGTGCATAGGGAGTGACTAAGAATACCAGGGGGCCTGCCTCATATCGAAGGAAACACTAATTATCGCTCATTAGGTGCACATATTGTCTGAATGTGGTGCTAGTAAACTACTTCAGACCTTTGTTTGAGAAAATACTTGACACTTGAAACACTGACAGGTCGGCGGCCAGCCACAGCGTAGTAATTGACTACATATGAGAAAATCTTCTACTAATACCTCCAGCCTACAAGTCTCTTACTGGTAGCCATTAAAGCCGAAGTACTTTTCCAGGTAATCTGACATGCAGTCGCCCGTGTAGACATTCTGAATCATGAAGGAATGGTCATGAGGACCCGTAGATTGGCGGTATATATATGAGCACTAGCCCTTGTAGAGTACTGCTGCCAGTGGTGCATATTGGAGGATATCTAGACGAATGACCTGGTACTAGTACCTCCAGGTGTGAAACTTATTTAAGAGGCTGACAGAGCTGCAATAATACACATATGAGCTGTTACAAACTACGTCAAAGAGTGAAACCACTGAAGGTGTACGCAATGTATGCGAGGATCCTCCGCTGGCGCTAATCCCAATCGGTCCAGCGAGCGCCCGATTCAAGACTCGCGCCTCACCTCACGACTTGTCTCTTCAGGCCTCCTCCTGCTTTTCGCCCCCATAATCTAAACCTTACAGTCTTCTTGTCCTCTGGCCTTGGGGACTTGCCTATTTCTTCATCCGGCTCTCTCGGCCCTTGTCTCCCAACCCCTGGAAAGTCTCAGCACCGGACCCCCGGCTTCCGCGATGACCAAATAACCCCCTCTATCAGCAACACGAGTGATGATCCAGGATCGACGCGGCTCTTACGGAAACATTGATTTTAGACCGGAGACTTCAGACCTGCTCTAACGCCCGTAATTGGGGCCCCAAAAGTTCTATCCGCCGTTAATCTCAATTCAGGGAGAGCAGGTGCCCACCTGCTTCTGATATCATGACCAACTTCGAGAAGTCGGTCAAAGGAGCCACAAAGTTGAAGGTGGGCCTGGAAGCGAATAACAAAGGGAATCAATCGCATGCTCACACAAGTCTTCGTATAGCTTGCGGCTCCGAAATCGAAATATGTCGAGACAATCCTGGTAGCGACGCACTCTGGCGATGCAGGTGTCGCAGAGGTCTTCCGAACCCTCCAGCACCGACTGCGCGACTCTGCATGGACGATCGTCTTCAAGGCCCTCATTATTGTCCACCTCATGATACGAGAAGGTCAAGAAGACGCCGTGCTGATCTACCTTTCCGACAATCCCAAGAAGATTGCGCCCAGCAATTTCTCCGAAGGTAAGGTCACCGCCATGGAATCCTACATGTGGCATGCCACTGATGAATGTACTGTACAGCGCAATCTCAAGGCCGCAATATTCGACGATATGCCGACTACCTGATTACCCGCGCGAAGGCGTACGAAGCGACGAAGGTCGATTATGTCCGGAATGGACCAGGGCGTCTGAAGCGGCTGAGCGTGGAGAAAGGCCTCCTCAGGGAAACAGAAGTCGTACAGAAGCAGATTCGTGCGCTACTTCGCTGCGATGTATGTGAGCTCCGGGTTCTGTGAATTGGGCGACTCATCTAACATTCACGCAGCTGTTGACCGACGAACCCGAGAATGAGATCAGTTTGACCGCATTTCGCCTACTTACCCTCGATCTTCTCACCTTGTATTCGGTGATGAACGAGGGAACCATCAATGTCTTGGGTAAGCACTGGAGTGGACTCACTTGTGGCATGCGTTTCTGACCAAATGCTGCAGAACACTACTTTGAAATGTCAAGGCCGGATAGTGAACGTGCCTTGTCCATATACAAGACGTTTGCCAGACAAACGGAGGAAGTAGTCCGGTTCCTGGGCGTTGCGAGACATTTTTCATCAGCCACGCGATTGGAGATCCCGAAACTTAAGCATGCATCCACCGACTTGACGCGCCTGCTTGAGGATGACCTGAACGACCCGGACTTTGACCTCCGCCGACGCGAATATCTAGCTGGGAAAGGAATAAACGCGAACGACAAGCCAGGCTTTAGTCAACGATCTGCCACTTTTGACGAACCCCAGGTTGCTTCCAAGCCGCCACAGTTGCCCGAAACTGGGCAGAAGAAAGCACCACCCCGGACCTGATTGACTTTTTTGAGTCTATCGACCCAAATCCACAGCCAGTGGCCCAACAGAATATCTCGCAATACCAGCAAATTGGGTTCCAGCAACCGCAACCGCAACCGCAGCCGCAACCGCAGCCTCAACCAGCATTTTATGCACAGCAGACAGGGTTCCAGCAACAACCCCAGCAACAGCAGCCCCAGATGGTTGGATTTGCCCAGCAGAACCCATACGGAGGCTTCCAGCAACAACCGACTGGATTCCAACAACAACAGAATACCGGAAACCCATTTGCGCAGCAGCCGCAACAGCAGCAGAATATGGGCAACCCATTCGGGCAGCCACCAGCACAGGCTCTTCAAGCCACACCTACGGGGGCTGGATTTGGCGGTTATTCCCCACAGCCTCAGTCGTATGGTTTCCAATCCAACCTGTCACCCATCCCCCAGAATGGGACTACGTCGTTCCATCAACCCCAGGCCCAACAATCCCCAACTACGTCCAACCCCTTCCGCCAATCTATGCTGGTCAGTCAACATACAGGCCCTGCATCTACGGCTCCTGCCAAACCACTCCAGCGGCAGAACACCAACCCTTTCGCAAAGCGGCTCTCTACGAACGTTTTACCACAGTCTACTGGCTTTGGTATCTCTGATCCAACACAAGCCCCCCCCAGTTCCCCAAATCCCACAATCACAGTCTCCACAGCCACTTGCACCCCAACGTACGGGGACAAATCCATTTTCTCGCACTTCATTGATGCCACAGAACAGCGGGAGCCGTCCTCAGACAGCACCCTTAAGGCCTACGGCAACAGGGACCAACCCCTTCCGGCAAAGCCAGTTTATTAACCAGCAAACCGGACAAGGGTGGCATATGAGCGGGCAGCAGGGGACGATGGGGGGGATTGGAACAATTGGAGACCGTGCCCGTCTTTCCACGCCCGGGTATGGCTTAGCTAAATGTTTCGTGTTCGACAGTACGCTTTGAAGGCTAAATCCCCCACCCTTTCTCATATGCGTCCGCTTACCTATCATTCGCGATGGCGCCTCGATTTATTCTATCCTATTTTGCTTTCTTTCTCCTTCAATCGTGTCATCTTAAGACTCTTGTGTTGAGCATAAGATTTTACGCCCGTCCGGCTGGGTCTGCACTGCGGGAGCAATTGTCGTGTAACGCTATCGCGATGATTCCAATATGTTAGAATAAGCAAGTTGAAACGTTAGAAGCATTCGATAGGCAATGATATTCGTAATTCTTATGCCCCTTCCCCCCTATTTTATGTGGAGAATGGTCTCATTCCCTGCTTTCAATACCTTGAGCCTGATGCACCTGCTCGAAAACCAACCTGATCGGGACAACCTGACAGGGGGGCGCACGGCTCAATGCAGGGGCAAAAAAAAGTACATTGCTCTGCATACAAAGGATTGCGCATGAAATACGACTAGTAGCCTGATGTCCAGGAGGTGCCCCGCGTGTAGCCTAACGGCTTTTACGAGTCATCGATCTCGGCATTCAGATCTGAGGTCGGGCGCAACTCCTGGAGGATTTGGGAAGTCCAGGCGCCTCGTCGATGGACCAATCGTCCGCCCCCGCGGGCTCGGGCTGAGTTGCGCCTCCTCTTTACTCTCCAGCCCACGAGACGCCACGGTATAATTTAAGACCAAGCCTCAAACCTTTTATTGTGATAGCCGTCCTAGCGTCATAATCTTATGATACGCCGCTGATGATCTACGAGTGCAAGGGTACTCCGTACAGTAAGCGAAGACGCGGATCCCGTGGGTCGCAAGGCGCAGGGCTTTTGCGGCGTAAAAGATGGCAAGCTTGTATCAAACTAAGTTGCGAACCGACCGCTTCCTCCCACTGAGGAATCTCCATATTTGGGCGTTTGGGTGTACAAAAGATGCTGTTCACCACATGGAGTATCTCCACCTGGAAGACACTGCTAGAACGGATGTACTCGTGCTCGCATCACCACCTGCTGCTCCCCGACGTTCGTCTCGCTGTTGCTCCACTCTTAACGGCCTTAAGAAAGTCTAGATCCAATAGATGCAGCCGGGCGTAGTCGTGCATCCCACTAGTGCGGCGCAACTCATGATTCGCCCACTGCCTCGATAAACGTGAAGAACTCAATTTCCTCAGGTTCTAGTTATCGCGCTTCTGGCTAGTTGTCAAGCCCCCGCTCTCCCCCTTCCCCCTCCCCAGGGTTCATAACGAGGCTCTTCTCCTCCTTCTCCTGCTCACCTCCCCGCTTCCTCGCCACCCTCCATGCCAGTGCTTGGTCAAAGCTCTTATCATGGACGCCAAGGGACCTTTCGACGGGCATGAGCGGACATTGCCTGTGCTGTCTCGACCTCCCGTGGAGTCCTGGCCGACCGGAGCGACCCCCCCACTCCGATTATTATGCTCTCCACAATTCGACTATAGCACCAGCAAACATCTCCTTTGACGCAGCCGTGCCCCCGACGACATACTCCGCAGCCGTACCGCCAGCGGAAGCCTCGACCCCAGCTCCACCCAAAGCCTCCGCGAGCAAAAAGGCCCAAGCCCCTGCAGCCTCCACTAGCGCAGATCACAATGCTGGCACCAAGGTTCGCAAGCAGCGCAAACCTGCCAATGCGTCGACGGGCAAATCGACTCTCTTCTGGGTCAATACGGACCCTGAGTCTGCCTCGGGAGGAACGAAGGAGGAGACATTGAAGCGTATCCGCTCGCATGTCATGTCCGAGCATAACCGCAAGAAGCGCCTGGAGAATACGAAGCGATATAAGAGTAAGACATGGAAGCATCTACCCTTCCAGCCCCCAGAACAGATCGCCGGGGCTATGGGCCCGCCGCGTCCGCCGCCAACAGTGCCGTTGACTTCCCCGTCTTCGCGGCCGCGGTCTGGGTCCGCCTCCGGGTCGGCCTCCAGTCATCGGGGCTCCTACGTGGAGACCCCGGTGATCAAGTCGGAATTGGTTCCCGTGTCAAATACGGTCATTTATCAGACGCAGGCGATCGCCGAGACGGAGACGTGGGATGAACATAACTTGGAAGACTTTGACGGCGTTGTAGGATACCAGCCGCAGGCAACGGCGCCCCCGGTGTGGACATATGTGGGACCTGGTGCCCATGACCCTTTTAATACAGGGCACACTCAACTTACAGATAGGATGATGCGTCATTTGCAAAATTGTAAGCTTTATATACGACTCAACGCATGCGCCCGCCCCCCCCACTAACGGTGATGTAGTCCTCTCGGAATTAACACAAGAGGCTCATCCCCTACAAATGCGATATAAACCAAAACTCCAGGCACATTGGTCGACACTCATCCAGCGCGACCCTGCTATCCTACACGCGACGATTTGCATGTCCACGTCCAATGCAGCTATGCAACGGGGTGAGCTGCCCATTCGAGATCCCAGCCAACATCGCAGTGCGCTTGTGGTTGATACAATTTACCACCGCGGCGAAACCATCCGATTGGTAAACGAAGGTCTATCAGACCCGGTGAAAGCCTCCAGTGACGAGCTGATCGCCGCGGTGTCTACGCTGTTAATAATCGAGGTACGCTCATACCTTAGGAGTCCAAAAGAATCAAAATAGACTCTTTGCTGACGCTTCGCAGATTGCATCGGGCAATCCTGACTATCTGAAGATCCATCTCGCAGGTTTACGACAAATGATCGGCCTGCGGAAGAATTTCGCAGACGTCCCATCGGATGTCCGGTTCCAAATATCCTGGTTGGTCTCTCTTTGCTTGTCGACATTTTGTTGAAATAGACTGACCTCGTCCTCAAAAGGACTGATATACGCGTCGCTTGTATGGCTCTCACGAAACCTATATTCCCCTTTGTCCGATCCATCCGGCCTGCGGGCTTTGAACTCTTCCCACCCAACGATGATGTTGCACTACTCGCAACTCGGCTATACCCGCTGATGAAGATCCCAGGCATCTTCAGCGACCGCTTCTCCCAAATCCTCAAGGACCTGGTCGAGCTCTGCTGGTACGCAGAATGGATCAAAGGCACCACCGCCTACAGGGAATTCAATGACGAAACTGAAGACTACTTTAACTTTGAAGTGCTCTCTGTCGAATACGCCCTTCACACGGACCGGTACACACCTACCGGCCAAGCCAAGGGTGACAACTCCATCGAGGGCTGCACCCGCCTCGCCTGTCTCTGCTTCCACAACAGCGCCATCTGGAGCTTCTACCCCATGATGGCCCCTCTCCTCCCCAAACCCATTCTGGCTCTGCGCACCGCCCTGGAAGCAACCATCCCGAATCAACTCTTCGCGCTCTGCCACGAACTTCTTTTCTGGCTCCTCTTTATTGGCGCCGCCTGCAGCCAAGTCATGCCCGCTGAGCGGTCGTACTTCGTGTCGCAATTGGCTGCCGCCGCCCGTCTGCACCGCATTAGCACTTGGCAGGAAGCTCGTGTCATCCTACTAGGCTTTTTCTACACCGACCGTGTACATCTTCCCATGCTACGCCAGATCTGGTCCGAGGTCCAGCTGCAGTGGGATCTGTCGCCGGTGTGATCGAATAAGCTGGCAGCCTTGGAGCTGCCCTGTCTGTCCCCACCATAATGTAATTCTTATCTCTTTCTCCTCCGTAGTAAATACCCGGTTCCACTGGGAAAATGGTGGGGCCTTCTCCTGGCTTTGAATTTGATACTGTACACTAGAGCGGACTTGAACAGTCCTTTCTCTTGAGTTTTTGAGTTTTCTTTTGCAAAGGAACGGGCAGGTCCCGGCTACTAGTAATGGATAGTGTGAATACAGCTCATGGATCGCCACAGCGTGAAGCTCTCTTCCCCCTTTCGCCGAAGTCTCTGCAAGAAGCTTGCCCACCCTTCCCTACACTATGATCAGCAATGAACGATCCCGTCCCATTCCCGCATAGTAATCACCGGACCCTCACCGAGCTGGGGGCTCAGACCAGCCCGTGTCAACATCTCCTAGCAAGAAATGCCGCAGCGAAGCAAGTCCGAGTCTCCGCCGACCCACCCAGCGCCGAGCGTGGCCGAGCTTCCCCGTCGGCTGGAACTCGGAAAGTCATTATAGGGCGTTTCGAATTTCTTAAATGCTCCTCCCTAGTATGATCTCCTTTTCCATTTTATTTCAATTTTGAAAGTCCTCTTTTTTCCCTTCCCCCTCTCTCTGTCCCCGTCTTTCTTACCCTCATTATGATATTTTGCCTGATTTTTGGTGAACTATCTAGCCTCACCCTTGGCGGCGAACCTCAACTCTAAAAAGCTCTGGATGTCACCTACTTGGCAGTCGTTCTCCGTGATTGGCAAGGCAGAAGCATGGCTACTTTTCGAGCTTTTTAGGAGGCAAGACCACATTGCTGTGTTGCGTGCTATTAGCATCGACACGGTTAAAGATGGGATCATCGCAGCAGGGACCTCAGGACGGGCTTCGGAGCTTACATGCTCCTGCCCTTGCGCCATTGAACCGGCTAAACGGGGCATACAATGAAAACACAAAACACTGCAAGAGTTCTTTCCCTCTTTTATTCGAAGCTCTGGAATACCTTGGACATGATACCGAATACAGGTCATCAACTAGAAGGTTCTCTCTACAGGTACGCAAGACTGTCATGATCATAAGATGTGGATTATTAACTAGGCATAAAGACAAGGCAAGGAAAGTAGATTCAAGGAAACACGAGGACCGAATACGATCCCCCATTACACCGAGCCGACGAGGGAAAATAGATCCCAATTTCTGCCGAACCTGAACTGTGGCTATACAAGGCCCGAGAGCGTTGTCCGCTCACGGGAACACGCAGAGAGAGCCATCACCCTCGCAGGAGACGACAATCCAGAGGCGGGTATCAGAAAGACAAACATTTACCAAGCGACATTACATCACATCACTGCCTCTTCACGTCTACGAGTCAAAGCGAAAAAAGAACGCAGCGCACTCTAAACGTTCTCGCGCGCGGTCTTCTCGCGGCGCGAGCGACCGGTCGGAGACCAGGGGAAGTGGGCAACAGGGGTGATGAAGAAGCTGTTGCTGGTATCGGCAATACCGGCCAGAGCGTTGTACCAGGCGGCGAATGCAGCCAGCAGGCCGAACATACCACCGGCCTTCTGGATCCTGGAGTCGGGGGCGTGGCCGTTGCCCTGCAGGTAGGAGATACCGAGCAGGAGGAAGGTCAGGTCGAGGAAGAAGAAGAGCAGGAAGAAGGCGACGGTGGACTTCAGGGTGCAGAACAACAGAATGGTGGTGAAGATAAACCATCCCATCAGGAAGAGGCCCATGGAATGGTTGAACTCCTCGGAGCTCAAGCCGCCGAGTTCCTCGCCGATTTCGAAGCCGCCGGGGGTGAGCACGATGGCGAAGGCGATCCAGAAACCGCCGTAAGAGGAGAGAGCGGTGGCACCAAAGGTGTTACCGACGGCCATTTCCCTGGGTGGTGTGTTAGTGGGTTCGTCTTGTTGTGGGAGTGGCTGAGGGGTGGCAAGGAGCTTCCCCCCGTCCTATCCAATTCATAACAGTGACTTTCTCGCCTCCACGCCTCCCCACTTCGCTTGGGTCTGGGTATCGATTGGATAGGACTGGCAGAGCTTTGCTTTTGTTGTCAAGGATCGCGGGGTCTCAAAACGTACCACATGCCAGCAAGCAGCTGGACGAGACCGCCATAGCCGAAAGCGAGGCCAACGACGATGTTAGGCATGGAGAGATCAGCAGCGCCCATGTTGATGGCGCTGAGGACAAAAGTGGTGAGGGCGAAAGCGCTCAGGCCAAGAGGAGCAGGATTACCGAACTTGCGCTCCTTGACATCTCTGTACAGACCGGGCTGGAACTCACCACCGAAGGGGCGGAGAACAGCATCGCTGGCGTTGACGTGGGCGAGAGGTCCGTAACCGAAGCGAGCGGCCGCGCGCGCGACAGAGTGCTCTTCCGCCGACATCTGAGGGTAGACAGAGGCCCCATTGTCTTGGGCAGAAGACCCGACGTCCTTCTCGAGGGCGCCATTGTTTGTGGCGTCAGTTGCAGACATTGTTTTTATATTTTTCCTTTCCGAATCGAGGGATTCAGCACAGGTTTGGGAGAAGATTAAGGAATTGGGAAAAATAAAAGGTAAGAAGGGAAGTATCCAGCTCGCTGGACAGAAAAAAGAACCCTTACGATATAACTCAGTTATACAAGGGAGGGACAACGATCAAATCACTAGCCTCACAGCGCTGCTGGACAGGAAAGATGAAGATGGGAAAGAAAGGTGTAAGGGAGGCGGCCACGGGAGCTAATATATCCTTAACTTGCGGGTGTCCAGCTCGGCAGCACCAAGGTGATCTGAATCCGGTCGCAGGAACAGGGACCATGAACCGCTACCCCGAGAAAGAAAAAAAAAAGAAAAAGCCAAAAAAGACCAGAAAAAAAGGGATAAAAAAAATATGGAAAGCACAAGTGGAGTCCGCGACAAACTTACTTTTGGGTTCAATTAATTGCAGTGATGTGCAGGCTCAGCCGGGCTTAGTCCCACACTAGCAGAAGTTATTCTAGCCGACCCCAACTCTCCCGAAACAGCGAAAGCCGCGCGAGGCAGAATTTGGAATCCAATGAAGCTCGAGGACGGATTACGGGGGCTACGAGGGGACTGCACGGCTAAATATGCGACCGCTGGCGAGTCGACGGACTCTACGCTCTGTGGCAGCAGACGTGCATGGGGGCGTGTGCGAGGGAGTCGGCACCGTCTCAGAACGAGTGCCGAACGGAAGCAAAAAGACCCACGAATGGCAGACATACGAACAGGGCACGGGGGTTGCGGGCCTCGGCCAATGACGAGAGCGCCCATGCCAGGACTCAGCGGATCCCGGGGAAAAGGAGCAAAGAGGCAAATGAAAGAAAGACGCTCGGAGTGGGGAAGGATCCGGGGTTCCCACAGCCACTTACACGCTGAACTTCGATCGCCGGGAGCTGCAGATTCCTCACGTCCCAGCTCCCAAATTTCGCGGAACATGGTTTCTGTCCACCGATCGTGAGTTGGGACCGACACGGGGTTAGGGAAAGTGCAGGTAGCACAGTGGAGGACAATGGAGTGAAGCTATTATTATTCGTCTCAGGTATTGCTTGGATCGCGCAGCTGCTCTAAGCCGGAGTTGGAGTCGGTGGCAGCAGCTTAAGAGACTAGTAGGTACTAAAAATGCTGCATACCACATCTCCTTCCACTCCTCCCGCTTTCTCCGCCTCCTGATTGGGCTCTGCGGTGATGTTCAGATCAACGGGGGAGAAAGTGGGCCCACCCTTTGGGGAAGCTGTGAAAATTATGACCACCGACAACCGTGAAGGGAGTGGGATGGGGTGGTCCCAAAGTCCCCGTTGTCCGGTGTGCACTCTCATTCGGCCCGCTAGCAGGGGTGGGGGGGAAAAAAAAAAGGAGCCCGACCAGGGTGGCTCTGAAAGAATTGGTAAGACCAACCCTTGGAAACAGTACAGAATCCGCTAGGATTCCTGGGGAATTGCAAGCATGTGCGATCTCTGGGGTAACTAGACGTGCTTGTTGATCCGTGATCCGTCCAGCGGGGAAAAAGGCAATCCGAGGATACGTTGAGCGCCTTGCAGCCTCGGCTGAAACTCACTACTCACCCTGAATACTCCGGCGGCCGATCGACCGGTCAAATTGGCGGTCGCGTACAGTATGTTTCATGACAAATACAGTTGCAATACGGGGGGAGCGTTCGCTTTGCCCTTCTGGTTACGGTGATGTCTTTTCACCCCAACCCCAAACTGGCATCGGGTGATACGAAACAATTACGGGAAACGTTCCAGTTACAAGTGGAGTGTGACCATCAAATCTGGTCAAGGCTTGTTACGACGGTCTCGCAGCAACTGTTTCTACTCCGTAGTCCATTGTACATTTGACAAGATACATATTGATGCAGACACGGCACGAGCGTCAAGCCCTGGTCAATTGACTGTGCAAGCGCGGCACACGGGAACACCCTCCGCGCGCGCTAAACCAGGCCTGGTTATCCATCCGGCAACGGTGGGGAAGCTTGGGATCGTATTTGCAGCCAGGACTCTCGCACCGCGCATCCAGAAGTAAAGCATCTCGGCTGCGCTGAAGGTAGCAGACTTGCTAGCAGGTGTTGCTCACTACATGACAAATGCTCACTACAAGCAGCCTCACGCGAAAGGCACCTGGGTGGATCATTGTAAGAGTAGTTCCCATTAGAATCTCACTAACAGCGTAGAAGGTCCACAGGCAATGAAAAGGAGGGATCCGTGTTGCTTTGGCCTGCGGCAGGCCCTTCGCGGCAGGAGGCCTTCTGTATCAGATCGACTTCAGCCGGAATCGGGAAAATGCCTGAGACTCGCAGCGCCACGGGAGAATCGCAATCTCGCATGGTCCCTCTTGTCCCGTGCGAGCAATTGCCACGGTGTGACCGTGGTTCTGAGCGAGAGAAGGAGTTAGCTGATTAACAGGCATGAAGTTCTCCTAAAACCCTGTCTGGATTGGCCCACAGCCCTGTTGAACTGGACACGTGGTGTGCTAATGGAATGTCAGCATGGAATGTCAGCCACTAACCGTTTTGGTGCAGGGGTGCATCGTGAAAGCTTGGGGCTGTCAATGTCTCCCCATCTCCAAGTATCAGCTCCAGATTCAATACGGGTGTTAAAATTACACGTGGTTTTTATTGTTTGTATGTGTACTCCGTATATGTATATGAATTGTAATCATGCCAGGTTCTGTCCGCGCGCTAGGAAGAGTCTCTGCATTCTGTCGATGACCGCCACGTCAAGTACATGAGTACATCCCAGACACACAAGCATAGCACAGCCCACGGGCTTTGACATATTCCACTCGCATTCTTCGCGAGTCCAGAGCATTCTCAATGTCTGACCTACCATACCGGGGGCGGGGGGGATGGAAACCTGAATTTCAAGAGTGTCCAGTGAGCCCGCCAATCCTCCACATGACTGGCTGCCACATCGGCAACCACGAACCATGCGGTCCACCCAGACACAAAGATGCCTTGGGTCCAGCCAACCAGCCAACTGTGCTCTGGAAGACTCGGCCATACGCAGCGCTGAACCTAAATGCCGTGCGGGGAGAGCTTCAGTCCTCCATGAAGAGAGCTGATCACACGTCATAAGCAGACCCAGAGCTACAAAAGCCGAATGATAAAACTGAGCGAGCAACTGCAGATCTTTGCAAATCTTTCCAGAGGCAGCATGGCCGTCTTGCCTTTTCCCCAGCATCATCTGGTTTCGAGGGGCCCCGCAGCCGTGACGCGGGGAGCGGACTTGCGGGACGTGGAAGCTAGTTTTGGGTTGCAGACGCAAAACCGAGCAGCGAACCAGCATGCGTCACGCGCGCCGGGAATCCGGCACGAACAGCGTGAGCCCGCGGATTTGGGACTCTGGCCCACCCTGCGCTTCCATGATTCGAACTCTTTACTGCGTATTGATCGAACTGGTAGCCGAGTCCATTGTCCCCACTCGCAACCGATGCAAGTTCCCTTTCGGCTCGGCGGAGCGGAGATTCGGTTATGCGATCATCGGGTTACACTTGGTGCCGAATCCTGCGACTTCAAGGACCGGGGATTTCCCCAACTCGCGGGGACTGAATGCGGGGTTGATGTCATTAGGAGTGCAATCAAGCACCCCCTAGTCGTGCTCCAGTGCGCCAGGGAAGGCCAATGGGAACTCTATTGAGGGGAACTCACTGAGCTTACCATATGCAGCCTTATCGCTGTTCCGTTGGAACGGATCCTGCGATCCTTCGACTAGAGCACTTCTTCTCCACGAACAGCATTTCATAAATTAGATCATCTTCCTGATCCTTCCTGGAACATGCCACCTTGAGACAATTGGATACTCGATACCTAACGGAGAAGGATTCAGTCGAAGCGATGAGGTCATCGATCCCTGTGGCGCTAGATCCACGGTCGCCGGGAAGTGCTCCCGGTCAGGAGCTCAATGCGCCCTTGGGCAGCTCCAAATCGATGCTCGATATCTGGGGAGCCGGTATGAATTGCATGAGAGAGGGCAAGCTAACATAATGGGTTCTAGTTCAAGCCATTGCTACAATCTCAGATGAGCCGACCGTTCTCCCATCGCTGGCTCCGACTATGCTTGTTTTTACAAGGGTAGCACGAATGATGATTTCAGAGAAATAATTGTGGTCGTTGGTGATAAGCGTGTTTGGGACAAAGCGGATGTATTTCTTGAATGCTAGATCCTTTTCTATGACACGTTGTTCGGGGTGGTCTGCGAAACCGGTCTCTAGCATCCCATGGGGACTCGGTTTCTGGAGATCTGCTATGCTAAAAAGCAACTCCCGAAGAACTAGTGGTGACCAGTTGTGGAAAAGATAAGAGCCTAGCTGGAAGAAGGGCGTTCGACCCTTGCCTATGAGGTCTTGGCGTCAATGGGCCTGGATTCCATCCAAAAGTCACGTTTTCGGCCTGGGTGTTTTTACCAAATCTGGTTCCTGGCCATTCACGTATTTCCGAGTTAAGTCGGGTTTGACTCTTGAGTTCGCCACTGGAGCCAAAGGGGAGCTTAGGATGATTGTTGCAACCCATCGGGTCATGAGAGCATGTTGCCCCATAATTTTGACTTGCGCAAGCTCTTGCGAACCATCGGTCCCTGCCCCAATCAGCGGACGTCTCTCTGCTCCTGCCTCTTGCAGGTTGAGATATCATGGTAGGCAGTAGCCGGTGTTTTGCTGGAATGCCGCCAGCCAATCAACTTTACCAACATGGCTCAAAGCTGCAGAAACCGGTTGGAGTTCTATGGACTGTTCTCATAATATTGCCGGTTGATACACTCCATGTGCCTGCTCTACTATCGACCAGACGTGCCATTCGACACCCCACTGAACATAGCGTTTTCAGTAGCCGGTTTCCCGGTGTGCTTTAACAGCCCGAAGCTCTGAATGCAGAGCTTCGAGGGTCTTGCTGGTTCTTGGCCTTTTTGAAAGCCACTGCTTCTATTGTCCTTTGGTACTTTTGGCGCATCAGAAGAAGTCACGGATGATACCCAATGTGGGGTCGTCTCTATCAAGCACTTATCTCTTCCATCCAGCCTAGAAGACACTAACGCGCACTACCTTCCTTATCAGGTCTAACCATCAATCGCAAGGCCTTGCAAACGAGGTCTGTTTATCGGTGGCCTTATCTGTATTTTCACTGTTGGCCTTGCGAACGGACTAGCTCCGGTACTCATTGGCGGACTAAACCCCGTTCCCCGCACGGCATCTCGCGAGAAAGAGCTTCTTGAAGGGGTATCGCGGCGGCTGTTATCAGTGCAGAGCGGCAAATCGGCGCTCTGGTCAAAGGGCTGCGAATGGCTAAGTATGGCATTGCTGCGGTTGAAGACCGTATTTAGAGCTGGGGAACCTAGCTTACTTCGAGTCGTTTTGCTCTATCTATCTCTAGTGCAGACTGCAATTGACGGCTTTCATTCATGATACATCTCCTACACTTCCGTACACGGACCTTCTAAGATATGGGATCCCCTGACGAGCGAGGGCCATCGGTCGCCACTGAGTCTGTCGGTGACATCAAATATGCTTTGGTAGAAGGCAAAGCCGACGCGGCTCTTGCGTTCTTGCACTCCGAGGGTACCGCGGCTGTAGTTGATATCAATGAGAAAGCCCTTGTGCGGAAGATTGACTGGATGATCGTGCCCCTGATGTGGGCGGCTTATAACCTGCAATATCTGGACAAGGTGTTGAGTAGGTCGTTCGGAATTTCCGGTGTCTTGTGGCCACTGGAGTCGCTAATTCGTGGGAAGTTAACTATGCGTCTGTCATGGGGTTGCTCCAAGATACCAACATGCGCACCAATCAATACTCGAACCTCACGCTGGCATTCTATGCCACCTACTTGGCCTTTGAGCTCCCCACGGGGTACTTGATGCAGCGGCTACCTACCGCCAAATATTTGGGCGTGAATGGTATGGATTCCTCAGACAGAGGCTTAGGCGTGCAACTGAACTAACCGGGCTAGTTACGCTGTGGGGACTGATGACCACACTGAACTGCTCTGCACAGAACTTCGGGGGCCTCATGACTCTGAGAGTACTCCTGGGTTGCTTTGAAAGCGCAATTGCCCCCGCGTAAGCATGACCCACGCCCCTGCGGCCGATCCACCACTGACACCTGAGTAGACTGATCCTGATCACTTCCATGTGGTATAAAAGAGACGGTGCGTTGGTATCGAAGCATCGAAGACCTCAGGCCACCGTGCTAACTGACTCCCTGCAGAACAACCCACGCGGATGGGTATCTGGTATCTGGGTACAGGCACCGCGTCCATCATGGGCGCACTCGTTGCCTACGGCCTCCTCTTCTATACCGACCATCGGTTCAAACCATGGCAGGTCATGTTTCTGATTTTCGGACTCATTACAATCGCCACAGGCATCTGCATCTTCATGTTCCTGCCCGACAACCCCATGACCTCTCGACTCACCCACGAAGAGAAGATCCTGGCGATCGAACGCCTCCGCGATAACAAGACCGGAATCGAAAACAAAAACTTCAAATTCAAGCAATTTGTAGAAGTCTTCCGCGATCCGCAAACCTACCTAATCATACTCGTGGTGGTGGCATCGAACATCCCCAACGCCGCCGTGAGCAGCTTTACATCCCTGATCATCGAAAACATCGGCTTCAGCAAGAAAGAGACAGAGCTCCTGAACATCCCCAACGGCGCTGTCAGCATAGTGAGTATTCTGACCACCACATACTTCGCCGGCCGGTATAACCAGCGGTGTTTATGCGCAGCCGCTTCCTTATGCGGTGGTCTGCTCGGAGGCTGCCTGCTTGCGTTTGCACCAAAGGAGCAGAAAGCAGCTCAATTAGCAGGGAATTATCTCACCCAGATCACTGGATCCTCGTTGCCCGTCCTGTACTCCATTGCGGGTGCGAATACGGCGGGTCACACCAAGAAGGTTACCATGAACGCGGTGTTGCTCATGTCCTTCTGCTTGGGTAACATCCTGGGCCCGCTTACGTTCCGTACGAAGGACGAACCGAATTACATCCCGGCGAAGATTGCGCTGGTGGCGACGATCTCGGTGGCGATTGTTTTTGTCGGCCTGCTGAGGGTTTATTATATGTGGGAGAATCGGCGGAGGGATCGACGCGCGGAGGGTGGTGAGCATCAGGAGAATTCGGAATTCCTGGATATGACAGATAGAGAGAACCGGGAGTTCAGGGTAAGGATTTCTCGTTCAACTACGCAAGACGGACGCTGACAACTCATAGTACAAGCTGTGATCCCCATACAAGTTCGGTGGATGGGCCTAATTGTACTACGGCGCGCTGGGCTACGCAGCTTCTTGGTTTTTGGGGAAAGAAAGAAAGAAAGAAAAAAAAAAACAAAAAAAAAAAACACAATGTTGCCGGTTATCGATGCGATGAATATGTAAATGATGTTAATTATAAAGCTCCAATTACAATTAGCAAATGCAAGCCCGCTCCAGTAGATCTAATCTAAAATGTCTAATACAGTGCTCTTGCTCAGTCATCTCATGCAAGGCCGTCAACGGTAGAGGCCTTGAACTCCGCGCTGAACTCGTAGTCGATGTAGCCCTTCGGACTCTTAGGAACATAAAATGTGTCTCGGTCGTAAGGCGAAAAGGCGATGTTCTCCCTCACACGGAACGGCAGGTCCGGGTTTGAAATAAAGGATCGCCCAAAGGCAACCAGGACATCGTAGTCCTTGTAAGTGACATCAGCGCTTTGGCGAGCCAACTCAGGCGTGTAGCCACCAGCAAGGATGACAGGACTAGCGCGAGCATACGCCTCAAGGAAGAAACGCAGATCGTTCTTGGTGTCAGTGTCGGCATCCGTATTGCCATCTACGCGCGGTTCCACGAGATGCGCATAGGCAAGTTTGAAAGGCGCCAACGCCTTTGCGATGTGCGTGAACTGCGGCAAGGGGTCTTCCATGCCCATCTCTTGAAAATGGCTGAACGGGCTCAGCCGGAGACCCGTTCTATCAGTGCCAATCGCCCCGCTCACAGCCCGAACGACCTCGAGCAGAAACCGAGACCGGTTCTCGATGCTACCGCCCCACTTATCAGCGCGCTGGTTGCTGACATCTTGGATGAACTGGTCGATGAGATAGCCGTTGGCGCCGTGGATCTCCACGCCATCGAACCCGGCCTCGATGGCGTTGCGAGCGGCCTGTGCATAGTCTGCGATGAAGGCCTCAATCTCCGCCTCAGTGAGAGGATGGGGCTTGGGGGAGCCGCTGACGGGGATGTCGCTGGCTGATACCAGATCCAAGCCTTCACTGGCGAGAATCGCCGGGTCGGCCACACGGCCGAGCGCCCATAGCTGGGCGAAGATGTATGACCCCTTGGCGTGTACGGCGCTGGTCACCTCTTTCCACCCACTAATCTGGGCGTCGCTCCAGAGTCCAGGAACGTTATTGTAGCCTCCAGCGCGAGGCGAGATGAGGGTTGCTTCGCTGATGAGGAGGGTTCCAGGGGTGGATCCTCGCTGCGCATAGTAGTCCTTCACGTAAGAAAGTGGAACGTGATTGTCGTCGGCTCTGAAGCGCGTCAGGGGAGCCAAGGTGATGCGGTGGGAGAGTTGTGTGCGGCCAACATGGAGGGGCTGAAAAAGCTTCGACATGATGGGGGGATTCGGGACGGGTGAACTTTTCAAACAATAGTCTAGTCTGTGAAGAAATTGGAATTCTCTACAGGGTCTACATTCGATACTTTTATACGACAGCCTGGTGGTGCAATCCTGATAGCCATTCTGAAATGGGTACACTTCTTGGTGGAGTTCAGACGATTCCCGGACTTCCCGGGTATGTGATGGATTTATAATTGAATCCACGAATCCAGTGGCTAAGCACAGAACAACAGCTGATAAATCAAGAGGCACAAAATCCATGGATCTAAGGGCACTAGGAACTACTCGGCCTCGCACGGCCCCACAAAAAGAAAAAAAAAATTCATAATTCGACGCGATCGATATTAACTCCGTTCCCTGGTCCGGCCAGGAAGTTCTCCTCTCTAATAAAAATGGCTACGATGGTATCACTAAAGACGAGCATGAATAACTAGCTCCACCAGACGCCGATGCTAAATCAATCTCCACAAAATGTGCCTGTACATCACCCTTACCCCTCTAGCTGGCGCGCTGTAGCCTCCAATTGCGCATTGAAAGCACGTATCTGGTTCAGCAGACCCCCCCCGAGCGCCAGGGCCCTGGCTGCTCACATCGTCGGCCACACTGCGGAGCATGAACTCGAGATCGGCGAAGGAAGGATCTGAACCTGAAGATGTCTTGTTCTGGCTACGATCAAGTGCGAGATCCAGGCTGTGGAGGGAATTGTTGATCGTGGAGCGGGCCTAGCATAAGACGTTAGATGTTGCTAGGTACGCAAACTCAAGGCCCAGAGGCCCATGGGTGGAAATACTCACTGTCTTCGCATTCTCCTCTTCCCTGTGCTTTTCACGCACTGCATCCATTTGTAACGCAATATGCTCGCGCTCTCGCCGGATCTTGTACAGATGGCTTCGCATATCCATCATGTCTCGTTTCCCTTTCTTAAGCTGCATGCCAAGGACGAAGTTGCTGTCGAGCATCTCGCTGAGATCCAACAGACGACCATCGAGCTCCGAGCCAAAAGCCTCGACAGCTTTCCGCTTGCGCGTCCATTCAGCTCGTCGGGTGGGGTTTGTCTCGTTGGCAATACCCTCTTTGAGTGTTGTTAAGGTTTTCTCCAGCGTCTCGCGGCAGATTTGACTCAAAACATCGGCAGGATTGACACCGCCGCGATTGGGCAGTCGGGTCTTATGGCGTGTGGAGAGCTCGTCTGCAGATTCTTCGTCTTCGTCTCCAGAGCCACGGGACGTGTAAATCGAACCAAGTGCAGATACATTGGCCAACCGGTGCACTGTGACAGGAACGGTTTCGCCCCGGGGCTCCCGATGCTTTCGGTTTGTCTCCCTAGCAACCGCTTCTGTAGGCTCTTCTGCGTCTGGTGAGCCCTGCTCGGCCGGGCGCTTGGTCTTCTTGGGTCGTCCTCTTCGTTGACCTCTTGCTGGCTCAGGCACTGGTTGCGACTCGGGTTCTTGTTCACTTGGTCTTTGGTCGTTCTTGTTGGACCTTCCATGCCGGGATTCTGATAGCCCGGCTGACACCTCAGCTTCGGGCTCTGCTTCGGAGGCAGGCTCCTGCTCTGGTTCCGCAGATTTTCCAGGTAGAGGATCGGGCAACTGGGATATCTTCGCCTTCTTTCTGCCGCGGCGAGGATTGCTCGCAGACGGCTCCCTTGTGAAGCCTACACCGTTGGTTGGATTCGTTGGCTGAGCGCTTTTTTCTGACACGTTGCCCTTTTTCCCACTAAGAGATGGCCGCCCTCGAGGGCGTTTAGCTTCCGAGATGGGCTTCGACCTGACTTCCTGTTGCTCTGGCTCTAGCTCCGGTTCTGGCGCAGGCTCCTCCACATGCGGTGGCTCGCGGCTGTTTGTGCCACTTTTCCCCTTGCGCTTCGTAGTCTGTTTCGATTTTACATTAGACCTTTGGGTTTCTTGCTCTCCGGTAGAGATAGGTGCATTGCCGCGCTCGGTAAGGGTCATTGGGGCATCGATGCTAGCTTCCTGGGAATCATTCGCGCTGTTCTGCGAGGATTGCTTCTTTTGCGCCTTTTGATCTTTATTGGCAGCTGGCGAAGTAGACTTCCGCGGCCTCCCCTTTGATCTTGGCTGCTCCGAACGGGCAGTCGTGTGTTCCATTTCCGCTGCCGGCCGAGCTTTGCGCTTGGTCTTCCTTGATGGCCCGGTTTCCTCGGCCGGCAGCTGTGTCTCGTCTGTTACAGTATTCAATGGGACTGTCTGGCCACGAAGCGCGTCATCTGGAATGGATATAGGCGCCGTCACCCCAGGGTTGTCCGGCACACCTTTTCCAGATTCTTGCTCGTGTGCCGATAATGGTGTAGCCTCCGACTCCCCTTGTGTGTTCCCCGCTATAGTCGGTTCAACCGGTAACGGTTCGGTCGGTGAAGGCATAAGGTGTTGGGCATCTGGCAAGATAGTATCTTGCGGTGATATTTCGGGTGCCGCAGTTGTAGCATCTGGCTCAGCTGTAGCGGTATTATGTGCAGTGGGGTTATTGTCATTAGGTCTGGGTTCTCGAGTGCGAGAGAATGAATCTGCTGGTTTATCTGGAGAGCCTTTGTCGCGTTAGTATGCTATCCGTAGCCCATACAGGTACGGTTCTATTCCACATACTGATCTTTCTTCGCTTGTTGCTCCATGGGCGCATAGGCCCATCATCAAGAGGTACATCATATGGCGAAGGGCGGGCAGGAAGTTGATTGCGCGCACTCCCTGGGGTACGCTGCGAATGTGTTGCGACCGTGGGTTCGGATTGCGAGGCATTGGGCGTTGTGGTAGGAGCTGCTTCTGATCGCTCCTCAGGTTCGGTAGGTGTCGCAGAAGCATTAGAATCTGGGAGACCAAGCGCAGGTCCCCCAAATGAGAATCCAAAATTCACTTCTTTTATTTTGCGCGTTCTATCTCAACGATTAGCCTTTATTGCTCTGTTATGGTTTCGCGGGGTAGATGGCACGCGTACCCAGCTCCGCGCTGCCGCATCTGCAGCCGTTCCTCTCGCGCTATAAGAAGTCAGCAAAAGTCCTCGTTCATTTATACCAGGTATGTGAACGCACTTCCAGCTTCCATTTTGGAAGAATGGCGTCGTGTTCGACGCGTCGGTGTTGATGCGGAAAGAGTTCAGAACGGCCGGCGGTCGGGCTCCAGTCGATCGGGGCCGATCCAATTTTATCCCAGCTTCTCCGCAACGTTGCGATACTTGACAACCATCAATCGATCGCCCTATTCATTCCAAATGGGTTGGCTCTGGGGAGACAGCAGCAAGGACCCTGTCAAGGAGCTTGATCCAAGCCTCCGGAAATATCTGGAGCAAGAATCTTCCGACAAGCATGTGCCAGCGCATGAAGTGAAGCAACCCTCGCCCGCTCCGTCAACACCACCGCAAGAGTCTGAGGATTCTTCGAAACCGAAAGTCCCCGCTGCCTCTCTATATCAAGATGGCCGATATGCGCACCTGTGGAAGACTTACAAACCCCCCGGTAGATGCGACCGACGAGAGCTCAGGCGTCCGCGGGGCGGAACGGGTGATTGAAAAGTTCAAAGAGCGTGGCGATACTGTGCAGCGTGCAGCAATGGAGAATTGTGCGCTCGAGAACGAGGCTTTGGCCTTGTGTTTCAAGACAGGCAGCTGGCGCAAGCAGATCGAGTCGCGATTGACCGCGTGTTCTGCGGAGAACCGCACTTTCTCTCGATGCTTCGCTACCCAGTCGGTAGGTTCCACACATTGCCACAATCCGAGGCGACGAGAAACTAATACTTGCCATCTTACAGAAATTTTTGCAGGCTCTCGGCTATGCAGCTTCCTTCGACGAAGACCCGGAGAGGGAAGAACGGATCCAATTACACGCTGACAAGCTGTACCACCAAATGCTTGACTATGAGAAGAAAGTAGAGGAGGCAAAGGCTGCTGGAGAACAGCCGCCGCCTATACGATCGCTATTCCACCCCGAATCACCACCACAGCCTGAGGTGCCCGCTGCCGAAAAGAAACCATACAGCCCCGTGGAGATCCCCGGCGGCGAAGCTATACCCGATGGGTTCAAACCTTCGAAGCCACTACACCAGCTCACGCCTCATGAGCGGGAATTGGAGATCAGACTTCACAATTCCCAAATTGAACAGCACAAGCTTTACGCCCAGGAGGCGAGCCCCTTCATGAAGGGTCATGATGAGGCCAAGGAAAAGCGACGAGCAAAGGCTGTCAGCTGGTTTGGCGAGACCATCGGCAATTGGATTGCATAATCATCGCAGGCATTCTTCCTCTGTACTATAACACTATCTATCTTCTAATGAGACATCTCGATTATGGCATGATCCGACAGGATCTTCGCATTGTGTGAACCTGAATTTGTCCGTGGATACTCCGGGGCTGATAGATCACCTGCGAGTGGGCACTCAAGTGCTGGCATGTCGCGGATGACCGTTCATCTATATATATACCTGGGCTCCCTCACCACTGGACGGCCAATCCCTGGAGTTCTCGAGTAACCGAGGTAACCATGAACTGGGTACCAGTACTAGTAGATTAAGTAGCAAGCAATGCCATGGACCGAAAAGAAAAGCTGGTGCGGAATCCTTGGGAAAGGTTGCGCCCCCTCGTGGTGAAATCAGCGCCCGCTGAGTGGCCCGCAATCTACAGTAGTAATCGCCCTCGTGTGTCGGTCGCGTTCCCGCGCAAACAACTCGAAGCATCATCGAAACTCTCCTCCTCCCCACCGCCCCCTCATCGTTCTTACCCCTTTTTTTGGGAAATCATTTCGACTCCTCATTGTTGAAGTGCTGTCTGTCTTTTCTTTGATCCTGGACCCTCGCCGAATATCCCCTTAGACTGACCCTCCACCCGCCGTCTGAGACACTCTACCAAGGGCTTGACGATTACTGACCTTTGGTCACTGTGGAATCAACCTTGAGAACCCTTTCTGCGACGCCGGCGGCCAAGGAGAACAGCTCGCGGAGCTCCAGGACTCATCATGAAGGCCTCCGCGTTGCTGATCTCATGGCACAATGACAATGTCCCCATCTATTCCGTCCATTTCGACCCCAATGGCAAAGGTCGCTTAGCTACCGCTGGCAAGTACGTACTCTCGAACACTTATTCGTTTATTTGAAGTATAAACTGACAATGACTCGTAGTGACAACAACGTTCGAGTTTGTCTCCCACAATCCCCATATCCTTCACTGCCTCGTCGACGGCTTCTGATCTGACATATCTATAGCTTTGGCGAGTCGAATCCACCGGCGAAGAACGAAAGATCACATACCTGAGCACCCTCATAAAGCACACCCAAGCAGTCAATGTGGTACGATTCAGCCCGAAAGGTACGACCACCCATAACCCCCATTGATTCACCAAAACATGACCTCACCTTTCGTATAGGGGAGATGCTCGCATCTGCCGGAGACGATGGGAACGTTCTGCTTTGGGTGCCGTCGGAGCTCCAAACCCAGTCGGGCCTTGGGGAGGATTCATCCGATGACAAGGAGACCTGGCGAGTGAAGCATATGTGCCGCTCATCCGGGGCCGAAATCTACGATTTGGCATGGTCGCCCGACGGGGTATTCATCATGACAGGCAGCATGGACAATATCGCTCGGATATACAATGCTCAAAACGGTATATAATGGTCCCTAGTCCGCCATGTGCGATGTATCATTGCTGACTCTTATCTCTCAGGCAAATGGTACGGCAGATTGCCGAACACTCGCACTATGTTCAGGGCGTTGCATGGGATCCGCTCAATGAATTTGTCGCCACGCAGTCCTCAGATCGATCGGTCCACATCTACAGCTTGAAGACCAAGGATGGCCAGTTCACCTTGACCCCGCACGGCAAGGTCCTCAAGATGGACCTGCCAGCCAAGCGCATCTCCTCAAGTAGTCCCGCTCCTCCAGACCCCGCCAACAAATCCCAGCAGGCCATGAACAGCTCAATTGCTATTGCATCCCCCGCGCCTTCTACCCCCGGTACACCAATGGCTTCTAACTTGCCAATGGATCCTCCCCCGGTCTCTCACAGCCGACGTTCATCATTTGGCTCTTCGCCGTCGATCCGACGCTCGGCTTCTCCAGCTCCTTCCCTTCCTCTCCCTGCTGTGAAGCCCATGGAGGTTTCATCTCCAAGTCTTTTTGGCGGACTCGGAGTAAAGAATGCCAGCATTTACGCCAACGAGACATTTACTTCCTTCTTCCGCCGGTTGACGTTTGCTCCCGACGGAAGCTTGCTATTCACACCAGCAGGTCAATTCAAGACGACTCATGTCTCACCTACCGACTCAACCAAAACGATGGATGAGATCATCAACACCGTCTACGTTTACACGCGGGCCGGCTTTAACAAGCCGCCAATTTCTCATCTTCCGGGCCATAAGAAGCCTTCTGTCGCTGTGAAATGTTCTCCAATATACTACACCCTCAAGCAAGGAACCCAGGCTGCGAAGAATCTCACCGTGGATACTTCGACTGGCGAGTCTATGTTCCCTCCCTTGCCTGACCCTGTTGTTCCGGGTGGGGGTATTACCAGCCAACCACATATGGATCCCCCATCTTCAACCCCTGCGAGCAGCGATGCGCAGAAATCCCAAAAGTCTCCAGAAAATAACACTAATGATGGAGGCCAGTCTCCAGCGCCAGTTTTTGCTCTGCCATACCGTATGGTATACGCTGTAGCCACCCAAGATGCCGTTCTTGTCTACGATACGCAACAACAAACGCCCTTGTGTGTGGTCAGCAACTTGCATTTTGCAACATTCACTGATTTGAGTTGGTCAAATGACGGCTTGACCTTGATTATGGGCTCATCCGATGGCTTCTGTTCTGCGCTTTCCTTTTCCCCTGGTGAACTTGGCCAGATCTACACAGGACCGACCGGGCCTAGTTCGAACACTGTCAATCCGGGCCCAGCATTAACGAACAACACCCCACTTCCTACACCGACACATGCTCCATCGCCTGTAAAGCCAACGCATGCTCATTCTGGGAGCAGCGGCGGGCCAACGGCTGCTAATCCTGGACCCGCGGGAGGGCCAGCTCCTCCTGCTAGTCCTGCACGATCCAACTCGGTTTGCTCGGTGGCTACTCAAGCCTCGGCCCAACCGCAAGCCCCTGTAGTCAACAACCCGACCCCGATACTTGGCTCGGTCCCTCTAGTGACAGCAACACATTCAGCGCAGCCCTCTGGACTGCCTCTCACCACCCCGCCACAAACTCCACTGCCATTAACAGGGGGGACGAGTACTTCTACTGGTAGCGTCCTCGGCAAGCGAGACATGCGAACAGCAAGCGAGTCCGAAAAAGAAGACAGCAAAGGACCGGACTCGGCGGTTCCAGCTCAACAACCGAAGAAGCGCAGAATTGCTCCTACTCTTGTCTCGGTCGACTCAGCGTCACCAAAAGAAGACTCCGTGTCATGAGCAATGGGAAATGATCTTACCTTCTAATAGTGCTTCACCCAGCCGCTTCATCCGATGGATGCTCGAGCGGAGCCTCAAAGAAAGCCATACCAGCCTCAAAGAAAGCCCCCCGAAGCCGCAAGGTCTCTGAAAGCTACCATCCGGGCTTGAGGGGTTTCCATCTCGCCATGTATTCTGGATCTTGTCCTTGTACCGCACCCTTACAGTGGCTTCATTTTCTTCTATCCCTGCCCCTTTTTACTCGATGCATACGTTAAGCACGAGTAATGTGATATTTATGGGCATTTGCTTTCACGGATCCCCATTTCTTCTCAGCGCAGCGTACCCAGCTGCCATCGGTTATGCTTGGAGTTTGATGCGATTTGATTCTCATGATCTTATCATGCCTTATCTGGATGTCTGCTCGTACTGTGCAGATATCCAACGTTTAAACCTTATCTTTGGTATTATTCCGCTTTCTCTATTCCCATATATGCGGCTACTGGTTGGTGGTTAGTGTCGAATGAGATTGAATTGTAGCAAAATTCAAAAACAGGAAAATCAATCCTTGAATGTCCTTGAATTATTTCCCCAGGAGATATACTTGTAATGCTAAGTAGGACCTTTTGTTGATACGGACAAACAGTGGGGTCCTTCACACTCGTGGACCCACGTCTTCTGACTACCTAATACGTACGTATGAGATGTAACTGTATCCATAATGCATATTCTGAAGTTATCCCGTGTGGCATACTATATATTCGATTTCCTGGGTTAATCCACGAGTGTCCATATTCCAGAGAAGGGATTTCCAAGTAGACCAAGGAAGAGAAGCAGAGGAGGTATTACCGAAAAGAAAGATCGAATTCGCGGGAAACAGTCAAAAAAGGAACTTGAAGACAAGAGAGGAATGCAAGGTGCAAAGACGGTGATAAGAATAGAACTAAAGCGGATAGAATCCCCGACAGCCCATTCAGTCCTTCCCCGGAGCCGTCAGTAGCATTGGCATCAGAAAGACTTTCTACGTTCATGAATCTGTGCCCCGCGAGGGACAACCAACAGCTTCAGTATATAGAGCAATTTCCAGCCTGCTGGTAACACAGCTTCTGCCTCTGTGGCATGTTTCCCCGTCGTCAGAGTTGTAACGGAGCGAGCTGAAGATTGCTCTGGTCCGTTCTCAGCACTCCGTACGGACGCTTCTTCGCCATGGAGAAGTTGCCGTGGCTGTTTCTCGACCAGTGACAGGCGATTAGCCCACCGGAACAATGACTCATCGCCACGAGTACTCCCTGAAGCAAATATGAAATCTGGTGCTTTGTCGGCCGGGATGCGAGTGAGTAGAGTCGAGGCAGCTTTGGCCTTTGATGCGGCTAGCGGCTCGACGCTCACTGCAGTGGTGTCGCGAACAATTCGGATAGCTTCACTGCCACGAGCGCCGTTTATCTGGTCGGCTAGTTCGGAGGCCTGGTGGGCCGCGATGTCTGGGTCCAAAGCGTGATCATAGTGGAAGGTTAGGGAACACTGGCGCTCTTCGATGGAGCTGCCGTCGGTGCGTTCTTGGAAGTATTCCATTACCTTGCGGATGCCGGCACGCCATGCACTGGTGCCAGTGACGTCGACGAGAGCTTCCCAACTGGTTGAGCAAGAGTTTAGTTTCACGAAGCAGCCATCCTCGGCGATAAGCCCGATATGTGGTGGAAGATTCTGTGCAGCTTCATCCATTTGCGCTGGACTGCGGTTGCTGGTTAAATAGATCATGTTACTGGGATCCGAAGCTAGCGTTTGAAGTAGGTCAGCTGTGTCTAGGGATATGGATGATTGGGTCCGGGTGAGTAGAGAGCCATCTTCAATGAAGAAGAGACGTCGGCGTGAGGCGTGGTAAGCTTCCTGGAATGCATCAATGCGAAGGGGAGTGACTGCTTGTGTGTCGCGAGACTGTTGCATGCTGTGAGCTTCATTGAGGGCGGTTTGCAGGGAAGAGTACCAAGCAACTGCAGAATAAGGGGTTTTTCGTTCCATAAGGAATTGCCAATTACGCTCTTTATGTTCAGAAGACATCCCCAGAGCAGTGTTGATAGCATCAGCACATTGCTTGTAGTCCCACGGATTGATGATGAGCTCATGGCCTTGGAAGACAGATGCGCTACCCGTAAACTCGCTCAAGATTAGAGAGCCATGCTTCTGGGCAACGAGCTGGCCGTCTTGGCAATGAATGAAATCGTGGCTGGTCAAATTCATCCCCTCGCGGAGGTTAGTAGCCATGTATATCTCCGCTACACTCAACAGAGCTAAAAATTGAGAGTAGCTGATGTCCTGGCGCAATAGGACCAGCGGAGAATGAGTGAGTGTCGAGTATATTGAGTTGATCCTCATCGCGACTTTGGAGACTTGTGCCTCCAGCTCCGGAACCTCCGATGCAGAAGACGCAATTTGAACAAGGACCACCTAGCAGGAATTAGATAATTTCCATTGCCCTTTCGACAGAAACTCACATTCTCTCTCCATTTTGGATAGTTCGCCAGAAACATCTCATAGGCCAGGAGTTTCTGTTTGATGCCTCCTGCGGCATCAAGCCTATCCCGGGCAACGATTAGGTGCTTCCCTTGATATCTTTCGGTAATAAGCAATATCCAGTCTTTTACTTCAATAGACTGACGAAGGACATTGAGTGACTCATAATCAATGCCCATCGGATAGCTTTTGACGTGCACCAATCGATCGTTGTATTGTACTCCATCAGCAGAGACTTCGAGTCGTTCAAGTCTGCTGCAGGAATGTACAAAGTGGTAGCAGTATTCGTCTGTTTGAAACCCGAGAAGGTCGGCACCAAGAAGCCCTTCCAGTAAAGCATCGCGCGGATTCAAACAGCGAAAGATCTCCGAGGAAGGAAAAGCCGTATGCATGAAGAAACCGATTTTGGCCTCGGGCAACCTCTTTCGTAGCATAGACGGGAGCACGAAAAGATGATAGTCGTGAACCCAAATGCAGTCCCCAGGTTTCCAATGTTGAGCGATTGTTTCGGCAAAGGCTTGGTTGACCTTGTAATACTGTTTCCAGGAGTAATCATCGTATTCATTGTGACGAGGGCTCTCTTGCATCTGATAGTGAAGAGCGGGCCAGAGTACCGAGCGACAGAAATGCGTGTAGTGGCCTTCGAACTCGCTATCACTGACGAATACCGTCAACGATTCGTATTCCTCCTGCAGGGTTTCGCTAATGAGGTCCCGCGTCGCATCGGGCAAAGAGTCGGTCGGCATGCCCAGGGTTCCAACCCACGTCTTCTGCTCCAAGATACCTGCATCTTCTGCAGCGTGAATGGCATTCTGAAGGCCTCCATGACCTTGTTCGGCGGCCTTCACGGCCCAGTCCTCGGCAGAGAGCAGCCCACGCGGACTCCCGTGTTCAGCGGGGGCTGGCCTCCCCGCTCCATCCAGGAATACAGACTCCTTGGAGCCTTTACTCGAGCTCGGTCGGCTGAGAATGGAAGGTTCAGGATGTGTGGTGGCCTTCGAGCGGGGCTGGTTGAACTTGCGGCTCTGTCCCCACGGCACGGCCCGGGGCTCGTTGGGCCCAGGGCCATTCGGATCATCTGCGATTGGAATCTCACCAGCGGATTGGGAGGCATAGGCCTTGAAGATTCGCTCGTCCTCTGTACGTGCACCAGGTGTCAGCTTCAGGCTCCCTGATCCGACCCGAGGCTTGCGATTGTCGGCCAGTCGCCCGATGATGGCCTGGCCGGGTCCATCAACTGAGGCGTAGCTAGGAGAGGATTTTCGGCGGTGTGGTGTCTTCGGCGTGGCTGACTGGAAGTCGATGGTGTATGGCAGAAACCTGCATGAGTGTCAGATATGGCGGGGTGCGGGGAAAGCGCGGGGGACCCAACAGGGACGCAATGAATACAGTCATCTTGGGGGACTCAAGACTACTTGGCTTGGATTATAGTCAAGAGATCGCAAGAGATATTTATAGAAAGCCGATGCCCACGGAGATGGTCTTGGAACCTGGAAAGAGGAGGTCATGTTGCAATGTCGGCCAAGGAATAGAGTTGCTGTGTTCCCTGTGCTTTGGTGCTTTTCTCCGTCGCTCCGTCCTTTCCCCATATTAGCTGCCCGGCCTTTGGATATACCTCACCACGCTATACCCGGTATTAGCCGCTCGCAGCGTCGGTTTACTGTGGTCCGGGATGTCTTGGAGAGAAATGGGAATATTTCTTGCATCTTTCTGGCCCGACGACTCCCGATGTAAGTTCTTTGCCGGGGCGCCGTGCATTATGTTGTCAGGCCAGGGCCACTAGCACTAGCATGAAAGCTGCATCTCTCTAGAACAACTACCACCTCGGAAACGTGGGAGTTCAATCTGGCATATGGGTGGCCTATCCTATTGGTGCTCAGAGCCGAACCAGCTGCGGATGCTTCGGAAATATCCTTGGATCATCAAAAACCGGACAATACAATGTTGACATGCGGTTGAGAGACGGCGGGAGATTCCTTCTACCCACTAGGCCCGGGTAGTTAGCCTCGGCTAAAGGGAAGAACAATGCGTAGAGGCCGGTGTTTTGTCGAAGAACTTCGGAAGGTACAGAAGTCAGCAATTAAGTTGCATTTCAGTGTCCGATCGGTGTCGAGAACCAGCTATCGAAACCAGTTAGAGGGTGCAACATTAAACTTCGACAGGAATGCCCTACAACAGTGATCTGATCGATAGGAGGCATCATTCCATCTCAAGTGCTGTTGAAGAGTGGTGGTCAGGTCATTCGTTCCAGGGATATTGTTCGAATGTCTCAGTGGGGTGTCTGTCAGGCTAGGAGTCGGTCAATGAGGGCCATGCTTCTGAGTTGCCGGTCGTGTAAATAAGATTGTCGGAATATCTGGTATTCTAAACTTAAGTTGATCCCCCGTGTCTTAGATCACGTCTCAGAGTTTGCAAATCATTCGGGTCTTTGCCTCTAGGCCCTAGGAGCGATGTCACCCAATAGATTCGAGCATATGGACGAGATATTCCCTACGCGTTGTCTTACGCAATGGACCAAAAGCTTGTGCACGACCTTACGCGGAGACAAGTCCCTGGACCCACCAGGCCCGTGCCGAGTATAGATACCGCTGTAGCTAGGGAGAACTCCTAGAATGATGTGCATCTGCCGATATACTCCATATCTGAAATTGCAGAGGGGAGAAACGGGTGAATCAATAGCAGGGATCATCGGTCGGTGAAGGGTCTGGGAGCCAACGCGCGTCAGGGCTGGTGAGGGTGGGGTGGCTGGACAATCAGCAAATGAGATTGGACTGACCCAACCGTTGCCCACTTATGATTGCGGCATTTGTACCGCCATCGGCACGCTCTAACTGGATTCGTCGAATGACAGGCCGGCTTGATATACGACATTAAGTTTGAGATGAGACTCTCACTTCACTCACCAGACTGGTGCGTACCTCGTAAAAATTCCCGCTCCTTCGCGTATACCTGCCCGATGATAGGAAACCTAATTGCCGCGTGGGAATCCTCTCGCAGCGAGACCCGCGCGCCGAAGCACTTGCCATATAGAGCCTAGGAATACGTATGTGATATGCATGAAGAGATAATGTGGTTACGTCTTATTGCACTCAAGTCGATCAGCTTACGCGGAGGGGATGATCTTATACACGAATGCCACCGAGTTTCAAACACTGGGAGCCACTCCATACATTGAGTCTGAATGCACGTATCTTGGATCAAGCTCCATCGACATCACTGAATTTTCTCGGATTAGTCTTTTATCAAAGCAAACTTCAGCTGCAGCCTTTCCCCACTCGGTGGGCCTCGCTTGCCTTGGCTCTTGCGTCGTGCATACAACTGATAAACGGATTGCGACATCTGAATCCGGTATCGGTATTTTGCAATTGCGCCACTCAATAGAGATCTCGGGTGAACTGAAGCATTTGAGGAAAAGAAAGTCGAATATGCCTTAGTAACACTAATATCAGCACATAGTGATCGGACATCGATCCCGAAGCCGGGTCGCGGATGTCCTAGCAAGACAGTGCTATATACTTCGGTACTCTCTTCCAGCACTTCGCACAAAAAGAGTTAAGACGGATTGGTGCGACCCTCGAAATTTGCAAAGTTGATATGGCCAATTTATCAGAACCCCAAGGTCCTGCGTCACACAAGTCTACTCAGGTGAGAGGTACTGAGAGAAGTGAACGGCGTAGATGAGGTGGGCCGGTATAGCTCGAGGTTATGAGGGTTCGGATGCACTTGGCACCTTCAGCCGTTAGTCTGATCCGCCTGGCTCGGAGGTCAGTCCATTTTTAGTTGGGATTTGCGTCAATTCTTGGAATTGGATGAGGTTCATGGCCTGCACGAAATCAGCAGTGCTATAGTCGCGCTGCGGTGGGCCCGCTGTGCCAGGAGGAGCGAAGCTTTGAAGTCTTGGCCTCTTGGGCCTTGGCGCGGGGACATGCTTGAATCGCTCGGCAAAATAAGCCTTATTTGCGCTCGAAGCCCAAGCAAAGCGGGGACCGGGTTCCTTGCATGCTGCCAATCCAAAGACGCCATGGCAGGCTTGGCCGAATCCTCTCAAGTGCGTCAGTCCATCAAGGTTTTGTCGAAGGTCGCGCAGAAAGCATTGCGTAATTGCCTAGTAGGCCGGGCGTCCTTGGCAGAGTCATCGATACGGCTACGTTTCCTGCATGGCACGATCTAGGGTACCAGAGTGAAAGAGGGCATTCTGGAACGATATCCATGAAGCCTCCCAAGCATGGGGAGATGGGATAAACGGAAACTGGAAATACTCATTATACCATTCCAGCAACGGAGCTTTGTTTGGGGGCTGCGGGTGAAGCTCGAAACACTTGAAACACTTGAAACACTCCGCCCAAGTCCAGCGCAACATGGCTCCGGACACCGAATAATATCCGCGAAAGATATTTCCAAGTCGGACCCCCCGGATCAGCCAGGCTGCCTCTCGTTCCACTGCCTTTTTCTGCTGACGTTCATAGTTTCTCTTCGAAGAATTGCTGCTGATGCTGCTTGCTTGGAGGCCGCTCCATCAAGAGGTCGAGAATTTCTCCAGAATCTTTCGCGTAGATCATTTGCCGGAAAGAAATAAGCATTGAGACGAGAGAGAACAATTACAGTTTAAGCAGACACAGCACCCGTAGACCCGTGGACGAAACGGGTTCGCTGAGTAATGGAGGACGTGGCCTCTCTCCAGGGCGGGGGCCAAAAGTGGGAAGCGTCGGAACAAAGCGCGACTTGCGAACCATATGTGTCGGATGGAGCTCGATCACAATAAGTCGTTTAAGGGCCGCGTTACGAGCTACTCTGCAGGAGATTGTCTACGCAGCACAAGGAGCGATTGGACCCCGAACGTGAAGTGAAGGTGGAAAGTGAAAGATGGAAGTATATGCCGTGCCATAGGAAGGGGTGAACTAGTATGCACCTATGCGACCGCGCATGACCGCTGATCTACCGAGCATGGACTACGTGTTTCGCTGACAATGATGCACTTCTCCCAGTACAACGGACCAGCGGCAGGATGGAGCTCCCCCATATTCCATGTAGTAAAAGTCTGAACGTCAAGACCGTCCACTCTACACGTAGAGCCTCGTCGTCCAGTCGAAGGTTCCAAACATTGCACGATCGACAGGAACATCGGGCCATACCAGAGAGGAGATGCCAAGCCCAGGTATGAGCAAAGCCCAAGGCAGGAGTCTGGAAGCGGAATAGCGCCGTGGGGCCTCAACGAGGCTCTAGCCCGATCGTGCGAGTCGCCAAGACGGACGCTTGCGCGTCTCCGCCACCAGCGCTGGCTGGTGCTGCCCCATTAAGCCCTGTGCGAAATTGGAGAGGCTTTCGAACGCGTAGACTCAGGGTTTGGGAGACAGTCCAGACACGGGACGATCGAGATCTTCGCCCAAGCCACACATGCCCTCATATTGACGTTATCCATAGTCTGCAGTTCCCCCTGTCATGATCGTGCGATTGGCATGTCATTAGACCGAAAGAGCAGGTAAGCGGGGAGCGCATCGAATCGAGTGGAGTGTCGGTTACAGGGCAAAGATGCTTCTTCAATTGAATGAGTGCGTAAGTCGTTGTACAAGTCGCTCTAAACCCCGTGCGTCCGCCAAGTCGAGGAGAGAGTACGTGTGCAAGGGAATAAATTACGGGAAAAAAAGGGTCTTTTTTTGGTCTTGGCTTTTTCCAGTTTTGCACACGCGGCGCAGGTGCGGAACCCGTGATTGGGGCGAGAGGCTGACGACGCTCGTAATACAGCGGTCACGCCAATACATCCACTCCCAAACCCTTTTTACTATCCATACTCCCTCAATACCTCCTCCTACTCCTTCTCCAGCACCTACACTCGACCGGTTCCGACCACCTCGTTTCAACCCTGGAGCAATCCACACTTCACCCGCCCGCCGGTGACTTCTCCCTAACCCGAACTTCACCATGGCGGATGGCCGACACTCACACCGGGCGCGATCGCAACCGGCCGCCAATACCTACGATGCCTCCACCTTGAGCCGGGAGTTCGAGCAGCTGATGCGCAACAAACGATTCAATCAACTCCAGGAGGATTCTCGATTACGAGCCCGATCACAGTCACCCGCCCCCGTCGGCTCACCTATCCCGCCACCCTCGCGAGCACCACCACCACCTCCCGCCGTGGGCGCTTCGCCGCGGCCTTCACAACCCGAGCCTACTCCCACTCCAGCCCTCCGCGGTCTTCCCTTGATGCCAACCCCCCCTCAGGACCCGGCCTCTATGAAATTCTTCAACCTACTGAAGGGGCTGTCTGTCACTCCTACCAAATACGAAAACCCCGGTCTACTGGACGAGGCCCTCATGACCATTCCTCTCGATCGGATCTACTCTGAGGCCGAAGAGGAGAGCCTCATCATGCAGGGGCAAGCAGCCAGCATGGGCAAGAAGCCAGAATGGGGCTACCAGGATTGTGTGATCCGGGCATTGCTAAGGTTCGTCCCTTCCCCCCCTCTCCCAGGCTCTAGACCCCCATAGACCCGCCAATTTGGACTTACATAGCTAACCACCCCTTGTTTTGCAGGTGGTTCAAGGGCTCTTTCTTCCAATTCGTTCTTAACCCTCCATGCTCCCGCTGCCACATGCCAACCATCGGGCAAGGCTTAACCCCTCCACTCCCAGATGAATCCGCCCGAGGTGCGACTCGAGTCGAGCTTTACCGATGCTCCGAGCCTACCTGTGGCGCCGACGAGCGATTTCCTCGTTACTCGGATGTGTGGCAGTTGTTGCAGACTCGTCGTGGCCGTGTTGGTGAATGGGCCAACTGTTTTAGTATGTTGTGTCGCGCGGTCGGGGCCCGAGTCCGTTGGGTGTGGAACGCAGAGGACCACGTCTGGACCGAGGTCTACTCCGAGCACCAGCGACGCTGGGTGCATGTGGACGCTTGTGAAGGTGCCTGGGACCAGCCTCGCCTCTATACTGAAGGCTGGGGCCGGAAACTTTCATATTGTATCGCATTCTCTATCGACGGTGCGACTGACGTCACCCGTCGCTATGTTCGCAACTTCAGCAAGAACGGCAAACCTCGTACAAAGGCTTCCGAGGAAGTTTTGTTGTGGTCAATCCAGGAGATTCGCCGCATGCGACGTGAAGGCAAGGACGACCAGCGTCGCCTAGCCAAGGAAGACGAGCGAGAGGAACGGGAGCTACGATACTTCACGGCCTCTGCTCTCGCAGCAGAAATTAACAAGCTACTTCCTCGTAGCCTCACGGCAGATGAGCAGAAACACGCCGATGCTCTTCGGGAGGCTCAGGCTAGTATGGCTAATGAGCAACCTCATCAACCTGATGGGCGGTAAAGCCTGGGACCCGTCGTTTGCGATCAATGCCTACATGAGGGGTTACGAGACCCCTATGCAATGGCCCTTGACTGCTTCCCAGCGATCCAACAATAGCCGATCGGTGGCTACCACCGAGAGAAAAAAAATATAAAAACGCAAAAGGTTGATTGATGCCTAACCCCTCAAAAATCAAAAACGCCTATATCTGCGAGGGCACTTCTCGATACCCGGACGAAGGTCGCTACGGTCGCGCCAAATCACCAACTGCGCCATGAGCTTGCTAAGCCATGTTATAGTTAGGATGTCACCTCCCTGGTCAGATACCGGGACATGACCGCGACCGAATCCAGCTGGGATCCTGAGATGTGTACGCTCCATCTGATCCGACATTGGAGTTGGCCTCCTGCACAGGGTCCACTCGGGTCACGCTATCGATGTTGCTCACCGGTTCTACCCTTCTTGACCGACGAATTCCAACGCAATCATTTGCAGTTCCTCTGTCTCATCCTTCCAGACCGGTCGCTCTGGAAGGGAAAGCAGCTCCGCATTAGCCGGTATGACAACCTATTCTGAGGACTTTGCTTCCCTGGATTAAAAATCCAATCTTCTTTCTTTTTGCATCATGGGTTTTGGCGAGCATGGTCTGCGTGGCGCCAGGTAACGATTTCATTTTATACCATCGGATATCACGTTTTGCCCTTAGTGGCATTGTACGAGACACGGTCGCAACCATTTCCATTTTTGTTCACATCACAGAAAACGCTCTAGCAGCTGTCTTTTCCCCCCTGGGAATCTTTCTACCCTGTCTTATCTTCTCTCTACTACCTACGACCTTTACTAAAATACTATATCATTTAATATTTTCGCCAACTACGTCTTATCTACCCACGTCTTATTCCCAATAAGCTCCATTAAGAACCTTCGAATCCTCATTTCCTGACAGTCTCAGCAAAAAATACCAAAATTACCTGTTTGATTAGGATGTGCGATCCTCCCCCGCGATGGGAGACTAGTGCTGCCCCCCTGCCGGTGGAGCCGGCCACAGCCAGTGGAGTGTTACGGCCGTCCACAAAAACCAGATTGCAGAGGCACTCCCCCGAGTGAGTTGGAAATAGGGGCGCGACACAAAGACCCAGCCCCGTCAGTTCGACCCTGAAACAAACTAGTTCGCAAACTAGTCTCGTCTCCTCCCTCATATTCCCGGTTATCGCACCGGCCGAACGATCTATACAAGCACGGGCCTTCCCTACAAGGCAGATATTATTTTTAGAGTCCATGGCGCCGGGTGGGTCCAGGGTCTGGGTGGAAACAGGTTAGGGCTGCAAGAGGGATCATTGTGGGGGGGATACGCTATGTTTACGTGGATTTGGTTGATATGCTGGACTTCACCTATTGGGCCATACAATTGTAGCCTGTAAAACACGCCTGAGGCTGGGGGGTGGCTTTGAAGCTTGCATTTGTGGAACTCTTATGGTTACAAGGTAAACCCATTGGCTACACGTGGGCTGTAAATCTGGCCCCTTCGAAAAGGACGCAACGTGATGTCAAGAACCATGTTCAGAATTTCCCCCCCCCCCTGGGTTTTTTTTTTATTTTTCATTTCTTGCTTCCCTCCCCCCTAGCATAGCATTACAACGTGGGCTCGACTAGAACCGATTGCGTGCTTCCGAGAATCTAAACCTCGGTAGAAAAACCCTATCCATGACATAGCCATCCCTAGATAGCAAAGCTGTGTGGATTTTTTCTTCATGCAATACTACATACTTGCACCTTAAGTGACAAGAGCGCCCGAAAATCATGTCTTAGCTGCAAACCCCCGGTATCTAGGATGGAAGAAATTCCCCGCCATGCGCAGTTCCTCGTACATATCGACCGTATCTACTTGTAAACCTACAAAGTTGCGCATCATATCCCCACAGCGCACCCTCGACACGACACAACACGACACGATAACCCGCTCCACTCCCCCCTCTTGCCACAGAACCCTCATCAGACCCTCTCCCCCCTCCCTTTCACTGCAGTGAGATGCAACAGTCGATCCCCCTCCGCCGAAGGTCCTCGCCTATCCACCCCACCTCCGCCTCGTAGTACGGCATACCCTGCAACCGCAGATCCCATGCCGCAAGACCCCTTCCTTCCGTGGGACGCGATAGGCGCGCCGCATCCGCATCGACTGGGAGCCGCGCATAGGAGGACCAGCACGAGCGCAGGGGAGGTCGTGCCCTCGTTCTCGGGGATGCAGGACCATCGAGAGAGGACGAGGAGCTCAGACTCCCGCAGTCCTCGTCCGAGCTGGCGGATCCCGAGCTCGAGCTCCCGCTCGAGGCATAGCGGGGGCCTTTGCCGTGGTCTGCGGGCTCGCTGTGCGGGGGCAGGGTCAGGGCGCGCAGCGGGTCCAGGAAGACGGGGAGTTTCTCAATGGGCTCGCTGAACCAGGTGCTGCCGAGGATGAAGGTGAAAGAGCGCAGGCCAGGTAGGTGCGAGAGGGAGGCGCAGGTTTCGAGCCACTGGGCGCGGCCGGCGGAGACGTAGATCGTGCGGACGGGGTCTTTGCTGGGGAGCCAGTGGCCGGGGAAGGACCAGCGAAGTTCGACGGAGCGGATGCTGGCCCAGTGGTCGGTGGGGATTGTGGGGCGGAGATAGGGGAGGGACCAAGGGTTGCTGAATTCGAAGGTGGTGAGGGTGTAGAGGAGGTGGATGGATTCGTTGTATCTGGATTTGGGAGGGAGGCGTGTTAGAAATAGAGGGAGTAAGTTGTTTGCGGGGTTTCCTTTTTCTTTCTTTTTTGCTTTCTTTCTCTCTCTCACTCTCTCTTCTTTTTTTTTTTGAGGGTTTGGTCTGAGGAGGGAATTGATATCGGGGGTTATTGAGAATGCCGTGACGTGCGCAACTTACATTTGTCGGCAGGTTAATGCTAGCCCTAGTAGCATGTCCCCGTTATTTGCATTGATCAGATCGCCTTCCTTCACAGGCTGAGGGATTCCACCACCATTGCAGATTTCGCAGAAGGGATTGCGTGCTCCCTGCTGAGTCTTGATTTTGGCCGATGACGGCATGGTTTCGCGGAGAGGGCACACAATGTGCCCCAATCGTTGATTACGCTGAATTATGTGTATACGTCGTCCTCCTAGAGCCATCTCCCAGATGATGAGCCGTAGCTCCGGCGAAAGACGCGACAACAGCCCGCATTGAGGTTGGGGCTGCGGGTCTGAACGGGTTCGGCGGCCGGAGCGAGGAAGAGGAGGAGGCTTATTACCTATGTCGCGTGCAGGGAGTACAGTGAGAAATCAGGACATTCAAAGACATTCAAAAGGCTCCAATGTTGAATTGGCTCATTGGAGCCCCCTTTATGGCCCGAAGAGCCATCTAGCTGAGCAAAGAACAGGTACTAACTCTGATATCGTTGCGCCAGTACATCCTCCCAAGAAAAGACACCGTGCTTGGTGCGGGCCATTGTGGAAAGGAACAATCAAGGCAGTAAAATGTGAGATCGCCGAAGTCTTTATGAAATCATGTATGAGAACGTCCGATCAAGCCAGGGGCTTGGCCGCCTGGAGAGGATTCCATCCGGGATGGGAAACAACCGGGGTAAAATGCAGTATATAGCTTGTTTTCTTAAGCCCCAAAAGTCGAACGACCTTAGGACCCCGGAAACCAATGTCTGTCCGACGTCGGATACTAGTCGGTGAGCACGATAAAGGATTTGGGAGATAAAGGAGTCTAGATAATAACCCGGTCCCACCGATCTCCTAATCTGTGGAGATACGTAAACAGCCCTCGGTTGATCGACAACTCCGTTCTTTTTCCGTTTCTGCTGGAGTCGCGACTGGCCTAGTGTATGTGTGCTTTATGACACCTCCAAATGTATGAAAAACGTCCGAGCAAGCCAACTTGAACCACAATCCAACCCTCGGACCGGACAATTCCTCCCCCCTCCCCCCCCAAAACCCTGCGTGCGGTAATGTCCTCCCCGGATCACTTCGCCCCCTCTCCCACTGCCCGCTCAGACTCGCACTAGGGAGCGCCGAGAGTATTCATCGGGCATTCGACCTTCAACCCCTGCCCCAGTAGCGCCATCCCCGCCGGCTGGAGCCGGTCAATAAAGGCAGGGGCCGGGAGCGTCCCCACATAAGCGTTGAAGTTGTAGATCCCGCAGACACAAAAGTCCACGATATCTTTCAGGCTGGACCCGGAGAAAACGGTCTGTGCCTCACGCGACACTGAAAATTGCTGCTTGCCAACCCCCATTGGCGCCGTCCACGCACTTATCCCGGCGGGGGCTTGGAAGGTCTTCGCTTGGTCGCCGGACTGGACCTGGACGGTGGCAGGGGACTTTAATAGGGCAGTGACGAAGACTGAGTCGGCCATCGTCTCCCAACCATTTGGCCGCCCAGTGAAGAAGTTCCCGCTGTCGTGGTGAGAGCTGCCTGTCATTGTGGTGTCGGTGGCGTCGCAGTCGAGGCTGCGCTTGGTTGGCCGGTACCAGTACACTAGTTTCTCGTCTTCGATGTAGTCTAGGACTGTTTCGGTTCCGGCTTTATAGGCTGCGATGAAGGGCTTGGACATTTCGAGCCAGCCGCCGTGGGGCCTGTGATGTCATTAGTCCATGTAGGTGACAGTATGGTTGTGGAAAGTTTGAGGGATTCAGGGCCGGAGCTATGGTTTTGGCTGCAGCTTACATGTCCATGACCCATTTCGATGACCCGTCGTCAGTATGAGGTGAGGAGAGTGGTCCGATATAATGGGACTCTCCATAATCATTCCAGGTTATAATCTCAACAAAGCGAGGCTTAAGAGCCAAGATCTCACGCCATCGATTATACCAGAGCAAGTCGGAGGGAAAGACCCAGTTTTTGCTATAGGAGACCTCTGGCCCAAAATGGGTTGAAAACCATGCAGACACGGCTACAGACGATTCGTTACCTCATCAGACACAAATGACAAAGGAATGAAAAAATGTTCCCACGTAGATCATGTTAACTCACGTGCAATATAAGGCTTCCCATTTAAAGCCTTTAGGTAAGCCATGTCTCCATCAGCGACAGTGATATTGTGGCCCTCACGCGGGGCCCTATTATTGCCATCACTCGGCCAAGCCATCCAGTTCAGCGCGCCTTGAATTGCGCTGAAATCACCCTGGCCCGGGTGGAAGTTCGGAGCAAAAAACAGATCCTGACCCGCAGCAGAAGTCATAGCCTCGACGTCTATGCCATCTCCTGCGAAGGAAGAGACAAACACCTTGCCATCGACGAGGAGCTGGGCGGGATGGCTGGCATATTGTTTGACTTTGGTGCCAACAGCCGCCGCTTGATCTTTGCTCCACCAGTTAAAGTCGAAAGAGAGAATATTTTCATGTCATTCCGAGCGGCGGAGTCATAGGCAAAGCCAAGCTGTGTATCAGTATAGGAGTCTGTCCCGATGTTCAGGGCAAAAGCGTCGATGCCGAAATCTTTGGCTCGTTGCATGTCGCCGTCGTATTCGTCGGATCCCTGGCGGTTGCTGCAGATGCCGATCTTGTCATTATCAGCGAGGATCCTTCGGGCAGGAGGCCTCTTGTGTTGTTATCACTAGATGAAACATACCATGAAATGGCAGAAAACAAGTCGATCACCAGCTCCTGATGGATCTTCGGAGAGGGAGGGGAATGAAGCCGTGGCTTGCACCCTGGCTTGTGGGCTTGCCATGGCCAGCAGTAATAAGAGCCCACTTAAAAGATATAGAAATAACTCCTGCAACATGTTTTAGAATTATGATCCACGAAAAGCCCGGTGATCGGGATAGGTGATATCGCGGGTACGCTTTACCTGAGATCGACACAAAAAGCGAGCAATTGGCTTAAGTATGCCTATAGAAGTTCTGTAAGACAGTAGCCCTTGAGCGTTTCAGAGTGGTCGAAGACAAAGGGAACAGTCCTAAATCTTGATTCAGCGCTGCCAGGCCCAACAAAACAATCGAGACGCGTGCTGGAAGTAGGGATGAAGTTTTCAATGCCACTCTTTAATGATCATCAACCTGTAAGTGTAGGGCCCACCAAGTGAGCAATTAGCTAGTGTAGTATCACCACGTCAGGTGGACACATCTAGGGTGTAGAGGAGCAGCCTCCTTAGCGCGCAGTTTCAAGGGAGACTTTCCGGTGCCCGTGGCGTCCCACTCCCGTTCTGATTCGCTCGCCTGGCCCAGGAACACATGCTGGCGACGTTCTTCAACATCACGATAAATCCTCAGTTGGACCCTGAAAAGCCACAGGGCGGATCTCTACTCTCATATTCTACTCCTTCTCTTGAGCTACAGTTCTACAAATCTCAAGGCTACAGGCAGATATCCATGAAGATGAACTTGCCATCAGCCGAACTAATTATCAGTCTGCTTGGTACATAATGCCTCGCTGAATGCTCCGGCTTTGCTCTACTAGGAGGAAACAGCTTTCGATATCAGCTGAAAACGGGGCCTTCTTGAGCTCTGTTTGAACTCCGTGGCGTTGGTAGCCAGGTATTCGGAAGCATGAACATATAACTGTATCGCAACTGCCTATGTCCAGCCAGAAGCTATTCAAAGGGGTCTGTGCTTTGGAGAATTATCCTGAGTTTGAAAATCTGAGCCTTGGTTCTGATATCTTATTTCTATTCTAAACTTGAGGTTTTATTGTTCCCTCGCCACCGTAAAGCTAATCTCTTGTTCGATGTAGCAATGAAAAGGCCCAGGTAGCAAAAGGTAATCTTATGGAACTTTACCGCATACCAAATAACTCCTTAGAGAACAGCATAAGCCGAAACATAGCTCACTGAGCTTTCAGAAACATCCTCCACGTCCTCACTGCGTTCATACCGAAGGAAGTGAAACTTGCCTTGATTCTCAGCCGGCTTATCGGCCGTCACAGCCTCCAGGGCGGCCATAATCACCCCAATGGGGTGACGGCCACAAACGGTGTTATGAGTGCTATCTATAGCGTCAAGGAAGGTCTTCGTTGAGCCTGTCGTGATAGCTGCCATGGTAGCAATATCAAATGCCGAGATACTTTCATGTATGGCGGGCTCGCCCGGAGCGATGCGATCTTGCCGACGTAACATTTGTCCTGCGGAGACACTCTGAATATCCTGAGCAACCACTTGGGGGTCCGCGCCCGGCCGAGGCAGTATGTCGCTTGAAAGCGGCAGAACAGGGCCTGGCGTCGGAGCCTGCGGGACGTAGTACGTGTAGCGGAAACGAAGACCCCAATGGCAGAAATCGGAGCTAATAACAAAGGCATTCTCAGGATCGGCTAGGTAGGGAGCTAGGAGAGTCCCGAATGCCTTTTCGGTGTCTGCCGATGTGCTGCCCACCATGATAGGAACGAGCGGTGGGTACTCGGCGGGAGAAGCCTTGGGGTATTCTAGCTGGAGGAGACGGTGGATGTATGGGAGATGCATCTCGATGCTGTGTTCCTCCTCATCCACCGACTTGGACATGGTAGTAAAGCTGAGCTTTGACCCATTTGATTTCGTAGCCTGGGTCGCTAGGAGCTTGGTGATTAGTTCAGTATCTAATGGGAGCGGCTCATCCGAAAGCGGGGTGTAGTAGGATGTCACTTTAGGCAGGGCCAGTGTTGACAGAGGGTGGTGATGAGATGGCCCGAGGATGAAGATTCGCTTTCTGGAAAGTCATCAGATGGCTTTATTCTTCACTAGTATTGGGGCGAAGTAAGCTTACGCCTTGGACAAGTCAAGTACTCTGTAGGCAAAGGCCGCACAGGGACCTGAGTAGGAAAACCCTGCATGGCTAATGATTATATCTTGATTAGATGATACAAGGTCCTTCCTGTGCGCTAGGAGGCAGCATACGGTGCGATAATGATTCGAGCCCCGGGAACTGGGAGGGAATCGATATGATCCATGGTCTCCGGCACCTGGCCGAGCCATTCATCCAGCTGGCCTGTCAAAGTCTTGGCACTATTTGAGTACCACGACCCCGCATGAAGTGCTGTTCTAGATGGCATGGTGGATACGCTGTTGGGACTGGTGATGGCGGGGAAGCGGAGGTGTGAAGAGAAGCGGGGGCTGGTTCATGCGGGCCGAGACATCACGCCCACGGTATACGCACCGCTTGCATGCGCACGAGCTGCTACTATAAGTCTTTCCATCTGAACAGTTAACTCCAAGATAGATAATCTTGATAGGGGTTGTCTACCGCTGATCCAAAAGCATGCTTGAGAGCACATGCTCAGGCTCGTTGCTCAACGGGAGTAATAATGAGTCACGCTCGTCTAGCTGTCCACCGGTATTTGAGCTGCCTCATACCTCTCAATTGACTTCTTTTTGGCCTCGACCACAATTGACTGGAAGTTTCTAAATTTTCAGTCTTATTCAGTACTCTGGAGGATCTCCGCCATGTCATCTATCTTCACACCCCCAGAGCATTTCAGTATACCAACGGAACGCCTGCATATTTCCTACCTAGCTCCAGGGAATAATTCCCACAGCAGCTTTCTACATCACATTTGGAACACAGAAGAGTTTGTGAAGTCACAAGGGGAAACTGGCCTTGATACGGTGGAGAAAGCCGCCGAGTTCATTACCAACAGAGTTCAAAGCGACTATGGGAGGAATCGATACGGGCAGATGCTCGTGTCCTTGAAGCCTTACCCTACCGCTTCATTGCTCGAAAGCACACCGATAGGGATCGTGTCATTGATGAAGGGTGATGGCAAGGATGCGTACACTGCTCCTGATATAGGCTATACGATTCTCCCTGAGGAGAACGGGAAGGGATATGCTACCGAGGCAGCGGCTGGTCTGATCGCTTATGCACAAAATGAATTGGGGGTAGAATGTGTGCTTGGGTTCTGCGATCATGAAGACAGACGCAGTCAAAGAGTTTTAGAGAAGATTGGTATGGAGCTCCAAGGGAAGCGGCATTTGAAGTTTTTTGGAAGGGCGTATAGTGCTGTCTACGCATTTCCCGGAGTTGGAGACTTGAGAAAATATGGAATTCACGACGATGACTAGTATATGCTCCTATGTCAGATGATATAGAAGAACAGGTCTCGTTGACGTTGATTTCCTAAGCACCAGGCTGGTGGAGGTCCCAACGTCAGGCATCCGTGGCTGGCATGTCGCTTCCCCAATAATCCACTAGTACTTATGTCTTCTCTTCACAGGGTTCCAGGGTCAACGCCATTGCTTCCGCTTTCAGCTTGGCGCTATCTTCGAATTCAGGTGATTTGAGATGCGTCATACTACTATTGTCCTGCAGATCGTCTTGTCAAAAAAAGAAAGTTCTGGTAGTGTAAGACATGAAGATGGCTTGCCTGTTGAAAGCTTTCGGTCTCTTCCTTGACTTGGAAACCCGTACACCGAGGTACGGGCACATACTAGTACATTGGGTTACTGTTCCTTTGCAGACTTGGCGTGGCCAACTTCAAGTCCAAGTTCGCGAGGTGTTGGAGATTTGAGTAGCTTCTACTATAGTATAATGCTATGTCCTAGATTGAGATCTCACTTTCGAACTGAGGGAAAAGGTAGAAGGGATCTACTGGAAAGTTCACACCAATACACTTAGCCGAAGGGCATGCGGATCAATGTGGGGGGGGGGGGCCCTGGGAATTCCTCGGTCCGCAATCCCTGGGCCCGCAGCACGTGTAATTTTGTATAAACGAACATATAAAGCCCACCTCTGATGAGGAACGACTACGCCATACTACAAATCTAAGGTGAAGCGTTAGCGCTATCAAGTGATAAAAGCCATGGAGAAAGATGCAAATATCCCCGTGACGGTGACAAGCACTGCCGTATCTGACAACGCCGCTCCTAAGGAATTAGTGTCGGTGGTGGAGAATGACATCTACTTGCTGGGTGGCCAGGTAGCCATCTTATGCCAATTTGCACATCCGGGCCTCGCAAAGGGTACCTATAAGCATTCTAGCTTTGCAACGCGTATCTCTCAGCGCCTCTGAAATACCGCCCGATTCCTCAACGTGGTCGTCTGTGGGACTCTTGAGGAGAAGGAGGCCATCTTCTCGGTCATCCACAAGTATCACGCCCGAGTAAAAGGTGATGGCTACGATGCTGACGATCCCGAGCTCCATAAATGGACCGCTGCAACACTCTTCTTCTCCATCATCCTCGTACGAGAGGCCTTCTTTGGCGAAATTCCGCGCAGTGAGAGGGAGGTTCTTCTGGAAGAGTCGGCTGTCTTCGGGACATCGCTCCGCATGCCTATGGAAATGTGGCCTGAAACACTGGAAGAATTCTGGGCTTATTGGGATCATAATATCGCCACTTTGGAGGTCACCGACATGGCTCGCAAGCTAAGCCGGGATCTCCTGTACCCGGTAAATCTGCCTTTTGCAATGGCTGCGTCTATGCCGCTTGCTCGGGTCTTGACTGCAAATTGGCTTCCGAAGCGTCTTGCGGAAGAATATGATTTCCGCCCTACGCCGGCCAGTCACTTGGCATACCAGGTTTTCGTGGCATCGGCTCGTATCACATATCCATGGATCCCGGCTCGATTCAAACATATTCAGCATGATATCTATATGGAGGATCTGAAAAAGGCGGTTGGGAGGATCAAAGCGACGGGGCACTGGATTGAAACCTGATCACATGGCCCCGCCAATGGTTAATGTTTACAAGCATAATGAGGTTGACGAATTTCTAGGTGAGTTTACCCCATCACAACCTGATATTTGTTCGTAAGCAACTGACGACTTTCACTAGAATAACAACTTAATGTAATTGAGATCCTTGCGACATTGTCTGCATTACAGGGGTTTCGTGAGTGCTATGATCGCTACAATAATCCGCGGCTCGGTTTTAGTATGAATCGTGGTCGAAGTCCGAGTCCTGCAGGCAGCCAGGAATGACACGCCATAAACGAAACTCGGATAGTTAGTTAAGATACCGCGGCTGATAAATGTCTATTTCAAGGACACCGTAAGCTTCACGATATTCCTTCCTAAACTTCTAACATAACAAAACACGAATGTGCAATATTACCAAGTCCGGACTAGCGTGACATGAACGCGAACGCGCGCCCGGCCAATTGCATTCCGAAGATTGAGGTCGCCCTCCCCAGCCTTCCTCAGTTCCAGATGCAACTCCACACCTCTCTCTACGGGAGTCTCAGTGCGCTATTGTCTTCCCGTAGGCCCCTGTGACTCTGTAATAGAATCGACTCTATATTCTCGCCATAATGTCTCTTAAACGCAAAGCCTCTTTTTCTACAACACAACCGAGCTCGTTCAAACCCTCGCCCTGTGACTGGGATACGACCGATAACTCGAAACATATGAACAGCCGCACTCGAAAGCGTTTCCGGGATGGTCGCCCTAGCGATGAAATTGTCTATGGTGAGTACAATCGGCTCGCGATATCTCCATTGCCGTAGGCCGCGGTCTATAGCAACTCGATTCATTGCTCATGCGATATAGAAAAAACCCTCCGCTGGATCTTCGCAGCGCAGAAGCAGCAGCAGAGTAGTACTCCGATGGATACATCCGACGAAATGATGGAGGCAGAACAAGTCAGTCCAACGCCCGAGGCAATCGATCCTCGACAGCAAACCCTGCTCCAATTCTTCCAGCCCCGAACACAACCAATGCTACCCTTTAAACCTTCCCGTGAGGCGCTGGCGCCCCGAGCAAACGAGACTGCGATTGACCAAGCTGATGCTATGCGCCGACAAACATTCGAGCAAAGAAACTTGGGAGTCCCTAATGGCAGCGGAACTGCAAGTAATGGATTTAACCAGTTGGGTACCGAAACGGATATGGATATGGACGTGGATACAGACCAAAGCAGCGAAGGCTCTAACTTTGGCTCAAAGATGGGTATTGTTGGTTGGATGTAATACTTATTTCTGTCGGGAGTTTTGCTTTCCACTTCATGGTTGTGGTTCTTGATCAAGATCCACCAGCGACCAGTGGCATCAGTTTGGCGTTGAGGGATAATTGGAGATCTCTCGGAATGGCAGGGTGTGGAGTATTGCTCTAATGACTTCGTTCAGTATCAGAATTTTACCATTGATTTGCTTTGGTACTATGTACCTTTATCAACCTTAGCTCCAAGACCCGTGTATCGTAGGAGGGAGCTGACGAAGGCAACAGAGAAATTTGTGCATAGAAGCCAGCGCTATCTCCATTGACACTCCTCTCCTTCTCCAGAGCTCTTTGAGCCTCCTATACAAATCATGTCCCTTCCAAGTTGTCAATGACTAGAGCGAGTCCAACATTGGACCTGTCCCCACTTTTCGCCTGAGGCAGAAAGAGCTCCGCGTCGACCGAACTTTCACCCCGCTAAAACTTAGTGGATTGACTGCTTTGTTGATAACTTCAAGTTCCATACTAACACAACGCCGCGTCATCTGAAACGTCACGGACTACAGATTTCAGTTCGCAGATTAATCAGGGCCAGAAAAACCCCAATACCATCGCAATTGATTGCTTCCTTGTCCGCCCCTCCGCACCACCAAGGCACCCCGCGATGGCCACTGACGCTGAAAAAGGCGCCCAGTATCTGGAAAGTCTGCTTGGTCAGGTCCTCCGTATACACACGACTGACAGCCGGATTTTTGTGGGCCTCTTTAAGTGCACAGATGCTGTAAGTCTCGAGTACCAACTGAAGACGCTTGGCATCGTGTGATCCAATCCATCATCAATTTACTGATCCAATCAACCTGTAGGAGCGAAATATCATTCTCTCCAACACACTGGAGTATAGGCCTCCAACCCCCTCCGCTGTGCAGGAAGCTGCTCTCAAGGAAGCACAAGCAAGAGAGAAGGCTGAGACTAAGGCTACAACTGTCAAGGTCAATATGACCAATCGTTTCATCGGTCTCGTGGTCGTTCCGGGGCGTCACATCACGAGGATTGAACTGGAGGAGAGGGCTCGAGGCCTTTGAAGCAGCAGTACATTTGGAACTTGCTCCCGAGTCCTCTTGCCCTCCAACTACGCTGCGAGGCACACCTCCGGCCAACAAAGGGGGCAGGGTGGCTCTTTTCCCGCAATCGCACTCCACTACGTCTCGATATAATTCCCCACATCATGCATACCGCTCATCCTTTGGGAACTAGCTTTTCGAGCCACTCGAGATCCGGATTGGAGCTGTCAAAGAAGCCTCGAAGTGTTATCTAGCCTGTCATGTCTGTCGCCTCACGAACGTAGCACGTGGCACACACCACAGCTGCAGATTTGGAATCGCGGGCTTGGCTGACGACTCCACTGGTGAGCATTCGACCATTGAGAGGGCTTAGAGAGCTTTAAGAGCTTAGTTACAGCTGATAATTGGTCCTGTATTCTGGGCAGAGGGGGCGTAAAAAAGCGGTGTCCCCGGGTCTCCCTCCACCCCTTCGGCCTCCTGGGCGGACAGATGCGTCTGTAAAGAGCTCGGACGGCGGCCCTTCTGTCTACTTCACGACAAACATCCGGGGATGTGTAAATGTGTGGATCTTTGGACATCTCTACTTATGGGCTCTTATCTCTTATTCCCCTGTGGCACATGTGCAGGATTCCCTGGACACGGTGGGCGTAAGCGTAAGCATGGGGCTAGATGATGCCCGTTGGAGCATATTTCCTTTTTCTGTCTAGTCGAAGATGGTGGCGGCGGGAAAGGGATGGTTTGACTAGGTCGAGAACTGGTTTCAAGCCTAGTTCCCCGCCGCCTATAAGGATGTGCTTGGTGGGGGATGGGCTTGGCTTTTGCCTCCCCTTCGTGCTTTCTTTCCCACCGGGTGTGGCCGGGAGAAACTAAAAAAAGCCAACTGGCAGTGGATGGATGCCCTGCAGCGATATCTCTCAGTTTGAAAGGGCGAATGACTGGAAGCGGAGGATGAGTTGCTTATCACCGGCTGGGGATTGCCTAAACATGAAATAGTTAAGCGTTCACCTGAGACTGTATCCCCGCTCGCGACGGAAGCTAGAAACCTAGTCGATAAACACTTCCGTAAATCGGGGGAATAGCAAGCGGGCCTAGACGCCTTCGAGGGCCCGGACTTGTGGAACTTGGTATACAAAGTTTTCTGGTTACGCCCTCCAGGGCCAATGACCTCTAGGCCCATAAATTCTCCCTTGCGATACACCTTCAAGTTCCCTCGAGTAGAAACCCAAAAACCACTAACTCCAGATTTAGGCAACCGCCGGCCCGCGGATGATCCGGCTTAGGTAAAGGGTTAGTTATCCACCGGGGCACTGGGCACTCTGTGACCAGAACAGCCAAAGCAGCAAGACAGCTTCTGCCGTATCTTGGATGTACCTCTCCGCCCACTGAAGTGTGTCTCTGTACTTTCATCAACCTTTCCCCTTCACCTTCCGAGCTTCAAGCTTTTGGTGAACTTCTTTTTGACGGTATGTGTTCTCAACTTGTCCTGCAGTGATCTCTTAGTGCACGATGAACATCCTCCCCAATCCCCGTATATAATGACGCATGCATCCGGGCTCCCCTCCCACCCCGAAAAGATTTGCCCACAACAAGCCGCAATTCCCTCCCTTGCTGGCATTCTTTGCCTTGTGAAGCCCTCCATCCCTCTAATCCCCTCGTGGAGCTCAGCCTCGCCGTCATCCTGTGATTCTGCAGCCCGAGGCTAATATCATCGTGCAGAAGGAAGCTTGACTTCGCTTTGGAGGCAAGCTTCTTCCATCTCCACTTAGAAAACCCCGCGTCTTCTAGCCCAGCTGCCCATCCCGTCATTCTCTGCGTAGTCGCCTCTCCTAGCTACAGCCGCCTGCTATTACGTGCTCGCAAGCAACACGGTCGCTCGATCTTTCGGTTTTCGCGATCATCCTCCGCCCGTCCCTGCTCGTGACTGCGATAGCCTGCAAGAACCATAAAGCACTCCCTCGGGTATCTGCAACCTTAATATATCCTGTGGCCAAGAGCTCCATTTTTCCTCGGCACCTGGAAGCCAAGACATTCCGATATCCAGGGGGCCCTTTCTCGGCGTAGCCGGTTGAAGCGCCCGCTGTTTGTGCGATTCCTCTCACCCAAGCTTGGCACACATCCTAGCCTCGCAGCCATGGGGCAGACGCATTCCAAAGGCAACGCTGGCTCAGGCGACCCGCTCTCGTCGTACCCGTCCTTTTCGAAATCCGATACCAAAGAATCCATTCGTTCCTTTCGAGGCTCCATCCGCTCGAAGATCCCTGGTGCGCGGCCCAGCACCGACAGCCCCCGAGCCTCTTCCACTGCCCTCTCGCGAACTGAAAGCGCCAATGATAAATCCGATGCTGGATCGATCAAATCCACAAACAGCCGCCCAGGCTCCACCGCCGGCGCATCATCAGCCCCAGGATCTGAAGGCCCCTCTCGAAGTGGCTCTCCGGAGCCTCCACCATCTCCCTCCTTGTCACAAAGTTTGCAACGCGGCCATAAGGATGTGAATGCCATGCAGCAGAGTGGCGAGGTGGACCACGTGTCAGAGGGCCCGCCCAAAGGCGGCGCACCCGCCCCAGGGACAGCTGTTGTGGGCGAATCTATCTTGCTCAAGCGTGAAAATCAAGTCAACCCCATCCTCGACTTTATCTTGAATCCTCCAGTGGAACACTCTGGCTCTCCGGGTATGGGCATGGGCGCATTGAAGTCCATTGACTTGGATGACATGATTTCGCGTCTTTTGGATGCCGGGTATTCTACAAAAGTCACCAAGACTGTTTGCCTGAAGAACGCCGAAATCACCGCCATCTGTTCCGCGGCCCGCGAGCTTTTCTTGTCACAGCCTGCCCTCTTGGAATTATCTGCACCGGTCAAGATTGTCGGTGATGTCCACGGCCAGTACACCGATCTAATCCGTCTGTTTGAGATGTGTGGATTCCCGCCAGCCTCGAACTATCTCTTCTTGGGTGACTATGTCGACCGGGGGAAGCAAAGTCTGGAGACAATTCTTCTGCTCCTGTGCTACAAGCTCAAGTACCCAGAGAACTTTTTCCTGCTTCGAGGTAATCACGAGTGTGCTAACGTCACTCGGGTGTATGGGTTCTACGATGAGTGTAAGCGACGATGCAACATCAAGATCTGGAAGGGATTCATAGATACATTCAACTGCCTTCCTATTGCTTCTATCGTTGCTGGGAAGATCTTCTGTGTTCACGGTGGTCTGTCCCCTAGTCTGTCGCACATGGACGATATCCGAGGTATTGCGCGACCTACCGATGTGCCTGACTATGGACTTCTCAACGATCTTCTCTGGAGTGATCCAGCGGACATGGAGGAAGATTGGGAGCCCAACGAGCGCGGTGTGAGCTACTGCTTTGGCAAGAAGGTGATCATGAATTTCTTACAACGACACGACTTCGACCTAGTGTGCCGAGCACACATGGTTGTGGAAGATGGGTATGAGTTTTACCAGGATCGGATTCTGGTGACCGTATTTTCAGCGCCAAACGTAAGGTTCCCTCGTGAAAGTCCATATTGCTTTTCCCCCCCTTTCTTTCTAACCGATTTCCTGCAGTATTGTGGCGAATTTGACAACTGGGGTGCGATCATGTCTGTCTCGGGCGAACTGCTCTGTAGTTTCGAGCTCTTGAAACCGCTGGACTCGGTCGCGCTCAAGAACCACATCAAGAAGGGCCGAAAAGAGCGAAACAGCTTGATGAACAGCCCTGTAAGTTTCTCTTATTCCTTCTTCCCCTCTTCCCCTCTTCCCCTCCTTGCTTGTTATCTCGTGCCAAGCGAGTGCCCGATGCAATGCAACGACGCCGAGACCCCCTTTCGGCCTTCCGCCTTTTCTTTTCTTTTTTTCCTTTTCAGCCGCTAATCATCTTCGCAGCCCGCACTTCCTTCGGCTCAAAGCTACTAAATTGACGACAATCCACTTGCTCTGCGTCTGCATCGCATACAGTTGTACAAGCAGCCGCCGTGGTCTCAATACCTCTTTTCTTCCTACTAGGCTGCATGGGGATCGTACCATTATCGGGCTAGTGCTAGGCTGGGTTTCAAATGGCACATTTCGATCCACCTTGTTGAGCTCGATTGTCCATTGGGACATCGTTTCCTGGAGCGGGTGGTCCAGGGCCTGACCCATCTAGATCAGCACCACCCATGTCGGCCAGGCAGATCTGATCCTTCGACAACCGTTGATCATAGTCCAGAACAGACCTCGAGCATGGTAGGCTTTTGCATTAGGTACCTATGACTAGGTATCCATATCATGTCGAGTTGGTTGACTCTAAAAACTCGTGGTCTTATTGGCCATTGTCTCGCCCGGTGTCCCTATATTGTCGGGTCTGGGATAAGGAAGCTCTCCTCAGCTGGTCTGATTCGCGCCGGGTTTGTACTGGCATATTTTCTCTGCTCTGATTCTCACGTGTATCTACTCTTTTCTCCTACTTTTTTTCTCTTACTTCTTTTCCCTTACTTCTTTTCTTACGGATCCTGGCGCCGAGAGTCTTATCTCCCATCAATCTATCATTACCAAGCGGTACTAACCCTTGAACATGTCGTGTAGAACCTCTTCGTAGTCTTATAACCACCGCTTGATATCTATTCCAGCGAACTTAAGGTTCCACTACTCATAAGCATACTATTACGGCCTCTCATCTCTGCGAAAGCAAATGCTTATTTTCCTCCCAAAACCCCCTACAAGCTGTATGCCCCCAATGCTCCGTCCACCACTCCCCAAAACTATCGTTCACCTCCTCATCAACCCTCAACACACGCTCATCCCTCCTCAGTGCACAAAGTGCACAGCCATGCGAAGCCTTGATGGCCCCTTGCTCCGCCCTTGCCGTAACAACCTTCAGCGCCCCGGGATCCGCAACAACAGGCACAGGCTTCAATCCCGCGCCCTGCATAATTGAGCTAAAGAGGGGCGCCCGCTCGCGCCACAGCTCTAGCACAACGACCGCGTCTTGCGCCTCTTTGACGTCTTCGTGCTTGTTTAAGGTGTTAAGTTTCATGCCGCGGCCCTGCGCGGGGCCAATTCGCATGCTTTGCGCGAGGAAGCTGTCGCGTTTCCAGCGGAGTTGGCGGCCGGCGATTATGCGAGCGCAGGTGCTGAGGGTGGTTGATATGGCTGCTGCAGTGGTGGATTTTAAAGCGGGGGATGCGCTGGGCTGCTTAGCTCTTGTGGCTTCTTTTTGGAGGTTCGTGAGGCTTGTTGTGAGGAGGTCGAGGAGGACAGATGGGGGTGGGATGTTGGTTGGGCGGACATTTTCGGGGGACTTGACGGTGGTTCGGGATGTGAAGATGTTGGGGCTTGGGGTTGTGCTTTCGGAGACGGATTTGGTTTTCGTTTTGGGTTTGCTGGAGATTTTGGGGGGTGGGCTTGGGCTTGAGTGCTGGTGGTGTTGTGCTTGGTCCGTCGGTGAAATCGTCCCGATCTCCGAAGCTGTCGTCGTCCCAGGCTGATTCTTGGGGAGTAGTATTGATGGGAGGTTTACTTGGTTTCGGTTCCGGCTTGGGTGTGGATTTGGGTGTACGCTGTGTCGAGACTGGTTCTATAGATGGGCCATCTGTGAAGTCGCCCCAGTCGTCGTCTGGGTTATCGTCCCATCCGGGGTCTGACTGAGATTTACCGGCGGGGGTTGGATGCTGCCTCTCGGTTGTTTGGCTAGGTAATTGCTTCGCAGTCGGTTTCGCAGGGGGATCAGCGATTGACAAGGAGTCCAACAGGTCTATTGTAGCAGATGTTTGTATTATCGGCGCATGTTGAGTCTTTGATACAGAGACGGATGGGGCTGGTTCGGCAACTTGAGTAGACTGTGGTCCTTCAAAGTCTCCCCAATCATCTTCGTCGTCACCAGCGGGCTCGTCAACCGCTGCGTCGAAAAGCACGTCGCTGTTATCTTGCCGAGGCAGATTGAAGAACTCGAAGCCTGGTGGTTGCTGTGGAGCTGGAGGTATAGCCTGCGTCGCTGGGACTTTTGGAGCGGAAGTACGCAGCCAGCCATGCGATGGCCCAGCAGACTCATTGGGAGATTCATACGAAGGTTGATCGAAGTCGTCTATCAGTAAGGTTTGCGGTGGTTTGATCCGGGGTTGACCCGCGTGGGTTTGCGGAGCTGCAGAGCCTTGCCCAAACTCGGCTAACAAATCCGCAGACATTTGGGGCGGAGGGTCATGAAGGTAAGGGAGAGGACATGGATTCGGTATGTCGACTGTCAACTAGAAGGATTCGCCTCTTCGTAGCGTCAAGAGATTGAGGGGAATATTGTCATGTTGCAGGCGGCCGAAGCGCTGATAAGGAAGTGTGCATGACCGCCTTCCCCTCTCCCTTTACCTCCGCAACAATCGCATGAAATGAGAACGATTGAGGAGACTCGGTAAGCACACGCACAATATAACCTCAGAGGGGCAACTGCTGATTTGCTACAGGAAGAGGTGGGAAATCTTATTCCTCGGAAATGACACAACTTCGGATCTCCAGGCGGCGCTGCGGGCTGAACAGGGCAGGAAGTTGTGCAACGAAGGACTGAGGTCGGTTTGCTGGAAGGTCCGCTACCACCAAATGCTTTGACTGAACTCTAAAACTTACGTCGTCTAAGTTATTTCTGCTCTTCGAGAATATTGACCGTGAACGGTGGTCGGAGAAGCTTGACGAATCAAGAGACGCATACGGAGCTCTGCGAGATCATTTCCTGAGGAATATCGAACACCCAGATGATATAGAGTCGACGATAGATCCGCTGGCGGATGAAGAGGAGGTATGGTTCTTACGAAAGCACTGTGTTGCGTTATTCAAGCTCCAAGTATGACCCACTGACTGAGTTTATCGCAGTCTCCGTGGCAATCACTTCGTAATGACGAAAGGCTGCGCGGGGAGATAGTCCAGGACGTGGATAGATGTTTGCAGGAGAATCTTTTCTTCCAAGATCCTGCGACTAAAGCAAAGCTGACAGACATTTTGTTTGTTTACTCGAAACTCAATCCTGACGTCGGGTACAGGCAGGGTATGCACGAACTGTTGGCCCCGATACTTTGGGTGGTTGACAGGGACTCCGTTGAAAAGCCGAGCGAAAGATTAAATGATGCGAACAATGAAGAGGATGGCTTGATCCTGGATCTCTTGGACTCGAAGTTTGTGGAGCACGATTCATTCACTCTATTTCTCTCTGTTATGCAAACAGCACGTATTTATTACGAACACGGAGAAACAAAGACTACCAATGGCCAGGTGGATGTCATTCCGATTGTCAGTCGATGCGAGTACCTACATAAGGAAGCCTTGATGATTATCGACCCTGAACTGGCAGAGCACCTCGAAGCAGTGGAGGTGCTGCCGCAAATATTCTTGACGTGAGCCTTCTACGACTATAGACAGATGGACGGTCAACTAACAGTTCCGCAGTCGATGGATGCGCCTTTTGTTTGGTCGAGAATTTCCGTTTGATGATGTCCTCATGATGTGGGACGTATTCTTCGCCCATGGCCTCCGTTCAGACCTGGTGGACTTTACGTGTATTGCAATGCTGCTTCGGATACGCTGGCAATGTTAGTTAACAGGAGACCTCCTTTCCATCAACGAACTTTCTAACTTCCAGAAGTACTCCAAGCGGATTACTCAGGTGCTTTATCAATGCTACTGCGGTATCCCTCGCCACATCCATACGAGCCTTGCGACTTCGTGAACGATGCTCTTTATTTGGAGCAGAACCCAACTGCTGAGCGTGGAAGATTCCTTATCTCCCAATATTCAGGCAAGTCCCCAGAAAGTCCAAAGCGTCAGCAAACTATGCGGCAAGCTAGAAGAGCTCGTTTATGGCAAGATTTTACAAGCAACAGCGAAGGTGGAATACTCGCGCGAAACAGCCCTAAGAGCTTTGAGAGCTTATTTCAAGATGTTTCTCAAGGGATCCAGCGACGTACAGAGGCTTGGGGGGTGGCCAAAGCGGTTCGAGGTGCGGTGACCGAAGCCAGGAAAAATATGCAAACTATGCATTACGAACCTCCACCACGCATGGCGGCTGGCAAACCTCAAAAAAAGCCTTCCACAACATCACGCATCTCGCAGGAGGTGTCTACACCTACCGTGCTCGGACTGGATAAGAAGATCCGTCTTCTAGAAGAGCGAAACCAGGAACTGTCCACTGCACTTGCGCAAGCTCTACAAGATCTACGATCTGAATTGACCAAGGCTAAAGAGCTGGATCCGAGCTCCAATAAAGCCATGGAACAAGCATTGGCTCGTGCAGAGTCTGTTCGCCATTGCCTATTGGACCCTTCACGCCCAGTAGTGGCCGCCATGCCGGCTCAGGTACCAGTACAGGACAAGACCGAAGGACAGCCAACCAGCGTCGACCAAAAAGCCCCAGTGGCGCTGGAAAATCAGCAAGGCACGCACTCTATCGCGGATGCCGGCGGGCCGAGCGCTGAGAGTGGAGTTAGTGAACCTGTCAGCATCGCCACAAGTCGTCAAAAGGCCCGAAAACCCCCCCAAGACCCAAACGCTCTCCGGTCAGGCCGCCGGGGAGCGGGCGGTGCGGGCGGAACGGACGCCTGTCCGACCTTCCCTTTCTGACTCGGGATTTTCCTGGATGCTAGAAGGGAGCCGCAATGTGTCCAGCTTTGTTAGCTCGGCCTCGGTGCCACCGGAGCAGACTCGACACCAGGACCATGCCCGAACCAAAAGCAATCCGCTCTTCGGTAACGGGGACGACAAGGTTGACTTGGATACCGAGCACGATGAACTGGCGCTCCGTAGCCTCAGAGGGGACCAGGAGCAGGGGCCTCTGTAAGGGGGGGGCAGATGGGTTCGCCTGGTCATGAATACTTTTATCGCGATTGCATCTGCAGACGAGGCGAGATCCGTTCTGTTTGTTAAGCTGCTTTGCATTCATCGTTTCGTCATTAGCCAGTTCCTTGGGGCCCTGGAGTATCGTGGTGATGGATGTGGCTCGCACTCGGAACTACCGGCAGTCAAGGGGCTTTTACTGCGTATTTCCTTCCCTAGGCCTTCTAGTCTCTGAGCAGGCGAAGCTAGTTGGGATGAAGACATCCGCTGCATAGTTCCGGGACCGTATTTTCGCGTAGGGCCGCCAAGTTGATCCACTGGAGAAAGAGACCTTTGGAATCCGGGACTTCCGTCCAGGTCCAATGTATGAAGTGAGATGCCGGCATGGATATTCTGAGCATAGAGTCTCAAGCTCTAGAACGGTCTGGAGAATCGAACTGGGTTCGAATGAACGCAGCAAGGATTGGAACCCGACATCCCACATGGTGCCAACTCCCGCGCCGATCGGTCGATCCGAAATCCAAATCCCCTGTAGTTTTGGGGTCTCTGTGCTCTCCTTTTCGTCTTGACGATGTATTGCTCTCGATGTAAATCTCTTTCCAGCATATCTAGACATCAACGGGACATCTTTGCATCTTGGTTATACTCGGCCTATAGAAGCCCCATTACATCACATCCGGCCCCTTTTGGCATCGTGTTCGCTCAGTTCGCTCAAATCCCCACCTGAACCCCGCTACGTCCTTTAGTCGCTTGTCGTTTTTCCATTCCTTTTCTTTTTTTCCTTCTCGAGCCCCCATCATCTGCACACACGCGTGCCGACGCCACATATGCTGGGCTCTTTACGAGGCAGCTGCCCTCTGCCCTTCCGCTGACCCAGTGAATGACCTCTCCTTCCATGCTCCCTCGACCTTGAGCCTCATTCCTTTCCATCCCCTCGGGGAATCATCATATATTCCCCTTTCCAAAGGATGGGGTCAGTCTATAATGCTGATGGTAAGTCTGACTCGTTTCATATCCCTAGAGAGCGGGGTTACAGCAAGGGTGCGAAATGGCGATGCGCCCGTGGAATAAGGCTTCCCTTTGAAAAAGGGAGAGACCTGAGAAACCACCCCCTCGAAGCCTGCCGGTCGAGAATGAATGACTAGCAAGTAACCCCGGCGAATAAATCTCGTTGTGAGATTCATCTGACCTTCGGAGCCCTTTTCCCCCTCCCCCCCTCATCACTTGAGAGCATCACCCCCGGGGATCACGTTTCTTGTTTCGGGAGGAGGAAACTATGCTGGTGCCAATATAGATAAGCCTGGGCGCTGATCATCTTTTCTGCAGGCGAACCAAGTCCTTTGTCGTCGCCTTTGGGCCCCCTCTCCGAGTCGCCCGATTTCGAGTCGGGCTTCCAGAAGCTCTCCTTGCAAACTGACCAATCAATGAGAAGCTCGGCCAATAGCATCTCGTCCGTGGGATATGACACTCTTTCGAGGTAAGCCGCACTCCTGAAACAGATCGGAGGTCGGGCATGGTGATTGATAAACGTAGATCCCCATTATTCGACAACGAGCATGGACTGGGCCCATCCGGGCTGGACCGCATTCGCCAGCAGCCCTCGCGAGTCCTGACCCTACCGAACATGTCCACTTCCTCACTGGCGCCTTCTACTTCGGGTCCGCGTCATACTCCGACAATGCGCTCGAACTCCTCGTCAAGAGCTCCCACCGGGCATATGCCGCTGAGCCAGAACTTTGGAGACCTGGAGGACCTTCACCGATTTCCCTTGGAATCATTACACTCGTTTTCCTTTGCACAGCAATCGGAGGAATTACTGCAAACTCGACAGAATATCCTTAAGCGTTCCATTGATTTCATGCGTGATCGGATGGGATGGGCCGCCAGCAACCCAGCTATCGTTAATGCCCAGGCCAATGCGACCGGAGATTCGGAAATCCAGAGTATGGTGGACCTCTTAACCCGGGCCCATGTCCTCGATGAAGACCTTTCTAAGCAGTTCCATGGACCCATTACTGGACCAGCTGAGATCAATGGCGACAACATCTTTGAGAAGACCTTTTCCGAGCACAGCACATCGCCTGTGAGCTCCCGGGATATGGAAAGAGACACTTCACGACTCTCAATTCCCTCTCTTCCAGGTTCGCAGGCCACATCTGACAGCTCTCAGCTGCTAAGCCCCGTCAACGAGCGTATCCCCTCATCCAGGTCGGACTTGCTATCGGCGCCCTCGTCTCAGGCGCGTAAGCTTAAAACGTACATACACCGACCTCAATTCCGCCTCAATCAAAAACAAGCTGATGGACACTCTAGCGCAACCATACTCCTCCTCGGGGGACCCTATCGGGTCACTGAGTTCGTCCACCACTGGATTAGGCCTTCCCTCTGCGTTGCATACCCACAGCAGTAAATGGACACCACATCCACAGGCCGTATTTCGGACCGAAGCCCAAGCGCCATGGACTATCATTGCAGCCAATGACCTTTCTTGCCTTGTATTTGGAGTGACCCAGTCGGAAGTCCGCCACCTCAGCATCTTAGAAGTTGTACAGAAAGAACACCGGGGTTGGCTCGAAGCCAAGCTCCGTGATCCTAGCACCGATGCCGCTGCCCGTGCGCCCCTTCAACCGGAAAGGCCCAACATCCGGGCGGTAAATCCCAAGTTTCGGGGTCTGGGCAATGGTGTAACCGCGCAGTTGCTCAATAAACCTTCGTCCCGTGAAAAGGCCAGCCGTCGAGCACAGACCGACGATGGATACGGTTCAAGCACCAGGAATGCTCGCAACCCTAATCATCCGGCGAACAAGTCGCGAGGTGTTCTCATCTGCGGCGATGTCGTTCCTATACAAAAACGAGATGGGGCGAAGGGTTCCGCAAGCGTGTGGGTGATGGAGAAGCGTGGCGGGTTGATCTGGGTTCTCGAGGAGATCACGGAGAACATCGCCATTCTTCACTGTGATCCGTCCTGGAATGTTGTTGATGCTCACGGAGACATTGACAAGATCTGGGGGCCCTCTGTCATCCGCAAGGGCCAAGCCATCACCGAGTTATTGCCTCGTTTGCCCTCCGAGTCACTCGAAACAACACCGGAAAAAGGTCTCTCAAGAATCATCGAGACCAAGTATTTTGCTGCGAAGACAGCTGCGGGCGTGTGTATTCCAGTAGCAGTGGGTAAAGGGGAAAACGCGAATACTTTACAGGTTTCCAGTTTTCCTCATGTGGCGGGCATGATGGTTATATCCTCGGCGTCTCTGAACGTGATCAGTTCGAATTCTGTGTTCTCCTCCGCGCTGTTTGGTCAAGAGCGTCCTGAGGGACGTAATATCAATGAGTTGATACCCGAGTTTGACGAGTTCTTGGATGTGTTGACGGAGGAGGACAACGTCCCCTTGGTCGATGGCATTGTGATCCCCGAGCACAGTTTCCGTCGAGCGCGAACTTTGTCGATTTTGCGAGATGGGAAGGCTAACGCCGCCTCGGTATTCACTGAGCCCAGCGGTCTATTGGCTCGACACAGGGATGGGTCCACTATTGTGGTGGATGTTCAGTTGCGAGTAGTGAAGAGCGGGACGTTTTTTTCAAAAGAGCAGGCCGAGAAGCTGGAAGGGCGATCAAGTGACTCCGAGGACAGTGACGACACAGTGGCAGTGACTGAGCTTGTATATGCGCTTTGGGTGACTTATTCACGCCAACTCCACGCAGCTGGTCCCGCCACTCTTTCCTCTTCCATTCCAACCTCCAAGCCCAACTCCCCATCCCCGGCTCCTGGCGGGGATCCAGATCTTACCTCTGCGGACGCGGTAGACACTCGTGGCTCCTCAGTCGAGATCCAAGCACCCAGCTCCTCTCTCAGTCAGCAGCTGAGTGAAGCTGCCTCTGAGCCCCTCACCGATAAACCCGCGCAGGCCATGGCGGAAGTCAAGCCCGGAGAGGCGAAGGAGCCTCCGCAGAAGAGAACCATCAACGACTATGTGATTATGGAAGAAATGGGCCAAGGTGCATATGGTCAGGTCAAGCTCGCACGTCTCAAGAAGACCCCCCCCGAAAAAGATGGTCTTGAAGTACGTCACCAAGCGACGCATCTTGGTCGACACGTGGACTCGGGATCGCAAACTGGGCACTGTGCCGCTCGAGATTCACGTACTTGATTTCCTGCGTCGCGACGGGTACAAACATCCTAACATCGTGGAGATGGAGGGGTTCTTCGAGGACGATATCAACTATTACATTGAAATGGTACCCCATGGCCTGCCAGGAATGGACCTCTTCGACTACATTGAACTCCGCGCCAACATGGATGAGGCTGAGTGCCGCAATATCTTTAAACAGGTTGTCGATGCCATCCACCACCTTCATACCAAGGCTCTGGTAGTGCACCGCGACATCAAAGATGAGAATGTGGTTCTCGATGGAGAGGGACGGATCAAGTTGATCGACTTCGGGAGTGCTGCTTACATCCGGAACGGCCCATTTGATGTGTTTGTGGGAACTATCGGTATGCTTGCCAAAAAGAAAAAGCTGGAACCTGTTCTTCCTTTCTTAACTGTTCTGTCTAGATTACGCCGCCCCCGAAGTTCTCCAGGGCCGATCATACCGCGGCAAAGAGCAAGACATCTGGGCCCTGGGTATTCTGCTCTACACTATTGTGTATAAAGAGAACCCGTTCTACAACGTCGACGAAATCCTCGACCACCCTATCCGCATCCCCTTCCTTCCCTTCTCCGAAGAATGTATCGACCTGATCCGCAAGATGCTCGACCGTGACGTCGACAGTCGCTTGACCATCACTGAAGTCCTTGAGCACCCATGGATGATAGCCGAGGTCGAGGAACAGGCTGGGCTATGCTTTGTGCGTCATCCTTTTTTCTTAATGACCGCCCACCGAGAAAAAAAAAGACACGATACCCCATGACGTTTTGTTTTCCACGATGATGATAGCAGACTCCGTTCTCAGGGGCTTCATTTTATTTTGCATTTACGTTGTTCTGGCGGGGCCATGGTCTGCACAAGAAACTCCCGGGATATCCGCTGCACGGGCTATGGACTATGGGCTACATTATTGGAGCTTTCTCCATGCCAAGCTTTGCTCCTAGTGCTTCTTTTTCCCTCCGTGTACCTAGACTTTCGAAGACAGGACTGGACCATAAATGATACACTTTGAAACTCTCGGGCCTTTGATCCCGTAGTTCGGATGTAGGGTTCAATCAAAGCCCCTTTTACTCGACCAGAGGACTTGACTATCTAGGATGAAGGTGCAAGGTCCCACCCGAACGGGATTCCCGGTCTCTGGTTTGGGTAAGTTGTCTGTGCTTACGAATATGAGTTGAGTGAGGGAAGAGAATGACAAGACCGATTGGTCATTGCAAATCTCCAGTGCCCCGCCATTTACCGCTAAAATTTAGCATGATTAGCTGGTGTAACACAGCCGCATTTCCCCGGGGTAGATATTACTCCCACCAGGACCGGCTATCTGTAAGCCAAGTGGTTGGCTGAGAAGCCAACACAAGCATTGGCCCACAAGCGGCTCCCCCAGCTTCAAGACTAACGAAGGAAACCATAGTGGGACAGCGCAATAGCGCGATAAAGTGGTAGCGTGAGCAAAGGCCTCACACTTTGCCAAAATGGATACCAAAACGTACGTCTCCCCCCCCCCACTCCATTTGCCTCTCAAAGCCATCCACATTCCGTGCCACGGGACCCAATTGTACCCGATTCCCACAACATGGCCAATCAGCAAGGTCGGATGCTTATCAGGTATTGGTTTTCAGGTACATGAGGGGATTTTTGTTCCTGGGATCCTGCGTGGGATGAAGGGTTGTTCCAGTCAGCCGACGAGTCGCGTGGGTCAGACAGTCTGTGCCACATGAGGACGCAATCAGAGACATGTGGGGGGGTTTGAGGGCGAGAAACGCGAGAAAGAAGCCACTGGGAACACTTTCCCTGGGATTTTGCGGTGTCCTTGTGGATGCCTGAGGATTAGAAGTACCTGATACTTCCTGCTTGGCATTTCAGCAGGTCGCTAGGGCGATGCGGCCAGTAAGCGTAGAACGTACCGGGAACTTTGATCTTTCTCAGCGAAATCCATCTACAGTCTGGCATTCCGCACTTTTGAGATTCTTTGTTGCTCCCCTTTGATATTCTTTCCTCAACCATTCCCAGCTGGCTACACGTTGGCTTCCTCCTCTCCCCACTCCCAGTGCCACGGTTCTAACGCCGCAGGCCCCCGAAGGTCCATCTTGTCGCCTGTCAATAAACCCCACCCTGAAGGCCTCTTGGGTCGGGGGCTCTCTCCTTTTTTCCCCCTTAGCTTCAACCTTTGAGGTGTACAAGTACTCTTTCGCTATTTGGCTACTTGAGGCCAGACCGCTCACTCCACGCCTCCTGTGTGCACACCATGGTCGTCTGACGCTTGAACGAGCGCCGTTCGATTTTCTTATCGGTCATTTCCCCTCCTCCGCAGGCCATACTTGACCCGACTTATTTCTCCTCCCCATCATGGCTGCTCCGATCGACGAGATCACGGCCCTGAACCCGGTCTCCTCAGCCGGCCAAATTCCCCTCGAACAACCCCCAAAACTTAAGGGCCGCCAGAAACTCCTCCAGAATCTGCAGCGAATGTCGTCTAGTCCATCCTTGACCCGCCGCGGGCGATCTGCATCCGCTGGTTATCGGCGGGACCATAAGGCTTCCTTATCGTGTGTCTCGTTATCGTCCACATACTCGCCCTGTCTGGGAAACGGCAGCTCATCACAGTTCTATGGCTTAAACCGCCCTGCTACCCCAGGATACTCCGTCTCACCGGGCCCAGATGCCCACATTAACTCTCGGATCCGTGTCGTGGGGACCGAGTCTCCTGCTGCTGGCCAGCTGCGGACGGTGCCGTTGCCAGTAGATCTGCGACCGGGGTCCCGCAGTTCCCCACGCCTCACGATGGAAGAGGGCGATGCGCTCGAAACAGCCCTCGAGCTGTCCGAGCCCCAGGTCAGCCGTGCGCGGGATTTCTGGGGCGAAATGCCTGCTGAATTGAAAACGGAGATCTTTCGCTATTTGACGCCGCTGGAGATCGTGCGCTGCTCGGCTGTGTCCAAGCAGTGGAACGCGATGTGTTTTGATGGGCAATTGTGGTCGAAGGTCGATGCTACTGAGTACTATCAGAAGATCCCTAGCGATGTCCTCGTTAAGCTTATCACCTCGGGCGGCCCTTTTGTAAGGGACCTTAACCTTAGAGGATGTATGCAGCTGGATGAGAGGTGGTCTTCTGATCGGGATCGCATCACGGATCTGTGTCGCAATGTCGTCAATTTCTCCTTAGAGGGCTGCAAGATTGACTCGGTTTCGATGAATTATTTTCTTATTCGCAATCCTCGCTTGGAATATGTCAATCTTTCCGGCTTGGGGAGTGTGACGAACAAGTCTTTGAAGACCATCGCGAAGTCTTGTCACCAGCTTCAGGTCCTAAACATCTCGTGGTGTGCTAATGTTGACTCCAAGGGTCTCATACGAATCATCCAATCATGCACCAAGCTCAGGGATCTTCGTGCTAGTGAGGTTCAAGCTTTTGAAGACCCAGAACTCGCTTTGGAACTGTTCGAGCGTAATACGCTAGAGCGTCTGGTGATTAGCCGCACTAACCTAACAGAAGACTGCCTCAAGATCTTGATGCATGGCGTTGACCCGGAATTCGATGTCTTAACAGACCGCCCGATTGTTCCACCTCGGCGTCTCCGCCATCTGGATATCCACCACTGCGTTCTCATGACTGACAAAGGTCTAGAGAGCCTCGCGCACAATGTTCCCGACTTGGAAGGGCTCCAGGTCTCGCAGTGCCCGGAGCTCTCGGACGATTCTATCATTGAAGTCGTTCGCACAACTCCTCTTCTTTCCCACTTGGAGCTGGAAGACCTAGAGAACATCACAAACGCCGCTCTTGTCGAATTAGCGAATTCTCCATGCGCGAATTCCCTTGAGCACCTAAATATAAGTTACTGCGAAGCACTCAGTGACACGGGCATGTTGCAAGTGATGAAAAATTGCCCAAAATTGCGCTCTGTTGAGATGGACAACACCCGTGTCTCAGACCTCACCTTGATGGAAGCAAGCTTCCGTGTGCGCAAGCGGGGATACGGTGAAAAGCATCCCCAGGTGGGCCTCCGGCTAGTGATTTTCGACTGCGCAAACGTGACCTGGGCCGGCGTCAAAGAAGTCCTCTCCAGCAACGCCTACATCCCTCGTGCTCGTAAGCCTGTCTCAGCCGTCGTGACGGTGACTCAGACATCGGACGCTGGTTCGTCCCCAATGACTACGACTTATGTCACCCCCGCCTCGACTCCATCCCCTGCACCCACGTATCCAAACGAGATCATTCAGCTCAAGTGTTTCTACGGATGGCAGATGACGGTTGATGAGCACACTAAACGGGTCCTTCGTGGAGATCTCGCCGCTGCTAGCCGACTAGATCGCAAATGGGCGGATTATATGATGGCGACCGAAGAGGCCGGTGCCGCCGGCGCTGGCGCGCGACGTAGACGGCGACGGGCTCGCGATGCAGAGCGTCTGTATAACGCCGATGATGCCGATGATGATACGCTAGGCGTTGGGAGCGGTGCTCCCATCGGCCGACGCCGTCGCGCTCAAAGCGGTGGATGCTCTCTGATGTGAGCCCGGTCGAGCGTTTTGCTTTTCAGTTTGTGGCTCGCCCCTCTTTTCACTCCTTCTTTGGCACTCCTCTGGGCCTCTCGGTTATCGGATCTTTCGCAGCGGGAAAGAGCTCTCATAAGATCGACGCTTCATCCATTAGCGCTGGACCGCTGGCACAATCGCTCCTGAATCATGAATTATGAAATACGACTCCTGGATTATTCCGCTTAAGGGCTTGACGTGGATTCCCTATTGAAACAACGCCATCCATGCTGGCAATGGGTCTCTCGTTTCCAGTCCCTGGATTGCATCCATCTTCGTTGTGCGTTTTCTATTCTATCTACATCTTTGGCGTTACGGCAAGATCAGATCGAAGCTGCATTCTTACGGACATCTTTCTTGGATATCTTTTCCCCCTTATTTTTGCTGGACTTGCTTTTTACTGGAACCTCCGTCGGCTTTGCTTTTTTTTTCCCCGCTCAACATGTTAGAAGGATGGATATCGGAGTTTGAATCCTGTTTACTTTGAATCTTGCTATATGCTAGCCATATCAGTTAACTCCAAATCAACGTGTAGGATGGCTGTGAAATTTGTCTTTCTTTTTTTATGGTGAATACGTCGCGTAAATGGATACTCCAAGTCATTCAAGTGGTGCATCGTAAGTCCGAGTTTTAATGTGCTTGTTTCTGACTTGAACACTACCAGTATAGTGTCAAAAGTTTGACCCTAGAAGCCATATACCGCAGATCAATCCATCCACTGGATAGGAAACAACCTTTAAATCTCATCACAAATTGCGCTCAATTCTTCCCGAATTCTTCCCGGTGCAAATAGTGTAGTACAGTTCTTCATGCATTCAAATGACGAGAAAATCATGTCATAGCTCAACTTGAAGAAAGTCAAGTCAGATGCTGTTCGCAACAGTCCATAGAGGACCCAGGCACATCTCCGAAGTCATATGCAAAGGGATTCAAAAACAGATCAGACCATGCAAAAAGTTCATAAAACCCGGGAAACTGGAGTAGAGGGAAGGCAAAGGAGAACAGAGCAGAGGCACAATCAACGCAAGTTATCCCTCGACCATTCTTTCGTTCAACTCTCTTGCTTTCTCGCCCGCAGCAACCTGATCATTGTTAGCCATATTGGTGTCGCTGGTGGGTACTTCCGCGAATCCGTTCACTCGTCCTTTCCACCTCCTCCACAATAAGCTTTACCTCTTCATATTCTGCATGCTCCTGATAAGCCTGGCCATTCGTATAAGTTTCCATAGGTACGTCCTTGCTCTCAATGTCGTCCGCTACTTCAGCCGTTGGCTGAGCTTCGTTGGTGGCATCCTTAGCGTGTTGTGTTTCAATAGGATCTTCTTCAAATAGGATGGAGTGGCCATTCTTCTCGACAACATCAGAAGTGACGCGCAGAATATCTTCATGCTGAGTGTCATGGGCGACCTCAGCGTCAGACACAACCTTGGCCTGCTCCTGGCTCGGGCCAGGCGAGTGCTCCTCCGCCTGGGGCTCATCATCCATCGGTTCATCCTCATCATCTTCCTTCTGAGCTTCTTTTTCTTTCTGAGGGGCTCCTGCAGCATGATTCTCAAGCGTTTCTTCCCGATCCTCATCTTCCTTGACGAAATGAGCCTTGCCAACAATATGTCCTCCTTCCCAGACCCCGGGACTAGCCTGGTTCACGTACGGAGCACTCCGCGCAGCCTCGTAATAATTCCCGCTAATATGATTGTCCCTGTAGTAAGAGCCCGGGATACGCGCAGCCGACATCCCACCACCGGGAGGCCCAACATGGACCTTGTAGCCACGGAACTTGACCAGCGGCGCAACAATGAAGCCCTCCGGCATGGGGAGCACCGTGCCATGCGTATGCAGCATGGACACGACGTCGCGGGCGCACGGCGTCTTCTCCGAATGCTTCTCGTAATCCGTCGCCTTCACCGGCTTGTGCACGTACATCTGGCGGATCACACTCCGCTCCAGCTGCACGGCGGCGGCGGGCGCGACTACAGGCCCGATCGTCCACATCGGCCAGTTCTTGGTGTTCTGGTGGGTTTTCTCGCGCAGAATCCAGCCTATCCAGGAGGCGTGCTCGCGACCTGTGAGGACGTAGTAGCCCCGGAAAACAGGGAAGAAGGGGAGACCGTGGGCCCAGACGATAGGGCCCGGGCCCGTAGGGACGCGGTCTGGGTTGATGTCGCCCTTGGCGGAGAAGTCGTATGGGTAGTAAGAGGCGCGGTCGCCGACCTTGACCCATTTTGTGGCGAGGTAGACGAGTTCATCGCTGAGGCGGGTGTAGGGTGGTGGGAAGACTGGAGAGCCCCTCTTGGTTCTGGGGATCTGGGTGGCGATGGGGAGATGGGCTTTTTCCTCATCGGAGAATGGGCGGCCGGCTTCGTCGCCGGTATTTTCCCACTGCGTTTCTTTGACGGTGCTTTTGTAGGTGTGGAGGCGTTGCAGGCAGTCGGCTTTGTGGTCCTCGAGGGCTGCGGCGAAGCTGCCCATTTCCGTGGCCTTGCAGGCCATAAGGCCGCTCTTAAGCGTAGTAGCCGGCATTTTGGTTTGAAAAGCCCAGATGGTATCGAGCGTTTTCTGATGATCGAGTTGGACGAGGCAGAGCCTAGCAAAAACAAGGTTAAAGTCGAGGAAGTCCAAAGGTAGTGATCAAGAAGGAATCGGATCAGGAGCCAGCGAAGTAGAATAAGGTAGAGAAAGATAAAAGAAGCAGATGGTCAGTTGTGGGAAGGTGAAGGTTTCTTCAAAACTGGCAGTGGAAAGCTTTCAAAGTTGTAAGAGATAGCTCGATGACCGGTCGAAAGGTCTTGTAGAGAAGAAGAGTATGCCCTTAGGGAGGCACGGTGGGATTGTGTGGATGGTTGAGATAGAAGATCGGTGGCTGAGGGTATAAGATGCTGTTCAAGGCCCTGGTAGTTCGCAGAGTTGCTGGAGGCTGAACCAACTTGAAGTATGATGGGATGAAAGAAGTTGTAGCAGTAGATGAAGTCTAGAGTTATCACAGACTAGATCCTGTACCGTTGGAATATGTCCAACAATCAAGTCAACTGACATAGAAGGGCCAAGTAAGCGATTGAGCAGTCAACTAGACGTGGCCGCGATTTAAGTCGTTTGTACCAAGCAAGCTTGAAGGAAATTGGCAATATAAACCGAGGGAGTAAGCTTTAAATGACGAAAATCTGCATAATTCGCTTCTTCACTCCACTATTCGATTACGACTGTTGTCGAAGAATCTCGAATTTGAAATCAGATCGAACATTGAACTTCGATAATAAGATCAAATGATCCGTGGGTTCTAAAGCCGCTTTTTGAATGGGAACCAAGAGGAAAGCAATATGGGAATTCCATCATCTGGAGTTCAGAACAGCGAGAGACTGGACAGACGGTGGAACAGCCATAGTCCATGATGGCAAATTTGGCAATCGTGCGAGCGAGATTGGTCTAGACAAATTGGTTCGGTATAAGACACGGCGGAAAGCATGGGTTGGTATGAGAAAAGTGATATTGGAAACAAGGCTGCTAACGAGTTCGTCTTGACAGCTGGTCCATGCAATGCTTGAATGGGATATCGAGTAAGTAATACAAGAGGAACTAGACACAACCGATTCACTCTTCGAAAAATCCGCCATCACTGTCATCTTCCGCGGGCTCAACAGCCACATCTTGTAAACGGTCTCTTTCGCGGCCATAGTCTTTGCGGGCTTGCTTGTCTCGCTTGGCTGGAGCATTTTTGTGGGCATGTAGGTCCTTTCGAGACTTCTTTCCGTCGGCGTCTTCTTTCTTCGACTTCTGCTTGTTCGCAACGGGTAATGGCTTTTCGCGAACTGGAATGGGTTTGCCGTCGGCGGATATATTCATTCTGCCTTCTCTAAGATCGTCCAGTGTGCCTTCCTCCATACATTTTTCCACAACGGACCACAAAGGAGGTTTTGGGCCTTCGGACTCTGGCTTGGGATCCGAAGCATCCCCATCTGTTTTCGTATCTGTTTTCGCATCTCTTTTTGGGTAGAGTGAAATGTATTTTTCGGGCAGTGGGCAGTAGATAGTATAGTTGAGGTTAACACGCGCTTCATGGATCTTGCGCTGAAGGCGATCTTTCTCTTTTAGAATCAAGATCTAGATTCTTCTCCCGGCGGAGGAGTCGGTTCAGCTGCTTCGTAGCAGTCTTACGGTCTAGTCAATGCCAAATGGCGTTAAAAATTTTCGCTTGGGTTGTGTAGCTGATATTGTGACGTACCAAGAAAACGGACGAAATGATATTTTTTGATCATATGCGACCGCTGTCGTCGTGCTGTTTCCTCCGCGAGGTCTTGCTCGTAACCTGCAAGGGCACGCTCTTGTAATACGCGCGCATCGGCTGGCAATGTTCCCTTGGCGAGGAGTCGCTTCACATCCCGAATCCGCTTCTTCAGCTCATTGACGGAGGGGTATTCTTTTTCTTTCCGTGTTCCGGAAGCTTTCTTAGATCGTGTGGAATCAACATCGAGTTCCTCCTCACTGCTAGGGTCTTCGAATTGGACGTCTTCGTCGGACTCGACTTCGGCCTGACGATGCTGCTTTTTGCGCGTAGTGGGCTCATCTGAAGCATCGCGAGACTTTCGCTTTGAAGACGCGCGAGAATGTCGAATATCTGACATTTTGAAAGACTGAGGCGGTTCCGAAAGCGTGAAGTCGAGAACCCAAAGATAAAGAAAAATTAGTTTATCAGCTCGGTGCAGCATCGGTCCGCGCGCCAGCTCTGTACAGCCAATCAGCGTTCACCCAATCATGACGAGGGCAACCCTCCTCCCTCTTGCTCTCCCCGCATGATTACAAGCACCTTCACCTTTTCCTCGATTGGTTAACTGGCTTCGTGAATCTGAGGCTGCGGCCTCTAGTTAAAGCTCGACTATCCCTGCGCTAGGGATGTACAGCTCAATGGAGTCCGCAATACGATGGTCGCCAAGTTCGACCGCGGCCGAGCAGCGATTCCTGTCCGTCGACGTCACAGGCAAAGCTTTTCGATTATGCAGAGTCACGAATTTCGATGGCAGGAACCTCCAGCATGAGGTCATCGAGACTCTCAAAGATCTCCCTCCCTTCCGCGCGTTCGACTGGTCCACCTCGGATGAGAATCTGATCGCAGTAGGTCAGTCGTCTGGCGAAGCTACCCTTTTACGTTTAAATGCCGATACAAAGGATGCACTCTCTTTCCCTGTTCGCAATCAACGATACTGCAATGCGGTTGCGTTTAGCGCTCATGGCTTGGTTGCCTCAGGTCTGGACCGAGTGCGCAATGACTTCTGCTTCAATATCTGGGATGTGAACCAGCGATTGGGCGCTGCCGGCGGAACGAAGGGTTTCCCAGAGCCACTCAGGAAACTCGCGAGCTCAGAGCCTATCACGAGTATCAAGTTTTTTCGTGACCAGCCAGACACAGTTGTCACGGGTGTGAAAGGCCAATTTGTGAGAATATATGATCTACGAGGTTGGCACTCCCGGTACCCAAATGATTTGTTCCAGCCACTGACCTTTGTATTTCCCTGCAGAGGGCCCAGGCAACCCGTCCTTGCAGTTCCCTACCCACTGCGTCCATAATATTGCGATCAATTGGCTTGATGAAAACTACATTGGCTCCGCCGCCACGAACAATGAAAGTACGATCTGTGTTTGGGATAGACGTGTCGGGGCCCGTTTATCATCCCCCTCGGTTGGCTCCTCCACAAATGGCTACGAGGCGAATCAAGCGGTGCCTGCGCTGCAGTTCAAAGATGTATTTGGCTCCAAGAGTTCAATTTGGAGTTTGCGATTCTCGAAAACCAACCGGGGATCCCTGGGGGCTCTATCTAGCACTGGACATCTGAAAACATTTGATATAGCCAAAGACTTCTTACCAGAAGAATACCGTGCGTCTATAGACGAAACACTCGGCCAAGGCTCGTTCAAAAATTATGCCGAACCGGTCTACACGAAGTACGTCCGGGACGTTCGGGCTCCATTCGATCACCCTGCTCGAGGGTCCAAAGAGAAAGAGCGAGTTGTCGCATTCGACTTTTTAAACCTCAGTATCTCATCGCAGCCAAGTGCTATTGCCATAGACGGCAATCAAGAACCCCATATAATTACGGGGCGCCCACCCTGCCCACCGATTGCTTTGTCTTCTCGAGGAGCGTTAGCTTGCGGCGTTCCATCTGAGCTCTCAGACTTCAGAACCGTCCGCCCTTGTCCGAGCAAATCTCACCCATTGCGAATGTTGTAGAGAACATCCGAGCACGTGTCCTTCCTGGTACACCGGTCCATGACGCAGAAACTGACGGAGAAATATCTGCGTCGGAAGACTTGCGTCCGGATCCTATTGCAAGCAGAATATCGCGGGAGCGCTCTCTAGCTGTAGGGACCCAAGGAACGCTTCTTTCTGCAGAAGAAGCTCTCGCCTTGTCAACCGTGAGCCGGTTCAGGTGCGAAGAGGGCTACTTGTTTGATGAGGTCCGCAATCAAAAGATTGTTGCCGATGATGTCGCTCTGCAAGACTTTTGGGCCTGGGCCGAACGTAAGTTCTCATCCGGTGTAGTCTGGTTTCATTTTCATTTTTTTTTTTTGACACAACAATAGGTGCTCGCGCAGACTCATCAGGCCTGTCAATGGTGATCAATGGATTTGACATGAATTATCTTGGCGTTAGCAACGTTTGGCTTAATGACTTTGGTTAGTCCCGGAAAGTACTGGCTCCTTGGTTTGACATCTTTAACTCTTAGCAACAACAACAGGTCATGGAGTCGAAAAGCGGCGCATGACGACAAAGGGGGACGACAACCGAGGCATTACCGACGCCATAATTCAACTTCCCGAACACTTGAGTCTTCCGGAGACCAAATACTGCCAGACCGAATACCCCGAACATCGCCGGGTGTGTCTTCGCCTCTGTGGAGCAGCACAATCCTATGGTGAGCTCGAGGATATCGTGAAGTCTCTTTCTGAGCAAGAATCAGCACACGAAGGCGGCCGCATTGGCAGTTTTCCAGCAGGAACCAACGCTCGCGTATCTGGGACTCCGAAGCAACAAACCCACCGGTGCACATAAACTTCTTGCCATGGCCATTGCTGGATCTGGTGAAAACAGCGTCGATTGGGAAGAAACCTGTGCCGAGATCTTAAAGGAACTGACTGACCCATACGCCCGAGCCATTCTAGCTTTTGTAAGCAAGGGCGACTGGAACGATGTGATCAGAGAGACCACCCTTCCTCTCAAGTACCGGGTTGAAGTGGCCTTGCGCTGGCTCCCGGACGAGGAGTTAAGCGAGTACCTCAAAAGCGCCACCACGGAAGCAATGCGCCAAGGCGACATTGAAGGCGTGGTCTTGACCGGTCTTGGCCATCTGGCTATGGGCCTCTTCAAGTCCTACATCGATAAGTTCAATGACGTTCAAACACCTGTTTTAGCCATGAGCTATACAGTGCCCCGCATCATCAATCATCCTTCTTATGTTGCCCAGTACGAAACTTGGCGCGAGACCTACAGAATTCAGATGAACTCTTGGAAGCTCCAGCTTGAGCGAGCCCGATTTGATGTCGACTCTCGCCGCTTCGCGGTTACTGTCGATGGACGCAAGCTCATCCCGCCCCCGCCGCAGCAAGTGAGTCTGACTTGCAATTACTGCACGCGTCCTCTCGCCCAAAATGACACGGTGTCGCAAATCTCTCCCACGGCTACCACCGAGACCGTTCACCCAACAGTCGGCAATCCGCTCGGGTCCGCAGCAATGTCTGGAACAGTTTGCCCTAAATGCGGTCGACACATGCCGCGGTGTGGTGTCTGTACTCTCTGGCTGGGCTCACCGGATCCGATGTCGCGAGCCGGCATCGCTGCTGACGCAGATCCAAAGGCCAAAACGGCTACGGAGACAGAGATCATGCGTCGATTCGTAGTCTTCTGCATTCATTGTAACCATGGCTTCCACGCACATCATGCCCGAGATTGGTTCATGCGACACAAAGTCTGCCCCGTTGCTGAATGCAGTTGTATCTGTGATCGATAAACTTGGTGGATACTTTATTCCCGTGGCTGCATTGGATGAGACATGTTCTGCATTGTTTGGTTTACCCTATACCCCGTTCTCCAGTTAATTTTGCTCAAGAAGTTTTGCATTTTGAATCCCATCTTAATCGCGGGCAGCGATCGGGTGGATTGCCGCTATTGCGCTAGCTTATCGTAACTTTATCCCCGCTGATAGCTAGAACCGCTCAACATCTTGCAGCGTTTCTGCTATCGCTTTACTCTCCTTTAATTCTCGGTCAATTGATGGGTCATCTGAAAATACATCGACTGTCATCCGTGAGTCATGCTTCCATCTGTTTCATTGACTCACTCGAGACTTGTGGCTTAGCTCTGACGCATCAGTGCCCCGCAGAAACTTTTTAAGCTCCGCAAAATTCTACTATCTCCCCGCACTATACTCGTTCAAGTCTCCAGAACTCCCCACCATGGCACGAGGCAACGGGGAGAAAGGAGGCCGAGGAGGGCGAAGCCATGGCCAAGGACAATCCCGAGAGGTGCAAATATCCAAAGCTCTGAGTCTACTCCTCCCGGCACGCCGCGGAGAAAGAGGGGCTCAAGATGAATGCCCAGGGTTACGCCAACGTCGCAGAGGTGGTATGTTACCTGGAAACTATATCAGGCTGTTTCCCCTGGCTGTGCTAATGAAGCGTTCGTCCAACAGCTCCAATGGCGAAAGCTCAAGTCCATCAAAGCCACCTTTGACGAGATCCGGCACGCGGTCGACACCTCCGACAAAAAACGGTTTGCGCTCCTCTACATCCCCTCATCTGAGGTCGCAGGATCAGAAGGCTCCCCCATGGCCGCCCCGAATTTCGATACCGGTGCAGTCAGGGAGCCCGTCTCGACAGAAGAACAGTCGAGTGCGACAGCGCAAGCGCTCGCTGTTCCCGATACCGACCCCTCACATTTCCTCATCCGCGCCACGCAGGGCCACAGCATGAAAAGCGTAGACGCCTCCTCTTTCCTCGAGCCGCTTTCCCTCAACGATACTCAATTGCCGGACACGGTCGTCCACGGGACGTTCTACGGGGCTTGGCAGGCCATTCTGCAGTCGGGGGGGGCTACAATGTATGGGACGACACCATGTGCACTTCGCGACAGGGCCGTCCGTGGAGTCGGTCTTAGCATCTGTAGAGGCACAGAAAGGGGGAGCGAAGGAATCCAGCGAGAAGACGGTGATCTCAGGGATGCGCTGGGATGCGCAGGTCCTGATTTACATTGATCTTCGGAAAGCACTCCAGGCTGGGTGTCCGTTCTGGAGGAGTGAAAACGGGGTTATCCTCAGCGAAGGACTCTCTCTTCCTCAGGCGGATGATGCAGATGGAACACCTGCCAAAGTGGTCCCAGTAGAATTCTTCGATGTCGTGGTGGAGCGGAAGGCGGGATTGGGGAAGCTCTGGGAGAAGGGGAAGGTCTTGCAGGAACTGCCCACGCATCTGGTCAACAAGGGAACTCCCAAGCAGAGAAAGTAGCCGCTGCACCATAAAATAAAATCATCGCACATCGAATCACTTCAGTTCAGGATGACAACTGAATCAAGCCAATGATAAGCCGTCCACATCCGAAATGCGGGGGGGGGGTCGGAAGCGTACTGCGTTTGCACGATTTCAGCCCTCCAATTTCCCCAGCGCCTCCGATCCGACCTCCCGATTCGGGACTCTGGGCCCTTCCGATTAAGTCTAGAAACGCGTCTGCGGGGTTCTTCTCGAATAAGCGTCCATTCGTTGGTCAAGCTTGCGGAGATGAGGATGGGGAGGCTGTCAGTTGACATTTCGGATCATCCGGTCTGAATATTAAAAGCTGCGCCGACCTTCAATCCTTTTGCAGTTCTGCATATACGAATAGTAAATCCCGCAACCATGGCAGCGCATCGTTTCGATCCCACGTTTACTGACAATGTCATTAACGCCATGGGGCCCAAGACCTCGCCTCGCATGCGCCAGCTCATGACCGGGCTTATCCGGCACGTACATGACTTTGCGCGAGAGAACGAGCTCACGGTTGATGAGTGGATGGAGGGTGTCAAGCTGCTGAATTGGGCGGGCAGATGAGCGATGACAAGCGGAATGAAGGGCAGCTAGTATGCGATGTCATCGGATTAGAATCGTAAGCTTGCATGCCTATGGACCGCAAGGGCAAGTGTCTAACTGGTTCCTGACTCTGCGAAACAGCCTGGTGGATGAAATCACATTCAAACTTGCCGAGGAGGCACCAGATGCCCCGACAGCAACGGCCATTCTGGGCCCATTCTTCCGCGCCGATACGCCGTACCGAGAGAACGGCACGGATATCGTGTTCACGAAGCCCAAGGACGGCCAGATGACCTTCATGCACGGTCGAGTCCTGGACTTTACAACGAAGAAGCCGCTGGTCGGCGCCACGGTCGAAGTGTGGCAGGCCTCGACGAATGGCCTTTACGAGCAGCAGGATCCCGAGCAGGTTGAGTACAACCTGCGTGGCAAGTTCAAGACAGATGCCGACGGCCGCTATTACTTCTATTGCTTGCGACCAACTCCGTATCCCGTCCCGGATGACGGTGAGTATTGTTCACGGGCTCGTCGCAGAGAGGACCTTACGGGGCTGACTCTATATAGGCCCTGCTGGGAAGTTACTCCAACTCATGGACCGCCACCCCTTCCGCCCTGCTCACATTCATATCCTTGTAAGTGTTTGCTTTTTTTTTTTTTGGTTTGAGAGGGTAGTGGCCGCGACTAATTGCTTTCCAGGTCACGCTTGACGGCTACCGCCCACTTACAACTCAGATCTTTGACAGCAAAGACCAATACTTGACCAATGATTCGGTCTTCGCAGTTAAGGACTCCTTGATTGTGGACTTTGTTCCCGAAAAGATGACCCTAAGGCTGCACTTGAGCTACAATATGATGTGAGGCTCGTAGGCGATGTGGCGAAAAAATGGTGCATGAACAAGCAATCGGAGTTTGAAGATTGATAAATCATGTTTTCTTACCTTGCTCGAATTTAAGGCAGTTTCTTCGTTCCAATCATTGCCAGTGGATGTCATCCTCACAAAGGCATTTAGTCACACTACCTCGGTACGACTTAGTACATGAAGAAAACTCTTAAGATAACCACCTCAGCCGTTGAACACGGAAATATTATTTTCGCAGTAATCTAATTAGGCGCAAGATTTGCTAGTACGACCATGCTGCCTATTTAGTCTTGTCAGACCACTGCGCAATCAACGCCCCCACTTCATCAGCCGCCTCGATGCAATGCCAGTGTCCCACGCCCTTCAACACCTCTAAGGACTTGACCACACTAGAAACATGCTGGAAGATATACTGACACCCCTCCATCGAAGCCGACTTATCTTCCTCGCCCGCAATCAGCAGAAAGGGCGCTTTCACCTGAGCATAATCGGGGGGGCTGGGCACTCGCAATCGCCCGACAAAGAGCCGCATACCCCTCCGCTTTCTGCCCCAGTAAAAGCTCTCGGATAAAAGCCCGCTGGAGCGGAGTGCTGCGGGAGCCAACGGCCGCGGAAGGGATGGAATTCGCCATGGGCTCCATTCCCGCTGGACCACGAATCAGTATTTCAGTATTTCAGATTTGGCTACTGGCAACGTGGTTGTACAACGCACCTTCGAGCACGGTCGCGGCGCGCTTCTCCATCACAGAGACCAGGGTCTCAGATGGATGGGTCGGGCCGATGGCGATGACGCCGGACACGCGCTCTGGATATCGTGCGCCGAGCTCTGCCACGACGAGCCCGCCCATTGAGTGGCCGACGACGACGGCTTTGGGGATGTCCAAGGCGTCGAGGACGCCGATGACATCTGCTGCGATCCCGGGGATAGAGATTGGGTCATTGGTGTAGGGGGATCGAGCTGCGCCATAGGTGTCGACTGTGATGCAGCGGTGGGCGGTGAGATGGGGGATCACAGGGAAGTAGTAGTTCTGCGATGAACCCAGGCCGTGGATGAATATGAATGTCTGGCCAGATGAGGGGACTCCCTCGGGGTGGGAGTCTGAGTAATGGAGACTATGGTGATTGGACTGGATGAAAGGCATTGTGGGGAGGCGCGAGGCTTGAATGTTTTTGAGCTTCGATTAAATAAATCGGCAGGTGTATATAAACCTTGAGAGGTTGCATCACCCGCAGCCGATGGGTGGGGATTTCGGAGGCGGGCCCGCTCAGTTCGGGTATGGGCTCCGCTTGACATCAGCGCGTCTGGATCAGGAAGCTCGGGACGCTGAAGGGGTTGGAATAGCTGGAGTTTCTGTTTGATTGCAATGGAAGCCATCGCCATAGGGGTAGATGTGAAGTATGGGCGATACTCGTTGAGCGTAACTTTGTCACTTGGCGGGCCCGACTTGATGTTCTCGCCTGCTATATCACATTTGATTTGCTCCCAGGGCTAGTGAACAAGCAAAAGCTCGGCGGTAGTGGTTTTATCGCGATTGCCTTTTTGTCATCGCATGTGGTCCATAAAGGATTGGAAGCTCTATTAATCTTGTGGACCCCGATCTCCACCATGGCCTCATGCAGATACGGTATGGAGACTCATTCTGATTGTGATAGTGACAGATCTCAGGCAAAGCTGAGCTTGCGGCATATTCTGAATTGCCATATGTTCAGGTTAAAGCGCCTTTAATAACTCAACCCGGGGATAAGCACTGTACCGGGCCTACAAGGGTTTTATATCCGCCTGGATAAGCTCACTAAAAGAATCACCACAACCACGCGCGAAGACATCTTCGAGAAAGTCGGCAGTCTCATCTCGAAACGAACTTCCCAAGGAAAGCCCGGGAGGGGGGAGTTTGAGCTGCTCGGCTGGCGGTTGTCGTCGCGGGTGCGCCGGTATATTGTCCGAGGGTGGCTCTCTTTGTTCTGTGATATTTGGCCTAGACGTTCCAGCTGCATCCGCCTCTTTCAAGAGACCTTCATCGTTGAATACGGAGCAATCTGAAAACTCATCGTCTTCATCACCTTGTCGCTGGCATGTATCTTCATGAATTGCTTCGCCCGTGTCTATTGTGGTATGCGGGCCGAGGCTTTCATCGGGTGTTTTGTCATCTTCGGGGGCGTTCGAGGGACCGGCTCTCTCGAGGGTAGACATTTCTCGTTCGAGCTCTTCGTCTAAATCATCAAAGCCATCCGAATCTATTTCGGTATCGCCTCCTGCGTTGCCGTCGTCATTGCCGTCATCTGCACTTGCACCGCTGTTGTGTCCCTTGCTGTCCTTGACTGCTTCAAATTGTAGCTCTTTGGTCTGTTCGGGGTGTTCTGGCTGCGCAGGCTGCTCGGGTTGCTCGACATTCTGGGGTTGTGGGGGCTTTTTTGTAAAGGTCATGAATCTCGACAGCAGTTGTTGGCTGGACGGGAACTTGAGGCTCTCGGGATCAGGCGGGCCTTGTCGGCGTTGCTCCTCGCGGAGCCTTGCATCCTGCTCGGCCTTCTTCTTTTTATTGGCAATGCGCCTCTTTTCCTTCTCTCGTAGTTCTCTAGCGCGTTTCTCGCGGGCTTCTTCGCGTTCGATGCGTTTGAGTTCCTCGGCGGAGAACCGGAAGACCTTGTTGCTGCGTTGGTACCGCCGTCGGACCGTGCTGGATTTTTCAATAATAACGCGCCGCTTCTCGTCCGGCATAGTGAGGGCACATTTCGAAATGACTGTCTTGTGAGGAGCCCAACCATAGAGACCAGGTGTGGTACGGGGGAAATGGCGGGAGGTTTCAGACGTGAGACTGACTTTGTTCTTCGTCGGCAATACGCTGTGCCGCCGGACAACAAACTGCCTGATTGGGCGGTACGTCATTCTTCCGATTTACTGCCAGCGAGGACTTGGGAACTATTTACCACGATGTGTTTCTGATCGCTAACGATTAAGCCTGCATTCTGCGACTACTGACTATTTTTACTTAGATCTTGCAGTCCCGGACAGGGTCCCAGCACACAGGCGCATACTCATTCAGCGTCAGGCTGGCCATGTCCTCCTCGGACAACGTGAAATCAAAGACCCCCGCATTCTCTGCAATTCGCGACTCGGTCACCGACTTGGGAAGAGGCACATATCCCTACCAGAAAAAAAAAACGGAATTAGTATCTGCCCACCGGATCCACGAGACTCGAGAATCGTACCTTTTGCAAACTCCAGCGGATCAGAATTTGAGCCGGGGTCTTCCCGTGCTTCGTAGCCAACGTCTGCAGAACTGGCTCCTGCATGCGCTTAGCCTGCACAAGAGGCGAGTATGCCTCAACAACCACATTGTGCTCCTTAAGCCACTGCGCAATATCCTCACGAGGGCACCAGGGGTGGATCTCATACTGGCCCACGGAGATCTCGCCGCCGCCGCCGCTCTCGATGTAAGCCTGCAGTTCCTCCAGGTGCTGAATGGCGTAGTTAGACACTCCGATGGACCGAATCTTGCCGGCTTTCTGCGCTTCGACCAATGCTCGCCAGACACCGAGACGGGCCTCCTTGCCGCCGTATGGTGCGTGGATCAGCACGCTAATGCATCCGTTAGCATCTGTACAGAGTTCGGTCAGGCCGTCCGCTTACAGATCAAGGTAGCCAATATCGGTGGTCGCGGCAAGACTTTCTTCGATGGCCTCCTTTGCCTTCTCGTAGCTCATGTATGACCGGGGCACCTTGGTGGTGTAGAAGACCTGCGATCGGTCCAAGCCGGATTTCTTCACGGCGGAGGCGCTTTCCTTCTCATTCGCGTAGGCTTTGGCGGAATCGACCTGGGCGGTGTCAATACGGTGCAGATGGGCTATACAACTGAGGGCTGTGGCTCACATGGCGGTAACCCAGCTCCAAGGCCTTCAGGGTAACTTTCTCCGTCACATCAGGGGGTCTGGTAAGGTGTTAGGTGTATGCTTGGTTGGGCTTCCTAGAGCTGAATTGACGTACGTCTGGTAGACCTGGAGGGGAGATGAGAGGTTAGCTTGCAGGAAGCTCTAGCAATCAGGTCGGTAGGACTTACCCCGAAGCCAACGACAGGGATCTCGTAGCCCGAGGCCAGCTTGTAAGTCGATTGCAGAGAGAGTTTAGACATGGTGTGCGATGGTTTTCTTAACGTGTCGGGGAATGAGAAGAAGAATTGAGCTTTGGGCCCCTCTTTAAGTACTTTTAAAGCTTGGATGGCAAATTCCCCGCAGGCCACTTCGGGCCCGCAGTTCCGTCACCCCTCAGGGACATCTAGACGACACGCTTTGCGGGTCGTACGTTCGACTGGTGTGACGAGACATGAAGTGCATATCACTTGGTTGTAAATTACAATTAACCTCTAGCAACAATCTGAAGGTATATGATTCCTTGCTAAACTCGCGGGTAAGCTAATAATGACAGCTAGCTGATAAGAAATCCTAGACGCTATTGATAAGCGACGCAGGTGTAACTTGGTCTTGGAGGGGCACAATGCAATTCAATTCTTCCAAAGAGTTATCTATATCTTCTGTCCGGAATTTATGAAATGCTTATAATTATCGAGCGTAGAGATGCGCTGCATGCCAAATCGCGTCATCTCCATATTCTGCGTTACTCGAGGCCGGCTTCGGATTCTCTGCGAATGCTGTAGGATCTTGCACAGCGGCGACGTATTGACGGAGATGTGCTTGACGGTTCCGTCAGCAAACTGACAATTAAAGCAGTACCTATCTAGTAGTAGCAGTACATTGTGCTGGAACTGATGGAAATGTCATTTTGGCGTCAGAGGCAGCTCCACATATACCCCTCATGTGCCCCCACTTTCTGCAGACTGAGTCATCCTGCGTTACATCTCCAGGGCTCCAGGGGCTCTAGGCTGTTCTATCAGGTAAAATGAAACTCTACGGGCAAGAGATGGATTTGGCAAGTCATTACTAGCTAATGCTAGCTACCATCGGCTTTTTCGAATCTCGATCGAAATAAGTCAGCGGACTGACGTTCGTGTTTCCAAAGGCATAAAGAAGTAAGCACTGACTTTGGGCGCCATCCTGACCTGGGCAAAGCCAACAAGGTCCTTGACCCGCAGTATGCGGGCTTCCCATTAGGATGCTTTATGGTTGTTCTGAGGTATGATTCGATCCATCAACTGGCGACAAACAGGACAACCAATGATCAATCCGAAAACAAATGGGGTTCCATGCAATTCTAGGCGAAAGCACCCTCCTATTTCAATATCCGTATGATCAAAATATTGAGACAGGCAGGAACTACTTCCTCTAGTGCTGTGCTACCGGCGGCATTCGGAATGATGAGCTCTGATCGTACTCGATAAGGTGTGAGAAGCAAGCAAGCAAATCGCAGCATCTCGTGTTTACCATGAGAGGACTAACGTCAAATATCTTTCGATAAGTTTGTCGAGTCAACTTCTCCGTCCAGCAAGCGTTTGTCGCTTCTTTTCATATGCATCGTCTTGATTGTCCAACTATTAGCAGCTAGTATCAAGGGCCTCTCCCAATCAAAGAGTCCATCACATATCACCTTTGCAACAAACAGATAGTACGCTAGCATACGATCACCTGGGGTCCCTGGATATTCCACCTTGACAACACGAATGTATACCCCAGATAATAGCACAGGGTTCGTTAAAAATATAGCAAGCCAAAGCCTTGAAAAATGACGGAGGCGGTGAATCCAGACAATATTGTGCGGGGCACCCAAGATGCGACAGGATCAGCAGCGACGCCAGCTTTCTTCAGTCATCTTATCAAAAAGACCAGGAGCGTGATATACCCTACCATGCGTCTGGTCAAGAATAAAATCGAACATAATGGCTCGGGCACGGTGACCTTAATGCCAGAAGAGCCTGAAGACATGGTATCTTGCCCCTCGCATCTGGAAAGATCGAACGAATCTATGACTGATTTGATCATAGTGGCACGCGTACAACCTGATTCGACCAGGGGACCTCCTGCGCGCAAGTGCCATTCGCCGTATCACCACGACCCAGGACACAGGCTCCACCTCCTCTGCCCGAGTCCATCTAAACCTGGTGATCCGAGTCAAGAACCTCGATTTCGACCCACAAAGTTCACAGCTCCATGTCTCGGGACAAATTGTCAATGAGACAGCTCATACCAAGGTCGGGCAATTCCATACCCTTGACTTGGAGCTCAACCGCAATTTCACGCTGGAAAAGGAAATCGGCGCACAGGGCGAGGGCGTTGGTTGGGACAGTATTGCAGTGGAAATGCTCAAAGATGCGGTGGATGAAGGCGGCAAGCGGAAAGCAGAGGCTGTCGCCGTTATTATGCAGGAAGGCCTGGCTCATATCTGCTTTATCGGCCAGTTTCAGACCATCTTGAAGCAAAAAGTGGAGATGTCTGTTCCGCGGAAACGACATGGTGGCGGAGAGCATGATAAAGTGAGCATTCTTGGCCTCCCCCGGACTTTGTCGGGACCGTAGCAGCTAACCACTCTTTGGAAGGGCATTAATAAGTTCTACAAAGTCACACTCGATACCCTACTTCGACAGATGGAGTTCAACACCAGCATCACCTCCGGCTCCAATAACGAAGCCGTGAAACCCGTTCTGCTGGCTTCGCCAGGGTTCGTCGCAGCGGGTTTCCAAAAGTACATACAGGCCGAGGCTTCATCAACGCCTGCATTAAAGCGCTTACTCCCCAGCATCGTCGTTGTACATTCCGCATCTGGATACACACATTCATTATCAGAGGTCCTCCAATCGCCTTCCGTAAAAACGCTTCTGGCCGATACAAAGTACGCCCGTGAAACCAAATTGATGGACGACTTCCTGGACCAATTACGCAAAGAGACCAATAAAGCTACCTATGGCCCTCGGGAGGTCGAAGCAGCAGTGGACCAAGGAGCTGTCGGTCGTGGGGGCGGCGTGTTGATCATTTCCAACCATCTCTTTCGATCGCAAGATGTGGCGACCCGAAAACGGTGGGTGTCGCTCGTCGATCGGGTACGAGACGTTGAGGGAGGCGAGGTCCGAATCCTGAGCTCCGATCACGAGAGTGGAAAGAGACTCGAAGGCCTCGGTGGAATTGCAGCATTGTTAACATTCCCGATTGCCGACGAGGATTTGGAATCCGATGAGGAGGCTGCCGATGCCGATTGATTGGAAGGCCCCTAGATATCATGCCACTGGCCAGGTAGTACCAAGGGTCTAAGGGAGCCCTGTCGCCCATGTTAGAAAGAACAGTGTGGGGGAAAGGGTTTGCAAATCTAGATGCATGGTCGGTTTCATCAGTCGACCACTTCCATGGCTATTTTCGTCGCCGATACCGATAGACAATTAAAATCAAGATAATCGGGCAATGTCTAGTTCTAGGTGCACCTAAGCTAAACTGTGCCTCGCCTTGTATTACCAGTATTGACTACTACCTAGGTAGTATAACTCATCTTACGTCAGGCCACCGACCAAAGTGGCCGGGCTAGGTTATAACCCCGGACCTGTCACTCTCCCGGTACTAGTGTCTTTCAAGCTTTCCAGTGTGTCCCGATAACATGCTCAAAACAAGACCGGGTTGCCTGAATTTAGCGCCATTCCTGCTCTTGCAGATCCGAGGATCCATTCGTCAACCTGACATCATGAAGCCACTGCTGCAAATGGCCGTTTGCGCATACCACCCTGCAAGAGAACTACTCTTATCGATACGCCCGTTCACCGTCCTGCTACGCCTCGCAGCCTCCAGCGCACGAGTCATTCAGGCGCAAGTGAGCCTGGGCCGAATCTTTCGGGAACAGAAATAGCCCAAGTCTCCCAGATATAAATTCCAGCAGCAGGAAAACCCAGACGGGAGATCATCGGGTATAAAACTGGGGGGGCGCGACTCTAAAAATAAACCGATCAGCCTTGCCCGGCCGGGGAAGATCTAGTCCCGACTGCGAGCTGATTGGCCGCAAATTACCCGCTTTAGGACTGGTTCATCCATCTGACCCACGATCGATTTTAGCCGCATACGCTAACAGGATAGGCGAAAGTTTCAGCTCGGTTTCAAATGCGACAATTGGCTCGATTTCTTTTCCCCGATAATGAATTGTCTAGGTTAAATACAGGCTTGAGAAATGAAGGTAATCAGAATGCGCTGGACCCCATGCATGCAACGCCAAGAAATGTTCGCGTGGGCGAGTGTAAATAAAAGTGGATATCATCGTGAAGAGGTTGCCGTGTATGAAGAAAAAAAAATAGAAATAGAAATTTCCGAAATAGCGTAGGGCGCCTTACTCCAACTCTTGTGAGTGTGGCCGCGTCCTTTTGCGCGAGGCTGGGATCGTCGGGGATAGCTGGTAGTCGGATAATGCCGATGGCGACACGCTCCTCGTTCCTTGCTGCTTGCTCTCGAGGATTTTGAGTTGAGCTTTGCAGGCTTTGGGTGAATAGTCTTTGGTGGAGCCTAGCTCTTTCATCTGGTACCATCAGCTTATTGTACTCTGACATCACCGCCTCTGAGAAAAAGAGAAAAAGAGGGAAAAAAAAGAAAAAAGAAAAGGCAGTCATACCTTCTCTGCGATAAAGTGGTACTTTTTGGCCTCCCAGATCTCAGCAGCGTTGAGCAAGAGCTGGGTCTATAGGTTTCCGAGGATGATTAGTATAGTTTCCACAAACTCAAACATTAAATCCTTCGATGGCAGAGGGCTGGGGACCCGGGCCACATACTCACATCTTGTTCGTCCCACCGTTGTAGCCTCTCTCTCCGGCGCAGGAGGCGCATCTGTAGTCTTGCTTCCGAGGCATCTTTGTTGAATCGGCCACGAAACATCTCGCGCACCACCTTCCAAGCGGTATTCTGATTCCGCAGCTCCTCAACGAAGTCATCTTCTTCTTCAGCCTGTGGGTCACGGCGGCCCCGGCCCGGGGGCGCGGGGCCGTGGTTGAATGGGCTGCGGGAGGCGAGGTTTTTTTTTTTCTTTTGTTCAGTGCGCTCAGTTCCTCCCGGATTAGGAAGGACGGTCTTCGAGTCCTCGTGTGCTGAAGATTGCGAAAGGGCACGCTTCACCCGCTTGAGGGGCGGACCCTGCGGTGATATACTGGACGAGTCACCCAGCCCGTATTGTAAATCATCCGGGGCGTAATCCACATAGCTGGCGCTGGGAGCAGTCGTCCTAGGGTATTCACTGGGGAAAGCCGCGGTGATACCCAAGCCCTGGGGCTGCGTGGACTCGCTAATAGTAAACCGGTAATCTTGTGGAGCATAATCTGGCGAATGATGGCTGAGAGCTGGACTGGGACGGAAAGAGCTGTCGGGAAGACTAATGGGAGTCAGGATAGTAGATGGAACGAGAGATTCAGTGCAATAAGCGGCATGGCCCAGGAACGGGGGATGGAATGTTGGCTAAAGATAGCACACGATCAGTTTCAGCAATCTGTGATGAGTGGCCCCGGAGAGGGGGGGGGGCGCGCTAAGGCCATACCGTCGTTTCAACGCCAGGCCATTGGGGTTGGAGGTTATCGTAGAATGAAGAGACCTCATCGGCAGAGCGGGCAGCGTCTTTGCGAAGCGACATGGTTTTCCCGAGGGCAGGTAAACCAGCCAAAACCGTAGACTGTCATTCAAGGGACGCCTCTGCTCCACCGCGCGCTTGATTGGGAGAGGAACCGGCGGTGGCAACGATATGAAACACGATTAGGGTCTCCGTGCAGGCGAAAGGTGTCAAAGGGCGGCTGCTGAGGGAGTATGATGGGCTGGGAAAGACCAGCGGCTAATGTAGATTAAACGGTATAGAGGGAAAGAATTGCGCTTCAAGGTTGGACGACCGATGTCTTTCACGGAACACAAAAAGAGAAGACGGGTTACCTGAAGGGAAAGATTCTTATAGATGAAGAGTCCGATTTGGCACAGGCGGGGTCCAGGGGAATAAGATATAGTATCGATGGCCCCTCTTCTAGACTGACCTTTCGAGATATCACAGCCCGCGGTGGAATGCCTTGCGAGGCAGGTCGAACAAATCTTCTGGCTGGCTAACTATAGGCTCAGAATGCACTAAAATTCCAAGACAGTACCGCCCATGGTAATCGCAGTGCATTAGAACCGCTCAGGGAGGCAGAGGGCTGACACGTCGAGGGCCTGTATTTAAGCGCCTACATTTCAATAGCTCCATTTGCTGATATACGGCGGCTCCGCCCCCATCCGTTGTTCACACCCTTCTCGGCTGATGAAGGAGGGTGTGTGGACTCAGCATCTGCATAGAGGGGGGTCATCGAGCTCCACAAATACCCTTTCTCTTCAAGGCAGGATGGGGGGGGGAGGGAAGAATAAACGTGAAATAAGCTGGGCCAAAGCCCCCATACCCACTGGACCCGAAGCGGACTAGTGCCAGGGCGAGTCCCCATTGACGGAATCTGATTAGCCGCTGGCCAGGATCTTCGGGGGTAATTTGGCTTGATCTGACTGGTTTTGTTTTTCGAACAGGAATTTTATATTTGAGTATTTTATTTGAGTTCTCCAGCACCAGCGCACCATGTGGTTTGACAGGGATTTCCGATCTCCAGGGCTACCCCCCTCGTTCCCAGGAACGAGTCACTATGACCCTCGTGCTTGGTACGGGTCATGTTCCCTGTTCATTGTGCTGGGTTCATCATAGCCTCATCGATTGTGTCCGGTTGACATCATGTCGATGCTTCGTGGATCCTGACTACATGATCTGCGATTGGGCTCGGGCCACAGGGTTTGCAGATTACGCTGAAACCCTGTTTAAAAAAGCCGTCGGGCCCCTTTCATATCCGAAGCCCAGTACAGAACCCAGAGGAGATCGGGGGAAGCACATAGGCACATCTAATGACCGAATCTGTATGTGTCTCATCCCGGGAAACATTGTGACCATCCGCCTGGGAACGGATGGTTACCTCCAGCGGCTCATGACTGGACCAGACCCATGTGCCGGGGGCCGTGAGGCTGAAAGAGCTACCGCGCGCCGCAAACGTGGCTTTCTCGTCCGGAGAATTCATGGCCGCTGGTTAAGCGCCGGGGAGGGCCCTTGGCCCCTTGCGGTGCATCGAAGAATCTTGTTTGGGAGGTCCGCCAATCGTAGCATCCTTCCATTAACCGCAAGGCAGAGCGGTAATATGAGAGTTTACATCAGATCCACATGGGCTTAAATGTGCACTCCTTGCTCGTTAAGGGCAGAGGTTAGATAGGTTCCCCCGGGGCCATGTGTGTGGTCTGCTTCCCGCCGCCCCAGTGCGCGCGCCCCGCCTTCGTACTCCCCAAATCGTATTCGGCCTTCTTACGTAGCCACTTAAGCGCCCTCTCTCGCACCTCTTTTCCTTTCGGGCCTGGTTTGAGGTCAGGTGTGCGCACAAGCAGGAATCCCTTTTTCTGGAGGAAGAGGACGCCTGAAAATTGGAATGGGGCCAGGGCAGAGACCATTCGGGCTTGTGAAGACAAAGTCTGCAGAGGATGTGCAAAAATGCCCCGGAACTAATCTATTGGATATTATTAGAAATGTAACGCGAAGAAGAACATCTAGACATTCGAAACCCCAAGGCAGAAAACCGGAGCCAGATGTTTCTAACAATGGAAATTTGTCAGTCCATGCGGGGCGCTGCAGACACCGCCCGGCCCCACCGCGACCAGCAAAACAAGACTCTTCGACGTAAGGGAGACATCAGGCGGGATGATTTCATACGTCCACGTGTGTTACACGCGGACACTTATAGATGTCAGACTCGTTCATGAGAACTCTCCATGATACCTTCTTGGTCACCGGAGGACCTCCAGAGGACTTCCGGGGCAGCCCGTAAAGCAAGCCAATGGCAACATAGGACATCTCGGCGTCATTTACTATTCAAGCCGCGTACGAAAGAGCCCATCCCTCAACAAGTAAAGCCCACTACAGTAATTAGAGGCACACTTTGTCAGATGTATCAAATAGCCACAGGTGATGCCGAGAATATGGTATCAGATACTCGTATGACGTTTTGAAAGATTTGCGAAACTCAAGTACGGCTGTGCGTATTCGCAACATCCTCCTCGTCCTCTAACATGCCCTCAAGATTGTCGTCCTCCACAGCATGCCCGTGCTGCTCAAGTGTATCATCCGCAGCAATTGAGATGCCCCGAGAGCCCCATCGGTTAGTATTGGGGCGGGCTGCATCCCCTTCTTCAGCGTCATGGAGACGTTCTTCTTCATCGTTTGACTGCCGTCCCACACGGATGTTCGTGACCCGGTTGACCAGCCAGCTCTTGCTAAAATCGTCCGAGTCGACAATGGCTCCGTTGCGGAGCTTGACTCGCTGCCGCGAGTAGTACACCCAGGCAAAGTCAATGTAGAAAGCCACCTGGGCGATTCCACAAACGAGTGCTGGTGGGTCCCAGAAGTGTTCCTTGCCGAACCCACGCACCAGCCAGTTCAGGATGTAAAAGCCGCGGTACGAGCCGAGCGCCACGAGATAAAAAGAATCGATGACAGTGGGAACGGTGGTTTGGCGCAGAAGTATGAGCTGCGGCAAGATGGCAACGGACTCGAGGATCAGGGAAAAAACGCGGGTCAACTACGTTGTCGGGTTAGTGATATCTGCCTCACGGCTCTGTTCGAGAATATCTGACCTCCATAAACCAGTCCACTGGCCACGGTCGTTCAAGGATCCAAACCATCGGGGGCGCCAAGACCAGAGATCCGACCACTGAATAGATGCCGAACTTCCATGCTCGCTCCCTCTCCCTAGTTCGAGGGTAGACCTTGAGCATGATGACTACCACATAGATAGAACTCGTGATGAAAACAATCTTCCAGATCAGGTTCCATGCTGATTTGGTCTCGAAGAGGTCGAGATAGCGAGTGATAAACACGAGGCCGTAAAGCATCTGAGTGATGAGTGAAACGCCTACAGACGCCAGTGGTCAGCGATAACCCCGAAAAATAGAGGGAGCAGCGTTGGGAAGATTTACCTTCAGCGCTCTTGTTCTTGTGAATCGCCCATATTAGAATCCCGATCGAAGCGACATGGGAAATGTCCGCCAGATATCGAAACACATTCCACCCCATGATCGTAGGGATGGCGGGTTGGGGCTGCGGGGAAAGCTAGAGCTCAGCTTGAACTAGGCGGGGGATACCGAGATCAGATGGTCGTATGGATCAGAACCTAGAAGCGCCTTATAGGGGCAATTTTCAGGCGCTTCTCAAGCTTTAGATTTGCTTCCAGGCGGTATGTTGTCCTTTTGAGTTGAAGCACTGCAGCGGCTGGGGAGCTGTTATCTATTCGCCGAGCTTAGGCCGCGTGTCCTCACGTGATTCATGCCGTCAGACGCCGCCTGTCGATCGAGAACAATCAGTGAGTATCGAGTAATTATTACATCTAAATAAACAGTATTTCCACCTATTACCCACTAGTAGAATTCCATTTATGCGAATGTCGAATTCAAGTTACTTCAGTAGGATGTCATTTTCGAGTGAAGAACTGAGAACTGAATTAGGCCGCGTGTATGGGCACACGGACACATGCTTATTTGGGCGAATGTGTACCCTGCAACTAGCCTTACAGGGTGAAAGTAGAGCATCTACAGCTCATAATGATCCTCTATGGCATCATGCTATCTAGGGCTGGATCCCATATTTCATACTAGTAATTCAAGTGGAACCTCTGAAGGTGATCTAGTATGTTTGGTGGGCAGGAGATATATATCCGCGACTTTGCATTTTGGAGGGTTCCAGGCATCAAAAACTTTGAATTAGTACCGAGAAACGTCTAGGCAGTGGATTCATCAAAAAATTGAACTTGACGGCTCAGATCCCTGATTTCCAGCTTGACCATAGCACTAGCCCTAATGGTGAAGAATCACTGGCATGATTCGCAGGGCTTGAAAAGCCGATTGTACCAGTAGTACTTAATATCGTCGTTGTCCCGTCCGATCATCGGAAAATCATAACAAAACCGCTCTATCTCACTCTTGACGATGAGGAACATCTACCATTATCAATGATCACAGGATCCTCCATTGCAAACGCATTCCTTTACCAGATTTAGTCAGCCGAACTTGACCCTCCAGGGCTCAGAGCCAAGGGTCCGATCTAAAGCCCGTGCGCACTAAACCGAATCGAGTGCGCCAGTACTATGCTAGCCGTTTATAGTTAGTAAGGACCGCAGCATTAAGGGTTGGCAGATCCCTACTAGCTTCAATAATTATCTCCGAGGAAATATGGCTTCGCTTTCTGTGCGATTCGAGAGGCTCAGTTTCATTAGGACTGGTCGCCGACCCTGTTGATAGAGCTTTGCGAACTTAGGTGGCGAGACCGGGGATGCTATTTCGGAATTGGTCACGAAGCATGGTAAACTCCACGATGCGAAGAAGCAGGGGTCTCTTTAATTTGAGATTCTAGTGCATAGATGCGTTTAGATCTGTGAATCGCTCATACACCCTTAGTCCCAGTGGGTAGGTGTCATAGATCTGTCACTGCCGATAGTCTCTCTCATCAACTCGAAAACTCGTGCGGGATTACTTCTTATAAATATCGTCTTTGGCTGTTGCCGCGGTAAGTAGTTTTTCATATTTATTTTTTCCTACTTTTTTATTCATTATTTTTGGATATATCTACGCGGTCGGCGTTCCTAAACTTCTGGTCCGGTGCATTTCCTGGATTCCTGGATTCCAAGTGGCAGGTTCCTAATAAGCAAGCTGGATAACATGCCAGAACAGTATCTGTGAAAGCAACGGACCGTGAAAAAACCAGAATACTATTGGAGGTGCAAGCTCGCAAGCCATTCCAAATCAGTCTAGGCCCCACTAACGGCATAATGGTCTCTGACATGCCAATTGTGTTTCAATCGCACGATGCCGCGCTGAATTTTTGCCTATTATGCACTGGCACGGATTATGCAATGTAATGATAAATTACGACGGTTGGGACAAGGCATCCGAGACGGGGACATGGAATACCACCAAGAAAGGGAATGGACTCATGTCCTGTTACTCATAGCGCCAGGTGTTGATAGTTATAAGAATCTCTGTATCACGTAACAGCTACACGATCGGGTTTTCGGGTCTCCTCCTGGCAGCACTGCTGCGATGCCAGGACATCTCCCTGGGGTTAAAAGTGGAGGCTCTACTAGGACGTTTACACCGTGTGCAACCAACCGAGGAAGGAGCTTTCCCGACCTATCAGGTCCTCAGCGTGGCGAGGGCTGTCAATCGCCAACGACAGATGGGCTGTGAAATACACGGAATATCCCAGATTCAAGATGACGCGGTTGGGCTTCCCAAGTTCCCGGCATATAATAGCCAGTCGATCAACTCTCTGCTGCTTCACGGGAAATACCGAGGCAACGGAGAGCTCTTCACGGCGCGTGTATCCATTGACCTGTGATCTTTGATGTGAAAATCAATACTATGATATATTTAGGGCCGAGTACATGAGTCGTTACATGGTGATGTCAAGCGATGGCACGTAGCAACGTCCTTGATGCGACCTATGCTAGAGCTTGGCAATACCATGACCGTCGCAGCAACCTGTGCACTGGCCATACTCGGACCAGACTGTATTGTCAATCCTGAAATTTGGATTGCTACTTTTAGCCAAGAGTGAACATGCTTAATGGAATGTGACTTTCAGGAATGATTTCATCTCGTACCATCTTATCGTACTGCAGTGTTGATATTCATGCCGCCAACGGCGATCTGAAATGTGGACTCTGCCGTTGGGTAGAGTCCGGATAGCTACATGAATCTTCGAGTTCGTCGATCGTGCATGTGTCGATCATACAGGATTTCTATTGCGCGATCTAAAGAGCTAGAGAGCCGAACTAAGCCACGAGAGCATATGAACCATCCAACCAACAGCCTTGTGGATGCTCTCACATGCAAATCTTGCCCGTCGAGGTAACCATCTCGAACACCGGATTTTAAATCAGTCCTACTCCTACGGCTAGGCTATCTGGCACATAATCTTGACAATTCCACGCAAGCCAGAGGCGATCGATAAGAATACCTTTGTCCCCTTCTTCAGAACAGTTCCTTCCATTCCCTCAATATCTACATCGTTACATCGCTACATCGCTAACCCCCAGTGTGGACTCTACAATGATCATCCCCGTTTAGTGTGAGTTAGCCGCATAATCCCGGCCCTGTGACGCTCCTACACCAAACTGCAGGGCGCAAGTCCAGAGGACATCTCATTGGCACGTGGCTGGTGACGATTTAGGCCCGGCGCCCTTTCTCCCATTGGCAAATTTGGATTTGCCGCGTGGCGTGGCAATTTCTTGCTCCTACGTGAGGAAAAGTGGAAAAAAAAGACTTCTGCGTTCCTGGAGTGCTCCATTTCCGGTAGGGTGGCAGTTGGGCTTTTTGGACGCGTTACGGAGTCTCCGCCTAAGGCGCAAAGAGGAGAGGGGCTTGTTAACAGCGTTATCATTTGAGGGGTAGGAGGGGTGCCAAAACAAAGCTGTGCTTGCTGCAGTCTGTGGCTTGAGTTAGTCTGCCAAGTCTCGGGTTGGACGGAGTCAGAATTGAATGGCACGGGAACTGCGGCTCACCAGAGCTCGCAGCTTCCGCAGTGATTGGATCGAGAAATCTCCAATATCAGACGCTCCGGGAGACAGCCGGCGGACAATGGGCAAAGGATCCTCGCACGGGTGTGAGAGCTGGCCGGGGGACCGGATTCTGGAACAGGCCACTCGCGGGGCTCATCGGCCTAAATGTCTCAATGGGAGTGCCGGGGCGAGTCCGGTTCTGCTTTCTGCATAGATTTGGGGGTCGCTGCACGAGCGGTTACAGGAGGGAGGAGGGGGGGGGGTTGTCTTGTAGGTGGAATGCACCGGAAGATTAGTTGATGTAGGTTGGTGGACACCAAGATAGCTCAGTTTGTTTACCGGGCGATCTTCAACGCGAATCAGAGGGAGATGGTAGACGCCCTTAAAAACGATCTAGACTCCGTCCACTTCCCCCCTCTTCTGCTTCCGCGACAGAAACTGTCGACAAGAGCTTTGCTCCTAGGAATAAGAAACAAGAGGAGAATCCAAAGGACCAGGCCCCACTCAGACCATAGCCCGTAGCTCGAACTTGGTAGCCCGTAGCTGGTAGCCCGTAGTTGGTAGCCCGTAGCCCGTAGCTGTGCGTGCCAACAAGCTGCCCCGGATTCCCCCAACCGTGGGTGTATGGCGATATGAGGTGAAGTGCATCCCCCCCCCCCGCTCACTCTTCCTTCCTTTCTCTCTCCTCCCTTTGTAACTTTCCCCTTCTTCCCCCCCACCCTCCTTTCTTACCTTTTTCCATCCCTTCCGAGTCAAACCCACTCTTCCAGCCTCATGTTCTCCCCGTATTCGGAAGAATTCGAGGTCCCCGATTCGACTCTTCGACCATGCGATTTTGACCTGTGAGCTACCCACGGCCCCTATCCTGCTCTTCCCCTCTCCTTATTATGTGCTACTATGTTTTACACATTACACTGTCTACCTTCACGCTTTCTTCTCTCTTCTCTTTCGCTTAGCAAACTTTTCACTCCTCCCCATTCCCCCTCTCTCCCCGCGCGCGTACCCTGCCCTGTTTCCTTCTGTTCCCGATCTGGTTTTGCCTGGGATGCGCCTGTGTCATCGTCTTTCAGTGTAACAAAGCCCACTTCCCTAAAAGTTGATCCACGGCGCGCCTCACAGAACTGGCAACCTCCCCTAACGCGACCTGAGTGTACAGATGCAGGTGATTGGGTTTCCTTCACCATGTCGTAAGTCGTCTATGATCTCCGTTGGAGGGAGACCTTGGCATCTCGCGCATGAGGCTCTCATATTTTCGCGCCTTCTCGTTTTTTCAAGTCAACTTTTGTCCGCTCTAACGCTTTCTTCCTTGCCTTGCTCTTCAGGTCTCCCCCGACTTCCAAGCGAATCAAAACATCCGCGACGACCAGCGCTCCTTCACATCTCCTCGCCCAACAACAGATCCATCCGTTCCACCGGGTGCCAGCTTTCGAGAGCATCCCCATACCCACAGCGCCCATTCCCCCGCAACAGCAGCAGCAGCAGCAGCAACAACAACACCAACAACACCAACAACAACCATCTGCTTCTCGTAAACGCCCGTCCTCGCCCACGGTGAGCTCCTCCGCTATGATGGGCACTCCCATGAACCCGGGGGGGGGCCTGCCATCGAAGGTGACCCAGGCACCCTCCCCGCCCCTGTCGAGCCCGCGCCGAAGAAGAAAGGTCGCACCAACACCCCTTGGACAGCGGAGGAGGAGCAACGTTTAAAGACTATGCGCGATGCCGGGCGCAGTTGGAACGAAATTGCAAAGGTGCGCCACCAAAAGAAATCTATGGAGACTCGATCGTATCACGCAGGTTGCTAATCCCACGCGTCGCAGACTTTCCCCACACGGACTGAGGGCAGTGTAAAGAAACATTGGTATAAGGTATGAACGCTCCTTGCATTTTTGCTGAGTAACTGCGGACTTAGACTGACCTCGCCTCGCATCAGGATATGCATTACGCCGAGTTTGCAGAGGATGAGGTACGTTCGCGAAGGAAAGGGTCTGTATACTGTGGTCCAAACTAATCCATAGCAGTCTGTGAAACTCCGTGAAGCTATCAAAGAATATGAAGCCAATAAGTGGAAGGTCATTGGCCAGAAAGTTGGAAAGCCTGCCAAGGTATGGATCGCATTCCAAGGATATCAAGCCAACTGTCTAACCTCCAACTAGGCATGCGAGCAATACGCAAAGGAACATTTCAAGAACTTGTAAAGGGTCAGGAGGAACCCTATTGATGAAGTTATGATCTTTGATTTTCTATGCATCTTTTACGAATTTGGCATTCCCCCTCTCTGGATTCTGCAATTCCAAGCGACGCGTGTTTCGTCAATAGCTAGGGCTGTTGATATTACAAAGGCGAGATGGAGTTGGGGATTCTGGTCTTGTTTTTTCCTCCCCATCTTATTATTTCCGTGAGGTTGCCACTTTTTTTTTCTTGTCTTTGGGGGCGTTCATGCTTCTTGGGGCCAATTGGGGGCTTCGGCCATATCTGTCGATGAATACTACATGATTCCCAGGGATAATCTGCCTATAGCAATGAATCTAAGCTTCAAACAATGTGGGGGATCTTGTAGCCTCTGGGCCGCCGATCTTCTTATCTCGCATCCGCGGAAAGCGGCCTATCAGTCTTAGAAAATTTCCCCGCGGCCTCCTTCTCTCTCCACATTCCTCTCTGGATCGTAGCCATTGTGCTCCTGGCTCGCTGATCAAGTGATCTTGTTTCATCTTGTTTCCAAGGTATCTCTCCGGTCTTGGGAATACATAGACCGCCACCTCCATCAGCCTGCTAATGCCCAGACTTCCTTCATAGTGACTCATTGGAAAGTGACACCAGCCGCCTCAAAACTATAACCAGACAATGTCCGAGTACACAATCCCGCCCACTCCTCTCCCCCGCAGCTAGGGATTCCGCCCAGTCTTCAAAGTAGCGAGTATCGCAAGATCAAGGTACCAACAAAGCCCGCCTGCATGCAGACCGGTGTTCGGCCGCTCCCCGCGGCAAGCGGGGTGGCGACCGTTCTGAGAAAATACGGTTGAACTTGATCTGGATAACTCCAGCGAAAGAACTCATGCGCGCTGCTTCCCTTCTTCAATTTCCTCGCTCGCGAAACTGACGATCGTACCAGAATGGCCCACGACGACGACATCGCCTCCGTAGCTGTGCGCTCGGCCAAAGACGAACCCGCCACATCGCACCCTGTCCCCCCCGCCGAAGGTACGAAGAATGAAGCAATGTTCTCCGAAGCAGCGACGGGACAGAGAAACCCCGTCGGCTCACGGCTGGGTTCTTTGCTCCACTCGTTCGAGCGGCAGCTCGTCGAGTATAACCTCGAGGCGCGCGGCATTGAGCGGGTTGCGCCAGAGGACCGCATGAAGCGATTGTCCGCGATGTCGTATCTGCAGGCGTTTCTGCTGTGGGTGTCGATCAACCTGGCGGCGAATAATATTACGTTAGGTATGCTGGGGCCTGCGGTGTACGGGCTGAGTTTCCGGGACTCAGCGCTCTGTGCTGTCTTTGGGACTTTTGCAGGTGGTCTGGTTGCTTCGTGGATGGCTACGTGGGGTCCTGTTTCTGGGATCCGGACTATGGTACGTGAATAGCATGCAGAAAGCCTGGGAGCTGGAACCCTGACCTGTTGCTTAGGCGTTCGGCCGATACTCGATGGGATGGTGGCCGAGCAAGGTTGTCGTTCTGCTTAATCTTGTGCAAATGATTGGGTATGGCTTGATCGACTGTGTTGTTGGTGGCCAGATCTTGTCGGCTGTTTCTCCACATGGCAGTCTGTCGGTTGCAGTCGGTATGTTCATCGACGTGGTTTAGTAGGCCTTTTTTTTTTTTTGGCACCGGCTGACCCGTGCAGGTATTGTGATCATCGCTGTTATCAGTTGGGCTGTGGCCACGTTTGGAATCCAAGTTTTCCATTATTATGAACGGTATGGTCAATTCGGTGCTCTCCATGAAAAGTGCATGCTAATAGGTTGATCAGATATGCATTCCTTCCGCAATTGATCGTCTTCTGCATCTTATTTGGCGTGTCGTCAACCAAATTCGACCTAGCCACTGCCACCGTGGGCGATGCTCGAACAGTAGCCGGTAATAGGTACGTCCAATTCGACCCGATATCGCATTCCAAGAACAGACCTAATATCCGGACCAGGCTATCATTCTTCTCCATCTGCCTCAGCGCCGCAATTACCTACGCACCACTAGCAGGCGATTTCTTCGTCTACTACCCTGAACAAACGTCCCGAACCAAAATCTTCACACTCACTCTAACCGGCCTAGTCATCTCCTTCACCTTCGCCCTCGTGTCAGGAATTGGCCTCGGCTCCGGCATAACCACTCACCCCGAATATGCCGCAGCATACAACGTCGGCCAAGGCGCCCTGATTGTCGAAGGCTTCGGTCCTCTCCACGGCTTCGGTAAATTCTGCTCCGCAATCGTCGCCCTCGGCCTCATCGCCAACACCGTCCCTCCCACATACTCCTCCAGTGTCGACTTCCAGATCCTGGGCCGCTATGCCGAAGCCGTGCCCCGCGTCATCTGGAATACCGTCGGCGTGATCATCTATACCGCCTGCGCTCTCGCGGGCCGTGAACACCTCTCGGAGATATTCACCAATTTCCTCGCCCTCATGGGCTACTGGGTGGCTATCTGGTTCGCGATCGTGCTGGAAGAGTACCTGATCTTTCGCCGTCGGTGCGGGTACAATTGGGCTGCGTGGCGCGATCCCAAGAAGCTCCCCATTGGCATTGCAGGATTCATCGCGTTTGTCGTTGGCTGGGTCGGTGCTATCCTGTGCATGGCTCAGGTTTGGTACATCGGGCCCCTGGCAAAGCTTGTCGGGGCTTACGGTGCTGATGTGAGTGATCTATCTTTGTCTTCTTGCCGGGAAAAAAAAATTCTCTTTGTTTTCACTTTTTCTTCGGGGGGATCTTGGTTGCTAACATAGCTTAGATGGGGAACTATGTCGGTTTCTCGTGGGCCCTGCTCGTCTTCCCTCCTCTTAGATGGCTAGAGCTGCGCTTCTTCGGCCGGTAATTCTCATCGGCTATACTAGGTGGATGTCGACACTGCATGCCAAGCTCCGTTTGCCGACTTGGTTCAAAAATTAGAGTTTGGTATTATAAAAAGTTATGTCATGAGGGTAATGGCGGCGTCTTTAGTCCTTTGCGGGATTGGCTCAAGTCGTTATCTCCTACCAGTTTGCATCACATTAGTAAATATCAGGATATCTCACGCTAGTACTAGTAGCTAAGATTTCATGTTTATCAATTTGCTGTTAAGATCTAGATTCTTCGCAGCTAAGGATATCTGGCATTAGCACATGGCCAGCAAGCTTCGAGTTAAGCATATGACCCGGAATAACAGGCGAAGCCGAAGAAAGTCTCGAGGTGCTTTTTCGCTTACATCGACCAAAACGAAGCTTGTCGTTTCAACCGGAATGTCAAGTCAAGAACTAGAAAGATAAGAACCAGGAGTACATCCCCTCACATCTCATTTTCGACTTCTAGACAACTATTCTACAAAGGAGACGGGAAGCAGTCGCAAAGACAGAACAGATACAGGCACTCTCGCTTGCCAGATAGGGCCATTCACGGTATCAGAAACGATCCTAGCACGAATCTACCGGTACCAGTACTCGGGCTTGACGTAGTCGGCGAAGGTCTTGGGCTCCTCGTGGGGAGGGTGGTGGCCGTGGCCGTGGTCGCCTAGAGAGAGATGTTAGCATGCTCAGATCCGAAGAACCAAGCACAGATCGGATTGAAAACGTACTGGAGTGGGCGTCCTCCTCGGGTCCAATGTAGTTGAGCTTAACGACGTTGCCGCACTCGTTGCAGCGCTCAATGGGGCGGTCACGGGAGACCTGTGGGAAGCTTAGATTAGCTATCTCGCCCGAATGCATGAGTCCTGGGTATACAGGTGGATCGTACAGTCAGCCAGTTGACATGGTGGGAGTCTGCGGGGAAGCCAGTGCAACCGGCATACTGCTCGTCACCGGCACTGTTGACGATGATGGGGTTGTCGAGTGTTCCTGTAGATTTCACTTGTCAGCTGGCTGGGTGCCGGGGGCACTGTAACACCGCGCATATGCGCGGCTGTATACAGTCCCATGCCGCGGTCGCATTTCACGTACCTTTGCGCGAGGCATCCAGAGGACGCATGTCGAAGATGTCGATGCCCTGCATCTTTCCGATAAGCTCGAGACGCTCGAGACCGGTGGCCTGGATGTAGTCGGTGGGAACGGTTCCGGGCTTGGCACCGGGGGGAATCAGATCCTCCTCAGTCTTGATCTCTGCAACAGAAAAAAGTTTCCAGGTCAGTTTATCTTTTTTTCGATCCTGGTAGCCTTGCCCAAGCAAGCAAGGTAGGGTCGTTGTGACTTCGACGCGGAGGATCCGCAATCCGCGTTTCCGATATCTCCCGTATGACGATTGCACACGAAATTGAATGTGCCAAGAGCTCAATGGATAGCTAATGGAATCTCCCGTTCGAAGACACGAGACAGAAGACTTGTTTCCGCAGGGCGGGCGTAAGACGAAGGGGGTACTAACCTTCGAAGGAGAGGATCTTGGCGTCAGGGTTGCCGCCGGGCTTGTACTCGCTGCCTGTTTCGACGGAAAATACATGTTAGCTTGCAGCCGCAAGATTGAGTTACGGATTATCTCGTTGCAAAAGAAAAACCCTTCCAGGGAGCAATTGGGTCGGGGGGGATGGCAGGGTCGGCGGATGAGTTGGATGAGATCGGATCACACCACCGGGGGGGGGGAGTCACGTACGGCGCACGACAGCAGAGGAGAAAGGGCGCTGGGCAAGGGTCAGAGCCCGAGCGGGAGTGCGCCTCACAAGGGCAGAGGCAGTACGCTGAAGGAACATTGTCCTGGTAGAGCTGCTGATATTGGGGGTGGAGAGGGAAGGGCTTGGAGGATGGAGGGTTTGGAGGTTTGGAGGTCGAGGTTTGAACGCAGCGGGCTGACGGGCTCTCTGATTGGTTCCGGCTGGGCCGGGAGAACCAATCGAAAGCGACCAAAAGTGGCGCTGAGTCAGCCAACCTGATGGGCTGATCCTACGGGATACAGAAGGAGCCAACTGCGCAGAACACCGCATCGGGAAAGAACTAGGGCTCAGGGCATTGCGGTATACAAAATCCCAAGGGAGGTAAACAGGCAGTAAGAGAAAGGATATATGGATACCAAAAGAAACATCACCCCAAATGGGAAGCCCTCTCTCGGCAAGCTGCAGGGGTGAATCCATTCCCGACCTTTCCAGCAATAATGCGCCACCGATCAGTCTCGTACTCATCCATAGCCCGATGAAGCCGTTGCACCTGTTCTCTATCAGCAACTGGAAACCGTGAAGAGGTTAGGGTTATCAGAAGTAACAAGAGAGTAAGAACTTGAGAGACCAACCATATCATCTGTCCAAACTACATCCTTCGCCTTCAACTTGGTACAATATCGTACTTGTAATGTCCCACTCGTCCGCCCGGGGAAGAAGTCCGCGATTTGCTTCCACGTCAAATTCTTGTCTTCTTTAAGCTCCACCAGCAAAGCATCTTCTTCTGGCGTAAACTTAAGCTTTGGGCCCTTTGGCCGGGGTGCTGGCTCTGGCATCCCCGGCTGGCCCACCACACTGGGAGGCCCTATCTGTAAGGATGGGGAGCCAGAACCCGGGCCATGAGGCCCGGAGAGCAGAAGAGCCTGGGGAGGAAGACGGTGGTGATGATGCTGCGGAATGGGGAGAGGGAGAGGAAGAGGGAGAGAGATCGGGGAAGCGAACCCGTGCGCTGAAGAAGCGTGCGATTCCGAATGATCGCTGTGGATAGGGAATAGCAAGTCGGATTCTGGCGCAGAGGCCGATCCATCCATATGCATGGGTTGGATCGGCGGGCGCAGTCCGATACTGCGATCCATATCGCGGCTGCCCTCTCCTTCACTGTCCGAGCGCGACCGTTTCCTACTCGCTGGGAGGGTCGCGAGATCGTAGCTGTAGTGTGGGGGATGGAGCAGCTGGGGCAAGGGACTATAGCCTGGCTGTGGCTCATTATGACCGTTGTTGGCGTGCGGCTCGGGTAGAGGCAATATGCCCTGGGGTTGAGAACCGTAAGAGGTTGGGTGGGCTTCAGGCTGGTAGGAAAGCCCGTTCAGGAATCGATCGCGTAGCGGCTGGGCATCATAAATCAAGTCATGGCCGTCAGGCTTATTCGCGTCCGAATAAGTCACCACATAGCCTCGATACGGGTCTGTCAGTGTCGCGGACATACATCGACTATGCCAGGAGGGCCCGGCCAAATGGCGAATAGTGGCTAATGGGTCAATATGGGAATGGGCTCAGGAAATTGTCGCTCCCGGAAACGGGACGCGAGACGAATAATTGTCCCTGTTATCACATAAGATGCCGATGTATGAGGGGTGAGAGGAAGGCCGGACGTGGCAAGAAAGAAATAGATTTTAATTCCCACCAGGTTTACGACTGCCAGGGTTCAATGCAATTGGAGGAGGGGGTGGACGAGGGAGAGGTCCGTGAAGATGGCCTTGCGATGACAAAATTTCATAGAGGTACAAAGACGTGGAAGCCCGAGTGATCGAGCATAGTGGGGGAGACTATGACTTGAAGGGGCGAGCTGAAGATCTCTGCAGAGAAAATAAAATACAACAGACCCGCAGGGCATTCGAGGATCCTTTATGTTTTAGGTCCTTTCCTTCTGTTGTCCACCCCTGTCGACTGTTTACAAGTACCTCGCAAAAGCTTTCAGCGGCCTGAGTGCAAAGGCAGTGGTGTGTCAGAGTGTGAACGGCCTCCATCAGCTGAGCTATTCGCCTGCGCAGGTGGTTGTTTTCTGGGTATGAGATGCAATGGGCGCGAAAAAAGTCGCTCACCAAGAGCCCGTCGGCACAATATGATGAACAAGATGCGCGCTTTCCAGTGTGCTTCTCCTATACAAGGCCTTTCTAAAAAGTTGCTCTGGCAAATCCTCTGCCACCCCGGGGGGCGCTCTATTTTTCCATTCTGTGGCTTTTTGTCTCTTTTTGGAGTAGTTCCCCTCCCTTCGGGCCAAATCAATCGACACGGGATAAGACAGCGGTGTCAAAGGACAATTGGACAGGGCTGGAACCGACCTCATCCGAAGCAAACCCCCATCCAGATCCGTATCGGAGTTGGAGACGATGTGACAAACATCCAATTCGTTGGGTAAGAATCCCGGTCAATCGGTCTACCCCTGTGAACTTGACGGGTGGATCTGCGGGCGCGGCCGGTTGCTACAATATTGGTTAGCCAGAATCAGCAACAGGGGTCTTTATTCGCTGCGAGGGTCCAGATGACAGCAAAAGAGGGGGGCGATCCTCTGTTGAAGCAGCAAATCGGCAGGGAGTTTCCCAAAGAGGAGGAATCAAGCCATCGAGACATGGGCCTGAGGAAGTAAACATGGTAGCCTTTAGCCTGTTGTTATACTTTCTTTTTGACGGAATGGTTCGCAGCAGGGCGGGTTGGGGGGGGGGGGGGTGCTCGAGCCGAGGAGGGCCGCTTGAGACTAGTTCGTCACTGGAGACGCACCTCACATCCCGGAAAATAGAAGCCCAGTAGCTTTGACCCAATCATGGCGACGCTTGCCACCTAGAGAAAAGCCCGGCATCAAAAGGGCCTGAGAATTTGGAGCCGGAGGGTGGGGAAAGGACCTACCGAGGGAAAAAGATTCGGAGAGGCAGCCGGGCTCATGTAACTGCATATGGCCCGTCCTCCATACTTCGCCTCAGGTCCTTTTGACTCAAATCGTCTCCACCTCCGCTCCGTTCCAGCTTCGTGTGATTGAGGGGAATCCCGCATTTGGCTTCATCAAAACCCCCACTTGGCGTGACGTGATGATGGACCCCCGTTCGACACGAAAGCTTGGACCTCTTCCCATGGGATTGTGGTGGCGCATGGCCGATGACCTGAATTAATCAGCAACATCAGGGGGAGCCCTGGAGGGCATGGAAGTTCCGGGGGCGATTGAGCGGAGTATGCTGTATGCAAGAGATAAGGTGGGATCACCAATCAGGAAAAGGCAATCATCGCCCTCGGAACTAACGCAGCTCAACAGGCAGGAGAGGAAAGAACGACTCGATGCGCGGCGGTGCTAGTAGCCTGGGATGTAGGGAACTGGAACTGGTTACACCAGCCGAACAAAAGGGGAAGCCAGCCACGATACGTCGAATCTCTAATCTTACCTCAATCCCCTGCGCCTTTAACCGGTTGGTATTGAAACCGTGGGGTCTTTCGCGGCTTTACAATGCTGGCATATGGCTGATTGCCAAATCATCCGAGGCCGTACCTTTTCTCTGGCTGTGCTGGTAAGGGCGACCTATGGGAAAGTCATGCGTTACTATATGGCTAGTAGGAAGGAAGAGCTCTTTATACCAAATTCAACTATTGACCACGGTCATAGTGACGCTATAGGTGGTCAGGGAGTCCGGACACGCACGGGCATGTGGTTTATTGCCAGCGTCAATGGAGGCCGACAATAACCCGAAACCGTGACGATGTTTGCTACAATCCTATTATTCGCGTTTCCCTGGGCATTGAAATGAGGTAGTTTTGTCACTCCGGTCCGCCTGGAGCCCTTAGGTCAGACGAAAGCCGCGCGATCCACCAGCACAAGCCTGCCTAGGGCATATTGAGCTCTACCCCTAGACAGAACGGAGGAATGAATCCAGAAAGCCCTACATTCTCCGATGGAGTAGTCCACTTAGGCACTTCAAATTATGCTAATTATCATACAACATTGCGGGAGGGGAAAACAGAAAAGGGGGGGAAGCCAGATACAGGAAAATAAGAATACAGACGCCAGTCGATCGAGGGTAATTGCGGAGTACAAAAAGAGAAGCTGGCTTTTGAAGATAGAAGGGGAAAAAAAAACACATCACGCGTCAATTTCACTCAAAGTTATCGGTTCGGTCAACCCAGATATCCTCCAGCTCGGCAAAGTTCTGGAAGTGCAAGGGACGATGCTGGTCATCGTAGAACCGTAGCGGGGTATCGAGCTTCACGTACACGGGCCGCTTCTCAACGCTACCAAAGGAGCTGCCCATAAAGCTGTAGTTCCAGAGATTGTCATCTGGCACCAGGAAATAACCACGGACACGGTCGCTGAGCAACAGCTGGCATTTCTCACCCATGCTGGTGGAGAAGCCCTGCGGCTGATCCGAGGACATGTCCTTGTTCTCGGCACCCCATTTGTATCCCTCAGGCGTGAGGCTCCACGCGGACAGGGAGACCGATCCGGGAGTGAAAGAAACCGTCATGGTAACGGTCTTCTTATCCCAAGAAGGGTGTGCATTCATGAGGCGGGCATGCTGGGTTACGTCCGCCGCGGACATATAGGGAGGTTCGCTTCCAGAGACAGTGTGGATGAGACCCAGGGGCTCCAGCTTGTTCAGATAGTCGTGCTGGGGTAGTTCATGAGGCAGCTGAACATCGCGCGTGTTGCCCACCTGGGGCACCATGACAATGGTCTTGATCTCCTTCACCTGCTCGTTGTCGGGCGGGGAGGTACCGTAGATGTAGCCGGTAACTTGGACCCGCAGATCGGCAATGGTGATGAATCGCTTGAGGATGTTCTTCGGCATCACGTATGTGTAATTATCCTCGCGAATGTCCTCAGACGAGACGTAGATGTTGTTCGATCGGGTCCGCAGGTTGGACGTAGCGATGGCACGAGTACGCCATTCGGTCTTGGATGCGAAAGATTGTTGTTCGTACTGAGAGGTGGTGGTCACAATGATATCTTCTCCCCGCGCGTTCTGGGTCTTGGTCGTCACAGCAGTGAGTTGCTTAGCTTCCTCCTGCTGCTTCTCAATCTCGGCAGCCTGCTGGCGCTGCAAAGACGGCGCACTGATTTCCATACCGAGGATGATATCTCGCACCTCACTGCTGGTCAAACTCTGCACGTTGACATTGTTCTTCTTGCCGTAGTCGTTCAAGATCAGATCGCGCAGCTGCACTTCGACCTTGATCCAATCCTCATCAGAGAGCGAGGGCCACACGTGATGCTCCTGCGTGAAAACTGTCTTGTCCGGCCGGAGAATGATCTTGGCCTTGTCAATGTTGACATGCAGGGCACGCAGGATAAGGATAAGTCGAGAGAAGGCGGTGTATGGAGAGATAGATTTGAGCCATTCATCATATAAGTTGAACAGCACCATCCGAGGCCCAGTCGCTTTAAGAATCATATCCGCAATCTTCTCGACCTTCATAGCAGCCTGGAACGGCAGTTGAAGCTCCGATGCACGGATGGAGATGTTCGGGAAGTCCAGCAGATGGACCTCGAGAGGATCGAGCAGACCCTTTCGAGTGACGATAAGCTGCTTCGGCTGTTCTTCCACGGGAAGGGAACGGATCAAAGCCGCAACTTCTTCAGCGGTCTTCCACTTGGCCAACTGACCCAGACGCTTCTGGCCAGCCCAGACACTTGTGTGGATGATCTTCAAGAACAGTTGTCCAGTGCGAGGGTTGAAGATGAAGATGGCACCGTTGATGGGCTTTGTCGTCAAGTTACCTTCAAAGGTCTTGTGAATGGTGACTCGGTACACATTGGTGTCATCGATGAAAAGCTGGACTTGCGGGCTAAAAAGCTCAGAGTAGTTTTGAGAGTTCAGGAACTCCTGGTTGCTCTCCGACGCATACAGCTGCAGACCCTTGCGAATACGCTCACGCAAAACGTACAGGGCAGGGTTGACCTTCATGATCTTTGCCATAGCTTGCTGGACGAGAGACTTGAGGCCGGGGAAGTATTGTCCATAAGCCGAGTACAGATTGTATGCAAGGTCGATTCCAATCGTAAGACCTGTGGCCGTGGGGTAGGTAGAGCCACTGTCAGTCGTGTAGTCGAGGTATTTGGAGCGGATATAACGTTCAATATCGTGAGAATCATAATCACCATATCGAAGCTGCACATCAAGCCAGAATTTGCTTGTCGTCGTAGACTCATAAATATCCTTGGTATCATAGAGCAGGGATGGTCGAGTCACGTTCCATTTATTCGTGGCAAAGAGAAGAATGTCAGCACAAGAGCTGTTCATCTTGTATGATTTACGAGGATGAATGGTCTCCTTCTGAACAGCCTCGATACCTAGCTGCTCGAGCTCCTGATCGAATACCTGGCACAAGTCCATCACGACAGACTCGTGAATCTTCTGCCACAAGTGAGCACGGAAGATTTGTATCAATGAGATCTTCAAGGTAGGAATCTTGCCGTGCAAGAAGATACCAGTGAGATCCAGCTGAACCTGGAAACCAACGTAGACGTTTGCACGGTTGATGGTGGGAGACCACCAGAGGGTGAAGCGACGATTAGGGATCTGGTTCAAACCGGATCGCTGGGCGTTCGTGAGTTTCTTGAACTTCATGCTCTCTTCGAAACCTGAGGCCTTTTCCCAGAAGAGACCCTCCCAGGACGGGAATGCCGTGGCCTTGAAAAGGGTGTGCTCAAGAATGGTTTCAACACCACCAAGGGCTTGGATGACATCGGTACGGTAGGCGTTCAGGTTCCAGAGCTTACCATCATGTCTCTGACTAGTCCACCAGAAGGGGTTGCTCTTCATCAGCTGATACTGCTTAAACTCAGCCCGCAGTCGGAACCCCTTGTCGAAGCTAAGAGTACTGCGGTCCTTCTGGAAAAGTGTGTTGATACGCGGGAGACCACGGTCCCAGCTATCCTCGAGATCCTCCAGAGTCAACCGACGGTTCTGTTGCTGGGCCTCCATTCGCTTTTGAGAATATTCCATCCACACACGCTGGGAGTCAATGAATTCAGCTTCCCAGGGAATGATGTAACGGAAGATGTTGGGGATCAGGGTTTCCTCGTCATGAGACATGCCGGCTCTGAAATGTGTGATACCGGTGTCAGTTTGCTTAGACCAGCGCTTGTCGCTGGTGGGGATAAGGATGTGGGATCCGGAGATCATACCAAGACCTCCGAGTTCCTTGGGTGTGTAGAACACAGCTGGAGGGAAACGGGAAGGCATCTTGGAGTTCAGGCCAATCTTGACACGGGTCTGAATCTTAGTTTCACACTTAACAATGGTGTCAAGAAGGTTGACTGTGGACACGGCAGCTTCACGGTAGTAGGTGAAGAGAGCAATGAGAGCGGTGTTCCACTTGTTCGCGATCTTGGTGAAAGTCGTAGATCCAGACGACATGAGGATTTGCCGAATGCGGTTATTGAACTTGGCAATATCCTCCTCGGTCACCTGCAGGAACGCATGGGCAGTTCGCTCTTTAGTGGTGTTATCCACCAGCGACCACACACTGTCCTTAACCGAAAACTCCTCGTTCTTGTTGCGTATCTTGGGAAGAATTCGGACTTCAAAACCATTCATGGAGAAAAGCAAATTGGGGTTATCCTTGCTGTACACACTGACGAAAGTGTCGTCCCAGTCAACGGTTGTGATGGATCTGGGAAGTCGGTTTTTCATGTCCCAGAAGACGGCACGGCCAAGGTTGACGTCGTGGCGCATCAAGCGGATACGGCAATCCCGCGGCCAGCACTTCTTATTCTTGTAGCCAATAACATTCTCAAAGTTGGGGTCAGGGTTCTCGGTCAAGAAACGCTGAATCAAGTCGCGAGATTCGTCAGCAGTGAAGCGGTAGAAAACCCAGATTTTATCGACATAGCGAGTGTACAGACGGATCGGGTGTCGCGTCTCAGTAGCTTTGTCTCGGAACTGCAAGAAATCATTGGGACTCTGTGGTGGGCCAGCCATCTCACTAGCTCGGTTCAAGCCAAGGAGCATCAGGTCAATCATGAGGCCATAGAACTGGAACACGAAGCCGGAGAATTGCAAACCGCGGATCAAACCGTAGGCGTTTGTGTGATTCATATCCTTATAGCTGAGCTGGACATTGTTCTTGGACGTAATGTAATCCGCCAAGTTGTGGTCCATGATCAGTCGGAGCAGTCGGTTCAGCATGGTCAGATCGACCTTCTCATAAACCTTCGACAGCTCGGTCTCGATCATGACGTTGGTTTCGCCTTCAGAGGTTTCCCAGACATTTGACAGATTGTTGATGCCTTGGGCCCACTTGTACGTCAAGAGAGGAGGCACTTCAGAGTCGGAGGGCTTGATCCAAGACGGGAACAAGTGGCGCTGTTCGGCCTGGTACCACAAATATTGATCAAGGTAGGCGTCTGTGATTTTCTCGATAGGCTCGATGTCATAGACGGGGTTGATGGTGTTGTAGTTATCGTTCATGTCGATACCAACTTCCTTGAAAGCTCGCTGCGTGAGGAAGAATCGCTTGATTCGCGCCAATGTAGTTCCTGGGGAATCATAAGCCTGCTCAATCAAGGCAAGCTCCTCACGTTGACTCTGGTTCAGCCGGCCCTTCACAGAGTAAGATTCGCGCAGGCGCTCCAGGGCCAGGATGAGAATTTTAGTGTCATGCTTGTAGGAGGAGCTTGGGAAAGGAATTGGGGAGTACTTTCTGGCCTCTAGCCAGTGGACCATGGTGGAGTAGATAGCAACTCCTTCCTCTGAGGACACATAAGGGCCGTCCTTCAGGTAGTTGTGCTGACGCTCTTGTTCGGACTTTAGCCAGAGACGAGTCAGGCGACCCAGGTTCTTCTTCGCCACTGTCTTATCGACAGTCGCACCACGACGAATTCGCTCACGATTGTAATGAGCCACAGAGATCCACCAATCGGCCTTGCTCTTTACGTAGCGAAGGATGACGTTCTCGATGGCAGCCGGCAGACCAGGGACCTTCCAAGGGATGTTACTCTTCCAGCAACGCCAAGCCTCAGACAGATGCTGCAGAACAATGTTGATCTTGTTCTGCTTGATTCCCTCGGGCATCATATCCATCAGATCGGCCATGACCGACGCACGAAGCTCCAGATCGAAGTGAGACTCCACACGTTGCTTAGTGACAGTCTTGGCGACTCCCTTGCTGTGACGGCCCTCGAACTGACGAGAGAGCAGGTTTCCGAGCCATCTCTCGAGGAGTGGGATGATACCACGCATGAAGAACAGCCAAACACGCCAGGCTGGAGCCCAGAAACCACAACCAGGGCCCTTGCCGACGGGGCCCGAGTTGAAACGGTAGTAGATCAAATGCTTGAGATCCTTGCAGGTACGAATCTGGTGCATAAGCTTGTACTTGTAACGGTACATACCGGTCAATTGGCCCACATGGTTGAAAGCATACATGATACCATCCGCGAGCTGGAAGGCATCGACGTTGCCCAGCCGGTACTGGACCTGAGCGTCGACAATCAGTTTTGTCAATCGGAGGATTTCTCGCATCAAGTGGAAGGCATTTCCAAAGCGAGACTTCTTGCGCTCCTTGGTAGTCAGGGTCTTGACTGGCTTCAAGTTGAAGTTGTAATCCAGGTGCAAATATGTCAGGTTCTTGCGGTGGATCAGAAGATTGAGCATGTTGTAACCCTGGCGGCAAACTTGCAGACCGGCCTCGACCCAATCGATGGTGGTTTGCTGGAAGAACTTTGTAGATTTGAGGTTCTTCATGAGGTGCTGCCTCTTCTCCTTCTTCTTCTTGCTCCGGTGCAATTCGTTGAGCACGTAGGACTTCAGAAGCTTCTGGTAGGACACGCGGACCTTGACCGGTTGGCCCTGTGGGCAGTGCTCAAGATACCACTGCTTCACAAGGGGCACATCCTGAGCACGAACCATCTTTCCGGAGCGCTTGTTGAAGGGATGAGGAGCCCACCATAAGGCGATAGCAGACGCTGTTTCCTCGGTGTAGAGCTCCTCATTATCCAAAAACGGAACCACATCATCGGGGAGCTCGAAGTCATCTTCATTTTCGTCGCCAAAGATCTCGTCCTCGTGGCTCACGGTAATGTTCTTTGGGGCTACCGAGCGCGAGGAAATCGGGTTGATGACAGGGTCGAAGTAAAACGCGGGAAGGTTCGGGTCATTGGTTGGAATGTACACTACCTGAGGATGAGAGTACCAGGCGATCTTGACGCTTCGGGGAAGTGTGTTGTAAAGGTGAGGGAAGCTGACCCGGTACTCGGTCCGAATCGGTGTGCGGAAAATAATGCGGTCGATAGCGTTGAACTCGCTGAAATCCTCATCGTTGGGATCAATATCCTTGTAAAGGGGCTCAAAGCGTGGACCACCAGGAATAGCGACGTTAAGGGCCTTTGCTGTGAAGAAACTGTCCAGATCGAACATGTGGAAATAGTTCTTGTCGACCACATCACTCAGAAGCTGATGGCTCAGTCGGTGTAGCGTCGCCATTTGAGGTAGCGACAGGTTCCATGTTTTGTAACTCGGTCCGTTGACATGGGGGGTATCAAGAAGGGGTCGATTTTCATAGAACCATTCGTATACAGGTCCATCGTCGTCTTCATCAAGATCCTCCTGGATGGGCTCCAAGGGCTCGACGCCTTCGATGTTTTCGGAATATGAAAGAGGCGGTTCTTCGTCGTCAAAGGGAGGGAAGCGCATGCGCTTGAAATGTCGGCGATCACTCTTTTCACGACGCATAACTGTCCACATGGTGGCCCACTGAGCGTGGAAAACCGGCTCAATAACTCGAGGAATCTCATTGACCAAAGTAAGGCACCCATTAACGTGATAAAGGACCTTGACTTCTCTAGATGCCTCCCATGGCATGGGCATGTTTTCTAGAAGCTTGAAGACGGCGTGCGGCATGAACTTCAACGAGCCAAGATAGCTCCGCTTTTCAGTGCTGAACTTCTTTTGTGAAACATCACCGATATCCTTCACGATCTTTCGCAGATGTTCTGGAGGCATGTCCGCTTTCTGTGTCTCCACGAACCCTGCCTTGCGCTTCTCGCCAAAGCGATTGCGCTGGGATCGCAGCCACTCATGCTTCTTCTGCGCAAACTTCGCAACGTTGGGATCGGCGGGCGGCTTGTATCCTGGAGGCGGCGGTGCCGACGGTAATGGTGGAGGGGCAGCACCCCATCCTGGAGGAGGGGGGGAGGAGGCGGCACAGATGCCATGATGGTGTTGATGGGAGTACACCCTCTCCCTGGCCGCGTGGATTTCTTAGCTCAAGAGTCGCGTCGTGTCGCGTCAAGAACCATCGACCAAGGGGCGTAGGTCAAAAAGAAGTGTTGTGAGTAGATGGAGAAAGGCAGATTAGATGACCGCCGAGATGAAGAAGATGGACAGCACGGGGTGATGCTGTCTGTCTTGCTCTCAGTCTCTGCTCGGGCAAACTTGCTCCCGTCGAACTTTGAGGTTTGAGGTGGCGGCTCCGTTTTGCGCTAGTCCTAATTAGGGTTAGCGGCTTCTCGCCAAATCTGCGCTAGAGCGAAACCCACACAAATCCGTCCGTCTCGACATTTTACCGTCCACAACCCGACGACGACAACGCCCTCTTGACCACCGAGGTTCAAGCACAGTCAAAATGGCGAACAACAGACTCCAATACGTGAGTATCTCTTGATAACGTTGACTTCAACAGAATCAAAGTACTGACTGGGTTTTTTTTCCCCCTTCGCACAGCGCCGCCGCAACCCGTATGTGAAAAATTCCCCTTTACGAACATCCTTCCTGTCTACGCCCAAATCGACCATGGATACAGCGCAGACTCCTTGAATAGTTGAAACTGGGACAACGTATATTGACGGTTCTCTCCTGATAGCTACAACACGCGGTCCAACAAGGTTCGCATCATCAAGACCCCCGGTGGTGAGCTGCGATACCTTCACCTGAAGAAGAAGGGCACCGCTCCCAAGTGTGGTGACTGTGGCATCAAGCTCCCTGGTGTGAGTAATTTCCGGATATCCTTTGAGGCCTTGTGATCGGAGTGTGAAATTTGTGCGGATGGCCATGCGGGTGGATTGAGCAGCCTCCATCGAGAAAAAAAAAATTCGATCGGAACGATTTAATACAGTTGCGACGCCTTCAACATCCACACATATTTTTTTTCATTCGACTACTCTTACTATCAGCCTTGCCTAGCCAAAATCAGCAAACTGACATATATACTACAGGTCCCCGCTCTCCGCCCCCGCGAGTACGCTCAGGTCTCCCGCCCCAAGAAGAACGTCAGCCGTGCCTACGGTGGTTCTCGCTGCGCTGGCTGCGTCAAGGACCGCATTGTCCGCGCCTTCCTCATTGAGGAGCAGAAGATCGTCAAGAAGGTTCTCAAGGAGTCCCAGGAGAAGGCCGCAGGCAAGCGCTAAGCATGTCCATTTCGTCGGTGTTGGTCTTTTTTTGAGGAGCGAACGTTACGGAAAAAAACGGATGGGATCGGTTCTTTTAGAATCTACAAAAAGATGATCAGGAACCGCGAGCTACCGAGTCCAGAGTGTGGATCGGGGCTATGCAAATGAAACCCAAATTTACAACTTCATGAGTGATTCCCACGATATTCGACTATTCTACAATGTTTGTGCTGCGAATCTCTGTAGTTCCTGGAGCATGCGTGTTCCTCGTATTCTGTTCTCCGTCCACCGCTGTGAACGACCCCACTCCATAATCTTCAGGGTCAGGTCCACGGGTTTCGTTTCGGATAGTGGAATGCCCTGCGTAACGTAGCACGTAGTATTGCTTAATCGTCTCTTGCATCGGCCTCCTCAACTTCAATTTCTGCAGCCCAAAAATGCTCCCTATTGCCGTGCCATCTGCGCCTGTCAGCCTACTTATGCCACTTACAACGCTCACACCGTCTAGGCCCCTGTGCCAGCAACATCAGAACATACATGAAGCCAAGCCTGACGCCTCGCAGGGCATTAAGTCTAGACCCTGTCTCAGCTCCCAGGCACCGGGCCTCTGCACAGGGCACTGTCAGCAAAAGGGGACCCATCAACAAGGGGGAGGCAACAATATCCTTGTCCGAGGAATTGGGGTAGAGGCCAGCACAGCGACCAGCGGTGTCAACACCGACTTTGACCGCTTAGCCTGCGCAAAATCAGGTTCAGAACCTTGACAGTGCCCCCGGGTCTCGGAGATTGGAGGCGGCCGGCAAGATGGTGGAGGGAGAAGAGCAAAGCCCGAATCTATAAAACAAGCTGATATAGTTCGGGATCGGGGAGGAAGTTATAGGCTTTCCGGGAAGGCACCCCCTGAATCAGCAGCTGCACCGCCTCCAGGGCTGGACCGCCGTTTTCATCTAGACTGGCCAATTTGGCCGATTCAGTGGAGAGCAGCTGGGGTTGGCATGGGATCGCACGGGAGTGTTAGATGTAAAGGATTAGAAATCCGTGGGCCTGGAGGGTCAAAAGTTCACAGGTTCTTTTGAGCAAGCCTCCCCCAAGACAGATCTAATTACGGCAAACGGCGTCTTCCTCTGAGATTTCCGGTTGGCTGGTCTTTTGTCAAATCAGTGAGGGTTCCCCCCCGGGTCTGAGTCGATCCTAATATAGTAAAGGCGGGCTTCTATTAGTTCGGCAATTCTGGCCGGCTCGGCGTATTCTGCAAGCTGTCCGAACAGGTGACATGCAGGACCTGAGGAGTACCGTGTTGCTGCGGTAAGGACTTGAATTTAGTGGCGTATGAGGCGATCTGCCACACGATATCCGGCTCATCGGGAGCGACGTGGCGCCTTCGATCCGAGCTCCCGGGTGATGGAGATCATGAAGTCTCAGAAAGTCAACGATGCGCATTAGGCACGCACGGGATGGAAAGGCCCGTAGCGAACTGTCAAAAAGCCGGGAACATCTGCGTCCTCGTCTCTTGCCTTCTCTAGCCTCGGCGCTTAGCTGAATGAGTGGATCGAGCTGACCGCTTGCCGGCCCAGAGGCTCATATCTGCAGGTTCTGCAGATCGGATGTCTTCCATGACCCCGCCAGGCTGGTCCAACCGCTCGTGAGAGGAGAAGGGATGCACATCCAACGAATCACTGTGAGGGACGGGCCGAGCTGGGAAAAAGCAAAGTCAAAGGAACTACATAGTGTAAATAGAATTCATGATCCAGACGTAATACAGTCGATCTGGGCTCGCGCTAGTGGGCCTTCTGCCGTCTTATTCGGTCGGATCTCCATGATCGATTGGGGAACCCATCCACTGCCACGTAGCGCATGCACAACTGGCTTGTCCACGCGCTAAATCGAAAAGGAAGGAAAGAGAAGAGAAGAGAAGAGAAGAGAAGAGAAGAAGGTGAGGGGGGGGGGATCGCTTGTCATTGGCACCCGCCACCTTATCGAATTCCTATGGAATACGAGAAGCAGCGGGTATGTATCAAGGGTCACGAGAGACTATGAAGCGAAGCCATTGACTTGCTCCTTCAAGGAACTTGCCTCATATGTCACGGTCATGCTAATTGTCAGTCACTAGTATATGGTTGATGGCAAGATTATCAAAGTGCTGGTAACGAATTCAGGCTCGATTGAGACCGCGCGGAGTCTTGATCGTACTCAGTCGTGTCAACGGTGGCATACGGTTATGCCGCGATTGGTGCCGGGCCCTTCGATCAGCGACGATCGTTTTTGGCATCTGTAGATTTGCAGCCCATGCCATAACCCATGTGCTACCATTTGCATATATGATATATCCGAAACCAGGTAGGTGGGAGTGTGGGATTTCATCTTGATTCGTCGGGTGACAGCAAGCCCAAAATATGCTATCAGCCGCAGGAGGCCTTCCGAGATTAATTCCCACGTTACTTTCAGTAATAGTCTGTCGGTACTTCAGGTTGGCATGTCTTTGACTGTGGCTCGCCCGATCTTGGTACTTTCAGTCTCAAGAGAAAGGACGCCCCAGCCCATTGAAATCACTAGTACACCAGTACCCGTGGGGCCTGCAGTTCTCTACATCTGTCAGGACAGTGGCAAACAAGGCCCTGTAACCTAAAGCCCGGGAACGGGGGCTGTCAGATCTGGAACCGTGAGTCCCATGCATCTCATCACTTGCATTAAGAGTCTCTGGAGCAGGGCTCTTACTCCCAATGGATTGTAACCTCAAATTTTGTCTTCAAAGAACCTGAGTCCAGGCCACCTACACCGCCTGGTTCATGATATACTTTGAAATAGTCATCTTGAAAATTCCCGCATGTGGAGCACTGGAGCAGCTTGTTTGGCTGAGTAAACAAGACTGAATCGTGCTTGTAGGACTCGAAGATATTGGATAGTACTCGCAGCAGATATGACTTTTGCGGTGGCGAGGTCATGACATATTTTGCAAGTCTCCGAGCCAATCCCCTGATCCAAGGATGTCACAGCACCGTGTCCCCTTGCTTCGTTTAACCGCAGTTCGTTCCTGGTTCGAGGTACATATGGAGAACGGGGTACCTGGTGAAGTAAAGGGGAATAGCGCGCGCGACTAAGTTGATAGATCAAAAAGAGAGCAAAAAAAAAGTAAATACTTAAATTCGATAAAATAACCTAAAATCCGATGACAGACTCTGTAGTATTAGTGAGTACTTGCCGTGGAATAGCTGCCTGAGATGATTGGTGGCTAGAAAAGCTAAAAAAAAAAAAAACCAAGGCAGGCCAAAGATAAGTAGAGAGGCGTGAGGAGTTTCTCTTCGTGGAGGTCATTGCGTGCACAAAAGGCGGATGAGTGATAGCAGACGTCGAGTGTGTTCCCCAATTAGACACGAGGGTGTAACGAAGCCCGTGCTCTGCATCCATGGTTACTAGTAGGCTGCACTATAGGGTCATTTCAAAGGGCCCAGGCTCCACAATCCCCATATTGTTCCATGCTATTGTATTTTAGCGCTCGGCGGAAACAGCCACCTGGTTTCCGATTCGATGGCATGGGCATGTGTCGGAAACCCAGCCAAACTCCGGCATTCACCAAGCCGGAAGAAAAATCCGCCTGTCAAGGGCTGACTGGCAGCATGCACACTCAAGAGTTCATCCGTGGTGGATGCAGCTAGATGTGAACGCCCTAATTTGAATGCATGAAGCTCCCCGAGTTGAGCGAAGAACGGGATAGTTGACGGATAACGATGGAGTGGATCTCGATGCACAGCCAAGGACTACACAGCGTCCCCCAATTTTCCGTCTGAGAAGGGCCGTGGCGAACCAGTTCGAAGTGCAAAAGTTCGTGATCAGATGCTGCGTGGAAAACCACTGCAGATGTTACCAAGGAGTGCTGACTCATTGAATTCATTCTCTCGCGTCTCCGCGGGGGTTCTCGTAGATGGTATCATATAGTTATATACTTTTTGGTGAGATCTGTGTACATATCCTACACCTACACACAACTGGGCATAATATGCAACAAACCGGCCTTTGGCACCGCGAAAATTTGAGAAATTACACCATAAACATCCTCCCAGGACGACAGATGACGACGTCAGACATAAGGCCCCCAAAGAGACCCGTATCGAATTGTATCGAAGGCTGATCCTGGGGTCCGGAAGCTGCTCTCATGTCATCTGCGACGCCGATCTCACGCAATAAGCCAGTAACGAGGCAGAGGGAGACGATAACGGACTGAATTATGACCTAATGCAAAAAGCAACCGAGGCCAAGTGATCTCCTCGGCTGAATTGACCGTATAATGCTTCATGCGAAGCAGAACCCTCCCCCCCCGGGCAGAAATGACGATAGTGCCTGAGCCAGACGATCGAACTCGCTGGACCTCCCACAGAACCTCCCACAAAATGCATGAATCCAGATCCACAGATTCGACAAAACGACCTGTAAATTAGTGGGGAATGAATCATCGGATGATCAGCAGTACGACACCCGGGGGGAAACCAAGCTTCTCCGCCGCCTATTGGATCCCGCGGACTCAGGTGGCGGAGGTGCCGTGTCGGATGTCATATCGAGGGCCTGATGCAAAGCAAAAGTGGAGCTGTGGTCTCATTGGAGAAGCAGTCTGCTGCTATGCCGGCTAATGGCTAATGTAACGGAGGCACATCTGCACCTCCGAGACAGCAGGATGCTAAAGAAGACGCAGGCGGCTTTTGAGTCGAAGTCAACGACGTCGAACATCTAGTGTTCAGAGTAGATAAACCCACATAAGGGGAGGTGGTAAAAACTTCTCCAATCGCCAGGAGCATCTACTGCATCGTCAAGTTCCCCGAACCAAAGAAAAGTCAGATTACACCGCGTGCGTGGTGTTGATACTGTTGCTGCAGCCAATCCTCTTGGCACGCCAGGGCTGACGATTGGGAGGTGGGGGGATCCGATACCCGGAGAGTAAGTAAACACCGGTTGTCGATCCAGGCTTCCAAGGTTGCAGGGATTTGATGATATATAGGTCTCCCTAAAATGGAGCGAGTATATTGATAGTCCTTTTGCTGGCACATCTGGATCCCTCTAACGGCCATGCCTACCTGCCAGACAAGTAGAAAGAGGAGGAGGGGGGGGGGGAAAGATATAAAAACGTTTCAAGTCCAAGCACCACGCCCCGAATAGAGATCTCGGAGTTGATAGATTAACATTTAGAATAAGAAGACTGCCATACGTAAGATAGACAGGGAAAAAAAATACATGTCACTCCTTTTGAACACCGGTTTTCCATCCATTAGAACAATGCAGCCCTTCTCTAAGATAACCGAAGGCTAAGATGGGATCGCAGTTACAGCTAGTGAACCCCCCAAAAAAGAATAAGAAACCCCAGAAACATAAAAAATCCCATGCCAAATTTTAGGGGAAAAAAAGCAAAGAAGGTTTTCCAAGTACATAGAGCTATGCGTGTCAGAAGGGAGAGGCTTCCACTTGCCAGAGCAAACATCAAAAAGCAAGGTCAAAAAAAAAAAAAAAAAAAAGAAAACAAAACAAAACAAAACCCGTTCAAATATTCCCCATTTTCCAGCGTGAGAAAAGACATTGACATCGTTCGGAATCAGCAAAGGACTGGAGCCAAAAGGCGAGCTTGTGCTAAGCTAATTCCATCCTGAATTTTGGTAGTGGAATGAAGAGCCGTCTGAGCTCGGGTTGGCCCCGTATTGGTGCATCTGGTCTGGGATGTGCGGGGGGGTGGTGCAGCTTATCACGTCGTTGAAGCCAAAGGTCTGCACGTAGGTGTTCGACGGCCAGTGAGCACCGGTCAAGTCCATGGGTGGTGCAGGATAACCCGGGGGCAGGCTTTGCGGGAAGGCGCCAGCACCAGCTTCCGTGATTGGCCGTGGCTGAACACAACTAGCCAGCGTTTCTGGTCGGTGTAGTGGGGTGGGTCGTCGGTTGTCTTGGTGGGAGGACCTGGGCTTGCTCCTTCGGCCAGGGCGTTCACCCCGTCGCCCTGGTTCGGGGTGGTTAGGAATGGGTGCTTCCGTAGTATTGGATGGCTTGCGGCCTTTAATGTCCCTACGGTAACGCGTGGTCGACTGTATGCCGTTTTGAATGGCCTCCTCTGTGAGACACCAGTAATTCATGGTTCGCTTTCCTCCAGGGCTACCGTCTCGAACAGCGATAAAGCCCTGTAGAAACGTGGCATTAGTATTCGTATCATGGAAGAATTTTCCAAGAGATGAGACCACCAGCTGCTCCTCACTCTGAAACCCGGAGTGTCAGACACTTACAGCGTTCATCGAAAGATTGTGCCGTATGCTATTTTGCCATCCTTTTTGAGTTTGATCTCGGCCCTTCCCGGTGTTCTTTTCAAACCACTCATAGATCTTCTGCAACGGGAGCCGCCTGTCAGGTTGATCCATCAAGGCCTGCCAGATGAGCTGAGAGTAAGGGGGATCGGTGTGATTATCATCCTCACTCCCGCCATAATCAGAGGTCGTCTGAGGCGAAGCACTGGTCTTCATATTGACGGTAACCGGACTTGAAGCACTGTAAGGCTGAGGGGAAGAATGGTAAGAGGAGATGGAGATGGGAGAAGGAGAAGTGCGGGGTGTTGCATTAATATGGGCCATTGAATCGGATTCTTCCATTTTAAGCTGATCGTGATAACCGGAGTGTGAAGACCGTGACCCCATCCATGGAGCACAAGCGTCAGACACCCTCTCGAGAGAACCATCACACGCCTCTTGTCTCAGGCCGGGGCTCTGGGGCCCTATGGCGGTAGGAGACGAGATCATCGGAATCGAAATGGGGTGGGAGTCCATATAGACCGGCGCGAAGTAAGTAGAATCCGGGCCGCACGATATCCGAGAAGAAGGTTCGTATGGCTCGGGAATAGCACGCCAAAGGTCACTATCCCCGGGACAGTGATAGAATTTCATTTGCGGAGCCGATCTGGATGCTGCCCAGAGCTCCGCCGGGGAGCAGGGATTGTATGGCTGCAATGGCTTCACTTGGAACATCCCATCATCGGAGGGTCTCGTTTGTACCAACACAGTGTGCTCGAGCTCCCGCTGGTCAGTTGGCATCTGAGCCAGGTGGAAGGGGCTGACTGGAAACGAACGGTCCATGGTTGCTACCTTTGATGTTCTGGAAAGTCGTGTGGCACTTCTAATGAGAAGCTTAAACCATACCCTTCTTTCAAAGCAGACGAGAAGGGTTGAAGGGTTAGAAAACAGGCAGATAGGAGTAACTAGGGGACAATGCTCTATTGAAAGACCCTAACCACCCTCCACATGGATCTGTGTACTTTGTTCCTTTGTGGTATTTCGCGATTATTTGTTCAGCTTTTTCCAGATTTTTATTTTCTTTTTCTTTTTCCCTTTTTTTCTTGCTTTTCCCCCCCCAACTCTCCTGCCGCCAGCTCATAAGGCACATGTTCGTTTCCGCAAACTGTTAAATCCTGCAATCCGGCGAGCAAACCGCAGTAGGCATGCGCTGTAAGGTTTTTCGGAGGGGATTCCCGGAGGACCTTTTTTTTTTTTCTTTTTCTCTTTTTTTTCCTTTTTTTTTTTTTTCTTTTTTTTCTTTTTTTCTTTTCTTTTCTTTTTTTTTTTCGATCCTTCTCGTCGATTTGCTTTTTTTTTTATCTTTTCTTTCTTATCGTTTCAGGAGTCCCAGGACGACAAGGACAGTGGAGAAGGTGTGAAGGTGGTGTGGAGGAGAACGACAAAGCTGCCCTCTATAATCATGTTTTTTCAAGTCATCTTTGCGCTTTTTCCCCCTTGATTTTTGGTCCTGTGGAACCCAAGTTCATAGAAGATCCCGCAGGCCATTGAATCCAACCTAAGGTGCTACGGCAGCCAGAGCCGAATCGGGTTCGGGGATAACTGTACACAGGATTAGCGGCGACCCGCAGACCAAAAGGCCGATTTGCCTCTCGCATTCTGGAACGTGGTGACCCAAGAACCACAGAGAATGGCTATATCTCTAAATCACTTCTCCACCTCCAGAATTGCTAATCAAGCCGGTACTTTCTTTTTCTTTGGCCTGCTTTCAGCCAGCCGAAAAGTCATGAGTCGCGGGTGCAGAACGCCGCAGGCGTGCATTGTGCCACCGGAAACCTGGTATCGTCCACCGTGCTGCACGTAAAGGCAGGACAGGATCCAAGGCGATGAAGTAAAGGAGGTGGGAAAACGACAGAAGAAATAGTTAAACAAGAAGGCTAGAAAATGACGAGTTTATCCGATCTTGCGTCACAGGGTGCGTAGGAGGTATTGTGCTTAGTTGTTCTGTCGAAACCCCATGCTTTAAGACTAGATCCGGCACCGTGTGGGGAGCCTGGAGAGAAAAGAACCGCATCAGTTGGTAGCGCAGTGAGATTAAGCATTTCTGACATTTGAGCTCCACGCGTGGACCGAGCGTAGAGTTTCGAGGGGGGGCTTATTGAATGCGAGATCTCTAGGCAAGAGGGGAAATGTTTCCAACCCAATCAGTCGCGGGGTTACGGGATTCACAGGGTGAGGAGTCGCTGGAAAATACAATCAATACAACCCGAATCTATGTCTTGCACCAATTGCCACCACAATCTTCTCGCGCCAACCCGAGATGAGCTCCATGTGGAGTAACATGTCGCGCAGGTGTTACTTTCGGTAATAGATCTGAGACAGCTTGTCAGTGGTGTTCTCGTGGCTGAACAGTTCTCCTGGAGTTAACGTACCCGCTTAAATTGGAAGTGGAGTTGCAGAAATACCCTGTGCGACAATTAGAACGTAAAGAGCAGCCAGTGGAGAGAAGAAGTCTACGATCATCCGTGGGAGGCATGTGAAGTTGTCGAAGGGGGCAGGAAGGGAAACGGGAAGGATAGAAGCCATGACCTCCAGGATCACATAGAGAAGGAACGTACCTTGTCGAAGGTGCTCTTGAACCCGCGCTCACGCTTAGCACTGTAGTCCCATTCTTTATCGACGATACGGAAAGCAAGATCCTCGTACGGCGGCCCGGCCATGAAACGAATCAGACAGGTGTCTTCCTCGCCAGCGGCGGCAAAAGACTCGCCGCGCTTGCGCCCGTTTTCTCGCTCAATCTTGTACGTAGGGGCTTTGGTCTTGTCAATTAGGTCGGGTAGAAAATGTTAAACTTGTAACCTTGTACCACCTTGGGAGGCGGATTATCATGGTCGTAATGGGTTTGATTATACTTATTCCACTCGTAGCCCATCTGTACACGATTGAAGTACCGTGGTTTACGTGGTCGATACTTGCTAGCCCACTGAGGCTGTGATGTGCTCAGGGCCTCCTCGCCCGTAAAAATCTCTTCGTTCTCACTGACACCTTTGGCTAGCTCTCTCTCGTACAATGCCTTGGTTGCCTGTGAGAAATCGTCATTTGGAAGAGCAGAGAATCGGCCGGACACTGTGGGAGCTGGGGTGCTAGTAGAGCTCGAATTGGCAAGCGCCATGGTCGGCTTCTCAGCGGTTCGCTGTCGTAGAGGTACGTAGCCCATGCGAATTATTTTTTGGCGCTCGCGAGCCTGTCAGATAGAGATCAGTACATGGGGTCGAAATATGACCAAGGACTGACAGGGGCACCTACCACTTGGCTGAGGAATGCAGACTCATCCATGATTTCCAATCCCTTGTCTTCTGCACGCACTTGGAGTAATGGATCGGGATCCAAATCCTTGAAGTCCGTCTCTGTCGAGGTAGCTTCTGAAACTACCGGGGCAAGAGGTGCCAGCTTTTCTCGAATTGACTCTGCCTCTTGTTTTTGCTGTTTCCTAAGGTCGCGCACCCGCTCGTCGATAACTGCCTGATAAACATTTCTCAATCTTGCCCGGGCCTTCCACACCAATAAGCTCCGGAGCAATTCCTCCCAGTAATCAGTGTCAATAGGCTCATTGGAATTCAATTTCCTCTTGACCTGTACCTCAAGGGTTTGTAATTGTTCATAAGTCTTGGGGCTGAGCAGCCTATTAATGTCGGCAGCAACTGAGCTGAGAGCGCGTCCTTCCGGGGCATTCGTTTTCAACCGATCCCGGCAAATCACCTTCATGGTCTGCAGAGATGTCCTGTTAGTATTGCGATCAAGGCTCAATCAAGCCAAGTCCGAAGTAGACGTACCTGCCAAAAGTCTTTGTTTTGCGGATTGGTCTCGAGTTGAACAAACGTATCAATGTCCTTATCTAACTCCAGCAGCTGACCTGGCGACAGTCCCTCAAAGACGCCATCTGGATCCACCACATCCAGCTCCGAATCAGCGATTTCATCATCCAGAGGGTTGCGCGTAGGATCGATAAAACGCAGCGTAACAGTCAGCCAGTCAATGGGCTTGGCGCGTCCTTCCTTCACGCGGATCTCTGCCTTTTTCTTGGCCTGCTTCAACACAAACATATCCTCCTGTGAGACCCATTCCCGCTCTTGCTCGTTCTCTTGTAGTTGGTTCAGTCTCATCTGGTCGCGCATGTTACGTGGCTGTTGCGACGGCCCCGACCGTCTATCCTCCCATCTCCTGTCCGAGGTTTGCCGGTCGCGCCATTCTCGGTCGTCTCTGTGGTGCTTCTGGGGCTGGCGCCAGGGTGGCGACCGTGATCGGTCGCGGCCGCCTGGCCTGCCAGAATTGCGGGAGGACATGGGATGGAGAGATTAATGCAGAGATAAATGTATTTGGTCGCTTGTTCAGGTGGGAATGGAGAGATCAGTGGCGCAGACGCGAGGTCGGGGAAAAGTGAGCTTGGAGGATTGGCGGAAGAAGTCAGGCTGTGGCTAGCCGGTCCCGCGACTGTCACTTACTAGGCAGCTTCCTACTTGTAGTCCCCTTTAGCCCCGGAGATCTTCCTTTCAATAACTCTTCTCCGTGGTGTTTTCTAAGTCATGCCTGGCAAATGGCGTCGGCTGCACTCATCTCAGAGGGACCTTCCCCCGCTGCTGTTCAAATATTCATGGACGCGCCAAGGCTACGCGCTCTACGTCACTGATTTGACCTCTATCTGGGCTGAGCAGCTGTCCAAAGCTCAGATTTTGAAACGAGCAGATGAGATCGCTACGACCATTGACCCAAGCGAAGATCTAGAGCAACTGGATATGCTTCTAGCAAAGATCGGAGAAGCTTTAGATGGCGTGACGGGGTCTGTATCAATACATGCTGGATCTCAGGCCGATTCGATCGAGATGGTGACCAGCTCGAAACTACCAGCCCCTCTGAAGCCTCTTAAGTGGAGTTTTTATGGGTTAAAGCAGCCTGCTACGTCTCTTACTGAGCAAATTCTTCTTCCTCTGCTGGAAGATGAAGCAAGCCGAGAGTCTAGAGAGCGGTTTCTGCTAGACCAAATAAAGCAGAAAGATTGGGTTCTTGGGAAGTTATTCGACAAGATTGAGTCTCTTAGTGTCGATTTAGGTGCTATTTTCCCGAGTGCATCCAGACGCCGCAATGCACAGAATGCTATTACTAAGGACGAAGTAGCCAAGTGTGTCAACGGCGTTGCGCCTTTCGATCGATCCGCGTGGCTTGCGGAGTCTGGAGAGCCTTCAGCGGATAATACTGACCTGGCTGCAAATCTAGTGGAAGCTATTATTGGTCCTGGCCCCCAAAAAAGCATTGGGGAGCTTCAACCCTCTCAACAAGGGTGGTGGCATGTCCTGCAACAACGAGAAGACTCAGTGCCCGAAGATGAAAAGAACGACGAAGTACCAGACGAAGAGCCCTTCCTCGAACCAAGAAGCTCAACTGGCCACTTCTCAGGGAGATATGGACCTGGATGTGTCGACCGCTAGTGAAGATGAAGAATTTGAGGTTAGCGATATGGATCTCGATTTCACGTCAACAAGAGCTAATTCAGTACAACATAGCGACAAGAGACGCCTCCTAATCTTAAGCCTCAGCAACCTGTCCCAGAGCCCATAGATAGACCAAAGGCCAGTGTGTCCCTTCGTTCGAAGGCAACCGCAGAACCATCACCAAGACCGCTCGTCCAAGACCTAGGTGACTCTACTGCCTCAGAATCAGATATAGATCTCGAGTCAAAGAGTGGGATATCACCACCTAAGACAAGAAGGGCAAAACCAGAATCTATATCTCCGAGGCCATCCGATTCACAGGCCGGTGAATCTACCGCATCGGAATCTGAGGGTGAGCCATCGCCGGAACCCAAGAGCGAACCACCCCGCAAAAGCATGTCTACGGTCTCTCCATTGACACCAACGAAACCTCCGACACAGCATAGCGAAGAAAAGGTGCCTCCTAAAAAGCTAAAGGGGACATTAGGAGTCATCGGTGGTAAGAAGACAGAGGAAGCAGTTCCTCCTTCGCCGCAGAAAGAGCCAGCATCGCCAGATGCCTCGGCAGATTATCCGAAGATGAGTGGGCCAGCCACGTCCCAATCGCCAGCAACGGCCAAGAAACCGGTCAAAATGGGCTTGATAGGTGGCAAGGCAAAAACGAAAGCCTCAGATAGAACAGAAGCAGCTTCTACGCCGCAGCTCCAGCCGTCATCTTCTAAAGATGACGATTCTCTAGCAAGCACAGATAAAGTTGAATCAAGCGCTGCAGTGCCATCACGACCATCTTCGAAGGAAGAGAAACATGCAGTGCCAGTTGCAGAAAAACTTGACGATTCGAGTATGGCATTAGAACCCGAGACAGAGGATCAGAAAGCGGATCGGAAACGAGAAGAGCTGAAGCGACAATTAGCGGAGAAAAGCAAAGTACCCAAGAAGAAGCGGAAGTTCTAGGCTTGACGATACCATACATCTAGATCTACGGAGCAATTCATATTTGGGAATTTGTTATTTTCTCATATTACACAAATCAAGGGTCTCATGCATTAAAAACTCCGATCGCTCGATGAATCCAGCTCATGCACCTAATGGTCCGATGAGACCAACGGAAAAAAAAAAAACAAAAACAAAAAAAAAGAACCAAGCCTGTGGGGGAATAGAACACCAATAACAAGTCGAGTGAAAATGGGGGGAAAAAAAGTGCCAGCCACTAATCCGTGGTAATGCTAGATCGAGCCGAAGCTCCCCTGCGCCTACCCTGCTCACCAGGTGTCACTAATCTAACCTTTTTAGGTGACAACGCGCCCGAAGGAATGCCTTGGCCGGTAGACGCTGTAGTAGAGCCGCTTGAAACAACCGCACTGCCACCGGTGGCAGCAACAGCGCCCGCAGCGCCGAGCATACCTCGGACCTTTTCCACGGCTTTACTTTCGCCCTTGGCCCAAGGATCGCGCTTCACGACACCTACCCCGGCAGAGCGACTGGCAGAGTCGCGACGACGTGAGTCGTCAGTCAAAGCCTCGCGGTTCATGTCGCGGCGGGGTCCGGGGCCGCAGTCGTGTGAACAGCCTGGTGTAGCGCAGCCACCTTCGCTGACGGAGGGATCGCTCAACCAGGTTGTGATACAGGCTAGATGGCCCCCATGGCCGCAGCCTTGGCACCACGTCCATAAAGCAGAGCCTTTGGGGCGAGGTGCAGTGAAGGAGTCTAGTTGGGTGAGTTCTGTGTTTGAGACCGGCTCGGTAGGAACTGATGACCCGGACGAGTAGTGGGAGGTCATACTGGAGTTTGCGCTGCTCGTGTCGTCAAGAATAGGCTCTGTCTCCCGTTCTTGGTGGGCTGCGACCCATTCTGGAGGTGGCTCAAGGCTCATGCAGATTGAACACGCAGCTTGGGGGGTGTTGCAGCGGTAGCAGCGGGTATTGTCGCGCCGAGGATTCTCGTATGGCTTTTGGCAGGTGTAACAGAAGACGTTTATGAAGGTATCTACCTGGGCATATTCATAGACTGCAGGATAGGCCGGCACACAAGAGAGGCGAAGTTCTGCAGCCTCCACGTCCATTTTATGCCTGACAAGATACTCGTTGTAAGTCTTGAAGATGATTTCGTTTTCCTCGTGAGGAAGTATTTCTTCGCAATCCTCGAATAAGATATGCAGTTTTTGTAGCAAATGGGCTGCCGTTTGTATATCAACGGAGCTGCTATTGCTATGATAGTGACGGACTGCCTCTGCTAAGATAGCTTCAATGCTCCATGGCTTCAAGTCCGTCGTATCTGGACTCAAAGGAATTTCAACATGAGAGATGTCATCATAGATTCCTGCCAGTTCTGGAAAGGCCAAGACATCGACCGCATTATTTGAATGCTGAAAGTGATCATGTGGCTCAAGAGGTGTTGATTCGGTCAAAAGAACTGGGGGGCTAGACGGCCTTGCGAGGTGGACTTGTTCAGTTTCCAAAGTCGAGTCGTCTATATCAAGGTCGTCTTCCGGCTCCTCCAAGGACGGCTCCAGATTAGACCCTCTTCTGAAGGAGAAACTGGGTCGTCTACCAGAATACGACCCCGAATGGCCAGCATCTGGTAATCGTGGCTCTGGGAACCGTCCTGTTGACGAATACGAAGCACCAAGCGATTTTGAAGGATGGGAACTGTCAGTCGATGCGGAAAACATCGAGAAACTCTCTGAAGAATTATGACGTTGATAAGGTTCAGCTTGAGGGAGTTCGCTTGACTCCAGCGAGGCATCTAGAGTCAATGGTTTCTTCGGGACTCGTTTAAAATCCCGGAGGGCAGCTCGCTTATCCTCCATCTTCTGATCATACTCGTCTCCGGAAGCTTCTGGAGGAAAATCTGGGAGATTGCGGACACGCCACTCTGCTCGACCTGCGATGGCGCGAGGGGCAGATCGCTGGTCACTGTCTGGATCCAACTCCCCTCGGTCGCCCAGGAGATACGGGATGGCAGTGCCAGATGGGTGAACTTCTTCGCTAGATATTGATTCATTTCGTTGCAAACTCGTCATCGGGTCAGACATATCCCACCCGTTATGGGAACTCAAGACTGACGGTGGAAGTGGGTCAAGATCGACAGCATTCTCGTTTAGTGAGGGAAACTGAGAGTCAGTACTAGACCAAGAATCCAGTTGCGGAGAATCGGGTAGCGGTTTGGCCAGAGGCGTGGTCATGTTCGATGTGCTTTCTCCTTCAGGAACCAAGCCCTTTGATCCTTCGGCTCCCATCACACCCTTGAACAGCCGACTTTTCGCCTTCCCCTGACCGATGGCTCGGGATTGGTCAGTCAAATGGCCATCCCTGGATGGTTTTCCTTTGATGCCACTCTTCTCGGATCTATCCCTCGACCTTCGCTGAAGCTCCTGGATAATGGCGAACTTGACTATTCGCCAAGTCTGTGCCAATTTTGTCAAGGATACCTCATCGGCGCGCTCCGCATTTTGATCGAGGGATTCCAGTAAGGAGTTCAGCACGTGGGGATGACTTGTATTATGATCATGGTCATTTATCAACGGCGAGTATTGCCGCGCCAAATACCGGAAAAGTGAAGCGTCATTAGTGGCCCCAGGGATATTTCCAATAAGCCCCAGCTGTTCGGGCCCCGGAGCCCTAGTCTTAGCCAAGGCCTGTTCAAGTGGAATAACCGACAGGATTTCGACCCCACCAGGCGGGGTGCTACCAACAGACTTCGATGGTCGTATAGCAGTACTGGACGTAGACTTAATCTGCGGGTGGCGAAGGGACGAAGCCAGAGTGACGTCGTCCAGAAGATCGTCGACGGGACTACGGCTTAGAGATTTCTCGCCAGTGCTGACAGTTTCGTCCTCAACGCTAAGAAACTCTGTGGCGTTTACACCAAACGAGCGACGTGTTGGTCGTTTTTGAGCAAACGCGACGAAGCCGCCATTCGGGCTCCAGGCAACTGAGCAAGTCGGCCGACGATTTACCACGGCAGGGGAGTAGCGAACATCAGTCTGGGTAAACGCTCCACCCTCGCCAACAGTCCACAGCAGATCCTTGGAATGCCAAAGCAGATCGTTTGCTGGGGTATCATATCGATCAAACTCACGGAACGGGACATGAGGCCGATGAAGGTCCCAAAGATGAATCCTCGGATCTTCTTTCTCATAGGACGTGACTACTTGAGATGACTGCCATTCCCCCGAGCCAGGAGAATCTCCGACCCATGATGGTGGCCGCCAGCGAACATTGGTCACCGGTTGTGGGGTTCGGAACTGGAAAGCAGGCTTTTGCCGTCGCTCTGCAGATGAAGAGAAGTCCCAAACCTTGACCTGCCGATCCGTGCCTCCGCTCACGATATGTTTCCCGTCAGGGTGCCAGTCGACGGCGAAACATGGGCGATCATGAGCCGCAATGCGCAAGAGCGGGCGCTTGTCTTGCGCGTATCCCACTGTTGAATAGCGCCGCTGTCCGAGGCGGTCGCAAACACAACACCGTCGCTGGGAGACCACCGGACATCCCGGATGGCATCGCTGTTGCCCTGGTAGACGTGTTTGCTGCCGCAGGTGGAAGGACCCCGATTTGCAGATGCTGAGCGCAGATCCCACATTCGGATGGTGCCATCTTGACTGCCAGACAGGAGCCAAGAGCCGAGGTGGGGGTTGAAGGCGAGTCTGTGAACCTGGCGGTTATGACCCTGGAAGCGACATAATTGGAGGCCGGGCCGTTGCAGATCGTAGACGATAATCCGACCATTAGCAACAGCGGTTGCGATTATCCGGTCGTAATTGCCATGTGACCACTTGACATCCCTTACATTTAACTGGTCCTTGTGCGGCATAGATACGCCGGCATCGTGATGGGTGGATGCATAGCTAATGACCGCATTGCGAATATTAAATTCCTCCGATAAGTGGTCGGGCGAGACTCGGATGGTTTTCAGGATCTCTTTGCCGGCGATGACTGCATGGGTCTTTTGTGGGGAGATATCAAGGGCGATGATAGGAATCCCGGTTCGATGGGTGACCGTTTGTGGTTCGCCGGGGCTGCAACAATGACGTCTTAGTTTTGTAATCGGAGACCGACAAAGGAGATGGATCGGTTCTGGAATGGGCAGTGGAAGAAACGGAGCACCAAGGAAGAGAGATGGGGCGTGACATCAAATCGCAAGACGAGATTCTGGGGAAACATTGCAGCGGTGTGAGAGGGTATGCACGACGTACAGCGATTTGGACCTAACGGGTCGGGGCCCATCTACCCGGTTACTTTGCGGGCTAGGAGGTCTCGACCCTAAGAACGGTGCAAACCGGGCGATGGCATTGGCAGCCCGGTGCGAGTACTTCTGTGGTGGCGGCGGGGGGGAGGCACGGATGAGCGTGACCCTGAAAGGTCCGACATGGCTCACGCGTCCATCGCTAAGGGCACACGATCAGTTGACGGAAGAAGTCGTTTCGGGGAGGAGAGCCTCGAGGGTTGCGCAAAGCGGTGAGAATGGAGTGGGGAAGGGAGGAGATGAAGTAAGGTACTTTCTGACTTGGGGCCCTTTCAGGTGTGGGAATCACCGTGTCGTGGGTTTGGAGAAATGCGAGTGGAGCGCGGAGGCACGTTGCTGCCTCGTAACACAGGCAGCCACGCGAAAGTTGATCGGTCATCTTTTCCTTTTCACCCAACGTTCCAAACGTTGCTCTCCTATTCCCCCATCCTTTGTCCACCGAGCCCACTTCGGGGCAATGGGCGGTCTGGACGCCAACACATGCCTCAGATTTGAAAACCGGAGGACCAGATTCGAAAATCGTACAGGCACACTGCAGGGAGTGTTTATCTCCCGGCCTCTCCGAGGTAATTGTGAGGATCTAAGATGTCTCACTCGGTCACCGGGGAATCGGGAATCCAATCGAATTAGCCCCCCCTGCTACCAGATGTATAAACAGACTTCGGGGCCGTTGCCACTTTGGTAGGGTCTCATGGCCGTTTGACCAGGGATTACAAAAATATAGTTGATAGAAGCTTTAATGATTACGTTCCGTGATACCTGGAAGAATCAGCTTCTTAGTCGTTTCATTAGCTAGAAGGCTGGTCTCGTGGTCACCTACCCCAGGTGGGTTCTGTTCGGCGGGACCTGTCGAACTACCGGTACGAAGGCACCAAGATACCTAGGGCTCATGTAGACATATCGGCGTGTAGATAGCGAACGCGAAGTACCCTTGATCATGCTGGGCAAGGACGCAACTATGTACAGCCACTTACCACTTGTATACTAGCCGGCCTTGAACATACGATCACACCCATCCTAGATCCTTCGATTTGTAGCTCTATTCTAGTAGTCAGGCATACTTTGGTCAGCTAATACGCACCCAAGCTGAATGGGTAATATGGTCTTCGTTATTCATTTTCATAACTCCTAAAGGGGAGCGTGCGTCAGCAATCTCACAGCAATCTCATAGCTCAGCTGTGATCGCCCTAGTCGCTAAGCCCCCCCCTTCTGTAGGGAGGGTCACACATCCAAGAATCTAGATCGCCCAATTGTCCAAGGAAATCGGGGTATTTTGAAATTCGAGACTTTCCTATATGTTTAGTGCCCATCCCAGCAGTTCAGGTTTATTTTAGTTCTAGGTTTATTTGATTTCTATTTCTTTCTTTTCCCCTCTCCTGGAAAACATCCCTTCCCTCCCCCTCGATTTCAATTTCTGAATCCTTCCAGCTGCTGGGTCCCTACTTCCCTAATCCTTGTCCCCCTGCTAGGCCACATGGGAAACAGCCTTTCAAAAGTCCAATAGACTGGTGAAGTCATCCGTCTCCACCTGCATATTTGGATTTCGTCACCCTAGCCACTCTTATTCTGGCCCATTTGAACCCGGTCCATCGGGCACGAACCACTCCATCTTGAGGGTCTTCAAACCAGCCAAGCCAGCAGAACTGGACAGCAAGGACAGCAAGGCCAACAGGACAACAGGACTGTGCGCTATAAGCAAACAATTGGCCTTTCCAGGGCTCCCCATAATACTGGCCATCTCTCACCTGTCTTTTACTCCCTGAATTTTCACTTCCCGAACTCGGATGAAGCTACGATTATCTCGAACCTAGTGGATCCTGCATTAGCTTCATCCACACCGTCTCTCTTAAGTGTCCTTTTCTTTCCAAGCCTGCTCCCGAGAACATTCCAAATATCTATAACTGTATGTGTTATCCTCTCTTTTCCCCTATAGATGATTGTTTGGTTGCCACCGATCCTGTTCCCGAGATCTCCCTTTCCTTCTTCCGCAAAAGCCAAAAAGCAAAAAAGAAGAAAAAGAAAAAACCAAAACGGCAGAAAAAGCAAGAAACCAGATCTCTAAGACAGATTAGAGCAAAAAAAAAAAAGCAAAAAATCCCATGATCCCTTGCACCTGCATCTACCTTGTGACCCCAAACTAAATTTAAGATTTCCCCTAAAGCTCCGATCCCTTTCGTGGAAACCTGTTCACGCATCCCACCCCGCGTGCGGCCGCGATCAAATCTTTGCTCGCGACGATCCTTGGCCACATCCAGTCGTTTCCGATCCCGAACCTCCGCGCCCCCTTCCTTTTCACTTCTCTCGATCTAACGGGGAGAACCCGGTCATGGAAATCGTCTGAATCGCTCTTTTTTTCTTTTTTTTTCTGGGATAGTCACCATGGCCCCCCCATGCGGCTCTTGAGCTGCTGGAGTACCTGCGTACATGCTACCCGGTCTTCTTCCTGCTCCTATTCTTCGTCGCCTTCCTTGCCAACTCGATGGCCACGGCGGGGAAGCTTCATCAACATGATACACAACGATATGGTCCCGGCGGACGTCCACTGCCCAAGCGATCTCGGAGCTCCGGGCCTCGCAAGCCGCGGAAGGAATTCTCCAAGAACGTCAAACAAGTTTTCAACTGGCTCTCCGTCGGCGTGCTAGTAACCTTCCTGGCAGACTCTGTCATCTATATTGTTCATGTGATGGTAGCTAGGTCGGAGAATTGGTGGCGTGGTCAGTCTGCAGTGGTACGTGTCTCACTGACAATAGCTCGCGTTGAACCAAAAACCTGGCGAATGGGAGAAAAGCCCGAAGACTAATTCTATATGATCTTTCAGGTTTATATCGTGGGCTCGTTCTTCTACTATGCCGTTCTACTTATGACCCTCCTCGACACGAAGCCCTCCCCAGCACTTCCCCAATTCATCTGCTGGTCCGTCGCCATCCCTGTCGAACTGGTTATCCTTAGCACATCTGTATCGATCTACACCTCACCCCACCATGAACCGGTTGTAGGAAACCCGGAAGGGCGGGCGGCTACGCCAGAGTATCACCCCATGGGAAGCTTTGGAAGTGGCCTCCATGAGTCTGCGTGTTCTTTTGCTTTTCGCATTGGTCCTGCTCTATGCAAGCAAATCCTTCACAATCAAGGCGAGCAGCAAGAAGAGCCGCGTCAATGGGGCTACTGAATCGACCGGATTGCTCGATCCATCCTCTGCGGAGAACGGCGCGGCGAATGGCAACGGTCATGCATATGGTGCAACCAACGGAAGCACGCGTCCAGATTCGGCGAAGCCGCAAGACCCCTGGGTTCGGCCCACCACCATGCCATCCACCAACTGGTGGGAATACCTGAGTGGTTATTCTCTCTTTTTCCCCTACCTATGGCCCTCCAAGTCCCGCCGACTACAGATCGTTGTAATGCTCTGCTTTGCAATCCTCGTGCTCCAGCGGGTCGTGAATCTGATTGTGCCTCTACAAGTGGAAAAGGTGACTGCTGCCTTGACTGAAGATGCGGGCCAATGGCGTGTGCCATGGCTCCAAATCTTTCTTTACGTTGTGTATCGTTGGTTCCAAGGCTCCCAAGGTCTGTTGGCTTCCATGCGCTCCAGCCTATGGATCCCAGTGAGCCAGTATTCCTACATGGAGCTTTCGACCGCCGCCTTTGAGCACGTTCACGGTCTTAGCTTGGACTTCCACCTCGGCAAGAAAACAGGCGAGGTTTTGTCGGCTTTGAGCAAGGGTAGCTCAATCAATACGTTCCTGGAGCAGATTACCTTCCAGGTCGTACCCATGCTGATCGATCTTGGCATCGCGGTGGCATACTTCTTCGTGAAATTTGACGTGTACTACGCTCTCGTGGTCGGCATTTCGACCTTTGGTTACCTTTACGTGACGATCCGCATGGCCCAGTGGCGGGCGGAGATCAGACGCCAGATGGTCAATGCTTCCCGCCAAGAGGACGCCGTCAAGTAAGCTGCATATAAACGTACCAATGTCCCTACATTGGTACCTATCCTGCATTAGTACAAAACTAACCTCTCTTTAATTTAGGAACGATTCGATGGTCTCTTACGAGACAGTCAAGTATTTCAACGCGGAGCAATATGAGTTCGATCGTTATCGCGGTGCTGTGGGCGACTTCCAAAAGGCCGAGTACCACGTTTTATTCTCTTTGACCCTGCTCAACACCTGCCAGAACACCGTGTTCATGCTCGGATTGCTGCTCACTTGCTTCATATGTGCATACCAGGTCTCCATCGGCCAGCGTGATGTGGCTCAGTTTGTTGGGCTATTAACGTATATGGCCCAACTCCAAGGTCCGCTGAACTTCTTTGGTACCTTCTACCGCTCAATCCAGTCAGCGTTGATCAATGCGGAGCGTATGCTTGAACTCTTCCGAGAGCAACCCACTGTGGTGGATAACCCCCGCGCTGCTCCACTGGCGGTCTGCAAGGGTGACATTCGGTTCCAGGACGTCGAGTTTTCTTATGACTCTCGCAAGCCGGCATTGAATGGACTTTCTTTCCACTGTCAACCCGGCACCACCACCGCCCTGGTCGGTGAGTCTGGCGGTGGCAAGTCAACTGTCTTCCGTCTTCTCTTCCGGTTCTACAATGCTGAGAAAGGACGCCTTACCGTGGATGGGCATGATGTTCAGGACCTCACTATCGACTCGGTTCGCAAACATATTGGCGTTGTGCCTCAAGACACAGTGCTATTCAACGAGACTCTCATGTACAATCTCAAATACGCTAATCAGAACGCGTCTGACGAAGAGGTTTACGAGGCTTGCCGTGCTGCCAGTATCCATGACAAGATCCTGGCATTTCCTGACGGCTACAACACCAAGGTCGGTGAACGTGGGCTTCGTCTCAGTGGTGGCGAGAAGCAGCGTGTTGCAATTGCCCGCACTATCATCAAGAACCCTCGCATCATCCTTTTGGATGAAGCAACCGCAGCCCTTGACACCGACACTGAAGAGCATATTCAGCATGCCCTGTCCACCCTTTCTCACGGCCGCACGATGCTTGTCATTGCGCACCGACTAAGTACCATCACAACCGCAGACCGGATTCTGGTCTTGCACAATGGTCAAGTCGCCGAGGAAGGAACTCATGAGTCGCTACTCGCGATGAAGGGTCGCTATGCTAGCATGTGGCGCAAACAGATCAGAGCGCAAAAGGCGGCTGCAGAAGCTCAAGTCCTTCAGGACCGTGCCGAACGCATTCGCAACGCAACCAACAGTGACGATAGCTCTAGTCAATCTGATGAGGATCGCAATGCTCGTCAGTATCCAGCGAGATAATCACCATTAATTCTTTGCCGCAGTCTTGCGAGCATACTTGTACAGGCGCAGCTCCGCTCCTTCACCATTACCCTTGCCCTCCTTCCACCCCATCTTATCCTTTCAATTCAATGTGTGCATATGCTCCTGAGCTTCTTTTTGAACGAATTCCAAAGCTGTGGGCCGTCACATTGTCGGAGTCAGCAGGGGAGTCCACGCGCTTTGCGTCTTATGTGTGTTGTTTCTGTGTTTCGGTTCCTCCCTCAATACCTTTTCAGATACTTCCTTTCGAGGTGCCAGATGACCTGTTTCTTCAATTCCCCCTCCCCCTCTCTCTTGGCATTCCTTCATTGCAATTTTTGGCGTTTGGGTTTCATGACCGCGTACGACATTGTCCTTGTCATTGATTCACTGAACCATGGGCCTCCCCCCCCGTTAGGTTCGTGAAACAAAAACAAAAGCTAGATTAATCACCAGGGCCGCCGACACATTTATATTAATACAACGGACATCCAATCTAATAAGCTAATATTTAAACCGTAGTTTATTCTAGATGTACACGCCTAAGGGCTAGTAGTTGGGCAAGATCATGATGTGCTTGGTAACGGGAGTAGATGCCAAGACTGGAGTCTCCATGTTCTCCACCCTCTCCGTCCTTTTTTCCCGGACTTGAACCTCTCAACCACCAATTCCAAAGATCACCCACCTCAACTCAACCCTTGCGAAGGTATCAAAAGGCCATAAGCAATGCAGTCGCCATCACCCCAGCTCCTCCGTGCTCTCCGCACGTCCCTCTCAACGCCCCTTTGCCTCTCAAGTCCTCGAATGTCCTCAATTTGCTCCCCAACCTCAACCACCCGCTTCACTTCCCTCCCACCCCGACGCCTCAACAGCTCAGCCATCCGCCCAGCACGCATAGTCCCGCGCTCGCACTCCCACAAACCCGCCAGCCACGACCGTGGCCCGGAGTCACAAGAAGACACCCAAACAGACTTCAGCAATCTCGACGTGCTGGGCAACATTCCTGCCCCAACAACCGCGATCGACGCCTGCCTAGACTCAGGCTTCCATCTGAACAGCGGCGTGAAGATTCAGAATGGCGACGGGCTTCTCCTCGTCGGTGGCGAGGCGTTCAGGTGGCGCCCGTGGAAGACAACTGAGAGCGCTGAGCAAGGCCTTGCGCAGGCGAGGGCCGGCATGATCAATGCCAAGGGCCAGTTTGAGGTTGACGAGGAGGTTTGGGGGCTTTTGAGCGTTGTGTGGCCGCGGCCGGGTACGTTGGTTCCCTCTTTTTTTTTCTTTTTCACAAGCTTGGACTTTGTTTGGAACGGTGCTAATCGATTTCTAGATATTCTGATTCTTGGGCTTGGGGCTACCATGCATCCTCTGTCGCCGGAGACGAAGCGTCATATCAATTCGCTTGGAATCCGGGTGGAGATCCAGGATACGCGTAATGCTGCTGCACAGTTTAATCTGCTGGCTACCGAGCGTGGTGTCAATGAGGTTGCGGCGGCTATGATTCCTATTGGGTGGCAGGGACGGTCATAGGATGGGATGGTTTCTTCTTACTTGTATATTAGGCGTCTTTTGATTGTAACTATACTCGCTTGATTTCATCTGAACCCATTACCGGGACGATCTACTCTGTTTTGTAACTAGCAACCTGTTTTCCGAGTGCGTCTGACAAGGACCGTGCCACGAACACTTGAAAGATTGCCATTGAATGATGGCCTCTGTAAGTAGGTGGCCATTTCCACCTAGCTTCAAGATGGGCATATGAGAAGACGTGCTCACCTAGTTCGTCCGGCATACCCCCAAAAAGCGATTACTCGTGGGAACAGACGATGATGTCCATGACTAGATGCTGGCCTATGTGGTCGCGTGATTTCACGCGGTTCAATGAAACGATCAAATGAAATCTTTGACCTGGGCTTCATTGCTCGATTGCTGCCACCCAGACAGACCAAGTCGATCTGCGCCCGCTCCAGCTGCTATTTCGATCGTGTGACAACTTCCTGCGCTCCGCATTGTCGATGACACCTAAGACGGCGATCTTGTGGGGCCTCACATGATCGTCCGTGCCCGATCATCTTACTCATCAGCCCCCCTCGACCTTCACTCCAGACTACTGAATTGGAGCTTGACCAAGAGCTCTACCGAATTGAGCTTTTTGTTCACCATGGCGCAAGAAGGGACTCTACTGACTCCGCAACCCTACACCGATGACCAGGCGTCTATGCGTGCGGAGGAGGAAGATGCCCTCCTCACGGGCGAGCGGACCCGAGGCCGTGAAGAGCGCCGAGGCTGGGCCTTCTGGCGACAGATTGGACTGTTCGCGTGGGCAGTCATCGCAACAATCCTGGTGATCGTGCTAGCTGTTGTATACCAGCATGAGAGTCACCGTGTTCCCAAGGTGCCCGCGCATCTGCCGAAGGATTCCTGGGGCCCTGACGGCAAGCCCACGGGCAAGCGCAACCTGATCTTCATGGTCTCTGACGGCATGGGCCCGACTAGTCTCTCGTTGACCCGTTCTTTCCGACAGCACGTTGAGGGCCTGCCTATCGATGACATCCTTGTCCTGGACCAACACCTTATCGGAACCTCCCGTACTCGCTCCAGCTCCAGCTTGGTCACCGACTCGGCGGCCGGCGCTACTGCGTTCTCTTGCGGCCTCAAGAGCTACAATGGTGCTATTTCGGTGCTGCCAGATCACTCGCCCTGTGGGACTGTCTTGGAGGCAGCCAAGCTTGCGGGCTATAAGACTGGTCTTGTCGTGACTACTCGTCTGACAGACGCAACTCCGGCTTGCTTTGCGTCGCATGCGAACCTGCGACAGTATGAGGATAGTATTGCTGAGCAGGAAGTTGGAGAACACCCTCTTGGCCGTGTTCTCGATCTCATGATGGGTGGTGGGCGCTGCCACTTCTTGCCCAACAGCGCGGAAGGGAGCTGTCGTGGTGATAACCGGGACATCATCGATGTTGCAGCAAAGAATGGCTTCAACTACGTGAATAGCCGTGCTCAGTTCGATGCTCTGAATGGCGGTGTTGATGCCAAGCTTCCGCTCCTGGGTCTCTTTGCGGACAAGGATATCCCTTATGAAATCGATCGTCGATCCCAGAACGAGACTTACCCGTCTCTGGAGGAGATGGCTCGCACCGCACTCAAGGCGCTCAGCGATGCCACCCGAGACAGCGAGCAAGGATTCTTCCTGATGATTGAGGGATCTCGTATTGATCACGCTGGGCACGGCAACGACCCTGCGGCTCAGGTCCATGAAGTTATGGCATACGATAGGGCATTCTCCGCGGTCTTGGATTTCTTGGAAGAGGACTCTACCCCTGGCGTCCTCGTTGGTACATCGGATCACGAGACTGGTGGACTGTCCGCTGCCCGGCAGTTGCACACGTCATACCCTGATTATCTGTGGTATCCCGAGGTCCTCGCCAAGGCTAGCCACTCCGGTGAATACGCAGACAGCAAGCTGCGCGAATATAATGCTCAGTCTGGCAAGGACGCCAGCACGAATGACAAGAAAGAATACGTTCGCTATAGCATTTTGGAGAAGGATCTGGGTATTACCGATCCCACTGATGCTGAGTTAGACGCCATCGTCAACCCTCAGCCCGATATTTCCCCAGCATATGTCTTTGCCGATATGATCTCCCGTCGAGCTCAGGTTGGCTGGTCTACCCATGGCCACTCCGGTAAGAGTCATTCGGGAACATCCATTTGAGCAAAGTAGCTTGCTGACGCAGTTTAGGTGTCGATGTCAATATCTACGCATCATCCTCCAAGGGGGCCTGGCCTTTGGCGGGTAACCACGAGAACACCGAAGTCGGCAACTTCCTTGCTGACTACCTCGATGTCGACGTGGCCAATGTAACGAAGCATCTACAAGACGCCGCGTCGTGGAATCCTTTTGGCATGCGATCCGCCGATGGAGACTATGCCTGGTTGGGTGATCCAGTGGGCTCAGATGTCGGCACCGACAGTCTTGATACTTACCACGGCGATTTTAGAAAACGTTCGCTTGCCGAATGCGGCTGCGGTGGGGTTCACTGAACGATGTAGACTGATCCGATGACAATAACATTGTCAAGGCCTTTATGGTCACGGTCTCTTGTCATTATACTTTGTTTATTTGACACCGGCGTTCATCTGGGCATAGGGGCAGCTTTTTTTTTCTTTTTTTTGTTTCTTAGGTTACTTTTGGCAGATCTTAGCCATCTATACATGCTACAATATACCATGACGTCATGTCCAAATGGAATTCATTTTGCGCCGCAAGAGAAATAACCCAAAGACCTCGGGATCCTCTCTTCTAATTTCAAACGCGTCCAATACCACGGCTACCGCCACTTGAACCAACACTACCTCACAGCTATCAGCCCTGCGACTTGATATGAACCAGGTAGCAGCCTAAGTGACTACATATGTATAGATGCTACTAGCATTACTCCTGCTGCTCTTAGCCGTACCAATGATCTGCGCTAAGTATTCCTGACAAGGATGACGACTCTCCCAACTCATCGCATCTGTCGCCGGATCCTACTTCAGCGTCGCATACAGGGGATCTGGAGCGTCTTCCTTCTGAAGACTACGTGGTTGGGATATCTGGGCTCGGCTTGTTCGCGCCGGGTAGACTCTATTTACCGATGTGAACGAGATGTCTGAACGGGGTTCTGCTTACAGTGACTCAAGTCTGCTGAATATCGACTGGCTCTCGAAGGTCGGGGGGGGGGGAAGGTTAGTTATAAACACTACGATGTGGACCAACGGACTTGCATAGCAGAAACTCAATATTCAATCACCAATTTTGAATTCTCGGGGTACCTGCAAAAACCCCTGTTACGATAGTACAAGGTTGAATACGGACCCCACGACCTTTCAAGCCCCAGCACATCACCCCCAAAAGCCACATGGCAGCCTACAAGAAGCGAACCTGCCTGGTCAGAAACTCGGAGCACGTGGAACAAATTTGAGATAAGTCAGTGACCCATTGAACGACATTAGTGGCCAGGTTCTCCCGCTCAGTCACCAAGAGAATACTCCCATCTTGAATGACGACCCGCGGTAAACACTCCGAGGGCGTGTCGAAGGGGATGAGATGCTCTGAACACTCCGAAGGGTCGTTGATTCGGTCTAACTGGGCCCGGTGTGCCGGGCAGAATTCGAAGAGCTTGAAGCGGACGTGCTCGCATTCAAAAAACAGGATCCCTTGGTAGTGGCACATCATGGATGAAAGGTAGTGTGCGAGATTGAGGGTAGGGTGCTAGTCTAGAGCCCTAGGAAGATGAGCTTGGTTTTATCAGACTTCATTATGGAGATCGGCTCACCTCTATGGAAGACAAGGGTACCCAAAATCCGGTCGGCTGCGACTAGAAGGAGCTTGGAAATGGTGTTCCATTCGGGGAGTATATGCATACCATAGCGCATCCAAAACAAAAGGAGAGAGACAAACAAGGAGTTTGTGGGGGGGGAAACATGACTGCTAAGGTGAGCTCTGCTTTTCTTTAGTAAGAGCTGGGTTTCCTCCCATGGCAAGCGGCTGACGCCGGGTGAATGCATTCCAGAAACTCGTATAGACAACGTCTCTTTCAAGCGCAATCCCTCGTTCCCTCTTCGTAGTTGAGAAGAATCAGGGTAGGGGAATGTGGAGGTGGAGGAAGCTTGTCCCAAGGGTGTATTACCAGGCGTGACTCAATAGTCATGCCAACCCGGTTGTTCAAATAAGGGCTGGGATGGGGCTTGTGAACCGAAGAGGGTCTCAGTCGCACAAGATCGCGGGATTTTATACATTCTTCGGCCCTGGGCCGGGTTTAGTTGACATTAGGTTCAAGCAAGTCTGGGGTAATTTCCCCTTTTTTTGCCTTCTAATTCCCAAAGTACATTCCCGGACCCCAGTCACCCCACGTGAATACGATGATACGAAAGTGGAGCAAGGTCTTCCTGTTCCTGATCTTGGCAAGGCGGCGCCCCATACAGGGGACACGGGAAGCCCCTGCATGACGAAGGAGGCTGGAGGGTAATCAGGCTCATGTGTTTCAGATGTATGGCTCACATAGTTAAAATTCACGTATGTTGATATTTACGACTGAGACATCCGTCGATTGGTTACGAGGACATTCGTAGTGAGCGGGTAACAAAGGTGACATGCGCGAGAAAGCTATCAAAGCACAGGTATACGATAATGCTATTTTCTCATCCCATATTGCTAGTCATTTGTACAAATAATCACCTGTCCACGGGCGGAAAAAAAAAAAGCGACATGGAACAGATACATCAATGCAAGAGAAAACGATGAGAAAAAAAAAAAACAAGTCAGCCGATCATGGTGGAAATAGGAGACGCCGTGGTGAAAGCATCAGGGGGAATAAAAGCGCATATGTCATGAGCGAGACCACATTAAAGTAAGCAGCCAGGACATAACAGTACAGAGTTGAAGGGTGTTCATTAGGTTAATTTGTTCAAGAGAGCGTCGAGAATGGAAGCGCAAAAAGACAGGATTCAAGAATGTACGCGAGAGAAGAGTAAGAAGGGTACAAGACTGGCACTATATTTACTGCATGACCAGAGCGACAACGGCAACGAGAACGGCAAAGAGTGAGCCCTGGAGGACACGCTCCTGACCAGGGGCGCTGTTGGTACCCGCGGTGGTAGAGGCACTGGCAGCGGCAGAGGTGGTGGAGCTGCCACTGTCGTCAGAGCTGCTGCTGCTGCTAGAGCTGGAGCTGGAGCTGGAGGAATGGCCAGAACCCATGGCGCCAGCGCCACCAGAGCCACCAGTGGGCATAGTGTCGTTGCTAGAGCTGGTAGAGGAAGCAGAGCTGCTGTGAGCACCGAGGGTAGGGTCGAGGCCGGTCGCACCCATGGAGCCAAGGACCGTGGAGTTGCCGGTGATGGCAACATCGGACTGGAGACCCGTGTCAGAAGTGTAGATGTAGGAATCGTTGCCGCTAGTGGAAACGCCGCTGGGAGGGTCGTAGCACTGAACGTCGATTTGGCCGAAAGTCGCAGAGTAGTAGCCCTGTTTCTTGATGTCCTCGCTGTCCCAGTTAATCTCACCACCAGCCCAGGCGATGGTACCCTCGGCATTGCTGGCCTGGCCGGCGGGCCACAGGGACAGCTGCATGCGGGAGGGCGTCTGGGGGGTACTGGTAGACCTTGGAGGTCTCGTTGTAGGTCTGGGCCTTGGTAAGGGTACGAGTCACCTTGCCGTCGACGATCCACTGGAGCTGCTCGGGTTGCCAGTCGATCTCGTAGGTGTGCCAGTCGCTGTAGGTGTCTTCGCCGTTAACGGTAGCGTTGGCGCTGTTGTGCCCTGTTTCTTGATTAGCATGTCGCTCCTGCATCCCATCACCATCTACTGGAAAAGGGGGGGGGGGTTTGCAGCACATACAGTCGGGAACACCTTGCCAGTAGTAGTTGGTCTGCACGGCAGTCAGGTCGGCACCGACAAACTCGTAGTCGATCTCGTCCTTGACGTCGGATAGCAGGATGAAAGCAGTAACGACACCAGCACCACGGCTAGACTTGATCTTAGCGGAGACCTTGCCGTACCAGATGTAGTGGTTGTTGGCAAACAAGGTTCCGACGGTGTTCTTGGGCATGTGCAGCTCGAGGTTGCCGTCGGTCACCTTGGGGAAACCCGAGTAGGTCCAGTCGGTCGCGGAGGCGTTACCGAGGTACTTCGTGTTCAAGGCGGCGTTATCCAGGTTGTCCCAGGTGTAAGATTTGCTCTCGCAGATGGGCATGGGGGCGCACGAATCGGTGGAGAAGGAACCCTGGACGTCGCAACCACCCAGACAGAATGCGCCGGTACCACATTCACCATACTCTGTACAGAAACGGTTAGCACGGTCGCGGGTCGGCCACGCGGGGATCTAGCAAGGCAGGTACGTACGAGAGCAGCAAGGCTTGTCCTCGGGACATTGGCTGCTGGCGCTGCAGGACTGAGCAGCCCAGGCGGTGGCGGACAGAGCCAGCAGAGCAGGCACGAAACGAACCATTGTGTCAGATTATGTCCGGGCGGAAGTTTGCAGGGGGTATATGCGGAGGGGAATGAGCAAAATGTACAAGCCCAACAACAACAACACCACAGACAAACGAGCGAACTGTGGGAATTAAGCGTAAACGAGTGGTCGCAAAGCGATGGTAACTTTGGATGTCAAGAGAAAAGAAACGGGGGTGGGAGGCGACTTAAAGGATTAAGAACGTGTGTAAGGGTGCGAGCGTAATTCAAATACCGTGATCAGCCAGGGAAAGGCTCCGGGGGGTCTGACCGGACGCGGCAAGTATAATTCAGAGAGTTCTTATCGTGGCAGGACATTGTACTCCACAGCAGCCAGTCGCAGCGCCCGTTGAGAGCCTGGGAACGTCTTGGGAGGGCTGACCAGCGTCTCCCAAGCCTTGGAAATTGAGTTTATTACGGGGCCCGCTGCATGCGGTGATTGGCCGGAACCGGGTATTTATTTGGATTTTTGGGGTTCCTTCGTTTTCGTGCCTTCGGTGCGCGGTATTTTGACGTATTCGTCTTTTTTTTTTACGCCTGTCCTCCTTTTTGAGTTTTGCGTTTCTGATTTCGGTCCATTCTGGCTCAGGGGGCAGTATGAATCGTCATGAGGAATTAGCGTCAGGTGTTTCTGTGTCGAATGACATACCGCATGCAAAATCGTACGTATGCGTTTTCCTGTTCTAGTTGTTGCAACCTGCATAACCCTGTCCATGCATCTCGGGCCCTGATTACATCCGTGGTTTTGATTCGCGGCACGGAAGTGAGACATTTGCCCCAGGTGTTTGTCCTGATAAGAATATACCTTGCTGCCCATGAGACTGCGAGCGCAGCAAACCTTTGGAACTGCGAATACACATAGAATGGGCAGGACTCCCCCCCCCCCCCATCCGGAAATGCCTCTCAGGACAATGTGTTATGTTTGAAGATGACGTGGGATCAAATCCAGGGGGGTTCTTGGATGATCCAAGACTCGGAACATATTTCCCAGGCCAGTCGCGATCAGCTACGCAGTACTGCGTAGAAATTGGCAAAAGCTGTATTACATACCAGCGCGATTAGTGTGTCCCATGTACTCTGTAAGCGAGTTCAATTTTTGCTCCACGGCTTTCTCAAGGCATCAACGGAGTTAAACGAAGACAAGGGCTAGGCGCCAACGCTCGCGTAGCTCCATAAATCTGAGTAGTGGTTCTCCTTCGGCTCGGCACCAAGAAACCTTCAGGGCAATTTCCAATTTACGCGTATGCCGTCTACGGCACTGCATTAGCGTTGGCAAAAGCACGTTCTTGTACGTTCTTCGCACCAGGTCTCGCGCTGTCTCTTTAACCCCGTACCCAGTAACTCTGTCCTCCGTCCTCTGCAGATCCAGCAGAGATCTACCCGCCCCGGGGACCAGATGCCAGAGGGAACCGACGATCCAGGGGAAAATATTGGGCTGACCAGCCAGACGACGCCCAGTGCTGGACTATCTCTGTTCGGTGCTGCGGGCGCTGATCGTGGAGCATGACTGGGCACGGGGGAGATTAATGGGCAGGGCGCGTGATACCGCACATTACCACTTCGGTTAACCCCCCTCCCCATTACAGCTAGCGACTCCACTAGGTGATACCAATACAGATTACATAGCTTGATGTTATCTTTCTCAGCAACCACTGTTATCCTTCTAGAAGGTATGTATGCCCGACACCTTGTTTATTCTCCCTACTGTTGTGGCTACGGTACGTGTCATCTCGGCAAGGGGGAAAGCTGTAGAGGTATCCTTTCGCTGCGCTTGGACGTGTCTCCCGAGGTCCTATCAGACCCACGTCAAAGCAAATAATCTGGGGCAGCTTGTACCTGCATTGGGGCAGCACATGGGGCTTGCACGGAGGGGGCAGTTGATGGGCCCACGGACTCCGTACAATCTGTACGGCACTAGTACGAGGACGTGGACAGGGTTGCACCCCCCCCCCCAGTATGTATAAGCCCTTTCAAGGACAGGCAAGGTCCAACAAAGACAATACGCCAATAAGTTCCTAATACATTGAACGCCCCGGCATCAACGCCGCAAATTCGGCCAGAAGTCCAAACGGTCTGCGTGAAAAAAATAAATAAAAATTCTGATCCTTGCAAACAGGGGGCCCCAGGCAGCATCGCAAGGAGATTAACCCCTCCCCGGGGGGAAGCCTACTCTATGAGATTGGATCATTTAAGTACGCAGTTAGATTGGGGGGGGGGCTTAATAGTAAGCGGATTCAGTGGCTCCAGCAGTGGGGGGAAGACTTGGAGTTCGCGCCGTACACGAGGCCGTGGCCGCGCTTTGACCACCCGTAGCGGATGGGATTCCACCCATGAGGCTCTACAAGCCGTAGGGTAGGATTCAGGCTCGATTTAATCTTAAGAACCAGGCTTACCGCGGTACGCTATCTATAGCCCATCTACCCTTGGGGCTCATTATATCTTCTACTAGCCCTGTAAGGACCCGTTCGGTAAGCCACGTGTTGGTATCCTGGCGATGTCCCAAGCTTGACCGTGAAGGCTAGCATTGTTTTCGACTGCGCCGTGGAGCTTGTTCCTAGTATGACTCGCCAAAGTCTCCGAAGGCGACGTGGCATGCCATTGGCGCTCAGCGTAACCGACTTTTCAGCCTCCTCAAAAGCTCGGTCGTGACCGGACGGTACTAGTATGAGATTAGGCTAGTGCTAGTGCAAAGTTTACGCTATTTCTCGGAAGTCGGACGCTTTCGATATGCCGAAATACTTCCGCGTGATATGATAACGTATGCGTTCAACTTCGACCTCGAAAAGGACTAGTCCTAGTACAGTGAAAGCCGTCACGATGCATGCGCCAGTAGCCACACACAGTGCATGGGGGCCATTCGAGCTAATGATACTAGTGCCAGGAGAGGAGGGCAGGAAGGGATTTCTAGCAACCGCCATTGGTCACAGATCAAAATTAACTAACTAATTAGTTAATGCACCAAGGCGCTCTGCGTGAGATGGAATGTGCCAATACATCTCTATACGCTTACCTGTTTGGGGATGCTATGGATAGCCATTCACATTGAAGAACAGGGCCGATTTAGCCGCATCCGAGTTCGTGGACGATGAAGCATAGAAGGCTCACCGGGGCCTGTCTTCTCGTGGGTTGGGGTGTCTGCGCTTCAGCTCTGTTGCTCCAACCCTGATCCTAAAAATTTCTTGGCGATCTCCTTGGATTTCAGGAGTGGATGTTTAATGTCCCCAGATAGCTCTCGGTAACACCTTCCTCCCGCCGGCCACTCGACACTTGATTGTGATGAAATACCGTATCCAGATATTTGACGGACAAGGCCCGAGGAGGTCGGATGCGCGGTTTTGGACACAGACATGTTGACTCTATGTATGTCAGCAGCCCATTGCCTTCTCCACCACCGGTGAGTCAAAAGCAGGTGTCCCATCAAAGGGGCGAGTCTTGCAAGAATAGGATTATTCCGAGTCCCTAGCATGCCATTCAGAACAGTCCCACTGATCACCCCGGATGATTTTTGGTGTTTCCCCTCGGATCCCAGCTGCGCGGGTTCAATTCAAGTCGAAGACCAGAACTAAGCCAATAGCCGTCAATCTTTCGCAGTTGTCGAGACGGGATGAATGTGTGGTACGAACAGCACGATGCGATAGTTGAGAGAAGCTCTTTTTTTTTCTTGAGATTGAAGCCGGGAATCAGATCATCGCAGCTCTTAGAGCCCCGGAGCTTTGATACTACCTGACTGCATACTCGCGATAAAATGTGAATTTCCGCTGATTCAAGGGCGAATTTGCTGCTGCCGCGTGGTGCAGGAGCCCAATTTACGACAAAAACTTGAAGAGACGATTTATGTTGATTTCCCCCAAGACATGTGAGTGACGTTGGCATATCGTTTCTCAGTGAACGAACGAGGAAGAAAATTTTATTTTCCGACAAGTTCTATCGCGTGATCATCTTTTCGATCTTTCGAGCAATGCGCACACAGCGCTCATCAACATGTTTGGTATACAGATCCGCTACGTATAAGTTAATAGGCGTTATAATAGCAATACCAACAAGCCACGCAAAAGCAAAGGGGGCAGTCTGCTTGCTGGCATTTCCGCCTCCGATCTCCTTGTACGAAGTACCGGTAGCGAGATACCACAACGTGTGGATCACAGGATCCCGCACGAGATGGTAAACCGCCTGATGAACCAGGTAGAGCGAGAAAGACACTTTCCCCAGATACTGAACCGGCCTGGAGTTCAGTGGACGCTGGAGGGTGGGCGATTTGCTGATCGCGTGGACCATCATGACAGAACCAGCTGTCTTCCAGCATTTGCTGACGACGTCCCAGTGGCCATCCCAGCGCGAGGACCCCACGAGTTCCAAGAACTTGTAGCCGGTGGGTAGGAAGCCGTCGTCGCTCAGACAGACCAGGTACACGCCAAAGCTGAAGTACAGGTAGTTGAACCAGGAGGAAAGGTGAATGGATGCAAGCTTGGGGCCGGGGATATGATATGGCAGCTTGAACTCGTCTTCTCCGGTGCGCGCGTGCTCGGCCAGCCTTCTCTCTGCAATATACAAACCCGCCAAGAAGCCGAAGATATCCCAAAGACCGAAATAGAACCAGTACGCGGCCAGGACCCCGATGGCGATGCGCCGTAGTTGAGGCTTCCAGAAGGCCAGCCCCAGGATGGTCAGGTACACGATGCATGAGCCGCGAAACTCGAGGCCCATGGTCCATAGTTGGCCGTTCAGGCCTGGATTTCCCTGGAAGGCGATGATGTTCATATTGTCAACCATATAGCGAAAAACAAAAGTGACATGCGCCCAGGGCTCTCGCCATGGCTGGCGGCCCCAGGTGGAATCGCCAAAGTTCCATTGGAACAGATTACAGAAGTAGAGCAGTTGCGAAATAGCCGTGATCACGAAGACAGGCAAGTAAATGCGGAACACCCGGCGGGTGACGGCCGAGGACAGACGGCGGAGAAAGTCACCGCTATTTTTGTTGCGGATCTGTAGAAGCCCGATGGAGATCGCGTACCCCGAAATGACCAGAAAGAGAGAGACCATCGCATGGGCGGCGAAGAGGAGGCGGATCGGAGGTAACTGGATCAAACGCCGGTTCTCCTCTGGTGGATCAGTCCAAAAGGATACGAATGCAGAGTCCAAGACTCCTCCCATGAAGTAGTGATCCACCGCGACAATGGCCGCCGCGAGGCCTCGGAGGCCATCGAGCCATGTCGTACGTTCCATGACTTGGGGAGTCCCCATTCCTCGAGGAACGAGCAAGAAATTGAGGACCTGAATGGCGTGGAGTCTGGAAAAAAGAGACGCATCTTGATAGGGGCTCGCACTAGTGCTTAGGGCGAGCACAGTGATCGGGGGGGGGGGCCAAGAAGTGACAAATTTAGCGTTGAAAATTCATGGACACGTCGGTGCTGCGGTTCGATATTGGACTAGGCCCACCTGGCAGTGGGACAGCATTTCATGGTCTCCGGGAATTAGGGGAATTATGGGTATTCCGCACCACCTTTGCCGCTTACTAGCTATGAAATGGATTCAAATTGCCCGAATCTACCGAAGCCCACAGACAAAATTCAGGCCACCGACCCGTGCGGCTGAATACGGTTCACAAGGTGGCAAGGGGAAAAAAAAATATTATGATCTTTGGGATCTTGAAGACACGCTAAATACAACGCTAAACTTCTACTGGCAGCCCCAGTTCTCGACTCGGCGTGGAAGCCATCCGCTGGTCCACATCAAGTTGCTCTGGCGGCGCGGATCGCCTGCAGGAATGCCACTTCCCAGAAAAATCATGCTGTCCATCTTACACAGGTCCTCGTAAAACGACCACTGCACACATTCCGCCCAGGCAGTACAGGCGGCCTCACATGCGTCCACCGACTGCCAGGCACTGCGCCAGGTCTCAGTTGACTTGACCGTGCTGGGGGCCTGAACATGCTTTGCGTTACTGGATCGAATCTCATGCTTGGAAGACAAGTTGTCCCACCATTCCACCCGGGAACGGAGGTAAGGGGCGACCAGCGCCTGGTAGATGTCACGGAATTGGAGGGGCCGGTGGTCGAAGTCCCACGACTGCTCGAGGCTGTAGAATCTCGCAACGTCTCTCCCGTGGGTGTGATGCCAGCTGTAGACCGGCTGGCACCAGTTGTCCTGCTCGAACCAGGTGGACCAGTGGGACTCGGGGTTGAAACCGTATCGGAAGCGGCTGTCATCGGTGGTCTCACCGAATTGCACGCCGTATTCCTTCAGTGCATGGCCAAGAATGTGATCGCCACACCCATGGGCTTCGGTGAAGGCCTCGAACTTCTGGACGAGGTGAGGGTCGCTGCCGAAGCTCTGCTCCCAGGCGCCGCGCGACAGCGCGAACCCGGAGCCGCCGTGGGCGAAGTAATCTCCATGGATCCAGGCCAGACTGCCAAGATACCATGACTCCGTGTGGTCGAATTTCTCGAGGTAGCGGACGATGTTGGGGAGGAACAGGTAGGAATCATCCTCCATGAAGATATACCACTTCGCATCGGGGCGATTGCGGCCTGCATGATCGACGATCGGCAGAAACTTGTATTTATCGAGCTTCCAACCGCCCGACGACCCCGCAGAGTCTCCTGGCACATTCAGCTGCTCGGCGTAGTTTTGGCGCGCCTCGTAATCTCCCTGCTGCACGTAGGGCTCGAATAGTTCGGAGTGGCGCACTTGCTCCGAAGTGTTTGCGAGCACGTCGATAATCTCCCAATCGCCAATGGTTTCGGGGTAGTCAGAGTAGATGATGACATTGTCGTGGTTGATTCGATGCGCGGAAAGACTGGTGGTGAGGTGGATGGGTACTCGCTTCCATAGGACGGTTGCACCTGTCTTGAACATAAGGACGATATCATCTGTACTCAAGCCCTTGGCGCTGTGTGGTTGCTTTGCAGCAGTAGAGCTTGACGAGACGATCGGCTTTGCTGAAGGAATAGCAGAAGGCACCGCATGGTGTTCCTGATACTCCTCTTTGATCGGTTGTGCCTCGACCGGTTCTTCTAGGGGACGAGAGGCAGTCCGCGCAGACTCAACAATCAGGGCATTTGGCACTGCTTGCACGGCTTTCGCAGGGATTTCCCCTAGTGGACCCTGACGATCCAACTCGAAGTGGTAGACAAACACTATAAAAGTCAACAGCATAATCCCCAAGGGGACTATGCGGTTATCCTTATGGAACGCCCTCCGCATGGTGATGGTTGTAGGATTCTACGATCATGGAACTACCGTTGAACCTGAAGAAATGCTAAACGCCTAATTTCCCTTTTTTTTCTTTTCTTTTCTTTCCTTCTTAGCTTAATCCAAAAGGTTCAGGCGCGGCCCCCAATCCAAGACTCGACTAACCGAGAGCAGCTATAACTGTCGGGTTTTCTGGGTGAAACCCCACTAGTCTCCCCCCCCCACTGTCTTGCTGATTTTTCTTACTTCATAATGCTACCCCTAATTCTAGCGGACACAATTAGCCTATGGATCCATGTACCCTTCGTGTTGTTCAAATGTGATTTGCGGAATCGCATACGAGGGACGCTAGGGTGGTCTGACTGCATGGTCGGTCTGACCGGCTGTCGTTTGCCCCCGTCGTATTATTCCACATCGAGTTTAGGGTTTCTGGGTCTTGTAAGTAGAGCCTCAGCCCCGGTCCACAATGGGATCTAGTGCCACTGGGGCCTAAGTCTTAAGAAAAGTCGGAAATGACCTGAATTCTTCCACCGATTCACCTTCGTTACTATAATTACTTTCGTTCAACTTGGCGCTCGTTTTTCCCCCTTCCAGACTATGACTTTTTAAACTTCTTAACGCTCGTTCGATCTTTCTTCACGCCCCTTTCCCCGGGGGTTGATCTCATTCTAGTTGCCCGATGGATTCCTTCAGTGAAAAGGTGTATTCCGGGGCCCCCGTATTCCAGCAGACGGGCCCTGAAGTCTCTCGTTTCGCCAGTTTCTTAATTTCGTGGGATGTCTGATTGTACTCCCTATTTACTCAATCGTGACGGGTTATACGCGCCACCCGTTGACTATAGACATCCTGCTGACGATCTTTGCGGCGGAGTATAATCGCTATGCCAATGATCGCCGCCGCCGCCAGCTAAAGAGCCCCCCCGCCAACCTCAGGTTATGACCTGGAGAAGTCTGGCTATTGCCTGGACCAAGGTGCCAGCACGGAATGCATGGCTGCCATTGTAGGCTATCGCGAAGATCCCGAGCTTTTTGCCCGGGCTTTGGGTAGCTACAAGTCTGTTAAAGAATGCCGCTTCGTCCTTGTGGGCGTCGATGGGAACGAGGTCCCTGATATGGAAATGGTCCAGGTCTTCCAAAATGTATCACTTTCTCTCCCAACTTGCCCTACTTCATTAACTAATCATGAACAGACATTCCCAGATCACTCGGCTGTCATCCAAGTGGAGAAGCCGCTTGGTGAACTGGCCATGCAGACCTTTGAAAAGCTCAGTACTCTCGATGGCAACATCCACTCCAGCGAGATGTACTCGCAGACGACCATCGAACACTGCTGCCAACTTGCTCGGGAGATTCTCTCCGAGTATGACCTGCGATTAGGCCAGCCAGACGGTGTCAAGCACCTCTGTCTGTTTCAGCCCCATCTTCACAAGAAGGGGATCATGTTCACCACTTTCATTTTCTCCATCGTGATCGCCGAGATGATCGGCGTCGAGTACCTCTGGTCCTCCGACTCTGATACCCTGGTCCTGCCCGATTCCCTGCAGAGCACAGTCGAGACTCTGGCCGGCGATCCCACCGTCGGCGGTGGCAGTTCGGGACTAATCGTCCACAACGAGAACGATTCCCTGCCCGCGAAGCTCGGAAGCGTCGTCTACTGGTCCGAGCTATACATGACCCGGTCCACCTCGACGTCGTCCGGCACCAGCGACTGCCAGAGCGGCCCTAGCTCTGCCTTCCGCATCTCGGCTCTCCCCGCTGTTCTATACCCATGGTATACCCAGACCATCCTAGGCCACCGCATGGTTAGTTGGCCCTATTTCCCCCTTCCTATCCACCATCTTCTCCCCACGCCCCAAGTTATAATTTACTAGTTCTCCTCGTATCTCGACGATATATAACTAATACCCACCCCCCCCAGATCGTCAACGAAGACCGCCACCTAACAACCAACCTCCTTATGCGCGGCTGGACCGTCACCTACGTCTCGGACACGCTCGCTGCAACCGACACGCCCACGACAATGAGCCGCTGGATCATGCAGCAAGTACGCTGGAGCCGCGCCGGCCACATCGAATCCTTCCAGCAACCCAGGGTCTACCTGCTCAATAACCCGCTCTTCTTCTGGGCCGCCATCAAGCGCGAGTTCGGGCCGCTGCTCGGCCTGCTGTATATCCTGTACTACCTGTTCACAGGCAAGTCGTTCGCCTACTTCAACTGGTACGATGTCGGCATCCGGGTAAGCTACACGCTGCTGTATAACTATACGCGCAACCCGGACCGCGGGCCGAGTCACTCTTGGTTCTGGGTGATACCGGGCTTGCTGTTCTATAATATTCCGTTGCCGATGATCCATCTGTGGAGTTTGATTACGGTGTTCCAGGACGGATGGGGTACGTCGATGCGGGCCACGGCGGAGTTGTCCAAGCGCGGGCAGGCGTGGAAGAGGTGGAATGATTTGGGGTTCTTTGTGGTGTGGATGGGGGTTGTTGGGGGTACTGCGGCGAGAATGGCGGCTACACATTTGGGCTGGACCGACGAAGGGGTCTTCTTGGCGATTGTTTGGGGTATTTGTATCCCTGCGGCCGTGTCGTTGTACGGCTTGGTTATCTGCGAGTAACTGGACGCTGGGATTCGCTCGGCGGCGAGCGGTTCACGTTTGCAATTCGACATAGAGCTATTTTTAATATGCGTAATGAGACCAGGCATGAGTATATATAGCCTGGGAAGAAAAAAATCGATTTGGATTTGACGTTTGTTAAAACGTGAATAATGTCCTCTTGAAGATACTGGTAGAGCATCTAGTATTCACTATCAGTGAAGCATATGCGAGGTTCCAAACACTATATGCAATGGGAAACCTTCCTGTGACCAAACTTTGAAATGGTTTATTTAGCACGCTATGATACAACCTATGGAATCAATCCAGTCCTCGAATCCTTCGGATCAAATCTTCGAGCCTAGTCAAGAGAGAGGAGGGAAGTCGCGGACGAAGCTAGTCGAAATATCAGCCAAACTCTTCAACTTCAAAAGGCAAAAGAAGATACACTTACTGCGCAGGGCACTCATATCCAGCCGGGTTGTTATGCAGGTACAGCTGATGGTAATCTTCCGCATCCCACCACTGACCTGCCGGCACGACCTCCGTCGACACAGGCTTCTTGTACCATTGCTCGCTCACCTTCTTGGTGATCTCCTCCGCGATCTTCTGCTGCTCCGGTCCGTGTGTGAAGATCGCGCTGCGGTACTGGGTCCCCACGTCGGGGCCTTGTCGGTTCGGCGTTGAGGCGTCGTGCATGCGGTAGAAGAACTCGAGGAGCTGGCGGTAGCTGACGAGGGAGGGGTCAAAGGTTACTCGCAGAGATTCGGCGTCTAATATGAGCAGTTAGCTCCAAGGGGTTCCTTCTCCTTCGGGTCGTTCCGAGATAGCCGCTTCCTGGGATTCCGAGTTCGCATGCCCAGCTGGGCAATACTGTCTCTGTGCCTCGGAGTCCAGGGAGATTCATGGGTTCACGTACGGCCGGTATTCCCGCTGCAGACAGCGCGATAGGTGGGCGAAGAAGTCTTGCCACCGCAGTAGCCAACCTTCGCATCAAGCAGACCCTTGCCGCCAAAGTGCTTGCGGTACAGGTGCTCGACGCCCCAGAAGCAGCCGGCTGCGAGAGTCGCCTGCTCGGTGTTGGACATGTTGCGTGACTGTGTCTCCTGCGGGAACGAGCGGACGGGCGCGCTGGTTGAGAAGGGCCGGAAAAAGCGAGAGAATGTCGAGGTGATCGGGGCGAAGGTCATGAAGAAATTACGGTGGGGAACCCGAGATGGGAAGTGGGGGGGGGGTTTTTTATAGGGCTGGCGCGATAGAGAGGCGCGGACGGTTTGGTAATGCCTTGGAAATGTTCTAGGATTCCTGACGATTCGTTGATAAAGGACAATGAGAGAAAGAGAACCCTCGGGATGTAGAGGAATGAGCAGGAGAGACCGTTGGAGACAATCCATGGATGGCGTCATTGATCTGACAAAGCATTGCCTCCGAAGTATGGAAGTACTCGACTGCTTCAAAATGTCGGTTGTTTCTGCCCATTTGTTCATTCTGATTTTCAATAACGTCATTTCCTCAGGCTAAGAGTCTCTATAGGTATAGATACTAGTAATTTCAAGTTAGTCCCAATGATTCAAAAAGCTTACATGCTCACTACTGCAGTGTAACTAGGCTAATCAAGTCCAAAGGTGGCAAATACACCAGAGTATGCGCTTCATGCTAGCGAACCCTGAAAAGAAAGATACCATAGAAAAAAAGTCCGATCAATTTGAAGCAACCGCATATCAACCCGCAAATCGACACGCCAATCGCGAATTGTGGCAATTATATTTCCACTCTTTGCTCGGCTGTTTCTTGCCCATATTGGGAATCAAGTTGCAAGGGCCCGACCTGTGACATTCAGGAGCTCTGCACTTGTGTATAATAATAAGAATTCTGTGGGAAGATAACTTGCATGACCTGCCCAGATGTCCTCGGTCGAGCTTCGTTATACTAGTACTTCTGGTATTACTCATGCCATGACAGCTATAATTAGTTAGCAGATCACTAGGCTTATATGAAGGACCTTTTGTCTCGTTTGCAGCGACCGTGATGTATGAACAAGAAGAATAAGTTAAGACGAGATCGTTAATTTACACGCCACAAAAATATGTCAAGCGAATTAAAGGAAACGCCGTAGAGACTCCAGCCAGGCAAAATAATCAACGACAAGGACGAAAGATAAAGAATAGGGAAATTTGGAATCACCAACTACCCGAGTATGAGATCCGATGATGAACTTAGAGTGTAGGTTTAAAAAAAGTAAAGAAACAACACAAAAAAGGAGCAGACCAGAACAGAACAAACCGAAAGGAAACTAATGTGGTATCTGGGACGCCAACGCCATGCCGAGGATATTCGTACACCATGACCGAGCAGAAGACTCGCAAAGGTAGATCATTATTGTAGCCCGCTAGAGTTCCAGTGCACTGAGTGGTCAACTGTTGGCGTTGCTAGAATACTGAGACGCTTAGCGTCCCTGCTGGAGAGACTGGCATGGCGAGGGCGGATATCACCTCCCAAAGTAGTTCGGCGGCTGGTGCTCTTCATCACAGGCAAGGCGTGAGGACTGAATACTCTGGGCTTAGCTTCGGTCTCTCTTTCACTCTTCACCATACGGCGAGCTTGGGAGGCCGTGAACATGGTGTTCTCACTTGGCGAGGATCCATAGGTGTTGGAACCAGGGCTACGGCGACGATGTACTCGCAAAGAGTTACCCGTCGATGAGGGCCCAACATGGCTGGTAGAGATTCGACGCATAGCCGAGCTGATTTTGATGGCTTCCTCCTTCTCAGGCTTCCAGCCCTCCTTGCTGTCGGGCAAAGGACTGCTCGACAAGTTTCCGCTCGGGCTTCGCACGGCGATCCGAGACGGACGGTTTAAGAAGCTGCTCCCTTCAATGTCACGGAGAGGCGAGCTTCCCTGGTCGGACAGTGGGAGTGTGGATGTAGGTGGCGCTGCCAGTGGGGAGCTCCCTGTTCGCTTAGATAAAAATCCGGCTTGGAATCGGTTGCCGTTCTTCTTCACATGAAGTGAAGATTCAGCTGGAGCAGGAACTGGTGACGTGGCTCCAGGCTGGGCTGGAGGCCCGAGGAATATTGCGTGGAATGGGAGACGATCCGCGTGGGAGAGAGGGCTCCTCCGGGCAGCTAGCTTCGTCATCCGCAGATTCGTTGTTCTTCTGAGGGGTCTTTTGAAACTCGGTCAATGGGGAATCTTCATCATCCTTCCATCGAACCGATCTCTTCGCAGCTTTGGCCTGGGTCTTCTTAGGACTAAAAGGTGACATTCTTGCGACCCGCAGCCGCTTTGCGCCGACGGGGAGATACAGGGGCAGCTGGGACAACTTGAGAAGTAGCGTGAAGAGCTCGCGGCGGTGGCATGCTCACCATACTGAACCGCTTCTTTGGCTTTGAAGGGCTGGCGGGTTTGGGCTGCTTCGCCGGGCTGGAAGTGCTGGATACCGCCGGCAAGCTACCATCAGGTCGTACAAGGCTGGTCGTTGATGTAATGCAGCTTTCCAGCATCTTGGACAGAATGAGGCGTCCCTTCTGAATGGCGTCAGTAGCATTGAGCTGCATGATATCCTCGATAGACGAGATAAGCTCAAATTGAGCTTCCAAAAGAACCTGGATGGCAACAGATTCCGCGGCCTTGTCTTGCTCGACGACTGCAGACATAGCCTCTCGGTCTGCATGAGACCTGAGAAGTTCCATCTCCCTATCGAGGTTCGCAAAGTCACTGGCATCGCTGATATCGAATTCTCGAAGTTGACTGGTGGCATTGTCGACGGCCGAAACCGTGGGCTGATCCCATGTGCTCTTAGCCAGCCGCTGGTTGTAGTGGTGCCTGCTACCCTCGAGTTCAAGGAGTATACCCTGTGCGGTCTTGCGGATCGCGTATAGGTTGGCCAATCCTTCCTCATTCTCACGTGCCTCGCATACGTTGTCGAATGCAGCGATCCATGAAGATAAGATCCCAATGCGACGGCTGATTTGGCGCAGCTTGAGCATGTTGTTTGTCTTCTCTTGTCGCTCAGGCGAAGCATGCTCGTAGGCGCTGCGGATACGGGCAATTCCTTCACGCATGACAGCATCCTTCTTCTCCGTCTGCTTCTTGAATTTGGCAAATGCCACGTTCTCTGAATCCTTCTGCTGTGCCTTGAGCTCATTGATCAAATTCATTTGCTCGTCAATCTTGACCAAGAAGTCCTTGACGTGTCGGTTGACGTTGAACACATTTCTGGTCACCTTCGTCTGGATATTCTTCGCTCGGTTGGCGTATCGTAAAGTGTTTTGAGTCTCGTCGAAATGCTGGCTCGATGGACTGACACAAACGATCATGACAGTCCTACAATTTCCACCAAGGGCAAATTTGAGCAGTCGAGTAAGCTTTGAATTGCGGTAGGGGATGTGATTGCGCTTTCGGGGGTCGCAAAGGGCGTTGATGCAGCTACCCAGTGCCAATAGCGATTTGTTAATGTTGGCACCCTCGAACAGTCGCTCGCCGCGGTTCTTAGTTGCGCTTGCGCGCTCGCTTCCAGCAAGATCGATGATGCTGAGCGTAGCCATAGTATGAGGCTCGTTAACGTTCGCATTTCGGTCTTTCTGGGCAATGTTGATTTGGAGCACGGCATGGGATCGTGAAGATGTCGCGTTGGCTTCGGTGGGTGACATAGTACGGCATTCGTTGCCTCGCATAATCATATCCATCACCTGTCCCACATTCTGTGGATGGTGGCTCGACAGCCCAGGTACCGAGACAGATTGGTTACTGTCTTCGCGGAGGCCGAGACCGCCCTTGGTATTGTTGGGGCCGAGCAGATCGCGGATGGTTTCGTTGTAGATTTCCAAGTAAGAAAGCGAAATTTCCGTGGCCTTGTCGCTCGACCTTTCCTCAATTCGCTCGAACAGCTCTTGCATCGTCAAGAAGATTATACCAGGTTGTTGTGCGGTACCCGTGATGGTATGGGTCTTTCCACAGCCCGTTGCACCGTACGCAAACACAGTCGCATTGTAGCCATCCAGGACACTGTCGAGGAGGCTCCGGGTTGTGGATTCGTATACCTCACCTTGGGAGGCATTTTGGTCAAAAATCCGGTCGAAGGCGAAAGTCTGATCTTTGACGCGCTTGCCATTGGGCACAACACTCCTGGAGAATTTCTGGACTGGGTTGTCCTCGGGAGGGTCAAACACCCTACGAAGGCAGATTAGTCAACTATTGGAACTTGACGAGCTAAAGGGGAGGGGAAAGGAATGACAAAAATAGAAACGCATGATGACACGTACAAGCAGCGATCGTCGATGACTTTGACTATAGACCGAATCCCCTTCTGATTGAGCTTCGGAGTTGGGACACCAGCCAGAGATCCATCGCCCAGGAATAGCGGGCCATCGTCGTGCTTAGAGACCTGAGCAGCCTCTCTGATAGTGAAGGGTCGCACCCGGACCGCGACAGTGATCGAAGAGGCGCCGTCGGAGGTGGCCATAGTGTTGGATGGTTCGAGGGAGCCGCCCTGCACGTCGCAGAAGGGCGGGGTCGGTATGTCGAAGCCGTTTCGCGACCTGCGTTTGGCAAGGCCAGGTGGTGAGGATTGTCGATAGTAAGGATGAAGGGGCGAAGAATGTGTGGAGCTAAAGGTTTGGGGTATGGGATGCAGTATTCTCCGAGTCACTAGTTCCTGACGCCGTGATTTCATTTGTTGACGCATGGCCATCGTGTCCGCTTCTGGTTGCTGGGGGCAACCAAGATCGTGGTGATAATTGCGGGTCGGTGCGTGTTGGGGACCTGACGCCGCTGAGATCTTTGCGTGAGACCTTGAGAATGGCGTGTTTCAGGTTTCTTCCACGCACCAACGCGCAGATTATCACGCACTGCTCCCAATCTGGTGAATACCCAATTGTGGAGAGACGCCAGGTAAAGGATGACAGGAGGGAATAAAGCATATGGGATAACCACTTAGAATACGCCCTCATTGGTCACGGCCTTGTTGCTCGCCCTCTCATCTATACTATTCGGTGCCTCCTGCCATCCTTTGGGTACTTATTCAGGCAGGCTTAATTACTATACGCAGCTATTCTGTTAGTAAATACTCCTAGTAGTATAGCACTAGATGAATAGCTCTAAGACTCTCATCACGTGTTTCTGTAATCTAATGGTTTCCCAACTCTTATTGCTCTACTCCCAAGTCTTAAATAAGCTTTCCAGAGCTGTCCACGGGTCATTGCGTTGTGCTTTAAGTATACCAGGTGAATACCCTCGCCTGATCGCTCATGCGAAAAGAGAGAGCCCTCCTATTACGAGGGAGGGGTAATTGCACAACAACTCTTGGGTATTAGATTCACTACCGCCGGACGAGACGTCAGGTTGTCTGCTACCTAAAGAAACCCACAGAAACGCCATGAAGAGAAAGGGCACCATAACCATCTCTTTCAGCGCCAAGCCCATTCTTTGATTCGTATTGACCGGGTCACGTTCATATTAGTTTTCTTTTTCAGTTTCGCCTTAAAGCGGGAGCTCTTCATCTTCGTCGTCAAAGCTTGGGAGGATGACGTCCCACCCAGGATCGGCATGGTCGAGTTCAGTCTCATGCGCCTCGCTCGATGTCTCTCCAGGTTGGCGAAACCGGAAAGCCAGTATGTTCCGATCAGATAAACCGGCGGAAAGAATGGTGTCACTAAGTTGTCTGGGCTTTCCGTTAGGCATCTCAGACTTGTCGTCATCTCCAGTCGCTTTACGTTCAAGGGAGATCCATCCTTTCTCCGGCTCGTTTTGATCGATAGGAATGCCTAAGTCAATCCCGTTGACATCAAGGGGTACAGGATCATTGTTGATTTCATTGATACCGCGGGATACCAAGCAGTGGAAGAGTTTCTCCTTTACCGCAGAGAGTGTTGTGTTGTCGGGTTGGACGGAGAGGAGGATGGTCGTCTTGTGCTTCTTGAGAAGAAGCGTCCAATCGGTAGAATGATACTAAAAGAGAGTAAGCGAGCTTAGCACATAGCAAAGGAACGGGGTCACCATTGATTTGGGACATACCATTGATGCCACGGTCTCGTAGCCATTGAAGGTTGTCAAGGGTGGGCCTTTGTAGGCGGGGGCGTAGAAGGCGGCACCTCCGGCAAATGCAAACTCCACCGCCGGATCCCTCACAGGGGCGCGTCGAGAGGCCATCATAGGCAACGCCAAAATGGACGACCCGATGGAAAAGCGAAAGCAGATGTTGGACAGTGTACAGGCGCAGTCTCTGCCCGTTTTGAATTGGCACAAGCTCTTTGAGTCAGACAGCCCCCCTCGGTTGGGGATCGAAGTTGAGAAGCGGATCCCCTACGCAGCGATGTCTGGGTTCGCGACAGGATTCGGTCTTGGGTATTTGCACGGAAGCAAGAGAGCAGGCTTGGTCTTTCGAGCGGAGAATGCGCACCGGTTTCCCACCTCGTCGCAGGGGTGGTTTCAGTACCACCGATCGAAAAATCACGTCGCGATTGTGGGCGGAGTGAAAGATGGAATGAAGATGGGTTTCAAGTTGGGAGCAGGCGCGCTGGCTTTCTCCCTTTTTGAAGAGACGGTCGACTATGCGCGCCACGACAAGAGAGACTTTCTCTCGACGGTCACTGCTGGATTATCGTTTTCTGGCATCTACAGCTTATTGGGTACGCGCTTCTCATTCCCTCTAGACTCTCGCGAGGCAATCTTGGGAACTTACGTATCATTCACATAGCTCGCCATGATCTGTACACCACTGCGCGCAATGCCAAATTCGGCCTGAAGCTCAGTTTGGCATACGGCCTGCTTCAGGACGCTCTGGAGACCGCTAAAGGCAACCACCCTGCCTATCTGAACTTCTTCTTCGGCCATTGACAGCACAACGCCCGCGAAGACAGTATTATCTAATTTCAAATCCAATATGCCGTCTCCCCTACATTAGCGACTTACCCCTAGCAACGCCCGCCACCCTCGCCGGCGAGAGCTTTGAACGAGACCCATCTTTTTTTTGCGACCTATTCGCGAGCAGATGGAAATTCGACATCCGGTTGCTTTGGCCTATACTTTGTGGCTCCTATTCTGGTCAAACTTTATCCGGTAGAGATATCTCCATGAGGAGAACCAAGAGATGCTGTTTGGCATGTATGCGCGCTGCATCAAGATAGCCTTGGGGAAGACTATCATAGAGCGGGATGAGAATAATGAACGCCGAAAAAGTGCTTTTAGGAGAATATTCTGGGCGAAGATGGCTGGGGCATCACCCTTGATATGCCAGGCCTACCAAGGCATAGTGGTGGATGTTGATATTGACTTAACAATCTATAAAATGACATAGTGGTCCTACCGAGGGTAAATCGAGATTTCTTCGTTGTATTTTGTCTTTTGGCTTAGCTGTTGGGATATTAGCCCAGGAATACTCCTTCACAAGATATGAGGTAGGTAGTGGGGTGTAAGCGATGGTTGAGTCTTGGTGGGAGTAGCGATCCGGATGTGTCTTGTGTAGAGCTGAGACTGTAACTCAAGCTAGTGGCTTTAGGGTTTTGAGGTAAGGGAAACTGAGACTGAAGGAGAGGTAGAAAAAAGAAAAGAAATATGCGATGGTTTGCACTTCTTGTTTCTCTTTCTGTACCTCTTCCTTCTTTCTCCTCTCTCTAGTCTTATATCTCCAATCCAGGCACCGTTACGACTCCGCTCCTCGAACATATTGTACGGGACTGGCCTTGCTCTGGCACTGAACATGTCGCTCTCCTAAATTCTGTGTGGTTTCCTATTTCAGGATACCCCTATTATTCTATTTCATACTCTCGAACCATGCACGTGACAAGTAACCACCCCCAGTAATTTGCGTACAAGGGGCGAGTAATCAAAGCCGACGGTTTTATATCAGAAAGTATCCTTTGTGAGTTTATCCTGCAGTTCACCAAAGTATAGATACTATATTGCCTTCGGAGAAAAAGCAAAGAGTAAATAACCCCGCTGGATTGGGACGATTTTTTTCTCCGAGGCTACTATGGTGATGGTTCAGTACGAGTCCAAGCGAAAGCAAGCTCCATAGCTAAGTCCTTCTATATCATGCACTGGGTTGCTCTTCTTGAATTTGATATGTCCAGTCTGAGACACCCCAATTCCTTTAATGCCGGATGAACTGCTGGGGCATTAAAGGATCGTCTCTGCAGGCACCGAAGCACGCGACGATCCGATGGTAATTGACCGCTTTGAATGAACCGCCCCCACCGGTACAGCTGAGCAGGAACTGGGTGCACAAAGTAGCCAAAAGGCAATAATAGAAGGGAACGCTGTACTATACTGAGGTGGAAAGTGGATCTCCGAAGGGTTCCATACAAGGTTCGAAGGCTTCCAGATGATCGGTGGAGCTCAACCGCTTTGACGTCGCAGAGTTGTCGGAAGTACCCTCTTCCTCCCCCCCACCTTTGCTTTCTCTCAAGAGACCTAAGCCCCCGTGAGCCCTTCGATCATCCTTTTACACCTACCCCCTAGGATCATATAATCCTCGGATCCTCGGATGCCTGCTACCATTGCGTAGCTCCATTGGGTGTGGAGAGAATGCGCTCGGCGACCTCGACATCTCTGCTGCTTTTGTCGACGTCATCGTTCTGCTAAAGCTATTTGGATGTGTGGCCGACCTTCTATTCTCCTCTGATCCATCATGCGTCGCCATGGCAGAGCTAGCGGTCCGACAAAGGCGATCACGCCCATGTCCGACACCGTCTCTCTTATCCATTCCTTCGATTCGGTCCTGAACCCCAACAGGCCCGCGCGCCCCTCACCTCTTGCCTCCTCCAATATCAAAGCCCTGCCCCTCGAACTTCTTGATCGCCTGCGCTCCTTTCCTTTGTTCCAAGCTACCCCCGAGTCATTTCTTTTCGAAGTCGGGCAGCACCTGCGCCCGCAGCTCCATGCCCCGAACGACTACATCCTGACCGAAGGCGACGATGCGAGAGCGATCTACTGGCTCGTGCGAGGGGCCGTCGCAGTAACCTCACGCGATGGCGAGAGCATATACGCCGAGCTTCAGCCGGGGGCTTTCTTCGGCGAAATCGGTGTTCTGATGGATCGCCCGCGTACTGCAACTATTGTCGCTCGTAGCCGATGCATGTTAGTTGTACTCACCAAAGAGGATTTTCGCAATATATTGCCGCGTTTCCCATCAGTGGAACGCGCCATCCGCGATGAAGCTCAAGAAAGATTGATGATTTTGGAAAAGAAGAAGAAAGAAACTTCCGCGCCGGTGGCGGAGATGGACACCTCTCCCAAGCCAAGCCCGGTGCGCAGAGGCTCTAAAAGATTAAGGGAAAGTTATTCCAAAGATCTTGTTGTTACCGAGGATGAAGACTTCAGTATAAAGTCCGTATATAAAAAGCGCAAATCGCCAAGCCCTGGCCGCCGAGATCCAGCCAGTGCCCTTGCCAACGGAGTGGTCAACGTCCGTCTGTTGTTGAAAGAACTTCCTCTTTTCTCCGGGTTGCCGGCCGAAATTCTCCATTTCTTGGGACTGAACGCGCAGCCAAGCTCTTATCCCCCATTCACCGACATCATCAGGCAGGATACTCAAGGCCGCGAGCTCTATTTTATCGTTCGGGGCGAAGTGGAAGTAGTCGTTGCCGAAAAGAAAGACACGAATTCTGCACATCAAGCGAGGATGAACGGAGTGGATGCTGCTGGGGTCGAAGTCAAAGCTAGACTGAAGCAGGGGCAGTACTTTGGAGAAGTGGTCAGTCTCTCACTCGCACCACGAAGGACCGCTACCGTCCGAACCGTGACGTCGGTCGAGTGCCTCATGTTCACTGGAGACGTACTTTCGAAATTTTGGGAAATGTGCCCAAAGGACATCCGCGAACAAGTCGAACGTACCGCTCAAGAGAGGCTGCAGGCAGCCTCTGACGGAGACATCGTCATGACAGATGCGACGGATGAACAGTCCCCAATGGGTGACTTGGATCTCAATGATGGAGTGAAGATCACCGCTTCTCGAAGGAAATCGATGCCTCTGCTCACATTGACCGAAACTGAACTGGATGGACCACTCCAGTCTTCTCCTATTGAGGACCAAGATAGTGCGGTGAAACCATCAGACCCTGACCCGTATCTCAGTCTTGGACTAGACAAAGTGCGCCTTCGAAGTCGCCGCAGCTCGGTAGCGCCTGTCACCCCAGAAGAGCTTCATGGGGAGCAACAGAGACAGTCACCAACTTCTACAGAATCACGATCCGCAAGCTCATCCGCCCTCGCCCTCCCGGAAACCGTCGGGCTCACTAAGCCTCCTTCCGTCTCCCGCAGTACTGGCGACGCCAACCATGGGATCTTCCCGGACAATGTTTGGCTGAACATTTTTCGGTTCTTGGAATTACACAACGCCCTTCGCCTTCGTGGAGTTTCGTCCCATTGGTCTGAGATGCTGACAAAGTCTACCGACGTGGTTCGAGATCTAGACTTGAGCATATACAATCGAAAAATCACAGATGACGTCCTGGTGAAGGTCATCTGTCCGTTCGTCGGAGACAGGGCTCGTGAAGTGAACATCAATAATTGCTTTCATATCACTGACGAGGGGTTCAACGCCTTGGCGAACACATGCGCACCGAATGCCCGGTCGTGGAAGATGAAGAGTGTCTGGGACGTAACGGCTTCGGCGATCCTTGAAATGTCAAGCAAAGCCACTGATTTGGAAGACGTTGACCTGAGTAACTGCCGAAAGGTCGGGGATACCCTCATGGCTCGCATCTTGGGCTGGGTCGTTGCTGGGAATCAAAAACCGACCGAAGGCAAAAGCGCCACCATTAAGCCGACGTTCCAAACCGCAGACCGTATCGTCTACGGCTGTCCGAAACTGAAGAAGCTCACGCTTTCATACTGCAAGCACGTCACCGATCGATCAATGCACCATATTGCGTCGCATGCAGCGAGTCGGATCGAAGAAATGGATTTAACCCGCTGCACGACCATCACGGATCAAGGATTTCAATACTGGGGAAATGCTCGATTTACAAGCCTGCGGAAGCTCTGCTTGGCCGATTGCACATATCTTACCGACAATGCCATCGTGCATTTGACCACTGCTGCTAAACAGTTGGAAGAGCTTGACCTGGTGAGTGATTTCGGTTGGTTGTCTTGTTCAAATTTACTTAAATACTAACACACACTCTTCTAACTAGTCATTCTGTTGTGCTCTTTCCGATACTGCGACTGAGGTTCTCGCCCTCCAATGCTCGCACTTGAAATCCCTGAACATGGCCTTTTGTGGCTCTGCTATCTCCGACCCATCCCTTCGGAGCATCGGTCTTCATCTGCTATCCCTTGAGCATCTCTCTGTACGAGGCTGTGTTCGAGTAACCGGCGTTGGTGTGGAGGCTGTGGCTGAAGGCTGCCATCGACTCACTTCCTTCGATGTCAGCCAATGCAAAAACCTTCTTCCATGGCTCGAAGATGGGGGAGCAACCCGACATCAGCCACGAATTAACTTCCAAACGGTCGCTCAAGACGGCACCAAAGCTCGATAGCACCTTCTCTTACATATAAACGCCCCGTTGGGCACCCCCAACCTGTGAACCCATCCGTTCTCTTGTCCCCTTTTTTCTTCCCTTCATTTCTTGGTAGCTATATGCTGCCATTGACGTCCTTAATGATCTGGGAGTTCAGGTTTTCATGGTCGGTTTTCACCTCGCCTCCTGGTTTTCGTTCTTGGTATATTTCCCCCCACCCTTTTTTCGGCCCATGATAGATTGGCTCTGGAATTCGTTATTGAAATGGTGACTCTTCTCCTTTTGATTTTGAGGTCAGTGGAGCATGGTTGGAGTTCCAAGACTGAGCGCATTTTGTCCGCGTGGTGAATTTTTGGTCTCGTTGGATCTTTTAGTTGCCTTTCCCCCTTACCCTTTACGATCATAATGTTCCTGTCTGTGGCCACTTTCTCACTTCTCCTTAAGGGCTGCAAATCAATGTACTTTACCACCTGGTTACTACCTACTATCTCGACAGAGTTTCTTTTTGACAAAATTCTTACACTCTCTTGCAAGGCTTGTTTGCCTGTCCGGGTGAAGTACCTAGCAACCGTGCAGTTAGAACCAAGTTTGAAACCGCAAAGGTGCAAGCTGATATGATATTCATGTGAGTATATATAAAGCCGGTGACTGCTCGACAACTGCCCCGAGTTTTGATACATTGTCATCTCAGCCCTGTAGTCTCCAGACACGTCCAGCCGGACCGTCATGCTGAAGTGCTTCCCCGCAGTTCCAGTAGTGGAAGGAGCTCAAATGGCTCACAAGTGTATTATAATTCAGAAATCCTCGGGATTCGTAATTTTCTGCGTAGTTGTGCAGCCGATTAATGGAGATTTTGCGGGGGTAACTAACGCTCCATTGATGCTCCAGTAAGAAGTAGCTGTGTAAGCCGCAGACCTGACCTCTCAACTTAAAGTGAACATTACCATAAATTTCAAGTGAACTAAATTCACCTCATTAGGTGTGCTCAACCACCCCAAACGGCAGCGCACCCAAGAGTCGTCCATCTTGGGAATACACTTGCCAGAATATTCTCGACGAGCTCCTCGCTACGAGAAGCTTTGTGACTGTTCTCCAGTCCGCCGCCCCGAGCACGCAGCCACATTCGAGGAACGAGACGCGCAGGGGATTCCAGGCACTCTGGGGGCACCTTGAGCTCCTGAACTCTCAGCACGCCAGCCATGGTAACCTAATCAACACGGCCTCTTATGATGAGAAGGTGGCGGACGTCGCGCTGAGAGTGGCCGGCCAGCAACGTACCTCCGCACAAGCACAACTGGCGCACTCGATGACGAACCGCACGAGGTGGTCAAAGGATAGAAGGTGTATAGTGACGATGCACTAGCTAACATCAATGCTATCCCTATCACATCCATGCATCGACACGCCCATTGTCCGAGCAGCCTAGGAGCTGGGCGACAAAGCCAAGATTGCAGTCCTCCTCCTCCCCCTCCGGCTTGGATATACTATCCATCCTGTTCGTAAGGAGTGCTCTATAACATTGCACATGTTGACCAAGTTTTCTCTGAAGCGTGGACGCTTAAGCCGGACTGGGGTGATATGAATGTGTGGAGTTTTGTACATGTCAGAGATATCGGACATGTCTATGTGACAACATTCAAAGTCCTAGAGAGTCTTCGACAACGAAGCTTCTGGACGAACCGTTTGGCTTTGCGGAGAATAGGGCTGAGGTCTGGTTTGCGCAACTTGCTGTGCATGTTGGTCAGGTTCTGTATGGCCGGGGGAAGATCTAGGATCCTCTGCCAAAGATCTGGACTGAGGCAGACTATGACGATGCAGCGGGGCCACTCTTGCGGCTTGCCCCCAGTTGCAGTTCAGAATGCCAAGCGACAAGGCTGTCAGGACTGGGTTGGAAGACAAAGGAGAAAGATATTTGGACGAGCTCTATAAGGAGGATGAAGTACCAGTCATGCTGGCAGAGGCTGATTCCGCTTAAGGCATGGTTTTTCGATCACGAAAAGGGAAAAAAGATGATGTATATCATCCTGTTACTAGGTCAGTTGCTATACAGGCATTGAATACCCTCCTTGCCTTGGTTTTGACAAGCTTCTCGATGCCAGTATCGGTGTGGATGCGTAAGTAGCGCATCCAACTTCTGTTCAAGTGGCTTTGTCCGAGGACAATGGTTTTGTTTTTGCCTTTTTTGGACTTTTTTTGCTTTCTATATCTACAAATGCATACTTTGAATGTTTCCTCTGAAGTGCCCTGGACTTTCCCAGCTCAATACTCCGTCTTCCTCTCGATCCCAAGTCTCCCAACTAAGGCAAGCTTGTTTGCAGGTCTGTTAAATTTCCCCAGAGACTACTTTATGGCATTTTCCTTTCTCTTTCTTCCATCTCTCTCCATCTAACTTCCGTCCCTTTCCAAGAGAACGAAGGTTTTTTTATCATCTTTATCTCTGCTCGTCAAACGTATCAACGGACTTCACCGTCCTGCTTCCATTATTGCTATCTACATCTATTACTTTCTGATCAAGCAACTTCAAAATGGAGGACTCCTCGGAAAACAAGACACCGTCCAATGAAATGGACCAGAACGACCAGGACCAGGACCAGGGTATCCCGAAGGAGCAAGCCACCCCATCCGCCAAACACCCCCTCGAACCTGAGCCTGAGCAAGCCTCCGACGCCAACGAGAAGCCCGAAAAGAAGAAGCGCCGCAGCTGCAAGGACCCTGAGCCTGACTACTCGGTTATGGTCCGCAACCAGGTCATGCAGGATAAGAATCGCACTGGCCAAGCCTGCGATCGTTGCCGCGTATGTCCTCCTTCCCCTCATCGCCCTCCGAGATCCCAAGGTTCATGGTTGTCTTTTCTAGATGAGAAAGCTCAAGTGTGACCGCGCCCCCACTGGCTGCACTAGCTGCTCTGCAAGCCGTCTCCCGTGTCAGGTCACTGACCGGGTGACGGCCGAGACCTTCACACGAGGCGCCGCAGGCCTTATGCAGAAGCAGGTCGAGGAGAGCCAGAAGGTCATGGCCGAGAAAAACATGATCATCTCCCAGCTGGTCGAGGAGAATATGCAGCTCCACCAGCAAAACGTGCATTTCCAGGAGCAGAACATGCACCTCGCCCAGGAGAACAGCATGCTGCGCGAAGAGCTCCTCCAGCATGAGAGTTTCTTCGACCTGCCCGATGAGAATTGTCAGTTATCCTCTGCCTCTCGCCAGCTAGGCCAGCCGATGCGATTTCAACCTTGCTCTTGGACTGCCTGTCCTGATTTCCCTATGTTGCACTTACAACTAACAGTTACTTTCTACAAATAGACTCTGGCATCTAGCTTCCGCGCGTGAGTGGACCTGGCCGAGCTACGACTGCCGATACGATGTCTACGCTCGCCTTGTCGCTCTGTTAGGATTCGTGTTGGGGTTCTTAGCGCGGGCGTTCTTTGGGGGGGGGGGGGTTCATTTCGGGGGAGTCTTTCGGTTTGGGAGGGCGTTTTGGCGGCAAGGCGTCACATCGTCTTGTTGCTGGTGTGTTTATTACTGACCCGGGCAAAAAGGCCTGCGGCTCCAGGAATCAAATTGAAGTTCCGTGGTAGTTTTTGCTGTAAAACTTTTGTATTATGGGCAGTGACATGTAAACTTCGTCCGATGGGACCCATCATCTGGACTCTATTATAGCATGCAGGATCATAACCTTGTGGTCTTTTGGCTTCACTATATCCATCTCCCTTCCCCGGGGCGTGTCACTACGCATACGACAAAGCTCGAGCAATGCTATACAATGAGACTAGACTAGGATAACGTCTCGACATTCTCAAAGTGTACCAGGTCCACGAACTTCTCAAGGACTCGATCAAGAAGCAAGTCATTCACAGCATTGTCAGTCTCCATGACTACCTGGCGTGAAATTATGGTATGGGAATCGAGATCCGCGCCTTTTCTCGTACCTCCCAAGATAGCTCCCATAGTAGTCAAGTCGCAGAGAACAACATGTTAGATACTACGAGGCCAGAGTCAGCCAAGGATGTCGGACGATCCGGAAACACTAGTCTGAAATTTCGGAAGAAGAATCACCTTGGGCTACTGAATCCGGTATATTTCTCTACGAGACCAGATCCAGTTGCGCGAGTGGGCAGCTTCCCTGAAATGGAATATTCCAGTGTCTGGAGATCTTTTGCGATGTCCCGAAGCTGAGAAAACCCCCCCCGTCTCCGGTGCTTGCACTCAGCTATCGAGCTTGCTGTGTAGGCTGATGAAAGCGTTTCCGTTGTCGCTGGCAATGACCGAACGTCGGAAAGGTAGGCCTCTTGTTTCGCGGTGGGGAAGCGAGCAAGAATGTCGGTTTGGACTGATAGAAGAAGTGCGGTGTGAGCGAGATCGACTGGGAGGTGGAACGAAGATCAATAATTATTCTGGACGTTGTATTTAGAGCCTGGCCCTGGCAGTAGGGCGAGTGGTTAAAAATCGATGATACCGCTGTGGTCCTTATAGTCCCTAAACCTTCCCGAGGTTTGTCTCTAGGCCATGATACAGCAATCAATGGATATAGCCTGTATCGAGCTTACTTTGATCAGCCAATCGTGTTATAGCAGCAATGGTCTACTAATCATCAGAGGCAGGGTCGATTGTCTACTGAGAGCCTAGCTACTAGGACTTCCAAGCTCGCTTGGCTCGGTTGTTTATATACAACAGGGGTAATCACCAGCTTCCCTGTTTCCAGCAGCAACATATCCCCTTGCTTTCACACCACTGCCTCACATCCAAGGGACCAACCTCGCGGTCTTCGCCTATTAGTGCGAAGCCCTCAACATTGAGCCACGTCGCAAAGTCTTCTAATATGATGGGATCATACATCAGGATTTTCTGGTACCAAGTAGGATGACTCCGATGGTTACCAATAGATGGAAGGGGTTGGGCGCGTATAGCTTTGGTCATCTGAGCGCCTATATCGGGCGTGCTACTCCGTTGTGACGAGCTTGGTTTTGACTTTGCTGCGTGCGAACCTTTGGAAGCTATCGTTTTCCGGCGACACGGGCTTTTTGGCGGCGCGCTCGCCGAGACTTCGAAAGACAGCTCAGGGACAGACTTTGAATCTATCCGCATCTCGGTATAATGTTTCTGAACACGGCTGGGGGACGGAGTGATTTCTTCTTCTGAATCCTGAATTTCTTCGACTTCGTTGAAAGAAGAGGTAGAGGGATTATGCGTCCTACCAATCTTTCGAGATGGGCTCATTAATGCCGAGATTGATTCGTTTGCCTTTAGTTTCCCTTTTCCCTTGGCATTCGGTATCACGCCAGGTATACTTGGTTCAGGAACTGTGGTGGCTGCTATGCTCGATTCGGGTAAGACATGAATCTCCACGAACTTTTCTGCTTTACCGTGTTTCGACTCCCAGCACTTCTGGAGCAATTCAATCATCTTCTTCCGGCCTCTCACAGACTTGAATCCGTATGCAGAGACCTGCTTGGAAAGTTCGGCATCGGTGAATCCAGTATATTGTGGCATGGCGGGTCGTTTCGAAGCTAGCGGTTCGCTGGTTATATGGACTGTCTTGCTCTTTATCGGCAACATTGGGGCCGAATCGGAAGATAGCTTGCGTTCCGTGGTTGTATTGGGCTTGGTATCGTCCAATGCTTCATTGTCTCTTAAAGCAGACGTTGATGGTTTGTGATCAGGCTCCAGCCATTCATCATCTTGGAATGGGTCTATCATTCTGACTCTTTTAGATGCCTGTGTACGGCTCCTCAGGTCCACAGTGTCCACCTTCTCGGCTTGGACTAAAGATCCATCAGCGCCTCGAGCTCCAACACCCCATAGGTTTTTGGTGCCCGCAAGACGGGATCCTAAACGAGCTGAGGATTTTTCGCGGTCTGTAGTTTTCCCCGCGTCTACTGAGAATGCAGTGGAAATGCTCTCAGAGGCACGGATGGCCTCTTGCATCTCTCGCAAAGCCTGTGGTGAGTCCTCCCTCTCCAGCTGCGAGCACGTACCAAAGATGAGATCTTGTGCATCCAAGGTTTTTGCAGCTAGTTCTGGGGAGACCACATTGAATACCGGGTCTTTATCCAATGACTTGGTTTTCGACCGGCTAGACTTGGCCTTTGTGATTTCAGGTAATAATTCCTTGATCAATGCATCGTCCACGGCACCTTTTGAAGTATATTGCGCGGTCATTCGAGCCGTCACAGTTGTCGGCTTCTTTGGAGCTTTCGGTTTCTTCTTGGTCGGAGCGCCAGAGGACGATGAATCTTCTGACTGCGCAGCAGATACCTCCTTCGATATAGATCTTTCGAAATGCATTGCCTGAATCGCAGAGTCGACCAGCTGTGTGGCTCAGAGTCAGTAACAGGCAATATCACTACTCAAATGTTCTATTACACACCTCTATCTTTCTTCGCTTCGTAGGCCCGCCTTCTAGATTTTGAAGAATCTCACGAGGATGAGGTGTCACACCAGAGTAATGATACTCAGAGAGTAATTTCCCTAGTCCTCCTGCTCCTCCACGGGGAGCATTCTCGGAATTTTCCACGACGCCATCTTGAGGGGCGGTTTCCGTTGGGGGCGTCCAGTCTCGTCGTCTTCTTATCGCTTCGTCCAATTGTAAATCCTCGTTTTTCTCTTGCGGATGAAGTTGTGCTGGCACATCCAAGTTTGAAGTCTGTTGCGACGTCGATACAGAATTTTCCGCTGCTTGTTTCGGATTCTTCGTCTCGCCATTGCTGCTCGCCTTCGTAACCTTGCCGTTCAATTTCATATTCCCTGCTTCCTTGCTCTTTGGCGTTTTCCGAGCACGAGACTTCTGCGTCGTCTTTTTCTTCGCCGCGTTATCTCTTGAATCGATCGTCTCCGGCTCTAAGACCTCAAGCGCTTCCGGCTTCGTAGATTTCTCGGCCTTCTGCCGCGATTTGCCAGGCGCTTTCTTTCCATCGGATTTCGATTGACTGGCCGTCTTTTTGGTACCCTTACCCTTGTTATCCCTCTCGGTAGTGTACGAGTCTGCGAAGAATCGGGACGTCGTGGCAGGTCGGAATAGCTCGGCGGCGGTCGGCAACGGTGGTGGCGCTGGATCTCGTGGCGGTGCCTTAGGTTGCTTCTCCGAGTCGAGTGAGGTTTGGAAGGAAGATCTGGCTGGGGTGATTGGAGAGGAAGAAAGGACAATCACCTCAGCAGTCGCCATGGTGCCGAACTACCTGGGTTGAGTCGGAGGGGAATGAGGTTGATTAGCGGGTGACGACGTGGGAGCGCGAGAGAATCACTCTTTGTGAGCCATTTGAGAGATCCGTTTTGCGCAAGGTACGACAGCCTGTTCCTTGTGTAGAACGCGACGAAAAGGCCCCAAGTAGAGAGTGGAGAAGATTGTCGGCAACCGAATGCGCGTCCCGCAAACCTTTGAAGTTGGAAAGTTGGAGTATTACCGCTTTGGGACGATAACAAAGTTGAGCCGGCAACGCCATGGCACGCAGCTTTCATCACGATTTCGACATTTTACGAAACTGTTGCCAATTTCGTCGGGGATCGTATCGTCAAATGAGGTCAAATTTGCTTCAGTACTTGGATTAAGCACTCGTAAGTCATAATATCGTGGCCGCCCGGTCTCTTCTACTATTTACTAGTACGGCTAATACTCGTAGTCTTTCTGTTACACAATGCACAGCATCATCCTGCACCAACACGAGCTTGCGCAGTATTAGGACTTTACTACTCTAAAATGCAGTCAGATTTGTATCGTTCTAGGAATGTTAGCTTCAATGTTCATATTTCCTAAAGATCCCAATTCGTTACTAATGGGACAACCCTTGGCTCAAGCAGGCGACCATGTCCCTAAGAAAGATTTGAAGCATCTGCCTCTTGGCAACAAGCTAGACCTTGTTCCTAGGTGCTGACACGTTTGAGTTATGAGACCCTTTAAATGTCAGAAGGTTCACGAGAACCATGTGCATAAAATGTCTCTCGACTTGCTGCATTCGAGCAGAGATGCAAGACAAGGGCAAATTTCCAGGCTCGGCTCAGCGCTAAGTGGCATCAGCCTCACCTGGATTCAGTGTCGAAAATTGACTAAATGTCTAATATTGAATCAAGAACCTCTCAAGGCGATAGCACCGAGTAGTGAAAGCTCCAGTTGCCGCTTGATGCTATCGTCCTGCGCACCATTGGCCTGGGCGCCTGGCGAAGGTAGAGCTCCAAGCTTATATTGTTTCTTGATCTTCGAGACATCGGAGATTTGAGAGAGAGTCTCACTGTCGAAGGCGACTAGTGTCCCTTGGACAGAATCTTTCAAGTGTGCAGCGATGGAGTCATGGCTTATCTCCGGAGAAGTAGAGACTTTTACGATTAGTAAATCTTTCGTTGCGTCGGAAATGCCAAATTTGCGGAAAGAGTCCGCAATCTAAAAATACGTTCAGCTTCTTGTACACGAAATAATGCAGGTGTTGTGACTCACGTTGTTGGTGGGGTTGAAGGCGAACACAATCTCCGAATGCACATTGCGGGACTTGAGCCGATTATTCAAGTAGTCATTGACGGCTCGAAAGATGGCCGTGATGGCATGCTGCCTTGACAAGATCTGGGATTCGCATAAGCTCTTGTTCCGAGGGTTTTCAAGAGCTCACGTAGCACGCACCATGCTAGCATCGATTAAGGCATATTCGAAGTCAGCGTTTCCCGCAAGCAGTTGCTGCCGCAAAAAGACTGAATTCTCCACATTGCGATACAACGCCACATGCACAGGAAGGGAAGCAGGCAAATGCGGGAGAGCTACGGTTTCCAGCGCCATAGTGAATGGAATCGAGCTTCGATCAAAACCTGCAATGACGTAGTGAGGCCTCGGGAATTATTCCATCTACACAAAATCCGAGCCTCGCATTGTATCACGTGACTTAGTGGTTCTGGAAGCTTCGGATTTAAGAACAGCCGGCCTCCGGATCCTGATATAATCAAGCTGATATCACTGCCCGCTGCTCCCGATATAACCTCGGATTCCCCTCCAATTCCTCAGGTCATCAATTTTCGCAACCATCGCCATGGCTTTCTTCATCCGGCGGCCGTTCGCCGTAACGTCGGCGCTCCATCAGATCCCCAAATTCTCGTCAAACACAGCTCGCTTCATCTCCACCTCTCCCATCAGGTCAGCTCCATTGCCTAAGCAGGTGGGAGCGTCTACCTCGATATTTGCCAAGTCACGCCAGGGATTCCAGAATGCCTTCCGCCGTACATACATGCAGCAGACCTTCGATGCCCAGAGTGGCAGCACTGGACAGAAGCTCGCATACGGTGCTGCCATCGTTGGCGGTACTGTCTTGGTCACCAACTTCCTCTTTAACCGGGAGACCCGTGAGGACGGTGGCATGCCTGCCTACGAACGAAGCTTCCTAAACGAAACTTTCATGCACACTGGTCTTGGTCTCGGTATGATTGCTATTGCTGCCCGCACTCTGCACACTAGCGGATGGACTTTTCGCCTCATGTCTATGAACCCATGGGTCGTCATGGGTGTCGGCCTTGTCGGCAGCTTTGGTTCCATGTATGCTACTCGTGCTACTTCACCCGATAAGTAAGTCGACCCCCCTCCCCCTCCAATATACTGTAATAGCGTCGGAATACTAACAGCAATACAGCTACGTTGTGAAGTACGGATTCTGGTCTCTGTTCAACATCACTCAGGCTGCGCTCCTCGCTCCTCTGATGTTCTACAACCCCGCTCTGCTTGCTCGCGCCGGTATCTACACCGTTGGTATGATGGGCTCTATTGCTTTCGTTGGCGCTACTGCCAAGCAGGAGAAGTACCTCTACCTCGGTGGTCCTCTCTTGGCTGGTGTCGCTGTTGTCGCTCTCTCCGGTCTTGCTCCATTGGTTCTCCCCGTGACTGCTGCCCGCACTTTGATGTGGTCTGAGCGAATCTGGTTGTACGGTGGTCTTGCCGTCTTCGGAGGCTTCACTCTTTACGACGTGCAGAAGGTTCTCCACCATGCTCGCTTAGCCGAGCGCGGTATTATCCAGCGTGATGTTGTCAACGAGACCATCAGCCTTGAACTCGACTTCCTTAACATTTTCATTCGTATGGTCCAGATCCTGAGCATGCAGCAGAACCGTCGGCGCTAAGCCAGATCATTTGGGTGGCGCATCATTCGGTTGTCTTTTTTCTTTTTTCTAATCAACATGTCCCGTTCAGTTCCAACATAAATTTGTACTTTTAACGATCACTTGGCCACTTTGTTTCTTTTTTCTTCCTTCCTTGTTTTTTGCCACAAATCAAGACTGGCCGACACGGCGAGCGAAATCCAATTTACCACTCAATGAGGAATACATCTCCACTCATTTGAGAAAAATAGATATCAATTGCAGATAAACATGCTATGTTTCCACTAGATTCGCGATATTGTAGCTTTGCCACCTCCCTAAGATACGTCCGTGGCGTACATGCGGAAGAATTCCGACATGCCTATTGTAGCATGTCCACATAGCTGCTGCAAAGCCGCAACATAGATCACCCATAGATAGTCGTACATTTATCGAGCCTACGCTGCCCCGAAATCATAGATATCCAACGCCAGTCCGAAAGAAGCCAAACGGTGCCTCCTCTTCCTCTTCTTCCTCTTCCTCCTCTTCCTCTTCTTCTTCCTCCTCTTCTCCACCCTCAAGGTTCGCATATTCCACATGTTCCACGAAGGTAGAATCAGTAAAATCGCCTCTAGGGTCGTCCCACTGCGTTGTCTCACTGTCGTCATCGTAATTATGGCCGTTGGTATGCTCAATGTTCATCTCCACGTCAATTCCCGACTCCTTTAGCGTGGCCTTCAAACTGGCCAAGCTGAAACCCTCGGTCCCGCCGAGCGCCGCGCTGGTTGTGAGGCGCTGCCAAATCGAAGGATTGACCACGCGGTACGTGAGCAGAATCAGGGCAACGGTCTTCCAGCCTTCGATGCGGCTCGCGGGGAAATGGAGCCGAAAAACAGTATCCCTAGCAAAAAGCTTGTGAATACTGTCCAGCAAAGCAATGCAGTGCTGTCCATTGACGAAGCCGTTCTCACGAATTCGGATGCGGAGCCAGCTTCTTATGCGTTGGGTCAGGGTTGTCGTCTCGTTATCGATTGGGGTGGTCCCGGGTGGCACTCGGACTTTCATGGTCAGGAGGAGAGAGCCGTCTGATAGGCCCTCGAGGTCGACAAGCTCGCTGTTGATTTGGTGGAGGTACATGTACACCTCGTGTCTAGCGCGCGGGCCATAGTAGGGATCGTGAGGAACCACCTGGTTGACAAACATAGTTCCATTGACGATGTTGAAAAGCACTTCGATGCTGGAGTTCTCGGTGCCGTCCAGGCGTTCGAACTCCTGCGTAACGGAGTTTTGGATTACCATGGTCACACCTAGAGGCCCATGGCGAGGGTCATCCCTTTTTGTTGCCCATGTCAATCTGAATTGCGCCATGATGTATCTGGTATACTAACCTGGCGTCAGACATGACGAGGGAGAAGATTGTTCTCGAGGATCGTTTGTTAAAACTGAATGCGTTCCAGATGGATAGGATGGACGTGGAGGATACACGGGAAAGTAGTAGAGACAAACGGTTGGAAATTAAGAAAAAAAATAAATGGAAATAAAGCTCTTCCCTCGCTAGGCCAGGTGGGTAGAAAACCTCCAGGGTCGTTGATACCCTCCCACTTGACTCAACGTTTGTTGTCTACCCGCTTTGGTATATAAGCGCTCACTCTTCAAGTTTTGACTTCCTCCAGTCCAAGAGCCTAAGATTAGAAGAAGATAGTTTGTTCTAAGTGGCTGTTATTTGGAAAGATCTCTCTCGTAGCTTCAAGAGCGCCGACCCTGAGCCTCCAGACAACTTCATCATAGGTGTTCCTGAGCCCAAGATCATTTCCACTTGGGCAGAAACTAGTCTAAAGGCATAGAAAGACATTTGGAGGAAGCCCCGAATCTTGGATCCTCCGATGTCACCATAAATTCCACTTCAACTTCGACAAGGAGCCCTGCCCTCCCCGAGTCTCGCAGTTTGCCGTTTGTCGTTCAAGTACCGCATTTCATAGTTCGCGCAAAAGGCGGGGGCGCTAGGCCCAAACGGGAAGGCCTCCAGAGCTTTTCCCGATCTGCAGCAACTCACGTCTCCGACCCAATCTCGCCCATCCGCACAATACCCCGGGGCCCGATCGCAAATCCATACCTGATCCATCACCATGTCTTCTGAAATGGAAGTCGACCCTCCAATTGCGCAAAACGATGCGCCTGAAGAGAAGAGCACCGGTGCCGAACCTCTTACTCAGTCCGGCGCTGTTGCTGTGCGCAGTATCGAGGGGTGGATTGTGATAGTTACCAACGTCCACGAGGAAGCTGCAGAGGAGGACATCATCGATCTCTTCGCTGATTACGGCGATATCAAGAACTTCAACCTGAACCTGGACCGGCGCACTGGTTATGTCAAGGTACGTCGTGCAATCCCTTGCACTGGCAGTATTGGAGTTACTCTTCATGCTACGACTACGGTCCCAAGCTCTCCAGAGCTTCTAAGACTTCAATTGCTTTCATTCTCGCCGAGACGTTCTGTTTGACCTCCATACGATAGGGATACGCATTGATCGAATACTCAACCCTCCCCGAGGCCTCAGAGGCTATCAAGAACCTGAACGGCACCAAGCTCCTCGACCAGACCATCCACGTTGACTTCGCTTTCGTCCGGCCGCCTCCATCCGCCAAAGGCAAGGGGTCAAAGGGTGGCCGCGGAGGTGGCCGAACGCGTAGCCGCAGCCCCAACCGCAGTCGCAGCCCGCAAGCTGATCGAGACTGATGGCTCGCTGTTGCAGATCATACGAAACAGGACAGATAGCCTATCTAGTCCCCTCCTCATCATGATTCTGTTGCTTTCTTTGTCACCCACTTCTCAGCGTTGACTTTTCAATGATATACCGATACGACCCTTTGGATGGATGATGGACAGCCATCCTCCGTTTCTGTTCACGCCGGCCTACTCTCTCTCTCTCTCTCCTGGCTGCTTCATTAAACGGGCATGACAATAGAGAGCTTCGGGCCGGCGCCATAATAAAATGCTTCTAAGGGTATGAGATCCTGATTCTTAGGTGAATTCGCACTCGCTGACATGAGCTCAGAATTGAAAGAAACCTTCCTCAACTGAGGATATGCCATAGCAGCCGTTTTGCACATGAAGCTTGTCTTGGGATGTCTCGAACTAGTGTGGGGGTCGCAGCTTGCAGGGATTCTTTGTCAAACCCCTCAGGTTGACCAGGATTCCGGAGTGCCCACGTAGAGCCGAATGACGACCAAGGCAGGTCGTAGACCGAAGTACAAACTCAATGTCATATAACCTGCAAAAATGAAGACAGCTTCTTTCGCGGTAATATTTCCATTGTCTAAACTTCCATCTGCTGGTGCGTCCAAGATAGCTCTCGCGTAACTCCCTTCATATGAGTATGTGGCGTCCGCTAATGCAACAACGTCCTGTGCCCATCAAGCAAGGCTAGCAATGTTCATGCAATGTAGCTTAATCTGAATCCAAGCAGGATCCAATAGGTGTCCCTTCTAATCCGTGGCCAGCACTTAAACCCAGTGCAGTGGGTCCAAGGAGTGACTAAGCCCCCCAGAAATGCAATGGGGGGAGCCCGCGTTGGGGCCAAAGGGTCTCCGTTTCCCCGCACCGGTGGCTGTAGCCCGAGTCGCTCTTGACAGCTGATTCTTCACACTTGATCGATTTCTAGAAAGAGGGCCTGAGATAGGGTCTTTACGATTATATAGAATGGTACGGCCAACTTTGAGGGCCTCGTCTGGCCTATCATGGTCCTTATATTTGACGGCAACGCTATTGTTCCTTATCTCCATTGCAATCAAGGCACAGGCAACCCCGATCCAAGACGTCCAGAAACTCCTGAGTGATGTCTTGCCTGCAGAGCTAAGATTTGCACTCCCTTTTAGCAGCCCTGTGGAAGACTCGGAAGACCTCAATCTCAATGAGCCCGAGTCTAACTCCGCACAGTCGAGCCCTGCCCAGACCTTGCAGGACCTCCTGGACGCATTGACGGTCATGCAAGACAAATATTTCTCACTGTGGCTGGCAAAATGGCCGACCTGCATCGATTGGACGGCCGCAGTCGCAGGAACACACCTAACAGCGTCCCTCTCCTCTTTCTCGTCGCACGCGCTCAACATCGCCGACTCGGCCCGGACCCCCAGCCCCACGACCTACGATTTGCCGCGCACGAGAACACCGTCAACCGCTTCTTCAGCCACAGTACAAGCTACTACTTTGGCGAAAATACCTTCAGCATCCGCACACAGGCCTACGATGATATGCTCTGGGTCGTCCTCGAATGGCTCGAGAGCATCAAGTTCCAGGAGCTGCATACAGACCTCCACTACCCCAACCAATCCGCCTCTGACGCGTGGTATGGAACTCAATTCCGTGACGCTGCCGCCCACCGGGCGCGCATCTTCTGGGATCTCGCCGCCGTGGGCTGGGACCGCACCCTGTGCGGTGGCGGAATGGTCTGGAACCCCTCGCTGATACCCTACAAAAATGCCATCACCAATGAGCTATACATCTCCGCCAGCATCGCCATGTACCTGTACTTTCCCGGTGACCCCATCGATGCGCCCTTCATGGCGGAAGCGAACGCACTGCCGACCCCCCTCGCACGACCCTAAGTATCTAAATGCTGCCGTCGAGGCCTACGCTTGGCTCAAGCACTCGAATATGACGCAGGGCACCGCAGGCCTGTACGGCGACGGCTTCCATATCAGTGGCTGGCGCGGCAAGACAGACCCCGGCACCGGGAAGTGCGATGATCTGAATCACATGGTGTATACGTACAACCAGGGTGTTGTCCTCAGCGGGCTGCGCGGTCTCTGGCTCGCGACAGGCTCGCAGGACTATCTACGCGATGGCCATGAGCTCGTGCATGCGGTGCTGCGGGCCACGGGCTGGCCCCAGACTTCGAAGCGGTGGGCTGGGCTCGGCCGTGCAGGCGTGCTTGAGGAAGCATGCGATTCGCACGGTAGCTGTTCGCAAGACGGGCAGACGTTCAAGGGCATTTTCTTTCATCATCTGGCTGAGTTCTGTCGGCCGTTGCGGCCGCAGGAGGAGCGATTCTTGGGGGGTCAGACGCAGCGGCCCGCTGTGGATGATAAGGACTGGGCTCGTGTTTATAGTCGCCATCTGGAGCGGTGCAAGGCGTATGGGCCTTGGATCGAGCACAATGCGCGAGCGGCGCTCATGACAAGGGATGATGAAGGGAAATTTGGTTCGTGGTGGGGACTGCCCTTTGGGTACACTGTAGAGGAGGGGATTGTCAATAGTAGCGTCTTAGCCGAGGGATCGATTGATTATCGGAATGATGAGGATGAAGGTGATGTTCGGGTCTCTCAGGGAGTGCCGAGGGACTTCAATGACCGCGGTCGCGGCCGGACGGTGGAAACACAGTCTGGTGGTGTTTCAGTGCTGCGGGCTTTATTGCAGTGGCAGACACTGGGTGCCATATCCTGACGGAGTACTTGTTTTCTTCCAAAACTACGGCATGGCGTTATGCGTTTGGTATTGTTATTTGGTATTTGGACTAAAAGGCTTTGTACAAGACATCCAAAGACACTTATTGGAGCCATGGGTCTTCATCCTATGATGTTGGGGTGGTGTTTTCTGGAGGTTGTTCTCCAAGACGTAGCTGGTAAACTGTCACGAGACTACGTACAATTGGCGTATCAAACCTAAATCACCCGAGTCATGTCTCATAATGCCAGACATTAGGTTTTGCCTGTTGGGAGGATACTAGAGTAGCACACAGAAGCTTACATTGACTTTCGAGGCTCTGGGTCCGTGCTACCAGATATGCTATACAGTGGTGTAAACACCGGACCTAACAGCGGCCAAATTGAGAATTCGCATTATCGGATAGCATCCCCTTGCGTGATAGCCAAAATCACTCCCCCCCCCCCACAGCCCACGGCACCTTAGCACATCGGCTATTCGTCTCACAGTCGCCACAATAGAGTTCAAAGGCTTAGCATGGAACATTCCATGACATGGCTAAAAAAAAACCCAACTTTTCAGCACGACAACGTGCCTGGTCTGCCTAGCGCGAGCTAATAGTACGCCCGACCTTCGGCCGATCCAATACTAGCTTTCGTAGCGTCGTCACCCCTGTGAGGGCCGGCTTGTTGACATGGAAGCGGAGTCCCGGGCTGTTGCCGCACCTATAACCCAACGTACTATTGAAAGCCGCTGCAGACGCGAAGAAAGTACCGCACGTCGGGTATCAATTAGAATTTTTGGGGGAGTTCCTACTTGTCCAGCGCCTTGGCATAGCAAGTTCAGGGAATGAGTCAAACACGTCATATTTATTGTGCTAAAGAATCTTGAGCTTGAACTCTATCGACCACCGTCAATACCGGATTGGCATCCACTTCCGGATACACGGTGCTTTGGGTGTTGTGTAACCGACACACTTTCCTGCGATGAGTGGCATAACTCGGCTCCAATGTGGCAAGCCAATCGTGGCAAGCTGATACACTCGGGACGGACTCCGCTAAGCGGGATCTTTGTCAGGCAGCATACTAAATTACATCGAGTGGCGGAGCTGCCTCTCCACCGGGCATTGGTTTGGTACAAAGTATGAGTGCCGCTAACTATATAAGCACTAGCCCGGCGACAGCCTGGTTGAAGATCCATAAAATCGTTCCGGGTACAGCATACGTATCATGATCCACTCGATATAGCCCCCCCCCCGCTAAGTCAAGTACTGAAAGCGAAGGCAGACGAATGGAAATCTGTCCTCTGTCCCAGGAAACTTATTGGGACCTAGCAAGTACTAGTTTTGAAGCTGCCTTGATTCAAGAGTGCTCTGGTGAGGCTATCGGGCAACAGCCGGTCAAGTGTCACGGGGATGCGGACATCATCCGCGCGAAGCTCGGGTCTTTTCGTATGTTGACGGTTTCCGGTAACAGGTACAACGGCCGGCCGAGAAAGAAGCAAAAAAAAAAAAAGAAAAGAAAAGAAAAAAGAAAAAAGCAAAAAGAAACTACTCCAGATTCCTACTTTCCTACTCTCGCGAGTCGGTGATTGGCCACGGCCAGGTAGAAAATACACCGCGGCAACAGGGGCGCGGAGCCAGTCACAAGCGGATAAAATTCATTAGCGCTCTTTTCCTAACTCACCCGTCCCCCCCCCTTCAACCCAAAGAACGCGCCCCGTCCGCGGTGAGGTGGGGGAGGAAGGCCATCTTAGCGTGCTGAGAGGGGACGCTTCGATACGCTGCTCCCTTTCTCCCCCACTCTTCCGTAATTGAAGATGAAACACGTTCTTACCGGAGTGTGGGCGATCCAAACGAATGAGCGTGGAAGAGCTTGTGGATCGGCAAGGAAGATTGCCCGAAGCCTCTTTGTAGGAGGGGAAGAGGGAGGGGAAAGGGTTCAAGCCACCGGCAACTATATCCAGGAAGGACTATAGGCTTCGTGCTTTCTTACGGATGATGGATCGATGTGAGAGGTGATGCGTGTATACATGATGGCGACTGCCAAATGACGGGGGCGGGTTACGTGGATTGTCTCAAGCGCAGAATAAGCAGTGTTTTGTGTCTCAGTTGCCCCATTATTCGGGGAACCTGGGAACCTGGAAACCTTGGGCAAAGCATGAGGAAAAGCAGAGCAGCTTGGAGTGGGAAGGTAGCGAAGGACGCACACGCTCACAGGCCTGAGCGCCCCTTTTGCATCTGCGGGGAGTCCAGGAACGATGGCCACTGGCTCTTGACAGCACGGGCTGAAGGACCGGTTCACGAGGTCTACGGTTAGTATATCCACGATGGAACCCTGGAATCCAGAGTACTGTAAGCTTGTAGGCTAATTAATTAACTATGGGGTGGGGGGGCTAAAAGTAGTTCCAATCTGCCCGTACTTTTGCTAGGTTCGAAAATTCTCCAGTGGCGTGTTCAATCTTTCGATCGGTCACATTCTGATCCAGTCCCACTTCTAAGAGATCCCATTACCCTCAGCAGCACGAGAACCCTGCATCGAAGCGCAGGGAAGCGCCCTCAAGCAAGGGGAAGCCCACGGAAGGGCTTTTCCTGGTCGCCATGCGTCATCAAGGATGCCTCATGGGACCAGTTGACCTTTTTTTTCTTTCTGTTTCTCTTTAGCGGCACCCCCGGTTGGGCCAATGAAAATGTGGTGCTGACATACCCTCGTTTATTCTTCACTGTGGCCACCGTAAATCAAGCCACTGCCGACCCAAGGATCCAAGGTTGATTACACTGCCGGAGTGGTTCCTGATACTGGAAACTGAGGTTCACGCCCGTACCGCAGGAACGGGTTCCATTGTACTATATCAGCCGTCAAATATAGCGGGCTAAAAAGGATCCGAAGGACTGGGCGCTATCAGTAATTCCATCCAATATGTCAAGCGAACAATTTCTGGGTCTCGGGCACTTCCGCCTCTGTAGCCCACAGGTTCTCTATACCGTTGTAACGTAGTCTCTAACCTTTTTTTTTTTGGGGAGGGGGTTCTTTTTTTTTTTCCAAAGCACGTATGGTTCGTTTGGTATAGTATGGGTACTCGTAATAATGGAAAATCGTTCAACCATCAACTTGGCCCTGCGCCCTTCTGTGGAAACCCACCAAGTCAGTCGAAGGCCGCGCAAATCCGTATGCCGCTGCTTGCAGCACCTCCGTACAGAGAGTTTGGATTTCCCCATAGCGATCGGCGCGGGTAATGTCCATGGTGGGATTCGACCTCCTTTTTCGTCGGTGACGGCTCCGCCAACTTAACAAGCAGAATCGCGGAATCCACGGAAATGGATCGACTGCCCAAGCGTCCAGCGGAACCGCATTGGTCCTCCTGTAAATCCCATGACTAGAGAGAGGATTGAGAAGAGGGGGAGGAGAGATCAGAGTCCATCAGCGGCGCCCCCCTAGTGGACTGCTATGACACCAGACCTGGGGTTCATGCATGTTGGGGCTCTTCTCTTCCACGTTGCGTCGACGCCACCTATGCTTGATCTCAGGACAGCGGCTCCGGAGTCCACATGGCCTACCACCCATCGAGTCCACCTTGAACCGTCTGAGTGGATTAACATTTAATAGCGCAAGGCGATAACCGAGCGGCAGAGTGCGCCCGAGTTAAGCAGTCATGGGGCGTGAAAGGATCGGCTCTTGTACGGAGTACACTGGGCTCTTTTCCTCACCGGACATGGACCGGGACCAATTTCTCTCCTCTTGTTTCAGCTGCCTTTCTCGTCTTAGTGAGGTTCTTTCACAGTGGCCTGGTAAATGGATCAGTAATGGCCCTGGGGAGACGGGACGATGCTTTTCGGCCAGGATTGAGACCCCCTACTCGGGTCAGTAAGGGCTGGTAACTTCCCAGGATCTGAGTTTGTCGTACGGAAAATCCCGTCCCTAGGTAAGATTCTACAGGATTACCGAATCCAGTAAGCATCGTGCAATAAGGCTTGGTCACACCACCGCTTGCCTAGGTTTGTGGGCTATTTTGAATTTTGAATCAGGGGGTTCGGATTTGGATTTCAAGTTTGGAATTCCTGCTTCAACAGACCCCAAGAACGCTCGCGTGGAGTTTTGCCACCATACCGGACGATGTTATTGTCCGTTCTGGTGTATCGCTTGTGAGTGGCACGGGGAAGTGGCTTCCTTTGTCCGCGTGAAGGAGGAGAGCCAGTGATATGGCGTCATTCTCGCCTGTTGAGGCTCGATCGACATTGCATAGCGCGCGCCCCCCTGAAAGAGCGGATGAAGATACGCTTTCCCCATACCGCCCAGCTTGAGAAAGCTGCAAACACCAATCATCGCAGATTCGTCGATTTTCTTACTTTTGGCTGGTTTCTGACTTTCGCGCCATGAAATCGACCCAAAAACAAGCCGCATCCACAGTGATACCGACGGCCGCTCCCGGCGGAATGTGGTTCTATGACTGATGACTGTCACTACGGACGAGGTGGGGAGAAAGGAGATCAGTAGTACTGCAGCCCAAGGAACGATATCTGGCAGTGATGAGAGGGGGGCAGGTACTATAGCACCCTCCGAGGTACTCCCGTTTGGGACCAAGTACTCCGTACTCACTATCCAAGTTTCGGTAAGGCCAAAGTAGGCCAAAGTAGGCCAAAGTAGGCCAAAGTCTTGTTCTGCCTGCGGTGGAGCTGCAGCGAGTGCTGATTGGGCGGTAGGAGCGGAGCTTGCCCTTTAGCTTGTTCGCTGCACCAAAGACAGAAGAGTGGAACTCCGGGAGAGGGAAGCGGTGTGGCTCGCTTGAGGAAATGGGAAATGGGAAATGGGAAATGGCCCTGAACCGGGGTTAACCCTTCTATTGGTTCTCTGTCCGACCTGCTCAACGAGTACTAGCTTGATATCTGTACTATACACTCCGTAGAGCCCATGGCATAAACATTCGATTACGGAAAGTCTACACGAGGGTCGTGAAGACCGTTTCCCTCAAGCAGGTTTTGCAAAGAACCCAAGGACGATCAGCGGAATAACGGCACGCCAAAAAGCGAAGGAGGAACGAAAATCGAACATCGTAAACTCACGAGAAGGGCCCTCTCTCGAAGGGGGGGGGAGGCCGATCACTGGTCTCCAAACCAAGGGACGTGGGGGGGTGTCCTCCACCTGAAAAGGTGCTAACGGAGTCCCCTCTTTTGACTTTTCCTCCCTTTTTTTTTTTACCAAGTAGGAAACCTCCCGTACAAAGACACCGCTCTCGTAAAACTGGTAACGACAATACCCAATACGGGCTTTTCCTCCTCCCCCCGTACCTTGTCCTTCGTCCCTTTTCTCCCCTCTGACCCCCCAATCACCACCATTTTCAATCTTGACAACTGCTCTCGCCTCTCTCTTCCTGTCCAACCTTTCGACATCCGCACGGTTTCGCCTTCCCACGCTGGTTTCGTTGAACCCTCCTCCGAACTCGCTTCACGCCTAGGTCCTATTTCTACAATCCTCAATCAAACCCCGACAGCTACCTCAAGCGTTACACAGATTCGTTGTCTGGGGTACATCGCTAGGGGTAGACCGCAGTCCTTCACTGTCACCGAATTTGTCCTGAGCAATCGCGCATATTGTGGAGGAAAGGTACCCGCCAAAAAAAAAAAAGTCGAATTGCATCCGTGGAACATCTCAAAGGAACCTTGCCCGGAAACCAACGACGCGAAATTTACGAGAAGCCGCCGCACTGGAACTCGATAAAGCTCACTTCGCCCTCTGCATTTGTTGCGAACGACCACCCATATGGCCACTGATACAGAGATGACTGAAGCCTCCCCTGTTGATACTCTGCCGCAACCGAACAATAGTGGTTGTATGCACATGTCTTCCCTATCCTCATCTTCATCCATATCTGACGCCGAGACTGAACGTCGAGGCCGATCAGAACGACCCCGTATGGCTAGCCGAAAGCCCAGTGCATCAATATTGGTGCCCCGTGATCATCCGGAAATCGAAATCGAAGAGGAGGAATTCCCCCCAGATGATGCCCGCGCAATGAGCCCCCGCCGAAACTCTGCCGATTTGGAACGTTTGGGCAAAGAGGCGCGTCAGACTCTGCAAGAGTGAGTTCTCAAACTTCCCTTCCCGCCATTGAGGAGTAGATCCTAGCGGAGAACGCGGATGACGCGAAAAATAATCAAACAACCGTGAGGACTCGTGCTAATCAATCAACCAGGCAAGCCAAGGCCCTTCAATCATCCTTACAAGCCCTCGCCGAGCGTATCGACGCGGTCCAATCCGATCACGACAAGCTCCAAAGCCAGAACAAGATCCTCCAAGATTACATTGGCGGCCTTACCCGCAATATGACCAAGAGCGAAATGACTCGGAGTACCAAGGCGCGTAAGGCGCAGAAATGAGTCCGCTCCGACAGGGGGACGGGGCGAGAGAGAGAAGGTCGAACAGTCGAAGGCTTCGCTTCGCTGCTAGGACCGAGCCACGAACACTCGATTTCTACACATATTAGGAGTTTGGGAAACCGCCCGCCATGGTTCATCTTCGGTCATATTTTTCTTTCTTTTTTTTTTCCGATTCTCATATTCACGATATCCCCCCCTCATGTTCGTCTGCACACATTCACCGCAAGTTCTGATGATCCGGTATCCACGAACAATTTTCAACGACAGCCTTCACCCAAGAAACCATACACACTATGCGAATATTCCTCTTGAGACAATGCAGGGTTTCCCAGGGCATGTGAGTCAAGAGGATTATGTCTTTTACTCATCGCTATCGCCACTTTCATCTCCGTTCCCTCGGCCTCCGACCGGTTCGATGTGGCCACTCATTCCGCATTCACTATCACGTCTCACCGCACAACCTCATTTCCCTTGTTTTTTTCTCCCCATCGTCAACTCCGGAATCATCCGTCGTCGCACTAGTGCTGGTCACCAAAGCCAAAGTGCTTGTTTAACAGGGGTTGAGTAGATTGCCTGTGACATCATCGCATACTTTAGGGCTCGTCCAGTGGCCCGCCACCAGCCCTTGGCATCCCTATTCGCTCTTGGCCTCTCCACCCAGTTTTTGCCGCCTTGCAACGACATGGGGCCCCGACTGTGAACAATGCCAAACCAGTGTCACTCGGTATGCGTTCTACAGTATTCAATTGTTGCGGTTCTTCGCCGATTCAATTGATCTTGTACTTTTCTTCCCCCTTCTGCGCCACAATTTCCCTCTTATTTTTTTCTTACTTCTATTATCATCGGATGCATAGCACCTTGGGCGTTTTCGGGGGCTGGGACTAGACTCGCTTTGTTTTTAAAATCAACATTTTACCAGAAACCCGCACAGGAAATTATTTCTTTGTCGTCACATGGCATTGTATGGTCACGGTCATGGTCATTCAGGACGGCATGGAAAGTGGAAAGCATTGCAAGGGGTTTTTGTTCTCGAGCAGTCCATCTCCTTTTTATTTTTTTTTTTGACTTTTTGACGTGTTCTCGAAGATCATCGGCACGGAAGACGATCGACCATCTGTACATTTTCACCCCCTTCCTGTGTGCATCATTTATCATACCGATTTCTTCTATTTTTCTTCCATGGACTGATCACGCTGATTGACCTTGTTCTCCATTTTCCGCTTCGACTACTCGTTTTGCGGCCCTTATCTTCCTGCTTCGTTCCAATACCCAGGAACGTTTGCCTGTCTCAAGTTCCCTGTTCTGTGTCTGCGGCAGGTATCAGGATGGCTCTCAATAGCAATGGAAACAAAGATCGAAATGGATTCCCCGACCACAACGTCCGTAGCAACCGACTCTGTAACTGTAACTCTGTTCCTATTTTACCCCCTTCATCCCTGCGTAGCTGTTTCTTGCATGAAACCCCCCCCATTCTACCCATCACGAAGAACAAACAACAATTTCCTACGAAACGGAAACTCCCCCTGTCTCATCTCACCACAACAGTTGCCATCAGGACCAGCCCTCCTATCCCAGTCCTCCCATCTCCAACGGCGCCCAGCGTGAATCCTAGACCCCAATCCCGTTTCGATAGAACCATCTCGTTCCCAGCCCAAGCACCGAGCTTGCAGACAGGACCTGCCTACTGAAGGCCCGGTTGCGCAAGAACCCAACTATACCAGATCTAGGCTGCATGTACCTATAACGCAGATCCAGGTACCGAACCCCACCTCCGCAGAGAATAGATATGGTATCGGCGATACGGGCAATACAAGGGTAGATTGCAGTTGATTTCTAAATTCCAAGCATAAATACTAGGGGGGCTGACCTTCCAGCGCTGGCGAGTCTGGTGTGCTGGCAATTGTTTGCTGGGACCGCGGTTGCCGCCCGATATTTGTATGGGGCTTGGGGTGTTCTGGCGCGCTGGGATGAGTTGGCAGGATGCGTTGGGGTTAGCAATTTCAGGATTTGGTGGTTAGCTCTATTATTCGGGACTTGCCCAGGTGGGGAGGGGGGTGGTGATTTATAATGCTGGTGCTGGCCCCGTGGAAGAAAGGAAAAAGTCAGAAGAGAATGTGCTGAGTACCGTCTGACTCGAGACGGCGCAAGTGGCGAACGAATGGCACTGCAAAGCCGAGGACTGCTCATTCCAAGCTGAAGCTCGAACATGATTCCAATACTGCCTTGGCTGTGTGAAACCGATGTTTCTGCGAGCAAGTCACCATCTGAGGCGGTACTAGGGAGCAAGGGTAACCCAGCGCCTTGGATATGAAGTATCACATTCAAGTTGCGAAACATATCAGGCCTCTCTCCCCGCTAGACGCTACGGCTATATACCACAAGTCGAACGCCGTCGCAATCTACTCTACGTAGCTTCTCTTCGATGTTCAGAACCGGTCGATACATATACCCAATACGGCACAAGCAACATGGACACCACAAGGTATCATTGATGCGAATGAAGAGGGGTACGGAGGTATCAGGGAAACAATACGCCAGTTCATCATGAACACCACATCTAGCGACAATCGAACGCCGTATGGGACAAATACGGAGAAATAGGAGGTCAAGGAAAACGGAGAAGCGGAGGCAAGGGAAAGAAGCCATCTCGGGGCATCGGTACGAAACCCTCATTGTAGTCCTGATAAGGAACTGATTTAAAAAAAAATTTCTCTGTCCGTGTGTATGTGTTGGGGGAGGAGGGGTTGGAGAGTGCGCGTAAAGGGACTCTTGACAAGGGGGGGTAAATAAGAGAGGCAAAGTAGACAGAAATAACAAGGGGAATGAAAAGAAACGGAAAGAGCAAAATTCGCGAACTAGCTTCTCACACAAGAGAACAGCAGGTACCAGAGCGAGGGCGTAGGTCAATTTCCGGTAGAGCACAAGAACCAGGCTATTTTCCTTCCTGCCAAGGACCTCACGGCCCAAGAGTTACGAAAGGGAATAAGAACCATCAATTCAAGATTAGCGCTCCTAGAAAAAAAAACTCCTTACCCTCGTTCCAGCTTGTATTTCTCGTACTGAATCACCAGTTCGTGCTTAACTCTTTTTCTCGGTCGTCCCATCCGTCCTGGACGCGAGTCCATCATGAAGATCTTTTTGGGCTTTCCTGCTTTACTCAGCAGGCTTGTCCTCGGCAGGAGCAGCAGGGGCTGCCTCTTCCTTCTTCTCGGTTGAGCCCTCAGCGGCGGGCTCGGCCTCGGAGGAGGTCCAGAGGGTCTGGAAAAATTGTTAGATAACAAAGTTCGGCAAAAGAAGAGATGAGCTGCAGGGGCCGGGGAATACATACCAGGTTGTCACGGAGAAGCTGCATGATGAGGGTGGAGTCCTTGTAGCTCTCTTCGCTCAAGGTGTCGAGCTCTGCAGAATATCCATTAGCATCGGGTACAAGGTTTGAAAAGGAAGGATGGGAAAGTACGAACCAGCAATGGCATCATCAAAAGCAAGTTTGGCGAGGTGGCAAGCCTGGTCGGGGGAGTTCAGGATTTCGTAGTAGAAGACCGAGAAGTTCAAGGCCAGACCAAGGCGGATGGGGTGGGTAGGAGCAAGGTCGGTCTGCGCAATCTCGGTGGCGGCCTTGTAGGCTTCCAGGGAGGCATCGGCAGCACCCTTGCGACGGTCGCCAATGGCGAACTCGGCGAGGTAACGGTGGTAGTCACCCTTCATCTTGTGGTAGAAAACCTTGGACTCGCCGCTCTGGGCGGACTTGATAAGGTGGTTATCGAGGACCTCCAGGATGTCGTCGCAGATCTTGGCGAGCTCAGCCTCGATCTTCTGGCGGTACTCCTTGATGAGGGTGACCTGGCCCTCGTTGCCCTTGGACTCCTCCTTCTGCTCGATCGAGGTGACGATTCTCCAAGAGGCACGGCGGGCTCCAATGACGTTCTTGTAGGCAACAGAAAGCAGATTTCGCTCCTCAACAGTGAGCTCAACATCGGCCGAGGCGACGACCTTCATGTTCTCAACCATCTCTGTAGCGCATTGTCAGTATTGACATCCTATCGATCGGTATCATTTTGGGGAGGAGAATGAATTGCCCTACCTTCATAGCGCTCAGCCTGCTCGGCGAGCTTGGCAAGGTAAACGGCGTCTTCGTGACCCATGGTGAAAGGTTCTAGGTTAATCGAAGTCGGTCAGTTTTCTTTTCTTGAATTAACATGTAGCAAAATATCAGATGGATTGGGTTATATGAAGGTGGTGGTGGATATCACGCCATCGACATCATCGCCGACCGGGAGGGGTAGGAGCCACGATCCTTCCCCCTAGATGTTGGGGGGCTTGACGATCCCGTTTGACATCATCACAAAAACCCACTGCAAAAGCTCCCTGAACCCTTCAAATTTCACCGCGTGTATGATGACGGTACTTTTGACATAACCGCAGAAGTAGATTTCCTCTCGGTGTAGCCTTTGTTTTCTTGAGGGGAGGGGGGGCAGATCACAGCATAGCGGTCGCGGCGGCTTAGCGGCCCCCGTAAACAAGGGTAGAGTGGGATGGAATTCACCGAGGAAAGGAATATGCGAGTCCCGTACGTAGCCAAGGGGTTTGGATAGTAGATCCCAAACATAGTCGGTGTGTCGATTTGATGGTTCGATGATGACTTTGCTCCCGATTTGGAGGGAGTGGGTTGGGGGGTAATGTTGGGTTGGGGATTGTGTGTGCAGAGCGGGGTTGTGGAAAGGGGGCAAGACGGAAAGAAGGGATGGAGAACAGCACTCACCTGAATTGGAAAGGAGGAGGGACGAAATAAATGGATTGGAGCGTGATGGGGGGGAGGAGAAAAGAGGAAGTTCACAGTTGAGGAAGAAAGAGAGAGGAGGGAAGAGGGGGGAGCGAGTGAACAGGGCGGTGTCGTTGGGATTTAACGCTACTGATCACTTTACTATGGGCGACTATAGGGTATTCAGGATGGGGATTCGGTAGGCAAATCTGGACGAGATGACTCTTTGCTGCCCAAGAAATGGTCCAAATGTCATCGTTCTCCCTCTATCCGCCCGCTATGAGGCCCGTCGAGGCCCATTTTCTACGGGGCTATGGATTCTTACACGATCTGCCTGTGATGTTCCCCCGAGGGCCCTTCGCCCTTCTGTGTGGTTCGGTGGGCCACCCAGCGTCATCCCCCATGCCACGCCCGCCAATCGCCCAGGCAGTTGACTACGAGAGTACAGTATTGCGCCTCACTGTTTGGAGGACGAGGGCATTCCATGGTTGAAACTAGAAATTTGAAACCGCTGAAACATCCACAACCATCACGAGAACCCCCTGATCGAGATGGAAATTCAAGGCCAACCTTGTCGGCTTGACCTCAGGCTAAGCGAGCTCTCTTGAAGACTGAGAAATACAAGAATGGTTTCCTTTTGCCCCTCCAGATGATCGCTGTTTTCAAGCCGAATAAGAGCACGTTCACTTATCGCAGAGATTTACCGGGCGACCAGAACACTGCTGACATAATCTTCACGTGCTACAGCCGTGTCACCTGACATGGCTTGGCACGTGTCGTCATACGATGGCTGCTGCCATCCAAGCTTGAGCTGTTGTTGTTGTTGATTCTTAGACCTTCTCTTGCCCCTCAAACCACACACAGTCTTCCCTCCCACTCTTCATCATGCTTCGCCAATCCATTGTCCGACCTATGGTCGCCGCCAACCGCGCTCTCGTGAGCCGCTCTTTCTCCGTTGCTGCTCCCCGCATGGGTGAGGGTGACTCAGGTGCTCCTCGCACTGGTGGTCAAGCCTCAGAGTACGTCACACCCACAACAGATGCATGAACACCTGCAATCTTCTGCCTATTTATTCACTATTATTCTGGTTCTCAATTGGCGGCAAAGCGCTCGATGCCTCGAGGTCCAATGCCAACATTGGACATAGACTGACCATTGACTAGTGATGCCTTCACCAAGCGTGAGGCTGCCCAGGAGTCCCTGTACATCCACAAGAAGGAGATTGAGAAGTAAGATTCCTAATATTGAGAAGCCAAGAGGCACAAGGCTAACGGAAGCGATTAGGCTCAAGAATCTCAAGGCCAAGATCGCCGAACAGCGTGGCCACCTTGACGAGCTCGAGAAGCACATGTACGGTCAAACAATTCCCTAGTCACAGGCTCTTCCATGGCTAACATTATGCAGTGACACCCTTACCAAGGAACAGAAGGCTGGCCAATAAGCAAACTTCGTCCCCGCAGAAGCTGTATCATATTACTATTCTCCGCTCTACTTTGCCAGTGATATTTCGTCGTGGCACCTCTAGCGTTAAGGCATTGAGTGATGAGCGAATAAAATATCATTAGCATTTGAGCCGCGACAAAGTTCTCCCTTCCAGATTCCAGTAGTTCAAATGGGGCCTTGGGTGTATCAACTGTTCGGTGTATCAACTGTTCGAACAATTCGAACTATGGCTAGTAGCTAGTATAAGTTAAGGGGTGAGCTGGTACTAGTAATACGTGAACAAGCCGGCACATTACGCAGACTCATAGTAAAGACGACCCAAATGCTACACTTTGTAATGGCAGTCGTTGACATCCTGGTCGCAGATGAAATTTTGGGCTCGTGGCCGATTAATCAAGATGGGTGAAAGAGTACATGAACAAGCCACATGAAATCCTAGCAAAAAAAAAAAACAAATCCCCTTCCTCCGAATTTAAACATGCTGCTATTGGATGTGCTTCGAAATGGAAACAAATCAAATCATTAGGCATCCCGATCCCGTTTATCGTCGTCCCATGTAAGAACGGTAGAAATCATCCGCCGCGTTGCCTCCACCGACACCCGGACTAGCGTATCCATAGCCCAGACGAGAGGAGAGTGACTGGCCGGCTTTTTGTGCAGCAGACACCTTGGCCTGTAGCTCGGAAGTACCTTGGTCGATGACTTGAAGCTGAGAAAGGTGCGAATTAAGGATGCGTACAATTTGGGAGATCTGAAAGGAGAATGAATCAGTATACTTGGTGGTCTGCTCGAGAATGAGGCGTTGCCCTACCGGCTCATCTGCACGATTGGTCTTGCTCAGAGTCGATGAAGCGCTGTTGACTTCTTCGATCATGCCTGTAAGATCCTTGCCCATCTCATCCAGGCGCTCGGACAGCTTCTCAGCGAGTTTGTAACTAGGTTCTGTCAGTACGTGGCTTCGCGCGCTCCTGATACGATGGCTGGAATAAACTTACGTTCGCTCACGCTCTTGGTCAGGCCCCTGGAGGGAGTCACCGGGGGCAACCTGCTTCGACACCATTTCATCCACATCGCGCTCGTAGCGGTCCAGCCATGAGCTCAATTCGTCCTGCTGGTTCTCCACTGATGCCAATTGACGCTCAACTTCCTGAGTAGCTCTCTCCGCATCAACAGTGCTTCCATAGAGCTTCTGAACCTTGGTGCCGTTCTCGACCAACATGCGGTCCCATTCAGCTACCTTCTCAGCCTGCTCTCGGAACTCTTTCTGATACTTGGTCAGGTCTGTCGCCCATCGAGTGATGATCTCATCCATGGTCTTGTTCTTCAATCGTGACTGGGCTGGAGGTGCAGGACCGGCGGTTGACTGCCCAAGAGTGGAAGCGGCGGCGCCACCGGTACCAGTGGCTGTACCAGTAGCTGTACCAGTGGCAGTGGTTGATGCGGCTGCCGCAGGCTGGGTAGTAGCAGGCTGGGTAGTAGCAGGCTTAGAAGCAGCAGCACCGAAAAGACCACCAGCAGGGGCAGCAGCGGACGTAGCAGAGGTAGTAGCGGGAGCAGTTGTGGTTGTGGCCGGGGTTGTAGACTCGGTTGTCTTGGCACCACCCAGGTTAGAGAACAAACCTCCAGATGGAGCTGCTGCAGCCGGTGTAGAAGATTGAGCAGTGGAAGATGTGGCGCCTCCTAACGAAGGAAAGAGGGGTTTTTGTGGCGTAGCAGTAGACGCAACAGGTGCGCCCGAAGAAGGTTGACTAGTGGCAGCAGTGGAAGCTGGGGCACCAAGCGAAGGGAAAGCGGGCTTGGAGGTAGCATCTCCACCTGCGGTAGGAGTTTTGAACAGTGAGGATGTCTGCGCTGCTGAGGCGGCTGGTGCGGCTGGAGTAGCAGCTCCGAACAAGGGCTTCGGAGTAGACGCACCTGAAGGGGTGGATTCAGCAGGCTTAGCGCCACCGAAGAGACCACCCGAGGAAGGAGCTGCAGCGGGTGTAGATCCGAATAGCGGCTTGCTGGTAGTGGACGTAGATGTCGCGGGGGTTGTGCCGCCGCCAAACAGTCCGCCTGGTGCGGATGTCTGCGATTGCGCGGGGGCTGGTGTAGGAGCAGATGTCGCATTGGTCGAGGGAGTGGTAGAGGAAGCATTATTCAAGCTTCCAAAGAGAGAGGGTGCTTTGGAGGCTGGTGGAGGACCGGCTGGGGTAGTTGATGGGTTGCCAAACAAACCTCCTGCTCCAGCAGGTGTAGCTGACGAGGCGGCGTTTCCGAACAGACTATTTCCAGGAGTTGCACTAGCTCCACCACCACCGAAAATACTACCGCTGCTTGTTGTAGGGGTAGAGTTTGTAGCAGCAGGCTTCGGGGTTGAGGAGCCTCCAAACAGAGGTGTAGACGATGGAGTTCCACTGCTTTGAGCTGGGGTACTACCGAAGGAGAAACCTCCGCCGGTGCTGCCAGTGGTCTTCTGGCCAAATAGCGGAGTCGTGCTTCCCGAAGCATTGGTATTTGCGGGCGTGCCGAAAGTCGAAGACTGATTTGTTGTTGCAGCTGAGCCAAACGGCGAGGCGGCTGCGCCGCCGGCTGGAGCTCCTGCGTTTCCGAATAAACCACCGCCAGTCGAACCGCTGTTGTTGTTTTGGTTGGAGCCAAATGCATTGGCGGATGTTCCAAAAAGACCACCACTGGAGGCTCCGCTGGACGCGGGGGCGCCAAAAGAGAAAGACATGGCAATGTGTCGCGATCGTAGGATTCGAGCTCTGGGCAGGAAAAATAACACGAGACACCAAAGGTCAGTACGAGGATTGGGCCCGATGCGAGTATCGCACGACCTAGAAGATCACGGCAATGAGCTGCAACGGAGGTGAAACCGGCCCAGGGAAAGAGTTGAAGGGGGCTCCGGGTTGAAGTGCAGCAAGAAATAATACTCTTCAATCTGCAGGACTGAATGAACGCGCCGATGGATGAGGCGACAAGGCACAAACGCAATCAGGCCATAAGGCAACAAAAATACCGCTTTGGGCTGTCAGGTCGCAGGCAGGCCTGGACTCTATCGATTGCAGGAACAACGTCGTCACTCTCCCGCACTACACAACTTGACATACTTGGGGAAGAAATCCGGATTCTTTTTTTTTTTTTGCTTCACTTTCTATAATTTTGTTTTTCCTGCCCATGCCCCAAGCCTAAAGTGCCCACAATGTCGGAGGCGGATCCGTCCAAGCACCTGGAACCCCCAAGCAAGACTACCGAGCTGGAAGATCCAGGAGCTCAGGATAATGGTTCGTTCCCAACCCACAGGCCCCTGAGCCTGACAAACCCCAGGCGACTGACCGAAAGCCTCTCACTCTTTATAGCTTCCAGCAGCGATGAAGATCATTTTTCCGATGCGAGCGAAGGCCAGGACCCCCCCCAAAACAAGCCCCCCAGTCCGGCCACACCTCTCCTGTCCCACTCACTAGAGTAGAGCGGGTGGACGATAGCACTCTGCATGGTGAATTACCAGGGACTACTGCATATGAGAAACGAGAACAGGACGCTGTACCAGACGAGATAGAGGTTATTCCAGAAGGGTCACAAAGCAGATCTCAATTCCAAGCGGGGTTACCAGATCGACCTTTGACCCCGGGCGGCAAGCCAATTCCATATACAATGGTTGAAAAAGTCGACCCAGATCAACCTAGCTACGGCGACGTTCCAGGAACAGAAGCATACAACAAGCGCCAGGCTGATGCTGTGCCCGATAGCGTCATGAAGGCATCCGACTCCGAGAGCCAGCCGGTACTGCCTTCTCTGGACGACGCCTCTGCGGACAGCAACTCGGCGAGTCAATCGATTCCAGAGACTCGAATCTCAAGAGTGGACACAGACCCCTCTCAAGAAGAGGATGTTCCCTCACGACCGCGAGCTCATCAACGGTCTCCGAGTGACGCTACTCCTGACGTTGTGGAAACAATTTACGATGCACCATTATCACCAAAGCTTGAGACCCCACAGGAAATTATATCACGAGGAAGTGCTTTTGAAGAAGAGGTGGCGCCTGAGAATGAGCAAAATGCGGGCGATGACTTTGATGAATTTGTCGAAGAGCAAGATGACGATTTTGGCGACTTTGATGATGGCTTCCAAGATCCTAGCCCTGAAGTCGAAAGCGCTCAGCAGCCTCCTGCCCTCCCATCCGTAGTAAGCGTCAACAAGCCCTCCAGTACCGACAAGCCTTCTCACAACCCCCCTATAGCCTGCACTCGTCGACTTTGACGTGTTCAAAACCACCTCCGACCTGATCTCTGCCCTTCAAGGGACGCTCGACAACCTCCTTCCCAATTCGCAAGACCTCGACTCCCTACCCCCAGTAGAACCAATACCCGACTCCTCAGCAATCTTCAGCACCGAACGCTCTCTCTCCCTCTGGTCCCAACTCGTAGCCCCTCCCCCCCTCCAACCTCAAAACTGGGTAAAATCTCGCATCCGTCGCCTCTTCCTTGTCTCCCTCGGCGTGCCTGTTGATCTGGATGAGATTCTCCCTGCATCAAAGCAAAAGAAACTCATCCTTCCCTCCATCGACCTCGAAGGCGCCGGCGCAATCTCACCCAGCCGCTCGCGCAGCCAAGCGCCCAACGAAGGCGGCGCCACAACCCCCCTCAGGCCCAGCAACGACAGGGCCAGCTCCTACGCGCTCAAAGGGTCGTCGCGGTGCCGCCCAGCCCCCTGAGCTCGATCTCTCTGCTGTTCGCCGTCTGTGTGCTACTACTGACGCTGCGCTGAGCGGACTGACTGATGACGAGCTCAAGTCTCATGTCCATGAGCTGGAGGCTGTGACTCGGCGTGCGAGCGAACTGCTCGAGTACTGGCTGAAAAAGAGAGACGGGCTTGTGGGCGAGAAGGAGGCTTTTGAGGGTGTCATTGAGAATCTTGTTAGCCATGTTCGGAGAGTTAGGAAGTAGGTTTTCATCCCGCGGGGCTTGTCTTCAGAATCTTCTAGTATATCAGCCCCCCTATGTATAATTAATTAAACGAAGATTCCAAATTTCCAGTGAATGAGCTTGCTATCGCACCATGTTTATGAGAATGTCTTTTCTATGATCACAGACTTCCAACAACACGCTTAGTGATCATGGTTTTATACTCCTGACTGCCAGTGGTATGCAAAATGGATTTTCCTTGAGAACCTACCTGTGCAGATGTACGCTCTGAGTCCTTATACTAAGGGAGTATGGATGAGAAAATTGAATTCTCGAAGTCATAATTTATGAATAAGAATGGTACCAATAAGCCCGCCTCGGAGGCGCCAACGGTATGCAAATGTAATGTGTAATGATTAACGAAGAAAAATGAAAAAGCAAAATCTGCATGAACGAATCACAGCGTCCCTATGCTTTTTCTTTTCGCAAGCCCCAGGGCCGGTGGCTGGAAAGGTCTGAAAGAGGAGACAACGCCAATTGAACAGGGTATCCCAGGGGTGCAACAGGAATGGGTATCTTCTCATAAAATATTTGCGAATTGGAATGAAAGTTCAAAGAAAGAAAAGAAAAGAAGTTGCAAGAAAGCAGAGGTGGTGCCGTCACTCAGGGGCAGAGAATCGAGCAGACATGCAGTAGAATCGTCGACAGCCGGTATTGATGCATTTCAGTTGAGAATGACCCTAAACATTTAGAGATGACCATGCGAATACTTTGCAACATTGATGGGTACTGTGATGCCGCGGTCCCTAGGCACCTTGAACATGAGTCAGGAGAGGATAGATCTCGCCGATGACAGCCCAGGCACACGGGCCTCGGGTGAAAGAAGGAGTTGTAGAGATGGGTGAACACAACGAGTCTAAGGTTTCTGTAAGTCTCAATATTGAAGAATTAGTTGGTCAAGAATGGTTGAAACATACGCTGGATGGCTGCCTTTAGCATGGAGAGATGTAGACCCTTCGAATGGCATTTTATCAGAAACCCCACTAGTCCAGTTCAATCACCTCAATCTCGGAGGATGCAGCAGGCGACTTGTCTGTTCTGACGCGAGAGTTTGGCGAAGCTGTAGGGGAGCCTGTAATTTGAGATATTTTTCTTTTCAGCGGCTGGGATCCTTTCCCGGAAGATGGCTCTTCACTGGGAGTCTTTACGGTCCACGTGCCATCCAGGCTGTACTGGATCGCTTGGGCTGTTTCCAGCTGGTTGTTACGGCGAAGTTCTTCCCGGATCGCAGCCAGGAATGCATCGAGAACCAGTTGATGAGGCCGTGCATCTGAACTACAGATCGGGCAACGCCAGTTGTCCATCATCGGACCTGGGCCAGACTCGGATTTTCGGGTTTTGATGTAGGTGTCAAGGTCAAAACACTCGAGATGGTTGCAGTTGATAGACCGAGCAGGGTCTTTGAAGACTTGAGCGGTGAAAGGGTCGATAAGGCCTATAGTCAGGCTATCTGTGACAACAGCTAGGTCATCGTCATCGGTGCTTGGGTTGAGACGTTGTTGAATCTTATAGCGTACTTCATCGGCGGTGATAGTTTGCACCATGCTCCGGATCTTCTCAAATTGTTCGATTTTCATGATTTCGACCGCGAAAGCGTAGCGCATGTTTTGGCATTCGTTCTTGTCGAGAAGGAGCTTGATAACTAAGTCATTCTCGCCTTGTTTGACATAAGTGGATAGGTCTAGGGGTAGGTCTTTTCCGTTGTAAAGTTTGCGTCGGGCCGTAATCTCGTGACCATTGAGAAGAATATAGAGCACACTTGGCCAGGCGGTGTTTCTATTAGGCCAGCTCTGAGCGAGTTCCTCCTCCTCCTGCGATAGGGGCAAGCTGATGGAGCGGAGTCGCAAAGTATGGCAGCCTGCTTGATAAGTAAACACTGGTGGTTGACCATAACCCAATGCCTCCTTGCGTGGGAATCGCAACAAATCATCGTTCCTGATTGTAAATTTCCAACTATGCTGAAGTTTCTCGGGATCCAAAATCTTCGGCGACACCTTAAATCCGTCAAAGTACTGATACAATGCTAGCTCGGTCCAAGCTCCAGAAACCCCAAACTGCCCCAGCTTTTTGACTGGGTCTCGTAGATGAGCCTGATGCAGCCCAATGCGCATTGGATCCCCATTAAAAGTCTGAGGAGCACGATGAGCCTCCGGTGGAAGAAATGGACGTCGGAACGGCAAGGGCTGGACTGGCGGCATTTGAGGTAGCCCCCGGCCTGCAATCGGTGCCTGCGGTGGAGCTGGACCAAGTGCTTCGGACGGGTAGACATACTGAGATGGAACGACACGCTGGTTTCTCCCATTCTCCTGAGATACTCGTTGTAAATTAGGAGTCGTTGCCTGAATCTGCCCTGGACCATGATTTTGAAATGGGCCGTGGTAATTTGGAGGTGCTTGATCAGAGGCTATAGGCCCTGGATGGTAGCCCTGCATATGTCCTTGATGAGTCTGCCAATGCAAATGCTGAGGCGATCTGTGTTGAGCGGGTGGAAAGGGGTGGAGACTGCTGCTGCCCGTACGGAGGTGGATAAGGCATCTGAGCCATCGAGGGCAGAAAGACCGTGCTTGGTATTGGGGTTGGGTTTATCGGAGGTCTACTTGACATGGGCCCCAGGGGGGTCTGCCAACGAAGAGGCCTTGTAGAAGGAGCAGATCCAGGTCTATTTATCGGGGCCGACACGGTAGTGGGTGTTTCGATACTCCTCGTGACTTGTGGTTGTGGACGGGTAGTGGGATTCGGCCCCTTGGGCTCCTTGAGCTGTTGTACAGGTCCAGATCCATCGAAAGCAGGTAGAGCAATCGAAGGAGGCGAGGCAATTGGATGTTCCTGCAGTTGCCTTTCGATGGGAATTTTTTTGTAAGCGTCGATTATCATGAGGATCTTCTTGCTTCGTTCGGTCGAGCTTTGTAGTTGGCTTACAGTCATCTCGTGACGAAGTAATCGACTCAACTCAGGCAGGTAGCGATCGGCGTAGAGCTGTCGAAAGGTGGAAAGGTATATCACACTCAGGATGACCAAGGGTGTCACCTTGAACAGCAGCGCCATCTCGCTCATCAAAGGGGGGTAACCGCGGTCGGAGACAAACTCATAAAAGTGTGTCCGGAAATTGGGGGCAATCTGATCAAGGCGCGAGAGAAACTTGCCTACTTCTTGCACTTGGTAATTATACCAAGGTTGTGACATCATGATATCCAGCGTGTCTGGGAATTTTACAAATTGGAGCAAAATAGCAGGAGGGAGCTTTTGGTTAGGCGCCAACAGATCTTGCATCCGGTCCATGCCCCGGCGATATTCCTCAGTTCGGAACATGGGAAATCGTTCTAGGAAAAAGGATTCATCATGAGATCTCAGGCAGTACAACTGGTGCAATACCAGGTAGAAGCTATCATTGAAACTGATAGCGTCACGCAGGAGGGTGATTCGCGGAGTTACCAAGAACGAGTTCACGCGCAACGTATCATCCTGAGTCTGTTGATCCAGACGATTGCACTTCTGTTTCCATTGCTTCCAATTAATCTGGCCCTCTGGAGGAATAGCTCCTCGTGCAGAGGTACCAATGTCAGTTAACTCTGGTGTATGGGAATGCGGATTCATGCCATCTGCAGGGACTTGCGATGGTTGAGGTATCTCTTCGGTTCGTCCATTTGAAACTGAGACAAGAGTAGCATCGTGGGGGCCACTCTGTTGTTTGGGCACATTCCGGCCTGTTTTTGCAGGAGAAGGACAGCTGTGCTCGGTGTTGATTCTGGTTCCAATGGTGCCGTTGGCTGATGGGTTTGCTGCGCTGTCGGCGAAGGTGCTGGCTGGATCGTTTGCAACAGTTGCTGATCTGGTGGTCCCGGTGCCGGCACATGCGCTGGCTGGTCCGCTTGTGCACCGCCACTAGCATTTATGGCCAGGGCCTCAGTTGTGTCGGCTGGCGCTGAGCATTCAGTACTTAGGGCGCGTAGAGGAGTCGTGGAGACTGTCGCCTCTGTCGGGTGGTTACTTGGGGCCTGGGCGACTGGTGGACTTGAATATGACTCGGGGCTGTTAGGCGAGGGAGGGGCGATCGCCAGCGAATTTGGTTTGGGAGGCAGAGGCAGAGGCAGAGGCGTTGGGTCCACGGGAGCATCAAGATGTTGTACATTCTGGCCCGGGGTGACGGGCGAGGCGGGCGCGACGTCGGGTTGGTCGGAACCAGGAACAGTGGTCGCGATCGAGCTCGTGGGGAGAGTTTGCGGTGGGGGATGCGAGGACATCCAGTCCTTCCTTGCGCCACCCAAGAAGTAGGTCGCGGTTGAGTTGGAGTCGATGATATGATCGGCGCGGGGAGGACGGGATTGGGAACTCTGGGGGGAGACCATGGTGAGGGAAGAAAGCAGCCCCAGTTTCGTGACCTCCCCCTGGTCAATGAAAGCGCAAGACAATACTCCAGGGGGATGGAAAGAGAAGAGGTGAGGAGGATTGTTTGCGGTGATGGGGGGAAGGGCAAAAAACCCTCCATCGTAAACATGGATAAAAGATAGTGAGGCGATTCAGCGCAAATGGTCCACCGTCCCCGAAAAAAGGTCTGGTCTAGAACAATCTTCACAGTTGCCGTGCCCCATATCCTACTGAGCTCAAGGGCTACTTTCTAGAACTATGCTAGTTTTAGAGGCCAGGAAACCGTTTCACTTTAGGTTATTTGGTTCTTGCAGCCAGACTGGGAAGGAAGGCAAACGCCGAAGAACAAAAGGGCTGTCCACAATATGAGGAATCAGTCGATGCTTCATGACTACCATGGGGGGGGCTTCTGCTCTCTGTAATGGAAATGATAGTTCGACCACAACAGGATAGATCTATAGATCCCAAGGCTCACATGTGTTATACCCCATGCATAAAAGATGCGTACCCCGAGTACTCGTCCACATTACCAGTCACGCTACAAAGTACGGGTGAAGATGCCCAACACTCGAAGGCTTTCCCTTCCGTATTTCTAGACATTAGTTACAGTAATTACTTTTGAAACCGCCATCTCCACTGATCTGAACATGAACCATTCGGTCCTGATTTAAATGGGGTATAAGGCTACTGATGAGGTTGCTAGAATCTGTACGGGGTACATGACAGCTATTGCAGGTACGAAGTATACTGCAGGGCTAGGGACCTTAACATGCAGAGAGGGGTTAGATAGAGACAGAGACAGAGGTCCCCCCCCCAATCCCAAATTCCCAAACTCCATTTCCAAGTCGGGCCTCAAGACATGGCCGCATTCATCCTTGACGGGTTCATCCAAAAGACAGTCTAATTTCCGACGAACCCCTTTCCTACCAAAATACTAAACTCTTCTTTCTTTCTTTCCTTTATTTTTTTCTTTAATTTCCCCCCCCCCCCCCCTGGACTGCTAAACTGTGCGACCGTCGCCTTTCTAATCCGCCTTTTCTACCGGTCCCACGATCGGCTCGAGCTACCCGTGGGTACACCGGCCTCCAGAACCCTGAGTACCCTCAAAACCAACCTTCGCCCACCACAACCAGCTCCACAAAAAAAAAAAAACAGAGAAAGAAACTCGGGAAATCCCTTGCGCCACACGTCACTTCTCTTCCTCCCGTTTTCTTCGTCGAGTGGGTCTTTCTCGTGTGTGCGTGGTGGTGGACCCTCGTACCTTCTGGCCCCCCTCATCATTCCACACGAGCTAGATTCTTGGGATTCTTGGAATCTGCTCCTGCATCCTTGCGCTTCTACTGGCATGGTCGATCGGGCCCTGGTGCTTGGAGATCCGATTGCGAGACCCCCATCACCGCATCACCCTGTCTCGTTTTCCCCTGCGCTTTGCGCGCGCAAAGCTCCGTTCACTAGTGTGAGGCGCTTCTTCGTGGACCCCGCGAGCTAAATGATCTAATCCTCCTGGTTAACACGCTAGATTCCTCAGCCTTGGACATTCTCTCTTCTTTCTCTCTCTTCTCCTCCTCCCCTGCGACTACACACTACTCTCTCAAGACCCTGACCCGCTCCCTCTTGCTCCCGTAAAGGGCTGCCGGGCTCTATGTCCTGCGATTGATTGTCCTCTGCCCGATTCCTCTTCAAGCTTGCTCTGTCATACCTGCGCGCAACCATCGGCCGCTTAATCCCCATCTCCTAGCAAGATGGCCGAATCGCAGGAATGGCACCGCCGCCGCCACCCCAGAATGTCCATCCTGGTGATTACCTGGTCGTTGTCCGTAAGTGGTCAAGCTCGCTCCGGAGCTCCTCATCTCTAAAGACAATCTCCCCATGACGATGTCGCTAACGCTGAACAGATGGCCACAGCGGTAGCGAAGACGAATTACGAATGAAGCGCAACGATCTCATCAAGCTAATTGAGCTCGACGAAGAATTTGGAGACGGTTGGTGGTTTGGTGAACACCTCGGCACGGGTCAAAGGGGTCTTTTCCCCGCAGGTAAAGTCCGCACATGAAGGGTCGAACCCCTCGGGTGGAGGCTAACAGGTTCTACAGGATTTACCCGAAAGGCTGAGCTGCGCGAATATATGCATGCCCTCCACGTTAATCCTCCTGCCCAAGGCATTATTTCACCAGAGAACTCCGAGTCTCCCGCTCAGATTGAACCCTCCACCCCAATAAACTCATCTACACGAGTCGACAGTGGACAGACAACCCCACAGGCCTCGCGACAGCCCAGCATTCACGACGCGCATACTTCTGGCAATCAAACAGCGGGACCGCAGCGATCGGCGTCATCTCCGCTGCCGCAGTCACTGCCACCGTCCAGCTTGGCAGCGGATATCCACCAGGCATTTCGGACACCGGCTGAGAGCAATGCTAATGGCGAAGAGAGTCCTGTCATGAATGAGACATTGAGCGTGATTGACGAACACATCACTGACATGAACACCCCTCGCCATAGTCTATCGACTCAAGATGCGAAAACCATGAATGACTCGGGAAGTGAATACAGCACTCACCTCAGTCACCGAAGCCACCGGATATCATATATCAACGGGAATGAAACCGATGAAGAAGAGAGTACCCATCCAGCAGAGGCCCAAGTGCGGCGATGGAATCAGACGGAGACATCAAGACATCTCCGCGCGCTTGGTGTTGATGCCAATCATTGCGCCATATTCGAAGAGCAAGAAATTACCGGCGATGTCCTTCTTGATATGGATCAAGACTTTATTTTCATGAAGGAATTCGATTTTGGAGTGATGGGCAAGCGTCTCAAGACATGGCATAAAGTGAAAGCTTTCCAGGAGGAGGTCAAAGGCATCATGTTGCCACCGTCGCAGAATGGAAGGACGTCTGTTGCTAGCAGTTACGCGCCCCAGGACGAACGCTCCATGTCTCGCGCTGGTCATGCCCCAGCGTTCTTGCCGCGCATCCCAAGTGTCGCCGAACGAACCGGGTCCGCGTATGCGCATCGCGGTTCAACTGTGCCACCCGGTCAGCATCCAAGACTTGCAAGCAACAACAGTTCTCCTGTCGCGCCTATGACTCCTCAATATGGAGATTCTAGGAGAGTGTCAGCTGCATCAATCCGCGAGCTCAACCATACGCGGCGGCATTCGTCGATTGATTCCACTCATGGTGGACTCGGTAACCTTGCGACGAACGGTCTCCAAACTCGGTCATCATTTGATAGAACCTGGACTCTTAATGGCGGTCATCATCAAAGTCTGCCCCAACGGCCAGGAAGCTCATTCGGTACTCAGGCCGATGGAGGTCGGTTGTTCCGCCCCAAACCCGGATGACGTCGACGTTGACCTTGATCGAGGGCTATTCTCCGGAACCGAAGCTGAATCTCGTCGAAATCGTCGCGTTCTTCAGAAACGCTCGAGCGCCAGTCATTCTCGGAATTCGAGTTATATCGATGATTCTTTCACGGTTCATCCGGCTATAAAGCGTCAGTCTCGAATTGCCAGTGTCGATCCTCTCCCGTGAGGTTGGGCCAACTCTTCCTCGACGTCGAAGGCTTACAATGAAACACCTCCAAAGAGCCGTCTCCGTAGCCGAGTGCGTCCGACCAACCCGGTCGCAACTCCCCAGTCGTCGAACCCTGATTCCAGGCCTGGTTTCTTCGCGGGCCTTGGGCCTTTAATGAGAAGAGGAGATGCTGATACTGGGCGATCATCGCACTTCCAGCCGCTCAGGAGTGTCGGACCGAAGATGCGACGAGCTGTCGGCCTTCGCGCCATGTCTGAACAATCGCAAGTCAGACTCGAACCCTGCTCCCGTCCTGGGAAGATCCACCAGCGGTCGTACTGGATCAACAACTCCATCCGCAACTTCGAAGAGCTCGGAGCGACATAGCACTGATGGATCTGGCAAGGCCGGCGAGGTTCCTGGCTTCGTAGTCCGTCCTCGAACCGTCAAGTCAAAGAAAGAAACAAGTGCTTACACCCGCGGGTTAGAGAAGAAAACACCCCAGGAGCAGATCGAAGGTTGCCATTACAGCGGATGGATGAAGAAACGGTCGTCTAATCTAATGACAACATGGAAGCCTCGGCTGTTTGTTTTACGCGGTCGTCGCTTGTCCTACTATTACTCCGAGGATGACACCGAAGAGCGTGGCTTAATTGACATTACCGCCCACAGAGTGCTTCGCGCTGACAATGATCCTATTATTGCTCTACACGCCACCGTCACAGGATCCACCGCGCAGCCTGCCAACGCCAACCCTTCTGACCAGAACAGCACCAAATCCTCCACTGCCTCGTCTCCCATCAAGAGCAAAGATGCCAGTGGTCCATTTTTCTTCAAACTGGTACCCCCTAAATCTGGGAACTTGCCCACAGTGCAGTTCACTAAACCTTCGACCCATTATTTCCAAGTTGATAGCGTCCAGGAAGGTCGCTTGTGGATGGCCGCTCTGATGAAAGCAACCATTGAGCATATGGGCGAGTCCGGCCCTTCGACCAATAAGCAAAAGACCATCAGTCTCAAACAGGCCCAGTTGATGAAACAACGCCCACCTGCTCTCATGGAACCGTCATCTGGTCTAGGAGAGCCTGAGAGGATTCCTGAAGAGGACGAAGATAATGCACTCCGCATCGAAGGCCTTAATTTGACCAAGGCGCCCTCGTCTGAGGGAAATTCTTTCGTGGATGCAAAGGACGAACTTGAAAATCCTGACGCGCCTCCCAACCCTGCGGCTGGGCTTGACACCGCCCACCCGGTGGAACCAGAGTCCAGATAACCTCGCTGTGGCTTATAGCTATTTCTCCCCCATGAGTACCGCCCTGTTCGGACTGTTGGGCTACCATTGATTTACCCATTACTTCCCCCCCCCCTATATCTTGCAATCTTATTATGGATCTCCACCCCCTTTTCTTGAACCTTGATTGCTGTCCCGTCCTCCTTCGGCGTTTATGTGATATACCCCTCGCTCTAGCCTTCTGTTTGCCTTCGCTGTTGACTCTTGCCGATCTATTCTTCAGCTATGTGGGTACGGAGAGATCTGCTTCTTTGTTTCCTTTTCAGCTTGGTTCATCATCTATGTACGGTGGGCCCGTGTGGAAGTGGAGCAGCAGTGGCTCAGTTGCAGTTGCCTATATACGAATTGAGTTTTCTCGCAACATTAGATACAGTTTTTTGGGGGGAAGTTCAGGGCTTTCTCGTATAGACGTAATGGACTTTGGAAGCTTCATAATGGATGGCCATCGTCTAGTAGATTTCTATACTGCCGATTACTTGGACTAGTACGTCTAGCCTGGCAATTCGACCTAGGACATCAAGTGAGCCACAGATCCCGCAGCGTGGATTCCCTCTTTTCTAGTGCCATGTCCCCACGATTCGGGTAGACAATGATTTTGCAATAAGCCTTTATTTTGCCGCATCGTAGATCCGACAGTACTAATAGGGTACTTGAAAGAAAACGCTTTGCCTCGCCTAACAATGATAGTGTTGCGGGATGCTCGTTTCATCTATTCTTATCCCATCGCACCCTTTGTCTCCCTCTTTCTTGACATGCTCCTTATGACAACCGATCGAAGTTATAACTGTTAACAGTAGTCCAAAGCAGTCGATTTGAGGACCGAGCCCTCATATTGGTATGAATGTTTGGAGCAGCTTCGCAATTTCCCCAACATGGCTCCGGTTATCACATCTAGCATTATCGACCTAGTATCCGCAGAGCTGCGTGGTCTTGACAGTCTTCCGGTTGTACAAGTTGCCATCCGCTACCCTGGGCTGTCAATCATTCTGTTTTCGCTATTTGCCTTGAAGTTTTCAAGCATTCTCTTCTCGAGATCTACCTCCGAAAGCCCTGAGATGGCCAATCAAGGCCGACCAGCAGCCGCCTTTCCTCGACATGCACCGACGCCGCTAAATGGAATCCAGCGTAGAAGCTCCTGGTTCGCCTGGGGCCAAAGCGAGAGATATGGAACCGGGCGGCGAGGACGACAGTCGCAGCTCCTACGATCAGCTAGGGTGCTATGGCACCTGGTAATACATATACTGACTGGGGGTGGAGAGACGCTGATGGCCATTACTTTGGGCATATCCTCCTTCACGAGAAGAAGAGTCGATATGTTCCAGGTATTCAAGGCCCAGAATGCCGCCATGGCCTGGCGAGCTATCGAAAAAGTCCGAAGAGTTGTTCTCGAGGTGCGCGCGAAGCTCCTTGGGCTGGGAGGATTGGTCTTCATTCCCCTGTTCGCTCGAATAGCGCGGTTTGTCGAGGCTATCTATAACGCGCAACTTGGTCCGTTCCAAGTCTCGTCGGTGCTTGGCTTCTTGGGGTTTATTCTGGTCATTCTCATATCAATTGATGTGGTTGACATGGCGATGGGGACAACTGATTTCTCCGATTTCATCCTGGACGGGGTCGACCGTGGCGTTGAGTTGGTCTTTGGAGTGATATTCGGTTCCGCCGAGTGGATCATCCTGTTTCTTGCTGATCGGTGGGCATTCGTGAAGCGCCGTTTCGGGAGGTATTTTGGTTTCCTGGGATCGCCTCGGTTCACACGGTATGGCCTTCTTGTCATTCTTGGTACATATTTTTTCTCATGGGTCATGGAGTCGTCTGAGCGGGTGAGAACTACGGACGGTCCAACGGTCAATAAGGCCTATGCTGAGAAATTTAAATAGAATGACATGCCGGGGTTTGCATATTGACAAGGTACTTCGAGCCTTGGGGTCCTTATTAGGCGTGGTGCTTTCTACTGTGATATGAGTTGCTTTTACCCTTTTTGTAAAGCAAAGTGGAGGACTGACTTCTTTTGATAAATTCCATATATTATTCGAACTGTTGGAACAAGCAGGTCTTGATATGAGAGGAAAATAAGACAGAAGCACAGATAGACGTGCTTAAAGTACCTTGAGTATTACTAGTAGCGGTGTTGGAATTGGTTGATGTGGTACTCACCCGATAATAGATCGACAATAAACATTGTCTCAAATAGACTCGTACGGCCTGTTGGTACTAATAGAGGAGGTGTATGGGGAATGTTATTCATATGAGTAGCAGGCTCAACTTATAAAAGCCTACCATTTGGAATACAGATCAATTGGAGTCGAGACGGACTCGAAGTTTTTGATGGCCAAATCTATGGGATCTGCCCATTACGCTGCGGCGCCCCCACAAATTTTTGTTGATCGCCCTTACGGAGATCTCTCCTCTGCACACTCCTTTGGACAGTCCTGTTTTGTATGATGTTATCAACGATTCTTTCTGATTATATCCCTTAATCCTCCCCAACCTAAATCAGCGGCTCCGACAGCCATGTCTCCCCCGCGGGCTGCTGGCTCGCACTCTAGCACTCCTTCTCCCGCTCAGCATAACAGCCACTCTTTACCTATATTTATACCCCGTCTTCAAGGGCTGCGCATTCCCTTTACCTCGAGCACATAGCTCCGAGCAAGACAGTCATTCCGTGATAGACAGATTGCATCAAAATGCCGCCGTCAACACCTTCTTCCAACACCTCGGGGCCCCGTCCGCCGAAGACACCCAACCCGCCATCTTCAGACTCCTAGTCCTCGCAGACCCTCAGTTAGAAGGCGATACCTCCTTCCCACTACCAGAATTCCAGCTTGTCCCCCGTGCACGCTTTCACTGGCGCGCCGTCCAGAATGCAATCACCAACGCCACCACCGCAACTCCCTTCCCCCTCTCCCTCCTAGACCCCCATGTGGTCTCCAACGTCACAACGGGCCTGTGGACGCTCGCAAGCGAAGACATCCCCCGCGCACTCTACGGGGTCCAAAAACGCATCGATCTCCTCGGAAACGACTACTACCTCGCCCACATCTACCGCACCCTATTCTGGTGGACCCGGCCAACTCATACCACTGTCCTCGGCGACCTCATCGGCAGCCAGTGGCTTGACGACGCAGAATTCGACCGGCGCAGCCACCGCTTCTGGAACCGCGTTTTCAAAGGCGGTCTGCGCGTGGACGACGCCCTCACAACCACCGGTGCAGTCCACGGCCCCGGCCACGAGGCTGTATACGAGAAGGCATCCAGCCACCTCGAGCCCCTGGGCCCGGACGCGGACCCGGCATGGGCGCGACGTATTATCAATATCGCTGGGAACCATGACATTGGGTATGCGGGGGATGTCAGCGAGGCGCGCATCGCGCGCTTTGAGCGAGAGTTCGGGCGCGCGAACTGGGATATCCGATTCCAGCATCCGCCGATGCAATTTGGAGTGAACGGGACTGCGGCCGCGCTGCGTGAGACTGTTGCACCGACGCTGCACTTGATTAATATTAATACGCTGGTTTTTGACACGCCTGCGCTGTCGGAGGAGGTGCAGGCGCAGTCGTATGAATACCTTAATGACTTGATTAGCGAGCGGCTGTACGATGTGGAGGATAAGTCGACCTTTACGCTACTTCTGACACATTTGCCGCTTCACAAGAAGGAGGGAATTTGTACGGATGCTCCGTATTTCAGCTTCCATGATGAAGCGGACAAGGAGGGACCGGAGGGGGTTCCGCGCTGGAAAGCTGATGGTCTTAAGGAGCAGAATCACTTGAGTGATTATCTCAGTGCTTCGGGAATCCTGCAGGGCATCTTCGGGCTCAGTGGTGACGAGGATGTCCCTGGTGGTGGCTTTGGTCGGAAAGGCCTTGTGTTGACGGGCCATGATCACACCGGCTGCGATATTATTCACTTTGTGGAGCCATCTGTCCAGGACAATGAAAGCGTAGATTTGGATGGTGAAGCAAACGGCCCAGAGAAGACTTGGAAATGGGCTGCTAGACGCTATTATGAGACCGAGCGTTTCGAAAAAACGCCAAAGGAGACCCCTTCCATCCGTGAAGTGACCCTTCGCTCGATGATGGGCGAGTTTGGTGGTAACGCTGGACTTTTGTCTATTTGGTTCGATGCTCAGCAGGGTGAATGGGACTATGAGATCATGATGTGCCCTGCTGGTGTACAGCATATATGGTGGGGTGTTCATATCCTCATCCTCATCACCTTGGTGATTGGCTCAGCGTGGACCATTCTTGGATTGGTGTCCGGAAAGCCGCAACCTGGCAAGGATTTGGAGAAGCCCAAGATCGGCACATCGAGTGGACATGGTCGTTCGGAGGCAAAGAAGAAGTCCTCGAAAGGACAGGAATCGGTGCGATCTCGCTCTAAGAAATGAGACCACGGAACATCATGACGGCCGAGCTATACATTTGCATTTCCTGTACTATTAGCCTCGTTTTGGATTTGGTTTGGTAATAGAAGGTCATCGACGACCGTTGTGTATACATTTCGGCGATTCATGTAATAGATCGGCTTAACAGACACGGTCAGCGTCGGTATCGCTGTATCTAGACTGGGGCAGGATGCCAGCCTACCACTTACTACTTATTACTACCGATCGACCATATTTTTAGAAAGACCACTCGCTCAAATCCCAGTATCTGGCAGAATACCAAAATCCTAAATGTGCAAAAGCCTACACGATTACGGGTACATAATGTAAAGCCAACAGGTCATCAGATTTCATCAATCAGCCTGAATCCTGGAAAACAAGAACCAAAGGCATCGTAACCAACGGTTCATCTACCACTAGTCGTCCTGCACCAAGGGCGCAGACGGAGACATATGAGTGAAAAGATGTAGAAATTTTCAGTAGTTCCGAGAGTCGTCAAGTGGTTTAAAGAGACGAAAACACGAATGGGAAGGAAAACCGGTTCGAAATAACATAGGTGGATCTCATTTCGTTAAGGTGGACCTCCCCTTTACCCTTTTTTCTCCAACATATGCTTCGTATGCACCCCATTTCGTAGGTCCCAAGGAGTTCAGGTTTGGTATCGTTGATTTTTGGTTGTTTTATTCGAGTCTCTCTCTTTACATGACAACACCGGCGTTGGAGGCGATACGGGGCCACAGCTCAGCAGCCTCCTTACCGACGGGACCGGTGATGGCGGAACCCTTCATCTCACCCTTGTTGTTGACGATCTGCGAAGGAATGTAATTAGCATGGCTCAAATGATATGAAGGTAGCTCCAGAGGGCTTGTGCTTGCAGCATAGCAGAAAGTATGTCATCGGACTCTTCAAAAACTCCTTCAAAAACACACTATTGCGATACCCCGCAACCACTCGCCCTCCACAGAGGGAGTACTCACAACACCAGCATTGTCCTCGAAGTACAGGTAGATACCGTCAGCCCGGCGCCAGGGCTTGCTCTGGCGGACAACGACAGCGGGCATGACCTTCTTACGCAGCTCAGGCTTTCCCTTCTTGACGGTGGCCATGACCATGTCTCCGACACCGGCAGCGGGGAGACGGTTCAGGCGAGCACCAGTACCGGCGACGGCAATGATGTACAGGTTGCGAGCACCGGAGTTGTCGCAGCAGTTCATCACGGCGCCACTGTTGGAGTTTCGTTAGTTCTGGATCCATGCTTTTCGAATTGCGTAGCTATTTCCATGTTGTGCGCCCCGCCCATTGAAAAGTCATTCCGCTCTAGACTGCCGTGCTGTTTTTAATCGAAAAAAAAAATGATGATAATAAAATTCGGCTTTGCCGAGGCGACCGCTTGGTTGGATACCGAAATGACAGAAGCAATTGACACGACCGGGAAGCGTTTCGAATGGCATTCGTAGGCGAGGGCACGTCATGGAAAATTTTTGGAGGTTGTATATCGGGAAATCACGTACGTAGGCAGACCGAGGGTCATCTTCAGCTTGTTGCCGGCGGCACCGCCACGACTGTAGCAGAAACGTTAGTATTGGAGCTCTTTCCCGCGGATGTTGTCGTCCATTTCCAATCCTTCGCGAGCTCAAAGTGGTTTGATGGGCTTCGGATGTCGAGACTCGCGGGAAGATTGGCGTGGATTAATGGACAGAGAACGTTGGATGCAGGGTATGCTTACCCTCTCTTAGACATGTTGGCTGAGTATGGGGGGTTGTCGGGTTAGGCGAAAAGAGTTGGCGACTGAAGGTCAAGACGGAGTCGAAGAACGTCCACAGTGGTTTCTCGCTTGTGCGTCCAAAGTGGAACAAAAATCTTGGCGCAAGGTCCACGTTTATTGGTCAACGGTTTTGCCCTAGGGCTAGTCCTGATTTGGAGTGACACCTGAGGCATGAAGTGGTCCCTTCACGTGATTATATATGTCATCATACGAATGTTTGGTTAGTTACTACTTCATGCTACCAAACTTTCTGCTTTAAGAGCGATGAAAATGAAGATCATGAAACGGGGCTAAGGTACTTCCGTCTATTGCTTGAGCGGCTGGACACTCAACTAGAGTCCTGAAGTAGGGCTCTGAATGTAATACAAATGAAAATATCGGTATCAGATAGACAACCGAAACATCTTAGGACACCAAGCTTCCCGTCGCTGAAGCGATTGGAGGTCTCTTGTGCTGCTTACCAGGCAAACAAAGTACCACTTCCACCTGGGCCTCTAGGCTCAATGATGAGAGTTCGTTCGCTCTTGCAATTTGTGGAATCGGAAGTACCGCAAGTCAGTCCAGCGGCTTGGTATTTGGTCACCGCAAGGCGAATAATTCGAGAATCAGAATCGTTGTTGTAATCAAGGGGAAGCTTTAGATAGCTACGAGGATATATGCTTTTGCCATCTCGGCCCAGACTCCGATGACTGAAGCTGGAATCGTACAGAGCAGCCCATGATTGACGAGGAGAGGTCCTCCAGGGTGGGTGGACGGCTGGCATTGGTACGTGGAATGAATTGGAATGGATCATTCTCACAGGAGAAAGCTCTCCCAGATTCCTTTGGAAGGGTTGTGGGGCTATTATCAGCGGCCGACCATTTGCAGGCCCCCGTGGAGCGACAAAAGAGCCGCACCAGACTGATCGTCTCCACAGCTGTGAGGATCAACACAACAGCTTTCCAGATCCTCAACCCAGCTTGGCACTTCGCCACCGGCGCTTTTTTCTTCCATTTGGGGTGTGATAGGTCTTGAGCAGCTGATAGCCAAGGCGCAAGAGCCTCGAAGAGATTCGAACTTGAATTCGACATATGCAAGGTGCCAAGGTTTGATCTCCCCTCTTTGACGAAGTATATTATCCACCACCTGGGCACCTGGGCATCCAGGACTACAGTAATCTCATGCCAATAGGCTGAAAGATTATCTCAAATGAAGCAACCTAGGCCTCATATCACTATCACCGAGCCTAGGATAGGAGCTACTCTTCCTTTTTTTGGAAGCTCTGCAGCCTGTTGCACATCTCAGCGGTAATTGTTCGAAGATTTGATACCTTGATAACCTTAAGCGCTTGGACCAATGGTCGTAAAGATGATTCGAACAGATTGAACTCGTGCAAGCCAGCTACGTTTAGAGCTTCCGAGGATTTCGAGTCGTTACTTCCAAACATTTGAGATACAGGTACTACTAATCTTCCAATCTTTAATATACGCCCATCGTAACGCTCGAATGAAAAAGAGTGATATGAAAGGAAAAGATACAAAACTGATTGTAGCCTGTCCTAGCTACGTAAACACCTGTCTGCCCGTGCCTATTACGCCTGACCCCAATACCAGTAATGATTTGAGCGAGAGCCGCTCACTCCTCCTTCATGGCAGGAGCTTCCCCAGTCGCTGGGGCCGATTCCTGGGTCCCAGGTTCGACAGTGGCCGCAGGCTTCCCGAATCCCTCTGCACCCCCGGTGGCGGCGGCAGAAGAGCCATTCGCAGGCGAGGGGCCGCCCCGATGAGGCGACACAGGAGCGTTCCGGACATTGTTGTCCAGGTCCGTGGGTTCGAGCTTTTGCTCGACCTCTTCGGCCAACGCTGCCTCGGCCACTGGGTCCGCATCCTCCATTGCGGTGTCCTCGTCCTGGACAGGAGGCGACCGCTGCCGAGACGCAGCAGCCGAACCACCCTTCTCCTCGTCCATCATTTGGTCGGTGTCAGCAGTAGTATTCTGCCCGTTGAAAGCGCCGGTAGTGCCGGATGCTTCGGGTTCGGTACGGGGGATGTCGTTCATCTTGGTGTCCAGGCCAGCGTCAAGCTCGCCATCGGCGACAGATGAGCCCTCCTGCGGGGTGGCAACACCACTGTCCAAACCCGAATCATCTATGTTTCGGTAGTTGACCTGGTTTCGGCGACGGAGGACGTTTGGTTGGCGACGAACGCCATTGCGCGCATTCTCCTCCTCGTCCTCGCTGTCGCTCAGTTCACCAACCTTCTCCACGTACTGGTCGAAGCGGCGTTGAGTGAAACGCTTGTCCTTGTTTTCGTCCTCATCGAGATCATCAAGGACGTCATCGGCTTCATCGTCAATGCCTTCCACCAGTGGGTTGCGGGGAACATCGGTCATTTGGACGGACGGCGCAAATGCAGTGCGCTTGAGGTTCTCGATGACCTGGTTTCGGATCTTGTCCAGATATTCCTTGGTGTTCGCATTGTCCATGTTGGAAGGACGAACATCAAGTTCATAGTCTGGAGCAAAATACTATGAATTTTGTTTAGTGCATGTTGATAATCAGGAGGGGGGAGCGGGGATCAAGTACCTCGTAATAGTCGTTATAGGGCAATTCGGAGCCCAGATTATCGCCGACCAAGATACCGGTCTCATAGGCCCAGGTACGCGCGACATTGCGCATAGTATAGCCACCACCGCCAAGAACTAGCACTGGCAGATCGAAGCTCTTCACGAATCTGACACAGTTGGCGTGGCCGCGCATGCTGAGGTTGAAACAGCCCAGACGATCGCCCGACAAACTGTCGCCACCGCACTGCAGAACCACAGCTTCTGGGCGGTACCATTCCATCACACTCTTAATCACAGGCTCGAAAATGCTCTTGAAAGAGGCGTCGTTGATACCGTCGCGCAAGGGGAAGTTGACAGCATAGTATTTTCCTGAGCCGACACCGATATCTCGGAGCTCACCCGTACCAGGGAAGTACTCTCCGTACTTGTGGAATGAAACCGTCATCACACGGTCTGTAGTGTAGAAGGCCTCCTCGACACCATCGCCGTGGTGAACATCAATATCAATGTAAAGCACACGCTGCTTGAACCGTAAGAGCTCGAGGATACCGAGCACAATATCTTCAGATTGTGTTAGCCATCAAAGTTCTTCTCTACCAGCATGAGAAAACCAATGCGACATACCATTGACGTAGCAGAAGCCGCTAGCCTCGCTTTTCTTAGCATGGTGAAGGCCTCCAGCCCAGTTGACTGCAACATCACATTTGTTGCGATTTAGACGGGCAGCACCCTCCATACTGCCACCAGCACTGATACCGCAGAATTCGAACAGACCATCAAATACCGGACAGTCGTCACCCACGTTGTATCGGCTCTGTTCCTTGCCGAACTGGTCCATATTGTCCGGAGTCACTTTGGAGAGAAAGTCGATGTACTCGTCTGTGTGGAACTGGGTCATTTCATATCTCGATGCAGGCTTGGCACGCTGTGTAGATGTTGTCAGTCTGGAAGATACAATTGCGCGTAGCGGGGGAACCGTACATAAATTTCCATTTTCTTGTACAAGCCGTAGTTCATGACCAAGCTGTGGGTCATGCGTATACGGTGGGGCTTCATGGGGTGCCCAGAGACGTAGGCATAGTTTCCCACATCCGAGTCGTAGAAGTAGGCGACTCTTTTATTGTTGGCACCGGTGCCATTAGCCAGAGGCTCGGCAGCCATGGTGTATGCGATTTGAGGAAACTCTGGTGCTATAGGCGAGTGATTGCAGGGCCTGAGAAGTAGAGAGGAGAAAGGTTGGGAGAGGGGTTGGGGGACTCGAGAATGTGTGTAGGAAAGGAGGGCTTGCGAGTAGTTAAATGAATGGATATTAGTTCACAACCGCAGCTGGCCCACTTCCTAAAACGGCGTTGATCAGGTTTAGGGCAGAAATCTTGAGCCTTGCAGCTAATGCCTGTGTAGATTAGCTCAATTATAGCAGCAATCTGGACCAGGCTTGCTCATACTGCGCTAGAACCGAATACGGGAGAAGCGTAGAGGAATCAATCGCGGCGTTGGAAAGCAAGCGCGGGCAGAACCTTCCAGACCGCCTTCGTCAGTCGAGCTTCTCGGCAAGATGTAACTTGCGGCCAAAACACCTGGTCATTCGCTCTTCTTTGCGATACCTCTCTCTGCTTCCCTTTCATCGTGAAGTTGTAAATTTTCTGCCTCGCTTGAAAATCAGCCAAAACTTTCTCGGTTTAATCGAATCGCTTCCTCGCCAGTAGCTTCCACTCAGGAAGCTATCATCCCTCATTCATCTTCACCTCCCATCTACCTCGATTCTCTCAGACCACCATGGATCGTCTCAACAGAATGCTGCAGGCTGCCCAGGGCATAGGAATGGGTGGCGGTGCCCCCGGTGGTGTAAGTCAATAAGCCAGGCACTAGCGGTGCTGCCATCGCCTCTCTTGATCAGCAATTATGATCAAAGCACTGGCACGTATGGCACCATCTAGCTCCAAATAAACTAATAATCTATTGTGTAGGATACGCCAAACTTGATTGATAACTCCGAAACCGTTCACATTTCTTCCCTTGCACTATTGAAGATGCTGCGACACGGCCGCGCGGGTGTGCCGATGGAGGTCATGGGTCTTATGTCGGGAGAGTTCGTCGATGAATACACAGTCCGGGTGGTCGACGTTTTCGCCATGCCCCAAAGTGGTACTGGTGTCAGTGTCGAGGCCGTCGACCCTGTATTCCAAACAAAGATGATGGAGATGCTCCGCCAGACAGGCCGGTGAGTCAGGCCTATTGTTCCGATGGGCCCTAGACCGTCATACTGATTAATTCTTTTTCATTATTATTATCTAGACCAGAAACCGTCGTCGGATGGTATCACTCGCATCCTGGTTTCGGCTGCTGGCTCTCGTCGGTCGATATAAACACGCAGCAATCATTCGAGCAACTTACTCCCCGTGCCGTCGCCGTAGTCGTCGATCCCATTCAATCCGTGAAGGGCAAGGTTGTCATTGATGCGTTCCGTCTTATCCAGCCTCAGACCGTGGTCATGGGCCAAGAACCCCGGCAAACAACCTCCAACTTGGGACATCTGAACAAGCCCTCCATTCAAGCCCTCATCCACGGTCTCAACCGCCACTACTATAGCATCGCAATTGACTACCGGAAGACTGGATTGGAGGAGAACATGCTGATGAATCTACATAAGCAAGTTTGGACCGAGGCCCTACAGATGAACGACTTCCACGAGGAGGGCCACCATAATGTGGAGCAGATGAAGCAACTTGTCAGCCTCGCTGAGGGTTACGAAAAGCGAGTGAAGGAAGAAACCGAGCTAAGCAAGGATCAACTAAAGACGCGATATGTTGGAAAGGTGGATCCCAAGAAGCGTACGTTCATATGACCCCGCTATTACGAAATTACCGAATGCTAACATCAAACCATAGACATCGAAGATGTGAGCCAGCAATTGATTGAGGATAACATTGTCGCTGTCTCCAGGCAAATGATTGATAAGGAGGCATCGGTTGCCCGTCAGTCATCGAACCAAGATCGAGCCAATGGCGCTTCGATGGACGTGGATGAAGAGCTCTAGAGTTAGATTATGTGACACCTACAGAAACGCTCTAATCACGACCTCTTTTTCCATTTGACAAATCATACACGTTCTCAAGGGTATTTTCGTTTAGTCTTTCGGATTGTCCTTTCCTTCTCACTATCTCAATAAGGACATTTCCATGTAAGCTAAAATATGTACTGTATGGGTCTATGAACGCCTTGCAATGTATCTACGGCTTCTTCGAATAATCATGTCACATCCAATATCGTATATCCTGTAGCACTAAAACCCACCGAGACTGACAGACTGAAAGGACTTGTTGAGCTCATCAACCGAGCCAGATCCAAACCGGGACCGGAACTTGTCAAGAGCTTCATTCTTAGCCGCCTCTTTAGCCGCCTCTTCTGCTTCCTGTTCAAGTTCCTCGAATCCCTTGGTACCGAAATCTGTCCAGCCTCTCTCAGGGCCCCAGAACACTCCCAGCCCAGCCTTCTGAGTCTCCAGAAGGAGTCTGCTCATGAGTGACCCGTCTTTTTTTACAGATGGATAGGCGTCAAATTCCACATGCTCTAATGCGGGCAGTTGTTCGAGAATCTCACGCATCAGCCGCCCCGAAAACTCGGTATAATATTCTCTGGATATTCGGAAGCCCTCAAAAATAGGCTGAGAAGGATCACACTCAACGAAAACCTTCAGGGTGCGAGTGAGGACCATATCCTGGAGGCCGAGACTCTTATCCACAGTCCACGACTTGGGTGGATTTGTCCAACTATTCCCCAGAATCAGTTCGATCGTAGTAACCAAGGAGCGGTGGCGGCGGGGTAGAGAGCGAACGGTCGGCCTGCGTGAGAAGTCCTGCACGGGAAAGACCCGGAAAATCTGAGTCGAGAAAAAGTAATGGCTCGCTTCATCATGGATGCGGCGCGAGACGAGGAACAAGGCTATGCGCACCGATGCCGGGGCCAAGGGCTTTGATTTCTTCGCGGAGGCGCCCACGGTGCCTCGATTTTGCCGGGCAGTCTTGCGCGTGGGCGTGAATAGGACGAGATGATAAATCTGCAGCCGGATCTCTGACGGTAGATCAAGGAACCGGAATGGCTGTTGAGGGATCTTGGAGCTTGTTTTGGGCCTTGGCTTCTTCTCTTCTTCTGAAACATCGTCGCCCATGTAAAAGTCCGAGGCATTCTCCGCCCTCTTGGCGGCTTTTTTGGCGGCTTTGGCGCTCATGATGAGATGAAAGGTGTATAAAGTCTAAAATATACGCGGCACGAGTCTAGGGTTTGGCACGAAGTTCATTTTTGCAAGCAAGCATGGTCTTTGGGGAAAACACAGCGCTTCGAAATGCTAGGTAAGAGAGAAAAACCTGGAAAAGAAATTGTGTCCCACGAACGGAGCTACAGCTTCATAGGCAAAACCTTTGCTGCGGCTCTTGGATGTGGGATCAGAAGCAAGCTTCCTCGGTCTCCCCAGCTATTTCAACCCGGCACACATGTGAGGAAAAGGCGTGAAGGGTCAAATTAACGACTGGGTACAACTTTCATGGTGAAGAAGAAAAGAAGGGAAAGGAACCTTCGAACGGGTTTTGGAGGCCAAATTGCGCTCTTGGGCGGTGTGCACCGCCCTAGATGGTCCGCGCCGACTTTTCTGCGGACTACCCGGGCCTCTCGAAGGACCCTTGAGATCGTAAATCTCGACATGATTGCATCGGTGCTTCATTAATACCCAATCATGCTCAGCCGCGCAGTACTGCCTCTAGCGAGGCCCAACGTCTTTGCCTCCGCCTCTGCCGTCAGAGTTTCGGCGCTGGCCGCCCAACGGCCGCGATGGTACGCGAAGGCCAAGGGCAAGAAGTATGATCCCAAACCTGGTTCTACTATCAAGCAACGTGTACCTCCAGCACAATCTCAAGGGTCCCAGGAAAGCCAGCATGCGAAAGAACAGCCCGAGTTTGAGACTGCGGCTCAACCCGAAGCTGCGTCTTCTTCGGTGAGATCATACACTCCATTCCATCAAATGCGAGTACGGACATCGCTAATTGATCATTTCTGTGCAGCCTGAAGCCGAAATTAATGAAACCCCCTCAAAGCCGCTTCCTGATTTGACCCAGGGTATTCCTTCCACACTTGCCGCCGAGCTCGAAGGACGCCATAGGAAGACCGGAGGTCTGAATCTTACAGAAGACCCAACCCAATCCGAAGAGTATAGCGAGACAGATGGCCGGGGTGGTGGTGACTACCCCAAGGGCGGGTACGAGACTTCTCTTGACCGTCGCAAGGCTCGCATGGCCAACATCATGTACGCCGTGATGTTAGCCACCGGTATCGCAGGAGCGGGCTACTTGGGACGCAACTGGGAATCGGAGGAAGAGGCGCGCCTGCACCCGCAAGCCCCATCTGGCTGGGGTATTGGCTTATGGTATGCCCGTGTCAAAGCACGTCTTGATGGCCTCACTAGCTACTACAAGGACCCTACTTTCGAGAAGCTGCTTCCTGATGAGGACCCTTCTCAGCGTCAACCCTACACGCTGGTACTCAGTTTGGAGGATCTCCTCGTCTTCAGCAAATGGGACCGTGAGCACGGATGGCGTGTGGCCAAGCGTCCTGGTCTCGACTACTTCCTGCGCTACCTCAACCAGTACTACGAGCTTGTTCTTTTCACCAGCGTCCCTAGTATGATGGCTGATCAGGTTCTCCGCAAGCTTGACCCTTACCGTATCATCCGTTGGCCCCTGTTCCGTGAGGCTACCCGCTACAAGGATGGCGAGTATATCAAGGTAAGCTTCCCTTTGCTTCCCGTCTGTTCAATATGGCATTATATATATTAACGTTCATTTCTCTCAAAGGATCTGTCATACCTCAACCGTGACCTGTCCAAGGTTATTCTCATTGACACCAAGGAGGAGCATGCCCGCCTACAACCCGAGAACGCCATTATCCTGAACAAGTGGGAAGGAAACCCCGGGGACAAGACGCTGGTCGGACTCATCCCGTTCTTGGAGTACGTTGCCGGCATGGGTGTTGAGGATGTCCGCCCACTCCTGAAGTCATTTGATAGCTCCAAGGGCAACGATATTCCTGCCAAGTTTGCCGAGCGAGAAAAGGCCTTGCGCGAGCGCTTCAATAAGATGATGGAAGAGGAGAAAAAGAAGAAGCCTGCCTTCACCATGGGCAGCGTGATCTCGGCCTTAGGCTTGAAGACTAGCGACTCTGGCGCTGGCTCAACCGAGGGCAAGATGCCATGGGATCTTCTCCGCGAGCAAGGCCAGAAGAATTACGAGCTCATTGAGCAGCAGATCCGTGAGAACGGAGAGACCTGGCTCAAGGAGATGGCCGAAGAGGAGGAGAAGGCTCGCCAGGAGCAGATGAAGAGCATGAAGGGCTCTTTCACTGGCATGTTCGGTGCTCGCAGCGAGAAGGATAAACTTGGTTGCTATCTACTGTGAAGGCTCGATTGCTGCATTATGGAGAAATAATTTTGCCTTTTTCTCCTTCCTCTCCCAACTCATCATTTTTGGGGTTTGTCTTTTTGCGTCATGTACTGGCAAGGGGCGGTTCATTAGATGGTTTGGTTTCATTCTGTGCATTCGTTTCCGGAATGACTGTAAAATAGCGCTTGGTGTCTTATTCTCATCTTTCTTCATTATTTATGTATAAAATTTGGCCAGCTGCTTTAATATGAAGATATTTGAGACTGATGGAATGTTCTATTCCACGTGTGCTTGGTTGCTGGGTGCACAGTAAACCCTTGGGTATATGCGGTGTTGGAAATTAAGAATACAGAGAAAGCAAGACGCAGAGATTAATTGCCAGCGTCTATGGCAGGTTAACGTCTTGAAAAACAGAAACATCCCAGATCCCGGTCATGTCGAAGGGGAAACCATCCATCGTCCCAAATGTATTAGAGATAGACATCATATCATCGACGATGTCGTTGTTGGTTTGTGTCTCAGGCAAGGAAATGGCTGCAGGGTTAACCAACCCATTATCAGCGAGTCCATTGGAAAGTGTCTGATCCATGCCAGTGCCAGTCCCTGGAAGACGGTGCATGATTCTCTCGCAGTGATCGAGACACATATCAGCCACGTCCCAGTCCTCTTCTTGTTGCACACGTCGCAGGACATTGCGCAGTGTTTCGACGTTTGCGAGGCACGAGCGCGCGATTTCGGTATCGCTTGTCTCCAGGGCGCAGCGGACGAGAAGCGTCGCGGTAGAAGTAAGGTGGAATGCACTATCTATAAGGCTCGATTAGTCTGAATCAATACTCATACTAGGGCGAATGTCCGTGACGTACATGGCAACCAGAATTCTTGGAAGTTCTCTTTGCGTAAAGATGTGATGAATCGCACGATATCCTCTGCCGATCGTCGACATTCGGTCTGGAAGTACCGACGAGCTTCAGGATTTTCAGATTCAGCATTGTTGACCTCCTGCTTATCGATGTGAGTTAATGTACTATAGAAGGGCCATTGGAAATGTCTTACATTCAGCTCCACTCGACTGACAAGCATCTTGACGGCCAAGTATGCAAGCTGCAAGCTGCTCGATCCAGCGAGCTGTTCGCCCCGGGTATGGGCTGCTGGGCTTTTCAGCCAGTCTGGAAGCGAGTCCTCCCACATGTCTAAATCTGTCCGAATTTGGCGAAGCTTTTTTGAGCTCTCTCGAGCAGGCTTGGCCTGGAGGCCATAGACAAGAGGAAGTAGCTCACCCAAGATCTCTGTCAGTTTACACAGCGCAATATGGCAATGAGCTGCCCGCACACGCTCGGTGGTTCGCACGTGCTGGGGCACTAACCCATCTACGGTCGGCAGAGGCACATCGTACTGACTCTTAGCAATTTGAGGGGGCACACCATGACCGAAGCTTCCCCACCGGTCGTGGATTACAACACCCCACCAGAGCCGGATTCGATGATCTTTCTCTTGCTGTGAGAGCTTCCAATTACTGGGGTCGCGGTTAAGCCCAAGGCAGTTTGCTAGTGAGAGCATGCGTCCACAGCTGATAGCATTTCCTGTCATGGAAAAGATTGGTCGGCCCGTCAGATCAATCAAGGCAGCGCTGATCGTTGAAAGCCCAGGCGCCGTGAAGTCTTCGTGTAGAGCGGCAACGGTCATGTTGACGGCATACCGAACATCTGGTTTTGGGTGGCATGCGAGCTTCGGGGTATGTTTCCAGTAAACCAAAGACATTGAGTAGACTTGGCATAGTAGAGAGGCAGGTGGGTCTTCCAGGTTTTCGTCAATATAAGATTCCCAGAAGGATTCGCCGTCGAAGATAGGGAAGGCGGTATTTAAGCGGTCAATAAAGCTATCAGATATCCAAGTCAGCATCTCAATCTTGCTCCGTGCTGCGATGGCAGTCAATTCTGCAGTCAATTCTTACAGTCGCACGAGGTCATGCTTGAATGGACCCAGAATCTGTTCCAAAATTTCCTTCTGATTCTCACCGGGGGGCACGCCCATCCGCATACCCTTCCTCCGCCGTGAGACCGTAGTATACAGAACCGGTTTCCTGGGATCACTTGAATAGATGTTGTATGGGTTGTTAGGTTCCTCAGAGAGACTCGACCTCTCTGGCGGCATGTGCTTCTCAATGACCTGTGCATCCTCCGCCACCATGGGCCCTACAATAAGAACTGACTCATTATGGCGATCGTCGTCGTAGTTTTTGCGCCGTGAGTCACTTTCGCGGCGACCGGAAGACGAATTTGTGCCGTGAGGACTGGGACCGTTGATCGGTCCCCGACCCTGTATGTGTCCGCTCGAAATAGGTGATCTGTCGGTGCTCCGCTTGCGTTTATGCCCCGAGACCGGTTCCACCGGCTGGGCTCCCGGCCATGGTTTTGTATCGGGGGCGCTAATCGTCGACGTTTCTGCGCCAGCCTCTTCTTGGTAGTGGCAGTCGGCACCCTGCACGCGACACAGAAGGCATGACTGGCCCGGAATATCGACCGTACAGCGGGACTTGCGCTTGCGACACAGATCGCACGCGCGGACCTTGTGCGATCGGTAGGGCCGCGCGCCGGCATTGAAGCCGGGCGAGGGCAATTTGGAGGACGGATTGACTTGAACGGCTGCTGGCGACATGATATGCAGCCGAGTTGGACTCAACTATGTGCAGGAGGGGAGGTTGAGCAAAGTGAAATCTAGACTACAAAAAAAAGCCGGGGACTTTCGGAGAAGGCCGATCTGTCAGACACCGGTGAGGGGTAGAAAAGGGCCGAGTGCGGCGGAGAACGTGGATAATTGGTCCAAGGGAAAAGAAACCCGTGGATCAGTGAGCTTTAAGCTTCATGGCTCTCAGGACAGGCTATGGCGATACACCGCGTGGAGGGCTCTTGAGATCAATATAAATTTCTGCTAGAACTACAGGCTGCAAGTTCCCCGAATTCGGAGATGGACGAGTTGAGCCGCTAACCCCATTGGGGAATGGCAGGCGATAACAACAGCTTGAATGATAAGAAAGGATCACGAGACCCCCAGTCCATATTCGACGTTATACGATATGCTCTCCTCGGCCCACTTAGGGTTCAGTGGTGCGTAGTCCCACCGCTTCTTTGCGGTGCTGGCTACTCGGAGCTGTTCCGAGGTCATGGAATTAGTAGAAAATTAGTAGGAAATTATTGGCTTATCGATTTTGCGAAGTCCTTTCTGAAGGTTTCCCACCGCGGGCGTAAAAGCTAATTCCTATAGAGACTCCAGAGCGCATTTGCAGATAGAGTCAGACGGGGTTCCCACACCAAGGGGGGCTCTGCAGCAATCAGTCCTGGAAAGAGCCCAAATGTTCAAAACAAACAGATAATGAAGACGGCACAGATCGAAGGACCGTAAGAACTAACGTTAATCGACGCGGGGAACGCTGAGTCAGAAACACGTGCAGGCTATTTATATCGCAGGCAAAGATCGACGCTTCATGAGGCTGGCAGCACCGCCAACCGCAGGGTTTCTACATCCTGGTGGCCGTACCAAAGTCCGTATGTCGGCAGTCGCTGGTGACCATGGAGGATGCCTCCTCTCATTCCCGCGCTTTTGATCGGCTGCCCCCAAACATCATTGAACAGTAAGTCGCGTCCATCTTTAGTCCTTCGGGGGCGTAACTCTTTTAGGCGAAGTGGCCTTTTCAGTTGACCCCAGGCTAGCATTCTGTATGCTGCGGATGCCAACACCTTTGCGTCTCTAGCCCTGTTGAATTCTCAATGGAGGCAGATCTCCGAGTCCACTGCTCTGTATTCCCATCAATTATCGAAATGTCCAACGTTTCTGTGGTCACGCGGGGTAGCTCCCGCGCTAGAGTCCGATGGCTTAACGTCCCTCAAGCGTCGATTTCTTGAAGAAGTCCGCCGAAATGCATTCGATGTGTTTTTGCGACCCCGTAAGACCCTGGTCCGACTGATATCCAGTTCTATGAGCTCCTCCACGGCCTTTCCGAACGGCGAGGTCTTTCGCTTTTCCTTTTCGGCTAATGGCCATATGGTTCTATGCATCAGCTCCTCTCGAATTGTGGTGATAGCATTGGCTGCGGACCCGGTGGCCGTCAAACATGAGTTTCAGACGCGGCGCCGACCCCTTGGAGCTACGATTGTCGACGATGGTTCCTTGCTCGCCGTTTTGTCGTCCTCGCACCGGGTCAATATCTACAGGCTTTCCAATGATGAAGTCAAACAGATACAGTCGATAACGTTGAATGACGCCCCACGAGACCTGGCATTCTCGCCCACTGGAAGCGTTTTAGCGTTGTCATACGAGCGCAACATAGAGGTTCACGCTGTCGGAGAAGAGGTTCTATCAACTGAAAGACGAGCCGCGCGCTGCCTTCGAGTCGATGCGCTGGCATTTTCCCCCTGATGGATCATTGTTGCTAGGATCATCAGTGGATCGTGAGCATGATGGACTGGTCACAATATCGGCACCCTTCTATACCGAAACAGGCGACGATGCTTCGCCGGAAGAAATCCAAATGCGTATGTGGACTACGCAAATCCTGTTTCCAGAAATGGCGCAGGATTTGACCCATGCCTGCTTGATTTCGGAACATGATGAAGGAGACGATTCCTGGATTCTAGCCTATGACGTCCCATTAGCGGCATTCAAAGCCCTCAAAGTCAACAATGTCAATGCGGGTAGAGTCTATTTTGCCAGTCCTTTTCTTGATGAGGAATCTCGTGAGATGCTTCCCACGATGTTGCCTACAACGGACCAAGCCGGCGAGCTTGCTGCGTTAGGATTCCAGGATTCAAAATTATGGCTTTACGGTATCCCTAAGAATCTGGATGTCGCTTCGGTAGAATCATCTGCCGGTTCAGTTAGCAATGGCAGAACTTGGATGGGCGGTACTCACCACAGTGCTGGGCACGCGGCTCCTCGCGATAACCTTGCACAGCTGAACAAAATAATTCCACAGTCCAAGGTTTTAGTCCGTGGTCGTCCCATAATGGATATCAGCGGGATCACATCGGCCCGATGGATACACTCTGCATCTTTGGTAAAGCCCAAACGCCGCCTTGTTGCAGTAGCTCCCGGTGGAGTGCGACCTCAAGTCTTTGGCGATGAGGATGTCCCCGTGGATGGCGGAAGAATCCTCATCCTCGATTTTGAGCGAACCACCACCAATGGCGGAGAAGAGGAGCTCGACATTGAAATAGGCGAGACATACGCCAAGATGCTCAAGGAGCCGGATTCTTCTTTAGATACGGAGGTTGAACTGGAACGGAGGCGCACACGTTTAGTCCGTAATGATACGGAGGTGGCGGTCCCGGGACTTCAACGTCGCACGTCAAGAGCTCCAAACCACAACCAGCAGCGCAATAGTCTTGTAGTGCCTGCAATGCCGACCTCCCCCGCCGGTGTCGTTGCGAGCAACGGCGTTGTTGATATCCTTACGATAATACCCAGCCACGCTCTCAAGACACGCTTCGCCGTGCTGCTACCGCTGCCGCCTCGACACGAGGACGCTATGATCCCCGCTACCGCAACAGCCCTAGTCGTCGTCAAATACCGCATGAGAGCGATGCTGATAATTGGGTGCCCCCTCCACCCCCCTACAAGCGCGAGGCCGATGAGCCCCTCCCAGACCACTTGCGAGAAACTCTGCTGCCCCCCCAAGATTCAGCCTCCAACCAAATCACACCAAGAGTGCAGGATTCCCGCCCCCGTCCCCAATCTGCCATCTTATTCCCTAGGCTATCCATCCGCCGCACAGGTCGAAACGGACGAAATGTGATTTCGGGGTGGACGAATGGCTATCAACGGGAGAGGACCCTTTGTCTGGAATTGGGTCTCTTCCCCAGCAGATACTAGCGAACCCTGCGAGCCGTATCGCCTCCACACAACCACTCCCAACCCTGGCAATCCACCCTGCGGAACTCCAAAATCATGGCCCCTTGCATGCACCCTCATTAGGCGCTACCGTCCTGGGCGAAAACTACTTCTCCTATGCCGTCTCCTCTCCCAACCTGCTTCATATCCCTCAACCACAGGGGGATGGCCTCGACTCTGCAGATGATGATGAGAATATTCCCGCCCGACAGCGCTCTTTCCGCAGGCGTGTTTCAACTGAACCGACTAGCTTGCCGCCACCATCAAACGAGGAGTGGCGCCGGCGTATTGAGGATTGGAATGAACATACCATCCGGGAGCGAAGCCGGAAAAAGCGTGGCAAGTGTGTTGTCATGTAGCGTGTTTAGGCTCTAATCTTTGATTTATAATACCCTCGTTCAAATAGAGCCATTTCGAATTCCACTAAAGCCATGTTCAAGTTTTCAAACGTGGAGTTTCATCAGAATAAGTACCAGTAGAAGTCCTTGTAACGATTTCCAGGATGACATTAGAAGCATTGGCTAATCACGCAATCTATATACGTATAAGAGCGAGGAATAAAAGCAACTATTAATCAGAAATTACCAGAAAAACAGAATGAAATCAAGTCGTGAACCACAGTGTTACCAAAAGGTATTGTATCCCTCACTTGCGCAAGCAACCCTAAGCAAAATCCCGTGGGCTTAACTACCACCTGGGACGAAAAGCGTTAGCAATGGAACCTCACCTCCTCAATTTCAATAACTCAACTTCCACCACAACCACCGCCTCCTCCGCCGCCGCCGCAACCTCCTCCTCCGCCACCGCCGCAACCCCCCCCCTCCTCCTCCTCCTCCTCCTCCTCCACAGCCAACACCACCAGCGCCTATAACTAAGTCAGTATCATGCATCAGGCGAAAAGAATCTCCGAGCTACTTACCACAAGCAGCACTCCCTCCTGCGCAAGCAGCCCCAGAGCCAATACCACCACAAGAACCAGCAGCAACACCTTTAAGAGTCAGTACAACCTCTCTCCATAACGCAAAGGAATCAGCTGAACATACCTCCCCCACAAGTCCCTGAGCAACAATTTCCAACAGCTCCAGCCCCAGTACTCATACAGCTAGGATTGCAAGCATACGAATCAGCGCTAATCCCCGGGTCACACATATACGGCGCGTAGTACGGCACATAAAGCGGATACCCCCAAGCCAGCGGCGAATAATACAGCGGCTCAGCTATCCCATCCCCTTTCCTCTGCCCCTTCTTCGCACGCCGCACAGACTTCTCGTAGTTCCTCTGCAGCCGCATGCGCTGCAACGTTCCCAGCTGGGGATTGCCGTCCGTCCCGACCGTCGGCCGCACCGCGTTGTGCGCCGAGATGTGCGGGTTGCGCTCCGGATCGGCCGAGATGTCGGCGCGGTCGTGCAGTGAGTTCGCGTTGGTGCGCGCGCGCGCGGCCGAGCCCAGCGGGAGTAGTCTGTCGTAGAGGTCCGGGGCGCGGGTCGCCTCGCAGTACCAGCAGGTACACTCGGAGTAGATGCCGCCCTTCGTGGCACGGCGGTACATCTTGCTGGTCCACTCGAAGCCCTCGGAGAGCTTGTTCTCGTCGACTTTGTCGTCGTGGTCGATGAAGCGCTTCATGACGGCGGACAGGGTCGTCGTGTAGGCGTAGTAACGGCGCGGCATCAGTTGGTGGGTGTGCCAAGCGAGGTCGACATCGAGGGTAGGCACGGCCAGTTTGAGTGGGTGGTCGAGCATGATGCGGAGGAAGATGGTATATTTCTTGATGAGGCGGTCGGCCGTGTCGAGGACGGTGGGCGAGTGCAGCCAGTCGATGTTGTCCATTTTTGGACAAAGGTGCCTTGGCGGATCACGGCGCCGACGAGGTCGAGGGCGAAGGGGCTGAAGTTGTCCCAGTACCGCGACATCATGCGGCGGAAGAACATCTTGTAGCCTGGTTTGGCGGAGCCGAGGCCTAAGGATTTGAGGATTTTGGTGTTTAGGATTCTGGGCTCGAGGTGCGAGCGCAGGTCGTCGATACTCCGGCACATGTTGCTCTGGGGGCTGGTGAAATCGATGGTTTCCTGACCAATGGCTTTCATGATGATATTGGGGAACATCATGTTCGTGTGGGATAAGGCGCTTCCGCGCTTGGGTTTGCCCCTGGGTATGCCATTCGAGTCGAGAACAGTGCCTGGCATTGGCTCCTTCTGGCGGATGAGGTGGATTAGATCCTGGCGAAACTTGTTCACTTTGAGTCGGTCATGAGTTAATTCGAACGAACAATGATAGCATTTGGCTCCAAATTTATTATCGGCATAACCCGTGCTTTCTTTAAAGGCTTTTTCGAGACTATCTCCAAACTTGGGGCGGGTCCACGGAACGGCGGTTTCGAGTGAACAAGCCGGGCATTGGAGCTGTTTTGTCGATGGATCATCTAGGTTGTGCCATTTGAGCTGGGCCTTCTTTTCGAACTTCTTCTTGCACTTGTCGCTCACTGTGTATTCGAGCGAACGATCATCAATACAATCATTGACAGGCTTGAATGGAAAGCCGGTGCGCCAGGTACTCATCCTGCCGTATCGAATACAGTCTTCCAGGAAGTTCCGCGGATTCAGCATATGAGAGTGCCATACCATCAGGATATCTAGATGATGTTAGTTTTTATCTAGCAGAAAGGTGATGTTGGAACTTACCAATCGGAGGCAAATTGTTCGTGCTCCAGGATATATCCGAGGCTTTATCAGGACTTGTGATTTGTTCATAATGCTCATCTTTAACCATTTTCAGCGTTGCCCGGCTTTGGGACACCGGCAGGCAATTAAACCACCAGGCGGTATATCTATCGGCCGCACGAGCAGTATAGACAGCCCAGCGCTTCTCTTTGATTTTCGCACGGGCTGCATTTTGATCCGTTGGCTGGGAGAATTTCCCATCAACATCGGAGTTGTTGATACCGAATAGGCCATCGGTGTTGGAAATAACATCTCGTAGATCGGCGAGAACAGCGAGGAATTTGAGATGGGCCACACACTGGTCGCGGGTGACAGTTTTGCCGATTCCACCCGATGACGCCTCCAGATTTAGCTTCGGTAGTTCCAAAGCGATCTGCTCGACAGGGTCTTCTCTATCGTAAGAAGGGGGCCGTTCATTAGAGCTGGATGGACCAGCGGGTGCCTCTTTGGACTTGTCGTCCGTAGGTGCCCCCATGTTTGCAGTTGATAGAGAACAACAGATTATGGATTTCTTCAAGTTCAAAAAGTAGTCGGAAAATGGTTGATAAGTATCAGAAATGGGGGATCTATGACGCTAATAAATATTCGTAGAATCGGCCCCCGGTCTTGCACTGATAGTTGTCATCAGCAGATCAGAGTGTGGTATACGAGCACAAAGCTACCAGCAGCGATAAACCAAGTATCCACCCCCCAAAGAGCACCAATGACAGTCTTGCATGTTGTCAGCTCACGAAGAGAGGGGAACCGCCTCGGTAAGTCTTGCAGGACAAGGGCAAGGGGGATATGTGGCTCCACTTGTGGGCCCTAATACGCCCCGGCGGCCCAGAGGGCGGGGCACTTCATTTGCCCTATGATTCCCCGGAATTGAGCACAGCCCCCCCCCATGATCTGTTCTTGCGGCTCAGATAATCCAGACGGGGCAACGCTGTACGCCTTGTATGACTTCATCCATCCTGCATTATCTTGCCACTCTTTATCCGATTGGCCATGGAATTGCGCAGTTTTTCTGGAAGGTCGTGAACTTCTAGAAAGCCTCCACATTCCTTTTCAGGATCAACCAACCGCTTGAGATCTTCTCGGAGATCATAAGTACCAATCGGACTGACAGTGTTCAATCAGGACTCGACAACTACTAGTCGTTTGTGGGCGAATGGAGCTCTGTGAAGGGACTTACATGGCGCAGATATCGCCAATCCGTGTCGGTTGCTATTTCCTCGTTCCGTGGTTGGCTTCAACATGACAGCGACAAGTCATCAATTTGAAGCGCCACAAATTGACCCAGGTCACGTAGATACTAAACTCCGCCCGAGGCTGATTCTCGACATCACTAGCATCGTTACGTCGAGATCATCACTGCAAGGCAATGGACGGTATTTCTCGGCAGCCACGCTTGGCTATTCTCGTGTTGCGGTTAGTCTCGCTAACAAGCAATTTTAGTAGGGCCCAGCTGCAGCATGAATGCTGGAAGTCAAAACATAACGATACTTGCTTGTAGTTGCATTTGGTAGTAGCATAGGATCATCACTATGCGGCATATTCATTCCATAGATATGTTGATTAATAGAGATTGATCCAAATGTGACATAGGTAGGAGAAATTCCATTTGTATACTAAGCTAGGCGTAAGGTGAAAGTCCGGCGGAACTGCGCAGAACTTGGAGTGGTTCGGGCTGCCTGAGAAAAAGCTGAATCAAGGATGTAGATCGCACTAAGTAGATTCTGGCGAATGAAATAGAGTCCGGTGGTTCCAAATATTATCTGGTGGAGGCGAATCGCTCTCTGGTGAAAGCCGACCGTACCCAGGTGAAGAGATCCACATCCTGGTGACACCGCCTTTTAGAGTCAAGGGGGCTTGTCCATTAAACTTCTCGAATGGATACCATGAGGCCCCCTAGGGTCTTTCACGATAATCCTTCTCAACGAACCTATGGAAACCGTTCGATACACGAAGCCGGCTGTATGGCGCCAAGAACTAGAGAAGCAATATTGGTCGGAATTGCCCCGGGCGAGCTTTTATGATAAGAGAAGTTGTTCCTGTCGCACCATGTTACATTGCTGCGATAAGCCTTTCCCCAACAGTACCAAGCTCCAATGAGGAACATTTTCCAAGGTCACTTATTGGAGAACACAAAGCCCAGTCGTCCATAGGGCGAGCGAGCATGATCCAAGGAGATAAGTATACATGTCTTCTTTCCTCCCAACCGTAGCCTATCCTGCTTCCGAAGGCCCACTGGAGCAAAGTTATAACTTCTACTCTTCCTTTTAGCTCGCGCGATCTTCCTCGCTATTGCTGTGATATTCAGATGATAACCGAAACAGAAACGTACGAATCATATCAAAGCTTTATGGCGAGTCTATGGTCACATTACAACTACTATTCAGGCTCGGAAAAAGTGCCAGCATAGCCGGCATTCTGACAAAGTATTGGTGTTTTTGTCGATGAATGGAGATAGCAATTTACCACTTGATTTTTACATCTACGCAATGCTTTGCTATACATAATACAACTTTGTAATACTCCTCTTATCGTCATCTAGTAGCGCTTGTGTCCAGACAATTTGATGCTTTTTCAAGGGCCCTCGCGGCAAATGGAGAAGTCAGAGTAGTCAGTAACATAGCTCGGAAGAACGGATATTCAAATTAGATAGCGCAAAAAGGAATAGAACTTAAGGGAAAATGCAAAAATTCAATTCGTCCAATTTTTTCAAAATGCTCCAAAAATCTCTCGAAAGTCATTTGCAAGGGCGTAGCTTCTTTCGAAAACGCCGTAAAGCCCTTCTGGTAAAGGTGTACATTCCCGTTTCCAGGCTCGTTCAAGCAAATTCCGAAGATTTGTTAGATAAATGAAGTTGAAGTTTCTAAGCAGATAGACAGCGTAGGTAAGTTCAAAGAGTCTAACAACAGATCTGCTGTGTCTCTTCAAGAAATTCAATCCGCAAATCATCGGGTCCACCATCATCAGAAGTACTCCCTCGAGCAATTGCTCTTCCCAGTCCTTAAGTCGTATCATCGTTCCGGATATCATACATACCGCCCACTTCGTAGAGGTCTTCAAGATTTTGCATAGGTGACTAAATATACCGAGGGATAGAATCCATAGTCCTCGTCCAGTTCTGAAGAGTAAATAGCCTACTTTGTTCTCAATCTGTTTCATTGGGCGCAAAAATAGTAGAAAGACTATCCGCCAGGCGAGATATGAAATTTCCGCTATCCTGCTCATGGCTCTCCATAAGTAACGGCCTATCCCTGCCAGTCGCCGGAATATAGCAACGTACAGCTGGTGTAGAGGCCTCCAAGGCCATGCCCAAGAGGACATTTCTATGGCCAAGGCTCGAATCCCAGCGTAAGTGCTTACAATCGAGACGATAACGCCAATTATCCCGGTGGGACCGCCATACCTATGCAGTAACTCTTCGAGCTCTTCTCGTAATAGACCATGAACATCTAAACTCTCTTGTTCGAGCTCCGCTGTCGATTGTTCAGACATCTCTGGTCGGTTAGGCATCAGCTGAGTAGATCGAGATGGCTTTTGAGGTAAAGTTTTATTGAATATGACTCTCTGTCTTGAAGAGTTTCTTATTTAGACAAAGGGGCTTTAGATGATGACTGTGATCGACGACGGTGTGTTGGTTTTGGCTAAACTGGCTACTTGGATAGGTGTCCTGCTTTATAGCATTCCTCCTGAATGGACTCAAGTTATTGCTGGAGATCATGCTAGCTAAGCCAAATAATTGCAAGGTTAATATCAGCAGGCTTACCTCAATATATGAACTGTAAGGCGACTGTCAGAGCCTCTGATGGGTGGATCATCGGGTATGCGTCAGTTCTTTTACAGATTCGCTTTGAAATGGGGAAGTGTCGCCGCAAAATTGAGGTTGAATATTTGAATGGCTTATCGAGTTTCGGACAGTCTGAAAGCAATAAGATAACTATCACGATAATTATGAATGGATTGGGAATCAAAGACGGCAGTCTCAGGCTGAACCAGGCATTGTACCACAAGTCCAGAATCCGATAGTTAGGATAGTGTGTTTTGTCTGCCGAAGTCCATTGAATAATGCCTGGTACAATGGGAAGTCACAAATTCAAGGAATTATGATTCAAGGGGGATCTACAAAGGGCTTTGATGTGGTGTATGGCTTCAGTGGGAGACATCAATACGGACAACACGAAGATCTATTATTATCCGGGCTACAGATCATAACTGATTACCGATTGAATGCAAAATATGATTCAAACTAATAGCGGATGATCTGTCTTATTTCGTTTACTTGCTAGGGAATTCGTCAATATCCTTGTAACCCAGGTTTACAAAAAGCTCTCGGTAGGGAACTTGAAATCTTCGGCTAGTTATTGGCTCTTCGGTTAGTAACGCTTCGTATATCAATGGCTTGTAACACTTACGCTTTGCCAGCTCTAGCTTGGACATCTCACGAGGGCCATTCTCACCCTCTTCCAGTCCATTGCATGGCTTCCCCTCCTGGACTGACCGCCACTTCCAGAGTGGGGTGAAGCGGTCTGGTGTTTTCTCCAGTTGGTTCTTCACGTACTAAACGAGAGCGACTTTAAGCTTTGCAGTTATTAGGACCTCTACTCCCAATACTTACCTTGCCCAGAATTGGAAGGAATTTGAATCCATGGCCACTGTGAAGCTTTATTAGAAGAAATATTCCTCCTTGCCCTTTGCGGATACAACTTACGAGCCACCAGTGCAGATAAACAGGGAGTCGGAATAGCCAGGAACGTAGTCAATAACAAACTATAGCTTGTTAGAGCTTCCTGCCGGGTGTCTATCCTTGATTATCGATGTTGCCTCACCTCGTTGTCAATACTATCCGTATACCAGCATAACTAGCATTCATTAGCACGGCCAATTCAACCCTCTGCGAAGGTGGAAAACCCACCCGGCTATCAGTGAAGCCAATTTCTTTCAGTTCAGGGAAGAGACCACCGATCACTCGCTTCATACGCTGGAGTCCGTACAAAGGAACAGTGTTGATCGGCTCTGAGCTATACTTCGTCCGCGGGGTTGAAATTCGCCTAGGAAGCCATATGGCAATTAGCAAAGTAATCAAATGGTATAGCAATTGCTATGGCCAAAACAAACAATTTATTTTCTTTTGGGTGATCCTGGAAGTTTGTGAACTGCCGAAGTGGAATTCCTTTAGCACATATAGCCTGGAGATGAATAGAAGTTAGAATACCTTCCGAGCTCGGAATCCGAACTTCAGCCGTCCTTCTCTGGTTATTGGGAAGCCGCCTCCCTCATAAGCCCTAAATGACAGTTATTTCATATTTAAAAAGCCTAAAATCTGATCTTGACACATACGAGTCTCCTTCCCCTTCCAAAAAGCGCCAAATGGGGAAGTTGTCGGGATGAAATCGCTCTCGAAGATCTTGCCTATTACTCGGAACATCGATAAACATCAGTGTTCCCATCGTGGCTTCAACAGAGCGATGAGCTTCGGGAACCACAGATGATGACCAAGGGCCACCTACTCATATTATTAATGTTTGACGGCGTACTAGTAGTAACATACTCACAGGCGACGATAATAATGTCAGCAAAATGGCTCTGACCATCACGGGTTTGAATCCCTTGTACCCGCTTTCCCTGGCTCGATTGATCGATAAGCAGACGTTCGAGTTCTCCTTTAGGGCGGCCTAGAACGAATTTCACACCGGCCTTCAGACATAAATGACGCGCGTATACACATGCCTTTCTCCAATCAGCTATCCTGCTGGACATCCAAGTTACGATCTTACCTTGTCCGCAAGGGTGACTCCGGATCCCGCATCGAGAAAGCCATTCGTTCGGTTATTTCTGAAATGGTCGAATAGATGGTGTTTCTTAGCCCACTCTGGGCCCAAGTCCGCGGCGCGTTTTTCGTCTTCAGGGCTATCCTGTTCAAACAGTCAATATCATATGGATCCAATCCCGCGTTGTCTTGGGATTCGGAGTCTACCTTCACAAATTGGAGGTCACGGAAACTAGGCGCAGTGTCTTTCATAATCTTAAGGTTCTCAACATAACGATCGATCATTTCAGGGCCATCTGCCAGATGGTAAACTCCACAAAGATGCAACAACTGATCCTGCGGGGTGAGTGGTTCTGGAAGTTCAGATGGGCTGCTCTGCCTTATCTCTTTGTTCCATTGAAGCCAAATATTTCTAGCTTCCAAAGCAAGGTCTTGGGAGCTACAGTCGGCGTTATTAGCTGTTTTTCGTTTCCTGGAAGGGGGACTCACTGGGTTTGCTGTCCATATGTAGCGCGAAAGATCTTATTGATATCAGCAGAGGCTCCATCGCAGTTACTAGACGGGTTGTATAAATCTTTTTCGAAGTCACACCGATCGAATATCATCACATCCTTGTAACCTCCGCGGGCGAGCCACAAAGCTGTGCTCAGTCCAAACACGCCACCGCCAACAATGATGACCCGAGAATCTGGTGTAGTCATCTTGGAGTTGGATATGGGCCTTAAATAGTTCAAACCAAGATCAAGAGTGATGCCAGAGCAAATATCTTATGGACACGGTGGTAGGGGACGGAAACGACCTATTGCAGCAGAGTTCTGCGGGGGTATTTCAAGTCTCAACGCTCTCAACGGAATTACCGAGCTGGGTAGTTTCTTCTTGGGACTGTGGTACAAAGCAAAAAGGCCTGGTATTACCGCTCCTCAATTCCTATTGCTTTGCAAAACAGCTCCTCCGAATGATGGGTGATGGCCACGGAGATGCTCTGTTTACAACGCCATGTATCTGAGGGGCGGAAGAAGCCGCCGCTGCGGGATTTCCGTCCTTGACGGTTCAAAGCTTCTACGATCCGCAGCCTTGGATCTTCAACGATCGAAACGGTCACGAAAATGGTTTAGGGACTCTTCGTGCACTAGGATTGAGTGATACGGTGCCAATTTGGTTTTTCTCCGTGACAAAACATCGTCTTTTTCTCGAAGAGACCTAACGCCCAGCTCTAAACCACAGCTGACGATGCGCTCATATTGAAAGACTGTCTCGCGAGGGCATATCAACGGAGGCATATCAACCAAGCCGCGTCGTGGAAAAACAGGCTAGGTGGCTTGATCACAAAGATGATGCCGGCACCATATTCCTTTGTTGGGCTCGAGCCTGTGCACTCTCTTCGGAAAATAGTTTATCTGGTCTCGAGAAAGTCATATAAGCTGCCGGCGAAAGTAAACATTCTTTTGGTGATATATCTTCCCAGCTTGCTGCTATTCACCGCGTAATAGCCCGATGGAAACTACATCTCAGACCAGTCGTATTGCTTGATTTCCTTCGCATCAACGTTTAGACATTCTCAATCCAAAGTATCTTCATCGTATTAACAAACCCCATCGCTGGATCAAGCAACTTGGCGCTTGTTCAGGCTTGCCCTTATTCGCCTTCTAATGAAAACAACACGACATTAGAGGTTTTCTCTCCCCGTTGTCAGGCGTGTAAACCTCATTCGGGGCACCGAGACTATCATCCTACCAACCCCTGTTCGCATAGTGCTTGTATGAGTGCAGAGCAGTTCCTCTCTTTTGCAAGGTCAAGAGCACTTTTTCCACTTGCTGTTTTTGCGTCGATGTCAACACCAGCATCAATGAGGAGTCTTGCTTTCTTATCAGGTTCGTCTACTGACGGATCGCCAGAAATTAAGTGCAATGCGGTCTCGCCAGCTCTTGTGGTTGCATTCACATTTGCACCGGCATCCACTAAAAGTCGGATTGATTGCTTTTTCTCCATACGCAGCTGCAAAATGCAATGGTGTTTTCCCTTCATCATCGGTGGCCTCGACGTCGGCATCGGCTCCGAGAGCGACACGCACTAGCTCCACGGAACTTTGAGCTGCCCGATGCATGAAAGTCTCCCCTCCCTCACCTTTCATAGACACATCCGCACCATGCTTGAGAAGCAATTTAGCGCAAGTTGGATCATCTCTGCCTGCACTATGTAGCACGGAATCTCCATTGTTGTTAACAGCATTCACGTCGGCTCCAGCCTCAAGAAGAGATTGAAAGATCTCGAGATGCTCATGACTAGCAGCAATGTGCAGCGCTGTGTTCCCGTAGCAGTCCCTCGCTGAGATATCGGACCCAGCGTCGATGAGGAGCTTTGCAATTTGTTGGTTCCCAAACAAAGCCACTACATGCAATGGTGTTTCGTGATCGATATTGCGTGCATTGATTTGAGCCCCAGATTTGAGGAGTAATTCTACCACCGTGACTGACTCCCCAGCAGCTGCATTGTGCAATGGCGTCACGCCGTCATAACTGGGCGCAGAAACATTCGCTCCGGCGTGGATCAGAAGTCGTGTGGCTGCCTCATTGCCTGTCTGGACAGCGAGGTGAAGTGCAGTAAAATCACGAGAGGAGATCGTAGAAGAAAGGTCCGCTCCATCCCGGATTAGCACTTCGAGGAGCTCGGTATCCCCTTCGATAACAGCGTGATGCACAGATCTCACTTGGCTCTCTGGCGCCTGATCACCATCGTTTTTGCCGCAAGAACATTTATGAAGAGGCTCCATATCAGCCATTCTATTCGCTGAAACAGAATAGATTCACATACGTTGGGGATAGGAGAGGAAGGGGGAAGGACGTTGCCGGATTTGCAACGCACTCTAGAGTGAATAGAGAGAATGTGAATTTTGGATGTGGTTCTTTATAACTTGAGCTTTCCAGGGCCCACTTCGGTAGTGGGCTGAGCAAATGCGACCTCAAATTTATTGGCGCAGCCATGGAACCCCGGCTCCCAGTTCTCTTTCATCGCTAGGCAGCAGAGAAGATGCTCGACATCAGTTTTACCTCGCTCTCTTTTCTTGCAATGTGTCACAGCGCCCCACCTTCACTTTAGGCAAAGATCCTATCATGCAACTAATCTTCGATGAGCCATGATAGATTACCGAGCCCTGGAACGTAGTTTGTCGGACCAGCCATCCATCCTAAGGATCACACTGCTTAACAATGATCGACAATGTTTGTAGAGATATTCAAGGGGTCACGTGTATGTTACATGCCCTGGGGAGATGGGAGTCAGTTAATGCGGGGTTAACGCACCAAATTCCACCAACATCCGCAATGGGTTGTGGTTGGGTAAGAGAAGCGATAACCGATTTTTGTTTCATCCAATCAGATCCATTTGATAACTCGACGGCCTCACGTGGATTTCCTAGTGGCGGCGGGCTCGGTTTGATACGAGGAGACACGTTAGACCCGTTGCTCCACTCCCGATTTAATTTCCTACATTCCATCTTTCGCGAGGATTCGTCAGTCTGCGCAACATGGAACTTATAAGGCTTTAGCGCATCATTCCATTACATCATTTACAAACTTGAAGCTCCTGCTAAAAGAGCCAAAGTATTGCGGCTACACATTCCCGGCGTGCTTGTTCTCACACCCTTCATCCCGAAAAGACCGAGAAAGCAAGTGGAATTTCTTGAGCCCTGTTCATTCCCAATGTAAAAGGCGTACCTCCCGATCTCTGCGCATTTGACTAAAGTTTTTGTGCTTAGTTGACTTGGCGTTGGTTTTTCCAACTGATCTGGAAATAGTATAGCCAGCCATCATGCCAGACGCCGACTCTATGGATCCGAAAACGCCAGCTGGGCAGCGGGCTTTTCAGAGGCCTACCAGGAACCCGAGTAGCGTCCAGAGAAGAAGCACCAATGCCTGTAAGTTTTGACTAAGTATCTTATTCGACACAGTTGAACTAATATTCGCGTGCAGGTCGCCGATGCAAGCGAAGGAAGATTAAATGCCATTACAACCCCCCAGGAGTATAACAGGTAACGACGGGAAATGCATATTCTCATAGCCCATTTGACTCATACTCGTGCAGCCGTTGTGTTGCGTGCTCAAAAGCCCACTCAGGTTAGTACTGTTCTCTTGACTTCAATCAGAACGGCACTAACAGACTCCTAAGAATGCCTGTTTGATTCTCCGCCGGACGGGGTGCTCAGGGGACACGCGTAAGTTTGCCATCCTTCATCTCAACAGCGGAAAATTGACATTTGATAGATATGTGGCCACTTTGGAAGCCCGTGTAAGAGAACTTGAGAGCGAACTACGTACGAAGTATGAATTGGGAAGTGGCGGAAGTCATTCAAATTCCACTATAAACACGGGATTCTCGGAATCGCAAGTTCATAGCAGAGGGATATCCACGACTGCTCAGCCTTTTCAAGAATATGGAGAGGCCATCAATGGATCTTACCAGGTAATGTCGCTCTCGGGGCCAAAGAGATCTGTCTTTCGAGCCTATAAGCTTCTCTTTCTGCCTCTGGATACTTCGACCGGGGATCTTACTAACAGCCTTGCAGTATGTAGCAGAACAAGATAAACCACAGGGTTCTCTAAATACTCCACAGATGCCGAGGTCAGATATAGCGGTTTTGGATATCCTTCCAGAAAAGACTTTTGATTCAGCCGGAAAGGGTGCTACCCTTCCTGCACTTCCATCAGACGCCAGCTCTAGAGACTTGGTGGATGCAGTCTACTTTTACACCCAAGCGCGTTACTGCATAATTGATTGGGGTCGGTTGCGAGAATGGCACCGAGATAGGGCCACAATTGCCTATACAACGGACGACGGCCCGGTCGATTCCCAAACAGGTATCCTAGCGTGAGATGAGGGTGTATATTGGGGCTAACGACTTGGTAGGAGCCTTCTTCTTGTGGATTATCTACGCTATCGGGGCTTGCTTAATTCCAAACTCAGAGAGCTCCACTGAGGTGAGAAATGCCTACTCCTTTGCGAGTATATATATGCTGAAACTGTCTCTTTTTCAAGTCGTATTTTGCACGTGCCCGAAAGTACATACCGGCGGTTATATCGCTGCAGGACTTGACTACGGTCCAGGCACTGCTATGCTTAACACAATATTATTTCCGAGCTCCAGTAAGTACTCTTTACCGGTATGACTACTATCAACATGTCAAAGCTAACGCATATAGAATGATTCTCCAATATGGTCAGGAGAGACTCCCAACTCTACCAACCTGTGTTACTGACATTTGTCCCAGGGATCTTGTGGGGGTCACTATACGCCTATGCGTCAAGATGAAATATCACCGGAAAAAGCCTGTGGACTCGCATTCAACGAGTCCATATGATGTTGAGCTACAGAAGAGGTTCTTCTGGTGTGCATATTGCTTTGACCGGTTCGTCAACCAGATCCGTGTCTTGAACATCTACTGACCTTGTCATGATAGGCTAGTGTCCATGCTATCCAAACTCCCTTTTGCTATCAGCGACCGTGATATCGATGTGGAGGTTTGTGCAAGTACACTGTCACCTTTATCGGGGTTTTAACAATACGACAGACGCCAGTTGACATCAACGACACTTGTACCGATGGGCAGAAGATCAGAAATCTTCAACTGAAGCAAGAGTCTGGGGATCGTGAAACTGGCAGTGCGGCTGTAGCTACTACGGTATTCCTTTCTGTTAAGCCCAACGTGATCTTGAATACTTACGTCTGTCAGATGACTGCCGCGATACATCATTTGAGAATTTACCGAATCAGGTCTCGGATATTGTAAGTTTCATTCGTGAATTCCACATTTACTAATACTAACCGATAATAGAACTCAATCTACTGGTATTAATGGCCATGCACCTTCTTTGTCTGATGTGGAAAGATTCCTCTTTGAACTCGATACATGGAGGCAGGAAGCGCCTCTGCGACAAGATTCACAAAATTTTCCTCAACAAAACCCCGATCGGGTGCAAGCAAATTACTTCCAAGCTGTCCTAACATTGATAAGACCGGTCCTCAAAAGTGATGATGTTGAGCCTCAACTAATTGAGCTGTGTGTTGAGTTTGCAGCGGATGCATGTGAAGTAAGAAACAATCCCCAAGGCAGGAGAGACACCGCTAATGATGTTTTCCAGAGCGCTAAGGCTCTGAGTCTAAACCCCCTTACCCTTCCAGACCGAATCACAGTATACCATTGCTTCTATGGCGGAATCACTCTGCTGCAATGTTTAGCCATCAAGCCAACGGTGTTGACGCCTCGACGTGCCCATCAAGCCATCAGCGCGTGTCTGAGTGCATTGGCCGTCTATACCCGAGTTTTACCGGCCGTTGCTCCATTCCTAAGGCTTTACGAGGATGTCTCCAATCTTTTCCTCGGTGAAGATCATACATCGGAGATTCGTCCGGATTCGAAAGTGAGAGCGCTATTGAATAAAATTGTCTCTAGTGACCCGTCAGAGACACCAGGGTAGGCACAATATTGACACCTTCTGTTAGTCATAATAACAATTGATGCTGCAGGATCCTCAATTCCCTATCTCATCCAGACGACCAACAAATGACAGTGCCACCGTCACCTACCCGCCCAGAAGAAGAAGTATGTACTCCTCCAGACCTGGAGCATAAGACATCCGGCTAACTTATCGGTCTTTCAAGGTACCTCAGTACGATTCAATCCTTGGTGGACTATCATCTATTGTTCCAATCGACATGCCTTTGAGATATCTCACCACTCTATGCCACCGACGCCGAAATGATGGACATGTGGACGGACTCCTGGCTGAACAATTCATTACTCGAGTACCCTCAATGAGAGGTTTTCGCATTTCAAAGCATTATGTGGCGCAGGCATAATCTTGAAATCTTCTTTGTATCATTAGTTAGATTCATCCCTCGTACCACAATCATGACAATCTTTATCGTTCCAAGGGTTGAGGCCCACTTGAGGCCCACAGCCCAAGTTGGGCCCGGGGCCGATAGACTTGTGATTATGTCAGAATGCAACTTTCCGGAGTCACCTGATGGCTCCCCGCGCTGAGTCACGCACCGCATTGGATCGATTTGAGAGAATATGCAACTTTCTGCATTTGCGGAGACAAAATTCTAGAGAGGCTTGTCGCGAGTCTCGCAAGATCTGGATTCCTGATTGAGTGAAATCTGCTCGTGGTTTGTGCGGGCCCAGACGAGCCTTTCTTCGCACCGACTCTTTTTTTTTTCTCCGTCTCCCACCCAGACATCGCCTCCGACGTCTGAACGCCATCAGCCTGGCTTCTCGATCACGCGTATTCGACGGGCCACAGCAGCCCCAGACGTTCAATTCTAGTATTGCGGCTTATAATGCTTCAGCGGCTATAAGTCCCGTAATGGCGGGTGTCAATCATGCATCGCTCTCCATGCCTGCTTCCGACGGCTTGCAGGGTCGCAAACGCAATGTTAATATTGCCGGAATGGATAGCTCACCGGGGAGTATCGAAGACGCAGAAGATAATGATACACGGGATGACAAGAGGCGACAGCCTGTGAAGCGGGCCTGTAACGAATGTCGCCAGCAGAAGGTATGTGAGGCTCTTATACAATGCGAGAATGCCCTGTGGCGCAGATCGCGGAAAGTGCGGGGCCCGCAGAAATATCTGCTTACACGAGATGAACTCCCGATAGCTTCGATGCGACGTTATCCAAGACCCGTGGACTGACTGTTCGCGATGCCGGAGACTCAAATTAGACTGCAAGATCGAGTCCAACTTTAAGCGAGTGGGGAAGCGCAGCCGCAATGCTGAGATGGAGCGAGAGATCATCGAACTCAGGAAGCAAATTGCCACCGGCAATGCTGGCCCAAATATGCATCAGGCGCAGTCGATATCTGGAGGCCAATTAACACCGAAGCAAGAGTCCAGCCAAGTCAGTCCGGTGGCAGTTTACCAAACAACGCCGTCAGCCATGTCCGCCGATCAGTATATGGGCTCCCAAGAGGCCGTGGCATCGCTCTTGGATCTGCGATCGGGTTTCGATAGTTCTAGCTACCTGAGGAACGGGAATCACCAGCTTAAGCGGATTGAAGACGTGATGGTGGCCCCGGAGATAGTCCAGGAGCTGTTCAACCTGTATGATGTCCCAGTCCCTCGCAATTGGTGTTTGCACTTTGTTCTAACACTGAAACACAGATTTTTCACATATTATCATCCATTCCTACCATTCCTCGATCGGCAACAGCTACCTGAGGATTATTTCAACACCTCGCCTCTACTATTTTGGACAATCATTAGTGTCGGCGCAAGAAGATACCAGAGTGATACTACTTTGTTCACTTCCCTTGCGGGACCTGTCACTCGCCTGGTATGGAGTACGCTAGCAGATGTCCCACAGAGCTACCATGTCGTGAAGGCGCTCGCTCTCCTTTGCTCTTGGCCTTTCCCTACCAGTAGCACCTCAACAGATCCAACCTTCATGCTATGCGGAATGATGTTGCAGGTCGCTATGCAGCTTGGTCTTCATCGTCCATCCCATATTCAAGACTTTAACAAATTTCGGAGAGAGCTCATTGAGGAGGAGTTGAGAGACAAAGTCCGAACGTGGGCTATTTGCAACGTTGTTGCACAGCGGTATGTCATGACTATCTCATCCTAGAAATCTTTAAATCATCATCTAATCTGTTTTTCTCAATGGAAGGGTTTCCACTGGGTATGGTCAGCCACCGTCCACTTTGTATGATTGGACTCTATCATCCAATGAATCTATGGATCCAAATTTCAAACTCTCAAACGACATCATGCCCAGGTTGGAAATTGAAAAGTTATGTGACAAAATCACACGAGCCCTATACACCAATCGACGGGATCCTGTGGGCCTGAGCAGTGATCAAGAGCGAAGTGTCATGATCTCTTTTCTTTCGCGGGACTTTGATGAACTTGAAGAGCGGCTCAGGCCTCAAAATGATTGTAAGGCAAATGATTTTCCTCTTGCGGATCCTCGGAGTATTAATTTTGGATTAGGCATTACCGATCTGTATTTGCGCGCAGCCAATCTCCATTTACACCTATCTGCCTTTTTTGATGAACCCTCAGCAAAGGATTACCGTGAACGTGTCTTATCGCTGTACCTTGCGACCACCTCTTTCCTCGAGGCAGCGATGAATCTCGGAACTGAAGTGGGCCCTATCCTCTCGTATACCCCCTATTATATATACCAGATGATGGTCGCAGCAGGCTGCACCATCCTCAAGTTGAGCAAGAGCTTTTTCTCTGCTCACATTGATATGGAGTATACTAAACAACTCTTCAATCGAACGATTTGGGCTATCCGCGGCGTATCAGTCTCCAACAACGATCTTCCGGAGCGACTTGCCGAGGTTTTGGCTCAGATGTGGCGTCTGGGCGCCGGGCAGCAGCGCCCCAACAACGGCCATCCCGACATGGATGATTCTCTCAGATTGAAGGTGCGATGTCGCATGAGCATGTCGCTCCTTTTTGACTCGGTGTGGCGTTGGCGAGAGGATGCACGAACGAAGGGACGAAATATCGAAGGTATGATTGTTCTTGTCTCTTCATCGAAACGATTGCCTGTACTGACTTCTTCCAGCTTATCTGAAGAACCCAACCAATCCCGACTCAAATGCTGACTCGTCAGCCGCTTCGTCTGTTGGGCCTCCCCGCACGCAGTCGTCTACCCCGGGCATTGACCCCAGTCTGGCGCCCGCGCCTCTGATCACTCAGGCCAGTCTTGGCGTTCAATCAAACGACGGAGTGGGAGGGTTACCGAGCGGATTTATGGAGCCCAATTACGAGGTTTTTGATCCTTTGAACTGGCTTTTGGATGGGTTGGTAGACCTCCCCTATTCATATTCGAATCTGGGAGGCGTGGAGCCGCAGGGGATCACCTGATGTCTCCTGTAGTCATGGCGTTTCTTGGATATTCTTTTGCAAGCGGGCTTACTTGTACCATTATACCACAGCCCTATTAGCTGATACATGGAGTGGGGTGTTGTTCGTTCTTTGGTCTCGGTCTTGGGGTTTTTTTTTTTGCTTACGGAACTTTTATGCCCTGTGTAATGAGTTCGCTGACTCCTATGTATGAATTCGACCATGACCAGCGAGTGTGGATATTCCATTTTACTATTCCTTCCTCTCGATTCCCTCCGAGTCGTTCTCTAGTCTGTGACTACACCTTTAGGCGAAGTTGCCAACTTCAATTATGAGATGGAGAGAATTCTGTGTGATCCATCTTCACCTCTCCTGGGAAATCAAAATTATAGACAAGACGCGGCAATCCCTTGCTTCTCTAGATTGAGCTCATGAAAGCAGTTGGCTGACAAGTCATCATTTAGTCCCAGTTCGTCTTGGAATAATACTAGTAAAGATCGAATATTGGGTAATCATTCAACGTCTGGGCTTTGGGTACTTATGGCAACATACCACCTGCCTCGGTGACTACTTTAAGTAATTCCTCACTTTTGCTTTACCATTCATCTTCATCCTTCTCGTCTTTCCTCGCCTCTTTACACTCCCCGCTTTACCCTCTCTCTTATCCCTTCATATTCTTTGTTCACGATTACTTGATCCTTCCACTCCTCCTCATCATGAATAACATCACACGTGCATTTGACCAGTATGCAACCATGAGAATGAGTTCTCTAGAATCAATTCCCCCTGCTCAATTCCATTATGGTTTGGGGGCTCTGGTGTTTGCTCTAGCAGTGATCTCCCTGCTTTTCCTCCTGGTGACTGCAGTCAGCTTATTCGTTACATCTAGACGCCTGACCAATGTGAGTGGTTTTCGTTCGAAGAATTTGGGCTATTTGATACATGCCAATCTTCATTCACCTGGTCCATCCATGTACTCACTAGTGACCTTGCGTCTCATAGGTGCGCGTCCCTTTTGCATCTGGGAAAGGCCCGCTTTCTACTCTATATCAGCAATATCGATTCGTGGTCGATGGACCTAATTTGATCACAAAAGGCTCTCGGCGATTCACAAACAGTCTGTTTGAGATTCCACGTACTTTTCGCCATGGTCAGATCATTCTATGCAGCCCAAATCTTATAGAAGAACTCCGGACCACTCGCAGGGCAGTTGCGTCGCCCGAGCCATGGATCGACCAGGTAAGCAAGCTGCGCCGCGTCAGGGCCGCGAAAAGCAAGTCCTCAGATCTCATCCACAGTTACTGCAAATCTCTCATGTCATGCCTGGGTATTTTCCCAAGGACGGCGGTTGGCCTACGATTGCGAAGACCACCCCGGGCCTCATTCGCGGAACCGTCACCAAGCATCTAGACTTGTATGTCCCATCTATGGACAAGACAATACTCGCCCAGTTGGAGGCGCTGGAGCTGCAGGATGGCGGTACGTTTTGACACCAACTTACTTCCCTTCATTTGGCAATAGGCGAGGAGGGCTAACCCCGACACGTGCGCAGAATGCGTGGTCAACTGTTTTGATTTCGCCTATTCCATCGTGGCTCGGATTGGTAGCCTTGCCCTTGTCGGCCCTCGCCTGGCCCAGGATGAGGAGTACCTGAAGGCAGCGAAGGATCACATCCTTGGTATGATCGTGACCGCTCGCGTTCAGTTTCTGGTTCCAAATTTCCTCAAACGGTCAGTCTTCTGTCTCCATCTCTTTTTTCGACCATTGCTTACTGAAATGGCTTGAACAGATACATTGGCGGAATCATCAGTCGTCTGACTTCTTGGAGCATGCGATGGAATATGCATTCCTCGCGCAAGGTCCTGCTTAAGCACTTTGATGCACGAGGTGCAGAATACGACAAGGATATTGCCAGTGGCGGCAGCGTGGAGGACAAGCAGTCCAATCCCACCAGCGCAGCGGAGCCGGTAAGTTATTGCAATCAGCATTGTCCTTCGTGGCTTCCTAACTTACCCATGGCTAGGTTGAGTTCTTCCGGTGGCTGTACGAGAGCTGCACCATCCGCCACCGTTGGTCGTACGCCGAGGTGATTGGAGAAATGCTGCTGCTCCAGTTCGCGTTCATCTATACAACAGCTTATGTGAGTACCTTGGCTTGGATACCCGTCGCCCTATGTTAGCTTCCATTCGCATGTACATTCGTTCCGTCTGTTTGCCCGAGTCTTCGCCGCAGTTGCTTACAGGTCGTCCAGGGATTGTACGGCGCCTTGGCCGAGCTTGCCCAGCGTCCCGAGTATATCGAGCCCCTGCGCGAAGAGATCGAGAGCATTCTCGCAGAAACAGAATCTTCCGTCGCAGCCTGTGATCGCATGGTCCGACTCGATAGCTTTCTAAAGGAATGCCAGCGCCTGCATCCTCCTTCGGCCGGTATGCCCATAAATGCCCAGTGAAGGAAGATCTTTGAGAAACCAAACACTAAAAAGCTCCCTTTAGTCTCTGCCCATCGCGTCTGTCTCGAGCCACTCGAGCTTTCGAACGGTGAGTTCTTTCTCTCTATTGGTTGGGATTCATGGCCTCGTCCAGTTCGGCACGGTTACACCGCATGGCATGGAATCCAGACTTCTTTGCTAACATTATTTGGAATACTCCAGGCACAGTCCTCAAGGCCGGCTCCCACGTTGGCGTTCCCAGCTGCTGGATCCACCGATCCAGCAAAAGTTATGTTGACCCAGAGCTCTTCGATGGCTTCCGCTTCGTCAAGAGAGCTGCCGCCGGCGGGACCAATAACCGCTTCACTGACTTGAGCCCTGACTATCTCGTTTTCGGAATGGGCGTGCACGCCTGGTGAGTTATGTTTCATCTTACATAGCTATTCCCAAACCTGTCCCTTCTTTTTTTCCTTTTTCTGGGGAAGTGGCATTTGTTTCTTGTCTTGAGTTGTCATCTTTCAATTCCAACTGCCCAGATCCATGGCTGCTGACTCGTGTTCACATTCTGGTGGCAGCCCCGGCCGATGGATGGCTAGTGTTCTCATGAAGCTGGTGCTTGCGCACCTCATCATGCACTTCGATATCATGCCCGGATCCGCGAGTGCCCGGCTGACCGGGTCCCTCTCTTTCGAGGAGTTTTTTGTGCCCAACTTTGGACTCAAGGTGCACCTGCGTCGGCGTAAGAAGGTCGAGTAGGTAGCCACACTGGGGAGTTTTGGATATACATTGGCCGGGGAACATCAAGGCTCTTGAAACTTGCTTTCCATTTATTCCTTTTTTGTCCATGGCTAGGCTCCGAAGGACGAGGATTTGGACGTACTGAAACAAGGATACCGGATGAGAACGCGTTGATTCCTTACATCCCGTCAAGCAATGCAATACCGCAGCGTCTTCCAAAAGAAGAAGAAAAAGAAAAAAAGAAAACGCCCATGAGCTTCAACAAGGAGGCTTTTTTTCCTTCGACGTAGGACTTCCCACCCAGCCTCTATACTTCTACTCGTAGATCCGCGCTAAAGCCGACACGATAAGCACCGATAAAGCCATCCACCACGTCATCTGATCGCCGACTCCAACATCCCCCCCAAAACCCAACAAACCCAAATGGCCTCAAAACGCCCCCTTATAATCCCACGCAAACGGCCCCTCCTCCCCCCCTCACACAAGCTCAGACAAAAGCGCCAAGAGCCAGCCGCCCCGCGTCCTCAACCCTAGCGCCGTCGCAGCAGAGACACGCATGAAAAAGGCCGCACCGAGACACTACAGCTCAGACAGTGCCGACGAGAGTCTCAGGGGAGGATTCAGAGGATGAGAAGCCAGGGCCGGTGAAATTTGCGTTTGCAGCACCACCTCAGCCCTTCCTCGAACCGCCGACTTGGGAGGGGATGCTGAAGCGCCACGCGCAGGCCCAGACGAGGGGTGTGGATGGATCGGGGGATACGAGGGATAAGAGTAGAGATGCAGGAGGGAGAGGAGAAGAGGGGCTAGAAACGGCTGACGAGCGGGTTCGAAGGCGCGAGAGGGAGGCCGAGTACGGGTCTATGGCTGTTCGGGGGCGATCGAGGGTTGGAAGAGGGAAGAGAGAGAAAGGCAGAAAGTTGAGAGGGTGAGTGGGGAAGAGGAGGGCACTGATTCTGTGTTCTGGTTATATGGTGACGAGTTATGAAATCTGATTCCTTTTCTTTTCCTTCTTTTGGGTTGATACCCAGTGTGTTAAGACAGCAGGCTACGGGACTTTGGCGGAAATGAAGATGATGCAAAACGAGCTAAATTCCAAAAAAAAGACACCAGCGCAATAAAAAACAGGTATATCCAGTAAGGGCTATAACAACAAATGCATGTCCGTCATAACGCAGAGAACTTATGGTACATCTTGAGGCCACCAAAACAACGGGCGCAATCGGCATAAGTCATCGAGTCGTCATTGTTTTCATAAGTAATCGTAGACATCGTATCAAAGTAAGGGAGAACAGGAAAAAAAAGCCAACATGGAAGCAAACTCGTAGCACAGAATGGACAGAAAGCAGAGCAGAAATCATAAAGCATGGACATCAAAATTGTTAGGCACTCCGGCCAGATGCATTGTCATCATCATAAGGTTCGTTTTCGTGAAGTGAAACATATTCTGCCAACAGGCTGGTCATAACGTGGCATGGAAATGAGGAAAAGCCCATTACCGTATTGCGCCATTGGCCGTACTAGATCCCACATACACAGGGCCACCGATACTTTGTTTGAGATTCTCGCGGCGCGCTGCTCGCTTCCGCTCGTCTCGTCTCTGCCTTATGCGGCGCACACGATTGCGCATGCTACGCAACGACAAAGACTGGAATTGACGGCTGAGGCGAGAAATGGTCTGGAAGCGGTTTTTATAAAGCGGAGAACCGGTGCGAAGAATGGCTTGGTCCACCAAGCTAGCATTGCTGAGCATTCAGGTGGCTGGCTGAGGACATTCCATGGAGCAGACGTCGCATCTCGGGACTGCGACGAGCCATGGCGGACGGGCCCTCAATGGTAATCCGTTGCTGCGGGAGGCCTAGGGAGTTGTTGATTATAACACCCTCTTCAGTGGTTTGAAGGCTTTGCCTGGCTGAATTCCCCTTGGGAGGTGACGTCGAGATGCCCTCCCAGAAGCCGCGCGGGCGCCAGAAGGGGTGCTCCTGCCCGTTCATCTCGAGCCCGGCTTTGCGGTTCTTCGCTGACCGCATGGAGAGAGACCGCGCCATTGTGGTGAAGGAGTTGGAGCGTGGCCGACCACCCCATGGACGACGCACAGAAGGTCGACGCCCAACATGTTGGCTAGTGGCCTTCGATGGCTTTCTCTCCAGCCTCTCTGGCGCAGGAAGAGGGGGCAGGGGCTTGGTAACTGGAGGTTGCGGCGGTGTACGAGGGTGCCTCAAGGGGGAAATGAATTTTGTTGCGCTAGGGTCGAAGGTTGGCTCCGGAGTGTGAGGTTCCGACGGTGGCTCAGCAGCTTCATAGAAGGCACGGAATGAATGGGTTTGAGGCCCGGGGGGAAGGAAATGATCAAACGGCGGTACTCTTTGGTCAACCAGCAACAGAGATCGATTGTTGTGCGGGAAGAGGGTGACGGCCGTGGCTTCTCGGATTTCAATTGGCCCAGGAGAAGTGGATGGAATCGACCATTGCGTAAATGGCAGAGATGGCGGTCGCAGGGTCGCCACGTCTTCCGAGCTAAGGGTCAGTGCTGGCATCTTCGGAGGTTCCCGCAGGCTTTGGAGTTGAGGATCATCTTCTATTTTGACGATAGGCTGAGTGACAGGTCGGTCGAACGTGGTACTACCAGCAAGGATATTGTGACGAGGCGGCGACACGGGTTGGTGATCATTGACATTTGGTGTCTCCATATCGATGCCCAGAGCGTCATGACGCAGTGTCGACACAGGTTGCCGACCATCCTTCTTCAACGACTCCAGGTCCATGGCCTGGTTGTGACTGCGCAAGCTCGCTGACGTCAGGGATGCAGCACGAGAGTTATTCCGACTTGTGGGGGCTGAGAGCGACGAGCTGCGCGGCGGGATAACCGGGCGCCCAAGCGGACGACTCCTCGAGTCCTGATCTTGGGATGGCGCAGGCGCGGAATCAGACATGGTTCGTTGTCGTTGGCGAGGGACCTGGATTGAACCAGACCCCTGCGACGAGACGGGTGGACGCTGAGTTGACCGCTGCGAGCTTTGCTTAGAGGAGACATAACTATTGGGCCCTGATTTCAAGGATGAACGCCTTTCGGGCACCACGATGACTGGAATGATGTCGACTGACGCATGAGGCGCAGTAGTGGTCGGCTTGGCAGAGAATGATATGTCTGAAGAGATGCTCCGACGGTCCTGTTCGCAAATTCGAGCAGCCTTGTGTGCCAGTCGAGGTTGAGAGCTAGGATTGGAGACAGTAGAGGTGGGAGACTTGGTGACAGGGGAACTCGCAGATCGCAAGGAGTTCCTCTTTTCCGTGTGTCTCAACAACCGCTGAGCGCGCTTTGGGGAATCAATAATCATCGCCGAGACTGTGGATGTCGAAGACAGGTCCGACAAACGGCGCGATTCTGGGTCATCTGTCTGCGATAACCCATCAAAGGTGGGCCAGCCGATTTCCTCCCGAAAGCGTTCCAAGGAAACACTTTCAGGAATTTCCTGGTTATCTCGGACTCGATCTCGGAGTTTCTTCTCTCGCATCAGTGAGGCATCCAATCGCTGAACATCTAACGTTTCCTTAGGGGTCTCCTTAACCACGTATTCGTGCTTTCGAGATTGTTTTCGTTTACCCGGTAGCGGCGTTGGAGACCCATCCACTGGTTTCTGCCACTCGGCGAACGCTTCAAACCCAGGTTCATATTGCATCTCGCCCAACTGCGGAGGGACCGAACGGGGGGGCCTCTCTTGTGTAAGTGAGTCGAGCGGCGGGGGCGGGTGGCGCATTTTGTCGCTGCGGCAAGCCTGCCGGCTTGTGTTTCTGAGAATCGTCCTGCGCAGAGCGAATAGGAGTTTCCGTATCACCGTCGGAGGTCATACTCTCCTGGGCCGTTTGGAAGGAATCGGCTCTCGAGGAAGCCGAATGGTGGACCGAGTGGCTCAGCGGTGGACGTCTCCTGGAGTGCGTTCGAGGAGGAGTGACATCGGGAGTGGGGGGTTTCGATGGACGGCGCGGAGTCAACATGCCGGTCTGAGACTCGGGTTGCGATCCAAGCTTTCGAGGGGTCGGTTCATGATCATGGATGCCTTCTTGGTTCGCGCCGGGCGGAGTCAAAGGAGGTGCGGGCGTGGCGACCGTGGCTTGTCGCTCCGGAGAGACAGGGTGGGCAACATCCGGGCAGTCGACATCCCTCTTGGGGAGATGCTTGTGAGACTTCAACAGTGGTCGGTCAGAGGTGGCTGTTGGATCCATCACCGCAACGCCTGGCATCTCCGAAATCCAGAAACGGGTTAGGTGTAATTCGGGATTACGAGACGGGCGCAGAGGGGATCATATTCTCCAAAATATAGAAAGGCCTAAGGTCAAGGCTTGGGTCGCATCGCGGGAAATTGAGGCGATCCCCAAGTCTAAGTGAGGAGACCCGATTAAACGATGTCTCGAAGAGGATGTAAGGGGACGGGATAAAGTGAAGTTGAAGGTAGGCGGGGCCAGAGGAGGCTGGTGTAGTGAAATGAGAGGTTTGGGGCACTAGCGTAGCAGCCAAAACTGCCAAGAATGAAGTGAAGAGAGAAAGGGGAGTGTTAAGCGGCCCGCAAGAAAGACCTCCACGAAAAGACTGGGGATAGAAGCCTCCAGGTTGTCCAAATGGTCACATCGCAAGTCACATCGAAGACGGCACCAATGGCCCCTTTGGCCCCTGCGTACAGAATTTTGTGCCGTACTCCGTTGCAGCCCTTCTTGGGCAAATCATCTATCACGCAGCGTCTTTGTACGCAAAAGACCCTTTGTCCGGACTCCTTCTATTGCCTCCTATAGGTTCTTCTAGGCTCCTGCCGAATCTTAGGGCCAGGCTACCCCTCGACTCGTCTTTCTGCTAATCTATCTCCAGCAATATTCTACGTGTCAGGGCCACACGCAAACTCGTCGGACCCAACGCCCAATGGGAAAACGGCCTCCATCCCCACCGGAAAGCAGAGAGTCGGAGAGTCGTGGGAAGTGCGTCTGCCTATAGGCGGGGCAGCTCCGTCTTTTGCACGCGTTCCTGGATCGCCCAAACTCTCTTTCGTGAAGACCTGTTTCAAGAACCAAAGTCCGACTCGAGCCTGGGAAATCTGCCAAGCCTGAGATCGGGACTAGTTAGCGATTATCCTGGAGCTCTCCAGCCTCGGGTCTCCAGGTCTCCGCGGCGGAAAAACCGTAGGATGACAAAACCACTCCTTGCAGGGCCGGGGCGTTTGGAGATCGGTTCAGTCTGTAGGCAACTGAAATCTGCAAGCCACACATTCCGTCTCATCTCACTTGAAAAAGAGGATCTACAGCTTTCGGAAACAGAGGACACAAAACAGAAAAGAAAAAAAAATTTGAGGAAATGGAAAAGCCATCGAGCAAAGTGTAGAGAGGGAGATTAGATTAGAGACGCATTCGGGAAGGGCATGTGGCGAACAATGACGATATGGCCCAAGGTGGGAACCTTGATTGGATCCAATTTCCCAGAGGCGTACGACCCCAGATTCGAGCGCCTGCTATGGTTCAGAGCACAGCTTGAGACGGATCTTTTGGGCCAAAGCTCATTGCGGCAAGTAAGCTGATGCTTTAGGAACCGAGATAGGATGATGGGAAATCCTAGTAGGACGACCATTCTGCACTGCTGTACGATCCTAGGAAATGCCAGAAATGCCAGAAATGCCAGAATACAGCAGTGCTCGGAGAGCCAATGACGATATGATGAGAAAACAGGGGAGCACAGCATTATAAAAGTTGATATTCAGATAGCGGGAATCCCTGTTGGTGGCGGGGCATGACGCCAGCATCCCATGTCATGGGCCAAGCCCGCATCGAACGATGACATCGCCCAGTCGATGTCATAGGCGTTTTCTTCTCTCCTCCAGCCTTGATCTCATCCCCCTCCATTACCCCCCCTCCCCCTGTGCCCGTTTTTCCTTAACTGGGTTTCCCTCTCCCGATTCCTTCCCTTCCTCTCAAATCCATTGGCGGGGATTTCTCATCTTCTATCGTTTTTTCTCCCCATTTTCCCCGTGTCTCCCGTTTCTCCTACCCTGGGCTTTCTCGCTTCGGGCCTTGATCATAAGCCTATTATCCTCCTCCCTCACTTCACCCTCTATCCTTAATAGTCCTCTCCACCTCCTGCCCATCATGAGTACTATCCAGAATATCAAAAACTTCATCCGGCACGGAAAACAAGCGCGCCTCGTGACCCCTCATTCGGAACCGACTACCGACGTATCCGCGGTCCACGCCGAACCACAGCCCCCCTCTTCCAGCCAATTTTCTCCAGGTCTACTCGAGGCCTACGATGCCGATCTCAGGGGAAATGGGCAAGCCGGATCCCAAAAGTTATCGGAAGCCCAGGTCCGCAAAGCCCGGTCGCTCGAGATTGAACGTCTAGTCGCTGAGGAAAACTCCAACCGCTCCAAAATGCCTCAGTATCCCGGTTTAGAGCGCTGGATCTTGGTCGAGAAGATGGGCGACGGTGCCTTTAGTAATGTGTATCGCGCCAAGGACTCTACAACGGAGTACGGCGAGGTCGCTATCAAAGTTGTGCGCAAGTTTGAAATGAACAGCAATCAGGTAGGGTGGCCGGCCGGTCTTTTTCCTTTCTATCTTTCCTTGGTTATCAGCGTCTGCTGCAAGGTGTGTCTGGGGTCTTTTCGTGAACAACGCCAATACTTTGTAGTCCAGCCAGCGTCCAAACGCCCAAAAGGTTCCAAAGGCTGCAGAGGTGCGCAGATCTCTCTCCCTATAGGTTATCTCTTCCTATAGGTCACGCTCTCATTCCCGCCGTTCCTGTCTCACTTGCCTAGTTCCTTGCGATTCTCTGGTAAAGAAGCGCTTGCTAACCCATCTATTTCCCAGCGTGCGAATATTCTCAAAGAGGTTCAGATTATGCGCAACCTCGACCACCCCAATATTGTCAAATTGATTGATTTCTCCGAGTCCCGCCAATACTACTACATTATTCTCGAACTCTGCCCCGGCGGCGAGCTTTTCCATCAAATCGTGCGATTGACTTATTTCAGCGAGGATCTTAGTCGCCATGTCATCACGCAGGTCGCCAAGGCGATTGAATATCTTCATGAAACTTCAGGCGTTGTGCATCGGTTCGTAATGCTCCGCGTCCAATGGACCATACCCCCGCTAACGCTTCTACAGAGACATTAAGCCCGAGAACTTGTTGTTCTACCCAGTCCCCTTTGTTCCTAGTCAAAGACCCAAGCCTAAACAACCCGGCGATGAAGAGAAGGAAGACGAGGGCGAGTTCATCCCCGGACTCGGATCCGGTGGCATTGGGAAAATCAAGATTGCCGACTTTGGTCTTTCCAAGGTAATTTGGGACAGTCAGACAATGACTCCATGTGGTACCGTTGGCTATACGGCGCCCGAAATCGTGAAGGACGAGCGATACTCTAAGAGTGTGGACATGTGGGCCATGGGCTGTGTGCTTTACACCCTGCTGTGTGGTTTCCCTCCATTTTATGATGAGAGCATCCAAGTGCTCACCGAAAAGGTCGCGCGTGGCCAGTACACCTTCCTATCTCCCTGGTGGGATGACATCTCCAAGTCGGCCCAGGACTTGATTTCGCACCTCCTCACAGTCGATCCTGAAAAGCGCTACACCATCAAGGAATTCCTCGATCACCCTTGGATTCGACAGACCGATGAGGAAACCACTGCGGCTGCCGATGCACCTCCTCTCGCAACTCCGTTTGGCCAGGTCCGCGAAACTGGACCAGGCCAGAAACTGGATCCCGCGGGAGCCGACCAAGCCCCATACCAGCCTGCCAGCTCTCGTATGCTAGACCTTCCCGCAGTGACTCCAGATCGCCGCATGGACTTCCGTTCACCAGGCGCCTTCAACCTTCGGGAAGTTTTCGATGTTGGTTATGCCGTACATCGACAAGAAGAGGAAGGTAAACGTCGTCGAAATGCACGTCAAAACCCTGCCGCGGGTTTCTCCTCTGCCCTCGGTTCCCTCAACGAGGACTACGATGATGAGTATGACTACCGGCCCCAAGGCAACTCAGGTCAACCGCCCTCCAAGGCCGCCAAATCATCAGGTCAGTCGGGCGATTTAGCCGGTATGGAAGCTAAGCTTCGATCCACAAACCTCGGCGCCCAGAGCAGTGCTGCCCAGGCACGCCAAGCGCACAAACCACGCCAACAAGGCTACGGCCAACACGATGCAACCGTGGCCGCAGCTGCAAAGAGCAGCATCGGTCGCAAAGCCGCTCAGCCATTCGAACTCAGTTTGGACGGTGCCACCCTCCTTGAAAAGCGGGGGCGTCGCAACAAACAGCAACCGGTGGCATGAGTTTTTCGGATTCTGTCGTTTACACGACAGTCACAGCCTGGCGTTATCTTCACGGCTTCCAATGTTTCCTTTCCGTCTTGAACGAGCGATTTATTGCATGAGTTATTCCATTTTCTTCTTGCTGTGGTGTCTTTTTTTTTTTCCCTCCCTTACCCTTCACGCGCACCCTCTATGACCTTTTCCTCATCTCTCCCGACGACTTCGATGTTGATGACTTTAAGACATCTTCTTTACCTCATTCGTCTCCTCCTCTCTACGCGTTGTTTGGGTGTCCCTGGGCGAAAGAAGAGCATACATACTTCATTTGGCTGGTTTTGATACCTAGGAAAGGTTACTAAGGCAACGGGTTCGGCTTTTCCTCTCTGTGTTCTTAGTTCATAGAGCTTGCTTGAGTTGGGGTAGGCGTTTTATCGATGTATTCCTTTTTGTTTTTTTTCTTCCACGTTACCCTTCTCAAGTGCAAGAATACTTTATTGACTGTACTTGGGCGCAATCCCAAGGGGTTTCAATCGCATTTCTTCTACGTCTTCGTTTCTGGCGGGGCGTATCTTGAAGTTTTCCAAGCCCGAGCGTATGCTTTTCCCCTCCAAGATGGGTGGGTCGGATTCTGGCGATGGCTTTAGACGGGGCTTGTTTCCCCACATTCCCCAGACCTCACTGGCTTCGCCTCACTGGCTTAGATTTCAATTAAAGATATCCATTACAGGGAACCCCACTTCCAAATGCACGAATGTATTTATTTAAAATCACAATGGTATCTCGGAAAGAACAATGTCCAGGAACCGGATCTGGCTCCGCCATGCAACGTACAAAAAATGAGCAAGGGGAGAAAAAGTGATACATCAGCTAGCAAACCCGGGTCCACGCAAAACCCGCTCCAGGCGCATCCGCGAGCCCCGAAACTAGCGCAATTCATAGTATACCGGGAATCAAACATCTTTTGACTTTCCCGTCTCCTTCGCAAGTCTGTAAAGCATCCACCGGAAACGACCCCGGAGAAGAGAGGGGAAAAAAAAGATAAAATAAACAGATAACAGATCACGAACTGATGTACAAAGGATAATCCCGTTTTTACAGAGTCTGCTTACCGCGCGTCTCAATAGGCAACAGCACCATCGCGACAAACGCAGCCAGCATCAGACCACCCGAAGCGTAGATCGGCGCATTGGGATTGCCGGTGCTGGAGTAGATCGCCACGAGCGGCGCACAGAGACCCGCGATGCGGTTGAGACAGCTCGAGATACCGGATCCAGTGCCGCGGATGGTGGCCGGGAAGACCTCGGGCGTGTAGGCGTACAGCACGCCGTACATGATGTTCTGGAAGAAGGCTTCGAGGCAGGAGCAGAGGAGCTGGATGTTGGAGTTTTGGGACTCGGTGAAGCAGAAGAGCAGGACTCCGGTGACGACGGTGGCAAAGGCCATGGTGCCCTTGCGGCCGATGTACTTGATTTCCACGGTGAAGCAGGCGATGATGGAGCCCGGCACACCGACGATGGAGGTGATCGCGTAGTTGCGGTAGGTGGTGGATTCGGAGTTGGTACCGCCGCCGGAGCGGGCGAGGTACTGGGCAGGAAGGCGTTGAAGAGGGGGTAGCCCATGCCGATGGTGGCCCAGCAGAACCAGAGAAGGACGGTGGTGAGTCCGAGCTTCTTGTTCGCGAAGAGCAAGCGGATCTTCTTGGCGGAGAACTTGGAGAAGAAGCGGGCGATGATCTGGACCACGCTCAGCTTGGTGTGGTCCTCGGCCGTGGAATCGTCGACACCACCGATCTCATTTAGGATCTCGCTGGTGAGCCAGGTCTTGGTGCGGTTCTTGTAGGCGATGCCGTGGACGGAGGCAACCGCTTCGTCCTGGCGGCCGCGGGAGAGCAGAAATTTGGGCGACTCGTACAGGTGGAAGAAGAAGAACCGGGCAATCCACATGGCAAAGGTAATGGCACCCAGGGTGAGGATCAGGTAGCGCCAGCCCATGTTGTTCTCCTTTGTGCAGTCTTGCGCGGAGTCACAGCTGAAGTTTGGGATGAAAGCCCAGGCGAGCAGACTCGAGATCAGCTGGCCGATCGGCCACCAGACACTCAGCATGGTCAACATGTTTCCGGAGACCTTGGGAAGGAACTCGAGGAAGAGGGCGCCGTCCACGGGCAAGTTCCCGCCGACTCCGAGACCAAGACAGGCGTACAGGGCGCTGGTACCGACCCAGTTGGGACCACCGCCAGCGGCGAGACCAAAGGCACCAGCAAGGAAAAGGGTGGTGTTGAATGCGAGGCGACGGCCGATGATATCGGACACAATCCCCCAGAACGAGGCACCAATGCAAAGACCCAAGAACAAGGCACAGGTAGAGAATCGCACCGTTGACGTATCAACCCCGAACTCGTTCGCAATCGGGGTTAAGGTGAGGGCAACACCTTGGAGCCAAAGGCTGGAGTAAAATTAAAAGTCAGTTCTCGATGTGAATGTTCCAGCCTTGTGTCCGAGGGAGCTTACTTGTCTGCGAGCCAACCGAAGCCACACAGGAAGAACAGCTGCCACTGATAACGGCCCATGCCGATATCCGCAAGAGCTCGGTTGATCACCTTTGCCTTGCCTGTAGGGTTAAACATTAGTCTTCAAACCATATTTTTCTCGGGCGAAAATCGGCGCTTTGGATTCCGAAATAGAAAGGATTGAGGGCAACATACGATCATACATCGTGTTGCTGGCACCAGCAGCAACTTCGTCGTCGATTTCTCTACGGAGAATGTCGAGGGTCAAGTGGCTGGTCTCAGGAATGGAGCCGGCGCTCCCATTCTCTGCAGAAGGTGAGCGGTCGAGGGAGTTGACGGCATCTTCCTCTTTCTTCTTCTCCACGGTCGAGTTGTTGGCCGCATTGATGGGGGCATCGGACAAGGGGATCACCACACCAGGGAAGTTCTGTCGGTCCTTTTTAAAGGGGTTGAATTGAGCAATACCCATGATGGCGGGATGGGGTAGGGCTAGGCGCTTGAGGGTAAATGGGATCGGCGGGGGAATAGCGGGATTGCTCAAGTCGCAAAGGATCACGGGGGTTGTCGCTATCTGGGGCAAATGCCGGTTATATGCGCTAGATATAGGGTCAAAGTCGAGTCAATTTCCGTGGAGAGAGTCGGTTTTCTCTGGGCGAAAGACTACAAAAGTGGCGCAAGGGAAACAAAAGTTAGGGCTAAAGCTGGGCTAAAGCTGGCCGTGGCGCGTGGCGGATTTTGTCGCTGTGGTAATTCGGAGTCAATGCTCGGGCTGCTGCAATCGAAATGTCGCTAGTCGTTCTAGAGAGCAAAGGTCGAATGCAAGAAAGATGTGCTTGGTTGTTGAGACACCAATTCTGTGTTTTGTTCAAGCTCGAAAGACCAGCCAGTGGTAAAGTGACAAAGGGTGGTAGCTAAACCGGGCAGCCAAAAGTATGCCCCGAGCCCAAGTAAATGGGTTTGGTGTGTGAGGGGAAGTGGGAATGGAATGGGAGAATGGAAAACCAAAGGAAGAGAAAGAAGATTCAGCGGGATGGACGTGATCCTATATAGAGAGAGAGGGACTTGAGTGGGCATCTCCGTTAGGGCATCTCTTTTCCCTTTTTTTCCCTTTTTCTCTTTTTTTTTCCCGCGCAACTCGTTCTATGGTACTAAACTGCGAGTAGGCCAGTAATGCTCAAAGCTCACCGGGGCCGGAGAGTCGTGACCCAAAAAGGGAAAGCGTGGCGCCTGGGGCCAGAATCCATTTTTCGGACTATCCCCGTCTTAGATTAGCGGGCTTGGCACGTGGTAAACCCAATACCGTATTAAATCACGGCTGCCCTGACGCCACTCCGGCTGCCGACTTTTAGCGTCCTGGACCGTTCGGCTCTCGGATCGACCCGGTTGTTCTTCTCTTCTCAGGCTATTTGTAAAACACCGAACCAGAGATTCAAGCATGTGGTTTATTCCGGAAAAAAACCCCTTGACCAGATTTTGTTGAATACGGGCTACCGCGTTGGGAATAGTGTCACGGGTCGATCTTAATCCTGCATCGGGCATTGAGACGGGTCAAAGAGACGGAACACTGATATTTCCACTCCTATTAGACATCCTGCGTCGAGTTCAATATTCAACTCGGGAGACTGTCCTCGACGCCAAGGCTCGTTTGATCACAAATCAAGTTTGAACGTTTGCAAACCAGCTCGACATCATCGAGCCCTCGAACGCGGCCATAGCCGACAGGGCCCCCCCCCCCCCCAAAGTATCGGAGCCGACAAAATCTTTCACATAATTACCACTGGTTACCCAAATCAGGAAGGCCCCAGGAATGATCTCCACGTGCTCGGCTCGACGTCATTCCTCCATCTTTCTGTGACGAATGATTGGTCAAGCTCGTACGTAGCCTTTTCATTGCTTTTTCCCCTAGCAAGCCCGCACACCCCAGTCGATTGCCCAGTGCTGCACTATGATCGCATGCTGGTCCCCGGGCGTGTGTTCTTATCACTAGGCTTGAGTCATGGGCTGAGTTAATGGCATTACCCAATTTTACTTCGTAGATTAGAGTGATAGACGTGCAGATAGGCGGGGACAGTAATACGAGATCTTCCCTAACCGGCGGAACCCTTCCGAATGCAGAGGCAGAGCCTCGGAATCACTGCGGTAATTTACAATACAACGCTGCGCCTTCCATGCCACGGGCGCCCCGCCACAGTGCTTGTTGAGACTGCCACCACTCTCGAGCTTTGGAAGCCTTGCGACTGCACGTTTGCCTCTGGAACTTTTTTATGCATCGATGAACTCTTGCCACTGTAGCCAGAGACTCATGATTATGTTAGCAATTACTCCGCGCATTCGGTCCATCTCACGAAAAGCATGGCATGATTCCAGGTCGCGTGAGTACTTCCTAGGTCGCCCATGGCACGGCCAACCTCCATTTTTCGACCCTGTAATATTAGGACTAGAGCGATCAGAGTGGGCATCACCAACAGCCCTTAGGATAGAGGCTGGTGTCCGGGCCATCCGGCGAGCGAGTAGGAAACGAATCGGCGCGCCCTGAGCCTTGCGTCTGTACAGCATTGGTCGATACATAACCCTCCAACCAAAACCCCAGAAGATATGGAAATGACATCCAGATAGCGTGAAGGTCTCTGGGGAAAGAACCAACTGTAACGCTTTTCTTTACTGTTTCTCATGTTGTGCCCGGCCTGTGTATTCTGGTCATCGCGTTCTCCGGTATCCTAGGCTCTGTTGCTGATCTCCATGCATTCTGAACCACTGCATAATAACCGCACCTCACTAAACCCAATATCGCTTACCTGGTAATATTGAGGATCCGTAAACTAGGCCAAGCTGAGGTCCATCTGCGTACACTCCACATCTCTCGGGCTGCGATGGGGCCACTGCGGCAATTTTATGCTTGAGCGCTGTTCAAGCTAGCTTGTTGCTCCTGTCCCTCGTACGCCGCAGGATAGGCTTGCTCGAATGAAACAATGGATAGTCCTGCGACTATTCCTAGTAATACGACATCCTCAATCTACCAAGACTAACATTGTCTGCTCCGAATCCGAGCGTCGCACGGCATACATCCGCAAGTCACAGTCAGGGCTTGCTTTCCACCATCTCACTACTATTAAACAGCAGACTAACTAAATTCCAAGGTTATATGAATATACAATCGAACGGCTTACAGATAAGTTTCCTAGAACTGCAAGCCCCAATACGACCAGGCCAGACTGTAAGAAAGCCAGGTACGGTACTCGAGTCTCAAAATCCTACAACAAGACCCTCCCTTTTCGACACCCAACCTTTGGCCCCAATCCTCTTGTCTCGTATGTATCATGATCGACCCGCGGCCTCGATGTCAAATCCCTGTCATATTGTTTCTCCCCCCCCCTTTTTTCCCACCTGCAACGATAAGCCCTGACCAGCCGATCGGCATTCGGTGCTGCTCTTCCGTCTCCCGAACCAAAAAGCAACCGTATACTCAAAATGGTAACGCGGTCCCGTCAGCTCGTGACATCAGCGATAAGGAGCTGCCTGCACATTAGCACCTCTAGGAAGAGTCCAACTGAATAAACTTCCCGTGGAAAACTCCGGACGGCCATCGCCGTTTCTCTGTGTCCTGATAGGCCCGGGGACGCCTCTAGATCGGGTTGCAGTAGTGATCCGCGTCGAAGTCTGGGGTAAACCGGCGGATCAAAATTACACGCTGTATTGAGGCTTGCGGTGTGGCGGCCAGCCACCCCTTAGTGACCTCGGTGGGACTCTCAAGGTTCCCAAGTTTGCTGCACGGAAGGTTGGGGGAGGGGGCGGTTCAGGCGCCTTGGGCGGATGCCCTGCCCCCCCCCCTACTAACCTGAGCGCATTGGCGTTTGAGGATGTGGTTGCCCGGCCTAAAGGGGTAAAAGCGATCTATGACTACAGACTTGGGAGGAACTGAGGACCAAGGCAGTGATGTCGTTTTCATTTATTGGCGCTATGTACGCGGAGTCGCATTACATTAATACATACAAAGCGGGTTCGTCCATCCGTTCGTCTCATCCATCTCATCCGGTTTTTAGATGGTCTGCGTGCGGTTCAGCAGCCACTCCAGGTGACGGTAGGAGCTGCGCGGCTGGAACTGGGGCTGCATGTGGCCGGACTGGAAGGTCTCAACCCACATCAGACCACGCTCGTAGTGCTGGATACCCATGATGCCCTGCGCGCCGTCGATGCCGGCCTCGCCGTTCTCCGCGTAGACCGAGGCGTACACCAGGTCGGGAATCTTGATGTCGATGGGGGTCTCCGGCTTCTTCTGGAATCCGAGATGGCCGTTCCAGGTCATGTTCTGGATGGCCATGAGGGTGCCGTTGGTGATGATGATCATGTCGAAGTCGCCGTTGCCGATCAGCACGCGGTTGGTGGCCTCGATGACCTGGGGCAGGACCTTCTCGATGGGGTTGGCGGAGGTGTCACCCTCACCCTCGGGGCCGGAATCGCCGCCCACGAAGACGGGATTGTTGGAGCATTCCACCCAGGTGATGTTGGAGGGTGCGTGCAGAGCGCGCTTCACGTCGGGGCGGTCGAAGTAAACCTGGGCGCCCTCGGGGGTGTAGACGAGCGAGGTGGGGAAGCCAGTCACATCCCACAGAATGGGGCACTGCAGGTTGATTTCGTACACATCGAAGCAGGGGTTGACCGCCGAAACGGCGTTGATGGCCAGGTCGAACACATCGCATTCCTCATCCAGTGAGGTCAGGGCGTAAGGCTTGGGTGGCTGGTGCTTGGGCGGAGGGAAAGTCAAGTACTCGTCAATCCAGTCGGCGTAGCCACACTTCTTGTGCAGGTGCTCGAGCTCGGCCATGAAGGTGTCATTGAGGTTGAACAGGTTGGCGTTCTCCTTCACGAATGGCACGGTGGGCACTTGCTCCTGGACGTAGTCAAACTGACCAATGCAAGGGTCATAGACGAGAGCACCTGGAGGAGGCAAACGAGATTAGGGCCCACTACTTGGCTATCCGGTAACGCCTAGGAGGGGGTTGACTCACCGTGGAGGTCGAAATGCTCCTTGTTCTTTTCATCAAGGAAGGCGGCGGAGATATAGGGCACATATCGTCCGGCGTAACTTTCACCGGTAACGTAGATCTTATAGTTCTTGATCCCGAAGATCTCCTGCCAGTTCTTGAAGAACTTGACGAATTCCTGGGCTATCTCCTCCTCTGAGGTAGCCACAGGCGTACCCGTCGAAAATCCGGTTCCCACGGGCTGATCGACCCACAGCACGTTGGTCAGGTTGACCCAGGAGTAAGGGGTCTCGACGGGAGCGAAGGTACCGGGCTGCCAGAGGAAGCGACCGTTCTCCTGAATGAAGGCTTCCATGGAACTGCAGCCAGGACCGCCATTCAGCCAGATCGTAATCTCGTCCACCGGCTCGCCGAGCTTGGGCTGGAAGATGAAGAACAGGCTACGCGAGGTGTCATTCTTCTCAATTGGCACCGAGCCGGAGTACATTTCTCCAATATCGAAGTTGACCTCGGGCAAGTGATCGACCAGGTAGGCTGTTCAACTTCTGTTAGCCGCTTTTGGGGGTCTCATTCCAGTTTCATCCGGCCTATCCGTATCGCCAATTGGACCAGGGAAGCCGACTTACGCTTGGTCTTCTTGCTCAAGTACTCGAAGTTCTTGGTGCTGCGGGAAACCTTCTTCCGCTGAGCTTCAACAGTCTTCTTAGCCCTCTCTTGGGGAAGACGGGCGAGCTGTCCAAAGTGTCCATGCTTGGATGCAGCGACCGACTCGCCCAGCGAGAAGGCCAGGAGAGCCGAGGTCAGAAGCGATTTAATCAACATCGCGGAATTGCTCCAAGAGAAACTCCGACGCCAAAAAAAAAAGGGGAGCAAAAAAGAAAATTAGCTTCTGCAAGCTCCGGCTAAGCATTGGGGGCACCCCAGCTTAAATAAACTGGGGGCTGCCATGAGGAGAGACTTCGGGCCCCACTGCTATCGGCGCCCGAGGGCAACTCCGTCGACCAGACCAGGAATTCTAACTGCGTACGCAATGTAGTTGGTTGGACCAATCCTCAAGCAGCAAACTAGCCCAAAACTAGCCAATGCTTCTTCTGCTTGTCTCCACAGCCGCCCCGTCCCCCCGTATCAAGGCGAAGCTGCAGAACGGGGCTAACCGAGGCAAGAGATTGGGGCAAACCGTGTAGCTTCCTTCGGTCAGTGATCTGCAGAGGTTTTCCCTGATTTCTCAGCGCGGCTGAGAAACTTGCATTGATCTTGTTGATACCTGTCAACCGGTACTTGAGGCGTCTCCTGGCGTCGGGCGTTTGGAAGCTTTTGGGGGGGGGAATGACAGCATCGAAGATCCGAACGCAGCACTACTAAGCTCATTATCCCGCAGAGATTTAGGCGACCGGGGCTGCGACGGGTTTCCGCTAGAATAGGCCTCTGCAACGCCCCATGGTGCGTTCGGTCCCCAATTGTACGTTTAGGCATCGTTGTTTTATTGGGGTGGACTGACTTCATCCCCTCTGCACCTTGACCCAGCCCCCCCCTCAGGCAACGAACCCAGCATCCCCCGATTCAGGCAAATGGAGCGCCGCCACCCGACTCATGCATGGAAGGCCTCTCGCGTAATACCGCCCTTCCACCGGTCTCCTTTTATTCCGTCAATCGGTGAAAAGCAACGTCGAGTGCTTCAAGGGGGCTGTGGGCGATCAGCGCTTTTCGAAGTTGGTCCGATAGCGATAGCGATAACTAGTTAGATGAGAGTATCTTACATCAAACTCGTACCTGACAATCTCCCGGGGAGGTTAAACTACGTCTGGCCTCCTCCTGCAGCTATCGTTCGGGGAGCCATTAAGCTATTCGTGAAGAATTGCGCCTAGATCATCGATGCTAAGCTTCTCCGTTGCCGCCAAAGCTGTGGATCGGAGATTCTGGCCACGGGCACGACAGGGTAGTCCCGGTCAATGTCCCAGGTGTTTTTCTCGTGAGGAACGCTTATCCAGTGTTCGCTTCCTATTACCTCACGATATTTATCCCCATGCGATAAGTACCGCTTCTAATGTTATCTGTGGGTCTCGGAGCTGCAACCTGATGATAGCCGAATGATAAGACGGCATTTGAGACAGCGCTGCGACATTGGCTGATTTGGATTGACTATCCTGATCTTAAGACAGTTCATTTAAGCGGCCAGTCATGGGAGCTGGGTGGGACTCGCTTCTGGATCATGGTCTGTTCTGCGTATATCTTAGCTGCTTCGCTGGTTGTCGCGATCCTGGTCCCTTGCCTGTAATGTCTCTGGAACCGTGTGGCTGCAGTAAGCTACATTGATAGAATTTCAGAAAGGTCGAAGGGGCCGCCACCACTGCCTACTAGCTGCCTGCTAGGATTTGCATCAATACCTAGTACGTAAGGCAATGCTGACTGCCTATGTTACAGGGAACTCCTGCGGCCTGGTTCGCAAGTTTGCTCGATTGCACGAACCAAGTTTTATAAAATGGGCACGGAGGAAAATGTGAAGTTGCCTTAATATGAAATATGGTAGCGACAGCCCTTGTGGCCGATGCGAAATAGCACGCAGCTAAGGTGCCGAAGATGCCAGAGGCAAAAAAAGACAGGGAAAAAAAGTGGACTCGCGGGGAATCGAACCCCGGACCACTCCCATGCTAAGGGAGTATTATACCACTAAACCACAAGCCCGCCTTATTGAAGGCCGAGGCAAATTAGTGGAATATGAACTCGGCAAATAACATCTTCTTTCCGCATACGAATGTGCTGCTGGGGTCGTACCTTCCTGTCCGAATATGCCTGCTACAACCTGTGCCCTTCGTCCAATAAGTGGATCCTCCTTATCAATGGACAACACTAGAAATGAAAGGAGAGACACGATTGGAATTCTCCGCCGGCCTATGATACCTGATCACCTGCACTGGCAGTAAGCTCCAAGTAATGGGCTGGTAGGAACAAAAAAATATATATGCGGGTCCACTCCCAGGGCTGACATTGTTCTGTTCTATCGAGAAATGAATCTTCGAAATGACCACACCACTACGACTATGGCTGCGAGTAGGATTGCCAAAATAAGAAAACAAAACACCGCTGTCTTTCTTGTGTCAAGCACCTACCAACCAATAACCCCGCGGAATGCAGACCAGGATGCAAGAAAAACGTGGAAAATTCTCCGCGATGCTGTGATTCGCGGAAACGCCCGAAGTACGTGCCAGATGCTGCAGCGGGAGTCAGAGCGCAACAACGAAGATCCAATCGAGTCATGGATCGAATTCTCATGAGGGGTGGATATGATAGTAGCATTTATATGCCTGGAGGGTTTAGGAGAGATCGAAGAGACCCACCGTCGGCTACACTACCAGAGGATCCAATGGCTGAAGCCGGCGGTTTCTTACCCCCGTTCGGCAATGGGGACAGAAAGCCCATCAGGCGCAAAGAAGCCCCTCTGGATCCTCGAATTCACCAATAAGACTCTGCTCGTGATCTTAAATCGCCATTAGTTGTGTCTTGGCTTGAAGGACTCCGAGCTTTCGATTGCTAATAGTCCGCCCCCCCCTCCGGGCGCCTTATTTCTTGGAACTCCCCCCAGATCCACTTCTTTTTCTGCATTTGAAAATCTTCGAGCATTTCTGAAAGACACCAAAGCAACTCGACAGAGCCGACGCAGTGACTTCCTGCGTAGAATGTCCCCCGAGCCACTACCAAATACACCCAACAAAGCATCCGGCCATGAACCTAGTTTTTTCCCCTCCAGCCATGAGCCCATGACTGCCAATGAGTTGCCATTGGCTCCCACTGACCGGGAAAAGTCGAGCAGTCATGTAATCGACTCGGAGAAGCAGCCTGAAACCGAAACGGCTAACGAGCTGGCAGAGCAACCACCAGAGCAAGAGCTGCCGCCAGCGGAGGATGACTTCCACCGCACCGCGTCTACAGTGGCGCCCTCGCATCGCTCCGCGCAAAGGGACCCCATGAGCCGAGTCACCACCGACCCAGAGGGCAATATCTACCCCGAGGGTGGTCTCCAAGCCTGGCTGGTCGTCCTCGGTAGTTTCCTCGGCATGTTTGCGTCACTGGGCCTGGTCAATACGATCGGCACGTTTCAGGCTTACATCGAAACTCACCAGCTGAAAGACTACAGCTCGGGCAATGTTGCCTGGATCTTTGGCATGTTCGCTTTTTTGACCTTCTTCTGTGGGGTCCAGATTGGTCCCATCTTCGACGCCCGGGGCCCCCGGGCTCTAGTCTTCGCTGGCAGCATCTGTGAGATGGCATTCATCATCCTCGTGGGGTTCTGTACTGAATACTGGCAATTTATGCTGGTAATTGGTGTACTCGGTGGAGTTGGTGCATCTCTCGTCTTCAACCCTGCTATCGCCGCTATCGGGCACTTTTTCTATGAAAGACGTGGTCTTGCGACTGGTATTGCAGCGACGGGTGGTTCTATCGGTGGCATAGTCTTCCCACTCACCTTAGAGGCTCTCTTTCCAAAAGTCGGATGGGGCTGGGCAACTCGAGTGGTCGCCTTGATTTGTCTCATCTCCTTCGGGTTTGCGAACCTTCTCATCCGATCGCGACTGCCGCAAAAGCCCTTCTCTAAAGAGAACATCCTCCCAGACTTCCGTATCTTCAGCGATGTGCGATTCTTGTTGACAACAATGAGTGTTTTTTTCATCGAATGGGGTCTCTTTATTCCGCTCAGTTTCATCTCCTCGTACGCCCTCGACCAAGGCTTTTCCACCCAGTTCTCCTACCAGATTCTCGCAATTCTGAACGCAGGGTCTTTCTTTGGCCGATGCCTTCCAGGCTTCTTTGCCGACTTTCTTGGTCGTTTTAATACCCTAATTGTAACGGTGGCTCTCTGCTTACTGTGCAATGCGTGTCTGTGGCTTCCCGCTGGCAGCAGCCTAGCTTTACTCGTGATCTTTGCCCTTATATTTGGGTTTGCTAGCGGTAGCAACATTAGTTTGACACCTGTCTGCGTGGGTCAGCTCTGCAAGACCGAGCATTACGGTCGATATTACGCTACTGCTTACACTGTTGTGAGCTTTGGGTAAGTCTTTTTTTTTTAATTCAACTTTCCCCTATCTGGATTGCTGCTCTCTTGGGTAAATGATGTCATGAACACCTCGAACTGACATATGGTCGTCCTAGTACTCTCACCGGTATGCCTATTGCTGGTGAGATCCTGGCGCGCTGTAACGGGAAGTACTGGGGTCTGATTGCATTCACAACGGTTTGCTATGCGTTCGGGTTGATCTGCTGTACTGCCGTTAAAGTCATCGAGGTTGGCTGGCGCAAGCCGCTGGCTATTTACTAGAACCGGAAGTCTCAGAGTCTCAGCCCTGGAACCATGCAGACTGCTTAGAAAGAGCTACACCCCTGGATGAAATCAACATGATTTGATGAGACAGATGCAAAGCTAAACAAAAGTCCCTTTTTGGATGGTATGACGCACCGAGAGCATTACAACCTTTTCGCTAAAAGGGAGAACTCTGTTTTTGGAGATTGCTCTGATGTATATAGCTACAGGTGGTCTCAGTCTGGATAACCCAGTCAGTATAGAGATAATCCTATTCAATTACATCTGCCAATGCCGTGCTTGTTACGATCGACTTTTCATTGCACTGGTGTCTCAGAAGACCAACGAGGACTCGGACTACGACCCCGATTAACTCCCAGAATGCTTAAAGACAATTCAAAGCAGGCAGTCCGCCCTCTTTTGGAGTCGAACCCCCCTCGCATCAGAACTCCGACAGGAACATGCCTCGCTCTATGTAACCAGCGAGTCACAATGATGGCCCTGGAACCGCATATCCACGGGATTAACAGCCGATCTCGAACGGGCAACTACGGAACCACCAAATACCGTCCAACTTGGCTACCATCACAAACTCTAACCAGCCCTCCTTCCCCTACGACAAAAATCCAGACTGCTCAATCTTAATAGATACCTCGATGGCATCGTCACGGTGCGTTCATTACCCACCCTGCCGATCCCTGGGCATGCGCTACATATTACGCTGCCCTCGCCCGTATGGCTACTCAGTTCTAGACCTCCTGTCTGTCTGATGCCTGCTTTCCTTTCCTTTCCTTTTCTTCCCTCCCCATCACTCGCTAGGCTCTGCTTCCGATCTGAGTCGTTCTCGCCAGTGGATTTTCGCTTCGGTCCTCGGCTCGAAATATCTGCTCTGGCTTTGCATAGCCGCACGGTATAGACGGGTTACGGAGAAGCGCCATCCTGCCTGATCTCCCTTTGTTTTCAGATTCATTATCGTTTATCGTTGAGGAAGGACTCGGGCATTATCCGCCCGCGACACATTGATCTGATCCGATCATGTATACGAAAAACTGCCTAGCGTTGCTCGTTACATCCGTGCTGTTCCTGCAGGACTACGCTGTTAGCGCCGATGTCATTGCAGCCGGCGAAAATTTCCGCACAGTCGACAAGTATGCCCACCGAAAAGACCGCAGCAGCCCTGCGGGTTTAAGCTCCGTCCTTGCTGCTAGAAACATCCCGTGCTCCCAAAGTGGTGGCGGCGGTGACTGTGACCCTGCCTCTGGCTCTGGCAGCTCCCTAGGAGGCAGTGGAGCAGGATCCTCTACCGCACTATCGCCGGCGTCCTCATGCGCCGTCACCATCGGCCCTGTGGTGCTTGCCCCGGCCCCGTCCACGGCCAGTCTCAACCCCGTGGCAAGCGCCCTATGCGCTGCCTGCCCTCCTATCAACTGTGCTGGCAGCAGCAGCAGCAGCAGCAGCAGCAGCAGCGTACGAGGAGCTGGTGCTATACCTACTCCTGTAACTGTGACTGTGACCGTAACCAGCACGCCCAGCACAACAGCTAGCAGCAGGTCTGCTGCCGAAGTGTCCAGCAGTGCAGTTGGGACAGGTGAAGTAGCAAGAGAAAGCAGTACATCTTCCGCCCGGCCATCTGCGTCAGCTGTGGTCATTTCAAGCTCCAGACCCCCAAGCGGCAGCTCCAGACCCGCTGGCCGCAGCTCCACGCCTCTGATCCCAGAAGTCAGTACCACTATCGTAACAATCCGGAGCACACTTCAAACGGTGTCAACGACGGTAGCAGTGGCAGGGGCAGGGGCGGGGGCGGGGGCAGGTGCCAGTGCCAGTGTCAGTGCCAGTGTTAGTGCCAGTGTCAGTGTCAGTGCCGGAGGCTCTACTACGGCGCGGGCGTCGCTTCCACCCGGTATAATTCGCCGCGTAGTGTTGGGGATGACGAACATGACGGCGCCCTTCGCTAACACGAGTAGTATTGTCTCGAATGCGACGAGGACGTTCAACGTGACGAGCCCGTTGACCGTGCCTACCCGTGAACCTGTGCCTGTGTATCGGTTTCACCTGCGAGATCGCAATCATTGATCGAGTGGTTCTTTGAGCCGGCCTTGTTATCTGAGGCCGGGCGAAAATCATCCAGGGAACGGATCGATCCATGGAGGGATGGATTGGAGGCGCTGCTATGTGTTTGAAATTGAAGTCTGCTGCTCTTGAATTCCCCCCCCCCGACACTATCTAATTCAGATTTTGGGTTTGGCTGGATGTAATGTAATAATACTTCCCTTTTACTCGTTAAAATGTCATCAAAATTGCTCCTGAGAAAGACACTACGATATCTGTATAGAGTTGGAGGATCACAACTATGAGGTTTTCTACTTTGTAGGTTATGAAAGAAAGATAAAGCCCTGCATTTGATCTCGAATGCGACTGAAACGATCGCAGTGAGGAATAAGACTTCCTACTTCCTATTGGATAGCAGGAAAGAAGAACCTCGGAGCCTTGGCGCTCTCTGTCTCGCAGAAGGTTCGAAGAGAAAGAGGAAGCAACTAAGTACAATACAAAGATAGGAAGGCAAAATAAAAAGCGCCGAGGCCGGTCGGTCAAAACGAGAGATAAATGGCAAAATGTGACGATAGAAAATACAGGGAGGTGGAAACGGAGCACCCTCCCTCTCTTGCAAACTCCCCCTTCAATCAACAGCCACTGGATACAAATCCAGAAGCCCCATAAAATGAAATGCGCCAAACTCCGCCAGAAGGTAAGCAGGACAAACGAATGCGGAGGTAAGAGAGGATAAGAGACCAATGGTGGTGTAACGAGTAGGCGGGTATAAAGGAGATAGAATGTGACAGCAGAAGGTCGAGATCTTCGAGAGAAGCGCTCGTTTCATATGGACAGGGTATCAGAGGCCGTAAACCAGACCGTCTTTTCGAAATCTCTCTGCATGGCAACTGGAAACGAAATAAGAACAAGAGATATGGAATGGGAAGTCATTATATGCAGTCAGGCTTAGGTGCTATTGGATCGAAGCAGTGACTGGATAGGGAGGAGATTCGATTAGCTCGGTTTGATTCACCACATGGCAAATTACTTGCGCAGAACGTACATGCCTAACGTACCCGATCATCGATCATCTCTTCATGTTTATCCTCAGCAGAGATCCGGCTGACGAGCTCCTCTCTGGGAACAGCAGTGGTAGTGGCAGCTCGGGCGGCACCTGGTCGCGGCGGTGCGGGCAACGGCTGTTGGTTCTTAGAGCGCGGCTGCTGCTGCTGGTTCTGGTTGTCAGATGAGACCGAGGAGTGGATGGGGTGCATCTCTCCACTGCTGGAAATGCGTGACTCCTTGCTCTTCTCTAAGAGGGAACCACCAAGAGTGGCACATTTGAGAATGGTTTGCATCATCTGGTTCTGCTTGAGTGGTTTCGACAAGTACTCGTCCATTTGAGCCTGAATACACTTCTCCCGGTCACCCAACATGGCGTGGGCTGTGAGGGCGATGATAGGAGTTCGTTGTAAACCGCTTTCACGCTCGTACTCCCGAATTTTGCCGGTGGCTTCGAAACCACCCATGACGGGCATCTGGACGTCCATCAGGATGACATCGTAGCGACGCTTCTTGACTGCTTCCACAGCCTCCAAGCCGTTGCCGACGACAAAGACGTTGTGATTGTGTTTCTGGAGAATCTTCATTGCCAGTTGCTGATTCACATCGTTGTCTTCCGCAAGCAGAATATCGAAAGAGCGAGAATTGTCCGTCGTGATCGGCGTCGATCGTCCTTCCAGAGCTGGGAGCATACCATTACCAAGATCAATCGGCTGGCAGGGCGTTGTCATGTATGAGCTGATACCCAGGTCCAGGGCAGACTTGAGACTGACGCAGACCAGAGGACAGACCAAAACAATCGGGATGTACTTGAACTCATCAAATGTTCGAAGAATGCGGGCAGTATCCACCGAGTCAACGATGATGACATCGTAAGCATGACCAGACTCCTTCCCAGAGGGGTCTTGAATTTCCGGTGGTGGAACATGCTCCTCGTTCTTCACGACCAAGGGCTCCAAGTCAATCTGCTTCAGCATCTTCAAAACATTGGCAGCTTGAGCACCGTTTTTCCCCTTGTCGATGAACATGACCCTGTGGCTCCGATATGGCGAAAGCTGTGATGCAATAACGCTCAAGGACTGGTCGGCCAGCTTGACCACACAGGTGAAGTGGAACGTACTACCATGGCCATATTCGGAGGTAACCCAAACGTCACCGCCCATCAAGTTCACCAGACGCTTGGAAATAGACAAACCGAGACCAGTACCACCGAACCTGCGAGTGGTAGAGCCATCAGCCTGCTGGAAAGTATCGAAAATCAGATCTAACTTGTCTTCCTCGATACCAATACCAGTGTCCGAGACAGAGAACTCAAAGGCGTACTCATTGGTAGTGCACTGCTCTCGATCGGATTTTCGGATCGTGAGCTTGACCTCTCCATGCTCCGTGAACTTGATGGCGTTACCAACCAAGTTTAGGATGATCTGGCGCAAACGGAAGGGGTCACCAATAACGTAGTCAGGCACAGTGTTATCCACCTGGTAAGTCAAGCTCAGGAACTTCTCGTTAGCCTTGACAGCCAAAGTTTTCAAGGCATTGAAGACTGTTCCCCGCACGGTAAACGGAATGCTCTCAATGACCATGCGGTTGGCTTCAATCTTTGAGATATCCAGTATATCATCGATAATTGTGAGTAAGCTGTTGGCTAGGTTGTGCACCACATTCAACATCTCACGCGTGTACGGCTTCAAGTCATCGGTGTCCAGCGTCAGCTGAGTCATTCCAATGATACCGTTCATGGGAGTTCGGATCTCGTGGGACATGTTGGCCAGGAACTCGGATTTCGTACGATTAGCAAGTTCAGCTGCTTCCCTGGCAGCAGTATTTCGTTGAATACTGTCCCTCAAGTTCGAGACCATCTTATTGATCTTGCGCTTCAGTTCATCCATCTCCCCCGAGGCATTAACCGTGATTAACTTGGTGAAATCACCATCTGTGGCGGCATCTGTGATTTCACCAAAGGCACGCACTTGTGATGTTAAGTTTTCGGCCATTGTATTCACGTCCTCCGTGATTTCCTTCCAAGTTCCAGCTATGCCTTCCACGTTGGCCTGCCCACCCATTTTGCCGTCGACACCGACGTCGCGAGCGACCTTCTTCAGCTCCATAGCGAACTTGGCAAGTCGACCCACCATGTGATTTATGGTGACTTTGAGAGTTAAGATTTCTCCCTGCGCATGTACCTCGATCTTCTTGCTGAGATCACCCTTGGCGATAGCTTGGGTGACATCTGAGATACTTCGTACTTGTGAGGTCAGATTTTGCGCCATGGTGTTGACATTGTCGGTGAGATCTTTCCATTTTCCTTCCACATTATCGACCTTGGCCTGGCCCCCCAGCGTTCCATCAGTACCGACCTCACGGGCGACCTTGCTGACCTCAAAGGCAAACGTATTAAGTCGATCCACCATGCCGTTGATGGTGCTCTTCAGATCAAGGATTTCTCCCTGGACATTGGCGGTGACCTTCTTGGTCAGATCACCCTTGGCGACAGCTGTGGTGACATCTGCGATTTCACGCACTTGGGTAGTCAAGTTGTTCGCCATCCGATTGACGTTCTCGGTAAGGTCTTTCCATGTGCCTTCGACATCATTCACGGTGGCCTGGCCACCCAATACACCATCAGTTCCGACCTCCTTGGCGATCTTTGTGACCTCCTGCGCGAATTGGCGCAGCTGGTCCACCATGGAATTGATAATGTCCTTCAGTTCAGCAATCTCTCCTCTGCAGTTGGCTTGAACCTTCTGCGTCAGATCACCCTTGGCCACAGCCTTGGTGACAGTAGCGATGTCACGCACTTGCGTTGTAAGATTGTTGGCCATAGCGTTCACATTGACCGTAAGCTCGTTCCACATGCCTTGGACGCCGTCAATCTGAGCTTGTCCACCGAGTACGCCTTCCGTTCCGACATCACGCGCCACTCGCGTTACCTCAGTTGCAAATGTCCGTAGTTGGTCCACCATGGTATTGATTGTCTGTTGCAGTTCCAAAATTTCACCTTGTGCTCGACTCTCAATCTTTTGACTGAGATCACCATGAGCAACAGCCGTGGTAACCGTAGCAATTTCTCGCACTTGATCCGTCAAATTCTTGGCCATGATGTTCACGTTCTCCGTGAGTTCCTTCCAGATGCCATGTACACCGGTAATTTGAGCCTGTCCACCTAGTATTCCATATGTTCCGACTTCTCGGGCGACTCGGGATACTTCACTACCGAAAACTTGTAATTGGTCCATCATAGTGTTAATCGTTCGTTTGAAAGTGGCGATTTCCGGGTCCATCTCTAGCGGGTGAATTTGAACTTTCATGGACAGATCACCGTTGGCGACCTGAGTAATGATGCCGCCGATTTCCCGTAACGCTTTCTGGAAAGCCTCGTTGGCCTGTTGATGTTTCCGTAGCTCCCGTTCCAGGAGGGTGACATCTTCGTTTTCGACTTTGGTAAGGGCGCGGCGGGTGTGTTCTTCCTGTTTCAGCAATTCCTCGCGGACTCCCGCGATGATGTCTTTCTGAATGCTAATCTCCTCGGCCTGCTTTTGAACATGGTTGCGGAGGATACTGATATCCTCTTCGCGGACCACCTGCGTGCGTGATCCAGTCTCGTCCTCGTCGTCTGTTTCATCGTCGACAAGGTCTTTCACCATGGGCGCATCGGGAGCCGAGGAAGTTTGCTTTCGCCGATCGGGTTGATTCAAATTTTGCTGCTGTGAGTGGCAATAAGAGTCAGAACCTTGACCGGACGACGAGCGATGGAGTCCAAAGGTCCACAGAAAATCAGGATTCTTCTTGTTGGATCCGAGGGCAGACGGGATTTTCTCTTGGGGGTTGTCGGGGAGATTATGATGACTGACAGCTTGGAATTCCAGATGATGCACGCGACGCACCAAGGCCTCCAACTCGGCTTCGAAGGCGGCCTTTGCAGCGGTATTCTCTCCAGGCAGTTTAGGTTTCGTCCCGTTGGCGGATGGTAATGAGAAATCGAAGGGGGGTGATGAGGAGCCAGGCGTCGGCTCGTCTCTAGCAAGAGACTGCAGCACAGCAGTCGCGGCTGTGAGAGTGTCGTCCACGCAAGCCATTGTGCCCTTCAGGTTTGTGTTAGCCGGGAGTACTAAAGGCCAGGAGACCGAGTTAAGTAGACCAGAGACAACATGAAGCTCGGTACAATGGTGTGCCGATCTCAAAGAAGCCTCTCAGACGGCAAGAAAATGCCATGTTGTTCCGGACGAAGGAAAAGGGAGTTCAGAGTTGACGAATTTCCAATCTGGGTTCCGGGTCGGGTCCAGCGAAAAATCGATCACGACACTTACGCGACGGGGATCCTGACACACGATATTCGAAGCAATTCAAGGCGACATGAGGTACATGGGGAGGGTGACAAAAGGATTAGGGAGGAGTCGGCTCGAAAACGTGGATGGAAAAGGGCACCTTGAAGGTTCGGGAAGGGGGGGGTTTGGAGGAGCGCCCGGCAAGGGGAGTTATGTAAGCGCGCTCTTTTTTTTTGCGGGGGATGTTTGCAGGTTTGACCTCGTACGAGTTGAATGTTGTGAACTTTCAGAGAAAATAGATAAGAGAAGCCAGTAAGAGTCCCTAACGATCCTTCTGAAGGATATGGGGTGGTCACCAGGGGAGGGATGAGAAGGACCCTTGAGATAAAGATTGTCCCCGATAAGAGCGGAGAAAAGGCAGAAAACAACCAAAGAACAGAACACCAGGACACAAGCTCTTGGGAGTCCAAGAAGTCAAGTCGAGAGGGGAAAGGGGGAATCTGTTATTCTGACTGGAGATTTCCAATCCGGCTAAACTTGGGAGTTTTCTCCTCTTCCCCCTAATTCGACAAACGCTATCTACCAGGATCTTACACGCAGTAGTAGCTCAATCGTCTCTATCTTCGTGACCAGGGGTGTCAGCTCCATTACACAGCACTAATCACACCTCCTCGAAGTCCCAACGGTATAACCGTCCGTGCGGATGGGCATAAGGTTCACGGCTCCGTGATAGAAGCGCTTGTGACTCGTCTCATCTTAAGCCCCGCTCTACCACTTTTAACGGCCTCACTACGATGATCGCCGGGATCGTCTGCCCCCTACGGATAAGTTTATTAACAGTTTTCGGTCGATATGGATTCGGTGTCGATAGGCTTTTCTGCTGGTCCCCACCTTAAAGAAATTGACTCAGAATACGTACACAAGCTCAATTTCCCCAGTAAGCATGCCCTTGTGATCGTGGCTGCGTTTTCGGGCCTCGTGAGGAGAACCGGTCGAAACAGCAAGACGCAGTGCCTAAACTTCGTCTAGGTAGGTGGAGGTCTGTCTTTTGGGAAGCCCATTTATAGGTCAGGGTTAGGGCCATGGTTGAGGCAAAATAAAGGAACCCAGCCAATAGTCTATTCATCAGTCCAAATGTCCGAAGCCTTGCTCTCGCTAAACTTCATCTGCTAGTGGGAGGCGCAGACCCGCTTTCAATCTCTGTCGGTGGAGCTCATTCATTGGCTAAAGCCCGGCTGAAGTTTCCCTCTCAAAATGTCTTCAAGGGCTCTTGTTTCACCTGTATCCAATGATTAGGCATCCGACGTGGGCTAAAGTGCGCAGACTTGCCCACGTCTCCTGTCACGCTAATGCGTATCAATTAGGAAGGAACCGCGCAGCCGGTGTACTAGTGGCGAAAAGTATTGCAGGTATACCGAAGCGAACGCACTTAAATAGATACATATTAGGCAACTCGAATTCTTCGTACCATTGCCCGATTTTGACGCAAAAGAATTCAACTAGAATGGATTGAATGTAGACTTGTAAATTGAGTGAGTGGGACTAAAGATATTACTTTACGATGATGATATAGTCGGAGGGCCTCAATTTATGTATTGGCTATATAGCGAAATGGAATTGATCCAAGAGAATACGAACAAAAAATTGACAAGAAGGAGTAAGTAAGCCACGTAGAATAGGAAATCAATCCGAAAAAAAAAAAAGAAATTGCATCAAGAGGGAATCGAACCCCCGGCACAACTTGACGTGTACCATTTGACGGCTGTAACCGTACGGTAACAACTGGAAGCTATTAAGAATTAGAATGGGTATGATCAATGTACGAGCGGGTATTACTAACAGTTGTATGTTACCACTACACCATTGATGCTCAAGGAATCGTCAGACCGCTAGGGCACTGGCGCTCGCTGATAAAAACACGGGGCTTTGCGGGGTTGTGATGAACTAGGTAATTCACTCCAGAAGTAAGGGAAAAATCCAAAAGTGAGATATATGAAATACAATCCGAGAATAGATTCCACTTGATGAGTTCCTTTTTCCTTGCTTTCCTTTCTTCAATTACATTATTGTCTCCGCTAGTTTGCTTGTCATTTAAATGAGAAGCACATTCCGATCCCGTAAATCACCTTCGATCCCACCTTTTCCTCAGTGCTAATGTTCGTTTAGAAGCCTGTCCAAAGACAGACTGGTGATGGATTTTCTAGAACGATCATATTGTTTGAAATCCTCAATGGACTTGGCCAACAGTATTGATAGTGCATTACGATGTACAATGAAAGACAAAATTCCGAGCGATCCTGCGCAGATAAAGATATTGATGCCGCTAAGCACATTCTAATTGATTCAAGACTGAGATAATTCCTCTAATATCTTTCGGCCTTTTTCATCCAAGGCCGGATACTGTCTGATATTGCACATATTCATCCAGAATGCCTTAGCATCTTCGTGTCACCATGTACGCCTGTGTGCTCCCGTAGCAAGCTTTCCCATTCCACTTCCATATCTGTAAATCCGGAGGCAGAAACATATCCATATCAAATGGAGGAAAAGGCAGGATGTTTCCAGTCGAGTATACTGACAACCTTACCGTCTTGGATCTTGATGTTTCCCAAATTGAGATCGTAATGAGTAAGCACGCAGGGCTCGCAATTTGGTAGGCGCTTTATCAAATTCTGCAAAACTTGCCGAGGAAGGTGACAAAGTTTGAGGCCTAGAGCATCCCAGCGCTCTTGTTCGATATGAAACGGTCCACGGGACACAAGGTCGAAAACAATAAGCAGGGATAGCACAGACTTTGATCAACACATTAAAACGAGTTTGAAGTGCCAGATCGAAGCTGCTTTCGTATCTGGACGACTTTATCTGCAATGTCTAAATTTTGTTACTCTGACAAAGAATTCCAAGTGCCTTCGAGTCTCTGGCCATCTATGCGCACGTTCGAGATGAAGTATCGTCCATCTCGATCGAACAAGTCGCGTAAAATTTTAGGGACGGGGATGTCGGTATGCGTCGCTACATAGTTCAGTGTTTTTGGCCTCAATCTTTGCTTTTACCCCTCGTTGGGCTAATCTTTCAAACCCACGCCTGATCCAATGTAGTAGACACCGCGTGTAGATGCGCCAGAGAAAAGGTTGAGGTGGCTGGTATAATGGCATCGCTTTTCTTTGTCAGAAGTTCATTAACAAGCGACACAACTTTATTCGGGCACTTCGATCATTTCAGATAGCACAGAAGGCTGTTTTGGGAAAGGGGGTTCTCGGGAGGATGGCAAAGGGCATAGGATAAATGACCTCGGGACGCAGCGGTGTCCAGATGTTATTAGTATGCCACCACTGTCATGTTTGAGATATAGGGATCTAGACTTCAATTCAGAATTGCATATTGCATAGTTCTGAGCACAACAATATTAACATTCGAAAAGGGAAAATAAGAGTCAGGTTCAGCGCTTGGGAACCCTCACATCCAAGAGAGGAGCCTTGACAAAAGGATGCTACCACGATCCACTATGTCCTCAGGTCATAATGTTGATGATTGACTCGTTAGTCATCAAATGGCATCGATGGTCTAATGGTTATGATACTCGCCTTCCACATGGCTCGCTAGCGAGTGATTCGGGTTCGATTCCCGATTGATGCATTACGTTTTGTTCTTTTTGTTCTTCGCGGCCACATACTTTACAAATCTCTTTTTACTCCAGTCAGCAATATCACAAATTAGTCCGATCAACACTGATAGATATCGGCTGCAACAAAATCTTCAAAACGGACCCAGCAGGAAACTAAAAACGCATGATCTGTGAAGGCGGGGTGGAACGGCAATTTTGGCTTTTGTGCCCCGCCGGATAAGATAGAGGAAAAGAGTCATCGCAGTATTGGCTCCGAAAGATCGTCTCTCCCACACATTGATAAATCTCGCCGAATTCCCTGCGGTGATCGTCTGCAGCCATGGCGTCCGATTTGACTGCCTCCGTTCTGGAGGCCTTGGCCGCGTCCGATTCGCCTATACAGTCCAACGAAGCCTTCCCCTCCACCCCCTCATTGAATGTCAAAAGTGCGCTGGACCGCCTCGCCTCCCGCGAAATGATCAAATATGAGACCAAGGAAAAGGAGGTGCTTACGTTGACTCCGGAAGGTGAAGAGATTGCCGCCAATGGCAGCCATGAAGCCAAGGTCTTTGACGCTGTTCTCAAGGCTCTTGACGGGTTGAAGATTGCGGATCTACCGGGGGTTGTTGGAGAGAAGAACGCTAAGATTGCCCAGGGCAACGCTATGAAGCGTCGCTGGGTCAAGCTTGAAAATGGCCTGCTACGCCCAGCCCAGGAATCCATTGTCGACGAGACTCGCGAGAACCTCTTGACTGTGCAGCGCACTCAGTCTCTCCCCGATGCCAAGGCGCTCAACGACCTTAAGAAGAGGAAGTTGATCACTTTATCCAAGGATATTCACTTCGTCATCTCTAAGGGCCCGAAATATGCCCGGGAGTTTGTCAAGGAAGAAACAGATCTCACCTTCGAAATGCTCAACAATGGCTCATGGAAGACCGCCACCTTCAAGCCATACAATTTCAACGCCAAGGGAACCCCAGCCTTAGCCGGAGCTTTACACCCTCTGAACAAGGTGCGGGCGGAGTTCCGGAACATCTTCTTTGAGATGGGCTTCGAGGAAATGCCAACCAACCGCTACGTCGAGACTGGTTTCTGGAACTTCGACGCCCTGTTTGTGCCCCAACAACACCCTGCCCGCGACCTCCAAGACACCTTCTACATAGCAGACCCATTGACCGCGGATCCTCCCCGCGAAGACCCTCTGAATGACCCCCCACCGTCCCAAAGCCGCACAGCCCGCTTCGCAAGCCACCAAGGAAAAGCCCATGGACTACCAGGAATACTGGAACAACGTGCACGAGGTCCACGAGAAGGGCAAGTTCGGCTCCATCGGCTACCGATATCCCTGGAACAAGGACGAGTCATTGCGCCTCGTTCTCCGCACCCACACCACCTCCGTCTCCGCCTACGTGCTGCACAAGCTCGCTGCCAACCCGCGCCCCGCCCGCTTCTTCAGTATCGACCGTGTCTTCCGAAACGAGGCCGTCGATGCTACGCACTTGGCTGAGTTCCACCAAATCGAGGGTGTCATTGCTGACTTTGGTCTGACTCTCGGTGGTCTGATCGGCTTCATGGAGGTTTTCTTCGCGAAGATGGGCATCCACCAGCTGCGCTTCAAGCCGGCTTACAACCCTTACACCGAGCCTAGTATGGAGATTTTCGGCTACCACGAGGGTCTGGGCAAGTGGGTTGAGATCGGTAACAGTGGCATGTTCCGTCCTGAGATGCTGGAGTCTATGGGTATCCCCAAGAACATGCAAGTCTACGGTTGGGGGTTGAGTCTCGAGAGACCTACCATGATCAAGTAAGGACTGAACCGTCATATGTACTATTTGTCAGACTACTAACTGTTTTTGAAGGTACGGTGTCAGCAATATTCGTGAACTGCTTGGACACAAGGTTGACTTGAACTTCATCGAGTCTAATCCGGCTGTTCGCCTAGAAAAGGAGTAGTAGACTCGAACCAAAAGCGTGGAGTTTCGTCCACTTGTTTCAGATAGGTGGGGCTTGTGAACAGATAAGCGACATTCTTTGGTGTCTTGCCAGTAGAGATTTTGAGGCAGACCTCGGACTTTCTTCAGATTACGACTTCATGTGAGAAGACGTATTGCGTGTCAACGAGAGGATGATGAATCAAAATATATACAATGTGTTATGTTCAACTGTGACCTACGACTTGTAGATGACCAACTGTGAAGTAAAGGAGCTACTGCTACTAGCACCAGCATACCGCAAGACGGTCAAAGCCTTGGAAGACTTGTCAATTGAAACTACTAATTCGATCTAGATAGATGACGGCAGTCTGTTCCCAGACAGAGGAGCTCGTCTACCAGTAAGATGCCCCGAGTATTATTCCATGAAGATAGAATAAGAATAAACCATGAGAAGGCTATGGTAAAGGCCCGCCACATGAACCTCAGCGCGCATCTTCAGTTTGACGAAACAATCCTGATCAGCGAGGAAACTAGCTCAGCCAATTTCCGAAATTCACACAATAAACGCCATAACCGGCAGATCATGTCCTGAAGAGAAAAGCACCGTGCTTAGTCGGATTCCATGTCCGAGGTCATGCATGAGTCATTGGTTCTTCATCACTGTCCATGAATGCCCGCATGATAGCTCGGCCCTCTTCTCGGTCCTCTTCCTTGTAGATACTAAGCCCATGCATTGCGAGGAATTTGAACTCAGTGCCATAGTGCTTTTTAATCCACGCATTCTCAGCATCTGTTCGCTTCCCCGAAGCCTGCATATTCAGGAATCGCTCGCGCTCGCTTCGAGGCCAGAAAGCATTGATTTGGTAAAGTACGTCGGGTTTGAAGGGAGACGGGCCTACCCGAGGCCCAATCGGAGGCTCGCTGAGCTTGACTTCAAAGAACCTGCCATCTGGTCTGAAAAAAGCGATTTGGGAGTTGGTATCGCATGTGGATATACCACCCCTGGAGCTTCCATCGGGTCTGCCGTAAAATCCTACCTGGAAATCTCCATATGCAAATTCTGACTGTGCAATCAAGTTGCACACAACACCCGGGGCGTGAAGAACATTGTTCAAACGGAGAGTGCCGTTGGAGTTTGCGTCGGTTGGTGTGGTCTGAACAGGTAAATCCACGCTGCCGATACCGACCACTTCAACTGCGTCGCCGCTGAGAGTCGTGAAGAAGGACTTGAAGGGGACGTAGTCGTCTCCGAACCAGGAGCGATCTTTGGCGACGCTACTTGGGTTAGAACGCTTTGACGGTGTTAGATCTATAGGGACTTACTTCACATCAGAATTTGTGCTCCAGAGCCAAGTTGGGCATGGCAGAAGTGCGTCTCCAGTATCATTGAGTGAAGAACTCATCATGGGAATATGAAGCCTCTCAATTGATTGGTTGCGTGAGATGAAGGAAAATTGGGGCATTCGCAGATGTCGCGGGGAACGAGGGGCGGATGGTAGTTACCTGCGGGTGGCACCTGCTTGTTTTTGACTCGGGCTCCCTCAGCCTCAAGCCAAAATAAAGCCTTGCACGAATGGAACAAGAATTGTATCTTCAAGATACGAAATTGACCGGGGAATTCTCTTCAGCTATATTTTCCCTCGCCTACTTCACTACATCCGCTGGAGATGTACACTTAATAAGACCTGTCGAAAACACAACTTGTTTATTATAGCTGTGGCATGGCAATGAGGAAGAGAACCAATGTCTACAACAACTCCCGAGGTCAGATGCAGACAAGGAGAAACTTGCATATCTATATAGGGTCTTGCAGACGGCCACTACATTCTATTCTGTCATTATGGTGCCACTTGTCATTGTCTCTCCCACTATAGCCTGTGTTCTTCTTGGCCAAATTAAATGTATGCAGGGCGACAGATGCACCAAATTAGGTGTACAGCGGTATTTGCGCCCTGCAGGTGTTCGCCACCGCATACAGACAAAGAAGTTGTCAGTAGATGATACGACAGGTTTACGGATGCTGGAGACTATTGTGACAGATTGCGAGAAGATCCTATTGCTGGGTTACTGAGACCGAGTGAAATAGTATATCGGTTATTTAAGGAATGTCCTGCCCGTATCTGTGCCACAGTGCATTAATCTTTGCAGGAAAAAAGTGGCTCATGTGGAGGCGAGTTTGTTCTCCGGCAAAGTGTCTGCAAAAAAAATACAGGTTTATCTAGCTCCTCGCTCATGGTTACGAACATCCAGAACTCGCTGGTTCCGAGTTTGTAAGAGTGAGGGAACATCGATTTGCCAGTGATATCTCAGAAGGTAAAGGAACAGGGAAAGAAAGGCAGGCAGGGGATGGGCCAAGGCGGTAAGTTACGGCAAGATACAAGATAGTCATGAAGTTTTTGGATATCAAATTTGAGGCTTTGGTTACGCCTTAACTGCTGGCAAGGGGCAGCGGTAGGAGACCCTCCCACCTAGTATAATCTATCGCATACAGTCGTGAAAAGAGGATTTTGAACAGGTGGCCTCGTAGAGAAAACCCGACCTATTGAGTCGTCGATTCCATTCTCATTTTGATAGATAGGACTGTACTGATAACAGGGTCTCTCCCGAGGGGACAAAAAAAAAGAACATTCAGGCCGAAGAGGACATCTCTAGTACCCCTCCTCCCTCAATTTTATTTTCATAACAAATCCCCGAACCCGGACCATCTAGCCGCAGTTCATCTGACCAAGAGTGTTAGATCAAGATATCGCATTATGTCGGATTGAGGGACTGGAACATACTTCATTTCAACCCGTCAACACCCATCAGGTAGCGAATTTACCGCTGGCTGTTGCCAGACCAGACGTTCTTCAGGTAACCATCACGCTGAGCGAGGCGGTTGAAGGAGTCATCGCTCTCACCGCGGGCACGGATGAAGCCGCAGAGAGCGTAGGTCTCGTTCTCGCCGGTGTAGCGGCCGTTCTCATCAACCTTGCCGACAGAGAGCTGGACAGAGGCGTGGTCGTTGGCCTTGATGATGCGGTTGGTGGCGCTGCACTTGCGGGGCACGTAGCTATAACGAGACTGTTAGCCTTCTGTACCTGATAGGGTTGGTGTATAAGCTTGAATTCCAGATTCCTCAATGTCCCGAGCCTGGCTGGCTGTGGTTGATTGAAATTGCCACGGTCGCTTTGCCTCCGCGTCTGCTGCTGCTGCCATCGTGAAGCGCAAGGCGATATCATTTTGAATATTCGATATGATTTGCGGTTGCGGCCAGACACACTAAGGCCATGGGATTCTGGAATTGTTGCTTCTAGGACAGATTAACGTACAGATCGACGATCTCTCCCTTCTCGTTCTCCATTTCGGCGGGTTGTGATGTAGGGGAATTTGACGACGGTGAGGTTAGAGGTGAAGGGTTGTTCGGTGGGCCGCGAAATTCAGAATCCAAATTGATTTGTGTGGATCATGTGACTGCTTGTCGAGGGCTGGCGTGGCCGAACGGGAAGGACGTGGATTTAAATTTTATTGGTGACAGGTCGTGGCAATACAGCCGGTACCAACTAAATCGTCGCATCTTCGATGACGAAAGGGTTGGAAAACCAAGACTAGTCTAAATTGCAACATGTTATCCGAGAAGATGGCCAGCATGGGTTCAGGTTATAGAGAGTCTTCCAAGTTTACAAGTGACTGCTGCTCTCACGTCCCTCTGTCATAATGTCTTTCTTCCATCTAACAGAAACTTCCCTGACGCTGCCTTTCTGGAACCGCACTACAACCACTCGCTCCGACTCACCCTGCCGGTCGGAGCCTTTCAATTCAGGGCCTGGTTCATTCAGTGCAAGCACACTCCGCCCGTCGTCCGTCATTTTCAGCACCTTGGGAGAAATGAACATATCGGTCCACGGGGGAGAACCAGAGTGCACAAACTCGACCAGAGCTGCTCGGCGTTTCTCCATTTGTTCGATCGATGCGCTTGATCGGGAATCCTGATCGAGGAAACCCGAAACCAAGTGTAGAAGAAGATATTGTGGAGGGAACAATATGATCTCTCCTTTCTGCGAGCGGCTAAGCCATTCCGAGGCAGGAAGAAACTGTGCTTCCGTCACCTCGACACCGCCATCGCTGGTCGGGACCTGGATCTCCTCTCGCTCGCCTTCTTTGGGAAGTTTGCTAAGCAGCTTCTCATCCAAATTAACAGGAAGTGGCATGAAGTAGAGGTACATTTGAGTAGTGTAGCGTTTGGGCACATTGGGGGGTGTAACCCAATGAGTGAATGGGATCAATTGACCTTCCTGTAATCAGCTCAGTGGATCTTTGGACTTGATCAGGTGGAAGCATACCAATATCTGGTTCAGCATTTGCATCTTGCTGCTTAAGCCATTCATCAAAAGTCATCTGATTTTGATGGATGAGCCGTCGGCCCTTTTCTCTGGCTGCTTCGTCGACGAACAGCAGCTCTCCGGATTTACTATTCTTAGCTAAAAGAATGCCACTCTCTTCAAATAGCTCTCTGATGGCAGCCCGGCGATATGGAGGGGCATCATCGTGGTGCTTGAAGTCCTCCGGCGGTGGACATGGTCCATCTTGCTTGGATAAGTTCCCACCAGGAAAAACATGCGCAGATGCAAATGAACTGGAGGTTTGCACTCGGTGGAGAAGTAGAATCTCGTTCTTGGGCGAGACAAGAATTACACTATCATGGCGTCAGTGGCCCGGTTCACGGTCTTCAGTATGGTCGCGAAGCCTTATTCTCTGCGGCTTTGACAGAACTACTCACCTGGAGCTCGGACGAGGAACCGCGATTTGTCTCTTCTTATCTCCGGTCCCTTTTGAAGGCGGCATCTTGCGTGACTGGGGTGGTACTGGACTTGATGTTGTCGAATAGTTCCTGGCGTCTATTTGGCGTGCTAGTGGTCGAGGTCGACAGCGCACAATGCTAGGTAGGAGCAACGAATATGGCGTTACAAAAGGAACAATCTGCCTTTGTGGTGATCTCAAAGCAAAGCCACTGGAAATATAAGGGAGTTTGGCCGTCATAATTCCCCAGAGTCGAAGCTGCTAATCCGAGGGAAGTTCGCCGGCAAACACCCGAGCCTAGGCTTCTCCCTGTACCCCGCGCGCAGCTTTGCCGTATCGGGCTAGACATGCCATGTGCAGACGGGACGAACACCTGAATTACGCTTAATATATTGACTTTCGAGATAAATTTGATGCAGCATAATCAGTTCATAGCATTAAAAACGTAACACATCGTAACTCCTAATCTAGCATACTCTAGCATACCCCTTTTTTGTATTTCCAATTGCACCGCGGCATCCCGTAATTATTCACATGTGTGGATGGCCGCACACCACCGAAGCCTGGATCTTACGAGTAAAGCTTCTTGTCGTAGCTGTGCATGTTGACATTGCCTTCAGCCTGGGCACTGGCGCTTCTCATCTCAAAGCGCACAGTACCGGCGTTGACACCCTCGTGCAGAGCAGCAAGGCTGCGCACACCAATGTCCTGCATAGAGTGCTGGACACCGGCGACGAGATAAGGAATGAACTTGGTGACGGAGCCACGGTCCAGAACGGATCCAGCGACACCCTGGGCGACAAGAACGCGGTCCTTCTCAGAGAAGTAGCGAGCGGTACCGGCGTTGCTGCCCTTGGCGTCCTTGCCGCCAGCCTTCTTATCTTCCATGACGGCGATACTGCCCATGCCACGGTAGGCCTTGACAAGCTGACCCTCATTACTGACGAAGTACTCACCGGGGGACTCGGTGGTACCAGCAAGGAGACCTCCCATCATGACAGTGCTAGCACCCATAGCCAGACCCTTGACAATGTGGCCCAGGTTCTGGACACCACCGTCAGCGATACAGGGGACACCGAACCGGGCAGCGAAGGAAGACACGCTGCGGACGGCAGCGGCCTGGGGTCGGCCGACTGCCATAACCTCCTGGGTGATACAAGCACTACCGGAGCCCATGCCAATTCTCAGGCCATCGGCACCGGCAGCAATCAGAGAAGCAGCCTGCTCCCGAGTAACAACGTTACCAGCGATAACATCGATTTGGGGGTAGGTGGCCTTGATGAATTTGATCATCTCAATCTGGTAGATACTGTTACCCTGGCTGCTGTCCAGGATGACAATGTCCAGACCGGCCTCAATGAGGAGCTTGAGACGGTATTTGTCGTGTTCGCGTGTACCAATAGATGCGGCACAGATCAACTGCTTGGAGTCGGGGAGCTTCGATGCAAGAGGGTAGTGGAGGTTCTTCATCAAGTCGGAGCGAGAAAGGAGGGAAACAAGGTTTCCATCGCTGTCAACGATGGGCAGCTTGCCCTTCTTGGAGCGGCGCAGTACCTCGTTAGCTTCCGCCAGAGTAGTACCAGCGGGAGCAGTGACCAGATCGGTGGCCATGATGGCGGTCACGGGGTCCTCGAGCTGGTGGTGGAATTGAATGTCACGAGAGGTGACCATACCGACCAGCTTGGAGCGAAGAGTTCCATCCTCTGTTAGGCAATCAATGTTAGCACTTGTATTGCACGATGGACGGTCCACAAATGAATTTGGTAATTGGGAATGCTCAGGTAAAATCGGTTCTCTACAGCGCAGCTCTCGCCGCTAGCAGTGGAACGAAAGTTATAGAAAAAAGAGGTTTGATCATCATGCAAAAATGGGAATCAAGAAGAATATCAAATGCGACGGATAAGATAGGCAATTGGGGACTCTTGTTGGAACTTACCAGTGACAGGGAAGCCACCGAAACCCCACTTGGCCTTCAGATCCTTAGCCTCGCCGACGGAAGCCTTAGGAGAAAGAACAACTGGGTCCAGGATGAAACCGTTCTCGTATCTCTTAACTTTGCGCACCATCTCGGCCTGGTCCTCAGGGGTGCAGTTGTGGTGGATGACACCAAGGCCACCGAGCAGAGCCATGTGAATGGCCATGTTGTGCTCAGTGACAGTGTCCATGGGGGAGGACAGCAGAGGGGCCTTGAGCGAGATCCGCTTCGTGACAGGAGAGTCCAGGGTAACATCGGAGGCGGGGAAGTCTATTGTTCATGATTAGAATCGTGGGCCCGAAGAATGAAAAAAATTTTCAACCCCGCCAATTGGCGACTCACCGACGTATCCTGGGAGCACGAGGAAGTCGTTGTAGGTCAGAGCTCCGTGCTTGTCGGAGTCCAACAGAGTGTCCACATCCAGGCCATCTTGGCTGGGATAGGTCTTCAAGACCTCCAGGGCCTGGGTGTAGTCCTGGATCTCAGCCTTCATGGCGGCGCCAGGAGCAGCCTCCTTCTGAGTGATAGGCATATTATTTTAAGAAATAAGTGTGCCTTTGCAAAGAAAGTATGAGGACGGGCCCTGTATTGAAACGGAGTGATCAACAGTAGAGAAACCTTCTGTTGATGGAGAGAGGCCAGCTTTCCCAAAGAAAAGAAAGAAGAAGGAAAAAGTTCGAGTGAAAAAGCTTCCTTTTCTTTTTCCGTGCACGGCCACGCGCGGAAGGGGCCTTTCCTGACTGGGACTAGCTCAGCAGCTTTTTTCGAGTCGCCAAGCTATGATTGGCTGATAAACGAGTCATGCGGCAGGCGGTGAGCTTCTGAGTTCCTCAAGTAGATTTGGCTGACCAAGTAAGTTGGGATGGTTATTCCATACTGCATAGATCTAGCTTGTTTTCTCTTTAGTAGAAAGCAGCATTCTTGCGACGAATATTCACGAAGCATTTTTCCTGACCAAAGACGCGTGCCGCCAGCTTCTTCCTTGGTCACGGACTCCATTTCATAGTACCATAGTATGCGGTCGATCGTATTTGGAGGGTTGAGAATTGATACAGTGCATTTTACACTGGGTACTGTTAGTATGAAGGAATCTCCAGGCTACCTAACTAAGCAAGTTGTCTTTCTAACCCACTATCCTGAATGATTTGCTTCCTTGGATAATGAAAAGCTTGATAACGAGAATTTTTTGAAGCATGGCAATGCGTTATACTGAATATGGTTTAGCGTTATCGTGATATCCCCCCGCCTCAGAAAAATACAATCAATATTGCTTGTTGCTGATCTTTCTGTTGATTTCTCACCCCTCCCGACTTTTCGTCATTTCACTCTCCCAGCAATTAATACGACAAGATGGGCGTCCAAAGGAAGATCATCACCCGCGGCAGTGGTGGCATGCCTGCGATCGGGGACAAGATCTCCATCCACTACACTGGCTGGCTTTACGATGCCAAGAAGGCCAACAAGGGCTTCCAAGGAAAGCAGTAGGTTGGATATTCCTAAACAGATGATACTCAATTCCTTACTGTTGCAAACAGGTTTGACAGCTCCAGGACACCCGGTCGGGGCCCTTTGAACGTTCAGATCGGAGTGGGGCAGGTTATCAAGGGTAATCATCTCCACTCATTGAGCACCGAACTTCTTTTGGCTGTCCAACTCCTAACTTCGGTTATTTTTGATTAGGTTGGGATGAGGCTGTTCAAGAAATGAGCCTCGGTGAGAAGTCAATGTTGACCATCACTCCGTCAGTTAAGGCCTCCATGAAATGCCAAAAAAAGCAACTAACAATAACGTTCAGTGACTACGCCTACGGTGACAAGTAAATGCTCCTTGAATACCCCCTGAGTAACGTGAGCTAATATCCATCTCTTTCTAGGGCAGTTGGGAAGATCCCAGCCGGATCGACTCTGATTTTGTAAGCCTTCATGTCTGATCCGTGGACATTGCATTCGGTCTAGACTGACAACATTATAGCGAGGTCGAGCTCCTCAAGATCAATGACAAGAGCAAATAAGCTAGAAGCCGAAAAGTATCAACTACTACGTCTTATGAAGTCCAGCATAACGATGTAACAACACAGAAGAGCCAAGGAATAAGTAAAAGTATTGTCTGGATATTATATTCGAATTATAGTAGATCCCAGATGAATAAGCTTTGTAGAGTAAATTCGGGACTTATTCGACTTCGATGAATATACGGCTGTATCTTGTAAATGGGAAAGTCCCATTATCAGTCCCTTGGAAAATGATGGATACAGTCTGTCCAGGCGTCGCATACGGAGCAGTAACGTTTGCGACGTCTTTGCCAATAGCCACAGAGACATACTTTCGCTATGCGCTCCCTTGAGCATACTGCCACCAAGATGAAGGAATCTCGTTTTGATCTGGATCTTGAACTGTACCTGAAAGCAGTACGCTTGCTCCAAAACTAGACTTGACCGTAGTACCATTCAATATCTTCACCGAAGACGGATGATTTGCTACTTGGTAGGCGGGAGTCAGTGTCCACCGCATGCGAGCAGCGAAATCATTCTGGATAGCGGAAATCCAGCAATTGAACGTGTAGGAAGCAACCTCACCCATTCTGAGCCCTCCCCTCACTGACCAGTTCCCAAAGGTCTGCTGGATCATTTGTCCGATTGGACCGACCTCCCCAACTACCCAAGCTCGGATTGGCTAGGTCCTAGATACGAGTCGTGAGAAGAGGGTAAAAAATCTATATTCCCCCCCTCTGCGAGAGGAACATAAGGATCAAGCGGCTGGCAAGTTTTCTCGGTCGATAGCTTTGCCTGGATCAAGTTGCCGAACCGGTCGAATGGATCGCCGAGCATAGACTGCTCATCGCCGAGTGCGCACCGACCTCGAAGCTGCCAAGGTGAGCCAACCGAATCCCCAGCTTCTCATTTCAGGCCAATCCAGCGGTTAGATGCGCCTGAAGGCCCCCACGGATTCGAATGGAACTCTCGGCAACGCCCCCGCTGCAATTCCGCACGAGACATGGTCGCGTTCCTCCTCTGAGAGGCTTTCCCCTCGGTGTTGTGGAAAGACTCGGCTCCCTTCAATATCGCACCGGAAAACGAAAGCTAAACTAGGGAGCTAGTTCACAATTATTAGTTAGCCTGTGATTATTTATATCCGCTCCTAATGTCACCTGGATGCTTGACGACGTGCAATTGTATGGAGAAAGCTTGAGATGGATATTTTGCAGGGAGATTAGATTTGCGTTTATACAGAAGGATGTGCAAGGATGTGCAAGACGGAGGCCAATAGCGCGTAAGTGCCTGGCAAAAATGAATCAGTGCCTGGCAAAAACGAATCAGTGCCCGGCAAAAACGAATCAGCGCCTGGCAAAAACGAATCAGTGCGCCTTGTTTTAGAAATCACTCCGGATCTCCATTGGTTCTTTCGCGGGAAAAGCGGGCCGCTGAATCAACAATCTGGCCGGTGCCCGTGGATTGGCCCCCGCAGTACGGGGTAATGGGGAGTCCTGCCCCGCGCCCGTGGAGCGAGCAAGCATCATTCGGCCAATGGCAGGCATCAATGACCCATTTGCGACGTGGAACCACTCGATGTAATACGGGTACTCGGCTCCGTCTGGGGTAAGTGCGAGGCGGCCTCCGCCATACACCGCAATGATGTAGAACACAGACCCAGATTGCGTCTTTTTGCAACCTCTCCAGAACCTTTCTATATCTTCAGTCTCAAGTCGTTTGCATTTCTTCCCTGGCGAAAGGAGCTTCGATTAATTTTCGAAATGGAGTGGTCTTCCCAGGAAGACAAAGAAACAGGCGTACAGCTTGATGCCGAAAAAATTACTCCTCAAGACATCACTGAGCCTCTATATCCAGAAACCGACCTGGATCGCGGTATAGTTGGCTGGGATAGCCAAGATGATCCACGAAATCCTCAGAACTTCTCCGCGAAGAAGAAATGGACTTTGCTTTTGTTCCTCAGCGCGTTCACCTTTATTTCCCCACTCGCGTCGAGCATGTTCGCACCCGCAGTGGGTTTCATGGCAAAGGACTTCAACGAAACAAATGAGACAATTCTCTCTCTAAGTGTCAGCATCTTTCTCATCGGATATACGGTAAGTTCATCCCCGCCGCCGACTATACCGAGGCAAACTCAATTAATGAACCCTGTTGCGTTTCAGATAGGTCCTCTCCTTCTGGCACCCTTAAGCGAGATATACGGTCGACGGATTGTTTTAAGCGGCGCGAACTGGTTCTTTGTCGTATGGCAAATTGGGTGCGCTCTCGCTCAAAACATTGAAACACTCATTGTCTGTCGACTCTTTGCGGGCATCGGTGGATCCGGCTGTATAACACTTGGTGCGGGAGTCATTGCAGACATGTTTCCTATCAAACAGCGCGGGGCTGCCACCTCGATCTGGACCATGGGGCCTTTAATTGGACCGGTCGTAGGCCCTATCGCCGGTGGGTTCCTTAGTGAAGGCGTGAACTGGCGATGGGTTTTTTGGCTCTTGCTTATTGTGGGTGGTGCCGTACAAGCTGCGATTGAAATCTTCAATAAGGAAACCTATGCCCCCGTTTTGATCAAGAAAAAGACAGCCAAGATGGCTAAGCAGCTAGGTCGGACGGATCTTCAGAGTGCTTATGAGTATGGCCATGACGTCGGTACCCCTGGCCAGCTTCTGAGAAGGAGCCTGTCTAGGCCGATCTTACTTCTGTGCAAGTCGCCCATCGTCCTCTTGCTTGCGATATATATAGTAAGTGGGATTGTTGAAGTTTGCTGGGTTGGGTTTGGCTAATAGGAGTTTCTTCCTTAGGCTCTCATCTATGGGCTACTCTATCTATTCTTTACAACTATTCCGGATGTCTTCACCAGCACCTATGGTTTTTCGGTTGGTCTTTCAGGTCTCGCGTATCTTGGGATCGGACTAGGATTCCTAGGTGGCCTTACTCTCATGGGGCTCACCAACGATCGCGTTGTTGGAAAGCTCACAGCCCGGAACGGAGGAAAATTCGAGCCCGAGATGCGTCTGCCCACGATGATAATCTTCTCCGCTATCTTACCTATCAGTTTCTTTTGGTATGGTTGGACAGCCGACAAACATGTCTTCTGGATCGTGCCCATCATTGGCATGTTCCCCTTTGGGTTTGGCATGATGGGAGTCTACATGCCCACCCAGACTTACGTTATCGATTGTTATCCGAAGTATGCAGCCTCGGCTAATGCTGCTCTAACAATGACTCGGTCGCTGGTCGGAGCTCTCCTTCCACTCGCGGGGCCTCGAATGTTTCGGACTCTTGGACTGGGATGGGGAAATTCGCTGCTAGGATTTGTTGCTCTTGCCTTCGTTCCGATCCCGATCATCTTCAATAAGTACGGGAAGACTATTCGAGAGAGATGGTACCTGGATTTTGACAAGAAGAAAAGTGAAAATGAGTAATTTGGAGGGAATAGAAGGATCAGTAGATTGAGATTGTCATCCCTTGTTTCGTGATCGGATGGCTCCGCTGTCCATTGGCAAATGACAAAGTAACGATAACCGGTTATTTATAGAGCATCAATGGATATAACAAAGACATAATACATTACTCAACTCGACTATCCCTGATAGTGACCACTATTCCATCTTATAGATTATTGAATCAATATCAACGCCCGCTGCAAGCCCTGGGTACTGCCTCACAAAGTCAGAAGTGATGCCCCAGCCGTCTTCGCTCATGATCCTCTTATAAAAATCCTTGATGAGACGCAGCTCATTATTCTCGTCTCGCTCAAGGATAGACTCTCCCCAAGGCCACCTTATCTTGATGCAGCAAGCGAACATGCCAAACAACACATCTCGGTTATTCTCGTAGAAATGCCACTGTCGGATAAAGTTGGCCCTGATTTTGGGCCATGGGATACAAGCCAGAGCAAGTGGATGCGAGATTTGCAACTGTTCAGGAATGGGTCGCATAAAAGACGGGACTAGCTCGAACCTCTCTGGACTTGGGGACATGATCCATTGTGTAAAGTGGTAGGTCATCAACCCCATAGCCATCTTTTCGGGGTCGCGCAGCAGCCGCCTGTCTAGTGTCGAATGGATTGTATCCGCTAGGTAATTTGTTCGAGTCCCATACAAAATTTCAAGGGGAGACGAGGGAATGTCGGGGCATCCCGCAATCCGTTCCGGATAGGCCAGCCATGGGAGCGATACATTCCGCACATCGGAAAAATCGTCGCAGTATAGAGGTAATCGGTTCCACGCAGGGTTGTTCCCAGGCGGAGGAGGCGTCGAAACTCCTAATAAGCCGGATTTTGATGTATTGCTTGACCTGGCTGGCGAGCTGATCATCGTATCTGGGGAGTCACCCGCGTGAGTCTTCTCCAGAAACAATCCCGGCTTCATTCGACGGTCATCATGTAGCCAGGGGTTCGAGATTTCCGACGGTGTCGCGACGTCGGGCCATGAATTTACGAGAGCTTTGAGATCGTTCCTTTGGGATATAAGTGCCTGGTTCTGCTTTCGGAGCCCTGCAATTACTTCCAGCAGTCGCTGCACCCCTTGGTCGTCGTGGTGAGATTCGCAATGGGCTACCCTCTCCTCAAGTTCGGTGATGCGGCGCAACTTTTTGTCGCGGAGGTTCTGTTGCGCGCGGCGATCTCGCAGTCGTTTCCTTTCGGCTGATGAAAGCTCCGCCATCGTACGTGAAAGGGGCAAGAGGTACCTATGGGATCGACCACGGTCGATGACATGTGTGAGGGGTGCACAATTCAAAGCATAAATTTATGTTTTTTATGCGTATATTATGATGTCCTGAAGTGCTCTGTGCTACCACAAGGCCGACTGGCCAGTTGCAGCAGGGATTACAATTCTCCTGGGCTGTATTTCTTCTCAAGCTATGCTTTAATTTTTTGGAAAGGGAGGGTTGAAACCTAAACGTGGCCCTGACAGCTTTGGTTGATCAAAAGCAACTGCCGTCATTTATCAGTGCCCATACCCAGACCACATCTATCATTGCTTCTTACCGTTACTACTATATATCAGTGGAGATTTTATCAAATAGAATGAGATGGCTTGTTACTCTGATTCAATGTAGAAAGTGGTGTTTCATCAAAACAGGAGCCAATCCTTAGCTCCGACTAGGGCTTGATCCCATCCATTGTCGTTCTGCCACACAGCGACGCTCTCTACTTCATCGTGACCCAGCTTTAAGCCATTGTATAGATGCTGTATTTTCTTGAGTATCTTGTCTTACTTGGAAGCTAGTACCTGAACAGACTACTTACCGGAAACAGTCCTTCGCCTGGGCGGGGTCCACACACTTTGCCATCAGGAGACTCCCAGCGGATATATTGAGCCACTCGGCTATATTCAATGCGAAGAATATACACCAGTGGCTCTTCTTGGAAAAAGAACTTGAGCGTGTTTGCCAGCTGGGATGCTGTGGACAGATGAACGAACCCTGAAGTCTGATCGAGTTCACTAACAGGTAGGCGGTCTGGAAGTGGCTGTACAACAGGCGCTGTGGAGGGAACAATCTTATAGATGTATTGAGGTAGAGAAGCCTCCGTCACCATCGTGATGATAATTTCGTTGCGACTAGTTTGGTGTGAGGTTGGGACGTAAATAAGCTGGGGCGGTTTGCAAGGAATTCTGGAACGAATGTCATCACCGTTGCGGCGGGGTTATCCGACATGCTAAAATCACGCCGAATGTCTCGATTGTCAAAGAGCAAACTAGTAAAGGCCTATGACTAGTTGGAGCTAGGGATTCGATGACCTATACGGGAGTAATGCTTAATGGAGTCTCCTGTATTATTCCCATTGTCTTTTCCATGCATTTGATCTGCATTAGTGGAATGAGCGGCACTTGACTACTTTTCGCAAACAGCGCTTGAAGATTCGGAATTTATGACTGAGCCTCCGAGTTCAAGCCTCGAGAATAAAGAGGTGGACAACTGTCTAGTGCGCATTCGATTGACGTATTCAAGGACTTGGGGCTAGAGCGTAATATCCTATCTATTCGCAAGTTTGCTGTTATACCATTTCTTATACCTTTTCCGAGCTTCCCCAGGGGTTCAGCCCGGATCCGCGCTACTGCTGCTCAGGTGGTAAGAAAAATTCCCTTTTGCCTGGATCAGACTCGCAGTATTAGAGCGCTGTGGTCTGAGTCCAATCTAATAAGTTTCCACTATTCTGATCTCGTTTATGGGACTATTTATACTTTGACTGTTGCACTCTAGAATATATCCGCGTACGAGGAGTACCACCACAGTGAGTGCAAGACAAGATTTCACGCTGCAGAGGAACTTCTGTGCAGGAATAAGGGAACTTCTAGTAACTTATGTATGGCATCCCATGTAATCAAAAGGCCGACCTCGAAAGGAATATCGGTGAGGCCCGAGGCCTCGAACTAAGGTTGTAAACGGAGTCGAGCAACAGTTCTGAACCCTCGGTCGCACGGGACTACCGTCCACTTTTGCGGGACCGATCTACTCATCAGAGATACAGCGGTTCGGCCAATCTCACCACCATTTGACTCGGACCCAAAAAGATGCATTGATATAAAATGGCAGAAGACATGATCCCTTTCTATTCTTAATAGCGTCGATAACCTTGGAAGCCCTGGTGTAGGCAAGATCCATCTGAACACGAAAGTCAGGTGATCTCAAGATCGGAAGATCACCTGATGGGCTAAGCCACATTAGGAGATTTGTTTTGGACCCCGTTGCGACCCGTTTTGGGGTAGGAGGTTCCCGGTTCGCTCCTTCCCTTTGCGTCCCCCACTGTCAACAAGAACTCGCAGGAGCGGGTCCTTTCCGAGCTCCATCTTCCTTCTCACCAGCTCTTCTTGAAGGGACCCTTTCATCTTCGTCGCATCGTGGATGCGAAATCACCGCGTCATATCACATTCCAAAGGGCTGATTGCAATAACAATTCGGCCGCTTCGACCTCCGACAGCCAACCAGCAACCCCCACTTCTGCTGTTCCAGCAGGGATGCGGTCCATCGACCTCAGGAATCTTTCATCGCTTTTCGTATTTCTGTCGCGACACTAATAGGGATGTCCTTCAACATCCCTTCCCTTAAGCGGGCCCAGACCGACATCCCTGCGCAGCAATCGAGTCCACTGCGACACGGATCCACGGCTTCCACCAATTCATCTTCCTACTCCGTTGAATCTGGCTCTTTCGCCCCCAGTCGCACAAGCACAGTCTCTTCCAATGCCTCCATTCCAAGCAGCCTAGGCCACCATCGAGGGAAGAGCGAGGCGAGCTCGATCATGGCCGATTCAGCAGGGTGGTCCAACGCGGGCGCAACTTATGAAAACATCCGTCGATCTCTACGGCCTCTTCAACAAGCGCCAAACATCTCTGCTGCCCCTGCGAGGCCTGCGCACCGCCATACGCGCAGCCATACAGTGGATGAGAACCCATTTTACAAGGAGTTACGACCAACCCCCCCCAGAGACGTCCCACGTTCATTTCAAAGAGAATGAATCACCGCGATACAAATCTCCTGCTTTGGAGCCTCAAACTCCACCACGAGCGAATTCGCCGCATCATTGGTCTCCCAATCCAACTCCAGGATCATCACGTTCAGGCTCACCTACCAAAACACAGTCCAACAGCCCTCATCCGCCGCCCCTGGTGACCGCATTCTCCGCCCCAGAGCTCGAGACCTTCCAGAAATCATCGACGCGCCACTTAAGGAACCTCTCTAAATTCGCGAAGTCTGGGGATAATGACGAATTTCAATTGACCTCTGCGACAGCTTCTGTCGTGGGATTGCAGGGTCGGCGACGCTTGCGACGAGCCGATTCAGTTGCTGGTCGGAACGGAGCCATTTCACCAGAGAAGCCCAAGTTATCATCATGGGCCGCTGGAAACTGGATGGACCAACAAAGACAGTTTCTGCAAGCGTACGAATACTTATGCCATATCGGAGAAGCCAAAGAATGGATCGAGGAAGTTATCCAGAAGCAGATCCCCCCCAATCGTCGAGTTGGAAGAAGCTTTGAGAGATGGTGTGACCCTTGCCGAAGTGGTCCAAGCTATGTACCCAGAAAAGCCTCTGGCCATATTCCGGAATCCCAAGCTACAATATCGCCACTCAAACAACGTCGCCATATTTTTCCGCTTCCTTGAGCAAGTCGAACTTCCTGATCTGTTTCGCTTCGAGCTGATCGACTTGTACGAGAAAAAGAATATTCCGAAAGTGATTCACTGCATTCACGCGTTGTCTTGGCTGCTTTTTAAGAATGGCATGTTGGACTTCCGCATGGGTAACCTGGTCGGTCAGCTTGAGTTCGAGGCTCACGAGCTGGAAAAAACGCAGAAGGGCCTCGACAAGGCGGGTGTGAGTATGCCGAGCTTTGCAGGCATGGCAGCGAACTTTGGCTCGGAGCCTGAGCCTGAGCCTGAGCCCGTAGAATCAGAAGAAGAACGGATCGACCGTGAATTACATGAGAATGAGGCTTCAATCGCTGATTTCCAAGCTCAGATCCGAGGAGCCATGTTGCGTTTGCAGCTTGGTAACATAATGAATGATCTTTGGGACTTCGAGCCGCTGCTCGTTGAGCTGCAATCCCGAATAAGAGGCGATTGGGCTCGGCAGATCAGCTCGTATCACCTTAGCATGCGCCAATTTGCGGTCCAGCTTCAGACAATCAGCCGCGGTTTTCTTGTACGTCAGCGCCAACAGGGAGAAATGCAACGGCGAAAGGCCCAGGAGTGCGACATACTTGCGTTGCAAAGTTTAATTCGCGCTGCCAGGGTGCGGGCTCAAACGAGCACCTTGAAGACTTCTGTGAGGAAAGAGGAACCTGGCATCAAGGAGTTTCAGGCTGCTATTCGGGGTGCACTCCGACGCAAAATTGTCGCAGACCAGTACGACGAAACACGATATGCTGAAAATGATGTTACAACTCTACAAGCCGTGATTCGCGGTGCCTTGCACCGACGACAGATAAGTGCGCAGTCTGAACAGATAAAGGAAGCCAGCCGGCCAGTTCAATCATTGCAGGCAGCGATCCGAGGTTTACTCGCTCGCCAACACATTTGCGAAATTAAGCTGTCACTTGAGACTGAAACAGGCTCTATTACTTCACTCCAAGCAGCACTCCGGGCATTCTCATCTAGGAAGCAGCACTCGCAGCTGCTTGCTGCCTTGACCAACACGGAGGCCTCATGTATTGCCCTGCAATCGTTCGTACGTGGGGTCGCTGTACGGAAGGGTAACGCTGCCATCCGCGAGAAACTCAGCCAGCATGCCTCCCTTGTAACACAGTTGCAGGCTATGTGGAGGGGGCAGGCACTGAGAGATTTCCTTGATGCACAGAAATTTGCCTTGCTGAAGGAGGAAAGTGTTATAGTAGACCTCCAGAATCGGGCAAGAGGCGCACTCTACCGCAAGCATCTGAAAGAGGAGCGACATACTTTGGAGCAGCAAGAACCCTCTATCATTGAATTGCAAGCGCTTTCGAGAGCTGCAATCCATCGTATCCAAATTGGTGAACTTCTTTCCCGTCTCGAAGAGAACGAAGAAGAGATTGTCGAGATTCAAGCTTTGGCTCGCGCTATGATGGCCCGAGTGCAGGTCGGCGAGATGCTGGCAGATCTTGAATCCGAAGAGGACTTCATTGTTGACATGCAGTCCCGTATGCGAGGACTTCTTATTCGAAAACGCTTCGAGGAGAGGCGACGCCATTACAACGAAAACATGGAGAAGGTTATCAAGGCCCAGAGTGTAATTCGCGGCCGAATTCAAGGACAAGCCTACAAAAGTCTTACTAGTGGCAAAAATCCACCCGTTGGAACGGTTAAAGGCTTTGTTCATCTCCTCAATGATAGCGACTTTGATTTCGATGAAGAGATAGAGTTTGAGCGATTACGAAAGACTGTTGTTCAACAAGTCCGCCAGAACGAGCTTGCCGAACAGTATATCAGTCAATTGGATATCAAGATCGCGCTCCTTGTCAAGAACAAGATTACCCTCGATGAAGTTGTCAAGCACCAAAAACATTTTGGTGGCCACATTGGCAGCCTATTATCCAACACAGAAATCTCGTCAAAAGATCCCTACGATCTCAAAGCCCTCAACAAGACCTCAAGGAGGAAACTCGACCAGTACCAGGTGCTTTTCTTCCTCCTCCAGACGCAATCCCAATACTTGGCTCGATTGTTCCGTCGACTTCGCGAACTCAATACCTCCGACAAGGAATATGAGCGTATAAGACATTTGATGATGGGTCTCTTTGGATATTCCCAAAAGAGGCGAGAAGAATACTACCTCATCAAATTGATTGCGCGCTCAGTCAAGGAGGATGTCGATGGTTTTGTAAGCCTTGCTGAATTCTTACGGTGCCATGCTTTCTGGAGTAAGCTTTTCGGCTCATATGCGAAGTCTCCTCGTGATAGAAAATTCATGAGAGACGTCCTCGGCACGGTAGTGAAGGAATCTGTCGTTGACAACCCTGAGCTCGACCTTGAAAGCGACCCCATTCAGATATACCGCTCCTCTATCAACAATGAAGAGCTTCGTACAGGTCAACGGAGTCGCCGACACCCAGATCTACCTAGAGAAGAGGCGATTCGTGATCCCGAGACTCGCGAGACGTTTATCCAAAACCTGCAAGACCTTCGCGACATTGCTGATCAATTTTTCTTGGCCTTCGAGGACTTCTTGTACCGCATGCCTTTTGGAGTAAGATATCTTGCTAAGGAAATGTACGAGTATCTTCTCGCCCGTTTCCCGCAGGATGATCCTGGACTCATTCTCCAAACGGTTGGTCACTGGGTGTGGAGGAATTATTTCCAACCTGCATTACTCGAGCCCGAAAAGTATGGTGTGGTTGATCGTGGCTTGACGCAAGAGCAGAAGAAGAATCTTGCAGAAATTTCGAAGGTTGTGGCGCAGGTCGCCTCTGGAAGACTCTTTGGAGCCGAGAATGTGTATCTCCAGCCATTGAACACTTACATCGGAGAGTCAATACAGCGTTTGGGTCGCACTTGGGGACAAAGTAAGTTCTCTTGCTTTCTTCATGCCTCTGACCGTTCTTGCTAACCAGTAACAGTGATTTCTGTCCAGGATGCTGAGACTTACTTCGATATCGATGAATTCAACGACCTTTACGCTAAGGCCAAACCCACTTTGTACATCAAAATGTCTGACATCTTCTCTATTCACCAGCTGGTGGCATCACAAGTCGATTTCATGTGTCCCAACCCAGATGATTTCCTCAAGCAGCTCTTACGCGACCTCGGGAATGTTAAGAACAACGAGAACGAATTGATGAGTGTTAGCTCGACGGAAATCAATCTGACCTTGAACCCTAAGCTGGCACAGGTTGAAGGTATGCCGACGAGAATAAAGTCATTTGAGTTGAATTCCGCTAACAAACAACTTATAGATCCGGAAGCAGCTGTCAAGGCCTTGTTCATGGAGACCAAGCGATGCATTTTGTATATCATTCGAGTGCAAAGTGGCACTAATTTGATGGACATCATGCTTAAGTCCCCCTCGGAGGAAGATGAGGATAGGTGGCAGACCTTGGTGCGTGATGAGCTACACACCAACAACCCCCGGCGGGGGGCCTACTCTGAGGCTAGCACTTTGGTCGACATTGGTGCTATGAGCTACTCAGAACTCAAGGGCACTGCTCTCGAGAATATTCTCCGTCTCGAGCAAGCGGGCAAGATCAGCCGGCACAACCACTACCAAGACCTCCTCAACGCCATTGCCATCGACATCCGAACCAAGCACCGCCGCCGCATCCAGCGCGAACGAGAACTCGAGGGCGCGCGATTAACCTCAACCCGACTGAGCGACCAAGCTGTCTACTTAGAGGGTCAACTCAAGACGTACAATGATTACATTGAGCAAGCAATGATCACTCTGCAAAATAAGAAGGGCAAGAAACGGTTCCTGATGCCCTTCACCAAACAATGGGACCACCAACGAGAGCTTCAGAAATCAGGCAAGGTATTCAAGTTTGGTTCGTACAAGTATTCTGCTCGAACACTCGCCGACCGCGGTGTGCTGGTTGGTTGGAAGGGCTATACCGAGCGGCAATACGACCGAGTCGACTTGACAATCTCTAGTAACGAAGTCGGAGTATTTACGATTGACGGCAGCAGTGGCAACATGATGGTGCCTGGTGCCAGCGCACAGGTTCCGCTGGATGACCTGCTACAGGCTCAATTCAATAATTCACAGTTCATGGACTTCTTCGATGGGCAGATGCGGGTGAATGTGAACCTGTTCCTGCATTTGATTATGAAGAAATTCTACAACGAGTGAGCTGACGGATGTGACGAGGGACGATGAATGGTGGGCATTATTGGCGATATCCTTATTCTTTTTATTCTTTCATGTTTCATTCCACTTGATGTTTAGATACCTCGGTATTTTCTTTCTGTATGGAATTTTTTTTTTAGCGGCAGCACCTCGGGTTTTCTCCACGGGGCTCTGAACGGACATGTACACAATGTGACCATGACAATTGCCTTATTACGCAGGAGTAGCTTCGAAAAAAATAGGCTAAACAGATATCATAGGGTACTCTTCTAATCACTGAATCAATCAAGACCCATTTCAATTTTTTTTTATCCGAAGTCAGAAGTAACGTTGGATTGGTATGCATGCTTTAACTGCTGGTGTTGATTTCATAGATCGATCAGGGGCTGCCACGTGACTTGCGCTCTTGGAATCCGCCAGCTGGAAGGCCGGACGCCCCCGTCCAACTGCCCATTCTCTCCTTATAATCCAATCCCTGTAGGGCGTGGATCACTTGGTCTTTATTGGCTCATATTTGCCCGAGCGCCTTCACCGATTGCCTTCGACGCCCCGGTCTCCCTCTCCCTGTTGCATCTGATTTCGACACGTCTCGTCACCATGGACTTCAGCAATTTGAAGGAATCCGTCAGCAACCTGACCTTGTATGATCTCAAGGCGGGTGTGCGCAAAGTTCAGAACGGTACGCCAGATGCCACAAAATTGCCTACCGTCAACGCAGTCGAATGCGACAGTTTGCCTGTCGCTCTAAAAGATCCCAAGCTGACCGTTCCGTCATAGCCGTTATGAACTATACCGAAATGGAGTCCAAGGTCCGTTTCATGCCCAATGCCCTGCGTTATACATACGAATCTCCCCCGGCGACTTCAATGCGACAATCCCTTTACTATTTTAGAAGCAAGATTAGGATCACTAATTTGGGTCTAGGTTCGGGAAGCCACAAACAATGAACCTTGGGGTGCTTCGACCACACTGATGCAGGAGATTGCCAACGGAACTCACAGCTAGTGAGTAGCATGACCCAACTGATCTAGCTCTGAAGGTCCGATCCTAATCGATTCCAATAGTCAATTGCTGAACGAGATTATGCCTATGATCTACAAACGGTTCACCGATAAGTCCGCGGAGGAGTGGCGACAAATCTACAAGGTAGGGCATACTGCGATTTGCGCATGTCGATGCAGGAACTGATATTTTGGCACGAACTTAGAGTCTCCAACTCCTCGAATTCTTGATCAAGAATGGATCAGAACGCGTGGTTGACGATGCCAGATCTCACATGTCGCTGCTGCGGATGCTCCGGCAATTTCACTACATCGACATGAACGGGAAGGACCAGGGAATTAATGTGCGCAATCGATCATCCGAGCTCGTCAAATTGCTGGGTGATGTCGAGCAAATTCGCTCTGAACGCAAAAAGGCTCGTGCCAACCGGAACAAATTTGGCGGATTTGAGGGTGGCATCAATGCCGGAGGAATGGGTGGCTCTTCCGGTCGTTATGGCGGATTTGGAAGTGACAGCGGGGGCTTTGGTGGATATAGTGGTGGTGTTTACGGAGATGGTGGAGGCTTCGGCGGCGCCTCGAGCGATTTCCAAGAATCTTCTTCTGGCCGCCGGGGCAATCGATTTGATGAATACGATGAATACGACGAGGGAGATGCGGTCTCAGCTCGACCCGCCGCTCCTCCAAAGCAGAAGAAACCAGAGCCGGCGCCTGCTCCTCCCCCGTGGCGAACATGCTTGACTTTGACGATGAGGAAACCGTGATAACTTCGTCGACTGCTGCGGGCAAGCAGCCAGCAGGAGGTGGTATCAATATGCTCGACAACGGAGACGATGATGAATTCGACGACTTCCAGTCTGCAACCCCTGCCCCATCGGCTCCAGCATCAAACTCGTTCTCGATTCAGCCCCCTGCCTCCACTGGCAGCACCAACATGAGCACCCAATTCGTCGCACCCAAGCCTGTATCAGGATCGCAAGGCGCGAACATCAACGGTATCGTCGGCTTCACATCAGCTACTCCCACCCCGCCGGCTAGCTCTATTGCCTCGCCTGTCTCGCAGACAGCTTCCATGCAGCAGCAGCAAGTACCCAAACCCACCGGCTACCAAGCAAAAGGCCCCAACTACTTTACTTCTATCCCCTCCGTTTCTTCCCAATCCTCCTCCCACGCAGCCACACCATCCTTCTCTTCTTCTAGCTCCGCCAAACCCGCTGCCTCAGCAGCAAAATCCTCGGGCGACGCCTTCGGCTCGCTCTGGTCCACTGCCAGCGCCAGCGCCGGAATCACTAAGTCCAACACCGGACCAAGCAAGGGCCCCAACCTCGCCAGCATGGCCAAAGAAAAAGCTTCCGCCGGTATCTGGGGTGCTCCTGCTGCACCTTCCACCCCGCAGGCACAACCCAAGCCAGCCAGTGGTTCAGCTTTCGACGACCTGCTGGGCTGATTTCCTTTTATCTCCCTTAGGTACCTCCTCTTGGGGACTTGAGACTACATCGCTTATTCTCCCATCATTGATGCCGTTTAGTACAGGAATCTCCTTTCTCCGTAAGTATGAACACGTACGCGGCATTTCATTGTCAAGACCCATCTCTTGTTGTCCTTTCCAACCATCTTGTGCTTTCTGCCGACCTTGATGGCCCCCCTTATTTGATTCTTCATTTGTGTTTCTGGATTAGCAGAGCAAATTCTGAAAATTTCCCCTTATCATTTCCCCTTTTATTTCTTCTTTGCTGTGTGGACAGCTTCGTACTTCGTACTAGTAGATTGTTCTTGCTATACTCCATCTTTACAGCCGTCTATTGACGTGATCGGTGCCTGGACGAATGCATACATACTGGGAGTACTGAGTTTGATATTATCATAAAGCCTCGCCAATACTACTGGCAGTAAAATCCGTATAGGCCAACTCGTAATTAATACCGACTCCTTCGTTTTTGTTAAGGATTGGCAAACATTCGTACAAGACGGACAGAGAGCAGGTATTATATGAATAGATAGGCATTACGCTGATGCTAAAAGATGCTAGGACAACGCCTGCGCTGAAGGAGGCTAGATACAGTGCAAACAAAAAAAGGGGGAGAGGGAACAGGAATTCATACGGCAGAAGACAGAAAAATATGGAGGGGAGCGCATCGGACTAAGGCAGACGAAGGGTTCATCAAGAGGTGATCGTCTGCTGTATTCCATATGGTCCTTTAATAGTTGTATTGATGGCGTGGGCAGGTGTCGTGGAGGAGAAGCGTAAAAGTAGAATGTGGAGGGTTCATTCATTGGTGGATATGGTTGTACAAAGAGACCTTTGTTAGACCTCACAGTCCCCATGTTTTCACTCCCGAGGGCTCAGCCCTCGACGTGGGCGAATGAGGGGGGTAGAGTTGCATATCATAGTGGTCTTCTTCCGTGAGTGTATGAAGCATCAGGTTGAGCAAAGCTACTCGACTTCCGCGAGGTTTGATCCATTGGCGGATCACGCTTGGAATGCCATTGATGCTCGACACGATTCGAGCGGCGTACAAAGCGTCCGAGCTAAAACCTAGTGCTCATGAGGATCGAAAATGATATATGCGGACATGTACCAATTGCGTCAGGGTTTGTCTGTCGTGCCAGCGACGACGTTGGCGTCATCAACTTTGGCAGATTCTTCTGTTTTGTCCTCCTGGGCCGCACCGCTTGTGCCAATTGGACCGCTTTGAGTAGGGGTCGGGATGCGATCATCGTCGGTCATATCCATGGATGTACTGGTATCCGTCGAGTCTGCGTGAAGCTCCTCCCCATTCAACGATGTCAAGCCGCCTTCGATATCACGGAGAAGCCGTACAAATTGCTCTGGAACAAGACCATTTTCGCCTGTTTTGGGATCTTCCGCAACTAGCCATCCCTCGCCGTGTCGATATGAGACATAGATCACTTGTCCCTCTGTGAGGGGGAGTTCGTTCTCGTGCTCGCGCGTGAAATCGAAGAGCGCAACGGCTTTCCCATGCATCTCTTCGTCCGGGCATCCGACCGCGAATTGGTAGTCGTTCGCATATCGATCTTCACCAGAAAGCCCGTCTGGTGATTGGAGGCCGACATCAGGTGCATATCCTTGCTGTGCGACATAGTGCGAATACCGGCCTTCATGAGCAGGATATGTGACATATTCTCCGCCGGGCCCATTCTCTGATCCATCGCTACCATTGACATAGTATGTCTCGCTGCCATCGGCATTTATGCTAACCAAAGTGCCCCGGTCCGAGTGGCCCTCCGGGGGGCACTCGTTATGCCGTTTGCAGTTGAGCCACTGTTCTTCTTACGTTGCCGCAGCGAAGTGACTACCGGGCTATGGAGGTCTTCATCTTCACTGTATGGGGACCGTCGCCGAAGGACATCGCTGGCAGTTGCTGGTGGCCTTGAGGAGGGGTTGATTCCGTGTTCCACGGCCCCGCCACCCATGGGCCCCGTGATGTATCCCATGATGGCGGAGGATCCGACAAGCGGCGGTATTCACTTGCGGGTGTGGTATCGCCGGAGGGCTGCGGGGGTGGGCCGTAATGTAAAGGGTGGATAGGTGGGTAAGCAAAGTCACGGACGAGCGCATACGGCAGGCTGGAGTGGAAGATAGGAAATACGTGGGAACCCGGGCGCGAGCGGCTCTGCGATGCAAAAGACACATTGGAGTATGTAGACAAGCGATTCTTTGCACCTGGAGGAGACTTGACAGAGGAGTCCGTATTAATGGGCGGCAGAACCGCCAGGTTGTCTGTGTCCGGCATGTCGGGCGACGCCGTCGGCGAGGTCATTTTGGAGGGAGACAAGGTCGAGGAGACGATGTGTGATGATCGAGAGATTCAGCAAGGATTAGGATAGAGTGTTCATTGGCCACGTTTCGCAGGTTTCTAATTTTGCATTGCGATGGGTGTGCGCAATATCCCACTTTGCGACTTGGGAAGTGGGGAGGGGTTGAAGAAGAGCGCTTCTTCACTCGCAACGTGCCCTGGAATTCCTCCAAGTGAAGCAGCGTTCCACCGTAGCTCGATCTCTTTCCCACCGGTTACGGATACCAAGAGCGCGCCCCCCGGGTTTGGGCGTTTTGGGCGGGAGCGGCAAAGTTAAGGAGGGGAAAGGTTCGCGCGGGGCGGAGGATTGATCGAGTTACGGCCCCAGGAGAACTGAGGAACACAGGCTCCACTGGAGATTCGAGGATATGATGGAGGCCGAGGTCCTCGAAGCACTCGATGCGCTGGGGTCCCGCAATCAGTTCGAGAGGCAATACTGCTAAATATAGCCAGGACCTGCACGAGTGTCAGATATCAAACTGTGAACCCCGATCCAGCGCTTATTCAGGGACGAGGAGAAAGTAGCATGTCCTCGGCTGTCCATTTCAAAAGAAAAGACAATGTCTAGGGATCGTGTCTTGCTTCTTCTTTTTGGATCGGTTTCTCTAGGAAACAATGCTATGCGATCGGAGATAGAGCATACCTTTTTTTGGCAGAGAGATCACCCCTCCTTAGGGTGGATGATCAACGCCAGCGGCAGGGTTGGGGCCTGAGCGAAGTAGACTTGCGACAGACTCCCTGAGCTTCAGATGCAGGTCTCAAATTGTCAAATTGACCTGGAGCCGCTTGGAATTCACGCAAGACAGCCTGTGGGAATTGAAGCTTCGCGGGGATTAGGTCAGCAATCACGTGTGTGTTTCAGATGGACACTAATCCACAATGAGATACGCCGCATACAGACGATGATTGGGCAGATCTATGGAACTAAACAGGCGCGCTTCTATAACAGGAGATTGCGGGATTGCGGGATTACGGGATCGTGGGATTGGTAGGATTCAGGGGGTGATTGTTCAATTCCATCACACCCCATTTGTCATGCATTTTACATTTGAGACCTAGGGATCTTTGATTCTATTGAGCTGGTACATGGATTGGATCCTGGGTATCTTTTAAATCCAGAAAGCAAAAACAACAGAAAAAGTGGAGAGAATGTTGATGTGAACTGCTCAGGAAAGCGTTGCCGTTTGAGGGCAGACGTAGTAGACTTGTGTCTTTGTCACCCATTCAGTCGTTGCAGCTGCTGTCTCAGTCATGGTGACAGTATAGGTTGACGTAGGGGCTCCTGCTGAGGCACTTGTCGGATCTTTAGAGAGCGTGGAAGACGCAGGAGAGACAGCAGAGGCGAGGGAAGCCGAAGAAGCGGAGCCAGCAGGCTGGGGATCAGATGCATTCTCTAGATCTTCAAACTCTGACTGAATCGAGGCGCTGTTCAGATCTTGGCCGACCGCGTATTTGAAGCTGGATTTTGTCTGACTATTTGGTGATTCCACCACGTCGATATCCATGCAGGTGGTGTAGATCTCTTGCTTTCCGTCGGGATAAGTTGGGTCACCTCCTGGTAAGGTGGGCCAGTCCCATACCCAGTAAAGCGTGTAAGGCTTGCCGGTTGGAGCGTTGGAGGGCAACTGAATATCTTGTTGACACCAGAGGTCTGCCCCCATCAGTTGGTTGGCTTGATGCGGATACTCTTTCTGTCTAGTAGTGGAAATCTCGCCAGAGTTGATTTGATAGCAACGGCTGTCGTCAAAGTTCTGCTTGGACAATAGGACACCAGAGCCGTCACCACCGGTGCCCTCTCGATTCCATTTTCCATGAACGTTGAGCAGAGTCTCGTCCTTTTTTGGCTGGGTTGTTCCATACACATAGATCGTCCCGCGATTCTTGGGTTTACCGGGTTGGTTCTGAGGCAGAGTGACATGTCCATTTTCTTGGTAGCGGAGAGCGACTGCAGCGCCAGCGCTGGCTTGGAGACGTGGACTCCCTTTTGTCTGGTTGTAGGTATCTTGGGTGTCTTTGCACATCTTCGTAGTCGGCATCACTACTGTGACATTCTGCTGTGTGTTGGGTGGAATCAAGTTCACCATGGTTGGGTCACTGAATCCAGGTGCCGTGCGGAGTACGTTCCCTCGAGCGTATCCCGGCTCGCCTATGAAAGTACCATTTGGCGCGATCACAGTGAGCTGCTCGATCCAGGAATGCGCATTGACGTACGTGCCAAGGACAAGTAGAGAAAGGAGGGCGTGGGTCATCTTGAAGTTCCTTTGTCGTGTTCGTGATAGGGTTCAGAGTTCACTCGTGCGGTCTACCGACCAGCGGTAAGACTTTTGTATGAAGGGGGTTCTAAATTGGAAGGAGCGCAAGACACTCTATTTATAAGGGAAAGTGGCAGCGTGTGAACAAGAAAGAGCGTGAATGAAGGTCGAAACAGCGTGAATGAAGAGCTCCGGACAAGGCAAAAATGACAGGCTTCGAAAGGCTGCAATAGAATGGCAGAATGAAGATACAAGGGGAATGAAGTGTTTAATCGAAAGTATGCCAAACGCCTCGGGGTGTAAAAGTGAATATGAATGGGATTCAACCTGGTTTCACAGAGGGTGTTATGATTATTTCGTCTGGAGGGCTTTCAACCTCAAAGGCACTTTGTGCCTGGGATACGGTAGCACATATAGCGGAAGGCCATTGTTGGAGGGAGGACCGCGCTTAAATGGAGCAATTCTAAACAAATATCGCCATCCTTCAGATTGAAACAACCTAGAGGTATCACTAGGCCGCCGATAGAGCTCCTCAGTCCCCAGAGCCACCAGATCAGAGGCAACAGGAAAGAAATGGTTGGGCCATGTTGTTGCAAAAGCGACGGAGCCTGTAGCAGGAAGTGGAGGACAGGGGATATTCTTGAGCCTGAGACAGATTCCACCTTCACCCTGGCGCGTAAGATAGACCGGAGCGCCTGGACCAATTTTGCAGACGTTGCAGAAGTTGCACGTGTTGCATATTCGAAGCCAAGGCGGCGCGGCGAGATTCGCGATTGGCCCGTTCTAGGAGGCTCTAAGCGCTTTCCCCTAGATCTGCCATGCCCAATGTTCTGCATTTAGATGTCGATGCGCCCGGGTCAGGGGTGGAGCTTGGCTTTCAGCGGAATGAGTATAGGCTGCAAAACTTGAAGGTTGTCATTAGATCATCTGTGTCAAATGTCGCCCCAGCGTGAAGGAACTCTTCATTCTTCCTACTTTCCACGTCGGTGCCATACCGACTCGCTACGGCCATGGCTTGGTTGTGCCAACGGGGCCATGAAAGTGGCGCGATTCCTAGCCTGGCCATTTCTTGCTCTTTCACCCTCTTCGTCACTGTCTCTCCCTGACTTGTGTCGCTCTCCAGCCCCACATATACTATTATACCCCCTGGCATCTGCTGCGCCTTCATCGATGGCCTGGAAGACCCCAGCGAGCAAATTCAAGTTGCTTCCATTTCGGTCGTACTCATATAGGTAAGTTCCCCGAAGCCAGCAGTAGACCCTCGGATAGTCGCCGTCGTCGGAGCTTAACAAGTTTTCGATCCTTGTTGCTCTGTGGAGCCTAGTCAGGTCAGGTTTGAAGCTCATTCTGGAGGAGTGGCAAAAAGAGCGCGGGGTTGGCGTGAAGCAACAGACTTAAATCGGTCTTTCGAGTTATCTGATTTTGATCCGATTGCGCCTAGAGGTCGGCGGGGTCCGCCAGGTCCAGTTCAGCATTTCAGCAAAACGACCTGGGATCTAGAACCACGCTAGCCATTGCAGATAGATGAGGAGGCTTGCTAACAACCCGCCTGCTTCTTCAAAGTGCCGTACTTCAACATCATGTAAGCTATCTGTGATCCTTCCTTCCAGTCAAGTTCTCCTTGCCTATTGCAGTAATCTTCTTGACCTCCGAGGTCTACGGAACCCCATCCCGGCAGTGCACCTGCTCCACTCACTTACTTATTCCAGTAATTATCAATATGGAGGGATTTGGGAGCATATGAGTATGAGATGCTCCCAACGTAAGGCGCACTCTCAGACATTATGTCGGCGAGCAACATAATGGCGGTCTGCTTATCTGAGGAAGGTACGCAACCATTCAGCATTCCCTGCCGTCAATACCGCCACGTACTGCAGATGAAGGTGGACCCTGATTCCGTGGAACCCAAGCGACTAAGTGGATTCGTGGATCCCACGACTCGGGTCCCGGCCTCGTGGCCTTAGCCCTTCCCGATCGACGAACTCGCTAAATTCGTGCCTACGGGCGTACTAATATGCCAAAGGACATTTTCTATTGGGAGAGGTATTACGATGTTCACAAGGGATGCGTAATACAGCCTGTATGGACAATGCAAGGTTATCATTGACGTTTTCTGTGCTACACACCGACCTTGGTATTAAGCACGAGGGAATCTGCGTGGCACCTACACTTGTCAATCGGCAATGGCAATTTGGGGATGGGGCGCAATTGTACTTTTCCATTGATCCTAACTCCCGGGTGCCGTCCACAGGGAGGGGTAAACCTCCAAATCGGCAAAAGCTTCGGGGGGCCAATAGAAAATTCCTGGCAACAAAGAACGGGGGGGGCAAAAAGCAAGCCTTCCAAGGTTGGATCGCCGGGGTTTCTGGCGGGATGCTTTATACTCAATCAGGGAATCCGCGTCCGCCCTAGTGGCTTTGGTCGATGGTGTCCGCTTATCATTCTCTGCACCCCCTTCAGAATTCCTCACCGTCTCTTGTGGTGAAGAGGAAGGTTTTTGTTCATACAATTGAGAAGCCTGTTCGTATAGGCCCGAATCTACCCCAGAGCCTTCCTTAAAATTCAAAAAAGCGGGTTTTGGCAGCAGCCACAGGTAATCAGGTAATCGATTGTGGCTTAGCGACCCCGTCGGCAATACTTAATTCCAGCGGGTCTGGGAGCTCGAATTATTTTGCGGCCTTCAGGGGTCCTTCTCTCTTGCGATCTCCGCGCGAGGAAGTCTTGTGCTTTTTTTTTTTCTTTGTTTTTCTTCCTTTTGGTAAGTTCCTTTTGCAGACCTTTCCCCAGAAACGCGCGTGTGACCTTCGGAGTTGTGGATTGACCAGAGAAAAAAAAAACATAGACCCCTTAGACTGTCAAGAACCCAACCGCTTCGTGCGAGCCACATGGGGAACTCTATCTAAGCTTCTCTCCAGTTAAGCTCCTCCCGCGCTGGTGTTGGTCGGAAAGAATTGCATCGCGGTCAATTCGTGCAGGCATTGGTCCCTGCCGGCCTTCTGAACGCTTCAAACATTCCCGACCTTCCCGACACCGCTTCCCCAACCATGGCCACCTCGTTGATTTCAAAGAGACTACGCACTGCGGAGGACACCGATGCTGAACCCAGCTGGATTCGGCGCCAGGTGACCTCTGCCCTCCAGTGTGTCTCTCGACGCGCTTGTGTACACCCGATCCACACCATCGGTATCATTGCTCTTCTTGCCAGCACCACCTACGTTGGTCTGCTTGAAGGCAGCTTGTTGGACACCACCAGGAACCCAAGGAACATTGCCGGTCAGGTGGACACCGATGCTCTTATCCAAGGAAGTCGAACCCTGCGTTTGGGAGAGTCCACCTCCTGGAAGTGGCAGGCGGAAGATGCTTGGGCCGACTCGAAAGTGAGTTTGTCTTTTTGCCTTTACTCCATTGATTGGTTCTAACAATGAGTTTGTAGGACATTGAAAGCCCGTCCATCCATCATCTCGGTTTGACTACCTTTATCTTCCCTGATGCCACCTCTTCAACGGCACCCTCCGACAAGGATGTTCCAATTCCCGCCAATGTCTCTGCCTCAACGGTCCCATATACTCCTAATCTCTTCTCACCTTTCTCTCAAGATTTTGCCCTTGCATACACTGTGCCTTTTGATCAGGTTTCTGATCTCCTGAAGGCAGTCCAGGAAATCCCCAAGCCATCGGCCGAGGAGGAAGAGGAGACTGAGTCAAAGAAATGGATCATGCGAGCTGCTCGGGGAGCCTCGACCTCCCGCGCCGCTCTTCTGCTGTGGTTTACAAACACCTGGGGGTCATTCGTAGACCTGATCAAGCATGCGGAAACTATTGACATTGTTATCATGACCCTTGGGTATATTTCGATGCACCTGAGCTTTGTGTCCTTGTTCTTCTCCATGAGACGACTTGGCTCCAATTTCTGGCTGGCTACAACCGTTCTGTTCTCAGGATCCTTTGCTTTCCTATTTGGTCTTTTGGTAACCACTAAGCTTGGCGTGCCAATTAATCTTCTTCTGCTGTCTGAGGGTCTGCCTTTCCTGGTTGTGACGATTGGATTTGAAAAGCCTATTATGTTCACACGGGCCGTTTTGAACGCTTCCGTGAACAGCAGGCGCCCCAGCCCTGGAGCTGCCCCTCGTCCATTGTCTTCTACTACCCCCGGCTCAATCCAAGATTCCATTGCGACTGCCATTAAGCAGCAGGGCTTTGAGATTATTCAGCACTACTGTATTGAGATCGGTCTGTTGACTATTGGTGCCGTTTCCGGTGTACAGGGTGGTCTCCAGCAGTTCTGCTTCCTTGCTGCGTGGATTCTCTTTTTCGACTGTGTGCTTCTCTTCACCTTCTACACCACTATCCTCTGCATTAAGCTTGAAATTACCCGCATTCGTCGCCACGTTGCTCTCCGCAAGGCCTTGGAGGAAGATGGTATTACTCACAGCGTTGCTGAGAGTGTTGCCTCCAGCAATGACTGGCCCAACGCAGGATCGGAGAGCGTTGATGGTGACACAAGCATCTTTGGACGTAAAATCAAGTCCAGCAATGTGCGTCATTTTAAGATCTTCATGGTTGGTGGTTTGATTCTGATCAATGTGGTGAATTTGTCCGCTATTCCATTCCGCAACACTGGTAACGGCGCTTGGATCTCCCGTTTGTCCAACTTTATGGCTCCGACTCCCATTGACCCATTCAAGGTCGCTGAGAACGGTCTGGATGCTGTCTACGTGACTGCCAAGAGTCAGTTGCAGGAGACCTTGGTGACCATCCTTCCCCCCATCAAGTATACCTTGGACTACCCGTCCGTCCATTACGCCGCTACCCAGGTCCCTGGCTCAATCGACATTGAATATACGGATCAGATCTTGGACGCAGTAGGTGGAAAGGTTCTTGAGAGCCTACTCAAAAGCGTCGAGGACCCCTTCATCAGCAAGTGGATCATCGCTGCTCTGACATTCAGTATCATCCTCAACGGTTATCTCTTCAATGCCGCACGTTGGAGCATCAAGGAGCCTGAGATTATTCCCGAAGCCCCTGAGGAGCCTATCGCACCCAAGGTTTATCCCAAGTTTGAGCCCAACGAACAGGAGTCTACCCGCACCCCTGCTGAGTGTGAGCTGATGCTCAAAGAAAAGCGTGCTCCTTACCTGACTGACGAGGAATTGATCGATCTTTCACTTCGTGGCAAGCTTCCTGGGTACGCTTTGGAGAAGACCATGGAAGACGAGGAATTGATGAGCCGCGTTGATGCTTTCACCCGGGCCGTCAAGATCCGCCGTGCCGTCGTCGCTCGTACCCCTGCCACCTCTGCTATCACATCAACCCTTGAGAAGTCTAAGCTGCCCTATGAGCACTATAATTACGGTCTTGTTCACGGTGCTTGCTGCGAAAACGTCATTGGATATCTGCCTCTCCCTCTTGGTGTTGCCGGTCCATTAAAGATCGACGGCCAGAGCTACTTCATCCCTATGGCTACCACTGAAGGTGTGCTTGTCGCCAGTACCAGCCGTGGCTCCAAGGCCATCAATGCTGGTGGCGGCGCTGTGACTGTCTTGACCGGTGACGGTATGACTCGTGGTCCTTGCGTTACCTTCCCTACTCTGGCTCGGGCCGCAGCTGCGAAGGTGTGGATTGATTCTGAGGAGGGTCACAACATCATTAAGACTGCCTTCAACTCGACCAGCCGTTTTGCTCGTCTGCAGAGCCTGAAGACTGCGCTCGCTGGTACCTACCTGTACATCCGGTTCAAGACCACTACCGGTGACGCTATGGGGATGAACATGATTTCGAAGGGTTGTGAGAAAGCCCTGGATGTCATGTCTAAGGAATGTGGCTTCGACGACATGGCAATCATTTCTCTTTCTGGTAACTTCTGCACGGACAAGAAATCTGCTGCTATCAACTGGACCGATGGGCGTGGCAAGTCCGTTGTGGCTGAGGCCATCATCCCTGGCGATGTTGTGAAGAGTGTTTTGAAGAGTGATGTCGACGCCCTTGTTGAGTTGAACGTCAGCAAAAACTTGATCGGAAGTGCCATGGCAGGCTCCCTGGGTGGTTTCAACGCCCACGCTTCCAACATTGTCTCTGCTATCTTCCTGGCCACCGGTCAAGATCCCGCCCAGAATGTCGAGAGCAGTAGTTGTATCACAACCATGAAGAAGTAAGTCAATGGACAGATGGAGTCTCCCGTTTGATTCGGTGCTAAAACTTTTGCTGCAGCTCCAACGGCAACCTCCAGATCTCCGTTTCCATGCCCTCCATTGAGGTGGGTACCATTGGTGGCGGTACTATTCTTGAGGCCCAGTCGGCGATGCTAGATCTGCTCGGTGTTCGCGGTGCTCACCCCACCAACCCTGGAGACAACGCTCGCCAGCTCTCTCGCATTATTGCTGCCTCTGTGCTTGCCGGTGAACTCAGTCTTTGCGCTGCCCTTGCCGCTGGCCATTTGGTAAAGGCCCACATGGCTCACAACCGTAGTGCTGTCCCTACTCGGTCCTCGACTCCGGTTTCCGCTGCTGTTGGTGCTGCCCGTGGCCTTTCCATGACTTCCAAGTAAGCCATTCCAGTCACGGGGCTCACGATTGCAAGCCACCGAGATCTTCGGATTTCTATAATTTCTATTCTCCAACGCCGAACCATATAGACGAGTCTTGTCCCCCTCGTCTTTCTCTACGGATGCGAATCCTGCATCTCTCTTCCTCGGCAGCCTTTTCGGCTGCTCGTGAAACTAAAAGGGAAAATCCTCATGGAATATCTAGGCGTTGTCGGTCTGTCGCTTCAAATCCTAGAGTTTCCCTCGTAGGGGCATTCACACGAAACGCTGCCGCCGGCGGTCATGAGCCACGCTCTTGTTACATTTTGTACGTAAGTTATTTCCATCTGGACAGATAGGTTGGACACGACAACCTAGCAGTCTTATAATGTTGAAATTGAAAAAAAAAAAAGAGTTATATTCAGGGTAAACCTCTCAATGCTCGTACGCGTAGAGAATTACCCGCAAGTCACGGTCGGCGATAAAGCACACTGTGTGATGCTTCGTATACGCACCCGAGCCACACTCGCCTTGACCAATCTGGGGCCGGTCGAGATTCCCTCGACCTCCTTCCTGACTTAGGGTTGCCCCTGGATTGGCGTCCCTGTCGCATCTGGAGAATCAACCCCATACTGCCCTGTAATTAACTAACTTATTCCATGGATCGATCATTTCAGTCTTCTTGTCTCCGCAAATAGGAAGCTGTCCCCGGCACCACCCAAGTCGTCCAGAGAGAGTCTGGGCCCAATAAGCGGCCGGTGCGCCCCGGATGGACGTCCAGTCCCTGGTGTGGCTGTGTTCTTACGCGTATTGATACCGTCAGATTTTAGTACGCTCTTAAACTTTGTGTGCCTTGTTCTTTTCTTCTCTCTCCATTGACCTGATAAGTCATTTGGCACGAGACGAGGCCCATGGGGAATCAAAAAAGCTTATTAGGATGTAGACCGTCGAATGTCTCAGGTCTCGAGCATATACAAGAGACATAGAAGAGACCCCAAAACCCACATGTAATGATCCTCCCCCCAACAGTGTACGAATGAAAAAGCGCCATTCCAGGTACCTGCATCGGCACGCCAATAATTCAAGCTGTACTCCGTAAGGACCGGCGGGTCCGTAAGGGAACTAAAGGGAAGCCCGGAGTTCTCTCGACGAATTCACTTTCTCCCCTTTCGAATCGACTATCCTGCCTGGCCTACACTCATTTGGCACGGGTGGCTTCCCTTACTCGCCCCTTTCTCTTGGTCTCCCAGTCCACACCCCTGCGGCTCCCTGTTTGACACATTCCGATCGAGGAGATAAACTGGGTCTAGGTCTGTCAACTCCGCTCGGTCGCCTCGAGGTTCGCATCCTATATTCCCGACCGACCGGCTTTATTCGATTCCCACGACGTGACCAATAGGAGGAGCCTTTGATTCCTTGCGACTCTGATATGAATGGCCATTCGGGAGCCATGTCGCCTGTATCTGTTGACGGCAGCGACTGGTCCGGCATCAATCAATACCAGAAGTCAGATCCCCCATTCTCGCCAACTTTATCTCGTGGCGCCCTGCACACCCCCCCAACTTCGGGCATTCCCAGCGCCCCCATGAGTCCCTAGCTTACCTGTCAGCCCGAGCGCCATGGGGGCCTCACAGCCCAGCAGCGGCAACCCGTCGCCACCGAACTCCGTAACCGCCAGATCCAGCGTTGGCACCCTGGGCGGAGACGAACGCGACGGCGGTCGACGCCGCAGACAAATGGAGGAGATTCTGGCCCAGCATTACGGTGCTCTGAAGCGGTTTCTAAACGCCGCGAACCGCAACGACCAGAATGCTAGCCGCTCTAACAAGGCTCGCGACAAGCTGCTGCGACTCTCACCCACCCAGTTCCACGAACTCAGTACCGATGTCTACGATGAGTTGATCCGTCGCCAGAAGGCCAATCCCCCCCCCCAGGCCGTCCGCCTCGTCCCGATGTTCCTCCTTTCCTCCCTCCTCGACCGGATTTCCACGAAAAGCGTAACCAGGCTCGCTCGAAGCTCGCTTCGCTTCAACATGGTCGTTTCCGTGACTTGGCGACGGATGTATACTGTGAGCTGGAGCGCCGGTTTCCTCAATTTACGGGCCGTCGTCCCCCGAATATGCCTCCGGATGGTCGCCGTTCGCAGTCTCGGGGCCCTCCAAGGAATCGTGGCTATCCATCTGGACCCCCCGGCAGCCCTTTCCCACCGCGACAAGGGTCCCTTGGCGGAGCTCCTCCCGGAATGAACGGTGAAGGCCCTTTCCCCCGGTCCTTTCAAAGTAATACCATGGTACCAAATAAGAGCACGATGGTTGAAGACAGTGACGATATGGGCATGGATGATGATGACGATGCTCGCAGTGATGCCTTTGCGCTTGATGCTGTGCTTAGCAGACGGGGAACTACTACCACCATTGGCGAGTCGAAACTGTTACTTGATAGCCAAGCCCAGGTGTCTGCGTTGCAAGAAAAGGTTGAAAATCTGGAAGAGCAGATTCGCGCGAAGGACGAAGAACTGGCTCGGTCACAGGATTCTAGTCAGTCTGCGGTATGTGTCCTTTTTTTTTTTTTAATCTCGACTCTACATAATCTCGCTTTAAGTGGATATCTAACTTTCTCCGCAGGTCAGTATTAACGAGCGAGAAGAGTGGGATGAACTCCGTCTCGATCTCGAGAGCAAGGTTTCCAAAGCGGAGGATTTGAATAGCTCATTACAGCTTGAACTTGACCGGGTCCGAGCTGAGCATGAGAATATGGAGCGGGAACTTCGCTCTCAGATCAACGAAGCGAGCCAGGGGGCCGGGAATGCGGACCTGGTTGCTCGATATGCAGATCTGGAGACCAAGCACCAGAATTTGCAGGTCGAGTTGCAGCAGCAGCAACAATTGACTTCGGAGGTTCGACGTGAGACATCTGAATTTTTAATGGAGATGAAGGCTCTTACGGCCCAAAGCCATTCAAATTGGGAACGCGAGGAGCAGCTCTCAGGCGAAGTCCGTCGCCTCGAGGCAGAAGTTAATGAGTGGAAGAATCGCTACGCCAAGGCCAAGTCACAGCTTCGACACCTCCGCACTTCCTCGGGTGGTTTCTCTGAGCATCGCCCTGACGTCAGTATTGTTGCTAAAGAGCATGAGCTAGTGCAGGTCGACGGCGTAGTGAAGGACATCCATGTGACCAAATTTCAGATGTCGATCGATGAGCTTCTACGGGTTGCACGCTTTGAGGATGCGCGGGAGGTACTCAGCCAGGTCAAGCATGTCATTTTTGCCGTTCGCTCTATGATCCAAGATGTGGATCAGGCTCCGCCCCCTGTGGATGGTACTGCAATGCAACGAACAAAAGCCTCGGCTCGCTTGTCAGCAACCGCCAATAACATGATTACGGCCTCTCGTAACTTCGCTAGCTCCAGTGGCCTTTCGCCCGTTTCGTTGCTCGACGCTGCGGCCTCTCACTTAGCCACCGCTGTTGTGGAATTGGTGCGTGTGGTGAAGATTCAGCCTTCACCGGCCGGAGAACTGGACGACGCCGACGTGGACATGTCCACTGAGAAATTCCCCGATTATTTCAGCACCACGGGTAGCCAACGACCTTATAGCAACCACTCCGAGTACAGCATCTTGAGCCCTCCTGACCAAGACCACCCGGCTATGCAAAACGGGTATGACGGATACGGTTATGGCCTGCCAGAAGAAAACCACGACCATGACCTCCAAGAACTCAAGCTCTATGTCGAGGATCAGACCGACAGCATGGTGCAGTCTATCCAAGCACTGGTTGAGGCAATTCGATCCGAGCAGGGCTTGCACAATGTTGAAACCCATGTCTCCGCTATCAGCGACGTCGTTGGACGTGTGGTCTCTGCTACCGAGGGACTCATTCATGACCGTAGCCATGATGTCGCTCTCCGCGAGACATCCGAGCCCTATGTACATGTTTTGGATGAATGCCGTGGCCGCTTGATGAACACCGTTGCTGAAGGCCACCATGCTGCCAGTCCTGAGGCTCTCCGTGAGGTGACCAACCAACTTCCTCCCATTGCATTCGAACTCGCTCGACAAAACAAGGAGCTTGTTCAACGTTTGGAGTCATTGTCACTGGGCGGTGACGATGATTTCCGGTAATGATTTGTTTAACTTGCTTTCATTCTGATCAGTTCTCCAATTTCTTCTTACGTGGGGCTAGTTCACGTCCCTGTCTCTATGGGTTGTTTTCCATTTCTGCCATATCATGTTTCTCCAGGCTTTCCCGGTTGTTCAGTTCCCGCTTCCTCCCTCTTGCCTATATTTGTTCTACATCCTTTCACCTTTTCTCTGGCTTTTGAGCGACTCTCATCTGTGGCAACTAAGCCGACAATGTCGAAATGATGTCCTGGCACGCTTGGCATTTATGGTCTGGTTTTTTCTTTTCTTTTCTTCTTTCTTTTTGATGTTGGGCTTTTCGTTTGCCCCGTGGCACTTGCTCAATTCTTATTCGTTGTATTCCTATTTGATCGACCGATCTTTCTCTTCTTCCATGTCCTTTTTTGCCCGTTTATTCCAAGGTTGCTTGCTTACGGCTTTGTAATCCGCCAGGGGTCTCCCGAGGTCCCCCGAAGTCTGGTTATGGTGGGTTGTCGTTGTTTTTCTTCCTACTTGGCCCTGGGTGACGGCGCCAGTCCTTGCATCGTGCACATGAATTAGAAGCATCGATCCTCCGAGTCCTATGAATATATTTGGCTAGTTCTGATATCAATTATGAAATCCGTAGATCCGGCCTGTTTGTAGTCTGATCAATTGAGTTGATTATGCAAGGATTTAACCCATTAGACGTAGTTCCTGAATCTTCAGGCGCAGCAGGGGAGGCCCCGGCTGTCATTAGCTAATCCTTTAGCTCCGGCTGCATTTCCGCGTCAAGCTGCATTTTTCTCCCCTGTAGCTCCTGCTCCGCGCAATCTTCACCTTCTATCCCTTGTACAATAGTAAGTATCGATATATCCCTATTGCTCAACGGAGGCCCCGTTCTCGACTCCAATGGCGGGGTAAAGAATTGAATGCCACCTCTTGATAGGAGGTCCATCGATTGCTTGCTCTAGAACAACTGGAAGTTCCTATGACGGCCTCAGGCAAAAAAGCTGCGCACCGGGTCCCTCTACGCATCAGAAGCAGCTAACCCCTATGCAGCACGGCAACCGAGTTTACCCGCTCCGCCCTCTGCCCCTCACCATGTTTTGCCGCCTCAAGTCAACCCCACCCTCCTTCTTCTCTTCCCTCAATTGTTCTTTCCACCCTTCAACTCGTTCATTCTCATCTTCCTCTGCCATCATGTCGAACACCAAGGCTTTCTTCGAGGTCGAGTATGCCCCTGCGGGCTCCAGCGCCCGTAAGTAATTCTTTCTGATTCCTTTCCAATTGCTGGGAATGGCGGGGCAAGCCTTTTTTTGGAGCCTGTCCTTGTTCATCCATTGGGTGCTCCAGACCACCCACCATCCAGCAAGAATCGAACATACGTTTTTTCAGTTCAAGTCCTTTTGTTTTGTTTTCTTTCTTCTGTGGCTAATTCTCTTTGTAGCCAAGGTCGGCCGCATCAACTTCAACCTCTACGAGGCCGATGTTCCCAAGACCGCTAGGAACTTCCGTGAGCTCTGCACCAAGCCCCAGGGCGAGGGATATAAGGGCTCTGGCTTCCACCGTATCATCCCCCAGTTCATGCTCCAGGGTGGTGACTTCACCCGCCACAACGTGAGTCCAGCCTGAACGATTGGGTCTGACAATGGCCGGCTCCAAATTTCTTCTCATATCGTCAAACCCACAACTCGTACTGACTCTCCTTCCGCAAACAGGGCACCGGTGGTCGCTCCATCTACGGCGAGAAGTTCCCTGATGAGAACTTCAAGTACAAGCACGACCGCCCCGGTCTGCTCTCCATGGCCAACGCCGGCCCCAACACGTAAGTTGCCTCCCTCCGGGGGAACCTGTCCCCGCGATCAGATCCGCCAACCCCGCTTTGGACTCGAGCTAACACTGTCTTGCCCCATAGCAACGGTTCCCAGTTCTTCATCACTACTGTTGTGACCTCTTGGCTCGACGGAAAGCACGTCGTGTTCGGCGAGGTCGCCGACGCCGAGTCCATGGCCGTTGTCAAGGAGATCGAGGCCCTCGGTTCCTCCTCTGGCTCTGTCCGCTCCGCTGTCAAGCCTACCATCGTCAACTGCGGTGAGGCTTAAACAGCTCGATCAATCTGATCCTGTTTGTTTTGGCGGCAATGTCTCTCTTTGAGCGCTAAGCTGTCTAGCTCTGGGGCGGTGCTGTGCGCTGGTATAGTTTTATGGTGGATTTCCCCTTGTGTGATGTAATCTAGATAGTCTACCAACTAGCCATGGATGCTCTCTGAGCCAGGCGGCTTGAAAAAGTTTCTGTGAATTCAATGTAGAATTTCAGCTGCCATTCCGCGTGTATAATGGAGGGGTAGTAGATTCTGCTAAGAAGTGGGGGCACTTCCCGCCTAACACGTGGAGGAATTGACCTGGGGCCTTTTGGACCGGGGTAGATCCAAGTTACAATTCCTTGTCCAATTCAGTGTAACGAGCATCAAGACAGACCATGCAGACTGAGTGTGGCGGAAGAGTATCATCCAACATTTCTGCCTCTTGACACTCTACCGCTTTCCATGCAGCGCATACAACGTCCTGTGCAAAGGACTTGTATCTAACTATATAAGTGTAGTGATTGCACCACCTGTCACCCCTCCTCGACTTTGCCGCATGTAAACTGCCTGGGTGTCGCGAGCGGTCGCCTGAACTATGGGAAGTAGGAAGTTGGGATGGAGGATCGCTAGAAGGCAATTAAGTTGCTGTTATAATTCTTCTTCCTCGCCTCTCTATAGTTCTAGTATCTCGGATTCCAGCGCCGTTGCCGCTCCGCCAACGATAGGCTCCCATAGGCAGTACCGAACAGAACAATGTGAAAGGCCGGTAGGTCCTGTAGTAAGAGAAGTAGATTTCGTACCTATTAAAGGGGAGAACGAGAATCAGATGGAATATTGAAGGAATAATATTTTGTTCTCAAGGTTTATTTGCTTTTTCGCCATACCACTGGCAACTGGCAACTGACGACTTACGGATAATACCTTGGAGAGGAACATATAAAGAGTCTTTCTTCACTACATCGTTTCCCCTCTACACATCCTCCAGTATCATCCACGCGCATCATCCACGCGCATCATCCACGCGCACCAGAACTCGCCCTTAATCTGCAACTCAGCACTCAACCATGATGGTATGCATATCTTACCCGGAACTCATGAATCTCGTTTAGTTCTTTGTCCCTCGAAAGCCTTCATATCCCATCACACTAAAGACATTCACATAGTGTGACCACAAGAAGCTCAAACTTGAAGGCATCTCGCTTGGACCCGCAAAGCTCGAGCTCAAGTTCAAGGCCAACATGAACCCCCGCTTCCTTCTTCTCTGCTACAAGCGCACCGATCAAACCTACCAGCTGCAGAACGCCCCCGGTCTGCCCCTGGAAAAACACAGCGACCTCCGGCCACGCTTCGGCTCTAAGCTTAACGGCAAGCTCCTCGCCCAGTTGACGCAGGACATGCAGACCAGTTGTTTCAAGCACTAGTATGTGGATGCCTTCTCTCATCCTTTTGAACTGGGGCTTTGTCTAACATTGGCAAAAGTGCTGTTTGCGGCTGCCACACTCACTGGTACAGTCGCTGGGTTTATGTGATTTTGGAGAACACCGCAGCTTTTTAAAAGGGGGTTTGTCAGCTTGCGTGGGCTTGGACGAGCGGTTTGATGCCAGTGGGCTTTGAAGTTTTGAGATTAGGTCACAGAATGCGTCACTGGCCTACATAGAAATTAATCTGGGGTTAAGATTTGGGGAGCAATTCGATCAATATTGAAGCTTTAAGACTATTTATCGGGGGGGTTCTCTTCATACTAGCTCATGACAAGGAGGAACAAAGACTGATTCGCTGAATCCTTGCTACGGCCACTAGTAAACAAAGACGATTTTGAAGTATTATTAGTTGTACAAGTGGTAGCTGTTAGTCTGCTTACTGCTAAGGCCTTAAGAGGTGGGCCCAGAAATCTTGAATAATTAGCCTAAAATTGTGTCTCCCAATAATCTTTCGCAAGGGACCTCCATGAATCTATGACATTGGCATATTTCAAGGATGTAGACACATATGTCTAGATAGAACAGCCATCGTCCTCAGGTGTGTTGTCAGGAATGTTGCATTGTTTGGCATCCTCATAAGCAGAGACTAGGCCCTACTGGGACCCGTCTTGCCTTTTCTATTGCTTCATGTTACACTGCTGCAGCTCGCGGCTTCTTGTTGAGACGATATCTGGCGCGCTTAGACGTGCGAGACGAGGTAGAGGTTCTTGGAACGCCCCAGATCTTGTCAGTATTGAGCTTGATATCTACAATGCTATTTTTCTGAAGAGTGGATACCTTGTGGCGTTCCTGCTCTTCTTTGGCAGGGATTCTGTCAGGAGCAGAGAGTATCACAGTACCGGACGGCGATAGGGTGTCGGGAATGGCTGTATGTGTCTCGATATGAAAATACAGGGATACCAGCAAACTTCCCAGCCTGTTGTTTGGCCATTCCCTAGAGTTGTGCATAAAGCTCCTTAATATACTATCATTATTGGAATGAGTGGTACCTTCTATGTTTCCATAAATCGCATACATTCTACTAACAAAGTTCTGATATGCTGTTTTGAACTGATAGCTATTTTAAATTTACTTTATGTTTACAAATTTCCCAACCCCCCCTTTGGAATTACTAGTAGAGTGGGCCCTCATGATAAATGGAGATACTCCACTAGAAGTGGCGGCGGCAGATGGAGGACGTGGGGTGGACTGATACCCCACGACCCCCGCCCCTTTTCGTTTTCTTCAGCACCAAATTTCTCCCCTGATTATACTATATGTTCCTTGGCAAGTATCTGTGAATCTGCTCATCGCAAAATTCTTCCACATCTTCCTTTGTTGAAATGGCAGACACTGCTGCTCGATCATGGCTGGATGTTCTGGCAACGCAGAGTGAGCCACTGGGTTTAATAGTATCGAGGTGAAACTGACTGCTAACTCAAGACAGTCAATGTGGATCTGGACTACATGGACCCGGAGTTTACCTTGAGCTTGTTACCTGTTGTCCCCAACGACATGACCAGCAACCAGTTTATTGTGCATGAACGCATGTGCCACCCCGACAACGAAGCGCTTCTCAAGGAGGTTGCCAAGGATTACAAGGATGGCGGCTGGCTGGCGGTTTACACCCGAATGGTAATTTTTTAACTCTTCTCTGTGCAGGATTGAGGTTCTATCAGTGACCTAATATGATGGAAATAGGCCGTCTTGATGTGCAAAGCAAACATCAATAACATCAAAGGCAGAGTCCTGCTCCAGACCCTTCCCTCCTATGCCTACAACACTGAAAAGACCATCGAGCACGCACGCGCATATGCCCGCGAATTCGAGAGCGTGGGCATTTCCAAGGATCGCCTCTGCATTAAGATCCCCGCCACTGGACCGGCTCTTAGCGCATGTCCGATCCTCCTCAAAGAAGGAATTCGCACCCTTGGGACTGCTGTTTTCAGTGTCCACCAGGCTGTCGCAGCAAGCCAAGCCGGCTGTTTATATATAAGCCCTTACTACAACGGTACGCTGTTAGACAATCCCCGACATGTCTGAGAGATGAGAAGCTCATACATTCCCGCCTATCTCTAGAGATATTGGCTCACCTTCAGCGCCAGTATTGGCCAAAGTCTGCCGATCCTGCGTTACTACACCCTTTCTCATCCCGCTTCATCCAGATAGTAGAGGTTTACAGGCGTCTCTACCAAGAGACAGGCAAAGAACAGCCTTTCATCAAGCAAGCAGGGTATGTATTCTCCAGATTGTTCAACAAGCCCTCAGACTAACATCGCCCTCAGTTTCCTGTCTGCCGAAGAGGCCATGGCGGCCGCTGAAATCGGCTGCCATTCAGCAACGATCCCCCGTGCAGTTTTGCAGGAGCTTGCGGATCGCCAGTATGATAGTTCAAAGCAGCCTGGGGAAGGACTGCCCAAGTCAGCCCATCCGTATATCGATGCGGCACCGGTTCCTGCTCGGCTGAAGAGCATCCTCCTTACCGATCCCCTTGACCCTGCTTGGAAGGGAGAGGCAGGGCCTACTGATATTGACTACTTAGCTGATAACGGAGCCAAACTGGATGCGGCAAATAAAGCTGATCCCGAGACGAACAGACGCCTCGCCGAAGCTATTGAAGCTTTCATTGGCGCAGAGAAGCAAAGCCAGGCTAAGATCGAAGAGGTGATCAGGAGCCTCTAAATTTGCTAATTGGGGAACTGCATGGACCATGGAAAATGTCATTGGAGTGATTTTATAAAGGAGCGAGTACTTCTCGTACACCGCCATGCTATTTCCAGTTCTAGAAGACTAGTTCGTCTTGTGTGAGTTGAGCGCTTCTGGAAACGATCTCACACTGAAATCATATTTCAACTTCTAAGATCATTTATCTTACTCGATTAGTATCTTGAAGGAGCTCTTCTAGACGAGACGCCCAACAGCAATCGAAGCAGTCATCAGGCGTTCCACTCTACCTCGCACGAAAGTTTGTCGCTGAAGATCGTGGCTGCGCACTCTAGAGAAAAGAATATTTAGAGGAGATCATAGTCTCTAGTCTTCTCTAAGAAATCTGGTTTCTCAACATCCTCCGTTAGCGTGTTTGAAAGAAAATGTCATTTCAGCAAATCAAACCGGGGCACTATGAGCGCCCATTGGACACGCTCGAGCTTTTCTATCGAGGCATCGCAGCAAGCGGCAAGCCTTTTCAGAAGGAACCCTTTCTCTTATCTAGTGTGATACAGCTCAAGAGTGTGCCACCGCTGCCACACTTATACCAGGCATGGAAGGCGTTGAGATATAGACACCCGCAGATAGCAGCTCTTGCTGATGATACCCGGTTAATCTATAAAGTGCCATCCCCCGCAACGCTCGACTGGATGAAGCAAACCTTTATCATCCACGCGAATGAAATTCGCTCTGCAGCAGACCTTGAGGAAGATCTTCTTCCGCCTTCTCTTGTAATGGTCCACTACCTTCCGCCATCACGGGAGCTTCTTTTCCGCTCATCGCATTGGCGTCTCGATGGGATAGGCATGATCCTGTTACAGAATGATTTCTTAGCATTACTAGCGAACGGATCCGACTCCAATCTTCAATTTGACGGCCCCGAGGTACTGCGCATGCCGCCAGGCTTAGACGAGGCTCTTGGCATACCATCTGAAATTACAGACGAAAAGAAACGAGGCTCTGAAGCTGAACTGTCCGCGTTTGCGAACGGACCGGCGCCTCCGTCGGTTGGCAAAGTACTCCAAAACAAGGCACCAGGGGCCTCGCGCCATGTGAGCACAACGCTCTGGAAGGAACTGAGCCAACAAGTCCTCTCAGCTAGTAAGTGCCGAGGCTTGAAGATGACCGCAGCTGTATAATCCGCTCTGTTCTTAGCTGTGCGACCACATATAATTCCTCCTGATGGCCGCGTGGTATGTTCCAACACATACGATCTTCGCGGCAAAGTTCCAGCTCCATGGAATGGGCCGCAAGGCGCGACTGGCCTGTACCATAGTGGTCGGCCTTGCAGCGTCGGTTTGGGAAGAAATCCAGACTACGATGCTATCGCTATGACATTAACCGCTCACTATCAGCGTAGTATACAGCCACTCTTTGCTCTGAGGCCATTCTACGTACAGAATATTGGTGCAATGCTGGCTGCACCGCTGGAACTGGCGATTGAGGCACCAGGTGCTGCACATCCGGAGCTCAGCTCGCTTGGCGTCATTGATAATCGTTTGGAAACAATCCACACAGGGCCTGCAGCGATGCTAAAGATTGAAGACTGGTGGCTGGGAGTGCAAGTCATCAGCCAAGTTTTACAGGGCTATGTATGAACGCATGAGGGCGAATTGCATCTCTCGTTTCATTACAATGAAGCCTTCTATCAGGGAGGGCTTGTGCAAGAGCTTCTTGAGAAGTGGAAAGATATATTGATCCAAGAGTTGGTTGTCCAAAAGCGGTTCTAAATTATGATATTATACAAGAGACCAGAGGCTATTCAAGCCAAATAATCATTTCATATACCTTGACAAGAAGTGGCTTTGTAAAGAGATCCAACATAGATTCGGAGAAGAAGAAGAAGAAGAAGAAGAAGCAGAAGGTCAGTGTTTACCAGTGCGGCTAATAGCCCTGCTATTTATGTTCGCGGACGTCGTTTGCTTCCAGCTACACAGTCGACTCACATAACCCTATCCACCCTCCACCCTGATTCGCCCAACCTCATATACAACAAGTAATCCTTGCTCCCGAGTCCGTTGATTGGATATTATTCCCGTGTAAGACATGTCACTCATCGTGACCCTGTATCATCCTGGAAGTAGAGACTCGACTGGAAAGTCTGCATTGCAAACGGCTGTTTGGTTAAACAACTTCCTATCTCGTCTCCCCAGGGAAACAGAAGAATACAAGCCACTAGATTCAGCACGAGCTACCGGGAGCTCTCAGGGTTATAAAGAAGAGAGTACGGTGGTAATCGGCAATGCTCGTACCCAGGCAATGTACATGGCTCTGTTGATTTTCTTCCACCGGCATATTTATGAACTCGATGTTATTCTGCTTCGCAGCATGTTGCGGCGGTTAGATATCATTTACTAGAGCTACAAATTGATGAAGCAGGGCGAAATGACGGGAATACGGCGCCTCTCATCTGGCACGTTTTCATTGCGGCCTGTGAGGCAGTGGATCTTGAGTCTCAGATGCTCTTCTATTCACGGTTTGATACATTTTTTGCGATGACTGGCTAGCGAATGCACGGACTGCTTAAAAACTCATGGAGATGGTATGGGATAAGAAGCAGAAAGACGGCGTTGATGGAGTGATATGGTTTTGGCCAGACGTGTTTAGAACAAAACCGAATTAACGTGTACGTAGAAATCCCATTCTTTACCATTTCTGGCTTGCCATCCTGAAACCCCCTCTTGATAAACACGCAATTAGAACTGCATTTTCTCCGCTGCATTCTTCTCCGTTTTGGACGTCCAACGGCCGATCCGCTTTAACCGCAACACTTGGTTACCGTAGTTGCATCGTTCCTAAGACGCAAGAGTTGTCGGTGATTAGTGTCGCTTGCAAGGTTTGGATCAGTCGCAGAGTAGAGTTGACTTACTCTTTATTCAGGGAGATTGGCTCCCACGAAAAGATCAGAGATCCAAGGAATGCACCGATGAAGATACAGATGATGATGTATCCATTGTAGTACATAGCCAGAAGCATTACAAAATATGCAACAGCAAATTGCAGCATGTGCAACAGAGCCCGGAGCACTTGTTCCACGGGGGATGGGCGATAAGGTTCTGATTTCAACTTCTGGATCTTTTGCTGGGCGATGGAGTTATCCGCAACCTCCTGACCGGGCACTTTGTGACACGCGGGGTTTTCTGTGCTGCTTTCAGCCGGAGTGGAACCGGTCATTGGCGTAATAAGATCATTGGTCGCAAGATCGTTGCTGTTGTCTTTGCGTCCGCCGTCCCCCCAGCCGCTAATAAGGGCTTGGAGGTTGGCCTCCGTTGTCTGCTTCGAGGCGTTAGTCGAGACACCGGTAGCGTACATACGGCGGATGAGGGCACGGCGCATGATGAAGCCATCATATTCCCGGCCGAGACGGCGGAGGAATTCAAGGCAGATGACCAGGAGAACAGTGCCAATGCAAGAGCCAGCGAACGCGCCATTGGATCGAACATGCCAGGAATGAGAAATGAAGCCTAGTGTTCGGGACTGCTTAATAGAGACCATAAGGGTTGGGAGAGGGGAAACAAACAAGAGCCGATAGTGTTCCAGTTCCATAGCATCTTAGGACCATTGATTAGCTGGTTTCTGGATGTGAATCGGATAGGAGAGTAACTAACGGAGACCTTGCAGCTCGTATCCATGCCACCCATGCCACCCATGCCGCCCATACTGGACATGCCAGTCGACATGGAGCTGGGCGCATTACCAGTCGAAGTCGCCATGTCAGTCATGGTCATGGTACTCATGGCGCTCACCATAGAGTTCATATCGGCAGCGTTCATCTTGAAGTACAGTCGGTGGAAGACTCGATCAAGAGACACCAAGGCAAGGCAGGCTGCTCAGATAGAAGGAAGAAGAGTGGAAGATGGCAGAAAAGAAAATGTAAACAAAAGGTGATGAGCAACAAATCGTGGAGTTACTGAAGGATGTATGAGCGGATTTCCCAAATGGGAATAGTACTGGTGATGTGAGCGTAATTGAGCATAATATTGGATTTGATCCTCAGATACACCTATCATACGCAAAAAATATATTAAATACCGTAAGCTTCGACTCCTGAACACCGCCAGATGCAACAGTACAGAACACAGAAGGGTATCATTTGTTTCACATGCGTTGGGATCCTCTGATCACACCCTCCATCAACTCACGGATTTCTCTGCAACCATCGATGGCAACAGGAACAAGAGAGTCCAGATACGTATAATGTACCTTGGAGTCCATGTTTAGAACCGCCACTTTAGTCTCTCCATCCTCCTCGTCCTCATCCATATTGTTCTGTCCTACAGGCACCATGGTAGTAGTCCCAATGGTTAAGTATGGGAGTTCTTGTTCCTCAGGGAGAGAAAGGTCCATAAGTGGGTCAAGTTCGTCCTCCCGCGGATCTTTGGGTGTAGAAGCGCTGCCAGTCATGCCTGCAGTACAACCGCAGAGAAGCCCTGGCATAGGGATTCCAGCGTCCACCAACGCTAGTGTGCATGCGTTGATAGCAGCCGCAAGCAGAGAGCCGTCGGATGAGAGCACGGAGACATGAATGCTGATCGTACTATGGGGGTAAAGGTAGGTGTGCAAATGTGACTGGAAGGCCGATCGAAGAATTGTTGAGATATTTGTGGATTGTCTATTGGAATCGAGTTAGCATGTCCGAAGTGAATTTCCACCACAGCCGCTCCTGTCATTCAAAATGGCCAGAAATGCATATCTAGGATGCGATTTTACCTGTCACTTCCACCAGCCCGTCTCTTTCGGTCAATACCCGCAAATCCCGCAACGTTGACGTCCACATCGACGACAGCTCCTCCGCTCCCAGCTGAACCACTCGCCTCTCCTCGGCGGCCCTCAGCTGGACCGTGAACTGAGCACATAATGGATGTATTCCCCATTGCCAGGTACGAAGAGCCGGAGCTTGCTGGATTCGTGGAGATCTGCGCTTGGAAGACGCGCATTTCGTTCCAACGGCGGCCATCCAGGCGCAGCTTGGTCAAGGGGTAGGTGGTGGACGTTTCCAAAGGCATATTGAATGTCGTATGGGGCTGATGCTAGATTGGCGATCGATGCTTAATGCAAGTAATTCCGCTCGATAAGAGACCTGCGCAGTGGGATGAAGAATCGAGATTAGCTGCTGGGGGGCTGCGAGCATAGCTGCGATAGCTCAAAAGGCACTCACTAGTTTCGGAAGCCTTGAGATATTTTCAGTCACTCTCTCAATTGAATGCGCAAGCACTTCGGGGCGCAGAGCTCGTGTGGGGAGGAAATGTGGAATGCAGCGGCTTTTTTTTTCTCGCTGTTCGGGAATGACATCGCCAATGCGGCGGCCCACAGTAGCGGCAATCAAGCCCTTTTCATAGAAATAGGGGTGCGTAAAAGTAATTGATTGAATACCGACTAAATTGCTGGGTACATTGAGTATTTGTTAATTGTATGATCTGCAGCCGCTATTCTTCAAATTCAATTCAGAATGATCTCTCTACACTACTAAGCCGCATATCAGGGCGCGCCATAAGTTTATAACGGCTCCTCTTCCTTCACCGCCAAATTTTCCGCCTTATTTTCGCAGTTGTAGTGATGCTTTCAGCAGAAAGGGGCGGTGAGACACCTGCCTTCTACCTTCCTCAACATTCTTTTCTCGCAAGACATAGTAGTGTCATAAGTGTTAAAAATGATCATACACTGCCTGTCTGCTACCTTATATCTGAGCCTACTAATTCTGAATTTTCATCATGTTGCCATACAAGATTCGGTGTAAAAGTTGCTACTATAACCCAAGGATCTTAATTTACTGCCAGCCAAAAGTGGGGCGGTTGAGGCGAACTCCAACCAATCACTATACTAGAACTTGCTCTTGACCCTTATGGCGCTAGCCTCCCGTACGTTCTCCAACTACAAGCTTCAGATATGCAGCAACAGAATGAATACCGAGCCGGTCATTATCGACTCTGGATCTGACGATGATTTGGAAGTGACAGGGTATTCACGGCTTAGCGCTCCTACAGGTATGCGCCATGTCGCAACCACTTTCGTCACGCGACTGACATTCGAGAAGCCACGGCGAGAACAGAGAATACTACCCCACTGAAATCAGAAGCAATCGGCTCTACTCCCCAATTTACAAGCCCACCGATCGATATCGATTCCGAAGAATATGAGGATGAGTTCAATGATGGCGAGGCGGCATACAAGAAGTTCAAAGAGCGCAAAACCATCAAGCGCAGGAAAAGCGCGGCTGCGACCCGCAAGGCAAAGATTCCCAAGAGGGAGCCAGCTTCCAGCAACCAGATCGTAGGACTTGCGAAGCAAGAGCGAGCAAATCCTACGCCAAAGAGACTACAAAAAAAACATGGCGAGGATGTATCATCAGAGGATGAGCTCATGGAGTATACCCTTCCTGGATACTTGAAGAAACGCCGTCGCCAGTTTGACCAAGAACAGGAGCATCTTAAGGAACATGGCTTGAAGCTGCCACCCTCATATAAGGACATAGAATTCTCCGACGATGAGCGCTTGGAACATCTTCAAGAGAAACCATCTTTCCCTGGCAGAACTCCACCCCGAGAGTACAAGGACATCACTCTACCGTACTCCCTTGGCCTGATCCCTGCGCCGATCGCTCAGTGGCTGCGGCAATATCAAGTCGAGGGGGTCGCGTTCCTACATGAGATGTTTGTGTATCAAAAGGGTGGCGTGCTTGGAGACGATATGGGCCTTGGAAAGACCATCCAAGTCATTGCATTCTTGACTGCGGCATATGGCAAGACTGGCGATGAAAGAGATGCCAAGAGGATGCGAAAAATGCGTCGGGCTGACAATGATGTTTGGTACCCTCGCACGCTGATTGTGTGCCCTGGGACTCTGATCTCGAACTGGAGATCGGAATTTCAGCGCTGGGGTTGGTGGCAGGTGGATGAATACCATGGCCCCAATAAAGACCTCGCGTTGCATGCTGCGAAGTCGGGGAGAGTGGAGATTCTTATCACGACATACAATACCTACGTGAGCAACAAAGATAATATCAACATGATTGAATGGGACTGCGTTATTGCCGATGAGTGTCACAAGATCAAAGAGAGAAAATCGGAAACAACCAAGTCTATGAATGAAATCAATGCCCTCTGTCGAATTGGCTTAACAGGAACAGCTATTCAAAATCGATATGAAGAGCTTTGGACACTACTGAACTGGACAAACCCAGGAGTTCTAGGACCAGTAACAACCTGGAAAGCTCAAATTTGCGAGCCCCTCAAGCTTGGGCAGTCTCATGACGCGACAGTCAACGAACTCAGCAAAGCTCGAAGAACGGCGAAAAAGCTGGTTGAAAACCTGCTACCGCAGTTCTTTTTGCGACGAATGAAGACCCTGATAGCGGATCAGCTGCCTAAGAAGAGTGACCGAGTCGTCTTTTGTCCCCTGACTTGGTCACAGGCTGAGGCCTACGAGAATTTCCTTGACAGCGACATCATGCAAACAATCAAGAGGTCGACAGACCTATGCGACTGTGGAAGCAAAAAGAAGGCGGGCTGGTGTTGCCATAAATTCGTCCCTGGCACTGAGACTCCCTGGCAGGCATATGTTTTCCCGGCCATCAATGTGCTCCAGAAGCTCAGCAACCATCTAGCGATTTTAATTCCACAGGGGAATGACCCAAGAGAGAAGCAGGAAAAGGACAAGGAGATGCTCCAGATCGCCGTCCCGGAAAAGTGGGAAGAGTTGTATCGCTCGCGTGACTCCCTTGTAAATTTTGCCAACCCAGAGTTCTGTGGCAAGTGGAAGGTGCTCAGAAAGCTACTGCGCTGGTGGCATTCGAATGGAGACAAGGTGCTCGTATTTTCGCATAGCGTCCGCCTTCTAAAGATGTTACAGATGCTGTTCAAGAGTACTAGCTATAATGTTAGCTACCTCGATGGATCGATGAAATACGAAGACCGCTCGAAGGCCGTGGATGAGTTCAACTCTGATCCGAATCAGTTCGTGTTCTTGATCTCCACCAAAGCCGGCGGTGTTGGGCTTAACATTACCTCTGCGAACAAAGTCGTTGTGGTCGATCCAAATTGGAATCCATCATACGATCTTCAGGCACAAGACCGCGCATATCGGATTGGACAGGTCCGAGATGTAGAGGTTTTCCGACTTGTGTCTGCCGGTACCATAGAAGAGATTGTATACGCCCGGCAAGTCTACAAACAGCAACAAGCGGAAATCGGATACAATGCGAGTTCCGAACGGCGTTATTTCAAGGGCGTCCAAGAGCGAAAAGACAAGAAAGGGGAGATCTTCGGCTTGCAGAATCTCTTTTCTTACCAGCATGATAATGTCGTCCTTCGCGACATTGTCAATAAGACGAACGTTGCTGAGAGCCGCGCTGGCGTTCAAGTGATGGACTTCCATTTCCAAGAAGATGACGTAGGGGCAGGAGATCGACCTATCAAATCAGAAGACGAAGCGATGAGCCAGTTCGCAGCTATGATCAGCGGAGGTGGAGATGGTGAAGAAGACACCAAGGCTCACGCAACGCCGCGTGTCCACGACCCGGTCCAGGCAATTCTCTCCAGTGCAGGGGTAGAATACACCCACCTAAATAACGAAGTCATTGGCTCTTCACGCGTTGAAGAAAAGCTAAGCCGACGTGCTGAACTCGTTTCTAACGACCCAACTGCAAACGCTCAAGTCTTTGGGCATTCTTCAGATCTTGAGGACGATGGCCTCTGGTCGCCTCGAAGCTCAGAGGGCGATGATGGCAACGTGACACCCCGAGCTAAAGAGCATCAGGGATTCCGATTCAAATACCACCCGCCGATGGATATCAAACGCCGTCAATTCTGTAGCATGGCACGACGTCTGGGTTATGCTGATGCGACGGAATTTGCTCTTGTGGTTGAGAACATGACACAGGCGGAGCGTAGAGCTTGTCTTGACCGTTGGTATTCAGAGCGTCGAGGCATTCTATTTTCAAAAGATAGAGTAAAGGCCGAGGTCAAGGATGAGAAATGACCTACGAGATTTGCTGTACTGCTTTCAATTTCCCGGGAACATGGTGATGTTTCAAGCTGTCTTGTTTCAAAATGATACCCCTACTCGATGGCTTCAGTTGGAGCCTCTATGCTACGAATTTTCTCAGTCCTGTAGGGAAATGACCCTCTTTAAGCATAAACGTTAAAAGTAGATGAGGGGTCATGATATTGGCTTTTTGCTCGATTTCCGCTTTGGTATTATTGTAATAGGATGTTAAACAGAACAGGGCATTCGGAAAACGAAGACGTCCGAGTCCCCCAGAGATTATTCAGAGGTGGATCATGAGTTTGTGAGCCTTTGTAGGTTGGACACGATCAGGATAGTAAGCGCAGCAGCGAAGAGGAAACCAAAAAAAGCGCCCCGTTATAGCCAAGCCAAAGTCCACAAGGCAGGCAGGCTGGGATTCAGTTCTTGCCATTCGGCCAAAATTTCGGGGACCTGCTCGTCAAAACTCTTGCGAGCGGCGCCGGCGCCATTTTCCCAGCCGTTATTCCCGTGCAGCGCCCGCTGTGCAGTAGCAGCGTCATTAAGCCGGTTCGCCAGGTCAAGGATAGCCTTGCCGCCCACTAGCGCCTCTTCGTGATTGTCCTTAATATCGACATTGAAGACGTGCACGGGTCGGTTCAGTGCCGCGCCCTTGTTCATCAGGTCGTCAACGACTGCATCCCAGCAGCGCTCTTCACAGGTGATAATGACATCGACGACGCCGCCCTCGGTGCCGAGGGCGCCCTTGTCGCCCTTCGAGAGGTGGTCCAAGCGCGGTACGCCAGGTACCCAGTCTTGGAAGCGCTCGGGGCCCCATTTCAGGTTGCGGTTGCGGTCGAGCATATTCAGGATGCCGTTGTTGCGGTACAGGCGCTCGTCTTTTGATTGCAGCTCCTCGTACATCTGGTTGTAGGAGGTGGTATTGAAGCTGTATACGTTCGGCTGGGTGATGGAGGGTCCTGGGAGACGGACGAGAGAGCCCGTTCCAAAGGATATCACGGGGAAGCCGGTGGGCGCGCTGGAGAGCCGCAGGTGGGCTTCCATTGAGCGGTTGTTGTTGGAGGCGCAGACGGTACAGAACTTGAGCTTCCAGTCGGTGCTGGAGCTCGGGGCCTGGCCTGAGTTCATGTCGGTGGGTGGTGGAGGTGGAGGGGGAGGAGTCTGGGGAGTCGTGCTCCCAGTGTTTACTCGGCGAGGATCATATGCCATGGTGGGAAAGACTATCAAAAGATACTAATGTGGGTTTTTCGTAGGTGGTCATGGAGGTTCTAATACTGATTTACAATCTCCTATCAATGGCTTTTCAGGTAGTCAGCAATTGTGCACATGCAGGTTGAACAGGCAGGCTCAAGGAGATAAGAGGTCAAGGTGGTTCAGAAAGATAAAAGCGTATAAATAGGGTTATCCGCATAGAAAGCTCAGACAGCTCCAATAAGATGATTCATCACGTGAAAGGAGGAGGGAAGGGCGCTACCCAGGGAGGACGGGGATGCTTACCTTGCAATGACCACGCATGATCCCATTCGTGTACCAGTTGTTTGAAGAAGAGGGCCTTGGCCCTTGAGAGACAAGAGGGAGCAGGTTTTGCACTGGCGACTTTCGCGTCTTTTAGCGGGCGCCTGACTCAGCGAGATCACCTGATACGCGCGTATTCACATACAGCGAGACAACCAATCTATCCGACCTTGGAGTTGGAAACAACGCAGAAACACAGGGAGTTCAGCATAGTAGCTGTATCTTTAGGGATATTCTCTCTGTAAAAGTTGAGGGATATGTAAAAGAGACGAGCAAAACGTGATAATCATGATACTATTGTATCTCACGGGGCCCTGACCTGCAGGCTGCAGCCTGCTACTCAATCGCAAAATGAAAATAACAATAACAAAGAAGAACGAGCCTGATAATATTAGCTGATAGAAAGTGTAAAGCATTCAAAATGCAGTTCCATACTACCATCTTTTTCCGAGTCGTTGGCCAACATCGAGAATCCAAGCCATAGCCATATTATAAAGCCCTTGCCAGCCTTGGAAATACGGGACTTGAAGAGATGGATAGGGAAACGACAAGAAATGTTCCATTTCCAGCAGATAATTATGTCGCTGTCTCCATTTTGAGGAAATTACTTTCAGAAAGAAAAGGCCCATGGGGGCAAGCGGAAATAAATAAAATAACTAACTCTTTGGCCAATGGACACTGGAGATAACTATAACAGTACCCGTGGCTGAATAAACTTGTAGCAACATCGCAAAATCAGATCTCAAGCAAGTGCAGATATTAAATTCAGGTCACATACATTGCTGCAGTACCAACGAAAGGTGATATGACTGGCTGGAAAGCCCGGCCGGCCCGTTGCTTGTCTCCCAGGTCGTGCGTTCGCATGAACAGCAAGCCAAGTTCTGGGGACAAGATCCTATTGGCAGGTGACTGAGGGCGCCCTAGTGCAGAAATAACTCCCATATCCAATCATTATTGCTAGTCCCTTATCTTTTACAATATCGAGGTGATTAAATTCTTGCTGCAAGATCCTTGTATTGTATACATAGGATTCCATGACTGCCCTCTAATTATTAAGGATAATAATATTATGATAAGAATGGAGTCAAGTACTTGGTGTATTATAACTGGAGGTTACTATATGCGAGTATCACATATGTATCCTACTTTGAGCTTGGAATCTCGAATCAGCAGCTCGGACTAGCCTCTCTACTCAAGCCAGAAGCAATGCTCTATGATGACTTTAAAGCAGGGTCCACCCCTCTTTGGACCAACTCCACATCGGATGGCAAGAGCCAGTGGGGAATCCCTTGTAGATGACGTGAGACAGGTGAAGACAGGGATTATACCAAGATTTTCGTTCTCTGTTGCCTGTTTTCTTATCAGAAGTTCGGACCGAATCTTAGGCAAACTGCCCCGCAGTCATTTTGCCGCAGTATAAGAACAACCGCTTAGTTCTTCCTCCAATATTAGACTTGTCCTAACAGCCTGGAAAGGCTATAAGTACTGCAGGGCATTCCATCAATTTACAAGTCCACAATGACGATTATTTACTAAAGATTTTTCAAGAAGCCTACTCCTCCGGAAGACTTTACGCTCGCTGCCGAGATGCTTCAGCGTCTTAACCCAGGCTTAAACGAGACAGCGCGCACTGAGGATAGCATCACATTATCTTCTTTGGACGAAGACGTGGACATTGTCGACAACCTCTTCGGCAACATCTTTGAAACATGGCTTCATTCGGAACCACCACTAATCGACACCTACCGAGTACTTGCCGACTCTTCAGGTCGTCCATCGGCTTCTTGATGCTGTTTGGATCAGTATCAGCATCGGCTCTTCCTCCTTTCATCCTCGCCACGAATTCAACAGACCTTCAGTCCTATTATTGTTTCTATTGCTACTATCCTGCCCAAGCTTGCACTACCCACGGTGGTGGCAGGTCAGCGCATAAGGCCGCAGCCAGTACTCTTACAACGGGGGCATTACAAGATCTAAAACTATAAAAACAGAGACAACAGCAGTGAAACTATCACGAGCGTCAATGGTGGTGTTGTAAGTTGCCCCGGAATTTGACAGTGCCGGTGGTTATAATATTAGGGTGTAATATTATCCTGAGAGATCGTGACTGACACAAGGATAGCAATGCTTGGCTTGTAATCCATAGTCTGCCTTTTTTAAGAGCACATCCATAAACGCTCGTTTGGTTCCAAAGTTGATTACATTTACTTATATGCGCTCAAATCAGAACACTGTGCTTTTCCTCGTCTACCCCAAGTAATATCCTTCTTCCAAGTAGAAGTCTTGAATGATTACTTTACTAGCTTTTGTACAATCCGTTTCCCCCCTGTGTAATGAAAATTCCAATGTCCCTCCTATTTATCATTTGAGTTCCCTCAGGCTATCTACGTATAGTGATTTATTGTCACGTGGCCTGTTAAACTTATTAAGCAGGCTCGGGCGTTCCAAGGTTCCATGGATCCAGGATTGGTATATCCCAGCTTGACATCGAGGTACCTTCTAATACATAACGCTTGACTCATATCAACTCAAAACCCCAGAAGTCGGGCCTGCCACCATGGCTGATCTTGAAGCAGATGGGCACTTTGTGCCCGTTATCATTGTTGTTGACATGCAAGAAGACTTCTGCCCTCCTGTGAGTCTTATCAGGATCATTAGAACTCAAGGCTCCCGCTGAAGGGTTTATCTGTAGGATGGATCACTTGCTGTACAAGATGGCCGATCAATCGCGCCGTTGATCAATACACTACTCTCTCAGCCCGGCCTCGTTATGCGCATTGCATCGCAGGATTGCCACCCGCCAGATCATATCTCATTTGCTAACAATCACCCGCCGCCGAATAATCGGCCCTTTGAATCATTCGTTGAGATGACCAACCCTCATCCTTCTCCAGGTCGAGATCCAGAGACCAAATTACAGCAACTATGGCCTGTTCACTGTGTCGAAGGCAGCCCTGGATTCGCTATCATTCCCGAAATCGAGGCGGATAAGTTCGACCTTGTGGTTCGCAAAGGCAAGCATCCACAGATCGAGATGTACTCTGTTTTTGCAGATGCTTTTGGGAACATCGATCCCACTGTAACCATGCAGTCCGTCAGCGCGGATGTCACCTCCGAGCTCCAGGCCAAGGGCGTTACGGATGTGTTTGTAGTGGGGCTCGCAGGGGACTTCTGTGTGAGATGCACAGCCGTTGATGCCGTCAAAGCTGGCTTCAAGAGCTGGCTTATCGAAGAAGCAACTAAATGCGTGGTTCCTGCCAATTGGGAGCAGACCAAGGACGAGCTTCGTACTGCCGGGGTCTCTGTTATCAATCTTGATCATCCCACAGTACGCCGATTAGCAGCCGCATGAGTTTTCTTCGCCCTTTTCTGCCTCCGAGCCTGCAGAATCTATCCATATTCAATATTTCTATACTCCAGACTCAAATCAAGTCATTGAATACCACATTTACAGCCAAACAGATCGCCAATCTTTCCCTTCTGTGTGCTCTGTACAAGGTGATGCGAAGTTGATGACGTAGGCGCTGTATAATTATGCAGTGCCTACTATGCAGTCATTTAAAATCCGAAGGTTCCCTAAAGTGCAACGGTCATGCCGTGGAATAATAGGTTATTCACTGATCGATTGTATATTTCTTATCTTCTACAAATCGTTGAGCCGTGGATCTAAGCAAATTGCTGCATACAACGATGGGAAATACAGTATTCAGACTAGTACATTCCACACCTGGACAGACATTCATCGAATTGATTAGAAAGTTCTACAACCATTTTCACCAGTATAGTGGAAGATAGTTGGTCAAGAGCTCCCATGTAAACTTGTAAGCTTATCTTTGCAAGTATCGAGTGCTTGTACTTGACAGCCGCCCCAGAGGCCCACATTTGGCGGACAGAAGCTCGGGGATCGACAGTCGATAGCTCGGGGAAGAAACGAAATTCCTTCTTGATCCCCTTAAGCTTCCCTCTCTGCAGGGCGAACACCGCCTCGAGAATTCCGCGCATCTTTAGCGACTTTATTTCATGTGGCTTGTTCCGTGGACCCCCTTCTCCAATGACACCCCATTCTACTTCGCCTTCGACGGCTGCGGCCACGGTCGCACAGAAACTACCGAACACAGATTCCCTCACTCCAGCGCAGTTCTTCGAAAGCCATGGACTCAGTTGCGATACTACACCATACTGGCTGTTCAATATACCCCAGTCACAGTGGACAATCGAGTGTCCCAGCTATCTACGTGATCAATCAGATAAGAATATTCGAACGCTTTCGACCCTTGACGCAGACTACCGGCGGCAGGACTGGAAAGAAGTGCAGGACATAATCAGTTGAGTGGAGCTCGTTTCATCTGCTGTGCATATCAGGAACATCTTCCCGGCTGACTGGGAGCCCTGCCTCTCGTAGGAACGAACCAGATCGATCGCTTTCAACGCGTGCCTACCGACCTGCGCAAATACCTGGAATACACCTACCACATAAGAGAAAAAATATGGGTCCGTAATGAGATTTATTTTAAAGGAGCGCCTAGGTTGGGCTGACGGAGAAAACGCCGTTCTCAAGCCACGGGGAGCCCCCTTCGAGTTCGACGGTATGCCTCAACCCCTGTCTTGATCTGAATCGAAATCCCCAGATCTCGACGTACGGGCTTTTGGCTCGAAGTGTTGTGGGAGTTTGGGCTGACCTAGAGGTGAACCCCTAGAGGACATCCGTATTCTGTATAACGATTGGCCTTATGGAGTCGACACCGATATCATCCACCTTGTAGTCTGGACCAAGTTCGAGCTACCAGATGACCCCGCCACAGGAATGCTAACAGCAGAGGCGCACCAGGCGATCGAACAATACGTTCAGCGCACCTTTGGGTCACGAATGGCGGCTGAGGATCTGGTGTGGTTCAAGAACTGGAAATCGCTGAAGTCCGTCCAGGCGGTGGAACATTTCCACGTCATGCTCCATCAGCCAGATATGGAATTTGTCAAGGAGATCACCGGTGGGGACGTGCCTCTCATCGACCAGGTGTGAAGCCACAGCCATGAAAAACACCATAGAGCATTAGGCGGATCTTTTAGACTGCATTCAATCCCTGCGAAGACTCTCGACCTGCATCTTGGCCCAACAGTTTCCACATCGAGCCGACCCTGTAGAAGAGGCACTCCCCACTCCGCCAAGCCATGCCCCTCATGACGATCTTTGCAGATGCGTTGAAAAGAGGGGAAAGGGAGGGCCCAAAAAAAAGTCGGAATCAGGTACAATACAATCGACCTGTAGAAAGAAAGCTTAGGAACGCTTAGCTCCTTATTGAGATGGTGATTTTCGACCTTTGCTAGACTTGGTAGATGGTGGACTCGCTCTTAGAAACCCACAAACCCGATTAACGCGACGTCACTGCGACCCGACCACTTTCGGCCATTTCAGCCAGTGGGATATGACCCTGAAATTTCCTGGATTTCGATCTTGAACCTCGAAGTTCGAGTTCTTCGCTTCTCCCGACTTTCTTCTGAAAGCTCTACGCGGCCCACAACAGTCTACTGTTTCTGGACGAACCTATTCCGAACGCAGTCATGCCGCACCTCCGCCGCGGTTCTTTGGCGAGTGAGTCCGAGTCTCTTGCTTTCCCCATCACCAACCCCCCCACCATGACTCACGGCAAGCATCTAGGGCAGATCATCGGTCGATGAGTCTCATCACAGCGGAGAGGATGAAGTTATCGAGGCCGACCAGGGAAATGGTAGCACAATTCCCTCTCCCCCCCCCGGGGCTGAAAGCTAACGGACACAGTCCTCTCTCACATTATCTCACAACTGCGACCCGGCGCTGATTTGAGTCGGGTCGTCTTGCCGACATTCATTCTGGAGCCTCGATCTATGCTGGAGCGCATCACTAAGTACGTTTTGGAACATTGCCCGGGGTCGTTCCCCCCGCACTTGTCTTGTTCTTTTCCCCTCCTACAAGTTCAAGCTGACCGGAATCCCTCATGTAGCTTCATGGCCCACCCTGATACCCTCCTTCCTATGAGTACGATCGACGACCCTGTGGAACGATTCGTCTCTGTGGTCAAGTTCTACTTGAGTGGATGGCACATTAAACCGCCGTATGTCCACATAAAGCTTCCCATTGATGAAACGTTTGGTCTAATGAATACCGCTTAGGGGCGTAAAGAAGCCATTGAATCCGATCCTCGGCGAAACTTTCACCTGCTACTGGGACTATGCAGACGGCACCCGAGGCTTCTACATCGCGGAGCAGACCTCGCACCACCCGCCAAAGTCGAGCTACTTCTTCATGGCCCCCGAGCACAATATCCGGATCGATGGAACCCTCAAGCCGCGTAGTAAATTCCTAGGAAACTCTGCAGCCAGTATGATGGAGGGAATTGCGATTTTGCGACTGTTGAATCACGGGCAAAACAAAGAGAAGGGCGAGAGATAGTACGTTCACCTGCTTATTTGAACTTGATCGGGATTTCCGCTGACCTCCAAACAGCATCTTGACTCAACCCAACATGTATGCCCGCGGCATTCTCTTTGGCAAGATGAAGTACGAGCTTGGCGACCACAGCTATGTGCGCTGTCCCGAAAATCACCTGGTAGCCGACATCGAGTTCAAGACCAAGGGTTACTTCTCAGGAACGTATAACGCTATTGGTGGTACGATCAAGAACGAGAAGACCGGCGAAGTCCTGTATGAGCTGTCGGGCTTATGGAACGGAGAAATGCACATCAAGGATGTCCATGTAAGCCTTTCACCCACTAGCAGATATCCGTACAAGCCTTTGAATAGGATGCTGACCAAGAAACAGAGCCACAAGAAGGATCTTCTCTTTGATGCCACTCACGCAAAACACGCGAAGCCCCAAGCACGCCCGATTGAAGAACAAGACGAACGTGAATCGCAAAGATTATGGAAGGAAACTGTACATGCAATCATCACCAATAACCACGAAGCTGCTACCGATGAAAAGACCAAGATCGAAGACCGTCAACGAGACGAGGCAGCAAAGCGCGCCGATGAGGGTGTGGAATGGAAGCCACGACTGTTCCGCGCTGTGCAGGGTGGCCCAGGAGGCCCTGACGAGGGAGAAGAAGATCTCGATTGGATCATCAATGCTGAAATGTACAGTGCTCAACTCTGCTTGGCAACCAACCTTGACTAACGATGGAATAATAGTGAGCCGCATAACCCCGAAATCGCAAAGAAGCAGATCCTCGCTATTGCGCCCATTCTTCCAGGTCAGAAACCGCCATCCCATTCCCAAATCCCACCATACAATATCCAAGAGCCAGGTTGTTGCAGCCGGCATCCCCAATCTAAACGCCATCGCTAATATCACATCTCAATTCTAGGATCGAAAGCAGAAGCCACACCTGCGAAATCAGAGGCCGAACCTGCGAAACCAGAAGCCGAACCTGCGAAACCAGAAGCCGCACCTGCGAAACCAGGGCTTATCGAGCGCACAGAAACTGGCACATCGCATGTGGATCAGTTTGTGGATGCGGAGGAGACGAAATAGATGCTCTTCTGCAAGATCGAGATGCTTTCACCTCTTTTCCAGTTACGCCCTCGTTCACTTTCTCCAGGAAACCCTGGTCCCTGGATGCTGCAGTCCTGCTCATGATGTATGTAGTCAACCTGCATGGACTGCTTGATGCATGCATAACGCCCGTTCTCGGACGGCTGAGATGTCATACACACATCAACATCCTTTGGCTCATGTTCAACACCGACATTTCCCGGCACAAAGCCACGATATCTCCCATACCCGATTGATTTCTGCAATTGACCAATGACCAGGATCTCGGGGCACAGCAGAAAATTTCAAACAATGGATCCCCCCCCTCATCATTCTCTGGTTATCCAGGGTTGTGTAGGAAGGGGCAAGTAGTAATGTTTTAGCTTTGAGAAAACTGCTTCGCAATGTAGTAAGTCCATTTTGCAACCAAATTCCAAAAATAAAAAAGGGGGAAAAAAATCAGAATTTTTCATGGGGCACCGAGAGCGCAGGTCACGAAGGAGGTTCGATTTGAACACGAAGACCATGGGAGCAAAGCTCTGATGATAGACGCTTAGAAGAAGGGACGCGAGAACTCTATATATACACTGCGGTCTGGGGGGACATTCGATATATTTATTTGAGAATTGAATTCTTCTGTCTTTTGCTTTAATTGTACACAGAATCTCTTCTACTGGGATATCACAAGTTTCCAAACAAAACCAACCCCAAACTCCTTTTAAGCATCATATCACTCGCACATTGCAACGCCAGAACCCTATAGAAGCACAAACGCCAGCTTGAACCTCGATGGCACAGCCTAGTCTCCCCAATAAAAGAGGCGTGGGCCCCGAGATCGCGAAGAAGTTATTTTCGTCATGAATACAACTCTCCCTTGTATCCAGCCCCCCGCTCGAGATCCCGCCGGCGATTCGTCCGCGGAATAGCACCCGCTGAGCCAGGCACAATACCGGCGGCAGCGGCGGCAGCAGCCGAGGCTGCAGAAGCAGAGCCACCGCCTTCTTGTTCCTCACGCTCTTCCTCCAATCGCGCGGTTTCTTCCTCGATTTCCTTTTCCGTATCTTCGCGCAGGCCCAGGATATCAGGGGGAATAAAACTCATCTGCACGCTCGGCGCACCCTTAATGTACCGGAGCTGCTCGTGAACGGCCTCGACGATGCCTTCAAGGTAGGAGCGGGGATTTTTATTCTCCAGCTTGCGGATCTCGGACAGCGGCGGGAAAAGCGAATAGTCTGGACCGAAGTGGTTGCGGAAGGCGACGGATTCGGGAATCTTTTGGTCGATGACCTGGTCCGCCTCGAGGAGGATCGAGGTTTCGTGCGCCCAAGCGCGGGAGACGTTGCGCGGGGTGTAGCCGCCGCCTCCGACGACGAGGAGGGGCAGGCCGAAGGTCTTGGTGAAGGCGACGCAGGCGCCATGGGCGCGCACGTTGAGATTGAAGCAGCCGAGTCGGTCGCAACCTAGACTGTCTGCGCCACATTGTAGGACGATAGCGCCGGGGCGGTAGGTTTTAATGCAGGCGCCAATGACTTCCTTGAAGAGCTGGATGTAGGAATCGTCGTCGATGCCGTCGTTCAGAGGGACGTTGATGGAGTGGTGGGCGCCTGGGTTGAGCGGGTGGGTGGGACCGGTATCGTCGAGGGCGCCGGTGCCGGGGAAGAAATTGTCTTTGTCGTATTTGTGGAAGGAAACGGTGAGGACGCGGTCGGTGGACCAGAACGCCTGCTCGACGCCATCGCCGTGGTGGACGTCGATATCAATGTACATGACGCGCGGGTGATGGCGCAGGAGCTGCAGGACGCCCAGGACGATATCGTTCACGTAGCAGAAGCCGCTTGCCTCGGCTTTCTTGGCGTGGTGCAACCCCCCGGACCAATTGATTGCGATTTCGGACTGATCGTTGCAGAGCTTGCGCGCGGCATCTACAGTGCCGCCCGCATACAGCGAACAGTAACTGTACAGCCCATCGAAGATGGGGCAATCGTCCCCGAAGTTGAAGCGCACGAAGCTGTCACTCTGGTCGGCCTTCTCCATGTCACCGGGCATGACTTGCCGCAGAAAGTCGAGATAGTCGGACTCGTGGAACTCGGCCATCTCCTCATATGTCGCTGCTCGCGCCAGGTACAGATCCATCGCGTGATGCATGCCGTAGGCCATCACCAGCTGCTTGGTCAAGGTGAGACGCCATGGCTTCATAGGGTGTGACTGGCCGAAATGATGCGCTTCGACGGCTGGGTTCGCGTGCCATGATACTCGGTAGCCTTGGGGCCGCGCTACTTGGTAGATCTGGCGCTCGTGCGTCGCCTTCTGGTCCAGGCTTAAGGTCGTCGAGGGGGCATACTCTTGGACGATACCATGGCGAGCCATCGCTGGGAAGGATCGGGAAAGTAAGAAGTGACAGCACTACCCAGCAAGTGGCGGGCGCATTTCAGATCTTGAAAATTCGAGGCTCGCTTTTCGAGGGTCGCGGTTCGAGTTTCCGAGCAGTTGAATTGAAGGGTCCATGGAACTCGGACGAATTGGTGGCGATGACTAAGGCGGCTTGGAGCCCCTCCACGAAGTGTGGAGCCGTTCCTCATTCGGAGAGCATTTCCAAAGGTTATCATCACTCAACAGCTTATTGTAGAACGCACTCCTTGTTGGCCCGTTCATCTCGTCAACGCATCTTCTCATATGGTTCGCTAGTAACCGATCGTTGGTCTTGAATACGATGTCTCCCTAAGGATTTCAGAGCCCTGGAGTTGGCAAGGCTTCATTACCAATCAACGTCCAGCTTGGTTGGTGATAGTATCTCAGTCAGCTTTGAATATCACGGTCAACTGGCCATAGTTGGATTTCCTTCTTGCTGTTGCTTCATTAGTAGCCGACAAAACGTGTGCTAGACACGTGATGTTGTGCTAAACCGGCGCAGCATCTGTTGGACCATGTCGGCCTCCATGCCAATGGGGGAAGATCGCAAGATCAAAAGACCTCGACTGGTATTGGCTTGTGTTGAATGCCGCCGCCGGAAACTCAAGTGTGACAAGGCAGAGCCCCAGTGCAAAAATTGTGAGCGAACGGGGGAGACATGCGTGTACAATACTGGAACCCGGGATGTCAGCACTGGGCGAGTCATTCGACGAGAAGATGGAGAGAATCCTTCTGAGCAGGCGTTGCCTAGGGAAAGAAACCCGTCTGCTAAGGCAGTTGATTGCTTGTCGTATGATCAAACGACACATGGATGTTCCCCGGCCCAGGGATACATGAGTGTCCAACGGGGAGGGCACCTTCAGTACATCGGTCAATCTTTCTGGGGCTTCGTTAACGGTCATGAGGGTCTAAGCAAAAGATTCTTTCATAATCACGATAATCGCCCGTCTGGGATGCCGCCAGAACATGTCTCTTCCGTGGATCTTGCATTATGCCTCCAGTCTATTCCCACGAAACCGGCTAGCGATGCTTTTCTCAGGTCTTTTCATATTTCCGTAAGCCCGATCTTTCCTTTACTGGAGCATTCTCAATTCGAATTGGAATACGGATCGCTCTGGCAATGCTTTTGGAATGCCAATGGGATCATTCCCAGCAAGTTGGTAGAGGATCCCACTTTTATCTGCCTTTTACTTGCCGTTATGTACGCTGGGGCAATCAATATACCAGAAGAAGATTGGCCCTCTGACATACTCCGGGGTGTGGACCGTACAGCCACAATCCAAAAGCTCTCGCAGAGCTGCTCGAAGAGTCTAGATGCGTGTCATTTCCGTGAACATCCTACACTGTATGCTCTGGTCGCTTCAATTGTACTCTACCATTTTACCGACCCTGCACCGATGGAGAATGCCATCTTCGTCAGCACAACAGTGCGCCTTGCGCAAAGCATGGGCCTCCACCAGGAGCTTGATCTGCCGCAGATATCTCAGGAATTCCGAAGGAACATCTGGTGGCATATTGTTTGGCTAGACGTTCAAAGTAGCCTCATGACTGGCTTGCCCTCGTGTTTGGGGAAAGGAACTCTAGATGGCTTGTATCCAATTTCCACTGTTAAGGCCCTGCCAATCCATTCAGTGATGCAGGCCATGAACGATCAGAGCCCAGAAGGTGGTGATTCCAAGCCGTCACTGGTCATGCTGCATGCCAAATGTCGTTATGAGACCGCGAGACTACAACATTGGATACTTTGCAGTCAGCAAGAACAAGGACATCCAACGCAGCGCACCATTTTTGAGCTGACTGATGCAACGAAACAACTCCGTCGTCAAATTGACGAAGTCATTGCCAAAATTCCGACAAGAGGACTCCCGGAACAGGGAATGCTACCATTTGACTTCGCCAATGCTACGCCACGAGCGAAAATTTCTCTGTATGAAGATCATGTGCAACAGCCGAACATTCTGGGCGCATGGATAAGGATCATGCTCTCGCTCTTCAAGCTTGAGATCGTCATTGTTCTCCAAAAATCCTTTCTGGGGTCATCTAACGAACGCTCATCCGTTATGGGATCATGGCATAGGTATGCATAATCACTCTGGAACCCCTGTACCGACGAAACTAAGGCCAAAATGACTAGCATCGCTCAATTGTGTCTGAGCTATTTACAGGTCCTCCAACACCTATTACGGACACCTGCCTTTCAACCTTACCTCTGGTTCTTCTCGAAGCAACATACTGCCCAGCAATGTGCATTCTTGATCTTATATTTTCTGGGAGATCATCCCGATGCAGCAAATCAAGACCAGGAGGAGAAACAACTTATGCTCTTCTGTGTGGATGAAGTCATTGAATTTTGGACATCCAAATCTCAATCGACGACGCCGGGCATCAAGGTTATTTTGCAGCTTCGACAGGAACTGAGGTAAGAGCCATGATTAAATCGCCGTCTTCAAAGCCAAATGTATTGTCAAGAAATGATGTCACAGACTGCGCTTGAATAATTGGCCGGGGCACCTCGTGTGGTCAAACCACCAAGAGAACAGTTAAATCTTAAATTAAGTTGAGGCATCAAGTATACAGAAAGACCTGGAAGAACTCGAAATAGCATCCAAGAAGAATATGCAGGCGCATCCAGGTGCTCAGCAAAACTCAGACGGTAGCGTTGTGATCTTCTTCATCTCTTCCATTGTTTCTTCCCACAGTCTCTTCTGAACCACCTGCCCAACGGTTGACTTGATATAGGTGCTGGGCTCTCTGCAGGCATACATCAGTCTTAGAAACCTAAAATGGAAGGCTTGGGGGCGAGCACTCACGGTTGGATGTCCTTATCATACAGGTATTTTCCATGAGTCTCTGGCCCGGCGACAACAGCCGCATTGATGTAGATATTTCCTCCATCCTCGATAGGGCGGCCCATCAGATACTTGACGCCTTCGAATACGACGCGCAGGGGTAACGGTAGATAATCACTCATGTTCGTATTGACCATCCCAGGACAAAACATGTTCAGGACAATTTTCGTCGGGTCCAGACGCGGCGCAAGCGTATACATGAACATGGCGCAGAGGAGCTTGCTATTGGCATAGCTGAAGCGGCTGAACCGCTTCTCATCATCGAAGCGGGCAAAGACAGAGTCGTCGGATCTGAAAGGCCCTTTCTTCTCAAAGTCATGTCCTTTCTCGTGCATGCGACTGCCGACCCAAGATATGCGAGTTGGGGATCCGGTTTTCCCAGCGCTCGCTTCGAGGTAAGGGAGAAGCTCAGACAGGATGAGAACATTCGAGAGGTAGTTGATTTGAAGGGTTTCCTCATGGCCAGTTGGGCTGCGCTCCAGCTTCAGTCGGCCTATCCCTGCATTGAGGATCAAGATGTCCACTGCTTCGATCTTCTGCTGTAATTCCTTGGTGAACTCTTGGACGCTGTCATATTGACCGACATCCAGTTTCAGGACCTTGATTGTGGGCTTGTTACTTTGAATGACCGGGTCTTGCTCCAATTGCTGCACGCACTCCTCTCCCTTTGAAACATTCCGGACGGCAAGAACCATGGTAGAACACCTTAATCGTAGCATTTGGCGGGCTGTTTCGAGGCCCATGCCCGCGCTGGCTCCCGTAATGACCACCGTTTCCCCTTCTAAGTTGATCCCCTCTGGGAGCGGGGTGACTTTTGCTTGGCGCATGGTCTCGATATTATGGGAGGTCAATTGGACTAGTTCGGAAACGCGTGAATTGAGAAGGTATTGATTTTGTGAATTCTGTGGTCTTGGGAATATTTACAGACGGCCAAGTATTGATCTTATAGTACCCTTCTCACAAAATCCCTGGCTTAAATTAATAAGTCGGTGCTAAAAGGAGGCCGAATTCAAGCTGATCAAAATGAGATGACAAACGAGGCGTCATACAGTAGTTAGTTAACTGATTGATTTACACTCCTGTTCGGCCCGGTGATGAGTCAACCGTCATTCGGCCGAGCCCTAGACTGGCCCGCGTTCATTCGATGCTCAAGTCCTACTTATGGCTGGCAGCTGACAGTTCCATGAAGTTGGAATAAGCAATTCAGGGAAACTCATCTGTACTCATTCTGGCTAAATAATATGTTCACACCCGCCACTAACGAGTCCAATCTCAACCGCCGACGCCGAATTCAAGCCGCAATTCGTATTGGCGGGGTCGGAGCCGTTGAGATTAAAGTATCAAAATTTGCAGCCACAAAATGCACAGCACACGGTCCTCCCAATACTCTGAAATCATTCTCGCACTCGCCAAACCGCGCTTTTCTCAAACGTCGCCTTTCTATCCTAGTCTAGACTCGGCAACGATGAAGATTGGCGGAGCAAAAAACATGACATAAACAGGCCCGGTATCGGCAACATCGGCAAACGCTGAGCATTGGAAAAGGCGAGAGATCGGCGAGAAAAAAAGACGGGTGGCGCGTACGGCTTGCCGTTTATATAATCAGAGGAACCGCATTTCCAGTCTTTACCTGGGTATATAAAGCAAGACCGCTCTAAATCAGTCGTCCCGGTGCTCAGCCTAGCAGGAGTCCTCCGGCCATTGCCCTAGATTATCATCTTATACGTCATGTCTCTGAACCAAGGAGCAACGAAGCTCCGACGCGCCCTGGAAGACCCCAACGGCTTTGTAGTAGCCCCGGGAGTATACGATGGCTTATCCGCTCGACTTGCTCTCGCCGCAGGCTTCGACGCGCTGTACATGGTGAGTATCTTCTGCTCCAATTATTCGTAGGTCGAACTGAACTAACCAACGTCTGAAAGACCGGCGCCGGTACTGCAGCATCTGTCCATGGACAAGCAGATCTAGGCATTTGCACGTTAAATGACATGCGCAACAACGCGGAGATGCTAGCAAATCTTTCACCCTCAACACCACTCATCGCGGATGCCGACACTGGCTACGGAGGCCCTATCATGGTCGCTCGTACCACCGAGCAATATGCCCGCTCAGGTGTAGCGGGCTTCCATATCGAGGATCAAGTCCAAACAAAACGATGCGGGCACCTGTCGGGCAAGTTGCTCGTTGACACGACCACTTATACAACCCGTATCCGTGCGGCCGTGCAGGCCCGTCAAAGACTGGGCAGCGACATCGTGATCATTGCGCGCACTGATGCCTTGCAGGGGCAAGGGTACGAGGAAAGTCTGGCTCGGCTCCGCGCAGCACGGGATGCTGGCGCTGATGTGGGGTTCCTGGAGGGAATCTCGTCTCGTGAAGAAGCGAAACAAGCTGTGCAGGATCTTGCGCCGTGGCCTTTATTGTTGAATATGGTGGAGCATGGATCCACGCCTTCCATCACGGCTGCCGAAGCGCGAGAGATGGGGTTCCGTATCATTATCTATCCTTTTGCCACGATCGGGCCTGCCCTGGTGGCTATGCGCGAGGGATTGGAGAAGCTGAAGCGAGATGGTATTCCGGGCTTGGATAAGGAGATAACCCCTCAGATGCTGTTCAGGGTCTGTGGGCTCGATGAAAGTGTCAAACTCGATGCGGATGCTGGTGGCGTTGCATTCGATGGTGGTGTTGATTTGAGGAAAACTTGAATAGTTCTTTATTCCAAATGACAGCATGCTAGTCAGCTTGCATGACTCTGACTATTCTATAGTCCTCAGAGGTTCCAGTGATGCCTTGATTCGGGTTATGTGAATAGTCGGGACTGTAACTAACTATATCCTCTTGCTTTACGACGTTATCGAACAGATGAACTATATTTGTCTCGCTTGGTCACTGATTTTCTCGCAAAGATTTTTCATGACCAGTTGACATCTCCTTATGTTCAAGTTGATGTAGCTATTATTCTGCGGAGGGGCGGGACTCAAGACCTTAGCATGTCTTTGTCTTCGGCACCAAGGACCTCCAGTTAATCGAAGCCGAAATCTTTCAAGGGCTACCTTTGCAAACCAAAACCCTAGATTTTTGTAGAATAGTCGAGCTATCATCGGTTCTGAGAACTAGAATTTGGTGAGGACGAAAAGAGTGTAGAATGCTGCTCGATCAACAAGACCGTATAGTGCGGAACATTATTAATGCGCCCCGTGCCCGCTGCGGCCAGACTGTCCTGGCAGCCATCAACACGCCAGCTGTATCTCAATTCGCACACCCTCACCATGCCTGGCCCTCTCTCCCTGTTTTCCGTCAATGCGGTTCTCGTCATGTCCGCGGACGACGGGTCCCGAATTTTCACGAAGTACTACTCCGCTCCTCACCCCCCGGCCGGGACTGCACCCAATTCGACCGATTACCCTGGCGCCAACCCGTACCCCACTGTCAAGGAGCAACGGGCATTCGAGAAGGGTCTGCTGGAGAAGACCAACAAGTCAACCAGCGATGTGATCTTGTACGATAACCGAATCGTTGTCTTCAAGCAGGAGAGTGACGTTATGCTCTATGTCGTGGGAAGCGCCGACGAGAACGAAGTACTACTTTACAACGTGGTTCTGTCCTTGCGCGATGCCCTGGGAATCCTGTTCAAGTGAGTGTTGAAGCTGGAAAGTACCAGAAAGCATGAAGCTAACGAGAGCAATCGCTCAAACAGAGGCGCAACTGACAAGCGCACAATTGTTGAAAACTACGATCTCGTTTCCCTCACTATCGACGAGATCGTCGACGACGGAATTATTCTCGAAACAGACCCTGTCCTGATTGCCTCGCGGGTCAGCCGGGCGCCCGCTGCCGATGCACCAAATATGAAGAGCATTGACCTCTCTGAGCAAGGTTTGCTGAATGCGTGGGAGTTTGGCAAACGGCGTCTGGCCGAGGGTCTTCGCCAAATGTAAAAGCTCGCGGATCTCAACTGTCTCTTCCAGACTTTGAAAAGCTTCCACTCGCGCGGGGCGTTTCGCAAGAGCTCCGTTATTTACTTTTCCTGTTGTACCTGGCTGGTCCTGGCGTGATATGGAATTTCTCATTTGTTTACAAACGTTTGATCATGGCAAATACCGAGATCAAGGAGCTATAGATCCTTTGTACGTTCTGGTTTTTTGTTGCATTCGCCAAAGCAAACCTCCCAGCTGTTTGCATGAGTCATCATTAGGGCTCATCCTAATATTCCCACCACTAGAAAATTGATGACTTCAATGAAATTGGATCCAGAAACTTGCATTAACCGTACTTGACTTTTGCGCCTTTACTGGCCGGTGTGATATGTCCATAAAAGATAGAAATTCGTAGAAGTGGATCGCGTGTGTCCCAGAAGAGAGCCCGGCTTCAGCCCTGCCCCGCATACGTCACGCTCAAAATTTCCTTTTGTTCTCCAACTCTCCAGAGGCCACGATGAAGCAGAGGTTCTCATCTTTGGACGTAAAGGTTGGCATCGGAAGGCTCTTGCAGGTCGCCAGATACCCGCTAACGATTTCTAGGTCATCACACAGGAGCTAGCCTCAGAGCTGGTTGGACTCCGCGTGTCCAACATCTACGACTTGTCCTCAGTACGCCGCTCTGTATAGCATTTTTGGATGAGAGCACTGTTGCTAACGTTTCGCCATAAAACAAACAGCGCATCTTCCTCTTCAAGGCCGCCAAGCCAGACCACAGACGGCAACTTATCGTCGATTCTGGCTTTCGCACACATGTCACCCACTATTCCCGCACAGCGGCTACAGCTCCTTCTCCCTTCGTCGCTCGCCTCCGCAAGTTCCTTAAGTCTCGGCGTATAACCGGGATCTCTCAAATTGGAACGGACCGAATCATCGACTTCTCTTTCAGCGATGGCGCATACCATATGTTCCTGGAATTCTTCGCTGGAGGCAACATCATTGTCACCGACAGCGAGTATACCATCATTGCGCTTTTCCGACAAGTCAATGCTGGCGAGGGCGAGGAGGCTAAACTAGGGATCAAATACACGATCACCAACAAGCAGAACTACGCCGGTATCCCCGATATCACCGACGCTCGCATTACCGAAACCCTAGAAAAGGCACAAACTCTTGCTGCACAGGAAGGCAGTGGGCCAAAGAAATCGAAGAAGAAGAATACCGATGTTTTGCGCAAGGCTCTTTCGCAGGGTTTCCCCGAATATCCACCCCTCCTACTCGACCACGCCTTTGCAATCAAGGAGCTTGATCCAGCGACGCCGCTCGAGCAGATTCTTGGCAATGAAGCTGGTATCAAAAACGTCAGAGGTGTGCTGGAAGAGGCCCAGAAAGTCTCCAATAGTTTCAATACTGGTAGTAGCCATACTGGTTACATCATCGCAAAAGAAGATTCCCGAGTTCCCACGGAGGACGAGAATGCTTCGAAAACACCTGGTTTGCTGTACGAAGACTTCCATCCCTTCCGGCCTAAGCAATTTGAAGGCAAACCAGGGCTCAAGGTGTTGGAATTCGAGCGCTTCAATGCTACAGTGGATGAATACTTCTCGTCATTGGAGTCTCAGCGATTGGAGTCGCGACTCACCGAACGCGAAGAGGCTGCTAAGCGGAAACTGGATGCTGTGCGAGACGAGCACCGGAAGCGAGTTGACGCCCTCAAGGTTGCGCAGGAGCTGCATATCCGCAAAGCCGGTGCCATTCAAGACAATGTCTACCGTGTACAAGAAGCAATGGATGCTGTAAACGGATTGATTTCCCAGGAATGGATTGGGGTGAAATTGCTCGTCTGATCGAAATGGAGCAAGGCCGTGGGAACCCGGTTGCTCAGATTATCAAGCTACCTCTGAAGCTGTATGAGAATTCCATCACCCTCTTACTTGGTGAAGGCGACGAGGGGGAAGAGGAAGAGGAAGAACTTGAGTCGAGCGATGAATCGGAGTCTGACTCAGAGAATGAAGAAAAAGAGAGGAAGACCCGGGCAGACGCTGCTTCCAAGATGTTGGCCATCGATATCGACCTGGGTCTCTCTCCTTGGGCCAACGCTTCGCAATATTACGATCAGAAGAAGCAAGCGTCAGAAAAGGAGCAGAGGACTGTTCAATCGTCCGCAAAGGCGCTCAAAAGTCACGAAAAGAAGGTGACATCTGATCTGAAAAAATCTCTTAAGCAAGAGAAGCAAGTGTTACGACAAGCTCGTGAGCCATTCTGGTTCGAAAAGTTTTCATTCTTCATTTCCTCGGAAGGATATTTGGTACTCGGGTAGGTGTCTATGTTACTTGATGGCTTTAAGTCCGATGCTAATAAGCACAGCGCTCGCGATTCCATGCAGAGCGAGCTCCTTTACCGGCGGTACCTCAACAAGGGCGATATCTTCATTCATGCAGACTTGAAAGATGCGATGCCGTATGTTGTCAAGAACAGGACTGGGGCCGCAGATGCTCCCATTCCCCCAAGCACGCTTTCGCAAGCAGGAAACATGTGTGTCGCGACGTCGACGGCGTGGGACTCCAAAGCGGTGATGTCTGCCTATTGGGTGCACGCAAACCAAGTTTCCAAGACCGCAGACAACGGCGCTGGTATCTTGCCGCCAGGTACTTTCCAGATAAAGGGTGAGAAGCATTTCCTCGCGCCATCCCAGTTGGTCCTTGGATTTGCTATTCTGTTCCAAGTCAGCCAAGAGAGCATCAAAAATCACAAGCAGCGCTTTGAAGCTGTCGACACTTCAGATGAGAGATCTACAGCCGACATCCAGGACAAGCCATCCACCGATTCTGCGCCTGAACCCACGGAGGAACAGGCCGATACGGAAGCTCCTATCGATGCGAACGAAGATGTCGATGAGCAAGATGAAGACGAGCAGAAGCATGAAGATGAGCAAAGAGATGAAGAGGATGATGCGAACTTAACTGCTCGGAATCCTCTTCAGCGGGGTGATTCTGAGACCCCTATCACCAAAGCCAAGGAATCCGAAGAGAAACCTGCCCACGAGGAGGAATATCGAACCGGCAGCTCCGAGTCTGATCCTGAGCCCGAGGACGACACACATGACGTCCAAACGGCTGAAGACCCCCAAGAAGGACCAGACGACAACGAATCCACGTTGGCTGGAACTCATGACCTTCCGGGCTCTGATCAAAAAGAAGAGAAGCTTTCGGCACGGGAGCGACGTGCGCTCCGGCAGGGAAAGAAGCTCGATCGACCTGAGGAAGAACCAGCCCCGGCACGCGTTGCGCCCACGCGTGGTAAGCGAGCCAAGGAGAAGCGTGCTGCTGCAAAGTATGCTCAGCAAGATGACGAGGAGCGTGAGCTTGCCCTCCGTCTACTTGGAGCTGGCAAGGGTAAAGCGGCCAAGGCGGCCCAGGCTGCAGAGGCTAAAGCCCAACGGGATCGAGAGGCTGAAGCACAGAAGCAACGCCGCCGGGCACAACACGAACGAGCCGCTGAGGCGGAGAAGAAACGCCAGGCTCTCTTTGGTGAAAATGGAGGCGATGACTACAATGAGGAGGTTGCTGCTGCCGAAGCCGCCGATCTTAGCTGGATTCCTGCTCTCATTGGCACACCTACGCCAGATGATGAGATCCTAGCGGCTCTCCCGGTCTGTGCTCCTTGGGGTGCTTTGGCCGATACAAGTACAAGGTTAAGCTCCAACCTGGTGCTGTCAAGAAAGGCAAGGCTGTCAAGGAGATTGTTGGTCGCTGGGTATCAGAGACGACCACCGGTAAGGTGAAGAAGGATCATGCGGAAGACGCTGGTTTTTCTCGGGCTGATGCGGAACGTATCCGGGCCCGGGAAGGAGAACTGATTAAAGGATGGAAAGAGACCGAGATCATCAACACGATGCCTGTGGGTAAGGTACGCATCATGACTGCTGGTAATGCGGGAGGAAATGGTGGGGACAAGGGCAAAGGCAAAGGTGGTGGTGGCGGTAAAGGAGGGGGGAAAGGAGGCAAAGGTGGAAAGAAGAAATAAGATTCTCCCAAGTCAGTAGCAGGGCCATGTACATACGACACGAATGTGATGGATATCTCGAATCTCAGCGCAAGATCTGGTCTTCGCCCGGTTATCATGCTGTTATCTAACCACTACCTACCAACGCTAGCAGTGCTGATCTCCGCTAGACCTCTGATCAGGCCTCTTGGAACCCCGCTAGGCATGCAGCAGCGTTGTCATTTTCCATTCTTTCGGACCCAATTGGCAGCATCAAAACATCCTGCTGATATCATGACGCCTGGGCCTCTCGGGGCCCAGGCGCTGAGTCATCCGACGTCATGGCCCAATCTGCTTTCTCTGGCTCCTTCCGCGCGGATTTCTGATACGCAGTTGGATCGCTAGTGGGTGCATTTCGGGAGACCAAGCGGAAGGATCGGCAATCGGGTGCCCTATATTAGACACGCACGTTATCGTACGTGCCCGATAAACTCCCAACCTTGCCCTGTTCCTTGTGATTCGCCGAACCTCGAGCCTCCAACGCCCCTCTGCGTGTGCGCGCTTCTACTGCGTCATTGATCCCGGACCCCACATCAAACTGCTTTTCTCTCGCGCTTTCGCTGACATCTGTCGGCACACATATCCCAGGTTTCTCACCACAATGGCTGTCGAGACGCGGGTGCTGCCCGTCCAGCGGCTCAACCAGGGACCGGGAGACCGATCTCTCGCGGAGTGGTGGGCAGACGAGCGCAAGAACAAGACCCCCGAGTCCCAAGCTATTGAAGAAGCCGCGAGCCTTCTGCGCTCGAGTGATATCCCTGTTGCATTCCCTACCGAGACCGTCTATGGCCTGGGAGCCGATGCGACCCGCAGCGCATCCGTTCAAGGCATCTACCGTGTGAAGCAGCGGCCATCAGACAACCCCCTCATTGTCCATATCGACTCGTTGGACATGCTGAATAAATTGCTGAATCCCAGCCACCAAAGTCCTTCGACAGCGAAGACCCCGCCCATCTCTATCCCTTCCATATATGAGTCTCTGATTGCCAAGTTCTGGCCTGGTCCTTTGACCATCATCTTGCCCAACCCCTCGGGCTCCGAGCTCGCTCCCGAGGTGACCTCCAAATTGACCACATTCGGTGCTCGCATGCCATCTTCCCCCCTAGCGCGCCTGCTCATTCATGCGGCCGACCGCCCACTCGCGGCCCCGTCTGCCAATGCCTCCACCAAGCCCTCCCCTACCACTGCCCAGCACGTTTACCACGATCTCCAAGGCCGCATTGACTTGATTCTAGATGGGGGTGACTGTGGGGTTGGCGTCGAAAGTACCGTCGTCGATGGGCTCTCCAGTCCACCCGCGATCCTTCGACCGGGAGGCATTGGGATAGATCAGATTCGCCAATGCGCAGGCTGGGAGAACGTTGTAGTTGCCTACCACGACGGCACCTTGGATGTGAAGGACATTCCTCGCGCCCCCGGAATGAAATATCGCCACTATTCTCCCAAGGCGCGTGTCGTGCTATTCGAACCCAACTCCAGTCCAGAAGGGGTCACCCGGCATGTGGAGAAGGACCTACAAGATACTGCGATCGGGGCGCACAACATCGGCATTGTGCGAACTCGCAATTGGACGCAGGGCCTTGGTCTCGTACCGCCCGAAGTGATTGCTCGGGCCGTCACGCCTGTCACCGCGGCCATTGAGAATCTGGTTTCCTTCCCGGTGCCTGTACAGCAGACGGGGAGCCCCACCAGCAAAACTAAACTGGCGTACGACTACCATCTTGGCTCTGATACCAGCTCCATCGCGCATGGTCTCTTTGCGGTTCTGCGCGCCCTTGACGAATTCGATGTAGACGTGATCTACATCGAGGGTATCTCGGATGGCGATGGTGATTTGGCTGCCGCGGTAATGAATCGACTCCGCAAAGCTGCAGGGGCTGAGATGAAGGTCTAGGCCTTTTTGATGGTACAAATCTCTTGCCAAATTGGGTCCTCTCTCGGTGTAAAATATTAGAGATTGCATGATTATGTACATACAACACATGTTTCCCACTTGAAACGTGCAAGTATGCTTACTTATTGGAAAGAGTCCGCTCCAGGGCAGCCTGTGTTAGACATGAGTATATCAGATCTACTAATAGGAGAAGACCTACTAGTAAAGGTAGCAGGAGACGGTGGACTCATGGCGTGTAGTAGGTCTTGAAGATGCTAATATTATGAGGCAGAATTGATCTAAATGCAACACCTTGGGAATTATGTTACTCTCCAGATTGCAGCCCTGAATCCCCGCTATGTGGGCAGTCATCGCGCCTCCGAAGCACTTGGCCCGGTTGAGCAAGACACGAACACGCGCAATGTACGAGCAGAGATGCACATAGACAACACCTCATCGTACGCTCAAAGGAAGAGGCCGACGTAGACAGGCTCGCTCTACTAAGCCACGTTCAAGATATTGGGTCCGGATATGAGCGGCACATGCATTGCACTTTCAACAACAGTCGTGCTTTCATCTACTAGATTCTGATGCCGTTAATAAACTTCCAGTCAAGTTTTATACACTCCTAGTATATATACCCATGGTCTCAGAGCCAGAAGCAAATGACGGTGCAAGGGCTTGCAAATCCACTTGTTCATTTTATCCACTTGGAGTTTCAAGGCCCTCGAGCAGACCTGAAGCATCTTTCTGCCCCAGATCATCTAGAAATTTCCTCTCGTATGACTCATCCACTCCCTACAAACCTGGGAAGACGCATAGCATCGGCCTAAACAAAGCCAAGCCCCACTTGTGCTCCACAAAAACCCGTTCCAGGGGAAAAAAAAAAATTGGGTCGGCCAGAAGTCCGGCTGTAGTACTGGCAGCACTTCCGCTCTTCAGTCTATCCCCTCGAACGATAGAGCCTCCTAGTCTAGGTTCCTGGAGTTAGGTTCTTATAAGAGGGATTGTGCCGCATGCTCAAAGGTTTGCCTATTGCGGTAGTGCCTCGTCAGCTTTTCACATTCCACAGGTCGATCACCGGCTGCAGGCCCGAAAAATTCCAATCCAGGGCCAGGAGAGCGGAAGTGGCCATTCGTCACAAGAGTAAATCATTAGTTTACCCCGCCATCCTGCGAGTCTCTTGGTTTTAGTAAAAGTTTCCTCGTACGGCGCCGGTCCGGCACCGGTTCAATCGCGGGGAAAAGACATTGGGCAGCGGCCAGCGGCCAGCGATCTCGATCAATTGGGCTTGTCACGATATGCCACACAGTACCAATCCCTGGAAGAGATGCCCTTGGATTAGGAACAGTGTTGATCGCCTGGCGCCCTCTGTTAAACTGGTTTCGTGTTGCTGGAAGATGCTTCCATTCCGAATCGCATGCGGTCGAGTGTTGTGAACGGCTCCCTCAATAGTTTCCGGAAGATTACCTGATCGGTCCCGTCTCCATTCAAGGCCCATGTGAGTTCCTGCGAGATCGCCACCTGAACAAAAACTTGAAGTTCAGATGTATAAACTCGGGCCTCTCTTGTTCAACAGGATGGGAAGCCGTCTTAGCCGGGATCTGACTGAGGATCAACATGCGAAGCACACCGCATTAGATCGGTCTAGACTAAACTTCTCCCGATAATAACCATAATGGTCACCTCGATACTCCAATTCTCCACAGCCAGATGCGTCAAGAATAGGTCGGTGGAGACGGAAGCCACCGAAAAATCGAGTTTTATTTGCCTTCCTGTGGAGCCCCCTGTATACTGGTGGATCCGGGTCCGCTTTGTGGAAATTCAACGTCGCAGCTCTTATAAGCCCACAATCCACCTGGATCTTCATTGAGCGTAATTTGCCCTCCTCTTTTTCGGTGCGTGGACAGCTCGTCGCCATGTCGGACCACTTTGAAGTAGAGGAAACGCTGCAAAAGGCCATGTCAAATACCGGTAGAGTGCATATTCCCCGGAGTCGCAACAGACGGGAATCTGATTCTGTCTTCCAGAGGTCCCAGCTTCCCTGCAAGAATCGCAGTTCTCGCACGATTCGCAATCGTCAACCGATTATTCCGAATACCAAGACTCAGAAGTGGGCCATGAGCCGATCCAGGAACGCTATGACAATCCCACCCAGGGTCGGTTTCGCCGAGTAGCTTCAAAGACCGTAGTGGCCTTTGGGCCCAACGACCCAGCCCATCCGGTCAATTGGAAAAAGGTACGCTGGGTTTCGCCTCGTGCGGTATCACACCCGGTGTTGCTTACTGACGGTGCATTAGTCTCGCAAGTATTTGGTTCTCATTGCTGGCGTCATGCAGGTAAGTAGTCCAGTTATGGCATTGGTGCCATGGTTTACCCCCGAGGTCAATGGGCTCCAAGGTCATGAACAGTACGATCGCATCATCTATCTGCAGTGGTGCCGTTCCCCAGATCGCCGCCGAGTTCAACATCACGAATCAAGAAGCTCTGGTTCTGCCAACCTCGATCTTCTTGATCGGTTATATCGTCGGACCGTTACTGTGGGGACCGAGCTCGGAGTACTTTGGACGCAGGCGTCCGCTGTTCATTGCCTTCTGTGGTTTTATCATCTTCATGATGGCATGTGCCGTGGCTGATTCATATCCCTCGCTTCTGGTCTTCCGCTTGCTGAACGGCATGATGGCCTCATCGCCCATCGCCACCGTCGGGGGATTATTCGCGGATGTGGAAAACGACCCAACCAAGAGAGGCCGCCTTATGGCATATTATATGGCTGTGTGTTCCCCCCCTCCAGCTCCCTTGCAAGAGAGTGACTAGAAGTAACTAAACATATTAACAGTGTACCACCTTCGGTCCTATCATCGGCCCCTTGATTTCCGGCTTCGTAGCCGGCGTCAGCTGGCGCTGGTGCTTCTGGATTGGGCTGATTTGTGCCGGCGCATCGCTCCCTCTGATCGCCTTCATGCCCGAGACGTATGCACCCGTGATCCTGAAGAAACGGGCCCAGAAGATTCGCAAAGATACCGGGAACCAAAGCATCATTTCGCCGCTCGAGCTTGAGAGCCGTGACATCCGGCAGATGGCCATTATCACGATTTCACGACCTTTCCGCATGATCTTCTACGAGTCCATCGTTTCACTAACATCGCTTTACCTTGCACTTGCATATGCAATCTTCTATCTTTATTTCGAAGCGTACCCAATCATCTTCCAAGGTTCGTTGCTTTTCCCCCCGCATATGCAACCAGCCGTGGAAACCCCCCCCACTGACTTGACTCGGGTTATAGGAATCTATAACATGAGCTCTGGGATTGCCGGTCTGATGTTTCTGCCCAGTAAGTATTCCATGCATCCGAAGTTCCATCCCCATCATGTCCGCGACCTAACGTATTCGAATCCAGTTGGCGTCGGTGCTATCCTCGCCTGCTTCTTCTTCATCTGGTACGACGGGTACTTTGCGCGCGCCAAAGCACGGAATGCCCCCTGGGCCAGCATCGAAGAATACCGACGCCTCCCCTCGCCTGCATCGGCGGCCCGCTATATGTCATTTCGCTCTTCTGGATCGGCTGGACCGCCTCAGCAGATATCCCCTGGGTGGTGCCCTTCCTCTCCGGCATCCCGTTCGGCATGGGCTACCTCCTGATTTTCATGGCCATGTTGAACTACCTCACCGACGCCTACGAGACCTTCTCCGCCAGCGCCCAGTCCGCTGCGAGCTGCACCCGAAGTATTCTGGGTGCGGTGCTCCCGCTCGCCGCGAAACCGATGTTCAATACCCTCGGCGTGCATTGGGCGTGCAGCCTGATTGCGTTCTTGGCCTTGGCTGTGTCGCTCATCCCCTTCGGGTTTATTCGGTATGGGGATCGGATCCGGGGCAACAGCAAGTTCTGTCAGGAGCTCAGGCAGATCAAGGAGGCGGAGCGGCGGGAGTGGGAGAGGGAGGGTGCTCCGACGCAGAGTGATCCGGAGAAGGGTCCTATGGATCATACGCTGTCCCTTGCTCGAATTGAGACGGCACAGAGCCACGTCTCCAAGGCCTCTATTATTTGCTGAACAGGGCCGGCTGGTTGGATCGGATGAGTTATGACATCCCAGAGGCGAGCGTTGCTTACCACGTGGTTGGTCGGTGGCTTGACCACTCCAAAAGTGATTTTGTTTATTTGTTTTCTTGCATGATTCCCCAGATGTCCATGACTCCATCATACACCTAATTATAATGTTTTATCTTTGAGCAAAATTTGAGAGAGGCCAAAGTTGATGCGAGGTAGCATGGAATTGCTACGTTCGTTCGGATTGCGCCGAAGTTAATCTTTCATTTCTCCAATCTTGTTATTTGGGCGTAATGACTTCGCAACTAGCAGCTCCGCCCAGATATCACTATCGGTATACAGCATCTAGCATGAATAGTACGTTGATTCCAAATGAGACCCAGAATTTCTCCACACCACATTCAAGCCCATTCAAAGATCTTTACGTAGTGTACAGTGAGCGTGCTCGCCTTTACTTCAGTCACTCTTGAGACCAACTTTCCCTACACGACGCAGGCCCCATGCGCCCACGCCCGAGGCAGCCAGCATAAGCCCGAAACAGGTCCAGAACACGGCCCGATACCCCATCATCAGGGCATCGGGGGACCCTTTATCGGGATACGAGGATCGGTCGGTGACTCCTGCAGAGATGATAGCGAATATCGTCAGCCCAATCGAGGTGCCGAATTGCGAAACGGTGTTGAACACAGCTCCTGCAAGACCTTGGGTCTTGGGACTGAAGCTATCCGCGATGATAAGGTTGGCGACCGTGAAGATCACTGTTAAAGATCAGTTCATATACAGCAAGTTTGAGGCCAGAATGAACAAACCGTCAGCTGACAAGGGTCCCAAGAGGACAGCCCAGAAAGCACAGTACCACCACGACCACTCTGGATCAATAATAGCCATCAGGAGCGGCGAGCCAGCACTCAATATTGTCGTAATCAGGACAAGGTAATTGGCGTGGAATCGATGAACCAGGAGACCCGTTCCCAGGTTAAGAACGATCCCAATGATGACATTTGGCATGAACCGGAGAGCCGCTTGGATTGCGGGGAGCTGCTGCACCTCTTGGAAGCTGATCCCAATAGTTTAGTATAAACTTGGATGCGAACTGGGTTTTCTGCGAGGGCGACATACAATAGACTGAGAATCGTCTCCATGCCGTTCAGAACGGCCCAAGAGAAAAGGACCATCACGCAGATGGAAGCAAAGGCCGTGTTCTTCCAAAGGGAATTCGGGATCAGCGCGGATTTCCCGTTCTTCTCCCGCCACCACATCCAGGTACAAAACGCAGGGATCATGCCGGTTGCGATGCAGAGAAGTGCGATATTCTCCGCCTTCTCGACGTTCGAAGGGCTATCAGTAATGACGCTGCATGCAAGGTTAGCTGACAGAGAAGCCCACGCTTTGCAAGAGTGACATACGCAAAAACATAGGAGATAAGTCCCAAGGAGGAGCTCGACAGCACGATTCCAACCCAGTCAATCTCCGTGCGGAGTCTATAGAATGTAAAAGGCTCTCTGGGGCTGTCTTTCGGCAGCTTGAAATAATTCACGAGCGTGAGGATGAACATGGCCCCCGCACATAGATAATACCCGAATCTCCATCCAAGGACTGAGGACTGGAAGATGCCCCCGAGGACCAACCCAACCGAGAACCCGAAGGGCTGCCCCAGTCCCAAGCAAGCGAATCCTATGTTCCGCCGCTTACCGGCAGGCATTGTGTCTGTCAGAATGCTGAATGCGGTTGGAAGACACATCGACGTGGCAATGCCTTGGAAAGCTCGGAACAAAATCAGCTGGATGCCGGTTTGAGAGACGCTGCAGGCCAGGATGAAGACGGATAGGAAGAAGCAGCCGAGCAGATTGATCATGCGATTTCCAAGGAAATCTGCCAGAGATCCTGCTAGTAATAGGCAGCATCCGTTGGCCAGACTATCCAATTCGGTTAATGGCGGCATTCGACGTAGAAAGCAAAAAAAAAAAAACTTACGAGTATACTGATGCTGGCCTGTTGTAGAGAAAAGGTCTTTTCAGTACTCCCAATTACTTTGCTTGTTCAGATACCGACAATTGCTGCTTACCAGAGGAGCAGACTATCCGGGAGATTCAAATCGGCCGCAATCCATGGCAGTCCAATAGTGAGTAGGCCGGTGCTCATGCTTCCGACGAAAGTGAGGCCTGTCAGAGTGGTCACCAGGATGGTGGCCCTTGTACGGGACATATTCGACGTATCTGTGCTAGAAGCATCATAGTTCAATTCTTCAGGCCTAGAGTCAGATAAGTGCCGACCAAGTCGCTGCGAGTCCGCAGTGCGCCGTTGTCCAAATGAGGCATTGGTTGGAAGTTCAAGCTCCAGCGCCTCGGCCTGGGTCTGAGTCGCAACAACCGTCGCCATGCTGTTTCACACAAGAAAGGCTGTCGGAACAGTCGAGTTGAGGCTTTCAAAATTAGGACTTGAAGATTCGGAGACGAAGAGTAGCGAACCGTCAAAGAAGAGGGTCCAAGCCCAATTAGCGTTAGTTACGGTGGGGAACCACGCATCGTTCACGCCCTGCAGATGTCAACTGTGGGTCACCTCCAAGTAACATTTTACGGCGATGAATTGATTGATTGATTGCGCAGAACGGATAGAATTGCTAGCAATTTCAGACTGCATTAAGGGTGTAAAAGAGAAATCTAATGAATAGAACTATATACATGAAACGAACGAAGGGAAGGATCAAAGAGGACTCTCTAGATCTTGGACTTTGGCTCATCCTGCTTTAATCGGACCACACCCTGACCAGAAAATGTTAGTATTTGCTTCTTCTTTCTGTGTGCTAGAACCAGTCTCGGGGAAGGAATAAACATACCTCTTGAGTGCAGGTTGCGATCAAGGTTCCGTCCTGGGCCCAGATCTTCTGAATGACCAACCCGCGACCCTCTCCGGCCCAGGTACTTTCCATCTCCGTCAAAAGCCACTGGTCCGCCCGGAATGCCCTTGGATTATGGAAGTAGATCGAATGATCTAAGCTGACCATCATGCCGACTTCTCTGTGCTCCTTCTTTTCCGCTTGGTTGAGCGCCCCCTCCAGTCGATGCTGCAAGTCGGCTGCCTCCTCTTCTTTGAGCTCCTTCAGAGCCTTTGTAATATCGTCATCATCCAGATCCGATGGATTCTTCAACGCTTTGAGTAGCTTTTCAAGCTCGGCCGGAGACGAAAACCGAGGAATGCCATGTACGCGGGACACGGTGCCGATGAAGTAGCTATCTGACATGTATGCAAGCGCCGATAGGTGTGCTGGATATCCCCTCCTTCGGAAACCCGCCCTCGGGCCCGAATAAATCGTCGGATTCTCTTATCAGTCGGATCTGGTGAGTTTCCTGCGAGAATGTCAGTCGCTGATCATCCGAAACGAGGGATATGACAAGCATACGATTGAGTACGACGGACTTCGTTGATTCGAACGGAGCGCCGCCCGCATTGTCACTGGCCCATGTCCTGACACCCCTGCCGGTGGGTCTGCCGGAGCCGGGATATCAGGCTTCGAGGCCGCATGGTTGATGGTCTTCTCGCCGCCGCTCCCTGGTCGGCTGAAGCTCAATGTAGTAGTGAAGATGGGTCGTCCTCGTTGACGCGCCTGCACTGTTCGAGTCATGAAGCTCCGTCCGTCGCGCACCCGTTCAACATGGTATAGGATTGGGATTTGCGAGTCACCGGCGAGGACGAAATAGCAATGCATGCTGTGGACAGCGAAGTCGGCGGGGACGGTTCGCATGGCCGCGGATAAACACTGGGCGATCACAGTGCCGCCGTAGATCCCGCGAGCTCCTGGTGGGTGCCATAGTGGCTGCGTATTTGTAAAGACATCCTGGTAAGGCAGTCGTCAGCTTTCTGACCCTTGCTCGAGGGCCGGCATGGTACATACGGGGCCGAGGTCTACGACGGGTGTCAAGTCCAGGGCATTCTCGATCACGGCCTTGGTATGGTCTCAGAGGCGGAGGCGGAAAGAGAGTGCTGGGGTTCTCCATGATGCTATGAAGAAATCAGATATGCCCAGGAAGTGAGAGATCGAGGATAGGGAGGATAGTTATGACCCAGTGAGCGTCCTCACTTTTCCGTGAGCCTCGGCTCATGCGCTAAGGGCGATGCGGCGCCAGTTCACGTGATTATTCTATACAGACTTGATCGCGGGGAGTCAGGCTTGGGTGTACAATCACGATTCCTGGACTTGGATTGGAATAGTTGATAATGCTCAGTGGCTTTTGAATCTCTATTTTTAGTTACTATTTTTTTTCTCTTCATCCTGCTCCAAATCTATGCATAGCCACGATGGAGCTGACAGCCATGCCGCCGCTAGAAGTCCACGTGAAGTAGACGCAATGAATGCAATTGGATAAAGACATCACATGCATCTACCATAAGCTGTCCATCTGTCATGATATGCCGTATCAATGCCTTGGATGAGCGTCTACTTAGGCTTCGCCCGCGGTTCCCCATTGTTCTCTAACCCACTTTGGATTTCGGACCTCTCAAGGATTGGGAAATTATGCCAGGGCTCTTTCGTAAACTACAAGTACAACATACGAATTGGAGATTGTGAATCAAACTCACTTTCACCTGGGCAAGACCGAAATGCCGCATGATACTGGATTACTGGTTCGGGCGGCCACGATTCCCAAGTTAGACGGTCAATGATTCGAGCTTTTACAGTCGGTATTGGTAGTTTAGTACTCAACCTTGATGTCTTCATTTTGTATGGCACTTAACACCAGGTTTCAAGAAATGACACCCGTCTGCTATAAAATCCACCAGGTCCAATTTTGACGGTTTTTCCTCCAGATACTAGCAAAAAGAATTTGCTGGTTCTCTGTTTTCTCTCCTACAACTACTCGACCTTCACCTTCATTCTGTATAGCCTTAACACCAGATTTCAAGAAATGACACCCGTCTGCTCTAAAATCCACCAGGATCAGCTTTGGCGGTTTTTCCTCCAGATACTAGCAAAAAAAAAAAACTTTGCTGGTTCTCGGATTTCTCTCCTACAATTACTCGGCCTTTTGTGAAGGAGTATTCCTGGGCTAATATCCCAACAAGTAAGCCAAACGACCACCATATCTGCACAATATGTGCAGATATGCCCAGGCACGCCTTATATAGTACACCTCTCTAACTAAAATCTTTCGTAACACCTTTACGTCTTTCATTTTGTACCCGTTGCACAAATCTCCGCCTCCATTGGTAGCGACAGCGCCAACCTTCGTAAATACAACGTGCTTATTTACTTGCCGAATGAAAACCCCCTCAACTCTCCGTTATTCTGTCCAATCTGGAAGCCAGAATTGTTTCCGGCAAAAGAGATGTTCGTGCCACCCCCTTCGCGTCCTGTTTAGGGAGATTCTCGATCACCCGCGCGATGGATCTGGACACGGTTCGGAAATCTTTGTTTTCATCCTCGAACCTGGCTATCTCATGATGGTTGCCTTTCAAAACCTTAAGGTCGGGCGAATCCCCTGGTAACTTGGCCTCGGAGACATCCACAATATACAACTTTTTGCCATGGATCTCCACAGGAGCGTTCTCATAGAAGGTCTCAACGTTGATCGAGTTGGCCTCTCGCAGTTGAGCGAACTCTTGCGAGACTTTCAATATATGTGCCGACAAGGTTTTAAGATTGGAGTCAGATGGAATTTCCTTTCCCACCAATTGGAAAAATTTCTTCGCTGTCTGTAGATTATCGGGCGTGTACTGAGGTGTTCCAAGTAACAGGATGCTTGCCACCTTTTCCACAAGCTTCTTGTTCGATTCATTCTTGTTTGCTCGAAGGAGTGCCTAAGGCGAGATCAACCAGGTACTCATCTTAGCATCTGGGTCTTTGCTGATGGACTTTAGGTGGAGATACATACCGATTGGAGCACTACGCCACCAAGGCAGTGGGCGACGAACACGATCGGTCTTTTGGCCTGTCGGGAAGATTGAAGAGTCAGATAATGCACTGATGCGATCAATATAATATACTAACTTTGTCTCCGGATCTCGCTTCGGTAAGGTCGTCGACCAATTCGTCTGACGTGGAATGAAACCCATTCCTCTCATTCCAGAATGCATCAACGGTCAAATCATCGTCGTATTCAAACGCCAAAATCCGCGCTTTGGGAGCTTTTTGCGGGAGAAGACGCTCTGGCCAGAAGAGAGCACTCTTAGCAGACGTCCATTCCGGTTTATCGGCGATCTTCAAGCCGGGGACAAGGACGACGCTGCATTTTCGCGCGTGTGTCAGCGTTAGGGCTCCATTTGCGGGGAAGGGTTTGTCGCATACTCCAGGCTAGCTTCTGAGACATCCTTGATGATTTTGACAGGCATTATTCGAGTCGCTCAGGAGGTCAGTCTGAGCCTTATAGAATGCGGATAATCTTCAGAATATGCGAAGTCAATGGGCGTCGAGTTCTCGCGATCAGATATATATAGTGCATAACCCCTCATTTTAGCGCCAGGCAAATGGGCGAGGCGTTTACGGGTAAGATTTGCGTTGGGCTGAAAAGACCTGCGCCACGATCCTAGCAGCACCCCCGCTTGAGAAAGAAAAATACTGATGGGGAGACGTGAAGCCATTGTCTAATACTAGGAGAGCATTTTGTGAACGAATAACCCAGTAGAAGTCATCTTCCGTGCAGAGCCTACGAACGGCTGTCCATCCCGAGTCCACATGGTGAAACCTGGAATGCTCTGTGTAAATTTCGGTGACAGATTTGGAGTGGGGCGGGGCCATTTTGAGGCTGAATTCGCTCTTCCAACCATCTGGGTGATGCCGATCGAATTTGGAGGAACTTCCAGTTGAGCCTCATGAGCATACTGTGTGCCGACTTTATAAAAATAGTCTAAATTACTTGTACTGTCGTGCGATATTCTAGGACTTGTTCAACCATTCAGCTTCGGGTCTGGGTAGACTTGAACATACCCATTGGCTTAGCGTAGTAATAGATCTAGTACGTAGAGCGTCGCCTTTTCAATAGATTACAATGCGCGTCGCGATTGCTGGTGGAACCAGTCCAACACTTGGGCAATCGATTGTTTTCGCTCCCTTCGCCACAAAGGGATGCTACCTTCCATTGATCTTTCCCCACGAGATTTGCAAGAAACCTCTCAAGGAATGGAGTCGCCTGGTCACAGCCCTACGCGGTGTCAATGCCGTGTTCAGTGTGCTCCTCGTTCCAGGGCCTGAATGGGTATCAGCCAAGGTCAATCTTCTGCGGGCCGCCCAGGATGCAGGCTGTCGACAATTTGGTCCATGCGAATTTGCCTTGACATTTGAAGCTCAGCGACGTCCTCCAGGCCAAAAATTTTGTTTGAGAGAAAGTCAGAGTCCTCAACCATGAGAGACTTTTCAGAAGAAGCCATTTTGGGGCTTTTGATGTCTATGTCAACTACAGAGGCGATGCTAGGTAGATAACTCGTATGATCAGTTGAAAGAGACATATCAAATTGTGGAGTGCCCAGGTTCTACCGTCAACTGCGGGCATTGACAAAGATACAGGCCGCGGAACGTAAATTCTGTCAAGGACGGAGAGTTATCCGCTAATCCACTTTTCACAAGTATTAGGAAAAAAATAGGATGAATCAATCTTTTCTCTTATCACTACCATTATCACTAGCTCTTTCTGCAAGCATATCGCTCCAGCACCGCAGATTTCCTCGCATTTGACGGATCTTGGCGGACCGCTTCCATGTCATTCAGGAACGGACCGAGTGTGAAGTAACTGCCTTGCATTCAATCGGACTATTTCCACTTACCAGCGAGCTTCGACTATTGGGCGTCTGGGGGTGTCACGCCCTGCTGTGGGCCCAAAGTTTGTCACAACAATCTGGTGGCAATAGACAGCTCGGAACTGGGATGGATTCCGAGGGTAGCCTCACAGATAGAAGAGATTGTTGTTATGATGCACACTATCTTGGGAAACAGCCCCGGGGCAATTGAAACACTCTATCGCTATCAAACTGATTTCTAGGGGAATTTTAAATGCATACATCTGCTAAGTGGCGTGATTGGGCGAATATACTTTTGCTAAGAGCGCAGATAAGGGCAGATAAGGCTCGGAGATCATGATCTCGGAAAGAAGGTTATAGTTCCGAGTGCAAGGTGGGGAAGGCCTCAGTACCAGCATATCATTCTAGCTTATTGGGTTATTATTATTCTTACTTTCCCTATATTTACCTCGTTATATGTCCGTGGTTCTTCAGTCCTCAAGTTGCTGGAAGTCAGTTCCGGATTGTGTTCGGTCATGGTGCACCCACTTGCCATTCTCTCGGAAGCAGAGACCAACTTGGCTCGCGATGTTGTCAAGGCAGCTCACCCAAAGACTGTGATTGACTTCCGGGAAATCTACCTCCAGGAGCCTCCGAAAGCTCAACTCCTCGAGTTTTTAGCCATTGAACACGCTGGCCGCCTCAGCCCAACCACTCCTCGCCCGCCCCGTCTTGCACTTGCCCAGTACGATGTGATAGGAGCCGACCGTATCCCGCAGTACCAGGAGTCCGTCATTGACCTTGTCACTGGCAAACGCATTCACCACATCGTAGTCGGCAAACAGCACCATGCAGCCCTGACATTAAGCGAGTTTGATACTTTGGTTGAGAAGTGCATGACATCTCCCTTGTTCCAGCAAGCCATGGCCGACTTTGATCTCCCCGAGGGATTCGAAGTGGTTATCGAGCCATGGCCCTACGGGGGCTTAGACTCCCAAGACGACAACCGCCGCTACTTCCAAGGCCTGTGTTTTGCCCAGGATAAGCGATCTGGTAACCCCGACTCTAACTTCTACTCCTTCCCTTTGCCCGTCATCCCGGTCATGGACGCCCACACCCAGCAGATTATCCGTGTCGACCGGCCAGCGACTGGAGGTAAAGGAGATGGATTGCGGGAGCATACTTTCAAGCGTGATATCATTGGTCACTGCAAACCTTCCGAGTACATTCCCGAGCTGCTCCCGGAAGGCACTCGCAAGGATTTGAAGCCTCTCAACGTGGTCCAGCCGGAAGGCCCCTCATTCAAGGTCACCGATGAATCACTGGTGGAATGGCAGAAGTGGCGGCTCCGGGTTGCGTTCAATCCTCGCGAAGGGGCTACTATTCACGATGTCTGGTATGACGGTCGCAGTGTGATGCACCGTCTGGCTATTAGTGAAATGGTCTGTCTGTGCCAAAATGATGACCATTGATGGGGATACTAACCTTGATCGCTGACTAGACCGTGCCATATGCCGATCCTCGCCCTCCTTTCCATCGCAAACAGGCGTTTGACTTTGGCGATGGTGGCGGTGGGAACATGGCAAACAACTTGTCTCTGGGATGCGACTGCCTTGGAGTGATCAAATACTTCGATGCTGTAATTACTGGCGCCGATGGCACAGCTCAGAAGCTGCCAAATGCTATTTGTCTGCACGAGCAAGATAGTGGCATCGCATGGAAGCACTCGAACTGGCGCACTGGTCGCGCAGTTGTGACCCGCCACCGCGAGTTGGTGGTCCAGTTTATCATCACCCTCGCAAATTACGAGTATATCTTCGCCTACAAGTTCGACCAATCCGGCGGCATCACTGTTGAAGCCCGTGCCACAGGCATCCTGAATGTCGTGAATATTGACGCCGGCAAGGTTAGCGAATTCGGCAACGTTGTCAGTGGCGGAGTGCTGGCACAGAACCACCAGCACATCTTCTGTGTTCGTATTGATCCGGCAGTAGATGGGCACACAAACTCTGTTGTGATAGAAGAGTCCCATCCAGTGCCGATGAACGCGGCCACAAACCCGCACGGTAACTTTTACAAGGTCACCAAAGAGACGGTGAAGCGCTCCTCGTGGGTGGATGCCGCACCCCAGCTTAACCGAACCATTAAAATGGTCAATCCCCGAAAGACTAACCCGATCAGTGGAAACCCCGTGGGGTACAAGTTTATTCCACAAGCTACACAGACCTTGCTAGCCGACCCGGACTCTGTGCAGGCCCGCCGAGCACAGTTCGCCCAGCACCATGTCTGGGTGACCAAGCACCAAGATAACGAATTCTACGCTGGTGGTCGGTACACGCTGCAGAGTCAGTTGGAAGTTGATGGCGTCGCAGATGCAGCCCGCCGGGGAGATGTAATCTCGGATACGGATGTAGTAGTGTGGAACACCTTCGGAATCACTCATAACCCACGAGTGGAGGATTGGCCTGTTATGTGAGTGACGCCCACTTCGACTAACCTGCTCGGTCTTGACTCATGAGCTTTCACTAGGCCCGTGGAGATCTTCCAGCTCATGCTCCGCCCCGCGGACTTCTTTACAGCCAACCCCTCAATCGACGTTCCCTCGGATAAGAACGTGTCTTCGAGATTGGCCGAGGCCGAGTGCTGCCGACAGGCGCATATTTGAGTTCTGCGTCTGTCCATGGTTACAGAATTGCTTCCATTTCTACATTATGATTACAATTACCCCACAGGATCCACCACCTCCACGTATCGTGGTCATCCAGGTGCCACTTGACGACATTAAGAACTGGGGTTTTACCATGTCTCAAGGAATCCCGAAATAAATCCAAGGATCCCGATCCATTCGTGAATACCCGTTGCTTGGGTTGGCATGTGATGGACTTTCCCGTAGCTTGATCATGGCGCATTCCCTGGTTTGAGATTGCATAACTTTATGAAGTAAGATATGAGCAACTCAAAGTACCATCAAGTGTCCAATCAACGGGCGAGCCCCGCAATTTTTTTTCCCCAGCAACTAAACGTTCCTTGGCAACTGAGCGCGGGGACAGACTCCCCCAGGATTGGACCCGCGGAGTCAGCCCCGCAGTACGGAGTATGCCAAGTTCAATACCTGTGAATCTGGAGCTCCAGCCAATGCCAATCCCTACTATAAAGAACGATAAACTTCTGAAATGCGGATCCGACTCCTAGGGTTGACTCCGACTAATCATTTCTTATAGCCTGAGGTTAGGTGATTTCCAGCGAGAATACGAGTCGGCGGCGTACGCCGGGAGACGAGCCATTTCGCTCTCCATGGGTAGTTCCAATGTACTCAGCCGTATCCACAGCTCGTCGGAGCACGAGCTGCATCGGGGAATCCAGCTACGGAGACACAGTATGGTTCTCGGGTTCAGACCTCGGCAGATTTGTATAGTTCACGGCGTCCTCAGCCAGCAAACAAGGAGTTGAAATGACCCACCCGTGGTCGCCTCCGTACATCTAAGCCGAACGTACCCGAAGATGGTCTCGACTAAGGGGGCAAGCTCCATTTTCCCCGCACGTACCCCAGGATGGTACGCGGTCGAGAACCCTAATCCGGGCTTGGAAATGCGTCGGGTGCGGTCGCAGTCGATGATGATTTTGCGGTGATTCAACGTTGCGGATCCACTCATGGGCTGTTCTGCTTGCCCAGCTTATCGTTTGGAGCTCGCTGGGCAGTAAGGCAGAGGTCTATAAATATGGCGCGCATTTCCCTTGATCGAAGACCTGGGTCGGTTAAACGAGAGACTCGCCTTTCAATCCTAGTATCTTGCAATCTTCACTGGCTAAGGTCAACACAATGAGCATCGAGGACCTTCGGATCAAGTCCAACGGCGCCACGATGAATGGCTTAACTCAAGTCCCGACATCAGTGACGCTTTCGGCGGAGCAGTTCGAACGGCTGTATCTGAATCCTATGATGCACCGTCGACAGCCTGATCTCACAAAGAAGTTTGGTAACCCCACACCACTGTGAGTACCCCGACCACCATTTACATCTCCTCTCAAGGTTCCTGCCATTCTAACCCTTTTCTCACAGGGGTTTGGGAGCTTTCGTTTTAACGGCGACGCCCATCGCGTGCTGCTTGATGGGATGGAGGGGCGCCACTGGAGTCGGTGCTGCGTTCAGGTAAGACTTCCATAGCACTGATCCGATGCTCAGACTGGCATGCGCTGACCTCTTCTAGCGGAGTTTTGGTTCTGTTTGGTGGAGTGTTTCTGGTATTTGCAGGTGTCATGGAGTTTATTCTTGGCAACACGTTCTCCGGCGCTGTATTCTGTCACCTCGGTGCTTTCTGCCTCGCTTTAGGGGCTACCTTGACTCCTGCTTTCAACGCTGCCGGTAAGAAACCCAAGGGCCACAGCATGGGCTTGGATTCGCGACGCTAATATTCGACATCATTAGCCCCGTACTCGGCCGATGGCACAAATACACTCCAGGGTCTCCATAGTCCCGAATTCTTAACCACATTTGGTAAGCAATCAGACTATCCCATCCGAAGCCTATCAGCTCACACCCTGTATAGCGTTCTTCTTCGTTTTCATGGCCTTATTGATGTTCATATACATCATCTGCGCCTTACGCACCAATGTGGTTTTCGTCCTCATCTTTACCGGCCTGTTCCTCTACTTCTGTCTTTTTGCCGCCTCTTGGTGGCACTTGGCGGCTGGGAATCTTGTCGTCGGCAACAGGTGTCAAGTGGTAAGTTCCGGATCCCAGATCTCCTCCCTTGTATTCTCTAACCTGTGCTGCAGGGAAGTGGCGCAGCGCTATTCGCGGCCTCAATGCTAGGGTTTTATCTCCTGGCTGCTCAGCTGTTTTCCTCGGTCGGTCTCCCAATTACCCTGCCTGTTGGCGACCTTACAGAGCTATGGAGTAGAGGCACTTCGAGGTAAGTTCTATGCTGAGACCTGCCCCTCCCGCGTTCCCTCGTGTCTGACGTGTTTCTAGGCGCGAGGCTTCGGATTTGGAAGTTGGTGAGGAATCCGGTAGCAAGTAATCTGCCTTTTTTTCCTTTTTTTCTCCGGTCATCGGCTTGACGCGTGGGTCACTCTGAGACATGCAGTCATTTCGTGGGAAGGTTGCGAATGCAGAGCTTCCCCTATCATGATATGATAAATAAATACTTAATGTTGAATTCCTCTTGAGCCATGAACATGATCATGATGCTTATGAAGAACGTCTGCCCCTATGGTGGATCGATGCCAGGGTGTGAATACTTCGTTATATACGAAGAGAAATATAACTAGTCGAAAACATCATTACTCATTCACCCAGAGATCTATGTACCACACTGTGATCCTTTATTCTCACTTTCTCAGGATTATTTTGGCTCACCCTACGACCGCCACTCTGTTATCTCTTCGATATGTATTTTTCCTTGTGCGAAGCACGTAATAGCCTCTGAGATAATTTCACCCAAACTCCACGGCGACTTTTCCGCGTCAATAAAGCTTAGTGCTCGAGTTAATATACGACGTGCCCTCGTGCCAGAAGCGAGTAGCCGCACGGGACGCAGGGTTGTTTATGAACGCTCAAATAAAGGAGGCTTTTCAAGGGCCTTACACCGGTGATAACCCCGTCGAGCAAGAGCTCTTCGTAGAGTCTCCGGACTAACTGGCAGTTGCAGTTCTTCAATCACCTTCGAATAAGGCATCTGTCGTCTTATATTGGAAGATGAGATAAACTCGATGATCTCATCGAGCTGTTCGTCAGAGAGCTTTCGACGTTGGCCAGGAGCCTTCCGTGGGGTAGGCCTCTCATCTGAACAGGCTTTTTGGACCTGACGTTGAGTAATCTTTAATGCCGAAGCAATCTGAGCGTAAGTATACCCTTGAGCGCGTAGTGTGCGCGCGGCGATGCGTTGATCACGGGTGGTCTTATGAGTTGGCGTCCGAGGGGCCTCCATGGCAGACGATATCGAAATGAGGAGAAAGAAAGAAAGAGAAATGAGAAGAAAGGCGTTGAAATATACAGGATTGGGCTAGTCCTAGTTCGGAAGGCGGTTGGATAGAGCATCCGTGAAGTCGGCATGAAGGACGCTAACATTATTATTGAGGTGCCCCTAGACTTGCAGAACCTGCACGGGTAGTTCTCCAAGTGAGGGTGGGGTTCAAGTGCACAAGGGGAGTGGGGCGTTGCGGCTTACCACCTGCCGCATCCCCAATATCATCAAATGCTCACTCCCAGGCAGACGAGGAAGAACATGCAAGGCTTCCACGATGACGAGGCTTATCACCAGCTGCAGTAGGGCCACCAGAAATGCCGAGCATAAGCATAAGCAGTGGTTGCCCAACTTGTGGCGAAGGCAGAGGGGGGCTGAGATGGGTCTGCATCTTTTCCTGACTCGCCTTAATGCGGCTGATGGAAGCTCGGCCTGATGGGCCCGTGTTGCCCTGTGCACATTTCAACCCTTTCCCGCGTTCGGACCGGGCTTACGATGCTGGTTTCTTCCCCCCTGAGCTTTTTCTGCGATTTCTAGCAATGTCGTAGCATGACCGCTCAGCATGCAAGCCCATCTACCTGAGCCTGTGTGGATGCCGGCTGGACAGAGCCACGGCCCTCAGGTGCCGAGGGTGTGGAAACTCGCGTCGAATTGTGCATCTGTCGGTTTGCTGTTGGGGTAGGTTTTGGTCCGGGGGTTGTGTATGAACCGCGCTAACCTGTGATTGTTCCGGTCAGATATCTGATGTTGGCGGTTGTATTCGGTGGATCGAGCGATGACCTGCACATTAACGCTGCTGCGGCTGCTGTGGTCGCCTATGGATTCATCGGGATCTCGTACGCTGTGTCGGTTGGGATCTCGTTCTGCCAGCGTTCAGCTCAAGGCTTCCTTCTTCGGTCTATCTTCATGTCCGACTCCTTTTGTGCCCGGGTCGCGGCCTGTCGCTGATCGGTAACAGGCCATACCTGATTATTAACCTTATCGCCTTATTCAATGTCGTCTTCAACATCATCGCGCGCGACCTTCGCCCTCTCAATGCTGCCCGGGTCATAGCGATCGGGTTGCCCGCCACCGGCGTTCTGGTATACGGCCTTGTGGCGTTCTTGATATATCGCGAACTCGAGCCCGAAGGGAGCCATCTTCCGGACGAGGGAAGCAGCAGCATGCTGCTGTTGGACGATGTTGAAAGCCAGCGACAACATTTTGCGCGACTGTTGGAAACGAGAGATGCCCCGGCTCCCTCGCCCGAGCTTGTTCAGAACACCTATCGACTGGATCTCCCGATAGTGGAGCGCACTCCGGACGACCAAGTGTGATCCTAGACTTAGATGATATATTGGCTCTGCACCACTGGTGGTCGATGGCGACTCTCATGGCAAAATAACTGGGGAAAGATATTCAATTTGATTGGCATGAATATGACAAGTAAACTTTAGCCGTAAGCAATGTCGGGGTGGTTAAATCAAAAATAGAATCCACTAGCATCCGCACGAGAGCGAGACGTCAAAGAGGGGCTGCCGCTGCATGATAGATACGCTAAAAGGCTGATGGGCGACTTGCGAAATTAATATCCGCACGAATCTTATTGGCCAGCCTTTAGGAGCGGCGGAGTTCCTTATACCCTGTTTTGACCTTGATTTCTTGACCTTCAGTCATCCGGGATCTGCCTTGAGTGGACACAGAAAGAATGGGTCCTGCTCATCAACTTACCTCACTACCTTGTCTATTCCCAGGTGTGCACTCTGGGAACTTCTCCCGATATCAGATAATTCTACAAATCTACCGCAGGTATAATGATAATAGAGAAAAAAAAAAACCTATATTTGGAACACTCCAAACTCAATTTTTTTAGAACTAAACCGAAAATCAAACATGGTAACAATTTAAAGGTCAAAACGAAAAGTATTCAGACAGCCGCCCACCCATTTTGGGGTCCCAGAAAATGCAATATCAAATAATAGGAACGATTTCATACGCCCAGGCTCTTTCATATCAGCCCTAAACTGCAGGCGTGGCAGAGCTGTCATCTGCAGACGCCCGGCGCTGCTTATAATACTCCAACACCTTCGCTCCCCAAACATGTCTTCCTTTATACTCGCTGACATAGTCCGGCCATGTCTTCATTTCCGTGGCGAGGTTCTCGAGCTCCTTGAGGGGGAGCTGACTCACCGGGGTCAGATAGGTCTTCACGCCGAACACGATCGCACCGGTGCGTGGCATGCGGCGGAATGTCTGGCGCTCGCGGCGGATGAGAATCTCCTCTGGCGAGGGATCCAGAAGGGCCTTTTCGCACAGGGCGTTGGGCCGGTAGAGGATCTCCGAGAGGGCTTCGCCGGGGCGTTTCACTTCGACGAAGTAATTGGAGCGTTCCATTGGCGACGAGGGGGTCAGCCGAGCCAGGAATCTATGTTCTGTTAGCTAATTCTGGCCAAAGATTGTCACGAGGATCTATCTGGATGACTGACTTGCTGACCGAATTCGCCACCTGCTGATGCCACAGCGGGACTGGCTCGTGCAGGCGGGAAATCGTCCACCCAATACGTTCGCTGACAGTCCACCCCGTTGGGAAGAGACTGGCGCTGGCCGCACTGGAGAACAATCAGCTCATTGTATTTGGATCACCAGGGGGGAAGGGCTCTCTGCTCACAGATAGTATTCTCCGTCTTCATTGAGCATGAGAACGCTCAAATCTTCCATCGTCAAGCGAACGGCCGCCTCGAGCGCATCGGTGCTGTTGCCGCTAGCAGCCTGTTGAGTCACATTGAACTTTTCGCCCGTCATGCGGTTCTCGATAACGCTTTCATCGCCTTCGGTCGTCTTGTGAAATGCGCTGGGGAATCGCTCGCAGAGAAACTGCGAGACCTCCTCGAGCGCTTCCTGGCAGCCGTCACGCGACTCGGGCAAACACTGCAAGACGGAGTCCTTTTTTCTCCCGGAGCAGTTGGTCGCGGACTCGGTGCTCTTCCATGTAGTTTTTGTCCAATGTGAGCCAATTCGCGACATCCAGCTTGCGGATGTCCATCATGACGCGGTATCGCTCGCGTCCACGAATTGGCTGTGCCGGGTACGGCGCCATGCCCTTAACGTCGGTTGGGCTTTGCGAGCTAGCATGTTGGCGTAGTTTGCAGAATTGAGACAGCCAGCTGTGGATTGGTTTTTGATATCTCACAGCTAGAAGCAGGAGGCAGATCGGAAGTACCACTAGCGAGAAGACTGTCATACTTTTCCATGCGGCAGCTCAGGGTTGTTTTATGTTTTTTAAGTTAAGCGTCAAAGCGCCGACGAGGTTTTAGGTGATGACGATTACTGCTTTGGTGATAGACGAACCTAGGCCGCAACAAAAAAAAAAGAAAAGAAAAGCAAAAGTGAAATCGTTTGAGAATACGAGGAACCACGTTGGAAAGCCAGGTTTACATAAATAGTCCTCACCTGACACTGAAGATGACGGCGACTGAAAAGCCAAGGCAGGCAACAAACCAAACTTGCAACAGATGGATCACCAGACGGCTGAAATTTTCTACCAAAGCCCGATGAAAATCCCACAATTAGACTCAAAAGGAATTTTCAGCGGCAAAGAAACCTAGCCCCCCCTGCCACAAAAGGGCGAGCAGGTGCATTTCCACATTCCTGATCGAGGGGAGTGGAACTGCCGTGATACGCTCAGGGATTCCCCGCAAAAAGAAAAAGGAAAGAGAACAGAAAAATAAAATCCAAAATTCTAAAATAATAATCGAAAAAGTGAAAAATTAAAGAAAAAGCCGCAGTTCAAACCATTAGTACTTTGGGGTAACCACATGATCATCCTCAGCTTGGGAGCGGCTCGTGTGTGCTTGTCTGTAACCTAGGCGGTCCACTAGGGTGTCTCGGGGCGACTGTGGAGCAGGTTAGACAGGTTAGATAGGCCCGGGTTTCGTTGATCTGGGAAATCTAGCCACTTCGTCAAGCTTGGGTTTGTCCGAGCGCACCCTGGACTGCCGAACGCATTTCGGGAACCCCTCAGACGGGGTGCCGGAGAGGGATGTCGGCGAAAGACGTCGGGATGTAAAGACCGCTTGGGATGCTAGACCTCGCTGGTTTCGCCGCGTCAAGCGACGAGATTCCAATCGGGGAGAGCCGCCAAGGAGCCATGATGGTCTTTTTTTTCTCGGGGCGCTCATCCAGCGCCATTCTCTTTCAACCTCCCCAATCCGACTGGTTGAGAGGATCTAGCCCGAATGCACATCAGGGCACAAAAGTGAGGGAAGGGCAGTTGACGTATCATCGAAAGTACAGTACCTGTGTACTGTGGGGGTGCCTTTGGTCTGGGACCCAGTACGCTTCATTTGCGCGGGCCCGATTCCCCGTTCAAAGGTACATGGGTGAGACACGATCTGATTTGTTCTTCCTACCGTTGGAAAACCAAGGCGTTCCCAATATCCACCTTCCACGAGGGCTGCGCCTCTAACCCCAGACCATCTGACTCACGGTGCTCCATATGCAAGTGGCATCGTGTTTGAAAGAAGCTCGAAAACCAAACTCGCGATCTCCGCCCTTGTGCCCCGTTTCTCTCGCGTTCGGTTCCACGGTCCCACTTCAGTGGACTCCACTACGTTCAGGGCCCCATCCGGGGTCGCAACCGCTTTTTTCCCCTTTTCATCGTGTAAAGCGCGCTTGCCGCTGCTCACTCTCACGGGACAAGGTCGCCACAATCGGGGGCTGGATCCAAACTTTTTTCCGCCCTGCCCCAATCAGATGCGCCATAATCCCCGGCGAAGGCCTTCGTCATAGCTCAGCCTTGCGATCTGGACCTGGACCTGCTTGCTCCCTACTGGCTACGTCCCCTGGTCCTAATTAACCCTGATCATCGAATGAGCTTCCAAGATAAATTCGATGCTGAGCAATGAAACCGCCTGTGCCCTTCAGGAGAACCGGTTTGGTCTGCTATTCCTTGCACCCCCACCCTCTCTAAGCCCCCCCCCCCTCCCAGGTGATACAACCGGCTCCATTGAAATCTTGCGAACTAGTTCAATCGGCTTATAGGCCGCCGAAATTGCGGTGTGAGACTCAAAAATAATAAGGCAAAAATAAATGAGATTCACAACAGCCGCCGTAGCCCTCTTGAGGGTCTGACTTATCTTATCTTGAGACATGAGAGCGCAAAAGGAAACGGTTCCAACAGAGTTCGACCCGCCAACGGCTCTTGTCGCGTAGCGCGGTTTCGTCCAATGTGAGAATGTCGGTTTGATAATTCTGCTCGTAGATCCTTCAGTCGTCGGAATTCGGGATCCCAGCGCACGGGCGAAAACTTTCTTCACGACTTTAAGCTTCTCGTGCTATGCGAGGTTCGTGGGCAATGCCCTCTGTTCAGCTGAGCTAGGGCGTCTGTGGAGCATCGTCACTCCAGCTATTGTATCACGGAGTACATGCATGGATCCCGTTGGGTTGCCGCAACGTAAATGGCCACAGTTCAGTGCGGATCGCTTCAAATTTTCTTCCACTGGTCATGGACGACAGATTTGCTTATCTCCATGCTCCCGAATTGGGTGCAGGCGGGTATGATGTAGGTTTGCCGGGATTAGCGATACTCTTCCCAGAATCTCTGCGGATGAGGTTAGGTGGCCTGAGGGAACTTGGACCTCCTCTCTTGTCTCATCCATGGAGAACTTTGCTAGAATGGTCTGGATGGCCTCATCCGGTCGGACCCTACCCATCGAATGGGGTTGACACTTTGGGCCGGTTGGTGACGCTTTTCCTTCGCTGGTGCGCGGCTTACACCTTTTCTATGGGGTAAGAGAAACACGTGCGCAAGTCCGTGCCCAATATCCTTGGAAATAATAGGCAGGGTGGTGAAGTCTAATTGGCCGAGGAATTAACTCAGCTTGTATGGCAAGTAGACCAATGGATAGATCTCACGCAGTTGTTAGGGGCACCGAGTTCACGACATCTACGTATGTATTGATAGCGGCCTGTTTTGAGGAAACTACGATCTGATCACTAAGTTTAGCCCCAGTGCATGTCTCGGTAATTTTAAACTCCTTATGCAGGCAAACCTTATGTAATAATGCAACCCTGCATCCCTAATGAAAGCTTATTTGCGCCGACGAACGACTTGACCAGTGACAAGGATTTGTATACTTAGTCTTGACAAACTAAGAAAGTCTTCAGACTGTAATTCTGCATCCTCGAAGAATCTCCAAACCGTAGCCATAATGCCAAAAAGTCCACCCTGGAACGCAAACCCCCCTCACACCCTACGCCCTAGAAGTGAGTCCCCACTTCCCCCAGATTCTACATAAAAAAATAGGGCTGCCCCAGCCAAAAATTCCCTGCATCACCTGCGACGTCCAACCACCCCAAAATGGCCGACCAACCCACCATCCGACTCGCAACAGCCGAGGGTAAGTTCCAGCATCACACTTTAGCGCTCACCCCGCGTCCGTAACTGCGTCCGTGCACTGACACATCCAGACGTGCCCCTCATCCTGCAGTTCATCCGCGAACTGGCCGACTACGAAAAAGCCCTGCATGAAGTCGAGGCCACGGAGGACTCCCTCCGCGCAACCCTCTCCTTCCCTGACTCGGCGCCCAAGCGCGGCTCCGTCTACACAGCCTTGATTACCCCGCCGCCGACCGCCGAGGACCCCGCGCCCGTCCCCGTGGGCATGGCGCTGTATTTCTACAATTATTCCACCTGGCGCTCCGCGCCCGGCATTTACCTGGAGGATCTGTACGTGCAGCCCAAGGCGCGAGGGAACGGGTACGGGTTCAAGCTGTTGAAGTTTTTGGCGCGGCAGGTGCTGGAGGCGAAGGGGCGGAGGTTGGAGTGGAGTGTTTTGACGTGGAATGAGCCTAGTATTCGGTTCTATGAGCAGGTCGGAGCTAAGGGGATGGATGAGTGGTTGAAGATGATGGTGGAGGGGGATGCGTTGAATAAACTTGCGGAGGGGGCGTGAAGGTTTGGGATAGGGGAAACAAAGAGAATAGGGAGAAAGGGAAGAATACTGGAAGAGTAGAGGATGAAAAAAAAAAAGAGAATAAATCAGTGGGACAGACCTGTTATGCTTGAATGATAGTATACCGACAAGCGATTCGACAAGACTATGGTCACCGGCTCCGCTGTGTCGCCCTTGATGAGGTCTGAGCGAGTGGTCTAGAGTTTCGGTTTGTGCTGCTTGTACAGATGTTCAGACCGATTAAGCTAATCAGGTAAATGGCATTGTTCCTGGCCTTGATATCTTCTATATGGGCCCTGCCAGTGGCGGTGTGCCTGCTGCTATTGGAAGGGAAATAGTTGGATGATATTCCCAGGAACTGCAACAGAGACAGGTGTTAGCGAGTCTCAGCCAGGGCAACTTTTAACATCATGAGCGTGCCTGGCAATTCGATCGTACGAGTACAGGTGGTGGCGAAATAGATAGAGCCTAGCGTTTCGGCCCTACTATAGCCAGGCAGCATTTGATAATAGCGAAGAGCACGTTGTAACTCATTGGAGTACTGGGGGTCCTCGGGATGAGGAAGCTCGAGTCAAGAAGCACTTAATAGACGCCGACGCAGGTTCCGCACGTTCAGCAACTCTTCTTCGACCCGAAAAGAAGTCGCATGATTCAAGCTATGACCGAGATGAACTGCCCAGCGTCGTGCCCTTAACCTGTCATGGACAGAGTCGAAAGTGATATAAGGACGTTGAGCTCATTTCGCGCTACGCCGGAGTATCCAAATCCATCCGTAATTCTTCAATTACCTGTATCGGCTTGGGAATTTCGACACCTGAATCTATGGATAAATCAGGATATACAGGACGACTACGTGCCGCAGGATGTTTTCCAAGTTTTCCTTTGTTTTAGCAACCCAATACCCCGGGCTCGGACCATATTAAGCTTAGAGCCAATCAGAGCCTAGCTTTTTGCATGGCCGTGATCGACGAGGGTCCATCAGTACTGATCAGTTCCTGGATGACTTCCTCCACATATACCAGCCCCAGCTTCAGTTCCGGAGAACAATCAGTTCGACAGCATTCGGCGTTCTGTTCGGATGTTTTATCCTCTCCAAGAAGACTGTTTCAATAGACAATGATGTATGATTCGCGAGCTGCTCGTATCTCGGCGCATTCATATCTCGGCGTACACCGACCAGTCAGATAAGAGATGATGCCCGGATCCAGGGCTGATCTGACGGATCTCCAGGGTTACCCCGCAGGCCATCAGCGCCGCATCGACCTGCTCGATTGGGACTGAATGCGGCGCAAGTTAGTCCTATCGATTGGGAACCATAACTATCATGATCGAATATAAAGCTCCCGAGTCGTGGCAATCCGTACCAATCTCCAGCCGCATAGCATTCAAATTTACAAATAAGATTCCTATACGCAAATCCAAATCCAGGTTCCAACACCAGTTACCAAGATCATGGGCCGCACACTCACATACCCCAAGGGAGGCTCAAACACTGTCAATAGATACAAGCATCGCGGTATGAGTCGCACATAAAATGTACAGCGACACTCAGTGCTAGTATAACTGATTGCCCCCCCCCGCAGCAACCTATGACCTGGGCGCCATCCACTCCATCATCAATGCCTCGCAAGTCCTCCATGTCTCCTTCAACCCAGGACCGGAGGACCCGTTCCCACCATCCTGCCCATGATCGGCCAGATGGGCTCCTTCGAGTACCCCTCTGCAGCGATCGATGAGCCACTCGAATGCTACCTGCACGGCTACGTCAGTTCGCGCATCATGAACCTGGCGCGCAGCTCCGACAAGGGTCTGCCCATCTGCATCGCTGCGAGCAAGGTCGACGGGATCGTTCTGTCTCTCACGCCGAACTCGCATAGCTATAACTACCGCTCGGCGATCCTGCACGGATACGCCAATTTGGTGACGAGTGACGAGGAGAAGGTCTGGGCTATGAAACTGATTACCAACTCAGTTGTGGCGGATCGGTGGGATAATTCGCGAGTGCCGCCGGATAGTGCGGAGATGTCCTCGACGGTGATTCTGAAGGTGACTATTGTGGATGGGAGTGGGAAGATACGTGACGGGGGTGTCTCTGATGAGCGGAAAGATAAGGACAATGAAGAAGTTACAGGCCGCATCTGGACTGGGGTTGTTCCCGTCTGGGAGACCTTTGGAGAACCTGTCCCCAGTGCGGAGAATAAGGTTGCTGATGTACCGGAACATATCAGGTCTTATATTGCGGACAAGAATACGAAGAACCGCGCGTACGCTGAAGGCGCAGTGGGCACTGAGTTGCCCGCAGAGGAGCAGCATTAGTATCCCAGCGGAGAACTATTTCAGGTCACATTTCATCCTTCGTCGTGGATAGAAACATCTGACTCGTCCCAAACGGCTTATTGTAATCAATTCAGTTGGTACATGCTTGGTTCTGGCCGTGGCTCGAGCTTCAGTATTCGGGCCACTCTGGGTCGATTTGCTCCCGCCACGCTCGGAACCCTCCTTTAATATCGGCGATGAATCTGTCGTTTTGCCCCAGGCCAAGGTCTTTTAACTTCCTGACTGCCACTTGGGAATCATTGCCGAGCCGACAAACCACATAGATGGGGTTGGAAGATCCGGGGCTAATATCCGGTGGGAGCCACGACGGGAGACCTTCTGACGATGTAGATGACGCCAGTATGGTCGATATCGGCACGTTAATGCTATTCTCAAGATTGCAGATACCAAATTGTGCCTCGTCTCGAACATCAATCAGTACCGGTGACTTGGAACTTGGGTCTGAGGACTCGCCCTTCGAGTCATCGTTCTCCGACTGGCTAGCCAAATAGTCTCGAGGCGATACCCGCTCACTCGGGCTAAGAAGAGACGGAAGGCTCGCAGAGCCGCAAAAGAACACGTAGTCGGTCGATCCTGACTTGATGGTGTCTAGCGTCACCGTAGCCTCGGAAGAGCAGACAGCACAGTTGGCCCGTCGTGAGCGGAGGCGAATCTTGCGAAACAATGGATCCGCATATGCAGAGAATAAGTGCATAGCCGGTGAATCCTTGGGCTGGGAAATGTTATCGCAGGGAGTGGTGATCAGTTTGATCGTTTCGAGAGCTTGTAAGACACCCATAGTTCCGACCACTGGGCCAATAATACCGCCATCAGCACAGCTCACCACGCTATCCGCGGGCGGTGGCTTCGGAAAGACGCAGCGATAGCAGGGCCCACCGTGTTTGTCGCCTGGTGGGCGAGGAGGATTATTGAGGACCACGAGCTGACCATCGGTGCGTAAAGCAGATGCAGACACCAACGGCTTACCCAGAAGAACCGCCGTATCGGAGATCAAGTAGCGGGATGCTGGGTTGTCAGTGCAGTCGAGAATAATATCATAGCCTTCAAAGATTGCCGGTGCTTCTGCGGGTGTAAGGTGTGTCCGATGGGCAATGTATGTTGGGTGCGGGTTTAAACTAGATTTGTGCCTTGGATTTAGAATAATGGTATATGGATAAGTTACAAAGGAAACTCACTCTTTGAGAGACTCGATTGCACTATCGACCTTATACTTGCCCACGTTCTGGCTTCGATGCAAGACCTGCCGGTGCAGGTTCGAGACTTCCACAGTATCTCCGTCAACCATCCCGATAGTCCCTACTCCAGCGCCTGCAAGGTACTGAGCTGCTGGACATCCCAGACCACCCGCACCAACCAGCAAGACTTTCGCCGACCGCAATCGGAGTTGGCCTTAGTATTTCGCACGGCGAAGGTCAGCCACCGCAATGTCTTATGTAAAATCAACAACAGTCCTAGCTTACCTGGTAGACCAATCTGCGAAACAATCATCTGTCGGCCATACCGCTTGTATTCCTCCTGTTCCAGTGGCCATTGTTGTTTGTAGGCAATCCGAGCTTCCTTACGATTTCCCGCGGGGCCTATGTTCTCCGATTTGGCTGCAGCAGCTGCCTTTTCAGCATTCGCGAGGTCCCGTTTAAGACCAGCTAGCTGCGCTTCAGTGCTTGCAATCTGTGCCCGAAGGGAGGCGCAATTGTCCTCCAGTGTATCCATCGAGATAGGGCTTGCAGAAGAAGGTTGGAAACTGAGATCTGCAGGACGCGATAAGGTGGGAACGTGGGGATTATTTTGCGCCGCCACCGCCCGCCGATAAGCGCGGCTGGTCGACCCGTCAAAGTCGATCACCCACTAAACAAAATCGCTGTAGAACCGCGGAACATAATAGAGATCTGTTTTAGAGTTTGCGTTCCTAGCAATCTATGATAATGGCGGATGAAGAGCCTGAAGAGCCTTGTAATGAAGGTTGAAGCGTGTTTAAATCTTATGAGATCTGCCGGCAAAACCGTAGATCAGGGTGCAACCTTGGATATAGCACGTAATGAGCAACTGATATTTGAAGTGAAATAGCATGCCACATCCCCACCGTCAATACAATGATGAACACTAGACTACAGAGTGATCTAGAGGCGGAGGTGTACTACAGAAATTGGCAACGCCAACAGGATGCTTGGTGACTGAATTGTTTATCATTGCTTCCGATATGAGGTTAGGGTCCAAACAAAGAGGTCCTCCGTGGTTCTCTCGTACTGCTGGTGGAATAGCAAAATTGCATGATGGGTATCACTAGTATTCTCGCTGTCAGCTTTGTTCACCACTGGGAACTGATGATAGGACTGTGAAAGAGGGTAGCCGTTTCAGAGAGAAGATTAAAGTCTGCAAGGCCTTACACATTCCATGGTATGGCACTTTAGTCTAAGGATGATACATTTTCCTCATCATGACAAGCGGGGCAGGGGCAAGAATGTAAGTGTGATGCAGGAGGCTTACCTTACCTTAGAATGAAAAGCTAAGGGAATTTGTGCGACCTGCGCATCGAAGACGCAGGGAAACATTGACTGAATTGGCCCTAATAATCGGCATAGGACACGATCCTTCGAGAGTAGCCAGTTTGCGTACGGGCCTCATTATGTTGTTCCGAAGAAGGAAGTTGCTTCTCAGCATCCTGCGGATCGGCGGGCTCCGCATCCTCATGTGCAGCAGGACTTAATTCGGACGATCCGTTTTGGGATGACTGGGCAGGACCTCGTGTTGCAGGATGTCCTCGTAAAGGTCCCTCGAGACTATCCTGTCCGACTTTCCCATCGCAGTCCCCACCATTTGTAGGCAGTGACGAATACCTGTCGTCGAGTCCTGCAGAGCTGACCGTATTCCCTTCCAGTTCATCGGAATTTCCGAGATTGGAGTCTTCTTGTGGCTCTCGTTCTCGGAGCAGGCTAAATATTTCACTGTGTCTGAACATTTTGATTTGCTCATCAGTTATCGTACGTTTTGTTCCATCCGGGTAGAACTCTTGGTAGGAGTCATGATCTTCTCTCTTGTCAGAGGAGACCGAGTTGTCTGGCGCGTCTGGACTGGGGTACAAAGTTGTTCGATGACCGAAGTGCTTAGCCTGGAAGGCCTCAAGTTCAGCCTGTAGATAGATGCAGCTTAGCAAGATTGACCGGCGATAAATTAAGAGGAAGGGACATACAGGAGTCACTGTTGGGAGACGCATGATGAAAAGGTTGGAGTCGCGACGCGGAGGGAAGCTCAAATGGTCCGTGCGTCGAAGGGGTTTAAGGGCGTCCGGTGGGGCTGGAGCGTGATGTATCACGTGGTGTCTATGGATGCTCGATGTTGAAACCCAATGGAAGACACTGAACTACTGCGACCATCGCGGTTATTTAGTTCATGAAATCTTTGATTACATATCACGTGAAAATATACAGGTGGATGCGGATTGTTCATGTACTTCCAGGTAACAACACACTGGCCACATTGTTACCAACCTTCGCTTTGACACAGTCAAAGTTAATGTGAAGCTTGAACAGATTTGGGGCGTGGATTTCCTGAACACGCTTGAGTTCCTCTTCTTCTGGTTCTGTTAATCTCCATGCAATGGAAATATGGAAAAATTCAGAGTAATCACTTGGGCACTGTTTGCTGCCCTGCTGAGTTGTATACAATGGTGGTTGGTTAAACTTCCCAAGCACATGGTTAGACAAGCTCAGAAGTTTGTTTAAATTGTCCTGTTTTGGTTTTGCAACATGCAGGACTAGGAACCAGCGTGTTCGTTCATAGTTCGAAACCCATTTGAGAGCATCCGGCTGGACATGGAATCTGCTGCATGTTAGAGCAAGTCGAGGTCAAGTCATAAGAATAGCACTCACGGTGAGGTCCCGGACTCTTTGATCTTTCTCTCAAGTTCCTCTATGAACGACGAGCGTTGTTCGGTTCGAAGAACAACAGAACGTGATAGACTAATGTGCAAGGGCAGCTGGACTCCCAAATCGCTATGCAGTAGACTTTTGATTTCGTCAGACTTTGCATTTCCCCACGATACTTTTGCCAGGAGGTCTTCAACAACGATTAAGTCCCCTTTCGACGGATACCCTGTTACTATTAGCACAGAGCAACTACTTAGAACAGGCATTTGTACGTACACTCCAGATAGATATGAGTAGGCCAATTACCTTCCACATGCGGAATGGCACGTTTCCGCCCACCATGGAGGCTAGGGTCATCTTGAACGCTCACTCGAGAGTTCGTGGCGTACAAATCACGGAAAGTTGCAGGCAATGGCGGCAAGTTCGAGGAGGGGTTGTGTCGAGGCTTCTTGGCTTGTCTGTGTGACTCGCCCATTTCCTTATCGGACTCTGAGTCGGAATATTCAACCAACTGCATAGTGTCGTTCGATTCAATGAGGCTCAACTGAGCCCTCTACGTGTTTTGACGGGCGGATCATGTAATCCGCGTTGCGACGTTTGTAGCACAAAAGGGAGAATCCGAGATCTGGAGATCTGAATTTCCCACATCACCAGACTCCGGGTCCCAGTTGAGCAGGCCCCAAACAAAGTTCAACGGGCCCCAAAAAGATCATGACTGACTTTGGGGCCCGCTCAACTCCATCACCTGACCAGACCCCGCCCGGGCGGCCAAGGTCCAGCTTATATAATCATTTGTAGTTAGTCAGTTATAATCACCTGGGCAAATTTAGTACACCCTCTGAAGATAGGGCAGTCTAACTAACCTTTACAGGTTGAATGCAGGTCACATGGTATGCTGCATTATCGGACATAGACGTTCTCTCAATAGTATAAGGAGGGTAACAGGTGAAGGAAGGGGAGTCGCCGAAGCGGGTAGCTAAAGGGGGCAGCGGAAGCGGGTTCCAGTTGGACGGGTCCCAAAAAAGTTCATGTCCCAGTGGAAGGGTATAGTTACCGGGGTAGGTGACTAGTTAACTAAGCACTGTCATTATCAGTTATATAATATAGTAACTACATACATCAGGTATAAATCATGTGATTAGGCCGACCGTGCCTAAAAGAATTTTGGGACCTGATCAAGTGCTAGAGTTGAGCGGGCCCCAAAATCAGTCATGATCTTTTCGGGGCCCGCTGACCTTTTTTTGGGGCCTGCTCAACTGGGACCAGACCAGACTCACAATTATACATTATACATAGATTCTCCGATGTTCGCATGGTTTTATTGAATATTTGTTCTATCAATGTCTATATTCTCTAAATCACTCGTCCTACTCGGGCAGGACGCAAGCGGGATTGCTAGCTTGGTTGAGCTGCGTAAGGAGCTATGACGGTCTTAGCTTGGATTTTTCCCATCGTTCGTCATCGCTTACTGGATCACAGCATGCGGCCTTTTCGTCAGCTAGACATGAGCTGTATGTCGTGGTCCCATTGGCAGCTTCGCTCAGCTTGACTGCTTGGTTGCCTTCATTGCGTTAATGCTGTCTCCAAGCGACCGCAAAATCATCAGTGGGAGGCTCACATTCTTTGCCGGTGTATAGAAATTTGAGGAGAAAATTTTGGTTCAATTCCTTGCAACACGAGCCCGGCGGTCCGGCAGGGACTGGGTTGACAGGCTTAATACACCTGAAATCCGCAGCTACCAAAGTCGCAAGACCGAACGATGCGAAGAACTTCATGGTGGGTTGATTTGGAGGAGAATATCAATCATACGAGCAAAATCGGGAACGAGAGATCGGAGAGAGTGACCCACTACAGAAGCTGAAGGTCGATGATTTGCGCGTTGCACTACTACGCAAAATCGTGGCATTTCCTGCTAGACTGGATTCCGCAAGGGATGGGTTTAGTCATGGGAGACACATCCTCTGACAAAATGCAAATCGAGCTACCTCATTACTTCGTTCAAGCCATTTAGCGACATGATCATGTTCAGAAGCAGCAAAAGTGACACATTCTGATAATTCTAGCCAATATTGAGTTGGTTTGGAATAAAGTCCCAAGCCTCATGAAAGCTACAGGAAGTTCTTTGGCCATCTATGTGGATTACAAGCCAGGAACACCTAGCAATCTACCTACTAGATAACAACGCCCGGGCCATCAAGACTGAATGGATAACCCTTGACTGCACTGCCACTTTGACACTCCTTCAGGAGCTTGTTGGTCATATCTCCCACAGAGTTCCAGCTCTTGACCATGCGGCCCTTGTGTGCTGTACATTTATTAGTGAGTTCTAGTCCGCATATCAGTCTGGACTCACACTATTCCGGTAGAACTTTGGCACACAAGCATATACCGGAATTGTATGAACTGCCGATGCGGCTGCAGCTATAAGTTTCACAGTAGGCTGACCACTCAAACTGATGGGGCTAGCAAGAAGATTTGCCGGAGCTTGTACTAATAGACGTGTATGCCCGGATCTACGACTGATATTGAAGGGCTGGCACTGAGTAGGATTAAACGTATAAGTACTTCTACTTGGGCATCAATATGCTAGTCGGCTGCTTGGAACATGGAGCCTATGTACAATCGACGCTGCTGATATAGCCTGAGTTCCCAGAAACTTGACGCACTACAAGCAACATACAATAGTTTCCCAGAATATAAATGCGCAACAGGATGTATTAAACTGCGTAATACTTTGATCTTCGAATTGGACTTGCTTGATTTACACAGTCAGAATAGGCGTCAGAGTCGGGACGCACCATTCAATTTCCGCCACCAACTCGAATTATTCTGTTCTCATTCGATCACCCTTCTCCAGTATGCAACTCTGTAGTAGCATCCTCCAAAACCTGAAGCGAATAACTTCCACCAGATGCTCGGGATGGCGCTTCGTCAGGACAAAACCGGAGTTGAGTTGGAGAGTATGCATCAAAAACAAATCTTGCCTAATACCGGGCGGATAGAAGAATGAGCCTTTGAAGATTTTTCCAAGATAGAACAGCAACTTCGCCTTTTCTTGTCGACATATACGTCGGACACATAACAGTTTCCAGAATATTAAGGCGAACGCGATCCTGTACTTCGTGCTCCAAGGTGCACAGATCCTTGCTCAGGTGTTGAATCAAACCTCCTACATCCTCCACTGGTCCTCTGCCGCTGACAAGGTTAAGTCTGCTGCCAACAGACTTCTGTGGGACACTTCTGTGGCCTCTTCAATGACAACGAAACGATCAATCTGCATCCCCAGGATGGAACCACATGGACCACTGAAACGAATCTGACAACACCGAGCAGCCAGAGCAGTACAATCTCCAATGCCCTCAATGCCCTCAATAGCCCGTTGGGGTCCCTAAGGCGCCCCGGCTCCTGAAGTTAGAGCAACTATCTCCCCTTCATTGGGGACTTTGAGCTCCAGGCCCGCTACATCGCCGACCTCCCCAACAATGCCCTGGACCTTCTCCCGCTCGAATGGGGCTACATGCTGAAAAAAAGCCAATATGACCAACTCCACCTTCATTGAGGCATACCCCACAGATGGCTCGATCCACTATGCGCAGTACAGTGAGGACGCACGTGTTTTCCCCATGGCTGGCCGACCGGCCCAACATACGCCTTGACAACATACGCGGCCGGTATCCAGCTCACTGCCTCTGGCGGCAGCACCTGGACTATTGTACCCCAGCCCAAAGATCTTACCTCCGTTGATGCCTACTGCCTTCGCAATTGCAAATGGTATTGTTGCGAGCGTGCCTCGAGGCAGTTGGAACCTTGAACTTCCATGAGGGTCTCCAGAGAGTTATCATAGGTAGCCATTCAGAGAAACCAAACCGATTTGTTATATCTTCGGGCTCTGGTTTTACTAGTAGTCATTGATTAATTGAGACATCCACGAGGGATTTGAGTCAGTGGGGCTGAAGTCTGGCCAACCGATGATCATATTCAAATGCAAGTCGTCTTAAACCAAGACAACGTCTCGTCCCATATTTCCCATGCCTTAGCTTTAATTCAACTACTCACAAATCCTGTCAACAGTCACAAGAGCCTCTGCTTCGTTCCCTGTAACTAGATTGAGTGAAAATGGCCGGTCCAATCAAGGCTCTTGGCGCGAATACTCGCGCTAGAGCGGTCTCGCTTAGAGTTCGCGTTACAAGCATCCATGCATGCTGCGCACACCGACATCTCTCGCTTTCATCGCATCATCTCATGTTCTTTTTACAAAAGTTCTGCCGATCTTTTCTGTGGGAGGGTTTGATTACCGGTGGACGAAAAAATTACGCACAAGCAAAATTCTCCTTCTAGAGAAATATAAAGCCTGCATTTCATTGGAAGTCGTGAGCCGGAGACCCCAGTCTAACTGATCCGACCACAACAACCGCAGCCCTATAATAATAGCTTTATCTGGGCCACACTTACCACAAGATGCATCAAGTTCGCATCTTGCGAAGCTTCAAACTGAGTCAGAAGCAAGTAGCGTAATGTCCATGACTCAGAGCAACTTTTGGCTAAACCCAAGATCCATACGAGACTCTATTACGCAAGTGGGTTGGCCCCCGATCTGAGCCTGCGGCCTAGTGCGCCTGATTCTCCACTCGAGCTGCACTGCACTCCACTGTTGTAATCCTGCCTAGTTGCGGCAACCCCCCGACTCCGACCGTATCAATGAAAGTAAGAAAGCTATGAGAAATATTCCTTAGCATGAAAGAGCATGGCACAACCAATCGAGCTTGTACTTCTGGTTGCCTCATCAAGGCTTATCCCGACATGGTCTGTGTGACTGGCAAGGAAACGAACAAACAGGGCGGAGCCGCAGCGCTCTGCTCGCCAAATGACTGCGTCAGCCATGAGGCGGTTGTTTCAAGCGTTGCATTTAGAAAGCCAGCATACCATATCGCCAGCGCATCTACCGCAGCGTGGGGCTCCCTCATTGGATGTATCCGCGAGCTCTCTCTAGCTGCGTGCGCTGTTCCCCTCCAGTGGCACGCTCCCAGCCTGGACTTAAAGAGACCGTCTCACCTTCACGTTTGCAACTACCTTTCTACACGTAGCTTACTTCTTTCCCTGGACGCATCTCGACTTCCCATCGCAAGGGCATCGCCACTCCACTCTCCCGATTCTTCTATTTCAAGCTTCCAGATCCCTACTTCCCGTGCTCCACTGTCTCCACCCAGAGAGCTCGGGACTCCCCCACAGCTATGGCTGAGCCAACCGGCGACAACAACACCAAGCATGAGGCTGAGCCAACCCCTGAGATCCCAAATGGTTCATCGCAGCCAACCGTCGAGGCCTCTGTAAAGGATGCCTCCACCACGACCACCGCTGTCCCTGCTTCCGAGGCCTCTCCCAAGCCTGGAGCTGCATGCAAGAAGCACACGGATAGCAAGTCCACTAACCAGAAGAAGAAGAAAAAGAAGCGCAGCGCCAAGATCTCAGATAGCGAGTCTTCCTCGTCGGACTCTGAAGGCACCTCGGGCTCGTCCAGCGAGACGGAGTCCGAAAATGAGGACTCCGAATCTCTCACCTCCGATTCCGATAGTGAGAAGCGCAAGCGCCAGCGTCTCCGCAAGACGCGCTCCCGCCGGGCCCAGAAGAACAAGAAGCGCAACAAGAAGCGGAAGCAGCGCTCTCGCCGCGCGGTGTCTTCAGATGAGAGCGAGACCTCAGATGCAAGCGACGATGACCTAACGCTCTCCAATGACTCGGACTCGGAGCTGGACGAGAGACTGCTTCGCCGACTTGCAAAGAAGGTTACGATGAAGCGGCGTAGCAAGCGCCTGCGAGACCAGAGCCAGGACGGCACCAACTCCGAAGACTCGGGTAACGAGACCAGGCGTGAGCCACGGTCGAAGAAGAAGAAGCCTGCTTCCAAGGTGGCTTTCAAGCGCATTGACCAACGTAAGTTGGTGAACAATTTCTGTTTTCCTCCAGCTGTGATTCCGAATCGTTTTGTCCTACTTTATTCTCTTCATTGGGTTTTAGAATTACTTGCATGACCAATGGGTTAACAGTACTTGACGCATATAGTCTGGGACAACAGCCTCCACCGGTTCCGGCTCTCGGAGACTCTCGAGGATGAGTATGCCGACCAGTACGACCAGTACATCTTTACCGTGCGCCGCAAGTTCAACTGGGAGAACAAGTACCAGGAGACCGTGGTCGACATCAAAAGTAAGCCTCTCCGTGAGGCACTGGCCAAGGTTATGGACGGCGTGAAGGGCGTCAGCCTGGTCCAGGAGCCTGCCATTGTGGATCCGAACATGTTGTTCCTGTATCTCGAGGAAACTCGCCAACACATGAAAGAGCTGAAGAAGCAGTCTCGCAGCGACAAGAAGCGCAAAGCCCGCAAGGCTGCTGCCACAAAGGCTGCGCATATGAAAGTCCTGGTCAAGTACCTGGACACGGACTATGCGGACACCAAGAAGGCGCTTTACCCTCTGCTGGAAGCCAACATGATCACCTTCGACCTACTGTGGGCCCTGTACAAGCCCAACACGATCGCCTACACGCAGACGTACGGGAACGCCGACGAGCCCCGCGCATTCAAGATCGAGTATGCCACCAAGGAGTCGTCATTCATGAAGGGTCAGTGGTACATCGTCGAAGGGCGCTATCTCGAGTACGACGGCAAGGACTTCGGGTTCGGCACCATGATGGCGGAGGTCGACGCGTTCAAGGGCGCTCGCAAGATCACCAGTCTTTCCTGCTACCCCCTGCAATATCACCGGGACCCAGAGGCTCTACGCCAGCGACTCGTGGACCGCGGCAAGCGGTTTGTCGCGCTGCGCGGCATGAACTACCGCTACCACAAAGGCATGGCGTTCTACAAGAAGAAGCGCACTTCGGTCTCCAAAGTTAACATTGAGAGCCGAGTCATGATTGACCCTGCGATCCACCGTCGCATTAACCCGAACTACCCGATTAGCACGGTCCGGCCTAAGGATCCCGACCTGCTGAGCCCCTTGGAAGCCGGCATGAGCGATCTCGAGGACGACGGGAGTGACGCCGGCTGCTGCTGCGGGGGGTCAGACACGGATTCCGAGCACGGGCACGGCGGAGGACCCTCCGATGCGCCGCGCACCGTGTACAAGGTTATCGAGAGCGAGGATGGCACTCCGCGAGTCGTCGAGGTGGAGGTGGACGAGAACGGGCACGAGATCCAGAAGGAAAACATGGATCCGATCGATGGCGCGGCCGGTGGAGCACAGGACCGCGAGTTCACGGAGGAGGAGCTACTAATCGCCAGTCCGGTGGTCCTTGGCTTTGCGTTCTCGGAAAAGATGTGGTTGGAGTTTACCATCTCCGGGGTCAGTGATATCGAATGGGACAAAGATGCGTTCGATTCGCTAGTTCTGCCGGGCACGCAGAAGTCCATCGTCCGCGCCCTGGTTCAGTCGCACACCTTCCATGCTGCGCAGAATATCGACGACGTGATCCAGGGTAAGGGCAAGGGGTTAGTGGCTGTGCTACATGGCCCACCGGGTACGGGGAAGACTTTGACAGCGGAGGGTATCGCGGAGCTGCTGCACCGCCCATTGTACATGGTCAGTGCTGGGGAGTTGGGGACAGACTCTCGGACTCTGGAGGCGGAGCTGACGAAGATCCTGGATATTGCGCACTCGTGGGGCGCGGTGCTGTTGCTGGATGAAGCAGACATCTTCCTGGAGAAGCGGACAATCCATGATATCCACCGCAACGCGCTGGTCAGCATCTTTTTGCGGATGCTGGAGTACTTCCAGGGGATCCTGTTCCTGACGACGAATCGAGTGGAGACGTTCGACGATGCATTCCAGTCCCGGATCCACGTGGCGCTGCGGTACGGCGAGCTCGCCGCTAAGGCGAAGCGTAGCATCTGGAAGATGTTCCTGGAGCGGGTCAATGCCATCGATGGTGTTTCCACTGCCGTGTTTACGGATGGGGACTACGATAAGCTAGCGCGCCACACGCTCAACGGTCGACAGGTACGTCCCATAGTCTTTGAACAGCTGGCTCTAGTTCACTTTTCGCAAACTTTTCAGTGGAAACTTTTACTGACGGGAAATAGATCAAAAACTCAGTGCGCACCGCCCAAGCTCTCGCTGTCAACGAGGGGACCCCACTTTCCATGGACCACATCAAGCGGGTGTTGGATGTTGCTGAGACCTTCGACCAGGATCTGCACGGTGGAACGGGTTACCTTGATGTGATGCGAAGCTATACCTAGGCGTGACTGGGCCACGAAAACTGAATTGCATATGGGAGAAGTTCCGGATTTCACTAAGGGTCGGGAGTGATGGAGTGATGAGACCGCAGCTACCACGCCCTTTTTTTTTCTTTGGTACATTTTTAATTCTTTGCGTTTCCCTGGGGGTTCCTCTCCCGGTATTGATCAGATCGAGTGAGAGCACTGATTAGACTCGGTTCCTTTCTAATATGAACGGCAGCATTCGATCAACCTCATAAGCTAGCCAAGTACTAAGTCGTACGGATTCCAGTCATTACTAGGGCCATGTATACAGAATCAAATACGCAAGTAGACCGATATAGCCATATTCATTAACATGTACCGATCTAGAATACAGAGCAGTCCGAAGAGACGAAATTTTCATCTGCAGCTTCAGACGGAAAGTGTTATACATGAAGAGGGTTTTTAAGGGTTGGCCTTGACGAAGTCAACACCCTTCTGGATGTTCTTCTTGAGGTCAACGAGAGCGGCATCGAGAAGCTTCTGCTCGTACTCGTTGACCTGGCCGACGGGGTGGATCTTCTCAACACCGTTGGGGCCAAGCTCGACGCGGGAAGCGAAGAAGTCAACACCCTGGTCCTTGTAGAGAGGAGAGTCGACAAAGGTAGGCTCGATGACACCCTTCTCGCCCTGGGCGGCACGCAGAAGAGACTCAGCGAAGCGGGCACCGGCCATGGCCATGGAGAGGGTGGCAGAGCCAGCACCGTCCTTGGCCTTGACAACCTCGTCACCACCGAACTGGATACGGTTGACAAGGGCGTCACGGGCCTCACCAGCGATGGAGGGGTGGCCGGACTGGGAGAGCAGAGGGACGATGGTGACACCAGAGTGACCACCGACAACGGGGACCTTCTCGTTGGAGGGGTCGGTCTTCTGGACCTGGGAGATGAAGCGAGAAGCACGGACAACGTCCAGGGTGGTGACACCGAACAGACGCTTGGGGTTGTAGACACCACGGGCCTTGTAAACCTCGGAAACAATAGGGACGGTGGAGTTGACCTGGTGTCAATGGGGTATGAGAACAGAACTTCCAGCTTTTCAGTAGATCAGGCACAGATGGTGACACATACGGGGTTGGAGATGACCAGGACGTTGGCCTCGGGGGGCAGCCTCAGAGGCGGCCTTGGCGAGGTCACGGACGATCGAGGCATTGGTGTTGAAGAGGTCGTCACGGGTCATACCGGGCTTGCGAGGAACACCAGCAGGGATCAGGATGATCTCAGAGCCCTTGAGGGCATCAGCCAGACCGGCGGCATCGGGGTTGTAGCCGGTGACGGTGCTGTTGGTGTTGATGTGGCTCAGATCAGCAGCAACACCTGTAGACGGCAGAGAAAGAAAAAAACGCATTAGTGATGCCATTAGGAATTGGATTGCGACATTGCGCAATGGTCCATAGGGGTTTCCATACCGGGTCCACCGCGGATATCGTAAAGGGCGAGCTCAGTGACGCGGGGGTTAAGCTTCAGCAGCAGCGACAGAGGCTGGCCAATACCACCACCAGCACCGAGGACGGTGACCTTGGAGGCCTGCGCGGATTCAATTAGCAGAGGTTAGGGTGGCTAGTAAGGACTGCAGCTTACCGCACGGGCGGAGGCCGAGAAGGCGCGCTTCTGGAAGAGAGAGTTGAAGGACTGGCGAGCGGCGAACATCTTGTCTACTACGGGAGTGGATGGGGAAAGAAGAGAAGGGAAGAAGGGGAGAAAGAGACTTGGGGCGCCCATGTGGAGTCCCTTCCGACAAGCCCGTGCTCGGTCCATGCTGGATTCGGGAGGAATCGCAAGAGAATTGTTTACTGTAACCAGCACCCTCCCCTTGCTTTTTGGGACTAGTCTGCCATGAATGATTGATTCTTATAGATGCCAGATTTTTCTTTCTTTCTTTCTTTTTTTTTTTAATAAACCAATACTGGGGAGCCCGCCCGTTGGGGGGATCCTGGCATGTTCGGTAGACCGGCAGAGCTGGCAGGGCTGCCCGTGACGGCTCCCAGGTATTTGTCCGGACTTGTTAATAGCTAATAGCAACTCTCATCTAAGTCCAAAGCCCAGGCTGCTATTGAAATCTTATAGCCTATATCTGAGGTCTGAATTATTCGTCATCTTGAAAATCATAGCATCATGAAACCGAAACATGAACCCGAACTTAGGCATTCTGTAGAATCTTGCTAATGTACCTTCCGAACAGGCGTAGGTCTCTATTGGTCCCGCATACAACGAATCATACAGAGACCTCCGAAAGGCTATCTGCATACTATACGGTTGGATGCCAGACACTTCCTTCTCAACTAAAAATAGGGCATAGGTTGCAAATCCCAGTCAAAAACGCCGTCGCTAATGAAAGCCAAGCCCAATCCAGAGCACAAGATTAGTACAAAGTATCAGGGGAGTACAACCCGCGGTTCACCGCAGAAAGTGCAAGACAGCCCAGCAGAACAGGAAGAAAATCACGACGCAGCCCCAGAATATCCACTTGTCCTGCTTCGCACGCCGCTCAACCATTCTGATGGTGTCTCCGCTGACTCCCAGAGTATTAGCCACACTGTATAACCGACGCTGAGTCCCCTTGAGAATCTCTCGCTGCTGACCCAAGTCTTCCAGGACCGCCCGGCCGCGGTCCAAGAAGTCGTCTAGCTGACTGTTGGTATGGGAGAAAAAAGACTGTTCGCGCAATGCATGCGCTTCGCGACTCTGATTTGAGGGGCCAGCTCCAAAGCTTAGGCCAGAGGAAGGTGCGAATGCGGAGGTCTGGGGTAGGTTCGATTGAGTATAGGGGTTCTCGGGGTTGCGGCGTGATGAGGTCGACGTCCCAGGAGCTCATTGCGGTTGGTGGAAGATTGCTAGCACAAGGTCAGTATTATAAGAATGCAACATTGATCAGATGCCCACCTACAGATTCCTCTCGTTCTTTGCGTAGCCGCTCAAATTGTGTTCGGTAATCTGCAAGCTCGCTCCGAAAGTTCTTCACCCGGTCAAAGGCCTTTTCTTGCTTCTCGGGGATCAGCTCCTTTTTTGAGAGAGCTGAGTAGTCGTCGACGGTTCTTGACAGCGATGCCAATGATGCGGCAATTTGTCCTGTTTCGCATCGCATATCAGCAAGAGCGATCGCCCTGCAGGGTGAGGGGCATACCTTGAAGGGCGGGGACGAGGTGCTCGGAGATTTTGAGAAGGTATCCAGGTCTCTGCGAATCGCAGAGGACTGCTTCAAAGCAGAGTTGAAGAGGGAGTTCTAAGAATTGTGCATCAGTCCGGTGTGGGCCCTTTCGTCGACAACAGTATCTCATACCATAATGTTTGCAGTGACAGGGTCAATGCACCGGGGGACTTTCGTGGGCAGTTTATGTGGCCGATCCTCAGCGGGGAGGCAATCTACGGTTATACTGTCACAAACCGAGCGATTCGCATCGACTTCTGGGAGGTACTTGGAGCAAGTGCTGACGTGCAGCGCATCTCAATCGGCCACATGTATGTTTTGGCCGCTGACCGCCTTCGTGGGTCTAGCTTGTGCCGCAGCCTGAAAGCTTGATTTGCTCGGTTTGTCTTTACTGGATTACCATCTACCATTTTACGTGGTACACTGCACCGCAAATCGAAAAAAAATGTCATTTAGGTATTATGATTGGCAGCTATGGCGCCTTCGCACCAACGTCGTTGTAAAGCCTATTGATGATACGGCGACCAAGGTAGCCCGACTCCGTTCTCACCAACAATAGAGTACACATGCGAAATTCTCCAAAAGAGCAGAGATGGTATATTGAAACACAAGGAATTGAAGCCAAGACGTAAGACCGAATCTAGGGAAGTGCATCTATTTGGGGGGGAACTTGTTCTGCAGGAACCACCTATTGAGATGTGAGCACAAGAACTAAAAAATGGCTCGGCCTGTCGTATAGACGAAGGCTGGCAGGATAGGGCTTTCTACTTACTTGCTCACGAAGTAGTCAACCGCACCGAAGGCGCCCACGGCGCCGGAGACCAGACCCACCAGCTCCCATGACAGCTTTCCCTCGACGTGCTTGCGGTAGGCACCGAAGCCAAGGCCGGCACCGACCAGAGTAGCGAGGACAGCGTTGCCGATGTAGACGGGGTTGCCAGAGTTGGCAAGAATTCCATTGGCCTTGGCCTTACGAGACTTCTTCTGCGATTCTTCGGCGGCGGCCTTCTGCTCGGCCTCGGCGGCTTCGCGCTCCAGGCGTTCGGCCTGGGTAGTGGTCTTGACCTCCTGCTGGAGGAAGTTAGGGTCGACAGCAGTGACGTGAGGCGAGTCGACGTCGATCAGAGACGCGGTGCTTTCGGATTCATCCTTGTAGACACCACCCACCCTGGGAGCAGCACTGCGGAAGTCAGTATACAATGGGCTCAAGGCTACCGGTGTAGCTAGGGGAACCGATCGCTTACGCCTGTGACTTTTATTAGCTTCCAAAGCTTGCAAATGTGCATCACATGCTTGCGCCCTCAGCGGGGTACTTACTTCTTCGGGGGTCTGCTTTGGCCCCTTGGCAGCAGCGTCGGCGTAAGACATGGCGATTAGATAACTTGGAGGAGGTTTGTTTCGAGGAGTAGAGTCCTTGATGAAAGGATAATAAGTCACGGCAGAGAATGGACGCGATCCAGGAGGGGGGGAGTAACGGTTTTAAAGCGCGCAGAACCTTGGAAGCTTCAACGTATGACATCACGTCATTGATTTTATTGGAGTAAGCTCCCGTAACTCGCATGCTCCTGGTTCTTTGCTTGTTTTTTTTTTTACCAAATACTATACTATGAGCACTTCCAACGTTCTTCCTTGTCCTATTAATCCTCGTATCAGAGGTTTTCCTTGAGATGCCTTTCAGATGGGGTTTGGTTTTCCCTAGGATCGGATGACGGCTCAGCCACTGACGTGCTATCCCGCCCTTCGCACCCAAACGCCAAGGGGAATTAATAGGCCCAAAGTACTTCTTCGAGGCCTATATGCAAGGCGCAGCCATAGATCTCGCAGTCTGCTTGCGTCTTTCCGGGCTCCATGCATTTAAGTGGTTCCGTATGGCAAACAGCTCCCTATTTAGGGAGACATTCCGCCCATTTGAGCAGAATGAATCCTCTACGTTTGCGGTTTGAGGAATCCCTCGAAAAACGTTCCGATCTGGCAAAAGTCTTCCAATCGCAAAACAGCCGACACATCTGGGACCAAGTGTTAGTTTAGAAAGCCAAGGGTGCGTGTTGAGACACTCACATTGGTCAGGCCGCACGATAATCAACGCCCCTTCATCCGGGCTTATACCGAGGAGCTCATACGCATGCCCATGGCCTTTGTTATAGCTCTCGTCATCGTAGAATATCTTGTGTAAGTCTGAAAGAAGAATATATTATTATAGGGCTGACTCGATTTCGTATGGCGCAAGCAAACCTCTTATTTGGTTCTTGCCCACGGCCGGGTAAAAGATCTCAGGGATCTGCTCCAACTCGACATTATGTCGCTTCCCATAGCCAATGACAACGGTTTCAAGCAAGCCGTCAATATCCCGAGCTTTTGGCGTAAATTTGTGAAGAGGCCCGTCGGTCGCGGCCAAGTATTTACCAATCTATCTCGACAGTGAGCACACATTCTGTGTTTCCTGTTTTAGACGAGTGCGTACCATCTCAAGTTTGGAATGACTGCTTGGAACCGTGAGGTCGCCAATGAAGATCATAATACGCCACCTACCATCCGACTTCAAACATTCCATCAGCTGCATGGGCTTTGAATCACAGAAACGCACAAGCTGAGCACTTGGTAATCGCATGCCAACCGCGACATTGGAGGCCAGCAGCCCCGACCCTTGCGACGAGGTGATGGCAGAGGCATCATATTTGGCAGTCAGGCCAGCTGTATATTTCCCAGCCCTGATGAATCCCTCTTGGAACTCCCGGGGGGTCGTGCTGGCCCCAGAAGAGAATAACTTAGTGAAGTAGCGGTCGAAGTTGATGAGGTCAATGGCAACCTTTTGCCGCTCTAATACATAGGTTTCCAGAATCGAAGGGCTAGCCAGTCCAGTCAAAACCTCTCCCAGCTTCCATCCAATGTTATAGCCGTCCTGTAAGCTGACATTCATTCCCTGGCCAGCTTTGGGAGAATGAGTATGGCAAGCATCGCCAGCAAGGAAAACTCGGTGGTCTTTGTGGAAGTAGTCGGCGTATCGCTGGCCGATCGCATACGCAGACCACCAAATTATCTCTGTAAAGTCCACGCTATATGGCTTGAAGATACTCTGTGCTTGGGTTTGTAAGTTTTCCAAGGTAACACCTTTGGGGTTTGTTCCGCCTGCGAGCTCGATATAGAACCGTGTTAGGTTATTGTTCTCTCCTTCACGAGGGATGATCAGAAGAATTCCTGACTTGGACCTAATACTAGACTTTTTGCGAATGTCCGGGAAGTCAGTACGAGGTATTACATCCATCACACCCCAGACAGCATCACTACTATCCCCTATCATGTTGTATCCGAGGGCTTTACGGACCACGCTGTGAGCCCCATCGCAGGCCTGGAGAGCACGTTAGATTAGACGCTTAGCAGACCAAGAAGCAATCTCACCAAGGCGTATTTAGCACCAAAGGTTTTGGCTTCGCCACCATGCTCTGCCGTCACAGTGACTGGATATGCATCAGCATCCGTAGCGGAAGCGCCACTATCGACCTGCACATTGGTAACGTTGTATCCATAGTCGACCTCTTGGTCATTAAATGCTTGCATCCGCCTGATCAGAAGATCGTTGATCCGAGCTTGATTCAAGATCACATGAGGTTGATGTGATAGTCCAGGCTGTGTATCAGCTGTCCGGCCAGTGCGCTTGATAGCCCCGCGGCCGTCATCAGCCCAGAAAACTACCTCAAGAACATGGTAGGCTTCACGGAGCAGCTCTTCGCCAATACCAAAACTCTGAAAGATCTCGACTGTCCTGCACTGAACGCCGTCTGCCTGGCCCCTTTTCATCGGCCCCTCTCGGCGTTCTAAGATCTTGCATCGTACGCCGTACCGGGCAAGCCATGTCGCGGCACAGAGACCAGCGGATCCGCTGCCACAAATAAGCACGTCGACTTTCTCCATTGTGGGATCCGGGTTGATGAGTGACATATGTCCTACCGCGGGGTATAATATCTTCTTATAGGCTTTGCCCGGGTATCAACATCGCAGCCATAGTATATACGGCTCTTGATTCGATATCCGCGTGGGGAACGGCAGGAAATCCGAGGAAAGATCGGATGCCATGCCGGAGTGAAAAGTTGCAGGTGGAATCAATCGGCGAAGTTGTGCCCACAGCACATTGAATTCCACATCCAATGATAGGCTTGTGATACGCCGTATACCCGGGATCTTGAGCAAAGCAGCATATCACCTGGTTCAGAGCAACTGAGAACATCTCTGCGCGGAAAATCAGCGGCTATGCATGTTCAAACGTGCAGCTGTCAAGAAAACATCCATCCGAAAAGTACGTCAAGGCGAAACTTAGAGCCATGGCAATGTCTCTCGGTCAGTCGGCTTGGTGTGACGGCGAGCCAAGCGGGGTGTCTAGCCATACTGATGTGGATGAATCATCTTTTGAGCGTAGACCTCTCATGAGAACTTTGAAGCCAGGATCAATGCTGTAATAAATGGTACAACAGGCTGAGTGACAGGCTGAGTGACGGGCTGCCTTTTAGTAGCATGGAGGTACATATATATGTACAGAATAGAGCCCGAAATCTACGGCCAAAATGACTGAAAAGGATTAAAGAGATGCATGTCTAACATAAGAAAGGGACTGTAGTTGCTAAATCAAACAAATAGGGACCTGTATTGGTCTAATGGGGGCAAAGTGATTTTAATACAAATTACAATAATGAAGAGTTACCCAGCTTAGAGCAAAAGCTCGAGAGGGTTCTCAACAATCTTCTTCAGCTCCTTGATCCATTCACCTCCAACTGCACCGTCCACAACCTTGTGGTCGAAGCTGCCAGTTACCACGATCTGGTCCTCCCACTCGGTAACAGTGCCCTCCTCGGTCTCGACCGGGACGGCAACCTTGCGAACAGTGCCGACGGCGAGGATACCAGCCTGGGGAGGGTTAATGACAGCGGTGAAGCGCTCAACGGCAGGGTTCATGCCCATGTTGCTGATGGTGAAAGTACCACCCTGGTACTCCTCAGGCTTGAGCTTGTTCTCACGGGCACGCTTGCCAAGGTCCCGAACCTGGTTAGAGATGCTGGAAAGACCCAGGGCGTGGGCGTTCTTGACGACGGGGGTGATCAGACCGGTAGGGGTGGCGACGGCAACGCTGATGTCAGCGGTGTTGTGCTGGCGGATGACAGCCTGGCCGTTCTCCTCAATCCAGCTGGAGTTGACCTGGGGAACCTTCAGAAGGGCAGCAGCACAGGCCTTGATAAGGAAGTCGTTGACAGAGAGCTTGTACTTGCCCTCAGCAGAGGCGTTCAGAGCCTGGCGCAGCTTCAAGAGCTTGCTGACGGACAGAGTGGCGGAGACAAAGTAATGAGGGTTCTCGGTCATGGACTGCTTGAGACGGTTGGCAATGACCTTGCGCATGCCAGAAATTGGGATGTCCTCGTAGGTAGGTCCAGCAGCGGCAGAGGTGCTGGGCTGGTACTTCTCAACATCCTCCTTGGTAATGACACCACCACGGCCGGTACCCTTGAGAGCCTTGATGGGGACACCCTTCTCCAAGGCAAGAACCTTAGCCGCGGGGCTGATTAGAGGCTCGCGGTCAAGGGAAGGCTGGAGCTTGTCAGCAGAGGTCTCGGGCTCAATAGCGGCGGGCTCCTCCGCCGGGGCCGGAGCCGACGTGTCGTCGCTCTTGGGCTCCTCCTTCTTCTCAGCGGGGGCAGGGGCCTTGTCACCACCGGCATCCTCCAAGGTGAACTCCTCGAATGAGGAAACGTCAGCGCCTTCCTCGACAAGAACGGCAATAGGCTGTTAAAAAGGAGCAAGGAGATTAGCTTTCGGAGGAACTCCGTGGGAAAAGCTCGGGGGATTTGCTTACCGCGCCGACAGCAACATCTTTCTCTCCGGACTCCTTCAGGATCTTAGCGAGGACGCCCTCCTCTTGGAACTCGAAGTCCATCTGTGCCTTGTCGGTCTCGATCTCCACCAGGACATCACCGGGCTGGAGGCTGTCACCAGCCTTCTTCTGCCACGCACCGATGTTTCCCGCGGTCATTGTCGGCGAAAGAGCTGGCATGCTGATAATGGTGTGGGGAGGGAATGCTGTAGTATTTTGAAGGTCAGATAAATATGAATGGGGTAGAAGACTCCTAAAAAATTGAGCTGGACATACACTTAGAGGCGTAAAAGCGGGAGAGGGCAGAGACGGCAGGCAATTGAGTCCTGCGCAGAATCATGACCATCAGCATCATACATAAAATAGTAATTCGACGGATGCTCAACTCACTGGATCACCTCCTGAAGCTTGGAGGAAACCTGCGGGCGCCGCATAGAGACAGCGCCCCGGGACATGAACATGGCACTTGGAGTGCGCATCCGGGCGACGGCAGCAACCATGATGGGCAATATTTGCCGGCAATTAAGAAGCAGAGAGAGAGAAAGAAGCCCTCGATGCTAAAATAGCAACCGAAAGGAAAATTATCCGGCGAAGCGAGAAGGTGGAGGCCGGAGATGAAGAGTTGGGGAGAAGGAAAGATGGCCCGTACAGGAACTTTTCTTTTGGTTGAGCTCTCGGTGAGCAACTATGTCCATCAAAACGGGCGCGACCGGATTATTGGTCACGTGCGGAGTATTGTTGCCTGGTGAATATGGCAGCATATATTTGTTTAGTTGTCAACTATTTCACAGGCACGGGAAGGCTAATAAGGCATCAAGGCCTGCAGGGCTCGTCGGGGCGCGTTGGCAGTACATGAAAGCGGTGAGCCCGGCACTGAACGTGGCCTAGGACGGGGCCAAACCCGATTCGGAGAAGTCGACACGCAGCATATACCTACGGCTCGGTTCTTCTTTCTTTAGGCTTCCCCGTTCAATGTTTCTGGCCTGAACCTAACCACTCCGTCTGGAGTCTTGCTGACAATGGCGGACGTGGACTCTGGCCCTGTGCCAAATCACCAACCCGCGGCCGGTGCCGAGAACCCCCCAGTTGATACTCCCGAAGCTCCCCCAGTCTTAGACACGGTAAAGCCCGGCGAATCCGAGAATGCGGGGCGAGAGGAAATACTAGGAGAAGAAGAATCTACTCAGGTGGCGCAACAAGAGCAACAAGAGGAGGAGCAGAGCCTCGAAGAAGAGGAGACCAAGCCGGATGTTCCGCCGAAAGATACAGAGGAAAACGAGATAGCAGAGGAGCAACCTACAACAGAACAAGCTCCACCAGAAATCAATGAGCCTGAGCCTGAGCCCGAACAGCATGATGGCCGTGAAATTGATCCCCGGCCACGGTCCGACTCGCGATCCACAACAGCGACATTTGCGACGCAACGGGGTAGTGGTGGTGTAGTGAGCTCAACCGTCTTCATAATCACGGCTCTCGATACCATTGCGACTTCACGGGAGGCCCGGAGGACAAAAGAGCTTGAAGATGCGGTTCAGGTCGCTTTGAACAATGTCAGATCGGATCGGCAAGCAATTGACCCCGAGCTCATCTTCCGCCCTCTTCACTTGGCAAGCAAGTCGCTCAGTGTCCCGCTCCAGGTAACTGCGCTGGATTGCATTGGAAAGCTCATTACATACTCTTACTTTGCCTTTCCGTCTGCCGAATCACTGAATGAGTCCACTCCGAACCAGCCACCCCTGATCGAGCGTGCCATCGATGCCATCTGCGACTGTTTTGAGAATGAAGCGACCCCCAATGAAATACAGCAGCAGATTATCAAGTCGCTGCTGGCGGCGGTTTTGAATGACAAGATTGTGGTGCACGGAGCGGGTCTCTTGAAGGCAGTCCGCCAGATCTACAATATTTTCATATACTCCAAGTCGAGTCAGAACCAGCAGATTGCCCAGGGTTCCCTGACTCAAATGGTGAGCACCGTCTTTGACCGTGTTCGTGTACGTCTTGATTTAAAAGAGCTGCGAACTCGCGATGTCGACAGATCGGCGTCTCGCCTAGATGCTCCAGGCAGCGATCAAGGACAGTTGTCGGAGGCTGCCTCTATATCGGTTGCGGATCAGTCGGTGACAGACCAGCCAGAGGTCAAGGAGCCCGCAGAGAAGCTCACGCTCCAGAGCTTCGAATCCTCGAAAGAAATGACTTCATTGCATGATAATGCACCAACAACGGTGACTCGGGCCAAGGGGAACACGATCTTCCGTCCGCTCAACAACAGGAAATCTAGAAGAAAAAGACGAAGATAACTCGGCCGAGGATGAAGTGGATGAGGTTTACGTTAAGGACGCTTTCCTTGTTTTCCGTGCTCTTTGTAAATTGAGCCACAAGGTTCTCGGTCATGATCAACAGCAGGATCTCAAGTCTCAAAACATGCGATCTAAGCTCCTTTCGTTGCATCTTGTTCACTACCTGATCAATAATCATATTGCCACCTTTACCTCACCTCTTGCTGCAATCAAGAACAGTTCGTCTAGCACGGAAAGCATGACACTGCTTCAAGCTGTGCGGCCACATCTTTGCCTGAGCTTGAGTCGCAATGGATCCAGCTCTGTCCCACATGTGTTCAAGGTCTGCTGTGAGATTTTCTGGTTAATGCTGATTCACATGCGAGTTATGATGAAGAAGGAGCTTGAGGTGTTCTTGAAGGAGATTTATCTCGCAATTCTTGAAAAACGAGCAGCTCCTGCCTTCCAAAAACAGTATTTCATGGAGTTCCTGGAGAGGCTGGGCGGCGACCCTCGTGCCCTGGTCGAGATCTACCTTAATTACGATTGTGACCGCACTGCACTGGAGAACATCTTCCAGAATATCATTGAACAACTGTCACGATATGCGAGTGTCCCGACGGTAGCAACTGCTGCTCAGCAGCAGCAGTACTTGGAGCTTCACGTCAAGATGACTAGTGTTGGAAGCGAGTGGCACCAGCGAGGAACTCTCCCTCCATCTCTCACTTCCTCCAATATCGCTCCGATCCCTCCGCCTGCTATTCCCATCCCACCCGAGTTCACTCTCAAAACACAAGCTTTAGACTGTTTGGTGGAAATCCTGCGATCACTGATTAATTGGAGCACACAACGACCGGACGACCAAACCCAGGATCCGGCGATCCCCACAAAGTCAATGGATAACTCTCGCGAATCCCTAGACACCAGCGTACTCCCTTCTCCAAGGCCTGATATTGCTGCAACGGAGGGAAGTGCCACTGGTCGATCTACTCCTGTACCTGAAGACGATCCTAGCCAGATAGAAAAGGTTAAGCAGCGGAAGATTGCACTCATGAACGCTGTCCAGCAGTTCAACTTCAAGCCTAAGCGTGGTATCAAGATGTTCCTCCAGGAGGGTTTTATTCCGTCGAATTCTCCTGAGGATATTGCGACTTTCTTGTTGCGCAATGATCGTCTTGACAAAGCCCAACTAGGCGAGTTCCTAGGTGAAGGCGATCCCGAGAACATTGCAATCATGCATCAATTTGTGGACAAAATGGATTTCACGAAGCGACGCTTCGTGGACGCTCTTCGAATGTTCCTTCAGGCATTCCGTCTGCCTGGTGAGGCTCAGAAGATCGATCGGTTCATGCTGAAGTTCGCGGAAAGATACACAACCCAGAATCCCAACGCTTTCGCTAATGCTGACACTGCCTACGTCCTGTCCTACTCGGTCATCATGCTTAATGTTGATCAGCATAGCTCAAAGATCAAGGCACGTATGACCCGGGAAGACTTCATCAAAAACAACCGTGGCATCAATGACAACCAGGATCTTCCTGCTGAGTATCTCACTGCAATTTACGACGAGATTGCGAACAACGAAATCGTCCTTGACACTGAGCGTGAGCACGCTGCAAACATGGGTATCGCCACAACTTCTGCTCCTACTGGTTTGGCTACTCGGGCTGGGCAGGTCTTTGCCACTGTTGGACGGGACATCCAGGGTGAAAAATATACCCAGGCTTCTGAGGAGATGGCAAACAAAACTGAGCAGTTGTACCGCTCCCTTATCCGGGCTCAGCGCAAAACGGCAGTCCGCGAGGCTCTTTCTCGTTTCATCCCTGCGACGTCAGTTCGACACGTGGGATCGATGTTTAATGTTACCTGGATGTCATTCCTATCGGGTCTGTCTGCGCCAATGCAAGACACCCAGAATCTTCAAACTATTCGCATCTGTATGGAAGGTCTGAAGCTATCCATCCGAACCAGTTGTGCCTTTGAACTTGAGACTCCTCGGGTGGCTTTCGTCACAGCTCTGGCCAAATTCACCAATCTTGGGAACTTGAGAGAAATGGCCCCAAGAAATTTAGAGGCCTTGAAAGCTTTACTAGATGTTGCCCTCACTGAGGGTAACCACCTCCGGAGCTCATGGCGTGAAATTTTAACCTGTGTCAGTCAACTCGATAGGTTGCAGTTGCTGAGCGATGGAGTCGATGAAGGCTCACTCCCTGATGTCTCTAGAGCGCACTCTACCATCGACTCTCCACGTAGGTCAATGCAGAGTACTCGCAGTAAGCGCACTCGTTCTGTGAATGGCCCAACAGCCTTCCGGTCGGAGATTGCTATGGAAAGCCGATCGGCAGACACTGTCCGCAGTGTGGATCGCATATTCACCAATACTGCAAACCTTTCTCACGAAGCTATCATTGACTTTGTGCGTGCGCTCAGCGAAGTCAGCTGGCAGGAGATTCAGTCATCTGGCCACAGTGAATCCCCTCGGACGTACAGTTTGCAAAAGTTGGTTGATATTGGCTACTATAACATGACTCGTGTCAGGATAGAGTGGTCGAAGATCTGGGAGGTCCTAGGTCAACATTTCAACCAGGTTGGTTGTCACACCAACACTACAGTTGTTTTCTTTGCTTTGGACTCTCTCAGACAGCTCTCAATGCGCTTCATGGAAATTGGCGAATTGCCTGGTTTCAAGTTCCAGAAGGACTTCCTCAAGCCATTTGAGCATGTCATGGCAAACAGCACCACGGCTTCTGTTAAGGACATGATTCTGCGGTGTCTAATTCAAATGATCCAAACGCGAGGTGACAAGATTCGATCTGGCTGGAAGACCATGTTCGGTGTTTTCACTGTGGCCGCACGCGAGCCATACGGTACGTATCCTTCTTTCGGCCCTACTGGCTCCTGATTCCTTATTAACATTTATCTACCACAGAGGGCATTGTGAACATGGCGTTCGATCATGTAACTCAAATTTACAATACCCGATTCGGCGTTGTGATTACTCAGGGTGCATTCGCAGATCTAATTGTGTGCTTGACCGAATTCTCCAAGAATTCCAAGTTCCAAAAGAAATCTTTGCAGGCCATCGAGACCCTTAAGTCCACTGTCATGAAGATGTTGCGAACCCCAGAGTGCCCTCTGTCACACCGTGGCAAACCAGCCCCTAACTTCCAAGAGGAGGGGGACAAACCTTGCTAAACAGCTTACGCGACAGTCTCAAGAAGAGCAATTCTGGTATCCAATCTTGATTGCCTTCCAGGATGTCCTGATGACAGGCGACGACCTGGAGGTTCGATCTCGGTGAGATGTTTTTGGTTCCATTTCCCTCATTGCAATCTTCTAACAATACTTCAGTGCTCTCACATACCTCTTCGAGACCCTGATCCGCCATGGTGGAGATTTCCCTCGAGACTTCTGGGATGTCCTTTGGCGACAGCTCCTCTGCCCGATCTTTGTGGTTCTCCAGTCCAAGTCAGAGATGTCGAAAGTTCCCAACCACGAGGACCTTTCTGTTTGGCTATCAACCACAATGATTCAAGCCCTGCGGAACATGATCACTCTGTTCACGCACTACTTCGATGCGTTGGAGTACATGCTGGGTCGCTTTTTGGAATTGCTTACTCTCTGCATTTGCCAAGAAAATGACACGATCGCACGAATTGGGAGTAACTGCTTGCAACAGTTGATCTTGCAGAACGTCGCCAAGTTCCGCGAGGAGCATTGGACTCTGATCGTCGGGGCTTTCGTCGAACTCTTTGACAAGACTACTGCCTATGAATTGTTCACAGCAGCGGCCTCTATGACCAAAATGACGGAGACCCCAACCAATGGCGATATCCGGGCCTCCGAGACAGCTGTTGCGGCATCGGGCGATGTTCCAGATGCCCTCCAAGCTAATGGATCACAAAGCACTGCTTCACTCCAGGAGAACGGTGATCCACCTGTTCAAAGCGAAGCTCGTGCTGAGCTAGTTGAGGACTACCGACCTCAAATCGAGGCACAGCAACAGCCGGCTGCGGTTACTGTCACCCGACGCCGCTTCTTCAATCGTATCATCACGAACTGCGTTTTGCAGCTCCTGATGATTGAAACGGTTCATGAACTCTTCTCGAACGAAACTGTGTATGAGAAGATCCCCAGTCACGAGCTTCTTCGCCTGATGGGCTTGCTTAAGAAGAGTTACCAATTCGCCAAGAAGTTCAACGAAGACAAAGATTTGCGCATGCAATTATGGCGTCAGGGTTTCATGAAGCAACCTCCTAACTTGCTTAAGCAGGAGAGTGGCAGTGCCGCTACCTACGTTCATATCCTCTTCAGAATGTACCACGACGAGCGAGAAGAGCGTAAGAGCAGCCGTGCTCAGACCGAGGCAGCTCTGATTCCTCTCTGCGCAGACATCATTCGAAGCTTTGTCCGCCTAGACGAAGAAACACAGCACCGCAACATCGTTGCTTGGCGCCCGGTTGTTGTGGACGTGATTGACGGCTACAACAGCTTCCCCAGGATGGGTTTGAGAAGCACATTGAGACTTTCTACCCCTTAGTGGTCGAACTTCTCAGCCGCGATCTCAACCCCGAGATCCGCGTGTCCATGCAGGGTCTGTTGCGTCGTATTGGCGAGGTTCGCTTGGGTGTGGCTCCACCCAACCCGCTCGATGCACCCATCAGCCCTGGCAGCTCCGTCTCGCAGAAGGCCCCGAATGAAAATTAAGGATGTGTCTTGATTTGGTTTGATGGATTTAGGGTACGTCCGCCCGGCTTGTGTGATTTACCAGCAAATGGACCGTGGCGTTTCTTTCCCTCTACTCTTTGTGTCTAGCCTTTTGTTACATTCAAACTCTTTTCTTGTCTTGTCTTGTTTCGTCATTGCCCATGGGCATTTTTGTTGTTGATTCATTAGAGATGCATAGCTGTACTGTACAAGACAAAATTCTATCTGCGCTTATTCTTTCTGATATACTCATTTACGGACCTCCTCTAGAGACGGGACCGCGCCTGACTCGTAATTCGAGAGCAGCCCATCCATATCTTTCTCAGACATTTCTACCAAATTTTCAAGGGGCCATGATTCGCAAACAGCCGACATCCTGCTCCTCGTCAGTCCATCTCCAGGATAAGCACGTGCGTCAACGGAACATACCATTTCATCCTCTTTGGGCCTTCATCGGGGTTGGGTGCGACTTCGCGCAGCTTCTTCCGCAATTTGCCCACGTTTTCAATAGCTGCACCCATATTGTCCGGTAGAGTCTCCGCGATCTTCTTGCGAACCAAGCTGGCCAGTTTCGGCCCATTGCCATTAGTGCTGACCATCACCTGCAGCGGACCATCACGGTGCATGCTTCCAAAGTAAAAGTCACACTCAGGTGGAACGTCTGCAATATTGGCGGGGATTCGCTTCTCTTTGCAAAGCTTCCAGACCTGCGTAGAAGCTTCCGGGTCATCGATGGCGCACAGGACCATGTCGGCATGGTCGAGGTCAGCCGGCTCGAAGTTTCGATCGACATGGGTTACTTGTTTCTCGGCGACGCGGTAGGCAACCTCTTCGTTGAGACCTGATGCAGGGCATACGACAGTGACATTAGCATCAGCATTTAGCGCATGCACAATACGCCCTGCGGCCACCTGATAGAGAGCTCTGATCAGTTTACCATATCTATGTATATATTTGCCATGGAACAGGTAGAAAGAATACTCACCTCTCCGCCCCCGACAACCAGCACTGTTTTGCCCTTGACCTGCCAGGCCAGAATCAGCGATCCGCCACCTTGTATCTCGGGGAATTTCGTCATTTTGCGAATTGTGAAAGTTCTCAATCTGCCGAGTTCCTTATCTTCGGAGCGAGTTACATTGGATGGTGGGGTCTACGGCGGGCCAGGCAGACCTTCTCCGCAGTTATGCTTTTTTTTCTTTTGCGGTACTTCCTTCCGCTCTCTGTTCTTCTTTCTCCTCAACCCAATCGCCATGCGGGGTGTGCAGATATTTTCGGGTAATTCACACCCTGGTCTCGCAGAGTCCATCTGTGAGAAGCTGGGGACTTCCCCGGCAAAAGCGGACCTGGGAAAATTTGCCAATGGCGAAACCAGCGTGAACATCGGCACCTCGGTTAGAAACCAGGATGTCTACATCGTTCAGAGTGGCAGTCGCAAGATCAATGATAGCGTGATGGAGCTACTAATCATGATTTCGGCCTGCAAAGGTGGCTCGGCCAAGTCAATTACTGGTACGTCGTGCTCCTACATCAAATGGAAAGCTGAGAAAGTTTTGCTGACGACCCTCAAGCGGTCATGCCGTATGCTGCCCGTCTTGTTTGACCCCCGAACAATGGATGCTGACGCTGACGAGGTACTTCCCCTACTCGCGCCAATCCAAGAAGAAGAGTCATCGCGGTGCCATCACCGCTCGCATGCTCGCGAACCTACTTTCCATCGCTGGCGTCGATCATGTCATCACTATGGACTTACATGTAAGCCTTCGCTGTCGCAAACGCTCGAGGGGGTCTGGTATTGATATGGCTCTATAGGCGTCCCAGATGCAAGGCTTCTTCGGTAAACCCGTCGACAATCTCTTCGCTGAGCCGTACATTGCCCGCTGGATCACGAGCAACGTCGCCAGTTGGAAGGATGCGGTCGTCGTCAGCAAGAATGCCGGCGGTACCAAGCGTGTAACATCGCTTGCTGACACCTTAAAGCTGAACTTTGGCATCGTGACCACTGATCGGCGACGGCCGAAGGCTTCAGATACCATGGCTGACAGCACTGTCTTTTTCGATGCTAAGGATGACGGTTCTCGAGTCCCTAAAGACCAGCAACCCTTCGAACTGCACCTGAAGAGCGGCGCTACCACCCCATCTATTCCCCAAGAGGTTGACTTCGCCGTTGATCCTCCTATTCCACTTTTGCGCCCCGAGACTCCCCCTGCCGCCCGTCGCCCATCAGAACTGGAAGCTGCTCACGAATACACAGACGTGAGGGTTCGAGATGTGGTGACTGGCCGGCTGGTACAGGGTCACCTCGTCGACGATGATTATCTCCCCAAACCGGAGTCTGTCTCCGGTGATACAACCCCGGGCGCTGGTAGCAGTCCTCCGGGTGACACGTCGGATGCGATCCCTGATGCTATGGTCAACTCCATCATCTCTACTGCTTCATCATTAGGTCCAGATCACGCTCTCGGTGGATCCATGGACGCTGTCGAGTCCGACGATGAAGGCAGTGTTGCTGGCGGCATTGACCATGAAAGAACCATCACTCTGGTTGGGGAGGTCCGGGACCGGTCTGTGTTCATCGTGGACGACATGATTGACAAGAGCGGCTCCTGGATCGCGGCTGCAGAGACGGTTGTGAAGCGAGGAGGCGCCTCCAAAGTCTATTGTATTGCAACTCATGCTCTCTTTGGGGATGATTCCCTCGCCCAGATGGAGGCCTGTCCGTCCATTGACCACATCGTCGTGACGAATACTTTCCCGATCTCGGCCGCCACGATCAGGCGTTCAAAGAAATTGATCGTCATTGATGTCTCCTCTCTTGGCAGAGAGTATTCGACGACACCACTATGGAGAAAGGTTTGTCACCCCCGATCCTTGTCTGCTGGGACCGTGCTAATTCGCATCTAGCGTATCGTACCTCTTCCACTTTTAATGAATGATGACGTGCCCCATGGGCGATGATGAGACCATTAATCCAACCCCTCGACGCGTTTGGAGCGGCGTTGAATACTGATTCGCACAAGATGCTGTAGCCACCAAGCAAAGTGGCATTGATACCTTTATTCACTCTACCAATGAGAAAATGACCAATTTCCTGAACGCTGACCGCTTCTTTGTCGGATTAGTCGGTCAAGACGTAGACCTTGTTTGCTTTTTGTTTTTGTTTTTTTTGTTTTTTTGTTTTTTTTTCTTTTGGATTTACTTTACACCCAGCGATGCAGTCCACTCTGGGTACTGCAGGGGCATCTCGTGATCCACGATATGTCCTTAACGGAGCGTTGGCAGATCAAACTGTGGGCACTGGGATTTCCATTTCTTTTTTTTTTGCCTCCCATTAGGAGAAGGAACAAGGGTAGCGGAAATCCCAGAGTCCCTCGAGGAATGAAGGCGCCGGTTTCTTCGATGGCAACGTCGAGCCGTTCTCGGCAGTGGGACCGGGGCAAGAGAACCTCTCGAATATCTCGTAGCAACCATATTGACTTTTTCTTTCCTCCATTCGTAGGAAATCGTCAATGGGATTCTCCAAGTCTGTTGATATCATACTCAAGCTCCAACGGCCAATGCGGCTCTCCGCCCCAGCAACCCGGTCTTGCAAAATGGGAAAAAAGCAAAAAAAGAAAAAAGAAAGAAAGAAAGAAAGAAAAGGAAAAAACAAAAGGGAGGCAAAATGGGCCGTACCGCGTACTTCTGTATATTGCAGATCTTAAGGGTCTTCATGTACTATTGTTCGGTACCTGGCTGGGACCTCAGATCTGTCAGTATACGATCAGCTATTATAGGAATCTCATATATCACACAGAGCTCCCAGGTACACCGATCTCTTCCATTTCAGCTTGGCCCAACCGGCCAGTCGAGTCTAGACCGGGCGGCATGTAGTTCGTGTTCTTCACCTCCAAGCGACACATCTGCCCCGGTGGAGAAGACAATCACGAAGCGACATGGGCCGGCAAAAGTGGAGATTCTGTCCCAAGCGACACCTGATCATGAGCTAGCTCCCCCTGATTCGACCTGCGAACCTGACGTTCCGCGAGTCAGGGGCTCGGGTCGGCGCCACCAGCGTCTTCCGTGGGTTCATCGGATGGGTTGTGAACCGGACGGGCATAGTTTTCTCTCCTGCCAGGTGTTTCCTAGAGATCGGTCTTTCGCGCAGAATCGAAGAGCCCTAGGACTTTGGGATGCCGTGCGACGTCAACTTGGGGCCGGGGTCCACCACGTCCCCTCCCGAGGGAAGTTTTGCCGCGTTCATGGCGGGGGCCCTTGGGGAATGTATGACCTACTTTATTGCTCCAATGCGAGGCTTAGTACTCTGTATGTACAATGGCTTCATGTACAGCACAACTCGTGCGTCAGCGATTCCAACTGGAAATGGGCATTTCCCGGTTCCAATTGACATGCTATGACGACAGGTTTGCCCTATCACGCCAGTTCCTCTGCATCGGTGTCTCGTGACCATTGACTTCATGGACCTGGTGCAGAAAAAACCGGATATCGGGAAACAGTGACTCAAGCATACCGAAATCCCAGGACACAAAGGGATTAGGTCAGTTTCAGCTCGTGTTCTGGAAAGTTTGACGGAGAGGATTTCCGAATTCCCCGTCATTTGCGGGCCTGCCTCGCCTCACGCCAAATATGAACGACCAAAAAAAAAAAAAAAAATCCAAAAATCGAGACTGTCACCTTAGAAGGTAATTTCCTGTAGGATTTTTTTTTGGACGAGTAGTCACTTCCCAAGCGGATAAGAGGAGGGACCATTGGCTGCTGCGAAAGCAAACTAGTACCGGATATTCACGCCCGGTGGATGATCCTACGCTCAAAGGGGACGGGGGCCTCGTCATAGTCCAGACACTAGAGGCTGATCTCCTGGACCTATAGGGTTTCTCCCTGCTTTCCAGAAACCCAAAGGTCCCTGGAGAGCCTTTGGCCATGTGGGGCACCATTGTCCTGGCCCAAGCGTCTCGCGGAAATCTTGGAAGCTGATCTATCGAGTCTCGCTCTCTCTCCCAGGGGCGACAGAGGCTTGTAGTTGAGAAAATGGTCGCGAGAGAGAGAGAGAGAGAAAAAGCCCATGGGCAACGGATGGTAAGTCTATTGTTGTGCCTGAAACCAAGACAATAGCCCCGGGGTGGATCCAAACACCGGGGATGAAGACAAATGTACCGCTGCAGATGTACACAAGGTAGCGAGATCGACCGCGATCGGCACTAATGGCATTTGGTCCAGATATACGGAGTAGCTAGTCTTTCTATCAGGTTCTCGGCACTCAAATTTGTCATGGTCAGAGGGGGGGGGGCCATTCCCATAGGAGGTTACCAGCATTTGGGGCGATCCTTTACTACATTGGCTGCGTAGATTGACAATTAGGGTTTCGGGTGTCAATGAAGGGGGAAAAGCCCAGGGCGGGGGTGAAAGCCTACGGCAGCGTTTGGAATGGTTCTTTGCGGGGCGAGATTTCAGAGATTTTCCATTTCATTGGGTTGATAGATATATTCATTTTATTTGACTTTCAATTTTCATTTCTTTCTTTCTTTTTTTTTTTCATTTTATTTATCTATTTTTGGGGGAGAATATTTGCTGGGAATCGGTCTCGTTTTTCTTCCTCGCCTCATCGGCTCTTTTGGCCTCCAGAGAAGGGCAATGGGGATACGTAAAACCTATAGGAATCCTAGCTCTCGTATATCCAGCCCGTACCAAATAGTATAGCGGACTATACGTCCGGGATACATATGTACTGGACCCTGCACATTAATGACAATATAAAGATCCCTTAGACTTTCAAAATCCAGGCGGACCCCCCTTCAGGCCCTGGTCCAGATCGCTCCCTACCAATTGAAAGTCCCCGATGCAGCAGATCGCGATTTCCTGGAAACCAATTTTGACGAGTTAATCTTGGGATCTACCGACCCACGACCTCCGCTCATTTGGCACTGGCGCGCCGGCAAGATGTCAGTCTAGTTTGGTGCTCCACACCTGAACCGTGACCCTTGTCCTTCCTTTTCTCATTCTTCCATCTTCGTAAACCCTGGCGACTCAACAATCATTCGGTTACGTGCAGTCGACGGCATACTGCAGCCCTCTTACAGCTTTGCACCGTGACTAGTTTGACCGGGGTTCGTGGTGGCTCCCTGGCGTTGCCCCCCCTAAGAAGCAAATAAGAGCTCCAGACCGTGCGAACTATATAATGGGCTTCATCCGTGCCACTCTCTCCCGGTCGTCATACTCTGCTCTCCTACCATTGACGATCCTGTTGGCCTATTCGTGATTTTTCTCTTTGGCCCCTTCGCGTCTCGTGCCTTTGGTCGTTTTCCATACCCCCCAATCCAAGCCTTGGGGACTCATTCTCCGGTGATCGACGGCTTCCAGTCCCTCGGGCCCTTGTCCGATCCCTAGTTCCATAGGTAAACGCCCTCCCGGGTCCCTTTAAGCTTCCCATACCCGAACTTATCACGAAACTATTATAGCACCACTCGAAAAATTCCCCTTTGGCCCCCCTACGCTTCCGGGTCAAAAAAAGAAAAGAAAGAAAAAGAAAAAGAAAAAGAAAGATGGCCAACCAATGCTCCGGCCACGTATTCGCCATTGTGCAAGCTACCAATGGCAACATTCTGACCTGGCGCTGTTCCGACTGCAACTCGGGCCCCTTTGTGGCCATCTGGCGCTGCAAGATTTGTGGTCACTGTCGCTGCAATAGCTGCCACAACGCCAAGGCGTAACCTGTATGTTCCGAGTCGTCTTCGCTCGCTTCGGGCTCCTATTGGTCTCTCTGGCTGCAAACCTGGATGGCTGACCCATCTTCTGCCGCAGTCGATGCATTGACTTCGAGGCTCTTGCATTCACCATTACCGGGGTATCCCAATCTTGCCCGACCTTGGTATCCCTTTCCTTCCCGGCCTCTCTCTTCAGGTCTCCCGGTCTCTGGGTCTCCTGGCTCTGCTCAGGGAGTCTGGGGAGCACTGGCAGGGTTGCATTTCTTTAGCTGGTGCTGCTTTACGATTGTTTTGTCTTCATTGACTGCGTTCGGCGAGCCATATGCATTTGAACCGGGGTTCCAAAAAGTCGTTTCCAAAAGTCATGCATGAGAATGGCGTTTTCTTCCTTTTACTATTCATTTTCTTGATTTGTGTTCTGTTTCCATTGCTTCGAGCTAGATCAACAGACCGTACTTATTTAGGGGGGACATTTTTTTTCTTCGAGAATCAACTCAAAGTGAGAACCATATCCAACTCTTGTGCCACCGCATCAAAAAGCTCCTGTATAGTATTGTGCCCGCTTCTCATTGGTAATCAGAAGCAAATGATCTGCACCAAGACCAACGGATATGCCCCCCCCCCCCCCCAATGCTTAAGTCCTGCTTCACCGGCCGTGCAGGACGCCCCCTCCACACCGAACTCTTAAACCCGAATTTACGCCCTCTAAATGAGTGATCATTGGCAGACTCGCCTTAAGTTCCCTGCCCGGTTCGTGTTGCCCTCCAATTAAGTCTTCCATGCCCGTCCCTGCCTTGGTGCAGGGATCTTCCTTTCCCCACTGCAGGCTTGGTTGGGAGAAGGGGCTCACGTTTCGTTGGATTATTTGGATCATGGGGGGGCCCCCCTTTCCATTCTCGTGTCGGCTTTTACCTTGACGGTGGCGTGCTTGCTTTTTCCCGCCCTTGAGGGTCGCGGAATGCATCGTGGATGTCCCGGATCGGCAACTAAAACAGAAATCCCCCTTTTGGGACATTCCTTTGGCCTAAAAATCAGCTCAGTAATGAATCATCATTCGCCCTTCTCCGGAATCACCAGGCTGTCGGGGTCAGAAATGAATAGAAGACGGGGAGATAGGAAAGAGCCCGCGCCCCATAACCATATAAGGAAAAGGGCTTCCCGGTCAATACAAGTGCTGCACGAGGTGCGGCGCGAAATCGGTTCAATACCTCGTATCGGCACGATCGGCGAATTAACGAGCCTGTCGATCCTGGGCGCCTGAGGAAAGCTCCATAAAATGGCCACGGGATACTATGGAAAGACGCGGGGGGGAAACATGGCTCCAAGGTAGTGAGCGTGTCCGAGCCATTTTAGGCTGAGATCCGCAGTGCAGAGCAAAAAGCTGGAAGCAAGTGCAGACAGATGGATGCTGCATCCTGTTCACGGTGAAATGGGTGAAAAAACATAGAAAAACGAAAAAAAAAAAGATAAAAGAAAAATGCCCGTTTAAGGATTTCCATTGCCAGGGGCTTGGGAGCGCTAACTCTATGGTCTTATCTCCACTCTACGCTTGAAACCGCGGACTATAACGCAAGGACCATCTGGTACGACCATTGTTCTTGCGGTGGGAATTGGGGGTTAGGACAAAAGTACGGGGCTAGTGCGAGGAGGTGAGCCTGCCGAAGGCACCGATGGAGTGGATGTGCTTTTCTACTCGCTGGGTCTGCCGAAGTCTTCCAGCTATGCGTCTGCAGGATTGGCGTGTCGTAGGTCAGACCGTGGTTAAGGTTTAATTGAGGGCCTATCATCCTGGGACGGACGTCTCAGACTGAGGATCGATCGGGCATGGGTGCGAATATCTCCGTTGCATGATCATGGAGACCGCCACACCGGGCGTGGCGGCCGCCGGGTGCGCAATATGATATCAGGAGTTTTCAATTATCGAAATGAAAATGCTGCAATTACAAAAATCCATATCCACCTGCCGCCGTAGGCGATCAACTTCTCAAGCACCGTATCGGAAGGGAATCATGATGGAAATCAATGGTCGAGCGATCGCTACGTGTAGATACTCTATTGAGACGTTAGCTTGACGTTCGAGACAGCAAGCGTGTCGTTGGAGTGGAGAGACTCGTATATGCAGGGTCGGAAGAGGAAAGTCTCTTCGAGCGGGTACATGGAAGGGCGGGCAACATGTTGCAAAAGCAAATATGAAATAACTCGGGCCAGAAGAAAAGGAACGGAACGGAACAATAATGAAAATGCAAATGAAAAACGTACCACCGTGATCTGGTTCACAGCCAGCCCAGGCTCTGCCATCTCAGCCTCTTTCAGGAATTCCAACGGCAGCCAGACCAAATGACCCTTGATCCGATCTAGCTTCTCGCGGACTTCCTTCACAGGCATATAAGGATCGAACAGGTGGCCCTGCTTGCAGGCCCCACGCGGATAGAACCGATCATAGTCCTCGAAGGTCTTGATGTTGTCGTCCGGATCAGCGCGGAACAGCACCCGATACATCTCGGTGTTGACGCTCGCTTGCTGCGTCCAGGTGTTCCACACGGCGTCGCCGAGCGGGTCCGCCACGAAGTCATCCTCTGCCCCTTCAAGGATCTGGTTCAGGCAGACATCGGGAGGCCGAGCATTGGGCTCCTTGGAAGCGTCGTAATCCTGAGCGGGCAGGAGACCCAGGTGCTCACGCCACAGCTGCCGACGCAGGGTAGCGGCCAGACGAGCGGCGCGATATGGCTTTCCGTCCATAGTGCTGTCGATGAAGTCTTGGTCTTCCAGGACAATGGCAAGTTCGCTGTCGTGAGACCCGAGTTGGGACTAGTGGGGCAAAAGAATCAGTTAGGGGGAAAAAGGTGATCGTTGTTAGGCCCAATCATTGTACTTACACGGTCATTGATGTTCGCGCTACCGCAGATCACAATGCGGTCGTCGACAATGCAGACCTTACCGTGGACATAGAGTTCTTCCTGGACAAAGTGGGCTTTCTCTGCTTCGGGGTCGCCCTCCCAAGTCTCATCAGACATCTTACCGCCGTTCAGCATGGTAGTATGAGCGACGGAGTCTTTGCTTCCATCCCCTTCGTGGGCCTTTTTCTGTTCAACTTGTTCCTCGAATTTCTCGAGCTTGTGTACCTTCTCCTCTTTCTGTGACGGATCGATTTCATAGCTCTTCTCGTTCCTGTCGCCCTCTTTGCCCACAGATGGGTGAACACTTTCGCCCATAATGGACTCGGCAATACCACGTTGGATGTCCTGATAGTTGACGCCGGCGTCTCTCTCAAGCTCCTCAAGAGCAGGGGTGTAATTGATGCGATCGTAAGCCCGCAAAGCAAAAACGAAGATGTGATCTAAACATATGGATTGTTAGTTGTCTTGGATGCCTTGACGTTAAAAAACGAAAAAAAAAAAGCACCTACCCTTGGGGTTGACGCCTGCTGCTTCGATCTGCCCCATAATAGAGTCCTCGCCTCTGCAGATAGACTTATACTGGTAATCCATGATAGCTCTCGTCCCGCTAGCTGCATTATCACGCAAATCCCCAGCAAAGCCCGGGATCGCAGGGATCACAATAATGACGCGGAATTTGCGGCCTTCCTTGCCCGCACGAACGCAAGCATCAACGATGGCACGGCCAATCTGATTGTAGACAGGCTGCTGGTTGGGGCCGGTAGCAGTGACTGTGCCTATCAGCCGAGGGAACGAAACCCAAAAACAATGTCGGAGCAAGACTTACTGAAGAACTGGTTTTCAATGTAGACCAGATGCTCTGCATTTCGGATAGTTTCACAGTAGGCATTTTGAATACTATGTTCGTTGAGAATTCCACTGCTCCAGTCGTCGCTACTACGCACGATCTGAGCCCTCACAGAGCCCTGGTTGCCTCGCGGCTTGGACGAGAGCGGCGAAAATGGGTGCTGGACATAGTCCCCGCAAGGATACTTCGGTCGCTGAACGGCAATCAGATCCTCGTCCTCGCCCGTCCGGCCCTCCATGAGCAACCAGTCCACATTATCACTACGCTTGTACTTGTCGCGCTTGATGAAGTTCCACCGCAGGATGAAGTGCTCCGCGATATCGTAGACGGCGTCTCCGACTAGGCCCATCGCGACGTCGTGCCAGGGCATGCGGCCATACTCGGCCTTGCTGAGTTCGTTGCTTTGCCAGTCTTCCACACTCTGGAAGTCCATGATGCGGTTGTTATTGAACTCTTGGCCGGGGAAGATGTCGTCGCGAAGACCAGCGGGGTGGACGTCGGCAAGTGGGTGTTGGTGGGCGTCCCAGCGGCCGAAGCAGAGATCGATTCCACCGATGAAGGCCAAAGCATAGTCGATCACGATGAACTTCTCGTGATGGGCCTTTGTTTTTTTTTCCATGGTTAGCTCTCAGCCAGATTTGACGTGGGTAATGTTCATGCTAGCCTGCTGGACTCACCCAATACAAGGTCATATCAGCGGCATTCTCAAAGACATTGTGATCCGGATGTCGTAGAACGCGGATATTGCCATGACCTGGTGTTCCTTCTGGGCAAAGGTTCTGCAGTGCATGCTTGGTGTGTGCCGAGTTACAAGTCAACGCCTGGTTAACCTCTTTATAGACGATGACGTAGATTTTCACGCCGGCCTCGGCGCGACGTTTCAAGATCAGATCCAGTCGCCATTCCCGGTGGCTTGCCGGCGGGCGACGAAGGAAGAGTTCCGGGGAAATCCACCAATCGGCCAAGTAAATGGTCTCTTGGGCCGATTCGAGGGCTTCAGAAACAGCCCAGAGATAGTCGAGCGCGTCTACATACCACTTGACGCGGTTGCTATCACGGATTGGCGCAAAGGACTGGAAGCGGTGGGAGTCGCAGATTGCCGATCGTTTCCGGTCTGTCGCTTGTTCATGTTCCTCGTCGTGACGGTGGTTGGGGTTCAAGATGTTGAAAAATTTGCCGACTTTGTGTTTGAGGTGGACGGCCTGCGCCTTGGTATCATGAAGGCTGGATTCTAGGATTGGAGGGTCAGTTTTTAACAAGCAATTTCCAGAACAGTGTCAAGGCAAGTACCTTTAAGATGACCCTCCAGATGATCTATCTCGTGCTCGAGCTTCTCCTTGAATTTATGCATGGCGACGTTGGAGCAGCAAAAATCTCCGTGTGGGGAAAAGAGGGGGGGGGAAGTGTTTATGAGCTACACATTTCCCTTTCTGTGACATCACAGCCCTACGGCCTCCGATCTGCGCTCATATTAAATGAAAGACTTGGCAAGAATCGCGAATTGGCCATTGGCAGCCAGCTGGGCGCCTGCATTAGCCATACTTCAACTCTGGTTCCGCGTTGGTTGCTAATCTTACCAGCCGCGTGGCGACGCATGAACTCCACCTTCTCCCGTGGAAGCCGAATGGGATGACGCTGGTCGCCTTTCCATGTTCCGAAAGTGGAACCCTCCGCCCGTTTAGAAGGCTACGAGAAAATCGATCTTATCTAGGCCGACGAGCGAACAACTGACATGCAGGGTGGAGTGGAGTGGAGAAAACGCCCACTGTGCTTCTCTAGATCGTTGTAGAGTTGCTCGAACTTGCACCAGGAGTGCTGAAGTATGCCTGGTCTCCAGTAAGGCCTAGGGTGCTGTCCGACCATGACCGGTCTAACGTCTACGGACGTGCTCAACGGTTTAATGCACTTCGCCGGTTCTGGCATCTGATAGACGCCTCTCATGTCCCGCGGTTTAGTTCTTCTGATGGGCTCCTTACTGTATATCTCGTAGTTAAATGGTAGTCAAGAATTTGATGGGCTTCTAAGAGTACCCGAGGCGGGCAAACTACTCCTGATGTCCAACCTGTGGCCCTGTCTAATATGAGTATCATACTTAACGTGAGGAGCAGGATGCTCTAACAACGATGATGATGGTTGGTCAAATTCTGGGTGGTCGTCGATCACTGGCAGTATGTGACTTTCAATTTTTCCTTACAGCCCGACCATGATTGACATGACGGTGTGGCGTTGTTGAGAATTCAGTAACCCGACTGAAGGGGGTTCTAAACGCAGTTGGCCCGGATACTATATATAATATATATAACCAGCTCAACGAGTAATCCGAGCCGCGAACGAGAGCACTTTGGAATTTTCAACATGCGGATTCCGAGTCAATAGACGAAAGCCCAACCGGAATCAGATAGAAACCCCTTTGGAAGACTGCCATCTCTTGTGACCGGAGAAATGTACTTTGTCTTTGGAAGTGTGTGTTTGTTGATTCTGCGGATGACGTACAAGGCAAAACAGGGAAGCTGACCCGCCATAACACAACATTATACCGAGTCAATCTAAGCAGGACACCCTCTCCATGTATTCGGCAGTATGTATTGTAAAACAGGAATCAAAACCGAGCAGTCCCTCGAGAAACAATCAGAGGACATATTGTGGATTAGCGGAATAATACAACAAGGCAATGGCACCTGGCGCAATTGCCGGGAAGAGATGGGAGAAACGACAAATGCTCGTCGAGCTACCAGCAATGCTATTTATTTCCCAGAACACAAGTAGAATTGAATAATTTTATGTAGTGTGTCCCCTGCATAGTCTCTGCCGATGGCAATGTTTTTGTTTTGGAATGCTTACCGATACCACGTGACTGACCCAAACAACGTTGTCTGAGGAACGGGTTCTCTGTTTCTGTTTATCCTCCCACGGCTCGGCCACCACGCGGTGAGTATTCTGCGAACCTGGGCTCTCTGGTTCCTTAGGGCTCATCAAGCGTGTTGTTGTTCATCCAGGGTAGTTTGGTCTTTGCACTTCTGCGAATGGTCATCGTCACCGTGTGCGAGACCTAACAAACCATTCTGGTGCAGGACCGGCCATCTCCCTGGTGACGGGTCTCCTCCACAATTTATGATTCACCCAACCCGATCCAGGATGCCCTCTGAGCTAGGTGAGCAGATCATCGATCTGGATGCCCCCTCCAGAAAGACCTCATTGACCAATGTTTGTAGTACGCGCGCCGTCGCAAGGCAGTGTGGCCTCGCAAACCACTCAACACATGGGACCTCATAGCCGCCCCGGCACAGCTGATCCTTTGCGTTCGCGATCGGAGACGATCTCGCGCGGTGGACCTCGCGCTCGATCTCGGGGCTCAACAGCCAGCATCCACTCCAGTACGACGCAGCAAACCCAAGACCAGCACCTGGACCCATTCCCCAATTCATGCCGTCCCAAGTCGCCGGCGGGCAGAATCTGTTCGCCAGCAACCCGGAAGATATGATCATGCGTTACGGGCACCAGTTCTCCCACCAAGCCCACGCCACACCATTGGACCAGGGCATGCGGGATACCCAATCTATGATGTCGCGCCCGGACGATTTTGGCACCCATTCGATGCATGGCCACTCGCTGTCACACCACTCCCTCCCTTCTGAAATGGCTTCCAATGGCATGAGCTCCGTACCCGTACCCCAATACCAGCCAATGTACGATAGTGGAATGGAGCATCATCAAGCTGATCAAACTTTGGATGAGGATGCCTCCGAGCACGGGGGCAAGAAAAAGCGGGGTTCAAGCTCAACTCTGGCGAACGACAATGAACTGCGGAAGATGCTGCGTCAGTATGAAGGCTATTCGTTGAAGCAGATGGCTGCTGAGGTCATGAAGCATGAAGGCGCCGGTGGAAAGGCCGAAAAAGTGAAGCAGGTCTTTGCGATGATTTGGTACGATGAGGCCCTCCGCCCCCCCCCCACCCTATCCGCTGGACTGCCAGGAAGACTGAGCTAACTTTCAGCACAATCTAGGTTGCGGGAGAACTGCCGGAAAAGTAACAGCTCAGTACGCCGAGATCGTGTTTATTGCTGCTACGCAGAAAAATGTGGCACCGAGCGCGTTTCTGTGTTGAACCCAGCTTCGTTCGGAAAGCTCGTTCGAATCATCTTCCCCAATGTACAAACCCGTCGCCTCGGGGTGCGTGGCGAGTCGAAATATCATTACGTAGATCTTTCGGTGATTGAAGAGAAGCAGCACAAGCCTGCGCCTTCCACTATTCAGGTGGCTCCTAGTCAGGTGCCAGAGAGGCCTGCAAGTGCGTTGCGTTCACGAAGGTATGTCGAAGTGACGTGGGTTGAACGAAAAGGTAAATGCGGAAGGAAATGAAGCTGACAACATGCTCATCTAGTATCAGCATCCCTCAACCTGCCGCAGATACCGCAGTCTTCCCCTCTCCAAGTGCCTCTTTTGCGCCTCGTTTCCCGACGAACTCTCCAACAATGGATAGCTGTGGCTGCCATCCCGACCCTCAGGCAGTCCTCCATGGACCTGATGCGCCTATTACGGTGGAGAATGTTTCTCAGCAGTCTGCTAAAATCATTCATCAAATGCTTCAGTTCCCCACTGATGAACAGTCATTGGTCAGCAACGCGGAGCTTGTGCTCCCTGACATTCGACCCTATCTGCCAGCCAACTCTGATCTTAAGGTTGCAGAAGCCCTTGCTGCCTTGTATCGTTCGAACTGTATCTCTGTCATTGACAGTTTCCGTTTTTGCAAGGAGCGCAATCTAATGAAGTACCTGTCCTCGTTCCATGGTACTCTGACTGTCCCCGTCCAGAAGCTCTTGACTCACCCTAGCCTCGCGCCATGGATCAAGAGTGCGACTGGACGATGTACCAGAAGATGATTCCTTTTGTGGCTCCCTTGACTACCCAAATCGTACCACAGCAAGTTTTGGATGCTTTCCGCTCCATTTCGCAAAAGCTGTGTGGACATATCGCGGAGACATTCAAGACTCAGCCCGCCCATGTCTCTATCGCGCGTCTCGTTCCCGCCCACATCTTCTGTAAGCTCCTCAAGCACATGCTTGATGTCAATCAGGCTGCCAACGCTGCCGCTGCGTGGCTGAGCGATATCAGCACTCGCAGCCAGATGTGGCAAGACTTCCAGGAGCTGGTGGACCCGACGGAGATGATTGCCAAGGCCAATATCCCGACTTGTGCGGCTCGAGCCACGGAGCAGATCCTCAAGCATGATGTGCGAGCTCTTCTGACTCCAATCCACGACCCGGTGACCAACTCCCACCCCTTCTTCGCAAAACCAGATACCCCCGAGGATACGAAAGCGCACACCCACCCGGTCGAGAACGCGGAAGGCATCGACTACAACAACTTCCCCGACAAGTGGATCTCCTTCATACTGAACCTATCACCTGTCTTCAACCACCACCGCTCCCAGTGCATTATCAAGCAGGTGGATGCCTTGTTTGAAAATATCCTGCACCGATTGACTTTGGGGGGTGCGGCTAGTTTCAGTTCGTGGTGGATGATCAAAGTCTTTTTCCATGAGATGATGCTTTGGCAAGCAGAGCGCGGTGGATTCATGTCCCACACCCCTTCCTCGTTGGAACATGCGAGTTTTGTCCCCCCGCCTATGGCCATGGGCAGTTTCCAGATAAAGCGTGATGGTGCTGAGCATGCTTCCTTCGATGTATCCACCGATTCCCAGACCAAGCCCCAGAATGGGTCTTCGAGCAACCGAGGTGCTGTTCCCAGCGCAAACGACGAAATCCATTCAAATAAGAACCACTCCTCTCAAAAGGACATTCCTATCGCGGATACGGGGTTTCAAGCCCCCAACAACGATGACAGTGCGATTGATCTCGAGGACGATCCAATGATGATCCCAGTCGGTAAATACGGCGATATGATGGCTTCTGATCCTGCGGATGCCGAAGGCGATGTGGTTGTCATCTAAGTTTTCGTTTGCTTTCCCTTTTCCCTTACTCAGTTTTGGGGCCTGGTCTGGAGTTTGAAGATTCCCCGGTGTGCTTATGCCATTGTGTTGTGTGTTTTTGTTTTTGTTTCCCCCCCTTTTCTTTTCTTCTCTTCTCTTCTCTTTTCTTTTTTTTCATTTTCTTATCTTCTTTTCTCATTTGTGTTACGAAGGTTTCCTTTGTTTAGGTGGCGGCGTCCCAACGAATTGTTTTGCACGAAGCGACGAGATACGAGCATGGGGGGCCCTTCGAAGTTTACGGTCTCGCAAGGCTGCCCCTCCCGAGGGGGTTGATCGTCATCCATACAAGCATTTAATCGGCGTGGCGCAATCCTCGACTTAATCCCTCTTGTTCTTTCACGATGAACTTTGTTCTTTCATCATGGCTGTCTGTGTACATACTTGCCCGCATAACTAGTGTGTGGTGCTCCTCCATCAACAAGCCGACTCCAAGGGTATCAAGTTAATCGAATCTAAGAATCACTGGAGCTATCTCCTCTACCTTCGGGCTTAAGCAATATTTGCAATCACCTTCGGAGCTCCAGACTATCCCAGAATCGGGCACCAAGCCCGTGAGAGTGTGCACCCTCGGAGATGCCCCTTATTGATCTCCGTGCGAGATATATCACCTTCGAACGAGTACTCAAACCGTAAGCTGCTTTTCTTTCTGTGGACGAGCTTAACCAAGGGGACTTGAAGCGAGATGTTCTGTCCAAGTCTGCTGAAGGCTCCGTCTTTGCCAGTATATTTTTCTACTGCACTGGCTGGCCCGCCTGCATCACAGGATCTAGACAATGTGAGTGCCAATATCTTTAACGCCATCCACTCAGGGACCCGCTTCTACCGCGGCACAGGACTATCGGAGCCCATCACCTGGTTAGCGTTCACCCGGAGTACTCGTCTTTGCGCACCACGGCGGTCATAAGTTCCACCAGAGAGATCTTTGGTAAGCGGTGATAGCGCAGCGGACAGAGCCCGCTGAACAGCGCCCTCTCGTCGACGGCAACGGATTCACAGCAATGTGGGGAAAAAATAATGACAACTGAACTATCAGGTGCCCTTTCGCCTGCATCACTGATGGTCCGCGAGCTGGGGGGGTCTTGGTATTCGCCCTCAATTAAGTGTCGTTTGAGCGTCGACATGCATACTAGAGGTTCAAGCCATACGGAAGCTTTATCCGGTAGCTTGCCCTCGGACCAGCAAGGAGTTCCAAGTAGGTGAGATCGACAGTAGCGTATTGCGAACTACTCCCGTGGGCGCTCAGCCCGTGCGCAACACAATCTTGCAACCTCACTAGGTTTTTTTTTTTTTATTTCTTTTTTTATCTGTTTTGGGCCATCGGAGGCTCCTCTTTGAAGGTATTGGTCGTCATTAGAAGAAACGGAGGTGTGACTGCCTTCAAGAAGATGCATCACAACAAAAGCCGAGCTGGGCCGGAGGCTAGATCTGGGAATGAAAACTTTATTTGCAGATCCATCTCAGGCCCTGAGGCGGGTCGGGCTGCACTGCGTGGCGATTGCGGGACACCTGTTCTCAACTAGTTCATGCATGGGGAAGATCCCTCAAGCCACGAGATTGCATCGACGAGCCACGACCCAGGTCGGATACGTGTCCAGTGCATGTGAGCGTTACGGAGATATTCTCTTTTTGCATTGCTAGTTCGCAAAAGCAAGTGCTAACGTTTGTGTTCCTCGAAACTGTCATCGGAAGATTCCGAAATATGCGCTGGGGGAGGGAAATCAGGAACCCGCTCCGTCCGGCAACTAAATAGCGTGAGCTTAGACGGAAGGGGGCAAGGGCCCTGCGGGCCGTGTTGGCGATCCTGTTCATGAGACGCGAATCGCCCGATCGTGGCTTCTGGACCGATAATCGGATGGCAATCTGTACCAGCATGATGGCGCGCCGATTGAATTTTGCGCCTCCGATCGGCATATCGCCGGCACTCTGCTTAGCGTCACGCTGCCCACACGCTATTTGCGGGGTCCAGTAGTCTGAGGGGCTGAGCACAGTGCCGGTACCTCGTAGATTTGTAGAGAGTGACAAATCGAACTCTCGAACTCCATTGCCCCCGATCGTGTGGATCCGTGTTGTCGGTTAATCTGGGTATCATGTTTTTGCTTCGAGAGTCAATGTGCCTGCGGGTTGCCAAATTTCAATGCCATGGCTACGAGGCTTGATAGCACCTCACATTAGACTCATAGTATATCCCTGGATTGGATGCTAATGGTACGTTGTCACCGCTGCAGTTGTGGGAGCTGATCCGCCCGGCGAGTCGATTGTGGTGGAGCTAATATTCAGGATCAGGATCAAGCTTTTAGCTCTCGAATGGGACCCACACGACACTAGAGGGAAACCCTTCGTTCTTTCGTTCTCGTATAGTGCTGAAAGCGTACCAAGCTTTTTTCTATCTGATGAAGAACGGTGACCTTTGTACCAGGCCACAGAAGCGACAGTACCAGCAAATGCATAACCATAGCGGCGGGACGATACTGGTCAGAATAGGAGGGAATCCTACGCTTCTCAACAATTTGAGTCAAGTCCTTCCATACTCCGAGATCTCCAGGAGAAAGATTGAACCAGATGATTAGTCGTCCACCCCGAGATCCGCCGGGTCTGGTCGGGAATAACTGCATATCCCTCATCCAGCCTGTACAAGCAGTCAGGTCCACTCTTTCTGAGCCCAGGAATCCTTCGGGACGCCGGCAGTATCTCACCTCTACAAACTATGGAGAACTATGGGAGTGGAGTATTTGGAATATGCTTGTTCAAGAAACTTGCTCGGATGATCTGTTTGTCGGATCTGGATGGAAGAACGATTTTGGTTAGGTTGACTGGAAAACAGGTGCACGAGGCTTGAATGTAACTCTGCTAGCCCTGTGGATCAATGGAAATCAGCCAGCCACCTGATACCCATCGTACCCAGAACAGGATACGTGATGTTGTGATCAGAACGAAATCTCGAGCCAGAGGGAGAGGGTGGAAGGGATATAAAACCCCCAAGATCGCCTGTCGATTCTCAACTATCATCGACCTCAAACCGGACATTCCCTAACCTCTCTTTCACATATAACCAACTTCACACCTCAAAATGCGTTTTGCTGTGATCACGTCCACCTTGGCCCTCGTTGGTTCCGCCAACGCGGCTGTCTCTGCTCAACAGAGGATTGCGAACATCCAGGATCTTACTAGCAAGGTAGGGGTGCAGCATGCTGAAGGTTGTAAAGTCTTACTTACATATGACGATAGTCCTTCAACACCAATGATCTGGCGAAGACTATGTCTATTACCAATTTCTTCAGCACCGCCCCTGTAAGTAAAGTCTGGGATGGATCCTTTGACAAGGACTAATATCATTTTAGCAAGTGATCAGCGGCCTCGCAGATATTGTCAACACTGCTACACAAGACATCACCGCCATGGGCTCCAAGCGTAGCCTGGTAGCTCGCGATGATTGCCTGGACATCGAGGACCTTGAGAAGTGCCTCGAGGACGTGGGAGAAATCCTTTCAGACCCAGGCGAGCTCTTGGGCGAGAAGAAGAAGCGCCAGAGTCCTGGCTACTCTGACTCCGAACAGGTATGATCTCCCACCGGAGTTTGCCCTTTTGGATCTCAACGCAGTACCTGCGACTAACCTTTCCTGATAGGAGGCTATCTGCGCCTCTTTTGCTGAATTCGTCCCGGTTCACCAGGAGCTCCTCCAGACTCTCATTGGCAAGCACGGCCTCTTGAGCCTGACGCCCTTCACTCAGCCCATTGCTCAAGTCCTCCGATCAGATGAGGGTGCTGTTGACACCCTAGCCTTCGGCCTCATTGATGCTCTCCCTGTCTGCGCTCAGGATGCCACCCAGAACAAGAACAACCTTGACCGCACCTTCGATCAAGCCATAAATGAGTACTCTGACTAAGATACTTTAGTCTGATGATGCCGATGCAGAGTCGTGACCCGGAAGTACTTTGGTATGATTGAAAGAAGGGTTTTTAGGAAGGGACTTTTTTCTCATGAGACAGAAATAACAATGATGTACTGAGATAGTGCGGTTCGTTAATATATTTGAAGTTGCAGTGAAGACCATGCCATTGTGCCGGCATGTAATCGAGAAAACGAGTCATATTGGCCCCTTTTTGGCCGCAGAGAGTGTTAAGGAAAGGAAAATAAGCTGAAAATCAAGGGTAGGCCTGGGATTGGACGTCAACAGCCCTGCTAGTGATGGTGAGCCATCGTGGACTGCAGCCTTACTCTGGTGCCCAGGAGCCCCACTTGCACATGGGCGTTGGTCCCGTGAATCGCAGCCGCCCCCATAAGCCCTGACGGGCTCCCGGCGGTCGTTCAAGTTTGCTATTTCTCTCGCAGAACTCCTCCCAAAATGGTCAAATCCTTTCCAGCCGGGGCAATCCCACAATCCCAACAGGACGACCTCTTTCTGCCTTAACAGAGATCTTAATGCTCTTGTCGGTATTGGCAAGAGTGGATTACTGGAAGGCCGTACAGACTAACTATGCGAACTTGACCAAACCTTGGAAGACAGATCAATGACCAAGCCTATGATCTTTCGGGCTGGCTCCCTTCCTACGCCCACGATAATATTGACTCGGTCAGTTTATGCTTAATTTGCCTCACGGTTGGGGTTCAAGTTTCTCGGCTGTTAAGTTCCTAATCTGGAATTCCATCGGGCTGGGTGAGATTGCCCTATGGGTCCTCGAACTTAACTACTCCGTAAGACGTCATTTATTCAAAGTAAAATAACGGAACATCCAGTGGCGAGCGAGTATGGAGGCGGTACAAAAAACCACTTGAAACTCCATTTCAGCGTGTCTGGAGTCGGTTTGCTCGTTAATCTTGAAGTCAGCCAGTCGAGTGGGGGCGACGATACCCACCATCTCTATTGGGGTAATAAAGGCCCGGTGGGTCGAAGGACCCAGAACAGAAAGATTCGTTCACAGACGGGGGTACCGAGGTATCAGATGTTGTGACAGCGCAGCCATCAGACGTCCAAATGGATGCAATAAGGGGATTCTACGAATCATACGAGTGCCGAACTTCTGTGCGCCAAGAAACAACATGGACCAGACCATCCCGACTATTTCACACCTGGAAGTCCCCTTAATCCGATAACGTCAACAGAGGGATACAAGTATCCACACCTCGGGTCCCAGCAAGTCATTTCATTGCCTAAGACCCCACTGGAAGCATGTGTCGGTAAGAAGACGCATGCAATAAGGAACGAGTGACGCGCTGGGGGTTAGATAAATGCTCTGATCGTCCTGCACTCGCCATTGCCATTTTCACCCTCGCCGCATAATGACTACTATACAGCGAAACCCCAAGGACTCCATGACGTCCACCTGGCGGAAGTGGGATCGCGCCAAATGGACTCCCAGCCACTGGCTCCTGGAAGTCTTGGATGCCCACCATGTCGAGCTCGACGAAGACGTCCCCGTCTTTCAAAAGACAGACAAGGTCCCCTACGCGCCCGAACTCCAGTTCCACCTATGGGTCCTGACCTTCGCTGGAGCCCCTCTCGCCCTTCACCAGCTCTATATCAACTACATAGGCCAACCGTCCGCATGGCTGGTATTCCTCTTCTACAGCATGGCCCTAAAACTCTTTGCCGTGCACGAAGTACACATCCTCCGACGGCTAGGCCACCAAATCGGGTTTTTTGATGGCGATAAGCACGCCCGAGACGGAGTCCCGGACGTCGGCGTCGGGAAGACCGTGCAAACCATTCTATCCGTCATTGCCTTCCGCCCCATGCTTGCCACCTTCATCTCGTACACGGGCGAACCGCCCTCCTCCATCCGCTGGGGCTGGCTGATCATCGAAACCGGCATGTACGCCCTCACCCTCGACTTCTGGTACTACATGCTCCATCGGTCCGCCCACGAGATAGGCGCTCTATGGCAGTTCCACCGCACCCACCATCTCACCAAGCACCCTAACCCCCTGCTTACCGCGTACGCAGACGCAGTGCAGGAAGTTGTCGACATTGTCGGCGCACCTCTTCTCTCCTACGGCACCCTCAAGCTGCTGGGTTTCCCGATGGGCTTCTATGAGTGGTGGATCTGTCAGCAGTATGTGGTGTTCACGGAGGTGCTGGGGCACAGTGGGCTGCGGATGCTTGCTACGGCTGTGAACCCATGGACGTCACTGTGGCGAATGCTCGACATGGAGCTTGTGATTGAGGATCATGATCTTCATCACCGCAAGGGTTGGAAGAACAGCCATAATTATGGAAAGCAGACCCGTGTATGGGATCGTTTGTTCAAGACTTGGATCCCTCGGGTGGAAGGGTACCCAGAGAATATAGACTACGTTAACACGGTAAAGTTGCCCTTGTTCTAGAAAGATCGAAAAAAGGATTGATGGCACTTATCACGAGAGAGATTGGGTAACGACGTTAAGTGAGTTAAGGGGGATTTGCGTGATGATACCGCGTTGGTCTAGATCGTTCAAGCGACCGGTGAGCATCGTGGTTTAGATCTAAAGGCTCGGGCTCTAATGTTGATATCAGTATGACGATTATGCATGTATATAAACATCGATTTTCAATACGGGTTTTGATATAGACTGCCTTGGATAAGTTGTAAATTACGGTCACCATCGATAAGCTTCTTTCTTCAGTCAGCTTGTCAACTTGGCCACTTCCAGTGACAGAGACTTGATCGGATATGAGACTGGATTTGGTATATGTATTTCAAATGCGCTACTAGTACTGAACCATCGGGGAAAAGATTTCGAGCCATATGACCATGAAGACCTCGGCCAAGATGTCATATACTCATTGAAAAAGTTCCATCAATGATGAGAGAACACAAGCCGGTAGATTGAGCATTGCTCGATAAGTGGCCGGGTACTTTGATGGAAGAAGGAGGGGTTCTGTGCAGTGCGCACTGCCCCTTCTAGTGCGAAGCATGCACTGACGTCCAAGCCCAACCATTATGGCTGTAAGGTACGGCGATTTGTTGCCTTGCGAAATTCCACTTACATACAGAGTTCATAATCGCGTCTGAAATCCTGAGCAAGTGTTTCGCCTTTTCGATTGTCGCATGATAACCACGGATGGCCTCGGTGGATTCTGACAACGCCTCTTTATTACGGGCTGCAGTCCCAAGGGGTCTTCATAAGAAACTTTACATGCGCCACCGAAAACAGAGCTCGCCAAGAATAAGCAGTTTCTAAAATGCTGCAGGAACTAGGTGCATTTCACAAGTCACAGGTCACTCTCAAAGCCCTTGGCACACATTGCATCGTCATCTCAAGGCCGACGTGCAACCCGTGCCGGGTTTCAATCATTGGGATGAAACGAAGGAATCATTGTAATGCCCTGCAGAAATCATTGAAACTGGCAAAGAGCCATAAAGGATATTCCTCTTGATGCCGTGAGCCACAGTCAGGCTTTGGGTAGAGACAAATTCGAGTCTAAACTGGTGGGAAAGCACTGCCTGTGACCGAGGGTTTGTGCTACTAGGGAGCAGATGCGCTCTTGACAGCCGCTAATCATTTTTAGGCTATAGGCAAACGATGGCCTTGACCGCAAGGGCGTAGGGCTAGCCCCTCCCCCACCAACTATCACAGGTCCCATTACAGGCTCAACTTTCCCACCTCACTTGCTGCAATGCACTTTTTAAGCCGGGGTAAATTATCTGTCTTGGGCAGCATCCATGCTAGCACACCTGCAAAAAAAAAATTCATTTGATTCAGGTTTGAATATGCTCTCTGTGGCCTAGACCATGGAGTTTTGGCGAAAAGATCGGCATACACATGCCAGTTGGACCAATCGAGATCCTTATCGTTGGGCGTCGATCTCTTTGTTTTGGCCAAAGATATTTCACAAGCCATACGCGGTCTAGATTCGCTGGCGGGAATAATTACTACTTGCAGTGCTAGTCAGAGACTATCATGACGCAGGGTCGCAGACTATGAAACTCCTCGAACTGCCTGAGACAAACACAGTGGGCACACCATGGGAACACTTCGATGAAGGAAAATATGAAAATATTTCGAAAAAGGCCATATAAGCCAGCGGACCAAGTTTGCCTATGCACACGGCTGGTTTATGAGTCAAAGACCTTGGGAGACGCGCTCAAGATACCCAATTGTGGGTGCATTTTTCCCGGGACAACATTGTGGATTTGCGGCAAGATTGACTGCATTGGTACTGACCAGGTGCTCTCTCTCCACCTAAGCTGCAACTACATGCAGTAGGCCCACTGGTGGCTTCATAAATAAAGAAAGTTCGCAAGGAATGGTACGTATCAAGAAGTCTCTGACCCACCAGTGGCAATGTCGGACTTCTGGGCGAGAGAACAGCTCGGGCAGAGGATTTTGGAATCCAGGCCGGCCCAAGAGCCGTTGGAGCTTATCAGCCCCTGGAGATCGATTTTATTGGGTTTGGGCACCAGGTGCCACTTGTTGTTGGCTTATCTTGCGTCTTATAGCGTCCTATATGCAATGACCACGCTCAACATGCGGTGACGCGGAAAGTAACAAAAAGTCGGAAGAACGATAATCAAGCAGGTTGGCCTATAGGGAAGACCACATGAATGTGACAAAAGCGTGAGATTTAGCCTGAATGGGCTGCTGAAAGCTTCTGAGTCCAGCTGCTCTCGGATTCTGAATCCCGCGATTGAAAATCTTTCTGGACCCACCCAAGATCCATTTTAAAGGACGCCCACGTCGCTGTGGCGGGGTGTACTTACAGTTTCTTCTTATTATTTTCTAATCTGCAGCAGAATTTATAAATTGTGCTCTTAATTCTCTAATTGCTCATAATCGAGGATTTTCATTATACAAATTTCATCGGAAATCATTGCCAAACACGAAAGCAGCCGGCTAACTGGACAACGGCGGTATCTGCCATATACAACAATGGCACAGCCGTTCAATGATGATGCCAGCACGAAGCCCGGTGTCCAGACGGAATACCGTGATGTTAGCTCGGGTGGAAGCTCTACAATATCTTCCGCCGACACCAGCAGAAGAAACTCTGTGGAAATCACCTACTACGGCCGCGAGTCTCAAGATGTGACCGAACTACATCGAGTTCCAACGACAAGAGCTCGTGGCGATTCCCACATGGGCGAAGCGCTGGAGAAGCTCGCGAGTACAATGTCCCGGCCAGAACCACTACATGATGGTCGCGCAGATCTCTGCGTAATGCCCTCTCGACGAAGTGAACGGAGCACAACCCGTCATTCCGTGAAGCATATGGCGGATGTTGCTGAAGAAGAGCTGGGCTCGCCGAACACATCCAAATTCCAAGGCCGGCCCGCAGAACTCAACAGCTTGACTTCAGAAATCATTTTTGTCTTTGTTTGCTCCGCTGGGCTATTGTTCTTCGCCTTCCTGATTGGCGATATCACGGTCAACCAGGAGGCCTTCAAGGAGGCGCTAGGCATCACCAACAGTGAGCTTCCATGGCTTCTTGGTGCATATCTTCTGCCCCTGAGCTTGTCAGTCGTCATCTCGGGATCGTTGAGCGATCTGGCTCCACCAAGAATGATCATGGTCTTCGCCTTTGCCTGGTTAACCGTTTGGAATGTCGTAGGCGCTTTCTGTGTCCACCCGTCGAGGGCAATCTTGTTCTATATTGTTCGTGCCATGCAGGGCTTATCTATCGGCGTGCTGGTCTCCGCATCTATGAGCATCCTCGGCCGTGTTTACAACCCAGGTCTTCGCAAGAACCGTGTCTTCAGTGCGATGTCTGCTACTTCGCCGTTCGGGTTCTGGCTGGGATGTATTCAGGGCGGGGCCATGAAGTCGTGTCTATACTGGATATTCGGATCCAATGCGATCATCGCCGGTCTCTGTCTGACTGCTGCTTATGCCACAATCCCTCCTCTCCGGCCAGTTGCTGACATTGCCGGAACTGAGGCCCCTACTCTCCGCCAGTTCGATTATCTTGGCGCCTCCGCTGCGTCGATTGGATGTGTGTGTATTCTCTTCGGACTGACCCAGGGCTCTGTGACTGAATGGTCCCCATACACGTACTCTTTAGTTATTGTCGGTGTTCTCCTAATTATTGCTTTCTTTTTCATTGAGCGATACGTCGAGCGCCCTTGATCCCAAACCGTCTCTGGAAGACCAAGGGATTCACTCCCCTAATGATCGCTTATTTCCTGGGCTACGGCGCATTTTCAGGCTGCTGGCAGTTTTACGCAGTGCAATTCATGCTCCGCATCCAGCAACACAGCCCTCTAACTGTCGCGCTCTATCTCCTGCCCAATGCTATCGTCGGCGTCCTCGCGACTTGGGTCGTGAGCAGAACTCTCCACATCATTCCAGGTCATTATATCTACTTTGTCGCGATGCTAGCCTTCTCCCTGGGCCCCGCATTCTTTCTCCCCCAGACCTCCGGTACGATGTACTGGGCGATGTCTTTCCCCGGGATCGCCTTGTCACGTTTGGGCCGGATCTTTCTTTCGCTGCGGCATCAATTTATATCACTAGCAACGTTCGACGATCGTACCAGGGAAGTGCGGGGAGTTTGCTAGTGACGATGCAGAATCTGTCATGTGCGGTCTTCACGTCCATCGGTGATGCTATTGGGACGCAGGTTGAAAAGGACATTGATGGTAATATTGGCTTGACGGGATTGCGAGCAATCTGGTGGTTTGCGTTGGCTGCGGAGATTGTCGCGGCTGCCATCACCTTAACTTGGGTGCGCATCCCGAAGGAGGAAGAGAAGGAGCATGTTACTGATGGGTAGGCGTTTGGGAAATTGATGACGACTTTAATGACTAGATTTTGGGTTATCGTTGCTCTGGATAATCGGGGAAAGGTCTGATCAGTTTATAGACTGTGAATCTTGGAAGACAGCGACACTCGCGTAGAATAAAAAGCGGTTAATTCGACTAAACAGGTAACTGTCCCGGCTGTAGTGGCTGAAGCTGCTGAATGAAGTTCTCGCTATAACCGAAGAGAGCCTGAAGGATTTCCAGAACGCGAGTGACCCCTTGTTGTCGAGAAGACCCCTTAGATTAAGTAGTGGGCCGTTCAAAAGTCTGAATATGGAAACTCTCGGGGCTGCTCTATACACGCCAGAAGCAAGAGGGGCTAGGTCCAACCTTGATATATCACAGATCCACTACGGAGTAGTCAAGCCCCTATAAAGGATAGCCAATCTACCCAGGGGATACTCCAATTTGGCAGTTCCCTCACAGTTGTGAAGGAGCATCCTAGGGCTGGCGTTGATTCTGCTAGACTAGAAAACTACTATATCCGCACATGTGGTGTGGATGTGCCTAGGCGCACGCGGTACACTTCTTATTGGAATCTGTGACAGATTCTCAGAGCTCGATCATCGATTAGTAGTTACTACGGGAGGATCTATTTTTGTTTACGCGGTTCTCGGAAATACATTACTGTGACTGTTACAAACAGCACTGCAAACATGCGAGCGGGTCTAGACTGGTAATTCTTGGCCAGAGCACAACTTTCGTCGTCTTTAGCGCCGCGCTAACCTGTCAGCAGGTTGCATTAGCGCCGAATTTCCGCCACTAAGCCCGGGGGGCCCTTCGGCGAACTGGATTGTATAGCTTTGTTTGACCCCGCAAATCTGAGCGTTTTCTCCTCCCAAATTGTATGTAGATTGATATGGTTCTTTAATGTCTAGTACATATATCGAAATATTAATTTCTCCCCTCGTTTCGCCCGCCATGCATTTGTAGCATTCATCATATCCGTACATCCTCTGACCACCCATTGATACTTCTTGATGAATGCCTCGGTCATTTCCCAATTTCGATAATCCCAAGGCTCCCCCCATACAAGAAGTCCTGCATCAATAGAGGGCCGTCCGCCCCAGAAAGCCATTAAATCCACACAAAGCTCTTCATCGTCCCAATTGGGATCTGCTTGGATAAGGTTGTCACGCATCTTGGGATGGGGGAGAAGTCCAGCCAAGGGTGATGAGGGATGGTGCGTTGAATTTTTGTTGGCTGTAAGTTGATCGGTATATTGCTGTACTCGACCGCTGGCGAAGCCCCGTCGGGCAGATTGGCCTCACAGAATCGTGAGATGGCATCTTCGCAGATGTTCTCTGAGAAATTGCCAATGATTTTCATGTTGTCGATATAGGCCCGGAAGACATTGACCTTAGTCAGCGTCAAGAGGTGTTCTGAGGTCGGAGACCCCAGCATATAACTTCGGTAGGCCTCCTGGGCAAACTGGACAAGTAGTCTCCGTGAGTCTGGAGTCATGCAAGCAATTTTAGAATCCTCATAGCTCGAGCTGTTTGACACGGCGTCGTGATCAAGTGCGGTTGCGGGAGGACGAGGCCCGACCAGGCTTTTCGGATGGATATCCTTGTCTTTGCCTTTGCTCGATCTTGAGCTTGCCTCCATGCGTTGCCGCCTTCCTAATCTGGAATTAGTACTAAGTCTTATAGTTGCGAGCGCAATCTTTTACATACGTCGGGCTCGTTGATTGATCCGATTCTGGCGCCGCCGACGCTCCGCGGGGTCCGTCAGCCCAGTCCAATCATCTTCATCCTGGGCCGGTTTGTCGGTCCCTGGATCCGTCAACCTGTTTGGCTCTTCAGGTAGGGTGGGCATCGTTTTGAGGAGGGTCAGCTCTGTCAGCAGTGTCCGCCGGGAGAGATTACAAGTGGAGGATGGGAGAGAATTTTAGCAGTCTGGCTTTATGAACCCTATGATGACACAGAATATCTTGGCCAATCACGAGCTGTTTGTGACGGACTTGTGGCGGATTTAGGACGGCTGGTTTTGTACTGGTATTACTGTATTACGGTACGTGCCGATCTATCGCTCCACACGCGAGGCGAATGGGGAAGGATGTTTAGAAACAGCCTTACTGTTCGATTGGTGTGTTGGATACCGCTTATTGATGGTGGTGGTAAAATTGAAGGCTCAGCGTCGGAAACGGTGTGTGATGGGCTGGAAATGTGCGCTGTCACTGCCAACAGTGTCTAGATAAGATCACATGTGCGAAAGACCCGCTATCTTGTTTGATCGAGCAAGCATTCGTCCACTGCATCGGGTCCAATAGCCCTAGGAGATATCAGCAGCACAGCATCAAATCACATCCAATAGTCAATATGCATGAACCAAAAAATTAGCAGGCCCATAAATGGGTAATATGATTGGTTCTTGTTACAAAACACGTCATTTGTCGGTTGCTACTAGGAAAACTGGGCATATTCCAGGTCTACTGCTGTCCGGCAACGCTTGTCCTCACCAAGAAAGTAGCGCCCGAGCCTCATTCCCGTAATCTGAATACTCACCGGGGGTAATCTGAATACTCACCGGGGGCGCTTTGGCCGCAGTTCGATTGTCCCAGCCCAACAGATCGTGGGCATTGGTAGATCCGCGATATCCAAGGAGAGATCGCTTCTTGCACTCAAGTGCTGTCGTCCCAGATTTTTGTCTTCACGTAGAGCCCGTGGCCCAGGCTCGATCATTCTCTTGAGGCTAGTAGTGCTGGAAGCTGGCCGCAACAAGATAGAATGTGCTGTCGTGGTACCTGACAGCGGTGACCCAGACCTCACTCCCAGGCTCTGGAGTATGGATCTGGGGTTGACTCCGTCTTGTGCGGGCGGGGCTGATCAGTTTCCACTGCACCAGGCGCCACAATGGCAGACCGAGGCACCAAGGAAAGCACCTTGGCAACTCTGGAGACAAATGTCTTCTAATGCTAGAGACTATCTACTAAACTAGAAGGCAGGATTGTGTTAGGGGTAGACATGCAAACAAAGGACCCGGGTTGGAGCCCGGAATGGTTGGATTCGTGCAGTATTTTCCATTTCTCAGAAGCCCATCGAATGATTTGAGGAATTCAGCACTTCAGCCTTGATCAATTCATCTCTCTTCGCTTCTTCCCTATTTCCGATTCCGAATCTTCCTTGCTTCCCTTCCCCCCAAGCCTCAACCCCAGAACCCTCCTATTATCCACCAATCGGTAGGCATCTTTGGCAAGCCGCTGCCCGGCCTTGAAAAGTATTGGAAACAAGAAGACCTCATTCAAACCGCTAAGTAGAGCTCTCGGTGATTGGGAGTTGGAATGTCTCGAGGTCACTTTCACGAGAGTAAGCGGGGGCGGCAACTACCTGATCAGGAAGGCCAGTCCGCTATGCTTCCACCAGACTGGATTCTATAAAGTGGGGAGTTCCGTCAAGGACTAAGTTAATCAGTACAATAACTCTGCGTCAAGGTGCAAGATCAGCAAAGTGACAACTTCGAGGTCTTACCGCACAGAGGTTCCCCGCTCATTTGCCAAGCTATCTGTCCACATGGCCTGGACCCCAAATCTTTAGCTCCGAGTCAATCTTGAGTAGCTGCCAGTGTGATTTAAATAAGAGATTTGGCGATCAAGATCTACTCAGTCTTCAAGGCGTCAAAATGGCATCGTCCAGAGTCATTCTGGAGCAGTCTCATGGAACCCACATCAATCTCCACACACCACGACCAAGCGAACCGTTGGAGGTAGAATGGGGGTCGAACAATGAGCCCGAGGGGGTTTCAGCTCTTGAAAAATGGAACTCTCCCCTATCAACATGTATCGCACATTCGCTACGCTATGGAGTTTCCTAGTTATGGGTGCAAATGATGCTGCTTATGGCGTAAGTGTCACCTGCTCTAGTAGCTCTAGTGGTGGGATACAGCAATAGATCACTAACTGCATATGCCTAGGCCTTGATTCCCTATGTGAGTACATTGCAAGTTCCTCTGTTGCCTCACGATAGCTAAGACATGGACACATCAGTTGGAAACCTACTATCACCTCAGCTACACAATCGTGTCCCTCATTTTCTTGTCTCCGTTGGTTGGCTATACTTTAGCTGCGTTCTTCAATCAACGAATCCATACTGCCTTTGGCCAGCGCGGGATAGCGCTGATGGGACCGGGATGTCACTTGCTTGCTTATATCGTTAACTGCATACATCCGCCCTACCCGGTGTTGGTGATAAGCTTCGTCTTCGCAGGATTTGGAAATGGTGTGGAGGACGGAGCCTGGAATGCGTGGATTGGAACATGGCCAATGCGAACGAGCTCCTGGGGGTTCTTCATGGACTCTATGGTGCAGGTGCAGTGCTAAGTCCGCTCGTCGCCACGTCGTTGATTACTAGGGCGAATGTGCCTGGTACTATTTCTATTATATCATGGTATGTCTATTCTCATACGATCCCAGGAAATTGTCCTAACAGTTCTTTTTGTTATAGGTGGGCTGTGCGGCTATTGAGTTGGTGACATGTACTGTGTGCTTCTGGCAAGCTACTGGAGCGGATTTCCGAGCAAAGACGGCCGCAGAACAGAACAAGGGTGGCTTGAAGGATGCTCTCCTCACGATGCCTTCTGCGAGAGTGACTTGGCTGTGTTCTTTGTTTCTGCTTGGCTACGTTGGTGTGGAGGTGGCCCTGGGAGGATGGATTGTCACTTTCATGATCCAGATCCGCCATGGAGCAGCCTTTGCTAGCGGTATGGTTGCAACGGGATTTTGGCTAGGGATCACAGTGGGTCGTTTTATCCTGGGCTTTGTTACCCCCCCGCATAGGAGAGAAGATGGCTATCTCAGTAAGCCTCCACACTCGCTACCCGACTCCATGTAGACTCACATGCCAACTCACCACCACGCAGGGGTACATTTTGTGCTCCATAGCCTTCGGGCTCGTTTTGTGGCTCGTGCCACAGTTCTACGCATCCGCCGTCGCGGTGTCCCTCCAGGGCTTCTTCCTTGGACCCCTTTTTCCCGGCGCAGTGGTCATGGTGACCAAGCTTTTACCCCGACATTTGCATGTGAGCTCAATCGGATTTGCTGCCGCTTTTGGCGGGTCGGGCGCAGCTATTCTCCCTTTCGCAGTGGGAGCTTTGGCTCAAGCCAAAGGCGTGCAAGTTCTGCAGCCTTTCATCATTGGCCTGTCCGGTGCGATCTTCTTGGCTTGGATCGGGTTGCCGCGAGTCTCGAAGGCACATCGAACTGAATAGACTGTCAAAACGCCATAAAAAGAAAAAAAGTGGTGTGTGATGGAGACCGCTACTTTTCACGAGCGTGAGCTCGTGATTTACATGTGACAGGATCGGAAGCTCTCTTATCTGATCCGACCGACTTTAAATCCCCGAGCTGCTGAGCCCCGATATTCTCGGGATGTCGATCTTGCTCGTTTAGCTGCACGTGCTATTGGATGGTGCGGCGGGGTTTGGAATGGGTTTAATCGTACAAAAGTTCTCCATGGCCATGTTTATTTTTCCTTCTAATGCTTTGGGGCGTCCTTCTTTCTAAGGTGTGCCCGTCGAGTGGAGCAGAAAGCAAGAACGAGCCCCGCCCCTGGGGACAGGTCAGGCGACATAGGAAGAATTTAAGTCAGAGCCAAACTAGAGCCAATACCATCGGTCTTACAATGGCCAGAAAGAGAATTGATTAGTTTCAGCCGAGGCTTCCTTTGTTGCGGGGCGCCCTCAAAAGCCACCATTCCCCCATGACGCGACCAACCGGTCTTCTCCGTTTCGGGACCCCAAGACGGGATGGGATGGCTAATACCGGGTCTCCCCCAGCCGATACAGTCGGGTTCCCCCACAACCCCATATCCATGGGGATGGGGCGTTGGGGAGAGGACTTATGGGCACGCTGCATTCATCGCGATGCAAGAAAGAGGCAATCACTTCAGTTGCTAAGCAGTACGAACTTCTCTTAAGTAGCATATACAGGGATGGCCGAGACGGCAGAATCGGGCAGATCGCGCCTTCCCCGATTAGTGTTCAGCCGAGGCTGTTGCCATATTCGGCGATAACCGGCCCCTCGGCCGGTAGCTTTCGGGGACTGGGTGCGCCACGACTCATATAACCTGGGCCGCTGCCTTTCTTCCTTCTACACTTGCTGTACCCTTAAAATACCTTATCTTCAGAATGCCATCTCCTCCTCCAGATTGGGTCAAGGCCCTGAAGCCACAGGGCCCGCAAGGCTCCGAGCTGCTCGCTCAAGAGCGGGCGCAATCCAACGTCAATGTCGAGAAGCTCTCGGAGTTACTCCACACCAAAGAATATTTGGAGCGCCAGGAGAAGCTGCTGAAGTTGCTCCAGCCAGAGAAGGTCTTTGACAAGTCTCAAAACCACAGTCTCGGCCGTGTCGAGCGACTTCAGCGCTCGCTAGCCAAGGGGAAGCGCTTGCAGCAAATGGCGGTGCAGTACAAATGGGATGCGGACGAATATCTCAAAGCCAACGACCTGATTGGCGAGCCAACCCCTTATGGACTACACGCGAGCATGTTCTTGGTATGTGAAAATCCCTGACTTGCATGGACGGTAATTGCAGAAGAGATACTAATCTCTATTCGTTCTGTAGGTCACCCTTCGTGAGCAAGGAACCCCTGAACAACACGAGCTCTTCCTTCGCCGGGCAGAGAAATACGAGTACATTGGCTGTTATGCTCAAACTGAGCTCGGGCATGGCAGTAATGTGCGTGGACTCGAGACTCGAGCAGACTGGTACGTTCGAAACAAGAATCGTTGAAGTTGGCGGGACCCCCCCCGGGAGCTCCCGGATACGCATATCGCACTATGCACTTCAACTTCTTATCAGAATTGAACATGGCTAACGTCGCATGGCTGTAATAGGAACCCTGAAGATCAGACTTTCACCATCAACTCGCCCACTCTGACAAGCTCGAAATGGTGGATTGGCTCCCTCGGTCGCGCCGCAAATCACGCTGTGGTGATGGCTCAGCTATACATCGGAGGAAAGAACATGGGCCCTCACCCATTCGTGGTGCAGATCCGGGACCTCGAGACCCATCAGCCCCTGGAGAATGTCTATGTGGGTGACATCGGTCCCAAGTTCGGTTACAAGTGAGTACGGCCATCAGAAAATCTGGGTTCTTCCAGGCGACTAACACGAAAACCTAGCACCATGGACAATGGTTTCTTGCTGTTCAACAACGTGAAAATCCCTCATGTCAACATGCTGGCACGTTTCTCTCGGGTTGACAAGGAGACTGGCAAGTATGTTCGTCCTGCGTCACCGAGCCTGGTTTACGGAACCCTTACATGGGTTCGCTCCAACATCGTCCTTCAGGCCGGTGGTGTTCTGGCTCGCGGTGTCACCATCGCGACCCGCTACTGTGCTGTCCGAAGGCAATTTCAGGACCGCGACGCAGCAGCCAATTCGGAGGAGAACCAAGTCCTCAACTACAAGATGGTTCAAGTTCGTCTGTTGCCGCTTCTGGCTGCCATGTACGCGCTGCATTTCACTGGTCGCGGCATGATGCGTCTTTACCAAGAAAACCAGAACCGCATGAAGGCTTCTTCCTCTACTAGCGAAGACACGCGGGGCGCTGGACCCGAGGAGCTGCGTGCCGGTGCGGAACTTCTCGCCGATCTGCATGCTACCTCTTGTGGTCTTAAAGCCCTTGCTAGCACGTCTGCTGGTGAAGGTCTTGAGATTTGCCGCCGTGCTTGTGGAGGTCACGGCTACAGTAGTTACAGCGGCATCGGACCTTGGTACTCTGACTACTTGCCTACTCTTACCTGGGAAGGTGACAACTACATGCTGACCCAACAAGTCGCCCGCTACGTAAGTCCCTTTCGTTCGACCGATCACTCGGTGTGACCCAAGACTAACATGGTCAAACAGCTCCTCAAATCTGCTCGTGCCGTTCTGGCTGGCAAAGATGCTGGCAATGATACTGCCCGAATTCTCCGAACCTACCTTGATCGTCGTGACAAGGGTGCGTCATTCGATGTCCTTGACACTGATGCAGATATCGTGGCTGCTTTCGCATGGCGCACTGCCCACCTTACCTTCGAGGCTCTGAAGCACCGTGATGGCGAGAAGCGATCATGGAACAGCCTGCTGGTTGACTTCTGGCGTCTTTCCACCGCTCACTCGCAGTACCTGGTTGTCAAGAACTTCTATGAGGCTGTCTCTTCGCCCGAACTCTCATCTGCACTGGACCCAGAGACCAAGACGCTCATGCACCATCTTTTCCAACTTTACGCTCTGCACACTCTTGAGCGCGAAGCGGCTGAGTTCTTCTCGTCTGGTGCCGTGACTGTCCGCCAGATCACCCTCGCCCGCACAACAGCTGTGATGAAACTGCTCGATGAGATTAGGCCCCACGCTGTTCGCTTGGTTGATGCCTGGGCCATTCCAGACTGGCAGCTGGATAGTAGTCTTGGCCGTTACGATGGCAAGGTCTACGAGGATCTGTTCCGTCGCGCCAGCCAGGAGAACCCCGTGAATGACTTCGTGTTTGATCCATATCCTTGGAACGAAGCAGTGCTCAAGAACGAGCCTCCCAAGAGCAAGCTTTAAGAGTTTTGGTTCTCTTCATGTCTAAATTTTGTTTTTTTTTATCTATGATATTTGTACAAAGCTTTTTCTGTTGCATAGACATAGAGATATATGAAAAAAAAAATTCTCACTCTTCCTTACATGTGTCTTTTCCCCTAGCTCCGATTTGCTTTTGTAGGGACTCTGGGCTTTGACGTGGGACTATGTATCCCTGAGGACCCTGGACATGCAGTAGTACTAGAAGTAAGCCGACGATCATGGATTTGGAAGTAAGGCTTTTGCTTTATAATACTGTTTGATGTGGTTACACTACATTGTGACGGGAATCTTAGTTAGTATCTAAGGCAATTACCATACTACGTGCCTCTCCAGTATACTCGTATCATTCCGACTCCAAGATTGCGCTGGACCGCGCAAAGATACAAGTCAATTCCCACATGGTTTGACGTCAGTTCTGAACTTGCCATTGTCCACTCATCTTCTTGCAGCAACACAATCACAGGGTTAAATTCACTTTGCAGAGGCAATTGACGACTGGATCTGCCTACAAGTACCTTGTAAGTTCTTTCCTGCAAGGCCCATTGCTGAGCATCAACATCCCAACTACTCAAGGCTCTTCTTGTGGGAGCAAACCTAACAGTCTCTTATCTGTCTGCAGGACACAGATATCTCATCGAACCGACGTAGTTGACGGCCCGGCCCATTGGGAATTCCAGGGTACCCGATGAACTCCCCTTCCGTGAAGTCGAACTGAGAGAAGAGCCAGGACGCTTCCTTCAGGCCCGACTGGATGCAGCAGAGCACCGTCGTCACTTGCTTGCTTGGCACAGCTCCCTTGTGTCGCAGCGGGGAAGACAAGCCCAAAATGCGGGGGTGGGGCTGATGAAGTCGCCTAGCGATGTGATATCGCTGCAATCCCTGGATCTTGTAGGAAAGTTCTCCAGTCAGCTTGAGATAGACCCAGGATATCTTGGTAATTTATGGATGCCTCGAATGTCCACCTTGCTCAAGGCTCTGGGGTTTTCAGTAAAAATCTCCATTATCCAGTCCTGAAGTCAGTGGGAGAGAGTCTCGGTGATTAGGACGGCAGTCGGAGTCAACCGAGATGCGCCCTGGTTGCGATTCGCAAGGGGAGACGTTCCACTGCCAATTTCCAAGACGTGGCGTTCATTGTCTTCGACATAGGCGACTGAGGGAAGTATCGCGTCCGACTAAAGCGGCAATATCCCGACGGGACTATGACCGCGAATGCCAATTAGCCGACTTTCAGGAAGAGTCTCTCACCCATTTGATCCTATTTCTACGGGAAAATGCTAGGAATATTGGATGTTCAAGCAACGATTTGGCCGAGCACAGTTACGATACTGAGAACGAGTCGATTTGCCAATTAGTACTAATCACTCCTTCCGAACGATAATCTAAATGCACTCTACCGAAGCGAGAGAGGCGTGATGGCCTACCGTATGTGCATTCACTCATACCGAGATGCATCCCTAACCGCCAATCTTCCATACAGGTTTCCACAGTCGATCCCTCGACCCAGCGCAATTACATCTGAGCACCGCACAATGACGGCAAGCCGACGGAACGGGAGCGCTCCAGTCTGACATCCAAGACTCTCCGCAATGACGAGAAACCCGGCTCATGCACCGTTGAACTGGGCAACGATCGCCTAAAACCCGGGCTATAAGGCCGGGTAAATGCCAGCTTCTCGGTTAAAGTGCCCCTTTCAACCGACCACGCGCCCCTCAATTCGCCCGACTGGTTGAAGCATCCCAGAGAAGCCCCACCGCTCCGCCAATGACAAGTCCAGTGGGCCTCGCTTCCCCAACTTTCGTCCCCCCGGAATCGCCTCCAGTTTGGCTCTCCGCATTTGCCGTTGATCCCTTCCGTACCGGGCGCCCCTCCCGAGACTTGGGGCCATGTTTGGTCTCGTTGGAGCAGGATTTGGACCGCATTGGACCTTCTTTTTTTTGCTATTTACCCCGGTCGTGTCGCTCCTATAAAAACTGCCGGGGTCGCTGTTTGTAAAGGTGTCCATTTTCCGAGATCATTGGCAACCATGTATCGGATCACGAATATCTATGGTAAGTGGTTTGGTGTGAGCCGGGACGGCAGGGTATGGGAGATTCTAACAGTGCTAGTTCTGGCCGCCTTTGGTACCATTGGCGGTGCCCTCTTCGGCTTCGACATAAGGTATGTTCGGGTTTACAAGTCCTGACGTGTTATGGAGGGGTCCATATTGATATCAAGTGTAGTTCGATGAGCGCCTGGATTGGCGTCGACGCTTACAAGGATTACTTCAACAGCCCCGATTCAGACTTGTACGTTTGCACACTTTGCTCGACTTTCTTTCGGTCTACTGACTTCTGATCTAGACAAGGAGGAGTATGTCTCCAATCTGCGGATATTTCGTATTCCCCGATCTAATGTGCTTCCAGATCACCGCTTCTATGTCCGCAGGTTCATTCGCCGGATCCATCGCGGCGGGATGGATCTCAGATATTCTCGGCCGCAGGTACTCGCTCATGATCGCTTCTCTCATCTGGATCGTCGGGGCCATGGTCCAGTGCAGCGCCCAAAACGTAACCCACCTGATCGCCGGCCGTGTCGTGAGCGGCCTAGCGGTCGGTATCACCTCCTCACAGACCTGTGTCTACCTGTCCGAGTTAGCGCGCGCGAACATCCGCGGCCGAGTCGTCGGGATCCAGCAATGGTCTATTGAATGGGGGATTCTCATCATGTACCTGATCTCGTACGGGTGCTCGGTCGGCATCTCGGGGCCATCTGCGTTCCGGGTGGCGTGGGGTATCCAGGCGGTGCCGGGCTTGATTATGTTCATTGCGTTATTCTTCTTCCCCGAGTCACCGCGTTGGCTGGCGGGGAAGGAACGCTGGGAAGAAGCGCTCGATGTGCTGGCGTCGCTGCACGGCAATGGAGACCGCAATGATCCGACGGTGCAGTTGGAATTTGAGGAAGTGCAGGAGGCGGCTCGGGTGGCTCACCAGGCGAAGGATGTTTCTTTCTTGGCTCTTTTCGGACCGAAGATCTGGCAGCGGACGGTGTGCGGTGTGTCAGTGCAGATCTGGCAGCAGTTGCTCGGAGGTAATGTCTCTTAACACGGGGGTGGACTGTTCAACGCTGGGGCGTGGCTAACTGGGACCAGGGAACGTGGCCATGTACTACGTGGTATACATCTTCGAGATGGCTGGCATGGTAAGAGGAATCCATCCTCCTTCGAGCAGTGCGGACTGGCAGGGGGCTAATCATTTTCTTTTGTAGACGGGAAACACTACCCTGTGGTCTTCCGCAATCCAATACGTTATCTTCGTCGTGACTACCGGTATCATGCTCCCGGTCATCGACCGTGTCGGCCGGCGAACGCTCCTCCTCATCGGCTCTGTCACCTGCATGACCATACATGCCATTATTGCGGGAGTGATGGCCACAAGGGGGCATGCGGTTGCCTCAGTCAATGGGAACGCCAACCTGACGTGGGAAATCAAAGGCAGCTCCGGCATGGCGGTTATAGCCTTTAGTTATATTTTTACGGGAATCTACGGCTTCACCTGGGTATGTCCTCGTGTCCCCTCCCCAGGTGCCTGCACCGAATGATTTTCGCATTCCGCTAACTTTTCCCAGGCACCGACTGCTTGGATCTACGCCTCCGAGGTCTTCCCACTGAAGTACCGTGCCAAGGGCGTTGGCTTGGCAGCATCAGGCAACTGGGTAACGTTTCTCATTTCGACAACGCCGCAACGCTCAACACTAATCGCTCGACGCAGATTTTCAACTTTGCCCTGGCATATTTTGTCTCGCCCGCTTTCCACAATATCCAGTGGAAGACCTATGTTATCTTTGCAGTTTTCTGTTTTGCCATGACATTTCACGTCTTCTTCATGTACCCCGAGACTGCGGGACGGACATTGGAGGAGATCGACATGGTGTTCGACTCAAATGTCAAGCCGTGGCGAACCAACACCATTCAAGATCGCTTTGAGGAGGAACTTGAGAAGCGCGGGGCTAAGGAGGCTGCCACCGATCACAAGGAGGTTGTTTGAAACCTGTTTGAGATGCCAGAGTGCTTAATGTGGAAAGCCGATTGTACATGAACTCAGCCGGGAGCAGAGCAAATCTAAAGGGGCGTGTCCTGAAGTTCAAATTTCTTAGTAAAACATACTAGTTCAGCCCTGGAGTAGTATGCCCCTGCCAGATGCTATCGATAGGTGGAGCAAGGACTACTATAATAACCCAATCAGGTTCCACGACTCGGCGTACTAGCACCACTTGGGTTCTTTCTACCTGAGGCCGTCGGGCATACGCCAATAGGGTCGAATCCAAATACAAACCTCTGTATACGGAGATGCCAATTTACAAATCACCAAAAAAAAAAAGGGTTAAATTAATTAATGCAAGAAAGCAAAAGATCAGTCTAACATGGGTATTGGACCGTTCGACGACAGTAAGTAGACTAGACAGAAGAGAACGACAGCAGCCAAGGGCCGGTATAGCAAACTCGTGAATCGTCACGACATGCAAATAAGTGGGGGGGTATCGCAAATACGGGGAGAGGGAGCGGGTGGGAGGGAGCCTCACTCGCCCTATTTCTCCTCGGACGTGTTTCCATCACTCTCCTTGATTTCGTTGTGCTCGTGGTGGACCTCCGCCGCACGCTTGGCGGGGTTGCTGAGGACGCTGGCGCGGCGGACAGCTTCGTCCTCGATGTCGTCCAAGGTGCGCAGGAGTTCGCCGTTGGGGCCGTACATGTGCGGCTCGTGCCTGGCGACCTTGACGACGTCCCAGATCCCGGTGGATTTCTTGAAGATGCGGTCCATTTCTTCCAGCGAGCGGCAGGTTGTCTCGGGGAAGCAGAAATAGACGACCGGGACAATGGCAGCATTGCTGTGGAGGTGTTCTGTTAGTGATGGGATTCTTTTCGGACTGTGATGATGGATTGAGAACTTACATCACGGCGAAGATCACGTAGGTCTTATAGGTGATGTTACGGAAAGCAACGGGGGTGATCATGACGACCTATGGAATGGTTTGATTAGCTTCTTTTCTTCGGCATAATGAAGGGAAAAGGGAGGAGGGGGAGCGGGGGGCATATCACTCACCATGAAGTTCCAGATCCAGTTACTAGAGGTAGACAGCGCGTTGGCGGGGGCACGAATCTTCAAAGGCACGATCTCGGCTGGGTACAACCAGGTCATCCCAAGCCATCCAATGGCAAAGAACGTATTGAACACAAAGAGGAAGACCACCTGCGCAATACCCGCCTTGGTTCCAGTCGGAGTGAGCTTGTGCGAGTCGGAGATACTATCGGTGATAGCCAAAATAACCATGGATAAGGACATGCCGACGGCGCCGAAAAGCATCAGGGTCCGACGACCAAACTTTTCGATAGTGAACACCGCAACCCAAGAGGCAGCAAAGTATTCGGTTCCGTTACAGGCGGCAATGAGACGAGAGAGGGTGGAGCTCAATCCGACCTGGTTCTGCAGAATAGTCGGGATATAGTAGGTAATCAAGTTGATCCCGGAGATCTGCTGGAACATCTGGTTGACATAGGCGAGCATGGTGCGGTGGAAATGGCGATCAGGACCCATGGTGAACATGTCGCGGAAGGAACCCTTGGCCATCTCCAAGACGGTAGCCTTGATGGCAGTGAATTCCGTGTCGATGAAGACCTCGTCGGTGCCCTCTCCCATCAGACAGGCCAGCACATCCCGGGCTTCCTCCTCGCGACCCTTCAGAATAAGCCAGCGGGGGGACTCCGGCAGGAACATGACGAAACCCAGGATCACGGCCGCGAAGAAGATCTGGAAGGCCAAGGGGAACCGCCACGAGACTTCATTGGGATCGGTGAACATCAGACCGAAATCAATCCAGTAGCTGATCGTGATACCGCACGTAATCATGGCACCTTCGATCATCACCATCTGGCCACGGCGGTGCGACTTGCAGCATTCCGACTGCCAGGTCGGCACCGTAGAAGTGTTGATACCGTTACCAAACCCAGTCACCAGACGACCGACGATCAATTGGGCCAGTTCGTAAGAGGTGCATTGCAAGAGAGCGCCGATCACCATGATGAAAGAACCGAGGAAGATGGCCTTGCGACGACCAAGGTAGTTACCGACCCAGATCGTCGGGATGGATCCGGCGAAACATCCCAAATTGTATGCTGCAACTACAATACCTTGGCGAGTGGACGTACTCGGATCGGTGTCTCTGATGGTGTCGATACTGGGGAAATAATGGGTGAAGGAGTCCAGCGTCAACAGACCACCCGTCACGCCTTGATCGTAGCCGAACAGCAAGAAATCCATACCAGCGAGCAGACCGATGGCGATCTGCAGCTTGGTGCCATCGAGACCCAAAAACTTTTTGGCCATCTTGGCAGGTTCGCAGGTCGCACCTGGAATTCGCTAGGCGAAATTTACAAGTTGCTTGAAATTCGGTGTGATATAACAATAATCAGGGACACGCAAGCATTGAACCGGAGGGTCAGGCACGATATAGAGAGGCCAAGCAGGGACTAAGAGAAAGCCCAGAAAAAGCCAAGGAAGTAATCGAAAATCGATCGCACGAAGATTGGGGGAGGGGGGGGTTTGGCCGGATTTAAAAAGGAATTGATGGACCGTATGGACGCTTCAGGACTAGGGTGCGGGGGGGGGCTATGAGTACGAGTCCATACAGACAGAGCAGGGGTTGATTCTCGGTCCATGTAACGACCATGGGGTATGGGGGATATGACTAGCCCCATCTCGTCCTAGTGGACTAGGGTATCAACGGCCCCCAGTATTCCGGATAGTAATTTCCCATGCAAAAGGAAAGAAAGGGGTGGGTAAAACCAAAAAAGAAAAAAAGTCGAAAGTAGAAAAAAAAGACAAAAAAAAAAAAACAGGGATCCCTGGTTGAAGGTGCCAGAATCGAAGCAACCAACTCGCGAACTCTGGGCCACGCGAGAGGCCCCCCCGCGAAACCCCGGGTTTCAATCCAATCAGCGTGGAGTCGCAGTGGGGAGACCAGGGCAAAAGTCCCCCAGTCTGAATAGGACGCATTCAATTTGCGTCCAAGGCCCTGGCCGAGTCCGGGTTCTCCATCTTGGGTTAGCCTCTCTTTCTCCAGAGAGCTTCAGCCCGTCTCTGTCAGCCTGTCAGAGTTCGCGTGCTTTGGATCCGTCATGAGCCCCGTTTTTTTTTCTCTCCCACGTCCCCAGATCCTCCCAGTTCTGGGGATGGTAGCACCGTCTCATACGCGGAGAATCTGCGCACTTGCGCGACCATGCTTGGGCTATGGACTTTTCAGGTAGGGCTAAGCTATCGCATGGGTTATTGTATTACCCTGCACCCGGAAACCCGCTCCTGCTCTGCTGTATTCCGCTGGGATCGAAAACAATGTGACTTGCAACCCAACCGGCCCCTTTCAGCTGATCGTAGTTCAAGATATACCGCATGTTCGGGAGTAGTATACGACAAATTACCTCTAACCTGAATAGTATGGCTATCTCTACGATGCCTTCGCAACAGGAGCTCTAGATGATAGGGACGGCAGATCATGCCATCCGTTTTATTTCAACCGGCAAAACGAGCCCGGGATCCTTAGGGGGGAAGGGGGGCGAGAAAAATTCGCTATACCGAAAGGAAGCCACGCGGGGGCTTGGCATATGCACGATCAGTAAGCCTCTCGGGTCAGTGGCTTGGGCTTTGACGGTCTTGGTCAGGCTTGGGTCGTCTTGGAAAGGCTTGAACGGGCTTGGAAAAGGCTTGGAAAAGGCTTCGCAAAGGCTTCGCAAAGGCTTTGCTCAACCTCATGCCGAACAGTGTCCATGAAGTCCTTTGCGACCACGGATGATTCGGAAATTAATTGCGTAAAGTTTGCTGCCAGGAATGAACGAAGATCAAAGACGATGGAGGCTCGGGCTCGACAAACCCGGCATACGCTACGCCGCAAGGGGGGCCCCCCCCCCTCGGGGCGCCCGGGGAGCGGCTCAGCTCCCGATCGAATTTCCAAAAGCATCCGGTATTTGCGGTGTTGCGATCGTGACACGAAAACCAATCGTGAGACCCGTACTCCGTACGGAGTAGACCCGAAGTGTCTAGCCGAGCAGCATTGTGCCGTCTGCCAGAGACGGGACTCCTTCGCGGAGATCGTAGGCTCTTTGGCAGCGAAAAAAGGTCAAGGTGCACGCTAGAATGCAGCCACCCATTCCACTGGACAGTCGCATGAGCCAACGAACCGCCGAACCTGGCCCAAACAGCCCAAGGCTCAAATCGACGGGCGAGTGCAACATCTGAGGTGCCTCCCCACTTGCCTGCTCCGGCGTAGCGCTGGGTCCAGCTTTGTTGCGCCTTTCACCTCCACGCCGCGGTTGTGGCCGAATCCTGGGGAGATAGCCACGTCTTTCCGCTTCAGGCAGTTCCGGGGGGTTGCGACCCACTAAGCTAATACTCTGTCACCCGATTGTTTTGGCTTTGTGCTCACATGGTCCCGATGCGAGACACGCATCAACTTTTCTAGAAGCCTGCTGCTGCGTCCGTTGGTTTCGAATGCCCGGCGCCTGTCCGGGGGGTCAGCACAGCGCCATCAGGTCCTTCCCGCCGCCGCTGAGGTCATGGGCCAGAGAATTTTGCGCGCTTTAACTTTTCCCATGGTGGCTTGCGGATCATTTAGATTGATCGGCCACGCTTTGGCCGTACTGTAGGTGCTCAAAGCATCAGAACGGGGAGGGGGAAACAAGGTTGAGGGCTGTGGTTGGCCCAGCCAGGTTCCCACGCCCCGGCTCGTGTTGACTCTACAAAGCCATTAGGGCTTTCTCCAATTCGGGTATTGCTGAGTAGCAAATCCTACAAGGGTTCTCCCATGAGAATACGAGGAATAGGGTAATATTAGCGGTAGCATGGAGTCTGATTCTAGTATGCATAATAAATAATATTGTTCTCGAGTCACCTAGTGCTTCCTCTGTTGATCTGTCTTTTGCTTTCACATCTCCTTCGACCCACACGCCCATGTGTTCTCTCTATTTCTCTACTTTCTGCACGCTTTCTTTGCATGGGCTATGGGGAACTAGACGCCCCGCAATCTTGCATCTGCTTTATCATACCCAATGACCTATCCAGGATCCGTCTTGCGGAGTGTAACTTATTGGACACGGGTGGCCGGGCTGACATTGCCCGATGAGGCTCCTCGGTATGGCGCTGGCAGGGCGTAACCCGTACGGCAACGGACTAGCGGGTTGCCTCTTTGGTCTACTTAGACTAGGGATAAGCATATGCTGCCTGTCAATAATTGAATCCCTTTGCCATTCAGCCTGGGTCTATTTTGCGGGGTTCTGGTCTCAAGGTTGTGCTCTGCAAGGCGCATCACGGTCTCCACCGCATCCTGCGGGCTAGTACCCAACAGGCACTCACCGAAATTTTCTGGAATATGCCGCATGTACCTGGAGGGACCTCCCCTCGAAGGGAAGTTGACCTTGAATGATCCAGATGTCGATCTGGCTTCTCCGGCATACACAGCTGAATGATTCTGATATGCGAAGATTTGTCCTGCAACAGCTACTACTAGATAGTAGTAAATGCAACCGCATCATACTGATAGTATGATCGACTCGAATTCGTGTTCCATCGAAGCACATCATAGGCTTGAATGAGGGGAGACGACCCTTCAGCATTGTTGTTATCAGCAACACGCATTTCACGGTCATTCAGTTGCGATCATACTCCCCACTGCTTCCAATTTAGGTAGCAATTTGTGGTTTTATCGGGAGCGTCACAAGTACCCACGATGATGCTTGCATTTGCCCCGTTTCAGCTCACTGGGCTCCGGGTACATCATAGGCGAGAGATACGACCTTGCGGAAAGCATTGTCTTGCTGTCTTCCCCCTATCTTCGTGTGTGGAATTGACTCTGAGGCTCTCTGTCACCAGACATCGCTCCATTTAGCCCTGCTGATGGATGTGGTTATCAGAATAGTGCACATTGAGAAAGTTATGCATAACACGCTCTACATCTACCCTAACCCTGGGTCAGCCAGGACCCTATCTAGCACATTCCTCGGGGCGTGGCATCCAGAACACTGGGACCGCGGATAGGATATCGTTCTTCGGATGTAGTGCATTTTACCCCTTTTGGACCCCCTTTCTAGCATTTACCTTAGCTTTGAAAAGCGCCTCTAAAACTATGAAGGATCTTCCAGCCGCCTACATCATCGACAAAAAAATTTTTTTTTTCGAAAAAAAAGCCCCATTCTGCTTTTCGCAACAAGCCCTAGTCTAGTCAAGCCCGTTTGTGTTTAAGAAGGCGCACTGGGTTTTGAAATAGAAAGATGTTTGCTTATAGTCCGTTTCTGCGTGGATAGGTGGATCTCAACAAGTGGATCGTCGGAAGGTAAACATCCCTTCCCGGGTATTACCCTAAATTGGTACCACTTCAAGTACTGCAAGTCGTATATCGCAATCCAAGAATCATTCGTAGTATTATCTTGATAACATCCATCCCAGAGCTTTCATCTGATCCAAGGTATGTGACAACCCCAAATGATCGCCAGATATTCGTGGTTATACTTCGCCGACAAGCATCTGGTTTGCGTCTAGAGCCTTGCACCATACCAACACCAGACTCGAAACCCTTCCCTACACGGCGCACCAGCACAGTTCCAAGGTGTGATGCCAGCGAAGGACGTCTGCTAGTACTACATGCATCCGTCTAGTTATTGTTTCACGGCTAAGTCAGAACGAACCAGCTTGTAGCCCGTGCCACTCATGCCAGTAAAAAGAGCCGCGCTGTGTACAAAAGTGGTAGGGTCAGAGAACCCCTCGGGCGCTTGCATAATACCTTATGATGAGAAGACGTGACTCTCCAGGATTTACATAATTTGACAGCGTCGGCGAGTACTGCGATGGCCATGGAAGTCACGCAACGCCGCGGAACATACCTCTCGTCATTGGAATGCTAGATTAAGCGATCAGGCTCCCTATAGGCGCGAGGACTCTTCATGCCCCTTGCTTCTGACAGTGGTCCGGTTCCAAGCTGAGCTTTCCTTGATTGCAACAATATCCCGAGCTGGCTCATACGCTTAACGCAACATCGACCCTTCAGCGGAATCCTCCGAATGGGCGAATGTACCTGACAAGAAACTATTCACAGTCTCCCTTGTTTGGCTGTGAAGAGTATATATATATATATATATATATATATATACTGGGCTCATGGCAAAACGCCTTGGTAAGTGGGAGTCGGGTGATGGCGAGCTTGACAATCGAGATGATATTCCGCTGAAAGAGTCCGGATGCGATGGGCTCTGTGAGGATGAAGACGTAGAGTATCCGTCTACCGCGAAGCTCATCCCCATTCTCGTGGGACTATCCTTCCAGTCGTTCTGCATTGCTCTGGTGGGTTCTGCGTTTTGCGCCGAAGGGGATTCTGCTAACAAAACTCAGGATAACACCATCCTTGCCACCGCCGTTCCTAAAATCACCCAACAATTCAATTCTCTCGAAGACATTTCGTGGTACGCGAGTGCGTACCTCCTGACGTCGTGCGCCGTGACCCTCCCCTTCGGCAAGATATACACCTACTACTCCACCAAATGGACCTATATTATTGCCCTCACGCTGTTTGAAATCGGATCCCTTACGTGTGCCGCCTCGCCGACATCCAAGGGTCTTATTATGGGACGGGCGATCTCTGGGATTGGGTCGGGGGGCTTATCTCCAGGTGCTCTTCTGGTGCTCGCAAAAAGTCTTCCATTACACCGACGCGCGCTTTATTTTGGTATAATTGGGTGTACCAGCGGCATCGCCACGGTGACCGGCCCTCTGTGAGACTAGCCGAGCCTTGCCCCCCTTTTTTACTGTGCAAAAGCGCTAACACAATTCAGAATTGGCGGGCTTCTTACCGATCGAGCCAGCTGGAGGTGGTGCTTCTATATTAACATTCCATTCGGTGTGGTGACAGCTGTTATCATCGGCGTGTTCTTCAAAGATTCGAAAAATAAAGCGGCATCTCACCTGGGCAAATGGAGCCAGATCAAACGAATGGACCCGTTCGGCCTCCTGTGCTTTATTCCGGCAATTATCTCCATCCTTCTCGGCTTACAATGGGGAGGCACTAAGTACAGTTGGACAGATGGCCGGATCATCGCTCTTTTTGTGCTCTTCGGGGTATTTTGCTCCTTATGGTGTTTCGTGCAGTACTGGAGACAAGAGGAGGCGACTGTACCTCCTCGACTACTCTGCAATCACAATGTGCTCGGGGCAGTCATCCACGCTACATTCCTGGGAGGCTCATTCTTCGTTTTCGGATACTATGTGAGTCTGGAGGAGGGAGAACCCAAGAAAAAGGAAAAACCCCCCAACCGAACCGATCAATACTTACACAGACCCCAGCTTCCGATTTGGTTCCAAGCCATCAAACAGGTCTCTGCCTCTCAGTCCGGCATCGATAACCTCCCAATGGTCGTGGCCATGATCATCTGCTCGGCCATGGGCGGACTTGTGGTCAACCTACTCGGATACTACACCCCACTCATGTTTCTCGGCAGCGGCTTCTTAACCATTGGAGCAGGACTGTGTACGACCCTCAAAGTCGACACAGAGATGGCCAAATGGATCGCGTACCAGGTTATTCTGGGCATGGGCGCGGGGGTAGGGTTCCAGCAATGCATCAACGCGTTGCAGACCGTGTTGCCGTTACACGACATCCCTGTCGGCATTGCGATAATCACCTTTGCGCAAAGTCTCAGTGCCGCGCTATTCATCTCGATCGCCCAAAACGTCTTCCAGAATCGACTCGTCGCGAGCATCCGCACATACACCCCGCTCCTCAGCCCCGGCGATATCTTGGACGGCGGTGCCACGAATTTGTCGGCCCGGATATCCTCCACGCTGCTGCCGAGTGTGCTCTATGCATATAATGTCGCAGTCACCCAGACCTTTTACGTCTCGGTCGCGGCAGCAGTTCTTTCTTTCGCCGGGGCAGGGCTCGTGGAGTGGAGATCGATGCGACGACCGCAGAGTGCGAAACAGGAAGCCCAAACTTGAACTGGGTGCAGCCTACATCAGCGTTTTCCATCAGCGTTTTCCACGGAAAGATGATCCCTATATTTGTGTACGAGAACTACGATAATTCCTAAGTTATGTTGATATTGCTATTATCGCAAGTATAAACACTTTCAGACCAGAGTAGATTTTGTTTTTTATTTTGGTTTTTTTTTGATAAGTCCGTATTCACATGATGCAGCAGACCCCCAGGTCAGACACCACCTCCGGCTGGACGTCTCGACCTAAAGCCACTCGCATGCGATGCTCCGTGAAAAGCTGCCGAAGCCACGCGGCTCGCCCGCCCCATCGCACATCGCGAAAGTCACTCTGGTAGTCGCCCAGGATACTCTCAATCCGCGCAATCCGCTGCGGATCGTCGGCTGTCGACAACGCGACCACGAGGCACAGGGCTGCATAAGCCGAGCCTAATGGACGATAGCACGAGGCCAAGTGCGCTTCGTCAACAATTGCATCACAGAAATACGCGGCCTCGTTCATCAACATCGCGTTACCGGGATCGAAGATACGCATCAGGGCGTTTGCAACCAAGGCCAAGGATGCCATCATTACGTATGCGGTCTGGTAGCGAGCCCGAGGGCCGGGGACCAGAGGCGAGGAGGTCGTGACTTTCTCCGCCGCAAGCTGATCGAGAAAAGAGCGGGTTTTCTGCGCGTCTTCTCGGAGCTGGAAATACAAACTGGTAATCGCGGGTAGGTGGGCGTCTGGGTTGCGCATGAACTCGGGGAGCATGGAGATTGATATCAGGGACATCGATGACCGGGGGCCCTTGCTCGAGAGGACGGTGGGGCTTGTTCCAGGAGTGATGCCACGTCTTCCCAGAAGGTCGATTCCATCCTGATTCGCGGGTTACTGATTCCCTCGAGGATCTGTATAGCGCAGTGAGGATGGGGACGCGAGACTTGGCGGGCTTTTTGTGTGATGGGGGGGGGAAGGAGCAGAATGATATATGGACTTACGAGTGGGACGGCGAGGATGGCGATCAATTCGCGTTCGAATTTGCCGGTGCATTCTTTGACGTTGATGTTGCGTAGTAAATGGGCGATGGCCTCTCCGTGGTTTATACTGGAGTTTCCCATCCAGCTCTGTTTCATGTCAGAGGTAAAAACCTAGGGTTGGGGAAGAGGGTGAAAGCAAGTACCTGGCAGACGGAGATGAGGTAGATCGCACATAGTGTGTCGGGCGAGTGGCACGCTCTGGGGTCACTCAAGGTCTCGCGCAGTACCCTCAGTGATCTGCCGTAATCAACCAGAACCTCTTGGGGAAAGTCACGGCCATGTACTTTGTGAAAGTATGGATAGGACGTAACCAGGGATTTCACCGAGGCATCCAACGCAGCACTCTGTCCTAGTCTTCGAGGGAGATCATGGAGGAACAGCCCGTAGTACGTAATGGCATAGCGCACATCGTGAATTTGGAGTGTGCTAATAAAGCAAGACAGTAGAGCGTCTGTGGGCAGTTGTTGTGCGATCTTGGGACCGGGCACGGCCACCGCAGATCGACGCCTTCTAGACCTCGGCTGGACCGGTTGGGATGAGTCTGCATGTTGGAATTTGTACCGTTGTTGCCCACTTCCTTCACAGGGAATCTGCAGCCGTTGGCACCGAGAACAGGGTTGGAGTTCATCGCACTATCGACTTTTTATTAGACTGAATGCCCAATAGGGTTCATGCCGAGAAGTGAAGCGGACCTTCTTCTTTGCCTTCCGGCACGCATTGCATCCTTTACTGGTCAGGGCACCTGGCATCGTGGGTATTAGGCGCGCAGCCGCAGGGTATTACTCAAAGCGGCAATGGAGGAGGGGAGTAGCAATTGTAAACCTTGCTACCAGGGGCGTTTGGAGATATTGATTAAGGAGTGCGCGGGGTTCTTTGGGCCGAATTCCCCAGACACCAACGGGGTCACCCGCACTGTTAAATCAACTCTTCGATTGTCGTCTACCCCTAGTCATGATCATCTCTGGCAGCTGAACTGCCGATGCAGAAGGGCACCAGCTGGCGATGAATTGTTCACAGACGAAAGCTGAGGCCGTGCGATCTTGAATAAGCTTCTCAGCTATGGCGACTTCAACATCCTAAATGCAGCAAAACACTGCGATCGCCCCATCATTCCTGAAAGGGGCGAGGATAACTATTGGCTGGACGTTCGACCGCTAGCCCAAGGCCCGGAGCCTGTCAGAATCAAGATTATATAATTGGGCGAGTAAGTGTGGGGGCGACCTTGGCATCACCAATATGGGGGCGAGTTTCAGCGGCATAAAACAGTCATGATCGACGTAGCCCTATGTCTTGTTCATAGGCATCACGCTATATAAGGCCTCAATCGCATATTGACATGCAGGTGCCTCCTTGTGGATAAGATAGTTGAGTCTCCGGGCCTCATAGTATGTTTTTTTTTTTGCCGCTTTACCCTATTTGTACAGTCCCCATAACGAAAAACACAATTGCCCATCGAGATTAGAGGCGACTTGGAGCGATCTAGGGGAAGGGGAGTACCCAGAAAAGCGCGTGATAATTCAGGAAAGGAACACGGAGTCATGACATTCGCGAAACTCACAAATCCACCATACTTTTCGACGCCCAGATGCTCTCGCCCATCTGGGTGGACATCCTAGTGATGAGTCCCCAGTGTTTTCAATTGCTGTTGCTAAAGATGACGACCCGAACGCGGCCGTATTTTTGCTGACGGCAGAGGTCCCCATGACCTTATTGGGACAGCAAAATTGCCAGGCAAATTCAGCTCCAAATTCCAAGTGATATTACGTGGTCGGCTTGCCGGAATGGACGAGTATTCTTGACCTTGCCCCGTGTCGATGCTATGTGAATGGATAGCAAGAACGGGCTCTGGTTGTCAGCTTCCGAATTGGACAGAATATGGATACCCTTCTCCCCTGCAGGGTTTTATAGGATACTAATTCGTGAGCTTGGAACTATAGGGCGATCTCTTTGTGCAGCCGCATAACCAGCCCGACACCATTATCCAACCCCTCTATGTCTACATGATCGATATTGGTCTTGGTCTCTTGTCTGATTTACTATGCTTGAAGAGCACACCGGATGGAACATTCTCCGGGTCTTCGCTGCAGAATCTAGGGCCTTTTGTTTCACGGTTCAAATCAAAGGATCAATGGAAGCCCGCCGAAACGGCGACCTTGAGCAAGTAGGCTGTTTATTCCTTTTCCACCTAATATCGTAGAGACAGACCGAAAAATTTCTCGCAGAACCATCTTCTTCAGCTTCAACGGTTTGTACTGTAGTCTAAATGGATTAAATAAAACGCTCCCTTATGCTAGGTAAAATATGCTACGTATAATATGCTACAATCAGCTTCGTCAAGTTTTGACAGACAACGAGGACCCGCAGTACCCCAGGTGATTTCAACTCTACACCACAATCAGTGGTGATACCCCCGCCACCAAACAGCCATACAAGCCGCAACAAGCAGGTCCAACATCTTGATGCCCTCATCCTCGATAATCAACTTCCCCAGCTTGGCACTCTTGCCACGCATACCACCTCCCGCCAGTTCCCGGGCCAAGGAGAAATCAAGCCGATCCTCATCAGAGTCTTGACCACTGCTATTACTAGGACTACGCCGTCGGTGGAAATGCGCATGGCCGGACTGAGCCTTTTGAGCGGCAAATTGGCTCGCACGTAGAGATGTTTGGCGGAAGAGTTGCGTAGGGTTGATGTTACCCCGATGAGGATCAGGCGTATGGGCAGTAGGCTGGTTCGAGTTCGAGTGGGCACGGGGACGAGTGTAATTATTCGGGTTCAGGAATTGAGAGAGGGACGCTCGCTTGGATGTTGGGCTCATGGATTCAAGGTCGCGGTTCGATTGAGGATGGAAGGTTGGAAAATGGGATGAAAGGTGGTTTGTGTGTCTCGTTGCGTGGTGGTGAAGGTTCGCAGCTTGCGAGGGCATGTTGAAACGAATTTCTGCTACCGTCACTGCGGGATTGGTTTGTTCGCCATCGCTGTGGGTGGGCACGCCGCTCGGCCCAGGGATCAGATGCTTGCATTTGAGACTGCGGCCGTTCACGCTGCTGGAGAAGGTACAGGTCCCATTCCAGGGAGAATTGAAGACGTAGTAGCCGCTCTTGAGCTCCGATTGCCCAGAGGAGTGGTCATCAGAGGGCTTGGAGACGCGGAGCTGTCTGTGGAACTTGCGTGGGCCGGTGGTCTGCTCTGCTGGTTGCTCTGCTGGTGCTGCCTGGGCCGCCGGAGGGATGGAAGATCCAGCAGTGTGTATCAAGCCCGGGGGTAGATTTGCAGCAAGACTAGCAAGTGACATTGCATCATTAGATCCAACAAAGCGGTTGTACCCAGGCGTGGCGATTTCCAGATCCACTGGTTCGGTTGGATTTGCAGTGGAAATCGTCGCAACATTCCACTGCATACCAGATGTAGGATCTCGCCGAATGAAGGTGATGCGAAACCCTGGCCGACTTGCGGGGTCTGGCGGGCTTCGCTTCCGCACAGGCGAATGGTCATGGTTTCGTCTTGGCGAAGGTACGCGGTCTTGTGAAGGGCGAGGAGGCAGGGGGGGGTCTGTTAGAGTCAAGACTAAACCGGCCCGGCGTTGCCGACCCGTCGTTATGCTTCCATGTGCTCGGCGTAGGTTCGTTATGGTTTGAATGGTCCCCCCATGCTTCTTCGTTAGGAGGCACAGGCGGCAGGGGCCGCCTGGCGATAGGGCTGTGAGCTCCGGAGCCTCCCGCAATCTCTACTGGAACATTTTCTGGGCCTGTAGGCGGCGCATTGGGGCCGGAGAGATCGTATATCGGGGTATTTTCGGCAAACTGTTGAGGCATTGAAACCGGGCGCGGCGGCAAAGACGGAGGGTTTGGCGGGGTGTCCTCTTGTTCTGGCGCAGGAGCAGATTCTTGCCCATTTTCCGTTACCTTGACAGGCTTCCGACGAATGGTATTCATCCTCGCAAACCCTCGCTGCGCAGGATCATTCGTACCGGTCGCTTCGAGCTCCTCCCTCCGTCTTTCGGCATCCTGCTTGCGTTCCAGCTCGAGCTGTTCTAGTAGCTCGTCGTCCTCGGGTGTCGCGACGTGGAGGTAGTAGAGAGAAGCATTGATGGCCTCCGCAGAGACGCTAGATTTTGTCGGGGGTTTCAATGGGGAGAGAAATAGATCTGTCTCACGTCTACGTCAGCTTCTTAATCTTATCTTTAACATAGTGCACCGATAAGGAAATCCTGACGTGCCGGACGTCATTAACGCATATTTCAAGAAGGGCAATCACCTTGGCTCCCTGGCACTCGCACAATGTATAGTATGAGCTGGTCAAGCTTCTCGTGTGTCGGGTTGCGGGGATAGGCAGGCGGATTCGAGGCGATGGCAGTAACCGATGACAATGAGCGGGCCTCAACGGGACCCTGAGCAAGAGTTGACATTGTGCGCACAAGCTTGGGCTCGGCTACAGTGTGCCGGCCAGTATGGAAGGCAAAAATCCAGAAGAGAGTGGCTTGTGCTCAAAAGAGCCTCTTTATGGATGAACAGTTGGAGGAGGAGAGATTTTGGTGGGCGCAAAGTAAACAGCGGGGCCATCCGGGGACGGGCATAACAGTGGCGCCTGACGATAATAAAGACTAGTTATTACTTGTCTACCTAATTCATGGAGCAGCACCTAAGACTGCATTTGTGACACTCTGGCCCAAAAGTGCTAGTGGTTATAAGCAAGGGCGATGTGCGACACGAGCGATAGTAAGGCCAAGTGTGGCGCAGCGCGCTTGCGCAGGCAACCATTACGTCGAGGATCTACAACGCTTATTGCCATTTTTATAGCAGAATTATTCAACTAGTATGGTTGCCACGCTTAACTTGACTACGATTACTACCTTCCCCCTATTTAATAGTGGTGGGTATATAGTGGCCATGCGCTCTTTACGATGGACATTTTGGAAGATTGCTGGGATGCTTGCGTTCCTTTTGTCTCAGAGACAACATTGAATGTATTGATAGACAGCACATTGTATGGATGAGAAGGCATACTTTGATTTATTCGACAATTGGTATCTCCACGTGACTACAGAAGAGGAGCAAAAGATAAAAGGGTTCAAGGGGAGCACCATGCAAAGAGGGGGAATTAAAGAGAGGGTGCCTGAAGAAGAGATTCTCCGTAGAATGGATGTCCACACAAATAATAAAAGAAAACTCCTTGCCAGGATTACGCCATAACGGTCCTTATCCGTTTCCTAGTGCCGTTTCCATGATCGTAAATTAGACGACAGTTTCCGACCGCTCGCCTTCAGCAATGATGGGAACACCCAGCCCGCGGTCTGGGCTTTGCAAGACCAGCTGCTCGTGACGGCGTGCTCGGAGGAAATCGCTGACAGCTCGGATGAGGATAAACCAGCCCACGATCATGAGAATATGTGAGATCCATTCACTGGTACTGATGCCAGATACCGCGCCGCCTCCACCGCTGCCACCATCAGTTGCTGCCACTGAGTTTGGGTCGAAGCTATGGCTGTTAGGGTCCGGGGGTGGGGCGTATTGATTGGTGCCTCCATCACCACCAGGGGAATCGCTGCCACCCTTCATGTAGAAGCCGTATTGCACAAGGGTCAGACCGAGACCGGCTCGGCTCCCGTTTTTGGCGGCATGGGTTGTGTGTAAAAGGTAGGTCAAGAGGAAACCAACAAGCTGGAAAGACATAGAGATCATAGCGTTCCAGACAAAGGAGAAAATGGATCCCACGGGGAGCCCGTCCACGTAGACCTCATCCGATGCGAGGCCAGGAGCCACGATCGTAGTCTCCCAGTAAGGAGGAGTCGCATCAGCAGCAGCTTCTTCGTATGACTGAGAAAATATTTATTAGGATACACCGGATAAAGTACGAGACAAAGAATGGTACGTATAGGGTTACTCACGGGTGGTAAGTCATCAGTTTTCTCGCCTGGCTGAGGCTTGGCAGCTAAGTTCGCAAAAACACCATCATTCGATGCAGCGATCGCGCGGCCTCCCGCTGTTGCTGGGGCTGTAAATATTGGCAACATAGTCTGCCGTCGAGGAAGATTCGGTGTAGGAGGATTCTGAGCGTCGATTCCGGACCCCGACGATGAGCCGGTCGCTGCCGAGGGCTGGCCATTCTCACTGGGTAACGAGGAGTCAGGGTTGGCACGCATCAGCCGTTGGCGGTCGTCGGGCTGGTCATCTCCATCCGACTCATCGCCGTCGTCAAACGCATCGGCTAGTGTCTGGTCCTCATTATGGCGGAGTGGGTCATCATGCAATAGCCGCCTGGATGATGGCGAGGAAGATCGGGAGCGGAATGACGGGGGCGGAGAGTGTGGCGTGAGGTCGGAACCAGTAGGATTCAACGGATACGATTGAGAGTGGTCTTCATCATCTTGGGCATTCACCTGTGTGGATGTTAGTCGTGATTCAAGCGACCCGGGATTTCTCAGGCTGTTCCGGGGGCAATGAGGATCAGCGGGAGGGGGGGGGGGACAGGACCCGTTGATAGCGCTGCGAGCTCATGACGAGCTGAGCGTGTGAAGAAGGAGGAAACCGTATGGACAAAAGAAACGAATTAAGCGCAGGTGTAGAGAAGGCAAAAGGAACAAGAAAAAGGAGAAGGATAAAGTGAGAGGCGAATCGATGAGGAAGCGCCGAGAATCGAGTTCGAAGGCAACAGGGAGTCGATGAGGGGCCTCAGGCAGCGACTGACAAATGCGACATGGAGTCGCGGCGGAGCTTCAATCGTGGTTTTTTATCTCCGAACGCAAACCCCCATCGCTCCTTACACCATGGCCAGACCACAGGTATGTCATGTGTCTATTCTCGATCCTATTATTGTTGCGATTCTCGATCTGAGCGTTTCGCTACCATTGTCTTCCATTATGAAAGCCAGTGCTAATTAGGCCTAGAACCCGCGTTCCCTGTCAACGCGCCTCACCCACCTCCTAAAACACTGGCCTGCAGATCCTGTCCGGCCAGCCTCTGTTTCAATACAGACCTACCTTCAACATGCCCTAGGCCAAAAACCCAATGTGCCAACCAAGAAGAACCAGCCGCCCCCCGGACAACCTGTGATCTCCGAATCTTCCGCAGAAGCCCTCGAAGCCTTATTGGAAAATCGCTTTGCCCGCCGGTATCCCCTCCCGAAGAAGATCCGATATCCAGCGAGTGACCCTGATCACTATGATAATCTCATCCGAGAATTTGAAGAGGCACCGAATCGAGATTGGTTTGGGCGCTTAAGGAAGCGTTTGAGTGGAATGGTTCGTCTGTGACATCTCCCTACCAGTCTTAAGGGCGGCTTGTATCAACTTGATATCGTCTGCCAATTTCCAACCGCGATGGTCTATTTGCCTACTGCAATGAGGTCGTGCTGATCGGACAGCTCGGCGTGTAATAATATTTCTCTACTGTGTCACTATTCAATATACCCAAAAAGATCTACAAACAGTGGAATATGATGAAAGTATATGCACTGTCTTAGCAGTCTAAAATTCATTTTATAAATAAACGCCGAGACGGAAAAGAAAGAAAGAAAGAAAACGTGACGTATGTAAATGCCCCTAAACGCAAACGCTCAAATGAAATCAACCCAAGTAGTTCACAGCATAGGCTTCAGATCATCCGCGACCTTGAAAGGAGCCTCGGTCTTAGCCTTGACCTCTTCCACAGTCACACCGTCAGCGATTTCGATCAAAGTCAGACCATCAGTGAAGTCGACATCAAAGACACACAGGTCAGTGATAATTCGGCTGACACAAGCAGGGCCGGTCAAGGGGAACTCGCACTGCTTGACGATCTTAGGGTTGCCCTTCTTATCGGTGTGCTCCATCGTCACAACAACCTTGGTCGCGGATGGGTTGGACACCAAGTCCATGGCACCACCAAAGCCCTTGATCTTGCCAGGAAGCATCCAGTTGGCCAAATCGCCCTTAGCGCTAACCTGCATGGCACCAAGAATGGTCAGATCGATACGACCGGAGCGGATCATGCCGAAAGACTCGTCACTTCCGAAGACCGCAGCACCGGGCTTCAGGGTGACAGTCTCCTTTCCGGCGTTGATCAAATCGGGGTCCTCCTGACCCTTCTTGGGGTAAGGGCCCAGTCCAAGGATACCGTTCTCCGACTGGAGAGTCACCTCGACAGAGGAGTCCACGAAGTTAGGAGCCAGCATGGGCATGCCGATTCCCAGGTTCGCGTACATGCCATTCTTGAACTCCTTTGCCGCACGGCGCACAATACGCTCGCGCTTGTTGGCAGTCTCTCCCTGGCCCAATGCAGAGGTGTCCGCCCCTTCCTCCTTGGCGAAGGTGTACTTCTCGATCTGCTTCTCGGTTGTGCTCTGGATCACGCGCTTGACGTAGATACCCGGCAAGTGAATAGCCGCCGGGTCGATCTCGCCAGGCTCCACGATGTGCTCGGCCTCGACGATGGTCATCTTGGCATTGCGGCCCATGGCGCCGTTGAAGTTGGCTGCCGCGTAGCGGAACTGGCAGTTACCCAGCTTGTCGGCCTTCCACGCTTTGACGAAGGCGTAGTCGCCCTTGATGGCCTCCTCCATCACGTAACTCTTACCGTCAAACACCTTGACATCGCGCGGCTGGCTGTATAGCTGGACAGTACCGTCGCTGTTGTGCCGTAGGGGCAGGTCGCCGGTCTGCACGACTGTCCCGAAGGCGGCGGGAGTATAGAACGCAGGGATACCAGCGCCGCCAGATCGGCATCGCTCGGCAAGAGTTCCTTGGGGGGTGAGCTCGAGCTCAATCTCGCCGGTGAGGTACATGCGCTCGAAGGTCTTGTTCTCTCCGACGTAGCTGGCGATCATCTTCTTGATCTGCTTGGATTGGAGCAGGAGGCCCAAGCCGGAGCCGTCGACACCAGCGTTGTTGCTGACGGCTGTTAAGCCGGTGATAGACGGATTCGCACGGACAGCATTGATCAGAGTATCAGGCACACCAGAGAGGCCAAATCCTCCGGCCAGCAGAGTGGAGTTCGACTTCATGTCCTTGATGGCCTCCTCGGCGGATGGGAGGACCTTGTTGATGGCGGCGCGGCGGACGGAGCTGGAGAATGCGCGTGCAAGGAATCGCTGGTGCTATACCATAACCCGAGTCAGTATTTCTGTGAGGTTCCCCACATTGCGCGCTCAGCCAAAGCTTCGGAGGGTGATTTTACCTTCGCAGTGCCCGCAGAAATTTGCCGCGCAGCGCGCAGGCATGTTGCTACTTGGGAAGGCATGGTGCAGGGTATGGGTTCAGAAGATCTGGATTTAGAGGACGCCGCAAACAAGAAAGCAGCAGAAAGCAGCAATGACCAGCAGAAGACAGGGCTAGCGCGCTGGTCTTATAGTTCCGAAGGCGGGCCCCTCACATCCGCATCGGAGGCCGCACCGGCAATTGGTTTCCCCAGCTTCCCCGCAGGCATCGCGTTGTCCCTGAAACCCTGACACTCCCGTCCATCTCCTGCGAGCACGTCATACTTCAGAAGTCCATGAATGGATAGCTGGCATTTAGCACACATAGCTGCTTATACGTCAAGCATCTCAAATATCTCTTTATATTCCCACGAACAACTAGTCCAGCATCTGTTCTGCTCCAGCCGAGCTTTTAGCCGACCCTTTCCGTTCCGCCCGAGCGGGCCGCGCTGACTCGAGCTCGAGTCACGTGCTGGAGATCGATGTCCGGCGCTAACCCAGAAAAGATCGTCGCCCACAGTGGAATTGGAGCCTCAGATGTGGCGAGTCTGATCACGAGAGCCGGACTCAGAAGTCCCTGCCAAGATATCTTCCTGAAGATGAAACCTTCGATCCTTCCAATGTTGGGACCAGAATCCGCATCATCGAGACCTCACGAATAAGTGTGGCCTACAAGGCGAGAACAGCATGCGCCAATCTTTTCCTAGTTCTTTCTAGTTCTATCGAAGGACGCGCAACCGATGCACCCCACGGTTCCAGGGCTGGGTAGATCACCCTTCTCTGAGTCATTCCAAGGCTGTACAATGAGGAGACCCAGTAGACAGTCATGGGACTTGGTTTTAACAGAAGCGAGAGACGATGGCGCGCATTCACTTTTACAAATAACCTCAACTTTAAACAGCTACCAGAATGCGCCTACCGCCAAAATCCTACTATTCCTGTAGTCAGATAGGCTCTTTCTCATCACATACCATCCCGCAAAGAAAGGCCTAATGACTTCAAAGACAGATTGGAAGAACTTTGTCATGCACTTCGACGTGAACACCTCTGCTATCTGTGGCTGGCCACTCCGGCCATGACCACGCCCATCATACCGGATCTACCGACAGTCAATCTTGGAATGCAGGTTCCGTCCCAGTATACATTTCGTGGCTCACCAGATGTAAATTCTCAAGTAGAGCAGCATCTTGGATTTTTTCATCTTTTTCTTTTTCTTATTCTCTAATTGAATACTACCGTCAGACCCCCAAATCCTGCAAGAATACCAACGCAGGCTTCGAGAGGGTTCTTTCTTGGCCCATATCATAAAGCCATTGGCTGAGGTTACAAATTTTCGATCTGGGAGCACCATATCGTATTCCTTCTCGGTTCTAGCTAGAGCTGTTGTGGGTCGGGGGCTTCTTATCATACTTCAGGCCCGTATCATCATTTCAACCGTCTTAGGAATTGTATGGAATTCCGTTCGTGTAGTCTTCCAGTACCCACTACGACCAAGACGACGAAACTCCCGATGCGTGGGGGGTGGAAGTAGTTCAAATGCTGGTCTCACCGATGGAAGAAAATATGCATTTCACCTAAATTCAGCGACATTTGGGTTGGCCACCAACGTTCGGGTACGTTTGCAGACCTTGCGAAAAGCAGTGCCACGTACGCATCCGCTAGAAATACTTTTTTTTGACCATCATGGTTATATTGTTTCATGGTATCTTTCTTATGTACAGAAAATGATATCCTCGCTCATGCAGAAACATAAAAATTCCTGGTTCCTTCGTGAAAAGAGAAAAAGAATGCATGAAATACCTCCACAGAAAACATTTTGCGTCCTTCATGCTGTCGAGCTTCCAGAATATCCTGGACCCGGCGCTTCCCTTAAAGAGATTGCGAGCTCTCTTTCTGGTTGCCAGCCTCCGAAACAGAAACAAGTGGCTCGCTTGGCGCGGCCTGACTTTCGCTTAAATCCATCAGATCGTAATCAGGCGGGTTCGTACTGATAAGTCCCTCCATAGTCCCGCGCGCGTCATCGCTAGTGCTGGGCTGAGCGATGTCGCGGAAGACAGGGTCAACAAGCCGCTCTTTCATCGCTGAATTGATGTAGACGAGGAAGTAGGGGGTAGGAGGACTAGTATCGTGTGATTCGTTAAAAATATCGCCCGGATTCGTGACCTCCGTCACGTATTCATCATTGTATTTGCGCCAGATCTCCTTCTTAAAGTCGAAGATGTAAATCCAGTAGTGACCGAAAGAGACCGAGCCGCGGTGGACAAAAACCGCATAAAGCGAGTAGGGCATTCGCTTGTAGTTTTCGAATTGGGTTGCAATCTTCGCTTTGAGGTCGGCTATTTCTTCGTCCAATACTTGAAGATTGTCAGCATTGGTTTGGTCTATGCATGGATCTGAGAGGGCAAATCTCACCTGGGAACTCTTTGAGGGTCGCATTGCTGATCTGGTCGATGTCGTCTGATAGATGAATATCAACCCCGAATCCTTGAGATCCAGAGGTGGCACCGCTGTTTTCGTCCGATGCCTCCATCATCTGAGTAGACCCAGGTCGCCCAAGTTCGAAGGAAGGGTCAAGTGTATCTATAGATGCCTTGGCCCCACGGAATAGGGAGGGCAAATCGCAAGAGAGGGTTTTCCCCTAGTTAATTGTCAGCAATGGATGTCTATGAGATTACTGACATGAGGAGGCAGTAAAAGAGCTTTTGATCCTACCCGTGGAGCTTGCAGCTCTGCCCGGCGAGCTTCAAGAACAGAGAGTTGCTTCTTCCTTTCCCAGGATAATTTGCGTCGCTCGATCATATCCGATTTGTTCGTGTCCATGTACCGGTCAAGGTAGATCGTTTCCAAGAGCTGCAAATGGTTGGTCGACTTATAGGATCTCTTTGTCGCATGGTCAAACTGAACTCGTTGCACTTGGATCTGGAGAATTGGAGGCAGCTTGGCGATGGCACCATACTGCTCAGCGGTGCCATTTTCAACACTAATGTCCTGAGCATCGAAAGCGCCATCAAGGGCAGCATAAATATCCCGCGGGCCCCCAGCCACATCAACCTTGATGTCACTCCAGCGCTCCATCTTCGATCGGATGTTCTGTCCGACTCGGATATAGGACCGCGTTATACCATAGAACCAGCTGACAGAAAAATTAACAAAGAGAGCCAGACTATAACTAAGGGCATTACTTACTCTTTAATCTGGTCAAGCTGTTCTCCATCCTCGTCAAATCCATACGGCTTGATGGCGCACTGACTCTGGAATAGGACATTGTTGATGACCTCGGTGACATCTTGTTGCGCGCTGATCTCGAGCTCTTCCTTCAATTGCTTTTCGCGATCGGGATCGGGAATGTTCCGGGGAGGGACAGGAGGTGGTGTGCCTGGATCAGTTGAGTCGGGCATGGCCGAATCGCCATCGTTGTCCTGAGCAGATGGACCCTGTTGGTTCTCTCTTTCCTGCTCTTCCATTGCCAAAGTCCGATCGCTCCCTACGTCATCCGTGTCATAGTTGGCTTGAACGCTGGACGCTTCTGAGGGCTCTTTGTCGGTTTCGGCAACGGGAGGTCCAAGTGGGCCAGATATCTGGGAGCCATTGATCTCACCCAGACCATGTGGAAGAGATTTCATGCTTGCCGATTGACGGCGAATGAAGTCTTCATTGCCAGGGCTGATCAAGGTCAGTCTTGCAAGCTCATGGCTGGGAGTGGCTGAGGCGATTGGGGATGAAATCATCTCGCGGAATAAGACTCTCAGCTCGCGAAGAACTAAGCAGATCAGTAAGAATCGAATCGCAGTGTCAGAATAACGGTATACATACATCGCATCGATCGTTCGATCTCCTTTCCAGTCACCTTTCGAGATCCTACTTTCTTCTCCACAAGGGCGGTAACATCATTCATGTCCATTTGATATTTCTCCAAGGAAAGAACCATATCTCTGAAGGGCCGGATGGAGAAATAGAACTGCAGGAGACTGTTCAGGTAGCAAGTGTTTCCAATGTTTTGCAGACCAACGGGCCATTCGCTGAGGTTTTGTGTGGGCTCGTCGGAGAGACCAGCCTTCTTTTTCAATGCAGTGCTGTTCAACGTCTTGGCGATGACCCCTAGGGCCTGAGAATAGACGAAAGACTGTCCAGGGTTATCATCCACACAGATGGTGTATGCTGCAAGGATCGCGTCTTCATCTACGGTACGATCTGGGATCTGGAGCATTCGGTAGGCGTCGCCGATGTCCATTTCTGCCTCCACCGCCTGACCAGTCTTGACAAAGTGCATAAGTCCCTCCGACTTACGGGCCTCGGCGATGATTTCAACTGCTCGGTGTGCCAGATCCTTGCATGCTGGGCTGTCGGTGACCTTCAAGGGAAAGGTTAGACCATCGCAACAGATTATATTTACGGATTCGCCGGAACGCCCATACCTTTGTAGTGTACATTGTGGTGATAAACTCATCAGGGGTCGATGCATCAACTCCGAGGAAGACATGAGCTTGCTCGAGTGTAGTTACACCTGTGCTTAGTGGTTAGCACACACTCACAGATATCCAATGTCGTAGTCCACTTACGATCTTCCGAGGCAGCCTTAATGCGTTCATTGCCAAGTTTCTGGCCAATTATCCAAAGCTGGCGGCGAGTCTCAATCTCCTGAGTAGTAGAATTGAGGAAAGCATAGAACTTTCCAATGATCACTTCTTCGTCGAGGGTTGGGTCATTGCGTGCAAGACCAAAATAGTCGTAAGCCTTGTCCACATCTTCCTCGGTAAATAATCCCTCGGCATAAGCAGTTTGAACAGCTTGCTCGATTATTTCCCAGTCTTCGCCACCTCGCAGGGTGCTAATGGCCTTGAGGGCCTCCAAGTAACGTGGGGCTCGGTTGGCATCCGTGGCGACCTGGCGGTGATAGCAATACACAATCAACGAAGACGACATATCTTCCACTGCTCCAAGGTCTTCATAGAATCTGGGAGACCAATCAGTCAAAAGGAATACTTTCGGGTTAGGTATTGACATACGGAGCAGGCGGCATCTCGAACTCATGCACACGCTTGGACTTCGGATCTATATCTAGGGTTAGCTAAATCACAAAAATAGGGGGACTTGTCACAGACAGTCGGATGCCTCCATTGCAAAGTAGAGATCATCTCGACAGGATGGTGGAAGAGGCACAGCTTGCAACATTTTCTTCTCTGAAGCAGGTCGTTGATTGATGAGGACCACCAGTTCGTTGATAGCATCGTCGATGAAGATGCAGAAGGCATCTTGGTAAGGGGTTTCAGCCTCAGGATTTGGTCTGGGAGGCACCCACGAGCCATCAGCCTAGATACAAATTAGAAAGTTTATAATTTAGGATGAGAGAAGGATCGGATGACGAACCTCACGATATTCGAAGCCTAAAAAGAAAAAGAGCTCTTTGCAAGGATCACCATTGAAGCCAAACGAGGAAATGAAACGCTTGTTTCCTCCTTTGATAGCCTTCTTACTTCGCTCCGGGTCCTTCACAGCGTTGGTCAAGTACAGTCGTAAATTATCCAGGACGTTGATGGGCAGAGGATTGGTGACAGAGATGGGCAGAGGATCGTCGACTCGGGGGCGTTCTGGAACAGCTGCCAAGGCTTCAGCCGCACGCTGCTTTATCAAAGATGGATTTGTTAGAAGCTCTGTAAACTTGGAGCCAAAGAGAGCCGAGGTCAGGCGCAAAGAAGCCGTGACATGGCATGCTGGGTGCGAGCATGTATAGTGAAAGGTCTCAGCTGTCTGTCCCGTCTCCAACACCTCTTCAGTTGTCCAAGCTCCCTTCTGTCGGCCGGAAGTATACACAAAATGGTGGATGTGCATAGGGTCCACTGAACAGGCAGAACTTGTGTAGTTCACGACTACTTGAAGGTGGTGGCGACATTTGGAGCAGACTGCTGAGACCCTGGACCCGCTCAGCTTGCCTTGGTCAAGCTGGGACTGGTTTGTCTTGATAACATAGTTGTGATAGCATGCATCCACAGATATGTAATCCATAGGCCCATCGTATTTGTCGGGGTAAACTGGAGGAACACTCGCAAGAAGGTTGATGCTGGTGCCTGGAGGGTTTGCGGGATCGTAAAGCTGGATATCTTCTATCAGACGGGGTGCAGTCTTCCCTACACAATCGATCATGTTAGCGATGTCTTCTTTGATGAGCATATAGGTAAGCCTTCAAACCAGACACGTACCCGCTTTATGTGTGATTGCCATCAGAGCGGATTCAGGTTTTACAGCTTAAGTGGGCAACAAATGGCACAGCTCTTTCAGATTAGTATCCAAAGAGACTGGGAAGATCCCAAGATCGAGCAACCCATGGGATCCAGCAAATGAAGATGTAGAGGGCGAAGCAGCCGATCTGTAGTGTCACGGAATGCGGCTGGCGGAGATCCAGCGGGGAGCCCACTGTACTTGGCACCCGTGGGCGGCAAGCTTGAAGCTGGCCTCGAGCTACAGCAAAGCTTGGTAGTCTGTAGCAAGTGTGTGGTATGGTGAGCCTCTGCTATTGGAAGCCAGAAATACAAAAAAGAATAAGTACAGGTGTTCTTACGGTTGATAACATGCCTGAGCGACGAAGAGGCTTTCCGTATCAGATCAAGGCGGTGAGACCTGGGCGCGCTTAATAAACGGCAGAATAAGAGGTAAAAGTAGTAGGCGGTGGAGACTAGCAAAACGGAACCAAAATCCCCATCACCAACCTCATGTCCGTTCATCCCGCAGCCCTGTCCCCAACACAGCCCACCATGTCATCCCACGCTGAGGATCACAGCTACCACCCCAAAGATGCTATTTCAGCGGCCCTGAAGGCTACGGCCCTGACAGGCAGTGTCGGTCTTTTTGCCTCGGCCGTCCAGAACACTCTCGTCAGACGCAATGTTGGACCTCTTGGTATCTTTACTCGCAGTGGAGCCACCATTAGTGTTCTTGGTATGTGCCTTGTTCAGCAATTGGAGACCTGAAAGTTTGGATCCTGACAGATCTTTAGCTGCCATGGGTGGAACATACGAGTTCGTCAAGACCGCTTCCGCCAACCTTCGCGAAACTGAGGATTCCTTCAACACCGCTCTCGGTGGCTTCTTCTCCGGCTCTATTCTCGGCCTGCGATGTGAGTCCTCCAATTCTACGGCTTCAATTGCAGAATACTACGAAGAAGGTCAATGGCTTACAACATCCACTATTTAGTTCGCACATTCCCAGCTGTTCTGAAGTACGGCGCTGGCCTCTCAATTGCCATGTACGCGTTCGACTACACCGGTGGATCACTATTCGGTCCCAAGAAGGACACCGAAGAGGACGAATTCGATCGCCGCCAGAAGTTGCGCAAGTCGTTCCAGACGCCGGCGGAGCAGACCTTTGCCGAGATTGGCGAAGGACGTGGTACGTTGCTCTGATCGTGAGCTACATCAGGGAACTCGCTAACAGAATGTGATAGGTATTTACGGGCCCAACTACGAGGAGCGTCGTGCCCAGAGGATCAAGGAAGCATATGGCATTGAAGTGCCTACACAGCCGCTGCCGGCCTCATAAGCTTTCATCAAGTCTTTCATGCCTTGGGCCTGCTTTTATTTTCTCTCCGATCGCGTTGTGTAAATTATCCCCCTTGATCATGGTAGTCTCTAGCATACCGGACTCGTCAATCCGATTTCTTTGTGTTTTTTATGCGAAGTGACGTCGCATGTATTGGAGCTCCGGCTTGTACGCGAGTGAATTGATCGGCTCATACAAATTGCGGACGAGGGCGCTTGTAGGCCAGCACAGGAGCCCAGTCTCCATTTAGCAACTGTCAATACCTTGAACAAAGCGATACAATCTTGCTGTTGACCCTATGGTATCAGGTGAAGATTGTGGAGGAAAACGTGGGATTAGCGGAGAGCGGAGAGGGGTCAAAGTCCGGGCCAATGAAGAGGCAGGTATATCAAACACGAGCAGACTACATTACCCTCGTATAAAGATATAGCCTTATGCTTCGAATTTCATCTGCATCACACATGCAAGCAGTATCCACGTCCCGCATCTCATTTACACACAACCAGACATTTGCTGAGATCCTCCAATTGATACCATAGCCTTGCAGTTGGCAGTGGCGCTATACCAGGGCTCCAAGCATCATCACCGTGGCCGTCAAATATCATGGAGAAGGTGTCATTCATACTCCAAATACTCCCCTCACTACATCAACTGCCTCATAAGGCGGAATGATGAAAGGACCCGGTTATTAGCCTCCAAGGTGGCCTAAAGCGGCAACAATTGACACCGAAGCGACGTTGCAGACTCGGGGACCCTCCAACTGCCTAACGGTACTCGGAAGCGCCGGCCGTAGTATATCTAGGGAAGCCTGTGGTTCAGAGAGAAGTGGAAGCATCGAAGATATCACAAGCATTGAAGCTATACAAATTCCGACTGCCCCCACGTCATATCGTTCATTCGAGGGGGACGATCATCCCCTGATCTCCTTCCCCCCTTTTCCCTGATTGATCCCTTGGACCACTAAGAACGAGCTACGCCACAGATCGTGCGAATCACTAGCTTGGCAGAGTGCCCTAGTCAAGCCACCGGCCCCATAAAACATAAAAACAGGCAGCCACATTGATCGGGAGAAACCTGATCGACAAGTTGAGGGTTACTGAATCTGCGAACCCCCCCTTTTCGGCCCAACTATAAGCTGCTGCTACTTCGACATGGCAGATTAGAATGTTCTCTATATAATCTGAACGTAGTAGAGGTGTACCGAGTCGAGGGGCCAGGAACCGACAGGCCCGCAGTATCCATGAGATCATCTTAGCTCCCATTGAAATTCCCCCTCCCAGATCGTGTCTCCCCGGGGTGCAGTCCCGGAGTGCAATACGTCAACCATCGCGATCGGGCTGGAATTAGCTTTGGGGAAGCCGTCCTCCCCTCTCGTGCAACCGGGCATCCCGGGGCGTGAACTGGTTTTCCTTCCGATCTGGACATGTTCCCCTCTCGTAGACGTCATTTGCAACGCCCCCAATTTTCATGTACTTAACGGGGCTTGGAGCAATGCATATCACTCGTCAGCCTTGACAAGAAATAAACTGCCCCAATAACCATTGTGGGGGTGTGTGGCACTGAATTCAAGGCGCTGCTAAACGCTATTCTTCGGTCACTGCGAATTCAAGAAAGCAGCCCAAGCCAAGCCTACTAAAGCCTACTCTGCCCGGTCGCTGGGTAACCAAATCGACGCCATCAGCCCCCCCCCTCTCTTTTGGCCCTAGATACTTTTCCTTGATCTCCTCCCCTCCGCCCCCCTTCTACACTTCCTCCGGTGGTTCCTTTAGCGCTCTCACCATCATTCCGCCTCTGAAAACCGACCCCCTTACTGTCCGCTGCATACGGAACCGTCCTCCCCTCGTAAACTCTCCCCCCGAATTTCTCACCTTTTCTGTCATGGCGATGGCCGCGCGGCCGCAGACGCCCGTGCAGGATGCATATTCGTTCTCGCAGCACCGTGAACCGTCGCTGTTGAGTCGCGGGTATGGCACCGTCCGTTCCTCCTCTCGCCCCAGCTCCTACGCCGGTGGGAGCTCCGCTTTGCACGGCTATGGTGCTCTCGGCGGTCTGGAACCCGCGCAGATCCCCCAGAACCCGAAGTTCAAAGAAGATTTCGACGCGGCCAGCCGCCGCAGCTCCATTCTGGCGGAGGGACCTTCTGCGCCGGGCCTGCAACGATCAGCTTCAACTGGCTCTCCTGCTCGCTCCGCCGGCCCACAATTGAAGACCACCACCCTGAAGAAAAAGCCTTCCTTGGGTAAGCGAGGGAGCTTGCGCCGCAGTGGGAGCCGGCGATCTGTTCGCGCCGGCAGTGTGAAAAGTCTCAGCCTTGGCGACCGCGAAAAGTATAACGATGAGGATGTGAATAGTGCTTTTGTCGTTCCAATTCCTACTACGGGCAATCCAACCGAGGTGCTAGCGAATCGCTTCCAAGGTGAGTCAGAGACATGGCGTCATGAGCTATGCTCGGTCTGGTGGGCTAATTTGGCATGTGACAGCTTGGCGCAAGGTCCTCAAGGACCTGATTGTCTTCTTCAAGGAGGTCCAGAAATCTTACGAAACGCGATCGAAGCTTTTCCTCTCCGCCAACAATGCTATTAACAACCAATCGCTTCCTGCCGGATTCTTGGAATCAGGAGGCTTGGCGGACGCAACAGAGATTCTACGCGATTTCCAGCGTCAAGGATACAACGAAGCAAACAAGGCAGTGGAGGTGGAGATCGAAGTGATCAGTCAGTTGACTGGACTGCGGAGCGACCTGCAGAAGAAGACCAAGGAGATCAAGAACCTTTCAAGCGATTTCAAGAACACTGTTGACAAGGAAATTGATGGCACGCGCAAGGCAGTCCGCAACCTGCACGAGTCATTGGGTGTTGTTGATACCGATCCATCTGCAACATCCGGGAAGGGTGACCCCTTCTTAATGCGCCTGAATGTCGAGCGTCAAATCGAGAAGCAGATCGAGGAGGAGAACTATCTACACCGAGCATATCTGAATTTGGAGAACTCTGGCCGAGAGCTGGAGTCAATTGTTGTCAGCGAGATCCAGAAAGCTTATAACGCCTACGCTAGTATCCTCAAGCGCGAAGCAGACGAGGCTTACGATACTGTTGAGAAGCTGCGGGTGGGCCCAATCTCCATGCCCCAGGACCACGAGTGGAATGCCTTCGTCGCGAACACTGACGACCTGGTCGACCCCAAGATCCCCTTGCGGAACGTCGAAAATATCACTTACTCTGGCAAAGATCACCCTGCCGCGGCAGAGGTACGTGCTGGCATGCTCGAGCGCAAGAGCAAATACCTGAAGAGTTATACACCTGGCTGGTACGTTTTGTCACCCACCCATCTGCATGAGTTCAAGTCGGCAGATCGGATCGAGTGGCAGACTCCGGTCATGTCACTATACCTCCCCGAGCAGAAGCTTGGGTCGCATTCCAACCAAGATTCGAGCTCCCACAAGTTCATGCTCAAGGGTCGCCAAACTGGTGCGATGCATCGAGGTCATTCCTGGGTTTTCCGGGCGGAATCTCACGAGACAATGATGGCGTGGTATGATGATATCGAAAGTCTCATCAGCAAGACCGGCGAGGCTCGCGATGCTTTTGTTCGAAGCACCTCTCTCAGACGGCATGGACGGACAGTCAGCGGCATGTCTGCAAACGCTGAGCTGGAAGACGACGAGGCAGATGAAACCCCTTACTCTGCCGGGTCAGTGATCATGGCCCCCGGCTCATCGCAAGGACCAGGACCAGAGCGACCGATGTCCGCCACTCGTCAGCCTGGCGGAGTTTTCCCTAGCGACGTCCAGATCGACCGGAACAACCAGGTTCCGCTATCTCCTTCCAGTGGAGCAAGCTCGTCAGGAAACGCCGTTGTTGCGGCTGCCCCGGCCTTGCCGGATGGTGATGCGAGACCTTCCCGGTTCTATACCGGCCATAACCCCGAGACCGGGTTGGCCCGGGTTCCCAGTGCAAGCCCCGCGGACACCTCGCGGTCTCGCATGAGTCGTCACGACAGCTACTATGGCCAATGGATGGGACCCACTGCCGTTGGCGCAAAGCAGGAGGCAGCCCACGCCGAATCTGCCCCGAACGAGCAAGATATCAACGCAAACACCGGTCGTGCTCCGGAAGCTGGCCCTGATACTCTCGTAGCTGGTCGTCCTGACACTTCTGGATCTCCTCCGGTGGCTCGTCGTGAGAGCGTTTCTACCGCTCCGACCAACACCAATGTCACCGATTATACCAACAATACCAAGGCCACCTCGCTCGATGAAGCAGCCTCACCTGGTGATGCAGGGCCTGTGCGATCAGAACTCCCCGAGGATGGATTTGCTGGTAAGGGAGCTAGCGGTCCCACGACAAGACCTGACATGAGATCAAACAGGCATGAGAGTGCTGCCACGATCGATGTGCACCTCCCGGGCGAGTTTCCTCCCAGCACCGTAGCGGTTTAAGCTCTACCTAACTATCTTTCTACTTTCCTGGGTTTTCTTATCTTTTCTTTTGTTTTTCTTCTTTCGTCATATGTCGCACTATCTTCTTCCAGTTCTTTCTCCTTTTCCTACCTTCTACTTCAGGTCGTCTTATTTGGGTTTCCGTGTATATGTTTTCAGTCATACACCCTTTTCATTTCTGAAATGTGACCTAGCTTGCTTTTAGGCGTTTGGTCCTCTCGTTTCGGCGGTTCCTGTTTCCCCACGGCCCTGGCACCAGATTTCGTTTTCCGGTGAGGCGCATCGTGGACTCTTGGATTGATTCGACAATCTTACATCTCGTGTAATTACTTGATTCCCTAGGTGTTGAACACCTCGCGCTTTCGCTAGACAAAGTGTATGGATCATTGATACAGAATAACCAGTTCCCAAAGATATCCGTGATTTTTGATCTGCAGCTGACTTACCTTGTAGAACCCTGAGATAGGCTATGGTCTGTTCGCCCGCCCGATATACCTCCTTCCTGATCAAGAAGGGGCCGGGGCATTGTCTCTGCTGGGCGTGGCATTTGATGCAGTAACGGAAATACCGGCACCCACCAGTCACAAGCGCATACGAGATAGTAACACCGGGCAGGCCAGTCCACGATTGAGCGCTCCGATTTGGGCCAGTTTTGAATGGTAGTGGAGATACATTCGCCAGCGTCGGTGGAAACTCCTTGATCATCAGGGCTGTTGCGCTACTAGTATTTGGTCACCTCATACCAATTGGATACACCGCAAGCGACTCCAGGCTTTTCTCACAACTATGCTATCATGCCCTCAGCCAACTCGAGTCCACCTGGGCATGAATGCTTCAAGGCTTTCTGGGATATAGATCCCTAATCTCCCGCGCACATGTGGGCGGTGGGGGCGGTTAAAGAGTATCAATCAAAGTTCCAGGCACATCCAACCTTCTCTCCCTCATCCCGCGACTTTGGTTCTTCCCTTCTTCTTCCTCCGTTCTCCGTACAACCTCAATCACGTTGCTCCATCATGGGTGGGTTCCCCCTGCACAGCACCTACCAGTGTCCCCTGTGTTTCGTATCTTGTATTACTCGATACTCTCTCACATCCCCTTGGTACATTCTCAGCTCCTCTCGGCCATTCCAGGCTTGCCGCCCAATCACCGTGTGGCTCACCCCGGACCAGCGAACCTTGACGCCTGATCCTTTCCTTCCCTTTCCCCTCCCCGCTCATCTTCCCCTTCCCTCTTCCTCTTCTGCAATCCTTCCTTCCACCCCCCCCCTATTGTTCTACTTGGCTGATCTCTCCCCACCCCGAACAGCCGACGTCTATCGTCCGTATCAAGTAAGTCTGCTTTTCTATATAGTGCGCTTAGTTCTCTCTGCCTGTGTTCTGCGCCCTTTTACTGCTCAATGGATGCTGTCGTCGCTATAATGGTCAGTGCGGGGGCGGAAGCTCCCCTATCCACCTAGCTTCTATGGGATCCAGGCTTGGAACGAAAAGCATCCGTATCTCCCAATGGTCGCGCAAGCCTGGCTATACCCCTCACCGGTCTTATTCTCCCCCTCTGTGTGCGCAGCAAACAAAGAGTGCTCGTGTGTCCTCCGGGGGTCCTCGTTTCGCATAGCCTGAGCGGGTCACCTGATCGATCGTCCGCCCCGTTCTGCTTTCCGGCTCCACTTTGGAACATACCTGCGCTCCTCCACTTTCTTCTTCCGCACCTCCCTTCACCTTTGTCCCTTTTTGAGTCTCTTCCTCCCCCGCTCAATTGTTAATTTCTTTTCTTTTTTTTCTTTCCTTTTCGTAATCGCGTGGACCATCATGTCTTCCAACTACCCCAATTCTGACTACATGAAGCGTGAGAGGTCCCGATCTCCCCGCCGCCGCTCTTCGCGCAGTCCTCGACGTAGCCGCCGTTCCTACTCACCGCGCAGTCGCTCTCGCTCTCGCGACGACTACCGCCGCAACGACCGCCGCTCTCGCTCGCCTCTGAGCGCTTCTGGGCCTGGTCCTTCTGGTTCCCCCCTACGCTTCACGCAGTGGTTACGCGCAAGGCAGACCGTACGAGGATCGCGCCGATCGTGCCGTCAACAAGGAAAACATGATGCAATCTGTTCGCGACTCCTCTCAGCAAGACCGTCGTGTCTATGTGGGCAACTTGTCATATGATGTCAAGTGGCACCATCTCAAAGATTTCATGCGGCAGGGTAAGTCAGGATGGCCTTCTTGGAGGGGCTTGACTTGAGTTTCATGCGGTGTTGGATGAATACTAATCGTTGGCCGTGAGGCGCGTCTTACAGCCGGAGAGGTTCTCTTTGCCGATGTTTTACTTCTTCCAAATGGAATGTCGAAGGTGGGCACCTATGTGTGAAGACTTGTGGTCTTTTTGGTTTTTTTTTACTCTACTTGCATGGACTGGAAATTGACGGGATGGCCGCATGGCTTTGTAGGGATGCGGGTACGCCACTTCGAAATACGCCATGCATAAAACAACTGCTAATCTAGGCACCAGGATTGTGGAATACGCAACAAGGGACCAAGCACAAAATGCTGTCAACACGCTCAGTAACCAAAATTTGATGGGTCGTCTCGTTTATGTGCGCGAGGTATGCGGAACATACGTTTGAGATCATGGGGAATCCAGGTGCTGACTAGGACCAGGACCGTGAAGCCGAACCTCGATTCATCGGCGGACCCCAGCGCGGGGATTTCGGTGGTGGAGGCCGCGGCGGCTTCGGTGGTGGATATGGCGGTGGACCAGGGGGCGGTGCACCTGGTCGTCAGCTATACGTGTCTAACGTTTGTCTCCCACCCCCCTCCTTCTCTACTAATTGTGTTTCACCAGTGTTAACGAGTCAATCTAGCTCCCTTTCAATGTGGGCTGGCAAGACTTGAAGGATCTGTTCCGTCAAGCTGGTAAGTTCAATATTTTTGGCTCTTGACAGTCTTGTCGCCAAACCCCCTTTCTCCTCCCAAGCCCATTTGTTCTTTTCCTTTGTAAGCGGGACTCCAATTAATTTGAGTTTCTCCATCCAGCCCAGCAGGGTGCGGTTATTCGCGCAGACGTCCATACCGATCCCACCGGCCGTCCGAAGGGATCCGGAATTGTTGCCTTTGAACACCCCGATGATGCTCGCAACGCCATCAGTCAATTCAACGGATACGAATGGCAGGGACGCCCACTTGAGGTCCGCGAAGATCGTTTTGCTGGAAGTGGTGGAGGCTTCGGAGGTCGTGGCGGCTTCGGCGGCGGCCCTGGTTTCGGTGGCCGCGGCGGTGGCTTTGGTGGTCGCGGAGGTTTCGGAGGTCGTGGAGGCTTTGGCGGAGGCTATGGTGGCCGTGGCGGCTTTGGCGGCGGTCCTGGTTTCGGTGGCCCTGGTTTCGACAACGCTCCAGCTCCCTCTGGCCCACCAAATCCTTTCACCGACTATGCTACCTCTGGCGGCGACAAAAGCGCTGTCATCTACGTGCGCAATGTAAGTTCCCCAGAGCTTGGCCAAAACTAACTTCGGATTCCGATGCCTAATGTTTTTTTTTCTTTGTTTCTCTGAACAGCTCCCCTGGTCCACTTGCAACGAAGACCTAATCGATCTTTTCTCGACCATCGGCAAAGTTGAGCGGGCCGAGATCCAGTATGAAGCGAATGGCCGTTCCCGTGGCACTGGAGTTGTTGAGTTCGACACTCCCGACACTGCTGAGACTGCTATCGGTAAGCCCTGCCCTTTTGCATGGCTGTTCCACACTGAAAGCTAATTGTCATGCAGCCAAGTTCACCGGCTACCAGTACGGCGGACGCCCTCTGGGTATTACCTTCGTCAAGTACCTGAACGCAGGCCCCGGCCCCGAGATGATGGATGGTCCAGAGCCTACTGGCGGCATCACCCAGGACCAGATCATGTAAAGATTTGGGTTCTGGTCTTCCTGAGGTTCTTCCAGTTTGTGATTTTAGGGGTTTTAGGAGCCTGATCTTATTGTTCTCCTGATTTTGCTTTTCAATGATTCCCTTATTATGCCCCTATCAAAAACTCAAGTTATCGCGTGATTTGGAAAATGGAAGTTTGTATTCGTGAGGGTCTGGGTTAACACATACATTTTGCTGCCGGGATGCTCTCGCGAGAAGTTACGATAAGTTTGAAATGTATTTCACCATGGTCACTTCCATATCTACCAATGTAAGCCGAGGAAATGGCCATAATAACAAAATTGAAGACGAAAGGGACTTGAGTCCATGACATACTTCTTGAAAATCCTTCCAGGTTGCAATTTCTCCCCGCTGGTGCCCTCAATCCCTAATTCCAGGGTCAATCAAAACCGCGATACAATACAATGCCGACTCGTAATGTCAAGATAAATGGGCTTTCAATGAACAGATATTTATTCTCCCTCAGTGTCGAACCAGGCATAAAAGTGTTATAGTTACTATAAGTGAAGTGAAGATATATGACCTACAGGCACAAAACGTAATGCATTGCTATACACTCCGTCCTCGCTCCTAATTGGCCCCGCTGTTCGCCAGAAGCCCCACCACCATTCTAGTATCAACTTAAACCTCAAACTCCCCCGTCGATCCGACGATACTCACTTCGACGCCCACCATGGCCTCAATCGCTCGCCTTGCTCCACGGCGGACTGCCATCCCTCAATCGAAAGTCTCCCTTCCACTCCGCTCGATCTCCTCCACCCCTCTCTTCCCAGTCCCCACGCAATCCCGCTCCTCTCAGGCTCCCAAGCTTCGAACACCCCATACGCCAACCCGCCAGTACCACTCCCCTCTCCACCCACGCCTCCCACCCCACGAATATACCAACAGCCAAACCGCCATCCTGACCGCGGCACTCGTCCACGTCCCCACCCACGGCTTCACCGCGACATCGCTCACCCTCGGCGCCCAAGACGCAGGCTTCCTCTCCGTCTCCACCCAGCTCCTCCCCCGCGCCGAGTTCGACCTCGTCCTCTTCTGGCTCGCCAGCCGCCGCGGCCTCCTCCGCGCCAAAGTCGAAGAAGCGGCCCTTTTCCCCGCCGCCGCCGCCGCCCGCGGCCTCGCCCCGCAGGACCTCTCCGTCGACGACAAGGTCCGCATCCTGGTCCTCGAGCGCCTGCGCCTGAACAGAGAGATCAAGGCGCACTGGGCGGACGCGCTGGCCCAAATGTCGCTGCTGGGCAATATCCCGCTCTCGCTGGCGGAGCTGCATGCGCTGGCAAACGATATCGTGTCCTTGGCGGGGGATACCGCGGTCGATGCGTCGTGGTATACGCGCCGCGCTGCGGTGGCCGGGATCTATGCTAGTGCCGAGGTGGTTATGACCAGAGACCCAACGGAGGAGATGAGTGAGACGGCGGAGTTTGTGGCGAGGAGGTTTGAGGATCGGGATGCGTTGAAGCTTAAGGTGGATGCTGTTTCGCAGTGTCTTTCTTTCTGGGGGAACTCGGTGCTGGGGGTGGGGAGGAGCTATGGGTTGAAGATTTAGGACGGGGGAATACCGGCTTAGAGGGGGTGCATGCTCTGGTCTTGCTTCGAGGGCTGATGGCCTTGTACTTATATTGTGTTTTGAGCGCTTTCAATTGGTTATCCGTGCTCCGGGTTCTTGTTTGTCGGTCAAGTCCTAAGTCTAGTCAAAGATATCTAGTGGACTATACATTCATTTTGCTGCTCTTTCCGAGGTATGATATACGTTTGTTCATTCAATCTGGAGGAAAGACTGTAGGCTATTCAAATGTCAAAAATGAAGATCTAGAGCATTTAATTTGGATATATATATAAATATACCAAAATATACCAAAATATACCAAATCAATGCAATCAATGCATAGATACATTCTTCAGCGCCTCTTCCACACTAACAGGCCCCCCATTACCATTCCCGTCGTCATGATCATGCTCACCAGGAGCCAATAAAGTAGGAGACGTGGGCGAAGTCGGCGAGAATGGGTCTACCAAGATTGAATCGTGAGCAGCGCTCGGCGGCTGGATCTCTGGCAGGACCGTTTCAGCGACAATATCAGCCTCGTTCTGAGTCCCACTACTACCATTACTACCTTTGCTTTCGACCGAGTCTGTTGCTGCATGCTGTGCCTTGCCACGGCCCCAGCGACGCGTCTTGGGCGGGAGTGGCTTGACACCGTGCTTCCCTGACGTTGGCAATGAGGGTGTTGGTGACGCAGGAGGCATTGGTCGGTGGTGGCTGGAAGAAGGAGTATTCTGACTTGAGCGCCTGGGTGGCGGTAAAGCAGGAGGTGGATTTGAGGCCGAGCGGCGTAGCGCGGGGACTGGGGGAACGAGGTGTGCTGTGGTGGTAGGGTTGGAGTCGCGACGATCTCTTGGTAGGTTGGCACTTGGGGATATGGTGGTTGGTGTATGGGTTGCGGAGACCGAACTAACTTCAATGCCTTCTGGAATAGTACTTTGGTCACCGTCCTCAGCTGTGAGTCGTCGACCTCGCCAGCGACGAGCTTTTGGTGGTTCGGGCTTGACTTTTGGTGGGCGAGTGCTCGGTGGTTGTGCTGTGAGTTCGGGAACAATATGCCCATCTCTGCGGCTTGGGGTAATGATTCCTGGTTTCTCATGTTGGGCAGCGACGGCGTGGACGCTGAGAGATGACGAAGTTGCGGGCTCAAGGTTCATTCCCAAGTGCGCTACTGCACTCAACTTTCGTCGGGCTTCCGGAGCTTCAGAGGAAGCGCGCGAGTCTAATGAATCCATCCGGGTCGGCGAAACGGCGCTGGGTGAATCAGGTATAGTACTCGATCGAGAGAGAGGAGCTGTTGCGTCAAGCGGTTCTCCAAACTCGACAGGCGAATCTCGTTCGGCAGTCTCCTCGAGTACGGTGTCGATGGTTGTAGGAACTTCCAACGTAGGAGTATCAGGAGTGCTGGGGCTTTCAATGTCACGCAACCAGTCCACTGTCGCGCATCTGCTAACGAGCCGGCGTGTGGTTTCATCGACTTCTTCGAAATGAAGCATCTTTTCTCTCTCTGACTCATTCCCATATGATATTTGGCCCCGCACAAGAAGGTTGAGTAGCTTCCTGAGCTCTTCGCGCTTGTAGTGTGGAGGGTTCTTTAACTGTGTGTGTGCTAAAAGTGGGTATAAAACACGGAGATAGGTATGGCGAAGTGCTGCGGCTTCCTCGGGAAGATCGAGCAAGTTTCGAATCAAAATGTCGACCAGCACATGGAGATCGTTGGTAAAAAAGTATTCATATGTACTAGGGGTGGTAAAGATCAAGTAGAGTAACTTGAGCGTAAGCAGCTGCAGTGATGTTTCCGCTGTGAAGATCATTCTTAGTTATGGCCGGTAATTGACATGGAATTGTCTTTGACATACCTTCGCGGTTGATCAGCAGAATAATGTTCTCGCCGAAAGTCTTGTATAAGCCACCATACATGGTCAAGACCTTGATGACCTTGTTTGTCAGTTTGTTTGGTGACGGTCCATCAACGGGATCGTGGGCTGATATCATGAATTGTTCATTCAAAACAAGCTGCCCAGCATCAGCATTTCACCCAAGCCAGGTAACAACATCTTGAGAACGCTCACCAGCACGCGGATAACGGGATAATGATAGGGGTCGGTGACGTCGTAGGACAAATCCTCAATAATATCGAATAAACAGCGTATAAAATTGTCATCCACGAGCACTTTTAGTCGAACGGTCAGCCCCACCGCATAGATATCCAAGAAGAGCACATACCCAAGTCCTCGATCTTAACTCGTTGAATCCTCGACATCTCGTAGAGTAAGTCCATCAGCAAGCGATGAAGTCCTGCGCTATCCTCCGTTTCATCTCTTCGGAGGGTTTGGATCAGCTCCAGAAGCCTCGCAAAGACACCCTCCTCATTCATCATCTGCAGTGCTGCTTCATTTTGCCGACCATCGAATAGCAAGAACGACGCAATCATGTGTAGGATATTCGGGTCATCTTCCTAATAACGCAAATCACATTAGCCAAACTTTGTGCATAGATCATGCCCGTCAGGAAGTGGGCCAGCCTAGCGGGCCATACCTGCAAGAGGCCGTAGATAATCTGCCGGCGCACATAGTCGCTATGGGCCGAAAAGATCCCCGACACAAAGAGCTTATACGAGCAATTCGAGATATCCCAGTCCGACCGAAGAAATTGACCTGGGGCATATACTGTCAGTCACCGCCTAAACCGGATAAACACGCTAGTAGGCGGGCCTGCGTCATCGGGCGCTGACGAAGGGAGGTTGTCACCTTTATGCTCGGCTGTCAGGCTTAGATACGCTCGCAGGGCATCGTCGATAGAGTCTTCTGATTCGCAGGGTCTGGATACTATGGCTTCGAGTTCTGGAAGGTGTTAATTGGGCTGTGCGCGTGGGAGATCGCCGAACGGCTTCAATGCCAAACAAAACAGAGGACGATGTCATTTCCAAGACCGTAGGTGTCACGTACCATCCCAGAACTGCTCGGGCTCCAAGGCCTCGTGCTCCATTTCCCGAGCTCGAACTGCGTCTTCGGCAGAGGATCAGAACACTCATGCCGTCCTCTGTCTTGGGGAGGTTAGAGATGCGGAATGTCTTGGAGGCGGGGAACGGTGCAAGTTCCACTGCGGGTCCCTCCCAAAAAAAAACTACAAACATACCGTCATCAGTACGACTGTTCATATTTAAGTGGTGATGCGGATTTTAAGTACGTGTTTAGAAGCAGAACTTGTGGGAGGGGGAAAAAAAAAAACAAAAAACACAAAGACAAATAATATATACAATTTTTGCTGGTATCATTATGCAGAAATCCCCAATCCTAAATACATGTTCTACAGCGGGCGCAGGAACGGGTGCGCTTCGGTGTTCCTAGACCGAGTTAGCCTTGAGGCCAGAAATCGAGGGCCAAGGGTGATACTCACAGTACGTATTTATCCAGATCCACCACACTAGGGTCACTGAAGAGAAGGTAGAAGTACTTTAGGGTCTCGGCCAGCCAGAAAGACTCCATCGAGTCCTTGTGCGTAGGCTTCGAAGACATCACGTCTTGGATAGCAGCGTTGGCCAGGTCGGTCCGAGTGGCTTTTGAGATGGCCTGGAACATTTTCCAGCCCTTCTGTCGCCATGCGTCGTCGCCCGTCAGACGGTACATGATGAAGACTGACTCGATCGCCTCAGGCCGAAGGAGGTACTCGGTGGAGGCGATACTTACCATGCCTGGGGGAGGCAAGGGACTATCCGAGTGATCGGACTGGGTCTGGCCAAGAACAGGCGAAGATGGGGGGACGCCGGGTGGCGCGCGTGGCTCAACTCCACCAGTAGGTCGTGGACGCGCGGTGGCCGTGCTGACGGCGCTACTGAAGCTTGAGACGCTGCTTACGGCCGCAATCCCATTCCGCTTCAAGCCGGCACCACTGTCATGGGGGTTCAAGGAGCCAGGCATAGGCAGGGGAACACCTGACTCACTAGAGCCAGCTTCTTGTGACTTGGCATCATTGGCTAGCTTGACGCGCTGGCCGTACGCGCTTTCGCCCGTCCGGAATTGAGCCTTGTCGGACTCTGCTGCGAAGTGGCTATACTTCTGTGCTTCTTTTAAGTAACGGGCCTCGTCCCATTCGCAAGATCGCTCTTTGTCACATGGAAGAACACGGAACCGCTCGGGCATGATTCCTGTAGTAGTCGATTCGTAAGCCCACACACAGCCGTCAGTGAGCTTTGCTGCAAGGTCCATATCGCTGTCGATTTCGAAGACCTTGGCACCAAGCGCTACCATGCCTCCGACGAAACACGTAAGGTGGTGACCCTCATAAATCAATTGAGAGGAAACGTCAGACCCCTTCTTAGAGAACTCTAGGCCAGCTGTTGAGGCTATGAACCGGATGTCGTGCTTGCCCTTGACCATAGGTTTGAACAAGAGGTTCTTGCGAATAGCGTCAATCGCCTTGCTATACATGCTTTTATACTGGTCGTTCACACCACCAAGTAAAAGGAACTCCTTGGGCAAGTATTCGTAGGTTGAGTCTGCCATCCCTCCCACTGTATACTTGTTGTCTCGCGATGCAGTGGGAAGCATCAAGCCACTGTCACACTTGCCATTTTCGGTTTCCGAGGCATCGGTGAAACTGGTACTGTCACTGTTACTGCTGCTTTGCTGAGAGATAGCATAGGGAGCGGGCTCAGCGTCTGCTTCAGTGAAACCAAGCTCTATGTCACGAGACACCAGCTTCAAGTAGCTTGCCAGGTCGGTCGGTACAGCATACGACTTATGCTGCACACTTGCGGGAGCGGTTATGTTGTCCTGCCGAGTGGACGTTTTGCCCACATGAGTCTTCTCCGAGGCATGGGACTCCCCTTGCAAAGGCGCAAGGGTGCCGTGGCTCGGCGGCACCGGGGTTGAATACTTGGGACATCCCTGTGCATTCACAATCATAGGCCACAGACCAGGAATCGTGGTCTCATCTTGCATGTTCTCGAGCTGGTTGGTGATGCGAGCAACGGCATCGTAGTACTTGTCTTGCTTGGTTAACTGAGCCAAGCGAGTGAATTCCAAAGAGAGCGAGCCAATTTCAGCCAGCGCGGCCTTGCCTGATGCTCGATGAGGACGATCAACATGTTCACTATAATATGTTAACGTTAATTGGACTCTCAAGGTGTGGTTGGAGGAACACTCACGGTGTCCAACGGTAGTACAAAACAGGCATGCGGTTGGGAGTGTCAAACGCGCCCATCAAAATTCCCGCAAGCTCCTCGGCCTTCTCTAAAAGAACGGGGTATCGCTGTCCAGAGATATCATAAGCGCCCAGCAAGCCACCTAAATAGCGGATAACAGTCTCGAAAACAGGAATATTTTCGCGCGCGGAGGTGGTAAAATCAATCTTTTTGACCATGTCCACCGCCTCGGAGAATTCATCCTTCAACTCCATTATCCACAGAGTATCAAGTGCATCAACAAGCGTCGCACCCCAGCCATTGAACGGATCCTCAACCGCCGAAGAAAGCGGCCGGAGCTCATCATGACCAAAGGCCACCTTCTTGTATCCGGCCCAAGCATGGCTGAACTCCGCCTTAACGGTGCTCAATTGCTGGACGCGCTCCTGCTTCTCAGAAGTCGACTCGTCCTTGAACTTCGCCTGGATCTTCGGGATTGACTTCGTCTGCCCCTTCGGCAGCTTAATCAGATCATCTGCGTTCACGGGGAATCGCTCCGGGAACTTCCTCCAAAATTCCTGTGTCTCGCCAGGTTGCGGTTTGATATTTGCTCGGCCTGGACCGCCGGTGTCCTGCTCCTCGAGGAGCGTAGTCGAGCCTGAGCCGGTAAATTTGTCGGTCTCGGGGGTAGTAAGGCTCTTATCGGTTTTTTCTTGAGTAGAATCCTTCGCGCCTGCCGAGTACGACTGATCGTATCCATTGCTGGAAGAAGTGGAGCCGGTGACCTTGTTAGTATCTCCCTTAGCTGAGCCGGGGACAGCTGGTGCCTCTAGCTTCTCAGGCTGCTTGGAGCCCCCGGGCGGGGCATATTCGGGCGGAGGTTGAGAAAACTTGCTGTCTTCGGCGGGCTTGAAGGATGCAGGGGGTGTGCTGGGAGGGTAAACTTCAGGGGATTCGATTATGGTAGCGCTCCAGTCGCGCGACCGGGCGAAATGGAGGAAGGTCAGCACGAAGGCAGCGGCAAACACCAGGAGAACCCGATAACGACGGGCGCGAAACATGGTAGTTTCGTCTCCCTGGGGTGAGGGAGAGTGATATATTAAGATGGATCGAAGGGATTGGATAAAGAGGCCAAAACCAGAATCAAAATCTCGAAAACACGAAGCGCATCGGGACCCTTTGATCACGAGACCCCACAGGCAATCTGCGGAGGATCCACATCTGATGGGTCTCGAGGGATTGGATCAATCGGATTCGAGCACATTTGGGGAAGAGGGTAAGCGGAGGTTAGCACCCGAAATCGTATCTGCACATGAAAATACGGTGGTGTGCCTTACGGAAACACTGAACTCTTTGAGATAGTACTTTTCTCGCGCCGCTTGAGCCCGTTATCTTGAAAGGTTTATCTCAGCCGTGTTCTAGATCGCAAGCCAGGGGCTCCATGATACGTAGCCCGAAGTTTAGTCGATACCCAAGGACCCCCAATACGAAGCGGACCCGGAGTTCTCGACCGCCACAGCCAAGACTGAATGGTCTTCAGGCCCGCCGCTCCGTCCACTGAGAGAAAGGCTGAAAGGGGATGCCCAATCACCGGGCTCAGTGTTGTTGCAGCAATTGCTACGTACTTTCCCATCATGGGTCTTCTCCCAGGGAGGGCTCCGAAGGATCAGCAAGGGTGTTTCGTGATCGACCTATCATCTTCCTGATCCTGTTGATCTTCCGGCTCTGCCGGGTACAGTAGAATGTCGAGATTCACCTTGATCCAACATTCCGTGCTGAGGCCACGGATTATCCACGGGTTTGGGGGGCCTGATTCTCCAACGGCTTTGACCTGCTGTGCATCCTCGCGGGCTCCGATACAGATTTTTATAGTTCCCGCCAATGAATACGCTCCGTCGCGTGGGGTTCCATTTGCCAAGAACTGTACTGAAAGGGGGAAGCATTGCAATAAACATGATCTCCCCTGTGTGCTTGTCTGTTACTAGAAGAAACTCGGGTCTAAAACTTGAAGGGTATTACCCAGCCAGGACTAGTACTACTAGTGCTACCTGGGTAATACCAGCCTTATCGAACCTGAGTGGCTTTGTACCGAGGTTGTTTTGAAATCTACTAGTATGCGGCAGCGAATCCACCTAACTCGTTCTAAGGCGCCCTAAATGTTGTAGTCATAACGACCGATGAAGTCGATCGAAAAACCCTGTAAGGCCTTGACCACTGATATTGATCGATCAGCTCGGGTTACCCATTTCATGTCTTTATAGAATGAAAGTATCTTTTCAACAAATCCCACTAGTAAGGACCAGCTGTAAACTTGAAGATTCCCCGAGTCTGCATTAGCACCGTTTCCCCCTGAACTTGCCTACCAACTTTGAGAGAACTTCTACTATAACGTTGGAAGACCATACTTCTCCCAGTGAATAGCTGCGTCAGCCTCTTGAAATCATTTGGTTCCCCGATCACCCCATGCTCATGGACATCTCAATCCCCAGATTCAATCCGCTCCGCCCAATTCGTCATGACTTTGTCTAAGACTGTCCTTCATCCCTTTCTCCTCCCCCCAGGAAGAACCCCAGAGTAGCGAAGTATCGGAAAAGCTAGTCTGGCTTGATGACCAGAACCTTAGTACCCGCAACACGGCCGAGGAGCAGACCATTGCTCCTGCGTGCGTGCCCATTCTCCCCCACACTAAATGGTAACAGTAATGGAAACTCGTTGCCAATATCCTGCGCCACAGCCTGGGCTACACTTTCGATAGGAAGGCCTGTGGCTCAACAATATAGTGGAAAGAGCATGTTCGGCGTTTCAATTCTATTCGTATTTCACGGGGTGTTCAATATCAGGAATATCTAAGCTGGAAGAAACACGCCAAACTCCGAGCCAATGTCATGTCATAAGGCCAACAAGCAGGTGACGGCTCGCTCTATATCCCCACCGTGGGCCGCCGTCCATCAGTGTTCGCTTTCTGGAACTGCTGGATAAGACCTAGAACACCGGCATTGCCAGCAATATCATCTATGTTCTCACCCCCGGCTCCGTTTTCGGCATCATCTTCTTTCCCAATCGGATTCATACGCCATGAATCGCCCAAATTGCTCTCGTCCGTGCCAATGCCGCCACTGGAACCACCTGTCGCCGTACCACGAGCCCGGGTCCCCGAACCTCGGGGATTAGTTTGGGATGGAAACTCATCGTCTTCATTATGACCGTCCATCGGATATTGCGATCTCGCAAGCCGAGAACGCGCGTAGGGAGCTGTCCGGCCCGCGGGGCGAAACCCGGACGAAGAAGGTTGGTGGTGTGGGTCGAGGAGCATAGATGGAGCTGGGGAGCGGTTCTCTCCCGCGGCCATCGACCGAAACTTCGATGCCGCAAGAGATTGGCCAAAGGTCCCTGGCCGTGATGGCTGGGGGTCAAAGCGGTCTGGAAGACCTGCTAATGACGGGGACCCGAGCGTTGGCAAGCCTGGAGGAGGGTGGAATGGCCGATGACTGGTCTGTTGGTTGTTGGTCCCATAATGGTCCAAGAACCCGTAGTAGGATGCTAACATCTTGCCGTCCTTGGTAGAGAAATAGTTTTCCCGTGGGTCCTGCTTTCCAGCTCCTTGACCCGGTGTCATGACGTTAGATCCTTTCTTGAAATCAAAGACAGCAAAGGAGCAAAGATAGCCAACGCCATCTACATGGACGGTGAATTCACGAAAGAAATCGATCAGCCGGTCACTACATCTCGGGAGACTGAACCACAAGACGAAGGGGGTGAATATCATGCTGAGGATCTCTTCGAGGAAGATGACAACCTTCATCTGGTAGAGGACGGCAAATTCTTTGCGCACCTCGTCACTATGCAGGCGTCCATTCCAGGATGCCGGAAAATAATGAGTGAAGCCAATTAGTTCTCGGAGAGCATATTCCGGCTCGAAAACGTCAGTCTCTTCGGGGGCCATTCCTCGAGACACAGCCCAAACGGTACCGAAAACACCTAGGTAGAAGAGCACGGTACGATCGGGGGTGATCTCAAATCCAAGGAAGAGTTCGGGGTCTATTACAGAGGCAAGGGCAAGGACCGAAGCCAATGCCCCTGAAATAAATGAGACAAAACGAGCAACTTGGACTGTCTTATCTTTGGGGAATTGGTCAATATAGCGACTTGCGAATGGGTAAGACATGTTGATCCGACGCTCGAATAGATGCCATAGTTCGTTGAACTCCCGAAACTTCCATTCGGCCAAGGGTGTGTACTGACGAGATCCAATCTCAGATGGGTTCTTTTTGAACTCATTGAAGTAGCGGAAGAAGTAATGCATCAAGAAGTAGATCACGATAAATGGCGCGACAAAAATGTTCATGATTCCGGCGAAGATGAACCGTCGTCTGAGACCCTCACTTAGCGCTCGTCGGTTAACATCTTTTAGAAAGAATGTACGAAGTTGGCCCTGCTGGTTGAAGACATAGTCCATAATACACCAGTTGAGATTCCATTCTAATGTTCGAGAGAACAACTGTCGGTTCCTCAGGAATGGAATTGGCAGTGTAAGATCCAAGATGTCTTTGTTAATGAGGGCAATCATGTAATTCTCTCTGCGCATGAGGCGGTTCGCGATATCGTGAGCATCCATTCGCTGCTTTGACTGGCTGCCGAGGAATCGTCGATGCTTAGAAGATACAGCTGCTGCCGTGGACGGATTGGAATCTCGAAGTAACATCAAGCGGCGGACTACCTCTTGCCATGAGATTGTCTGGACCTCGGGATCGGATATTCCTAAAAGATGATAGTAAAAATCATGCATATGGGATAGCCGTCGGATATCCAGCAAGTATTCAAAGAGCTTGCCGATCCAAAAGAAGCTAAACAGCCATAACAGAAACAGTGAAGTGCCAGACATGTTTGATGTGCATTTCGGGACCAAGATCTCGTCCAAAGACTTGCTGCCCCTTACCTTGTGATAGTCGACGCAGTTGGTGAGGAAAGTCGAGAATCCAACCACGAACCCAAAAGTGAGAAGATTCAGGACACGGACTAGGAGTATAGACCAAAATCCATTCCCGAGAAAATATGTGTATACATCCTTCAGGAAGTTATCCAGGTCTTCCACGTTAGCCCATCGCCACATGGCTTTTGTTTTGGGATCGACATTTGCGAGAGAAAGGTGTTGCCTAGTCAGCAGGCGAGACATCGCATGGCGATTGTCAACACTTGCGTGCCGATCGCGCGGTGTTTCCCACCGAAGAGGGCGCTGAGGAGAAGGTCGCGGGCTGGGGGTTCTGGAGCGGCTAGGCATCATTTGCGGCGGGGAGGAAGTCGCGAACGCAGTTCCTCGTCATCGTGTCCCTCTACTAACAATGACATAGGGACATCTTCATCGGGCTCCTCCAAGTCATAACCTCGGGGGGACGCCTGCGTCATCCACCGCGGTCTATAGTGTTTGCCGCGGCGCGACATCAACGGCGAGCTCTGGGATTCCTGTTGTGGCTGCTTCGGTGCAGCAGCCGTTGGGCTAGACATCCCACTGTCTCTTGCATCCGCCAGTGCCTCCTCCAGCTCCCCGTCATTGAAATGATCCTCTCCCGGGGCCATCCCCGCACGCTCTTCGATATCGGAGGAGTCAGAGGCGGCATCGTGCTGGCGCATAGCTTCGTATATCGATGGCGAGTCTGTGGGCGGCAGAAACCGCGATAGTATGTTTGAGGACATCATCGTCGTATCAGACAGGCTTCGACGCAGAGCTCTCAAGGTTCGTCGCCATCTGCCATTCGGTGGTTCTGACGAGGTCAACAAGAAGACGCGGAGGTACGATCTCCACGAAGAGCGTATCTCTTTTCAAAATACGAGAGTATGAACAGGTAAGAGATAATTCAAGCACCCACGGAGGCAGCGGCTTCAAAGCAAAAAGATGATCACGAGCATCTGATCATGCAGGGCCTCTGCCTTTCTGGCATATTGTACAGCTGATCGACCTTATGACATAAGGGTGGAGGCGTCACGGTCTCGCAGCCTTACCGCCTCAGGCCCTCAGGCACAAAGGCACAAAGGCCAAAACGGGCCCATGCGGGGTCCGGGAAGATTCCAGGTTCCTCTGCCCACCAGCTGCCCTTCTAGAACGCCCGGATGTATCTGTACTTCTGTCTTGTTTCCAAATATCTACGAGAGGCGCCAACCCTTTATATGGGCTCACGGGTATTTAGCAGTCACCGCTTCATTCGCGGCTTTTCTTCCGGTGACAGTGATAACTGTATTCGCTGAAGGATCGGACAAATAGATTGTGTTATTCCTCGCTTTGGTTTAGCTCTCTTTCCCTTTAGAGCTCACAATGATACCGATTGCAGGTCCTCCCAGGACTTTGTGACTAGGGTTCGGGTTTTAGGTAAGTCGCACATAGCCACAGGGCCTGTCTGCTGACGCGCGAATCCACTAGCGGCATTCCTGACTTGGTTCTGGGAAGATTGGGCAGATGCCCGAGGGATATACAAAGCGTCCATGCCGTTGAAACAGGGTGCTATGACATACCCCTTTCCGCAGGAGCATCCACTTCCAACGCTGACGCCTCGGTAGTTGCCCCTAATTGGGATTTGTGATTATTAACGCGGATAGGGTGGTTAGTTCGTTATTCTTCGTATCAACTTGGGTGGCTTCGAGCATCAGTCCTTTGGGTGACCGTGCCATCGCTCAATGGCAGACTTTCGATTAATCAATGTTGAGGCAAAAGTCGAGATTAGTGTGGTAACTAGTCGCTGGGTGGATAGAAAGCCCCAGGGAGCGCGTCAAATCGTACTGAATGAATTCTCACGGCGGGTTTGGGGCTAACATCTCCGAGAAGAGGGTCTGATCGACAAGCTCATGACTCTGCGACCGTTCGTGGTTCGGGCTGATGATTCGCTACGGTCCATTCCCACTCAAGATTAAGGGCCCCCTTCATTGCCTCTCTGGAGAAGTGCCACGCAATTCCCGGAGGGCAAATGGCCAATAATCAATTGGGCTGACGGGAAATACTACCTATATTTCAGGCCGAAAAAAAATTTATGCAATTCTAGAAACTGTTGACCTCCAAAATCACGCACCCCAGAAAACGCACCTTCGGACATTCGGAAATCCCGAGTAGTAACTTAAAGAGAAGTATAATTGCAAGGCTAATCTACAACCCATGTTTTCTATACGCTGCGAAGAAGATCCACAATTCAGCTGAATTTCCATTCCAATCCCATGAGCATATTCCACAGTCGGATCCCTGGAAGGAGAAACGCCTTCCAGCCGCTCATGGCCAACTCTAGAGCCCCCCGGCCGTTGCCCCATTGGACTGTGCTCAACTTCTCGAAGGCTTAGGGGTTTGGTCGCATATTGGATAGCCGGAAGAAACGGGCTGTTCAAACCTGACTCGGAAACCCAAATAGCTCCAAAAGGATCCAGATCAATCCGTTTGGTCCCAGTCGTGGAGAGGTCCATGAGGCGTACCCTACAGGTTTAGGACGAAAAGGGCAAAATAGATGATAATCTCACAAATTCAGATAATTCACAATTTTCCTGGATTCGGCTGATCCCCTTTTCACCTCTATAATTGTTATTTTCTACTTTATGAAGATTGAAATCCCAGTGTTGGACTTGCGGTCAATAACGAGAGAGAGAAAGAGCAAAGGCGGTTTCCCTTGATACTCTTCAGCTCCGCTATCCACACTCCTCCCCTCTTCCCTCTCTCCGAGTCGCCCCTCTTCTCCCACCATCAATTTCCCCCCCACCCCAGGGGTTTTCTTTATCTAGTCACCAAGGAGGTTACAGCCCTGGAGGTTTCGTTCCCCGGTCTCTCTTTGCCCCCTTGGAATTCAATTTCGCACAACCACGTCCTCAAAAGGACACCCCCTCAAACTCCCGGGCATATACATGTCCTGATCCCACCCCCAATTTCAAAGGCGACTGATGAAGGTATGTGGATTCTTTTGGCGCGTGGCAGTCTCTGAAAATTCCTTGTTTCCGCCTCTCGTCTTGCTACTTAAGCCTGCTCTATGCCCACCTCGTTCGACCCTCGTCTCCCCCTCTTTGATGATATCACGGCCCGAACACCAACGAATCTCTCAGACCCGAGATCTGGCCCGGCAGCGTCTGAGATTTAATAACGCCATCGGCTGCTGGTCTGGATCTGTTTGCTTACACTCTGTTAGACCCTGCCCTCAGACAAACAACGGTGACCTGCACCTCCCTTTGTGTCCCTTCCCGCCAGCTCGACCGAATGTACGACACCGCCCCCCTTCCTGCATTCGGTCTCCATGTGTCCTCATAGCCGTAAAAAATCTATCATCCGATCATATTCAATTGTGCATACCTAACTGAGTGGGCTTGTGGGCTCAACAATCCTTGGTTTTGAAGTGGTGTCGGGTGTCCCGTTTCCCGACCGCCGCGCTTTGGTGGAGGAGCATACCCGTGCACGCCAGGTCGCCCCTCATAGCGTGACGGCCAGAATGGACGCGGACAACTCAAATGGGAATTTCAAGCGGAGTTCAATGCAACAGGCATTGCCTCAACGCCCACCCATGGAGCGCAACCCGAGCAAGAAGTCTTCCAGGGACCGCCACGCCGCGATGTACCCAGATACGTTTCGAGACACCGGTATTCGAACGGTGACCCCAGAGTCGCATTCTCCTATATCCGATACCGATTATCTTAATTACCATAGTGCGCCATCCCCTCGGACTACCATGCGATCCCGAACTGTCGAGCGACGCGAGGAAGATACACAAGATATGAACCCGAGGCGCACCCGATCTCGAACAGCGACAATGGATGAGAACCGGAAAGAGCCCAAACCCCAGAAGAGTCGGACTCGGATCAATTCACTTCATGCGTCAAGTTCTACAAAGCTCAAGGCCGTGGAGGCTGATGAGAACGATTCAAACTCGATAGGGTTCCCTTCCATTCAACCGCCCAACTATATCGGCCAAGCCGTGTCCCGCCAGCGGCTCAGCAGATCTCCAGGAACGGCCGAGCTAGCACAGTCGCCCACAGCCAAGAAGCATTTGCGTCTCCCATCTCAAACACCGACGCGGCGAAAATTTTGCAATTGATGAAAACTACATGTGGACGGATGCATGGAATTCTGTCATTCAAAGATGCATCTAACTCTACCTGGTCTTCGAATTCGTGGATATCTGGATACTGCGCTATCAATGTTGCTACTGGAAGTTTGATATACCAAGCAAAGGGGGAACCTGCCTTGGCAAAGACGTTGATTCCCGATCTTCGTGGCTGTCGTGTCCGATCGCTGTTCGACCCGGAGCTACAAACTACCTACCTCAGTGTCCACACATCTACATCCGGTCTTGGAATCCAATTACGCCCTCACGTGAACGAAACGTTCGATTCTTGGCTTGCAGCTCTACTCTGTTGGCAGCCAATCCGCCCTAAAGGCGTCCAGAACAAGATGACCAAGCCTCAGTCTGTCCTCATTGGCGATAAGAGGATACCCGAGCCGCGGCGGAATTCGGAGACTGCTTCGCAAAATGAAGCAGCAGGGAGCGCTGCGGCGATCATCAAAGTAGGCAAAATGCTTCTGTGGGACAAACCATCCGCCGCCGGTGTCCGACCTACTTCAGCTCGCCGGGTTTCTACATATCGGCAATCCAGAGCTCTTTCCTCCAACTGGCAGCACGTTAGCTGTACCTTACAGGAGAATGGGTGGTTTAAACTTTACACAGAGAATGAACCTTCTCTGGTCGCATTCATTCAACTTTCCCAGTTATCCCGCTGTGCCGTTCAACAACTCGACTCCTCGGTTCTTGACGACGAATTCTGCATCGCGATCTATCCGCAGTATACAGCTCATCCTGTTCCTGACGCAGTGATGCGTCCAATCTACCTCGCTCTAGAAACTCGTATCCTCTTCGAGGCTTGGTTCGTTCTTCTACGCGCGTTCACTATCCCCGAGCTTTACGGACCCAAGGCATCTGGAAACGGGGCCGAAGAAGATGATCCCAACAAAACACCCGAAGCGGGAGCGTCTTCTTCATCGGCGTCTTCGAGTGGCATGTTTCGTTTTGAGAGGATCCTTCACTTGAGAATAACGGAAGCAAAACTCTTCCGTACAAAAGATGAGGAGACACCACGAAGCCGTAAGACGTCTCGGTCTCATGCAAATCCCGCTCCCTCTCCGCCCAAAGCCAGCGATTACTACACGGAAGTTCTCTTGGACGGGGAAATTCGTGCTAAGACGGCTGTGAAATACCGTACTACCAATCCCTTCTGGCGGGAAGAATTCACTTTCAATGATCTGCCGCCGGTCCTCTCGCAAGCCTCCATTTTGATCAAAAACCTCAACCCAGCCCAAAGAGATTGGACGCTCATCGCGCATGGAAATTACTCTGGTCAGGGGGTTAATGCTGTAAACATGTTAGACGAAATCGAAGTGTCCACCAATGACTCTATTATCGGGAGAGTGGATTTGCGCTTGGATGAGTTGGACCCTGGCGTGGGACTGGAAAAGTGGTGGCCCATCCTGGATGATCATGACCAGCCGATAGGAGAAATGTTCATGAAGGCTCACTTGGAAGAAACAGTAGTCCTCATGTCTGAACAATATGAGCCTCTGAAGCAACTCCTGCACAATTTCACTAACGGCTTGACTGTCAACATGGCCCAAGTCATGTCTTCTGAGTTGACCCAATTGTCTGAGATGCTGCTTAACATCTTCCAGGTTTCTGGCTCTACCGTGGACTGGATTTCAGCTCTCGTCGAGGATGAGATTGACGGGGTCCACAGGAGAGACTACTGCCAACCACCTACGCTATACGACGAGGATTCAACGCAATGACACTCGAGACTCTACTGTGGCTCATGACCGCAACGTTTTAGTGAGAGATATGGGAAGAACGGCAACTGTGGAAGCGAACTTGCTGTTCCGTGGAAATTCTCTCTTGACAAAGGCACTGGACCAACACATGCGTCGACTCGGCAAGGAATACCTAGAAGATACAATTGGAGAACGCCTGCGCGAGATTGACGAGAGCGATCCGGAATGCGAGGTCGATCCATCCAAAGTGCCTCGTCCTGAAGATCTTGATCGCAACTGGCGGAACCTAATCAACCTAACGACTACTGTGTGGAAATCCATAGCTGGGTCTTGGTCTCGCTGCCCCGCCGAACTACGACTCATCTTCCGACATGTGAGAGCTTGTGCGGAAGACCGCTATGGTGATTTCCTGCGAACTGTGACTTATAGCAGTGTTTCTGGCTTTCTCTTTCTGCGATTCTTCTGTCCCGCCATCCTGAACCCCAAGCTGTTCGGGCTGTTGAAAGGTAAAATTTCATTGGCCTGGGCCATCCTTTTCCTCCCCTCGTGTTTTGGGGGTCATTTGCTAACATACATACTGCAGATCACCCTCGACCCCGTGCTCAGCGTACTCTGACACTGATCGCGAAGGCGCTTCAAGGCTTAGCCAATATGACAAACTTCGGTAACAAAGAACCGTGGATGGAGCCTATGAATAAATTTCTCATTGGCAATCGTGTGGAATTCAAGAAGTTTGTCGACGACATCTGTGATATTCCAGCGAACGGCCTGTCTTCAGTTCCAACCCCTTCATACACTACTCCTATTCAGATCTTTGGACGACTGCCAATTCTCTCGCGGGAAGGGTTTCCCAGTCTACCTTTCTTGCTCGACCAAGCGCGCTGCTTTGCTAATCTTGTCCACATTTGGCTGGAAGTTGTTCCTGAGCGACTCAACGAAATGAACGAGATTGATCCGTGCCTCTCGAAGTTCCACGAACTAGCCCTGCAACTACAAGAGCGAACGGAGGATTGTGTCGATGAGGCAGAGCAAGCAGAGCGACCAAACGGCAACCTAGAGGCCAAATGGGAGGAGCTTGTCGATTCGATGGAGCGATGTGTGACATTCTACGATGAAAGCTCTAGCAAGCCAGCAACCTCAGCTCCAGACTCGAATGCTGGTTCTCTGTCAAACGTCAGCCAGCGTGGCTCAGTCGGCTTCTTCGCTCCCCGCCCTGCCATTCCCCGGCGCTCAACAGACAATACTGCCGAGGAAGACGAGACCCCGCCGAGCTCATCATCTGCCACCTGGGATCAGTCCCGGATGCCGTTCTCAATTCCCCGTTGGTCCGACGCGCGTGACAGCACTGGAAGCTCCAAAAACTCATCCACCTATTCCCTCGACTTCGGCGAGAGTACGAAGGCTGCTCGCAGGTCCAGCGTGTCAAAGGAGTCCAACAGCAAATACCGCTTCTTTGACTTTGTTCCCAACACGTCTCGCCGCAAGGCCAAGGAACGCGAGCAATCTCACCACTCGCAGGAAGACCTCCGGAACCAGTTCTAATCTGTCACCTACCATCCCCCCCCCTTCCTTCACCTCCATCCTCCCTCTATACATGTGCTCATGAAGTTCACGCTCTTCTGCTCACTGTTTGCTTGCTTTGTCATTTCGCGTCCTTGATATCCGATGTTGCTTTCTTTCTCCATGTCGTCCGCATGTGTCACGGTGTTGATACCCTTCCCCCTCCTTTCCATCTCCAAGTTACGCCCTTCCCCCCTCCCCCCTACATCTACCACCCTTGACGAACCCCGCTCAGCCCTAGGGGACTGGATCCTCCTTAAAAGGCGTACGAAAATACATTAAACCTGGGATTTGACCACGGTTTATACAAAAGCATGGCTCTGGGCTTTGATCCCTGGACTGGGGTTCGTTCGGGGTAGGCTCCCTGCAGTGTTGTTTTGCGCTGGTGGACTTTGGGAGAGTTGGCCAGCATGTAAATACTCTTGATATCATCCCCAAATAGACGGATTGGACTTCTGGATGCACTTTTTCATTCGTAATACTACTAGCAGTGGGCCGTAGGTTTATTTCAACCTAGCAGTTTCTACGAATATATGATATGAGCGGAAACCCATGGGACTACCTACACAACAGTGGAGAATATTTATGACAATTACACACAGGAGTAGGGTTTTCTATTACATACTCACGGAGAGGCGAAGTGGCAGGTGATACCTGGAATTAATCGAAAATAAGTGACGGGAAACGAACTTTGCAAAAAAAAAAAAAAAGAAAAGAAAAGAAAAGAAAATAAAAGAAAATAAAAGAAAATAAAAGAAAATAAAAGAAAAAAGAGAAAGGAAGTTAATATCGACACCTCGCGGATTTGAACCGCGGCCCGCGAACGGAATAGATTTCTAGTCTATCGCCTTAGACCAGACTCGGCCAAAGTGCCATTGGAGATCCACTTCCAGTCGACTATTCGACCATTAGATGATGGGTTGACCAACTTTTGCCACTGTGGACCAGCGACTGTCCAGCCTACAGATCAAATTTTTCATATGGATTGCATGGTGCAATTTATACCAACGCGTACCGATAGATAGAGTCCATTTCCAAGGATGGTAGCACTGAGTTTAGATAATTGTTGGTAATCAAGTACTAAGTCAGCTATTTACTACTTATCTAAAAAGCGAACCTGGCGTCTGAAAACTAAACCCGGTGGTCAAATCCCAAGCAAGGTGGCCTCACAGTCATAGCATCTCGTCTACTCGAGCATTGGAAATCCCCAGTGCTAACATATACCATGCACACCGCTTTTTACACTACCTATTCTGAGCTATAGAAAGCTCGAAACGAAACCAAGTTGATCCTGCTGTGCAAAAGCTAATTTAGGTGGATAGATCCCAAGCTTGGTGTATTTCGTTGGTTAGGCTTCACTGTATGATTTCTTTATTCATACTTCTACTATCGTGTTGACATCTTTAGCGCTTTTGGTATACTGCAACATTGTATATTTACAGGAAAAGCCATCCGAGTGTATCGTAAACCTAGCTCAATAACACCCGAATCTCCCCAGTTGTACGTGGGAATAGTGACCGCAAACTCCACTGATCCCCTGATTCGTCGTCTTCCTCGCCATCTTTTCCATCTGGCTTAGTCTTGCGAGACGATCTCCCGCTTCGTCCACTTATAATGCTTGCACCAGTGCCCAGAGTAACTTGCGTCATACCTCTTGCTTCGTCTGCAGCGATGATCATACCCTCCACGAACTCAAAGTCTCGACAGAATGCCTCCACGGCATCCTCTGTGACACTTTGGATAAGCGAAGCACTCTGCAGCCGCTTCAGGTGATCGGTTGCATCCATGAGAGCCGATGGAAGGAAATCATCGAGCTGCTGACTAGATCTGACCAAGGCCTCGGGTTGAAACGCGGGTAGGGAGGTGAGGTCTGTGAGTTGGGGCTTGGATTGGGCTCCCTTCTCGGAATTCTCCGGGCTTGTATCTTCATGGTCTTTGGTTGATTTGGAAAATGGTTCCAAGGCCGCGAGTAGTACCTCCAGTCCAGAATTCTCGAGCAGGAAATCATGTTGAATATCAAGTAAGTTGGTACGCAAGGCAGATATGGCGGAGGACAAGCGGGCCATGTGAGTTACGCTCGCGAAATTAAATGGAGACAGGGTAGCCTGAGCTGCAAGAAGAATGTTGGTCCGATATATGATCTGCGCGGTAGGATCATCTAGTTCTTCAGACGAGCTTCGTGCTAGATTCAAGAATGGGTCGAAAGCCGCGCGCATGACGGGTGTGAAGGAATTATCTGCATCGGTATCTGAGGGCTCATCTGGCCCAACTGAACCTTCATAAGTCTTCATCAGAGAGACCAGATTTTCCAGTGCATCCAAGAGGAATTCCGGGGGCGACAAATCGGGTGGGGGTGCAAGAGCTAGCTGATCACTCGAAAGACTGGTAACCTGCTCACCCATCAGAGCCTCAAAATGTTTGAGTGTGAAAGTCTCCAGGTTTTGCATCAAGTCTACCAATTGGGTATTGGGCCCGACCAGCTTGGAGAAGGTAGCCCGATAGAACGATAGCAGATTGATCACCTTATAGCAAGTGATGGGATCATCATGGCCCTGAATCACTAGTTCAACACGCTGGCGGAGGGATCGGGAGACGCCAGTCAGATCTCGGTTGACTAAATCGCTAAGCGCTTTATGTCCGTTAAATGCCATCATTTCATCTTCTTCATTGATTCGAGCCCACGGCTCACTAGTCAAGCCAGCTTGAATACCCCGTGCAAGCTCATCTCCGTCGGCAACGAACAAGGCTTCTAGAGCCTCTCTTTCCGAAACGGTGGTAGAGTGCACCCAAGCTAACATATCACCAATATATCGTAGTGGGTCATGGGCCGAGAACTCAATAGGCTTGACAGTGCGGTCACTAGTACCAGCACCGTTAGCACTAGCCATCGCATCGGTCAGAGCATAGTGGAATGCGTCGGAAAGGACATAGTCTCGCGCTTCTGCGAAAAAATCAAGACAACTGTGAAATAGACTGGGCCGTTCTGCTAGAACCCGCAAAGCACGGCGGATGGAGCTGCTGATGCGAGGATCCTCGAGATTCAACGACTGGAACTCCTTCTGGATCCACTTATATAGCTTTTGGTATGCAGCGTTCAGATGGCGCTTCGTCATTTCCATGATCTCTAGGCCCAGACGCTGGTTCTCGCCGCCAAGAAGCAGCTCGCAGTCGTTATGCACCTGCTTGACGCGGGCAAGTACGTCGAAGAATCTGTCGCTCACCGGCTCCTCAGCCGATGTCAAGACCATAAGTTCCTCCTCGGGCACCATGAAATGTTTGGAAAAGGCGTCGAGGAGTTGCTGTTTCGTTTCCGTGTCTTTCTTTGACTGGATCAATGCGGTCGCTTCTTCGAGCACGGGGGTAGTTTCCTGCTTCGCTATGTCGATGTGTTTCCGCATCTCATTGCAGGTCTGATTCAACGAAGTTATAACGCTTCCGATCCGCTTTAATTGCTGTTATATTGATATGACGTTAGATGCTCTGAATGGCACAATTCCTCGACGTTTCTTCCGTGCTCAAAGCTCACCTCTGCTACCTTCCCAAAATCCCGCACAATCTCCCCATTGCAGTCAACCACCTCTTTCTGCACATCAAGCCTTAGCTGGCGCCGAGTTTCCGCAGTGTTGTGGATTCCTCTAATGCTCAATGTCTCCAGCGCATCACGGATGTCGGAGTCAGCGTACGAAGCGGACAGAACCGAGGTCAGACGATTAGACAGGGCGCTGGACCGCTGCGAAGGTGGTGATAGTGGGGACGAAGCGGGCGACGGGCCATCTCTGGGCCCCGAGAAATAGCTGGTCATATTGAGACGAGTGACCGAGTCAATTGGCCGCGTGTCGGTGGGGGGAAACGAAGGTCGCCGCAACGTGGTGTTAGACCGCCTTCGTCGATCTTATCGCATTTGCTTTCCGAAGTAAACAACCCGCTCTCACACTAGATCGGCCAACTACACATTATGGATTCCTTTGACAGTCCATTGGCATCGCCAACTAAAGCTCGCCAGGCTGCTATTCAAGCCAAGGACTGGGCGTATGTGAATACTTGGCTCAGCCGGCAATTCGCCCCGAAACCAGTCCCTCAATTCGAGCGAAACGAGGATACACTCAAAGTACTCCTGACCCTGGCCGCCGCCAACGACGCCGCTGACGAAGAGGCCAATCTTCAACAGCGTGCGCGAGAAGAAGCTCTTACGGCTTATAGAGCAGTAGAAGAGACAGAGCTTAAGGATCCACACCAACGACAAAAGAACGACTTATTGGAGGCAGTCGAAATGTGCCTCGATGACAAGGGACATGATGACCTGAACGATCTTGCTGAATCTGCTGCCATTCTCGGGAATACACTTAACCCCGAACCAGAGGATATAGGCCAATCTATCGTGGAGCTTTCCGCCGAAGACTTTGATGCGCGAAACCAGATGGCGAAAGTCGAAACATTACATCGGTATTTGCAGAAGGAACTAGCTCGGCTGCAGACCCATTTAGAAGACCTCAAGTCTAATCCTGCCTTTCAAATTCCTGAGGATATCCAGACGTCGACATCGGAATGGACGCGAGGAACCAAGACGCTGAACAACAAGGTTGGCGAATACCAAGACCGCATCGCATCATTGGAACGAAATCGGCCACATGGGCCCACAATCGACGAGCTCATGCACGAGGAGGAGGGTGTTCTTCGGCTCCGAGAAACCGTGAAATCGTTGGAGGGACGCGTACGAGCCTTCCACGATTTGCCCACGGATATCCCCGCGGCCCGGGCCAGATACAAGGAACTGGAGCTTGAACTAAATCAGCTCACTCGTCAACGCGATATGATGTTTGGGAATCTTATCGACCGAAGATAGAGACGTCAGTATATAGTTCAGCTTGGTACTCTGCGTATCGGGTCTGGTATCTTCTTCCTGAGGAAAATCTGTACATGATCCTCCCTTATCACCATACTATGCACGTTAGCAACTACACTTAAGACGTCAAATCGGCTCCTTGAGGCCTCAATAGATTTCGCTCCTGAGATGCGCTTTGCCTAGGACAATCAAAGATTGTAGCTTACCATACATGATGATGCCTTCAACTCATTTGGGAGTATTATGAGCTACATCAAAGTTAGAGACAGGAAATGCGCAGGGGGTCTGAAGGGTCACCAGTACAAGTTGTGCAGCTTAGCTTGCGAGACTGCTGGACGGCAAGATATCACAAGTGTCATAAGGGAATGCTAGGATACGGTCATAGACATTGCTACGGGCTATACAGAAGAACAATAAGTTTACGAGCATGAATATGTCAAAAGCTTAGCGTGGTGTTTGCATTGGATAGCTAGGTATCTCGAACTGGAATCATAAAATCAAATGGTATCGTCGACTCGTCAAAGAATCTGCCTCTGGAAACATAGAAGAGGAACGAGTCTCAAAGTGCAGCTTAGTTGTTGTTCATGCCAAGGGCGTTCTTGACCTTGTCGCCACTAGGAATCCAAACCGTTAGCATGTGGGTGGCGATACAAATCAGAAAGCTGCGCTTACATGGAGTTGCTGGCACCGCCATGAGCCTCATTGTCAGAAGCGCGCTGGGTCTTGTCGAAAGCCTGCTGAGCGCCACCCTTGTTGTCATCGGGCTGGACGCCACGAGCGATGCGGTCGCCGGTGTCGGTGACGGTCTCCTTGACCTTGTCCTGGGTAGACTTGGTGGAGTCAGGAGTAATCTCCTCCTTGGCCTCTGTGTAAAACGATGGTTAGCTCATGGATCTCACCAAGGGACCTGATGAGAGGTTAGAACAAATCACATACTGGTAGAGAAATCCTTGCGAGCGGAGTCGGACATCGTGGCTGATAGAATAGTTGATAGATTCAAGTAGAGAAGTTGGATGGATACTGAGAAGTTGGGTGATGGGAGATGGAAAAGGAAGAAGGAATCTCTATCGATGAAGATTTATATAGCCCGTCGAAATGAGTCTCACATGCTATCCAAACGAAATGACGTCTTCTATGTTTGGACCATGTTTGCCTAAGTTCATCCTAGACCCTTAGAGGGTCAACCCCGGACTATACCAGCATGTACGTTCCAAGGTTCGGTTAGCAAAATATGTCAAGCTAGACTGGTACAGCTGGGGTAACTAAGAATAGGCCACTAAGAACGAGCTTGAATGGGTGGTTCCACCGGCCGCGAATCATCAATGTAAGGATTATCTGGGGCCTACATGCAAATGACGTCCCCTAGATAGTGGCGTGGAGGGGTAAATGACGTTGATCTATAAACTGGATCTGTCACTTGCCCAGGTGTCACAATGATCCGTTACATCAGCGGTTACGCCCAATCTGGCATAGTGACGTGACAAGGCTTCGGTGCCCCATTATTCAGGCGGAAACATCTTGGTGCCTGAGAACGAGCTGGATGGCCTGTCACTGAAAAAAGAAAGCGGTGAATCAACCTTATCTACCCGGATAACTATTGTCCCGGGTTTCCCTCACACCGCCCGCCCTTTATGCCCCAGTGGGACATGATGCTGCCCATTCCAACCTGATCGACTCGGCATTCAATACTGCGATGTGAATCTTCTAGCGATATGCGCTTTCACATCCCATTCGGATCTTCGTCGATCTCTTCTATCCACACACTTCTTGTCTTGTTTTCGGTTGAACCACCACCGACCCTGATCCTTGGTTAGCTCCGTATCTTGTCGCAGCGCGGAACTCTATCAATGGCCGCTGCGGAGCCCTTCAAACCGGCTTCGCGGTGGGAATTCACCCCGGTTTACGAAATACTGAAGCGACCTATCGAAGTTGACATACCTGAGCCGCTTCATAACCCCGCGGTTCCTTCGCGTCCCTCCCACACCGAGTCTCCAGTCTCTCTTCTGCCTCACCAGAAAGAGCAAGATGAGGCTTCTAGCTCGAACCTTCAACCAGAAGCGAAGCAAAACTACCGCAAGCTTGGTGATTTCGGCGCTCTTTGGGATTTGATCGCGCTCAACAATACTCATCTTGCAGACACTACAGCTCAGAATTCTCCTGGCTCCTGTTCCGCCAAATTGAACGATTCATTGCCATGTTCACGACCAGCTCTGTTGCAGAAGCAAAACCCTCCAGTTGACGGTTCGCCTGGGTGTTTTATCAACTCCTCGTCTTCATTAGACTGTCCGGTCTCCCCTTCTAGGCCTATCCCTACGCAAAAGCCTCACATGCGTTCTACACATCCGCCCTCACCTGTCACAATCCTCAAACGAGACTCATCCAACACAACTGGTCTCAATTGTACAGCTCAAGCCACAGCTCAAAAACCTTCAACACCAGTGACCAAAGCTGAATTATCCCTTGCCACTCCAAAGTCCAAGACCAAGTCCAGGCGTAAGGCGAGGGCCAAGCCCAATGGAACCGCGGAGAGCAGTGCCGACGCAGAATCGGATTCAAGCAATATCGTTCCTGGTCGACGAACTACAAATCCTGGGGGATTGCCATTTATCCCTTCACAGGTTTTGGCGAAGGACAACCGCCAGGACTACGAATCTACTTTACCCTCGTCGTATGATGACCAGGATACATTGGTGAACTCCGGTGCCGTGAAACCTGAAGGCATCATCTCTACTCCTCGTCACACCCAAATTATCCCGCTGGTATACAAGAATACCCACGAACGTCGGGTATTCCTGATGACCAAGCTCCTCATTGATTTTCCCGAGTACGCCCAACTTGTATCGCAAGTGGGACGACTTCCCTCCTTCGGAGATTCACAATTGTCACGTCCCATCCACGTCTTTGTTGATATGTCCAATGTAAAATCCATTATTCCCGGCTTTTGTTTTTTGTTCCTATACTAACGGTCCAGATCCTGGTCGGATTCCACAATGCAGCGAAAGCCTCTCGAGGCCTCGATACGACGGTCCGAGTGCGCCGCCTCCACATGTCTTTTGCCAATCTCTCGTTGATCATGGAACGGGGTCGACAGGCGACCAAAAGAGTCTTGGTAGGCTCTGACAGAGTACCTTCTGTCGACGAAGCTGAACATCTCGGCTATGAAGTGAATATCCTGGATCGTGTTAGCAAGATGAAAACCACGCCACGGTCGCCACACCCACGCAACCTTGATGTGCAGAACTCTCATCTCTGTTGGTCTGAAACGGCCGGTCAGAGAGAGCGCTGGGTCGAACAAGGCGTGGACGAAATTCTGCACCTAAAGATTCTGGAAACCTTGCTGGACACCGAAAAACCAGCAACCATCGTCCTGGCTAGTGGTGATGCAGCGAAGGCTGAGTATTCGGGTGGATTTCTAACCATGGTCGAGAGGGCCCTGCAGCGCGGCTGGAATGTCGAGCTGGTAAGCTTTTCTCAACTCACGAGCTTTGCCTACAAGAAGAAAGAGTTCCGTGCGAAAATGGGGCACCCACTTTCGCATGATTGAACTGGATTCCTATGTGGAGGAGCTCTTCGATTAGGTCTTTTGTGTCCGAAGTTTTATCTATCTTTCGTACCAGGGCATTTCGCACGCCTGTAGAGTATTAGGGTGAAACCAGTCTCTACTCTCAACATCCTCATCAATCAACTGAAGTTCAAGGCAGATGCGTGATTATCCTGTAGCCCGTATAGTCCAGGAGATCTCCCCACATAACGTATCTGAGCTGGCCAGCTGGCCAGCTGGCCAACAATATATTCGGCAACTCGTAAAAAGGACATACCGAGTCAAAATACTCATAGTAATGTCTTCTTTACATTTATCCAGTAGCTTGAACCGCCAAGCAAACAGCGGGCTGATATTGATGTTGATGCTGTATAGATGCGGCTCTGTTCTGATTGGGCAAACGTCATCAGGCAGTGGGCGGAAGACTCCTGCCCGCACCTGCTGCCTCAATGCACTCGCCTATTTAATTGCGCCTGGAAGACTTCAACCCGTACAAAAGACATAGGACACAGCTTTCGCGTTTACCGTCTTGGCTTTGTGCTCTGAAAACCAGAACTTGGGGTAGAAAACAAAACGTGCCCCGTGATAAGCTTTTGGAAGCTTCGGGCCAAATTCAGCCACATTCTACATCACCTATTTGCAACCAAGCAAATCCCATACTCCCAAAGTTCGAACCATTTCGATCATCACATCCTCAAATTCCTGGTTAGCATCTAGAGCTTGAATCTAGGCTCTAACCATGGCCCAATTCACCGACCAAGATTTCTTCGGCGGGGCAATCCGAGGTGTTGTGCCGCAGCGCTGGATCGACGCAAGGTAAGCAGAGCCTCCCCCCGCATGCTCTATAGTTTTGCTTCCCCTCTCAAGATCCGATGTATGCTCATCGATCTCAATCGTAGAGCAAAATCCCCACAAACCCTTCCCAATTTTCCCCCACTAAAAAACCCACCGCTAATAAACCATAGCAACCTACGCGAAATCCCAGACCACCAGGAGCTCTTCCTCTCATCCGACACTCTGTCAAGCCTGATCATCGAAATCAACCAGCGCGTCTCCCAAGAAGACGCCCTCAGCACATTCCGCACCCTCAGTCAACAGGACCCCACCCTGGCCGCCGGGAGCGGCAGCCCAGCAACCGCGTCCCCTGAGGCTATCGACCAAGCGGCGGCTCTGTACCATCTGCACGACCTCTGCGAAGAAGGCGATGGGTTCCAGGTCGTCAGCCCTCCGCATCGTGTTAGCCCGAGCAAGCTGGTGGCCACCGCGCCGGCTGGGTCGCCCGTTGCTGTGTTCAAGGGTATTGCGCAGATCAGATCTGTTCCGCGACAGCGGGGTGGGCAGCCCCCCTCCGGTCCGGGGGCTGTGGTCGCGGGCGAGGCTGTTGATGGGGGTCAAGTGCAAGCGACGACGCTGACATGTCACTATCTGTTGGTGCGGCTGCAGGCGCAGGAGACGGATCTTTTGATCTTCTTCAATGTGCCCCACGAAGAGTTTGATAAGGAAGGGTGATGCGCAGGGGCTGGCGAAGGAGGAGAGTCTTGCCGAGGACACTATTCAGGCGTTGGTAGAGGAATTTGAGATTCGGGACTGGGGTCTTTTTGTTTGATTTAGAAGGTTTAATGAGGAGTCAGGGTGTCAGGGTCCGCGGGATTGGAAGACAAATTTGGGAGGAACTTCAGAAAGGTATCCAGAGATATGAATCAGAGGAATCTGGACTTCTAGCTAGCGCAATTTAGATAGGCGTAATACAAGATCTACAAGAGCCCGTGAAGCCGATACTCGTCGAGAACGGAGAGGTTCACCTAGAAAGCTGGAATAGATGCATGAAACAACGAGAAGACATAAATCTTCGTGGTATCAACAAATTGCTAAAGGAAATATCAGAGAAATGAGAAGATTTTCAAACCAGGCCATAGATCAGATGTACGAGTCCTCCCAGACAAAATCATAACTTCAGCTCATCTAAACTGAGCTTCACGTACTCCATCGATTTCTTCTGGAAGTTAGGAGGGATAGCGCCACTCTTCTTGGGTGACACGTTTCGTGGCTTGGGCTTAATTTGCTCCAGTTTCCCCTTGCAAGTGCCGCAAGAAAACCGAGTTGTATCGAGGCTCTTCGAATGACGACCAAACTGACAGCCACAGTTGACACAAGCCCATACGTACTTGTAGTCAATCTTGTAACTGTGTTTTGTTGTGACATGGATCTTGCCGCCGTATTCAGGGTGGTCCTTCATGGCAGTGGCACATTTTTGACCCCAGGCCTTGAAGCTGGGGCCATGAGGCTGGTCGACAACCTTTGAGATCATGTAGTTGGCCAAGTGACAGTATTCGTGGGCGAGAGTATTGGTAAGTCGGTACTCGTCGACCAGGATGCGATCTGCGAGCTCGATTTTGGCGTAATGCAATGGTAGGTTACCCTGGCGCTGCGAAGCTCTCCATGTAGCCCGGCCTGCTGTCTTCTGGAGTGTCTTGGACCAGACGATCTCGACTCCACCAGTTTCTTCAGCGAGCTGGATGATTTTCCCTCCAGTCACCGCGACATCCAGGTCATGGAGGAAAGATTTTGCGAGCGCTTCTTTCTTGTTGTCGAACTCCTGACGGAGCGCTTTTTCGGCGCGCTTGGCTTCAGCTTCGGCCTTCTTGAGGGCAGTCTTACTGGGCGTCTTAGGCTCGGTGGATTTGACAGGCGATTTAGGGATAGGTTCAAGCCCCGAGCCGGAATCTTGGCTACTTCCTTCATCGTCTGAGTTATCAAACTCTTGCAAGAGCGCTAGCATTAATCTGTCCGATTTGGGCTTCTGAGGCGAGTGCTTGTCATTCCAGTTGTTGGTTTCTTCTTGACTCCAGAAAGCATCCATACTCTCGCGGTGGGGTGTTGGCGGAATCCGGCTTTTTTCTTTCTTGGGGGACCTGAGGCGACCGCTTGGTGAAGGGCTTGAGGGTGGTGTCTGCTCATCCTTCCTTGCGGGCTGGAATGTTGTAGGAGAATCTAGCTCGGTAACCGACCTAAAAGGACCAGTTAGCTAGGTTGGCCTTTGTGTGGTCAACAGACAGGAGGCTGCTCATACGTGGAACGAGTTGTCTCTAGCCCAGAACTTGTATCATCTTGACCTTCCAAGCCTTCTGGATTGTCTTCTAGAGCAATTTTATTGAGCTTTGTGAGAAGCTGAATGTCGTCCTGAGACACCTGTCTTGGGTTGCTGACAGAGCTTGAGGAGCTTTTCTCATCCCCATTAGACCCCAAGCCCAGGTCCCGGTCACCCGCTGGTGAAGGGCTTCTGACTATATCACTTGCTCCAGCAACGTCTGGCTGTGGACGCCGTCCTCTGACCAGCCTCCTCCGGGCTGATCTAGGCGGTGGGGGGTGGAGAACTCTTGGGATCTTCCGAGTCAGATCCAGATGTCTCCTGATAGCTGATCTCGTCATTGTCACTAACAATGAAGTCGTCTAGTGAGTTGAAGCTGGTATCTGCGTCGCTGTCTTCCCGCTCGCTCCCACGGCTCTCGGGACTCATGCGGCTCCTAGGCCGATCTTGTAATCGGCTTCTCTCCGGGGTCTGTTCGAAACGTCTTGGAGACGGCTGGGGTGAGGGGTCGACTGAGTATGAGTCCATTGTGTCCTCTGTGAGATCATTTTCCTTGTCATAGTCATCTGTCCCTGCTTTGGTGTTGGGTCTTTGTCGTCGTCTGCGTTGAAGGGGTAGAAGGAGGGAATTGACAGGTGCAGCTTTGAGGGTCCGCGTAGTCTTTTGTTTCCTTGACGGTAGCGATGAAGAGGTTGGGTCTCCATCGTCTCCATCGTCTTGGTCGTGTGTCTGTTCGGTGTCTGGGAAGATGTCGAAAAATGCCCCAGAACTCTTCTTCTTCTTGTGTGATGGACCTTTGGAGGATCGGTCTTTGACAAGCTTTTCTGTACCGAAGCTGCCTTGCTGGTGGACCGATGGTTCTTTTAGCCCTGTCCTCTGGCGAGGCTCGCCTTGGGTCCGGTTGCTTGTAGTGTTTAGTCGTGCCATAGTTGTGCAGTCTGCGCCCGCGGGAAGCGAGCTTTGGTGGTAATGGTGATTGAAAGCCCCTGGGTAGTCTCCCCAGTAGCACAGAAAACGAGACAGTGCTCCAAGAGCCCACAAGTGTTCTTCTGTGCCTTGAAGAAGATTTTGTGATTCGGGAGAGTTGCCCAATGTTTTCTCGCTAGTTGTTGGCACGGCAACCGCCGAGTATCAAGCCGATCTCTTTCCGGATTCTCCACCCCAACTGCTAACTAGTTACTGCCAGTGGCATGACCAAATGATAGACCCAGTATTGAGAAACACTATTCGCGAGGTCCGGTGTACTTTGCTCTATGCAGGGCGGCCACTTTTCTATATTCGAAGCAACGGAACGACCATCTCCCGGGGCTTTTATCGCTACCCCGCTTGCGCTGACTGGATATCGCACCAGGACACCTGAGAGTGCTTATTACCCCATTGATTTATTCGCCTAATCCACAACGTTGAACCTTTGTAACCTGATTTCTTACCGTGCTGGTCATATTCATGGATGAGAAGACACCTAGCATGGCAAGTCTCGCCGATATGCATTCCCTGGAGCGGAAGAATAAGTCTCAAGTCTCACGGAATCATGCACCGCACGAGCTCTCTAGGGCTGCCAAAAGACGATCTCTGCGAGGCCATAAAACTACTGTTATCACAGTTGTAAACAAGTAATCTCCTATTATCAGTTCCAAGCCTTCGTGATCGACTAGAGACCCAGCGGTTCCCCGATATTCCTTCCTATAGCATTTCCAGGAAAAGAGGTGGTCGAGTGGTCGAAATGCATGCCCCCTAGGCACAATGTATGTGGCCCTGGAGCTGAGTTCCAGGAAGAAAGGCTGCTTGACGGTGTCGCAGACTTAGTCGCCAGCTTTCCGAGCCTTGGATGGGCGTCATTGAAGGTTCGGGTTCGACTATGGCGATAAGAACGTCAGATCCTTTGCCTAAATGCATCAAAAGATTGTCGCTAACTCTCTGCTGGCTCTTTAGCTCTCTGCAACTCAAACTAGCGCCTCTCACTGTATTTTAGGAACCTTTCAATGCTGACAGCTCGCATTCTGGTTGCCTGGCCACCAGGGAGCTAGGCGCCCATGAGCCCACGGTATCTGACGACTTGCAGCCCGCTGAGCTTGGGATCGTCGACAAGTGATATTCTTCGACTGATCCCAAGCAACGATTACATCCGGCCGCGCAATGTGCCTGCGACGGTCCCCTTTTGAAAGACTAGCATATGCAACAGGGCATTACACAGCCACGATCTCTGATATCTGATGTAGCACCAAAAAACGGGCTCGAAAGCGGTTCCTGTCTAGTTTCATGGGATGTTTCAGTTGGACCAATGGATAAGAGCGAGAGGGCGACTCAAGACCCCGCTTGGGTCGATACAAGCCGCGGAACGACAGGAAAAGATGGTGCCGGGGCCGAACGGTCCCCCCCAATGTGCAGCAGAACAGGCGATGATTGGTGGGGGGCGCCTAAGAGGGGCTGACCGGATAACCAGGGAATCATGGAGCGATGCTAGCGGTATTGTGTTTTGGCCCTGTTTTGGCCCTGTTTCCCCTGTTTCCCCTGTTTACTTCGTTTACTCGGTTTATTTTGTTTACCCTTTGAAGCTTCGGCTTATTTTTAGGCCTCAAAAATACGAGGATCCGTCGGATGCCGCCTCCAGGCTGTCCGCCAGTAGATCAAGCCTTTTGGAAGGGTCCACTCCCAGTCTGGGATGAACCAGCCCGCGCGAATGAAAATCCCTCATTGGCTGTTGCCCTGGCTCATTGAGCACAAAACAGCCTTTCTGGTCTTTAGCGCACTCTCGTTTCAGTATTGATTACCGCTGGTGTATACAGTTGATCCAGAGTGGGACATCCTCCCCGTCACACTGTCGGTATTTCTTGCTGCTTGGGACGCACTTTCGCTACCACATTTCTTTTATTTTCTTTCACGCTCTTTCCCCTTCTCGCGGCTCACAATTCTAATTCTCAGTCGCTACATTCAAGATGAGGTCTGCTGCTATCGCCGGTCTGGCTCTCCTGTCGAGCCTGGCCACTGCTGCGTCCGTCCCACCAATCGTTACGAAAGTAAGGCCATCTTCTGTTGGAAGCGCTTCCTCGCTCCTGCTGACAATTTTTCCAGGGGTCAAAATTCTTTTACTCGAACAATGGAACACAATTGTGAGATCCGGTCTTGTCTCTCGACACTTTTACTTGCTAATCATTCTGATCTGTAGCTATATCCGAGGGATAGCCTACCAAGGTACGCAGGACGCCATGCGCAAAGATGTCACTTTCATTGAAACTAATTGCTGTGTTCCCCGCAGAGAACTACGATGGCGGCGGTGCGTCAGGAACAGGCGATACGGGCAGCGACGCCTACACCGATCCCCTCGCCAATGGCACAATCTGTGCCCGTGATATTCCCAACCTCGTCAAGCTCCGCACCAACGTGATTCGCACATATGCGGTTGACCCGACCCTGGACCACGACGACTGCATGAACCAGCTAGCGGATGCCGGTATCTATGTCATTAGTGACTTGGCCTCGCCCCGCACCTCCATCGATAGCAATGCCCCCTCCTGGACGGTGGATCAGTATGAGCGATACACCTCAGTCATTGACACTTTCCAAAAGTATGATAATGTGATCGGGTTCTTCGCTGGGAATGAGGTTATCAACACCCCCAACCAAACCGCGGCGGCAGCTTTCGTCAAGGCGGCTGCCCGTGACATGAAATCCTACATCAAGAGCAAGGGCTACCGTGACTCCATCGCAATCGGTTATGCTACAACCGATCAGGCGGACATCCGCGAAAACACCTCCGACTACCTGAACTGCGGCGACCAGAGCGATGCGATTGACTTCTTTGGCTACAACATCTACGAGTTCTGCGGCCATGCCACCTTCCAAAGCTCCGGCTACGAGGCTCGGACCGAAGAGTACTCCAACTACTCTATCCCAGTGTTCTTTTCCGAATACGGATGTGTGACGGTCCAGCCCCGTGAGTTCCTAGACGTGCCAATCCTTTTCGGCCCACAGATGGACGACGTTTGGAGCGGTGGTATTGTCTACATGTACTTTGAGTACGGCGGCAAGTACGGTCTGGTCTCCTCCGATGGCAGCACCCTCTCTACCAAGAGTGATTTCAGTTATCTTTCCAAGGAGATTCAGAGTGCCACCCCAACTGGCGTGCAGAGCGCCAGTTACACTCCCACCAACTCCCCCCGTTCGTGTCCTAGCGTGGACAGCGAGACTTGGTTGGCCAAGGCAAGCCCCATGCCCCCCACCCCCAACGCGGAGCTGTGCTCTTGCATGGTCTCCAGCCTGTCCTGTGTCGTCAGCGACGACGTGGACCCGCAGGACTATGGCCAGCTTTTCGGCGAGGTCTGCGGCTACGGCAAGCACATCTGTGACGGGATCTCCCACAACGCTACCACCGGATCTTTCGGCGCCTACAGTTTCTGCTCCGCCAAGGACCAGCTGTCTCAGGCTTTCAACGCCTACTATGAGAGCCAGGACAAGGACAGCACTGCCTGTGACTTCAAGGGCTCTGCCAAGACCCAGAAGGCTAGCTCTGGCTCTTCTCAATGCAAGGCTCTCATTAGCCAGGCTGGAGGTGCCGCCGGAACCGGCTCCGTCACTTCCCAGCCCACGGGCACTAACGCGGCAAGCACCTCTACCTCTAAGGGTGCTGCTGCCGGTGCCAATACCCCCTCTGCTGTGATGGTGAACGGCTGGTTCACTTTGAGCACCTTGATGGCCGTTGCTGTGACTGGGTCTCTTATGTTGTTCCTGTAGATCATGATCCGTGTTGATATTTCATGACCCCTAATGTTCCCCGGTTGTTTTGAAGATATTTGAGAATGATATGCCACATGTACCGATAGGATAACACGAATATTGACGGCTTCTGCCCGCGTGAATTGTATGGCTATGGCTTAGGTTTGAATGAAGGTGTTTTTTGTTTTTCTTCTAGGGGTCACTTCCACAAACAATCCCAGTATTCCTTTCGTATCTCCATAATCGCCGCTGATACTCCGAGTCCATGCCCTTCGGGGTTCGAAGCGGAGCACTCCCAACTCTCCTTGAAGTTTGAGTGAAAGGGAAGATATACTTCCCGCATAACTATTCGCCTGATCCTCTTGGAAGCATTCAGCTTCATCTAATCGTTTCTACAGGCTGATACGAGCAGGAGTATCAACTAGGAGCCATCTTTAACTTGAAAGGTGCGTTGCTAACTCGTGGCAACAAGCAAGGATATCTCACAAGAAAGCCAAAGACATAAAGGAAATCATGATTCCCACATTGCTCGAGCTTGGAAGACTAGGGACCATCCTGCTGCCAACATAGGCCGACTATGACAAAACATGCGGCTAAACACGCTGATAAGCGTGCCGGTCATGAGTTCGCATCTAAATCTGCTGACGCGCCACTGGCATAGGGGCCCAAGCGACATCGTGAAACCAGCCAAATGAAATAAGATGCCAGTCCAGCGAAAGATTAAGAAACCATCATGGGACGCAAAGCGATCTCTTATCTCGGGAAGCTCAGCAATGCGGGGGGTCTCGTGCCTAAGCGACCGTTGTGGAGTTTCGGGAATTTTATCAGATCAGCCGCTCATCGCATCATTTGAGTCTTCCGACATTCTCCTTGCGCGCATTGGGGAGGGCCGAGCGCTTCTATATAACAGTCCCAGGCCCCGACTTAAGGCCCTTCCCCCCTCCCCAATTCAAGCGCCGTGATGACCGTCACGGCCCCAAAGCAGCCGTCGGAGACTCAGCCTGTACTGAGAGACGCCGAGCACAATGATCGGTTCCGCCGGCTGGGCTGGGTGAGACTCACTGTCATCTCGATAGTCGAGGCCATTGCCCTGGGAGCCCTCGGTCTTCCTTCTGCATTTGCAACGCTGGGCATGTTCGCCGGCATCGTGCTCACGGTTGGCATGGGGCTGATAGCCATGTACGCCGCGTACAACGTCGGGCAGGTCAAGCTCCGGTATCCCGAAGTCAAGCATTATGCGGATGTGGGGCGGCTGTTGATGGGAGGGTTTGGGGCGAATATCTTCGTGGGAAGCTTTGTCGCGCTTCTGATCTTCGTCGCTGGATCGCACTGTTTGACCGGCGCTATTGCCTTTCGGAACATCACGCAGACCGACTCCTGCACGGTGATCTACAGCGCGGTGGCGGCGGTGCTTCTGATGCTGTTTGCTATCCCGCCGTCGTTCGCGGAGGTTGCTATCCTTGGCTATGTCGATTTCGTCTCGATCATCCTGGCTATCGGGGTCACGATGGTGGCCACGGGGATCCAGAGCGGCGGGGTCTCGGACTGGTCCGCGTGGCCGATGCCCGGAACGACGTTCTCGTCCGCGCTGGTTGCGGCGAATAATATTGTCTTCGCTTATTCCTTTGCGGGCTGCTTGCCTTCCTTCATGGAAGACATGCATACGCCGGAAGATTACGTCAAGACCATGTGGTGGCTCGGGGGCATCCAGATCGTTGTCTACACGCTGACTGGCGCTGTGATATATGCGTTTGTGGGCCAGAGCGTGCAGTCTCCCGCTCTTCTATCGGCAGGGCCGGTCGTGTCGAGAGTGGTCTTTGCGATTGCGCTGCCGGTGATCTTCATTTCCGGATCGATCAACACGACGGTCGTGTGTCGCTACATCCACGATCAGCTCCATCAAGAGAGCATAGATCATCATATCAGCACAGCGCGTGGCTGGTCTAGGTGGCTCGCTCTTGTCTCCGGTGTGACGCTGATTGCCTGGGTTATTGCGGAGGCTATACCCGTTTTCTCGAATCTCTTGTCGATCAGCTCGTCCTTGTTCATCTCAGGCCTGTCGTTCTATCTTCCGCCTGTGATGTGGTATTTCCTGCTTCGCGAGGGCGAATGGTATGAACGGCAGAACTGGAAGCCGGTCGTATTGAATGGCATCGTCTTCTTGGTGGGGGTGGCTGTCTTTGCCTTTGGCACTTATGCTAGTCTTGTTGAGCTGGTAAGATTGCCTCACTTTGCCCCCGAAATGCTGATGAATCCCACTAACGGAAAGTTTATCAGATTCTCAAATTCACGTCCGGGGCCATTGGGAGGCCTTTCTCGTGTTCTATCTAGATTCGGATTAGAATTGAGCACCATTTTATAGAGCTGGCAGCCTGGCCTCTAGCCAATCTTTTCGTTACATTCCCAGATAGAATTGGTGTCATACCATTACGACCAACAATACAGTCACTTATAACAGGTCCTATACCCCTGCAGAGTGTAGCTTTCTACTAACACCCAGCTAAAGCTGGAAACAGACCAAAAAGGAGACACTCGGGCATGGCCCAAGAACACGACCGGCAGAGAATTGGAATACCAAGTCAATAGCATCGGAGATACGCAGGGCCAAGATAACACGTCCAATAGAACCCACATTTGCATTTCCACTTCATGGTTCAGGCACAGGCAAAGTAGCAAAATAAGCCATTGCCTTCTTATTCACCTCCGGCGTCAGGCCGCCTTCCTTCGCGAACTCCCCCAGGATCTTGAAATAATTAATATAGAACGCCGGTGTGAAGGTATTAAAGAACCGTGCCTCTTCGTCCGTTGAGTTGGAGAACGTATGAGGACTCCTCGTCGGCACAACCACATAGTCGCCCGCGCTAGCATCGACATCCGGTTTCCCGGGGATGTGGAAGCGTACAGTTCCTTTCGTGACGAGGAAGGTTTCGTCGTGCATCTCGTGCCAATGGGGCCGCGGGCCCGCCGTTCTGGGCGGGATTATTAGCTCTACAGCGCTCAGGCGCATATCTACAGGACTTTTAGCTTGGGTCGAGGGTCTCTTTCCAGGTTTGTTCGTAGGGTGCTTACCGGTGTTGGATCCATCTTCCATGACCCGGAGCTTGAGAGCTGGACCAAGGCTTATTGTCTCGCCGGCTTCGGCGGGCACGAAGCTAATCGGGCGATCTGGGACCTCCATTGTGCCGGTAGTTAAGTCTGTGACTCTTTTGCTCTTGGATTGCGTCTCGTATGGGGTGAGGCATAAGGCTACTTATCAGCCATGTTTCATGAGTTACTAGCATTCACAAAGCCGGAATTAGGCTTGTCTCGGACGCGAATTGCTAATCTCCGTCTCGCTTCCACGGGGATGGTGTGAGCTTCATAAGCGGTGCTCGCTTAGCATATCAAATGGGCCGCCTGACGCTCTATGCGTCGGGGTCGGAAATGGGGATTGCCTCAAAAAAGAAACCCTAATTCTATCTCCGAACCCGCGAGGGGCCGTCGTGGCGAATGGTTCGGAATTGATTCCAGTTGGATTTGCGAACTGAAGAAGCTATATTGATGTATACGAACTGATGGAAAGTGGTAAAGGTAGTGGTAAGTATGTCGAATAAGACCCCCCACCACGACGTCAACTGGCCATTCATGAAGACCAAGTCTACAAGCCTTAACACTATCAGCTGCATGTAAAAGCCTCAAAGTTAGACATCTTTAGGGTCCACAAAAGCCCAAACCCCACCCCCGCCCCAACCATACGTGTGGGCCGGGTTTCGGGCCTAGAGTTAGGGCCTACAATAGGCTTTAGGCTTTGTCAATAGGCCCGAAGCCTATACTAGGGGCCTGAACAGGTCTTTATACCCTAGTGATAACAGCCCTCAGGGCCTAATGCGTACTATTAGAAAGTCTAGATCTTTGTAAGGGAACTACCAGATTTGGGTGGCACCAGGTGTGTCACGGATTCCAGCTAGAGGGTGTACTATATAAGGTGTGCCTGGGTGTATCCGCGCATGAAGCGCAGATATGGTAGTCTTTTGGCTTAGTTGCTTGAATATTAGCTCAGGGATGTCCCTTCACACCTCCACAGTATAGTCTGTTTAGCAAGCCCTTATATAGATCTAATCTATGTAATATATACATCAAGCCTTCTCTGAGTCCCCTCCACAGCTCCCAAGGCACCTTTGTAACTAAACAAAGCGTGTTGTCATATCAAGATAGGTTGTGCGGAAGTCTAGCCCTGAGTGTCAGAACCCCGTTGGGTTAGAGCTGAAGATATATAGGACACCAATTCACCGACTAGGTATATGAAGAGTCTTAATTCGGAATACACAGGACAAGAGCAGGGAGATAGATAGTAATCTTACCAGATCCAAGTTTGTCCGCATCTTCGTCTGGTATATCAATGCCGAACAACTATTCAAGTCATCAGCTTATGATCTATAGGTATAAATAGTTCAGGACTCTCTCTGAGATCCTATAAAATTCTCCAGTGTAGTACATACGTCCTCTATCGCCATGAACAATTCAACAGTGTCCAAAGAATCGGCGCCAAGGTCATCCACAATGTATGAATCCATTGTTATCTGCCGAAAAAACTATGTCAGCAGCCACCTGGTAGGATACTCCGATATATCGGCCTGTTATACCTTTTCTTCCTTGATACCTAATTGTTCACCGATAGCATTCTTCACCTTCCTTTCAATATCCACCATGATGACAGATAGTGGTTTTAGAACACTGATGATGTTCAGTTGAAGAGTCTTTCAACCGAATAAATAAAGTAGTAGAGTTTGAACAGAATGATTAGAACTAAAGCAGTATGTCTTAGTGTGATGATTGTTACAGAGCTCGGCTAACGGATCTATTATATGTCTTTAAGCCTAAGCCTTCTTTCATCCGATTAACACCATATCATTGACGTCATCTAGATATAACCAACTAACTATTGGTTGCCTGCACCATATGATGTCATTAGATGTGAGCTGTATATCCTACATTTTTGTGGCTGGCTGATAGTTAGGACTATACTGCGGCACGATCTGCAATGTCCAAGGATATTCGCAATCCATATCTGCAAACTGCTTAGTGTAAGGGAACTGTATATCAATCGGTTTCCGATATAGGCACAGAGAAAACAACCTTGAAATCACATGTCCTTCAGCTGGTGAAGTACGCTGGCTAGGTTCTGGCCAGTAGCGTTTGCCTTGTCCGCAAAATTTGCTACATGCATATCATGAATCAGCATCCGTGCGGCGGGACGTATTGGTAAGTGGGTTATATACCATCGAGAGTCTCATCTAGGACTATCTCGTGCATCTTTCCGCTTAAGAATAAAGTTGCAGGGCTTGTATTTGACTCTGTTTGGCGAGGCATTTGGCTTGGGACGTAAAGGCGGGGATAGCTCGATGATTCTGGCATTAAAAAACCGTTAGACCGGCCAGACAACCGCCACGGACTGATGACTTACCAAAACCAAAGTGTTGCGAATCATGGAAGAAGGTAAGTTTACATCTGTCTTCAGCGCTAGCTGCAGAAGCTGATGTAAAGGGACTGGCAGCACGGAGGGCATTACCAACCCCTGGCTCAATTAAAACATATGTTTCTCCCGGGTCACCAACGATAATAGGCACCTTCCTGGTAACCAGAGTCCCTCTCACGTCATGGGCAATGAAATCTGTCGTGACCCGATGAAAATATCGCGCCGTAGAGGCGATGCTGGTGCGAGGGAAGGGAGAGAAGGGCCGAAAAGCACAGCGAAACATGTGGTATCGGGGTAACGGAAATCGCAAGCGAGCGAAGGCACAGGTAATTACTCCACATTCAAGATGTGCAATGAGTTCTATACGGTGCACGACATATATGCATGTTAGGAATCTGACAAACTCGACTGAGACACTCTCATATCCGATCATCAACGGGGTATCCCGTCACAAACCAATTGAACCCGTGCATGTGATTGGCGTTACCTCGGCACGTACCCACAGGCGCAGGCACTTACTAGGATAACGCTTTTGAGGAGCTTCAAAAGGCAGTCAGCCATGAAATCCTACGGCTACGACAGAAAAATCGAATACGTCGGGATAAACCTCTCCAGGAGAGGAAGAAGCACCAAAAGACGCAATCAGACCCAAAGGAACAGATAAAAAGATAGCTACACTAGAATGGAGACAACGTCTACTTCCATTGTACGAGGGTATAACGAAAAAAAGAGAAAAAAAACGACTACCGAGTGTACATCCCCCAAAACCGCTCCGCGTTAAACGTCCACCGGTTATCGTCCTTCCACTTGTCATCAAACGCCGTAAAAAGCACTAGACCATCCCCTTTCTGCGCAAAACTGCGCCTCAAGCTCTCAACCGCAATCTTCTGGTTCTCCGCCGACGGAACCGCAGCCCCATTTGCCTGCCCGGCATGCGGCCACCCCGACTCTGTAATGATAGTTCTCTTCCCGCCCGCCGCAGCAGACACACTGTGTGCCTGTTCCAGCACGTACGGGCCCGCGTTATGCGGCTGCGCCGTCGCATCGAAGAAGGCGTGGCAGTTCGCCGCGCAATAGTCTGAGACGGTGCAGAGCTCGGGATGCTTGAGGAGGACGGAGAAGGTGTCGACGGTGACGACGGGCCCGGTGTAGCCTTGCGAGCGAAGGATATTCCGGGCTTGCTGCACGGCGCCGGTGACCTCGCCGGGGGTGCTGTGGCCGCCGTTGACGAGCTCGTTGCCGATCGCGATGGTATGGAAGACGGACCAGTCTTCTTGGCCGTTGGGGTCGAGGGCGGCTGCTTTGAAGGCGTCGAGGCTGGAAGGGAAGTCGCTGAGGTCGTAGACGCCGGCGAAGACTTGCATGTTGTGCTTGCGGGCTGCGCGGGCGACGGTCTTCGTTTGGTCGCAGTCGGTGCCGTAGATGCGCACGTAGGAGTATTGAGAGAGTTGGTCTAGATCTTTATCTACCTGCTCTTGGGATCTGCAGCTTCTATCGGCGTTGTAGGGAGAGTAGGAGACACCGAATTGGCGGCTAGACTTATGCGGCTTTAGATGATGCGGGTGAGGGTCTGGGTGGTGAGGTTGAGGGTGGAGATGTGGATGGGGATGTGGATGCGGGTGAAGGTCTGGTTTGAGGTGTGCTTTTGGTTGGACTCTATCGACGGTGATATGGGGCTCTGGAGTTGTCGGCTCTTGTGGCTCAGCTATGACGCTGGCTGTCGCAGTCGCTAACGACTGCTCGAATGTTTGGACGGTAGTATGGACACGAAGCTTTTTAAAAAAGTCAATTCGGGCTCGATTGTCTTCAGTCTTACGGACGCGGGGACTACTAACGAGTTCTTTTGGTTTGGCGGTAACAGCATCGTGAACAGTTTCCGTACGAATGGGCTGTCCATTTTCATTGACCCAGACCACCACCTCAGTGATTTTTAGGGCCTGGGGTGGATCATTGGGCTCCCTGAGGCATGTTTTCGGCTCTACGTGGTTGTGCCTGTTAGTGGCGGATTCTTCTTCAGTGCTGCGAATAGGGAGGGGTCTTACCCTGTAAATCCGCGAGAGCACCAACTCCAAAGAAGAACACAGTGACAACCTGTGTGAGAAGCTTCATTGCGTGCTCGGAAGCTCAGCTCCACCGAGTCCTGATATTCAGAACAAAAAGCTCGTGGACAACAGTCATAACAGGAGTGACCTCGAAGTCGACTCCCTGGTGTACGAGGGGAGAAAGTCAGAGTGCAGATCAAGCCGATTATATTCGCTTTAGGGGGGCCTGAGATTTCGCAGGTTCCACTCCTGGAAACTTGGATCAGTCTCCTTAACAAGGGGTCATCTAGGCGCAAATATTAGGGTCTGGGGTGACATGTGGAATGAGATGGCGGAGGCCAAGCTGCGCAACCCTTGAGTGCATCAAGGCGTGGTAGCACTTCATAAGGCGCTCAAAGCTAATCTGGGAAAGGTATCGGTGTCCTCCGGCTCCATGGTTCAGATCATTTCTAGGATGGGGGGGGTGGAATGCCCCCTGGTTATGCTGTCGCCCTTTGGAATGTGAGGCTCGTTGCTCGCCAGGTAAACCGGAACGGCCATTCGGTTCGAGAAGTATGGAGGACTGGCAGATTACCTGCAAGTCATGTGTTGTTCAAAGATGAGGTCAGTGGATTCGGGTTGTAACAAATGCAATTCAAGACAGCCCGAGACTGTAATTGTAAGAATAATATTAAACAATCTATAGTCATGCACTGATCAAGTATGGTACCAGCCCCCGAAGAGAAAAAGAAGCAAGGGAGATGGGACCACGCTGTACAAGCGAGAGAAATAGCAAGATGCATATCGACAAGTTAACAATACACGAAGGAATATAGGAGGCATTAGGGCGTAGGGGGGGTAGTAGAGGTAGAGGGCACCGAAGAAGCCAATGTCATCGAGGCATAAGCGTCATTCATGCCGGGGACGGCCGATCCAGTTTTGCAACGAGAAGGAAGAAATGAGCTACTTCTTTTTATTCATCACCTTGGTGATGGCGTGGCGAATGATCTTGCCAGCGCTCTCGATCTCTTTCTTGGCAAGGCCAATGGTGACACACACCTTCAGTGCAGGAGCGACAATCTGCTTGGGCTCGAAGTTATCCTCGAGGGACTTCAGACGAGTGATAAGAACACCATTGACAAGGCACTAGATTGCAAATTAGTAATGTGACTACATCGATTAGACCTTGGAAAGGTAGAGACTTACCTCATCAACGACATCTTGCAGCAAGAACTGCTGATCAGATTCAGTGAGCTTCTTGGCTGCCACAACCTCCGGCTTGATGGCCAAGATGAGAATGGGGTTCTCGGGAGCACTGGTGCAGTAAACCCAGTCGCTGCGAGGATCCAACTGCGCTCGCATAACTTTGGTATAATCACGTAGTTGTTCGATAAGCCCAGGATTGTTCTGGAGAAGATTGATAGTGGCACTGGCGGTGGTAGAAAGAAGAGCAGGAAGAGCCGCAGAGAAAGTATACGCCGACGATGAGATACGCTGGTGGTGCACAATCTCTTCAGATCCAGCACAGAAGCCTCCACCACCCACAATGGCACCAGCCAGAGATCCAATGATCATGTCAACCTCCGCAGCATCCACATTTTGGTGTTCTGTGATACCACGGCCAGTGCGACCCAAAACACCAAAGGACCATGTCTCATCAAGGATCAGGCGGAACTTATACTTGAGACGCAGTTCAATCTGTAGGAAAATTAGCAAATGAAGGAAGAAATGAACCATGCGGCAACTGCACGGTAGAGTTCTCTTACAATCTTTGGCAGGTTCGAAATATCGCCAGACGTCTCGAAAAGACCTTCGGTAATAATGAATCGCCGAGTCAACGGCTTGCGTGCCTGGTCCTTGGTGACCTTGGCAAGCACACGCTCCAAGTCTTCCATATCATTGTGTTCGTACCAGCGGACCGTACTGCGCGAGATCTGGATACCCTTCCGAATAGCAAAGCTGACGCCCCTATCCGCCACGATAATGTCTCCACGCTTGGAAAAGGCCGGGATGACACTGGAAATGGTCGAGAAGGACTGTGAATAGACAATGCACGCCTCGGTGCCCAAGAAAGATGCCACATCAGCCTCAGTCTTCAGGTGAACGTCTTGAGTACCGTAGAAACCACGGGGGCCACAGGGCCCGACACCGTAGTTACGGAGCGTCTGGATAGCTTGCTCCTTGAGCGCCTCGTTCGTGTTGAAGTTGTAGAAGTTAAAGGATCCGAGATTCATAACGGTGCGTCCATTGGCGAGCTTCGATTTAGGGCCGATCGGGCTATGGAACGTCACAGGGTTCCTCGGTCAGCAAAGGCATCTCGGGTAGCTCCGTGTAACGTGAAGACACAAGACAGTGGCCACTTACCCAGTAATCACGGTTCGCTTCTCCACCTCCATCGTCTCCAGACTTGATGGCTCGCCGACAAGAGGCTCAGGTGTCCACTCGTCCACAAGGTCATCAATCTCATCTTCCGATAAGGGCACGACGCCAGGCTTGGTGGAGTATTTCGGAGCGAGCAGGTACCGCACTGCGAAAAGGAACAGGAACAATTCGACAGCGGAACGAATGGGATCATTTTGGTAACTGGACTTCACGTATCGTAGGAAAATTGCTGATCCAGGGAGTCGATGGAAAAGATTGGCGAGTCCTTGGAGGTACTCGGACAGGAGACGTTGGGTCTCCTGGATATCCATGGCGAATGGGTTGAATAAGGCGCTCAAAGCGCAAACAGGACAACTCAGTCGATGCCAATGATAGGGGAATCGTAGCAAGCAGGCGTACAGAATAGGATGCGTTAGGTGGCGGCGTAATGATCTCAAGAGTCCTCCACGCGAAGAGTCCCGGGCTGGTGCGGATGTGGTCACGTGCCAGGGGGCTTTCGAGACGAATGACTTGGTGCATTTCGTACAACGGAAAAGTCATGGAAGATTATTGGCAACTACTGATGGTGGAAAAAATCAAGTCAAGCAATGCAAATTGTATTCCGTTACTGATGAGGGAAAAAAAAAATAGAACAGGCTATGGAAAGCAGTTATAACGAAGGAAAGGCCTCCGGGCTGCAATGGAACCACACATAATACAAGGAAGGTCATCCCAAGCAGGCCATTAAGGACAAACAAGTGCGCCGGGGAAGTAAAAGAATGCAGCGAATTGCGGGAGATAACTAAAATGAGAGACACAGCTTTGTACAGGCCATTTTTTGTTCATACATGGGAAGGGAGCGGCCGAGGTTCAGCCCTCAGAAAAGCAACCGACGAGCATCATATGTGCCCGACGTGTAGGGCTGAGGAGAAGGACTCGCGGAGAATCCATGTGGCAGATGAGATCCGGTGTAGTAGGTGGTGGTATCATTCAGTCCGGCATCAAGTGGCTGCAGAAGGGCCATCATGTTCTTGCCTTGCTTCACGCCAATCGAGCTCGCCAGAGTGTTCTTGAGGAAGGATTTATCTGCACCCATACTGTGAACAATCAAAGGCGCCGCAATCAAGAGAACGAAGACCACAACCATGCAATAGAACATGATGGCGAAGCGAATGACACGCTTCCTGCGAAGCTTGGATTGCTTGAGAGAATAGATGGGAGGGCGAATTTGGCGACTATTTGGAAGGTTAGCATACTGGAGCTTGGGGGTCAACTATCGGGTCACATACCTGGGGCGCAGCCAGAAAAGAATTACGGAGTGGAACTTGTCCACATAAGGGATGGCCAGAATAGGGAGCTGGCAGATCAGGATGATATGCCCAAGGATGAAGTCCGTTGCGAAGTAACCGAGTTCAGTGATCTTACACAAGAATTCACGGCCAGGTTGAGACATGGAGTGCCAACCCATGTTGTACCACTTGCCGGTCCACCAAGCGATATTAGACTGATCATGTTTGAACTCGCGGGTGAGGCACAAGGAGACAATCAGTTTGTAGATGAAACGCTGAATGGCCATCATGGCGATGAGACCGGAAACGGCGCGGGGCCAACTGAATGACTCCAAGATCATGAGAACCTCAAACATGGCAAGCTGGACAATCACGGCAATGGCATGAGCAATTGCGGCCAGGACGGATCCGAACTTCTTGCAGCACATGCTCAGGAGCGGTCCCATGCAGCATGCCATGCCGAAAAACATCATGGAAACGCCAGCATTCACGCCAACAGGGGCGAGAGAAACGATCAAAATTCGCAAGATGGCGTTGGTGGCATAATCGGGGTTGTTACTATACATGTTCCGCGAGTTGATAAACAAAAACGGAATGAGGGTAACAACGACCACGACTAGAGGGGCAACGATCTCGCTGAAGAAGATGTTGGTAAACTTCGCTCGGGGAATATCACCAGACCCCTTTTCGGAGGGTACGCCGAGAAGCTTTCTCTTGTAGCCAGTAAGACGTGTTCGAGACAGACGACAGAAGCCAATCCAAGAAGAGGCGTGGGACCTGGAGTTACCGCGCGACAACCATCGAATGTAGTCACGATAATCAATGAAGAAGTCGGACCAAGCGAATTGATGGGGGTTGAACACAAATGGCGAAACGATCATGGCCAAGAGAGACATCCAGAACCAAATCAGGGATGGTGTCCAAACCGTCGAGGTAGCAAAGAGAAGCATCAGCAAAAGGCGAGCACCAGCATAGATCGAAGAGCTGGCGAAACGCGAGTAAAGAATGCCGAACGGGATACGAGCCGTGGCGAAACCACGACCAGTACCGATGTAGCGGGCACCGCCAAATGACAAGTTGTTGTGGACAGCATTGGCGTAGATTTGACACACGAAAACCTCGAACAAGAAGGACAGAGATCCGAAGTGCTTCGCCAGACGGGTAGCCATGCGCCAGATACCGCGCTCAGTCAATTCCTGGACAGCAAGGGGCACGAACGAAATGAAGAACACAATGAAGATGGAAATGACGCAGCGGTTAACCCAGTTGACCACAGGGACAAGGTCAAGACAGTATGTTGGCATCAGAGGGTCTGTGATGGGCAAATCAGAGTTGTAACGGCAAGTGATCGACTCGTGCTTCAAGGCGCCCAGGTTGATCAAAACAATCATGAACATCTGGACAGACAACATAATGAACATGTTGTTAAGATGGAAACCAGGGTGGGCATAGTAAAACGACAAGAATCGATCCAAAGGAAGCTGCGTTCCGAGATAGTAGTATTCTCGAGACAACATCTGTTCACCCATACCAGTTCCAATCTTGGTTGTGAAATTAAGAATGGAACCGAAACCCAGATCACGACCCTTACCACACTGGAAGTATTCGCAATGCTTGATTCGACCACCGCGCAGGAGGGCGTTCATACCGGCGTAGATATCTTCGTTCAGGTGTAGACCCTTCTGAGCCTTGGAAACACCACCGCGCGTGCACATGAATGTTGCATTGAGGAAATCAGGATGACCATAGTGAAGCTTGCCACCGATTTGGGCCAAGGTACGTGCAAACAGGGTACCGAATGTCTGTTCCTTGGAGGCAGCAACGTCACCTAGGACACCAATACTCTCGGAGAAGATGTATTCACGAGCACCAAGAATGGCGACCGGGTGGCTGTCAGGGGTGGGGAGTCCAGGAGTGTATGGGGAGACGTTGTCAGTGGTCAATTCCTCGAATTCGGCAAGCACGCTTCGAATCTTCAAGCATTCTTCCAAGTAGTTGTCCTGGTTGGCATCGATCAATTGGATGTATTCACCGCGGTAGAAGATGATGGCGTGGTTCTGGTTATCGGACTTGCCATCTTCGAGGATCGGGTTGCCCGAGAGCTGGATGCGGAATTTGGGCTTGCGCATGCCGTTCTCGAGCAGCTCACAGTGACCATCAATCAAGGAGGAGTACAAGCGGGGCTCTTCGCCTTCGGTTTCGGGGGCCTCTTCATCCAAGTAAGCGATCTGCAGATCCGGGTACGCACGGAGCAGGAATTCCGTGTTCTCGCGTTCGTCCTTGGTGAACTTGGCGTATCGCTGCATAGAAACACAAATGCGGAACTTGCGGCGCGCCATGCGCTCAAGTTCTCGCTCAAGCTTCTCGGAGTTTCCGCCAAACATTTGCACAACCTCGGGGTTTTCGACACGGTACAGGAGCTTGATCGCACGGCTGTAGTTCATGAAGCCAGATACGGTTCTGTACAGTGTCTGAGATCGGAGCGATGCCCAGATACGGGTGCGAAGGGTGTACTCAGGGGCCGCAGACTTGAAACCGATGCAGTAGAAGGGGAGGTCATCAATTTGGCTCTTCTCCACATCCTTCTCGCCCTTCTCACCGTACTCTCCATTGAACTGGGAGGTCTCATCAGCAAGAATCTTGGTATCCTTGACGAAGCAGTCCCACTCGTGAGGATGGAGCTGTTTCAGATATTCAAGCATAGTCACGCGGGAGTACGGCTCATCCTCACGGATAATCTCACGGAGCGACAGGAGGATCTTTTCGCTGTAGTGAGGAATCAGAACACTGAAAGTGGGCATGTTATCGACAGGCAGTGGTTCGGGCATCGGCGTTGACAGTGACTGAGCGAAGAACGAGATTCGTCGTTCGGCTTCGGAGCCGGCGGGGAAGAACTCAGTCTTGAAAGATTGATCTTCTTGGGAGACAAAGAAGGTTGGCGCTCGGAGCGTGCGCTTGCCCTCCTGCTCTGAGGGAACTTGATGGTAGAGCAGCTTCTGAACGTGATCGATCGCAAGCAGGTGCTCACGGTACATCGAAATGATGATGGCGTTCCAAACTTGCGAAATGAGAACCTTCGGCTTGTACTTGATCTCCATATCTGTTGTCGCCAGGACCTTCGAGTAGATACGCTTTGGTAGGCGTGAGAAGATGTTTCGCCATGGGGACCAAATAGACACACCCAAGTAGAACGAGCGGGCGACCGAGAAGATGGTATTACAAATAATGTACCACAGATAACTGTCCAGGAAGAACAGGGTCAAGTCCATGAAGAACATCAGGCCCAGCAAGATCTGGGGCTGAGCGTGACACAGATAGTTCTTAGCCCAGTACACACCAACGCATTGGCGCAACTTCATCGGAGAGAGGATGCGAATTGGGTCTTTGAGAGACAGTGTCAAGAAGAAATAGGACTCAGCTAGCTTGGCACCAAAGACACAAACCCAGAGACCAAAAGACATCCACATGTCATTGCCATGGAGCTTGGGGAAGCTAGCAGTGAAGGTCTGGCTAGCAACGTATTGACGGCCACCCTTCTTCAAGTAGCTACCAAATAGCCCACCCAACGGCATGACACCGAAGTAAATCGCAGTCAAGACCGCAATGACGAAGTACACGATGCCAATGGCGAGGCCGATCGTGTTGCGCGTGCTTTCCCCGGGAATCAGATACGCTGCCTTCGCACCCGTCCCCGTCTTCATTTCCAAGATCGCCAGATTGAAAACTCCGGGAGCAAGATTCAGGACGAACATGCCAAGCAGGAAGAAGAATCGCGACAGCAGATGTTGGGCACCTGCCCACCGACGAGGCACATAGCACCATTCGCAAATTGTAGCAAAGATCTGGATGAAACAGGCGAGGGCACCGCCAAGACCGACTGCAGCCAAGTACTTATAAGCAGGCGGCTTGTTATTCCATTGCTGTTGATAGTTTTGGGTATACAAGGTGGGGGCGTTGTAGGCGGTGAAGAACCAGAAGGCGCACAGGTGGATGACCCAGATACGATTGAAGTTGGTGACCATGTGGAACCAGGAACGAGTTTCCTTGTAGGTTTTGAAGAAAGCGTTCTTCCAGACGACGTCCTTGAGCTTTGGCCACCGCTCAGCAGGCGGAACGTCCACCAGGCGAGTCTTGTCTTCAAAACCAATACGTTCAATTCCCTCTGGGTACCAAAAGAGTTGGTTCATGTCATCATAACCAATGATCTTATCGTGGTCATGCTCCCGGCGCACATACTTGCCGTCCAGAATCTCGTAACCCTGGTCACGGCAGTATTGGTACAGGGGAGTCACAACTTCGTTCAAGTAAGTGAATTCTTCCACCGGCTCGACGCGGGCCTGACATTCGGGCGACGAGTAATAGTCGTCGGCACACTTGAACAGGAAGCAAAGGCACTCGGGCAAGAATCGGACTTGGTTTGCTTCGCCCCAAAGCAGCAGGTACAATGCTATTTGACGTGCACGATCGTGCTGGGACATGCGGTTCATCCGGGACTTCCAGCGGTACTCCGCTGCCTCCAAGCTGTTGTCGCCTTCGAGGGCTTCCAGAGTTTCTTCCTCATTCTCAGGGTTTCGCTCTGCGGCCTTCTTTGCAGCCTTGCGGGCTTTCCGCGTCTTACGGTCAGCTTTTCCAAGCTTCATGTTGGCGAAGCCCACGCTGTCATCCAGATCCAGGTGGGCAGCAAAATACCAGCGGCGGTAGTTTGCATTGTGTCCACCGATGTAGTCGGCGTGGAGGGATAACAAGGCTTGATTGGGGGTCATGCGAGAGGCACGAGAGTCAAGGAGTGTCATCATGTGATCGTACATGTTGCGCATGCTGTCACGCTGGAAACCAAACTTGTTGACCAGATCAAGGAAGATATCTTCCAGCTCCTCTTTGGAGAGCGGAATCTGGGCATCGGCAGCCCAGGCTGGATAGGGCTCCCGCGAACGCTGGCCAGCCGGCAACGCGTTTCCATAGTCCATGCCGTAGACCGGGGTAGAGGCACCGGATGATCGGTTTCCGCCGTAGGACATCTGTGAAGAGGGCGGCCGATAACCATAGCCACCACGGCCATACTGGCTGTCCGTGTAGCTGTTGTAGCGATCGTCTCCTCGGCCGTAGTAGTCCATATCAGCAGCACGAGCTGTTTCAGACCTCATGGTGAAATCGCTGAAGGTTTCGGAGTGTCCGTCGGAGTCACCCCGGCGCCCACGACCGCTATAGCCAGCTTGGTCGTAGTATTGATCTCCGTAATATTCATCTTGATGGGCACCGGCGCCACCGGCACCACCGTCGTAGTAGCCGTGTCCATCGTCGTAGTAACCACTGTGACAAATCATATTAGCGATCTGATGATGCCACATCACACGTAAGAACACGTCTTTAAGACCTTACCCCTGGTCTTGATAGCCCTCGCCATAGTCTTGATGGTCATAGTAGCCATGGGCCCGGTCATCCTGATAGTAGGAGTCACCATGGCTCGGCTGGCCATAGCCATCATCATAGTGACCACCACCACCTCCGTAGTTGGCCATGATGAAGTCGCGATCGAATGTTCGTTGCTAGCTGCAGGCAACTTCGAGTTAGTTGCTTTGCTCCTAACGCTGGGCAGCTTTCTGGCTCACCGCCGAGCCCAGCTCGTTTCCCAGGGGGTGAAATCTCACCTTAGTCACAGCCCATTCAACGTATTATGTATTGTTTCAGTGCGTGGATAGGTGCGACGATTAATCCAAATGCTGCATCGACACCGAAGCGAATGGCGTTAACGTGAAGGCGTTGGTCTAAGATGTTGGAATGGGTCGAAATGAAGGAGGCCGAATGTCAAATTCGGGATTGACTGTAACGAATGAAATGAGACGGAACCAAAAGAGCGTCGCAACAAGTCGAAACAAGCGAGGTTGACGCGGAAGGAACAATCAGCGAATCCCCAAGCCTTCCTCTATGGAACGAAAGTAACAAGGGAAGGAGGGAGTTGGGGGAGAAAGAGCGAGAGACGAGAAGGGGAGGGAGGGGGGCAACAGAGAGAAGATTGGGTGGAGATGGAGCAAAAGGTGTAGGGAGAATATTGACGGATTATTTTTGGGAGGGGGAAGGGAAATTGAATTGGGACCACCAATTTACTGTCACCATACACTGCAGTGCACACGTACTCCAGAGCCAGGTACCGTGTACTTGTGCGTACTGCTGAAGCTGGTAAGCAGATTCCCCCTGAGAGGCACGTATCCACTACCTGTGGGCTCTTATCTGGTATGTATGGTACTGGGTATCGCGGTATTTTTCTCAGGGGTGTTTGTCCAACCGCCTGTTACTGGACAACACCTGTTACATATTATACACACCAGCCTCGTATGCAGTGCGTTTGATCTAGACGGTTTCTGCTCAACACGATCAATCTCATCCCCCCCGTGGCCAATCATCCTCAAAGCTACTAACCTCAGCAGCCAATGATACTGCCCGAACCTGGGTCGGATTCCAAGGAAATTGGGCCGGCCCCTGAGACCAGCCCCACTTAGTTGGTAAAACGGTACCAAATAATGTGGTCGCAGTGGGTATTGCCAGAGGGATACCAGCGCCATACTGAAATGCATATCCGCCCAGGGCCCTGATTTGCTTGTGCCTTGTTGTTGTTACCAGGCGGCATGCAGGGATGGGAGTTGGGCCGTTTTTGTTTTTCATTCCTCCCGTTTCTATGGTGTTGGTATCTTCAAGTGGCAAGCCAGACATGCATTCAATTGAGAACTGTCACCGATTTCTCTCCGGGTCAAGTGGTTCCCAAAGCTTTTTCCCCGTGCTAAAAGTAGAACCCGACCCAAAGATCGCTCGGAAGCCCTGGCCAGGTTTTTGTGTGTGGTCAAGCACAGGCCCAAAGCCCGGGAGGATCCATGGCTCCCTCCCCGAGGTAATAACTTCTCCACCGGGCCAGCTGTTTTTGGTGGTTGGGACTTGATCTTGTTCCTATTTGGGCTGGTCAGCTCTCCCGCAAACTGTAGAACCTTCTACGGAGTAAACCTCGCCTCTCCATTGATCGTCGTGGTCTGATTTCCGGATCCACGATCGCGTCCTCCTGGTACCAGGTTTACTTGCGCTAGAAACTCAATTACCTTCCATTTGCCACTCCGATACACACACGCGTCTAGCTGTAATGCATTGCATTGTTTGACTTTTTCCACCGTTGCGCTATCCCAGACTCGGTACAGCGTGGTCCTATAATAAGTGTCCGGTCACACTCTTTCCCCCCACCGGGCGTTCGCTCAGTCACCGACAAAGCCCGGTTGAGCCACGGTCGCGTATTCTGACCTATAGACTAGTCGTCGTCGAATCCTGACATCTTCAGAGAATGGAAGCATCTGCCAGTGTAGTCAGCCTTTCATACGGATATATATCGTCAGAGAGTCTTTGGGGAAACTTCATGTTGAACGATCACGCTTGGCTCCCCCCGTCACGGCGTTTGTACTGGATAGTTCTTTATCTAAAAGCTTACACCCTGGGTTCTGTAATCGATTTTTTGGCCCACTATTGACGCTTGTAACGCTTGTATGGACCTTCCCCCACCGTCACGGTTGATTTCAGCCTTTGAGATTCACTAGCCTTGGAAGTGGACTCGCCACGCCTCTCGCTCTGATTTGGAGCCTCCAAAGGAGCCACACCGGTCCATCCGGTCGAGACCTGGTACCTGCCTTAGCCCGACCTTGAAAATGACTGTTCAAGTTCTTCCGAAGCCTTGGATCATAGAGCAGAACTCGGGGGGGGGGGGTTCCTGCGGTACAAGCTGAAGTTCACCAATGGATGTACAGATATATCTCCGCACAACCAACAACGCTGAACCAAACAAGCCTGCCACACGATTTCAGCCGTGATATATGCGGGATGGCGCAGGAACGATACGTCTTCTGCAGCCAAACGGGGCCTATCTCCGTAATTCATCTCCAGCCCTGTCCCCCACCTCTGATTTTCCGAGGTTGTTCCTGGCTTTTCCAAAGTTACCCCTGAATCCGAGTCTCCGGCCTCTCCCATGGGACACCTCAGGGGCATCTATCCATTGTACTGTGTACATCGGTACACGATCGATCAGCATTGTTTACTTCTCAACTGTAGGATTGTTCCCATAAAAAAAAAAATCCTATCTATCATTGGAAAGAGTTTAGCTCCAAGTTCCCATAATCTATCGACGGACCCGTCCTAGTGTTCCAAGTTTATTGTAGAGAATGACCCGCCCTCGATATCTCTTGTCTCCTTCTGGCCTAACTGTGGCTGGACCTGAACGTTCGACGCTGATCCCGTCGCGTTGCCAGCCGGCTCCAGTGGCTCATGCTAACTGTCAGGTGTGCCACTAGACTTGGGGCGTACGCCCTGGCCATCTGCATTCCCGGAGGCTTCCGCAGCTTCCACAGATACCCCTGAGACTGCGATACGGAAACAGTAATAACAGCTTACGCTGATTCGTTCTGCATGATCCTGCACTGCCAGAATTTGCCACTTGGACATCACAGATACACGGGCAGATCGTTGTCTTTTTTGGCCGCCTATGAGTACATAATCAGGAGCACACAGCCCCTGGAGGGCCGTCTCTGCTGAAACCAGATGAGCGTGCGCAGTCGCCAATGAACCGGAAATCAGACCAACACAGCTTACGCTTCCGGAGTGCGTGCAAAGATCCCCAATTCAATAGGGGCATTTTCTTCTCGGAGAGAACAGCCATCCTCGAAGCTCTACGTAGCAGCAAAGCTCTCGATGATCTGAGTAGCCATTGTGCTGTGCAAACGTAGGTAAAACAATGTATCTACTAGGGAACAGAGCGGCCTTGGACTTTACGTGAATAGTAGTTCCAGTACTCCGTACAAATGCCATCGTGAACGGAGCTCATCCATACTCCGGACCGTACAATTCAGCTCGGGATCATGGCAGGTATCTTAGCCTTTTGGAGGCATGTTTGCCGGGGTATTCACACCTATCCGGCATCCCTCTGTCCTCGATTCTGGGGGACACCCAGGACAATGCCCAGCTGCTTTCTCGCCAGCACTGAAACAATTGCTGAGGACCAGCCACTTGACCACAAAGTACGTTCGTAATCAAGCAATATTCTGGAACATGAGGCAAGGGGCTCTGGTCTGCGCACCCTGGAATGAGACGATCGGCCCCGACTGCGCCGGGGTTACGCCAGAAGAGCTTGACGATCCCAGGAACCAGGGTGCCAGCCTGGCTTAGGCGCTCGTCCCGCTATGATCGACGTGGTTCGGAGCAGAGCCCATTCCGCGCGGAGTCTGCTTGGCCGTGCGATGCAGTACCCTCGGTGGGCTTCTCGCCGAAGCGCGCGGGGGGCACCAAAGGGCCGCTATACAGGAGCATGTTTGGTCCAATGCACCGTCACACTCTGAATTAAACTCACAAGTTGCCTTGGTTTATACGGCCTACTAGTAGTATCATTTCATGTTAGTTCAAGGTCACCGTGTTCTTCGACCGGATAAATCCAGAGTCTAGTGCTTGCTGCCGGTCACGGAGTTCCATGTTGGTAGATTGGTAGCTCAAATGGCTCTGAGGTATTCTGTATACGACCAGACAGACGTAGAAGCTGCCCTGTTTCGATTGATCCACAGATCTGGTTGTTTGTTCCAAAATCCCAAACTGGATTCGGTGGATGTTTCGCCTGATATATATTGTATGCGAACACCACAACCCGATGCACCAAGGATATCCACCAGAGCTCAAAAAGCCAACCTATGTTTTGTCTGGACATATATCTGCCGGACTTGGGAATACTAGTGACGAACTTGCACTTGGATGTGCAAATGCGCGTACTCTACCCGCAGCTTGCCATTCTAAGTTCCGCCATTTCCTGCTCGCGAGCGGCTTCATATGTGCCCAAGATTGATCAAATGATCCACTGGGCTTCCTCTCACCTATAGATGGTCCAATTTGATTCTAGACGTCACACTGCCTGGACGGGATTGAACTCAATAGGCTCAAAGACAACATAGACTTCGAATGTTGGGGTGGTAGCACCAAGACCAACCCCGCAAGTAGTTGCGAATAGCCTTTTTGAACCGCCAGACTGTCGGACAAGACATGGTATCCTCAGGTCTGCAAGGCAGTCCCGGTCTGACTAGATATCTTTGTTACCACTAATGTGGGAACGGACCCCAGGCAGCTTGCCTCCACCAGGTTCGTGGGACATGATGGCTTCATCCAGCCTTGCGGAACGGTGGCTATGAACAGTGGTATCCCGGTGGTGCACTGTACTCCAAGATAACCCCATGTTGATTGGGGATCCTTGATAAGTTGAGGGCGGGACGTACACAAGAACACGTCAATTTAAAGTTTGAAGTCTACAGCATCCCGGAATGGAAATCGAACTGTGTTATGTGGGAGAGGTACTTATGCAATAAGAGGCTTTAATTGGTCTGTATACTCGGTTGCCTCTGTCAATGGCGAAAGAGGAACCCGTTACAAGATGGACAGGATGCCTCAATCATACCACCGGGGGTAGCCCCAAGACCTGCTTTCAGATCTTTTCCTTGGCATCCAGCCCTCTGATTCCATATCTCTCAGATACCCTGTTTCTTTTGAACCAGCATATTCCATGCTGTGATATTCAAAGCGAGTAAATATCAGTGTAGATATAGCACACCTCGTCACATGTCCATGGACCTGGTTGATACCGGTGGTCCGTCTCCTCGTAAGGAAGTTGCACGTTGTTCATATTCTTGGATATCACAATGATGATTGACCAAGTAAGTCCAAGTGATCCCATGGAGGAATGAGAGGCCGTGATCCGTGGGAGTTGAGTAATTAGAGCGCACAGAGCGCAAGGCGCTTCCAAGGGAACACCCAGCCCGTGTCTCAGAGATCAACGATTAAAATCACCCTATCCCTCTAGCTAGAAGCTCCCGTCTATGACGGAACGTGAGAGAGAAAGCCATCTGAGCCAAAATCTCCATCGGAGGAACAGAAACATAAAACAGCCAATAGCACACCCGACTCAATTCCCACCAGTATGAAGTTCCTCGTTACATTGCTATATCTCGCGGCCTCGGTCTCCGCAAGCACATTCACCGTTCTAACCTCTACCACCGTGGTGGCCAACACACCAACCAACAATGTTACCTCGATTGTCGTCCTCACCTTCACGAACGATAAGACCGGGGCAAGTTTCCAAGTGTCTGTCCCGGTGGATTCGCAGAGGCATAGTGTCAAGTCCGTGACGCAGGGTGGGCTCCCACTGCTCACTACATCTGCTATGCTGATCAGTTCCTCCCCCAACGTGAATACTATCTGCCATATCAATATTCCAGGGTCCAATCCAATGGAACTCAGTAGTCAAATCTCGTTCATCAAAATTAGTGATATCAATAACCCAGTGGACGTCCAGGATGCGTGGATCCATTGTGCCAACTGAGACTGGGAAGGACAACGCGAGGCATACATGGCAAATTTCCTGACAGTGAAAATGTATTCTTCCCTGACCTTGTGAGATGCCTCGGCATAGGTTTTCCCCACGATTGAGGAGCGGGTTTCCCTGTACCGTGATGTGAATACAGAGGCAGGCCATACTAGTGATTTACATCGATCTTCCCTGTACAAACAGTGCCATAGCCTCTACGTAGTCTCCGCCACGTAGTTTCATGACGGTCTGTGGTTGGCCCCAAGTCTAGGGTTTTATCTACCAATTGGCAGGCGGTGCTACAAGTGTGATGATATTGTAAATGTAAATCAAATTGCAGAATTAGATCTACCTTTGAGGCGAATAATTTCCGATCACCACCATATCAATCGTCCTGGTCTGAGCATTATATTAGTACTAACGCCTTCATCTCCTGCCAATAGTCTCACCGAGCTGCTCGTCGGGGTTGAAGTCACCGTCGGGTTCGACAAAGTCCTCTACGTCTTGGTCATCGATCATGACAGGCTCGATCTCGTCAAGTCCGGACGACATAGTAGACAGGCCTGGTCCCAGCCTCAAGATTGGATAAGGAGTGGATGGTGCGGTATTTTGACGGAAGAGATCTTTTGATTTATATTAGCCACATGCTTCTACTTGCCACTCCATGGTGAAGTCGTCATGTTGACGCGCGGCAGAAGCGGCCAACTTATTCTCGCAGAATATAGGTTGGGGAAATCGCTAGGGATAATTCTTCCATATGAACGATTCTCCGATGAGCTGCTCATCAAGTCTCTTGATGCAGATCGAGTAGGAGCTTGAGCCCAACCTGTCAGAGCGTCATTGGTCCGATCATTTGGCCCGCTGAGCACGTAGCCGGAAATAAGGCAAACCAAGGATTCCAAGGATTATTGGCTAGTCGCGGTCGCCTACAGGCCCCAGTAAACAGGGTGTTTCTGCAGAGTTGATCGACAAAGACCGCACCGCTCCTTCTCGATTCAGCCTCGTTCTCCGAGTCAGCCTCGCCTGCGCCACTAAGAAAACACTCCCCGTCCCCAGTAATCAAGTCTCCCAGCAAAATAATCTTAGCCCAAAAAGAAAGAAAGAGGGGGCCAGAATGGCTTCCAGAATCCCAGAAATCCTCTTGCTATGCATGGACAACAACTTCATCACTGCCTTCAATGAAGCACTGCGTGCTCGCTGGCCGGGGTACACCCCCGACAAGGTCAAGATCACCCCAATCAACGCGCGCCTGAACAATCTCCCCGGATCCACGACATTCGACCTGGTAGTTTCCCCCGCCAACTCCTACGGTCGGCTAGACGGGGCGTTTGACGACGCCATTTCGATGGCATTCAGCCCGAGGGATGATTACTATGCGCTGACGCGTGCCGCGCAAAGAGTACTCTACGACAAATGGAGGGGTTATGCGCCGCCGGGCACGTGTACGCTCGTTGAGTTCCCGAGGGCCTTGAAGCGAAATAAGTTCGAGTGCAAGTGGGTGGCGCTCTGTCCGACGATGCGCGAGCCCACCAACGTCACCTGGGACCGTGAGGTCGTGTTTGAATGTATCTGGAGCTTGCTGTGCCAGATCGAAGGCCATAATCGACAGAGCAAGCATGATCCTATCAGGACCATCCTGATGACGCCGTTGGCTACCGGGATAGGCAAGGTCAGTAAGGAGCGCTGGGCGGCACAGACGGTTGTCGCGCTGAAGCAGTTCGTGGAGGCCCTCACCGAGCCGGAGACATGGAGTCGGCTAGAGTGGGACAAGATTTCACAGACTGGTGATGAAATCAAAGCTACGTGGAAGAAGTGAACGACATGGCTCATAGAATAGGTGGTCATTACGGTTGGCTTTAGCAGCCAGACTCGTGAGAAATACTTGTCAGCTTGTGAAAGGAACTCCCAATCCCTTCAGTCCTGGAGTCGATACCCGCTGAAGAAATCGAAGATGTACTCTGTAGCGTTGAAACACGTACTTGCCCAGCGGGCACTGGTCTGGATGGCTCTCGTAGTCATCATTCGTCACCGTGCTAGGCCAGCAATGACCATTCTCCCCTTCACGGTAATGTTGCACGACACCATCCCTGCCCCCGCAATTCCAGACAGCATGCTTGACGAGAGGGGTTTCGAAGACAGTATCGTTCTTCACCCACGGCTCATGCGACCCACACCCGTTGTTCTCCGCCCACAGCTCCAAGATATCAATGACAGGCAGCTTCGCGGACGCCTCATCATTGCCATCAATAGGCGCGGTTGTATCTGTCGTGCCATGGAACTCCAGAAAAGGGTACCCTTCTTCTCGTTGTGCCGGCTGACAGGGGCCGACGCCCGGAATGTCATCCGTGTTGTACCATGCACCGTTGACCGCTGCAAAAGCCGCAAAGCGCCTCCCAACGGTAGCGTTGCAGGCGATCACACCTGTGAAACCGCCCCCATTGGACTTGCCCGCGCTGTAGACCCGGCTGGTGTCGATGCACAGCTTCGCCTCCATGTGTGTCAGGAGGTCGTTCGTGAAATCGAGATCGTTGGGCCGCGCGGTCTCAGCTTTCGGGTTCGAGAGCCAATAGCCGTTCTTGCTGTTGGGGTAAAGCGCGATTCCATCTTGATTGAACTCGGGGTTGGAGAACTGCGACAGGTCCTCCTGCTCGCTCATGTCCTTTGTCGCGCCATGGAAAGAGAAGTAGACGGGGGCTGGCGTGTTGATGTCATAGTTCGGCGGGATATAGAGGATGTATCTTCGATCACTGCCGGGTAGCTTGAGGTCGGTGCTTGATCCTGGACTGGGGTATTTGGGCGGAATTGCTTGACCGCAGCCAGCTGATGGGGCTGCATTGGCGGAGGCGGCCAGAGCCGCAAGGGACAGCGATGTGAGTCTCATGATGAAGCCAACAGAGATGAAATGGTCCATCGCAAGCTGGTGCAGAAACCCCCTTTCATACTATGACCATCCGGCAAATTCGGGGGAAATGCCCGGCAAATACAAAGATGTCCAGGCGTCGGCTCCTACGAGGTGACCGTCACTATTTACATTGTAAGACTGCCCTTTTTAGCGTCCCCACTTTGCGACCAGCCCTCACCCCATGGTGGCGCACTTTCCCCACCGCGTGTGAAGAAACCCCGTCTGAACCTGGGAACGACTGGTCTTCACTTCTTGCTCGAAGAAAGAATGGTGCGTACACGCAAGCAGACCCTATGCTCATTCTCGTGGATGAACTAGATAATAGTCTAGAGCTCCTATGACGCCACCAAGGGAACTACTGGTCCCTGTCTAATCCTAGTCAGAGCTAACGAAATTGCGTTCAATCTCAAACAACTAAAGGATATTATCGCCATTACTCAATTTTCTTTCCCCTCCAGTCTTATAGTAGAATGTAGTATTTCGTACTTTCCGTGACCTTGTCCGAAACCTCTCGAGCATCATTCTTAGCTATTTGAATTCAGATTTAGAAGAGGAAAACCGAAAAGGGAAATTCCTCAGGGTTTGGGGGCCAATGACGGAACTTGGCTCTGCGAATCGTCACCAAGAGACTAGCAACAAACCCCCAACTCGTGCCAAAAGCCCCCACATCGCTGGCCTGCATGACCACGCGTGGGGGCAGAAATGGGTAAACGCAGGACATCGGCATGTGTTACAGTCGATAAATAAAATGCGCCCAGCCGGAGTGCCCCCCCCCCAATTTCGTCCCAAACTGCGGCATGATGCTGCTGAACTTGCATCCAGGGAGTGTGATAGCGGTGGGCGTCCTTCTGCCCGCCCTCGCCTCGATCGCTCTCGCTCTTCGTTTCTACAGCCGCCATCGCTTATGCATCCTGCTGAGGGAGGACGATTGGATTGGATTAGTGGCGTGTGTGCTTGTTTGGGGGCTTGGCATCACTAACATTGCTGGTGGGGTCACCATGGGCTTGTTTCCCCTTGTCGGTCTGGATGCTAATGGCTACTTTTCTCAACAGGGGCGGCGCTGGGAGCTCTGGGGGCACATTCGAAGCCAGCGGGACCTAATGCGCCTCACCATGATACGATTGTGAGGGGCCGGAGGGATGAAATTGCCGAACAGGTACAGCCCAGAGTTCATGATGCGATGAGTGGAAGGAGCGCAAATAAAAAGGAAAAAAAACAGCTTACTGGATTTAGATTGTGCTCGGGTACAGCGTGGTCGAAAAGATCACGTTCGGCGTGATCAAGATTGGCGTCATTTTGGCCTATCGGAGGATGTTCAGAGGGAAAAGATGGTTTGATCTCGCCTCGCTGATCATGATTATTGTGAATACCCTCCTCGCCGTCGCATTTCTGATCGTCTCTGCTTGTCAGTGCAAGGTGCGCAATTGGAATTTGAAGTATGTGGACTGGTCGCATCGACGCCATTGCGTGCAAGCAGAAGTCTCGTGGTCTGCTTTCGCCATTTGCGATGTTATCACCGACATCCTGCTCTTGTTACTACCAATCCCCATGGTGTGGATGCTGCAGCTTACCACTTCCAAGAAGATCAGTGTGATGTTGGTCTTCCTTCTTGGGTCTCTTTCAACGGCGGTGGGAATCGTAAGGATGGTGGTCATTCTATATTTCACTTATGGTAGGGCAAGCTCAGGCTGGAGCAAGGGGAAACCGCTAACGAATGATATAGGCAGCGGTGATGGATACCGAGACCTATTGGACACGATCTCGACAGCTCTCATATGGAGTCTAGTGGAAGCCTCCGTGGCAATCATTGCCTCCTGCCTGCCCTCTATACGGCCGCTGATCCACCGAGCTTCCGACAGCAGTGCCAGAAGCAAGGGAATGACCACAAGTAGAGAATTCGCCTCGAAACGGAGAGCCTCTAGATTACTTCAAGAAAACTTGTATGAATTCGACCGGATCGAAGACAGGCCGTGCCTGAAGTCTGCAGACGAAGAGTCACGTAGATAGTCATAATAATAGCTGTTGTGAAAACGTCTCAAGGAATCATGTATCAGACACCACTCATGCCGCTCATGGTATTTTTACTCCGCGACTTTCCAAGTGAAAGCCCACTGAATGAGCCGATCGAAAACCCCCCTAGGCCTCGGCGATTTTGGCCAGCTCATACTACGCTTCTCGCTCAATAAGCTTTCGTCGCCATTCTGCGTCCCTGTCCTCCCAGCCCTGGACGGCGCTTTGGATTTCTGATAGAGCCACCAGCACAGCATAACCACCAGGGTCAACGGTACGGTGACAGCGACCCAAACGACCCAGGCCTCGCTCCGAGCCTTGGCACCGAATATTCCTGCATCCACAACCGTCGCAATGAACGTCCCTGGCAAAAACACCATAGTCAATGCCGCAATGGCGTTCATGGACGTAGAGTCCTGCTTCATGTCGTGGGATATCTGGATATTATTCGCCGCATCATCCTGTGTGACGAGGTTAAAGACGAGAGACATGGTGCTGTCTTTGCGTTGCTTGTAGTTGAGGAACCAGATCTTTTGCTTCTCGACAGAAGAGATCACGTAGTTGATCGAATCTTCCGCACGCCTGTGTATGAAGGGACTGATCCGGCGCATGGACTGTACCAGCCGGGCATGCGCATCGCGGATTCCCTTTGCGGTGATGATTGATACATCGGCATTGGCAAGATGGGAGTCGGCATTTTGTGAGATTATCTGGAGTTGCTTCGTGAGATTCCCCAATTTAGCTCGATCGCTCGTCTCGAGACCGCCCAGGTGGTCGTCGACTTTGTTGATCGACTGCCACATGAAGCGTTGGAATCTCTTGACGTGGAATTTGGAGGCTTCAAATGAGAGTGTTGATAGGATGACGTGGATATCGAAAGGGTCGTCGAGAAACAAAGCAGACTTTCGGGCTGGAGGGGCAGTGCGAAGTGCTATCCTCAATAGAGACTTAAGGGTGTTGATCGACGTGTCGAACTCTTTGTGGGAGATCACGTAGGTTGTCAGATCTCTCACTACATCATGTCTCATGTACACTGACAGTGGCGATCCTTGGGACTGAAGATTCCAGCGAGGATGTTGGCAAAAGAAATCTAGTGGGGAGATTTAGCGAACTAAAAGTGCACAGTTCCCAAGTCCACTCACCACAAGATACAAGATGCCCTCTATCATCCTCCTCCCAATGAGTCCGAGGGGCCCAGTAATCAGGCCGGCCGATCATATTCAATAGGAATAAAGGGTTCACTTGTAATGATCTGAGAAGCTGCTTAGCGTTGCTTTGGGTCATCAAGCTTTGTGCGCCATAGGAGGTACCTCCAGTAGGAACCAGAGGTATAAAACTGCCGAGGTATCAGCCAAAGAATAGTCTCAGACGGCTTCAATCCAGAGAGGCTCACAAGACCAGCATTCGCCGCCCAGCGGGTTGAGCAGCGGTGGGATCCGCGGAACATTGCAATGAGCAAGACTAGCTAATGTCAACGGATACCGTTTCATACCAATATTCATTGGAGCATACCTTCAATAGACTTGCCATTAGTTCTTCGTTTAGATTCCTCCACTCTAGCACAACGCGGTCAATCCAAGCCCCAGCAGCATCTTGCTATCCGAAGACATACCTCCTCCACTTGGGCCGCAGTCAAAACACTCCACGCACGTCTCGCTCGCGAAATTCTTCTCATTCTCTAAATGCATATGGCACTGGACGGCATCAAAGACTTGCTGAAGCGATTTAAGATCGTCGAGTGGGTAATGGTCTGTATCCAAGTTGAAGTTGAAGTCTAGCTCATTGACTGCCAGATCCCCTGTTTCTGCATGTCTTTGGACATCGTCCTGCTTGATTGACATTGGTCGCTGCTGCACCTGTGCTTGGACGAGGGACGCCTCCAACCGGGAGAATTTGGGGTTGATGTCTCCAGTCTCTGCCCGGCTGAGCGAACCCTTGATTTCCGGAGCCGAGTTCATCTCGTGGTTTTCCTGTAGTTGGTAGGTAGACACAGGTCAATTGGGGCCATCAGGCATGGAAGGCCATATTTATCGCGCGGAGCATCGAACCAGCTGATTGTCCTGCAGCGAGTCTCGAACCAACACGAAGCTGGACATCGCCAAGCCTAAATTCGCCCGACTAGAACCTGGCGCTCGTGTCGGGTTGTCTGCAGTGGTGAGCGCTAACTCCCGCTTTGGGCTTACTATAGGCCGGAGACGCGGGAAAAAGTAAGCACTATGACCTTTAGGAATTACCAGCCGCTTTTCACAAGTCTGCTGAAAGCAATTGCCGAAAGCTGCATCAGTGGGTATAGTGGAGTCTTATTTCCTGCTATTTTCTTTTCACATCCATTCTCCACGTTTTCTCAGCCTTGGAAGCATCAAATCGGTCGTGGGAAGCAATATACGAGTTTCGCGGCTTGCTATCTTGCTCTTGTTCGTGTAAGAGATGCTGGTAGGTAAGGTGATCAAAGCCAGATGCCCGTGACCCAGGTTGGACCTAGAAAACAGACCGACTCAGCGAGCCTTGAACAGCCCTAAAACGTAAGAAACACCCTCCAAACCCGTGGAAAGAAAACAACCCGCTCCAGGGCTTAACCTTCTTCTGCTTATGTGGGGTAAATCCTTGGAAACCTTGGAAACGCGACACCGCGTGCCCAGAGCGCGAACCCTCCTGTCTCAGCATCACAGACCTCAAGTCCAAACGCTCCCCCCTTCCCCACTGGCTTCCCCAAAATGCCCCTCGATCTCAACTACGATGAGATCTCCTCCAAATTCGACCGCCTCGTAGCGGACGGCATCGTCTTCTACAAACCAAGCACTCTAATCCCACTCACCCACCGCGGAATGACCGTTCGTCCACCACAGAGCCCTCCAACCCCCCCGCACTTCCTAATTTTACCTCCTCCTCCCTTCCAGTTCTCCTTCCACATCATCGAGGGCCACAAGACCAAGCCCCAAGAAGGCGACCCCGTCGCCGCCACTAAAGCAGCGCAGGCCGCGGCCTCCAACCCGGCGCCCTGCTTCGGGCCCGGCAGCGACATCGCGAACGACCACCCCGATATCTGCATCACGACGGTCAACGGGACGCACCTGCTCACCATGAACAAGTTCCCCGTCTTCCGGCCCATGTTGCTATTGCTGACGGTGGATTCGTACCGCCGTCAGCACGAGCCGCTTGCGCGGGCGGATCTGGATGCGGGCTGGAGCGTGATCGATGCGCTCCGGGCGGAGCATTATGTCTTCTATAACTGCACGTTTCGGGCGGGGGCAAGTCGTCAGCATAAGCATTTGCAGATCGTCCCGGCACCTGGGGCGAGCGAGGAGTATGCGGCGGGGTATCGCTTTTTCCCTGACTACGAGGGTGTCGGGCCTGGGGCGGAGTGGAGGGCTCCGTTTACGTATTTCTTGGTTCGGTGGGAGGGAGCCCGCCTGGATGCGGACTTTCTATTAGAGAAGTATCTGGGGCTGTTGCAGAAGGCGAGGGTAGCGCTGGGGGTGGCCGTGGAGGAGCAGGAGATTCCACATAATTTTGTCCTGACCAAACGCTGGATGATGGTCATTCCGCGCCGGGCTAAGGTGTCTCACGGTCTTACTGCTAACTCTGCGGGGATGCTGGGCTCAATGTATATTATCAGTCAGGAGCAATTGGACGCGTGGAAGGAGGCGGGGCCGACGAATGTTTTGGCGGGGCTGGGCATTGCGGACGAGGAGTTCTGATGAGAAAGCTACGACTTCACGAGGATAGACGATTGGATAGATGGGTCGCGTATACGTCTAGAAGAACACACCACGGTCATAGATGGTTTATCATGGCAAATGGGTTCAGGCAACTAAAACTAAAACGATCGATGTTATGTACGAGATCGAATGGATCCGGATCAAAGAAACTTCCCAAACCCGCCTCAGACTTGAAGATCGGATGACATCAAGGCATGCATGCCATGCTTCCCTATTGTCCAGTGCAACTGATGCCCCTCGCAAACAAACAGACAGGAAACCGCCGGAAATCAACCGTCATCGCACTCGGCCCCGCCGAGCAGTGTCTAGGTCCATTTAAAATCAAAAGAGAGGAAAGAAACACTCCCTCTCCCTGCCTTGGCCCGTTGATTCCTCAGGTCCCTCGAGTTCGATCGAAGGAATAATTGAATCAGGAACCTAACCGCCTCTTTCGCCAAATTCCTTCGCCCATTCTTCGTATTTGCGTAGCCCATCTGGGGATACACTGGGACGGATGGAGTACAGACTGGACTCAAAGTCTTCAAACCTAATCGGGCGGATCTGATCCATGGGAGTGTGAAGAAGAGCTTCGCCAAGGTTCCGGAGAGGGCCCATGGCGGCATCCTTGGCGAGGGCTGTTATATCAGAGCCCGAAAATCCTGAGGGAGGTGGTTAGATGCGATTATACGATGTAGATAGAGAGAGAGAGAGAGAGAGAGAGAGAGAGAGAGAGAGAGAGAGAGAGAGAGAGAGAGCTATAGTCATACCGTCTGTAACGTGGACCAAGACTTGAATGTCTTCGTCGCTGAGCTCCTGGTGCTGGTGACCAAGTAGTGTACGAATCTGCTGCTCACGCACATGATGCTCCGGCAGAGGAATGTACTGCCGACGAACGAAACGACGACGAGCGGCTTCATCAATATCCCAAGGCATATTGGTAGCTGCAAGAACTAGCACACGGGTCGCGTCGCCCTCTTTCTTGTCGCGGGGGCTCTGCTCCCGACCAGCAGCAGCCCGCTGGAGATCAGACCATTGAATCAAGAACTCTGTCTTAGACCGGCGGGAGGCTTCATGTTCAGAGCCAGATGACCGGGCGGAAAGCAAAGAGTCGATCTCATCAACAAAGATGATAGAGGGGGCAAGTGCCTTGGCAAGGCCAAACAAGGCTCGGACAAGCTTCTCGCTCTCGCCATGCCACTTCGATGTCAAGCTAGACGCTGAGACAGAGAAGAAAGTCGACTTGGATTCGGTGGCAACAGCTCGAGCAAGCATGGTCTTCCCCGTCCCAGGAGGGCCGAACAACAGCATGCCTCGCGCCGGCTCACGTAGACCCGAGAAAAGATCCGGTCGCAAAAATGGATACACGACCGCTTCTTTAAGCGCTTTCTTAGCCCCATCTAAGCCAGCAATATCCTCCCAATGCACTTCGTCGCCGCGGACGACAATGTCATTGAGAATTTGTCGGGCTGATTGAGGATCTATGCCCTTCGGAAGCTTGGACATGATCCGCTCCACGTCCGCATTTTCATCGTCTTCGTCTTCATCCTCGGTCTCATCTGCCGTGGAGCGCACGTCTGAAGACTCGGGCTCGCTCGAAGGCGGAGTTTCTCGTCGTTTAGGTGCTAGCATTTTCCGTCGAACGCTGGCCCCATTGCTGTTCGAGAGTGACATCTGCGCCACACCTCGCTGAACGTCGTCGCTCCCTGAGGATGGTGATATGTAGGCTGACTGGTCGGGCTGGGTAGCATGAGGAGTAGACGACGACTTGGTCCGAGGCTTGCTGTTCGATGCGTTTGATTCGCGCTCTTGTCGGGGCGTTTCAGGCCGGGAGCTGCCTTCGGATTTGGTCATGTCGGAGGAGCGAGGGGTAGGAGGTTGGAGCGACGACCTCAGGGCGACAGGCTTAGGTTTGACCGAGGGTTTAGGAGCCGCCTCGGGTTCATCGCGGCTCAGGCCATCTCGTGCGACCCCAGAAGTGGAGCTTGAGGGAGGAAGGGTGCGGTGTACAGGCGGGGGCGGAGGCTCGCGGGGAAACTTTCGTGGGGAGGGTCGGGACGAACGGTTGGGGGAAGGTTGCTGAGGCTCACGCCAGTGGGCGACGGGGATACGATCGCCCGCAGAGTCTTTTCGGTAGAGGACGTTCCGCGATGCCAATGGCTCATCGCTAGAGCTAGTCCTGGGCTCAGGCTCACGTCGCAAACTCGAGTCGATCGCGGCGGAGCGAGAAGAGGCGATTGCGGCATCGCTCACGGGCTTCTCACCTGACGACGGACGGAAATTGGACCCCCATGCTAGGCCCGCCGCCTTAGACGCTGCCGGTCTGGTCTGTTTCTTAGCACTGGTCTTTTTGCTCGACTTCTTTCCATCGGCACTACGCAGTGTGGTGAGCATCGGCTTCCTCCTTTCCCTTTCGGGACTGGAGCCACGAGACCGCTCCATTTCCGAAGAATTCGAGTTCAGTTTCTGTGCAGGCGTTTCAGCCGGGGACCCCGAATGAGAAGGACTGTCATCGTAGAGTGGGAGGTTATCGGCGGTGTTATGCTTGGAAGGCAGGGGACGCCCTGGTATGGCGGCTGGTTTGGAGAGATCGGTGTAGCCTACAGCGGGGATTGTGCCGCCACCGATGAACCCTGGGACGCTTGCCGTCGACAAAGGAGGCGTAGTCACAGCATATTTCCCCTTCACGAGGGTTGCAGGGCCTTCTTTTGTACCATTTGCGTCGGCCGACTCCTTTCGGCTTTCACGGAGGGCCGATAACAGATCGACCCGCTCTCGGCATTGGACTTCTAGCGCTTTAATGGAATCCTGCAGCGCTCGCTCGGTTTCCGTCTTGGGAGTGTAGGTCGAGGACACTCGGCGGGCGTTATGACGGTAGATGGTCTCAAGAGCAGATCTCCATGATCTCAATGCTTCGTCCTCGTTGTTCTGATGTCATGAGCAAAGGCGACCGGAAGAGTGGGAAAGGGTTTGTAGGATGGGGCTGGAAAGACCTACCTGGCCTTCGAAGTAGACAGCAGTAGAACACAAAAGATAGCACTCATCATACGTCTTCTGCATGGAAGACGCGGGCCTTGGGCGCATCATTGGGAGAACAGGAGCCCGCACCCATTTCACTGCGCAGTTGCGGTGGGGAGAAGTGGAAGCGTTGATCTCCCGTTGAGGGGGGGATGCGATTTTTCGCGTGACGTCGTTCGGGTCCAAATGCGGCTAACGAACTACTGCTTCCTGCTTACTCGACTAGGAAAGCTGCTCGTGTGCTCAAGTCTCTTTTATGCTTACGCAGAACCCATCTACTTCAGGCTTGAACAGTTCATGTTTTTTTTTTTTGGCGTTGGTGCTACATTTCTCCTGAACGCCTCACTTCCTAAGTCGGATATCGTCGCATCTAATTCCTCGTGGCGGCACGTCTATCGGTACATCCGGAAAACAAAGACTAAAACTGTAGATGCAAAGAAGCCCAGCCCGTACCAAGAAGAAAAATTGGCAAGGGGAGAAATTGGAAAGAAGTTGAAAAATTGAAATCAAATGATCCACTGTTAACGCCGGTTAACTGTTGTGACACTTCCAAGGGATGCACATTGCGAAGAAATTCGATCCGACCGGGTCCGCAGACCATAAGGAAGAAACGATTGCCATGGCCCTCCCCTTATTCACCTAACTGTACATTGCTGGCATCGCTTTTGTGGCCGAAGATATGCAAGGTCGATTGGGGCGATCCACGACCCCAAATGCATCATTATGAAATGGGTTCGTTCAGCATTCTCTCAACGGAGGGACCAGCCGCGCATTATTGCAGGAGCTCTGCGAAACAAGAAGAAACAAAATCATAGGATATCGAGATGTTGGAAGTTTCGGGGGTTTCAGGAACTTGTCGGCAAAGGAGGTGTTTATAGACGGCAAGTTGGGGGTTGGGGAAGAGAGAACTTTTGTTTACTCCGAGAGCTGCTTCTTGAAATAGGCCTTGGCCATCTCATAGGAAGACCTAGGGAGACGATTAGTAACGTGTAAGATCAAGGCAAACGCTTGTTTCCGACTTACCAGCAAATCGCGGTGCTAGGCATGGTGGAAATGATGCGAGGGCGCATGCCACGCAGGAAACCAGACCATCCAAAGTTGCGCTTGATAAGTGCCGCAGCATTGAAAAGACCTCGAACGGAGCGCAGTTCCTCGTTCTGGGCAAGACCACGGGTTTGCAAGACAGTCTTGATGACATCCAGAGGAGTGGTGATCGCAGCCGCAACAGCTCCGGCGGCACCACCAGCCATGCAATGAGTGAAGGGGTCATAGCCGTTCTTGGGGTTCATGACCTTGGAAATAGACTCGTAGGCAACGAACTGGGTGGCAGTGAACGGAACGGACATGCAAAGCGTGGTTGGATACGAGACGTAGAAGGCCTGGAGACCCTCAGTGCGATACACGGTCTTGGCACATTGGGTGATGGTCTTGTGGATAGAGCCGTGAACTTGCATACGCTGCTTGATCACTTTTGGAGGTTAGCACTTGAGTTGGACAAGTAGGGCTTAGAGATCCGCTTCGAACTTCACTCACCATCAAACGGGTTCATCAGAGCATCACTCGCAATCGTCGCCGAGGCACCACTCAGAGCTACACATCCCACACGTTAGCCACGCGTCCAAAACCGTTGTTCAACATGCGAGACCTACCGGCAGCAATAGGGTGGTGTCCATCATCGATGTTTCCCCCAGCAAGTTCCTTGACTACCTCGTATGTTCCGAAATAAACGGCGTGGGCCGGGCCTGTCCCCAAATTAGTTTCCCATGTCCCAAGATTCTCGACTAAGCCAACGTAGGGTCAAACGCACCCGCGCCAACGATAACGCTGGAGACACCCTTCCACAGGGTTCGGACTCCCTCAACTCGAGAGATAGTGGAGACCGCGTTGGTCAATCCGGTGTACAAGCCGCCAGCGGAGGGGTTCAGGATTTGCATGCGGGTCTAAACAGCGAAAATTCGTCAGCCACTCAGAACCCAACTCGACGAACACGCAGCGTGCAATCTTTGCCAGCGAACAACAAACATACCTTGAGAAGATCGACGGGGTACATCACAGAGTGCTCCTAAAACGAAAATATCAGCTTCCGTCGGCCCGATCCCTGTTACCGTTGACACTGGAGTTCCTACCGCAATACCGGCGAAGGCACCTGCGAGCATGTTGGCGCCGAGGCCATAGTTCGAAGGAAGCGCCTCGTAGCTAAAGAAAAAAAATTGGGGTCGGATTAGCCCAGTCCGCACTAGCCATGGGAATCCCGCGGTTTGAGATCCGACGCAGAGAACCACGTAACCTGCTCTGCAAGAATCGCAGATGAAGGAGACGACACGAAACACGTGAAAGAGCATATCAAGAAACTTCAATTGCTCCGGAAAGCCGAAGCTCCTTGAGCTCTCTGGCTTGCGCAGGTTGGGGATATGGGTTCTTTATGAAAACTCCTCGTTGCAAGGCCACTTACTCGTACTCCAGCTCCGGGGTCTTGTCGGAGGTCGCCATGGAGCTCAGGTAGCTCACGGCGAAGCCGGCACGAGCGGGATAAGTGTTAATAAAGAAAGAAGCTAAGTGTCGGGATGCGATTGAAGTTGCAGCGTCCTGACGGAAAAGTTTGGGGTGGGAAGGAGGTAAATGGAGTTCGGAGGTGGAGCCGTTTGGTGTTCACCCAAGAACAATTGCTGAACCAGGGGCGCACGATGCTTAGTCGTCGACACGCCGAGAACCAGAGAAGTCTAGGAACTTATACGGGTCACTCTTCGGATGAAGGAAAGAAACCCAAGGGGACAACAGAAAATGCCACTAACGAAATTATGGTTCCCTGCCGACCGTCGCCGGATTCCACAAGCCTCCGGAGACTCCGCTCCCCGGATAGCCCGCCGCGACTCGGACCTACGCTTCAGCATGGCTTCATCCAGTCTTGCTAATCTACATATAAACCGTGTCCTTGTCATTCTTGCCACAAGCATCATCAACCACTGGATCGCAAGGGCAGCAGCGCCAGGATCCGATCACGGAGCTTACCCAGTATCCCAGGTATTGTACCGGGCGCAGGCTTACAATACAGGAAGTACTTGGCAGTCGCTAATATTGTGGCCGGAGTAACGGGTATGTACCTCCCCGGTACGAAACATCGTCACGCTTATCAATCTGATAAGCGGATTTTTTTCCAAATGGCCTGGGATCCGAGGCTATTGGCCCCCTGTTGATTCCATGCACTAAGTGGACCAGATCAGCCAGACAGCCGCTTAGAAATTGAGAAGGGTTCGAGACGGCTGTTAGATACGCTGATCAATTCTGTCTGGTCTGGCCACCATGCAGACCCGCTGCTACTGTGTAGTTTGTGGAAACACGGCCATGTGCCTCCAACTGGGATTTCATCGGTAGCCCTTCAAGAAACTGCAGGGCAAGCCAGCTACATCCTTTCTGAGATGCTGGCAAGCAGAGCAGTAAGATAGAGCAGGGGGCTGAGACATAAAATGCGACTGCTCCGAGCAGTCGCCGACCGATGTTCTAGTAGGAATTAACCTGTGTGGACTGAACCCGTGAAGGAGTTCTTTGGGCATGAACGCTCTCCTGCAATTGAGCCCATGAAGCCCCCTGAAGATTTTTGCTGGTAGGACATTCCGTGGAAAAAGAGGGCAGCTGACGAGAACTGTTAAGCCCCAGTCACTCCTTTCCTGAAAGAGATGTAGTACTTAGCTTCTCTAAATCAGCATTCACGAGTGTAGCTTGCCTACATAGTCCTGATATTTACCCAACCATGTACTAATTCTATCTCACTTCCTACAACTCGAGCCTTACTTCTATCTCTCACACATCCCGTCTTACTCACTTTCATCATACCTCCCCCTACTCACTCGCCCGTGGACTAGAACTAGGACGAGGGTATCACGAGGTACCAGAAGCGCGCCACTACAAGTTTACAACCTATATCATTTGCACAATGGAAAGATACACCTGCCTTGTATACACTCCCGATTTTCAAAAGCCCCAAGTTTTCAAGAATGCGATACCCCGTGGACATGCGACGAAAGACTTGGTGCTATCCGTCGCAACTATGACTCTTTCGGTACCCGCGGCCCCCGCGTTGAACTTCCCCGTAAAGCGCACGCGATCAAAAGACCAAACCAAAACAACATCTCGAGATTCAGCCCGCTAGCACCTGATGAGACCCAGTCAATCAGACCCATGTCTTCCAGCGATGGCCTAGACGTGATGGCAGTAAGTTCAACACCACACGCAAATACATAAGAACCCCCCCCTTCTCAAGCAACCAGGCCGGGGCCTTCGCGGCCGTAAGCAGCGAGATAGTGATCCACCCCTTGGACACGATGTTAACGCGCATGCAATCAGCCACATACACCTCCGTCTACAAAACTGCAAACGGCTCAATAAAGCCCACTCTTTTCAGAGGCTTGTATCAAGGGTTCGGGCCAACTCTTCTGGCCGGCGTACCGGGTTCGACTGCATTCTTCGGCACCTACGAAGCGTCCAAGGCTGGGCTGGAGAGGGCTCGCACCGCAGGCTATTTACCAGCTGCTTTGCCGCAGTCCTTTGACCATGTGGTGAGCAGTGCATGTGCGGAATTGGTCGCGGCTGCTATTGCCAATCCGGCGGAGGTGCTCAAGCAGAATGCTCAGGTGGCCAAGGGCGCTGGGCGCGATGTTTCGGTGCGGATATTGAAGCAGTTTTATCGGAGGCCTTCGACGCTGTGGGCGGGCTATACGGCGCTGGTCGCTAGCCACCTACCGGGCACTTGTCTGACTTTCGGTCTATATGAGTCTTTGAAAGAGGAGTTGCTTCGAAGGGCAGTTTGGAAAATGGATGAGGATATGATCCGGCAGACCAAGGTCAGTGCTATTAGTGCTGCCGCTGCAGGGGGTCTTTCCTCGCTGTTCTTTGTTCCTATTGATGTAGTGAGGACGAGGATGAGACTTTCCGTAGGAGAGCAGGATGGAACGATCCGGCAGTTTGCGATGAATGTTCGCTTGGGTCCAGCTGGCTTGCTATCATCTTCAGTGCCGCCGCGCCACGGTACTCTTGCGGTCGCTCAGAGTATCTTTCGCAAGGAAGGCATTACGGTGCTTTTCCGTGGTTCGGGCTTGACTTGTCTGACGGCGGCCATAGGGAATGGTCTCTATCTGGGGTGTTACGAGGGTGGAAAGCTGTACTTTGGCGGCTCTCGGCTGGACTGAGGGTGTCATATTGTTGCATTATGCCTCCTACGGATTGATTCCTAGGGGCCCTGTATTACTAGCATGTACAATCTAGAAGTGGGAAAGTCTACAAAGCAAGTCTCCACTCATCATTCAAATGCGACGAATTGCTCCGCTCCATGCATTGTAGTATTTTACGGTCAAGATAAGACTCGGAGTATCCATAAAATGCAGATAAAAGAAATGCGCTCTCTTGCTAAAGAAAAGAAAAAAATAGATGCTGCTATCTGGCCATGACAATCCCACCGCATTAAGATCTGAACACCGTGCGCCCACCAATAAGAGGAGTTTCAGTAAAGGAGTGTTTGGTAATCGGGAAGAAATAAAGAGATAATGGAGGTAAAAATGCTAGATCAGAACTGTTAGACTCATAAAGGCAGGAATGATTCGTTCACGTCGTCAAGGGGATTGGTTCTCGCACAGCGGTCGTCTTGAGTCGCGAAGCATTACCACTCCACGTTGAATGTCCATTCGCCTATTTGAAACATTAGCATTGCTCCTGCCAAATTCTTCATGGATTCCCAGTAGCAGAAAATACCTTTTTTGAGATTTTCAGCGGTGTCGCTCAGCAGAATAACTCGTCTCTTATTGCAGTAGGCTGTTTTGTCTAAAATGTCGACCTTAAGCCCGGCGAGGTCCGCAACGGGTTTCTCGAACATTTCACTCAAGCTTTCCACGGCCATTTCCAGATCCTTTTGGTTGTCCTCAAATATGGCAGTGAGGTTGTTTCGCGCCAGATAGAATGCAAATGCATAGGTCCACTTCAAAGTCTGGCGGCATTGCTGCAGGGCTTGCGACGCGGTATCGAGGAACTGCACTTCGATCCAGGACAAGCCAGATTGCGACTGGAGGCTGGTCATCTTCTTCTCGGTCTTGAGATAAAGGTCCTTATCCAGCTTGGCGGATTGCTCGTGGTTGGCATATCGATTGTAATAATGCAAATAACGCTCCAGCGACGCACGCGATTTGGCCTGTGCACCCCGGGCATCGGTGCCTGACCGTTCCTCGAACCGGTTGCAGTTGTACCAGCTGGTGCCGTGCTCAGACCAGAGACCCATACACATCCAGCAGAATTCATGCTTGCATTTGCGACACGTCATGTGGTTGCAGCCACCATTTTTCTCGATCGTAGACTGACACTTCGGACATTCCTTAGTGTTAGCCGATATCCAGTTTGCAGTTTCTGAGTCGTCCTCGCATTTTTGTAGCCACATCTTCACCAGCGCGCAGGGGGCAGGTTGATGATCGGCGAGTGAACACCCGAAACAGAACTCATACTTGCACGCGCAACGGACTGTGGGCACGACTCGACGAAGATCGCGAGGTTTGATGCCGCAGTCTGCTGCGTAGATGCAGTTTGGGGCTGGGCACCAGCGAAGGTTATCCTTATCATCGACATAAGTCCGCATAAGGAGTTCCCGATAGCTATGAAATGGAAAAAAAAAACGGTCAGCGCCATCCTGTCACCTTCGAGGGGTTTTACGCGTGGTGGTACATACCGGCCCTTCAGGTCGTCGGTCACGAGTAGGTCGAGAGACTTCGAATCGACAATGCGGTTGCAGTTGCTACCAGGGCACTGGATACGGGCAGCCTCGCCCTCTTCTTTGATCTTCTGCATCAGGTATTGCCGATAGCAGTCGACGCAGTAGCGATGCCCGCAACGCATGGCATAAGTCTCTAACCCCGGGCCCTCGTCGCAGCAGATGTCGCAAGTGAAGTCATCCAAGACTTCAGTTTTCGCAGTACCCTCAAAATTGGTTCCGAGCCCTGCTCCTTCGAGCAAATCTTCTGGATGCTCCATATATCCTTCGATCAACTTCTCTTTGTTCCATCGTCCGTATCGTAGTAAGATAGCCGCCGACTCTGGAGGAAGCCCAAGGATGGCGGAAACCTCTTTAACCTGAACGAGCTGTTCTCGTTCGATTTCCGCAGGAGAAAGAACTTTGAATTCGACTTCGTATGGCTTACGTTTTTGTTTGAGCAGATCTTTGTCGTCAGAAAACCCCGTATCTAGATCATCTCCGAAGTCTGACAGCGCGAAAAAGTCAGCTGGGAACATAAAGAAGCCAGGTCCGCGATATGCAAGACCTGAGCCCCATAGATGAGCAGATACTCACCGTCTAAGCTTTCATCATCACTGCCTTGGGTCCCGAGGAAATCCTCGTCCGGACTGAGACACATCGCTGAGGAAGTCGTCATCAGAGTCCATGCTGGGTGTCGTTGTCGCAGGCGTGGCGACCTCTCTCTCTTTCGGGCCTGTAGAGATCCCCGAGTCGATCGGCTTGATAGACGCGATAGGATCCGGGATCGGAGGGACGGCTTTTCGAGGGCGCTGAGATAAGGTGGCGGGTTCGGGCGAGGCAGCCTTGGTGGCGGATTTGGGGAGAGGCCTGGTTTCGTCCGCAATCGCCGCCTCGGCCGCCTTTCTCTTCCGCGTGGAGGGAGGCGTGGTGACGAAGTAGTACGGCAGAGACGCCGGGATCTGAGAGGGGGGGGGAAGGGTATTAAATGAAGTTTAGTCCTATGGGGATGGGCGAGCCACAACGTCACAGGGAAAATTCCCGCGAGGGTCGGAGGGGGCGGAGTGGGGAAGGGGCCTTGCAATCGGGAACGAAACGTTATACGCGTTTCCGCACCAGCACACCCAAAGTGATAGGGAGCATTTGAAGTGGAAAAAAAGGTCGAGAAAAGTGAGCCTCAACTGATTCGATGGGTCCCGAGGTCATGCTACGCTTGATCAGCTGGACGACCCACGCTATCTTGGTGGGTTCTGGTGCAGGGCTGACTCACGCCACAAATCACGCTAGTCATTGGGGGGGATATGATGCATCTAGGCGCCGCGATGAGTTTTATTGGAATGGATGATGCGTTTACTCTTTTTGAGGATGGAGATTGTCTTCCCCGTGACTCTCTACAAGTAATTCTCCCCCACAGGAAAGGCAGTGATCGTCAAGCTAGTTATCACCTTATCGTACAAAGGGACCTGGGAAGACTGGTGGTACACATAGTAGATCATCATGTCCAGCCCAACGCTTACTGTAGAATGTGTGAGGGGCCAAGTTTCATTATTCCAAGCCTGTCCACTAGATATGTAATCTCTTTATTCTTGACTTTACTCATCGTCGCTATCCTCCTCCTCGCTGCTCTCTTCTTCCGCATTAGCCAGCCAATCCACAAACTGCTGGGCCTGGCTGCGCACAGTGCGCATCTCCTCTGTGCTGCTGGAGGCCTCAGAGTCCCACCATTGTTCATAGGCTTCCTCATCAACGAGTTCCAGTTCATAGAGCTCCTTGGCAATGAAAAGCAAAATGGTGTCACCCTTGGTGCGGTGCACCAAGTCTTGCTGCAATTGGAGCAGGAGATCTACTTGATCCTTCTTCTCGTCCTTGTTGCGGTCGAACAGCGTTCGGTCAATGACCTCTCGGTATCTGGAGAAGACTTCGTGCACCGCATTGCTAGCACCCTTGCCACCATCCATGAGCTGCTGGATGTGCTTCATGAACGAAGCCACAATCGCACGCCGCACTTGGACATCGGAGGCATTGGCTGTCATGCGAAGACTGACAAGCTCCAGTTGAACCACATCCGCCGATACTCCATCACGCAGACTATCGTAGAGACTGGCCGATGCATCGTTGTGGAAACTGTCCTGGCCCTCGTCCTCACCCTCGGAGAAACTACTGCGTCCAGACCCTGCCCAGGAGCCTTCCGAGATCTCAGAAGACAATGTCGATATCGACGCAGATGAAAGTGAGAGGTCAGGAAGGCGATAGACAAGGCCTGATGAGGCAACGCTGATATCGTCTTCATCTTCATCCTCGTCGTCTGCTCCCTGAATATACTCGTGACCCAGACCCTCAGCACCGACGACCTCAGGATCGCTTGGCGCGACGCCTCCGTCCCGTCGTGACTTGGTAATACGTTTTCCACTCTCGACTTTCACGTTGTCGGCGATCCTGACGCCGAAGGACAACAGAGCACCCGCTTCCACAGTGCAGTTCTTGCCCAAAACCACATCGTCCGCAATGATAGCGCCGCGGATATCGGCATTCTCTCCAATAACCACATTATCCCAGACGTAAGCTCCATCTAACTTGACGTTCTTTCCAATCTTACAGTTCCGGCCCAGAACGGTATTGTGGACCGTTGTTCGGTCTCCGATGCTGGTACCCTTGCCAATAACTGTACGGCGACCTACCACGCAGGACCGTGCCAATGTGACGCCCTTCTCCTGGTATAAGCTACCCTTGCGAAGATCAAAGGTGTGTCCAGGCAGAAGATTAGTATCCGGGCAGAGCGGGTAGGTCCAGCGGGAGATGATGTCTTTGGTAATAGCATCGTAGGCCTTCAGGTTGCGGACTCGAGCGGCGTAGTCCTCCTTGATGATGTGTGTGTGGATGGTCTTGCCGTTCAGTTCGTAATCCTTCAGGACGCCGAAGAGGTAGTGCTTGCGAGGCGATTGGTAGTCAAAGCTGTCAGACCATAGACTCAGCACATCTGGAGTGCAGATATCGATGCTGCAGTCGATCAGATCTTGGCGAATATCTAGTTCTGGATGGGTGAGGATGATTTCAGCATCGATGTTTAAACGAGCCGGCCGCTCGGCTGAGTGGTGGTCGATCTCTTCGTAGTGGAGGCATCGATCCTTGGTGGGATCAATGACGAACACGGGAGAGACGGACGAGGATTTGGTGCGGTGATTTCGGCCAGCCTCGCGTAGAACCATTGTCATAATGGCGTTTTTATCGGCTGCTCGGCGAGAGCGGTGCTTCGTTAAAGCAGCCTCGATGGGGAGATTGCTGATGACATCTCCGCTCACGACGATGAAGTCGCCCGTGATGAGATGCTTGCCATCCAGGTCACGCATGACATCGCCGACGGAGGTGGAGTTTGATTTGAGGAAGGTCAACTGCTTGAATGGGGATGACGGAGCCCGCCATTTTGAGGCACTATATATTGTGTTGATTAGATCCCCTTGTAGCCACACCTAGTCTTGTTCGGGGAGTGGTTTGGCGTACTTGATATATTTCTCCAACTGGTCTGAGTGGGCTCCTGCATAGAGAAAAGACATCTTCTACACCAGCATTGGCCAAGAACTCCAAAGTGTATTCGATTATCGGGGTGTTGGCTAGCGGTAATAGACACTTGTCACAAACCAAGTCAGTCTCCGTTCTGCTCATCAAAGTACTTGCAAATGCGAAATCGCACATACCCGTGGCTTGTCGAGCGTAAATGGTTCAAACCGAGCTTCGAATGTATCAGCCAAGACCTATCAATCAACTTGTGTCAGCTAATCGGCTGTATTATATTGTCCAGCGTAATTGAGAACGGCCTGACAAAAGAGTCACCCTCTCCTCGAGAACTAAAGCACGTACCACAGCCTGCAGCGTCTCCTCCACTTCCTCTGTCGCATTCGACTTAGGCTTTGCGCCTCCGCCCTTTTGTTTAGCGCCCATCGCGAGCGGCTCTGGCAGATGTTGATCGGTGGTTCGTTATTCGTGTGAGTGGTTAAATTGGGATAATGCGCGTGTTGTGGCTTTGAACATAGCCTCCGGGGAGGATCGTACGTGGAGCGAAGTCAGACCCACAGAGACAGATATGGCCTATACGAATAGGCTTATGTCCCTCCTGGCTCAAGTTGAATCGCACGATCTATCCAAAGAAACACGACAAAAAAACCCCGCCAAGCCTCGGTGACTCCCACTTGGTGTTTGCACCGTTTGGAATCTGAGATGAGGTAACGTGATCCGTGGCTTTGTGGCGCAGATCCACGCGCCACACACGTTGTGTAGCAGCAGGAACAATGTGAAGGCACCAGAATATACATTTGACGACAAGAACGACACTTTCACTAATTCAACTGTACTACTCAATTTTAGATGCAAGATAGGTATTCCCGGATTGCCCGCCAAGGGCCTCAGAAATGAAGAATGCCTCCTATGTAGTACCCTGAAGGACGGCCGTCAGTAATACCTAATATCAACAGCCAATTGAAACTCCCATCATGCCAATGTAACTCGTGGCAATTCCGACAAGGTAATAGAGCTACCGAAGGGGGGCGGCGCGGGGGCCTATTGAAGTTTGACCGTTCTTTCGTGAACTGAATAGCCTTTACCGAAGGAAGCGGAATACAAATAAGTAAGTTTCCGGCTTCTGCAGTGTAGTTATCTAGTAGTAAGTTACCACGTCACCCTTCAAGTTCAAGTTGACCTCAAAATTCATAAGAAGAAACATCAAACGCTCCCAAGGATGTCGAGACCAGAATGGATCTTCGCGAATTCAAGAACTTCTAATATGACGAGATATTCTTAAATTGATGATTCTCGAGGATAGCGCAAACTCAGTACTATTTTTTCTCGAGATTTCCAAGGTTGCATCCCGATTTCGATAAGACTACGCCTGGGTTGCACAGAACAAGAGCCACAGGGCGAAGAAAGCAGATGTAAAGATAGAGCCAACAAGAGTCCAGACAATTGAAATTAGTTACTGTCGTTTAGATTATGAAACACATCTACCCAAGCCCCGGCATTCCTCCTCCCATCGCCTCTCCTCAACAACGTCAAATCTAGTATCAAGATACGCGCGATGCATGCTGTACTGACACGGCTCAAATGGAGCTATAATATCAGTTATAATTAGAGTATGCCATCAATGTCTCACCAGAACGCCTGACGTAAACGATTACTTTGCTTCCGAGGTCAGCATATGTTCTCGAGACCGTCGGATGATGAAATGACTATATTTGGAAGCATGACATGCACCTTTGCCACAACATCATTTACTACGAACCCACAGGCTAGTATCCAACTGGCATATCTGGGTAGCACCCAACCTATGATGATATTTCTGATTAGCCATCCTACAAGGGTTAGTATCACCAGTATGCTCCAAAAGGTAACCCTATTCGACCCGCCGTCGTAAGCGATACTGGTAACAGTAGCAAATCTTCATGCACGCTACCCCATACATGCATTAGACCAAACTTGGGTCCAGTCAGACTCTAAAATGACATACATAGCGCTTCTAAATCCAGAACAAAACTCAATGCCCCTGCATGACACAGCTCATTATCTAATGGACCAAAGGGGAGGGAACGCGGCCCCACCACGTCCAGCCTGCTCGATCCTGGTAAATCCCCGAGGGCCCAGGCCCTTTTGGAACGCCAGGATTATCACCTTTGTATTTAGAAGAGACGGTCTAGACTCCTAGCCAGCTCTGACGATCGCACGTTCGTCCGCATATCCTCCGTGCGTGGGTGGAGATCGCTGCGGTCTCCGCTGATCGTCTTTGGGGTCAGACTACTCTGCGTCAGGGCTTTGATTTTGATTCGGTGGGTTTCTCTTCGCGGCATTATTCTATTGCCCTGAAACGAGGGGGGAGGCTGTGAGCTACGCGACAGGGGTCTAGTGAATGACTGGAGCTATGGATTTCGATCGGTGATGAGTGAAAACTTGGACTTTTTTCTCTGTTCCCTACATGCCACCCGACTTTTCCTCATTCTATCCAAGGAACTCCATGTGGATCCCTTCCTAGCCAATTTGACTGGTAAATAATCGAAGAAGTAAGGGTAAAACAGAGGCCGCGAAAGGAAGGTATGTTGTGGAGGTATGTACCAATTGAATTGCCATAAACACAAATCCTAAACCCCATGTGTGAATATGTATTGAAACCCAGGGTGGATAATAAAAAAACAAATGCCGCAAGGTCCGCAGCAGTCCGCCACCAAAGTTGAGATCCCTTCAGTAACGCCTGGCCTGTTAGAAAAGAAAAGGAAAGTAAAACAGAAAACGGTGTCCAATCCAAAGGATACCCGGGACGAAAATTACCCGGCAAGCGACAGCAATGTACGATTGAGATACCTCATTATAGACAGTGGGAATCGTTAAGTAAATGGACAGTCGAAAGAGGGATAAATAAGAATATAGATGATGGAGTATCGGAATAGCGTAAATCCCCCAACTAGATTCAGACAGGTCGGCCAGCCTGGACTGCCATCATTGGTTGAGGTTGAGTGTACATGCGTTGCCGTTTCGCCATGTTTTGATTTTCACCGACGCTAGACATTTCTGAGAGCTGTCGTCGATGAGGAGGGCGCGCTGGTGGGCCGGTAGAAGGTACAGCGACTGCCGGGGCAGGGAACTGAACACCGTTCTGGTCCACCGCATACGCTGGGGCGCCTGGTGGAGCTGCGACATATTGCCCTTGGACGGGCGTCATGCTTGGCTGGACGGGGGCCATGCCCTGGAACTGCCCAGGTGATTGCCAGGCCATGGAGCCAGCGGGTGATTGGCCGGGTGAGCTGTCTTCTTTAATCGATTGTGTTGCTGACGTTTGGGGTGCCATCGTAACCGGAACGGGGGGCGGCGGTGCCTCTATTCCGGGGGGCACAGACTTGAGATGTGCTAAGTGCTGCTCAAGCATGTCGAGTAAGCTCTTCCGAGTGAAAGGTTTGGGGAGAACACCATTCATTCCTGTCATGTGTTAGTCGCTTTGCTTTCTTTCAGGAACCCACGAATGACCATACCATGTTGGTAGTAAAGTTGAATGTCGTCACTTCGGATGTTAGATGTCATAGCAATGATGGGGGTTTGATCAAATTGGCGGATAAGATGGCACGCTGATACACCATCCAAGTTCGGCATGATAATGTCCATGAGAATCAAATCGTAATTCGAGCCGTCTTGCATCTTGTTGACAGCCTCTAATCCATCGAACTGTTGATAAAAATCAGCGAAGGTCGCATACGCAGATGGGACTGGTCCAGACTCACCGCTGTGTCAATAACGCATGAGAAAGAGAATAGAAATTTCCCACCAATCTGTCGACACGTGGAATCATCCTCAACTAATAAGATACGAGGATTGCGAACCCAGCCAGGATCGATGTTTGTACTCTTCTTCCGGTTGTCCGATTGTTGACGGCGTGCCTCCGCAGCGTCGCCCTCGGTCTTGGTAGGCATAGGATATGGCACGTTGTTGACATGCTCGCTGTACATAGGGTCGATGCCGTTCGTAGCGCCCACCGGGTAAACGACTTGTTCCAAGTCGCTACCCATTTTAGGATAGACCAGAGCAGCGTTTGGAGGCGCAGTAGTTGCAGATCGCATCGAACCATTGCGAGACGCTGCATCCATTGTCGGGGTCGCTACGGGGGCTGCGCCAGCTCTTTGCGGATCGCTGGCTGGGTCCATACCGGGAAGGTTGAATTGAATCTCAGCATTCATGTCGCTCAACAATTTCGAGGCCTGCTGTAACGGAGAGGACGAAGGCTCGTCGTCCCCACCTCCCGGCGGGAGGGGACTCATGGTTGAGCCACCTTGTGCAGGGAAAGAAACCGAGGACTTGCTCTCCCGTTTTTGGCGCGCATCCACGGAAAGTAGGTAGCTCATTACTTGGTGGATGACATTTTCGTGGTTCACAACCGTCTTTTGTACGCGCATGACTTCCTGCAACATGAGTTGATGATCCACTGTGAGCTGAGCATAGCGGTCGGAGAGGTGCTGGATTTGTTGTTGCTGGGCCAAGATCTGTTGATTGAGCAGGTCGATCTGTTGAGTCGGAACTGATTCCTCCGTCGTTTGGGCTTGTTTTCGAGGGGCGGGGGCTTTCCTCCGAATGTTATCAAGTGAATCTTTGCTGTTTGCACGGAACTCTGGGTGTTTGAATTCCCAGGCCTGGCGGTACATGAGTCAGTAACAGGCCTGTAACGAGAGTTTCTCCAAGTCGCCTTACATTTTGACCGTACGGGGATTGACCGCTCTCTTCGTTATTTTGTCGGACTTTATGAAAGTCGTATTTATTGAGCTGGCGCACGAAGCTGGCGAAGTTGCTGTGCTTGAAGTGCTTCGGCAGGATCGTCTTTGTAAATTTTTCGCACTGGAATTGGGCGTCAACGAGGTGCGCCCGAGTCAAGGGCAGGAACGAATTACCTCTAGCACCACAAAACTGTCTCCTTCATCACCCCAGCGCACAATGGACGCGTACGAGGGGTCCTCCAGCATCCTGTCGCGTCTTGTTAGATCGGGCTCATGTGGGCGGCATGGAAGGGGGTGTCCGGGATGGGAGAAATGGACAGTGAAGAGAGGGCAGGGTCGAGGAGATCAACAGGACTCACTTGTATAGTTTGCGCACCTACAGCGACGAGTTAGCACTGGAAATACAACTTGTGTATCGCGAGACTCACGAAATCGCTGGAGTTGCCCGCGGGGGCGGCGCTCGCAGAGGTCTGGCCTGGGCCATCCATGGGGGGCTAACCGGGTCGCGACCGGTCGAACGAACAGCGGGCAGAACCCAGGGCAAATATGGATATATGAGGGATACCAGATAGAAAAGCAGGGCACAAATGGCTAGCAGCCTTGTCAGCTTCAAAAAAAAGAAAAGAATGACAAAAAGAAGTAAACCACCAGTCAGAGAGTGGGAGAAAAAAAGAGGAAGAGAAACGGGCAGTTCCTAAGTTCGGGCGGTCGACCGAAGGCCAAAGTTACTGCGCAGGTACGGTGTGGTACCTCCGTTACCAGCGTGTTTGGCTGGCACACCCAGGTACCCCGCCGCGGCCGTATGCCTTTGGCTCTGTATTACTATTTCTACCATTCTATATTTCTCCCATTATTGTCATATGGGCCTATCTCTTATGGCTCTCTTCTTCTTATCTTCTGCCTGCGCTTACGAGGCGCATTCTAGGTCCAGGTCGTGGGTAGTCCCACGCAAGGGTATCGCACTCCAGGCTTAGACAATGATCTTAGCGTGTCTGAGGCCGATCGCCTCGATAGGATCTGCCTCTTTATTCCCTGCCAGAATGCAGAACAGCCGTCCTAGATCGGACTCGACCCCCTCCTAAATTAATTTTATGACGGACGTATGCAGTGGACGTCAGTGCGCACGAGATGGAGGGGAGGGGAACGTGCGGCTTCTTTGGAGGGAGGTGGTGATAAGGCACTAGTATACTCCTCTCCTGTAATTTTCAGGCTTTCAAAGACAGTTTAGGTTCGTTACTATTTTGGCCCTTAAACCCCATTGTTTGACTTGGTAACGAAGGTTCCCAATTTTCAAGGGGAATCATGACCAGTCCGACTATGGCCACTGCTCCACCCGCCCTCATTTCTTCGGGACCAAAGAAAGGAAAGACCCTGAGAACAGTGGACCCGGGCTTTCACCGTGTCCACGTTCACGCGAATTGTTAGGGTGGGTAACGAGAGGTGATTCGTGGCAAGGCCCTAGTCGATAAAATCCAGCGGTTGGGGGTCCCGGGAGTGTCGGGGATTCCTGTAGGGGCCGCTCATTTGTTCTCCGATCTTTCATGCGCTTCAGAATGCTCAAATGCCCGCGACCGGGCCAGGACAGATGGCCTAAGCGCATGGGTTGTTGATGCTGGGAGATCCGAGTCCATGACCTGCAGCTCCAAAGGCACCAAGAATGCAGAGCTTCTCAACGCCCATGCAGGGCGTCCACACCCCCTGTTCTAGGCCGCTCTGCCTACCGCTGCGGTACCAAACGTCATGAGACGCTGTCAAAGTACCTTGTTGAAAGCCTATCCCGGTATATGCAAAAGGTCTGGGATGTATGGCAAGGTATTCATGTGGTACCCGTGGAGTATATACGCCCTCCCACCAGTAGCAATCCCCCTGGCGCCTCTGGATTACTCAGTTCCTCCCCGGTGACGGTGACGCGCCCTACTAGTCCAGGCTGTGCCGCCAAATTATCCTCGCAATAAGCAAAAATATACTTGATGTATCTAAAGTTATCGGGCCATCCGATTAGCGGCCAGATCGACGGGACCAATCGAATAACATGGGGTATTTTTTTATGCGGCCCAAGCCAAAATGAAGATCGACATCAACGGTTGCCATCTCTGGCTATGACGAAATCGCCTGAGCTACCCCCAACATCAACATCGTAGCTTCTCCCTCTCTCTCTCTCTCTCTCTTGCCTCATCGTGTGCCGAATCCTCCCGATCCACCAGCCAAGATGTTTGCCGCTCGTCGTGTCGCTACCAATCTGCCCCGTGTGCGGGTTCAGACTGCCCTCTTCCACAACACGGCACCCGCCTTTGTTCAAAAGGGCGATGCCATCCCCGACCTGAACGTGCTAGTCGAGAATTCCCCCGGCAACAAGGTCAACCTCGCCAATGAGCTTAAGGGCAAGGGCATCATTGTTGGTGTGCCTGCTGCTTTCAGTATGTGGCTTCATAATTCATTGGTGCTGGAACCGAAATGTTGATTGTTTTAACAGGCCCCGCCTGCTCCAGCTCCCACGTTCCTGGCTTCATAAACCACCCCAAGCTGAAGGATGCGGGCAAGGTTTTTGTAGTTGCTGTCAACGACCCCTTTGTGTAAGAAATCGCACAATTTGAGCCCCGGAAATCGCCGACATGCTAATCGCTCAATTGCAGCACCAAGGCCTGGGCCGACTCTCTCGACCCTGATGGCAAGAGCGGCGTACGTATCCAGTTTGGATAGAAAATTTTCACTCAATGTGCGTATATGACTGACTTCGAGTCTACAGATCCGCTTTTTGGGTGACCCAACCGGTCAGTTCACCGAGGCCCTGGACCTGAGCTTCGATAGCACGGCCATCTTCGGAAACAAACGTAGTAAGCGCTATGCCTTGCTGGTTGAGGACGGCAAGGTGAAGGAAGCTTTCGTCGAACCCGACAATGCAGGTCTTAACGGTATGTGTAGCCTTTCTTTCTCCCTCCGACGCCGTGCTTTCGACAAAAGCTAATGTGGGTGAATAGTCTCGGCGGCCGAAAAGGTGCTCGCTTAAGGAAAGCACCTACTAAGGATTCCTATTGCACAGACAATCGAAAGCCGGTAATGTATGACCATAGAATAGTGCCAATTTATCTTTGATCTCAGGGATTGCCTATCTACATTTATTTATTCCCTGCCTGTCAGATCTCAGGCCCGTCGCTTAAGAAATCCACCTCCTCGTACTAGTCGCCTAGTCATGATGCCATGGATTTCTCTGCATCTTATTCATTGTAAAGCGAGCCTTGGAACTCAATCGTAGAAGCTATGTTAATAGTCAATTTCATGGTTGCCTTAAAAGGTTGGACGGTCTGACGCGGCCTCTCGCCACCAGTTGTGGCGAGGTTTACTTTAGACATGCCGTTCTGTAACGACTTCGAGAGCACCCAACGCCTGTCGCTACCGCCAATGGGGGCACTTGGGGCTTTCTTAAAGGGGGTGTGACTCCCCATTGTTCTGACCCTTATATTGCACATAGTGACTGTAGAAAACCCCTGGTAAATCCGGGGTGCAGGATAGTCAGGACTCGGCGCATGTACATACCGATGTATCCGGAGAACAAATTCATCGCGATATTGTTGATTGCTTCGATTGCTCCCATTCTGATTCCAGAGAGAAAGCGAAGACGTAGAGGGACAATCCATTCCGGGTTAGGAAAGGGTCCAGTGTTAGCTCCCACTCGGAGTTATGGCAAGCAAAGGTTTACCCGCTTCGTCATTGCCAAGGCTACGTCTCCCGTTCCAGCCACAGTCCCCTCTCTCTCCCTTCACTTCCTGCCTATTAGTGTGTTATTCTGATTCCGCATTACTTTGTTCTCCTCTGATCAAAGGATTCGTCCTTCGAACATCGCCCGACCACTCCGCTTTGGGCCGTTACCCCCAACCCGTGAGACCGGGCTGTGAGAGCTTGGCAAGACAGGCCACCACGTCACATCGCCGCACTCCGCCCCCCCCCCCCCAAACTCTCAGTCGATCGCCTCTCACCTTGCGACTCGTTTGCTCTTCTCTTCGTTGCGCTCGTCGCGTCATTACCGTCGACATGTCTAAGGTTGTGCGCAGCGTCAAGAACGTCACAAAGGGATACTCCTCGGTGCAGGTCAAGGTTCGAAATGGTATGTGGCCTTCTGTGAGAGCGCCGCTCACAGCGAGCGATCCCTCTCATGCCTAATCGCGATCCTGGGATCGCGGTTCCCCGCAAGTCGTTGAATGGCACCTCCTTGCGTGGAACCCCGCGGGCGCGGGTACCCGGGGGTGGCCTCATTCGTACGGACTTCCATTATCTGAAAGATGCTAAACGGCTTTCTCTCGCAGCTACCAGCAACGATCCATGGGGCCCGACGGGCACTGATATGTCCGAAATTGCCGCTATGACTTTCGGAAGGTAAGGGTTGATCCGTTCTCCATCATTCAACACAATGCCTAATATCATCTTTCTACAGCCCGAATGAATTCTACGAGATCATGGACATGATCGACAAGCGACTCAATGACAAGGGAAAGAACTGGCGACACGTTCTGAAGTCGTTAAAGGTCTTAGACTACTGTCTCCACGAGGGCTCAGAATTGGTGGTGACTTGGGCGCGAAAGAATGTCTACATCATCAAGACCTTGCGCGAATTCCAATACATCGATGAAGAAGGACGGGATGTTGGCCAGAATGTGCGCGTTGCGGCGAAGGAATTGACTGCGTTGATTCTGGATGAGGATCGTCTTCGGAGCGAACGATCCGATCGCAAGCTTTGGAAGACTCGAGTGCATGGTCTGGACGAAGGCCATGGCGGCGGATACGGTGGGGGCTACGGAAACGAGCCTCCTCCTCGCCGACGACACGCACCCCAGGGTGACGAGGACGACACCGAGTACCGACTAGCCATTGAGGCTAGCAAGGCTGAAGCTGAGGAGGAGCGCCGACGTCGGGCCAAGAAAGAGACCGACGTCGATGATGCAGATCTTGCCAAGGCCATCAAGCTGAGTCGGGAGGAAGAAGAGTTGCGGAGACGCGAGTTAGAAGAAAGCAACGCCCATGCGCTCTTTGACGATACACCTGCTGAAGTTCAGCCGACTGGTTTCAACCAGGGCTATCAGCAGCAGGGTGCCGTCGACTGGTTTGGCAACCCGATCCACGCTCAGCAGCCAATGACGACCGGTTTCCTAAACAATCAATACGCCCAACCCACTGGATTCCAGCCCCAGGCTACGGGCATGAATCCCTACCAAAATGGTTTCCAACAGCCTTCTGCCTTCGACCAAAACCCTTACGGCCAGCCTCAAGGAGGACTCCATCCTCAACAAGCCGCTTTCAGCACGAACAACCCATACGGCGCAAACGATGCCTTCGCCCAGCAAGGCCAGCAACAACCTCAGCAACAGCCCCATGAAAATTACCAGTCCGCTGGAAGCAACAACCCATGGTCTTCGAACCAGCCGGCCGCTGCGATTAAACCCATGCCCACTGGCTCCAACAACCCATTTGCCCAGCGTACCCAATCTCATTTCACCGCTCCGCCAAAGACAGGCCCACCATCTCTTAACACCCTGGCAGAGGACCGCGCAACAAATCAATTCAACAACCAATACAGTCAGACTTCCAGCCAATTCTCCCAAGCGAACCAGCACCAATTTAGCCAACCCAGCCAGCCAAATCCCATTGCCAACTTCCAGCCTCCTCAGCCCCCAAAGAGCACCCCACCTCAGACATCAGACCCTCACCATGCTCGCTTGAACGCACTTCTTGCTTCCGGAGAGGGCCAAGATACCTTTGGAAACGTCGGAGAGCTCCGTATTCCAGCCCAGCACACTGCCCCAGGTACTTTCGTCAACTCCGCCGGTCAGGGTCTGGACCGTCTCCATGCTGCCCACACGGGCAACAACCCCTTCTTCACTCAGCAGTACACTGGGGTGCCCCAGCAGACTGGCTTCGTTCAGCAGCACCAGCACCCCGCCAACAACCCCTGGGGAGCGTCCCAGCAGCAGCAACAGAATGGCGGCAGCTTGATCGATCTGTAGTCATATCTCCTTGATCACTCCTCTCAAATGAAATCATCTCCCGATCATTCCTGGCAGCTCTTATGAATCCGGGCTCCTCAAATTCATGTCTCCCCCATCTGCTTACTCCTACACCCAAGGCTGGGCTCGTGACTTTCCAATTCTCTGCTGTGATATTCCTTCTCTCTTCTCTCAGAGGCCCCCCTGGTCATTTCCCCCCCTCCCACCAACCTCCATTCTCATATTAGGACAGCAAGACAAGTTGTGCTGGGAAAGTCAAGTCGCTAGATTACGAGCAAAGCATTCTGCATATATTCAAGGCTTTTCTCATTCTTCTTGTCCTATCCTGTCTTTGGGTCATGATAGACCTTATTCTTTGTCATTCCCTTTCTTTTGCGATCCCGTGCTCTGCTTTTCATTTGTTTCAACCTCTTTTGTCGTTAGGATATCCTTCTCACTTACAAAGGTCTCGAGATTTCTTTTCTGAACATAATTGTAGATCCTGACCGTATCTTCCTGAGTAAACCGTGGATAGTCAAGTTCGTGAAACAAGCATGTTTTGGTAGGTTCTCAAGAGATCCACGAATCACAGCACAAGCTTTGGGAGGCTATTCCGCTTTGGGAAGAGAAGTTGGGCTGCGGGCCAATCATATGCTCCATAGAACTAGACCTCGAGAACCATATTCACTGAAGCTGGCATTCACCAGAGCTGGTATTCACTACAGTCAGGGAGGAGGGAGGGAGCATATAAAGCATAGTCTTGCTCGAGGGAGATCCTCAATTGTTCTTTTCCAAAGCTCAGCAAAGAAGCTGTTTTTACTGCGTAACTTCAGATGGCTTCCTCGATTTTCAACAAGGTGGCTCTAGGCTGGAGCGCGCCTGCTCGACGCCTACCGCCTCCTGGTCTTTCGACATATGAAGGCCAGTACATCAACTCTTTCCTTTCCAGCAAGGACTGGGATTCGATGATGGACAGCCCAGCAGACCCTGTCATCATGAAACGGTAAGCATGAATCATCCCAAACATGTCCTCTGGCCTGAAGCTCAATGATCCCAGCTTCCAGCAGATTGAGGACGAGCTGGCCCTCATCCACGTCCAGGCCTCCCAAAACAGCCTGGTCTTCACCTCAGACATCAAAGATCTGAAGGAGAAGCTGCACTCCACCGAGCTGAAGCTCCAGGCTGCCGAGAACAAGCTCGAAGCTACTGAGAAGGAGCTGGAGAAGGCCCGCCACCAGCTTGGCCATCACGACCTCTCTTTCGAGATGGTGCTCGACCTTCGCGAGATCATCTTCTCGACCGCCCTGCGCCTCCACTCCGCGAGTCTCCATCTCAACACCAACAAGTTCCTGCTCTACCAGGGGGCTGTGAAGCCCGTGCAAGCTCCCTCCTCGCTCAAGGGTGGCTATGCGGCTATGGATGCTATCCTCATTCTGGAACGTCAGCATATTGACTGGCTGGTTCCATTCATGCGGATCTACGGAGTCGACGCGTCAGTCGTCAAGGAGATAGGTGAGTGTTTCCTCCGCGATTCTGCTGAGTCGTTGCACTGTGTATGTCGAACGTAGAGTACTCACTTTGTTTCATATCTAGCCGAGGCCGGGCACGCTCGTATCCTACGCGTCTTGAATGCCGTTGGCACTTACCGCCTTGCTGGAAAGCTGGAGCTCGACGAAGGCGAGAAGGAGGTCTTCGAGGAGATGGTCCACATGATTGATTTCAAGCGCATGGAGGCGGCTTCGGACCTGAGTCGCCAGTTCCCTTTCAAGAAGCTGGCCTTCTCCATGGATGGAATGGAGTAAAGTGGGAAGAGGCGGTTATTGCGTAGGTGGATTTAGGGAGACAGGCCGAACCTGCGTGTCTCGGACAGCATGTACCAACACTTCATAGTGGCGGTTTTCGGAACTATTTCGGCTTAACTGTACCCAAACCCCATACATGGGGGCCGGAAGCGGCAAGGAAAGAAAATGATCTATTTCGAGCTCTTGATAAGGCGCACCTTTGTGATAAAATACTGAATTAGCAAGAATGATCTTGAAAGCTATCAAAGACCTTTGTAGACCGTACTGGGTCTACTTTCGGACCTCAATCCTGTTTCTGTGGACCTATTCCCTATAGCTACCTGCTGTATTAATTTTATCTGGAGACATTTTGTCATCACTAGAGCTGACATTCGCTGCGTACGTGAAGGAGGTGGAGGCATCTGAACACTTCTCCGGCCGAGGACGGTCCTCAGCTTTACTTCGACGATGCCAAGGTTTCGCTGAACTCGTCTCTGAGCGGAAGAGTGCCCTTCTGCAAACCAATTACGCCATTTGGGGAGGTGAAGAGCCCCAGAGTACCCCATTGGCGATTTGCATGCCATGGAAGGCCTTTGGGACCTTGTCTCGGAGTGTCTGGGCTACGCTTCCGTTGATCCAAACAGAGTAGTGCGAGAGAAAATTCGGGAGAGTGATTATCATTAGAAATGCAACACGCTTTCCATGCTAAAGATAACCCCCTCGGAGAAGGCTCAAATAGGTGTAACGAGCAAGTCTGGTAAAAGAAAAGGTGGGAGCTCGCTGAGAACTACCATCTTCCCTCGAATTTTGAGTTAATAGAGCCCGTGTAGGATAACAGATCCTTCGCCTTTCCTCCTGCTGATTGACAAACGAAAGAAGATGGAAAAGTTGGATCTCCGCCCTTATAGACCGCCATCTCTGGATATTTGCAGAGGTTTCGCTTGGTCGTCCCATCTGACGTCGTCGCCGGGAGCACATCTGGCGCAACGCCCTTCTCTACCCACTCAACAACAGCCCCCAGAGGGTCATCAGGGTAGGGACCGGTTCCGCCCATGCAATGCTCCACGCCGGGGGCAAAAAATATCCGATAAAAGTCCTCAACCGCAGAATCACGGTGCCTGACTTGGTCGTAGTAATTAATGGTGCCCCCGGGAAGATGAGCTGGTCGGCTAAGCCGTGCCATGTCACGATCTTGCCACCGTTCTTTTTAAAAGCACTGAGATCTGCCTTGTTTGTGCCGATGATTCCATTGTACTCCTGGAACGCCTTCGAAAACAGGCCGAAGTAAGTCTCATTAGTGAGTGTTTGCAAATCAATGTGTGGATCTTGGAGGACCCATCGAGCGATCCAGTCCTCTGAGATGCTGAACGGGCTGCCAGTGCAGTTCGTCAAGCCAGAAGAGCAAGATGTGTTAGTGAGACCCGAAAATGGCGCCCCAGGATTGAGACCCCACCATAGATTCTGTCCATCGGGCGTTCGGACTCCTTCCCATAACTTCTGGGCAATGAAAGCGTCCTTGGCAGTGATAGGGACCGTGGACCCGACGCAGTTTGCCTTGAGCCCGATCAATACATGCGGGTCGAACATGCATCTTCCGGGCTCGCTAATGAAGCTCTCGTTTCTCGATGAACAAGCTTCCACGGCTGCAGCTGTGATAGTATCTAACACGCACTGCGGAGGATAGTGATCCAGCCGATTCATGATAAGCTGACTCCAGTACTCCGCAACAATGAAGACGGGCCAATTGATCGCGGGGGCCGCTGCATAAATTCCATCATAGGCCGTTGGGAATCGTTGCGCCATCATCATGCCCTGGCGACCTCCCGTGGAGCAGCCGCTCCAATACGAATGATGCGGGCCATGACCGTAGTATCGGTGAGTGATCTGCTTTCCGACAACAGCAAGGTCGTTCAGCGCCAAGTACGCGAAGTCGCGGAAAAGATGCATGTTCAGCTGGCCGTCGGGCAGGTTGGCCCACGCAGCTGATGTCCCTGAAACGGGCTCATGGCCGCCATCGGTGCAACCGGCCGCGTACCCATTCGCAACAGGGCTCAAGAGAGATGATATTCCGGAACTAGTGGCCCAGCCACCTCCGCCCACGCCTTGAAACCGGCCATTCCAGTTGTTTTGCGGCAGGTTGACGGAGATATGGATGGTATCGTTCCAGCCTGGGTGCGTATAAGTCACTGTGACATTGCAAAAACTGATTGTCGCATTATGGCCTGGTGTCTCTGCGATTTCCGCGGCGACTCCAATGACGGATCCGTTTCCTGGGAGGTCGATTGCCGAGGCTAGGAAGGAGGGCGAGCATGTACTCGATGCGGAACGATCGTCAGGCCTTCTTAGGCCCATACCGCCAATGCTGAGCACGGCGGTAAAGAGAGTTCCGAGCAGCATCATATATTTTAGAGCTCGAAATCAGTAGGTCCTGAGATAAGTTCGAGCTTGGTGGGAAAGAAGCGATTTATACTTTTCTGTTTCCTGGGCGACCCACCCGTGGACAGCCAACCCTTCCAAGGGAGGAGAAACTGACTCTGCTTAGAGATATTAGCACAAAAGTAGGTGGAGTGGTGATTTTTTTTTTTTTGACCTGGTTCTCTAGCAGTTAAGGCACTCTCTTCTATCCTCGAGGTCCATTGATCACGATGGATCTCCAAATACACTGGAACCTTGAATCATGTCAATTCCTGACCAAAGTGTATCAATTGGTCATCCGGAAAGCCCGGACCTGGTCTTGAGGTTTGCCATAATGCTATCAGCAAAATCGCAAAATCCCCTGCAAGTACCGATCACTTTTGCCGGACGCCCCTATGTCCTTGGCTCTGGCGGATTCGTGGGGTCGAACGCGGGGAAGTGCGGGGAGATCTCGAGTCCCCAACCGGAGCATCCTGTCTGACGAATTACCGAAGCTTACTCCCGGGAGAGCAGCTGCTTGGGTAAAAGCTGCCTGTGGTTTTCCCTGGGTCACAGTTTCTTGTCGCGAGTCCATGATCGCTCTTCTCACACCGCACTTTTCTGCCGCTTTGGACAGATGGACTAGACCCTATATGGGACGGGAGAATGTGAGATCAAGATCAAGTGAGACAAAATGAGGAGGAGTCTGTAGGGAGTTGTCTAGTTCTTGTTTGTAGTCTTGCATGCTCCCACAGGTGGCCATCTGCAGGTTTCCAATCGTCTGTGGTTCAAGCGTCTCTGTCTGAGATAGTCGGTGAGCGAATAACACAGCAGCTCACGCCTACCGTGTGAATACTATATGAGACTAGCATTTTTCGTGTGAACTGATGGAGCATTTTTCAGCCCCGGCTTGGTTACACACGGGTTTGGCTGCCATGGGACAGGTCTGTGTGTCTTCTTCCCATGTGTCGATCGCATGCGGTGTTGCTTGGGTCCGTTAGCGTTCTGCTGAATTGCCATTCTCGACCAATCAACTCAAAAATGAGTCTTCCAGGTGGGCACGAGCTCCCAAAGGTGCACGGATAATTATGGGTCTCCAAGATAGGAGGTCCAAACAAGATCCGGTAAGAGCAGGATCCAAGAGATGCATCTTCAGCTGAAGGATTTTATTCATTTATTGTCCCAATTGTCCGGACTAAAGTGGCATGGCGTCAGCCCGGCATGCTTATTGCTTGCTTGGCAAATGCCAGCAAGCCACCATTCCGCTTTTTAAGGCCCGTAAAAAGCAATATTCGATAGTTTGCTACCCCGCAAAAACAGGGGCCCAAGCCCCTCCTTTGGGCGATGAAATCACGCGGCTCAGCGAGACCACACATAGTTCGGGGTTCGGAGAAGGATCGCTCGATTCTCTGGATAGAAGGCTCTCCGCCAGGGTAAGGATCCCTATATCCCATAAGGCAGATGGAAGCGGGTATACTGTGTGCCTATCACATTGTACTTCCATTGGTATCTGGTCCCTCTCTGGAGGTTTACATGATAATAGCTGTAGCACAATAGTTTGTCTTTCCTTTTCCCTGGGGAATTAGACTGTGAGGCAACACATGATAGATTAGATCGTGAACCGGCAATTTCATGCAGCACTCGGAGACGCTAGCGGTCATGTTCCTTGGAAATCGACTCGGAGGAAGCCCCGTAGTCTCCCAATGCTACTCTATGTTCCTCGTTTCGACAACGGAGCGCGTGACAACCAAAGTACAATAATTAGAATAGCTAACTTGATTTGACCAGGAGAAATACCATCACGAGGTGTGGGCGGGGCTCACCAAGCTCCTTGCATTCCTTAAAGGCCCATGGCTTTGAAATACGGCCGCTTTCCCTCTTTTCACGGGCTGCCAAAAGCTCTGCTCATCAAGTGTGCTCCCACATGGCATCCTCTTCATTTCTCCGATGGGCTTTAGGCATTTTTGCCTTAGCCCAGCTGGCTGCTGCCGGCCCTTGCGACATCTACGCGGAGGGAGACACGCCATGTGTTGCGGCGCACAGCACGACTCGTGCTTTATTCGATGCCTATCTTGGTCCTTTATATCAAGTCTCGCGTGCTTCTGACAGCACTACGCTAGATATTACGCCTGTTTTACTCGGCTCTGTTGCAGACTCTGGTGCCCAAGACCTTTTCTGTAAGGGCACCACCTGCAGCATTACAATTATATACGACCAGACGGGCAATGGCAACCATCTGACTCAAGCCCCGGCTGGTGGCGCTGCGGGCGGTCCTGATAAACTGGCCGATGCAGCTGCCGCGCCTGTCACGCTTAATGGAAAGAAGGTGTACGGTGTATTATCGACCCCAGGCACCGGCTACCGTAACGACGAGACGGTGGGCGTAGCCACCGGCGATGCCGCCGAGGGCATGTATGCGGTGCTTGATGGCACCAACTACAATAACAGATGCTGCTTCGACTATGGTAACGCTGAGACCAACAATGACGATAATGGTGCCGGCCATATGGAAGCTATCTACTTTGGTAGCAATGCTGACTATGGCACGGGTGCTGGAAGCGGTCCGTGGATCATGGCTGATCTTGAGAACGGTCTGTCTGCGGGCCCCGATTTCGATAACAACCCTAACAGCCCCTCCATCACCGCGCGCTTTGTCACAGCGATTGTCAAGGGAGAACCGAAGCAGTGGGCAATCCGTGGTGGCGATGCCACCACAGGTGGTTTGTCAACATACTACAGCGGGGCTCACCCTACTGAGGATGGCTATAGCCCCGAAAGCAAAGAGGGCGCCATTATCTTGGGTATTGGTGGGGACAACAGCAATGGTGCTCAGGGAACTTTCTATGAAGGTGTGATGACTTCGGGTTATCCTTCTGATGATACCGAGAATGCTGTGCAGGCTAATATTGTGGCTGCCAAATATGCTGCTTGAACTTGGCTGCTAGTATGGCCTCAGCGACTGAGAGGGACCTATCTTTTGGAACGCAACGAGACATGAGCTTTGGGAACCATATGCCACAGCCTATTTCGTCGTGTGCTTCACATTGAAAGTTGTTAACCCTGACATCCGACCTAGAACCACAGCGCCCGTCATTGGTTGTAGATGGGTTGCATATTCGAGAGAAGTTTGTGAAAATATCTGGCAATAATAGTCAACAGTCATATACTACATCCCATCTTACCACTTCATCCTGCTACACATTTAAGAACTCAGGACTACGAGTAGTAACCCCTCACATTATACATTAACGAGTCTACGGTTTGGGTAACCAGATGGGCCTACACAAAGTCGCAAATAATCCGGCAAGCACTGCGCAATCTAGTAGACTAGCTTTGATCTCTATTTGGAAAGTAGTTTTCGCTGGAAAAGAGGGGTTTTTGGTTGCGGTATGAGGAGAAAATTGGGGCTACTCCCGCAGAATCGTCATTCACAGGCTGGGGAGGCCCGCGCGCCTAACATGTCCCATGCACGTCTTTTGCATTGAACCGGCCGCGAATGGGAGAAGAGCTTCAGGCCCCTAGACAACATGTAGATCGTACTTTGAGGAGCTCAAATGACTAGCAGGGGCCTCGGATTGAACACCGGTTCGGTCGAATGGGTGGCAAGTTCGCTCCGGTATGACACTATGACCCCAAGACACGGTCCAGCATCGACTACTTCCATTGAACTTCTCAAACACTGCTGTCTTATCTGCAACTACCATCTCTCGAACGCTGCCTTATCTAAAACTACCTTGTATCTCTCCCAAAAAAATATTGTTAAGCTCATCTCCACGATGGCTGCAACCCAGAGCGCTGTCCCCATACTCGCCCCGGCGGCTATCCCCGCATTTAAATGCCCTACGGGGACAAAGATGCACATCCTAAACCTGGGGGCTCTCGAGGCAGACGAATCATGGTAGGTGCGAGCCCCCCCAACCGAACTATTCATCTCTAACAAATAAGTATCCAGGTTCCTGCGCGGTGCTAATGCGAGCACGCTGAGCAACCCGAACCCGGAGAATAAGCGTCGCAAGCTCGCGCTACTTTCATGCCTCATCGAGTACCCCGGATTCGGCCTTATCCTGTACGAAACGGGGTGCGCCGAGGATATTGACGTGGTGAGTTCCCCACATTCTTTGGTCTCAGCTTTGCCCGAGCTGATAGTCTGAAAAAAAAAAAAAAAATGGGGAGCTCCCATCACAGACCTTTTCGCCCGGGTTGAATATTCAGATAACCACAGACTTCCTGCGGCAATCAAAGCTACCGGAAACGACATCAAAGATGTCAAGGCGGTGGTAATTGGCCACCTCCATCTCGACCATGCCGGTGGACTCGAGCACTTTATCAACACTGGTGTCCCGATCTATGTCCACGAAGAAGAGTTTAAGCACGCCTGCTGGTCCATAGCCACTAAAGCCGACCTGGGCGTGTATTTGAGCCACTACATGTCTCTGGAAGGTCTAAAGTGGGAGACCTTCAGCGAGCCGCAGCTGGACTTATTCCAAGGTATCACACTGCATCACTCGCCAGGTCACACCCCGGGTCTTTGTATCATGCAGGTCAATCTCGACAAAGATGGTACTTTTATTTGGACTTCGGACCAGTTCCATGTCGCTGAGAACTATGAGCTCGGCCACCCCCCATGGCGGTCTTGCCAGAGATCATAATGCGTGGTACCGTAGCCTCAATATGATTCGTAGACTTCATCGGCTTTTCAATGCCAGATTGGTTTACGGCCATGATTGTGAGAATGCGGACGCATTGATTCAAGAGAAGCCTTTCTTCGAGTGATACATGCCCATTAACAGATTTGGAATTTCAATGCTTTCTTGTATTTTTTTGGTTTTTTCCTTTTCTTTTTCTTTTCGTGAAAAGGACCTATGAGTTTCTTGGCTGAAATTGTTGGAATTTTTTTTTTTTGCCCTGTAGTGTAAAGCCTAGCCGCGATACACCATGATCCCAAATGGATCGCGATCCGCGTCGCTCACCGAAACCTCAAGCAGCTCGTCATTATACATATCTTCGTAAGAAGCAGCCGGGGCAGCACCTCCTTGCTTGGAACTTTCCTGTAGTGCCCGGAGGCCTTGTTCGCGGTCACGCTTCCAACGGCGCGACAAATCATGGTACAGCTTGAGCTGCATGATAGCTCGGAGATATCCGCGCTCTGAGTTCGAGTGGGAAAGGGCAATTACGACAGATCCCCGTTCGGTAGCAGATAACGTCTCGTGATGGCTCATTTCTCCTGTCAAGAGTAGGTGCGGCAGGGGAGTCCCATTGCGGAGGAGCACGCCAGCTCCAGACCCGGGGCACATGCCAACAGTTCGGATGCGAATATCGTTGACTGACTTACCCTGCGGCAGGGCAATGGGAATCCCGCCTGGGAGTCCAATGCCACGGCCAATGTGGTCGATCAGATGTGCGAGAGGTTGCGATTCATTGAAAACAACGAGACGGCCTGCTCCGGCAGATTCGAAGCCTTCGGGAATAGATGCTGGAGGGGAAGGGTGGATGGTGGATCGCTTGTGAGGGATTTGATGCAACAAATTGGCAGCGGCAACTGTTGGTGCGGTCTTGGGCTGGGGTAGGCGGGTTCAGAGTACAGAGTTGATGTGCATTCCTTGAATATAGGTTTTGACTTGGGATCCGTCGCCTTGAAGGTGCCTGTTACCACATCACAGAGCCAGTCGGCCATGCCACCAGGCACTGTATCAACGGCCGTATGAGGAGAGTAGACACTGATGCCATGTTGCACCAGTCGCAAGAGAGTTCTCTGCTGCGGATCGCTCAAGGTGATTGATTTGAGACCACGGAATATGATGGGGTCTAAACTTCCGGTCAGCTATCAAAGGAATTGCTGATCGATATGGACAATCATTTTTATCCCTAGATTGGAGCAAAGTGGGAACATGATGCCAACTGGCGCCTCACAAAAAAAGACTAGAAACTTACGATAAGCTACGACGACAGAGTCCCGTCTCGCAATTGCTTCTTCTGCAACGGCAGCCGTCAAATCAATCGTCAAAAGCACCGAGTTTCGTTGTCGCCGCTTCGTCGGGTCGAAGGGCGCTTCCAGAAGAACTGAATTACATGAGCATATCTCTTCGAAACTAAATATTAGGCCTTATAAGCTCAGGCAGGATGGAACATACGACCAGTGTTATCGAAGCTTTTGTCGGCCAATGCTTCCGGATACCTAGAAAGCAGGTCATTCACAAGCTCTGGTCCATTGCGGGGAGAGATTTGATATCCCGAAGACTCACAGCTTTCTCATGGAGCTAACCACAGTTCTAGTGAACGGGGAGCAAGAAGGAGCGGAAGAAGCCATTGTTGAATAAGACCGGAAAGTCGAGCGTAGCACATTCATGAAATCGACTCGCTATCAACAAACACAGACTGGAGAATGCGGAAACCCATGACGCTATTGAGCCGCGCCACGCACCGCCACATCACGAGCCACGGTTGAATTGGTAATGCGACTGATCTCCGAAGTGCAGGCAGGTCTTCCTTCACATCGCCCAACTCGCTTCGATTCCTGTGCTTCATGTTCTCCCGCACACCGTCTTTCACTGTCCTGAGCAGAGGCTGTCGATATCTCCTCCGCCCGACTCCCGTCCAGCGCTCCCCGTTCTCTCTTTCTGCCCGCGCCTTTAACGCGGTCAACGCTGCCATGGCCGATACTTCGGGTGTGACCGCGGATTTGCTCAAGAGCAAGCTGCTGGACCAACTGCAAGCCGAGCATGTGGAAATTGAGGATCTCTCTGGTAAGTGGCGTTGAGAGTCTTTGCTTGACACGCCCAAAAGAATTCTTCACTTCCAAGGTGCCATATGCTAACCTGCGTTCTTTTCTTCCATAGGCGGGTGCGGTCAAGCCTTCCAGGCCATTATTGTCTCTGCGCAATTCCAAAACAAGAACATGCTCGCCCGCCATCGCCTCGTGAATTCGGTCCTGAAGGAGGAGATTGCCGCAATCCACGCCTGGACCCCTAAGTGCCTTACTCCCGAGCAATGGCAGGCGCAGTAGACATTTGGCCCGAAATGGATTTCATCTATGAAACTAATTAGACCCTGGTGTCGCTATTTATCATTTATGGGACCAGACTGATCTGCCTGTGGACACCTTTACTGGCAGGATCGAGTGGCATAAGCTTTGATGATACCTCGGGTTAAATAATGGCAACCCCCAAGGTGGCTGCTATTAGGAATAGTATGTACGATAACCTAATGTCCAATTTGGAAATAAAATGCGGGCCTATAACAGGCAAGATATCCCAGCAAATACTGAATAGACAAAGAGATTACATCGAGAGTCTTAGATTTCGACTTCAGTTTTTCTATGCTTCTTTTTTTTTTCATTTAGCACCCGTCGACTCCGGGTGAACATGCTATATCCGCTCAAATGTTAGTTTCTTGATACTTTCAAGTTTTATCCTACTAAGCGTTCCTCGGTGCCATGCTGTTCCTCAAGGGAAGATCCAATAATATCCTCGATCTCGCCAGCGACAGTCCCTGCGAGCACCCCAACGCCGATTATTCCCCCATCATTGACATCTCGCAGGAAGACACTTTTGCCTCCGTCCTGGGGCCCGGCATTGAGAATTAATCGGTCGATATATCGCTGGATGGTTTGCTTATAATATGGATAGTGCTGGATGACACCTCCTGAGACCGCCACGACCAACTCCTCCGGTCCCTTGAGCCAGCCGGTGGGGGCCCCGAGATGAGAAAGCTTGGCTAGTTCATCAGCCCGGGGTTTGTTCACCCCCTCCGTTGCTTGCGGATCTCCAGGGTCGACGCCTTCGGAATTTTTATCTTGAAGTTGGATCTCCCGCGTGCAAGCAAGCAGGCCAACGGTAGCAGCAGCGACCAGCGCAGCGGATCGATCCTGTACTGCGGCTGCGATGGCCCGAAGATAACCTGCATACGCGGGCGACCACTTAAAAGAGCTGCCCGTAGGCCCGGGAAGCTTGTGCGAAAGCTCCTCTGCAAGCGCCTGGTCTGAATGACTAGACGCTACCACCAGAGAGAGAAAGTCGGTAGTTAAGGCATATTCTTCCACTAGCTTTTCGGGTAGTGATTCTCGTGGTATCTTTTTAGTCTCATGAAACCAGTCGTAACAAATGATCCGCACCAGCTCGCCCACATAGCGGCCCCCCACCATGTATTCCAATGGCTGGAACCCTGGGCGATTGGCTCGGGCTTCGAGCTGAAGGTCCCATTTTGTAAACAGATTGAGTTCTTTCAATGGGGCGGATGCGCCTCTCAGAGTCCATTCGGTCGAAACGATGGACTCCGTTGCCTCAGGATCCCTTTCCCGGACATGCCGGATCTTAGCCTCTTGTAAATCGGTCAATTTCATGGGCACTGCAGAATTGCACCCAGCTCCTACAATCAACCCCATCACTACCCTGGTATTCGGCAGGGCACGGATTGAGTACGCCAAGGACGCCAGAGTTGATATAGTATCGTTAGTCATGACGGCGATCTTCAATTTAGGAAGACAATATCTCTTCTGCCGTTTAGTGCGTATCTCCGCATCATCCTCGTCCGAACGCCTCGTATGACACTCATACCCATCCAGGAGAGCTTGCCGGAGGTTTAGAGAGGTTTTCATGACAAACCCTTTGCCTGTGGCCATTAGGATGGCTTCATTCATGAATTTTTGCCTACGGGCAGGTGGTCAGTTTTGATTTCCGGGTGGGATGAAATCCTGGCACTCGTACTTAATTGGGAAACAGAATGAGATCCCCATGGTGATCTCTTCGGGTACGTCGCCTTTAGTATTGGCGAGATCATCGTGGATGACCTCCGCGATGCAGTCGCCAATCCACGCAAATAGCGAGTCAGGCTGGTCTTGGCGCAACCGCTTCTCGATCGGCCATGCCTTCTCCAGCGTGCGCCGGACGTGCGAGTGTTTGCCTACTTGCTCCTCGCCTAGCAGCTCGATAAAGGCCACCCGGAGATAGTGTAGACCCAGATAGACTGCGAGATACCGGCCTTTTTCATGGCCGTTTGGCAGCCGTGTTGTCGCAGTGGGGAAGAACTGGTCCGAGGAGTCTGCAGCCAATTCACGATACACCCGAGACAGACTGCAAGACAGACCGTAGAGCCGGTCGACATCGACTTTCAAGGGTGCGAGGAAGGCCTCTAGACCGGGGTCTGTTCTAGCCATGGTGAATCACTGGCGCATAGATCTTAGACATCGCGGGCTGTCTTGTATGTTGGAATACAGACTGCCGGTCCAGGTCGGTCTGTCGAGCGGAGAGCGTCTCTGCCCGCTTTTCATCCAATCACATCCGCCCATTTTGATGGGAGCACTCCGCCAACCTACGTATACAAGAGACCGAAAAGATTCGCAAATGGCCTGCAATCTGCCTAACTTCTGGTTCTGGTTCTGGTTCTGGGCTTTGGGGTCTGGGTCTGCTCCTGTGCTGTACAGCAATCTCCAGGAGACCCGGTGGACCATGGGAAAGGGGTTTGCCCCTTTGTTGCACTCTGCGCTATGGTCCCGTTTTCAGCCGCTTTTTACTAAATTTTTGGCCCTCCCCATATTTCAATCTTCAAAACCCTTCCCGGTTAGTAAGAAAAAATTATCGCGGCAAGATCAGATGGCGATCGAAGGCCCGAGAGTCCAGCATTATGAAAAACGGACGTCATCTTATTCGCACCGTTAGCACCCCGCTAGATAACAGGGTGGATAAGGGGGTGCAGCGCTACCGCAGTCTGGCGGGGCATTGTCGTGTTGACGGAGGATACTGGTCCGGGTCGGTGAAACAAAATGGGATGTTGCAAACAAATAATCGCGCATACGTGGAAGTCGAGATGTGTGTAGTTATCGTGTCGGTATTGGAGGATTCTGATCCGGCACGGGAAAGGTATGGAAATCCTTTAATGGAAGGAATTAGTGGAAAACGTGGATATCTGGGGTAAAAAAGGGCGCCGTCAACATCTGAGACGCTGGTCCTGGTTGCAAGAAAGCGGTAAATGCGGCGGTTCGAAGGGCAAGCTGTGGCGCGAAAGATCAACCCTTCTATAAGAAATTTTCTTTCCCCTAGCTATCGCCAACTATGTTGATCTGATGAGATTCTGAGGCAGCTTGTCCGAAAACGTCCGGGCTCACCTTCTGCATTCTGGGGCCTAACGACGTCATGATGAAATAAAGTGGAGTGGGCCTTCAGCCACAGCCAACGAGCAGCCAACCACACACGACAGATAATCAATATTCATGTCGGCCCCTGCGACTGGACGTGACAAGTTCCGACACTCGGGATGATCTCGACGATCGTATGAGATCTCCGGTATGTTTCAACCTCTTCGCTGTCCGTTCGGTCAGCCCTGGAGGTTTGCCTATGTCCGCCAAGGTCGGGCTCGACGCACCGACTCACCAATCGCCATCAAGGAAGGTGGATCGGAATCCACAACATGCCCACTCCTCCAGCAAGCCATACATGAGGCCTCGGGTGGCCCGCAACTGGTATTCCGTGGTTCATGTAAGTTACTTGATAGTGGCAAGCGGGTTTCTACACTCTGGTTCTTTCACTCTCGAGACTGGTGGGAGACTCCAGACAGGGGATGTTTCATATAGTTCAACGGGCTCACCATCTCAACCCGCCGAAGGGAAGGTTGTCCGACGGTGGCTGTGGCTTGGAGGAGCTTAAAAAGTTTTACCCCTCCGCGCTAGCCAATACATGTAGTAGAAGACTGTTCTAAATGTACCGAAGATCTTCCACGTGCATGCCTCGGGCTCCTAGTTGTAACCGCAGAAGAGGACGGCAATTCTGTGAATACTTGGAATAATTTCGGCGAACCGACAAATGACAGGCCGGCTGGTCTTTTGCTTCCACATCTCAGCTTGGACCCGTATCCACTTGTACAATCGCTGTTGGTTTGTTTCTTTTTCAACTTGTAAAACGCCTGCGGACTGGGTGGGGGCCCACCCACCTACCCAACGCGGCGCGATACTGGGAAAAAGACGGGCTTTTTGGCCATGGTTCTTGAGAACCCTAATGCAACAGATCCACTCGTTCTGTACTAACGGCTGCCTCTAGGGCCCTAAATGGAGACTAAACGTGTCATTTACGTCGTGCTTGTGGTTTCCGTCGACGTCATAGCCCACCCGTCTTTGCTGTCTGCAAAGCGCCGAGTAAAGCCCGGTCGAATTTTTGAAGGATGGCGGCCATAATCGGGTCTGGCTTCGATTAGATATAACTGCTCTTGCCCCGCGGTGCCGTTCACCGTGACGTATCAAACTTTTTTCCCCCCTCCCCCTCTCTCCCTCTTCCTCCTTTGAACGCCAGTGCTTCTCTCAGTAGTTGGCAACTTTCACCAAGACTCGTCTACTCTCATCTTATCGTCTGCATCTACTTCATCCTCCCTAACCTCCAAATATGGCGCGCTTCGACGATGCTGACTTTGGTGTCGATGCCGGCCCTGCCCCTCATGAGACTCGTCCTTCCGACGCGCAACCCGCGTCCTCTCTCGAGACCGGTGGACGCCATTCCCTCCAACATGCTATCCCTGGCCCCCAGGGCAACAGCATTGAGATCCCTGCCACCCGCAGCTCAATTAGCCAGACTTCGGCCTTCATGAACAAGCTAAGCTTGTCGCCCTCCATGAAGGACCGCCGAGCTTCTCGTAACTCCTTCGGCACATCTTTGCCCATCCCGCGGTCTCCACGGATGTCGCGTCTGTCTAGCGTCCACCGACCTAGCGGATTGCGTAAGTCCATGGCCCAGGACCTGCTTGTCTCTCAGATCCAGGATATGCACAAGGACAAGGTTGAGGCTGTCAAGAACATGGCTTTCGTTTTCGACATTGATGGTGTGCTGGCACACGGAAGCATCGCTATCGAGCAAGCCAAGCGTGTTTTCAAAATCCTCAACGGCGACAACGAGCTTGGTAAGATTTTTTTTCCCCCCCCATTCTGACATCTGACTCGCCAATGTTCTTGTGCTAATGAAAATGCGTTAGGCATCACATTCCCATACATCCTTCTGACCAACGGTGGTGGTAAGACCGAGGAGGCCCGCACCGAACAATTGTCTCAGATCCTCGAACACAAGGTCGATCTGGACCAATTCATCCAGTCTCACACTCCCATGCAAGCTCTTTCTGAGTACTACGACAACGTTCTGGTTTGTGGTGGTGAGGGTACTAAGATCCGTGAAGTCGCCAAGAAGTACGGCTTCAAGAATGTCATCCACCCTAAGGATCTCATCGCCTGGGACCCCACGATCTCCCCCCAGGGCCGCTTCACCGAGGAAGACAAGGCCAACGCGGAACCCCGTGACTTCCGCAACTTCAAGTTCGATGCTATTCTGTGCTTCGCCGAGTCCCACGACATGATGACCGAATTCCAGGTGATCAGCGATCTGCTGCTTTCCGAGAACGGATACATTGGCACCCGCGCCAAGGACCCCCTCCAACCACATCCCCATCTACTTCTCCCAGGGTGACTTGCTGTGCCCCACTGAGCACAAGGGTCTTCCCCGTTACCACCTTGGTGCGTTCCGCCTGGCTGTTGAGGCTATGTTCAAGGCTATGACCGGTCTGGACCTCGAGCGTGTGCTGTACGGTAAGCCCGAGCGCGCTACCTACGTGTACGCCGATGAGGTTCTGAGTGCGTGGATGGAGGAGATCCACGGCGAGAACAAGCTGCCCAAGAACATCTACATGATTGGTGACAACCCCCAGTCTGACATCATCGGTGGTAACATGTACGGGTGGAACACCTGCCTTGTTCGCACCGGTGTGTTCCAGGGTGAAGAGGGCGAGAATGACCCCAACAACCCTGCCAACTTCGGTGTCTTCGACCATGTCCTGGATGCGGTCACCGCTGCCATCCGCAAGGAAGTGGGCGAAGATTTCAAGTTCCATTGGGACCCCAAGCTCAACCCTGTTACCCATGCCGACCCCACCTCGGCTATTGAGTAAAAGGGATGGGAACAAAAGTGGATTCGAATTCTCTTCAACCTTTTCCTCTTTTTCATTTATACCTTTACCCTCCTCCCCTATCTAAACACTTCGCATGGTGTACCCCTTGTCAAGTTGCTATTTAGTTCCTTCTTTTCTCTCTTTTCTCTTTTTTCTTTTTTGATATCATGTCATGTCATGTCACTACATTTCAGGCCTAGACATAGACCCGCACTTGGCTTTTATCTGTCGTCCCCTTTACGACTGTCCTTGGAACTTGGTTTCATGTGATGCAATGAATTTACGAAACCCGGGGCTTCATTACCTTCGGTGAATTTATCTTCAAATCTTCTCCTGATCAGTAATGAATTTTGTACCTATGCCCAATTTTCTACTCTCTTGGGAGTCAAGGTGAACCCTACACGAATCTTTAAAAGCCTCATTTGAAATACGAACAGTTGTATGCTTCAAATCTTATCGTTCCACGAAAATTTATAATAAGGATATCTGCGATGTACCACCTTTCTTCAAAAGCATGCGATCTACAGGAGGTCCAAGAACTTCAAGCTCCTCCTCACCCTGCTGCAAACACCCTCTCATAAACAGCAGTACTTGATTCGTTCCCCATAACTTCAGCTGATAACCCGAATACTCCACCCCCCAGTTCTGCGACCGCAACCGGATCATGCTTTCTATACTCCCACTCGACGGCTGCGTCCACCCGACTCAGTATCCAATCGCGCAGCGCCTATACATCAGCGCCAACCAACGGCGCACGGGAACCAAAGCGATTGGATACTGTCGACGGACAGTATCCAATAGATCATTTGGCAGCACCGCTGGCCACGTAAACAAAAAGTCTGCCACTCAAGCAGCTCGAATGCGGCCGTTGCGAAGGACGTCCGCAAAAGCCTGACGGTTACCGGGCTCCCGAGAAATATTATGCTTTATTTTTATCATTTCGAGGCGTTACGAGCTCGATGATTTTATATCGGGCTGGGCTTGGCGGGTTGCGGAGACTTTTGTGTGGAATGTTGGCTGATCGATCAAACGCTTGAAAGCTTTACCTTTATCGGGCAACAGAGGTCGAAAAACCTTGCAGTAACTCTATCAACTCGCGCCTTGCAAGCCTGAGTGTCCTGCTCGCTGGGAAGTAAGACGTCCGTCTCGGAGACTTCGCTTCGTATATTCAGCCTTGTGTAACTTTTTGGGCTGTTGTGTCATGGTAGATACGAATTAGATTCCTTTGGGTATTAATGAAGTCTATTGACGCAAGGATCGGGCCTATCAGCCAGTCCTTCTGCGCCGTCTTGATAGTCGCATTATTCTTAACGTTCGCCGATGAGTTGTAGGACCTAAAGGCTTGAAGGCCGGCTAAAATGTAATATCCGCGGTAAAATGCAACGCGCAGCACACTGAAGACATAGAACAATGGGCCTGGGTCAAGAGATATGCGCTCCGCCTTGATGTTGTCTGTTGTGTTAAAGTCTTCGATCCATTTCCGCGTACAACGTGCTTTCGCGGAAAGTATCTCGGTAACTATATAGACATATTCGTCCGACAACTTGTGTCCTGCTAGGGATAGTTAGTACAGTCCTTAGGCGAACACTATCTCTGCATATTTAGGAAGAGTACACTAGTTCGCGGGATTGTTGCCTTTCTGGTCGAGCTTATCGTACCATCTGCGGATTTCCTTGGTAATAAAGCTCTCAACGTCTGGCTTATCTGCACCGATACAGAGCATATCAGTAAGTTCGCGGTTATAGGATACCGCTCTCTTCTTAGAGTAATATCTCTTAGCTTACTCTTAGTTATCTGTTTCATTATAGGGTTCTTAGGCGTCGTTTCCCTTCTTGTAGTCTAGATCTGACTCTTCGATGTTCCGGTGGTGGATATCTTCCTCCTGGTCTGTATCAGCGTCTTGATAGACGCTCCTGTCCTCGGTATCCTCAGTATGCGCTAATCGGGATGTCGTGATGGGCTTCAGTAGAATAAGGCGACATAGGGTTAAGGTGGAAGGAGGTAAGAAGGATCAGAAAGACGATAATATATAAAGTAGAAGTACCTGTGTTGTAGAAGGTAAGATGAGGTGCGGGAAGTAGCGTGGAAGTGAAATGGGAGCGAGGCCCGAGATATAGGATATTTTGGGCGACTTTAAGAATTTAAAGGGCCTCTCGCGGCGGGGGGCATTCCTTCGTCGTTATCGTGCCTTCCGATCCGAGTGGAAGGCGATTCTACACGGCCCGGGGCTTGTTTCATGTTTCGATTAGCTACTTATCGGCTTACTTTATGTTTACAGGCTGCTAAGAAGATCGGGCTTTATTAGCAAAGTTCTGTTGTTTGGGAAGAAAGGTTTCGAGACAGGCCGGCAGGGGCGGTCTTATGGCATTTCATGCCTTTCTCTGCCATGTTTTGAATTCCCAAATCTGTAAGGTGTACTTCGTACAATTATATTGAATACGGTATTTCAATTTATCAGGAATCCAGAAAGAAGTTCTCCAAGAAGTAGAACGGGGGGGGGGAACAAAGGAATGAGTATATCATCCGCAATTCTCGTCTCAAGTCTGTGATCTGCCCTTTGTCGTCTTCAACGCCTTCTGTCCACGATCCACAAGCTCACTATTTCCTACTCTATCCTTGTCGAATCCTGTCACAATGAGATCCAGAACTGCCGCAGAAAGCTCTTCGCGGTGGATGTTTGGAATTGCACGCGTGAAGGTGTTGATGACACGGAACACTGCGGCCACCATAGCTCTTGACAGTGTGGTAGAGTTGACAATCACCCCCGGCTGAGCAATGCAAATGTCGATATTGGGGTACTCTTCGGGGAATTTGAGAACCATTAACTCCGTCTCACACTAGCGAGACCGTTTGGTTAGTACCATAAAGACGTCGCCGTAAGACTACTTACGCGCATGACTTGGTAGTCACCAAGGACGGCAGGCTTCTTAGCAGGGTCCCTAGGTGTCCCATCGGCACTGAAGTACAGGAAATGGAATGGCTTTGTACGCCGAGAATCATATATGGCCTTGAACCCCGCAAGGGTGCAATCTTGGCACACGCGCTTGACCTCCGCGAAGTCAAAATTCCCGGTCCTAAATAGTATTACTACGACAATCCTAAAAGACAGACTCATTAGTATTCTCCGTGGCTTGTCCAGTCTTTCTATGGAAGACTGTGGAAGGATAATTGTTAAGTACCATATGCAAGCATCAGCACCCTCGAACTCGGCCCTGACATGATCTGGGTATTCACCATAGTCACGAACCACAACGCTCTTCAGCTTGAATGTTGGGTCCTCGTCATGCAGTTCCACTGGTTTCCGGGCCAAGGCGATGATCTGGGTGATCTCGCTCCTCTGCAAGCATTGCCTGACGATCTCCGTACCCACGAGACCGGTGGCACCGGCTACAATGAGCTTCATGGCGGAGTGAACGATGGTTGAATGTAATCACTCTGCTTGCAACGACGCAACCGTCGATGGATTTATCATATATGCTCAGGCAAACCATGCCCAAATAAATCCAGAGCAACAGCGTTCGGAAACGGCGTTCGTGTTGCCGAACCCCGGTTCAATTCAACGCCAGTGCGCCCATCCTGGACAATGAGGCTTCGTTTGAACAATTAGCCTATGAAAGCAATGTTATGCATTGCTTTGCTTCCGTACAGTAGTTTCCGACATCAGTTATACCTCCGCGCTCTTACTCCTTGAACCAAGGGTCGTCGAGTATCTGTCTCGCTGATGCTCTTGCCGACGGTTCAAAACACAGCAAGCTGCCAATGATTTCTCCTAGCCTCGTTATGCCCTCTCTTGTGAGATCAGGGGCCCTGTGGCCATCAAAATACACTTCCTGCAGCCATTCTTGCAGGTTAGGCCCAGAGCTTTCCACGGTCACATCGTCCCCTTTATTCATCGTATTCCATATCTTTTGCCACCTTTTAGGTAGGTCGTCACTCGCCATCTCTTGCATTTGACCGACGAGAATTCGGGGTGTTATTAGGAAGGTGTCAAAAGGCGGCTGGCCCGTGAAAAGTTCAAAGAGCTGTCATAATCCTCAATTTAGTCGTGTACAGCGCTGGGGCTTCCATCAGTCCACGTACCATGCAGCCCATACTCCACAAGTCAACATGATAATCAATTTGATTGTGGAATATGACTTCGGGTGCTCGAACTGATAAAGGTGTGTGTAGCGTGTGAGGAGCAGCAGTACGTAAGAATGATTCTCCGAAGTCAATTATTTTGATCGACTGACTCGAGTCCCAAGAACGTGTTTGATATGAGATGGGCTTGACAATATACTCTGGCACGCCGAGCTCAAGGTCTTTCCCATCGGCCCTCTGGACATGGCCTATTTCTGGTTTTCCCAAGATCTCAAAGAAACCGTCTTCGGATACCTTATCCAAGCAAGGCATGGTGAAGGCCAAATTGCGAGTGTGCAAATCTATCTTAGGTGAGAAGCGTCTCATATTTGCCAAAGGGAATGCGTGACTGTACCTCCGTGTCCAATATTTCGTTGGTGTAAATCATTAAGCCCGGAAAGACTTTGCTTGGCAATGATTTTCGCAAGCTTTCCAGGGAGTCTCCCGCCGGAAAAATGAGCATCAACTACGTCCGGAATGTTCGGCCCCAAAAGTTCATAAACGAGGCAATTGTGGAACCCATTGGGGCCCATTAGGTTGAAGTCATCGAGCAACTGCACCACATGCGTCGGACTATGGAAATGAGATGCCAGTTCCTTCATAATTTGGAGTTCTCGCGTCTCCCTATCATGTTCACGTCCTGCAACACAAACCTTCACAGCGACGTAAGTCCCTGTCCTGCAAGAAGATAGCTTGATTAGCTGAGAGGACCGTACGTCGTATTCAGTATTACCTTTGATCTCGCGCTGCCCAAACTGTTGAGTAGCCACCCCACCCTAATTTATGCAAGACCTTATACCTTCCAGCTTTAAGGCATTTCCCTAAGGTGACTGGGTGATAACCGCCTTGTCGGTAGCGATGTAGTGGCTCTGCATCAATAGGGAAAATATAGGTAGGCTGGTCCATCGTACTCTTGAAGGCATCGGTAGAGATGAGCTTGTGGATAATGCAAGAACTTCTCGAGTAAAAAATACGTCTCGATAGAAAGCAGGTAACGTTCATCATGCTGGACCGACATTGTCGGTACAGACAATGTCTATATCTCATGAGTCCAATATATGTCCCACGCGCCCTGAACGCAGATGATGTCGGGAACACGCGGTGCGGTTACCACCGTATTACCAATCGTTCGTTTCTTGGCGAATAACTAGTTACTCGTAACTTTTCTGATATTCGAACCCACCGTAACAAAACTATATAGTACAGATAAAGTCTGACTGTCGAAGGATATTGACGTCGGAAACAAGATCCTCAACTACACTCAAGTTACCTGGTCATTGAAAGCTAAGTTCCCTTGTGCAGAAGACTTCGAGGATCGACCAGATTCAATGCAGAGAAAGCCTGATGCAAAGAGGATATCTGCAGCATGCTGGAGTCACGAATAACAACTCAAAGTCTATCTAGCATGTAGAAATCATCATTCATGTTCGAGAGGAGTTGATTTCGTGGCTGGTGAGGCTATTACAGATCACATCGTTACTCGGGCTGCAGATCCCTGGAGCTTGAGGCAGCGAGGCCCCTGCCAATGCCCCTCTTAGTAATGCCTCACGATCAGAGTACCAAATGAAGCCCTAGAGCGGCATGACATTGCAGACCACTCCTGAAGACGCGGCTCAACTTATTTTTAGCCTGACAAATTTCGACGTCCCGAGGCGAAGAGCGGGACTGCTCAGCCGCGGTCAAAGGAAGAAAGGATCACGCGAAACCTAGAATTGGCGATGTCTCCACCATTCTTCCTCGCCTAGAGCCCCATTTCTGGGAGGCCCCGAAGCTTGACAATGCCTGGCGACGCCTTGTCTTATTCCCTACATTTGCTCGGACGGAGTCTCCTCAGGAAGGCCCCAAGTGAATCGCACCAAAGGGCTGGAGGCTGAGGATTCTCCGATCACATTGTTCCAGGCAGGGTTAATGCCGCAGTTGGCTTTCCAGTCCTCGAAGCAGAAGATGCATTGTAGCATTGGAGAAGCACCAAGCACGCGTCACCGTGGCGAGATCGGGGCCATAGATCCCTTGACCATGTGGCCGAGCAGGCCAATCGGCGGGTCGCAAGGAAGATAGACTTAATACGCGCGATACGAAAAAGCAGGCCAGCTTTGCCTCTTTATGGCATACGGTCGCAGAGGTTTAGAAGGCCTGGGTCCATGCTTGATGCGTCATTGAGCTGCCTTGGCCTCGTTGAACCCCAGTCATCCCACGGAACGTGCTTTCTCCGGCTGCTTTAGTACAGTATGCGTGGCGAGCTCGAAGGGGCCAAAAGAGAGTCAAGCTGCTTCATCGGCCAATGGGCCAGTATTGCGTGCTTTAGAAATATGCCCGACGGTAAAACACCTTCTCTGGAAATCCGCAGGTTGGAGACCAACTGACTCCAATTTCTCCGTTGACTCCATTAAAGGAACGTCCTTCATGCCAAGTTCGCAGTATTCATAGTGAGTTTCGTCGAAGGCGATCGTATTTTGTTCCGCAGTTAAATACGCGATCTTCCACCTGCAACCTCCCTTTTCCTCCCCCTCTTCTTCTATAGAACCTCAATCCATGACGAGCTTTCATAACTCAACCTTGCAAGAGAAAGCCAGCAGGAGGGAAACCACGATCGTTCGGGTCATTTCATGAACATAAATTGAGAAGCCCCGCGACAGATTCCTGCAGGATGGCGAGAAAGCCAATTGCAGCGGCACGATCTCATGGCTCCCGCCCCCATGCAGCACCGAGCGAACGCGAAGATCCAACACTACGGCCGAACACGGCCAATGGAAACATGGAATAGCCCCCAATATTTGCAGGGGGCCTAGGGCGTACAGCTCATACAGAAGACTTATGATTCGGTGATTAAGAGGATCTTCAGTGGATCTTGCCACAACACCACCATTCCCTTTTTCAAAGGCGATCAGCTTCTAGTGCGGTTTTAATGGCTTGGGTTGCGCCATGGACTCGATCAAGCGGAGGTACCGTTTCTGAGTCCGATTGCTTCTGGCTTCCTCTGCTCGACTCCCCTCTGGGACCTTCCACAACCGGAGAGTGATTCATGCCAGAAGTGCTGGCCGCTCGCGGACATGGCTTGCCCACAGGCTAATATTGAAGAGATGTCAAGGTACATCGGCAAGCCACCAGCCGGTGCGGATCTTGACGCAAACCAAGCACCCCGGAACAATGGCGTTCTCACGACATTGGTGATCCTGGCTACGATTTCCATAGTGATACGGCTGGTGGCGAGATTCAAAGAGCCGCAGCGGAAACTGTTCCTGGATGACTGGTTCATCATTGTCGCATGGCAACCCCTACTTGCTCTGCTCATTATTGGATGGGTGGGTATGTGGATAGCTCCCAATTGCATGTTTACTCTCTTCCGGTTCGCTAGCTAACAACTCCTTTTAGGAAGCCCGATTGGTCTCGGTAAACATGCGTGGTGCACTAGTGTCGCCCATTATATGGAGTTATCAAGGGTCAGTACGGCCAATTTGAAGCCGATGACGCATTTCTCACAGACCACATAGTACCTTTTCACCTCGATTATCGTTTATATCTTTGTCCTCGCGCTGGTCAAACATTCGATCCTACTCTTCTACCGCCGTGTTTTCGGTCCATCTTGGTTATACTATATCGCCACAGCATTTACGGTGATCTGGACAATTGGAAGCTTCATTGCCGTGCTTTGTGCGCCAACACCCATCTCCTATTTCTGGACCGAAATAGAAAACCCCCCGTGGCGGACACTGGCGTTTCGACTTCTACAAGTATTATGTGGGCAACGCCGCTGGTAACATTGTCACCGACTTTGTCGTTCTGTTGGTGCCCGCCTGGACAATCTGGAATTTGAAGATGCGACTGTTACAGAAAATCATGGTCTCCGCTGTCTTGCTGCTAGGTGCATTGTACGTGGACTGCCTTTTCCCATTTCATCTCGCCGTGTGCGCTAACCCGACAAAATTTAAGTGTCTTTATTGCTAGCTGTGTCCGACTACATTACTTGACTTTCCTCAAGGGCGAAGGTGTGCTGGATCTTCCCTGGACTATGGGCCCCATTTGCCTGTGGTCTGTCATTGAGCCCTGTATTGGAATGATCACCGCTTGTTTCCCCACGATGCAAGGAGTCGTCCAATCCGCCCTCAAACTCGAACAAAACCATTTCATCCAAAAGCACGCCCCGATCGTCCGTTCAAGATCCGACATGCTGGACAAGGCACTGGGCAAGCAGGGTATTGACCTGCACTTCCAAAGTGAACCCGACCGACATAGCGGGGGTCACAAAATCACCCCATCTTCTACGATATCCGATAGGTCACAACAGGAGGACGACTACATCCGACTGTTCACTAATGCTGCATATGTGGAGGCCTCGGAGCCAACACGCCAGAGAGGGCAAGGGCTACGGCCGATTGAGGAGTTTTTGGGGCCGTCTTTTATTCGTGTACAGCACGATGTGGACGTAAGCTACGATCGCAGGTATTAGCCCTCACGGATTTAGCCTTGCTTTTCTTCTCTTTGATTTGATCATAGCCTGGGGGGAGGCATATTTGATGACATTTACGCGGAGTTAACCTTGCACGGTAGTATATACCTGGAATCACTGGGTCACATGAGAGTCCTAGGTAGCTCAAAAAATATTATATACATCTCGATCATGTGGTCATTCGTCTCTAGGGTTCAGCTTCACTTAACAGACGACATTAAACTATAGGGCCCTTGTCGTGCAGTAAATCGTAAAAGGGCCTAGATAGCTCCCCAACTTCACCTAGATCGAGAACCATTTTCTCTAGGATCACGTTGGTGTGGGTAAAGCGCACTTGGATCGTGCGACCACCGGGCGCCAACGCGCTGATGGCGTGTTCTTTTTGCCAAAAAAATCCTTGATAGTCTGAATTCACTCGCTGAGTGAACGCGCAAAAGAGGTATTCGAGAAATGGAATAGTACCTGTCTCTGTAGAAAGAACAGCAACACCACCTTCGAGTCCGCGTCCCAGCTTGGCATGTGGGAAATATGGCTGCATCGCCCCGAAGCTTACAGCAGGAATCGATATACACTCATTGCCTCCAGAAACACGCAGAACTCTTCAGGGGCTCGATGATGCCTCGGGAGGTGGTTCGTCACTTTAGATATAGCTACTGATCCACGAGTCAATCTACAGAAAAGTCTATGCGTGCTACATATTCCAGGCTTATCCTCCGATTCATACTGGAGTCCTCTAAATCTTCATAAGGAGGCATCTGGGGCTCCAGGGTCGAGGGCTTGCTCGTATACGCTAACTAAATTCATTGAGCCCCGCCGCGGGCACCTTTTTCGGGCTTATCGAGCGCCCTGACGTAATATAAGCAAGGAAAACGTTCTATTTTTCTATTCAGCTTGTTTTTCCTGCCTCCATGGAGTCAAACCCTTTAGAAATCCGCGAAATTGTGGCAAATGTACTACGGTTCGCTACCCCCTAGGACTTTACTGGCAGCCGCACAGGTCAACTCCGTGTGGGCGGACGAAGCTACCACTGTATTTTCTGGAATCCTTCTGCACATTTCCTGATCGAATGACTGACTTGAGTGTAATAGTGGCTTTGGCGAGGGGAATATCGCTCCTCTTCATCGTTCACTCGTGCATTGCAGATAATAGCTTCTTCATCGCCTGAACGCCGACTCTGGTATGTAGCTTGGACCAAGAGTTGTCCACGGAACTGACAATTGGGTCGTGCACGACAGGTACACAACAAAAATCCGCCATCTGAGTCTTGGGCACGACGATGACTGGAAGGAAGAGCCGGAGCTTATGGGGCTGCTAGCTTCCGGGCGGTTTTCGTTCCCAGGCTTGCGGTCTGTTGTTGTGGACATGGGGAGTGAGGATATGCATGAGGAGAAGATCTTACCACTCCTCTCCCCTACCCTCATTATCCTTGAGCTCTATGGCGGCTACTATACTTCGAAGTTTCTGGATGAGATCCAGGTTTGTTGGTGTTTCTCGCAATACTGGCACTCGGCTGACATCAACTAGATACGCTCGCCTGGTCTCAAGTTCTTCTTGGTGGACAATTCCCTGGAGGACAGTATCACGGCGGATGCAGTCATGAATTTCCTGGATCATATGCCTTCTATTGTTCATCTCGAGTTACTGCTGGGCTGGCCTTTTCTGCGAAACAAGACCTTTCTAAGGCATATGATGCTTAATCCACGGCTTGAGGTACTCGTTCTTGGCAATAAGAATGAAATATCCCACACCATGTGCAGAGAAGCTCTGATCGAATGCGGTGATAACCCGATATTTCCAGCATTGCGGTACCTCGGCGTTTATATTGAGGACAAGGCTTTGCGGCCTTTGCTTCCCTTCCTCAGCAATGTGCAAGGTTTACGACTCGATGTCAGCGATTGCGGACCCATACAGACGCAGAAGCCGTATATAATGGGCTTGCTTTCCGCATGCCCACATCTCGAAGACCTTGAATTTGGGACTCGCCATTCCAGTACTATCTCCTCGGCAGCCTTTTTGGAACTCGCGTCCGGTTGCCCACTGCTCCGAAGGCTAGAGATCGGAGACACATGCGACTGTGAACCTGATTTCAATGATGCTTTGATCGAGAAACTTTCCTCCCGATGGAAAAACCTAGCCGTTCTCTCTCTCCCTTTCCAGGCAACGCTGACCCGCAGGTCCCTGGCCCATTTGGCACGTAACTGCCCTGGGCTCATCGAGCTGCGGGTTATGGATGACGTTCTGGAAATGGAAGAGAAGGAGCCGGTTGATATGGTACCTGTACCAAACTTGAAGATTCTTGAAATGGGGCAATTGAACCTCAACTTGAACTCCGAGTCCGAAGCAGCAACAGCGTCCAAGAATACCATTGCGGTGCTGGATAAGTGGTTTCCCGCTTTGCAATCGTTCTTTCACAACTATCCTACTATCAGTAGAAAGTACCATATGTTCAATCGTCTGGTCGCAGAGCATTTGATGCAGACCAGACCCATCCAGCCTTTGCCACCTGCATATCCAGCTACGTCTGTAGCGCATGAGCTGCACCGAAAACTCCTTGCGCCTAATTCTGCTGGCAGGTTTAGCTCTGCTTTTTGAGATACGACTATACAAATAGGACCATAGGGTTACAACTCCCAAGGCCAGATCGGGCTGTCTATGTTAACCAAAAACCGTGCTGGGAAATTCTTCGTGGAATTCAAATTCTGTCGGCTGCATCCTTGACTCCTGACGCATTATCTTCGTCACATTTCGCAGCAATATCTTCCCCCGCCAGATAATCATACTGACACGATACTTTGTTTTCACTGGCTGGTTCTTTAATCCAATCGCCTGCTTTCTTGATATTCCTCTCGCTGTCGGCATCGGTATTGCGTGCTTGTCAGTCTTCGACTCTCGGCCAGGGACGACAACAGCGATGAGTTGTGCAATTCTCCCTTCGTGGAGGGAAGATTGAAGTACTCTATGGCACAACTATGAGTTAATTTGCCTTAGAAATCATAAGATTCTGGTATCGTATAAGGGCGGCCACCGCATAGTGCCATTCAACTTAGCTCTTCATTTACGGAAACAATGCGTCCAGCATATGCATTCTTAGAGCATCGCGTCACCCTCGGAGCTTTAGACGGTGCTGTAAATAGTATATGGCATGAAAAATTCCAAATCTTCATGTAGGATAATGGGAGTGTTGAACAAGATGGGACATTGAGAGAAAGAAACAGTGCTTAAATACCGGTGGCTTGCACCATCAAACCAATCAACATTGCGCCATAACGATCGTATTGGTGGATGCTCAAGGAGCTTTCCTAGACACGAGATGGCTGAGTTTGCCTGAAGTGGAAGATACTAGCGATGCAAACTGATTACTCGTAGCTGCAATTAGACTTGAATGGCTCCGCAAATGGGGGGGGTATGATGTTTCAATCGAGACGGGGATACCACGAGCTGTAGTACATTGGCAAATGGTCTTGAATAGCCCATACTGATGGAAGCATTCGCGGAGCATATCTACTACTACTATTACGGCCTTAGGTCCCATAGAGGCAATAATCAATGACTCGAAAGAACAAATCATCGTTCTCCCCCAATGATAGACCTGTTCCAGGGCGTAAAGCGCCAGATCTGATATCTTGGATTACATTTTTCTTGAAATTCTCAGCAGAGTATCGATAGGATTATGCTAGTCCTTGATGTGGGGTTTGGGCTAACAGCAGGATAGCCTCTCCCCTGAACGCGTTAGAAAGATGTGATATCACAAAACGAAATAGAAAACCAGTAGCCATGTTGGCCGCTCACACCCGCGGCATTACATGTTGCGTATGTAGTTGATTTGTGCCCGCTGGAGCCCACTGCGCAAACGTCGAGCTGCCACCTGGACACGCATTTTTAGCTCCTTTCTCTTCCGCCAGATACAGCGTGACTCACATTCAACTTGACGGCAAGTGGCCCTGATGGCAGGGGAGCCGAGTTGGCCTACCGTCCAAAAGTTGCCGGCGTGGAAAGGGTCTGAGTGGTCGACTACTTTTGGGATGCGGTAAAGGAGAATGCGCTCATAGATCATGAGTCGAAGCTCTGCACGAGTTGGCGGTTAGCACGAGCAATCATGAAAAGTATTGAGACGGGGATATACTTACCTGGAGGCAGGTCCAGGAGCCTGAAGGGCTGTTCGGTAGGCGCGTCTGGCATCTTGATACAGTGAAAGGCAAAGGCTTGGGGGGGATCGGGAGATGGGCGAAGACGTGTAGACCCACCCAAAACACGCGTAGGGAGAGCAGGACAACAGCCGTTGGAAAGGATGTTGACCCGACTAGATGGAGCTTCATTGGAACTGAACTTCGAAAAGGTCTCGCTTGGTAAAGCTCCACGAGGGCTGACTCTCCGAGTTTGGTACCGCCTCAAAGTTGGAGCAAGCGGGCAAAGAAGGGAAGAGGATGAATTCGACAGAAGAGCTCGACTGGGGCAACTCCGACTACACTTTCGCAAGTCGGGACCGTCAAACAAACCCAAGACGGTGGAAACTTTCTGGTAGAACGTACGCTGTCACTACTCGAATCTTTACTCTGGTTCCGCGTGATTAGACCCTGAAACATTAGCAGCATACTGTTACTGGTAACTTTTGATCAAAATCTTACTTTATCGAAAGATCCATTGAAACAACTGACGCCTAAACGCGCTAGCACCGTAAGTTAGTCCCTTCATTGAAATCTAGAAGATCCCCCCCCGAGACATGAGTCAAGCGAACACAGGGTATTGTCGTCCGTAAAGTGAAATTAGTTGGTCATAAATCATTGAGACGAGCATCTCTTCATCATTGCAGAAAGACTGGAAAGGATGAGCCAGACTGCTAACGTAGTCCACCACTTGGGAAGAACCGGGGGCCTGCAAACCCATGCGCAATGATACTTTGGATATCAATGTTGATGTCCGAACGCGGACTCCAAAGCTTTACAAGAATGAATCTTCCGGATCTAGATTCCAGTTAGTACAGAACGCGCAGATGGTTGCTTTCATGAGGAGCTTACGGGGGCGGGTCGAACTTGATGCTGACCATACCCTTGTCTCTCTCAATGAAGAAACGAGCATGCGGGGTGAGGACAGCGGCATTAGATGGGGCAGACGAAGATTGCGGGAGCGGATCAATAAGGCTTGGATACTGACGACGCCGCTGGGCAGGGTCGGAATAGCCCCGACGTGGGTTGGACTCAAATTGACGGCGCATTCCCTGCCTGCGACGGCTACTGAAGGCATTCGTAGCAGAATCTTCGTCCTCGTCGTCGTCATCATCCGTGATAATATCGTCATCGCTATCGGAAAGAAAATCCTCCTCAAGAGCACGCTCAATCTCCGAGATGGTGGGAATATCATCATCAACAGAATCCAGAAAAACGTTTTCATCACCGGTCTCCTTGTCGTCGATAGTGACCCTGAATTCAGCATGGGTATCATTAGTCTCACCATTTTCTATTCCTGCATCTCGAGTGACTTGTGAATCGGGGCTCATGAGAACAGTGCGCTGGAGAGACCGCAGTGGAGGACGAAAGCCGTTCAGATACTCCATAGAGGGCGTGACATTGGAGCGACGAGCAAGGCGGCGGCGATGGCGGGAATGGGAGTACTGTATCTGGTACCGGGCGGTGCGGTGGAGCAATTCATCGGAGGCCATGGAGACAAACACCATTCCTTCTTGAATCCTGGGTAAACTGTTAGGCCTTTTTGCTTAGCTTCGTCGAGTTTCAAATTGGGAGAAGAACTTACGATGCATCAAACCCAACTCCTGGGGCTTTGATCACGAGTTTCTGCAAGCAGAAGGGCGCTTCGCCCCGGTGTCGAAGAATCAAATTGCAGCGATCGGACAACGATCGATAACGAGACGAGTCATTTCGAAGGACACACTCTGGGGAAGTGCCATCTCCCTCGAAATCGAACATTCCTCCGTCGCAGCTCGCAATTTCCATCTTCAAGGGGCCGGGGACCACTTGGCCATTGTGACCGTAGTGAAAGCCTCCAGTTCCTTCACGGTGGTCATCTGCGTCCAGCTTACGTCGCTTGACGCGGCCGCGGCCGCTTGGGGAGCGCTGGGGCATGAGGGCAGGCCTGGGAAGTGTATCACGGAGAGCAGGGCGGAAAGAACGTCGGCGTACTGTTCTGTTGGTCGGCGGGCGGGGCTCCACGCTGGCGGGGTTCACCGTAGACGGAGCGGTGTGCTGGTCTGGTAGGGACCTCCGGGACTCCTGCGCATCTGACCGTAACCGCTGGAGACGTTGGATCTGTCTGTCCACTGCGGCACGCGCTTGCTCAAAGTTGAAGCGGTCTCGGGTCTGGTCTTGATTTCGAGCTTCGTTGTGGCGAACCTCCACTTCTCGGTGCAAGGTGTCCCAGGCGCGTCGAACGTCTTCAGAAGATGGAGATGGACGATTGTTTTCTGAGCTGATAAGATTACGAAGATAGGATACGCCTGGGTACCTAGCGGCAGACTGGTTGTAGCGCGGGGTCCCGGGTTGAGAGTTGACAAAGTTATCCAACAGCTGGACGGTGCCGGGGTTGGACTGGAGTTCAGAAACGAGAGTACCGTAATCTTCGTCACTGCTGGACTCTCGCTCCGGAGCTTCGGGGTTCGACGATCTCCAGTGGTCGATCAGTTGCTGGGTCTGGGGAAAGCGGACGGCAAAGGTCTGATGGCGATCCCTGGAGGTGTCTCTTCCGGGCGGGTCGGCCATGGAATTTGGCGAAGGCAGGCGGACATTACCAGGACGAGAAGGGCGGCGAGACGAAGCAGGTGGGTGGTCGTAGTTCCCTGACTATATGGGGACCGGTGAGGAGCGACTCAGGCAGAAACAGGCAAGCAACTTACCATCCTGCCGTGGAATTCCAAATACGCTAGATGCACCGCCTGAGTCCACCATGAAGAGAGAATCCCTGCTACCCGATTTAGGTCTGCACGTTACAGACCAGGGAAAGATAAGAAAGACCTCGCCCTAAGGGCAGATCGATAGACCATAGTGCGTGCAAGGAATTGGCGCCCTGGTCATCCAACACGTGATCTGCGAGTTGCGGGCGATTAGATCATCGGTGGGGAAGCTTTCACCTCTTTAGCTTCTTGTACTTTCCGGTACTTCTGACCCGCTACGCGCTTGTCTCGCCATGGCTGACGCTGGAGAGCAAATCAGTGCCGGTTCGTTTAAAAACATTTTCTATTGCAGCTTCTGCTTGTCTAATATGCGTCGCAGATGAAATCGCACTCTATGACCGTCAAATCCGACTATGGGGAATGCAAGCGCAGAAAAGGTGAACAACACAACAGATCCCAGAGAGCATTGCCTGCTAACCTCCAGGGCAGGATTGGCTCGGCCAATATCCTTCTTATCACCATGAAGTCTCTTGCCAATGAGGTGGCCAAAAACCTTGTCCTCGCAGGAATTGGCTCTTTGACCATCATCGACCATGAACCAATTACCGCGGATGATCTACAAACTCAGTTCTTCCTCGAAGCGGCGACCCAAGATCCGGATATCGTCAATCAAGGAAAAATGGTATGATTTTTTGCTTCTAACCCTTTTTCTTCTTTCTTTCTTTCTTTCTATTTCTTTTAAGCGTACTCACACCCCAAAGAAGCGCGCCGAAGTCGCTGGTCCCCAGGTCCGCAACATGAACCCTCGGGTAAAGCTGAATATCGATACCTCCGACATCCGCACAAAAGAGCCTGATTACTACGCCCAGTTCAGTGTCGTCATTGCGACCGAACTGGACTACAATACTACGTCTGCGATTAACGCCGCCTGTCGCATGGCGGAACGTCCCTTTTACGCAGCTGGGCTCCACGGACTATACGGTTACGTCTTCGCAGACCTCATTAGCCACGAATTCGTTATCGAACGAAATAAGTCGAATGTGCCGGCGCAGACACAAGAGACATCAACGCGTACCGTCACCAATATAACAACCAAGAAGGAGGGCGACAAAGTTATCGAGCTCGTTACAAAGCGCGAGACATACACTCCGCTGCTATTGGCAAATGCTTCGCCCCTCCCGGAAGAATATACCCGTGTCCTTCGCAAGCGGAAGCAGGTGACTCCCCTCCTCAGTTGCCTGCGCGCGCTATGGGAGTTTGAGAAAGCATCCGCCCGACGACCAACGTTCAACCATGCAGACCTCGAACTTTTCACCAGGCTCGCTAGTGACAGCCACCAGGAATTGAAGCTGGATTCCAGTACTCTGGACTCTGTGTTCTTGCGGAACTTCTTGCAGAACCTCGGGAACGAGCTGCCTCCCGTCGCTGCATTCTTGGGTGGCGCGCTCGCGCAAGACGTGATCAACGTCCTCTCTGCTCGGGAGCAGCCGATCCAGAACCTCCTTCTGTTTGATGCAGACAAATCAGTAGGCCCGATCTATCCGCTGCATCCTTTCTTTGATGAAATCCCCGGGTTGGCTGCGGTGCCACCGGTAGCAAACCCCATTCCGATACATCCCGCTTCCGCCACGGCTGTGCCTGAGACGACTCTGTGAGCATGAGCGTTGTCTACCAAATGCTCGATTCTGGCGTTGGGGTTTTAGCGTCCCTTTTGCTTTCCATCTACGAATCATGTGTACGATATCAGGATAACAATTTATGTTCAATTCCCTATGGTAACATTATGTTCAAAAGATTAAGCTACCCACATGCTTGGTGTAGCCACATGTAGACAAACCAAACGCCATCAGTGCATTACAAATTTCCATCGGAATTTAATGTGCCTCCTTGCCCAGTTCTTCGTCCAGGGACCTTTTCGGGCCCATGGAAGACGATTCGCCCTCCTCTTCGTCACTAATTAAGCCTTCAAGCTCGAAACCCTCCGCATCGTGGATACGCTGCGTCTCGGATTGAGAGCGCGCACGACCATTGATACCATTGACATTGGTGTACTTGCCTTGACCTTCGGTCTCTTCCTCGGGGCCGTTGGGCCAGGCATGGACAGCGTAGATGTGGAGAAGGACGTTGACAACTGCGAACTATTAGTACCAACATGATAAGTGATACGACGGCAGACTTACAGAGGAAAAGAAGGAATGCAAAACTGTACTGAATTAGCACGTACGAAACGTGCATGACACCAGCGTTACTCAGAAGCTCCATTTGCTCCTCGGTGGCGCCCATAAACAAGAAGCCCGAGGCACACAGTAACTGGACACGTTAGCAAAAGAGGTTCCTAGTTGACGGACAGCAGACGACCACTTACAAATGGAGTGAGATACTGGAAGCTGTCGGGGTCGGTTCCGCTCATACTGACAGCAGGTTGATCACGCAAAACGAAGGAAATTTCAATCACGCGAGCAAGACCAGCACCCATCAGTGTATATCCAAAGACAGAGTGGACCATAGTGCTGATCATCAGAGTCTGAGTGTGAGCTGACATGGCATACCCGGTCATCATAATAACAATCGCAGGAATCAGGTTGCGCTTAGGGCGGCCGTCCCGGGAGCGGCTAAGCCACATGCCCAGCAGACCAGCACACCACCAGATGATACCCATGGTAGTATGCTGGAGGTCGTTGTGCACCCAGGGACCACCCCAGCGGTGCTCGGTGAAAGTGTTGACGCAGCCCCAAGCCGCAATGATCAGGGAGTCGAAAAACTCCTGGCTGCGGCCCGTGCGACGGAGCCAGTACTGGCCGACCAGCAGCAGGATGGTCAGCAAAATGCCGTATGCGATGAAAGCACTGCCCATAATGAAATGGGCTGCACACTGTCCAAGGTGGTCGCCCTGGCAAAAACCGAGCGCGGCGATTCCACCAAACAAGATTTGCACCCAGCTAACAACAGGCATCGCCTTGCCGAGAACACCGTGGGCCAGGACAAAGATCCATCGAATCCGTCCCTGTCCTCCCTTCTCCAGATGGAGCTTCAGATAAAATCCCAGGGCGACTTGCACGATCAGCATCAGCATGAGCCAGTTGGCGAAAGAGTGGTGAGCGTTCGGTCCAAATTGGCGACCCTTGTGCGCGTGGCCGAGGAAATAAGCAACAGTGGCGATGCAGGATCCAACGACTTGAACAGGAACGTGCCAGCGCGAGCGAACAATCTATCGAGCATCGTGTATTAGAGTTGGCCCCCGGCTATCGTAGGGTGGCATGACTTACCCCCAACACCATACCCAGCGGAAAAATGATGCCGAATGCGAATCCCATCAACAGAATGTGCACCCATAGTATCGCGTCCTGCGTTCTTCGTTAGTATGACATTTCTTGGATTCATAACCTGGCAGTTGGACCAGAAATCGCGGGGACTAACGAGAGGCTCGAGAGAGATGGCTTCGCCTTCAGGGACCATTTCATGGCCACCGTGGGCGGCGGCGAGGCCGGCGAGTATGAAGAGCGTCCATAAGGACCCTTGAGACCGGAGATTCATGATGATCTCTGGAGTGGTGAAAGTCTTGGCTTTGGGGGGGGGTGGAAGTTGAAGATGGTAAAAAGGGACGACTAGTTAGGCGGGCCATGGCGAGGTGGATCGCCAATCCGGAGGATCCGATTACTTGGCTTCCATTTCCGTTACGCGTCCCTGAAACCGTACTCCTTCAAGTTCTCTCGCTCTCCACTTATTGCTTTGCTATTAGCATACAGAATGAAATTTTGTTATTTTCTTCAGTGTTTTGTTAATCCGCTTTTTAAACCCTCCAAGCCTTATAGGCGAGATGGCAATACTTGAAACGCGTCCCAAGCTACATCACAGTACATGCCTCCGGAGAGGTTGTTGTTGACAATATTATTTTGTTTTCATCAAGTACTAAAAGACTCTAAAGCCCCTCCATCGGTTGAAATCCCTGAGATTCTAGTCTTTAGTGAGAGCGCTCCTATTTCCGAGAGGGGGCGAAAAGCGTCCAGGCCCATCTCATAGTTGGACACCTTGAATTTATGGTGTACAACTTACTAGCAGTATGCGCCCATATCGATGGAAGAAACTTACTGCTTAACCGCATAATAGACAGACTGGCACCGTCCATTAACTTTGATTATTCTCAAGATCATCATCTAAAGTTTGCCCATAGTCTGTTCAGACTGTCCCAGGTAATGTAGGCCAGACTGTAGGAAGGCAGTGCTGCCACGATCAGCAGAATCGAACACAAGAGGATCAACAGCAAAATAGTGGGAACAGAACATCCTACAACGAACTCAACTTACTCTCCACACATACCCGCAACCTACCAACACCTCCATCGGTCTGGCAATCAACCATTAACGCGACCGCTGCCTCGAATCCACCATGGAAGATCAGAATCGCAAGACCCAAGAGGAGGAACAACAGGCTGAGGATGCTCGCAAAGCCAACGAAAAGTCCAAGGTAGGAACGCCTTTTGACACCATCAAGTCACAGGCCCAGATTCGTACTACATAACCACCCGTTCTGCAGATAGACTTTGTATTGAGCCGCTACTGAACTAGACGCAGGAACGTCTTCGTGCCAATATTGTGCTCCTCGAAGAATACATTGCGAAAAAGGAAGCGCTCGTGGAAAATGAAAAGGCCCGCCTGCGGTAATTACATAGTGTCATTATGGGTCCACGATGACAAGGCCCTTGTCAATGGGAGAAATAGCTGATCTCTACAGCGCAACCGGTGCCGACGAGACTGCGTCTGAAATAGTCAATCGCCACATTCGCTACCTACACCGATACAACGAGATGCGAGACAGCGGCTTGGGGATGCTGAGCCTTCTTGCGGAGAACAAGGGTCTCACCTTGGCGCAGATTTACAAGGAACGTGGTATGAACGAGACTGTCGAGTTGTGGTTCCCGGGCTGATTCGTCGATTTGGACCATCCAGAGCGAATGGCTCTGTCCAATTCCCGAGGAAAATTCCTAATGATCGGGTTTTCTTTATCTGCTCTACGGCATTTATACTGGGAACAATAAAGAAAGAATGAGATACATTTAGTCCAATACATTCGTAAACCACCAAACTCCCGATTATCTATATAAGTCAGATCATGAGCGGCGGTAATAGGTACAGGCATCAATCGGGTTCCGATCGAGTCTTGGTTTTGCGATCGTGTCAGATGAGGGTATAAAGGAAGTCAGTGAAGAATAACAAGAGATGAAACCTCAAACGCGACCCGCTAGAGATCAACGTAGACGGTGCGCAATGCAATGCGGATGCAAAATGGAAAATGGATGATGAAAAAGAAAAAAAGAAAAAAGAAAAAAAATATATTTTCAAAAAAAAATATAACGCGACTGGTTAACCCGCCTTCTCCAGAGACTGGAGTTGCACCAGCTCGTAGTAGCGGCCCTTGCGGCGCATCAACTCAGTGTGGTTACCGGCCTCAACGACCTTACCAGCCTCGAACACGTAGATAATGTCCGCATTCTGGATGGAAGAGAGACGGTGAGCAACGGCAATGGTAGTACGACCGCGAGCAGCAGCGTCAAGAGCCTCCTGCACGATCTTCTCGGACTCGGAGTCCAGAGCGGAGGTGGCCTCGTCGAGAAGCAGGATACGGGGGTTGCGGAGCAAGGCACGGGCAATGGCCACACGCTGCTTCTGACCACCAGACAACATGCCACCTTTGTTACCAACGACAGTGTCGAAGCCCTCACTGGCGTGGTGTTAGCTTGTCGATCATATGGATATGCGGGAAGTAGTGAGAAAACTTACGGAAGAGACATGATGAAGTCGTAGATGTTAGCATCACGGCAAGCCTTCTCGACAGCGCCCTCAGGAAGCATGCGGCCTTCGGCACCAAGCATGATGTTTTCACGAACGGTACCCTGGTAAAGAGTAGGCTCTTGACTGACAAGACCGATATGATCACGATAGGAATTGACGTTCAGTTCCATGATGTTCTTGCCATCGACGTAGACACCGCCAGAAAGGACATCATAGAAACGCTCGAGCAGACCGATGGTGGTACTCTTACCACAACCAGAGGGACCCACAAGGGCAACATATTGACCAGGAGAGATGGCAAGGTCCAAACCACGGAGAACGGGCTGGTGGGGACGAGTGGGGTAACGGAAGTGGACGTTGCGAAACTCAACCATACCATCCATTTTGTGGAGGTGCTCACCAGCCTCAGACCAGGTATCAATAGGAGGCTCACGTTCGAACAGAGTGCGGGTCTCAGCGGCGGCATTCTGTGCCTTCCCCATGTCCGGGAGAAAGAGAACACGGTACCGGCAGATTGAGAACCGAACAGGATTTCGGCGAAACAGACGAAGAAGTGGAACACATCGTACTCGCCACGGCCAATCAGAGTACCACCCCACCAGAAGCCAAGGGCGATACAGAAGAAGACGACAGACAGCGAAGCAGCGTAGAGGGTAGACGACTTGAGAATGGATCGAAGACTGCGTGCAGTCTGAGCCTCAAGCTGAGTGTGGAAGTGTTCGAGAACATCTCGCTCACGGCTGAGAGCAGCGACGGTACGGATAGCACCGGCAGCCTCACAGGCGTAGCTAGCACTCGACGCGTAGGCCTGCTTGGAGCGCGCCTGAAATTGCGCAAGAAGCTGGAAACGGTAGAAACCACAACCCAAGAGAAGCGGCACACCGACCATACACACAAGGGCAAGCTTCCAACCGAAGGACAAGGCGACGACAATGGAGCCAGTCAAGGTGGTGGTACACATCATAATCGTTCCGAGGGTCTGGCCCGAGATACCCGCGAGAGACTTGGTGGTACCAGCGAGGAAAGAAGTCATAGCACCAACACTGTTCTCCTCACGATCGAAGAAGTTGATGTCCTGGCGAAGCAGAGTCCGGAAAGCACGGCTCCGGGCATTGCGAACAAGACGCTCGGAGCAGAAAGCGAAGAGAATGCCCATCATGGAGGCAGTGCAGAGCTGCACAAGACCAGTGGCCAGGAACATCAATGACCAGAAACTGGAGTCATGTTCGATCTGGTGTCTCTTTTCCGCAACGGGGTAGACGGAGATCGCAGAGATAGCCTTGGCGTACAAGAAAGCCTGGGTGGGCTGACCGCAACCAGCGAGAATAGCAAAGAACATACCAAGGACCATGAATCGCCATTGGCGAGCATTGAACCCAAAGATGAATCTGATCAGAGAAAGCAGACTGAATTTGACGTCCTCCTCAGGTTCGTGCTCCGCAAGAATGAAACTGGAGATAGATTGGGTATCACCTTCGTTCATTTCAATGAAGCTGTGACGCAGGTACTCGCTCGGCTCGACGGGCTGGATACCATCCATACGTTGGCCAAGATCGTCAGCGAACATACCAAGGGCAGCCTCATCTTCGGGCTTGAGCAGCATAGTGGCACGAGGGTTGGCAGCGTGGGTGAAGTAGGCAGTGTGACGACTACGGCGCATCGCAGGGTGCAGGGCAGATGGCGGGCGGACGTTGGAGCCAGGACGAGCAAGAGAGCCAGGACGGAACATGGAGGCAGGGTTGCCCATATCGGCACGCCACATGGTCTTGATACGGGGACGAGCAGCTGGTGGAGGAGCATCCAGGTCAATAGTGTCAAGATCATCAGTAGCAACGGAGAAACGATCGTTCTCCTCGGTAATCTTCTGCGCATTGACAAGCTTGGCGTAGACACCATCCTTGGAGAGCAGGGCGTCGTGAGTTCCTTGCTCGACAATCTCTCCCTTCACGAAGCAAACAATGTTGTGGGCATTCTTGACGGTAGAAAGACGGTGGGCAATGACAATGGTGGTTCGGCCCTCAGCTGCCTTGTCAAGGGCAGCTTGGACAACGCCTTCAGACTTGGTATCCAGGGCAGAGGTAGCCTCATCCAGCAAAAGAATCTTGGGATCGGAGACAACAGCACGAGCAATAGCAATACGCTGCTTCTGGCCACCAGAAAGCAAGAAACCGCGCTGACCAACGTTGGTCTCATATCCTTCGGGGAGGTTCATGATGAAGTCATGCGCGTTGGCCATCTTAGCAGCGTTCTCAATCAGGTTACGGATGCGGATCTCGGGCTCATGCTCCCATCGTGTTCCAATCAGACCATACCGAATGTTCTCAGCGATGGTCACTCCGAACAGAATAGGTTCCTGACTGACAATGGAGATCTGTTGGCGCAACCAGCGGAGGTTGATCTTCTGCAAGTCAACACCATCAAGGGTGACATTGCCCTGAACTGGGAGGTAGAAGCGCTCAACAAGGCCAACCGCGGTACTCTTACCCGATCCAGAAGGACCGACAAGGGCAGTTGTGGTACCAGAGCGGCAAGTCAGGGTCATACCCTTCATGATGGTCACATCAGGACGCGAGGGATAGATGTGCTTCACATTGTTGAACTGAATGTCACCCTTCAGGTTGCTAAGGATGATACCCTCGTCGCTCAAGGGGTCAATGGGGGATTCACGGTCGATGGTGGCAAAGATCTTGGTGGCGGCAGCGACAGCATTGGTGAAAGCCTGGGAGTTGGGGCTGATGTTGCCCAAACTGAAGGAACCCATGAGGATAGACATAAGAATGGTGATGACGTTGCCAGCGGGGACTTCACCCATCGCAACGTAGTGACCACCCTGCCAGAAACCAAGACCATAGTTCAGGAACATGATGGAGAACATGGAGGCTACCAGCACACCGAGAGTCATTTGCAAACGCATGCCCCACTTCTCAGCCAACTTGAGGTGGCCCTCGTATTGGCGAGCAAGCTTGTCTTGATTACCGAAGGCAGTAGCACTGCGAATGGAGCTGAGAACTTCTTCGGCTAGCGAACCGCCAGCAGCGTAACTGATGATCGACAGTTTACCGTACTTGACAATGAACTTGGAGCCAGTTCCCATGATCAGGACAATGGCCACAACAGTGGACGAACAGATACCAGCAAGCTTGGGGAACTTGATGAAAGCAATAATGAAACCAGTGCAGAAAGTTGAGAGAGCCTGCAGGGTTAAACCAACCTTCTCGGACAGACCCATTTGGATCAAGTCGGTATCGGCGGTAATACGGGTAGTGATTTCACCAGTACCCTGCTTGTCAAAGAATCCAATGTTCTGACGCAGGATGGCCTCCAGATACTTCTCACGAATAACCTGAGTGATGTGCTCTCCGGTGTGCATGAAACCAACCATGCTAATATAGACGGTGAAGAATTGGGCGATTCCAAGGTAGACGTAGTACAGCACGTAGTGGCCAAGTTGGTGGTTAAAGTATTCGTGGGTAATTAATCCAGCGCCGATCAAGCCGAAGTTGGTCGACATTTTACCCATGACGATAGTGAACAGAGGCTGAGCGACACCAGCGACGATGGCCATGATGGCACTGATTGCAACAATAATGAAATCGTATGCCGTGGCATATCGGTACAGGGAGAAGAAGTTCAAGTTCTCACTCCGGACCTCAATTTGACTCTTGAGGATTTCCCTCTCACGCTGGGGCAAGTGGGCGTACAAACCATCGTCAGGAGATGGAGCGTGGACAGGACCCTTCTTGGCGGGCTTCTTCTTCTTCTTCGGCTTTTCTTCGGTGTCGAAACCGCGGTTCGCTCTGTAAACCGGGGGGTGGTCGCCCTTGACGTTGGTGTCGATCATCTCGACATCGTCGGATGAATTGTCACCCTGGGATTGCCTCGATCGGTAACCCATGGTGGTCGTTGTAACCCCAGTCAGTTCAAGGTCTAGACAGGAGCTATGGGTAACGACACAGGCTGAGGGGAGGGCTCAGGATTAGAATATTAGGGCGTGGGATGACAGAAAGTGGAAAAGAAAGAAGGGCTTTGTGCATGGCGGGACAGAAGCTTCTATTAAAAAGGAGATACGATCGCCTCAACACACGGACAATGGGGGCGAGAGGCAAGGAAGCTCAGAATGGTTACGCGAGAAGCCGGTTGATCGGGTCTAAAAAAAGTAAAAATAAAAAAGATTGGAAACGTGTTTTGGGGGTCCAGATGTCAGGATGGGTTTCGAAACGCGATCTCGAACAACTGGCCAATCGGGGGCGAATAAGAAGCTTTTTAAGAGTGAGGTGGGCCAAATTAGTGGCCTTTGGGTCCAAGTATACATGTATTCCTCTCAGTGCAGTAAAGTTGCTGTTGAGATGGACCTTCGGGAATAGCGGGGGATAGGGTCCCTTTACGAGTCTCAGGGCCAATGAAGAACACCTTATGGAGCATTCTTCTTCTACGGGAGCTCTAGTCCATGCATTAGTGCTCTCAGTACAGCTAAACGTATACCCAAAATAGATTCGCAAATGGAAAGCCTTGTTCAAAAATTCCGTGTCCTGTTACTCGAGTTGGACTAGAGGGCCGTTTTGGCCCCGACTATGCTGGATGTGGGCAAAAGCCACAAGGCTTGCGGCTGACCCGGGCAGAACTCAAGCGAATGTGGGACTGGGCACGGGCAGCGCAACTGTAACCGCAAGAAAAGGGATTGCAAGGTTAAGCAGCTGTATAGGGTGGAGGCCGTAGTTTGCGTATTTCGTACTTCGTTGATGGCACTAACTTAGAAAAACTGGGTCTCCAGCGTTGGTTACGGTTTAGAGTGGCCAATCATGAAGGGCTGTGGATCCCACTAGCCCTAATATGTCAAATGATCGTCTCGGTGGGAGCCACGTTTTTCTCCACTCCTGGGGGCGATCAGTCTAGGAGACCACGGGGAGCCCTGCTGCGCAGCCGGGGGGTAACGGATACACATAGATACGATCGAGCGGAACTATTATGAGTCGCACTGAGACAACAACGCTATAGATTCCCCCCGGTAGTGTTTCCAGGTATGACAAACACACATGGCCGAGATAGTTATATTATTCCGGGGCCGTTGGAGTGCATTGACTAAGACTGAACCTGCAGGATCGAATCTAAAGTTAGCTTGAAGGATGCAGCCCCCAGGAACAGAAGCTTTCTAAGGTGAGCATAGGTCCAATTCGGATCTTGCCAAGCAGGTCATTTAGCCTTGCAATATCATAGCAATACGCCTCTGCCCGTGGTTGGGGCGGAATACGTTTAAGTACTATTGTGCAGCATGCGAGAAAGGAATCGTACGTCTGGATTTTATTGGTTGCAATTCCCCACCTCGTGTTTCAACTTCTCCTCGAGGGAGCGAGATACGAGAGGCAACCCCCCCTTTCTTCCCTTTTTGCTAATTCGCATTATGCCTGCGAGCATGGGCCCTGGCGCTTCCTGTGGGGGCAATGCGATCATGATCATCCATTTTGCTACCAAAGTGGTTCCCATACGAAGTACGCCCGGCATAATGCACAACTCTTCCATGACCCTAGTACAATCCAGAACGTCCGACATCGATTCACCACCTTCAAGGATCATCAATGTTTGATCTGCTCCACGATTCGACGTTGATCCAGAATCACTTACCACATGGTGGACAGGCCTGGTGCGCATCGTCCCGCACTTTGAACTTTGAAACGAACGATGGATTAAAAAGAAAAAAGAAAACAAAAAATGGATTGTATGAGATGCAGCAGTTAGGGCTGATCAGTGGTTCCCGCCGATCAGCAGAGTGCGAGCCCGTCGGAAACGTGGCTGGCTCTGACCTTGGTGCTGAGGCCCTGCCTCTTGCTCCAACCAGGGTCATGCAAACAAGTCAAGGCACATGCGTGACTCTTTTTTCTCCGTCAATCCCGGTTTTCAGAAGCCGCTTACGAGAAAATCTAGCCTTGGTTTATCCACATTCACTAGAAGTTGCGATAAGGACAAAATACCCGTGAATTGGTGCAGGACTTCAGGCCGCCGCGCTCTGTTCCATCACACGTACTCCTTCGGTGAGAATGGAACGCCTCAATGCCTTGTTCAAGGGTGCGACGTCTTATCTGTAGAGGCTAAAGGCCTATAGGTAAGTGGTGCAATCAAAGTGGATTGGGTGCGTGTTGCTGTTTAGACGGGGTTAATCCTTCGGGCCCGCGATATGGGGGGCGCCCAAGGAGCTATTTGGCGTCTGGAATATCATCGAAATGAATCTCAAATAGTTCCTAATCGAGATTTTATTCCTAGCGGGGCTCGTGCCGCTTCTTAAGTTCTAATAATGGGTGGTGGGAACCCTCTAATCTAGTATGAGGCGACGTCGTGAATCCTATTTGATTAAACTCAAGAGTTTGGAAATCACAAGATATGGGAGAATTCAGCTTATCACATGCAATCATGATGATATAGCCTGAAGTGGAGCATCATCACAGAAACAAGAGCTGATGAAGCGTCAGTGCGAAGCTTGTAAAGCTTGTCTACTACAGATAGGTTTCGACCTGCGCCAAAGCGACAGGGCGCCAGGCGCCAGATAGTCAGGCAGTAAGGCAGCGTCTTGGAACCTTGGAACAACCTTCGAGGTGGCACGAGATTAGTAATCTCAGGCACCAATAGTTCAGGTGTCGATGCTGCGTCACCTGACCATTCAAGCGAAGCCAAGCCCTTTCCCGCACACAAACCGCCTCCCGTTGGTCTCGACGAACTTTTCCATTTCAAATCCAGCTCGCCGTCGCGACAGTCCACCAAGATGCCGGTACGTTATCGAACCATCTGCATTCGACAAACATCCTAAGATGTTATTGAATGTCATTTCGTCGAACTTCCCCTAACCCTCCTTGTCCGCACAGAGCCACAAGACCTTCCGCACCAAGCAAAAGCTTGCCAAAGCTCAGCGTCAGAACCGCCCTATCCCTCAGTGGATTCGCCTGCGCACTGGCAACACCATCCGGTAAATAGCGCCCGAATTAAATTCTCGCTCAATCAGATCGAAAACCCGAGATGGGAGAATATTCAACAGGACTGGGTTGAGAGATCGCATCGGAGCATATGGACTGACAGCCCACCTCAGGTACAACGCTAAGCGTCGTCACTGGCGCAAGACCCGCCTGGGTATCTAAACTCGCCCCGGCATTTTCACCCACTTTGCTTCCATTTCACGACTTTTCCACGATGTGTGTGTGATGATATCCCGACGTCCTCTTATCTCGATATGCACCTCAATCCGGCTTGGCTGCGCTAGTCATACGAAACTACTCCAAGCATGACAACAAGACACATGGGACCATTTTATCGAAGCCGGAAATCTGCGACCTCGATAGTCATTGCTTAGAGTAATGATCCAACCGGAACCTTGCTGCTCGCCCACGAAGCGACGAATTTTGTACCTCGAGTCTAGGGGCCGTCATTTTCGGGGAAGTCGGATATGGACCTAGTGGTTTTCCTTTTTCAAAAAATTATGGAATGAATGGAATCCTTTGTCTTGCAAGCATCATTCGTGCTCCGTACATGGGCATTCGTAGAGTTGGTTATACGCAGTGCTCGATTGTCTTGTAGCTGCCTTAAATTTGGTGGCATTCAGCTGCTCTCCTGCTTCGAGGATGACTCTTACGGTTCATTATAGTATCTAGGATCATAAGAACCTGTAGTTACAAGACGGGCAGAAGTTCCAGCTGCATGGCGATGGTAGGTTGTGGCCTTTTATTGTGTTCGTCATGGAGTTGGACTTCCAATGTCGAGAGCAAGCTACTTTCACGCTGGCGAGGGCGACAATACGCGCAGGGTGATACTCATCTGTATTCTACCTTGGAGTCATCCTTGACTTCATCTTGGTATGGGCGCTATGTCTTCCAAGTTCAAGTGGCGAGTTGAATGCACTCCAACAAAGATGGTATTGGCTCTACATAGCAGGCAGTCCGGTATCACTGCAATGAACACCATGAATTCTACTGGTACACCAACTCACCTCGTCAATAGTATGTCAATAGTACGCAGAGTTGGCACTGACCGTGGTACTTTCTTCTAGGGAAATTGAGCTCTTAGGAATTGAAAAGAATCTTGAATTCGAAAATCTTTGATTTGAGGCCTCCATTAGACCCGGTGACGGCATGCAGTTCGTAAAGCGAGCTTTGTAAAGCCAGAAGTGGAAACAACAGAAACATCATGTAAGTGGAAAGAAACCGAGCCGCTTAGCCTAACGCCGGAACAAAGCAAATAGGCCACGATCTATAGGTCCAAGACCTCGCCAGCCGGGACAGCAACGATCAAGTCAACTAAGAAGGCCCATCCACGAAAAGAACCCATTTTAAGGTAGGTAAAATAGCGAAACCTGACATTATCCAGGAAGAAAAGCGGAAAGATTCCCATTTAGCGGCTGTAGAGAAGAGATTAGCAACCTTCATGATGACAACTATTTTCCGAAACGAGGGAGACACTCACTCCTCGGCCCACTCGTTCTCCCGGCGAATCTGATCTTCCTCCTCGGGGGTAAAGTCATTCTGAATGTTGAATGTCTTGCGGATCTCCTCGGGTGACTTGCCCTTGATCATGTTTGCAACAGTCTTGCAGCCGACGTCAAGAAGAGCCTTGATGTCGAGGTAGTTTGCAGCCTAGCGCGTAAAGTTCAGTCAGCATCATCTCCCCCGCCATAACGGCTGTGTGGCGGCGCGAGCACATACCAAGATGACCTCGAACAACATCTCTTGGTCGACTTGCATGAACTTCTGGTCCCACTCATCGATGTCGGTAGTCTTGCGACGAGTGTCGTCATCATCGCCGGCGGTGGGAGGGTCGTTCTTGTGGTGGTCACACCATTCAATCACCTTCTTGAGGACAGCCTCGTTGACCTAGAAAGCTGTCAGATCGGACATAGCTCCTTAGTTCTCTATGCGGGAGACACGTACGTTGGGGATAGGAATGGCCTCGCCGGAGTCACCCAGATCCTCCAGCATGTTCTTGATCAAAACGGATCGCTCCGCAACGGTGCGGTCTGGAAGAGTTAGCCACGGAGCTGTCCATGTGTGAAATATCCGCAAGCACTCAAAAACTTACCGACAGAAATGTCAACACCATCGGAGCTGGTCAGGGTGATGATTGGGGAAGCCATAATTGGGTGTCAAATGTGGAAAGGTGGGTGCTGGAGAAAGTCAAGATCTGTTCCTTGGGGCCGCCGGAGGTTGAAATAGGAGGGGTCAAGTGGGCGGGTGTAGCAGACAGTTATTTCTGGAGTTCGCCGCACGTACTTCGATAACAAAGATCTTAGAGATCTCTTGGGAGCAGAGGCAAAGAACGTCAGGAAGGCGTCGATGATACAATGAGAACAACGGGCAAGGATAAAGTCCCGTGGTCGACAAGAGTTACTTAGTCATAGAGAGAGAGGCTGCTGCACACGGGAACCGCTTTGGGCATTGGTGCCTTGTGCCTGCAATCATCCATTACAGCCTCTTTTGTTTGTGGATCCACCCAGTGTCTGTCTGTTCTCTTTATTGCTTGCTAGATCATTATGAGCTCTTGTGATCCTTGGCACATTGTGGCAAGACCTTCTTAAATCACCGAGATAGACACTACAGGAAAACAGGCCGTTGGTTACGAGCATGTTGAGTGGCATCTGTAAGTAGATATCCTACTCGCTTCAAGCTAATCTGCTTCGTCGCATTCATATGAAAATAAGGGCATCATACTCATACCGGTACATAATACACATACATCTTCTGCGGCTGATAAGTCGATCAAGTTGAGTTCTAGGGCCATGGGGCTGCCTCTCTACTACGTGCGCAAGAGTGGAATCTCTCTGTAAATGTTGAATTTTGGGCTCAGGATATATGAAGTATTTCTTTGTGGGTACAAAATCGAAGATGGGCTAGTATATCGTAGACGCAGGGAGCTACTTGAGCGCTACCAGGCGATGCCCAATCAGGACTAAGCCTAATCTCCAGCCCGTGATATCATGATTCGAATTCGACGCGTCGCACTTTCTCTGCACTCCTTTGATTTTCTGTCTCCCTCATTTTCTTTGCTCTCTTCCGGCATCTCTTATCTGTGATTTTGGCCAGCATGTTCCTGGTGCCCCTTGATCATGTGGCGACGAACATATTTACTCTTATTCCTGATCCGTGTTTACTTCGCCCTCTGTCCCAGCTACATCCATCCCGATGAGAATTTCCAAGGTCCCGAGGTCTTTGCCGGTACGTCTGTTGTATTTCCACTTGGGTATTTGGTATGCCTATTATTGGCAATGATGAATCGAGAGCATGCGCAGGAGATTTGCCCTGCTTGTTCACGATGACACGATGACGCGCGCGTTGGACATGCAACCGCGACGCAAAAAAGAAAAACCTCCTTTTGGCCACCCCAAACCTGCCAGCTAATCAAACCCATCTCGTTCAGGTCGCATATTCTCCTACCCTTCGAGGATACCTTGGGAATTTACCGCCGAGCACCCCATCCGAAGCGTCTTCCCACTATGGCCGATTTACGAGGTCCCGATGAGTTTGTTGAAATGGTTCTACACAGAAGGCGGATCAGGGCATCCACCACCACAACTGGTGTACTATGCGCTGCGTACGGGGATGTTCCTTCTCAGCTTTGTACTTGAGGACTGGGCAGTCTACGAACTAGTCCCATCTCCGGCCCATCGGCGCGCAACCGTTGTCCTGGTGGCCTCATCCTATGTCACCTGGACATATCAGACGCACACCTTCTCCAACTCACTCGAGACTTTGTTGGTGGCCTGGGGTCTGGTTCTGATTCGTCGCATTGTCAAGAACAAGGTTTGCACCGTTTTGGGTACCCTTGGTAGTTCCGGAGCTGACTTATAGTTTAGCAATATTCGTCGTTCTTCTCCTATGCGGTCTTATCCCTCATCGCGGTTATCGGTGTTTTCAACCGTATCACCTTCCCTGCGTTCCTCCTTTTCCCAGGTCTACAGCTGCTCCCCTGTTTTCGGTGCAAACCAGCGGCTTTGGGTATCTTTGTTGGCTTTGGGTTGTTATTCGCCTCGGTCGCAATCTACATCGACACTTCGTTCTATAGACCCGCCGCATCTTTCTCGGACATCCTACGCAACCCAATCATAACACCGCTTAACAATATTCGGTACAACAGCGACTCCTCAAATTTGGCAATTCATGGCCTTCACCCTCACCACCAACACTTCGTCGCCAACCTTTTCCAGCTTCTAGGCCCGGCATATGTCGCCATGATAGTGTCATTGTTCAACCGGAAGATTGTGCCATCGTGGATGCGCAATGCGCGCGCGCTCTCTGCCGTCTCAGCCACAATGCTCCTCTCCATCTTCCCACACCAAGAACCACGCTTTCTAATCCCTTGCGTTCCTCTCCTCCTCAGCTGCGTCCGTATACATCGCACGCGGATGTTCCTAGTGTCATGGATCGGCTTCAATGCAGTGATGGGTTTCCTCATGGGTGTCTACCACCAAGGCGGCATAGTGCCAACCCAACTCGCTATGCGCTCGATCGTCGAAACCAACACTGCTTCGCAGGGCATCAAGTCACAGCCCGACGCAAGCGTTTTCTGGTGGAAGACTTACTCCCCGCCACAGTGGCTTCTTGGCCCGGATCAAGACTTGGACAGCGGTAACAGCTCAGCCCACATCGATACATTCGACCTCATGGGCATCCCAGGTCTGGAAATGATCCAACGGCTAGACTCCGCCGTACCGCGCTGCCCCTTCTCCTCTCCCGTCTACCTCGTTGCTCCCCTCTCCGCGACTTTCCTCGATACCTACTCCGCCGAATCTTCTCTCTCTTCTCCACATTCCCCGAACATCCAGCTCTACCGCTTATGGTCTTACCGGAAGCACCTCAACCTGGATGACCTCGATTTTGGTGAAGACGGTGTTCTACGCACGCTGCGCCGTATCCTTGGCCGGCGTGGCTTAGGCGTCTGGTCCGTTCGCCGGGCATGCAAGTGATACAATTAATACCATTCTAGTCTCAATTTTGATGCCTTATGGACCCTTGAAGATACCACTTGGAAATAGTACCTGATTTTGGAAAGTCTCGTTTTGATGCTATTTATTTATAATCGCCATCTCCCAGCGGGAGTTTCTCTTTTGTTCGTGTCATAGATACTTTTTTGCATCGCGCAGCATATTCATTACCATGTGTTCTATCCATTTCAACTCCTTCAGATTACAAATTCAGAACCCTTCCGGTGGATTTCACTGGTCCGCAATGTCTCCTACAACTCGAATGGTCTCTCCTCGCCTCAATACCGCTCCGAGTAATGATCCTTCGGGAATTGGTTTTCCACCTGCGCACCCGTGTGACCACCACCGTCCATTGCGTGAATTATGCTTATCTTTCGCGTAGAATGTGGCCTGGTGATCTGATTAGTTCGATTCCGAATTCTTACTCAGCGATTTTGCAGATCGGCACGCCTTTCTCCGTAGGCAGCAGTTCTGCTTCGCGTAAACGATTCTACAGCCTTGGAAGTATATCAGTCAGCAGCAGCCGAAATATATTGCTGCTACCAGTACACCTCCAGACGATCCGAAATTGTTCGAAACTTGCACTAGTATTGCCCTAGCTTCACGGGTCTCTCTAATTCAACAGGAACACGCCATGAATTTATTGCCAGGGGTAGTGTTGTGATCTCAGTATATACTATACAGGTATCTGGGGCAGACCGAGGACGGCAGAAGATACGAGTCACCGTGACGTCAACCGAGTACAGATTGCAAAAGTTATCGCCCCTCTAAGAGGAAGATCCTTGTAGAGATAAGATAATTTGAAGCAATGACATCAAGTGGGCTGAGTCTGCAGGTGACCCGGAAGGCTGCGCATGATCGGGACACCCGATCGCGCACGAGCCACTGGGAGAACCAGATCGACTGCTCCCGTGGAAGCTGCGCCAAGTAGACTTTCATTTCGGGGTGTGTGCTATCTCTATACGGCCATAGAAGCTTATCTATCCCGAGTCGACCCTTGGAATAGGGCAGCTGGGGGAATTTGGGGGGATGAGATGGGGAGGCACGCTTGGAAGACTACCTGGCCACCCCGAACTACTTTTCACCCAGAATAGTTGGACACCCAATGAAGATTTAGCGGAACGTCTCATTTTGCCCATTAGGTTAAATACATGACATGTCGGGGGGTAAAAGAGGGGGATACGGAATGGCAAAGTCCATGAAAAGAGAAGGGCCGAAGAAGCGAGGCTGTACATACAGAACTCGGGACCACAGCACAGGAGACAAGGACAAGGGGACAAGAGGGGAGGGAGACCACGGATCAGGGGATGGAGGGCACTAAAATTGGACTCTGCCAATGTGGAATCAACAGCTGCATGCTTGGTATTCATCAGACCGTAAATAATAAGCAAATGGAAAGGGAGGAGTTGGAAAGAGATATTGTCGAGCATGAACGACGCGGCGTTTACTCCTCATCCTCGTCGGGTTGGTCGAATAGGAAGTTTGCCGCCAGCTCTTCGTTTTTGTCACAAGCGAAGTATGCCTGGATGACAGAATCGCGGGGGAAGCCCAGGCGGCAAAGCTGCGATGGGTGGTTAGTCAAATTGCAAGTTCAATGTAAGAATCAGACGAGTTTCACTCACTCGCTCGATAGCATCCCGCTCTTCCTCTGTCACTTGGATGGCCTGGGTGCCTGGAGGAAGAGGTGCCTCGTCCTCCTCAAGGTCCTCACTCAGCAACTCGAGGAAACGGTCGGAGTTCTGGCCAATGATCTGCGCAATCTGGGGGTTCCCAGCTGCGACTTGTTGCAGAATGGGCTCGAGCATTTGAGGCTGTTGTTGCACAAGCTGGCGTAGCTGCTGGAATGGGGGTTGCTTCGCAAGAAATCCAAGCTTCCAAGGGCATCGCCACCTCCTGCTCCGGCGCCGGCACCACCACGGCTACCACGACCACCTCCTCCCTCGGTGGCCTGAGCCGCAGCTTCAAACAGGTTCAGCGGTTCTTCAGCGGCATTTCCACCGGCTGCTGGGGTAGTGGCAGCAGCAGGAGTCTCACCAGTAGCGCGCTCTGCCTGCTGGGCCTGCTGATTTTGTTGCTGCTCCTGTTGAACGTTGTCGGGAATGCCCTACATACATTATTATTGGCTGCGGTCATTCATCGCAAGAGATAAGGGTCACGTACAGTCAACAGGTATTCAATAGCGCGATCTGGGTTGAAGAATGCCGCGCGCATGGCACGGTCTATATCACTTCGTGCAAAGCCCATGGCCTCCATCTGAGTCACGGCAGATTCGGCCGCTGATCCCATTGCCAAAGCAGAAGGGTCATTGAAAGCGGGAGCCTGGGAAGGGTTCTGTGTCAGACGGTCGGCAGGTGAAGGCGTAGCAGGGACCGGGGCAGCTGGAGCAGTGCTAGCAGCAGGGGCCGGGGCGGGGGAGCAGCAGGAGTTGAAGCGGGAGCTCGGGCAGCAGGAGTTGAGGGTGCCTGCGGAGTGGACGATGAAGCAGTCTTTGGTTGCTGGGAAAATTTAGCGGAGACCTCGGGGATCTGAGAGCTCCATCTCCTACCTTGGAAGGCAAGCAGACTAAAAAGTCCTTTTCTTGGATGTTGTAGGACTCGACTGTCTTGTCATCCTGGAGAATCTTGCCTGTGAACAATGATCAAGTTAGCTGCGGGGGAACTATCGAGCGAGCCCTGGGGGCGAGAAAGGAATCGAAGAAACGCCTCATCAGAGTTGTCGCCATCAGCTCTCAGACACGTACCAGAGTAGATCACTTTCGTTCGCTCAGCTTCGTAGCCACCTTTCACTTGGGCGATTTTCTCTTTGACTTGTCGGACCTGCGAACACAATTAGCCCCGCACTGGGTGGTGTTGGTATCGTTGTGTAGATGCAGGTTTTACGAACCGTTTCGGAGGGCTCAACCTCGATCACGAACTTCTCCTGCTTCAAGTCCTGTAGCAAACGGCATGGTCAGCTTTCTCTGGTGATCATGAGGAATATGAGGGGTGTGAGGAGGGGGGAGGGTACCTTGAAGGTAAGCTTCATGATGGCGGCTTGGAGAGGAGGATTGAGATGAGGAAGACGGATAAAGGTGTTGGGGGAGTCAAGGAAAGAATCCGCGGGATGGAAAATGAAGCCCCAGGTCGGTTGCTAAGAAAAGACAGACGCAGAAGCCGTGACGATGACGGCAAAAGGCAAAGCTGGGGCCCAGGCGGGTTTTGCCTGACCGCCCCACTCCACCTTTTCGACGCGGCTCCGTCTTCTTCGACTTGCCGTTTTACTTCCTAGAGACTGGAATAGAATGAGCCATTGCGAGCTGTGGCCTTGTGTGATACTACCTTCAATTCAAGTTGATACACCGGAGAATCTCGTCTTTGCATTTGATTATTTCTGCTCGATCTGACGAGCTCCGGATTTGCCTCCTCCAAGGTATGATCTCACCGCGGACCCCTCGGTGGAGTGTGGACCAAAGAATCAAATCATCTGCCTTAGGTCAGCTTTTGATAGAGAGTTTGATGGACTATAGTCTGCTTATTCATTTGGTTCTCTGAGCTGGGAGGACTGTGACCATCCATACTAGATCCAGACTAGACAGACGGGGCAGTATATCGATAGCATCTATGAGCATGTCAGTCCTTGCAGGCGGGAATCTCCGGCTGAGCGAAGCATATACACACGAGAATGAGCCAGGACAAACAAAGGAGAAATCTCCATCCTGTCCAGAATGCTTAGTTCCCTGGCCATGGATCAGGGGACCGTGTGGCGATCTCCGCCTTGAACCTTCCCCAGGTTAACCCAACCTTATAGATCGAATCGATCTTGTTTCTGCCATGCACCGCATTGGGGTCCATGGCGGTTGAAATAGATATGTGATAAGCATTAGCGTGAACTATAGACATCTCGCATAAGAAAATAAGTTCAGGGGGAAGACGGAAGGCTTCCCTAGTACTGAGTGATGTATCATATTTGGCCTGCCGGAGATCGGGAGATGCGATCCGTTATGTTCTTGCCTTTTACCCTGCTGGCCTGGAAAATGTCCCTGGCCAAGTTGGATGAATCATATAGATAGTTTATCCTAGCGGCGGGATTGACAGTAATCTAGACAGTGAACGACATGAACGGCTCTACCGATGGTCTGGACTACCCTAGACGTGCTACAACATCGATCATCTAGAAACAAAATGAAAGCTCTTTACAACTCTTTCATACCTTGGCTCAAAGTCCACGCGGGCAATTGGTAAAATACAAATCTGCGAACAACAATTCTTTAAAAACGCAAGAGATTTTTCCCTGTTGGCTGGGGGTGTTCGTCCCCACTTTGAGTCTAACCGCCGTGTTGGGTTGACGAGTCAGATATGCACTGTATACATTGATCGTAGATTGATCTGTATCCTGCGTTCGATAGACTTTCGCCATACGCTGCTTCGCCCCGGGCCGTTCATTCCCGTGCGAACTGTCCTCATTCCCATAAATATGTGTCTGCTTCTCCCCTGCATTCAGTCGTGCGGACACAAGGCGCCTCTCGAGTTTCCCAGGTTACAGACTGCCCTCGCTAGTATCTGTCAATCTGGGTCCCTCAGTTTCGGCTTTTGATTAGTGAGGCCTAACCATTCCACTCTCTTTTAGCTTTCCTGCCATGTTCAAGTTCCCTGATATGCTGTTATTCCCGTTGGCAGGAGCTGCTATGCTCTCTGCTGTGATAATGACTATCCTGAATGGTCTTGCATACACCACCTTGCCCACTCGTTCTCTGGCACCAGCTGCTGGGCTTGCCCCGGTGGCTTTGAGTGCCATCAGCTGTGTAGCATTGATCATGCTTACTTTCCTTGTACACAAAGATGTTGGCCGTGGCGGAAAACTCGCTGGTTGGAAGGCAGCTGTGTTTTACTTCACCGTTGTATATCTCCTTGTTGCGGCTGGTTCAACAGCAGGGACTATGGCGACAAGCCCCGATCGTACTTCATTATCCATCACTCGTTCTGTGTTCTGGGCAATGTCTATTTTTGCCCAAGGTTCTTATTGTGGGTATCTCTTGGTGAGATGCTCCCAAACATCCACTCAAGATCCCCAATGGCCACGTTCCTATCCGCAAGAACTCAAGACTTTGCCGGAGACACCAAGTTCAATCGCCCCTCCCGCTGCAGTCTGTGATCCCTATCCGGAGCACCGTTTCGACACGCGGCGAGGATCGCTACGCAAGTTCCCCCGACGATCCAGTCGATACTCGGGCGGTACACTTGATCTGGATTCATCCAAGCCGGAATACCCGACGGAGACCAACTCCATGATATCCTCGCTCTCTGTATCTCCCACAAATGATCACAAACCGGTGCCTTTCCTCGATCCCGAGCAGGATACAAGACCCCTGTTGCGTGGCACTGGCAGCATCCGCAGCATGCCCAGTCTCCGGCAAGACGGGGTGCGACCCTCTCTGGACAATCTGATGCAGCCAGCATCACCTGTCACTTCGATATTCCACACGGGAGTATCCAATGAATCTGTGGAGACGTTGGCTCCGCGAGAGCACAATATCCATCCACTCTTCCGATCCACCAGCCCGTCCCCGTCCCCGACTCCCACCCCTGGAACGGTAGTCAAAGCATCGCCATCGGCAGGACATACAATTACACACCAGACGCTGACGCGCATGCGGTCGGCTCGATCTCTACGTGAGCAAGGCCGGCAGACCCCGTCGCCGTTACCGGTTCCTCCGGAGTGGGAGGGAGCGATCGCAGGCACAAGGACCGGGGCCCGGGTCGCTGGCTGTTGTTCATGCAGGGCATGTGCAGCGCAGCGTCTCCCACCACGAAAAAAGATACGACTTGAATGAATCACCCTACGAGAAATAATTTTGACGGATGTTTTCAGCCTGGTGTTTTGGGATGGATGGAACAGGTGGCATGTAATTTTGGATCTGGAATCTAAATGGACATATTTATGAGGAGCTAAGGCATTGACATTATACTGTACTTTACGTTGACTGATACTATCGGCTTAAAATCCATCTCGACCGTTTCATTTTCTTTTCTTTTGTGCGTCTGCGTTCTTGGTTGAGTAGAGTATAGAGTACACAGTAGTCGAGGCCCACTGGTCCCGCATGGTAATCCGAGTAATGGCCGCGTTCGTCGCTCCGCAAAGTGGGTCGAGGAGCGTTTCTATTTTGCCGCGATAGAAGACAGCCCAGGGACCATATTGCAACTTGGAGGCCAACCAATTGACCGGAGCGACTATATGGAGCTTCAAGGCTTCAGGCTGAGGAAGCTTGTCCGAAAATACCAGGAGAACGACAAATAGACGCGCGGAAGAAAATCGCCAGCTCGGGGTAATTTCCCGTATGGCCTTGCGCAGGCTGGAGTATTGGATCAGCTAAGCACCGCCCGAAATTCCTCTTTTTTCCAAACTCTACAATCTTTAAGGGTCGACACTCTGGCAGACTATGTGTTGATTCCCCCCCCATATGCCTCGTAGTTAGCAAGTGAGGCCTTTTTTTTTGTTCTAGGGGCCCTTGCATCGCGCTACACACGTCGGCTCTCACGGGGAGGCAAATCCTGCGCAGCGAGTAGATCCTTACGAGTACTCTCCTTCTATCCATTAACCACCATCACGCCTGGTAAGTCATGGCATTTCGTTTCTCAATCGCGCTCTTTTCTTTTCATCTGAACTCTCGCGTTGCCCCGCCGAGTGAAGATGCTCTTCGCCTTGTTTTTTCTTACCCCCCCTTGTCCTGGATCCCACCTACATCTTGTCGCGTGTATTCACTTCTCTCACTTCACTGCCCTTCAACTCGTTTGTATCCTGTGGGTCCACAGTAAACAAGTTAAGAAGTCAGTGAATACACTGAATTCATTCACTGAGAAGCGAGTCCATTGGATCGAGTATTTATTACTTCTTCCCCCTCCAACCTTTTTCTTCCTTCTCACATCTCCTTTGCTCCATCGATTCCTTGCCTTCACGCAAGCTTCCTCTTGATATCACCTCTGTTCCATCTTTTCGACCCCTTTTTTCTCATCACCAAGTCTAACAAAGACCATGGCGAAGGTTGAGTCCAAAGCCAAGGCCAAGGCCGCGGAGTCCAGGAAGGACTCCAAACGCCGCAAGGTAGAGACTGAGGCACCTAACACGCGCCAGCCTCAGCGCGTATCCAAGCGTATCCAGGCGCGACGTGAGCAAGCCACCCTCACTCAGCCTGAAGAGCCTAAGGAAGAGCCGAAGGCCAAATCTCAGAAGCGCAAAGCGCCTGACGCGGGCCAGGTAGAGCCCCAGCGTCCCTCTAAGCGTCGCAAGGACGAGCCTGAAGTATCTCAGGCAGAGCCTCAGCGCGTATCTAAGCGTGTCCAAGCTCGACGCGTACAAACCACCAATACCCAACCTGAAGAGCCTAAGGAAGAGCCGAAGGCTAAGCTCAGAAGCGCAAAGCGCCTGACGCGGGCCAGGTAGAGCCCCAGCGTCCCCTCAAGCGCCGCAAGGACGAGCCGGAAGCAACCAGCACTGGCAAGAAGGAGCCTGAAGTATCTCAGGCAGAGCAGCGCGTATCCGAGCGTGTCCAAGCTCGACGCGAGCGAACCAACAACACCCAACCTGAAGAGCCTAAGGAAGATCCGAAGGCAAAAAAGCCCAAGCAGCCAGCCAAGACATCCACCAAAGCCAAGCCTGCAGGAGACTCTCAGAAACCCGCTGAGCCCGACACCACTCAGCCTGAAGAGTCCCAGAACAAGCCTGAGGAAGAGCCAAAGGCCAAAAAGTCCGAGCAGCGAGCCAAGGCATCGGCCAAAGCCAAGCCTGCAGGACACTCTCAGAAACCCGCTGAGCCCGACACCACTCAGCCTGAAGGATCCCAGAAGAAGCCTAAGGAAAATCGAAAGGCCAAAGAATCCAAGCAGCCTGCCAAGGCTCAGCCTGCAGAAGAATCTCAAAGGCCCGCCAAGCCTGATACTACTCAACCTGAAGGGTCCCAGAACAAACCCGAGGAAGAATCAAAAGCCAAAAAATCTAAGCAGCCAGCCAAGGGAACAGCTAAGGCTAGACCTGTAGGAGACTCTCAGAAGCCCGTCGAGCGTGATACTACTCAACTTCAAGAGTCTAAGGACGAATCCGAGAAACTGAAGGAAGAATCGAAGGACACGATAAAGCCTCATTATCAGAGACTGATTTTGAAACCGCCAAAGCCTCCTCAGGAGACTCCCCCTAAGAAGCGCAAGCGCAGCGCTGAACCCGAGATATCTGTCATGCCTCCTAAACGAGGCAAAAGAGGTGCTGGCCCTGCGTACCACTCCAGTCCAGCCACACGCTCCACATCTACACGCATTGCAATTGGTCAGTATCCCCTCCCCCTTCTAAATGATGCATTTCTATGTTCCATGGACCAAAGCTAATGTCACAGATACAGAACACACATCATCTCCAGCGAGGACTCCGCGCGGCCGCGGCCGCGGCCGTGGGAGGGGCCGTGGGCATATCGGGATCGAGCAAGTCTTCCTGGTCCTGTCCATGATGATGACGATGAAGAAGACGACGAAGACCAAGCCGAAGATGAGGAATCGACTCCTCCCCCCCCTGAGGCACCTCGCTCGCGCATTGTCAGGTTGAGAGTGCCATTTACGAAGCAAGCCGAAACTCAGGATGCTCCAGCAGGGGAGTCAATGCCATCAGCTACACCAGCAAGTCCTTCTCAGCCTCATACAATGGAGACGCCCCACCGGCTCCGTTCCAAGCGAGCCATGGCGGTTCCAGAATCTAATCGGACCACTCGCCAGTCTGCACGGTTCCAAAAGGATGCCGGAGATCAAGACGACTTAAGTCCTAGCAAGCCTGGCGCTGCTATCGAAACAGCATCGGGGACTCATGATAACTCCGCCCACTCTCACATGAAGATCTCACAAACCCCTGACCCAAACAACGCCTCTCACGCGAATGATCCTCATCAAACCGAGGACGAACACCCCTCAGAGTCGTCTCGCGCCTCACCACAGGCCCATACACAGGCAACAGCCGACACTGCTGGTCCAGTGCGTCAGCAACGCCTCAAACTGAAAGCTTCTCCAGAAGAGTCGCGCAAGCGCAAATCGACCAACGCCCACGACGAAGTCAAGTCCCCTGGCTCGACCGTCTCTAAGAGGCTCAAGATTGAAGCAGCCGAGGAAAAGGCTATTGAAAGCTTCGCCGAATCGACAGAAGAAGACGCATCCAACGCGGAAGAGGAAACCACACCTGCCCTCCCTACCCGAGGCCGCGGAAGTCGTGGTGGTCGAGGAAGTCGTGGTGTCGGTCGAGCTCGAGGCCGTGGACGGGGACGGGGCAGCCGGGGCGGTGCTACAGCCTCAACCCGTGGAGCTGCTGCAGGTGGAACGCGTGCTCGAGGTACCACTCGTGGCCGTGGCCGCGGCCGCGGTCGTGGTCGTGGAGGCCGTACAACCCGCAGCCGCTAAGAAGAGGGCCGCCGAAAAGGCCAAAAAGAAGAAGGGGCCGCCACCACCCCCCCCGGATGAGATTTGGGACGATAAACCTCCTCGTCGTCGTTCTCCTTCGCCTATCAGCCTCACCAAGCCTATCAAAGATCGCCAGGCAGTGCTGGCGTCGCTCTTCAAGCGAATTGGAGAAGCCCAGCAAGTCGCTCTCGATGTGCTGGGTGCTCACTCCATGCAGAAGCTTGCCAAACACAAGAACGCGCACAAAGAGTGTCCGGAGTATGATCAGGTCCGGAAAGAGTTGATGGAGCGCGAGAAAACCGAAGTGGCTCGCGCAAATTACAAATATGACTTGAGCATCGTGGCCGAGCAGAAGGAGCACGAGGCTGAATTGTGGTCGATCGAGCACAGGGCGCAGGTTCGTTTTTGATCATGCCGTTTACTGGTACCATAGAAGCTAACTTGACAAATAGTGCCAAATCGAGGACCTACGAGACGAGATGTTCTACGCTGCCCTTGGCGACTGGATGAAGCTCGCTCAAAGTAGCCAGGCCGTGGACGATGATCAGCATACAGAGATGATGGCTGACGTCGAAGATCATCAGGAAGATGATCAAAAGACAGAGGTTCGTTCTACCTTGAGGGAATTACTACAGAAGTACCAAAACTAACATTTCCGATCTAGCTCGGCGGGACGAACTCGCCAGAGTTCTCGGATGAAGAGGGTGGGTTGCCGGAAAACCCAAACATCACCAAGCGGCTCCCGACTCGCGAAAGCGAGCGAGGCTTCGTCGCAGAGGCCCTTCGCGATCCGGCGGGCACGATTTCCTGGGAGCGTGGCCAGAACCTGTGGCCGGACTTCACCATTAAGGTCCGGTTGAGTTCGATGATCCAGTTCCAGCGAAACCGTGACCAGCTGGATAGCCGGGATCCCGCCGATGATGAACAGGCCCGGCGAGGTGTGGGGATGATTCTGCGTGCAGCGGATCACCTCCGGGAGTCGGAGGAGCGCAGAGTCCAGGGCCCTAGTGCCCTGGATCTGTTCGTGGAGGTCGCTCTCGGCAATCCCGCCGATGCGCGCGCCTCCGCCGTTCATCCTGCCCCCCCCAGCCAACGCAGCAGGGCCGGCGTCTGCTCCCTGCGCAGGGGGGTTCGGACTGCCGGACCCGTTTGCAATGGCTGGGGGACCTCAGCTGCCGCCGTTGGGCAACCTTCGGCAACTGCACCCTCCAGGACCGGGGGGGACCTGGGTACTTCCCCCCACGCCCCTTTTAAGGGGCATGTTTTTTTGTTTTTGTTTCTGTTTTTTTTTTTTTGTATTTTGTATTTTTTTTTTTCTTTTTTTCAATTTGTTTTCTTTGTATTTTTAGTTCGTTTTAAGCGTGGCGCATATACTTTTTATTTTTATTTTTTTAAATTTTATTCCCTCCCCCACAATCTACGTTCAACTCCAGACCATCTCACATACTGTGGCCCCCGACATTCTCTGTGATGGGTGTGCCTGAACTGCCAGTGTCTCCGTTGTCAGGAGTGCAATGAGCTTGATTCAGGCTGTGGAGGGCCCCCCAATGCGGCTCTAAGCCCTGCAGGACCTACCACGGACAAGTAACCAAGACTCAGTATGGAGAATCCAAGATCTCAAGGACGACCACAAGGAGTATGTCAAGAAACCACGGAAGCATCCCAGAGTCATGTCCAGAATGCGTCTAGAGCCAAGGTCAAGCATTCGGAACCTCTTCAGCTTCTATCAAATCTCTAACATCTTATCCATTCCATATCCCCCCTCTCCATCCTGCCATTATCCTGCTCTCGCCTTGATCAATTCTGCAGGCTCGTTGTTTGCTGTTGTTGTCTGACCATTTTGGGATGGCAGGTGCTCCCTCTTCTGCCCGGTGCTCTTCTATCTCATAAAAGCAGAATTCGAGCCCGGACTATGTCACGTAGGTCCTGATCAAAGAGCCAGACCTACCACATGTATCAATAGGTCTCCCACACTTGACCGTATCATCATGAGGCTGTGGCGTAGAAATCATTGTTCATACTGTATACTTGCACGCCCCAGCGAGTCGCCGTCAACATGAGACAGTATGAGTCAGGAGGAGCAAAGGTACCAAATACATGCTACAAGCAGTGATTTGCACGTAAAAAATAAGTATCCAGTACATCAAGTGACTCGACGGCGGCTCCACCCAGCGGGGCCTGCAATCGCGGGCTCCGATTGGCCCGAGCTTTTGTCTTTTTCTCTGCTTCATCCCACTTTGCATTTAAGATCTCCTCATTCTCGCAGAGTCCAGGTCCAGCAATACAGGACTTGCAAAACCTCAGTCTCACTATCACCGCCACCCTGATCCATCTTCCTCTCCCAAACACTACCGAGAATTCCAGCATGGCTGTCCGCGCGCAGTTCGAGAACTCCAACGAGTGAGTCGCATCCTGCGGAAACGTCTGCAACCTTTCCGCAATAGCTGCGTGCCCTGGAATTATTCTCTACGGGCTTTCATGCGTTGTTATAGAGCCTGCAAGCAAACAAGAAAGAAAGGCGAAGGCCTATGCAGCCTGATGTATCAAGTTTGCAGGCCAATCCATTGCGGAAAGAAGTAGGACATAATTGTGCAGCAGACGCTAACATGAGATTGCAGAGTGGGTGTCTTCTCTCGCCTAACCAACTCATACGCCATCGTCGCTGTCGGAGCCTCCGAGAACTTCTACAGTGTTTTCGAGTCGGAGTTGCAGGATGTCATTCCTATCTGTCACGCTACTATTGCCGGTACCCGAATTGTTGGTCGGTTAACTGTTGGGTATGTCCTCTCTTGGATCTTCTCATTCCTTCCGTCCTCTTATCATCCCGGTCGAGCCCCGCGGTACATGGCCGGCTATCCAAAAGAAAAAAGAACATTCCGCACGCGGACAGGGGCAGAGGAGTTCCAGATCATTTGATGGATTTGCCCAAACCCACCCATATCCAATCATGCACAGTAACTCACTATGTCCAGAAACAAGGACGGTCTCCTCGTCCCAACCACTACCACAGACCAGGAATTGCAGCACCTCCGCAATACACTCCCGGACTCGGTCAAAATCCAACGCATAGAAGAGCGCCTCTCAGCCCTCGGCAACGTCATTTGCTGCAACGACCACGTCGCAATCGTGCACCCTGATCTCGAGCGCGAGACTGAAGAGATGTTTGTTGCCATCCCCTGCAAGTCCAACGTATCAGACTAACGGCTCTCTCAAATCCAGCATCGCGGATGTCCTCGGCGTAGAAGTCTTCCGCCAGACTGTCGCCGACAACGTGCTGACTGGCTCCTACATGGCCCTCAGCAACCAGGGTGGTATTGTGCACCCCAAGACCTCCATCAGAGACCAGGACGAGCTGTCCTCGCTCCTTCAGGTTCCTCTTGTTGCCGGCAGTGTGAACCGTGGTTCTTCCGTGGTTGGTGCCGGTATGGTGGTGAACGACTGGTTGGCTGTGACCGGACTGGACACCACTGCCACTGAACTGAGTGTCATCGAGTCCGTGTTCAGGCTGGGAGAGATGGCGCCTGGCGGTGCCGGAGCCGGTGTTAATAAGGAGAGCATTGTCGAGAGTTTCTACTAGGGGCTTTTTCTTTTCCCCTCTCCCTTTTCCCCCCCTTTCTGTTTTCTAGAACCTCTTTTTGATGCCCCGTCCGGATGGTTTTTCTTGTGGTGTTTGTCCATAGGCTTTCTCTTCTATTCCAAGGTTTCCTGTGGGAAATGTGACAATGATGATTATGACCAATAACTCTTCTCAAGATTCATATTGTAGATTGGTAAAGAGCTGATGGAGGGTCTCTCATTGGACAAACGACTTGTCACTATCAATTGATATCAATCCAACTCCTGGTTGCAACTATGATGGGGGTATTTGACAAGATACAGGAGGACCTAGCGGTTGGGGTAAAAGGACGAAGAAGAACAGCAGCGTAAAGGAGAACAAGTGGAAGGGAGGAAAAGACAATCAAGAAGCGAATCGCTGCAATACAAGTGGATGAATAACCTTATGCGCTGTCGCTATCATTCTCTGATCATGCCGTGAAGAAGTCAGATTACCAGACTAAACGCTCTCAATGCCAATGTGTGAAGTCTGCTGCTGCTGCTGCTGCTGCTGCAAGTCCTCCATCGTCGAATCAGCATCCAAGAGCTTTCCACCAGGTCCACTGGCCCCAGGCAGCTCCTTTGGAGGTGGAGGGGGTGTAGGTGGGGAAGGGTCAGTGTCGGCATCATCTTCCATCTTGGAGTCTTCGTCGCCAGTAGACCCTGGTGCCGGTGGAGGTGGAGGGGGTGGGGGCGGGGGGTGGACTTCTGTCGTTTCGAAGGAGACCGGTCTCCATCGTGCTCAGCATTAGGCGGATCCAAGAGATCAGTCTCACGCTTGCGTTTCAGGGAGGCTGGGTCGTCCGGAGAGATGGCTGTCGAGTCTGCAGTTGCCGGATCCGCGTCGGACATTTGCACATTTGCATTGTCGCCCGGTGTCGCGTTGGCACTGGGGCTGGCAGTACTGCTCTGCTGCCGCCGTTTCTTCTCGGCCAAATACTTCTCGCGTTCTTTGTGCTTCGCGGCGGCCTTGTCGAAGAACTCTTTGCAGTATCGCTTGACTCTTTCTTCGTGCTTTTTGTCGATCTGTGTGGGATCCTGGACACGGCCCTTGTTGTAATCTGAGTCAACCAGTTTGGTAGAGGTCTGGGATGTAAAAGGTTAGACATGCGAATCAATCGGGAGATTGGAAGATTTACTTCTTTAGCAAAACGCTTCAGATACTCTTTCGGAATTTTGTGTTTGTATGTGTCCGAAATCGACTTTATATGGGGATGAAGCTATGGCGCGTTAGTGCCCCCTGCTGAGAAAAAATTGCCGCACGGGTCAAGGGGGGCAGCATACCGTGTTTGCGTAGATTTTCTTCTGCTTTTCAAGAGGCTGTCTCTGCCACCAGTGTCCATCTTTCTTTTTCTTCTCCGGTTGCTCTGAAGGCATGGGTGTTCCGGGCGTCGTTTTGTGTTCTGAGGGTGTCTGTTCCTGAGAGTTCACGATCCCATCAATAATATTCTGCAGGGCCAGGTTCTTCTTGACCGTTGAGTTATGGACTGCTGGAGCGGTTGGTTTCGTCCATGTTGTTTCTCCTTTTTGTGTGTAGAAGTAGAGTCGCCCAGCGTCGTCCGCAGCTGAGTACCATCCGGCAGGGAGATCCTTATCATCCTGCTTGTTTGGCTGCCGATTGCGACGACTGGTACGAGGTCGATTTTGAGGATTTCGGGGTCCTCGGGGCTGATTTGGGCGGTGCTGAGCTTCGAAGGCCGGGGATGGAGATCGTGTCACAGAACGTTGACGTTGTTCGGAGCCTCTGTCGCGACGGTCAAATCGATTGACGGGCTGCTTCGTCGCTTCGTCACGCTGCATACGCGGAATACGATATCCGACCTCCAAGTTCGCCCAGCTGGCTAGCAGTTGAGCTGCTCTCTTGGCCACTCGCTCTTCTGCTGAGTTCGTGAGAGGCAGGATGTTCGACTCAATCTTTGAGTCAATGATCTTATTGCGGGTCATCTTGGGGAAATGATCCAGGATGTCCAGAATCTGGAGCACCACGTTCGGATCTTCTTTCCACGTAGTCAGCTGCGAGTTAAGGATCCGATAACCGTGCATCTTCACGACACGATGGCGGACTCGCTCATCCTCGCACTGCTGGAGACGTCCCAGCAACTTGACAGCAATCCACTTCTCCTGGCACTGCATAAGTGCAGCCATAACTTTGGTGACACCATCCTCGTGAAGCGACTTGGGCTGCACCTTGTCAACATACTCCTCGTCGGCTTCCTCCGTCTTGGACTTCTTCTTGGGGCGCCGTGCCACCACCGTATCCCAGGCTTCATCGTCATCAATGCCCAGAGCGTCGGCAAGACCGCTAGAAAGCTTAGTGCCACGCTCGGTCTGCGTGCGCCCACCGATGAACCCGGTACAATTTGGCTCGCCACAGTAGCAAGGTTGGGGATCTGCGCCGTAGCGATCGACATTGTAGTTGAAGACAAGCTCTTCCCCGGCCTGGACTGCCCGCTCCGCAAAGATGCCCATGCGCAGCTTCTCCCCGACCACCCACTTGTCCACATAGCAGTTGGGGTTGCAAGAATGATTGCAGAACCTTCCGAGATTGCCGCGTTTTGTCGCATCCACAAACTCGCCCTGATTCAAGGACATGAAATAGAAATGCTTGATCCCTTCCTCATCGTACTGGCGCATCCGACGTCGGAACGCTGGTTCAGCCACCACCTCCCCAACATATTCAAAGATCAACTGCCCAGGTTCCAAATTCGCTTCGGCTCGGAGCCCAAATCCTTTCTTTTCAGTTTTAATGACGGCCACGGGGGCATACTGCTTATTTTGGAAGCGCTGGTTTTGACAATTGGGGCCGCAACCGCGAGTTCTGCCGACGCATTCAATCTTAGTTGCCCGGTTGATACAATCCGAATATTCGCCGCAGGCCACGTTCTGCTCCGTCTCGGGATCTGGTCAAAGAGCGAGAGAAAGACGATTAGCCATGCAAAGAGAGCAAACAGGGCAGAAGGCAGGAGCATGCTGAAAGTGGATTTGAATAGCTACGTCTCCATTGACCAACACCCAGTGGATGTTTCGCTCGTCAAAAAAAAATGCAGTGAAAACCGACTCAAGCAGGGGAAGAAAGGCACCAGCACTTACCCCACTCCTCATCACAGTCGCAATCCATAGCATGCTCTGTGTATCCCATGTTCTTGTTCGCGTAGATGCATTCTGTGATCTGTTCAAAGGTGGCCAGGGCTTCCTTGGTGCTATCGGGCAGATGCGCGAAGAGCTGAGGAGGTCGCGGCACAACTTTCTGCGACGCGCTCCGCGCAATTTTAGGTGGCTGGCCGGGCTCCTGCTTGATGACGATGTTGCCACCGATCTTCTCCTCGGGCTCATTCTTGGGAGGCATGTCGGGGTCAGACTTGGTGGAGTGAGGTGACCGGGAGTTGCTGGTAGAGCGGCCGTTTTTCAGGGCGTGTCCGTTGACGGAGGGAGGGTCCATGGCTGCCTCCGGATCATGGGAGTCCGTGCCATGCGCAGACATGACCACGGACTACGCGATGGGAGAAAAGGAGGAGAGACAGGTGAGAGATGAGGAAGACGGGAAGGGAGGGGATTCAAGAACTTCATTAACTTGGAGATTTGATCCTAAAACTGCACCAGACGCTATTCCGCGCGCTCACCGCCCGCGCCGCAAGGAGCTCTCTTGACTTCCACGCTTTCTTCCGGTTTATGCCCTGATACTGACTTGAAGCTCTTCGAGGGAAACATGGTCTCTTTGATTCCTTGATCTCGCGAGCTGGGGACCTCGCGTTGGGATTGGATTCCGGCGGGAGCATCGTCCCGATATGATGTGGTCGTGTATTGTGTACATAGATTGAGCCCAAAGACGCCTGATCCTTTTCCCACCCTTGGAATTACATAGAAGTTTGAACGTCGAATCTTCACGGATGACTTGCTCGCAATAGACATCTGTGAATCTAGCGGTAAGCTTGCAACGTACCTCAACAGCTACCCTTTGGGTAGCCCTGGACTGGTCCACGGGTCCTGGGAGGGGGGGGGGGGAGTAAGTCAGCTTTCGTATCATAAATAATCCCGGGGGGGGATGTCGATCTACGACCCAAGCTAAAACGCCAGCTGGGATTCCTCCTCAAACTGAGGCAACGAGTGGGATGAGAAGAGCAGATTGAGGAGATCGGAGGGTCCCCTGCAGCTTGTTATCTGCGTGGCCACGTCCAGGATGCAAGGCTAGAATGAGTGGATGGGGATGGAAGAAGAAAACGGGGTGGTCAGCAATGCAGAGGAATTGTAGTCTGGGCGGGAAACGATTGGATGGGAATGATTGTTGCGGTTTTAGCAGACGATGCGGACGATGCAGGTTGCAGAAAGGCAAACGGTGTCTGTGCGTCTGCAGTAAAAAGGGGAAAGGTCTGACTTGGAAACGGACCAGGAAAATACGAGAGAGAAGGGACAGTCCCATGTGTATAGAACAGGGAGAGCTGGAGGAGGACGGATACAGAGGACGGAGTATGCGTACATGTCGCTGGCTCCACTTTGCCGTACCTTCATATGGCCGAGATAGCTGGTATCTCTCTGGCTAAAGAGGGTCCTGTATTTGGAATCCCCGTTGTTTGTGCCCGCTCTACGCCTTTGCCTAGGCTTCCGACAAGTATAGCATTCTCGGGGTCGTATTCGGGATAGGGGGATCCGCTCCCCCCCCCACGAGCATGAATGAATCATGGCAGTGCATGGAATCAAGGCGATTTGAGCGATCTGACTACACCGAATCAGGACGGCAGAAGATGAAACGATGAACTACTGTAGCGGCATGGCCCAAGGATGAGATCGGGTTAGAAAAAAAAGGAAAAAAGAAAAGAAAAGAAAGGAGGCTCGAATGGAAACCATTGGAGGGGGTTCACTCCGTACTTTGAGCAACAGTCGAGGATCCCGAGGTGCTTCTTAACTGCCATGGAACAACCTGGGAGACTAATTTCATCACTAAACCCCATTGGAGATAAGCTACTGCACCTTCTGTGTTAGGGCCAGGCGCCGGTGATTCAGCGCAGCGGGTCCCGGGTAGAATAAGAGGAACAGGAAAAAAGCAATGCGATCATCGAGCTCCAATTTGTATGCACGGCCACTAATTGGGATAGAGAAGGAATGATGGCTCTTCCTATGAGAAGTTCGATCTTCTGATCTTCGGTTGAATTAATGTAGGTTTCCTAGTGGCTGTACCCAGCCCTTGCTATCCTGGGCTATAGGCTATTACTATATCTTTAGATATGACGAGTCTGGATTTTCCGTAGCAGATGGATCGAGCCTAAACCGCCCCTAGACTTAGCTCCAAACACAATGCATTCAGGGTGATCCAAGCCGTGTTAGGACGACCCAGGGGCCCGGGGTTACCGCCCGGGCGCGCCTATCAGGCCCCGCCAGAGCGAAAAGACCACGGTTTCGCTCCCGGGAAAAGCACTTGCTTCCCGCAGGATGTACCTTGGTTCTGGGTCTGCCAGGACCACCCGTTTAGTTGTGCAGCTCCCTTTTCCTTTGTGCTTCCCTTTGATCCGGATTTCTGGGTTTTGGGGCCATCTATACATGTGCCCTTAGCTGCTTCTAGCTGCTTTGCTTCGGGCCTTTTCGTCTTTCCCCTTTTCTTTCCTCTCTGCATATGCACTAACTAGTTCTCTCCTTAAACTCCCCCGTGGCGTAGAGGCAAGCAGCTATTTTTAGGGCTTTCCTTTTCCTTTTCCTTTCATTATTTTTTTTTATTTTTTATTTTTTATTTTTATTTTTTGCTTTTGCCTTTCCCATTTGGATTGCTGCTCTCGATCTTCCCTCTGAGGATAGTTATGGGAGTTTTGGGTCCTAAGCATAAACGCGAATAAATATAGTGTACTCGTTAATTAACATCCACTCCACTTGCAACCCCTCGTTCGTACTTTCGATCCTGACCCAATCAATTCCAGTAGCGAGAAAGTGATGTAGGGAAACAGCAAAACAAAGTAAGCCTGGAGCAGAGAACTGACGCAAAAATGAGTCCCGAGAAAAAAAGGCCAATACAGTTTCGAACGTCCTTCACTGTTCTGGAAGACCTGAAACTGCCCCGAATGGGAAAAGACCCCACCAGATCCCGGTTCATCCTTTCCCTTTTTTTCTTCTTTCACTATTTTCGATTTCCCTTTTTGGTCCTTTATTTTACAAGAAACGCCCCCTTGGGCGGGGGGGGAGGGGTACTTTTTTGAGGGCTTTTTTTTCTTTTTCTTTCTGGATTTTCTTTTATGCCGTATGCGAGAAATAATAGACTGCGAATAAATTCCCAATCCCTAAATTCCTAAATTCTAATCCCTGAAAGGGAAATAGAAAACTTCCCCCCCCATAATTAATCATGGAAATCCTAGTTCCCGATGCTTTTAGCAGCCTCCAGACCTACTCCAGATTCCTTTCCCTTCCTCTCCTCTCTCTCTATCTCTGGTTTTTTTGCATTCCTAATTTTCGCTTTGGGGGTTTGGAATTCCCACTTTTTGCCCCTCTTCTTCTCCTCCACTCTTTTCGTTGCCCTCCCAAACGGTCATAGTCCCTGCAGCTTTCCCTCCTGGTCCAACGCGCACTTGCTCCTGTGCGATCCCGGTTGGAGCCAATTCGAGCCGGGACTCCATGGACCGCGTTTTGTTTTGCTTCTCTCCTTCCACTGGCTGTAAAGCTTCCATTTCTACCAGTCGCTCCTTTTCTATTTATTTGATTTGCTCTCCGAAGAGGATGGCCTAGGGCTTGCATTGCTTTCCTTTTTTGTTGTTCCCCCCATCGTGAAAGATTTCCCAGCTAGTTCGTTTCACTGTATCTGACCCGCCATTTGCCTGCTGTCCTGCCGTTCTCTATCTGCCATTTCCCATTTGTTCTTCTCGTCCGGGGGGGGATTTTTTGTTTTCTACTCTTTCCCTTAATATCGCCTAATATCAGCTGGTGGTCCGTAAATTTTCCATGGTCCGGATATGTCGAATCCACCGGATAGGCCCTGGACCGAGGAGGAGAAGGTATGTGCTCCATGTGAACTTGAACCGTCCTCCTCCCTCCCAGCCTCGCTAATCTGCTTCGCTAGTACTTTTTGTTGACCGAAATCCTGAAGAAGGCCTCGGTGCACCATAGTCACCTCGTTCGCCTGATCAATGAGTTCCGTATTACTCCCAATTGGGGGAGATTCCCCTGCCTCAAGGTACTTATCAAGTCCGGAGCCCGCGTCCTGAGGCCGGAACACCGCAGCACCGATATCAAAATTCCGAATAGGCCACTGACTACGACCATGACTAGGCCGCTCACTCAACTCGTGCAGAATTGCTTACGATGCCATGCTGGCGCAAGCTCCAAGTCAACCCGCCATGCCGTCCCCGTCGGTCCAGATGCCGCGTCCAGAAGCGAGGGCAACAGCGCCGGTAGATCCCAATTTGCGCAAACGACCCTTGTATCCATCAGACAAACCGCGCGCCATCCAACCAAGACCGCCGCCTAGTGTCGCCTCGTATAGTAGTGAAAGCGGTGCGTCCACTCAGCTTTCTCCAGGTCTCGAGGCTGCCACTGGTGAACCGCCGCGCAAACGAGGTCGCCCTAGTAAAGCTGAGACTGAGCGACGGAAAGCCGCCGCCGAAGCTCGTGGCGAAACTTATCCCCCGCCGCGCAGACTGGGCTCTAGAATGAAGGCCTCCACGTCACCAACTAGTCCTCCAGGTCCTCCGATCCCAGGTCCAGCTCCACCCCCGCAGCCCTATGGTTATCCCGGCAATCCCCCAATGCACGCTCCGAGCCCCATTTCTGGCCCAATCCCTTTTGACCCCGTGGGCCCTGCCCGTCAATTGGGTCCAGCTCCAAGTTTCCAACCAGGAACTGAGGAACGCCGAGATAGCGCAGCTCGTGGTATAAGTCATAACCCGCGAGAGTTGCCTCGGCCACAGGAATTGGGCCTCCCGGTCCATTCTCATGCCTTGCAACTTGGCCCTCCCAACACGTTCCCTCGAACAACCAATGAATCAATGGAAAGGACCGCGTTTGGGGCTATTCCTCCTGACCGATATTCGCCCGATAGTGGTCGTCGTGGTTCGGCCAACAGTCGAGGCGACCCTCCACCGCCGGGCCCTTATCCGGAGCGACGAGCGAGTATAACTCCAGGTGAAAAACCACGATGATGGATTCCATGTCTTCATCCATTGAACACCCAGCTTTCTGTCTTCGTTCTTCTATCTTTCTTCTTCTTCTTCTTCTTCTTCCTCCTCTTTTTCCTGTTCTTTCCAACTGCTTTCCCAAGGGTCTTCATGTTTTCCCCGCACGCCCACCCCCCAAACGGCCATCCTCTCTCTAATCTTCTCCAGCCACGATTCCATGAATCAAATGATGAACCATAGACAGCGTTCATGTTGTGTTTGTTGTTTTGTATTCGTCTGCCTGCGCCAGCGTTTTCTCTTCAGCGCCACTGCTTCTTCAGCGATCTCTCCAACCCACGACTCGAGATGATATTGACACTTTACGATCGATGCCAAACTTCTTGTCAATATATCTCGTTCGAGTCCCTTCAAGACACTCTTTTCAATCCCTGCGGTCTAATTTACCACGCCAACCCTTGCAAAATGATGTGTCCATGATCCATGCTCGATGAAGATATACGCCTTCTTCCTCGCTTGCAGCCTTTCTATACGACCAACGAAGATTTGTTATGCTCAGGCGCAGTTCTTTAATTCTAGCTTGTTCTAGGAGCCGCGCCAAAAGAAATTCCTTCCATCTGAAGACTATACTCGATTTGTTCTTTCTTTCTTACCAGCCGTGTCCAGCGTGACATACTTTTTATAATGCCCCCCAGCGACGGCGGTCTTTTTGAATATCCTTTCTCTTTTGAAGTCTTTCTGTGTGCTTATCTTCTGTTTTGAACAGTTGAGCCATCGACATGTATTATCTAATATTTCCTTTCTCTGGTACCCCCGTGTACCTCCGCTGAGCCCACAGTATCAGCATGCTCTGCGTGGTTTTGTGCTGCTTGTTCTTGTCTTTTTTTGATTAATTTTCCCACAAGGGCTCATGACTCCGTCCCAAGGGGATTCCATTCTCCACCTTGCTCTGTTCCTTGTTCTGCCTCTGCCCTTCTCTTCTCGCCAGTTCTTCACTTTCCTGGATTATGATATGTAAGATTATTGACCTATTGATAATGCTCACGAGCTCTGCTCCCTGTTCAATGTGCCCCCACCCCTCCCCCACTCTTCTATGACACCCACATGACCCCCCCCCCCCCGAAGCCCCCAATTCTAGACCGAAAGTAAGCCCAGTCGCGCCGCCCCCCGCTCCCCAAAAATGACCCTGGAGCTCCCCAGCGCTACCAGTAACGCCCGGCAGACCCCGCCACCACGCCAAGCAAGACAAAGCGCTCGAGCTAATGCATGCAAACCCCATCGCGTGCCACCCCGGCGCTTGCCATCTCATAGGCCACCTGCGACTGATCTATCATATTACCCTGCAATGCACTTGCCACAGGACTTAGCTGCTCATGATGACAGGGTGCTCCCTTGAAGAACCCTGGCTAGCGCGAAATGTCGGCTTCTCATTTGTCACTCTTTTCTGGCCTTGCTTAATTTTTTCTTTATATATATTTTTTTCAATCTCTGCATTGAATATCCCATATCCGGTCACTCGTGACTTGCAGCAGAATATTTCGATTCTTTTGTTAGTCGCTATGAGGCCGGTGCCTCCGATAGCGTGGAGCCATGTCATTCGGTATGTTTATTTCAAACTGAAGGCGGATGGTTATCTACTAGTACTAGCCCTGCATATAGGTGCATTTCTAACGTTCTCTGGAGGTGTATTACTTGATTTGATGAGATTAAAAACGTTAGGATGTCAGAGGTTGGGGGCTAGGCTGAGGCTAGAAGAGTAAACTATGCAAATGCTCCTTCCAAAAGCAGGACCAAAATACATGAAGCGAAGGGAAACCTATGGACAGAGAGATTGCAAAGGAAGAGAGGAAGAAATGGAAAGACAAAAAAACGGCGCAGCTCACGGCCCTTCCCTTCCCTGCCCCTACCATGACGTGGGAATATTATAAGTTCAGAAACCACCCACGCCTACTCATCTTTCTCCCGAGCCTTACCAAGAAGCCGGCGCATTTTAGTCGCTGTATCTTCTCCTAAATAGGGCTCAGCAGCAACCCCAGTTGCTTCAAGGGATGAGGTCTCCGGACCGGGTATAGACTGGAATGGAAAGGATGATAATGACGGGTTTGATGTTTGGCGTTCGGAGGGCTGACCGCTCGAGCCAGAGACTTCCTGCTCATTCTGCTCCCCTTGTAACTCTCCTTCCATTTCCTTCTGCTGCTCTATCTGGGCCCGCAATAAACTGACGGCCGCACCAAAGGCTGTTGCGCCTTTTGAAGACGGCGACATGATGTTCTTCGCCCCAGTCTGCAAGTCTATCGCTTTGTCCTTAACAAATTGAAGGACTTCGTCTTTGTTCTGGACTCGCCGAGTGAGATAAACCTTGGGGTTGACTTCCTTCTCAATAGAGTGACTGTTGATACGCTCGAGTTCGCTGCGATAAGCCGTTTCGTAAATGTCAAAGTCGGCAGCCCCAGGAGACTCGCTGACCATCTGCACATTGTCCATGGGCAATTCTGCGTTGTCTCCTTCCAATACACTTTCAGGCCCCGTAATTAGTGGAGCAGGATCGCTACCAATGCTCAAGTCACTAGGCTCCTGGGACGAGGTGCCAGTGTATGTAGAAGGTCCGATGAAAAGATAGGGGAACTCGCACTCTAATGGATCTCGAGCATGACCTTTTGTGCCTTCAATGCTGCGTTTTGTCGTCGCCGAGCTTGCCCGAGAAAGAGGAATTGGAGATGCTGACTGGGAGTGAGAAGTGTCGAAATCGGCTTTTCGAGCCGAACGCCCGCTGCGTATTGATCCAGAGTCTTTTCGCTCTGGTTCAAATACACCACTGGGCCGCTTGCTGCTCATTGGGCTTTGACTTGAGTCACTCAATCCCACGTCGTCGCCCAGTGCAGTGCTCCGCTCCATCATTTTCCGGATGGGGCCAAACCCAGGGCTTTTGGCGGTAAGGTCAAGCCCGACCTGGGGGAAGTTGTCTTCTGGATCGATCTCCATCGGTGGCTCAACGAAGTTGGGCTCGATGTCTCCTCCGAGTATACTTTGCATCGCATGGCCTGCTTTATGTGGATCAACTAGGCGCCGGAAGTTCTTGACAGCTTTCATCTATGCATGAGTTAGAAGGTTCAATGTCTCTATTTCTTGCTTAGCCAAGCGTACCACAGTCATGAGGCGGCCCATGTTTTTTGTAATGGCGGCATTCATCTCCTCTTCTGTCGGTGGCTCAACTTCATGAGCCGTGTTCTCTTCTTCAGACAGAAGAGGGTCAGCGCCATTCATCGTCACCCATGGATGTTCCTGCAAAAGGGTCAGTGAAGTACACCACGAGTGAATTCATGCGTAAACTGACTCTCAACGCGTGCATGTCAATTCGCTTCGCAGGGTCCTTCTCCAGAATACGATGAATCAAATCCTTGAACCGCTCATCTGGCTCATCTGGACAAACCACTGGATCCGCCCTGATACTGTCATACAATTCGAAGATGCTCTGTTTCACAAAGGGCAGTTTCCCGTAGCGAAGGCAATACAATGTCACACCCATGGACCAAATGTCCGCTGCTTTCCCGGAAACATCGCCGTGTTTGACAACGCAAAGCTCTGGAGGAAGGAAAGCAGGCGATCCGGCTGACTTAGCAGTGAACATAGTCGAATCTTTGGCGAACATCTCTGAAACTCCGAAATCTACCACTTTGAGCACGTCGTCGCTGGTCACAAGACAATTGTCCGGCTTGATATCGCGGTGTACGATTCCTTGTGCATGAAGGTATTCAATCCCTAATATCAGATCACGGAACCAGCAGCGGCACTGCTCGTCATCGTATGGATCGGCCTGTTCCTCCAGTCCGACTTTCATCACCACGCCCTTCTTGCACATCTCCATTACCATATACAGCGAATCTTCCGTCGGGTCGTCCAGCACTTCAATCAGGGACACCAAGTTGCCGTGGTCGAGTTTCTTCATAATGGCAATCTCCTCCTTAATCAGGTACAATGGGTTCTTGTCGGTCTCGGAGTCATCGCTGCCTGACGGATGGCGGTGCAATGGCGAGTTCAAACCAGTTCCAGGCCGTTTTGGGCCCCGTGGTCGGCGCAGAAGATGCGACTGAGCGCGCTTTCGCAATCGGGATTTCGAGAATTCCTTCACTGCCTTTTGCAAGTCGAGGAATAGCGAATTAGCACAAAAGCCCGATCCCACACATTGCTTATACACAGGAACAATCTTACATATTCGTTACCAAACTGGTCCGAGGCCAGATGGACTGCCCCAAAGGATCCCCGGCCAATTTCTTGTCGAATCACATATTGATTAATATGATGCTCGGCGGTACCGTCATCCTGGCTGGTTGTATATTGCGACCGGGCATTCAGCGTTTCCTAACCGCAACACGATCAGTCCCACCGAGTCTGTTACGTATCAAGAAACACTAAACACCAACCTTCACTGGACGTCGCGTACGAGGATTTCGTCGCCGATGTCGGTCGAGACTTTCGTACGATGCTGCAGAACTAGATTGTACGATCATTTGCACCATTAGTCTTTCATGTCGTGACTTTGAATGAGTGATATTAAGGTGTTTCATGCGGTATCATTAAATTTCTTCTCTATGTAAGACATACTCGGTTCGGACTGGACGCGGAGGGTCATCGGTCAAGCCATCAAAATCACCCTCCACAGGCTCCGCAGACACCTCGGAGACAGGAGTATCGGGGTAGTCGGACATTGAAGGGAGGAGTGGAGAGGAAATGACGAGAGGAAGAGAAGAGGGGGATGTGTGGGGTAAAAGAGCGAGGAGGCGAGCGGGGGGCAGAGCGAATGCGGTGCAGGCTATCAGCCTTACCAGAGAAGCTTCTGCAGGGCAGTTCCAGAAACTATGCCTAAATCTATAAACAAAGCTAGAACCAACAAATCAAATGGACCCCTAAAAAAAAGCCATTCTCGTATTCAGCCCAACCCAAGCAGGCAGCGGTTTTTCTTCTTTATCGATATGGTTATCGGCGTTTCTCACCGCCCGCCTCCCCTGAACGTTGGAAAGCATCAACAAACTCCGTCAGCTCCAGCCCTGAAAGCCATCATGACCGTCTATTCATTCTACATCTTCGACCGCCACGGTAAGGAGTCTCAGGCTGGCTAGTCTGACTGTTTCCCGCAGCTAATTCTCATTAGCGGAATGCATATACAAGCGTCGGTGGCTCCCTCGCCCGGCCTCCCTCAAATCTCCGGGCGGACCAGAGCTGGGCCAGACTATGCGGACGGGAGACGATGATGCCAAGCTGGTCTTCGGAACGGTGTTCTCTCTGCGAAACATGGTGCGGAAATTGGGGGGTGAAGACGACAAGTAAGGCTTATCTGAGGACATGCTGGCGTTAGTGGTTGCTGACCGCCGCTCCGCAATAGCTTCGTCTCCTATACCACGAGCCAATATAAGCTCCACTACTACGAAACTCCAACCAACATCAAATTCGTGATGTTAACCGACATCAAAAGTCCCAGCATGCGGATCGCTCTCCAGCAAATCTATATCAACCTTTTCGTGGAATACGGTTCGTGCGAATCCCGGACTGCGAAAGGTTGCGTATTGTTTCCTAACACATCTCTTGCTTTTTGTTTTCTAGTGGTCAAGAATCCTTTGTCACCGGTGGAACACCCTGGTGGGCTGGGAGTGAACAATGAGCTGTTCGAGGAATCGCTGGAACAGTTCGTGGTATGTAGAATCTTTCATATGGTCCTCTCCCCTGTCTGTTAACGCATATCTGATCCGCCAGCAGACTCGGGTCTTGGCATGATCCTGTCTTTATCGCAGTCCGAGGCAATGCAATCAAAAGAACCGGTCTGGCCCTGTCAACTGCGAGGCGGGGCTGTAGATTATCCCCGAATGGCAACCCGACTATCGATGATCTGTCTCGTTTCTCAAGTCCCCGGAATCGGACACAAACACACCGCCATCCTGTCACATCTTGTCTTGGCTGGGGTTGCCTTTCGCGATGCTTTTATGGCATCCAAGAAGAGCGGTCTCCGGGCTGCCATTAAATTGGCCGGATATCCCACGTGGGTGCACGCGCCAACCCTCGAGCGACCGCACCAAATATCGGGCACAAGCTTAGGACAGCTACTATAGACTAGGGGCTCGACTCAAGCAGTACTTTGGGAACTTTTACAGGTTAATTGGAGACTTTGGTGGGCCATGAGCAATCATGCCAACCCCTGTCAATAGCTGTCGTTTCGCACTATACCAAAGATACATCTTTTCAACACGTTACTCTGCTCGCTTGTTGGACAGAGAGCTCAATCTAAAACCAGCATTCTAAATTACCAGATACAGAAACGAATCGTAAAACCATACCGGATCGATTAGGACTAATAGCTCAAGGTTGCTCCCGTTTTGCGAGCAACTTCTCCCCGAACCCGCAGGTCAAGGTTCTGGAGCTTTCACGAGGTTTCGGCAGTACAAAGTCCAGCTCTCCCATCTGCTCCGGGGCTTCAGTGCAACCAATGACGAAGTTCACAATGAGCAATTGCCATGCGCCAAGAAAAGATAAAGCAGGTTCCTCCCTCTCGGGCCGCAGCAGCCCCTTGTAGGTCGCACAGCTATCAGGGCCCAGTACATGCGCACATGTCTCTGTTCAAGCTAACGGAGTCGCGGGTGGTCTCTCTGCCTTTTATGCATAAAATGGCAGATCTTCGTATTATATGCGGTCTGTTGGGGTCTGTTGGGCTTACCGTGGGCCCTTCTTTCGGGTTTCTCAGCTGTGTCCCTGATATTATCGCTGGCTCAAATTATGTTCTTTCGCTTCTTCTTTGGCCCCAAGTCTGCTTGTATCTTACCACAAATGGCTGTTCTGTTGTTCTGTACAGATTGTACTGTCCAGAATTTTCCATCTTACCGCCTGTATATATGGATGTACATGTATGAGGCCGCGCCTGGAACGGGAAAGCCATCTGCTCCTCCACGAACTGGGCTGGATATTCATGAACACCTAAATACGCATATACCCTGCGTATACCGATCCGTAATTAGTTCTTGGCCGGTCCTCCAAGTTCGGGTAATTGTCGACCAGTGCCCTTCACGCCTACTCGTATATTACAGCCTACCAACTCGGAGGAGCCACCGTACACGAACATACCCGGGTACCAAAGTGGAGGAGTATATAGCTGGATCGGACGTGGAAATATGCATCGATGCGAGAAAAAGCAAAGAAGAGCACACGCCACTCGATATGCAGCCCCGGCGCTGTGCTCAGAAACCAAGCCAGTGTTGCAGTCTCGGGCTATGCCGATATGCATCCTGCGCTTCTCTTTTACTTCTTGGAGATGATGGGCGGTGGCCATAGCTCTTTATCTGCCTGCGTACTTTGTAAAAGAATCTCTAGTCTGTCTTGTTTCGTCTTTTTCCCCCCATTTCTTACAATTTTCGATTTTCAATTCCTTTTTAACCTTTCGGCTTTGCGAAAGGGGGAGGGGGTTGCAGCCCCCCCCCGTCATCTGAGATCCCGTCAAACTGGCGGTCAGTCCTGTTCGCTTGAGAATCTCTGGGTAGCGTAGCCCAATGCGAAGGCTTGACTGCTACTCTGGAGGCAGCAGCACCAAAGCCTATTTCAGACAGCTTTTGACCGTGTGGATACTAGGCACGCTTGGGATCCCTCTGTCGGCGCTTGCAGTGGGGTCAGGAGGGGCAGGTCGTGTGCGTCTGTTTTTTTATTCCCTACTCCGATGTCCGGACAGTAAGTTTTACCTAAAGGATTTAAGTTGGATGATCTGGTGGGTTCTGGGGCGTATACACCGTACCCTGTGAGGCATAGGCGCTTTCTTGTAACCTCGGCTCTTGATGAACGAAGCTAGGAAATGCAAGGAAGAGGCTACGTATTCACCCGATTCAAAGATTAGGTACGGGCCATGCGTTCCTTTCCCACTAATCTGTCATCTTTGCGCAATACTGGGGGGAAGAGTACGGGGGTGGGGATGGTAGCATGAAGCCACTCTACCCAAGCCCCCTCCTTGAATGGGGCGGTGATTGGCGACGACAAATGCCTCGTAGTGTGCGACTATGTGGATGTTCGCATGTGTGTTCTCGGCTGCAGCGGAATAGGCATTGGAGACCGTCTTGGTAGGTAGCATAGCCAAGATCAAATAAAATACCTTGTCCAGCTCGTATATCGGAGTACGACTCTATGGTTATGGGGGGAAGCTGAAAGTTCCCCAGACTTGTGCGTGCATGGATACCTTGGATACAGCCCTCAATGTTTACGGTTTTACCGGCCTGTATGGGTTTTTTGTAAATACTTGGACTCGGTTTCGACGGTCACTTAACTCCGGAGTTATTCACCCACAAACTTGCTAGGCTGATGGTGGGGTGTCGAAAAAGTCCACCTCTTCCTGCCGGGGCTTGACATGTAGGCGACTGGCCCCTCCTTGCAATTGATGCTACTAGTATTTGCGGAGGACATCCCGCCGACAACAGACGGTGAAGGGAAGACGTTGCTGACTGTGCGTGCAGCTCTGATAGGCTCCGATCTATCGTACATAAGAACAGACACTATGACATTCCATGATTTGCAATACCAATGGGCACTGTGCGCTGTCGGACGATATCGAATCAGTGCGGTAGAGGACCAAGGGGTACTATAGGTTCCTGCAGTTGATCAATCGGCGCCAGACTTCCAGGGATGCCGTCATTCAGCCCAGATGACGCCAGATGAACTGATAGAAAAGGGAGGAGAAAATGGAGCTAGCATCTCGTATGATTGACGGGTGACTCCGTCACAACGTCCCCCCGGGCCCTCCATCTATAACCCGATGAGGAGCTTTGCATGAGTGACCCGTGCTGGGGAGAGATCGGCCGGCTCTGCGCGTGTGTTTTCTCAGAAAATGTATGGGCGTTTCGCGGGGAGGGGGATTGACAAGGAGGATTAACACTTTCGGAATTTGAAAGCTCCATCTTCCGAAACTGATTGGTACAATCAAACGTCTCATCTATGGTACGACGTATGGCCTGTCCGGAGGGGGGGGTTTCCCTGACCAACCCTGATTTTGTATCGATTTACCTCTATTGTCCAGGCACGTCGCATTAGAGCCGTCGGGACAATTAGATTCCGGAGGTCAACCTTGATTACAGAGGATACCAGGCCAACCATTGCCTACTCCACTCTCTGTTTCGCACTTGCTATACCGAGTCATGAAGCACACACGGAAAGCGGGGGATACGATACAGCACCCAGAGTTGTTTCTCTACCCGCCTTGAAAGCCCATGAGTTGCGGGACATGGGCCCCTCCCCATCGCTGGCCATGCTAGCGCCACAAGACACACCCAGCGCGTCGGCTCGCGGTGCTGGTGCGGGGCCACGATCGAATCACAGCGCGCGGTGGCCAGGATGCTCGATGGGCACAGCCTCACTCGCCTCAAAGCTCGCGTTAAATTATTCAGATGTAGAAAAGTGTATTTTAGAGTAATTGTACGTCAGTGGGCGAACCTCGGGGGGCGAATATGAACAACGCAGAGCTCTCCGCTCATCCGACGTCAGAGAATGTGCCGCGAAATGCGCCAATCGGGCACAGTTGCGAGGGCGAAATGAGTACGTTTCTAATATGCTGAAGAGGGGAACGTCATCGGGGCAGATCGGCCAGGAAAAGTCGGGCCTGGCAAATTGCTTGATCGTTCTTAGCTGTGAACACGGAAGAGGGAACACCCAGCGCTGGTAACCAAGGATCTTCCGATGATGGGGCCGGGACCTGGTTACTCCGTACCCGGTAGACTGCGCCGTAATGAATTTCCATTAAATCTCTCACCACGTACTAAGTACTCGGCAGGTACGGATACATATCGGCAACTTAAGTCTGCAGCTACTTTGCAGTGAGTAGCCTCTTAATGCACCTTGGGGAATGCATCTGGAGTATACGCCGGTACCGAGTACCGGGAATGTACAACCTCACTACACTACTCTACAACCGATACAAAGGGGTGAAGAAACCAGAACAAGGATTGTGCTCAGGATTCGAGCATCAAATAGAAGGCCCTACCTGGGGTAGAGGGCCAATGCTAGATTAATAATGCTGACATTGGGGGTGCGTCCACTTTAGGGTTGGGAGGCGTAGGCCGAGGACAAGGACGGAAAGTTACGCTGCGTATAGGATGTAGGATGTAACACCCGGTAATGCGTTCGCAATTTCTGGCAATTTCTGGTTAAACGTCTGACTTTTCTTACCTGATTTTACATTACTCCTCGAGGTTTTTGCCTGCGTATTCACGATAAATTACGTATAATACTGTCTATTACCGCCCATTACTCGCGGATGCTCGCTGTTCCTCTCGTAAGCCCATCAGTCCGCGGGCTCCTTCTTGTTTTCGACGTAATTCCCCATACTGGTACACCGTTTCTCCGTGGTATTTCATGTGGCCCTTTCCCGTAGCATCGCCAATTTTATCCCCCTCGTATCCCTTCCACATTTCCCTTTTTTCCTTTTTTTCTTCTCTCTTCCTTTGAAAGTTTGACTTATCTTATATGTGACACTTACCCTTCCCACCGGGGGCTGCCTCGAGGCTGTTTGGTCGAAAATCGAATTCGTCAACTTGATCTACTTTCAGCGTTTTCCGCTCGCATCCAGGTAACGGCAATAACTGCGACTTTCTGGCGTCACTGTGTTTCTGCCTGAGGCTACAAGGCAACTAGCTGCCGTTTTTTCCACCAAAAAATCGCCCGTTCTTCTTCTTTTTCCCCCTCACCTTGGGACCGTTCTCTTATTGTCGAGGAGCTTGCAGTGTAGCCATCGAGCTTCGTGCGAGCTCTCGCTCGTCCCCCAGTTCTCCATTGGAGACGTGGTCCTTTACCTTCCATCAACACCCTCCAAAACTACCGCACATGACTCCACCTTCTGCTTCACCAGTTCCGTCTGCAGTCTCTTCTACCACGAACTCTTTACATTCACATGACCGGGATGGAGACCCTTCGGTAACACGCGCCCTGGCGGGCATGACTGTTTCCCCGCCGAATGGGGAGGTTCTCTCCCCATCGGCCACCTCCCCAGCTCCCAAGCAGACCAAAGCCAATATGGCTGCCCGTTTTTCGCGCATGTTCTCCAGCTCAGGGAAGGTCCCTCAGCAGAAGGAACAGCAGAAGGAACAGCAGAAGGAACAGCAGAAGGAACAACAGAAGGAACAACAGAACCACGACATCCACAGAGATCTATCCGACAGTAGCCTCGAAAGTATCCAGGCACCATCCAGTCATAAAGAGAAACCTTCTTCAAAACCTTCATCCCGTGCGAACTCAAGACCTCCGTCCCGCACGCCTTCTCGCCAGCCCTCTCTGAAGAACGAGCCTATTGAGAAGGACAGCAAAAAGAAAATCAATGGCAGCAAAGCAGAGAAAGAGACCGCAGTTGCCCCGCATAAGCGATTTGAACTCCTCCCCGAGCACCTGGGACACCACTGTCACCACCTTCGAAGTGCCCGCCGGCAAGAAAAGCTCACCGATCTTCTTCGCGATATGCTCGGAGCCCGCAAGAAGGACGATCAGGTGGACGAGCAGCAACTTTCCCTTATGTCGACCTGGATCGACCAGTTCAGAACCGAACGAGACAAACTCGCCGCCGACAAGAAGGGTGGCCCGAATGCCACCGCATCTCTGGTCGACAAATACGGGAAATGCCAGGAGATTGTAGGCCGCGGCGCCTTTGGCATCGTCCGCATCTCACACAAAGTCGACCCGGCCGATTCGAAATGCGAACAGCTGTATGCCGTGAAAGAGTTCCGGCGCCGTCCTCAGGAGACAGCCAAGAAATACCAGAAGAGACTCACTTCTGAATTCTGCATCTCTTCATCTCTTCGTCACCCAAATGTCATTCACACTCTAGATCTCCTGCAGGATGCCAAAGGCGATTACTGCGAGGTCATGGAGTATTGTGCCGGAGGTGATTTGTATACCTTGGTCCTTGCCGCTGGAAAACTCGAGGTTGCTGAGGCAGACTGCTTCTTCAAACAGCTGATGCGCGGAGTTGAATATATGCATGAGATGGGTGTTGCCCATCGTGACTTGAAACCCGAGAATCTGCTATTGACTACCCACGGTGCGCTGAAGATCACCGACTTTGGCAACGGTGAATGTTTCCGTATGGCCTGGGAAAAAGAAGCCCACATGACAGCGGGCCTCTGCGGATCGGCACCTTACATTGCGCCGGAGGAATACACCGAGAAGGAATTTGATCCTCGCGCTGTCGACCTGTGGGCTGTTGGTGTGATCTACATGGCTATGCGTACTGGTCGACACCTGTGGCGAGTGGCCCGCAAAGACGAGGATGAATTCTATCAACGTTACTTGGAGGGTCGCAAGCACGAGGATGGCTATGCGCCTATTGAAACACTACACCGGGTATGTACCCTCCTGATTCTTCTCCCCCGCTTTCCTTCTTTTCTAGAAGTGTCTTTCGGTGTGTATAGTTTGCTAACTCCATATAAGGCACGTTGCCGAAATGTGATCTACTCTATTCTAGATCCCAACCCCTCCCGCCGCATCAACGCATCTCAAGTGCTCAAGTCCGAGTGGGTACGACAGATCAAGCTTTGTAAGGCGGGTGAGGAAGGATTCTAGCGGTGCACTTTGTTTCTCCCGGTGATACTCTTGGACGAAATGGCAAGGGCAGAATTGATGGCTTATTTTTCAATGCGGAAGAATTCCCCTTGTATGAGCATCTGGGTGGTTTATGTCTTGTCCCAAGAACCCGTTCAAGGGAAAGGCGGTCCTTGTCTTGTCCTTTGAATGCTCCTTTAGATTTATGGAGGCCCTTTTTTTGTCCTTTCGGTCATATGATCCTGGCGCATTTCTATATCTCAGCTTTTTCAGCCTATCGTTGCTTAGCTTTGCGGGTTTTCTTCTTTTTCTTGGTCTGGATTGTCATGTTTTTTCATGTGAAATGCAACGAAGAGTCATGACTTTTTTTTTCATCCCCCTCTTATCCTTTTTTTTTCCTCTTGCGGTCGGTCTTGGTATTACCTTGAAGCTGGAACGGCTTGACGGCGTTTGCGGCAAGTTGGACTTTGTTACGTGTGTGTATTAGCGATGGCGTCCTGCTAGCGGTTGGGGAGGACTACTTTCTCTGTCCCTTAACCGAAATCAGTATAGGTGGGAGATCCATTTGCGTGTTTGACTTTGTTTTCTTTTCTTTTTTTCCCCCTTTCTGTTTTTCTTTTTTTCTTTTTTGGGGGGGGTTGAATTCCCTCGTTCATATCACCGGGCCCCGTATATAGCATCCGGTAAATCCTGTATATAGACTCGAACGAAGTGGTTCGTTATTAGATCTGAAATGACCAGGATCTCCAGCTCACCTGACCGTTTGCCTTCGTGTAGTTTGCGTCTGTTTCCCTGGCTTGTTACTGTTAAACCGCGAATCACCTGATTTACCACATCAAGGCCAGCTGGCGCTCGCCACGTCGTCGGGACCTTCCTCTATGGGTAATATTTATCTGCTAACGATGCGGATGATGCATCTCGCACAACAAGATGCCCACCCAATGCATGACATCAGGTTACAGGTGTGGCACTGCCCCATAACCAGCAGGTCCACCAGTCTTGCGAAGCCGAGTTACAGTACTTGACGTACGGTACTTCGAGTATAATGCTTACTTTGTTCTATGTACATGCAGATCTGATGGCCTCAGAGTGGCTCCCGCGGGAACCCGACTGCAATCATTCATATCATTCAGTGTTTTGGCCCCGCCCCATCACCTGCGACTGGGGGCGGTTTACTGGGGGGCTGATGTGTGGCGGGCCTGACCATAGTTACGCTTCGTGTTTCGAGGCGTTTTGAAGATTGAGTTGACTATCGCTCCAAAAAGAGCTGCCAAGTCCCTCAACAATTGGGATCTGCCAACGTGTGCAGCTAACGCTCTTGGCGCATGCTGTGTGCCCAGCCTCTAGGCACCTGCATTCTGCATTTTGACCCCGACCTCCTAGCTGGGCCATTTGTGCGGTGCCCAGCGCTTGTGGATTTCATGACTTTTAGGTTTTTTTTTCTGGACTTTGCGCTACGAGTCCTGGGAAAATTCTATTGAATCTTTCAGCCTTACGTGCGATTCTTGGCGGTAGCAATACCAAAGTGTATCTTTCACGGGAAAATTACTTTCAGTATAGTTCTATTTATTTCGGTAAGGACGGTACTGTGTACATACGTCCAGTACGTCCCGTAACGCGCTGGATCGCTTGGCAGAGAGGTTCGCAGAGAGACGCAAGCTTCATGAAATTAGAGAAGTTGAAAGATCATGGCACCTACTGTAGAGTGGAGGAGCTTCCACATCGATGACTGACGTAGCCGCATCCGGTGAGTGACTAAGCAGACCGCTACAGGCACCAGGACTGGGCACTCAGGCAAACTCGCGACGAAACATCTCTCTTGGGCTCAACATCTAACAGTACACGGTTGGCGCTTGAGCTTGTTCTGTCAGCTTCAAGCTTTGCTTCGACACCCTCCCGCTTTCCCCTTTCACACCGATCGACCATCTCCACTTCGTTGCAGAAGATCTCCAGAAGCCGCCATCATGTCGTGGGCAGGTATGGTGGCGCCGGACTGTAGCGCCGAGGATTGACGGCGAACACATCGAGATAGGCTAACCCTTGGAATTATCCAGGCTTTAAGAAGAATGTCAACCGTGCCACCACGCAGGTGATGATGAAGACTGGTGCGTCCGCCGCAGATTGCTACCCCGCAATCAATCAACGTCGGCTCAATCGGATCGACACTAACGAACAAACCAGGGCACGTGGAGCGGACAAATGACCGAGACTATGAGATTGAAGAACGGTACGCGTTGGTCGGTCTCAGAGTCCGAGAAGCATCCTAACGATTGTAGACGATACCGCACAATGGAGGCAGCTGCCAACCGACTGCAAAAAGAAGCCAAGGGTTACCTGGACTCGCTACGAGGTCAGCTTCAGAACGGAAGCCCACGGAATTCTGCAACGTTACTGACATCCAACAGCCATGACCGCATCGCAAATGCGTATTGCAGAGACCATTGATGCTTTCTACGGCGACGCGAATACCAAGGACGGTGTCAGCCGAAGCTACAAGCAAGCCGTGGAGGACCTTGATGCGGAAACTATCAAGGCCTTGGATGGGCCCTACCGGTATGTTTTAAGCTGCCTATGCATTGCTCCGTGGGCTCCGAAAAGCTGATGCCCCGCTTCAGAACAACCGTTCTCGACCCAATCAGTCGATTCACTGCCTACTTCCCCGACGTAAACGAGTGCATTAAGAAGCGCAATCACAAGCTTTTGGACTACGATTCCATGCGCGCGAAAGTAAAGCGACTGGTGGAGAAGCCCGACAAGGATGCCACCAAGCTCCCGCGCACCGAACGCGAACTGGAAATGGCCAAGCAGGCCTACGAGCAGCTGAACGAGCAGCTCTTCACCGAATTGCCCCAGCTCATCGACCTTCGCGTGCCATATTTGGATCCTAGCTTCGAGGCCCTTGTCAAGATTCAGCTGCGCTTCTGTGCCGAGGCGTACTCCCGTATGGCTCAGGTGCAGCAGTATCTGGCTGCGGAGACACGAGACCAATATGCTCGTGGTGATCTAGACAACCGGGTTGAGGAGGTGCTGCAAGAGATTCGTGACCTGAGCATTGCTGGAACGGTTTAGAGGGAGTTTTTTTCTTTTTCTTTTTCTTTTTTTTTTTTTCTTTCTCTTTTCTTCTGTTTCGATACAATTTCGCATAATCTGGGTTATAAGCCTATGCTTTTTTACGTGTGCTGATAAGACTATGCGGTGCTGTTTTTGTTTCATGCTTATACAGTCCGATTGGACTGAGTAGCCTGTGGTCTCTATTTTTATATTTTCAACCACTTTACATGACTTTGTAACTCTGTATTTCCGAAAAAGGAAGAGATAGTTCTATTCAATGTACATGGATTACCACAAACCAAGAAGCTCAAGACCTCCCACCGGTTTGATGCTGATATCAACCCCAGAATCCGTATAAGCCCATAAACTCCAATGCCCATGCAAGGCTAGATGCAATCGTATAGAACCAACCGTCCCAAAAGTCCCGTGGAATGCGCTTCAACTCTCAGGGTCCCTGCGCATAGACACGCCCCCGATAAAGCTCCTTCTCCAGAGCCATCACCACCTGGTCAACCGCAGCCTCCATCCTCTTCGCCTCCTGCGGATCCATTTCCGCAAGCACATAATCCGCAACATCCTCCCGCCCCCTGGTCTCCGGCCTCCCGATCCCATATCCAATCCGCAGCACGGCAAACTCGCGCGGCGGCGCATCCTTAAATGCCTTCTCACTCCCCTTCACAAACACACTCCTCACCTCGCGCGGATCCGGTTCGCCGCGCTTGGCCCCCAAATTCCACATCTTCTTCTTATCCAGGGTCGCAAACACATCCTCCAACCCCCGGTGGCCGCGCAGACTAAACGACTCGGGTCCCCCGTACCGAACCTTCAGCTTCCCCGGCGCACTCTCCAACTCATCGTGCAGCAGGACCAGCGTTGCCGGCACCCCCTCTCCGCGCTGCAGCCCGGGGATCTGCATGGACAGCCCCCGGTCCGCTCTGACGAAGAAGTTCATCATCGCAGCCACGAGGCCCCGGCCGGACTCGTTCATGTAGTGCGTTGGCCGCTTGGTCGCGACGAAGGGGTGCAGGTTTGCCTCGGCCCAGCGCGTCTGCAGGCGCGGGAGGAGGGCGTCGAGGAGGAGGCTGCCGGCATTGTGGCGGGTTCTGGCATATTTGGCTCCTGGGTTGCCGAGGGCGGCGATGTAGAGGAGGCGGTTTGGAGCCCGCGGTGGCATGGCTGGATCTTGGGGTGCGGCGATGGGCGCCCGAGGTAATCGGGAATCGCGACTCGGAGGGTTGGGTGGATCGGATGGAGAGGATATAGTCATACGGTGTCTGTGTATATACGAGTTGCGTAAGCTTCGCGGAAGCGCGTGGTTCCTGATAGGAGGGGAGGAACCCATTCTTTTTTTTTTTCCCGATTGTACGCAATTATTTTCCTGACGGGTCCCGTCTGGTGGTCCCCGTTTGGTTCAGGCACGGGAGATCGGCTGTGACTGGCTGTAACTGGCTGGGGCCCCCTCTGCCCTGGGATAATCAGGAGGCGCGGATTATCCTTGGTGGATATAAGGGAGATTTGTTCACGGGGGAATGCCGGTCGCAGTGATACTTCAGTAAAGTGGGTTTCGGCCAGCCGTACTCACCTATTTGTATTATTCTGTAGAACAAAATATTGTTGATGCAGGGGTATGTCCTAGTAGGACTCCTACGTATGCCATAGACTACTTGAGGCCTTGCTGGGTGCTGGGTTCTGGGCTCCCAGTCCGACTTCAAAGCCTTGGGTCGTTCCGTTGACTTCGTATGCGAGTCGCGTACCTGCCGGTCCACCCTGATTCATTTTCCATGCGGTGCTCAAACCTGGGCACACTTGGCTTACTCCCGTACTAGTATCTAGACGAGAGCACAGCCCCTACTTGGGAAATCAACGTCCAAGAAGTTCGACTGCAAAATGGTTCTTAGTTCAATCTAGCGAATTTCGCGAGCGAGGGAGAATTGGGCTCGGGGTCTATGCATGAATCATGTCAGGCAGGAAGTGGGGTATTCTTGTTAATCCCAGCAAAATGGTAAAAGGATCATGATATTCCTGAGGAGCTCGTGAACAACTGGCAAGCGGACTACTCCCGAGTATCACACAACCTGAAACTTTCCTTGTAACAGTGGAGTATCGCGGCGCGCTCGAATAATCGCGGGAAAAAAACAGTAAAAATAAAAATAAAAGTCAAATCAAAAACAAAATTGTTGCATTAAACAACCCGCGAAAATACCAAAACAAAGCCATCAAGCCGCGTGTGTTAATGTCTCATGCAACTCCCAACTAGTCTTCGTGGCCTGCTCTAACGCATGTTTCAGAGGATCTGGCCAAGGCGCGGAACCCAAGATGTGATGGAAAATTGTGATTCGGAATTCCCTGTCCCATGCAACTCCTGGGGAAGCCGGGAGCCCGAGCTGCAGAAACCATCGCACGATCCAGAGCACCGGGTCTGAATTAACCATAAACTCCCCGGGGGAAGGCTTAGATAAAGACTCCGAGGTGCATGGGCGCATTTGGGGCCTTTGGTGGAGCCCTCGTGCTGGTCCATGCTCACCTGTACCCTTTCTGTCGGGTCTCGTCAAAGAGGCGAGAGCTGCCGATCTCACTAGACGTCCATGGAGTCGACCAGTCTGTCTAGACCCGATCGTCACACAAACGAGAGGCTTCCCCGCCCGCAGGTGTGCTGGAACAGGCGTTCAGCTCTCCAAGTCACTTGCATGTGCCCTTGTGTAAAAGAGAAGCCTGGAGCTGTCCTTGTACATGACTCTATCGATCTCTTGGAAACCAGTATCAGAGAAGTCCCTCTCCCAAATTCGAACGTGTAGGTCCCACTACGTCCCTAATTTCCCGGCGCTGCGGGCCCTATGCCTCCTGCGGTCCGCTCCTGCCCTGCTCAGCTCCACTGGCCCATTTTACCCGGCGAACTGGTTTCGTATATGCCATTTCAGTGATCAGGTCTCCCGACCGTTTGGATGTGCTCAGGGACTTGGGCCTTCGTGGACAGGTTGGTCCAGATGATCGGGTCTCCACGGCATCATCCCATCGACTTTTCCCAAACTTTGGGTGATCTGCTTACCCCCTCCTGCCTGATTTTCTCGTATTAATCATATTAATCATATGGAGGATTTCTGTGTTTTTTTTTTCTTTTTTTCTTTTTTAAAGTTGTTTGGCCCGCAACCTCGGTTCCCGGTTCTCTGGTTCCATGGCTCTACAATTCTACTCTTCTATGATTCTGTGGTTCTATAGTTCCTGAGCTCTTCTATGCTCGTATCCTTCTATACCAGCCCTTCTATACCAGCATTATCCCAAATCCAAATCATCCTGCCGCGTTAGGTGCTTCTGATTCTGAGCAGTCCGTCTGGTCTCCGTCATGTTATGGACGAAACACCTAGCCAAGAATCGGAAAACCCGGACCATTCTTATCATGGATCCCCAGTGCTCGGTGTTGATAGTTCAGAATCAGAGGACAATTCTGAAAGTACAGAGTCAATGTGAGTCACCATTTGATGTTCTCGATGGGGCAAATGTCGATTTTCTCTCGGAGGAGTGCAATGTTTACCGTGTCAGGATTTCCAGACCGAGCTCGAGCTCAACCACTGACACATACGTTAGAGTTTCAACCCGCTCTTGCTCGCCACGGAGTCTACAGCATGTCGAAGAGAATGGCCGTCGGTACTGCGATCAGAACTACTTCATGCCCAACGACGATGCAGAGCTCACCCGGCTCAACATCGTCCATCAAATCTACCTGATTCTCCTGGAAGGCCGACTCACCACAGCCCCAATCCCCACGTCCTCGCCTCGCATATTAGACATTGGCACGGGTCCAGGTGATTGGGCCATCGAAATGAGTACCAAGTATCCAGAAGCTACCATCATCGCCTCCGACATAGGCGTCTTCGATGCCGGGCTCGGTCACATGTCCCTCCCCAACATCGATTTCCAAATTTCAGATGCCGAGACCCCATGGACCTACCACGAACCCTTCGATCTAATCCACCTCCGCGGCCTCTCCGGTGCATTCGCCAATTGGCCTCGAATTTACCAACAAGCCTACACCCACCTCAAACCAGGTGGATATATCGAGGTCGCCGACGCCGACCCGGCGGGTGATACTGTGCTAGCATCTCCAGAGACAGCGCCGCATCTATGCGCCTACGCCGCAGCACTCCGCCAAGCGGGCGACAACTGCGGCCATCCACGGGACCTGGGCCACCTTCGCACCGAGGTCCTTGCTGAAGCTGGGTTTGAAGCCATCCGAGCAGTGGAACGCACATTCCCCGTTGGCCTGTGGCCGGAAGACGATGACGAAAAGACTATCGGGAAGATGGCTCTCATTGCGGCCCTGGAAGGCCTGGAAGCATTTGCTTTGCGTCCCTTGACGCAGTCGGCTGGATATTCGCTCGACGAGGCCCGGAAACTATGTGGCGATGTTCAAACGGAGCTGCTGGCGCCGGATCAAAGACTGACGGGGCGGATTCGTATCATGACGGGGCGGAAGCCAACTTCATATGCCCAGCGCCGAAGCCAAGTGATGGCGAGGGCGATGCAGAAAGTGAAGGATTTACAGGGGAGTCTGCCTGTTGAAACAGATCACTAGAGATGCATAGGATTGGATGGAATTCGGCATTGGGTGTTGGTGGTGCAGGCTTTGTCTCATATGCATGCAGCCGGGCTTGGACCCTGTTGCCTCGTGAATAGCGAGTAAATTCTTTACTTATAGCAGAACCCAGAACAGAACGAACATCGAAGCTCACCAATGTGTGAATTCAATATGTTTTCTACTTGACGCATATTCGTCGTTGAAGGTGACAAGCTAACCACAAGTACTCGGCAATGCTTGACAGACTTGGAGGGGGTTGCCTCCACTCCAAATAGCCAAGTATCTCGGCTCTCCATCCATAGCTTGTAACTACCGTTCTGTGCCCAGGGTGCCAAGGCTTGGAAAACCAGAATCGCTAAGGTTTTACGCTTCCGCCAAGGCGCAGGCTGGTACCTTGTTTGGAGCCCTTAAAATAAACGTGGTGGTATCGTAGTATTAGTATATGGTAGACGAACAATAGTGCAGGGTTTCCGTAGTCAGGTTTGGCCGAACTACAACAAAGGCAAGGAGGCCTTCCGGGGAATGGGACACGATTAGCTGCACAATTAGTGTCTGCAGTAATACTGAGGAGTCAGAACGTCCCATTCTTCGGTCATGTAGTCCTTTCGACTAGGATGAGAACGAGGGGGGGCCTGTTCACTATGTTCATTCAGAGATCTGATGTTCCTTAGGCGGATGAGATGAAACCCGACGATAATATCCATTTTGATACTCCCAAAACCCCATGCAATAACCAGAAGCAAAATCCGAATCAAAGCTGGAACTTCGTCCGTTCTTTTTCCATTCCACCCTTCCATTCCCACTCCTGCCCACTTGCCCTCTGGATCCCCTTATCAACACGCCGCAGCTTCAATGTGAATCGAGGACCCAGCTCCTGCAGTCCAGTACGAATACCTTCGGCACCAGCCATTTCTTTGCCATCAGCACCGACAACTGCCTTCTCGGTCTCTCTCTTTTCACGGAAAACATAACGGTGGCGGCGCACAAAAATGTAATCACGCTGGTTGTGCAATGTCACAACCTGTCGACCCTCGAATTCCGGTTGCGGAGGGAACAGCGCGCGAAAAAGGTGCGCTGTAAGCAGACCCAGGGGTGTACGGAAGTTGTTCAAAATGAGCTCAGGCCAGTGGTCGGTGGCTCGGCCGTGGCCCGGTAATCGCTTGCCTTCAATCCAGTTGCTGATACTGAAGTGAAAGGTTGGCCCGTGAGGAAGATGCACAACAGTAAGTCCGCTGGGCTTCTTCTGATCCTCCTGCAACACGATGAGGGCTGTGAAGTTGCGATTTGAAGCAAACTTGGAGATCTCGCGGATAGAGAATTTGTGAGAGTACCGGGTGTGCCGTGCGGCGGATATACACGCTGTTGGGGAAGAGGTCGGTCAGAATATCGGCTTCTTTGTGGAGAGTGGAGTTGAGGGCGGTGGTGATGAGGATTTTCGGTGTTGGAGGGGGCCCGGAGGTGAAAAGGGTGGGGAATTTGGCTGCGAGGGCCTCTGGCGCAAGGTTCAGGTTCGTGCTGCGTGTAGAATGGGTCGGGCTTGTTGCTCGATCCGTAGCTGAGGGGAGAGATGACTTTGTTCGCCCGCAACCTGAATCCTTTTTGTCCTCGTCCGTTTCCTCATCTTCGTCTTCACTATCACTTGTCGCAATCATACTGTCGACAGACTCATTATCAGACTCGGGCCCTTCGCTATCATCCTCGCCATCTTCGAGTGGTCGGTTCAGTTCCTCCTCCGCTTCTTTCTTGGCCCGTTTGATGCGCTCGACGTCGACGCTCAGACCCAGGCCATGCTCCTCGGCGTCGCTATCGGCACCATCCCAGACTCGCTTGCGCTCAAGCGTCAATGGAATATTGCGCTTCAAACGCTCCTCCTTCAATTTAGGGTTCTTGGCTTCTTCCTTCTTGAAAGCATAGCGCTCGGCTCGGCGCGTAGCATCCTTTTCTCTCTTGCGCTTGATGTGCTGGAGTTGACGACGTTGTTTGTTGGCAGTCTTGAAGCTGTCGGAGCCTGGAGGCGGCCTTCTTTGGCCTTTCATACCCATTTTGAAGGTGCGTGGGTTGGTGCAAAGCTTGAATCTGAACTGAACTCGCCGATCTTTTTTTTTTTTTGGAGAAATTATTTATCTCGGATCATTATTCTTCCGGCGTGCCCGGCCACCTTTTTTTGACCTTGTTGATCCCTTTTCAATTGGGAAAGAGAGTCACTATCATAGAAGAACGATAAATAATAAGAGAGCACCGGCCTCGAACCACTCTTTTCTTTCCATAATACCCTTATAGTGTGTTGTGTGGTGAACTCCCAAGGCGGGCTGCAAGGTTGGATGACTCAATTGCTGCGGCGTCTACCCCCCCCGCTCTTTTCTTTCCCCCCCAGCCCTCCTTAGGTTTTTCGCAACCGAATCAGCGCCCCGAACGCCCTCGAAACGAAACCCCAAGATGGCCACCCTTTCCACCAAGACCGGCCAGGAGGTCGATCGCTCCGTCTTGGAGTCAATGCTCCGTCGTCGCATGTTTTATACCCCCTCCTTCGAAATCTACGGTGGTGTGAAAGGTCTGTACGACTATGGCCCACCTGGAACCGCCCTGATCGCCAACATGACCGACCTGTGGCGCAAGCATTTTGTGCTGGAGGAGGATATGCTCGAGGTCGACACCACCATGCTCACCCCCCACGAAGTTCTCAAAACCTCTGGGCACGTGGACAAGTTCGCCGACTGGATGTGCAAGGACCCCAAGACCGGCGAGATCTTCCGTGCTGATCACTTGGTGGAAGAAGTACTGGAGGCGCGCTTAAAGGGCGACAAGGAAGCTCGCGGCCAGAAGGTGGTGGTTGATGCGGACAAGGAAGCCAAGAAGAAGAAGAAGTCCAAGGTGAACCAGGCTGTGAAGCTTGAGGATGCAGTTGTCAAGGAGTACGAGGAGACTCTTGCGCAGATTGATAACTTCGGCGGCCCGGAGCTCACGGAGATTATCAAGAAATACAACATCCGCAACCCCCAGACTGACGGCCCTGTCGAGGACCCTGTCTCATTTAACCTCATGTTCCAGACTGCTATCGGCCCTAGCAGCAACATGCCTGGTTTCCTGCGCCCTGAGACTGCGCAGGGTCAGTTCTTGAACTTCCAGAAGCTGCTGGAGTTCAACCAGCAGTCCATGCCTTTTGCTTCCGCGGCAATTGGTAAGTCTTTCCGTAACGAGATCTCCCCTCGCGCCGGTCTGCTGCGTGTGCGCGAGTTCCTCATGGCCGAGATCGAGCACTACGTGGATCCCGAGGGTGGCAAGAAGCACCCTCGGTTCGTCGAGGTTAAGGACGTCGAGATGACTCTGCTCGATCGTCACGTCCAGCTCTCTGGCAGTACCAAGACCACTAAGATGACTATCGGCAAGGCCGTTGAGACCGGCCTTGTGGATAACGAGACACTGGGTTACTTTCTGGGCCGTATTCAGCTCTTCTTGCTGAAGCTAGGTGTCGACCCCACCAAGCTTCGCTTCCGTCAACACATGGCTAATGAGATGGCCCACTATGCTGCTGACTGCTGGGATGCTGAGCTCTTCACCAGCTATGGCTGGATTGAGTGTGTTGGCTGTGCTGATCGTAGCGCCTATGATCTGACTGTACACAAGAACAAGACCGGTGCTCCACTTGTGGTGCGCCAGACTCTTGCCGAACCCCGGAAGTTTGAGGAATGGCAGGTCGACATCGAAAAGAAGAAGTTTGGTCCTCAATTCAAGAAGGATGCTAAGGCCGTCGAGTCAGCCATTGAGGCTCTCTCGCAGGATCTGCGCGAGAAGCTCTCTCTGGATCTCCAGCAGAACGGTAAGGTCGAGATTGACGTGGAAGGTGTTGGCTCTGGCAAGGTCGAACTGAGCAAGGACCTTATCAACATCGAAAAGCGTACCCGCGTCGAGAACATTCGCGAGTACACTCCCAACGTCATCGAGCCATCCTTTGGTATCGGCCGTATCTTATACAGTATGATTGAGCACGTTTACTGGTCGCGTGCTGGCGACGAAGCCCGTGGTGTATGTTTGCCCTCATGCCAGGTTGTTCTAGATCCGTGTGCTCACATTTCCAAATATAGGTTCTCTCTTTCCCCCCTGCCGTCGCCCCCACCAAGGTCTTGCTGGTCCCCCTCTCCACTCACGCCTCCTTCAAGCCTCTCACCCAGCGCTTGACCAGCAAGCTCCGCCGACTGGGCATCTCCAACCGTGTCGATGACTCCTCCGCTTCTATTGGAAAGCGCTACGCCCGTAACGACGAGCTGGGCACTCCATTCGGTCTCACCGTTGACTTCCAGTCCGTCGAGGACAACACTTTCACACTACGTGACCGTGATACCACCAAGCAAGTGCGCGCAAGCGAAGACGAAATTCTCAAGGCCCTCAAGTCGCTCATTGACGGCGAGGAGACTTGGAAGATATCTTCAAGAGACTCCCCGAATTCACTGGTCAGGAAACGGAAGAGTAGATCTAGTCACGGCTCTTCATTTAAAAATAACAGCTGTTGTTGCACTCGGGCTCATAGATTTAGTTATACCCTGATTTATCCATACAAAAGATTGGAAGGAAAATAAGCCTCGCGGAAACGGGCCTAGACGAGTCCACTACCTCGAAACCCTAAGTTAATTAATTTCCTTTATGTCCGTAGAGCCGCGGCATCGCCCAAAGCAGATACCCGCGCCAAGAATCCGGGGCGATCTACCATGTGTCCTCTTAACCTCTTTCCCTTCTTCACAATCCATCCCCCACCATGGCGCCCCCAGTTCACGCGGCAAAGGTCACTTTGTCCTGTCCGCTGTTCTCAGCCGATTTCGACCCGCGCAATAATGCTCGCCTCCTGGTCGGAGGCGGAGGCGGCGAGGGCCGAAGCGGAGTTGGAAACAAGATCGTAAGTTGCACAGTTTCCGAACTCTATTTGCGCAATTGTCACTAAACAATAGACCAGTGGCTTTTAGATACCTCAAAAAGAGATGAGGTCAGTGCGGCTGTCGAGCTCGACCTGTCGCGTGACGAGGACTCTGTGACTACCCTGGCCGTTGCGCCGCAGGCCAGCGACGATGCGGATTCACTGACTGTCCTCGCGGGAATCAATAGCTCAGTTGCTGAGCAAAAGAAGAACAACAACAAACACATGCGATCATTCCTATTCCAGGCCCCACGGAAAGTTACGAAAACAGATGCGATCACTGGAGAGGACGAAAACGACAAGGCGGAGCAAGGAAAGTCAAAGGAAAAGAGCGATTCAGATGAAATCATTCCAGGTCAAGGGAAGCTACTGTCAAGCGCATCCCTATTTCGTGCAAAAAAAGGAACCGACCCGGGGGATACATATCAACGAGTGTTGCGCCTTTCGCCCTGGAGGAAACCGACAGATGGCTCTCAACAAGGCAACAGAATTGGTGCCATCGCAACAGGACTTGCTCCTTCCAGTGAGCTCGTGCTCTTCCATGTGACTGCATCGCCTACAGAAGCCGATGTAATGGGTCGCATCCGCCTTGAAAATAACGAAGAGGTTGACGACGTGGACATCATCGATCTCCGAAATGAATCGGATGAAACCAAAGCGACTGATCAATTCAGATTCGCGTACACGAACGGGGCCGACGTGGTAGTTGGTGAAATCTCAGCTTCTACTCGCTCGAACGCCGCGCCAGCTGTTCGCCCCCTCTGTTCTATCCCCTGCCCAAAGCGGGGAAAGCTGCGCGCCCCAAGTTCCGTGCGCTCCGATTCTTGACAGAAACGTCATTAATACTCCTCAAGAATGCTCCTGATCGCGGTGGCAGCGAGCTGGTCATTCTGGATTTCTCTACTGTTCCATCTGAACCCTCTGGGATATATGACGAACCAATGATCACCCACCGCAAGAAGCTTCCGAGTAGTATGAAGATTGGTCTTGGTCTCGATGTCTGCCCTCTTGGAGAGAACACAATTGGCCAGCAGCAATTCATAGTCGCAGCAAGCGGGAGCGATAACTCGATCGCTGTATGGACTATTGAATACGGACCTAAGCGTGGGTTCGATAAGATCCGACCTTACACGACTCTAAAAGATTTGCATCCATTCTCCATGACCAAGCTATCATTTTCTACTTTCATTCCCCCAGCTCACCCTATTACACCTGATGTCCCTCCGCAAAAAGTCAAGCTTGTCTCGGTTAGCATGGGCAACACAGTCGTCGTGCATACCTTCCCTCTCGCTCCGTTCCCCCCATCTTCGCGCACTGCACGCTACACCTTATCTCTCCCCGGCCCGGCAGAATTCTGGGAACTCCTGATTTATACAATTGCCTTGTTCTTCTCCTTCGGCATAGTCATATTTGCCGTGTGGCTCTATGCCGAGATCCGCGGCGCAGTGCCCCCCGTCGTGGGTGTCCAGCATTGGCTTCCAGGAGGAACCTCGAACTCCTGGGCGATAGAATATGTCCACCCGGGACTACAAAAGGCCTCTTACTTAGACAGTATGGCCCCCAAGGGGCCCGGCTCAACTCCAGACCAAGACACGATCGAAAGTCTGAAGAGTATCCTTGAGCGAGTCCACAGCTCAGGTTTCGCACCGGCAGACCTTGAAGTTCCTTCGCCACAGGAGGTCTCAGTTATTGTTCGCTGCCATGATGGCCAGTCTGCCGAGCAGAGTGTCATTGTTGAAACGGCTTCTGCACATGGCGAGAACTCTGAATCTGGGAACTTGCGCGCTTGGAATGATTTGAGTGGCGCGGACCAGGATGCTTGGAGGCAACGGCTGACTGATGCTCGACGGTGGGTTGTGAGTGAGGGCGAGGCCGTCCTGCAAGGAGTGCTGTTCAGCGAAGCATGTAACCAACTAGCGCAAACTGTCAAGGATGAACTGTAAACAACTCTACCTTGGCCGCTCTTTGGCTCGAAGGTCTTGGTTCTGAGTTTTGACTGGGCCGTCTTTTTGGATTCTTTGTTGTATGAATTGCTCTGAATGTTTGCTACGATATGGACGACTGTTGCTATATAAAAACCTTCAATAACGAGGCGCCTTCAATAGCAAGCTCTATTATGATGGCGCACTTACTGCACGATTGGGTTGTAAGTCATTCGAGCCTGGAAATGAGTTGAAATTGAGTAGCCAATTCTACGCTCGATCATGAAATGCCACAATCACTCACAAGTCCGAGGCGCTTCATGGGTCTTACAGGACGAATCATGATGATGCAGTGCCGCTGTAGATGAGGCGCCCCTTGGCATAAGGCGTACATTAGGCTAGTTGTAGGAACGCTCGTAGTACGAGGTACCCTGGGGACACTATCATCCTCACCAATACGTTTGAGCTTACTACTCCATGGTGCATGGCTCATGCACTACAGATTCTGCTATACTCAGCAGGGAAGTCACTTTTGGATAGAGAGAATACACAACACAAGTCGGAATCGTGAAACATCATTCGTCACTCGAGGGAGACAAGATCGAATCCAAAATGTACCATCTGGAAACACAGATAATCACAATCAAGACGAAGAGGGAAGGTCGGTATGAGGGGTTCGAATTTTGTGCAGTCAAAGCAGGGCGTGATTATCGTCATGGCTGAGAGACGATCCAGGGGAACCAGAAACAGTAATAGCACGCAAGTCCGGGAAGAAAAAATGAATCCCTCTTGGCTCAAAAATTAGAACGATTCGTAAACGCCAATTTCCTCCACTCCGAACGGAAAGAAAAAAAAGAAAGAGGAAAACTGTATGTAACGGCAACAGCAGAGAAGAAGAAGGGGGGGAGGGGGAAAGCTCTGGTCCATGTAAGGCAAGCAGAGGATGGGAATAGCCATGCAGTGTTCGGTCCGGTCGTTAGGCAAAAGTCAAAGGCACCAGTTTCGTCAGGAGCATGTTCTAACCAGAGGCCGCTGTAGATGAGGCCCATATGCGCGCAGGCCAGGATTTCCATACGGCGAAACTGGTGTTGTGCATGTGCAGAAAGGGACGAGGGTATGTGGTGAGGGTCTTTAAGACAAGACAGGGAGACAAGAAAGCAAAAACGTCAATCAAATTTACTGGCCGTTGGGCTTCTTCCAGCGGAGCAGCTCAGCCAGGCTAGCCAGACTGCAGCCAGTTTGCAAGAACTCATGCGCCAACAGTTCGTCAGCCGTCGCACGGCTGCGGACATCCACACATAGACAGACAGCCAGAAAAGCTTTGAGTTCCTTGCTGAGTTTCTCGGGCTTCTTTAGGCGAGGCGTGCCGTTTGTGGCAATGAGGTAGAGCGCCTTCAAAGGCTCTTCGTTGAGGTATGGAGGCTCTGACTCGATCATCTCGATGGCCATGATGCCAAGAGACCAACAGTCGACCTTGGGGCCGTACTCCTTTTGCTTGACAACCTCAGGAGCCATCCAGTAGGGGGTACCCACCATGGTAGCGCGTTTGTTCTTAGACTCGGTAAGCTTGGCACAGAAGCCGAAATCCGTAATCTTCACATGGCCGACGCGGTCGAGGAGCACGTTATCACTCTTGATATCTCGGTGAATAATGTTCTGGCTGTGCAAGTGGGCCAGACCCTTGCACGTCTACATCAAGTTGGTTAGATCTGATCATGAGGCTTTTCCAATTGCGCGCAACATACCTCAGCACAGATAGTGGCAATTTGGTTCTCCTGGATCACTTGGTTGTTGTCAATCACATCCGTCAAGGCACCACCTTCCATGAACTCCATGACCACCCAAAGTTCATTGCTCTGCTCCTGTAGGAAAGAATCCAAGAAGTTGACAATGTTGGCGTGCTGACTGTCTTTCATGACAATGATCTCATTAACAATCAACTCCTTGCGAGGCTGGCTTCGCAGGTCCATTTGTTTGATAGCAACCTGGCACCGAGGGCCGTACTGTCGGTACAGCTCACGGGCAACTCCAGATGTCGCATGCTCCTTAACACGGGCGACATAAACTGACCCAGAAGCGCCCTGTCCAATCTTGCGTTGCTTGCTGTAAGAGTCATTGGGATTATCTTTGGAGACGACTGATCGCAACCGGTCCATAACCTCATTTTCAGTCATTGCCGACATGCGAACCTCCTTCTGGCGGGGCTCTTGCTTAGGCTTCGACAAAACGGCCTCAGCTTGGCGCACGCCATCTGGAACGGCTTGCTTAGAGCTGGGCTGCTTGTTAGCGACATTCAGCGGCTTCACCTGCTGCACGGGAGCTGGCAGTCGGCTGGGCGGAGGCCCTTGCGCTGATGGAGCCTTGCCAGCATTGTTGGGCTGGCGGCTCGAAGAGGCCTGTGCGCGAGGGTCACTAGCAGGGTAGCGGTCAGGAGAACCCTGTTGATCGGCTCTGCTGGAGCTTCCCGGGGTACGAGGAGGGCCTTGTCCATATGGGCTTTGGGCAGCTGGAGGAGCAGGCGGTGGACGTTGCGCGGTCAGCTGTCGAGGCTCACCACCAGGTGCCCGAGATGCAGAGCCCGGAGCCTGTGGCGCAGGACGACTGGGCTGGTATCGGTTATCCCGCTGGGGTTCGCCTCCATATCCACCAAGTTCTTGCTTAGCCAATGGTACGCGACCCTTCGGTAAGGAATCATTGTATTCCTGGTCCTCTCGGCGGCGGTTTTCCTCCTCGACTCGGCGTCGTTCCTGTTCAGCCAATTGCTTCACGCGTTCTAGTTGTTGCTGCTGCTCTGTTGCGCGATCCGTTTCACCGGGATGACCTGTCGAGTTTTCGAGGGACATACTCGATTGGCCGCTGTCAAGGCGCTGGAGAGGACCGGGAGGAGGGGGTCGAGGGGGGGCGACTGAGTTGCCAACGGAGCCACTTCCAGTCATTTTGCTCTGAACACCGCCAGAAGAGCCATTCATGCCTCCGTAGTACTGGGGGTTCTGCTCTCGCATCTTGATATCCGAATAGAATTCCAAGACTTCGATGACTGCCTGAGGATTCTTCTTGTAGTCCTCCTTCGTAATCGCAGATGCAGTCAAGAGCTTCTCCCATTCGGGGGGCAAGCCCACGAACGCACCGCTGTGCGGGTCGAAACCAACATGCACACGATGGCTAAAGTTTGTGGGGTTGCTCACACCACCCATGCCAGGGCAGCGTTCATAGATCTTGTCGATCCATTCGTAAATCTCATCATCGGACTTCACTTCGCAGGTGATCGTTTTTGTTGGTACATCCCGCGAAAGCATGCTTGCCTTGGTGTTCGCATCCTTAGTGTTGGCTAGACGGGTAATTTCAAACGCCAATTTGGTATCCTCGGAGCGGGTGACGTTGGTGACGGTTGAAAGGGGGAACGACAAAACGACTTTTCCGGACTCGCTCTTCATGAAGTCAATTTTGAACTCGCGGAGAATCAGGTGTCGCTGGTTCCATGTTGCGAGGAACTTGTCTTCTTTGCAACGTACGGGGCCCTCTTTAACGACCGCATTGCCCTGTCCGGTCTGGGTTCGGCTCAGTGTCGGGCTGCTGGTATTGGGGAACAGTGAAAGGTTGCCGCCGGGGCCGGGGGTGCTAGGCGAGTTAAGAGACATTTGGTTGAAGGAAGTGGCCACAGGGGTGTTTGCGGGAATCGACAGCTTAGGGCGATCAGTGGGCGGGCGGGGAGCCGGCCCCGGGTTCATGAATTGATCGGGCGTGTACATGGAACTTGGGTAGGTGAGATGAGTTGTGCACAGGATCGTTTGGAGGGGTCACCTACTTTCCGTACTGTGCCATTTTGACGGGTGGAGGGTGGCCAGGATCAGGATTGGCTTCAAGACAATAGACAAGCTAACTGCACACCAAAGACCAAGACCTCCTGAGGCCCCTCGTAATGGCTGCGATGGCGGCTGTCAGTTTCCACCTTATGATACTTCCAAAATGTGGTATGAGAATTATTCCGACGATTCAGGAGGATCGTGCGAATATCGCGCGGTATTCAGGCGTCCGGGGGGCGGATGAGGGGCAAGGGGAGTTGTGTTGGATATCCAGCTCCCAGGGGACACGCCCAATCGGAAGGTGGAAGGAAGACTTACCGTTGAAAGGCTGCGAACAAGCAAAAAGGAGCCTCGCTCGGCGAGGAGAGCCGCAAAGAAAAAGAAAAGATCGAAATGCTAAGATGGCGGGGGTAGGAAGAGAGAAGGATTAAAGGGGGGAAGAAGTTGGACTTGGGGCGGGAATGGGGCACAGTCGATCTTCTCCCCTGAAGGACCGAGAGTTGTGTACTTTGGGCTCGGAGCTCAGATCAATCTACAGAAAACACGGCTTTGCCAATCAGGGCAGGAGGCTGGATTAAAGGGATCCACGGTCGCGCGGTTGAAGACTGGAAGAGACCCGCGTTCTGGCCGTTGGCGTTGGGTTTGATTGGACTGTGTTTTAATGTGGGCGGCTAAACCCGTGGTATAGCAGCCCTGAAGGTCTCGAACAGGCGGACTAGATCAACAGGGACCGATGGGCGTCAACATGAAATTTCTGGTCCCTGCGACTAGGAACGATATGCTCTGGGCAGCACCCTGATCCAGAAACAGAGAACCTTTCAAGGGGACTTGCAATGCAGATATGCTTTGGCAAGGATCCAAGGTGTCGCATAGTGGCACCAAACAAAATACCAAATCCGGGGTCTGCGTTTGACAGGAGACACGTTCTATATTCGTACACTATGATACAGATGCCTTGGCAGCTCGAATTGCACCGGATCGAATCCCTGAAGAACGGCGCGCTTCATTCTCCGAACGGATGATTAAACTTGAGCAGCCCGTTCAGTCCGCCCACCCAACCTTCATGCGCCTCATCGCCCATGCTCCTCCGCATGACGCTGGGTACGCCGCCTTGCCATTCATTCTTAGCATGGCGCATCTCCTCATTCCACACTCGGACCTCCATGCCAGTCGCCATCCCTTCGCCAAGATTCACTCCATCTAGACTGACCTCGAGTTCACGGCCCCGGTTTTTCTCACTGAGCCGGAGAGTAACTGGGGTGCTCGATGGTAGAACGAGCGGTCGGAAGCTCAGACTGCGCGCACAGATCGGCGTGAGGAGAGTGGAAGGCACCAGTGGGTGCACAATGCTGCCTCCGCTACTCAAGCTGTAGGCTGTGCTGCCAGTAGGTGTCGAGATGATGATTCCATCCACCACAGCCTCCGTAAGAAAACGTCCGCCGACAAATACGTCTATCACAGCTAGATGTGTTTCCTTACCGCGATGGATAAGTAACTCGTTCATGACGTATACCCCGTGCCCTTGTCGCTTTTACCGCGAACAGGAGTCACTTCTTGTCCATCTGCTGCGAACAGTCCCGCCTTCAGTCGGTGGCGCATTAAGATAGGGGCTCCACGAGTCGAACCCATGGATTTTCCTCGAACCGATGACCAGCCAGTCGGGCCCATCGCGCTTTCGAGTTTGGATCCAGGTTGCTCCTCGAGGAGAGGGGTACGATCTCCAGCACCAGCGCCCGACATGTAAACCTCTCGAAAGGCCCGTTTGTACTCTGAGAACTTCCATTCGCTCAAGAAGCCCAGAGTACCCATGCTGAATGACAGGACTGGGGGCACGTTAGCACATGTAGCGAATAAAGAGGATGCATGGAGAATCGTGCCGTCCCCACCGAGGGTCACGGTCAGATCTATTTTATCATGGAAGGCGGTTGGGTTGTCGTCAAGAGATGCGGTATAGACAGGATATGAGAAGGACGAGTGGACTTCATTTGCCGTTTGGGACTCGAGGACGATGGAGACGTCGGGGTAAACGGCGGTAACGTGACTGTAGGCCGATTAGCCAGCGCCTCTTGTCATACCTAGGTAGCCCGAACGTGCACTTCGAAAACTTACTTGGCGAATTCGATAAGCGAGTCAGTTACCGCTGGGGCGCAATCCTTGCGGACCAACAAGATGTTCCGGGCGGTGCGGGCCACTGCAGAGAAAGAAGCTCGCCCTGAGATTCTTCAAAAGAGTAAGCTTTAGAAAAGGTCCCGTGGTTAAGTGATGAGCGCACCTTGGTATCTGGGAATCAGGCGCGGCGATAAAGCGCCGACATCACGCACCTCGTGACGCGGAATGGAGGATGAGAAGCAGCGTCGCAGCCCCGGGAGGCTGCGCCGAATGCACTGCATTGTTGAATGGCCGTGGCCTAGTTCGCACAGAAGCAGGTTCAGCCTCGTCACATCCAGGCGTGTTGTGGAGTGTGGAGCGAATAGTTGGAGTTTGGAGATCAATCCCCATAGCTAAGCGGAGAAGAGTAAATAATAGAGTCATCGCTTGTTGGGCCCCACCGCTCTCGGGCTTTCAGAGTTGCGCTGGCTGCGAACGTCCACGAGACCTCTTTCATGGATCTTTCGTCCTAGGTTCGGGTCTACTTTATCTATATGAGCTAGCCCCTCTTTCCTTTCACTTTCTTTTCAATCATTTTTCGTCCAGCTCTCCGCACTTGATCCACTCATTTGGACCCGAGGTTGCGATCCTGTGCCCTGATTGCGTCGATCATCCCAATCCGCCAGCTCCCGCTGAGCTTCCGCTGACTGAACATATCCCCAACGGGGGGGGTCCCCTACAGCCTCGCTTCCAGCAAAACTTGTCTTCTTCACCACCTCCAGGACCCTCCGAAGCTGCCAGCTCATTCTGGCCATGAACGCAATGGCCTCAGCCGAAGTTCGCCAACGCAAACCTATAGATGCCACCGAGCTCAAAGATCATTCAACGAAGCCCCCCCACCCACCCCCGCCTTAAACATGGCATTCCGATGCAGGTGTTCCGCTCTCTCCTGATGGCGACATGATCAACTGCTGCCGCGTTGTCATTCTTGCCACACAGTTAATCGGTTCCCCCCTCTACTTGATCAACAAAGAGTATTACTATTCGTATATGGCCTTCACAAAACAAAATTTCGCGCTGGCAATCACAGCCTTGACACAATGGGGAAGCCCAACATTATACCGCACCAGTGGCGATGAAAGTATTCGGGGCCTTTTACATATCTCCGAGAGTGGTATGCTGCAGAGTCAGTTTCCAGAGCGACTGGTTCTCATTGCCAACCACCAAATATACACGGATTGGATCTATCTCTGGTGGTTTGCTTACACCAATGCCATGCATGGCCGGATATTCATCATTCTCAAAGATTCACTTCGTTGGGTTCCCGTCGTGGGCCAGGGAATGATGTTCTATGGCTTCATCTTCATGGCCCGTAAATGGGTCTCTGACAAGCCACGGCTCGCACATCGGCTGGGGAAGCTGAGAACGCAACATACCGGCTCTCAGTCGAGCAAGTCGCAATATGATCCAATGTGGCTTCTGATCTTCCCAGAAGGAACGAATCTGTCGATTAACACAAAGCGGCGGAGCGATGCATTTGGAGAAAAGCAAGGAATTTCACCATTAAAGCACCAGATCCTGCCTCGGTCAACTGGGCTGTTCTTCTGCCTTCAGCAACTGCGAGGCACTGTGGATTGGGTGTATGACAGTACTATTGCGTATGAGGGACCTCCGTATGTTCTGACCCGGAGATATTGATTTTGATAAATCACGCTCACAATCAATTACAGGAAAGGAAGCTACCCAGATAAATATTTCACACTTCGCTCGACTCTCATTCAAGGACGACCGCCCACATCGGTCAACATGCATTGGCGAAGATTCGCCGTTGCCGACATTCCCTAGACGATCAACACGAGTTCGAGGAATGGTTGAGAGCCCGATGGGTTGAGAAAGACCAGCTTTTGGACGAATTCTTCGAGACTGGGCGCTTTCCCTCGCAGCTAGCAGGCAGTATAGAGGTCAAGAATGGCACCAAAGAACAACAAGTCGCTGCTTCTGCTGGGTATGTGGAGTGTAATGTAAGACTGAACCGCTGGATCGAGATTGGCCAAATATTTGGGGTGTTATTATGTTTTGGCCTACTTTGCAAAGTCGTGTGCGATAGGTTCTAGTGGCTTTCGATCATGATTTTTACCTTTGCTTTGGTTTAGAGCCAAGAAACAACAGCAGAACAGACATAGATAATAATCCATTCTTAATCAAAGCTGCGAATGTCAAGAGACGGTTATATCGGACACCCTTGATGTATGAAATGTGAATATGATAGTGTTTTCTTTTCTTTGCACGTTTTTATCTTTATCTTTTTTTAGTTATAATAGTGAGCTGAAGACGCTACAAAAGTACTTGTGTAGTCCTCCAGCCCAGCCCTGGAGCGCTGGAGCGAAGCGCGGCGGTGAATAAGCGGCTGTGGCTGAAGCGCACCGCCACACTTCCGTTCACCAGTTCTCAGAATCCCAAAGCCGCGACCTATTTCCCTGCGCGTCAAGGGTCCAGTGAATGAGTCCCTCGGATTTCTTGATTGACAATTCAAATGGGCCATCTCGCTTGATCATGAGTTAAGGATCTTCTCTTACTTCTCATCCAACTTCTCATCCTTCCGACCCTTTGACTTTCGTGCACTGGAGACCGCGCTGTTGCAACGATGGCCCTCGAGAACGGCCATGCCAATGGCTTGAATGGCGGCACTGGGTGCTCCGCCAAGCTTCCTAGACAACTTGCGCTTCTCTGACATTCCCGATGCTATCGATATCCCCGCCTCGAGCTTCGACAGCGAAGTCGAAGTCAGTCTCCTTGACCTCCCGGAAGACCCAACTGAGCTCTGCACCTTGCTTGAGAATGAGCGAGCCGCCAAGAACTTCTGGGTCATCATTGCCCTCGCCTACGCAAAGCGGAAGCAGATCGACCATGCCATTGATATCTTGAACAAAGGCTTGGCCTCGGTGGCCCACAGTGCCACCAAGGAAAAACTCGGGCTCCTGGGCTGGGTGTGCTGGCTGCTGATGCTAAAGAGTCGTCAAGCGCCCCGAGTTGCACCGGAAGGAGAACTCTACTCGGAAGCCAAAACCAAGGATCATTATCTGCAGCTGGCCACTTCGACGTTGAATGAAGCTTCGCGACTCAACCCGGCATACCCTCCACTCTTCCTCGCCCGTGGTGTCCTGTGTCTGCTCCGTGCATCTCTCTATCCCCCTCGTGCTGCGCGCCCTGGCGTGGTCGACTCGTCTGAGAGGGTCGAATCCCTACGACAGGCGCTGAAATGTTTCGACGAATCCTCCAAGGCCTTTGGTGGCCGAAATGTCATGGCTATTCTCGGGCGAGCTCGTGCACACTACATGCTGGGAAGATATGGAGAGGCCCTTGAAGGATATCAAAAGGTCCTCATGAAGGTTCCCAACCTCAAAGACCCCGATCCTCGCATTGGACTGGGATGCTGCATGTGGCAGCTTGGCTTCAAGGACAACGCGAAAGCAGCCTGGGAAAGAGCCCTCGCCTTGGTACGTCTTTCGCGCGAAATAAATGTTCAGAAACTGTTATTGGAGTCTCATGCTAACCGTAAGGGAAAAAAAAAAGAACCCCAATTCCAAGGTCGCAAACATCCTGCTCGCTGTTTACCACCTCTACGACAGCTCTCGCCGACCAACCACCGACCCGATGTTCGGATCCCTGTACAAAGTTGCCATGACCCAATATACCCAGAAAGCATTCAAGCTAGATAAGGAATATCCTATGACCTGTGCGTTATTCGGCAGCTACTTTTGCTCCGCAAACAATATCCTACTGTCGAAACCCTCGCCCGCAAAGCCATCGAACAAACCGACGTCATGCCTATTGCAAGTGACGGATGGTATCTACTCGGTCGGAAATCGCACTATGAAAATGACAACGCACGCGCCATGGAGTACTATAACAGGTCCGACCAGGCCCGCGGTGGCGGAGACAAGGGATATCTGCCTGCGAAATTCGGCGCCGTGCAGATCCAAGTCTCCAATAAAGATTACGACGGTGCTAAATTCCGACTGGAAAAGATTGTGCAACAATCCAAAAACGCAGAGGCTATGGTCCTACTTGCAGCGCTACATGCTGAAGAAATTTTCGCGGCTCAGCGGGCTGGTAGCAAAGACGACAAGTCAAATGAGACCAAACGTGCAATCACTCTTCTGGAGTCGGTGCGTGCCATGTGGAAGGATGAGAAGCAAAGAGTCACTCCAGACGAGTCGGTTCTGGTTTACCTTTCTCGTCTTTATGAGACAACAGCCCCTGAGAAGAGTATGCAATGTCTCACTCAACTCGAGGAACTTCAGCTGAGCGCCATCCCTGAGACTTCCCGTCCAGAAGGGATCGAAAATGAGGAAGATTTGAAGAATGCTCTCCGTGAGAACCTCCCTCCGCAGTTGCTCAACAATATGGGCTGCTTCCTGTATCAGAGTGAAAAGATCGCTCTGGCTCGTGGCATGTTCCAGTCCGCTTTGAACGCCTGTGTTCAGTCCGAGGAGACAGAAACGAAGGTAGACAACGATGCAATAGTCACCACGGTCAGCTATAACCTCGCCCGAACGTACGAGGCAGCAGATATGTGGGAAGAAGCCAAGAAAATCTATGAAGGCGTCCTTGAACGCCACAAGGATTACACAGATGCTAGCGCTCGGCTTACTTACATCAGCCTCCGCCAGAGCCCTACCGACCAAGGTCCCAAGAACATTGCCAAGCTTTTCGAAAGCGAACCCTCTAACCTCGAGGTCCGGGCCCTTTTCGGTTGGTACGCCAGCAAATCCAAGAAGCGTGGTGTCAACCTTGCCGAGGATCCCGAGCAACGAACCTACAAACACACACTACAGTACCACGATAAGCACGACCGCTATGCTCTGACTGGTATGGGTAATGTACATCCTCCTCGCAGCCCGTGATATGCGCCGCGATACGGAGCAAGAGAAGGAAAAGCGTCGCAAGATCTACCAGCGTGCCGTCGAATTCTTCGACAAGGCTCTGCAATTGGACCCAAAGAACGCCTATGCTGCCCAGGGTATCGCTATTGCCCTTGTGGACGACAAAAAAGACTACAGTTCTGCCGTCCAGATTCTCTCCAAGGTCAAGGATTCTTTGAAGGACGCCAGCATTTATCTCAACTTGGGCCATGTCTACGCCGAACTTCGACAATACTCGCGCTCGATCGAACACTACGAGGCTGCTCTGGCCAAGGACCGTGCTCGTGATGTTCAGATCCTCGCCTGCCTGGGCCGTGTCTGGCTCGCGCGGGGCAAGCAGGAGCACAGCCTGGCGGCAATGAAAACAGCCCTCGATTATGCCCAGCGAGCCCAGAGCATCGCGCCCGATCAGTTACACTTGCAGTTCAATGTCGCTTTTGTCCAAAACCAGATCGCCCAGCTTGCCTACGGTCTTGAAGCCACGCAAAAGACTCTGCAGGATGTGCAGGAAGCCGCAGATGGACTCAAGGAGGCCATCGAGACTTTCCAACGTCTTTCCGAGGAGAAGAACCCACCCTACCCGAGTGACGCACTGAAGCAGCGTGCGAACATGGGCGGGACTATTACCAAGCAGCTTGACCGAGCGATGCAAAACCAAAAGGAGTACGAGGAGAAAAACGCTGCTAAGCTCCAGCAAGCCCGCGAGATTCGTGAAGCTGCGCAAAAGAAGCGCGAGGAGGAGCTGCGCAAAGCCCAAGAGATCGAGCAGGAGCGCAAAAACAAAATTGCTGCCGAACGTGCCCAGATGGTCGAAGACGCGCAGCGACGCGCAATGCAGCGTGCTGAAGCCGAGCGCGCCCGTGAAGCGGCGGAACTGACCGACGACTCCGTTACGGGCGAGAAGGTCAAGCGCAAGAAGAAGCCTACCTCCAAGCGCAAGAAGAAGGGCGGTGATGACTTTATCGCCCCCGACGACGAGGGCGACCACGATGGCGCCAGTGTGGGGGGGTGAGCGAGACAGCGATGATGGCGAAACGGCTGCGCCCAAGAAGCGCCGGCGTCTCGAGCGTCGCTCTGGCGGGAAAGCTACCGCTTCCCAGGGCAAGTTCAAGAGCAGCGAAATCGTGGTTGATTCGGACGATGAGGATGTCGCTGCTACGCCGGGCGACAACAAAGATGATTTGTTCGGTGAGGACGAGAAGATGCAGGACGAGGACGTCTCTGCGCCCCGTCGGCGCAATAAGGCTTCCCGTCGCATTGACGATGATGAGGATGAGGACGAGGAAGATGCGGCACCCGTCCTGAATGCTGACAACCAAGATGATGATGAGGATGATCTTTTTGGCGACAAGGCTAAGCCCGCAGAAGATGCCGAAATGCAAAACGAGTGAGCCGTTCGCAGGTGGCTGAGATGATTTTCTTCCAAGTTGGAATTGTTATGGCGTCCGTGGTTCCAGTCGATGTGTTGCAGTTTCTCGCTTTTCGTCGCTCTCCGGTTTGGGTTGTGAAACGAAAAGCTGTCACCAATTGTGTAAATTAGCCTTTTCATTAATTGTTTATTCCGCAAACCCTTTCAAGGTATCAACCCTGTAGAGCTGTTGATGGTGCCGAATATCCATGCTTCTACATTCACGACTTGTAAGGATACCCGACCAGACGCCCCGCAATAATCTCCACCATTGCACTAAGGTCGAAAGATGGAACATGTTCTAGAGCACTCCGAGCTAAGCACTAGGCAGATGCTATCTCACGCGATTAGCCACTTTTCCTAAAACCGATCACTATTCCGAGGCCCTCCACCAGCCGCACATCTTTGGCGCAGCTCCCTGCGCACGAGGCTATGAGACTAGGAGCACTTGGTGCGCGCAGTACATGCAATGTCCGACCTCGGGTGATTCTGCGATATTCCGAATCAGCCTACGACTAACAGCCTCGGAGCCTGCAGCATTTGGAACCTAATCATGAGGGATTAATTTCTAACACCCCCTGCACTTGCATGGGTGCATTGGCTCTTTCGAATCGCGATTGTATCCGGCCCGTATCGAGTGACGCGTATGGGTACTTTTCCAGTACAGAAACAATAGACTTTCTTTTTTTGGGGCTTGCTCCGCTATGACCGCGATTTAGCTCCAACGGCCCGCCATAGCTGAGGCTGACAGTTCAAGTAGACACGAGACAGAGATCTTCACGGCCGGACTGTCAGTCTCATGTGGGCACCCGTCGTACATGGAGGCACTCAGGAAGGCCCTGCTGGCCTGAGACAGCATGCAGGATGCAGGTGGCGTTGAGAATTGGGTTGTTAGGCACAATCTGTCCAACAGCTTTTTACGAACCTCGAGGCCAATCTTTGCGGAGTTCGTTGGCTCCTTGTTTCATGTGTTTCATATGGACGAGGGCTTCTATGAATGGACTCTGTACCAGGTCCTCGGGTACGAACTCTGGACAGGGCAAAAGAACCCCAAGCCTCACCAGAGAATCGATGGTTCTTGGCCACCCCCATCGACCAACCCGATTTCTGTCTGGTGCTTCTTCGGTCTACTTCCGGCACGACTGGCGACATTCCGCACACGAAAACCACCAACACCCCACGGAACTACGCCGGAGCAAAAGTCGCACACCAAAGGCTATGCATCCCCAGTACGGGCACAGTATCCACAGGGAAACAAAACTGCCAAACCGGGCAGATGCAAATGGCGCATAGGTGCAACCACACGCTAAAGCGGCAATCAGAATTTCCACGTCCGCTGCGAGTCTTCACAGTTCGTGGTGGACAGCAGGGACATGAGTTCCCGTAAAACTACGGAGATTGAGAGACTGAAAGGAGCGTCCTTGACTGATCAAAGACTGGTCTGTAGTTTCGTCGACTGAATCCCGATGATGACGATACGCTGCTGCTAGATCAATTCTGCGTTTCTTCCCTGAAACCTACCCGCTCACTTTTTATAAGTTCTCAATCAACTCGACCGCTGCAATCCAAGGATGCTCAGCAGTCCAGCAGTGATGAATCACCATCGTTTCCATTATTCATCCACAGCTCAAGCCCAAATAGTCAGGAATCGCCAACTATCCCCAAGCCCTTCGTCACTAGCCGTGATTTGTTCTGGAGAGATGTTGGTTCCTGCACTTCGTCAAACCCTAAAACAAGCATTGCCGATCCCCTGGTCGACTCCTGCTATCTCCACATAAGCTCCAGTTGCTTGTCCCAGCTCCAAGCTCGCGTCATAACCCGAACTATACCTTGAGTGTGATCGGGATTCCTCCTATTGCAGCCCACTACGTACTTCGTAGCTGGAGGGGGCCCCTCTTCGACCATTGCTGCATCAAGGGATCTAGGGTCTCTTCAGGGTCCCTTTTTCTAACGTCCTACCAAAGCTGTCAACTCGTCGATCTCTTCCTTGGACCAACTAACCTCCACCCCGCCGATCCGCTTGCTTCACTTGGTGACGATAGGCGCAGAGCCGCTGGATGTAGAAGTTCTCGCTGCTATTGACCTAGGTTGGAGGGCATTCCGATCCTCAGATTCGTCCATGTCCCCTATTCTGAGCCCGACGTTGGCAAATGTCCCATTGTTTTCTACCCGTCAACTAGCTCTTTTCTTTCCTCGATGAGCCGCTACGAGGATGGCCTTGGACCAATCCCTTGCTCCGGTTGGATCAGACTCTCGTACTAGGTCAGGTACTGGGTCAGGTACTTAAGGTCGTCGGTCTTCTCTTCCGCCATGCCTCTTCGTTCTTCCTCCCTTCTTGATTGTCCCAGCTGGATACTGTGACTCCCTCCTCTCTCTTACCTCTGGTAAGTTACCGGGCATTGTCTCTTGTGAGCCTTGGGGTGGCTTGAGCCTCCACTATGGTCATCGTGCTGATATTCTCATAGCTACAGCGTCCCGCGTCCTAGCCTCTGTCAGCCTCTCTAGAAATCCAGGACCGGATTGCTGTTCTCTTCGCGGTGGCGGCGGTTGCCGTCCCGCTGTCTTTCGGCTCTGCCAACAGCGGTATTGCCCGTCGTGTTGACGATATCTACGTGCGCGATATTGGAGTTGGCGTCCTTGTTGCCGGCGAGAGCGATGCTACCGGTGTGAAGAACACTAAGCGCGAGGAGAGCTCTAAAGACCTTGGTGACCTTAATATCCTTAGCCTTGACGTGCTTGGACACGGTGGCTACGGCGACAACGGTATCCTGAAGCGCGAGGAGGATATCGATATCCTGGGGGGTTCACCTTACTCCACTGATCTTGCTCTTCCTATTCTCGACGTCCAGAACATCTGAACCAGTTACTGATGATGGTTGAGAGAGAACGCTGGGTGAGTTTACAGGCCTGTACGTGACTACGCACCCTACTAATCACTGAACCTGTGCCACACAGGAGAGTCTAGACTTGATTGGCAAAGAACCGTGGTTTTGCTGGTGGTTTTTTGGTCCTTATGTGATGCACTTTGATTCCTCTATACTACGTAATAAATTCAATACCTGGATTAACTCTCTGTCCAAGAACAGTCAAACAGTCAGGGGCTTGGAGTTTATTGTACTAATGCTAGTAGTCTTTCCATCTCTATCTGAACCCCCCTGGCAGTGCACCGTCCACCATGCCAGTAGCATCATTAGCGTAATTGACATGTGATTGCTGAGATCCTGATAGGGGTCTTACCAATAGCTCATGCCGATATTGGCGCACGGGACGCAATCGATGAGACCTTGGCCTGCTTGATAACGCTTGATGGTCGTGTCCCTGATACTATCAGTAGATCTGAAAGTATGGCGTCCGGTGTCATTAGGTCGTTCAACTAATCTAAATAAATTGCACATACGACCAATGGTGGCCTCCATCATACGTAGATGACCCACATTCGAAGGATCAGATCTGGCCATGTGGGAGAGACTAGCCAAATGGTCCGTTGAACTATCAGGCGCCCGTGACCGTTATAAGCCCAAAAGCCGGAAATTAATCTTTGAAGATATATTGGTTTCCGGGCCCTTAGACCCCCCGTCGACACCTCGCTTGCGAGGGCCCCCCCGACAAGGGTCCAAAAAAGCAACGAAACCTCAGGCGGCCCGATGCCCACAATCGGGCAATTGAATCGGGGATTGCGCGCCAATCTCGGCTTGACCGTTCATGGGGCCAAGCCCGGGAGATGTGGCAGGCCAAATCATTTCCGCTCGTAGCGCGCAGATGGTGATCTGAAAGGGGCAATGGGCGAGAAGGAAAGCTCGACCGTGTCGATCTGAACAATCGTGATAGGATCCTTGATGCCTCATGGGTTGGAGCTGCACTTCTTTTGTCCATCTCAAGAAGCGAATCCCCATCGCCAATCCCGAGTGTATGGGTCCAGGATCCGCCGCGTGGGGTGGCGTTGGCGCTACCAGGCTTCCTTCGCCAGGAGGGGCCGGACTAGTGTTGCAACTGCACTTTGGACATTCTGAAGTCGGGGGACTTGAGAGAGCGCTCATATCATATCGCGATAAGCAGGTCGCGGATTGCGGAGATGTGCGGATTCTGTAGGGACTTCGGAGTATATCTCTTTGCTTTTTTTTCTTATTTCTCCCCGCCTATCTTCGAGAGTTATCGCTATCGCGTGGAAAGCGGCGATCCTAGTTGCGTTGCTGCGGCTTTTCGTCATAATCTTTGGCCCCATCACAGTCTGAGTCGAAGAACCAACCACGAAGCCAGGTTTGTGGATGAGAGAAGAGGATTGACATGCAGGAACATCATCCTGCAGATAATGTGGCTTGCAGAGGTGGGATGTTCTGCCTTACATAGCTTTTGTTAGAAACGGACTGCTTGTAGGCTTATGGCCGGTATGATACTAGGAGTATGGACATAGTGCTCACGGTCCAAATGAGGCCTGATAGAATCTACTTGTTGCCATTTGGAGTTCTTCTTATAGCTCGCGGGGGGGCGTTAAACGGTCGGGCCATAGATCTGTGTTTATAGCCCCATGGCCAATTTCCCTCTGTCAGTGCTGACCACTTGCCTATTTGGTCAATGCAGGTGTTTTGATAGAGTAGGAAGGTGTCAAAGTACATGTTCCTGGAGCTGAAGACGGATCCTTTTTGTGCAGGGACCCTTGGAGGCTCGCCCATGACGTTGGTGGAGCAAGGAGTCCAACTCCACCCTCCCAAAAAAGAAAACCCCCCCAAAAAAAACAAAACAGAACCAAGGGGAAGCCAGAACTCCGTCAAAAACCGGAGTCTCACCGTGGGAGAGGTTCATGGAGCTGGCCATGCGTTCTAGACGAGCGTTGATCGTCAGGAGTCTCCATTTGGGCCAAGGCTGGGTCGATGGCCGGGAAGCTCGCCCCGAATCACGAGCGTGCAAAATTGAGCCATTGGGGCTTTGACTTTCTGCCCAGCCGCGCCTGAGACGCTGGCGCCATTCTTGACCTTTCTTACGCCCTCTTAGGTTCTGACTAGCCTAGTGCAGAAACCGAGGCCGTTGATAGACACTTTGCTTCATCCGCGGGGCTTCGATGGGGTTTGTGGGAGGTGATGCGCGCGCTGTTTTAGCACCAGATGGCCCTGTGACTCCACCCGCACGTTCGTGGGTCTGGTACTCTCCATGTACTCGGTATCTCGATTACTTGCAAATACGCGGGCCAGAGGAGCCTTGGGTCCCAAGCCCATGGAAATAACGAGGACGAGTCAAGAGGTGGGGACACGCTTGTTCCCCTCTAACACAGGATTGACTCGACATTTACTGTGTTTGGAGGCTCCTGAAACATGTGCAGTTCAAGCAGCGAACCTAAACGGTGGACTCCGAAGGGCATTGCCTTCGCCTGCGCAAGAAGTCCGGCAGATACCAGAGACCTTGCACGGCAGACTCCGTGGTGCGGGCGAATGGAGAGTGGACGCCTTACGCGTGTAGAGATACTGCGCTCTAGGGCAGGGTACGCCTGTCCAGTCCCAAGAAATGCATAAAAATCGTATGAGCTTCGTTCAAATCGACGCGTGCCCACAAGCCCACAATTCCCACAATTCCACACTTCCGATCGGAGGGCAGCCCTGCCCTACCGGACGTGGTAATATTCAGCCGGACCCAGGACCAGATTCAGTGAGCGAGATTCAGTGGGCGTTCAACACCGAGGCACTGCGGGGAAAGCCCTAAAGTGCCTAAAGTGCCTTGGAAAGTAACTTAGATTGAGCAAGACACCAAAGCTAGAAAGCCACAGAACATCGGAAGAACTTTAGTTGATCTGGGGGTTTGGACGACTTCCCCACGAGGTCGTACATGACGCAGATGCAGATACCATGTGCCGTGCACATGCAACCGAAAATTGCCATGGTGGGCTTGGTAGGTCGTCTGGATCTACAATGCACAGAAGGATGCAGTTTACAACGCCCTTCCCCGGGAGCGGTATTAGCAGCCCCTACTGGGCCCCCCGCGCCCTAAATTTTCCCCGGGTTCGAATTCCCCCCGTACTATCGCTGTCGCATTAACCCCGGAGTTCAGCAAGTCCAGAGAGCCCAGATCTCGACGTCAGACAGATAGGGACTGTAGGAAGGGAATTTTCGGGTTCGCAGTGCCGGAGGTCGTGTCCTGGGCCGCCGATACCTACTGCATTCACGTTGGTGGAATCTGTTAGCGTTGTTCCAAGTCCCCACATCGGGTGCCTTCCACGTTCAAGCCCCCCTGAAGGTACTAGTGACATGCCACTATCCCGTAATCCCGCTTGTACTCCGTACGGAGTACACTAGCAACGGGATACGGAGGGCTGGCGAGATATGATAGGCCGCGCCTGGTTGAGCTGCGAATAGAGCTGGAAGATTCTTATTTAACTACCAAAGAAACGTGACTTGGAGGGGAGAAGAGCAGCTTCGTGACCAGAACGGCAGGGGACTACGGGAGATTCCTCGAGAGGCTAGGCTGAACGGCTAATGGATGCACAGTGATCTTGGGATGAAAGGAATTGAAGACAGAACGCAAGGTAAAGAGTAGGGGGAAGAAAAAAAATAAAAATAAAAATAAAATAGAAGATAAACACAACAAACACCAAAAGAAAAAAAAGAAAAAGAAAAACAGAAACAGAAAAAAAAAAGATAAAAATAAAAATAAAAATAAAAATAAAAATAAAAATAAGAGAAAAAGGCCCTACGGCAGGTTGCAGGGCCCCAGTTGCGCCGTCAGTGTGCAACGGTTAGGGCATTTTCTCGAATCATGGTGCGGCGCCCCTGAAAAGCCGGGGATCCACCTGGTATTACCGGACCAGATGGGGGTTCAAGAAGCGTGTTCTGGGATTCCTTCTCTGTGACAAATAGACCCTCCCTCCCAGATCGCTCTTTCACTCCAGGGCCCCTACAATGAAACCATCCCAGACGCTCCTCTAGCCAATCCTTTCATAAAAGGGCGTCTCTCTTCCCACCATGTATCCTCGGCCGTTCTCACGCGGGCCTTGGGAAGAAGGCCTCGCTGATCCCCCATCGCCTCGCTCTCTCGACACCCCCGAGCATCCAGCCCATATCCGTTCTAGGTCCTCTGCGCACGCTCATTCGCAGAGCCCTAAACGCCTGTCAGTCTTTAGCCGCTCTAGAAGTAACACCACCAATACAACATTTTCGACCTCCGGCTCCCCAGTGAACTCCATGGAGGACCCAGCCCCGCAGCCCGAGGAGAGGTCCGCTTCTTCGCTGGGGGGGAGATCCGATAGAAACTCTCGATCGTTCTTGGCTCGGGGGAGTCGCATTCTCCGCCGTCAGGGAAGTAAGGTCAATGTCGTCGCCACGCTGGACGAGGAGACAGAGATGGCCCACCCGGAGAGTTCATTACCACCCAGACCTGATAGACCGGAAAGACCTGAAAAGGCCGACAGGCCAGAGACCTCCCGGCGACATCGGTCTCGCCACCAGGATCACCGTAAGTGACCGGGCATTTCCCCCGTGATAACGAGCACTAGACCCGGCTGAACTCATGTCTTGTATAGATGAACGACTCAAGAGAATCATCTCAGACCCTTATGATTTCCATCATCTCACCCACACCAGTGTGGCGCAGTTCCAGACCATTGATAGGGCTCGTGAACACGACCTCGTGACGGAATTCTCTATTATGCGTGCATCCCAACGTCCTGAAACCGGCCTCAAGGGCATCCGGGCTGAGGATATCCATTTGCAGAGCTCCTCAACCGAGGAAGTGAATACACTCGGAATGGCGACCACAGTCGACGAACCAACCCCTCAGGGCTCCCCGAGATCACCTCAGCCCTCCATGGGCTCCCCCCCAAATGGGCCACGAGCGAAGATATTCTCGCCAATTTGAGAACTTTTCTCGGCCAGTCCCCAGATACCCACGATCGTGCCCAACAACTCCCCCGCCTCACGCCATCCCAGAGACTCCGTCAGAAGCTGAATCTGCGCCGCTTGCCATCGATGCAGTCTTGGAATCGTCAACGCCAAAGACCATCCCAGCAGACGCTGAAGCGCATTCGCCTTCCATCTACAGCGTAGATTCGTCCGAGGAGATGAGCCGTCAGATGTCTCTCAGTAGTCAATATGACTTGCAGGATGTTCCGGAGGAGGAGGAAGTCACCCGTATGTGGGACAGCCCAGAGCCCAGCATTGGCTACGCCCACTCTCGCTCTGTTTCTCAAGCGAGCCAGCCCCATTCACGTTCCGTGTCCCAAGTGAGCCAGAACGCATCTTATCCTACCAAGGCGACTGGCCCGAAAAGGCCCCTCTCGATTGTCGTGGCTGAGGAATTGTCGCGCAAGTTTTCTGAGGCTCTGGGGTCCCCGACGCTACCTCAGAATCTTCCTGAATCCTCGCCTCAATCCTCTGCCGACCCCCAAGATCCCCCGCCGGAAGCACCTCGACCCCCAACCGTGGCTGGTGTACATTCATTCCCATATGAAGAGGAGGTTTACGACTCCTGGGACGCAGACATTGATTATTGTTACGAGCATGCAGCAGAATCTACCAGTAACTTCGACTGGACTCGCTCCTCCCTGGATGAGGCCCGGCCCCAGATTGCGACTACTACCACAGAAGAGTTACAACCATGGCTGGCTGCCCCAAAGGCCCGTCAGCTCGAGCCCAGCCCGCTGAGCACATCCACCCTTGCGACGCCTGATTTGGAAACGAGCTCGGCGCGCTCTGCACCCGTCTCGGCTGCCACACCCTCTACAACCGACTATGAGCGGGACTTCATCTCCCGGACCCCTGCGGGCTACTTCCAGCCCATGAGCTCCTCGATGCTGCCGTCTTCTCTTTCCAAGCAGCTGCCCCAAGAAACACTGTATGAGGACTACTTGACCACCGATGGCGAGTCGGACCGTCATTACCCTTTCCCCCAAGGCATGATGAACTCTGCAGAGACCAATCCCGTGTCCCCTCGCAGCAGCTTCTCTCCCATCAGCAAATGCAACTCCCAAGAAAGCTTGATGCTTTCTCGTGCCGCTTCCTTGATTCGCAAGCACCGCTCGTCGGTTTCTACGAATAGTGTGCCCGAGCTGATTCACAGTCTGTCGAGCAGTCGCGAACTGGTACCTCTTGATCATCGAGCCAGCGGTGATACGTTGGCCACGACATCCAGTATGAGCCGCCCTGAGTCTTCCTACCACCGCCAGACCCGGAGTCTGGCAGAAGCGCAGTTCTTGGCGCATGCCAGCAGCTCTGTAAGCCTTGCAAGTACAGAAAGTACCACTCCGGGTGCTCCGCCTCTCTCAAATACCCCCTTCCACGAGCGTGTGCGATCCACTGCGGAGATGGATGCGCGCCTGGCAAAGGTCGAGGCCGAGGTCAATGCTGTTGTTCCCCCCGCGGTGCCTACTAGACATCCCGGTCGAAAAGAAGAGCCGAACTACTTCGTACTCTCTTTTCCCCACAGCCGCTCCGTGAGCGTCTTCTCTTCAAAATTTTCTTTTTTTTTTGTTTTTGCTTTTTTTTTTTGCATATGTTTTTCTTCCTTCTTTTTGGGGGGGTATGCGGACTCTCGATCTGACCCCTAGGTATCTCTACGAGTCCACGATGGTTTTCCTTGTATATGAGTGGAACATGCTTTCCACCTTGTCACGTGTATTGATCTGTCTTTTGAATGCATTTCTCAGCGATATTTGGGTTTGGTGTATTGGGAGGTTTTCGGAAAAGCCATGGTATAACGGGGAGGGGGATTGGAAAGGATGGGGGGAAGGATTTGGTCCATTCGCTACAACTTTCTTTGTTCCATATACTGGTCAGGATAAATGCCACGGGCAATTCATTCATGGTTTAAAGTCGAAGAGAGAAATCCTCGCCAGCAGCATATGCCCATATACTAACAAGACCTTTTGTGGTGAGCGTTCACGGTTGCTAGTGTAGTAGGTCCCGGTCCTGCTCACTAGTCCCGAGTATATCCTGGGAGGAAGTAACGAAAGTAGGCGACCACGCTCGATTTTCAGAAACTCGTCATTTCTGTCACACCAGTCGCAGGTCCATTTCATAAAGAAAGAGTATATCTTGATAGACTAGAATCTGGAATGGAGAGCGCATAGTGAAAGGGTGAAAGTGGACCGCATTGCTGGCGGGTCATCTGATCATTCCGAGATTATCTTATCGCAAAGCCGCAACTCGTGGCCTTCGTTGCACCTCGAATTTCTTTCTATCTTCAAGTACTGCGCCCTCCCATGCAATGGCCTCCCCGCCACCTTCGCAGGCCCTGGCCAAGCGACCAGAGGCGCAGCTAATGCCTCCTCCGCCTGCCCCAAAACGGATCAAACGCCCCGCCACCGTGTTGGACGAAGACGTCTACACCAGCAGCCTCTCCCACATCATCGCCCGGGATTTCTTCCCAGGCGTTCTTGAGACCCAGGCAAAGCAAGAATACCTCGACGCACTAGAATCGAAGGATGCAGGATGGATCGCCAGTTCCAAAAAACAGCTTGCAGATGTTCTGCGCACCCCGATTCCAGGCTCAAATGCCCGCAAGAAGAGCTCTGGTTCTGTTTCGGTTCCTGGAACTCCCCAGCACACCCCGACCTCGTCGGACAAAACTCCTCGTGGCTGGGGAGGCGACACGCCAATGTCGGTCGCATCAACTTCCGTGACCGCTATTGAAGAAAAGCATCTTCATATTCCGGACGTGTCAAATATGGGGCTGATGGCTTTCCAAGCCAAGTACACCAGTGAGGATAATGAGTCTTTCAACAAAGTTGTTGACAAGCAGAATGCGAAGAAGAGGGAAAAGTACAGTTGGCTCTGGAATAATAATAAAGTTCCATCAGCGCGGCAAATCGCACACCACCAGCGCGAAGTCAAGCGCATCACAGCACAAGGCGGAAACCCTGCGATGCTGATGGCCAAGCACGAGTCCGAACAGCCAACTTTGAAAACGGACCTCGATGCCCGCCCAGCAATGCCCGATACCTGGAAATCAAAACCAGACAATGGACTCATGTTCCTTCCCAGTTCTGTCGAGGATACCCACGAGACTCGCCAGCAAAAGGCGGAATTGGCTTCTCGAGCCGCCCCCAAACGTACCATTTTCCAGAACACACGATTCCTGGATGCGGATGCTGCGGCCGCTGCAGATGCGACCAACTCCGTTCCGCCGTCGCCCTCTCTGTCCGCCATCCAAGACGCGATTGCAGGCCGTCCCCATTTCAGCGCATCTGAAGCCGCCTCTGCTGTAGGAGGTAGTGAAACCCCACGCATGAATGGCTACGCCTTTGTCGATGAAGATGAACCCGAACCCGAGCCAACGTCAACGTCTGCCCTCGATGCCGACTGGCGTCTCCTCGGCTCGGGCGACGCCACGCCCAACCCATTCCACATCAGCGAGGCCCGCAAACGAGAAGCTCTACATCACCGCATGGTCGAACGGGTTTCTCGAAACAAGCGTGCTGAAAAGGCTGCCCGTGTCACTAAAACGCCCGTCCCGGCTAGCCCGCGTTTTGCCAGCAGTCCGCGCTTAGATTTTGGGCTGCGCTCGGTCCATTCAACGCCGAGGGCAGGAGCACAAACAAAAATGCTCACCCCTGCTGCGCAACGATTGTTGTCGCAAGTTGGTGGAAGCACCCCGCGGGCCTCGGAATCGCAATCTGGAATGCGAGATATTTGGACTCCGACCCCGCGGCGCAAGTAAGCCATTCCTCACGCAGGGGGAGGGTTGCTACGAATTACGAACATGATACCACAGAATTTTTATATCAGCGTGTTACTTCATTGACTCCTGACGTATGTAGGATAGGATATGCCAGAGGGGCATCTCGGTAGCGAAGGATGTTGGACACCAGAATCTATGAACGACAACATCCTACTCAAGACCTATATGGTGATTTTACTAGTCATGTAAGCTACATATAAGCCATTTATAGTAGTCTTTATACATCGAAGAGATGTCCAGCGGGTATTCGATACTATTCGGAAGTCTCCACCCCGATCCGACCCGATTTCGGGTAAATAACAGCTTCAACTTGGGAGGTTTTCTGTTCTTCTCGAACGACCAGTCTCTGCTGCCCATTTGAAATTCACAGTTTTCATCTTACGTGAGTATACGTATATGCTCCAGGGCTGGATGTGGGCTAGCCGTCGTTAGCTGATGCATTCTCCAGGGCCAAAGGCTATCATTCACACATGAAGATATTCGCCTTCCTATTCGACGTATAGAACTCATGTAGTTGGCTGAAGCAGCCTTGATATAAATTAAAATGAGGGTCGTTCCGACCTCTGCCGACCACGATACGTCTCTTTCCGAAGAGCGTAAGACAGCTCCTCGCGACGTTACGAGTACGGAGGCAAAAAAAGAACCAGGACCAGGGGATTCCCTGGAAGGGATCATAATCAGCATGGAGAACCAACGCCGCCATCTTCACAGTCCTTCTGGACGTCGCTCTTGTCTCCACTTACTTCTCTCATGTCTCCAACGCCACCGCACGAGACAAGGAGCGAAGCAGTACATGAGTATGAAGATCCTCAGGCAGGTGCGAAAGCCGTCAATAATGCCGGGAAATTTGCTCCACCACAGGATGAGAAGCCTACACATAATTCTCAGTCATGCAATAGCCTAGAATGCAAGCCCCATGCTACAGGGGAAACGGATTTGTCAGTCACCGAAGCATTGAACAAACCGAGTGAAGAGTCCCCCGAACCATACTACGCCCCTGCTCAAGTCCCGGCTTTTAAAGCTCTCCAGAAGAAGCGCCTAACGGGCACCCGCACGAAGCAGCTCCTTCGTGCTGCAGGCCGGGCACACGACGATCCGCCGCCACCGCCAGAACTCGGCTTGTGCTGTGGCAGTTCGTGCGATCCATGCGTCAATGACCTCTGGCGCGAAGAGCTATCTGTGTGGAAAGAGAGATGGGGGGGATCGAGGGGTGGAGGGAGGAGCCTCGAGGAAGGAGTTGGAATAGTGATCTGATATTGAAAATCTATACCCAGACGCATAGAGATATGAATGCTTCGCTTGTAAATGTCATGCAAAAAGGTTCGACTAGATGAACGTGTGTATGGTCATTCTTTGGAGGGAGGAAAAAAAAATGCTGTTTTATCTACCATAGAGCCCACCATAGAGCCCACATCCCAGCCAGCATGTAGAAGCCTCCCCAGATGCCCAGTCTCGCTCCAAGGCTCAGGTAGTAGGCTGCTCCGAGGTAGCTGCATGTGATGATTCCCTCCGAGTTCCGATAACCGTATGAGGCATTCAGCAAGGCGCCGGTGGGACATCCAAATTGCAATGCTGCTGGACAATCTTTGACCATCGTGTAACAAATGTCGGTACAGGGCAGAATCTCCCTGTACGGACCCGGCTTTATCAACGTGTCGATGATCGCATTGCGCGAGTAATTCGACTTGGCTTCTTGGCGGTAAGGGGAGTCTTCCGGTAGATGGCTGCCATTGATGAACGCTTGTGCTGCATTCCGCACGTGTTTGTAAGAGTCGTTGCTGCTGAAATCGGCACACCGCGGGATGCTGACGCTGCAAAGCCATTGCTTATATGCCTGAGCGCATTTGTCGCAATCCACAGACAAAGAGAACATCGATTCGGGATCAGCGTGGCACTGGATCTGTTGCAAGGAGTAGTTGAAGTTCTGGTAGTAGGTGCTCGTGTAATTGTCGTAAATTTGACGAAGTTCTTCAACTGTTTTGTTGGGGTTGGAGGGAACTGCGTATGCGACTTCAGAGCAGAATGTAAGGTTATACAAGACTGCGCAGTTATTATCTGGGTTTAAATCGATGTTAGTATAGACCCTTCGGCCCTCAGACAGGAGAATGCGAGAAGGGAACACACCGATTTTCGTGGTAAAGTTCATTCGTGACCACACAGTTCCACCGCCGCCGATTTCACCATCCGTGAATCCAAGATTGTTGGATGCGTTCTGGGCCGTCCCCAATGTGCCGTAATAAGTGGAGCTGCTGTTGAGGCCCAGAAGGTAGAACTGTTGCTTCGGCTTATTTCCCAGTCCACGGCTCGTCATGGTCACATCGTCTTTGGCATTGCTTTTGACCTTTGCAAACCCATTCAGGGCACAGACTGACATTTCTAGGCCATCAAGATCCGTATTGTTGGTATTTTGCGCCCACATCATATAAGGAGGCGTCATGTTCATCCATTGATTGAAGTTGTCAGAGCCCTCATTGGCCTGCGTCAGGTTGTTTGTCACGAGCAACGCAGCATTCTGATCCGAGTCCAAAAAATACAGGACCGGAGGCTGGTCTTCCTCCAGTTCGACTGTCTTGAAGAAATAATCGTCGATCGACGCCGCAATATGAAACCCATAGTTGCCCTGATAATCGGTCGAGTTGGGCGCTGCCACGCTAATGTAAACATTATCATCTGCCTCGATCTCCATACTGAGATATCCAGCGCTGGCTGTGGCCACGGTTTGGAGTGAGCTATCCTTCCCAGGCCCTGGCAGCTGCAGCTTGTTACTTGTCGAGACGTAGACTTCCAGCTGAGGAAAGAGACCCGCCGCATTAGTCTTGTTTGTCGATGGTCTCGTGCATTGGGTTAGAGACAGATACACTGTAGTGGTCCGCTTCTCTAATGTCCCGTCCCTCTTCTCCCTCTTCCGAAGCCATCCAACCTGGTCCGGTGGAACGGTTTGGTTATTTGAGTCGAGGTAAGGTGGCAATTTCTTGGTCCAATTTCCGTGTGGTCCCTTGATCACATCACTCGGGATGTAGAACGGTTGTGATGTTCCAACATTAACTCCACCCTGGAGGTGCATGTTATTCAGCAGAGCCTCGCCTGCAAAAGCTCTGCGTACCTTGTCCAGCTCAAAGACATCCCCTTCTTCATCTCCCATCACGCTGTCTCGTAGTTCTAACCCATTGAACGAGTCTAGCGAGAATGGGAATCCATCCCCACCCGGGGATGCTGGAGCCGAGGCCTTTGTTATCGCCGACTGGGGTATCATCGTCGCTCGCATGGACCGGAGTCACGCATAATACGAGGAGTATCAAGAAGGATGCAAAAAGAGTTGCAGTCAGCTGGCACTGCAAGGCTTGGTATTGGAGTCGCATGGAAAGGTGAGGGCGGAGGAGCGGGAATGAGCATGGAGGTTGTTTTGCGGGGGGCGCAACAGCGCGGTCGCTATGGATCAGTTCAAGGGGCGTATATTTATCAGGGGTTTCAGCGCATGATACCTTGCATCTGGATGTACAAGAACATCTGGTGTTGTAGCTGGGCACGTTGGACAGGGCAGTTGTGTTTTATCGGGGAAATTCAATCTTATCAAGAAAACGTTGGTGCCTTGGTGCCTCGTGGCGCGTAGATCCATGCCCCTGGGAGATCAGGAGCCATGATTAATTCACCATTCCTCTAATTGTGTTCAGGACTCCAGAAAGAGAGTTGTGTGTGTGGCTATTGGCAGCAATTACATGAGAATGCGAGGAACAGAGTTTATCAGGGCTTGTTGTCGTAGACGAGACACATAGCAAGTGCCTATCCAAAGTGTAAAGGCTCACCAGCGTAAATAACTACCTCAGATGGTAGCATACGCAAGTTAGCGATCGATGCCCATCTTCCAGCTCACCCCAGCCGCAGCAAACCTCGCACAACTTGGTATCGACTCGAAATAGGCCAGAAAAGATCAACCCAGAACTTCCAGTGATGGACTTGTTCCAGCTACCCCGCCAAGGCTTAATTATAGAACTTGTTCAGAAATACAGGCATTAATGGAACCAGGGAGGCATACCTCTGGCAACTCCTCGCCTGGACAGGCCACTGGATACCGAAGGTTACGAAGACTGCGAAGATGACACTGCAAAGTTCCAGATTCGACGTGGGGGCCAGCTTCTTGAGGCCTCTGCGCCAAGGAACGGACTTGGTATCTCCGTCTCCTCGGACCTTCGTTCTCCAGACGGAGGGAGATGCTTTAGATCGCCCGAATAATAAAAGACTCCACCATGGCGAAGGCCGATAGCTCGGGTCGCGTGAAAACATGCGAGAACTGCGTACGCGCGAAGATCCGATGCACGCGGACTCCCTCGTCCCCAATCTGCGATCGGTATGAGCCCTGCACGTATGTCCTCCATTGCCCAGCTAACTGGAGCAAGATGTCATCGTCTCAATAAAGACTGCTATTTCCGGCCAGCTCAAGTCCGCAGGCTCCCTGCTAAACGGTCAAGGTAAGGCGCCAGCAGTCTATCATGGGAGCGTCGACGCGGACTCGATAGCTAACGTAATGGGTATCTTCAACCCAATTAGCCGCATTGATCATCTAGAAAGCAAAGTGGATCTGATCCTGGGCCAAATCCACGGTGTCAACCTCCAGCAACGTCCAGAGGTTTCACCAAATGAATCCCAAAGAAGTGGCGAATCTCAGGGACTTGATGCTCTCGATGTCATTGGCAGAGGCATCGTCGGCTCTGCAGAGGCTGATGTGTTGCTGGGTTATTGGCAAAGGGAAGTGGCCCCTGGGTTCCCTTTTGTGGTTATACCAGACAATGCTACCGTCGAAGACTTGAGATCGGAAAAGCCATTCCTGTTGCTGTCGGTTCTTTTTATGACCTCGTACCAAGACATCGCTTTAAACGCGGCGTTGGACGAGGTCATCAAATCCTATGTTGGGGGCACGGTGGCACAAGGCACGTGGAATCGCGATAATTCCCATGACCTTCTGCAAGGGCTGCTTGTAATAATCGCTGGGTATCGCTTCCATCTCCCCCGCCCCTCCATATATGGCATGTGGTCATTGACAGCTTCTTTAGATCAAAGACACTCATTCACCTGACACGTCTTGGCTATTACCGGCAACTAGCAGTCGCTGTCATTTATGAATTAAGGATTGATCGTGCACCTAAAATCCGAAGCCTCGAATCGCGAATCAACATTGTAGAAGATGTAGACAGTCCCAGGACTTTACAGGGGATTGCTAACGCTGAAAGCCGCCTGTTGATCGGGTTTTATGTGATTCAGTCAATGTAAGACCTTTCGTGGGGTCACTGAAAGCCCTCCTCCTCACAGAGCTTGATGACTGACCTGTACTCGCACCCACATAGGGAATGCAGTATTGTTCAAAAAACAGCCTCGCTTCCGTGGTCTGCTTTTATGGAATCAAGCGCCAGGAAACTTTCCGAGACTTGTGAATATCCATCTGATCGATACATGGTACACTATGTGCAGTCTCAACATCTGCTTGACCGGATCAATAGCCTCGCCACCTCTGGTATTGCACAGGGCAGCGGCTTCCACGGAGAACTCGACCGACATGTCCATGCATTCAGAGCCGAAGTGGAAGAATACAAAGCACAGCTTCCTTTCCCTATTAATGCAGATTGTAAGACGACCTCCAACTTGTGCTCCACTTCTGATACACATCCTGCCTCCCTATTTCCCAATTCCCTTTCTCGTTTCACCTGTGTTGCTCCTCTCTACCCCTTCATACTCTATCACGGTGAACCAAGCTCACACATTGTCAGACCTCATTGCTGCACAGTATTGTGCCTTAGAGCTCCATTTGTGCCATATTAGTCTTTTCGACCCTGACCCGAATACCGCATCGACCAGTGACTCGCTTCTCGTTTCGAAAATTGACACTCTTTGTCATGGCTTGGCCGCTGCAAATCAGTTCTTTGACTACTATGCAGAAACTACGCCATTAGGGCAAGAACGTGGCTTTACCTATGTGCAATGGATGCAGACTGGGCTTATCATTGCAGTGGCTTGCAAGCTTACACTCGCAGCCCTTGATCCATCTTTGCGACAGAATACACACCTCCAGAAACTTCGGGAAGCTCTTGACTTTGCGGGCAGGTTGCGACTTTTCCAGATGAGACTGACTCATATTGACCGACCGGATACCAGTCTGCCAGAGCACAAACGGAAGCACGCGCCTTCCCACTACGAAAACTGGCTGAACTGTGTTGCGGAGTGGTTTGAAGGCAAATACCGGGCTGCTCTTGCGGATCCTATGGCTGGGATCACGAGCACTATGTCGAACCCCATGGAGGATTCGCAATATGCGGATGGCAGCGTTGATGCAGGTGCCCAGCTTGATCAGAATCTTTTCTGGATGGAACTTCAGGATATGTCGATTGAAGAGATCTTGAGCTGGATGGGGCCAATGGATTTCGCAGCTTGAAAAGGCAAGCGGAGTCATCGCGTGCAAGAGGCATTTGTTGATGCGTGGAGATGGAAAATACCCCGTCTGGAATTCTTTTACGGAGAATGATCTGGTAGTCGCCACTTATTGGAGATGAACATAATAACATGTAATGCTTGTACAAGACGGAAAAAAGACTTGAAGGATCAAAAGACGCGATAGACGCTATGCCTCTTATTTCCGTGCCTAGCCAGGAGGAAATCGGCAACTGGCAATGCATGGTATCGAGATGATGGATGAGATCGTCGTGATAAAGACACTCCTTACCGCACGCCTGGTACCTTTACATTTGCGATGCTCTCGGCCACATGCAGGACACTTCTTGTGACGGCCAAATCTCATACAAATTTCGCTCTTCCTGCCAGCTTTTTACAGTATTTATCTCGTTGATCGACTCACTCAGCTGCCTCACCTCATCCTGATGTTGCTGCTGCATTTTGTTCAAAGTGTGTTGATAACACGCTACGTCCCTACCTTGCTCTTCCTGGTGCTCGTTCTGCTGCTTAGATATACGGCTTCAATATACGAGCCTCCAATTGACGGATCATCTCGTCGTGAATGCGCCCCATACTATCTTCAGAGCTCGGATATCCTTATCCCAGCGCTTCAAAAAATCGGCTTGCTCCTTCTGTTCATGGGTAGTCACCGCCCATGAACTTTTGGCCATGGGCTCTCATTGCTCCTTTCATATCCTCTTCCATTTCTCTGATTTCCTGCTCGAGCCTGTTTCTTTCCTTTCGGACCTCAATTTCCAGCTTTTGGCCGGCAGGAGTCTTCATTAAGAATGTTCCCCTGCTCGACCGTTTCAGCCTGGCTAGCAGATTTTCACTTTCTGAAGGTGCTTGATTTGTCATACCAGGGACAAAGTCCTTGTATAATTCGGAGCGCCAAGTTAGGGTTACTGAAATGTCGTGGCACTTTAGCTCCTGTCGCCGCAAAGAAGCCCCAAAATTCGTCCTGAATCTTCAGCAGGTTTTCAGGACTGTTGCCCACAGGCCCCTTCCCCAGAAACTTATCACAAATGTGCCATTCTTGGTGCCCTTGCGCCAACAGAACTCCTTGAACATGGTCAGATCCCTGGCAGTGTAGCCTTCTATCCGGTTGTCACCCATACGAAGCGAATATAGGATTTCCCGCGCGCCTATTTCATCCTTCTAAGCTTTCCGTCGCAGCTACAAGATGTGCACCAGCAGGTGCTTCTAGGAATCCAGAAAAAGAGACAAACAGGGCAGGGTCTGCAGCATGATATTCATACCAACAAGGCGCTACTCGAGAATGAGCAGCATCACTGGTGAACGAGGCAAGCAGGACTGGCGGGTGATGCGGGCTATAGTCGTTGGAGAAGAGAAACATTGATCTAGAATACCGTGGCATCGAAGAAGAAGAAACGGCAGTGCACAAACAGCTCATGGAGTTCTGATCAGAAAATGAAGCAGCGATGTCGGCCACATTGGAAGCGATATAGAGACTAGCGATACGGAGACTTCAGAGGACGGGTGTCATGAAGCGCAACCTCATACCATTTTTAGGCATCCTCGCAAATGTCGCATCGCGCCACTTCACCTCAACCATGGCTCGTTCGTTTTTGGCTCATCCCAGGCAGCTGTCATTGGAGTAAATATGACGTTCCTCCTGACTGACCACCCTTGATAGAACGAGGTATAGAAGACCGGGGCTACTGTCTGGCCAACGGCATCGATCAAGGTCACGACATACTTCATGCAGTCACAACGCCAAAAACCTACCTCGTATAGGGCTGAGCATACAGAGGCCATCCAATTAGATTAATTGATGGTTCAGTGGATCAGTTTCCGAGTTTCATGTGTAATTGTATTCGACCAAATGTACGGGCACGGGGAATCCAAGAATATTAGCGACGCTCACAGAGCCTCTGGACCAAATATGAACAAATGATATGACCAGCAATATGATATGACCAGCAATCGGCCACCGGCAATGGTGAAGAAAAGAAACGCTGAAAACAAGAATCGAACAGACACTAAACTAGCTTCTGCCAGCGCGCAAGAGCCATGCTAACAACTACCAATCCAGCCATGACTCCAATGATGCCAAAGAACCAACCAAGGCCTCCATCGTCTTTTCCAGGAACATTGACGTTCATCCCGAATAAACCACAGATCAGGTTCATAGGGACAAGAATGGTGGCAATGAGAGTCACCTTGCTCAGAACCTTGTTAACGTGGTTACCAAGGGCAAGGTTGGTGACGTTCAGCTGAGCCAGGTAATTGGTGTGTGACCGGCTCAGCATCTTCTCGAAATGACCCAAGTTGGACATCATGGTCACGACGTGATCCTGGATATCACCGAGATACAGACCAATGTCGCCACGCGGAGTCACCGAGTACTGCTCGTTGCAGCGCTTGGAGAATCCGCGGATGACATCCGCCTTGCCACCCAGCAGTCGCATGAGCGACATGACCTTCTTCCGCAGGCCACCAATTCGAGGCAAGAAGGATTCGAAATCGTCAACCCGGGCAATGAAGACGTGATCTTCAATGGCCTCTGATTCGAGTTCGACGTCTCGGATCACGGGACCAAAGCTATCAACGATGTCGTCAATCATCGCATAACAGATCCAGTCACTACTTAAAGAGACGTAATCACGCAGCTTGCCAATACGCTTCCGAACGTTGGCTGCATGCGGGTTCTCGTCGAAAGAGAATGTCAGAACACCATCCCGGAAAACGACCATGTAAAAGTTGACGGGCTCCAAAAACTCCTCGCTGGTCTTGTCCATCTGGTAGAAAGTGCGGAAACAGACAAAATAGTACTGCTTGAAAAGTTCAACCTTCTCGCGGGCTTCCTGAGTCTGAATATCTTCTTGAGTAAGAGGATGGATGGAGAAAGCCTTGGAGATGGCATCTAATTCCGCCTCAGTGGGGTTGACTACGTCCAACCACCACACACCTCCTTCAGGACCCAGCTGGAACAGGTCCCGAAAGCTATCACCCGGGAGAACCAAATCTCCCAATTCAGCAGCATGTACCGTTGTCTGCGACTCGGACGAAAAGAACCCAAAGCGAGTGGGACTATTAGTATTTTCTAGCTTTTCGATTGGAACCTTCTCGCCAAAGACGTCGGGGAGCATGGTTTCCGAGCCAGCATTCATCGGGCAGGTCGTGGATGCAGTAGAATCAGACTTGTTGATCTCATCCACGTCCATTTCCTTAGCGCCAGGCCGAAGATCATAGAAAATCCGAGGTTTCTTGCTCTGCGAGGACATGCTATGCTTGCGATGACCGGCAGCTTTGGTCTTCTGGTGCAATGCGACAAACTCCTCCAACTCCTCATAGTCGATAACAGGGATCCGGCCAGGTTCTTCATAGTTTGGCATGCATGCGTCTTCTGGTGCATCAATCGGAACTTCACTTGGCTGGGGTCGCACGACGCTGGCATTGCTAAAAGTCGGACGGCGTCGTGGCTGCGTGGCGCCCGAGACCGTGCGGTGCAAGATGGCTTCCAGATCAGGCGGAGCGTGGCTATCGAGAGTGTTGGCCCGCTCACGTCGTCGTGGGTCGGCGAAGGCATCGACCGAGTTTGGAGGAGATGAGGAGCGCGCGGAGACGGACGACTTGCGCGAAACATTGCCAATCTCTGGCTGGACGATGCTAATTCGGCGGGGCATCGGATGAGCGGCATTGGGATCGACCGAGAAGCGTCGGTCTAGTGGGCTCCTCTCCTCGTCCTCATCGGCGACAGCTTGTTCGAAGTCGCGGAACAGGGGACCAGGCTCGCGCAAGACATCCTGGACTTGCAGCAGGTCAGGACGTTCCGGAGCGTCTCTTCCAGGCTTTTGAGTAGCAGGGGCTTGGGAAACGTCTCGTGGGATCTCCATAGTATTAATGCGCGGCGTGTCAAAACGGTGCTCATCCAGCTCTGGAACGGGAGTGCTGAACCGCGTAAGGTACAGATCCTTCTCAGAGTGAGGGGAGTCGGACATGTTGGACGCAAGGCCGACCAATGGGTAAATGTATTAGAACGCCAGGATGGGCTGTGAAAGAGAATGTTTTTTTGGGGTCCCGAGCCGTGGGGATGTCTTCTTTTCTGGTGATATTAAGTTGAAAGGCGGTTGCTATGCGGCAGCACACGAACAGCCACAGACGCAAGCCGGTGTAAGAGAACCGATAATGAACGGATCTCTAACCACAAGCCAGACCCTCAACAAGGGCCTGGCGTTTCCGGACACACGTCTGGCTGCCGTCGGATCGGAGTGGTTATGAAGCCAAGTTAGGGGGGACGAGTGTCTCCCCCGCAGAAGACCCGGAACTTTGGGCCCGCGAAAGGGTGAAGAAGAGAGGCTGAAGAGTAGCGAAGTCCCGCCAACTTGAATGTATGCGCCGTAGGGTGCGAAGGCGCCAGGATTGCTGGTCGAGGTACGATAAGCGGATGTTGGAAGCGAGCTGACCGCAAGCGAAATCAGTCCGCACAAGATCAGGTCGGAGTTTCAGCAGGAGGGTTCCCCTCTGTGTTTTTATTCTTTTCCTGCGAATAGAAGAGAATTGGAGTGGGAAAGGGGGGAAGAAAAGAAATCCCGTGTGTGGGTGTGAAAGGAAGAGTTGTGGCTTGGGGGTGGCGAGACGAGGTTTTTCTTAGCGGGAGCTGGGGGAGTTTTTTTTTTCTCTGGGCGCTTCTTCTGAGGGGCCGATGGCTTGCGGGCCTCCCTTCTCCCTTCCCGCGTCCTTCTGGGCTTCCAGGTGTTTCTGCACGGTGCAGCCGACTCATCACTCGTTATATGCATGATAGAGCGTATTTCCCAGTAGTCCTTGAGCTTTCTTGCTATTCTTGTAGTTTCGTTCTGAAATTGCTAATTCTATATCTTATTTGATATCCAAGTGATGGTAGACACAGAGGGACAAGACAAGCGGACCCCCCCTCAGAGTCCTTGTGGGTCACCGTTACAGGCGAGTCCCGTACAACAAGACCGCTCCGTACTGGGACCATTGCATGACGAGTTCAAGGGCTAGATTGCCCTTTGCCGCATAGCCAGTGTAGTCCATGCTAGTGGCTTGTTCTCTAGGCTGGACCGTATATCTTCTATTTCCACGCTTCAATCTGGCCCTAGCTACCTACTAATATTCTAGTAGGCCTTGCTCTGATGTAAGTGTAAGAATTCCCTGTGACGCGCGGTCTAAACTGGTTTCAAGACGGCAGGATTGGGATTGGGCGCCAGACCCAGAGATCAGGTCCTGTGATGGCCGCTGGACAACAACCGTGCTCTTCACCCTGGGTTTCCTTTCAAGACTAGTTCGTATAGATCGGTCGGTCCAATCGGCCATGCCATTCGAAAAATCCAATCATGAATCGGTGGTTGATCAGCTCCACTCACGATTTCCCCCGGTGTCGGACCGGATTTTTTTAGTTGCCAAGACCCGCATCGAGTCATACCAGACATAATTCACCTCTGGAGACCCCAACTGCCCCTCTCCAGGACGCCATGGACTCGTTTCTGATCAGAACTCCTTGTTCCTCGGCCAACATTGGCCCAGGATTCGACGTCATTGGCCTGGCGCTGTCTCTTTATCTCGAACTCCGTGTCACGATTGACTCCTCCAAGACATCCTCCCCGCTTCCATTGAATTGCGCTATCACCTATGAAGACCAAAGCAAAAGCACTGAGGAGATCAGTCTGGACCCTGAGGTCAATTTGATCACGCGGGTCGCTCTATATGTTCTCCGCTGCCACAATCAGCGCGCATTCCCGTGGAGACTAAGGTACACATCGTCAACCCGATCCCATTAGGGCGGGGGTTGGGATCGTCGGGAACCGCAGTGGTCGCTGGTGTTATGCTAGGAAATGCGGTTGGAAAGCTGGGCCTGAGCAAGGACCGACTGTTGGACTACTGTCTCATGATTGGTAGGTGGTGACCCTCCATGTCGCGTGCGAGATCGTGTAGAGACTTAGGTGCGGAGAATTGGACCCATCTCAAATCTACGGCCGCCGCAAATCAAACTGAATAACGTCAAAAGAGCGTCTCTTTGCATACATTGACTGACGATCGCAGAACGACACCCCGACAATGTGGCGGCATCCCTTTTCGGTGGATTTGTGGGTACCTATCTGAACGAACTTAAGCCAGAAGATGTCGCGCGGAAAGAAATCCCTCTTAGTGAAGTCTTACCTTCTCCCGCAGGTGGCATTGACACCGGGTTCCAGCCTCCAGAGCCACCCCTCGGTATTGGTCACTACCGCAAGTTCAATTGGGCCCCAGAGATTAAGGCCATTGCCATCATCCCAGACTTTGTTGTGCCTACTGCCAACGCGCGCAACGTCCTTCCCAACGAGTATTCTCGCGCAGACGTGGTACGTCCACAGCATCTTCCCTTCAATGGGAGTCAGTCCAATCCATGCATGCTAATGATCCCGTCATTGCAGGTCTTTAATCTCCAACGCGCTGCATTACTCCCTGCAGCCCTGGGGAGCTCTCCTCCGGACCCTGATATGATCTTTCTCGCCATGCAAGACAAGGTGCATCAGCCATACCGCAAGACTTTGATTCCCGGTTTGGCTGAGATCTTACAGTCCATGACCCCGGCCACGCAGCCTGGTCTGCTGGGCATCTGTTTGTCCGGTGCTGGGCCAACCATTCTGGCACTGGCCACCGACCGCTTCACGGAAATTGCAGACCGCATTATCGCACGGTTCGCCTCGAACAACATTACCTGTCAATGGAAATTGTTGGAGCCTGCTCAGGAGGGAACAACTGTGACTCAAGATTAAGTCTAATGCAGCAGCACCCACGTCATCGGGTCGGTTCACCTCCATCCCCGTCTGTGCCCATCCTCCATGTTGCGCGAGACGAAAGCACCGTCATTGATCATAGTTTCAAACTGTGACGTGTATCCATACTGGTCTGTATGGATGTGTATCAACATGATTCCATCGCTTTGAGGTCGTGTCGATGACGAAACCTCGAGTTCACCGCTGCTTCCTGCGTTGTAGGCTGCATGCGCTTAGGACCCGGAAGATTTCCCGAGGAAAGCTCCCTGACAAATTGGCCGATCTCCCTGCTCTTGAGTCCCTGTGCTTGACCGAGGGCTTTTAAGACAAGGTTTATTTACTTATTCATTTATTTTTCTTTTTTGGCGTATGGCCCATAGATATAGACGTAAATGAATCACGAGAAAATAGAACGTTTTATGATCTGTCGTAATTCTTCTTGAAAGAGGCCTTTCCGTCCCCCAACCTGGCCAAAGTTTTGGAATCAAAAAGAAATCATGAGATCAAAGTGAATACAAATTTAGCTTGGCCCGTGGGCTGGGGTGATAATCATCCTTGTGTAAGTAGACATTCTTAGAAGATTTCCAGGACTCCAGGCGGAGGCGGTGGGCAAATCACACCCTTGCGATAAGCCCCCGGAACCCGCGACGTGGTTCCTCATTGCGACTCGGTACAAACATGGACAGCCTACTGGCATCACTCCAAGATGCCCTAGAGGGTCAGATCGTATGTTCTTTAGCAAAACCGCTCTTCAGTCTTATGGCCTCGTTAACAGTTGTGGCAGGACTTCCATGGGCAACGCCTGACACAGCTTCTCAGCAACGTCCTATTGATCATCTCTGGGGTATGCCAAAGTGACATTTGATCCGAGCTTTGATGCAATAAAAGCTTGCATAGATACTGACACGGAATCCTCACAGGTCATTAGCTTCATCGTCGGCTTCATTTATGAAGACATTCACCTCACTCTTTGGGTCGGCCTCGGAGGAACCCTTCTTACTGCACTTGTGGTTGTGCCTCCGTGGCCCTTTTATAATCAAAACCCGGCAACTTGGTTGGGATCTAGTGGGAAAATATCAGGAGGCCCACAAGTGATGGTTGATGGGATCAAGGTCGCTTAGGGCGCAAGAACGTCGCGAATATCACCTACAGAGAGTAATACAAGGGCAAGGAGTATGTATGCGGATTTCAATCAATACCATGGCTCATGGCTACCCGAACGCCAATATAAAAAAGCAATGAATCCCCCTTCTCCTTCGAATTTCCTTTCCCTCCGGAATATCATAATGGCTATTGAAACGGTATGGATGGCAGCAGCCTGGCCGTCCGGTGCATAGTCCCTGGTTTTCGACGTGTGAATTCATGATTTAGCGACCGTACTTTTGGAATTCCCAGTCTCGGTTGTCCAGAGGACAAACTTGGCGAGTCTTCAACCATCGTGAAATGCAGTGGAAGTGGAATGCATGCTAGACAATACCATGAGTCCCAAGTGTCGGCCGGAATGGATTAGAGGATCACTTACGTTGCAGATACCCCAGGCGACTGTGCACTCCTCCGTTGTTGATGAGCCCTGATTGGCTTGACATTCGATGCCTGTTTCCATAAGTTAACCTTCGTTTCAGCCAGAGACGAGCGATTCCAAACTTACATAAGTCCATGATATGGTTGCGGCAAATGGCACAGTTATCAACGACGATGTCCCACGCCCAGAGAGCAACGGCGTTCCACTAAGTAATGAGGAAGTCAGCTTCTATGTCTGGCCCGGTTAGGACTATGCCCGCAAGGTCGTATACCGTACTTTCTTGACCTCGAACTTCTTCTTTCCGTCAGGAACACCGCCCTCGGAATTCTTAGCAACAGCCTTGCCCTTAGCAGTACTTGCGGAAGCTTCCTTCATCTCCACATCCGCCATGATTTGGTGTTCTGATTGGTAGAGCTCGTGGTGGTTTGTTCGTGGTAGCTGGTAGCTGGTAGGTGACAAAGATAGAAAGGAAGTTCGGGAGAAGTTGTTGGCGGGTGAGAGCCCTCGTTTGCTGGGGACCTTGGTAGAGCACTGAGATGAGATCAAAAGACAACGAGCTGCACAGAATTTCAACTGCAAACTTGGGGAGAGTTGTAAGAAAGTTATGAGGCTCCAGCAACTGGAAATCCCCCCACTGTTTGGTCGAAAGCTGGAAGTGGCGGAGGTCTTAGTCATAGAGTCCCCGCCCACCTGGGCAACCATCCGAGGCCATGACTCTTCCGTCACTCTTCTTCTCTCTACCTTAAACGCTCATAACTATGTTTTCGACTTGCGCCTTATTACTGTCGTTCTCTTTTGCCTAGACGGTGCTTGCTATCCTCTTTGATTGCGCTACACAAGCTTCGTTCTTTTCCCTGCTTCGGCGTTGGAAATATCCTAATATTGTCGACGGCTGCTGAGCAGTGACTGGACTTTCTCCTTGATATTCTTACCTCGATCCCTGTGTTTTGAGCGTCTGCGCTTTTCCTTACTCATATTTCCTCAATCTTCCAATCAGGCTGCCTATTTTTCAAGCCACTTGTCGACATGTCGACTCAATCACCTCACCCACCCACGCCCAAGGGCCCTCGCAACAACAACAACAACCGTCGCCCTCAGAAGAAGACTTCTACGCCCATTGCACAGAAGACCGCCATGCTCAGTACACCTCCATCCTCGCCGCCGCGTAACATGAGTCCGGCAGGCGGTGTGACGGATTCGTCTCACAACATCCAATCTAAGAAGAAGCCGCCTCGCTCTGGAAAGAAACCCAAGGACGCAAATCGGGCATCACCTGCCAACCCGGGACATCGTCACACCTCATCCAACCCGAATCTTATGACCCCCCAGGTGAAGGACAATGCTGCCTACGCTGGTCCAACTTTTCATGCATCGCCCGCGCCATCCGCGTTACCTATTCCAAGCTTTTTCTCGAGATCTGTGCCGGAATCGGATCCCCCTCCAAATTTGGAGACTGACAGCGATAATGCCGAAACGGAGCCTGAAATCGAAACTACGCCTTCGAAACCACGTGCTCGGCCTCCACCCATTGTTGATCAAAAGCCCACACCACTCGATTTCTTGTTCAAGGCCGCTATACAAGCGCGCCAACCAAATGCCTTGGATAGCCCGGAGGCGACTGGGCGCATGCGTTCTCCTCAAACCGAGCCGAGACCCATGGCCTCCAACCCGCCCGGCGGGGTCTTCCCGTTTGAGATGGAGCCTTCGGAACATTCGCGCGCTTCGCAGATCGGGCCTTCCTTTGCGCCTTCTTACCAGGATCGTATGAAGGCTTTGCGTTCCTCCAGTTCCCCAGCCGACGCACCGGAGAGCGAGGAACAGCGCCGAATTAAAACTGAACAGTTGAAGCATCTTCTTCTTAACCCGCCACCGCAGAAACCGCCTTCATCAGTGTCTCCACCTCATCAGCAACCTCCTCTGTTTGGTGCTACCAACACTAACGGCAACGTGCCTCACTATGCCACTCCCTTACGGCCCACGTCCGGTCCACCCCTGAACTGTCATCGACCTTCTCCGAGAGGGCAGCTCCATCAATGTAGCAATTCCGCTCGTCCGCAAATTCAGTTTAACGGCTTTCAATATGGTCGACATCCCGAGTCTCCGCTGAGTCGCGAGGTGCCCCCTTATCACTACGTTCCGGGCGCGCCATCTCCATACAGCCATAGTATGGCAAACGTTCCAGTATCAACGCCTGCTCTTGGAAATGGCTACACTTCGCCGCCGCCTCAGTACATGAATGCTACTTACAACATGGTTCATCCACCCTCTCCTCCGAAGCCTACCGATACAAAACAAATGGAAGATGATCTTCGACGAATCCTGAAGATTAGTGCGGGTCCGGGTATCCAAAGCCCCTTTGCCGCATAGACCTGCCTTTGCCCTGTTTCCTGCTTCGCCAGATGTTTTCTCTTTGCTATCTGACGAAGTTGGCATATTCTCTCTCTTTCGTGATTTCGGTTTGCCCACCGCTTCTTGCTTTGGGATATGCTTTCTTTTTTTGTGTTTTTATTTCCTTTGAACATTCGTTACGTGTTTTATGCAATCGATCAATAAGGACATCTCTGGACTGGTCCAGGGTCTTCCTCGGTGGCTTCATCTTGGCTTTGCGTTCACGCACTCTCAGGTAACTGGGGCGGAGTTTCGGTGATACATAATGGCCTTGCCTCTTTCGGTACAGTGTCATGATCGGGTCTTTTTTTTTATCCCTTTCGCAGCTCGTCTTTCGTTTTTGCGAGGAAAGAGAACGAGGACCGTCATTTGCATCACTTGGAGTCGGGATCATTCCAAATGCTGTGTGGTAAGTATTTTTGCGGAGGCCGGTTTAGCTGGGGCTACCGATGACTTGCATTTGCCGAGTTTTGTTTTGTCTGTTTCTTCCTTGTTCTGGGGCTCCGTTGACATGGTGGCTCTGGGCCTTTTCTTTTCTCATTGTGCTTTTGGTTTTCTCTGCGTGCGCTGTCCCTATCCCAACATGCCCAGTCTCCGGTCCCCTTACCACTGAAGCTTCTCGGTTTAGGGGCACCGGCCACTCCTTTGTTGTGTACTAGGGTATGAAATTCATACTGTCCGCTCTTTACTTGTGTTTCTTGGTAATTTTTCTCCAACCCGCAACCTCCCAAACCTGTCTGCTACCAGTGTTAATGTAAACTCCAAAAACTGTACCTGGGTACTGGAGGTTCTGCTAATACGTGCTACGTCGGTGTTACGACCGGGCTCACTGTATCAGGTCAAGCCACATCTGAGCGAGCCACACCTGTCTCTAAGCCACTGTGGGCCTAGAGGCTTCTTTCTGATTTTGCCAGTGCCGATCCCAATAAGAAACTGGGCCAGAATTGGGCCAAAACCAAGTTCTGACTGGCATTTGACTTTCGATCAGGGTCCAATGGCGGACTACGATATAGAACACGCTATCTTGTTCAACCACATTCACAAGTTTCTGACATCTCCAGAATGCAGACAACGCAGCGCGCCCACATGGGCATTTTTCCGCTGACGTGGGCTGGAAGCGTCACAATCCCCCCTTAATCTCTTCCTCCCGACTCGTCCACGGTTCCACAAATGTGGCGGGTATCTAATTTTATTCTGAGACGTTGTGCGATCGTGGCTCTTGATTTGACCGAGTTCACTGTCATGCCAAACGTTGGGAACTCCCCCTTCGCTTGAACGGCTTCCGTGATTTTCCAGTAGATTCTCGCGTCAGAAGAACTCAAGTCCTGACTATCGGGGTTCCCCGTGTCTCTCCGTTTCCACGTTCAACGGCCCCAATAGCGGGGAATCAGATCCCCTCGCCGATCGGTCTCAGAGTGATGAAGCTTAATTCGGCCGCCACAATAATTGCTTCGTAGTGGCTGAGGTTGACGATGTTAGGCTACAAGACCAGCAGTGCTAAATAGACCGTCCCATGTAGAAAGAGTTCATACTAGAATACAACTATTACGACTACACTACTCGTGACTCGTAGGGGGCAACATGCACCCCTTGTTTCGTACATGGCTGCGACCGACAAGAGAGCCGCGAACGTCCAGATTCTTTCTTGAGGGCCAGGGCGATGTCATGATCTGCATGCCGATGGATGCGGCCAAAGGGGGAAAGCGAAGAAAGTCGAAGAAAAGGGAAAAAAGGGTAAAAAAAAAAAGGAACGGATCCTCAAACCCAACTAAATCACGGGGCAGCTTTCTCCTCCTTCCTTACCTAACCCTCTTTTTCTTCGCCAGGAACCCTTTTGTTTTCTTACCCTTTAAGGAGGGAACCTCTTGGTACAACCTTCGATCATCGCCCCTTTCCTTCGCCGATCGACTCGGGTCTCGGTCGCCAATGACCGCTTTGCCCTGACTTTCTCCCCTTCATCCTGATCCCCAACCACCCATCATGGCCAACGCGTACGTCGGCTCCTACCGGTCGGACTTTCGTTGATGCTAACCTCGCTGCAGATTTGGCTCAGCATGGCGCTCTTTTTGGCATACCATGACTTCCTATGACCGCCATGCCTCCCACGATTCTCCCTACCGTACCGGCCGGCACGTCCCTCTCAATCAAAGCCGCCACGAACCACTCACATCCATCGCAACGAGCGCGATCGAATCCCGTCCAGACCTCTCTGACCCTTACAATGATGAACCTTCAAAGGGGATGACCACGGTGCAATCCACCGAATGGTCCGGTTCTCCGACTGACCACGGCTCCCCCAGTCGTCCCTACTCCCCTGGAATGCGATCGTTGGCCTCACAGAAACGCAAATCCAACGATCAGGACAGTGCTGGAGAGATACAGATGCAGAGCTTCCACGATGGCGCACCACCTCCACCCCCGGTCGCGCACTCGTGGCGCAAAATCGAACGATGGTTAGAGGACAACTTTGAGGAACTCCTGGACAATCTCGGTGAGGGGTGCACTCAAAACGACATCAACGAATTGGAACACGAGCTGGATTGCAGCCTACCGCTAGAACTCCGTGAATCGCTGATGATTCATGATGGCCAAGAACGTCCTGGTCTACCGACCGGCCTCCTCTTCAGCGTCATGTTATTGGACTGCGAAGAGATTGTTCAGGAACGACATAACTGGAAGACTGTGAACGAGGATATTCTCGCTGCTCCAATGGTGCACAATGCCCCGTCTCTAGCTCCGCCGCGAGCTCTTCAGCCTCGCCCGCCAACCAGCAGAATTCCAATTGGCGCAGCGAACTTCTCGAGCGCCAAGACTCCCAGCCTCCTGGCGCTGTCCAAAAAGCCTACGCCCACCCCGCCTGGATCCCTCTTGCCCGTGACTGGGGCGGTAACCACCTTGCAATTGATCTCGCCCCCGGCCCCGCCGGAAAATGGGGTCAAGTGATCATCTTTGGCCGAGACTACGATTGTAAGTATGTGGTTGCTCGCTCATGGGCCGCTTTTCTGGCTATGTTTGCGGATGATTTGTGTAGCGGCCGAGCACACGTGGATGAGGAGACCAATGAAATGAAGCTTCTGGAGTTCAAGAAGCAGAACGTTGAGCCACCGTACCTTGAGATTCTGCGGTGGCGCGTGGATCAAAAATACGGCCGCCGTCCGATGCGTCGACGTGGTCCTAACGGTCTGGGTGCTAACGCAAATGGAAAATCCAGCACTCGAGACTCACCATACGGTAGCCCAACTCGCGCTGAGGAACGAGGTCGGTCCCCCCACCGATTCCCCAACCGTGGGCCTGTTCAGAGTCCCAAGACTCCGTTCGGTATTTCGAGTCCTCTCGCACGCGTGACCGAGGAGTCATCCGCAGCTGGACCTTCGATCTCTGAGGACCCCGGGGGAGCGCAAAGAAGACTCGAGTGACGATCTGCTGGACGTGAACACACCACAAGTCTCCAATAAGGAAAACGAAGGCTTCGCCGCAATCAAGGGTACAGAAGGAGACAAAGCTGATAAAAGCGAAGGGGCATCATCATCTTCCAAGGGGGTAGACACCGAGGTTCTGGGAGAGATGAAGAACGTGGCTATATAGAGGCCGGTCTTCGCTTTCGTCTCTCCGTCTTGATCCAAGCAGCCTTTCCCCCCCCTTCCTTTTTCCCCCCCATTGTTCCATGTACTTTGGCGTCTGATGACGAGATTCTGGATTTACGTGACACCGCTCTGCTTCCGTGTATAGAATTCCCCATCCTTTGTTCCCCTCCAGCTTCCGGCTTCGCGGCATTTGTTGTAACTCTAGGGTGCTTTTCTTCTTTCTATGTGTTCTTGATTCCGCTTTCCCCCCCCTATTTCTTTTTCCAACTGGCTTTGCGCTCACGGTCTCCATTGATATTTGCCTGTAATTCTATGATGATGCAGTCTTTGTGCTCTTTGTGTCTGGCTCCAAATACATTTCCCATTGAGTTCGGGCTGTCCTGGTGGTTCGTAGGCTTTCCAGCGATCCTTCGCTTTCATCTCGAGTCCTATTATGCATGTCAGGAGGTCGATGCACGGGCTTTCCGTATGTAAATGTACAGAGAAAGCCAAGCAGCATGTGCGACTTTCAGAGTTCCGCCCATTAGCCCACTAATCCCAATCATCGTCCTCATCCTCTCCTCGACCGCGGAGGGCAGTGTTTCCGCTGCGAATCGCACGTCTTGGAAGGCCTCCCCTGCGCCGGGTTTCACCATCGTCGCTCTCGCTCTCATTCTCTTTCGCATCGTCGTCATCATCTCCTGCAGAAAACCTGGGCTGAGTCAAGACCCCTTTCCGCAAGAACCTTTTCTCTAGCACCTTCACGTCGAACCCTTCGGTCCCATCAAACCCCCCCTACGCCTAGCCCTTCAAACCCAACAACCCGCTCAATGCCCACTCCATCCTTAAATCCGATCACGCACGGTAGGACCCGAATCCCTAGCTTTTCCACCAGAAACGGAGCATTGCGCACATCCACTTTCGCAAACCGTACATCGTGATGCTGTCTCGCCAATTCTTGGAGCCGCTCATCCATCACCCCGCATCGCGAAAAGTCCGGATGGCCAAAGTGCACTACGCACCGCGAAGTCTCGGTAGTGAAGTCAAGCACCGCCTGGTCGTTCTCGAGGGGACGTATGTGCTGTCACGGGAAAGCAGCGAGGCGCCGGCGCCTGCATTTGAGATATCCCTGTTGGTTTTTTGTGAGGCTAGCTCGGCGTTGAGCTGTTGGATCCGTTGAGTCCGGTAGCCTGCATGGTCTTCTTCTTCCAGAGAGGCGAAAAGGGCGTCATCATCAGAGTCAGAGGGCATTGTATCGGTTTGCGATCCCTGGGACTTTCTCTTCCTAGCGGGGGAGGGTGGGCAAGGTCGGCGGAATAGAGAATTTGCGAATTCGCGTCTGGACTAATTCTCAGTTGCTTCAGTGTATCAGCAGCAACTTCCTGTTTCGTTTGCTCCCAAATCACCCTAGGCGGCCAATGGCTTCTGTGGAGGTTGATGTGAAGTTCAAGGCTAGGGAGGACAAGCTTTCAGAATAATACATCGCGATACTTGGCGGTACTAATCGGACCCACTTCAGTGTGGTTCGAGAGAGAGAGGGAGAATGCGACTATAAGCCATTCAGACCTAATGCTTTAGACTGGATGAAGCACACCTTTACAGAGAACGATGTCTAGATCACCATAACATGCCCTCCCCAATGTGTCAAATGAGACAAGTAAAATTACACATCACGTGGCGACCCTATTAGGATTAGTCAGGAGGCCACGCTTCCGAGCAAAAGTTCTTCGAGCGGACTGTTTTCTCCCTCGCGCGTCCGTGTACGCTCCGCTGATTCCATTCCTTATCTTTTGCCCTACAATCTCACCACCATGGCCGAGGACAAGAAGACCGATGACTATGCCATCGAGATGGACAAGTTGGATAAGAGCAAGGAATTCGAGGCTGCTCCTCCGCCGCAGCCCCGTGCCGCCCCGTCCAACAATATGTCCAGCAACCCCGTCTTACCAGTGCTCGCATACTGCGGTTCCTCGATCATGATGACCGTCATGAATAAATACGTCCTCTCCGGGTTGGATTTCAACTTAAACTTCCTCTTACTGATGGTTCAGGTGCGTGAAAGCAGATCGTCAGGGACAGATCGGCCTACCAACCAGAAGCCGCTAACTCGAGACTTTAGTCTGTCGTCTGTATCGCTGTCATTCAAACCTGCAAGTCGGCCGGTCTCATTACGTATCGCGATTTCAGCTCCGATGAAGCGCGCAAATGTAAGTTCTTGCAGCCTTTCAGATAGTGTTCACGGTAACGCGGGTCTGATCGTGGTTTTCGAATAGGGTTTCCCATCACCCTGCTCCTTATTGGAATGATCTATACGGGCTCAAAGGCCCTTCAATTCCTTTCTATCCCAGTTTACACCATATTTAAGAATTTGACCATTATTCTTATCGCCTACGGAGAGGTTTTGTGGTTTGGTGGCTCCGTCACTGGCATGACTCTCTTCTCCTTCGGTCTGATGGTTCTTAGCTCCATTATTGCGGCCTGGGCCGATATCAAGCATGCAGTTGAAACCACCGGCGATACCTCGAGCAAGGTGTCGACTTTAAATGCCGGCTACGTTTGGATGTTGATCAACTGCCTGTGCACCTCGTCCTACGTCCTGGGCATGCGCAAACGTATCAAGCTTACCAACTTCAAGGACTTCGACAGTATGTCTTCGACGCAACCATTCCAAAATACTCCGAACTGACCGTTCACTTTCTATAGCCATGTTCTACAACAATCTTCTCTCCATTCCTGTCCTAATCGTGTTCACTTTGTTGGTCGAGGACTGGTCAGCCGCCAATCTTGCCCGCAACTTCCCTGAAGCCAACCGTAACGGCATCATCATTGCCATGGTGGTCTCCGGAGCCTCATCGGTCTTTATCTCCTACACCTCCGCCTGGTGCGTACGTGTGACCTCCTCTACTACCTATTCCATGGTTGGTGCCCTCAATAAGTTGCCGATTGCTCTTTCGGGCTTGATCTTCTTCGACGCCCCGGTCACTTTCCCCAGTGTGTCCGCCATTGCTGTTGGTTTTGTCAGTGGTATCGTTTACGCCATTGCCAAGATCAAGCAGAATGCCAAGCCCAAGACCGGTGTCCTGCCCACCTCCAATCCTCTGGTCAGTGCCAGCAGCCAGAGCATGCGGGACTCGCTTCGCTCCTAGGGCTAGTTCCAAGGACAAAAGTTGAACGATCTCCCCCTTCTCATAAAGCCCCTTCCCAGGGCTTCTTCGCTTACAGCCGCTTTCCCTGCCTTCGTCCGGTATGCCGGCGGTCATACCATTGGATTAGGGCTCATTTGCATTTGAAATTATGATTCACGTTTCGTTGCAGCGCACGTATGTTAGTAATCATCTGTGGTAAAGCCCCTTCCGGTGTTCGGGACTTCCTTTTTCTTCTCTTGTTGCTGTAACCTGGGAGAAAGGCGTGCCATCTAGGCTACAGTATGATATCATTTCCATAGTAATTGTTCCCCTCCCCCTTCCCCCCCTGTTTTTCCAACCATTCTTGCTTGTCACTCTATGGGGTATCATAGCCTGATTCACTTCTCTACTGTATTCAATGTACATAGCAATGGGAACGCTGGAAGCAATAGATCACTTTTTTGTCCTTTCCAGAATCAAAATCAATTCTTGTTTTGACTAGGTGCCGCAAATGCGATGTCTTTGGTCATGGTCGTACCTGAATATCGGCATGTGTCCAGGACATTGTCTTGGCTCTCCCATCAAATCGTTTAGAACAACAGTGCTAATCACTACTAGGAATCAATTGACTTCCATTTTAATCAAGCACTATTATTATTTATAGGGGAGGCACGCTAAGAAAAGGGCGGGAAAAAAAAAAAGAAAGGCATTCTAGGGATTGGCCCCACCGGGGATCGAACCCGGCCACTTTGCTATTCATGATTTTTCCACGAGGGTGAAGATCATAAGAACAATGCCCTACCAACTAGGCCATAGGGCCCTAAAGTAACGGTAGAGCTTCATCTTTGCATTCTCACTCCATAACGTATGCTCCTTTTTGGGGGGTCTCCGTTGGTGGGTCTTTGGTGGTCACTAGTAGCACATCCTGTCTTCGCCCTGAGGATCTGTCCCATGTATAAACCCGCTGTGATACCTGGCGAGTAAAACAATCTTAGCCACTATCATGGGACCTTCATCATTCACAAACAACAAGCTGAAGTTTTTCTTTCGGCTTTACATGTATCGTCAGCTAGCTGAAGCTGCAAGTTCACTTGGCTATCACTTTGAACTTGGATAGCCTATTCACTCTCGCTGTCGGCCCGGGCTCTCTTCTTCTTGTTCCCCTTTGTAACCTCGTCCTTTACCTGGAAGACATACATCCGGGCATTCCTATCTTCTCCTCTCCAACCGCCTCTGCCACCATCTCTGCCTTCCACTTCGCCGAGGGTTCGCGCATGTGAGTAGCCCTCGTACGAAGCCCACGGAAATCGGAAACTCGTTACGACTTGGAGGCCTGCATGGCGTGCGAGATCCTTGATATTCCACAAGGTGTATGGCTCTGCCTCGAAAAGCGACACCAGGATCTGGCCGGGCTCGGTCCGTGTCGCTTTTCCAGAGGCCAACTCGTCAGCGTCGCCTCCTTCCCCGTCATCCTCATCAGTCTCTTCGTCATCCTCCTCCTCCTCCTCTTCTTCCCATTCGTCGTCAGAATCGGCGGGTTCTGGCGCCGCGGAAAGAAGGAGGAACACACGCCTTGAAGAACTCAACGAGGAGCTCTTGGTTGGCGCGGACCTGCCGGTTCACATCTGTAGAAAGGCCCCCGACGTGCGGGAAGTTGAAACAGATCACATCCCACGGCCCATTCGGGGTGCGCGGGGGGGGTGGGCTTGATTTGCTTTGTTTGGTTTTCCACGCAGGTTTCTTCGGCTCCTTCCGAGTGAAACCGGCCCTTACCTCCTTGCCGCCACCGCCTTGGAGGCCTAGCTTGCGGGCATCAACGGAGTAGAGGACCTTAGGACCTTGAGCGCTTTTCGCTGTTGGTTCTTGTCGATTTTCTGAAGGCAGGGGGCCTTCATTGGCCTTGCTTTTGACCTTCGAGTGCAAGATGTCGTGGATGTTTTGCGCAGCCTGAGGGTATTTCTTCAGTAGGGTCTCCTGGGAGTCGTAGCAGGTGGCCAAGAGCTTGCGACATTTATATTGCTTTGCCAGCGAGCGCGCAAATGAGAAGTCACCTGGAATCTGGTTAGTAGGGGTCGTCTGTGTTGATTGCGTGAATTCAAGTTGATAGTATATGTTCTACGAACATGACACAGCTTTTACATCAAGCAGAGGTGTTCCAGCTAAGGGGAAAGTCATAGCTAACCTTCGCCAATCAACAGAACTCGATCTCCTCGCAGGAATGGAACAATGGGCCTCTGATTTTGCTGTACTGGCAATTTGTTCTGTTTATTAGCGACATCGGCTTGTGCCTTGGCCCCCTGACCTTTGGGATTTTGCCGGGAGCCTTGCTTTGTGCGTGATGGAGGAAGCTTTTGCTTTTTCCGAGGCATTTGAAAGGCTGAACTTGTTTTGAAAGGGAGATGGTGCTATGACAAGAAACAGATCCAAATCGTAGATCAGTTCGAGGCTTCGAGTGGAACCCGGATAAACCCACTCCGGATAGTCCGACGAGGTGCATAACGAAGGACAAGTAGGAGTCCTACTAATAGTAGGCCTCCTTATGCATATCATGACCCTTCTTCAACAGAAGGATTATTTCCATATCCTCAGGACAAACCTAGCTTCATAGCTTCTTCCAACTTCATGCAGTCCATCGGCAAGTTCTATGGATTCAGCAATGATTTGGAAGGCACTTTGGGTGGGAGTGCTAGGACTACTAGTGAATGACTGAAACGAACATGCAGCGAGTTCGGGGTCCAATAGTAATAGACATTCGGGCTAAGAAATTCCAAACAAAAACTCCAGCTCAGGCTAATGCAGAGCTTGGAATGCAGGGCACTAGAACAGGATTCCCGCTACGCATCCAAAATGACAGTTTACATGATGTATACCTTCTTCATCTCCTCTTCATCAAAAACTTCACCGGTGGTGGGGTCTTTGACTTTGCCTGCTTCCACAGCACCAAGGTTTCTGCTGATGTCTAGCAGCCTTGCTTTCCCATAGACACGGCCGTTGGGCAGCACAATGGGGTCAGCTTCCACATAGCTCTTTGAATGATGAGCATAGGGCATCTTGCGAGCGAGTTCATTCAGCTCGGTTGAGCAGATTGGACACACAGACGTGCTTGTAGACTGGGAATTGGAGCTAGAGGATGTGTAGGCAGAGTGGCATAGAGGTGTCTTGAGGGCTGAGAGCCCGGCAGATAGCGCAATGTGTAGGAGTGGTTGTGATGGCAGGGAGAGCAGCTCATGATGAGTCTTCACAAACAGATCTGCAAGAAACTTCCAGCGATCTAGCGAAAATAAAGTCTTAAATAAGAAAAATTATCAACAATAATCCATCAATCAAAGAAGGGCCATTTCTTACCTTGTAGGGTTCCGCTCTAGTATTCTGGTTGAACACGAGCAATCCAGCTGCTTGCATGATTTCACTATTCTGTGACTCATGGTTAGGGGTGAGATATTTGCGAGCGTGGAGGATTGCCTCGAGTTTCTTTGATTGATCTTGTGTCCGAACCATCTCGATGTACTGTTGTAGACGCAGCTCAAACTCGAGGGTATGCTGATGGCAAAAGAGTAAGCGGCAAACTCAATACATGTCGGCCTTTTTGTTGGGAGGTTCGGAGAGGGCAATTTCAAACTCACATGGCTCTTCTTTAGGGCAGCTTTGTTCTCCCCACACCACTGCAACGCCTCTTTGGTTTCCCCGCGGCGCAAACTTTCCACCACTCGTTGGCACTGGGTGAAGACAGTCAAATCTACAATGTCTTCAATATCACGCTCTTGAGCCAGTTGCTTTGCGCTGTCAGAGTACCCCGACCGGAGCATATGGTCGACTAACAATCGGTCTAAACGCACCCGTGACCATTGGTCATACTTGACATCGACCAAGCTCGGGATCTGATGCAAAGTCTCTAGGTGTTGGATGCGCTTGCGGGACTGATTCTGGATTTTCTTCTCTTCTTCCTGTAAGCTTTCCATCTTGCGCTTCAACCCTTGCATCCGTGAGATCATGGCGTCGAGAGCTGCTAGTGTTTGGTCGGGCGTCTGTCGGTTCGACAACGAGGCATTAGCTGCCTCTCTGAGTGCTGGGAGTACATAGTCCTTTTCTCGTTCGACTGCGCGCTGGACCGTCTTGAAATTTCTTCGAGCAAGTTCATGGGGGAGGCGGAGGAGTGGTTGGTCCTGTGCGATACCAACGGATTAGCTCCCGGTGTCTTTCGATGACGTCGTCGGCAACAAACCAAGATGAGATGACTCTCAGGGTTTAACTTTGTGGATGTTAATTCAGCAGCCATCGTCGGTGCCACTGTGAGAAAGCGTGTTGGCTGGGATATTCTTGGGGTTGAGGTGAGTGAGCCGAAGCGAAGCTGTAGAGATCGACGAAGAGGGGACTAAATGCGGAGACACGGGGATGGTCACGAGATCCCGCTGGAGCATCCGAACCATCAATATAGATTCATGGAAGGAATAGAAAACTAAGCTATAAGGGATAGAACGGAGGTATTTCTTTTCTTTTCTTTTCTGTTCTTTTTTCTTTCACTGTGAAAGCATAGATTCGAGGAACTATGGAAAAAAAATCTTCAGCCCGATTTCCCTTTTAACCGTAAGACTCCGGAGACAATAAATCAAAAAAGTAAAACGAAAGCAAGCTAAAATATGGTACAGGAAATAGAGCGGCGAGCAGGCTCTTCCTGATCTAGTCGCTGTCATCGCTGTCATCAGCCTTGGACTTTCGGCGCTCTTTCTTTTCCTTCTTCTCCTTCTTCTTGCGCTTGCGCTCGGCCTTCTCCTCGGCAGTCTCGCCATCGTGCTTGCGCTTCTTCTTGTCGTCGTCGGCGGGAGTCTCGATCACATCCTTGACGGCCACTTCCTTAGCAGGGGTAACAACGGGAGTAGGGGCGGCAGCTTCTTCGACTTCCTCAACTACACTGTAGTCCTTGTAGTCATTCTTCCACTTAGCAGGAGTAGCCTCGTTGGTGCGACCGAATTTCTAGTTCACCAATTAGCACACTAGCACACTAGCACACTAGCACATATTAAAGTCAAGTAGAATGACTTACGTCCAGCTGGCCAGCAGACTTGAGCTTCTTCTTCTCAAGGGCAACTGGGCCCAGACCCCACCGGCGAGGGTACAGATCGCGCTCCATGATGCAACGCTTGACCTTGGCAACAACACCATGGTCACAGGTGGTAAGGTCGGCGGTGGACATCTGAGCAATGCCAATAGCAATAGCCTCACCCTTAGTGGTCATCAAAACAACCTCCTCGTGAACTTCAATGTTATCCTCTGGAGAAATCAAATTAGCTTTCCACTGGAGGTTGGGGGTTACATGTAAAAGCACACACCATAACGCAGAAGACCAGGAATCATCAACTTAGCACCGTAGCAAACAGCATTAACAGCACTGTCCTTCACAACAATACGCTTGTAAGTAAGGAGAAGGCTCTCAAGAGGGTTGATAACTTTGCGCAAGAGGCTCTCATCACGCTTGTTGTCGTAGACCCACTGAGCATCAAGGACATCGTGCAGCGTAACCATGCCTTCCTCCTCATTCATAGCTCCACTGCGCACACGACGCAGCTCCTGCATGTGGGCACCAACACCCAGCAACAAACCCAGGTGTACACAAAGAGTACGGATGTATGTGCCAGCCTCACAGCTGACCCAGAAAACACCCAGGTGGCGGTCGTTGTCAAACTCACAGAGCTTGATATCGTGAACGGTACGAATACGGAGCTGGCGCTTCACAGCAGAGATAAGAGGGGGACGCTGGAACAGGGCACCAGTGAGGCCCTCCAAAGCGCGGCGGAACTGGGCCTCACCACCGGGCAACTTGTCGTGAAGGCGAATGACACAGACATATTCCTTACCAGCACCCTGCTGAGACTTGACCAGGCGAGTAGCACGATCAATACAGACAATCAAACATCCAGTGACCTTGGGGTCGAGGGTACCACTGTGACCAGTCTTTTCGGTTCTATGGCGAGATGCGGTTAGAACTAGTCGATTTCGGCGAAAAAGCAGCTATGGGACGAAACGGGCTTACCTCAGGATACGCTTCATCCAAGCCACGACCTCGTGACTGGAAGGGTTGGAAGGCTTGTCGAGATTGATGACACCGGAGCTAATGTATGATTTCAAGTCACGCTTAAGGGGGGAAGAGCCGGCTGGAATTGGGGTGAAGTGGGGGGTTTTCGCATTCACTACACAAGGACACAGTTAGCCAGGTACCCCGACATGGAGAATTTTTTTTTTCCCGCTGGACGTACAGTGAGTGTAATTCTTCAGGAGAAGAGGCCAATGAGCGCTAGAAACGTCACGAGCGACTGCCTCTGGCTTGATGATGTAGTCCATGTCTTGGTTCGTAGCGGCAGCCATGTTGGATGGTGAAGGTGGTGCTGTTGCAAACTAGAAATTCGATCGAGGAAAAGGAAATTTTTGGAGTGCGGCAGCTGGGTTTCCTTATTTGGGTTAGCGTAATATTCACCACGTGACAGAAAAAACGGACTATACAACAATTCCCTCCTAGCCTGGACATGTACCGTACGGGACAAAAAGGAATGAGAATGTTACCTACTTAATGCTATACGGTCTCGTACAAGCGAGATTGCTGACCATTGCTAAGGCAGAACTTACGGCGCAGAGAAGGTAGTCTTTGCGAAGGCTGGTGAAACGATGTGAAATATGCTATGTACTAAAAATCTCTCCATGGAACGCTGGGCGCGATCCCATATTTTGATTCACCCCTGGCCAAATTCAGAAATTCTCTATGGGAAAATGTGTTCATGACAGAGCATGGTGTGTAATGTCGGGGTTGCACATTCTTATCCTCCTCCGAGTCTTTGGCCAGAGCCCCAGCTTCGCCAGGAGTCGGGAAGTGGCGGTCTCTCTGTATTTGCACCCTCTCGAGCTTCATGGGGTTGTGATGGGCGCCAAAAGCGACCGTATTCGCGTCTCCCCACATCCTCAGTATATCTCGCAAAATAACGGCGCACGACTGCGGGTGTCTTCAAATAGTCTTTCCCGCCGCCAAACGCCGGCCAAATCCGAGTGAGGAATTCCCATTGGTGGGCGGCCACAATTCCCATGCTCTCAGCCAAGGCAGCGTCCCAGCCGTTGGAAACAAAAGCGATCACCAGCATAGCCCAAGGAAGATATTCAACCCTGATTTGAATGAACAGCAAGTGTGTCGTAGTGCCTCGGTTGTCCAGGGAATAGGTATAAATCATGGCCATGATCAATGCTATGAGGAAAGACTTTAGTTTCCAGTCTCAGCGCTCGACGCGATCCGACGACTTACCGGACGTCAGGACGTAGTTGCCAAGGTAGAAGCCTGAGGTAAGCTGGGCAACGTTAGCATGTCGAGCACGACTGGGCTACCGTGGGAAGATGCAGAATTGATAGAAATGAATGATATTGGGAGTAGACGACAAAGATATTACGGAGAATGTAGGGCACCATAACCACCGATGCGAACTTATAGGATCACAGCAGCTATCTCAATAGGCAGTCCCACCAATCCCACACCGCATGCAGCGCCTTTTGGATTTTGCGAATGTGGCACTGCACGGGATGCAGGGGTAATCTTCCTCACTTCCAGGAACCGCTTCAGCTAGAAAAGGGCTGGGCGGGCAGATATGCGAGGTGGCAAAGGGTTTGGGTACGGGAAAAAGAAGAAAGAGGGGGAAACACGACTCAACGAGATATCAACCCGAATCACGCGAGTCACTTACCAGGATGGAAGATGCTACGAAGACGAGGTAGACGAAGAAGTCTCCGGGATGGCTCAGTCGCGCAGATTTACGCTCCAGGTGGCTGCCATAGGTAAACACTAAGGCAGGTTAGCACCTGAATGCATCACACAGATACAGCACACTGCGTCATACTGAAATAAAGGTCAAAGAAGAAATTGAGCTTCGGACCGGTTAGCAGGAATGGTGTGACCAGGCGCCATATCTCTGGAGGAAACTTGAAAACGAGGCCCGGCACGAACAAAACATAATATGAACTGAGCAGGCCACCGATGACAAGGAGAGATTGGACTAATGTCAGAGTCACGATAGTTCTGGCAGGCTTGTTAGCCTAGGTAGTTGACACCAACGAGGCAGCGCGCATTACCTGGTCACTGGAGGTGCTGCCCAGTAGACCGCCTGGATATCCATATTGAGCCAGAATGGGGGTGTAGATACAATGAGTTGTGAAGCTAGAAGCAGGACCTCATGCTAACCAACACCGCGAGTGGGGAAGAAGAAGAAGAGGAAAAGAGAAGCGGAACGAAATTAAAACGTGTGCAGAGGCCGGGGATGGGATTTATCCGAGATCCGCGTTTCTTGGCACAGCCTCATTGTAGCCTGATGGCCTTGAGGTTGCTCTATGCCATTGGTAACCAAGTTAGTCAAGACTCGGACTATATCCAAGGATTTTTTTATCTTGGTTGAATTAAAACAGCAGACTTGAGGTATTTCTCCGTCGTTGGTACCATTCTTGGGTGGATCTATATTTTGCAGGTATTTGCAGAGCCTCGAACAGACAGACCACCCCCGGGACCCTCAATCCATACATCCCAGGTCTTGTCGTTTTTAGGTCTTCCGCAGACAACCAGTTGCTCATCTACAAATAGAGGAGCGAGATTTCTGTACTCAATATCCTGCATTCGAAGGTTCCCTTTGCTTAGCTGCTTGTTGAGCACCCCGAGTAAAAGCGTCAAAGTCAGTGGTCCATGGACTAACAGATTTCGGTAGCCTTCTTGGTTCTGGGTATACTCAAGATCGAGATGGATCGAGTGTGCATTGAAGGTCAGTGCAGAGAACCGAAAAAGCAAAGCTCTGGTGGGTAAAATACTATGGCGGAATGTCGCATCGGAGGGCGCTGCGAAGAGATTATAATCAGTATCACCGAGGAAAGCAACAGTTTTCTATAATCGAGAGCTTTCAAAATGACTGTACCTTTGACTATGCGACCTGGGTTTGAAAACCCTATCTTATCAAGGTTGATTTGCTCTGCAGTCTTAGGTCGCATGAAGATAAGGTCCCGGTTCTCGATTAAGGATGATGCCCCTGGGTCTGCTTCATCTTTCCGCCATATACGGCTAAAAGTCTGATCTTCGGTCTCATCCTCATGGACTCTGCCTACACGGCGTTCTATCGTCACGATCACCTTCTCGTCTCCTTCGTGTCCTTTGACTGCCACATTGCGAATAGATTCGATACAAACAGTCCTACTACCATCTAGGGAAAGGTCTTGTTTGAAGAATCGAATCTTCCCCCCAGCCCATAGTCGTCGATCGAAAGGATGCCCTGGTGTATGGAGCACGTCGGTACCATTGGGAGAGCAGTTGTGATAAAGTCACTTGAGGTGGGAAGTAGATCAGATGGTGCCCTATCGGCAGTGGGCTTGGTCTGGTAACCGATGGAAGACTAGCTCGAATGTCGTGGGTTCCTATTGATTCGGCTAGGAGCTCATGAAGAGTCAAATTGAGCAGATGCGATGGTTGAGGTTGTAGATAATCGAAGCTCAATGGTAATTTCCGAGTCGTGAGATCGCCGTGGATGCGCTCTGATAGTGAGCTAAACCTGCGGCAATTCAAACCCCGAAGGGCAGCGCGCCGCAGCAGTCTCGCATTCATTAGGGAGAAACACAAGGATTGACTGCACGATGTTGTAACATATGCCGGCCCAAGCTGTATAAACAAGGACCGTAAAATCACGAAACGAGACCGAGGCTTTTTACTCTTAAGGAGGTGTGTATTCTCTAAAAGCTAAGGTGGCCCTCTTCTTGGGGGGGGTAAATATGACTAAATGATCACGGCTCCACCGCCCTTCGAACCTGAATCTGGCTGCCCCGTAGACGGAGAAATTGCCGGCAGAAAAAGTGCTTTCCCGCCCTTGCCGTCACAATGTCATGAGAAAAGGCGGTAAGGCGATAAAGATGAAGGTTTGTCCTGTTTGTTCTTGGCAGCACACCGCCTGGGAAATTTGCCGACGCGAGGAGGGTTCGATAGTCCAATAGTTCGAAAGGTGGCTTCGAATGGGTTTATTTTGGCCAATGGATCGAGTTCTATAAGTAAAAAGGCCCTTTTCCCTTTGTTTACCACACTAGATTACACTCGCCCGCCATGGATCCTCTTAAGGTGGTGTTTCTGGGCCCATTGGCATCTTTCTCCCACCAGGTTTGTGTTGCCCCACAACTGAAAGTGACAATTTCCCTACTTGACGTTGGGTTTGCTAATTCTCGAATCCAGGCAGCCGCAGAGTCATTTGCCAAAAGCTCTTCAGTATTACTCCCACAGGCGTCTTTTGCCGACGCCTTCTCCGCCATCCAGAAACAAGAAGCAGACTACGCTGTTATTCCCTGCGAGAACTCTACCAATGGCTCCGTCGTTCAGACACTCGATCTCCTCGCTGACCGAAACAACCAATATAACGACGTCAAAGTATGCGGCGAATACTACCTTACAGTCCGCCACTGCCTTTTGGTTAATAAAGGGTCATATCCCAATGGTTGGACTGGGTATGATGGCTCAATCCGAAAACTATATACCCATCCACAAGTGTGGGGACAGTGCGACAAGTTCCTCTCGCAGTACTTCAAGGACATTGAGAGACAAGACGTATCATCTACGTCCAAAGCGGCTGAGATAGTGGCTGAGGAGCCTAATGAAAAGACCGCGGCCATTGCAAGCCGGTTTGCCGCGGAGTATCATGGTGTAAACGTGCTGAAAGAGAACATTGAGGACCGAGCTGATAATACAACTCGGTTCCTGATTCTGAGGAATGTCCTCGTCGAACGGACCGCCCGCTTGGATCTTGACATATCCAGCCTGACCACTACGCAAGATGAGTCGTTAAATACACACAAGACACTCATCTCCTTTTCCGTCAATCATACTTCCCCGGGTGCTTTGGCTGACGCATTGGTTATATTCAAAACACACGGCCTGAACCTAACTACGATCAATACCAGGCCAAGCCTACGGCGTGCCTGGCAGTATATATTCTTTGTGGAGTGTGGGTGCACACCCTCAGATCAGAACAGAGATGCGGTGTCGAAAGCCCTCAACGATCTACGCCAAGTCACTGAGGCCTGCAGGGATCTGGGAACTTGGAGAGACCGGCTGGGCCAAAGCAGATCTCGTGCTTCTCTTCTTTCGCTCGGCCAGCATTATTTTGATGATTCACGAATGGGCAAATGCATCCAACCGCACGGTAGTGATACCGCTACCTGACATAAAACTCATGGAACTACATTCCCAACGTCTCTCAGATACCGCCCTTAATTACTCAGATTAGCCACAGACAGCAAAACTTATTTGCGGTATCAACACTTTCCAATAGAATTGTTTTATTTGTATTTTAAGACCTATAACGAATGCGAGAATCAACGAGCGAAGGATCACCAGTTCATTCCGGAACATGGGCGACGAGAACAGCCGCGCAAGAGGACAATTTCCCTTCAGCTTACATTCGAGTGCTGGCGAAGGGCGATCGAACCTTGCAAGGAATCGCATCCAACTTTTCAAATTGCAATTTGCACCTCAACATCTTCTGTTCCGTCGCTGAAATAATTTCAGCGACTACGTTACAGAGCTTGGATGACCCTGGAGATCGCGAAAGTCAGTGCTAGTCTGTTGGATCGGGATTGGCCACTGACCTCTACGAGGCTTCATGAAGTTGGGGTCAGGCATTTTCAAGGAGTACACGAACTCCTGGGCCCCAGTCACGGGGACATCTTCATGATCCACGGGGCGAGCCGTCAGAACGCTCGCCGGCGGAGCTTCTGGCCGTTCATCCTCGCTCACTACGAGGGCGCTCAACCGTCAATCTAGGAGAAAGTTAGAAAAAAAATTTCCTGAGTTTCGACCAAATGACATACCATCGTAGAACTCGTCGTCATCGCTGTAATCGGCAAGCTGTTCAAAGTTCACCTTGTATCGCAGAATAGCTCCAATACCACCGAAGCCCTTCACGAACTGGTTACCTTCGCCAGACCGGTCAGAAACAAACTCTAGGGTGGCACCAAAGTCTTTGTAGGATTCAGCAAGCCACTCTAGGAAAGAGTTGGTATCAACCACCTCCATCTCAGCGCCAGTCTCTTTGTCTTGGAAGAGCTCCCGGTTGCTCTCCTGGGCCTTGGTAGTGTGGAGAATGATTTCTTCGCCGACTGAGTTCTTCAAAACCCATCGAGTTACGTCCAGGTTCTCGTATACGATGAGAGTCTCGGCTGCGCCCAGCTCCAGTGCCTTGAGGGTATCCTCAACACCATAACAGACCTTGCCAGTGTCCTGGCTGATCTCGTCGAAATACCTGCCAATAAGCTTCTTCTCTTGGATGAACTTGACATTGCTGAGAGTCTCTGCAGCAAGTTCAATGGCCTGGTTAAACCCGTTCTCACCACCGTATGACACATCGACAACCTTGATGACCTTGGCTTGTAAGCGCTGGTCGAATAGATCAGACTGGTTCAAGTCGTTCTTGAAGTCGGCCGAACCGGCCAACACAATTCCAGCAACGTTGACTTTGTCGTTTGTGATGTAGTTCTGCACCGCCAACTCGGCGATCTTACGAACGTAGTTATGACGCTTTTCCTCACGCAGACGCGCGAAACGCAAAGCAGACTGACCACCACGGCCCTGTAAAACAGCAAAAGAGACGAATTAGACGTATAAACTCGATGACTGAGGAACATGATATTGACTTACGTGCTTCTTGGGTAGGTCGACGCTGAGACGCTGAATAATCTCACGGGTGTTACCGCTCAGGGTACCGAAAAGCGCACCGTTACCGTCCATGATAATGAAACCGAATTTCTGGTCCGACTCCAGCAACTCGCTCAGGGCTTCAGTGTGGAACTTGTTATCACACAGGTAAAGGGATGTGTTGATGGGTTTAAAAGGTTCGAAGTCAATGTTGATCTTTCGCTCCTTTCCTTCCGAGGTGATAATTTCACCACAGTAGACCACCAAGCCATTCGGCGGAACCTTGTTGTATAGCTTCAGACGCTGCTGGGTGGATGTAATGGCCGACAGAACGGAAAGTCTGTTCACTCGGGACTTGATGTTGGAAGCAGTACCCTGATATGGAGAATTAGGTGGGGTGACGAGGGGTATGCATCGGGGCCAGGGGCACATACGTATTCTTCTGCCAACATCTTCGCTGCGCGAGAAATCTGATCCTTGGGGGCTATCCCGGCCATTAGTCATGTAACCATAGCACCAAAAAAGAGGAGTACGTACGGATGATGAGGGAAATCATAGAGGTTCCATTTCCGCGGGCGGCTTCGAGACGCTTGATCAGCTTCTTGACCTTCCAGATCTCAATGTTCTTCTCCGCCTCGTTTCCTTGCTGCTGCTGATCCTTGGAGCTCATCTTGGGCGAGGCTCAAGTGGTTTGCGACCACGGGACAAAGTATCAAGAGGCCTTGCCTATCGACGCCTAGTCGGGGTCAAAAATGAAGACCCAAAGAAATAAAGACTAAGCCTGGAAGAAGTGTAAGTTCTCAGTCTGATGGCGTATAATATATAGAAGTTTGATGCGCTCAAAAGGTGCAAACGTACCTGGTTGACGTAGAGATCCGGCAGTAAATTTCCATCAGGCACACCGTGGGGTTTCGCCCGGGCGAGGGTGGTGGGCTGAGTAAGCACACTGACGTCCACGGGTGGGTGTGTATTGTTTGTAATCTATATGATCTGTGTATTTTTCTTTTCCCGCACTCCTCGCCCGGATCGCTGCCGTCCTCTGTATCGATGCTGTATTAGGAGTGTATAAAGGCTCGACCAGGTGTGCCCAATACCTGGTTTCCAGGCCTTCATATATGGCTCCACTAGGGACTATTACCTAGGTAGTAGAGCGCCTGGGAAAAGGATTTTCACTCAGGCGTAATTGGGTCAACGTCACGGGAGGATTCGTGCTGGAAGGTTGCCTGACAAAATATCTAATTAAAAAACGCGGTCTGTGACAATCTATGCATCGAAACTCGTACAGTAGACCTTGGAAGTGTCAGAACGTAAGAGCCCGCTTACGTCTCAACGGCAGCAGAGCCATTGTAAGGCAGATCACTGTAGTACGAATCTTTATATGGCTCTTTATGTATGAATAGTTGCAAGTACATTGAGGTCCACCATTCCCGTCTTTTCCCTGTCTGGTATCGGTAATATAATAGCATAGCACAATTTCTCGAGTCCTAACTGATCATGCAATGACGGAAAGAGTGAGGATGCCTCTAGTATATTGATGACATTTACATGAGTAGAGTCACTGCCTACACTGGATACCGTATAGCCCAATACCATACAGCTGATTGTAGTCCTTTCTTCATTCCTCCTTCTCTGTCACCGGTTGCTCTGTGGCCCAAGACCAGTACAGCCCTATCGCAGTAAGTAGCGCCATGGCTCCTTCGAACGGTGCTACGTCTTTCCAGCCCCCACCTGCGCGGTGGAAAACAAACATGGCGAGGAGCCGCCCAGGAATAGCCGTCAGCATCATGGGGATATTGTTTTGATATGCCGCCAGACCATAGAAAGTACCCAGGGAGATGGAGGTCAAGCTACAGCAGAAAAGTCAATTACTGCCAGCAGTTTCATCACATATTCAGGTGCCACCGGGCTGAACCTCGGGATACCTAGGTATATACCTCAGAGCCTGAATGGTCCCATTCCCAAGACCCTGCATGGGCGAATTAGGGAACTTGGCAGCGACGCCAGGGCATACCAATGTGTAAACGCCGCTCACCAAGAGGGGTAATGCCTGGATACCGAATGTATACTGCGATGGGCGAATCCCATTTCGCCTGGAAGCCTGAGGATTGGACATCGCGATGACTCAAAGAGTATGGGGTCGAGGGTGCAGAAGAGTGAGTCTACCTAGAACCGGAAGACGGCAAGTTGCACCGGGCGTAAGCTTTAAGGTGGATCAGGGTTTGTCCGTGAGGCCGGACGTTTAGCATTATATTCCAGCCTCAGCCTTGGGATAATGTATCATGCTGAAACGTGAGAAGAGCTATATAATCCAAATGCCCCTTTGGAGGGGGGCATGATCGATCTTCCCCGGATGAAAATTCCCAAGCCTTCCAACTTCACGTTGATTGAACTTGATCGCAACTTCCGTGTTTACACAACCGTGGGTGCTACACTACATGGAGACTAGCGCGGGTACAGTCGCAAGTTAGAAGTTACGAGAAACGAGGAAACCACGAAACCAGCGAACCAGGCCTTATCATGGCTATCGTAGACCCCACACTTCTGTAGCTCCGTTTCTTATCTCGGGGTCTTCTGTCACCCTGCTTCCTTTTGCTCTTCCACGCCTAGGGGTAAATTTATTGTCCTACTAATCCCGCGACACCAAGCTGGGGTCACGGAGGCATGGCGGAAAATACGAGCGGTAGTGGTACCCACGACGCCCTTGGGATTTCGGGGTCTCCGAGCTCCTACGATTACAGCCGATTAGGTCGAGAAAATCCAATCATCGAGGCAGAAAACCTCGGCCGTGGACGGTTTGTCGTGTGATCCAAATGGATGTAGTTAGCAGACTTTGCTGATTAATGCTTCATATCCAGGTCGAGTTCATTTTCCCGGCTGCGACAGGCAGGTGGGCCGAACAGTATTGACAATTTTGCTCGATCGTGGCAAAGAGCCGCGTGCTTCCCTGAGGTGCTCCCGCGTCACGCGTCCTTTGTATCGGCGGACTCCGACGATGAATTTGCCATTGCTACGGGTGGAGATTTCGTGTCAAGAAGTCCATTGTCCGTTGGGCGACATTCGGATGCAGAGCGGCCTCTGCTCTCCGACGATTCGGGCGACGAGGAGTATAATGGTGATGGTTTGCAAATCCACGGCCCTAGAAGAGCTCTGCCAACTACAGGACTGCTGGGATCCTCACTGGATCGAAGCTTTGCTGCCTCGTATGGAACGATCTCTTCTCGCGTGAGCGAGTCCGCCCGCCGTAATGCAATACAGTTTCACCGCGAGCACCAGACCCATGCGGACGGTCTAGATGACCCTGGTCGAGAACCCCTTCTACTTAAACATGTCCAGCATGAGGATGGCACTAAAGAAGACATTGTCATTGGGCAGTCAACAGTTCCACAAACCATCTTCAACTCCGTAAACGTGTTAATTGGGATTGGGCTTTTGAGTCTCCCGCTAGCAATGAGATATGCTGGGTGGTTCCTGGGCCTTCTATTTCTGGTTTTCTCCGCGGTGACCACATCATACACAGCAAAGGTCCTTGCCAAATGCCTTGATGTGGACAAGACTCTGGTGACATATGCCGATCTGGCCTATATTAGCTTTGGGCACCATGCTCGTCTCATTACAAGTTTCCTGTTCTGTGTCGAGCTACTAGGTGCTTGTGTCGCCCTAGTAGTTCTCTTTGCGGACAGTCTATTTGCACTACTTCCTGGTTTGAGCATCCTTCAATGGAAATTAGTGTGTGGGTTAATACTGGTACCGTTGAACTTTCTGCCATTACGGTTCCTCAGTGTGACCAGCATTCTGGGCATCATTTCATGCACATCCAGTAAGTCCTACTCTATAGCCCAAGTGGAGACCTTCCTCTGACTGCTGACCTCCCCAGTCGTGATCCTCATTTGCGTCGACGGCTTGATAAAACCTGACTCGCCGGGCTCACTGCAACAGCCCGCCAAAACATTCCTGTTTCCTGAAAACTGGGCTACCCTCCCTCTAAGTTTTGGACTCATTATGTGTAAGTCGAGTCACCTCATCTACGCTAAAGTTCTGGGTTCCTGACAAGAAAAAAAAAAGCACCATGGGGTGGACACGGTGTCTTCCCTAACATCTACCGGGATATGAGGCATCCACACAAATACCAAAAGAGTCTCTGGACTACTTATGTATTTACGGTAGGACGAGCCCATGTAACCCCAACGGGGAATTCTTAGTAATATAGCGCTGACTAGGACTTTCACAGTTTTCTCTGGACTGCTCTATGGCACTTATTGGCTGGTTGATGTTTGGTGATACCGTTCGTGACGAGGTGACGGCGAACGTTCTTAGTGTCGATGCATACCCAAAGGTGCTCTCTGTTTGCATTATAATTTTCATTTCAGTCATCCCCCTCTCAAAGGTTCCCCTCAAGTAAGTACTTGTGCGTCACCCACCAGGGGATAATCGCTAACTACAACAGCGCTCGTCCTTTGGTAGCGACATTCGAAGTCCTTTGTGGTGTTAGTCCAAGTCACACACCCTCCGAGGACAGCGCCGGGCCTGGGAAAATGCTACAATTCCTCCGGGCATTGGTGAAGGTATTCACCGTGGCTCTCATAGTCGGCCTGGCCATTGTTTTCCCAGCATTCGACCGAATCATGGCCTTCCTCGGGTCTTTTCTTTGCTTCTCGATCTGCATCATCTTCCCCCTCGCGTTCTACCTTAAAATATTCGGGAAGGAGATAAGTCCACGCGAACGAATTCTCGATTGGTCCCTGCTGATAATTTCTTGCATTCTGGCAGCGGTAGGAACTGTCTGGGTTTTCCTGCCGCGTGAAATGATCGCCGGAGGCTAAGGCCGCAGTGAGAGCACGCAGCTCCGGTGGCGTGGTCAGGATCGTCATGCCCGCAGGAGAATAGTGAAGTTGTTTCTCTTATGACCGGGATTTAGCATTTCTTTTTTGAATGACCGTGCAACTGCTTTCCCATTATAGGTCCATAGTTGATAGATCAGTTTTGAAGTCCGACGAGACTCTGCCAAATGGAACCCAATGCTTTCCAAAATATCCTGCAGTCTCCTCTCGGTCAGATAACGGGAATTGTCCACACAAGCTGCTGGCAAAACAAGAAAGAGGGATGGCGTAAATGGGATGGGACAGTCGGACGCCAAGAATTTAACACAACGTTTGAGCATGTCGCCCCTGCCAGCGGGGTCTGGTACATAGTTGAGCACCAACGAAAGGCTGATTATATGAAATCGCTCTTCTTCCGTACGTGGCAATGGCCTTTCCATGAAATCTTGCTTGAGAATCCCTGGCTCCTGGGAATTCAAATCGATTCGTGACACCTCCAATGCCGCAGTCTTGGAGCAAAGATTCTTTGTGCTCAAGGCCCCTACTTCAAGGACCCGTAGTTTCGGCATTGACTTCTCCCATTGGTTGAGGTGAGGCTGAATCCAGTGTATTAAGGTTTTGCTTGAATCCCCTCCTCTTTCCATGGATTGGCCCAATTTGCTGGCTATTTGATAACTTTCCAAGCCGCCGTTTGCTTCGATTTGAGCATCTATTTTACTCACCTCAATCTGATCCCCAGCCTGTTCGGCCCGCGCCCGAGCTTTGAGGAGTTGGTGATGGGACCGGATCAAGGTGCGCGTAGCTTTGGCTGATAGAGCGGCATTCTTGGACTTGATAAGAGGCGGCCGGGAACTAGACAACAGGGCCGGTCGTTGAGATCGACGCTTTGCTGGCATTTTGAGACCAGGATGAAGGAAATCGACATTCAAAAGGCTCCAGATAACGTCATGTAGGTTGCATGGCTTAGAGAGGTAGAGCTATCGTCCGTGTAATCCGAACGCGACCTGATTCCTTGGGGGGGCTAAGTCTATTCTGCTTGTTGAAATGTTTCTCCTCTCTATATTAAGAAAATACTGCCGGGTCTCGCCGAGCGGAATCGATCATGAATGTGGGACTAGATGACTAAGCTATTGACTCAGCGTACAATCACCTGACCCACACAGTGCGGTAGGGTTTTCGCTTAGCGAAGCCAACCCAAATTGTTCGACTCTTGACACTGCGACAATCATCACGACAGCGGACGACAGCCATGGCCCCTAACACCAAGCAAGGTATGTCTATTCAGGTACTCAGACACCTTTGATCTTCTTGATTGCGAAATTGCGAACCTGCGAAACCGAACAAGCCTCGGATCATGGAGGAACCGCCCATTACATTGAAATCGAAATTTCCACAATGGATTAAATGCAGCACCAAATACGACCGATATCTTTGAGGAGCACACGCATTCCACGTCAATCACATATCTTGTCTCTCCTGCCATTATATTGGTTCGCCGCAGTGGTCTTCTACTTCGGATAGAGGATCTAGTCGCACGACCTCGCAATTTTCGCAATCTCGATATCAAACGCTCTGATGTGATTAGGATTATGATAGACGCTAACCAGTGTATGATTGACAGGCACCCGCCCCGCCGCCCGGGCTAATGCTGCCGCCAAGGCAGTTGTGAAGGGATCTTCCGTACGTTTCCCAGACTTTGTCCTTCACTAGTTGCGGGTATTGGACCTAAGAAGCCGAATGTTAACATTACCATGAATAGCTCCACAAGTCCCGCAAGGTTCGCACTTCGACCACCTTCCACCGCCCCAAGACTCTCCAGCTCTCGCGGTCCCCCAAGTACCCCCGTACCTCCATCCCCCATCAGCCCGCTCTCGATGCCCACAAGGTTGTCCTGTACCCTCTGAACACTGAGAGCGCCATGAAGAAGATTGAGGAGAACAACACCCTGGTCTTCATCGTTGATGTCAAGGCCAACAAGCGCCAGATCAAGGGCGCCCTCAAGAAGCTGTACGACGTCGATACCGTGAAGGTCAACACCCTGGTCCGGTATGTGCTTAATCTGATTGCTTCCTCGAAAGATAACGCCCCACTAATACTCATCCTCTGTAGCCCTGACGGCTCCAAGAAGGCCTTCGCCCGTCTGACCCCCGATGTCGATGCTCTGGACATCGCTGCCACCAAGCTCGCTATCGTCTAAAAAGGGCAGGGAATGGATTTCTTTGGGATTGGGCGAACTTTGTTTTCCACCGCGGTGATTCTGATACCAGCCAGGTTCCTTGGCTGTATGTGCAGCAACGAGGGCTGAATGATTAAAAAAAGAAACTTTTCTGATATGATTACCCTGCATCCACTGGCCATTGTAAGATGTGCAACAACTCCTTTTCATCTAGTAGCAGAGTAGCTCGAGGGATGTCATCCATGATCAGCCTCAATTAGATTGGTCGTTAGCGCATGTTGTAAACCAAGCATTGCGCAGCTGACTGACGATTCTCCTGGCCTTGCGTGAATCTATTTCTCCCGCGCAATTACCGCGAACACTGATAGTGGGATGAGAAATATGATGTACAGTAGTTGATCTCATTTTATAACTCTAGTATACAAGCGACATATCGCGTATCTCCTTCCCCTCCAACCGCCGCATCATAACTGCTCACAGCGAGTCCGTGTGAACTAGGCCAAATACAATAGGAAATGCAACAAATCTCAGATGAAAATCATATTACATGATTGGAAAGGCCAGAACAGCGTGATAGCATTGCCATAGTTCCCCGTCAAAATAGCCGATAGTCGATAGGCCCAACGTGATCCTGCAGACGGGCGGACTGAAAGGAGTCTGGGAAAAATGCATTTGGAGGATTCATCGTTCATTGGCTGCGCATACTACCCAGTTGCTTCAGAACAGACATCTGAGAATCCACCCAGCGCTCGACGCAGTTCTGGGCGCAGGTTTCCTCGCTCCGGTCGAGGGCACCTGAGGTGATCTTGCCAGTAACACACTTCTTGAAGCAGATTTCATTGAGGTTGTGAACAGCTAAATCGAAGGCATTAATTAGTACAAGTCGGCACATTTACCAAACTTAGGTAGATATCTGGATAGGCCCCTTACCCTGCTGAATGTTGGCCTTCTGGCTTTCAGCTACAAGAACCTGCTGGAGCTCCTTCTTGTCGGCATCGTTGAGCTTGGAGACATCGGCTTGAGTTGAAGCATCCATGGCGTGGAATTTTATCGAAGAATGAGATGCTAGGATAGAAATTGAGAGATCTGATGGACAGTTAAGTTGTGATCACCGCCAGTGAGGTCAACGCAAAATCGAAGGCGGTGAGGGCGGGCACAAAAACAACGATGATCAGCCACGCCCTCGTTTTCATGCCGCTACTTTTCTTAGTCCTACCACTTGTTTCGGGTTTTGATTCACACACACTATCCAAAGAGCTCGTCCTTTGCTGAGGCTCTGTGTGTTATATCCCTCTCAGCTCGCTCGATTCATCTGCCATCATGCCGCCTATTCGGTCCGCCCGCAATCGCAAACCGCCTCCAGCGGGCTTCGATGACCTGGAAGATACCCTGTTAGAGTTCAGCAATAAGATGAAAGATGCCGAGAATGATTCTGGCGAGGGAAAGAAGAAGTACGAGGTTTTATGGCCTATCTTTCAAATCAGTCACCAACGTACGTGTCAAAGCCAGGCTGCATTTAGTCCTTGCCCCTCAGGTCCTCGTCTCTCGCGGAGAGGCCTTAGATGTTCTCTGTTCATGTCGGTATGAACTCCAAGCTAAATTTTGTTCATTGCCAGGTTCACGATACATCTACGACCTCTACTACGAGAAGCAAGCTATCTCTAAGCAACTATATGACTGGCTGCTGAAGAACAACTATGCCGACGCAAACTTGATCGCCAAGTGGAAGAAGCAAGGTTATGAAAAGGTTCGTTTTCGATGTCCTGCGCCATTTCCTTCCGCTTTCTCACCAGATTTTCAAACATAGCTATGTTGTCTTCGCTGTGTGCAGACCAAAGAGACAAATTTTAATTCCACCTGCATTTGTCGTGTGCCTAAAGCCCAACTGAAGGAGGAACAGACGATCCAATGTGTCAATTGTGGTTGCCGAGGCTGCAGTAGTAGCGATTAGGGAGAGCGGGGAAATGTCTTACATATTTTAAAACAGCTTTGGGTGGATTTGATTTACGAGGCGTTTTTGGGGTCTTGCATGGGTTAGCCTCCGTATTCTACGGTTTCGATTCAGATACCCTTATTATCGTCCAGATATTTGAAATAGGTCAATCGTGGGATAAATAATCAAAGATTTCAGATCGCTATCTAGTCCAAAGCGCCTCCAGCCGGTTTCCCTAGGTTCCCACAAAAGACTGAACGGAAATTCCTAACCCCTAGAAGTCCAAATCATGAATCCATCGCTTGCTCATATACATCTTAGCATCGTCATTAAGGTCGTAACCAGGCCATCCCGGGCTCATTGAAAAAAAAAAAAATCAGTCAGAACCAGCGCCGTAACACTGCCTCGAGGTAAAACTCCCAGAAGAAAGCACCGCCGTGAAACCTGATAACATCCGAGAGGCTCAACTCCTCAAAACCAGAACGCGGAAAACAGTTAACAACAGTATGAAGGGACAAGCGTCCCTGCAGAAGCGTATGCGGGCAACAAAAAAAAAAAGAAAGAAAGAAAGCAGAATAAACAATTCAGAAGGTGACTTCGTAACAAGAGCAGAATGTATTGACGCGGGTCAATGCAATTCATAGCCATCAAATGTTGAAGCAATCCGCAAAATGGCGATCGTTTTTGTGGTTGTTCAAAACAAGGTAGTTGTGCTACGGCCGCTCAGCTGAGGGCGCGATTGCAGTGGTTTGGTTTTCATCGAATCATCTTTAGTTCCTCCAATTTTTTGGAAGCCTTGCAAAAGGTCGATGCCATCAATCTCGCTGGGGCCATCGATATTCTCATCAAAGAGATGGAATGCGAAGAAGTCGTCCTGGCTGGTATCGCCAAGACGCCCAACATCAGGCAACTTCGAAGGAGATTCGGGGAAAAACGAGGACTTGGATCGAGGCAAACTTGGTGCTCCAAGGCGACTGTTCACAGTTCCAGAAGTGATATCAGCCAAGGCAGTGCTACCATTGGGAGTCCGCTGACGTTTCACAGATCGTTTCTCTGGCGATCCGAGTTGAGAAGGCAAAGTTTGCTCCGGTCCGGCATCAGCAAAGATATCGAAGGAAGTGTGGAGATGATCATGCGGCGTGTAGCTTTCATCATGAAGATTGAAAGCAGGGCTCCAGGGCAGATCTTCTTCCATGAGGCCGAAGTGCTTGATTGGAGAGTTGACCATTTGCTGGATCTTCCGTCGGTGGTTGCGTAGATTGGTGTTCGGTGAGACAGAGGGAGGAGGCTTGGCTGGTTTTTTGAACTTGATTACCGGTGTCAACGGCGGGGGCAGCATACTAACGTACTGCCCCGCAGAGGTGAGGAACCGATCAGAGTACTTGCGTCCTTTCGCGCGGGTGGCTGTGCAGGACTAATGTCATGAGAGGAGCTTCGGATGCGTGCAATCTCTTCTTCAGCACGACCTCGCTTGATGCGAGGAGGCTCAATATCAATGTCTGAGGTCAAAATGTGGCCAGTTTTGTTCGGTCGAAGAGCTGATGATTCCAGAGACGAGAAGTAGCCGCTGTCATTGACAGTAATGGACTTCCGCTTGCGTGGCGCTGGCGCTGGGGTTGGACCTGCATGAGTAGGTGTTGGGGGTGTACCAGGGCGAGTGAATCGAGGGGGTGCAATTGGAGGCGAAGAACGGATAGCCTGGGGGGGGTGAAGATCGAAGAGTCCGTGTGCCTCGCGGAACCGCAAGAATGGCTTCGTCGTTCGAGTCCTCTTGCAGAGCGGGATCTGACGCAGGAAGAGTCGCATCCGACGAGAGATCGGTATTGTTCGGCAGCGCCTGCGGCACGGCTTGGGATGTTGGCGGCGGTACTATCCAGGTCGTTGTATTTCCGCTGGGTGGTTGCGGAATTAGATCGCGTGGCGGCGCAGCAGGGAGGGGGACACTGGACATCGTGGCGCGTCGCACTTGCTTGTCCTTCAGGAACTGAGACTCCATCCCAGGCTCGATCGCCCAGTAGTTGCCCTTGCCAGGATCATCTTTCGGCCGTTCTTGCTTAATGAAGGCTTTGTTAAGGCTGAGATTGTGACGGATGCTGTTTTGCCAGCCCGCATCACTATTCTTGTAGTACGTAAACGTATCGGAAATCCATTTGTAGATCTGGGCAAGGGTCAAACGACGATTTGGGGCGCGTAGAATGGACATGCCGATCAAGGTTGCATAGCTGTATGGAGGCTTGGAGCCATCGTCTTCAATTGTTGGCATCTCATGTGGCTCGGGAAGATGAGTTGGAGCGTCTTCGCGTTTCTGTTTCTTTACAGGACGCTCTCTGAGGGGAGCTGCTTCCAAAAGTGTGCGCTTCATGGGGAGCTTCGATTCATAGGATGGCTCTGGGAAGTCGGCAAAGCTACCATGGGAAGCGTCCTCGGGGCGTTGGTTCTCCTTGGAATCGGAGGTGGCACTCGAAAAGGTGGTGAAGAGAGCTGACTGCGGCATCGATGGTTGCGAGTAAATCGGGAATGGCGGTTTCTTCGACGGGGAGTCCGTGGTAAACATCGGGGGAATCGGGGCGGATATAGGGACAAACCCCAGTTTTCGCTCCGGATAAGAGCCTTGACTAGGCAAGCCTTTGTTTGGCGATGGCCTGTGCAGGCCACGAGATGATGAAGGTCGAAAATTTTCAATGTGTCGCAAGTCTTGGATGGGACCCAAATCTTCAGTGGGCTGACGGCCTGGTAGCGGTGAGGGTTGAAGACTAGGCTGCGATTCGATAGAATTTGCTGATGGGGCTAGTGTCGGGAAATTGTGCGTGCCCAGCACCGGACGCGTCGATCCCATGATTTGAAGAGCCAAAGGCGAAGCAGCACGTCACTAATGGCCAGTTTGGACCATCCGACGCGTCTGAGACAGGCTTCTCGACGCGGTTGACCGATGGAGAAGAGGGGGTGGCACCAGAGCCAACTGGGTCACGTCGAGTCACGGTTGGTGAAGCGGAATCAAGTTTGACCAATGACAAGTCAAAGAAGAGCAAAGTCAGCCAGCCTCAGGCCGCCGTGCAGCCAGACTAGTCGGGTCGGAATCGCGAGCGTTGGGCCACAAAGGCGCTAAGACAGCTCACACCCAGAACGGATCCGAGGACAAGATCAACGGGCTAGAGGACGCGATTGCAAGGTCCCCACGAGCGACTTCTCCGCAGTTGCACAAGACCGAAGAGACAAGGACCTCGTCGAAAAAGAGTTGCAGCTGACAACTGGAGGTCACAGCAGTGAAGGGATGGCCGGTTGACCCGATCTGTGACGGGCGAGGTTGGAAGGGGAGGAATGAACAAGGTCCAGGATGACGAGGGGAACAAGAATCTCCAGGATCTGGATGTTGAGCCCTTTTTGTTTTTTCGGGTCAGTCCTGTACCCGGTGGGATCGTTGCAGACTCCAAGTCCCGTCTCTTAGACTATCGAGGTGGGGGACGAAGAGGATGATAGATGGCCAGGCAGAGGTGAGGGCGATGGTATGGATGATCTTCAATACATGTCAGGTATGGTATTGGCGCGCACGCGTCGCGCGTTTTAGGAGCGTCTTGTCCAACCGATCCCGTGACTATTCAGATTATTTGTATTTAAATCCGTATCAGAATGACAATACTGCTGTACTGCTGCCGTAAGGACAGGCGGGACCATGAAGGGATTTATTCTCCTTGCTGGCATTTTGACTACGCCGATCGACGTAATATGTGGATTCTGGACTCCACCATGATCGTCTTCCCTGGATCTTAGCCCGACCGCAAAAGCCCTCAACAGCACGCCACCTTGATCTCCGTAGTTTCTTAGGATCTCGACGGATTCAGCTGCCCAATGGACGACATCCATTGCATTTGAGGAATATTACGATCAATACTAGCTCGCAATTGGTGTACGTCAAGGAATGCGGATGTAACTCTGAGACACTGGTCGTGTCGAAATATCCTTTGCTCTCCTCTCCACTCTTCGCCAGCCATTGGTCTGAGATGTTTCGTTCCTGGTTCCTGCGAGTAATGGTTCAGAGAAGCTCGAGGGGCTTGCAGCTAGAAGATCTGGGCCCTGCATGTGCAATAAGCAACAGCAGTACTTTCTCTAAATACTGACAACGTATGAACTCGCCCAGGCATTCTGCTTTTTGCAGCTCGAAAAAATTCATGTACTGATGGACCTCAGCATGCGAAGCCTTGAGAGACCAAGATCTATATATGTAGTAAAAAACAACAAAGACGCCAATCCATGCACCGGAAACCCCCCCGGGGCGCCAAGGGGGGGGAAGGAAGAAAGAAAATAGAAAATAGAAAATAGAAGATGAAAAATAAGGAGCAAGATGTCCAAAGACTCTCTTCCCCTCCACCGCCTTGTCTTCGTGGGATAACACCTGGCATTGTAGAGGAATGCACGTCAACTTTTGTCTATCAAAAAACCGTGGAAACAAGATACAATCAAGGAAATCATGATATCAACGAAACGAAAACGTGCCCATGGGGGATATCTCAAATGATAATGCACTTTGCAACGCGTCTAGTCCAGGAAGGTGAACATGCTGGTGTGTATGATATTCAGGGCACGATCGGCGTCACGCTCCTCGATAACGCAGGAGATGTTGATTTCACTGGCACCTGCAGGGGGAAAAGGGCGAAGACCGCGTTAGTTCCAGTGCCTTGACTTCTCTACCACATTGGGAAGCCGGACGGAAGCGAGGGGCCCCAAGATCGACAATCATTGACTCACCTTGCGAAATCATCTCAATATTCACATTATTGTCACCAAGAGTAGTGAACATGCGCCCTGCAACTCCAATCATATTTTTCATCTGCTTGCCAACCAAGCTAAGGATGGCCATTTCCGGGATTATATCCACGGTACCATACTTAGCCAGGTCATTCAAAGCCCCGTTTAGATCGACGTCAATAACCTGATAATCATCTCGTCCGTTTCCGTTGAGCAGTGGCATTTCGGAGTGAAGAGCCATCGACACATGGACCTCGCTGGTCGAAATCAGATCGATAGAGAGACGCCACTTGTCCAGTACAGAGAAGATACCGGCAAAGAAACCATGTGAAAGCGATCGCTTGTTGGAATGCACATTGATGACGAGAATCTTATGCTTGATGGTCACCGCAGTCGGTCGCTTGGGTTTCTGCATCAGACTTGGGCTGCGCATACGGAACATACGAGGGTCATGTCCAGGTGTGGTCCGTTCGAGCTCAGCCGCGGAGTCGGGGAAGATGACGGTGCCTCGATTCTTGGGATTCATCACATTCTTGATGCGAATAGGGATTTTGGCGCGGATGACCTGCTCCATGGTGAAAGGGTGAATCACCTCCGAGCCATAGAAGGTCAACTCGGCGGCTTCGGCTGGGGTTATGGCGGGCAATAGACGCGCAGTGGGCACTTTTCGAGGATCTGCGGTGAAGATGCCGTCCACTTCCTTCCAAACCTGAAGCTCTCTGGCGTGGGTACCAACGGCGACTAAGGCAGCGCATAAGTCTGTGTAGCCCCGACCCACCTGGTCCAGTAAGCCTCCAGGGATGATGCCGAAATAACCAGTTATTACTGGCACTCGGTGTCCGCACTCGTCTACTTTCTTCCCGAGTGCAGCAGCCAGATTGTTATAGAACTCTTGGTCGAGACCGTGGCTGCCAATGGAAAAATCAATCACATCTGCAAGGTCCACATATTGCGAGTCTACCCCACGGTCCTGGAGCAGAGCGGCCATGAGTCGACAGCTCAGTTTCTCACCAGTGCTGATAACTTTGTCCACACACCGGGCACTGATTTCTCCCAATGTCTGCGCAGCCTCGAGGACTTTGAGAACCCGCTCACACTCCTCGGTGATTTCTGCCACTACTTGATCCCTCAGCTCTTGTGATTTCAATTGTTCTTCGGCGACTTGAGCATGCTCCAAGCGGACGGCTTCGACGAGTGATACATATTGCCGGGAACGGGGATTTTCAGCATCTCGTGCGGCTCGAAGTAGCCTGGATGGTGAGTAGCCGTTAGTATTTTGCCCCATCTCACCCCGCCTTCAACCACACCGTCACTTGGTTCCTTCATGACTCACCGGTTGGTAGTACCCTCAGCTTTAGTCGAACTACTTCTAGCAGAACACACCACGGCGACTCTGTTTTCAGCCAGGCTTGGTCTAGAATTATTTGATTAGCATGCAAGTCCGTTGTGTTCATGTACGTGTAGGAGCATACTGGACGACTTGTTCAATGATCTTCAGAGCAAACTTGCCCACGCTAGTACCACCGAACTTTTGCACGACCCAATTGCTATGCGAGGCCTCGACGGCCGGACTTTCTGGGAGGGATGCCATGGCCTGATCGAGCCCGAGCAGATAGAAGGGTGATTAAGGTATTAAACAGAGCAGGAGATTAATCTGGAACGTAAGATTGGGTATTGGAGGGGAAAGCGAAAGCGGAGGGAGTGGGCCGTATGCGGGAATATCTTCTTTGCTTTTCTTTCTTTTCGCCGGCCAAAATTCTGCACTGTGACTCAAGGTACCGGGACAGCATCGACCAATCAAGTCAGCCACATTCTTTCCGCCTTTTCTGTCCAGGAACGGTATCGGAGCCTCTTGGCCAATCACTGGCCCCGCCCATGACGTGAGGTATTCCTTGACTGGGCGGAATTATCACTCGATCTGTAGCCAAAGCACTACGGATACGGGGGCAATCGTGCCACTATCAGGACGCAGATTTCCCGGGAGAGTGACCGAGAAAAGACCCAGTTCGACACAGATAGTTGCGAATCTCTGCCTAGTCCAGAGCAATTAAGAAGTCTCCAGGGCTCCAGGGCTCCAGGGCTTGAATTTACATGCTGACTCATCGGCTCGAAATCTTGGACTGGGTTATTTGGGTATAAGGGCCTCGCGGAGAACCCAAGAGCAGCCCAGGCGTCCCCAAATCCCAGGGGCAATTCGTAGCTACAGAACAGTGGAGCCTGGAGCTGCGGCTGCGGCTGCCCGGGGCGGGGGGGGGACGCCAACCCTTTTCAAACCCTTTTCTCCAATTCGTGGACTTGTCAATAAATCTCTCTGATCTACTTCTCTACAAGTCGACTGAATCAAGAGTGAGAGAAAGTCCGAGAGTCTTCGCCTTGGAGTGAATTCACCACCGCTGACGTCTGTAGAGTGAGGTTCGTCATTGGCAGGCCGCCATGGGTAGCCACCATCCATCGTGTCCTTTCTGTCCCTTTTTCGACGAAGATGCGGGTTTTGTAGCTCAGCATATTGATTATTGCCATCCAGAGGAAGGAGTCCCAGCGGAGTCCTCCCGAGAGCCCGAGGACGATTCCATACAATATGTGGATTGCCCGCATGGGTGTGGTGAGACAGTGGGTTTATCAGAACTATCTACACACCTAGACCTCCATACTGCCGAGAGTATTCCAGCCGATGGGAATGGCTGGTCCCAGGATTCAAATCCGACTTTCGGTGATCATGAGCTGTCTTCGGATTCGAATGAGCCTATGGGCCACGCCAGTGGGCGTAAAGGTGGTAAAATGGCTGCAGACCGTGGTCTCCTACAAAGTAATCCCTCAAAACGGTCACGGACACGTAGCCCCGCAGCAACGATCGAGTCAGGGCCTGCGAAGCGCTTAGGGGTATGGTTGACTTCTCTTTGTTCGAATGCCTCCCGGGCTTGTCTAATGCATGTTACTAACGCATCTTCCAGCGATCCGAACTTGGGCCTCATGCCCACGAAAAGAAAATGCCCTCGTGGCTCAAGAAGATGCTGGAAAAGGGCGGCCAAACTACCAAGCAGACTCAGATCACCGCGGACGGGAGACTTACTCGGCACACTAAAGTTGAGAATGAGACCGACAATCTGGTCCCTGTGCTGGGTAGACTATGTGAACAGGACAAATCTGTCCAACGTGCGTTTTTGTGCAGCCCCAAGGTTCAACATGTCTGCAAAATGCCACGTGAAGGAGGCTTCTGTGGATACCGTAATATCCAAATGATGATCTCGTACATCAAAAAATCCCAGAGCCCCGGCCATGAACACTTTCCACGTGGCATACCAACAATTCTAGAGCTGCAAGAACGGATTGAAGAAGCTTGGGACAGAGGCTTCAACAGTAGAGGCAGAGTAGAAACTGGAGGCATCCGGGGCACGCGAAAATTTATTGGAACGCCTGAGGTTGGTTTTCCACACTGCTCGAGGTGAATTTGCTCATTTTAACTGATATAGGCGCAAGCCCTTTTCATGAGTCTCGATATCCGGTAAGCCTCGATTCCCAGGACATCTGTCTCAAGGGCACAAGCTAACACGAGCCTATCCTTAGATGTGAAGCCAGTAGTTTCGGCCAGAAGGAGGGCATCCGAGCTTATGAATCTCTCTACGATCATATTGCTGCATACTTTCGGGCCGGGTGCTCCATCGAAGACGAGGACAGTAAAGTCTCGAAGACCGATCTTCCACCCGTCTACTTTCAGCATCAAGGTGGACTCAGAACCCCTCTATGGAACTATGTACGCGGCTCTTCTAACAAGTTTTGACAGGGCACTCTATGACAATTGTAGGTTTCGAGATCAGAAGCGACGGCAGTGCTAACCTGCTTGTCTTCGACCCTATGTTCAAGACGTCGCCCGCTATGCATCGTCTCATTGGGACATCTGCTCGCTCTGAGAACCCGGCTCGACTGCTCAAAGCCTACCGCCGTGGGGCGTCCTACCTTCAAAAACACAGAGTCTTTGAGATCATCAAGTGGGTCTTACCCTGGTAGAAACATAACATGGATCGATCGATTATGGCTTACAAATAACGCAGGTTGCTTCCAGCCACTGCGATCTCTCCAGGGCAGGGACCTACCCGTGACTCAGGAGGTCCTGTGGCATAAAGGATATCAATAGCAGGACGCTTCTCATCTCCACAGCTTGTCAAGCCCAGCCTGTTCTTTGGATTCGTCGTCTTATGCCATCAATCCATCCATCCCTCAAGACCCTCTGCTACTGGTATCGAAATGACTCTCACCTCTTGTGTCTGCATAGTGCCATATGAGCTCATCTAGTGCAAATCTCTTTATCGGCTACTCACCCTACTAGTAGAGGCTTTCCTCCCCCAAAGAAAACTCCTCACAGCCCTCTGCAGCGCTTGTTGAGTTCCCGTATCAATCGAAGAGACTGACGTCTCTTCGTCTTTATCCTTTTCTTTCTTAAATTAATGGGGGAGGGAATGATAGAGTTTGATCTCGCAAAGGGACCAGGCACCGCTGGCTCGCCAGGCGGTCTCACGATTGGGAAAGGGCCTTTTATCTATCTAAATATGCAGTACCACAAGGAGTCATTTGGGTTATACTTCTCTTCTATCATAATCTTAAAAGGATCCAAATTGCATCTAGATTCTCTTCTATACACCCACCTATCTACTTCAGCTTTGACCGTCAGCTAGCCATTGCTGGAATTTGACTAGAGCTTTGTATCGGTGAGAGATCAAGTTCTGATAAAGACGCGTTAGAATTCAGCTCGCAGTTCGGGGTTTGATTGGCGCGAGAAATCTGGTCCTACCTTGGCTTCTTTATCCATTTCAGCATAGGTCTTTCCCTCGTACTCAAAGATCGGATCCCAGCCTGGGGCAAGATACTGTGTTAGTCCGAGCTGGCTGATTGCCGCCTTCCTGCCCTGTGAAGAGCGACTTACCAAAGTTGGTTGGACCCCTCGGGCGAACAATGGTGCCCTATCACAAACCTGTCAGATACTTCTGCAGCCCAATTTGTCTTGACTACTCGTATGCATTATTCCTTCTGACTTACTTGAGTGCGTCCTTGGAAGATGATGGGATCGGCCCCGGGGCCTCGACAGAAAGCAAAGGTACACACAGCTTCGCCTGTACGATCGTCGAACCCATCCAACATCCTATTTAGACCCTCGTGGCCAAGGGCTTCCATGAACGACTTACTGCAGTGTTGTTAGCGGACCAGGTGAGCTTCATAGTCCAGTCGCTTGGGGTTCAAAAAAGATGAAATGAGTCCTCACATGTATGGCCCGGGAAGGCCCTTCAGCGCATGAAATTCCAATGCTGTGTCTTCGGTCAAGGCTGGTCCATTGATCTTGATTCAATGTCAGTCGTTTGCCTCCAAGTTCTGTATCTGCTTTGTTATATGATCCCTGGAACTATCTTACCGCTTCAGCTGCACGGCGGGCCTTCTCTTTTGCAATCTCCTCGATGGTGCCCTGAATTTCGGGGACATCCACAGCTTGGTTGTCAACTTCAATGACATTCCCAAGGATAGCTCTCACCTCGGAAAGCTTATTCTTGTTGCCGGTGATGAAATTGATCTTGGTCAAGGTCATGGTGGGCAGATTGTGGGATGTCGAGATGAAGTATTGGCGGGCGGGTCAACTTTTGGGGGGGGGCTCCCCTCGTTGTTACCGCTCGCGGGGTTGCGCGCAATATATTCGCAACGCATCTGTCGTTTGACCCAGCAAGGCTGGAGACTTCAAATTTGAAAGTGATGCCCCTAGACCACGAAAGAAAGTTTACTTAGGTAAAATCAATTGATGGAGGCAAGAGCGTATGCAATCACTGTATGCGAGCCTGGGGCATTCCCGGCGTAAGGTCATAGTGAGATGTCTTCATAATCCGTAACTGACAGAAAATCCAAAAGAGGAGAAACACTTCTAATATACAGAACAAGAACTATTCTTCCAGCATCCCATTGTCTATTTCAATCTTCTCCTGTTGAGCCATCGCCTGCGCTGATACAATCTCAGCCAGCCGCTTCAATCGCGGCGTTTGGAGCCCTAGAGAGGGTAGTCAGCGAAGGTAAATAAGGAAAATCAGGAATGGGCAGCGTACAAGACGGAGTGTATGTCTCCAGAGCCGTGATGACGCGAGGCTCAGCGATCTCATAGGGACCGCTGTCTTCCATATCGACCGGAGCGAGTAGCAGTACATCACTCTTTTCAGTGACCCTAGAAGCAACAGCCTTCATGATTTCGCCGTTGATGGGCTGCTCGTAATCCGCAACCAGGTATTGATTCAGGAGCTTTTGGATTTGGTTCGGGGACAACCTGTGAAAATAATTAGCAACTCGAATCATTGCCACAAGACATTCACCTCCCAAGGAAGGGGGCGGAGGCGGGGTATGCTTACATCCAGCAGATATCCTGAATGATCTCGATATCATTCAGGGTCGCTTTCTTCAACTGGAGAAGCTTGGTTGCTTGCTATTAAAAGACAGTTAGCCTCACTGTATGATCAGCCGACAAGCCTGCGTAGCCTACCATCAGATGCTCCAGTTGCAACGTCCCCTCCGGCATATCGTGGCTCTTGCACCATTCCTCGATTCTTGTAATGTTGTAGTTTATCTGTAGGCCACGCTTCCATGAGAGGAAGTTTCGGCGCATGAGTAGGTCATTGAATGCAGTCACGCCAACCAAGCGCAGGAGCTCAGTGACAGTCTGTAAAATGATGGAGTCTTCAAGGTAGAAGGCCTTCATGGCTCTGTAGGCGCCGTTGAGAAGACTGAGGAGGTTGTCCATGCTATATGCAGGGTTGTTATTGGATGGCAGTAATTTGCCAAGAAAGCGGTTGGTTTCGCTGGTAACAAAACCCGGGAGTGATTGAGATTCGATGATGGCGGGGACGATCATCTTGTACAATCGCTTTTTCAGTACCTTCATCCAAGTGTGGTAGATATTGAACTCCAGGCTCTCCAGGTCGTGCTTGACGATCTCCAGCAAACGATCGTACTCATAGTTGTCGCTCTTCTGCGCCTCGTACCAATCTTCGGCAAGGAACACAAAAGAGAGCATTTCGTGAACGTTTGAAAGCCAGAACGCACCGGGGTTAATGGCATCATCCCCATCATGCTGCATCACCTCCTGTTGAATAGATTGCATGACATTGGCCAGGAATCGCTCAGACTCCTTGACGAATCCATTGTTCCACATCTCAGAGGTTACCAGGTTTATCAAGTACGCAGGGAACAAGACTTCCTTATCGGTTGGCGGAGGTGTGGAGCTGGGCAGAGGGATCTTGAGATTGCGAATGAGACCCATGGCGACTTCGTCATTCAACTCATCTTCCTCGGAAAGCAGCTGCTCGAGCTCAGCTTCCACAGAATCCAAGCCGGGAGAAATCGCGGCATTGGCACGAGCAGCACCTGGCCCTGCGACGGCCATAGAAACAGGCCGAGGGTTGTACGCCCCACTGAAGCGGTCGCTATCGATCTTTTCTGCACCAGCACTGCGTCTCTTGGGCTTGGGTTTCTTCGAAGAAACAAGATTGATTAGGCCAGTAGCAGGGGTTGGAGCCGCGGCGCCATTAGTCGCATCGCCATTGACGCCGTTAGTAGGCATCGATCGTTTTGCGACATCCAGCTGCTCTTCGAGCTCTGAAACGCGTTGGCGGAGGGCAAACTTTTCCTTATCTTGATCACCATTGAGTAGCTTGAGACGCTCCAGTTCTTCGTTAGTAGCGCGCAGTGCTTCACGAGAGGCTTTCTCTTCTTCTTGGAGACGTTTGATAGTAGCCTGAGCCTCTGTGTGACTCTGTTGAAGCTTACTCATCTCGTCCTCAACAACTTCCAATCGTGCCGCAGTGATACCGGCCTGGTTGGCCTCGGCCTGGAGCTCTTTCGCGCGGGCCTCTAGGGCGTTGTGACGGCTACGCCAGGATTTGAGTTGAGTCTCATAATTCTCCAGCTGAGACACAAGCGACTTGTTTTCCCGTTTGAGTGTTGCCAAGTTCTGAGTCAATTCGACCACCTTGTTCTCTAGTTTGTATGAAATCTGCTTGAGATCCCGAGCCTCCTCACGAAGGCCTCGGTAAGCTTTTCTGGCCTGTTTGCCTCTCCACAGTGCTTGAACAATCACAACCTTGCGGCGATACTGACGCCAGCCGCGCAATTGGCGCCAGGAACGGAAAGCACGCTGGATGATCTTTGCAGCATTGCCGTTGATGGAATCCATGATGTTTCTTCGGCAGAGGAATCCCTTGGCAACAGACTGGAACAAGATATAGTTGTCTCGAATCTGGTTGTAACTTTTCCGCTGCTTTGAGCCACGCCAGACTCGTTGGATGGTGGTAGCCGCCTTTGTACGGCGAATATCTTGGGCTTTCTGGCGGGCCAAGTATCCTCTAATGATCGCCTGTGTTGTAAGGATAGACTCACGCGCTTCAAGATAGCGGCGGCGATAGTACTTGCATCGCAGGTTCTTCTGGATCATGATTGCACACTCATTCAGACGTGACGTGCGAAGATTCTCCAAGAAGGCAAGCATACCAGCGCGGAAGAAGATTTTAGTCAATCCCAGCTGATACTTGTCTTGCTTCTGGTGGTTGACATCGCCCAATGCTTTGCGTAGGATAGCGTGACACATGTCTCGAATCTCCGATGTCCACTGAGAGGAATGACACAACATATAGTAGCGAATAGCAAATTCTTCGTAGGTCCAACGGGTCGGGTATCCTGCAGTACTGATTCTAACCGTCTCTAGCACACCACAGGCCCTCAGCTGACTGAGAACCATAGGACCTTCAAACTTCCAGGCCACCTTTGCTTCATTGGGCTTGATGCAACGAATGTAGTGCACATCAGTCGAATTGATGGTGCTCATCAGCTCAATCAAGGAAGCTTTGAAAATCCCTCCGAGGGTCGGTTTGCGGTTGACAGCAACGCCGATTCGTCTTCCAGGAGCGGCCACGGGCTTTGATGAAGTGGAAGCGGTATCCTTCTCACGAACGGCTGCTGCAGTATCCAGAATATCTTTAATAAAGTCACTTGATGAGTTCCGCAGAACTTCCATGTGTTCATCTGGAACAGTATCACGGTTTTTCTCGATGAATCCATCTGATTCGTAGGTCACATCGACAGCATAGTGGCAAACAGCGAATGAAGACTTTCCGAACCGAGGCTTCTTGTAGAACTTTTGCTTGTCGGCAGCAAAGTGGTGATGAAGCTTAGTTACGAACTGTTCATCGGAACCCATGGGAAGACGAGACTCCTCATCGAGCAGGGACAGAATGCCAAGTTTAGCTTCAATCAAGTCGATACAAGGCTGGTTATCAGAGAAGTCGATGAATGTCCAGTCAATTTGCTCGCGGACATATTCCTCCTGCTCAAGCTTGAAAACGTGCTGGTTGAACTCTTGTTGTAATTTTTCGTTCGCGTAATTGATACAGAACTGTTCGAAAGAGTTCTTGGTGAAATGTTCGAAACCATAGATATCCAGCACACCGATGAAGGTCCGAGCCTTTTGAACTACCTCCTCTGTGGCCAAACCTCGGTTGATCTTCTCCACAAGCCAATCAAACAAGCTTGAGTAAATGAATTTGGCAACGGAGTCTCGTACAACAATCGCTTGTTGCTGTGTGAGATTTGATGTGATCTTTTCTCCACGAGTGATCAGCTGCTTTTTGACAATCCATTTCGCAAATTCATGGACATCAATTCCAAGCATTTCACAGGCCCGGACTAGCGAGGGTTCCGTAGGGGAGAGCGTGGAATCCGTGCGAGTAGCAGTTATCTTCACATTACCCAAATGGAGCAAAGCTGCAAGAACACGGAAGATTTCAGTTTGGCTTTCCGCCGTTACACCGATGGTAGCCAATGATTTCCGAGTGGCATCAAATTCAGCCTTGTCATCGACACCATCGATAACCGGCGCAGAGCCCTGATTCAGATATTCAAACTCCTCCACGGGCAGAATCCCTAACTCCTGCCTCTCCTCGTCGGTAACTCCAGCCACGAGCTGATAGAAGATATGATAGTTGCGTTCTTTGAGAGGCTGAAACACAAGTCTGGATCTCTCCAGCAAGTAGGTCCTGATTTTGGCACCAATGATGTTCGTCTTATCGTCAAAAATGATTTCGATGTATTTACCGAATCGGGAAGAGTTATCGTTTCGGGTCGTTTTGGCGTTACCAAAAGCTTCCATAACCGGGTTTGTCGCAAGAATTTGCTCCTCTGTCTCGCTAATCGCCTCCGCTCGGGCAGTGGTGTATTTCCCTGGTTGATCCGAAGACTCTCGAGTCGCAAAGTAGCGCATAATGTATTTCGCGCTCACTGTTTTGCCCGCACCGGACTCGCCAGAGACAACGATTGTTTGATTCTTTCCATCGCGGAGCATGTCACTGGAGACAAAGATAACTTGAGTCAGCAAGTCTTCCTGGTGACTGATGGAAGTATAATTCAAAGGGATAGTTTCTTACGCAAAGGCTTCCTCGGCGATGGCGAACAGATGGGGAGCCTGCGAAGCTCGTTGTTTTCCAGCGTACACCTGAACCATCTGAGGTACATACAATGAATCGACGCGAGCGAATGGATTTGTTGCAATGAGGACGATTCCGCTGTAAGTATATATCTCTTTCTGGGCGTACCGAAGCTTTATAGCTTGCAAAACTTTGGCACTGTCAGCAGGCGAACTTGACTCTTCATTGAGCGGGAAAATAGAAACGCACCAGCAGGCTCGTTCAGGTGAGACAGATTTGTCAAGTCTTCACTTGCTTCCAGCATGGCTGGATTCATCAATGGAGGTAGGTTGGGGTTGTTATCCACTTGTAATTCGGCCTGCGTAGTGTCGACGGTTCTGGTCTGTTGTACGCCCAGTCGTCAGTGTCCGAAATGACCAAACCATCTTGATCGGGAACAGCGAGGTCGTTCCATAAGCATACCTCGCCATTTTCCAGCTCGAAAATCAGCTGAACCTTGTCTCCGTCCACCAACTTTTCCTTCACCTCGGACGCAACCCATCCCTCTTGAGGGTCGGACTGCCAGGCCCTTGTCCCAACCTCGTAGATGTGTGCCATGGGTGCGGAGTGTGATCGTGGAGCCAGAGGCAGCTAGAATGAAAAAAGAATAAGAGAGAGGTAGTAAGAAGAAGCAGAATGCGAAAGGCCTCAGAGCCCTGGGAGGGGGGAGGGTTTGTTTTGGGGCGGTAGCTGAGAAAGTTCAAGGACAAATCAATCACAAATCAGCCAAGGACAAGGGGTCTGACAATGACCCCTCATCGACTCATGATCCGAAGGAAAAGAACTGGAAAGGATACGTTGAAAGTGGTTAAGAATGAAGAGGCTGGTAACAACTGGCTTTAGCGAGAGCCCCTGAAGGGAGCTTTCGGGGACTAACTTGGGGTTGCGCCACAACACCCCCACAAGCCCTGTCACCGCCATCCTTCTTTGAACGGCTTCCTTCCACGCATGGTTGTTTCTTCGGACGTCTACATGTCCACGAAGTATGGAATTTTATTTTGGGGCCAATTCGAGATTTTACGAAATACCTCGTTGATCACAAGAAGAAGCTCTCTTGAAAAAGAACCTCAAATATTGGACTCAAAATTGGAGACGAGTGGCCCTGATCCGTGGGATTCTATGGACTATCAAAACATAATAAAGTAGGCCATTCAGGTCTCAAATACCGAGCATAAATTCAACCTGGAAGTATTGCTTTGGGGCCGAAGCTGCAGGAGAGTGATTACACACTGCTTGTGTCGATTGATTGAGAGATATTAGGTAGAGACAAAAGTTCACGCAGGCGGAGACATCAGTGGGTTGGAGGAAAGAGAACATCGAGAGAAAAATTGAAACGTAGCAATAACATCAAAGAGGAATTCCATGAAGCATATCGAGGCTGGTGACTGGACCTAACCCTTTTGGAGCGTTTTGATTCTGGTTCTAGTTTTGCTTGCACTCGGCAGCTTCTTTGGCGGGCTTAGAAGTGCCATCCTGTGAGAGCCGGTTAGCACGAGAATTTCCCAGGACATACAGGCCGTAGGCATTTTGAAAACAGGCATGAAATCATTTACCTCTTCATCCGAGTCATCCTCAACGTCACGGTCTGATCCTCGTTCGTCTTCGTCATCTTCATCATCCTCGTCATCCTCGTCGTCGTCATCCTCGAACTCATCAGGGTCCATCTCTTCACCCAGCTCCTCAAACTGGAGAGCTTCGCCGGTGAACCAGTCAATGGCGCGGGGGAAGCTTCTCCTTGATGTCCTCGCCTAGTTGATAGTCGAGCTCCAGGCGCTCTTCAATGTCGCTGGCAACGGACTCGTCATCATCGGTGGGGGGTTGCGGGGGGGAGAAGAAGTTGAAGAAGGATTCGGTGGGCACACTGATCTTAACAACACGGGTCTGCTTTGTGTCTGACATGAAATGTTAGTTTGGTTCGTGGCACCGCTAGAGCTAATCAAGAACAGAAGTGACATACTCTTGTTGCGCTGCTTCTTACTCTCGAGTCGGAGCGTCAAGTCCTTCTCGGCCTTCCAATCAATCTTAGAGCCCTCAGCATGGTCGTAGATGAAATCACCACCGTAGCCACTCTCCTCCTTGTAGTAGTAAGTCTTAGTGATCGTCTTGTTGGTGAAGAACTCGTTCTCGGAGAATTCGAAGATCAAGCGGAAGCCGGGTCGGTCCAGATACTCCATGCGGATATCAACGAGGTGTTTGAGGGCCTCTTCATCACGGTCCGTAATCATCTCAGCCAGAGAGATCTGGTTCTTCATAGCAGAAAGCCAGAATTCGGGGATGCCATTTGTTGGCTCGCCCTCTTCTTCCTTCTTCTCTTCTTCGTCTTCCTTGGCCTCTTCCTCCTCGTCTTCCTTGCCAGCCTTGATCTCGTCCTCGGTGGGTTCAATACCTCCATTCACGATAGTTGCCCGACGCTCGTAGAGCGGGGTGAACTTGGCAAAAAACTTCTTCTCGAGTTCCAGGACCTCTTCCTGAAACTGGGCCTCCAATTTGGCGTGTTCCTTTTGAATACCCTTTAAGCCGGCGACGCGGCGACGAACAGAGGTGGGAAGGGATTCGATGTAACCCGATGAGCGACCGACGAGCTGACCCAGCTTGCCTTGGATCATGGAGACCAAGGCCGGGTTACGAGCAAACAAGGAAGCAGCAGCAGCGCTATCCAGGGTTTCTAGAGAGGGGTAGATCACGATCAGCAGCCGTCTCCAAAAATCAGGGCTCCCAACTCTTACCTTCTTTAATGCTAGACACACCAGGCTGCTGAGCGTGCGATGAGATAGGGGCATTGTTGGCCGGAGTGTTTTGCGGGGTTCTGTCAATGATTTTACCACCCATGGTCAGTTTTTTTTAAAAAAAAAATGTTTTGCTGGCGATAAGCGGTCAAGGGCACCAGGGAGGGGGAAAATCCTTACGGGGCGACCGGAAAATCGGCCTTCTTATTCCTGATGGGTTCAGACATGATGGGAAGAGGGGAAGGAGAGAGAAAGAAAGGGGAGGTGATGGAGGAAAGAGTTGGAGGCAAAAAGGAGGGAAGGAAAACGTCAAAGGGCGTTTGGAGTTTTGGGGAGGAAAGAGAGGGTCTGGATGGTGGGATCCTTACTCTTACCGTACAAGTACTGTGGGAGGGGCTTGGCGGGACGCGTTGAAAAACTGCTGCGACTTCCCAACAAGTTCGCCCCTCCGGGTTAGCTTGTTGACTTAGCTTAACCACCTTTTGCTCCATTACATGGGATCTCTCTATTGTTTGTGACTCCCATTAGGCTCTCCATTTATTGTTCCTAGAACCTTCTTTACCAGTGGTCTTTTTGTAAGGGACTTGAGGTACTACCTGGAACCTCTTCCCGACTTTAGCATTGAACCTGGAATAGCTAGGATGCACCTTATCTGCCGGACCGTCGGTAGTTCACAACCTTGGAAGGCTTTCAGGGAGACGGTTTTCAGATGATATTGTGCCTTTGCTTCTGCTGGGCCCGGGATTCCGTATATGTTCGCCACGTTTAAATTTAGAAACATGATCCGTCGGACCGCATCGACAATTCCTTGTGAGGAGAGGAAGGGTCAACCCATCTTTTGAAATGGCATTTATCCTTTTGGAAGCCCCTATGAGATATGTGATACGCCGGAATATTGCGCACGGTATTCTAAGCAAATACGAGAAACCTTTCTACATTTGTATAGCTTCGGTGTATATGATAAGCTGAATGCGTCAACCATTTTCATAACACCTCAAAATATAGATGATAGATCGATATCTTATCGATAGCCTTTGTCGGGTTGTCCTTACGCTCGCCCCTGTCAGATGCAGTCCAGGGGCTATTAAAAACAGGTTGTGAATGGCATCCCCGAAATGAAGGAAGCCCAGATCCAAGGCGCGACATCAAAGCTTCCATGCATATTGGCCGGAGCTGGATTTTATACCCGGTCACGTGGTGATAGCGGTGCAAGGATTCGGGGATTTGGGGCTTTCTAGTTTAGCACAAGACTTCCCCGCTGGTATTGTTCCTTTTTCTTTTCCCCGAGTCTGCTTGCTGGAAATGAGAAGGTCGATTCGGGGAGCTCCATAGGTGTTTTCTCCGTCTACTATTTGTCCTCATTCTCTACCTTCGGTTGCCAGTACCTGCGCTATCTCGCTTCGACTCTATTTCCTTGGAGAACGGTGTGTGGTCGCAATGAATGGCCATTCTCACACTCCATCGGAGGTCACACCCGTGGACTTTTCCATACCTCGGCCCAGTATGCGGCGCGATTCGCTGAGGAGCAGGTGCGGACATATCACCCCCCATGTCTAGAAGTGAAGTAGCTGACCAGGATGTCTAGTGTGAGCGTCGTCTCTGACGTGGAGATGGCTCGAAATGAGGTACTTCATGATGTTGCCGGTCTTCGATCGAGAGTTCTTACTGATTGTCAAATTCTAGGTCTTTGACGGACCAATCTCCGAGAGTATCCCGTCGAGCGTTGTTTCATTCTCCCACCGTCGCAACCGAGCCGGATCTACAGTCAGCTTCACATACTTTCAAGGCGGCGAAGATTTTGCGGATTTGTCAAATGAGGATGCCGTGGAAGACTTGGAGGGTCTGGGGTCGGATCTCGGGGATCTGTCCGGGAATGAAGGATTGATTGAGGAGGATATCGAGTCTCGTCGAAGTTCGTTTGTCTCCAAGAGACAGTCCCAGTCTCGAGAATCGTTTGAGCAGCCGTTACTGTCTAGATATGTGTCAGTAAGCTCGTTTGGGCGAGATCGCCGAGCTGGAAGCAGGCTTAACCAGAAAGTGTACATTGCGTCGGAAGACCTTACAGCAGTATTCGCAGGCTTCTCCACCAGCATCGGGGGCTTTTGCTTATATTTACTGTTATGTGTCTTCACTGGTGGCTTAGGCTACCTTTTGCTCAGGTGGCTTCCACGCTGGCGAGTCAAGCTGGTCGGGAAAGCAACTCCTTTGGGGAAATGCCAATGGGTTGCCATTGAGGTATGTCAAAGAAAAAGAAGCAAACAGTCTTCTTCTTGGACAAAGTCCATATCTCACATTGCAATAGGACCAATGGAATCACTTTACCACGCATACTGTGCATACACAATTGTACGAGCGTCCTCTATCGACTGTTTTTGTGGATTCCTCGGGTCAGCTGTATGACGAAGACAGAGATCCCACCATCACGACTCTTCGATTTCTGGATTACCGCTATCTGCGGTTTTTTCACCATCCTATTGAGGACAAATTTTCTCTGATTAGTGGATGGAAAGATCCTGCCTGGACTACTGCTAAAGCCATGAGAGCAGGCCTAGATGCCGACGAGCGTGATAGTCGAGAACAAATTTTCGGACAAAACAACATTGAGATTCAGCAGAAATCTGTCCTTCAGTTGCTTGTAGATGAGGTGAGTACAGCGCAGCTGGACCGGCCTTCGATTATTACCCTGACAGCCCCCCAAGGCATTCCACCCTTTCTATATCTTCCAAGTGGCAAGTCTCATCCTCTGGTCTATGGATGAGTACTATTACTATGCAGTCTGTATCTTTCTCATATCCGCCTTTAGCATCGCAACAACCGTACTGGAAACAAAATCGGTAAGTTTTCATAGCACAAGCAAAACCAAGGATCAAATGCTCATGCTGGACAGACCATGCGCCGCTTAAGAGAAATTTCTTTGTTTGACTGTGACGTGCGGGTTCTGCGGAATGGCTTTTGTGAGTTAATCTCCGTGTTACCAAATACTTATATATCCTATCCCGGGGGTGCTTTTCATATACTAATTGTCTCTCTTCGCAGGGCGATCGGTCTCTTCCCAGGATTTGGTACCTGGAGACGTGTTTGAATTTTCCGATCCATCTCTGAATCAGGTACCATGCGACTGCCTTCTACTTTCTGGTGACTGCATTGTAAATGAAAGCATGCTCACTGGTAAATCTCTCCTTTGGCATTTTCCCCAAGCGCGACGTTTAACACTATTATAGGAGAATCGGTACCTGTTTCAAAGTCGCCCTTGACCGATGATGCTCTTAAGTATTTGGATCTCAGTGCCCCCTCAATCCATCCAAACGCTGCCAAACATTTCCTGTTCAGCGGTACCAAAGTCATTCGAGCGAGGCGACCTCAGAACGTCGACGACGACGAAGCCGTTGCGCTGGCGATAGTGGTCAGAACTGGCTTCTCGACAACTAAAGGTGCTCTAGTCCGCTCAATGCTTTTCCCCAAACCATCTGGGTTCAAGTTCTATCGAGACTCTTTTCGCTACATTGCCGTGATGGCCGTTGTTGCTCTGTGTGGTTTCGTCGCTTCGTTCATTAATTTCATCCGGCTCGGTGTAAGACGCTCTGTCATACTGTACAAATTTTGCAGCAGACTCCTAACGCACAACCCAGCTCTCCTGGCACCTGATCATTGTTCGAGCCTTAGATTTAATCACAATCGTGGTTCCTCCAGCACTTCCAGCAACGCTTACCATTGGTACGAATTTTGCGCTATCACGACTGAAAAAGCAAGAGATCTTCTGCATTAGCCCCCAGAGGTACGTGTAGTACCCCTCTTGCATGAGTTTACGGAGGTACTAACTTATTGTTGCGTAGGGTCAATGTAGGCGGCAAACTGGACGTCGTTTGTTTCGACAAGACTGGGACTTTGACAGAGGATGGACTGGATGTGCTGGGGGTACGCATAGTGAGCAGCACTCAAAAGTTCGTAATCCAGCCAGCCCTGGAACCACCACAGTCCACTCATCTTGAAACAGATTTTCTTCACTTTTGTCCGAAACAGCCAACGGGTCGCTTGTTCTCATGCCAGGCACAAGCACTGGATATGATCACGAAAAACAGCAGAAAATTATGTACACCATGGCAACATGCCACTCGCTACGAGTAGTAGATGAGGAACTTCTGGGAGATCCTCTTGATATCAAAATGTTTCGATTCACCGGATGGTCTTATGAGGAGGGTGGTAATCAAGCCCCTGAGCCCACTGCTTCCAAGTTTGACACAATCACACCGTCTGTGGCAAGGCCTCCTGCCGTACATGCGAATGACACCCAGCAAAATGGCACTACCGTGCGTCATTGTGTTACCCGCCTTTCTTCTACCTACCAATACTAAACCTTCTTTATTAGGCTTCGATTGAGCTCGGCGTCCTCAGAAATTTTGAGTTTTTTTTCTCAGCTTCGCCGAGCAAGCGTCGTGGTCCGACAATTTGGGGATGCAGGAGTCAACTTCTTCGTGAAGGGAGCTCCGGAGAAGCATTCGTGACATCTGTCTACCCGAGTCCCGTTCGTGCTCCTCCTAAAGTTCTGATCAGGTTGAATAGACTGACAAGTTTCACAGTTCCAGCGGATTACGATGAATTACTCAGTCACTACACTCATAGGGGATATCGAGTAATTGCTTGTGCGACTAAATATGAGCGGAGGCTGAGTTGGATGAAAGTTCAAAAGCTAACTCGAGCCGACGCAGAGAGCAACCTCGAGTTTTTGGGATTCATTATCTTTGAAAACAAACTCAAACCCAGTACCGCGCAGGTTATATCGGAATTGAATACTGCTGGCATTCGCAATGTCATGTGTACAGGTGACAACATCTTAACAGCCATCAGCGTCGCAAAGGAATGCAAGATGATCGGCCCAGATGAAGACTGCTACATTCCGCATTTCGTCGAAGGTAAGTGCTAGCATTCGCTTTTCCATGCTCGCGTGTCTTTGGTGATTTTGTTGACATAACTACAGAGCCAGGGTTGTTGCCAAGGACCAAACTCTACTGGGAAAGTGTCGATGATCCGGAATTTACTTTAGATCAACGCACACTTCTGGTAAGCAAAGTCGTCCCAGCATAATATCCGGTGCTGCTAACATCATGAAGCCCATCGAAAGAAACGATCGGTCTGTTCCGACTAATGCGCTCCGGAAGCACCGATACTGTGTTGCTGTGACAGGCGACGTATTCCGGTGGATGATTGACTATGGCAATGAGGACATTCTCAAGCGGGTGAGTGGATGCCTTCAGACTTCATTCTTTGCAGCTTTGTCTCATAACCTCTTGGTGCAGGTCTTGGTGACTGGCAAAGTTTTCGCTCGAATGTCGCCAGATGAGAAGCACGAGCTTGTAGAGAAACTTCAGTCCATTGATTACTGCTGTGGCTTCTGCGGAGATGGCGCGAATGATTGTGGTGCCTTGAAAGCTGCAGATGTTGGGATTTCTCTCTCAGATGCGGAGGCATCTGTCGCCGCACCCTTCACCAGTCGCCTGTTCGAGATATCCTGCGTCCCAAAGTTGATACGGTAAGCACCTCCTCTATTGACAGTCACCTGCCTTCCCTAATCCGAATAATTAGTGAGGGCCGAGCTGCTTTGGTCACAAGCTTCTGCTGTTTCAAATTCATGAGTCTCTATTCGACCATTCAATTCTGCTCCGTGAGCTTCCTGTATACATCCGGCTCTAACCTCGGGGACTTCCAGGTGAGTCAAGAGTTATTGGCTAAAGCTCGCTAGCACCATTCGCTAATTTCTCATTCTTGCAGTTCCTGTTTATTGATTTGGCACTTATCATGCCAATTGCGATCTTTAGTGAGTTACATGATTCTATCTAATGACCTCATAAACTAATGATTGGTATCCAGTGGGCTGGACCGGCCCTTACCCTACTCTCTCGCGCAAGCGACCTACGGCAGATCTCGTATCACGCAAAGTCTTGACACCCCTGCTAGGTCAGATCCTCTTGGTGGTTCTTGCACAATTGGCTGTATTTAGAACCATCCAATACCAACCATGGTAAGTCCTCTCGAAGGAAACTTCAAATCATGGAATGATCCGCTGACAAAGCATATGTACCCAGGTTCATACCTCCTCAGCTTGATCCGGAGAAGAGCAATATCGTCAACTCGGAAAACACAGCGCTTTTCTTATTTTCCTGCTTTCAATACACACTCACGAGCATTGTCCTGAGTGCCGGCCCACCCTTTCGACAACCAATTACGAAGAATGGTAAGGAGCAATGATTATTCCCCCTATTAAGAAGCAGTAGCCCCGTCCCGTGAGACTAAACAATGGACATCGTTGCTAATAAAGAGTCTACTGGCAGCGCCTTTTCTGTGCACCATCCTGATTGACCTTTTGGTCGCGGGCTATATGCTCTTCCGCCCATCTACGTGGGTAGCTCAAGTGATGCAGCTGACCTTCATGTCCGATGGTTATCGCATTGGATTGGTGGTTCTCGCAATTGGCTTTTTCGTTTCTTCGTGGGTGGCTGAGATGGCTGTGTTCCCTCGCCTGGCTCGGGTCATTGGGGTCATTCGGACACGGATGCAGCCAAATTACCGTAAGAAACGTCGGGAGTACAAAGTCCTCTTGGAAGGCATGGGCTTGTAAACTAGAAGATAGACGTAAAAGCCTACCCAGAATTCTGTTGTTGTTGATGAGGCTGCTGATGTTCCTTGCTAGGCGTTCCTTCCATCTCCCACGAGTATGACAATATTGACATCTGTCTATACCATGTAAAGCCAGAGATATAGAGATCCAATTGCGAAATGTTACATTGTCGTCTGAGGGGAAGAATATAGTACATTGGAGCAACCCGAAGGCAAAAAGGCGCTCTTTGTACAGAAAGACACGGTATCAACTGCTTTGCCGGATTTGAGGAGTATTCGATTTGTGATCTATGTTCTGGGTTCTTCCAAGAGCGCTCAATTCCACCTAATGCTCCCATGGGTGCTTCCAGCCTAACAAGGCTGGTCCATCTTTCTTGGCACGATACATCAACTACATTCGGGTATAAGTCAGCTTCACCTGGGCATCTCCTTGAAGGTCAAGAGAAGTAAAAAAAACTCACGAAGAACCACATGCTGGCGCCGAGTGCTGTGGCCGTGAAGCGATAGAGCGGCCGGGCCGCGTGGACGTGAACGGGATGATGGGAGTTTCCTGCCATTTCTAGGGGCGCCAATGTCAGTGACTCATTTTTATTGGCGTAGAGCGCCCATGCACGTACTGTTTCTGCGGGGGAGTGGAAGCGGGAGGCTGTACAGAGAGAGGTGGAGTGGATATAGGCGGGAAGTTCGCAATGGAACTGAAATTCACGTGACTGGGCCCGATAGGGCGGCTCTTCTGCCACTCTAGAGCTCGTTCTGCTTTATGGCTTTTTCGGAGAGAGCAGTGACTTTAGTCGAGCTGGCTCTTCATCACTTGGTCTATCAGAGCTAATTTGGACCTCCACAGACACTGCGCCCATTTCCATTCACTGGGAGAGTTGAATAAATCCATGGGGGCGCAGTGATCCGTAAATCGGTCTTCAGCAATGCGAACATTCACTGCATTCACTATCGCCACCTCGGACTCGACCCTTCCTTCTATATAAACCCGACAACATTTTCCACGGTCACTTCACTGAAAGATAGCCTCTGGTCTCCCCAATCGCCGACGAATCCTCGTCGCATCTTCTCTATGCCATCTGCCATCGTCTCCTATGGAGTGATATCTTGTTGAAATTGAAACGAGACTCGAACGGCAGCTAACGACTTGACGCGAGTCAGCCAACAAAAAAAACCCCGACTTTCTGGTTTTCCAGTCGCCTTACTCAGCTTGGTTCCCAAGGAAGAAAAGCTACCAGACTCAACCATGTCTCTCACATCCTTGGAGAAGAATAACAGCGGGAAGGCCCGATTCCGCGGCTGCTCCAACATCCGTGATTATGAGTTCCTCGGTAAACTTGGAGAAGGCACATTCGGGTGAGGCCTATATGTCTTTCATATTAAATTTCGCCAGTCCTGCTAAACTAGAAGCAGAGAAGTATACAAAGCAAGGTCGAAGAGGGACAATTCGGTGGTGGCATTGAAGAAAATTCTTATGCATCATGAAAAGGAGGGAGTACGTGTTTCCATCCCCCATCTGACTACCTGTTCTGACCTGTAAAATTTAGTTTCCCATCACTGCCGTCCGAGAGATCAAAATCCTGAAAATGCTTTCTCACCCAAACGTCCTAGTTCTCAAGGAGATGGCAGTAGAACGGAGCAAGGGTGCGGAAATATCTCGGCTTTTGGAAAGTTCAAGGATATTTTCTGACAGTCATTAGGTGATGGACTAAAAAAGCCAAGCATGTATATGTCAACACCATACATGGAGCATGATTTAGCCGGGCTCTTGGAGAATCCGGCAGTTCAATTTACAGAGCCTCAGATCAAGTGTTATTTGATGCAGCTTTTGGAAGGGCTTCGTTATTTGCATGGGGTACGCTACTCATCAAAAAATTTTGTGTCGAAATGGAATTCTTGACTAATTTGGAGCGCAGAATCGGATCCTTCACCGTGACATGAAAGGTATTTGCAGTATTTGATGAATTTGAGGCAAGAGGCTTTTGCTAACACTCTACCCTCAAGCTGCCAACTTGCTCATTAGTAACGGAGGGATCCTACAGATTGCCGATTTTGGCCTGGCACGACCCTTTGATGAACCGCCCCCGCAACCTGGCAAAGGGGGAGGAGAAGCAAGGCGTGAGTACACGGCTCTTGTTGTCACGAGGTGGTATCGACCCCCCAGAGCTTCTTCTCGGATTACGACGATATACTACAGCAATTGACATGTGGGGTGTTGGGTGAGTGCCGCCTCAAAAGAGCCAAGTTCTTGGTCTTGTACTAATGTGGCTTTAGTTGTGTCTTTGGCGAAATGTTCAAGGGCAAGCCTATCTTGTCTGGGACCAGTGACTTGAATCAAGCACATCTCATATTCGGGCTCGTGGGAACCCCGGACGAAGAGAACATGCCTGGTTGCAGTACTTTGCCGGGCTGTGAAGGAGTGAAGAACTTCGGGTATCGACGTGGAAATCTCGCCGAGGTTTTCAAAGAGTAAGTCTTCGTCTTTGAATGCCTGTGATATTCTTACACGGGTGTGTCTGTCTAATGGGAATTTCACTAAAGCATTCAACAGCCAGAGCCCTACTGCTATTTCGTTACTTACCGAGCTGCTCAAACTTGACTGGCGAAAGCGAATAAACGCCATTGATGCGCTGAAACATCCCTATTTTGCCACCCCACCCCTCCCGGCAAGGCCAGGGGAGATTCCATATATGCAAGACTCACATGAACTGGACCGAAAAAGGCTACGTGGTCAACGAGCGCCTTTGCCCCCTGCTCCACCAGGCGGTTCTGTTGATGCACCCTCTAATGGGGGCTGGAGCAGTTCTGGCCCGCGCTCACATTCTGCAATGAACCGGATACCCAATGGGGCTAGGGGTAGCCGATCTAACGCACCTGGTGCTTCCAATAACTATCGCCGGGGCCTTCACCCTACAAATCGTGATTCTGGACTTCCTCCGCGGCCCCCTATCTCTACTCATCAGAATTGGGAAGAAGACCAACGGCGCGATCGGTACAACCAGGGGCGTCAAAATGATAGACATCCAAAGAATTCGGTTGATTCATACATTCCCAGATATGGTGGTCCGCAGCAAGACCGTCCCGGGGATTTGGCAGAGCATAACGTGCAACAAAACCCAGATTGGCGCGGAGCGAACAGGCGTGACTATCGACGTGACCAGCCACCGCGGCGAAGAAGCCGGAGTCCAGGTTTTAGGGACACGAGCAGGGGCTAAGTATTGCCCAATGTACTGTGCACATCCTTTTCGCAAACAGTGGTTTAGCGCCCATTTCCCATTCAGCTGGGACATCAAGGGGAAGGCTGGTCACGAAATGACATTGCTACCAGACCCTCGGGACACATCCACGAAAATAAGATCGAGATATTCGCGTTATCATGTACGGTTACATGGCTGCCCGAGGGGACTCAGGATCAACGACGTCAAGAACAGGACTTCTAGTAAGGCTTACAAGCTAGCCATGGCATCCATTAAGCCACTTTAGAGTTTTTAATTGCTGAATTCATCACTGTTCTAATTTTATTTTTGGTCTATCGAGTTGTCAGGCAACAAAGACCGTCGTCAAATAAGAATATTTTAGATAGATGTATAGGGGATTCTCATAGGCCTCGTTGAGAGGACACCGTGCGTGCAATAATTTCTGAAACCAAGCCCAAGAATATGTCAAGTTGATTACGACGGAGGTATTCTGGAAGTACGGGCTGCTTAGTACAAGATCCGAGTCATGATCCGGGCTGGGAGGCAGCAGTTAGAAAAGACGTAGGGGCATCAGCGAGAAAAGGAGGAACCTTACAGGGAAGACTCTCAAGTCGCTCATAAAGATCCTTAATGACAGAGGCATTGACGTCGCTGATGTCGGCCATTAGATAGGCGACCTACTGGTTATTAGCGTTTTTGATCACGCGCCAGACTCTGCCAGGCGTTGGGCGTATATACTCACATCACCTCTGCTGTCGGTCATTTGTTTGTCCACGTTGTGATCGCCAATAACTTCATTGACTATTGGAAAGGTTAGACTTGGTGAGCATTATCCGAATCGAGGGGCACAAAGACTACTTACCTTTCCTCAGTACACCCGGAATATTCTGGTGAATATAGACAACCTTGAAGAAAATCGAACCAATGTAAGCAACTGCAGACCTTTCCAACGGAATCAAGGATACTCACCCGAGCGTGGTTTGGCTCGTCCAGAGTGAGGGAGCGCAGATTGACTTCAGGCAAGTTGACCGCGCCAAGAGTGGCACCCTCATTCACATATCTAGTCAGGGCCTGGGCAACCTCGACACCAATGGCACTTTGGGCTTCCTCGGTGCTTCCTCCGATATGAGGGGTCAGAATCAAGTTCTTCAGGGAACGCAAATCCTCCGCCCACTCGTTCAAATCATTGTTGAAATAATCACCATTTCCGGCGGGCTCATTAGGGTAGACATCCAAAGCTGCTCCAGCGACCTTCCCACTGCGCATAGCATCAATGAGGGCCGGGATATCCACAACTGTGCCGCGGCTGGCATTGATCAAATAGCTTCCAGTCTTCATCTTCTCGAACTGGGCTCTGCCAATCATGCCTTTCGTCTCGGGGAGTTCGGGTACATGGCAGGTGATGAAGTCTGCCTCGGCCATCAGGTCATCCAGAGTCTCCATCTGGCGGGCTGTACCTAATGCCATCAAGTTCACAACATCAAAGAAAATAACAGACATTCCCATCGCCTCCGCCAAGACAGACAGTTGGGCGCCAATATGACCATAACCGATGATGCCTAGAGATGTTGGTAAGCCCCAATTGCCTTCATAGACTGATAGAACAAAGAGCACCTACCCAAGGTCTTCCCACGGATCTCCCAGCACTTGTTGCTCACTTTGTTCCACGTCCCATTGTGCATTTCGTTGGAGCGATCCCCGAGCTGACGCGCCAGGGCGATGATCTCGCCGATGACCAATTCGGCGACACTGCGCGAGTTGCTGAAAGGAGAGTTGAAAACCGCAATTCCCTGGCGGCTGCGTACTGGAGATCTACCTGGTTGGTTCCGATGCAGAAGCAGCCGATAACGATCAAATTCTTGGCCTCCTTCAGGACTCGCTCGGACAGCTTGGTCTTAGAACGAATACCGATAACGTGGACATCGCTGTAGTCAATTTCAGCTCATGTCTCAGCCCAATGCCAGAATATTCTGACATATTGGCGGGGAAGGGGGTCCTTGCTCTTACCGGATCTTCTCGATGAGCTGATCCTCCGGGAGGGAAGACTTGAGGAATTCGACCTGGTAACCCTGTTGCTGGAGAATTTCGCGCCCGGCTTGGTTAACATTCTCCAGCAGAAGAACTTTGATATCTTCGGTTGCAAATGGCTTTAAGTGCTTTGCATTGGCGACGGGGATGACGCGAGCCAAAGCAGAGCCATGGCTGGAGGGCGAGTGGAAGGAAGCCGAGGGGGAAGTAGAGAAGTATTGAGCCTGAAAGGCCAAGTCGTCCTGGCGCGGACGGATATCTTTTGCGGATGTCATAATAAATGTACTAGGTGGTAGTTGCAGACTTCTTCGAAGGAAGAGTTGGAGGTTTAATGGAATTATCTAAGCTTTTTCGCCCTTCCGAGATCTCCGGAATCGGACAGGGAGGTTCAATAGCGAGCAGCAATGGCGAGTTCGACAACACGAAACCTGTCAATGAAGCTACGGAAGAAGCTAGCAATCGACTAGTATATATACTATATATAACGTAGACCAACAACTCTACAGTTGACTCACGCATGACTCACTTCCAAGCGGGAAGAGGGGCACGCGCGGGGGGAACTTTTTTTTCTCTTACATCTTACCAAAGGTGAAAAAAAAAACCCGAAAGGAAAAAAGTAGGGGGAAAAAAAAAATTGGCGAGAAATCGACTCCACACGCCTTGCCGCATCGGAACTCGAGCTCGTGTGGAGCCAATCAAACCTGCCGCGAGGTCGGGCCAAGTGGAGCCAGGCGGACTGTAAAACAAGTTGGCAACGAGTACTGTAGATGTGATTGATAGTGACCGCTCTTAGACTACACTTGAAGGCCCTGCATCTTCTTAGCTGCCTCATCCGCTCCCTTGCCAGTCTTGGTCCTAGCCTTCTGCGAGGTTGTGTCCTTCGGAAGCTCCTTGGTGTAGGGCAAGAACTCGGGGGATCCGGGGATGTACTTCCGGAGTACTTCCGGTACTTCAATGCCCTATAAAAGGTCAATGGGTGCAAATAGCCCGAGATTCAGGAATCTAGGAAACATACATCTTGTCTTTGGTAGTTCTCGAGGATGCAGCAAAGGGTACGCTCCGTGGCACACAATGTCGCATTAAGCGCATGAACGTAAGTCTTCTTCAAATCGGTGGCCTTCTTGACGCCGAAGCGGATCTCCAGAGCTCGCGATTGGTAGTCCAGACAATTAGAGCACGAAACAAGCTCTTTGTACTCCTGCTGGAAGGGGAACCAAGCTTCGAGATCATATTTCTTCGCTGCGGCGTTGTTTAATGCACCGGAAACAATTGCCACGACGTGATAGGGAAGCTTTAAGGATTGGTAAAACTCCTCGGAGGTTGCCATCATTTCCTCGAATGCCTGCCAAGAATCTTCTGGTTTTGTCAAGACGAATTGCTCGATCTATGCGCTAGGTGTTAGCCATGCATATGGCGAGTTGCGAAAGGAATGAAAGGGCTAGGATTAGATAATTGCGAGTTATGGACCTTACCTTCTCAAACTGGTGTACACGGAAGATACCCCAAGCATCCTTCCCATGTGAGCCTGCTTCTTTGCGGTAGCAGGTGCTGTATCCAGCGTACCTATTCATCTTCATCAGCAATTATTGGAAGAGCGGAGATTTTCGAGGAGCTCACTTGATAGGCAACTCCTTCTCCTGCAGCCACTCGCTGTCATGCAGCGCGGAGAGGGGTTGTTCGGAGGTGGCAATCAGATATTTGTCGGTGGACTTGTCCTCGCTCTCGGTCACCTTGTATAGCTCCTCATCGAATTGCTCCAGCTGCGCAGTCTTCGCCATCAAGTCTTTGAGCATGAACTGAGGGGGCTGGTTTGGTGTGTAGCCTCTGTTGAACAGGAACTCCAGACCGTAGTTGACGAGGGCCAAGTTTAGGAAGAGACCATAGCCAGTCAAGCAGTACCCTCGGTGGCCAACGACTTTCACACCCCGCTCGGGATCATATCCGTCCAGGCGAGTTAGGACTTCGTGATGAGAAAGGCAATTCGGTCGCTCCATCACGGCATCGGCCGGTGTCCAGGTCTTGATAACCTGGTTGTCATCCTAAGTTGGCCCTTACATGATTAGTCTAGGGCAGGAAAATCACCATTCTGGGAAGACGGAAGTGCATACCTCATTGTCGCTAACAGGGACTGACGCGTGAACGTAGTTCCCGATCACACGAATCTTGCGATCCCGTTCGACCTCTTTTGAAGCAGCGAAATCTTCGGCCTCTTTCTTGCGCTTATCCAGGTCAGACTTCTGGCCGATTAAATCACCCGCGTCTTCCTTGTTCTATCGCCGAATAAACTGATAAGCAATTCTGTACTTCGGGGTATAGGGAAATTCTGATAGACAATACCTTCTTCTTTTTACCAATTTCCTTCATGAGAGCATTGAGCTGGGAGCCAATTTGAGTCACTTCATACCGAGCTACTCGCCTGTTAGTAGGAGATCTATTGAGGCGGAAAGGGTTTCGTACCTCTGCGGGCCTCTTCGTAGAGCGTGATCACCTCATCGACGGCTTCTTCGGGGGCGAATCGTCGGCGCTGGCTGTCCTTGATCTTCTGTGGGTCACCGCCCCGTTCGGTGATAAAGTCATTGAGGTCTAACATGATCGAGGCTTGTGTAGAGAACAATGAGTCAATCGGGGTTTTGGAGGGGTAAAGTGGGAAAAAAAAAGGCGCGCGGGGAGATTATCTAATATCCATTCCGCCTCCTCGGTGCCCCTCGTGGTCAAATGAAGATTGGACCGTTTTTTCCCTTTTCCTTTTCTACTCTCTAGAGTTACTCAGTGGTCGTGCTATTATTGACAGGTCGTGGTGTAGGTATAGCACTACTGCGCAGAATAGGTGCACGTAGCAAGGAGCACACTCCTCACTTGAAGCATGTAGTTTGCAGGATATATCAGCTTAAATATGTATAGAAAAAAAATATATCTGTAGCCAAGTTGCGGTGACCGAATTAACATGTCACCAATTGATCAGTACGGAGAACATCCGGAGCAAGGACATCAATTCTAAGATTATTTCGACCCTCCTATCACAACGGCCACACCGCAGAACAAGATATCAGGTACAAGACCACGAACCTTGAAAATCTCACTGTTGATTACTCTATGCACGCTGCAATAATACCGGCAAATCCCCAGCCTGACAAAGAAAGATAAAGACATCAAACAGAACCCATGCAAGCCATTCCCGATATTCCGTCGTTTCGAACCAAAAAAAAAAAGAAAGGAAGAAAACAGCAAAAGGAACACAAGAGCAGAGCAGTAAAAGGCCTTCGAGTCAGCATCAATAGCTCAGAAGACACAGACAAAAGACGCTAGGATTCCCGAGTAGCCCCTTCAATCAAGACGCCGAAGTTTGTGAAAAGATATCCCGTGGATGACCTCGCTGATAGTCTCTATCCTCATCCAAGAGCCCGGACCCTTAGGGCCGGAAAGGGGGAAAGCACTAGCTGATGTACAAGGTTAGACAGCCAGCGCTCCATTTGCCTCATTCGATGGGAGGTGATAGGAAGGTACAGCGGAAGTTCAGGCTGTCAATTCCTCCCTTAGCCCCACTCCCCAGATCACATAAGAGCGCATTTGTTTCCGCCTGTGGGCTGATTCGGGTTCTGGGATTTTTCTATTTCACCGATCATAAGCTCGAATGCCTTAGTCACATTGAAATCGAGGAAGGCGCTGGCCTCGGTGAATGCGCAGTTAACTTCCTCTGCTAGTTGACGGGCTTCATCAAGAGAGACTTGTCGCTGCTCTGGCTTCAAATCGCTCTTATTGCCGACTACAACCAGAGGCACCTCGTCCGCTCCCTAGAGTTGATACTTAGATAGCTGGGAGCCTAGCAGGACGATGATTAGTAGCTTACCAAGTGATTCAAAATCTTGTCTCGAATGACCTTCACCATCTCAAATGACTGGCGTGACGTGACCGAGTACACAATGATATACCCATGAATACCAATAAAATGCTTGGAATTTAAGATGCTGTATTCGTCCTGTTGGGAAGTTAGTCGGCCCTTCTGGCAGTTCGAGTCCGTGTGTAGGCCAACCTGTCCAGCAGTATCCACTATCTCAGTTGCATAGTCCTGGCCATTGTACTTAATGATCCGACTAAAAGTATTCTCGATGGTTGGGTAGTAGCTTTCAACAAAATGGTGCTCCACAAAGCGAACGGTGAGAGAGGATTTTCCTAGGGCAGCGCAAACTTGAGATTAGCCAATTTGCCAGCAAGTTCATCTTTAATTAAGGCCTCTCTGCTGCGCAGTGTCCATTCGCTAAGGCTAAGGTGGGGAAGGGGCGTTGGCGAGGGGAGTCCATACCGACGGAGCGGCTACCGACGATGGCGATCTTTCTCTGCTTAGGGGCAGCGGGCATCTTGAGATATAAAGTGGTATGGAGTGGCCTAAGTAAATCAGGCAAGTCGAAGATAGCGATCCAGAAAGGAAGATCGAAGATTCCCACTTAGAGATGTTCCTAGCTCGCAGGTGGCAAATCTCCGTGAAGCATCCGAAGCTCACATGCAAACGCTGCAAACAGTCGAGACAGTTCGCCAATCTAATCGATCGATCGTCAATGCGTCCCGATGAACCACTTCGAGGGAAGCATTTCAGAATGACCAGATCAAAATACTCCCAAGATCCACTGTCATCGACCGGACAGCAAAACGTGGAGACTGTGATTAGGAGGACAGACCTTCTCCTACCAGGATGACGTTCCTCTACTCAGACCCGCTTGCAACATCTCCCGGTTACAACATGCCAACAACGCTGGAAATCATCCGAGTGGCAATTTCTATGTAGGGCAGGAAAATATCTTCGTTCCAATGAATTTAGGAGTGTGAAGATGAAAAAGCGTTAAGTAACCATTTTAGATGCAGGATATCCTTCACCAGGACGAATATCATTCACGCAATGCCATGTATTTCATTAGTAGATCTAGGAAGCTCGGTCTGGGTTGCCAAGGAAGTGAGCAATCGTGAGAAAACCACATACCGACCCAGTGAAAACCAGGCGTAATTGCCGTCGGTGCTACTATACCCATGGCTTCGCAATATTTTACAACAATCGAAGAATTATTGTCACATAGATATTTCATGCCTCGATTTGCTGGATCTGGCTCATCAAGTCCTGCAACCTAATATGAAACGCACTTGTCTCTTCTTGGGCGGACGACGGACGAGATTCCTGTTCAATTTTGCGATAGTACTGTTGAAACTCTTCCACCGTCGACATGACAGTTTCCAGGCCCCTAGATTGCAGTTGCTTTTTGATCTCAGCTCTCGCTTCTGCATTGAGGCATAGTGACAGGAGGAGAACTGCTAGATAACCCACGGCAACATTGTGGTTTAGCTCGGGAACGGAATGGGCCTGTATGATGTCAGTAAGAACAGTCTGCTCGCTCCACACCATAGACCAAGTCCGGCTCATTATTTTAGACATGGATATGTATCTTTAAGATTCCGGATCGTACCTCTGAGGTAGAATAGACATGGGCCAAGAAAAGACGTAGCAATTGACCAAGGAGAGTCTGACTGGCATGTGTATGTTTCAGAAAGACGACCCTAGAAGTTTCACTTTGCTCCGTGAGATTTATTAGCGCCCCGAGCGATAAGATCACCCGGTCTAAAGCACTGGTTTCCTCCGGGGGTGACTCTTTGGTGAGATCCTTGAAATTGGTGATCGCAACCTTGGTCAATTCAGTAATCATCACTCGTGTTGCAAAAACATCACACAGCAAAGGATTGCTATTTGTCACGTTCAGAACCACTCGAATATACAACGTTTGGATATCTTCAATGATTGAATCCAACTTGCTATCCTGGACCTGAAGCAAACGTTGCAAACCCGAGAGGGAACCCAAGAAATCAGGGTCCTCTTTTTGCAAAGCGCGGGACGTCGTATGCAATTCCAGAATCGATAGGCCCAAAGTCAGAGTTTGGGCACTGGAAGGTGAAAAGTGTAAATTTCTGCTTGCAGGGGGAGAAGTTTCTGCTAGTAATAAGTCCACTACTTTTCTCAAGATAAAAGTAGGAATGGTCTCGTGAGGTTCGCCACTTTCCTGGATTTTTGAAAGTGTCATCTTGAGACACTTTAAGGCCACGAGACGAGGAGAGACATCAGTGATGGGCGTGTCAAGAAACAAGACAGGGGATATCTGAGATAACATGTCTTTGACGGACACCTGGACGGCCTTGGAAACGCGATTTCCTGGATCTTGTGCGACAGAATCAACGGTCTCGCATGTATCCAACATGGGGCCAGATATCTCCAGAAGTTTGGGCAATGCGCTTTTTGCGACGATATATGGCATGGGCCGTACAGCTGAGCTGACACTGAAGACACACAGGGCAAGAGCTGCTGAAGTCATATCGAAGTCCCTTGAAAGGCAATCTAACAATCTTCGGTCGAAGTTACATTCGACAAATTGCCGAGCAAGTTTGGGTTCCATCAGTTTGCTGCACAGCTGAACAAATGAGCTGCAACGGCCGGAGATCGACGTTTTAGTGTCTTCAATATCCTCGAAGATAGATTCAATGGTAGCTCGAAAACGAGCATTTCCTCCAGCCTGCCGTAATTCATGTATGCTTCGAACAGTTCCATCGTCATGGCCCAAATCCTCGACAGCGATAAGACGAGCATGTGGTGGCTCCCTAGGACTCCGGAGTCCTTCAGTCTTCTGTGTTGGTTGTTCTATGCCTAGCTCAATGTTAGACAATGAAAGACTTGTCTCCAAAGGCATATCATCTAGAAAAGAGCGCTGCTGAGCATATGTGACCTTCGATCCTTGTAAATGTGGAGAGACGGTTATGTTGACACCCAAGCCAGTCTCCTCGCGTTGATCCTCGGCCTGTACACTTTGCAGGGGTCGAGGGGGCGTATGAGGAAGTTCTGGGGAAGATAGTGGATTTTCGGCCGGTGTATGGGATGTAGTTGGTGACCTATCGCTTGGCAAGCTCTGTGTACCCAATGAGTCGATCAATCTTCTGCGCCCTGGGGTAGAGTTTATCAAAACTGCATCCTTGGGAGATCTGTTTTCCGGGGTGGTGGGTCTTTGATTCTGTGAAGGGGGACGGCCAGTGTCAACACTTTTTGTATGCCTTTTGTTATCAACGCGCTCGTGCCGTGCACGTCCACTAGCTGGACGGCTTGTTTGCGCTTGTGAGGCCTTTGATCTTGATGATATTCTTTTCGTCTCCGGTAGTTGTTTGGGTTGTAATCTTTCGGTCTTGCTTGGTTGTGGAATATTGACCAGCCTTGACTTGGCGGGCGAGCATCTCTCAGAAAAGACTTCGCTAGAATGAGCCGCTGGTTGCGCATGCTCGGTTGTAGCTGGTTGGGTATTGATTCCTTCGTACTTCGTTCCATATCGCCTCCGTTTCCTCCTTAGAAGGCGATGTTCGTCCTCATCTGAAGAAGGAAGATCATAGATATTAGAAGTTGAATCGCTTGTATTGTTATCCCAGTGCTTGAATCCAGACTCCCCAGTGTGTTGAATGCCGCTCTGGGATACCAAAGGGTCTTGGGAGGTGGAGCTTTCCGCGCCCCCGCTTGGTTCTGGCCTTTGGTGACGACCGATTCTTGGAAGAGCTGTAGGTCACTAACTTCCGATTTTGAGATCGCGAATGATCCATTTCCGACAGCGAAGGATACGTTCAAAGGTATCGCATTTTATTCTGTTTGAGAGAGGGAAGAAGAGGAATGGATAGGGTGCTTCGGGGTTTGTAGGTCCAGATCGGTTGCAGGTTGTTGCGATTGGAAATCGAAGCGCTGAGCGAGGACCAGAATCGGTTACCCTAGCCTTGGAACCGAGTTCCTGGGTCGAGCATTCTTGCGCTTGGGATCACGCGACTGTCGATTTGAGACTCTTGGAGGCACAATTGGCCCAATCGAATGCTTTTCTTACTTTGGTTCAGAGGACAGGGTGCGAGGGGGCTGCAGGTGTGGAGGAGCGAAAGAGTGGAGAAGCAAGGCAGGAGCGGCTGAGCGGTAGGATTCAACCGATAGGAGTGCGATAAGGGCCGCTTATCCAAGGACCGCATTTCTTCCTTCTGCTCCCCCCGCTCTCCAGCTTGGGCATGGTCAGTGCCGCTTGACTACGAACCTGCCTTCTCTCTAAACGCTGAAATTGTCTCCATGGCTAGCCAGGACCCTGCCCCATCCCCTGCCCAGGGAGTTGGACCCATCTATCAACCCGACGGCGAGAAGCCTACCGCAACTGTCTCCAAGGAGATCTCTTATGACAATGTCCACGTACTTCCTCAAACTCCCCAATTGATTGCTTTGTTAACGTAAGAAAAGCCCTGTATCTTGGGACTTCAAGCGATGTTGTGGCTCTAACTAGATCGACAGGATGATCCGGGACAAACGTACTGTTCGGGCTGATTTCATCTTCTACTCCAACCGAATAATTCGGCTTCTAGTGGAGGAGGGACTAAACCACCTTCCTGTAGTTGAGCAATCGGTTACCACTCCCGTCGGAAGGGCATACCTAGGGGTAAAATTCGAAGGGAAAATTTGTGGCGTGTCAATTATGAGAGCCGGAGAGGCAATGGAGCAAGGGCTGCGGGACTGCTGCCGCTCCGTACGGATCGGAAAGATTTTGATTCAGAGGGACGAGGAAACCTGCATGCCAAAACTTTTCTATGATAAATTACCGGCAGATATTGCTGATCGATGGGTTCTCCTCCTGGATCCCATGTTTGCGACTGGTGAGAGTCACCCTTCTTCTGATCATTGGTGTGATCGAAGTTTTACAGACTTAATTATCTGCCTTGCTAACAGGCTGCAGGAGGCTCTGCCACAATGGCAGTTGAAGTCTTGAAGCAAAAAGGTGTTCCGGAGCATCGAATCCTTTTCCTTAACCTCATTGCAAGCCCGTCTGGTGTGACAGAATTTGCCGAAAGGTTCCCCAAGCTCCGAGTTGTCACTGCCTTCATTGATCAAGGATTGGATGACAAAAAGTACAACCCATGCCCCCAGTGACAAGCAACGCGAACAACATGCTGATGATTTGGTAGATATATCATCCCCGGCCTAGGAGACTTCGGTGATCGATATTATACTTTGTGATAGTTCGAAACCAGGGTCTGTCATTCTCGGAGATTTTCAGGAACATGTTTGACTGTTGGGCGCCTGGCCAATAGCTGATCCATGGGGTTTTACGGCACTTTCCTGTGTGCGTCCCAACGGAACAAATGCCCGGCTGTTTGCGTGGGCGCAGCTTAATCCGGGAGGTTCCTCGGACAAGAAAGTACTTTGTCAATGAGTGTACCACATCAAATGGATATGCTTGAATATTGAAGCAAATGAGATTAAATTCGATGTATGCGCCACATAGGTGTACGTAATTCATCGAATGCTGTGGTCAAGTCCATGCGCCATTTCGCCCGCATATTATCACATAATTAAAAATCCTCGTCTTCATATCCATCTTCATTCGTGGCGGCTGCGTTGAGGCCCGGCTTGTTCGAAGGAGGTTGAGAGCCCACAGGGCCATCGTATTGGTGCGCTGTATCCTTGGCGACGGCATCACAGGCATCTACCCAGTCTGAGTAGACATCGACAGCGGCAGAAAGGTCTATCGGGAAAAAGAGTCAAATACGCACTCGGACTAAGAGCAAGGGAGTCTCACAGTTGATGCCTGTTTGGAACTTTTGGCCGCAGACTTTGCAAGACAAGTCACCAAGACCCAGTTTCTTATCCAATTTGACAATGACGGAGTTCTCGTGGTTGCAAAACAGACACGCAAATGATGTGGCAAGAGGTTCCCGCTGCTTTGAGTCAGTCGGATCGCAAAGACAGGTGGTTTAAAGCCTCACCTTCCGCGGGCCTTGCGGCTGACGGCTCGACTTCTTGCGTTTTCCCTGTCAAGCGTTGTCGGTCAGCCGGAAACATCCAATTTGCCCGGGGTGGTCGGTTGTTTCTATCATAACATACCATGATCCACGTAGGCAGATGTGCTCGCGGAGCGGAGGATAGGCAGAGCTATGAAGAGAGCAGAAACAATGACAAGGTGGAGTTTCAGAAGGCGCGTGAGGATGAGGGGTGGGTTCGTGCGGAGAAACTGCCGCCAATGGGGGGCAGAATCCGACTCCGTTAAGTAATCCAGAATCTACCGCTCAGGGCTCCAGGGCTCCAGCAAGGCTCCACTCCAACACAATGGACTGGAAATTGCCTGTACGCTATGTCCTTGGTAGTATATATGGTCTCCACGCTGGTTTCACCCAAGCCCAACGACTATTGTACAAGTAAATTGAAAGGGCAATGACAAATGATCAACCTGGGAGACTTGCTAGCGACGCAATAGCTCAACGACCATAATGAAACGATACATCTAATGGACAATTCCAACTACAGCTTTGTTATTTAGGTGTAGATGCGGTAACGACGGCGTAAAATGGTGTCTTCCAGACTACAGACATATACTGCGTAGGGTTAATAATAGTCCGTCCAGCTGAGCAACTCGAATTCGTGGGTCCCATGGTGCAATGCATCGGAAGGCAAGTGGTGTGTCACGTGCTACTTATGTCATCATAGGGTCTCGCTTAGCCGAATTTTCTGTGGGTTTTCGATTTCCTAACCCTGCCCGCCGACCCGCAGCGAGAACTTCGAAACCCGAGCGCCGTGGTGCGATACCTTTGTCTGTCTTCCTACAACACACGATAGGCCCGACTCGCAATCATGGCTGTTGGAAAGTATGTTATCTTGCCTCTCTCAAATTCGATTGCAATCTCTGGCATCCACTCGGTATACAGCAACTAATTCGCCCTCGCACTCCAGGAACAAGCGTCTGTCGAAGGGTAAGAAGGGTATCAAGAAGCGCACTGTCGACCCCTTCTCGCGCAAGGATGAGTATGCTGTGAAGGTGAGCAAACCAATTCTTTCTCTTGTGTTATTTCTCAAGACGCATCGAACTAACAGTCTCGTCTTTAGGCTCCCTCCACCTTCCAGACCCGCGAGTAGGGCTCCCCTCCCTTTCCCCATTTCCCACTTTCGCCTGCCATTTTCAGTTCCCTCGGAATTGATTCAGCTGTCAGAATGATCTGGGTTTTTCTGTGAATTCAAAAATACTAATTGGTTCGAATAAAGTGTCGGCAAGACCCTTGTCAACCGCACCAGCGGTCTCAAGAACGCCAACGACTCCCTGAAGGGCCGTATCTTCGAGGTCTCCCTCGCAGATCTGCAGAATGACGAGGACCATGCTTTCCGCAAGGTCAAGCTCCGTGTTGATGAGGTTCAGGGCAAAAACTGCCTGACCAACTTCCATGGCCTGGACTTCACCACGGACAAGCTGCGTTCCCTGGTTCGCAAGTGGCAGTCTCTCATTGAGGCCAATGTCACTGTCAAGACCACTGACGACTACCTCCTCCGCCTGTTCGCGATCGCTTTCACCAAGAGACGCCCCAACCAGATCAAGAAGACCACCTACGCCCGCTCGTCTCAAATCCGTGCAATTCGCAAGAAGATGACCGAGATTATCCAGCGTGAGGCTGCCAGCTGCACCCTTTCTCAACTCACCCACAAGCTTATCCCCGAGGTTATCGGACGTGAGATTGAGAAGTCCACCCAGGGCATCTACCCTCTGCAGAATGTGAGTCAGTCCGCTATTATTGTATGGACAACGCCCACTGATCAACGCAAACTATGACAGGTCCACATCCGCAAGGTCAAGCTTCTCAAGTCCCCTAAGTTTGATCTCGGTGCCTTGCTGGCTCTCCACGGCGAGTCTGCCACTGATGACAAGGGTCAGAAGGTTGAGCGGGAGTTCAAGGAGCAGGTCCTTGAGACTGTCTAAGGGTTTGGTGATGTTTTTAAACTTGGGACTGATGTCGAATACCGGCCGATCGTGGCGACAGCTATCCTGTAGTCAATAGGAAAACAAAAAAAGTTCATGACATGTACGGCTTCAACTCCTGTCGCTGAGTAGGATGTCTAGTATGATAGTAAAAAGTCAACCGGGTATCGTCGGCACAGTCAGGATTAGTACTTTACAACCCTTTTCATTCCCCAGCGCTCTGGTGGATCTTCAAGCTCGTGCTGTGCCTACTTGAAACCCACTGTGATCATCGATTTTTTCAAGCGCTGCTTAGTCTGCTAAACATGTATTGGGGGCAGGGGACGGAGGTCCTATCGTGATAAGCGAGCACTTGCTCCGTATGCTGAGGGAATTTGTAGGCAAATACATACTGTTCCAATACTTCATATTCCTTTTGGGGCTTTTCCCGGCACCCAATCTGATAGTTACCGGCGAACTACGCTCGCTATCCCCTTCCGCTATGTATATTAATTCGTACACACCCCCAACCTCGGTGGACAACATGAGGCCACGGAGATGTTCGGATGTCGAGTATATGTTCCCTCCCTTGGTCTGCTATACTTTAGACTCTACGTACTGACATCTATGATAAAATTGTCTGGAGATGTGTTTGACCCAGCCACATCTCACCCTCGCTCCTTAGGATAACACGTTCCTGCCTGGATAAGCCACCAGCTCCGCCACTCGAACCTTGAGAGTCATACTTCTCTTGACGGTAACTGCTTGGATCATGAATGTAACAGAAGACCGTCCAAGCCTGATCGCATTCACCACCTGTCTGTACAGAACATGGCAAGTTGGGGTACGCAGAGCTCTAACTGTATCATTCTTGTTGGCTGAGCTTCTAATTCGAGATATCTGAGAAACTTATCAGCCTGATTGTTTGAGGGGACAGTTCTTTCCCTACCACCTATACTGTCTTGGAGCTTTTTATATAATCATCAATGTTATACTGTTAAATTCAAGGTGTTTCCATACCATTCAAATAGATATTGCGAGTGACGTAGATACATGACGATACAGAAGAATAGTCCGAAATGTTTCTTCTGGTGAATCACCCGCAGAACGATATACGTTGACATCAGCCATGTTCTCGTTCCCTTCAGCCATATTTGGATATAACCTTTAAGATCCTATAAGCGGTCTCGAGGCGGGTATTCAACACTATCTCCTTTGTTCTGTAGATTGCTATCCATGGAAATAGTAGATTCACGGAAGGCCGAGGGCCCTGTGCGAGTTACTATATATCGTTTAGCTTCGATATATTAGACCTAAAGTACGGCCTTCTCTGCACACGTCAGAGGTAACAGCCATAGGCTTTCCAGCACATCGAGGCATAGTATAATCCCAACATTAGGATATTAGAGCGGATGATATATAATACGTCAGTTTACAGTTTTGAATAGGCTATCTGTGAGGCCTATCATTCGATAGGCTCGGATATAAGATAAGATACGACTAAAGAAGGCCAATACTACTACGAGCTGGTAGGGGTAGACATCTTCAGGGCCTATAAAAGCCTAAACCCGACCACAGCCCGACTATGCGGTGGGCCGGGTTTTGGGTCTAGAGTTGAGGCCTACGATGGGCTTTAGGCTTTATCGACAGGCCCAAAGCCCACACAGGGGGCCTAAATAGGCCCTCAAAAACTGCTAAACAGTACAAACAGCGCTTAACCCTATGACTATATAATTTATGTAATATTTCAATAATAATTTTAGTATCTCAGATACAAGGATATTCTTTAAATTAATTATCTCGGCAAAAAATTCTATATAAATTCGGTTTCATTTATTTACTAGTAATACTCAAAGCTCTTATCCTCCTATATCTTCTATTTCCTTCCAGACACATATTGTTGGGTACTGGTTTCTAGTAGATATGACTCAGAATCCTTATTCTTCTCTCCTTTTTACTCTATATCTAATTCCTTAGTATTACTAATTTTGTCAAGCTCTATATATTTTAATTTCTTATCTTTCTCTTCTCTCTATATTTTAATCTTATTAGGAGTAAAAAAACTCTTTTAGATACTCTTTCTTCTTCTATTCGAGGTTAAATCTTGATATATAAAGAAATATTATTAGCTTCTTAATTGTCTCAGATTTTATCTAATTACAACAATAATAATAAAGATTCTAGGCTATATTAAAGAGTTATTTTATATCTATATCTGTTACTAGAACCGATAAAATATCTTTTGTAAGTGATATAATTACTGGGAAATAGGTTTGATTATCTCTTTAAAAAGAAAAAAGCTCTATATTAATAATATTTAATAAATATTAGTATCTAATTAAGATTAAAAAACTATTAATATATTACTATCTAGATATTAAGTTATTTTATCTTTAACTAGTTTTATTTATTATTTATATCTTTTTAATAACTTATTTAGTTTTGAGTTTAATTATATTATTATATAAGAACTAAAAAAGGTCTAGATATTCACTAACTATTATTAATAAGAAACTAAAGTTTCTTAAAAAGAATTCTAGTAGATATCTTGTTATTTTTTATCCTAGTCATTAGTTAGAAAAAACTAGAATTTGTTGTCTAGAATAAGTATTATATTAATTATATAAAGATAGCTATAGATATTATCTATTTTTGAGTAATATTTATTAAGTTTTTGCTGACTAGACTTAAGTGTCTCTAGTATCTATACTTTTTATAAAATATGTTTTTGCTAAAACTAGCTGATCGATTTTTTAAGATATTTAAAAAGGATATTATAAATCTTGAAGACTAGATATAATATTATATTATAAGTTTTTGAAAATTTAGTTATATAAAGAAAGAATAGTTTAGTGATATAAAGAAGATAATTAATTTGATGCTATTTATTATTATTTAACAACATTTTTTTGTAATTATAATCTATATAAAATAGAGTAAAGATAGATCGGAGTTGTTTAGCTTGATATAATATTAAAAAGGTTAAATTTTATTAAGTCTTAATATCTTAAATTAGAACTAGTTTCGGTTTGTCTAGTTAGAGATTATTAAATATTTCTTAGTATTAAAAGTTTATATTAATATAGATTACAAGAAATTGGATTTTTTTTTAAAATAGATAAAATCTTATATTTTTATTGTTGTATATTAGTCTTGATTGTTGATA